GTACATACGCCTTGGTACATACGCCTTGGTACATACGCCTTGGTACATACGCCTTGGTACATACGCCTTGGTACATACGCCTTGGAAGGATAAGGCTGGCGAACTCCTGGTATGAGTTTATACATTGAAATGGGAGCATTCGACTTTGTCTCAGGATCTCATACCCTCGGCTCAGTTTCTTAGTACAGAGATGCGGGAGTGCGACTTGGTCAGCCTCTAATGTTAAAACACACATCTCGGCCTCTTGCGTGAGAATCGAATTCCCTGCATTGCTGCGTGCTTACCATTCACCTTTTCGAGAAGATGAGCAGATGCCGCCTTCACAAAACCGTCAAACGACAATCCCTCTCCACTTCTCTTGTCGGTTACGGCCGGTACGAGGTACGTTAGTCAGTCGGCAGGCGCTGGACCTCCGCACGAGGCTCGCATAGCCTTGCAAATGAACGAGACTCGGAGTTCGACCGTGCATTTGTCTGCATATGCGTCATCCCCATCTCAAAGGCCAACAATCTACGACGACGCGACTCCATACGGCCTTGTCGGTGCGCTTTCAATATCGACATAGCCGTAGTTTCTCGGGTCTCCGCTACCCATCTTCTCAGCCCATTTCGCCATGTCCTTCATGAAGGCTTCGACGTTCTCTTTCACGGACATGTCAATGGGCTCCTGGTCTTTCCCAATTTGTCGAATCTGCGACCCGGCAATGACATTGGTCAGGCCAAAGTCGTCTCGATTGACAAGTTGTTTGATAGCCCCACTCACTTTCCCTTCCAACATGTCCTTTGCCAAACGTGGTTCCTGGCAGACCGGCCGAGCAAGACCCACGCCATCGACCGTCTTGAGAGCCTCCACCATGCCGCTCACCGTCAAGAACCCGCCGGTTACATATGCCTTAGTCTTCTTCAGACTCGGGGTGATCAAGTCGGCAAATTCCAGGAAGAAGGCTTCTCGCTTTCTAGTGCTCTCGCGCTCGTGAGCGAACAAGAGAGACTGGTAGGTGCCCCCGCTCAGTTCAACAAAGTCGAATTCGGCCTTCTCCAACATGGCGCATACGTCCTTTGCCTCTTCGGCGGTGAATCCGCCCTCCTGGAATTCTACAGAATTGATCTTGATCCCTAGCACAAATCCCGACGGCGCAGGGAGTTTCTGCCGGATTGACTGGGCGATCTCGACGATGATGCGAGCCCGGTTCTCGATCGAGCCGCCATACTGATCCGTCCGCTTGTTCGTCGTCTGAGAGAGGAATTGAGCCAACAGGTAGCCGTGGGCGCCGTGCAACTGGATGCCGTCGTACCCGGCCTTGTGGAGAAATTCTGCCGCATGCGTGAATCGGTTGATGATGTCCTTGATCTCGTCCAGAGAAGCAGCATGGGGTTTGGCGAACCTCATCCCCAAGACTTCTCCCTCGAGCTGAACATCGCTGGCAGAGACCGGGTCGGAGTTGACTTGTGCCGGAACTTGTCGCCCAGGGTGACTGACTTGTCCAACGATCAGACTACCGTGAGCCTTGGCTTGCGTTGCTAGCTCCTTGAATGCCTCGAAACGGTCGCCCTGGAAGGGGGCTTCGAGTGGGATGATCGGGTTCCCCGCAGCTTCTAGCTGGTCATAGTCGACCTGGAATGATGGAGTCAGTATTACATTCACCCTAACCACAGGAGTCGGGCCCCTAGCCTACCATGATATTACCAGTAAGTATCAAGCCCAGCCGGCCTTCTCCCCAGCGCCTGTAGACGTTGATGAGCTCCTTCGATGGCACACCCCTCTTCTCCTTCTGGACAGGGTCCCACGAGCTCAGGCGTTCCGTCATGGCCGCCTTGAGGAATCTGTTCGGCGACGTCTTGTGGCTGAACTCGAATTTCAACGGCTGCCCCAGTGGTGAGGCATCCTTGTTATCGGAAGGGTATCTCTCTGGCATGGTGAAATGTTTTTGTCGTCTAATTGAATTGTTTTTCAAGATTCAGCCAACAACGAACGTATTGTGGGTTGGTGGTACTACTCGACTGGACTGTGTATGGTTTTTCTAACGGCAATATCGTTCGTTGATTTGTTTTTCATATAATCATATATAATCACACATACAGGAGGCTACAAACCCTGCGGTCCGGGAATTGCATAAAGTAATGGTTTACAAATCAACGTCATTGAATTCCAGGAGCAGACACTGGTAAAAAGAAAAATAATGTGAGTACATAGTATGCACATCATCGATGGAGACTTTGCTCGATGTGGACATACCCATTGGCGGTATTTGGAGACCATGATGCTATGGATGAATCCACAGTCACCCAGAGTGACTCCGGTGGTGGAACCTCGTACGTGGTACAAGCTCTCGTATGATTTCCTTTTCATTCCATCATGTCGAAAAAGTCTCGGGTAAAGGCTTTTCTTTGACAGTGCTGTTCGGATATCAGTATCCGGACAACAATGCGCACGGGGCTTTTGGTGCGCAGCCTGAACCACGGTCTCTCGGCGCGTTGATCCCGGCACGCCCTCATGCTACGAGGTTTATTTCCTTTCTTTCTGGAGAACAGAAGTTCTTCCGCTCTCGGCAAGTCATCATCTGGCCCTCTCGAGTATTGTTTGGCGTTGAGATAACGACAACAAGTTCTCGTTGTACGAGAATACAAAGGGCATGGAAATCGACTTGTCACGCCTGGCCCACCAGGTATATTGCGATCGTCTATACCTACTGTACCTTGTGCCGACGACATCATAATCTCTACCTACCTACTTTGGGCAGGTTGGCATAAAACCAGATAGATTACAGCGCATGAACGGGATTAGGCAGCCTACCAGTGACTCCCGGAGGGCTGATAAAAGTGTGCTCATGAACGCATTTTTCTGTACAGCTTTCTACATTAGGATTCGATTAACTAGAACCTGGCCTGGACCTTGCTCTGGACGTCTTGAACGGCCCAATCGGAGTATGACTTCTTGCTCAAGACCTGCTTGGCCTGTTCGACGGTAAAACCCTTGGCCTGGGTCGCAGGGTTATATCCTAGGTGGTTGATCTTTCCAACTTCGGCGTCCGACACGGGAGTCGCAGCCTGTCCGTCGGCGCGCTTGTACACGGTGACGACGACAGCACCTCCGAGACCCAAGTTCTGCTGGAGACAGTACTTGGTATCCTTGACGAGACGGTTGTTGGCCCAGCCTCGCAGGTGCCAAACGAGTTCGGCACACTGGGCGAGTCCAGTCGCACCTATTGTGTGTGTGGAGTGTTTGATTAGCGATACATTCGTCAATTTGGAATGGGACGGGGAGAATTGCGCAGCATCAGCATCCGCATCAACATCAAAAAAATTCTTACCTAGAGGATGACCTTTGGAAATCAAGCCCCCAGAGGGATTGATGACATATTTACCACCATATGTGATACCGCCTTGTCGGACGAGCTCGTGCGCCTTACCCTTGGGGCACAGACCAAGGCCATCAATGACGCACATTTCGTTGGCGCTGAAACAGTCGTGGACCTCGACAACGCTGACATCGTCTGGAGTGATGCCGGCTTGCTTCAGGGCTTCCTTGCCGGCCAACGCAGTCATTTCATAGCCAACCAGGTCTATTGCCGAACGACTAAAGAGATGGGGAGAGTCGGTGGCCATTGACTGGCCGGCGATCAGGACCGCCTGAGACTTGAGGTGCGGGCGCTTGTCGAGGAACTCTTGAGAGACAATCACAGCGGCGGCAGAGCCGTCCGAGGTTGGGCAACACTGGAGTTTTGTCAGGGGGGCGTGGATCATGGGCGCCTTCAAAATCTGGTCTAGTGTGTATTCGTCCTGGAACTGGGAGTATGGGTTCCTCTTGCTATGCTCATGGTTGACACGAGCAATTTCCGCAAAGTCTTCTGCCTTTGCGCCGTACTTCTCCATATATTCGCGTCCGGCATTGCCGAAAAGCTGTGCGGCGCCGGGGGCGTTTGTGACGCCTCTGGTTGCTTTCAACATGGCGTTCGTGGTGCCCGTGGGGTTCTCGCGGTCGTTGAAATAGGTTTGGAGGCTGCCGGGCGACATCTTCTCGAATCCCACGACGAGGACACAGTCGGCGGCTCCGTATGCGATGGCCTGCCGGGCCATGTTGAGACCGGTGCTCCCTGTCGCGCAGTTGTTGTTGACGTTGTAAATGGGAATCTGCGTCATGCCGAACTGGTAGAAGACGCGCTGTCCACAGGTTGAATCTCCGTAGCAATAGCATGCTACTCCCTGGTCGACGTCGTCGTAGTTGATCTGTGCGTCCAACAGTGCTTTTACGCCGGCTTCGAATCCGAGTTCATGGTAGTCGACCTTGCCTCTTGGCTTGATGAACTTTGTCATTCCCACGCCTAGGACGTAGGCGGGAGCGGATTTGCGAGGCATGGCGGCGGGGGCGGCAGCTTCAAAGCTAACTTTAGATGTTCAGATTCGTAGAGCGAGGTGTAACCGTAGCCTAGCGAGATGAAGCGACCAGAGTGTTTTTACTTTCTTTTGAAAGCAATGGTTGATATGTGAATCTCGCCTCTGCGTTATCACGGCTTACCTTAAAAGTACCAGCACAAACCCCCCGTGGACCTCGGCTCGAAACTCATGTACCGGACGGCGACCGAGCCACTTGGATTCAGGCTGGGGTTTATCAGCCCGGTGTTTGCGGGGACCGTGTCAGACCGAGGCACAAAATTGTTCAGAATCTGGAGTCTGTACGGAATACGAGTATAAAAACGCAGCTGTACTGAGCCGGACTGTAGGTAGATTCTGCAGTAGGCAAAGGCAGTCATCTTACCTACCTACTCACTCATAGTACGCGTAGGTCAAGCTGCCTCTCATAGTGCCCTAGATAGGCATTTGCATCATCTCATATGGAGAACTCAGGACCTGGTGATTATTGTAAGCGGCATCTCGAGGCCCAGCTCCACCTCACGCATGGTTCCTCTACAATGTGGCCTATATGTCGCCCAGGCTTTGCAGACGATGCTCCTGAATGTGTCAGACTCGTTCCACAGTCAATGCGCAGTATCTTATTCTTTTGATCCCAGTAAGCACAGAGATTCCACAAAGCATTGGTTAACATCCGGCTGGTCCGTCCAACCAGTTCCAGTGCTGCTGTGCTCAGCATTGCTCCTCACTCTCGCCAACGTGGGACCAAAGGTTCATTTGCAGATGGACTCCCGTCTTCGAAGATCCCGCAACCTGGTTGGATTCGCGAAGCACTCAGAGCGAATGGGTCAGGTTCCAGGGAGTGTTTGTTCATCGGGCCCCTGCGCTATTCGTAACCAGCGTAATCCACCAAGGTCTGTCCCCATTCTCAGTGCCCTTTGCATTTGATCCTAGACCGCCAATGATGATGCGAGTATTGGACAGTCGAAGTAGAAAAGCGCCAGGCGAATCACAAAGGCGTTGGATACTTCTTTCAAACCTTGGATTGACTATGCCCCGGGCTGGAACGTCCAGTCCCGAGCACCGCGAACACCAGGGAGACGCCCATCGACCAATGATCCAAGTAGGACGGCATGAACCCCCCCAAAAGTGACCAGGCCTAGTGGCCCACGGTTAGCGAGGCTGCCCGTCAGGCTCGCCTAGGAAGCCCTGGAGAAAGCAAATGGAGGGGTGGGTGAGGGTCCGAGGGGCAAGCCACCACCTCTTTGTTGCTTCGACGTCACTGTCTGGACTGACACTAAAACACAACCAACATCCTACTAAGCTTCTTTCTGTCCACAATGACACATGCGGACCGTCTCACAACCTTTGTTGTTGTCTGAACTTCACACCTCGCATCCTCTGGCTGATGTTTGCCCCCTCTTTCTAACTCCAGGGCCTCGTCGAGCCGTGCAATCCCTTCCCTCACAGGTGCATTCCGACTACGCCCCGGCAGCTCTTCCGATTCTTTCTCGTCCAGCAGATTTGGGCCTCAAGCAACAATTTGGGACCTGACCTGTGGCCTCCTGTCGCTTCTCAGCAAAGCATATTTTGGAATCGTCAAAGAGCACAAATGCTCACTTCGTTGTGCTGAAAGAGGTTGATTGACGGACAAGGCACCTACTCTTGGCTCGGTCGTCCAAGCACACCATCCTCCTGAACGCTTCGGTGCCGTTTCCAGGAAGTGGTCTTGTGCTTTGGCATTCCAGTTGTCCTTGGTGACTTCTGACCGAGAATCAGCTTGAACAATAAGGAAGAGGGAATGGAGTGTGGAACGCGGAGGGATCGTCTCATTGTACATGAATGAGAGATCTTCTTGCGTTCCATCGGGTTCCGCAGCCCATTGCGTGAGTCTTTCGACAAGACACTTCAATACCGAGAGGGGCGCAAGGACTGACATGCTCTGTGTGAAGACCTGTGTTGGCCTTAACTCTGGAGAACAATGAACCATGCCCGCGAAGTGAACGACTCGACTGTTTCTATCTCCCTCGAACATGACCCAGATCGAAATTCAACAGCTATTCTACCGTCAAAATCATCCCAGCCGCCCTTAGCCATGTCTTCCAAGTCGAAAATGGATACTGGCTGGACCTCCCCCGATACTCGAATCTACTATGCGAAGAAATACAGACAGGTTCTCTCATCTGCTCCCGCCGTGGCGTTGGCGGTTGTCGCGGGGGTAAGTGAGTTTCAAGCATCTCACTCGACACGACCACTGACAATTCTGCCAGGCTCCCTTTGAAAACCTCAAAGTTCGCATGCAATCGTATGTTTGCTGGCCAAAAAAACAGAGTCCCGGAGTTCGCTGACAGCATATAGACACTATTTCCCCAATGCCTGGCAAGCTACCAAATACACCTTTCGCACCGAAGGACTTCGCGGTTTCTGGACCGGTAGGCGAACAGATCAAGAGGCGACATGTTGGTGCAACTCTAACCATGGGCATAGGCACTCTCCCTCCGCTGTTTTCCATCACCTTTTCCCGCGCGCTCGGATTCTCCATCTACCGGAAAGCCAAGTACGCCATCGATGGTTGTATCGAGAAAGCCACGGGGTCATCACCTCTTCAGCACGTCAATAAGCCGGGCACGTATCCGAACATCTACACTCTGGCCTGCTTCACCGGAGCTGGAATGATTTCAGGTGGTGCCACTGCTGTTGTCCTGAGTATGTCTCCCACATGCGCTCCGAGGGAAAACAAGGAAAGGTCTCTTGAAACCCTTGTGCTAACAAAAGTTTGTGTCATCGTAGCTCCCATCGAACTCGTCAAAAACGCCACGCAGACCTCGGTGCTCATGGCATCTCAGGGAAAACCTCCAGCGGCTCAGACTCCTGGTGTTAAGAACGTCGGACGAGTCAGTTCCTGGGCGTCAGCGAAGCTGATCATTCAACGACGAGGTCTTTTGGGCTTGTGGACCGGTTTCCGCCTTCACATGCTTCGCGACTTGGTCGGCAGCGGCATCTACTTTGGTGTCTACGAGACGACCAAACAAACCTTGAACTCTTACTACGGCGCTGAAAAGGCAAACTCTCTAGGAGCCATTGCAGCTGCAGGTGCTGTGTGTGGCATCGGTGCTTGGGTCGTGGTAAGTGCTTAAGTGCTTTAAGCGCTGTTTGTTCTTTTGTTTTCTTTTTTCGAACCAACTAATCACACCAAATGTGTTGCATTATTATACAGACATATCCACTCGACACCATGAAGACACGGGTGCAAAACAACCTCGTCGGGGCTGCTCGTCCTGTTGTCTCCTCCTCCTCCTCCTCCTCCTCTTCTTCTGTCCCTGTTGTTGGTGTTGGTGCTGGCGCTGGCGCTGCTCCTTCTCAGGCGTCATCCCCTTCCTCCCCGTCGCCATCGATCAAGTCGGCTCTGGACGCTGCTACAACCTCGGTCTCGCGCGTGTCCAAGTGGAAAGGAATCGAAATGATTATCTTGCGCTCGGTGATCCAGAACATGATCCAAATGACCTTCTTCGAGCAAGGTAAGGTGGTCATTGACAACCTCACCTTTTCCGACGGTAGCCGAACCTTGCCGGAAGTCGAGCGCCATTTCGGCCGCGACTCCAGAATCAATAAGAATGAAAAGTTGTGATGTATATGAGAGAGAGAGAGAGGGCGCGCGAGAGAGACAGGGATAGGGACATGAGTTAATCTATCAATGAATCAATCAATCAAGCAATCAACCGAGCAACAAACCACCAAGTCAATTCAATTGAATTCGTTTCAAAATCATGGCTTGCACTCCATGGCTATATTGTCAACTTTATGAGGCGTCCTCGCAATTGAGTCAAGGTCGTTGCTATCGACAACATCATCATCGTCGTTGTCGTTATTATCACCGTTGTTATCGCCGTGAATTTAGCTGTTCTGGTACCCGTGGCCTAGTGACATGGCAACAAAAAACTTGTTATTCGCCTCCATGTTCGTTTGCCAATTATACTACCAAAATACCCCAACGCCCCGTGAACATTGGACAAAGACTAAAACACAGGTTGGTAGTGGTGTATAGCAATGGCAGTGTCGTTGGTGTCCTCCAAGAGAAACAGCCAGAAAGAAAAACAAAACCAAGGGGGTATCATACGAATACAATAATATACATACAAGTGTGGCACACGGGAAGATAACCATACACACACACCCAGAGGGAGAAAGAGAGAGAGAAAGACACAAAGTGAGCGATCTCTGTCTCTCTCTCTCTATCCTCTTTTCAATCTCTCCAGCCCCGAACATCCCCTGCCGACCTCGCTGTCTTCGAGAGACACATCCTTCTCATAAAGGATAAGTGATCGAATTCAGAGGCGAAAACACAAGTCAGCCTCTTGACATAACAAACCTCATCATGCTCTGTTCATCTCATCCACCTAAACACATTCGCTCTTCATTTGGCCGGAGCCCTCTCCTTTGCATCATCAGATTGGTCGGCAATAACCTTTGGCCGCTCAGGTCGCATCAACTCTCAATATGAATAAGGACATATCAGCGATCCTCTTCATCCAATTTCTCGCCTACTTCACCAAGGACAGTATTCGTGGTGGTGCTGGTAATATACTGGCTTCCCGTTCCTGGTCCATCGATCAAAGGACTCGTGGGCGCCGTGACCATGCCGCTCTCTCGGTCCTTTTCTTTCTCCTTATCTTTTCCCTGCCCGCCCTGCCCGATACTCCCACTAAGACTATCATTTCGCCCATGGCCTCCACCTCCAACTCCGAGTAGCCCACTCCTGACGCTGGCAGCATCGCCATATTTGCTACCAATGTAACTGGTCCTTTCACTCGCGAGCACCGGCACCGTAACACCGCTGGCACTGATCAAGCTCGCCCTCTCGGCATTCAAGGCCGATCGCGGGTACGCAGCGCCGGCGCCTTCACGCAAAGACAGGTTGTCTGCGCCCGGGTGGATCACCGTACCCGACAGCACGGACAAGGGCAGACTCTCGCGTGATCCGCCAAACATGCTAGCTGGCGCGAGCGCTTTCATGCTGGCATTGGTGTCGACCGAGTTGCGGCGGCGGCGTTTGGAGGAACTCGCCAGGGTCAGAATCGACGCATCGTCTGTGAGGACGTTGTTCGCAGTTGCGGACTGGTACGTTGTCGGTTGGCCGTGAGGAGCGAGGTGCGCAGGTACAGCCGTAGCAGGTTGACCGCTGTAGTGGGAAGGGGTGTGGCTGAGGGCGTTGTGCGTGGTGTGGTTTTGCGCGGGTGCCGTTGCCGCTATCGATTGGACGGTTGTAAGTGTGGTCGCAATGCTTCGAACAGACGGTGCTGGCGAAGAGAAGGTGCTATCCCGTCCACCCTCTGTTCGTGGTGCTGTCGCACTTGTTCCTGCGCCCGAGGGGGCGACTTCGGAGAGTGCGGTCTCGGCCTGCGTGGCCAGCGTCGGGGCTCTGGACTTGTTTCCTCCTGACTGGCTGTCATACAAAATGGATACGGAGTGCTTGCTCTGAGACATGGAGCTGTGTCGCGAACGGTGGGATGATAGAGGCGCAGAGAAAGAGAGACGGCCGTTGTGCTGAGGCTCGGTGCGCGACAGAGGGTACGGATTATTCTTTGCAATGTTTCCCTTCTTCGATTTGCTAGAAGCCACGATATTCGAGCGGCGTGTACTGCCATTGTTATCGTGCGAATCGACGTGAGGTGTCTTGAGATTTGCTAATCGCCGCATCCAGGCTGCGAAAGGTCGCCTGCGTCCAATCCTGTCTTTTGTGAAGAGTTAGCTGCCCCGTCGAAGGTGCTGTCTGCGGCATAGGCTTACCATGGGCGCGAGGTGGCGCTTCCGTGGAAGCCATGGAAGGTGGACTAAGCTGCGACGAGGTCCAGTTCGAGTGTCTGAGGGCGGCGGTCGCTCAATATGTAGGGTAGACGACTTTCGTGATAAAGATAGCGAGAGGCAGCCGGGGGAAAAGCGGTCAGGCGAGTGTACGAACCGTGGAGATGGCCGCGAAAACTGAGGTCATGCAGCTTGCATGAGGATACCAGAGGGAGAAGGTGAGGGTTATTCTTGAATGACAGAATCTCTCGTGGTCATGGACGAAAGTGAAGGCGTTTGAGGTCAGTATGAGGGAAGGAGAAGTCTTGGAACGCAGGTTGAGGCGCAGTCAAGGAACGTGTTCAGACGAGGGTGGTTGAATTTTGACAGATTTGTTTACTCTGTACGCCGTACACTGGGAGAGACATGAAACCAAGGATTGAAGAGGTTTGGGGTATTCGTACCCGTCGTACTCTGTATCTCGAGTTTCTCAGTTAGGTATCTTCTGTACAGAGCGTACTGGACTCCTATTACTCAGTGCTCAGTACCTTTAGGCGTTGACTCCTCAGAACCTCGCCAGACTACGTAACGACGGGGACTTCATTGTGGATGCTCCACCTGGAAGCCCCAGTGAGGCAGCCCTAACAATCAGCCTAATAAGCTTAGCGATTCCCTGGGACGAACCCTTTGCTACAGCCTATACAGTTCTTGTCCCCCAGGCGATTTTCCCCACGTGGCGCAAACGGCACACTACTTGAGCTTCCATCGGTGTTTCTACATCCTCCAACTCAGTAGTCCACCATTTGACAGAAAACATGCCTGCAAAACAACGAGACATCTCAAGTGGTTGAAACAGAACTGGCGTTCTAGATAGCACTGATAGGTGCATTCGAATAGCACTTTTCTCGTAGATATTCCTGGGATAGATCATCATCACTATCCACCTCATCCCATGGCCAAATAAAGTCGCTCAACTCTGCCTCAGATGTCAGCCCCTAGGTGTAGTGGTACTTATGCCCGACGCTCTCATCCGCTCCCAGGAAGTCTCCCTGCCTACATGAAATCTTCCTCGTAGAATCGAGCATCCTGATCCTGGTTGCTGACCATGTGCTCCTCGCTCATGATATCGTCGTAAGCGTGATCTTTCTGCCACCGCAACTCTTCACGTTTCTTCCTTTCTTCGCGGTCTCTGGCCTTTTGCTGTTCCCGAGCGATCCTCTCGACTTTGCGCTTCTCTCTCTGGTCGGCCTCCTTCTCTGCCCGCAGATCGGGAAACTTCTCGACACGGGTCTTGTTCAGCCGGTTCACAATCGGATTCTGACGCACGGCGACGTGGACCTTTTTGACCATTTTCGGATCGTGGAATGAAACTTGACCGGTCGCCATTGAGGCGTCTTTTCGTAGGTTCGCCCACGGCGTGTAAATGACCGTGACGTTGTCCTTCTTGTTGCCTTCAAAGATGCTGCCGTCAAAACAAAGAACACACACACACACATGAACAGAGCAGAAAAAGAGAACATAAAAATACAACACAAAGAAAGGAAGGAAGTTGCATCAATAGATAGATGGAACTCCACAATGTGCCGGCTTCTCACTTACCTTCGATTGAGTTGGCCTTGGTCAATTGGGCACAATCTTCCAGCAGCGCCTGAGGTATCGAAGTCCAGGAATCGCCAGGCTTGAGCCGAAGATAGACGTGGGCACTGGACAAGTTGTCGACGTGGAACTGATATCGACCGTTAATCGCATCGGATGCAAAAAGGACGTCACCGTCCGTCGTAATATTCTGTGACATACCCTGTTTTGTTTCGCCATAAGTCTCTCTCTCACACACCCACAGCCACACACACACACACAACCACACAGAAACACATAACATCTCGCAAAAGTTTTCGAACTTGGACACTGACTCACCAAACGTCTTCTTCCCAGCCAAACTTGATCAGATCCTCATCTGCGTATCCGTTAGATCCGGTGAACAGGTCAATTAAGACTCAAAAACCCATTGCTGCGAACTTTCAACTTTGTCTTTGCCAACGTATATGAAGGCTGCGGGCTCGACGGCCGTCGATGTGAAATAGTAGACCATTATGTTTTTTTCCGGTGGACAACACAAACGTCAACTAAGGAAGCGAGAAAGAATCAACATTCATCGGCTCGCACGTCCAGCGCGACTCGCAAAGTCCTCGGTCAGAAACGGCGCAAACCTATTCCAGCCAGACCTTGACTTTCTCCCTCGGGCTTGGGGGAAGCAGACTTGGACCGTCAAGCGAACATGAAGCAAAAGATTGATTGATATGTTTTGTTAAACATCAGCCGGATTAGGCGATGTTCAGAAAGTGGTGTCCAGAGCAATGGGGAAACATCACTGCAGGTACGGTCGCAATGCTGCACCCTACATCGTTTATAGAAACTACCGATACTCCGCAGGTACTGTATTACTACAACTCAACACGTCAACCGTCATTGGCCGAACCAATACCTCTCTTAACCGTCACCCATGCTAACTTAACGAGTCGTCTCGTTCCTGTGACAGAGAATGTGGCATCATGGCTCCGAATCCCCGTTTAGGCGGTTATTCTTTTGGCAGCGACGTATGAAAACCTTTCAGGGACTCTGTAGATAAGAAAGGGCCCGTTCAGCCTCTATACCAAGCAGAAAACCACGATCAAAATTGCCCAGTCGATACAAAAGTATATACACTTGAGCGATAGATCATGAGCCACGGTTTCATCGTCTGCTTGACTCGTCGAGCCTGCACGGAGACTTGGAATGCTCCCCAGTCATCGGGCCCTCGTATATCTTCCCAAGGCGGTGTAGAGGAACTCGCAACATGCCCATCATAAACGTACAAGTCATCCATCCACGAGACTTCCGTGCCACATTCAACCCCAAACCATCACTGTCGAAACGAAATGCCAATCCACGCTGTCGCCTTTGCGAGCTGGGGATTCGCTTCTGTGATCATCCATCGTGACAAATAGTATTAATCTTGCACCGCACAAACACCGCCATAGAGTAGGGTTGACAGACTCCTCTTCCGAACTCCATATTTTGAAATCCTCACACCTGAACATCGAAAGTAACCTCCCCAACAATGAATCCCAATACGATGCAATAACGCTGCAACGAAACATGATCACAATGTAACCAACCGGTCCGAATCGACCTGTTAGCTGCCCTGGCTCTCCGGTCGATCGCCTTCTGCGAAAATTTTCTCACTGCCTTTTCTCTTCCAGAAAGCAAGGCCTAGCCTTAATTTGCTTCTCTTTCGGCCCATTGTTCTAGAGCCGCTTCTTCCATCTCGCCCGTCAGCCTCGTTAGGTTCACCGTTGCTCAAGATCGTGGCGTGGATATCAAGCTTGCTGCTCTCTCGGCTTGTAGCACTGTTGCTGCCCATGCTACAACTCGGTGTAAGTCCAGGGCTTGTCGGATGCATAGGTGCACTAACCGCTCGATTGCGCATGTCGTGAAATCCGTTATGCTTGTGAGTCGGCTCATCCGGAGTTTTCGGGCCGGCGCTAGATGCTGCTGTGCTCATGGCGGGTGAGATGGCCTGTTCGTCAATGCCTCTGAATGCTGTACCTGTCCCCAAATGTGCAGTAGCAGCGAAAGGAGAGGGATCCTGAGCCTGATGTTTCGATTGACCGTCTTTAGCGGGCGCACTCGCTCTGGCATTGGCATGAGATACTGGGTAGTGACGATCTGGATCGTAAGTTCGCACCGGCTCGTCTTGCTTCGAAGTTGCGAACTTGAATTTGGAAACGTATCCTTGGTCCCAGCCTTCCTGTTTCTCGACTTCTACCGCCTCAGCTGGAATGGCCTCACTGCCGGCACGCATGGAGACGGTTTCGTCTCTCCGGGGGTCGGTGAGAGCCTGTAAGGATTCCGACGGTAGTTCATTTGCGATGGCGCTCTGTCTGGGCGTGCTGGTGGTCGTTTCGTTCTCGGTTGAGCGTGAGCCACCGTGCGCGTGATCGCCATTCGTCAGAACAGGGGTAGAGTTTCGCTGATCAGCAGCAGTCTCCAGGCCTGTGTGGCTTGTGCCAGTCGGCGTCGATCGAGTCGCTGATTCATTCGCTGTTATGGCAATTCCGGCAGCAGCTGCCAAAGATGATGGACGAGAAGTATTTCGAGGCGTTGTGGCTCCGCTTTTTTTTACATCGGTACCAGTTCCTGAGGTTTCGAGCGCATCATTTCGTCCTTTCAGTGGCGATGTAGGCGCTTCGTCACGCACACCCTTATGGCCAGCTGGGCTTTGCGTTCGAGGACTGACCGTCCCGGAGTCACCAAACCCAGTAGTTCTTTTGAGAAGCTGCTTTGTCTTCTCGTGTTCGGCTCGAGTAAACCAAACGCCTTTGTTGGTGAGGATCTCGTCTGCTGCAAATCGCATTGCGGGAATGACATCAGCAACATTGGCGAAAAGAGGGTGGGCGAATATCGTCATGAAACCAATTTGGCCATTAGCCAGTTTCAACATATTACCCAGTTCAGGAGGACCACCGAAGAGAGCGGTTTCCATGCCGACGGCTTGCTCCATTTCTCCTTGATGAGCAAATTCCTTCTGCAAGAGATTCGTCCACTTTTCCGCCACTGCCCACGGACGTGCCTTTTGAGAGTTAGAGACGGAGAATATTCACGGCATTCGAGCATTACTCACAACGTTGCTAATGTCGGCACACTTGATTAGCAAGCCACAGGCCAGTGTGCGCGCCCACTCGATATCCTTAGGAGCCCACCCCTCAGTGACTTGGGTTTCGTGAATCTTTTCTTGAAGATTGCCGAGTTGCTGCATGTAGTCTGAATGTAAGCCCATGTCGGTTGCTAGGATGGTGCTGATCATAAGCTTTCGCATGTCCTTGTCCTGGAATGCGGCTGGCCAGTGCCGGCGCAGTATTTGGGAATAGGCGGCGCAGTGGAAGGCTTCCAACACAGATTGATCATTGTACAGCTGTGCGAGAGGGGCATTCAATTTGACCAGAAACATATTGTTGACACCTGGGTGGCCAACATCATGGCCGATTGCCGAGATGAGAATAGTGAGCGCCTCGAAAGGACCCAACAGCCGCGCGATGGGTGATTGTCGGTTCGCATAAGGTGACGGTTCAGCGCCCACGGGGTACGGTGGGAGGAGGCCAATCTGTACGAGGAAGTAAAAGACCGACTGGAGAACGTCGACAGCATGTCTGAAATTGTGATAAAGAACGAAAGAATTGTACGCGATGCGACAACCCTGCATGAAATGAAGCAGTTCGGCTAGATCAAAGAGTTAGACAGTCTCGGATCACAGGTGCAGATAACGTACCTTGGCTCATGCGCCACTCATCCACAGACTGGAGATTCTCCAGAGCGTGGTTGAGCATGAAATAACCGGCGTAGACCAATTCGTCCTCATTGAAGTCGTGCCCATCGAAGCCCCACGAACCGACAGCCTCTGCGATGACAGGTTTCCGCTTTTCTCGGACATAGAGATCGCGGTATTGGTAATCCTCGATGACGTTCTGAGGATCGCAAATACCCTTGAGGAGTTTCTTCACCATTGCTTCCCTAAGATAGGCGTAAGGCTTTTCCTCTTCCACACCCACCCACGACTGTTTGCGAGATTTTCTGGTCATGCCCATAAACCCGGCTTGTTCCTTCTTTGCGTTCTTGTATATCCGATATGCGTGCACAGTCAAGCCCATGATGCCCGCCTTGTTCAGAGGGCTCTTGACCACATCGAGGGCACCTGCATCAAGACACTGCAACATGAGTTGGGCGTCAACAACGTCTGAGGTATCCTTTATCGCAACCGGCTGGGACTCTGGACCGTAAGGTGCTCTTGAGACCTCACTGGGTCGAACATCCTCAAGTGCTTGGTCGTGAGAATCGCTCCGCTTGGGCTGCACAATGGCCACGGGTATGATGAGTTTGACACCCTCATCTACCTGCAAGTCCGATGCTATTCTAGACAGAAGTTGGAGACCATAAGACTCATCGGACTCGGACGAGAAGGTGATTTCTTTCCTCAAAAGGGTCGGAGAGGGTAACGGAGAGTCTGCCGGAGGAAAGAACTTGGTCTGGGTTCCCAAGGAGTCGTGCTTGGATTCGGACCCAACATCGAAACAGGCAAGGATAGGTGTGCAATCGAACTTCGCTTGGTCGTGAAGATCAGACAGCTTCGTGGAAAACGCTCTACCGGAACTACACACATAGACTGAAAGAATAGGTCAGCATTGCATTCAACGATTGAGCCTTGTCCACCGCACCTTGATTGAAAACGGTCAAAAAAGCGTTGACATTAGACTGAAGGTCCAAGGGAAGATCTGAGAATTCGACTTCTGATCCCGCTCTCTGCGGTGTACTCGGCATCAGACCATCTCTGGATATCCATCTTTCTGTGTTGAATCTCTCATCAATGTATATGACTCTGCAAGCAGCAGGGTCCATGATGATGGGATGTGTAGATTATGGAAGGAAAGAACCGGTCGTGTTGCGGCCTTATAAGCCCATAATGCGCTTGACGGACGCGACCAGTTTGATGGGGAGGCCTCGAGAAGAAGAATGTGTGGTAGGCGGTTCTCGATAGTCAAACAACGAACAAACGTCACAGCAAGTCTCGAAGTCGAGGCTGCTCAAGGCAAGAGCATTGCGCGCAGCGCGGGGGAGTGTTTGTGGAGGTTTTCGAAGGAGCGACGGAGGCGTAGATCGGCAGACGAGGAGTATGTCGTAATGCGACAGGCGGAAGATTGAATCGCAGCAGTACTCGCAGGCTCGCAGAGTGTAGGAACGGGAGAATGAGGTAGCGCTCAAAAGTCGAGGTCCTATGGGCGTGCGCAGGACGGAGGCTTGCGGCGGCAGGTGTCAAGTCTTCGAGTCGTCGGATGGTCGCAGGTGTCGTGGCGGAAGGGGTGTGATGTAGCTGCAGGTCGACGAGACACTACAGGGCACCCAGTCGAACAAGGGATCAGACAATTGAGGAAGAGGTGGAGGGCTCAGAATGCGGGAGCAGATGATAGTCGTATCAGTATGAAAACAATTGGACAGAGTACGAGTGCTGGAGGAATAGCACTGTAGCAACAGATTGGACTGATTTGCGTGGAGCGTCGAGTGGTAGTCGAAGCTAGGTGGGAAGTGCGGTCATACAGCAGTGCACTAGTTAGTTAACTAGATGACGAGGATGGAAGTGGAAACAAGAGAAACGGGAGGGCCATCAGAGAGAAGATGGGATTAGCAACTTCCACCACCTACTAAGGTTAAGTCGCAGTCAAGTGGGCGCCGGAGTCTGGGACAGCAATTGGTGGATGGGGGCCTGTCGAACACTCGAAGAACAAGCAGCGAAATGCGGAGCGCGCCCAATAATCGGCGGCAGAAGTACCCGGAGCATCGCTGATGGGGTCGCTGATGGGCGGTACTGGGCTGTTAATGGGCCGCGGCGGCAGCGCCTGCTCCTCTGAGTTTAGGCATGGCGGTCCGAGGATTTTGAGTGCAAGCCAGCGCCTAGTGGCCTGGGTGCAATACGAGTTCCCCGTAAGCGACACAATAATCATCCGAGTCATCCCTGTGCTCTCCCGAGGTAAGTTGTAACGAGCGGTGGCACCGTCCAGCCAGCCTACCAGCCATAAATCAACCACTCCCACACCAGGCTACCGTAATTCAGCTCAAGATGCAAAAGACGTTGCCTCTCAGGTACCCAATGTACGCTCAGGCAGGTCGTCTCAATCTACAATTCGTTCGACAGAGCGCACCAAGTACGTGTGCTGGCACCCTCATGTTTCGTCATCCACTCAAGTTCCTCGACATCTGCTCTACGCTATCGCCCTGTTTAACTGCCCGCCCGGGATCTGACCTTTCCACGGTCCTTCTAGAAGCCTTTCCCACTTCCCGCCCCCAGATAACCTAACTCGTGTTTCACAGAGGCCGGCCAATCCCTTCTCTCCCGCCTCGATACCTAGTAGGTAGGCTATCATTCTTGGCCGTCAAGTCTAGCGAGCACATCAGGTCAAGCTCACCGATACTTAGGTACGGACTGAAGTGATCACTGACAATCACACAGAGGGCACGAAAACACACTCCCAGGAAACCCATGTTAGCTACGGAATAGTTCTCACACATTTGGTCCCAGTGCCACCCTTTTCTGCACCCAGCTAGCTGTGATAATGGCAGTGTCATCACCTCACCACATCTGTGCCTCTGTCGATCAATGCCGGTTGGCAATGTTGATCCCACCTAGCTACGAATCTCCTTGTGCGATATGATGATCATGGATCAGCCATGAGGATCTTCACGCCGGTATCATCTGCCACAAGTCGCCATCCTGCCCCACTCTGCAGAGATACCGAGTACGCATACACCAGCTAATCCCCTGGGAGGATTCTTCCATGGCATTACTGTTGCACTCTTCCCTCACTCGATAACAATTGTACTCGTAAAGGTCGTGGAAAAGTAGCCATGGCACCCCTCTTGGGCAGTTTCAGTCGTCGTTCGTGCTCCTGGGGAGGTTTCAACACCTAGCGCTCGAGGCTAGCCGCCTGTTTGAATCGCTTAGCCAGAATCTCTGATGGGCTGCCAGCTTCGCCATCGTCCTCTTGCGGTTCCAATGTCCATGGACGTTTCAAGGGCCGCTCACCATATGTTTCGAGAATCGCCATCAGGGTTCCCCATCCAGACGAGTCTGTCAAATGAATTGCATCAATCTGGTCACGCTTGGTTGCAACCTTGCAGAGCAATCGTTCTTCGTCCTGAATATTGTTAGAAGCGCGCGTGTGACCAGCCAAATTTCAACTTACCTTGCTGAACACTCCCATGCCATGAATGAAGCATAGAAGATGGAAATCGGACACGGCGTCCACAGATTGCGACGATCGAAGCTGCTTAGCGACGTCTCGGGGATTTTGGCCTTCCGCGACGGCTTCTCGATTTTCTATCGGGAATCGACTGTTCTTGAACAATGGGGTGGGCTGGATGGGCATACCTGCCGTGAGCGAGACAAGCAGGTATTCCACCGGGAAACTGGGCTTTGCGTTCTCCTGGACATTTGCACCGTATTCATTGATGCGCCGATAGAATACTTCGGGGATATATCGTGACTGAGAACCAGCCCCTTCATCGTCCTCAGACTGTACCAGCATGACGGATGGATCGGCTGAAGGCTCGACAATGTCCGCCCTCACCATTTCGACTGCAGCATTCGACGCTTGGTAAGCATTGATTGTGATGGTCTCGTCCTGATCGCCGGTGACTACGCATGTCACAAAATTAGATCCGAACCTTCCAGTCTCGCTCCACTTAGAAGGCTTTGGGTACTGTGCTTGAAGGCGTGCAGCGAATGCAATCTCGAGCGACGCGAGAAAATACGAGTCGACGTGTCTCTTACACACGGCTTGACCTTCGCCATCTTCTGGAGTCATCAGATCGGTGAAGATAACCCCCACCCGTTCGAGACCACACATTCTTGCAACCTCATCAACCTCTTTTTCGTTCGGCCACTCTAATAATGTCAGCCCATCGACTTCGGACATCTGAGGGGGCTCATAAATCGCTTCGACAATGGCCCTGACACCCAGTGGAACCTCGGCGTATTCATCATATCTGCCATACAGATATCCCAGCCGCTGACAACCAGACTTTCTCCAGAAGTCGATCAGCCGATCAACCATATCGGCCGAGGCGAACTCGACATGATCTACCATCCGAAACTCTTGCGGCTGTAGAGTGATTGCACTCGGCTGACACTTTGTACAGATGCCTTCGGGCCATGGAGGATGACCAGAAGGGCAGTCTTTCTTCACTCTGTAGTATGGTTCCGTCAATGGTGGCATGTATGAGCTTTTCAGTTCGGGCTTGTTCGTGGCTGAATTGATCTTGCGTAGGTAACTGTGGAAAGATAGATGTTTGATTTTCCTCTCGTCAAGGTATTTCTTGTCGTAAGGCTCCAACGGCTGGCAATAGTCGCACATGCCTTTGGGGCCATGCCGACACATTTTGGGATCTCTTGGTCGCGATATCTTTCCGTCTTGCTTGTCTAATCGATCATCGAGGGCGGACTGCTTGACCACTTCCCATGGGTTTCGTACGAGGGTGGGAGATGTGACTGAGGGGGCGAGGATGGGCTCGTCGGGCTCGGGTAGGGCTATTGTGCCGTTCAGTCGTCGCGCGGTCGTACTCGTGGCGGCTTCGCCGTTGGTGTGGCCATTAGCTAGATTTGGAGACTCTTGATACCCAATATATAGCTTGTCACCGTGCCTGGTTGTCATGTTAGACATCGACTCTATTGCATGTGAGAAACATACTTGAGCCCGACTTGCCGCAATTCCACGCCTGGTAAATCGGCCAAGCGTCGCTCTCGCTCAGGGTCTGGTGTCGAACTGACGGGTTTGTTACTCAGGACAATCGTGGCAGCGTCGGTATCCGGGGGTAGATGATCAAGTATCTTCCGCGTTGTGAGCAATCTTTCGGTAGATCATTAGACAAGTTCCCTACCTGGCTCGTTAACGACGAAAAGTGATCGGTCGGCTCCACGTTCAATCGAAATTGCCCCCATTTTGACTCGAATCGCAACAACATATCGTGTGAGAGGTTCTGGGACAGGGTCCGAGAAGTTCTGAATGCTAGGCGTTGTTGAGGCGAAGAAACAACCGAAAGAGTCTCGGGGTGCAGGAGAATCAATAATATAGGGACGTGAGAATCGTGTGTGAGGGCGCGTTCCAGAGAACGAAACGGAAACAATTAGTTGTTTGGAGAACGAAGAGCAAGCAGGACCGCAGTCATGAGTGATGGGTGTGGTGTGCATACGAAGTACCGTGGTGTATATCCGTACCTTGAACAGCATAGCATTTCGTCGCCGCGCAGGCACTGGCTTATTGCGTCACTGACAAAGATAATCACCTTACCGTAACCAGAAGTCAGGAACTTTGCCCCAGCACGCAGCTCAGGCAGCCTTGCCACAGCCCTTTGGGAGAACACCATCAATCTTCTGCTGCAGCTCAGATCACTCCTATGTCTTGAAATCACTGATTAATACCTATTAACACGATAACAATCACACGTTTTTGCTAGGCCTATATCGACAAATTAGGTGTTCGAGTCCATAAACGCCTCCCACGTTGAACAACCGATCGCAATCAGACCTCCTGCCTAAGATGCCTTGTACAACTGACCAAGACGCTTCTCCAAAATTTGCCTACCCTCCGCTGACCTCCAGATCTCTTCCACAGGAGCTCCTTTGACAATATCCCAGGCGATCAGCTTCTCTGTAACCTTGGTCAGGTCTTCCTGTTTCCGCTCCCAGTCCTTATCGCGTTTGATATGGATTCCAGACGTAACAACCACCAAGGGAGTGCTTGGATCCTGTATGTTCCGTGCCGCTAGTACCTCATTCTTGGTGAAAGACTCAGCCACCAGGTTTTCTTGCAGTTTGTTTTTGATGAACTTGCCCCCTTGATAAGACGATCTGCCGAACACACGGTCCTCCTTGAGACGGCCTTTGAATAATGCACCAGCGAGTCGGTCTAAGCCAAGGGGTGAAATGATGCCGCGTCCCCAAAGGACAAAACCCCGTCCAGGACTGGCAATCTTGTACAGAAGATCCTCGTGGAGACCGTCGATGAGCATCATACCTTTGATGTCCCGTGGATGTCTCGCCGAGAAAACACGACTGTATACTCCGCCCACGCCAGCCGAGACAAGGATCCATGGACCTTCTTCCCCTGCAATTGCCAATGCTTCGGAGATGGCATCGGCAGACATTCCAGCCGAGTGAGGTGATGGGGCGTTATCGGACCAAGCCAACCCAGGTCGATCCCAATAGCAATAACGGTCAATTGTGCCATTGACGTAGGCATCATAGACCCATCCCTCGAAGGTATACTCGACAGGCATATAGCCTCCTTCCAAAAGGACTGTGGGATTGGGGTTTCCATCTTTGTCATAGGTTTGGTTGCCGACACAGGCAAAATGCACGGCATACTTGTCTCCATCCACCAAATAGCGCTTTCCTGGGGATTTCAGCGTGGCGTCTCGTGAACGCAATACCAACGTCGCAGTCAGAAGTACAGTGATGATGACGAAGATGACCATGATGAAGGTAGCAGTGAAGACAGCACACCATTCTCGCAGCGAGCGTCGGGTTTCCTGGCGACCAGTGAGGCGTTGTTCCTCTTCGGCCTTGCCCCATTTCACGGTTCTGTTGGTGATGACGTTGTACGCTCCGATCAAAACAGCCCACACAACGGACGCGATGCCGATCCAGCCTTCCTCGACTCTTATTTGAGGCACTGCTAAGATGATAATCATATCAATCAGCAAGAGAACAGAGATTGCCATCTGGAGGATGCTCATTGCGGCGGACGGTGTCGCAAAGAACAACAGGGCCGTCAAGATATTGCCGACGGTGAGAGTTGTGTAGGCGACATCAAAGAATCCCGAGCCTCTTGAATGCATGCCTGGCGGACTGATGAAAATCGAGACGAACAGTAGAACCCACCAGAGGCAGGTTACGATCAAGAAGAGAACCTCGAACCATCGCAGCGCTCGAACGCTCCATAGATTGTACGGAGACACCTGGAAATCGATCAGCCAGCGCTCAGGGATTGAAGATTGAATAGCAACGTTACCGCAGGGTCGTCAGGACTCAGGTAGCCAACGCCATGTTCGTGCCGAGGCAACAACCTCGTTCGTTCATTGGCCTCTTCTGAGAGTCTACTTGGTTGGCTATGCGAAGACGTGGCTCTTCGCCCTTGTTCCTCCCGCTCTTCATCGTCGAGTTGTTGCTGTTCACCGTCCTTCTTGCTGCCCCAGAGCGACACCATAATGGGCTACCTGGCTTGGATTGGGAACGTACACAGGTACAATATGCGGAGGATGTAGTTAGAGGGAGGAAGAGGTACCCGGGATACGACCCGCAATACGACACCTTCAAAAGAGGACGGGTCGACAGCTGAGGATTGATCTCGAGTGGTGATGAACGTACAGAGTTCTTGGAAAGTCATCCAGAGTGAATGACCAGAATATGAAGGCAGGTCGGAAGCTGGTCCCAGCGCAGGTAGTCGGTCGCATAGAGTTATTCCGACGACGTCATGATCGAACTTTGAGGCAAGCGCAGGGCCCAGACGCCACCAGACATGCCTTATCGTTTGACATTCGCCTCAGTTAAGGCTCCCGGTCTCAGCTTCGTCCTGCAGTAGTCAGCTTTGAGCAACGGTGGTCAGTGGCTCTCTCTCCGGAGTGAGGTGGTGTCGAAGTGTCCGTCTGTCGTTTTGTGCTGAGCAGACCTCGCTAGGCTCTCACTTAGGCTAGTGAGGCTGGTCCCCGCGCTATAATCCATCGAACACCTAAGATCGCCCGCTAAGCGTCGCCTAGCTTGCTCCGTGGAGGGATCCCTTTCTACTTTTTAGTTTTAGTCCAACCACTAACTAACTACCGTGCCCTTCTATCTAACGTAAGGTAGGGTCGGCGGCCTGTAGTGTGTAGCTATGAGGAGGGTCAGACAGAGGGGGCTGTAGAACGTAATCGTGTGCTCTTATACTCCTGTGCCTACCTAGGTACCTTTCCTGGCCTCTCTTGTTGGCCGGCAGCTCACGCATCACCAGACACCGCCACACTTTGGATCGCTGCTCCGGGCGGACATTTGAGCCACAGCAGCCGCAGAAGTGCTTTCGGGTTGGACGCCCGTCACCTGAGGCCGGGTACCTTAGTCATCGTACTTGTTCTTGCCCGCCCTCCTACTCCCTACACAGCCTTGTCCCGGCCTTTTGTTCCCTCTACAGTACCACTCCCGGCGTGCCCGTTATGAGTGATCTCCAGCGGGCATTTGCCCGCGCTCATCTATCTCGTTTACCGCCCGAGCCTCCTCCTCCCATTCTCGACGAGCGTGACGAAGAGCAAGAGGATCAGCCCCTCCACACTCCGGGGTCTCCGAACGACTCGTCATCGTCGGCATCGTCAACCTCCTCGACCGGCACCATAGTCCCCTCCCCCAGCCGAAAACTATTTGAAAGACCAAGAGGGTAAGTTTGTACCTCATTGATTTTCCTCGACCGCTGTGTTTACTGACATCGAGGTCCTTCGAGGTCCGCAAAATCCCGCTCAACGGCTCTGCCGTGGGAAGACTTCTTCTCGCAATCACTGTCGTTTGAGCAAAAGACCCCCTCGGAGACGATCAACCACCACGTCTATTTCACGCCGCCGACATCCACCGGCCCTTTGATAGTTACACACCACGGCGCCGGTTCCTCCGGTCTGTCATTTGCCGCCTTCACAAATGAGCTCCTCAGTCTCCTCCCGAGTGCCGGAGTGCTCTCCCTTGACGCCCGCGGCCACGGTCAGACGACGACGACCACCTCATCCGGCGGGCCCCCGCCAACCCAGGATCTGAGCCTGACCACGCTTGCCGAGGACGTAGCCTTTGTCGTCAACGCCGTGAAGACGCTCTCAAAGTGGCCGAGCCTACCTGACATTGTCCTCATCGGCCACTCTCTGGGCGGGGCCGTGGTGACAGAAGTCGCCCACGAACGCCTCCTGGGCAATGCCCTGTTGGCATACGCCGTCCTCGATGTCGTCGAGGGCTCTGCCATGGACGCGCTGTCGAGTATGGACACGTACCTTTCGACACGGCCCAGGTCGTTCCCCTCTCTGGCGTCGGGCATTGAATGGCACCTCAAATCGCGTACGATACGAAATACGACATCCGCACGTGTTTCGGTCCCGTCGCTGCTCATCGAGGCCAAGACCAAAGACCTGTGGTTTTGGCGGACGGATTTGGGGGCCACGAAGCCCTTTTGGGAAGATTGGTTCGTTGGATTGTCCAAAAAGTTCCTCGAATCGCGCGGTGGAAAGCTCCTACTTCTTGCCGGCACTGATAGACTTGACAAGGAGTTGATGATCGGACAAATGCAAGGTGAGTAAGCTGCTGTCTGCGGGCCCCTGTCTCGCCGCCCCTTGTTCTCTAGAGCTGCTACGTTCGTCGTGCTGACCGTCACATCCATCCTTAGGCAAGTACCAACTACAGGTTTTCCCGGACAGTGGTCACTTCATCCAAGAGGATCAGCCCGCACGAACCGCGCAAATCGTGGCCGATTTTTATAGAAGAAATGATAGGAGCGCCCTTGTTCTGCCACCCAAGGTGGACGACCTCATTAAGCAAGGGAAACTCAAGCCTGCAGGCCAGAAGGAAGTATAGAGCACCACATTTCCAGCTAATTTGAATACGACAAATGAATGCTGGGCTCTTTGACAAGCTGAATGCCATCTGGAATTATTTCCTGCTCAACGGCTACTCTGTCTTACCTCCTCCGCTTCATGTTCTTGTTCTTGTTCTTCACTTTTCCAGCTGCTGTCTTACCTCCGACTCCTCCCCCTTTGTTTTTCTTCTTGCGCTCTCTCCGCTCCCTGATAGCGGCCTCTTCACTCCCCTTGCCTTTCTTCCACATTTTTCCATCCACCCTTTCCCTGTGCAAATCCAACTTCTTTTTGTCCTTGTTGCTCAGTTTCTTTCTCTCCGTCTTGACTTTGACCACGCCGTTGGGACCGTTCAATTCTAGCAGACCTCTCTTCTTGGCGTCAAGTTTGTCCTTCTCGCTCTCGAACCACGTTCTCTTTGGTCGCGCCATGATCTCGGCCTCATGTTTGATTCGATTCTCGCCCCTGGTAATCTCCGCCTCTGTCTGGGCAAGCTGCCTTTCTTCCTTCTCCTCGCGCAGGATATCTTCAATGTCCTTCTCCATTTCTTCAATTTGGCTCCTCATGGCATCAACCTCCTTCACGTCCATGATTCTCGAGACGACTTTCGCGCCTTGCTCCCTCGCACTCTTCACGGCAGCTTTTACGACTTTGCGATCCGGCTCCGCCGCGATTGTACACGACCGACCAGATCTGCCAGCACGGGCTGTGCGGCCTACTCTGTGCACGTAAATCTCGTGTGTCTGAGGTGCTTCGTAGTTCACCACAGTCATGACATTCTTGATATCAAGACCTCTACTCGCCAAGTCGGTGGCGAGGAGGTGCGTCGTCCGGCCTTCGCGGAAGGCGTTCACCGCGTTAATACGTTGGTCCTGCGTCATACTGCCGTGCAGTTCACCGGCCTTGATACCAAGAAGGCCGAATATAATCCGGACTCGATGCGCTTCCTTCTTCTGCCTGAAGAACACAATCACCCGCTCTGTGAAAGCATTCTTGCATAGTACGCACAAGGTCGCGAGACGCATGTTCTCGCGGCCGGGTCTCAAGCGTACAAATTCTTGCGTAAGTCCAGCGGTCGTACTCTTCTTCGCGTCCACAGAGAGTCGAACCGGCCTGTTCATGCCAACGCGCACAAGCTTGTCGACACTGTCCGTCATGGTTGCGGAGAAGAGCATTGTCTGCCTCGACTTGGGGATGGTCTTGAGGATCTCATTCAGTTCGTCTTCAAACCCGGTCTCAAGCATGCGGTCGGCTTCGTCGAGCACGAGGATCTCGATGTTTTCGACGGTGAAACTTGGCGAGTTACGCATGTGATCGATGAAACGGCCCGGTGTGGCAATGACAACGTCGGGCCGTTTCTTAAGGATATTTTCCTGTTCGCGAAGCGAGAAACCACCGACAACCTGAGCAAAGGTGATGTCCGTAAAGCGCGCCAGCGCCGTTGCGACATTGTAGCATTGTACTGCCAGCTCACGGGTGGGCATCAGGATGGCGACGCGGGTTGTGGGGACCTTTCGTGGACGATAGAGCAGTCGTTCCAGGATGGGAAGCAGGAATGCTGCTGTTTTGCCGGAACCTGTGACGGCTGAACCGACCACATCGAGGCCTTGAAGCGCGACCGGCACCGCACGGGTCTGAATTGGTGTGGGCGCCGTGAAGGACAACGAAGCCAATCCTCGTAAAATGGGGCGAGAGAGGGAGAATTGTTGGAACGAAGACACAGATTTGAGGTCGGCTTGCTTCACCTTCTCCTCCGGAGCAAAGAATGCTGCTCGTTTGGCCTGTTCTTCAGCATCTGCGGAAGCCTGCGACTCGGCGTCTGAGTCCTCATGGTCAGAGGCCAAGTCGTCTGGATGGGCGACAGGCGAGGCAACCGAGTCATTGTCAGATGCATCATCGCCAGACTCGTCATCAGTGCTTGAGCTTTGCTCGTCGTCTTCAGACACTGCCCCTGCGCCAAAGGTGTCGTCTGCCACTAGTTCATCGTCTTCGAAGTCTGGAATTTGGATGTCATCTTCATCTTCCTCTGTTTCGTCTTCTTCCTCGCTTGTACTCTCGGCTTCTCCTACGCTATCGGCCTTGGGTTTTTGCTGCTTCTTGACAGACCGACGTGCAATGAGCTCATCGATGTCCACTCCCTTTTGACTTCCTCGACCGTTGACTTTGCTGCCTTCTCCCCAGCCGTCGAACTCTTCGAGCTCTTCTTGAACAGGATTGGCGGCGACGTCGAACTCGAACTCGGAGTCTATGGCGCCATCATCAACACCATGGTCCTCGTCACTTTCTGACTCAGGTGGAGACGATGCAAGTGGTTGTTTGGCCTTCCCTTGTGTTTTCTGCCTCTTTGACTTGCCGCCATTTTTGACTTCGTTGCGCTTGCGTTTTAAATTGGGGGCTGCGGCGTCAGACTCGGACTCGATCGAGGCTGCATCGTCATTGTCAGAGAGTGTCAAGACAAACTCATCCTCTTCTCTTGAGCGAACCATGGTCGTCTTGGATATGATCATTGGCCGACTGAAGCGTCAATTCGGCAAAGCAGAATATTTTTCTTGTCGTTCGGCATGACTTCGGCTGACTGCAGATCTTCCGAAAGGAGCAAGGTTCTCGAAGGGCTCACTGGCCAAGGGTGGCTCGGGCTCGGGCTCTGCGATCACCTTTCTTCTTCTGACCCTTGTCTACGACTTACTCAGAGAGTTACCCTGCTATGCCCCAGCTACCGAGTGTGACAGTCCAAGTTTCAGACATCTCCCAACGGATTTAGAATGGAACTCCAGAATCGCCCGAGCGCTGGAGTGTTACAGATTATGCATGTATCCAGCGCGTTCATGATCACCGCTATGCCAAAGGACGCGGGATTTCCCTATTGGAAATGGCGGCCAGGATATCGACCGCATACCCATGCAATTATGCCTGTCAAGCAGAATGTCTTCCATTGTGAGTATTGTACACCATATCTGGCCAGGCGCTGCTAGCTTGTCGTATCATGATTCATTCATGTGCTCCACCTGGGACATCGTGTTCATCACGACAAACGAGCAGGAACTTGGTCAATGATACAATGTACGTCCATATCCTCGATGCAACCAAGGGTCGGCGCGTTTACCGTGCCGCGCATGTCCAGTCCGACTTGATAGATGCCCGTGCTCTGGCCTCCTCGTGTAAGTCACGGAGCAACTGGCCACCTCAATCACCTTGACGGAGCTGCTTTCCTGCTGTCATGTCTTGAGATTGAGGAGTTCCCGATCTGAGGACGCTCGTCTCAACTTTTTGCTGATACGTAGAGGACCTCGATCGTCAAACCCTCCATGCGGCACAATCAGAGTCGGAGCCCACGGCGAAGGATCCGGATTCGGGTTAAAGAATATCTCAGCACTTGTGGAGTAATATCCATGCTTCGGTGCTGATAATAGATGGCAATGGGTTTACTCATCGGCAGAACAAAGTGGCCACATGAATGACAACCCAAATAGGCATTGCCGGGTGGTGCAGACTTCCTCAACTGACCTAGGTATGTATTGTATGTATTTATGCATGTGGATATTGCACTTTCATTTACGTAGCACGGCTTCACGTGTCCCCTCTAGAAGCACTTGTCGCCTTGTGTTCTGCCTTATTCAGCGTGGATTAGAATGCTCCTTGTAAAATTCGGTAATGGCAATTATGCTATTGGCACACACAATGTGTTTCCGAAGTATGGAAGCTCGTATGTCGACCAAGGTATCGCATGCAGAGTGTCTAGAAAATGACTAAGAGCACTGCATGGGGCCTAGAAGCAGCGCTCCTAGAGCGGTCAATCATGTCACCTTAGGAGCCGTTTCTGCCAGTTGCCAGTGGGATGCCGAGTTGTCGCAGAGAGCCAGGATCAGGGTCTGGTTTCGTTGCAAGTGGCTTGCAGTAGTTGCGTGGCAGAATCGTAATGGCAGATGCACTTGTTGTGACCGCCAGTCTACGCCATCGAATGCCTTTCGCTATCAACAGCCAGACCTGAAACTTCGAGGTGAACAATAAGTACAGTTACGGTCAAGCATGGAGAGCAGCGTGTGCTGATCACAGATGATCCTCACCATGCAGGAGCCGATCCTACAATCCAGAACATGTCCTCTTAGCAACCTCAAGCCAGGCTCCCAGCGGGTCAGACTGATGTGATGGGCTATGACTGTGTGGATTGTCCGGGTCCGAACGCGTAGCGGATGTAAAAAAAAATATACTCATAGGGGTTCTCCATTGCAACACATCGTACCTGCAAGCTGGCGGAGCATGACAAACAGGTCTTGATACGAGGCCAGTGATGACACGACACTTAGCAGAGACTCTCGTTCACCAGTGATCAAGGGCATGCTCAGTTGTCTGGAGGTTTTCTCGTTCAGCTCCACCATATGGCGGCCCGTCCGTGAGAAGATGGAGCCCGTAATCGTTGTGGCATCGGCTTTGTGTCTTTGGCCTGAGGCTTGCATGTCTACAGCAGAGAGGCATCCGCGTCCTCAATCTCACGCACAGGGTGAAGGGAGTCAAGCGAGGCAGGGCGTGTTGACCAATCCTCCGGACGATGCTCCCATCGGCGGCAGCCCACGTTTCTTTATCATACAGAGATCGTTATCAGCCCAACATCGGACATCCCACTTTTCCCACCAGAAAAGGCGAGGGCAGGCCAGACATCCCAATTCGACCAGCAACACCAGAAAAGGCGTAGACCTCGGATCGGGTATCCTTCTGCTCATCTGGAGTAAATCAGAAACATACACATGCCACAGACTTTGCGCTGCTCGATCGGAAAGGTTTATCAAGGATGCAGAGTGGATCGCCCTCATTGCGCACACCGCCGTCTGGTGGTGTCAGTCAACCCCCCAATTGTGTACAATCGCTTCGTTATTCCCGCGACCCGTCGACTTCAATCACGTCAGTTGGAAGATTGCTGGGAAAGGCCCCGGCTGCGCAGGGTCTGTAACATCACACATGCAAACAAAATGGCTGATGCTGAGGACGCCCGGAGCCTGCGGGCGTCTCTGGAATAGCGCTCCCATGTCCCGAGCCTAGCGACATCCAGCGAACTGCACCTGCATCCCACCAGCGTCCTCGTCCCTCCACTACGGTGGACGCCCTTGCATGCCAAACTGATTCGTTCTGCGCCGCTCGTCTTGTGCGACGGCTCTTTGTTGTCATCTCTTTTTTTCTCGTCCCATATTTATCCTGCCTACGTCCTCCTACATCTGACCGTTCCTTCTCAGCATGACTCCTTCAGAGGATACGCATACCAGTCATGGCGCCTCGCGATCAGAGCCCCATGCCTCCTCCACCAGTTCGTTGATCTTCAGAGTCTTGGTGTACAGCCTTGCTAACCATCGCAGCCTCCCAACTCTCCAGTGCTCAAACGCTTTCAGAACTGAAGGCGAAGATAAAAGCCGGATTGAAGCAGTACCCAGATTTTCCCAAAGTTGGTATATCCCGTCAAGACCTCGTCGTGAACTTGTACTGAAACTTTTCCTCCAGAAAGGAATACTATTCGAAGACATCTTTCCTCTTTTCTCCTCTCACTCGCTACATCAGGATCTCATCCGAGCCTACGAGCTACAAATCTTCGAGAGTTTTGGCCCTGCCAACAAACCAGATGTGATTGTCGGCCTTGATGCCAGAGGTTTCCTCTTTGGCCCGACATTAGCTCTAAAATTCGGGGCAGCATTTGTGCCGGTCAGGAAAGCGGGCAAGCTTCCTGGTCGACTCGAGACTGCTACCTATGAGAAGGAATATGGCACCGATACCTTTGCTATCCAAGCGGATGCCATACAACCTGGTCAAAAGGTCTTGATTGTGGATGACCTCATCGCAACCGGTGGTTCAGCCTCTGCAGCTGGTACTCTGGTCAACAAATGTGGCGGCACTTTAATCGGCTACATCTTCATCATTGAACTCACCTTCTTGGGCGGCCGAAACAAACTCAACGCCCCGGTATATACGCTAACCGAAAGCCAGTCTGAATGAGTGCCACCACGATCAGAATCGAAAGCTGTACGGCACGGATCCCTTCAACAGACGGAACTGCTGCCTAAGCTTCAAGATCGTTGTCTGGACTTTGTCGATATAGTCAATTTTTAACATCCAACCTTGACAAACGACGTCGAATTCGGAAGACTAGCAAAGTCATCGTCACTGAATTTGCAGTGCCTCGAAAGTTCTATGTAAGGACTTGATGATGGGCAGGCCCCAAGCAAAAGCACCGCGTCCTGCTTCGAACCCCTGTTTGATTCTTTTCAGCGTCGGTGGTTTCGCGATGATGGCGAACCAGGATAGCGTGATGATTCTTCAACCGTTCTTGTTATTGACTTGCAAATCTTTCCTACCAACCATGCAGCCTCTACAATGCAACTCGGCCCATTCTACATAATGTCTTTATATCGGAAATGTGCTTCCAGCCAGGGATCAAAACCCTGCAAACTCCCAGAGTTAGAGTCGTCAGATAGAGATAGACTTTGAATATCTTCATTGATGATTGATAACCCTTGGATGGTATTGGTACCTACCGTCGGACTGATACGTTCAAAAGTGTACCAAGTCAGTGACACAGGCACTGGTGAACTTCTGCTGCTGGCAGACATTACTTAACAGCAAGAATCAATACTCTATGCGGCGTATTGCGTTCGGAGCATCGCAGAAATCTGAAGTGCTTAAAACGGTTCGGCGATCTTGATCCCCACATGCGCCCGGCTGTTCCATGGCAGTTTCACATTTAACGCTGGCTTCAACGGGTGTGCGAACATTCATCAAAAGATCACCACCTTGCACACTTCTGCATGTCACTCGCTTAGTTTGTGCTATTATACGAACAGCCTGGACCTGACGTCCTCCGCCCCCTGCAGCTACTATCTATCGCCAGTCCGTGCTTGCAACCCCTGCACACGAGCGCTCAATGATCCCGAAGCACTACCGAAATGGCCGGCGTCAATCATGAGCTGGAAGACGCTCTGCGCAAGCTAGACGAGGAACTTGAAGAAGGGGACATCACCAGGAAAGGATACGAAAAGAGACGCACTCTTATTCTCTCACAGTACATCAGCCCTGCACCGGGTCCATCACAGTCAAGGGGGCTTCGCGTACATTCGCCTGATGATAGTGACCATCCCGCCTCGAACGATGCCTCTAGAGCAGCCTCCCTTGCAGCACTAACCGGGCGATCTGTGGGCGGACATTCACGAAATGGCACACTGACAGAAATCTATCCCACCGGCGGTCGGCGAGCCTCACTGGTCAAGGATGAATATATGAACGATACCAGACGGAGTTCCACAGCCCAGAGCCATGTGCAAAGATTTCAAGAGCGGGAAGCAGGGCCGGCCTCGCATGGATCTCTGTCAGGCTCATCATTTGATCATCGCAATGACACCTTCCTGACTGCGAACAACGACTTCTCCCGAACACAGACTCTTTTAAGCCAAAACTATGCGTTCAATCCTGAGACTCAACAGACGTATGGAGGTACCGACACACGAAGTTCCACGATGCTCGACTCGCAACAGGGATACTTTTCTGATTTTGCTGGACAACAAAGAGAAGACCAACAGGAGAATTACGGCGGAAAAGTACAGCGGTACTCTCAAAGCGAGGTCACATCGCCTACAGCGCAAATCGCGCCGCCGTTCTTGGGTGCTGGCGAGCTCACGGGAGGAGCAGCAATACATCAGATGCCATTAGAGCCTCGGGAAGTTCCTTTCGCCATCTGCGACCCCCACGACACACATATAGAGATGTCTGTTTTCGACAACATCGCTGCCGTACTCCGTCACCGAGCAAAGACAACCTCTAAACAGGCCGCATACTGGGTGCTCGATCAGAAAGGCAAAGAGATTGTCTCAATTACTTGGGAAAAGCTCTGCAGCCGTGCAGAAAAGGTTGCCCAGGTCATCAGGGATAAGAGTAGCCTATACAAGGGCGATCGCGTTGCGCTAATCTACACCGAGAACGAGATTATCGAATTCGCCGTGGCTCTGCTTGGTTGTTTCATAGCCGGCGTAGTGGCTGTACCGATCAACGATCTGAAGAATTATGCTCGACTGAACGTCGTGTTGACGTCTACCCAAGCACATCTTGCCTTGACGACCGAAGCAAACCTGAAAAATTTCCAGCGAGACATTACTGCTGCGAAGCAAAATTGGCCCCGAGGCGTGGAGTGGTGGAAGACTAACGAGTTTGGTAGCTATCATCCCAAGAAGAAGGGAGATGAGCCACCACTCGTGGTCCCTGATCTCGCGTACATTGAATTCTCGACCGCCCCTACTGGAGATCTCCGAGGTGTTGTCATGAGCCACAAGACCATCATGCATCAAATGGCCACACTCAGCGCAATGATTACTTCGGCGACAAGTAACACCAGAGCTGATACTTTTAATCCAGCCTTGCGCGACAAGCAGGGCCACTTGATCACCGGTTCGAGACGTGGTGAGACTATACTTAGCTATCTGGACCCGAGGCAAAGCATCGGCATGATCCTCGGGGTATTGTTCAACATCTATGGCGGTCATACAGTAATTTACATCGATCAACGGACGATTGAGACTGCTGGCCTTTATGCCCATCTCATCACCAAACACAAGACAACCCTTCTTGTCGCAGATTATCCAGGTCTGAAGCGCGCCGTCTACAACTATCAAGCGGATCCTATGACGACCAGAAATTACAAACGCGGGTCCGAGCCAAATTTCAGCAGTGTCAAGCTGTGTATGATCGATACGTTGACGGTGGATGCCGAATTTCATGAGCTTCTAGCCGACCGCTGGCTGAAACCGCTGCGCAACCCTCGAGCCCGAGAGATCGTTGCCCCGATGCTGTGCCTGCCGGAACATGGTGGTATGGTGATCAGTATGCGTGATTGGCTGGGTGGCGAGGAGAGAATGGGCTGCTCGTTGAGTCATGAAATGGACCGTGAGCAAGAAGTTGAAGCGAAGAAAGAGGATGACACCGCCGCCAACAAGCCAGGTTTTGGCAGTAGTTTGATTGGTGGCGGATCGACTAGGCCGACTACACAACAGCGTTCAACGGAAGACCTGGGTGAAGTGTTACTTGACAAGGAAGCCTTGAAGACCAACGATATCGTTGTCCTTGCAATGGGGTCCGAGGCACGCGCCAAAGCGAGCTCTTATCCGAATGCCGTCCGATGCGGAGCTTTTGGTTATCCCATACCAGATGCCACCTTGGCGGTCGTTGATCCTGAATCTGGCTTACTGTGCACCCCAAATTCGATAGGAGAAATCTGGGTTGATTCACCCTCACTGTCCGGTGGGTTTTGGGCCCTTCCCAAGCACACTGAGACCATTTTTCATGCTCGGCCCTACTGTTTCAAGGAAGGAAATCCAACACCGACTGCCATAGATCCCGAGTTTCTGCGAACTGGCCTCCTTGGCTGTGTTATAGAGGGCAAAATCTATGTTCTTGGGCTGTACGAAGACCGCTTGAGACAGAGAGTTGAATGGGTGGAGCACGGTCTTGCTGTGCAGGAACACCGCTATTTCTTTGTCCAACACCTCATCCTCAGCATCATGAAGAATGTCCCCAAGATCCACGACTGTTCCGCGTTTGACTGTTTTGTCAACGACGAGCACCTTCCGATAATTCTCCTCGAGTCGCCATCGGCCTCAACTGCCCCGATATCGTCGGGCGGCCCCCCTCGACAGCTAGACATTGCACTCCTTGACTCCTTGGCCGAGCGGACCATGGAAGTTCTCTACCAAGAACACCACCTCAGAGTATATTGCGTTCTTATCACCGCACCAGGAATTCTACCTAGGGTCACGAAAAATGGTCGACGTGAGATTGGCAATATGCTTTGTCGGAAAGAGTTCGACAATGGTTCACTGCCTTGTGTCCATGTCAAATTTGGTGTAGAACGAGCGGTCCAGAATCTGCCCTGTGGAGAAGATATCAGCGGCGGGATCTGGTCTGCAACGTCGAGTGGCGTGAGGATGGATCTTCTGTACGAGCAAGAGACACAATGGTCCGGAGTCGACCCACGAGAAGTTGTTATTGACGATCGCACCTCCACTTCGCTGAGCAATTTCACAAACATCTTCGACTTGATGCAGTGGCGCGTCGCGAGGCAGGCAGACGAACTCGCATACTGCACAATAGATGGGCGAGGAAAAGAGGGCAAGGGCCTCACATGGAAGAAGTTCGACCAGCGAGTGGCTGCTGTTGCGTTGTACCTACGGAACAAGATCAAGATCAAGCCCAGCGATCATGTCATCTTGATGTATACTCACTCTGAGGATTACGTCTTCGCCATCTATGCTTGCATGGTTCTTGGCGCCATTGCAATCCCAATCGCACCGCTGGACGCGAATCGACTCTCCGAAGATGCTCCAGCGTATCTGCACATTGTCGCTGACATGCGTGTAAAGGCTGTTCTCTGCAACACTGAGGTGGATCATCTCTTCAAGCAGAAACTCGTATCGCAGCACCTCAAGCAGTCCGCCCAGTATCTCAAGACACATATTCCGAATGTCTACAATACTACCAAGCCGTCGAAGCAATCGCATGGCTGTAGGGAGCTGGGCCTTACGATGAACCGATCCTGGGTATCGCCTTCGAATCCGGTCCTAATCTGGACCTATTGGACGCCCGACCAACGCCGAGTGTCTGTACAGCTAGGACACGACACAATTCTTGGTATGTGTAAGGTGCAAAAAGAAACTTGCCAAATGACAAGCTCCAAACCTGTGCTGGCTTGCGTCAGGAGTACAATTGGCATTGGCTTTCTACATACGGTGACTTTGGGTGTTTACAACGGCAGCACCACGTATTTGATGTCACCTCTAGACTTTGCACAAAATCCTGGAGCACTATTCCTGGCCTTGGCCCGGTACAAGGTGAAGGACTCCTATGCGACAACTCAGATGTTGGATTTTGCTATGGCCAATGTTGTTGGCAAAGGCTTCCCCTTGCACGAGCTAAAGAATCTGATGGTCATTGCCGAAAGTCGACCACGGCTGGACCTCTTCTCTAAAGCAAGAGTGCATTTCGCACAAACAGGCCTTGAAAGAACTGCCATCAACACCATATATGCTCATCACCTCAATCCCATGATCGCCTCGCGCAGCTACATGTCGATAGAGCCGATTGAGCTCTGGCTGGACGTTCGCGCCCTCAGGAGGGGCTTAGTATATCCGGTCGATCCAGATACGGATCCAACCGCGCTATGCGTCCAAGACTCTGGAATGGTGCCTGTGGCCACTCGCATAGCCATCGTTAACCCCGAAACTTGTCAGCTCTGCCACGTTGGCGAGTTTGGTGAGATTTGGATACAATCCGAAGCATGTGCCAAGTCTTTCTACATGTCCAAGCAACTCTTCGACGAGGAGAGGTTCAACGGCCATATTGTCGGGGGCGATGCCACTCAGACGTACGTGCGAACAGGTGATCTTGGTTTTCTTCACAACGTTACGAGGCCTATTGGGCCGGGGAATCAGCCTGTGGAAATGCAGATACTGTTCGTGCTTGGAAGTATTGGAGAGACGTTTGAGGTCAATGGCCTCAACCACTTTCCCATTGACATCGAAAACAGCATCGAGAGGTGTCACCGGAATATCACCCCCGGGGGGTGTGCGGTGTTCCAGGCTGGCGGATTGGTTGTGGTCCTCGTCGAAGTCTTCCGCAAAGCCTATCTTGCTTCCATCGTACCAGTCATTGTGAATGCCGCTCTCCATGAGCATCAGATCGTGGTTGACATTGTTGCTTTCGTTGGCCAAGGCGACTTCCCACGGAGCAGACTTTCCGAAAAACAAAGAGGAAAGATTCTGGCCTCTTGGGTGACTCGCAAGCTGCGAACCATTGCTCAGTTCGGCATCCGCGATCCAGACGGTCCCGATGGTCATTTCCAGATACCAGCCGACCGCAAATCGACCAGCATTGTGGCCAAAACCCCAAGTCAAGCAGGCCAAGCGCGAGCCTCAGTCGCATCAGAGTCGCAGAACAGCATCCAACAGGAGCCCGGCGGTGGTACCAGGCGGTCTAGTAGCGTTCCAGAGCTACCTTTCTCCCTGCCGCCCAACCACTATCAAATCGACCCGACGGGGCTCTACGAGGACGCTGCAACGCCAACAGAAAAACAGGCGGGTGTGTCTCTCACAGACAGGCCTTATACCCTTCCCGAGGGCGTGGTCGAAATGCCAACCTCGAACTTTGACGACGATGATGATCAAAACAACCCGTACCTGACTGACGAAAAGTTCTTCGATCCCAACGCAGATCCAGACGACTTGGACAGGCAATTTGGAACCTACTCAGGTTCGAGTTCGCAGCTGGATATTGACCAAAGTGGTCCGCCACGACTCTCCCTTGTCAATCCTGACGAGTACCAGCCTAATGAAAGTACGGAAAATACTCCCACAAGCTATACAGCCACTGCAACGCCAACTTCGGCGATACCCCGCTCTTCTAGCGCACTACGCATCGAAAGTGATGCTGAAAGCCCCTATGAGGACCAGGGAAACCCATTTCGAAATTCAATACCTGCTTCGGTACCGAGTTTCGACTTTATCACGTCGCCTGGGCCTAAAAGCCCGGCTCGGGAACAAATGGCTAGTGCGTCGGCTGCTTACAACCAAGCCAGAGGAGCAGCGACCGGCCGTTCGATGCTCCCAAGCCAACAGGCTCGGTATCCACAGCCCGATGCGATGAGAACGCCAAGGCAGCCTCCTTACTATGGACAAGAGGCTCCACGAGAAGCACCGGGTCCTAGAGCCCCTTATGACAGGAAGCCGATAGGAGACTCACTCCGGCCTGACGAGAGACAGAGTGTGGACCTGAGTAGCATATCTGGAAGTATCAGAAGACGGTACGATGGCAGTGCATATGATGATTACGAGTATTAAAAAGAAAACGTCGCGACTTCCTTATGGAATTACCAGTATGAAAGCGATATACAGGTTTCGTAGTGTATGATGGATACGATAAACGAGTTGGAAGTGTATAAAAATGACAGTGTAGGAATGAACAATTGCACAGCAATGCCCGCCTTCTGCTCTGTTATTTTTGGTTTGCGTTTGGTACGGCTGTCACCTGCGGGAGAAGATTTTTGGAGGATTGCCGGTTCCCGCTTTAATGGCTACGTGTTGGAAATGTCACCGTCCTTTCTGGTACTGAAACTGAAGGTGAGTAATTCGATCAGGCCCTGGGGCCACTGAGGGTGATTTCATGGATTTTACAACTCAAAGCACAAAAAAGTGTTTGGTATAAGCTTTCGGCTTGCTTCCGGTCTCCACAGTAGGGTTTCTCGGCGAAACTTGGCCGGGGACTCCAACTCCGGAGACGCAAAGCTTCTATAAACTCCGAAATCCTGGGGATACTGGGCGTCTTTCTTCGACGCCTCCTATCGCCATCGCTCCATTGTTGACTGGTAAAACCCCTTACTAGCAGTTAAACCAAATTTTGGCAGTGAACCCCAGCCACACAAGTGGAAACCAACCATCCAGGCTTTATCGTACGCACACGTTACCCGCTAAACTGCTGAGACAAAATATTGCTCAAGCACTGAAGCCTCGCGCCGCGTTGGGGCATCTTCCTTTTCGCCACCACTTTGCCGCGGAGCCTCTGAGGGTGCAGTACTGCTGCCGTAGGGCTCAAGAAAATGGACGCATCTGTCCCTGACTCTAGGAGACGGTCGTCTCGGGCAGGAAGACACCACAAGGTCTCCGCCGCGTGCCTTCAATGCCGCACCAAGAAGATCAAGTGTGACGGCGAGCGCCCGAGTACGTCGCCAAGCTGGCTTTCTTTTCTCCGGCTGCGACGTCGATACACATACTAACGAGTCGCGATCAGTCTGCGGCCCTTGCCTCAAGAGACACGGCGACCAAGCGACGTGCACCTTGCGCCCAACCGCCGAGCAGGAACTTGCGCTCTTCCGCGAAAAGATCGCAGAGCTCGACGACAAAATTAGACAGCTCGAAAGCCGCGATGTTGGATCTTCGACACTCTCCGGCCCCGGCCCAGACGCGGAACAGGCCGTGCCGCCGCTGTCGGACGTCCAAAGCCGAGAGGTCTGGGAAGGCCTCCGTCGCGGGGAGGTGTCGCTCTCGTCAGGGTCGTATCGGGCTCCGGCAGACGTGGACCCCATGGTGGGCGCAAGTTCCAATAACTTTTCTAGCGACTCAATATTCTTTGGCAGTTCGAGCGCCAGCGGCTTCGTCCGGCAGGTGGAGGAAGCCTTCTATCCCGAAGGCGAGTCCCCGAACTCAGCTGCTGCCGGCGTCGACACGCATGGCCCGGCTGCGTCCCGTCATCCGTCTGCGCCGTCGGAAGACCTATCCACCCAAACACTCCAACTGCCGCACCAGTCCGCCGCCGACCACCTGTTGGGAATCTACTGGACGATCGTCGACCCTCTCTACCCGTTCCTTGACAAAGCCGAGACCCAGGCTCGGTGCGCACGTCTCTGGGCGGATGGACCGCCGCTCAACGTCACGCGGTCCTTCGTGTGTCAGATCAACATGATCTTCGCCATGACCAGCCAGCTCGACGAGCGGGTCCCACCGGGCGACAGGGCCGGGCACGCCGAGGTGTACCTCGACCGTGCTATGAGGCACCTGGTCTCCGAGCTGTGGGAGTCGGCGTCGCTGCAGTCCGTACAAAACTTCTTGATTCTGGCACAGTATCTCCAGAGCACCAACAAAGGCTACCAGTGTTGGATGGTGGTCGGACATGCCGTTCGAATGGCCCAAAATCTCGGTCTTCATCTCCGCGAGACCTCGGAAAAGATCCATTCGGCCCGGAAGCGCCAGTTGTACCGGAAAGTGTGGCATGGCTGCATATTAATGGACAGGATCGTTGCGCTGACATTTGGCCGGCCGACCGTGGTCAGCCTGAAAGATGCCTCTTGTGTCCCTCTGCCTCTCCCGGTGGACGACGAGTTCTTGCCCGAGGAATCGACGATGGAGCCACACTCCATTCCCAAGGGCCCGATGGTCGTCGAGTTCTACATTGAGACTTTGAAGTTGTACGCCATCCTAGACGAGATTCTCACAACCCTGTATGCCACGACCACGGCTGTGCCCCGAATTGCCAGTAACGAAAGCCAGTCATCTTCGCTGAGAGCAAGAAGAATGACAGCTCTCCTACAACTGGACCTCTCCCTGGCGTCCTGGCTCAAATCACTTCCGGATCATTTGAGGCCCGTACACACTCAGGCGTCTCTCAGCCCATTCTTTCGTCAGGGAATAGTACTCCATTCACGGTGAGTTGGCGTGGATCCAAATATCAGGTGTCCCTCCCCCCATCCATCCGGTACTCCGAGTTTGGACTGCTCGGCATATCTGGTCCTCACGAATTTCATCCATGATGTGTATTCGCTAATGTGGCTCACGCATGTATAGGTACCTTCACGTGCGCATTTTGCTCTTCCGGCCAATGCTGGCGCGGTTCATCACCGCTCGAAACGAAAGCAAGGTAGTCGAACAGCAGGCCGAGACAACGTTGTACGAAACCCTCACACACCGCGCGTCCGTATCCTGCGTCGAGACCGCCGTCCACGCCGTCGAGACGATTGAATCGCGGCTGCCCGAGTCTGACGGCGCCATCGGAGCTCTTCCGGCTTGGTGGTACAATGTTCTGTACGTGTATACGGCCGCCGTCGTCCTCTTAGCCGCGGCGGGGTGTGCCGAGCTGCATCTCCAAGTCCCTCGACGGCATATTTTGGCGTGCTGGGGAAAGGCACATCGTGTTTTGAGCAGCTACCTCGCCTATAGCCCCTCTGTCCAGAGAAGCATCACCGCGTTGGAAGTCTTGTTCTCTCGCATTGCCGCACAAAATCGGTTGTCCTTTCCCATGAGCAACTGGAAAAGCATGGATCACGGACCCGAGTTCGCTGAAGAGCTACCTGCAAGTCAAAATCTGGAACGAAATATGGACATGAGCGGGCTCCATGCCGATATGTTCTCCCATTCCACACCAAATGTTGATCCTACTGCATTTGCTTTCAACAGCACCAATTATTCTTCAGGTTTGTCATCTGAGCTGTGGATGAATGGTATCCCCGATGCTCGGCCGGATTCTGGGCACCAACACTTGTTCGCTCGCCCGGGGGACATGACTTGGTTTAGCGACCTGCAGTTCAACATGTAGCTAGCACAGCGTTTCGAATGCTCGCATGTATCCTTAATATCGGGTTTGGACTTCGGGTTTCGATCACACGCGCGTTTTCGGGGACAATCATGGGATCGTCCACCAGATGATTCCACGAATGTGCGGGACACTGACAGGCCATTGACTAACTCGCTTTCTCTATTAAGTACCTGCGAGGACGGGGCCCACGAGTGTCTGAGACTTTGTGATCGGCCTATATCACAGAGAGCTTCCATCATTCACGGACTAACGAATTCTACAGTGTCCCTACAGCTTGGTAAAGAAGACCAAAGTGGCACACGCCCCCAGTCACACCATCTCGACAAGGCGATGCCATGAATCAAGCGTGGCTGCTATGAGTCTCACAATCTCCATCTAAAGGATGGGTGGCGCCACTCAAGACTTTGGACTTGCTTCAGCGACAACCCCTCCAAATGCGTCTCCGTTTTTCTCTTCTCTCGAGATTTATTGTCGGCTCGCATCCAAAGCTCCAGCAAGATCGCGACAATTTGGATCACGCCCGCTGATGCCAAGTTCAATCCATTTCCGATCGGGTAGTTCGGCGCGTCAAAGGGCAAGTATGACCACGTTGAAATGAGACCACCAAAGTTGCCCAGGAGGATATTTGTACCAATGGCAGCGGAGCGAGCCGAGTCTGAGATAACATTTGCGGAGACCTGAGCCGGGCACAGAGGGCCGTATACGAACGCCCCGGCCGTGATCAGGAAAGTCGCGCCATATCGCACGTGGGCGTTCGTGGTGGCCAAGAAGATCGCGTAGCCAGCAATGATCGAGGGCGCCGAGATGATTAGGAAGACATTTCGACGGTCATAGTGCCACGACAGGAGCGGCCCGATGAGAATAAAGAAAGCGCCAACCACGTACGGTGGAACTGTGTGGAGTTGCTGTGACACGACGGAGTTTTCAGGGTAAATCGTCTTGATGATCGTGGGCGCGAAAAACCCAAGGCCTTGCACAGTGATGTTGTTCAGCAAGAAGATGAATCCCGTCATTAGGGTAACGGGGCATAACATTCCTCGACGGGCTTTTGCAATATCGAATTTGTCGAGAACTTCGGAGGTTGCGATACGTTCGGATCGGATCCGGGCAACCGCGAGCTCTTTTTCTTCTTGAGTCAGCCACCGAGCGGTGGCTGGACGATCGGTCAGGGTGAAGAAGGAGACGATTCCCAGACTGCTGGTAATGATGCCTTCCACGGCAAATATCATCCGCCAGCCGTGGAGACTGCCAAAGTGGTCCAGCTTCAGAATGGCCGATGCAAGAAGGCCTCCGAATGCGCCCGCGAGGGGAGCCATGACGATGTACAGCGAGAGGCGAAACGCCAGCTCGCTTCGTCGATACCAACTAAAGGCAGAGGGACGTTAGATAACACGGAAAATGGCCCTGACGGCAAGCATACCGAGATAGGTAGTACGCGATTCCCGGCAACAGCCCAGATTCAAAAACTCCCAGGAGAAATCTCACTGCACACGCGGCGGACTTATTCTGGACGAAGGCGGTGCCGAGGGAGCATATGCCAAATCCTACCGAGGCTGCGGGAATAAACCACCCGGGTCCGCAGAACTTGCAGGCAAAGGTGCTCGGGAGCTCGAAGAGGATGTAAGAGATGTAGAAGCACGACAGCACGACGTTATAGTCGTATCCCGCCAGGCCCAGGTCTTTTTCGAGCCCGGCAAGCCTAGCGTTTCCTGTGCCACGTTAGAATTACCACGTGGACAATGCACGTCAACGTTCACCACTCACCAATGTTTGCTCGGTCGATAAAGCAGAACAGGTACAGGAGGGAGACCGTCGGGACCACACACAAGTCGATTTTCAGGCGCAGTTTGGCCTCAGCCTTGGGATCCAGTGGAAGGTGAGGGAGCCCCTGCCTACAACAGGTCAGCTGTGGTAGAGCAAATGCAAAGGAGCCTGGGGAAACATGCTCGTCAGTCGCCTTCGGGCTCCTGTCAGAGGAGCCATAGAAGTTCTCCTCGTGCCGCACAGTCTCTTTTGTGTCGATCGGCTTGTGGCAGTCTACGACTTCGGGCGCGGTCATTGGAGCGTTGGTGTTCATGATTTGTGAGAATTGTACCGAGAGCGAATGATGAGACAAGGCGAGGCCGGAGGAAGGGGGCTCGTTTATACCCTCAACACCGTTGAGACGGGTTGGATAAACCTCCAAGCGGGTGCTGTTGCGGCTCTGGTCGGAGCCGGATCCAACCCGTGGATTATCAGCCTCGAAGTTCGAATCATCCCTGAAATTGCCTGCAGAATTCAGGCGAGCCTGGATGGAAAGCCGGGCAACATTACATTGGCGCACAGAATTACAATGCTGTATCCCAAAGATCTGGCCATACGGAAGCCTCCCAGGACGGGTCCCGGGACGCCTCCGAACCTGTTCAGCTGGCATATGATCGACACGAGGCGATCCCTCCCCAGACTCTGACCATGCCTGATCCAGAGGGTCCAAGCGCCCTAGCACCCCCTTCCTCCCCTTATCCCCAGACGAGGGGGCCAGTACTCAGTCGAGAGCCAGCTTAGTCACTGCTCGATCACTCCCTTCACCTCGGATCACTTGTTGCCCATCACCTACGTTCTGGCGCGGACATGGTCCTACGGTATGGCCATCGATTGATTCAGGGTTGGTCAGCTCCTCATCTGCGTCCATCCAGGCAGTACTTGACGGGCTGAGGAACACGCGGCTTCTCATAACCGCGCAGCTGAGACTTCAGCGACTTCCTGCATCCTGCCCCGCGCTCTCCTTGGGTTTGAGAGGTCCAATGCTTACAGTACCACGAGATCCGCGTATCATACTTTTGAACACGGCGTACGACTGATGTTCACATTTTGCTACCATGACTTTGGTCTCTGCGCCGATCGAGTCCGAAGTTGTAGCTGATCCAACGGCTTCCTAGTACCTGTTGATATATTTTGGTCTAGTTGGTGGCTATCAAGTTCAATGACTTTTCGCTGTCAGAATTCAGGATTACAGCCTGCTAGCCACTCTTTCGCCTGCCAATAAAGTAGATCGTGCATTCTGGCGGCCTCGTGGGACCCTCCGTGCGTCCTTCTCTCTCTGTTGTGACCTGGGAGGCCAGTGTCGACCGGGAGCCCCATCAACTTTTGCTGGCAGTAGGCCAAATAGCGATAGCCAGAAGGAAACCTGTCGAGGAGACACTGGTCAAGCTCAGGCACCCGCCTGGGGTCCACCGGGATGAGCTTGTCCTTCTCGTACCAGTGACGCACAAATTTCGCCTTCCACTCCGGCAGATGTGTGACACGGCTCTCGACCTTGTCCCAGAAGAAGAGGAAACGGCAATCGACTTCGGCGTCGACCTCACAGCCATCCAGAACGAAGCGCTGGGTGATGGTCGCCTTCATCTTGGTCACCGCCCGAGTTGCGGTTTCGTTGATGTCGGTACTCAGGCCGTGGCAGCGGTGCATGATGAAAATGCCTTCGTCCATTCCCGCCTTTGACGCTGCAATGAAATCTTCGTAATGCACCTTGCCTGACCACGTCGTGCACACGTGGGCGTCCCTGTCGAAGATGGATTCGAAATTTTCCCATTCGCAGGCGTCACTGCTAACGCATTCAGCGTGTGACACCCGGAAAGAGGCTGGCGCGAGGGGTCTCACCGATACATTGGCCATCCTTCGGCGAGTTCCCGGAGTCTGTATCTTTCGAGCAAGTGCGAATCCGGGCCGCTGTTGCGGACAACATTTTCAGGCCGGGATCCGACAGGGAGGCTGTGAAGGTCTGACTGCATACTCCGGTGCGACTTAGCAATCCCAAACTGGGCAGCTCGTCTCAATAGGGGTCGGTAAGGGAACCGTTTGGCGTGCACGAGTAGCGGTGCAGTATACGAAGCCTTTATAGCCATCAGCTGCACGCTGCAAGATCCGGATCGAGTTAAGGAAGATGGAAAAGGGGGGCGGTCTCGGGGTCGGTACCGGGGTTGATTCAGCCTCGACGACTCTAGGCTGCGAAAAATGTTCAGCCATTCCTTACGGGATGCCTCCGAGGAATGTGGAAGTCTTTCCGGAATTTGTTTTCTTCTTTCCTCGGCCAATAACACCCTTCATCCTCGCTCCTGGTCGACAGCTACTAGCACTTTATTCGCTTTCAGGTTCAACTCTTCTGATCAAACCCTCGTCGGAAACCCATGTGAATTCGCCATACATAAGCTGCCATCATACGTACCTCTTAATCCACAAACTCTCTGAGCCTCGGGAAAAGTAGGACTCTAGATAGTCTTCGCGGTGTACACACAATGCAAAAGACAGTAAGTAGGGTGTAGGACGGCGCGAGAAAATTTCCATGAGTCTCCTTCACCTGACATCAAATCATTACAGATCCGTCCCAAAATCACAAAAGGAAATACCCCGAGTATCAAGCCCCGACTTCTCGCAGACACTAGACTGATTAGAAAGGCCAGTATTTTCGTGGTTACAGCTTTTGATGAATATTGCTGACGAAGATACGGTCATTAAGTATGTTGTAACTAAGAGGGAACGGGACTTGGTTTTCGAGGATGCGGTGCCGCCCTTGTTTACCCCGGGGGGCCGCGCGAGCAGCGAAGCCCCCCGCTCCCTCAACACCCAAACTAAGTTAAGTGGAGATGAGGATGTCGAAGAAGTGTCCAACGACGACTGGCCCACAGTCGAGAGAGTCCTCTTTTGTGTTTTAAGCGATGAACGAGCGGGGTTGAGAGTCTGATGTTTGTCGTCTTCGGCTCTTCCATCTCCATCCCATCTCCATCTCCATCTCCAACTTGATACTGGGAGACTGAGTGACTGACGGGACGAGCACCTCGTATGTGCCTACTACTTGGCAGGTAGGTAGCTGTAGTTCCTATATCTAGTGACGAGAAGGTAGTATCCGTACTCCATTTACACTAGAACTTCTCCTCGGTATGCCGAGCACTCGTCGTTGTAGAGACAGAGACAGAGCACGGGGTACAAAAGTACGTACCGAGTACCAGCGAGTACATGTACAGCTACAGCTACAAGATTCCCGTCAACCGAACCAAACGACGGACTGACTGACTCACTCGTTTATTGACTCGGTTACTCCGTACTCGTACAATTAATTCTCTTATTATACTGCCTTGCCTGACCTACCCATTTCCCTACCCCTCCGCTCTGAGCTTTTCCTGTGACTACGACTTGCGAGTACTGACTGGAGTAGCATCCCCTTCGACGTCGACCAAGTTCAACCAGCAACACCACTAAGCAGAGCTCAAAAACACCACCGTCATGCCTCCAGCTACAATGCGTGCAGTTGTTCTCAAGGGGGATTTCGAGGTATGTTTTGGATCTGAATGTCCCCTTACGCCCGGCATAATACAGTTCACGTTCATGTTCATGTTTTGGGGTACATCCTGACACTCACACTCACACTCCATCACGCCTTTTGATGCTCATGCAATTTAATTAAATAGGTCGCCGTCGAAGACCGTCCGTATCCAAAACTTCAAAATCCAACCGACGCCATTCTCAAAGTCACATCGACTGCACTTTGCGTAAGTCACCCCTGATCCCTCACAAGGGGTTGTTCTTGTTCCTGAAAACAAGAACTTCTTCTATTTACTTCAGAGATCACAAACCAACCCTCTTGAGTGCAAACAACGTACCGCCCAAATACAATAATCATAACAATCAAACTTTTCAATAGACTCACCTTCCCCAACTAGGGCTCCGACCTACACTTCTACCGCGGCCATCTCAAGTGTCCACCAAACTTCATCTGCGGCCATGAATTCGTCGGCAACATCGTCGAAAAGGGCGACCAGGTCACCAACTTTGCCGTGGGAGATCAGGTCGTCGTCCCCTTTTACACCGCGTGCCAGGAGTGCTACTACTGCGTCCGGGGCCAGGCGAGCCGCTGTTCCAAGGGCGAGTTGTTCGGGAACAGTGTGCCCGCCAACACCATCGATGGCGGCCAGGCAGAGTACGTGCGGGTACCGTTGGCGAACAGCACACTCTTCAAGACCCCCAAAGGTACGGTCGACTGTGGAAAAAGGAGTGCAGTCAATCTTTTTTGTCCTTCATGTTTTCACCTCTCTCTCTCTCCCTCCCTCTCTCTCTCTCTCCGCATAAACACGGCATTTCTTTTCTTCTTATCCTTTCTCTCCGCTCAACACCAAAAACAGGAATCCCCGAGGAGATGCTCGTGCTGATGGCCGACATCTTCCCGACGGGCTACTTTGCCGCTTCGCGCTTCCTCAAGAACCTCCCGCAGCGCGACCGCGACGAGTACACCACGGTCGTCATCGGGTGCGGGCCCGTGGGCATCTGCGCCATCACGTGCGCCCTGACCATGGTCAAGACGGTGTACGCCATCGACACGGTCCCCGACCGGCTGGAGGAGGCGAGGAAGATCGGCGCCATCCCGATCGACCTCAACGACGGGCCCGTCGACAAGATCAAGGCGGCCAGCGGGGGCCGCGGCGCCGACGTCGTGCTCGAGGTCGTCGGCCACGCGGACGCCTTCATGCTGGCCTTCGACCTGGTCCGGCCGTGGGGCCAGATCAGCTCCGTGGGCGTGCACACGGAGCAGCTGCCCTTGAACGGCCTGCTGTGCTACGGCAAGAACGTGACCATGGCCTTCGGCCGGTGTCCCGTGCGCAGCATCTTCGAGGACGCTCTGGCGGTCCTGGTGCAGGAACAGAAAAAGGTCGCCTTCCTGTGTGGCAAGACCATGTCCCTCGAGGACGCCCCCGGGGCCTACAGGGACTTCGAGGCCAGGAAGGTCCACAAGATCGTCTTCAAGATGCCGGGGGACGAGGCCGGAGAGAGCGTCGCGGCCAAGGTGCAGTGAATTCTGCCGCAGGCAGGTCGAGAGAGAAAAAAAAAAGGGGAAACGAGACACGGTTGGTGCTCTCGGTATCTTCTATAAGCCTTGTCAATGACACCTGAATTCACTTTGACCGTGCTGTTTCTTGTCGCCCTGGTTCCAACAAAATACCCAAGTCTCCCTTGCGACGAGTTCTTCACCGAGGTACAAAGTACGAAGCAGGCACAGAGAGAGAGAGAGAGAGAGGTTTTTACCTTGTCATCTGAGCGGCCGAGATTGATGGTGCGCAGTTCTGTAGGGAGACAAAGAAGGAAAAGTATTTCTTGCAGTTGTTGGTGGCGGACTGAAGATTGTCTCACTCAAACTTGATGGCTTAGTCATTCGCACCCTACCTAGCCCGTGGACAAACTCAGGGGAATTTTGAAAGGTCTACTTGGGAAAAGTCTGGTATGATAAAATAGTAGTTCAATGCGTCTGATGTCGTACAGAAGCCTGACCGATGTGAGAATGTTCAAAGAGCACCTCAGGTTCATCTTTACGCCTGGGTTCGCTGAGCCCTAACCAACGCCTTGCTAAAAAGTACAAAAGGGTCCATGCCACTATCCAGATGAATTTCAAAATGCCACTTTTCAAGGGCAGGAAGAGCTGTCATGCTCCAATCATTAAATCATAAAGTCATTGATCGTTTCGGGCTGGCTGCTATCAGCGCTCTCTCAGTGTTGGTTAGAGCATTCGCCTTGCTGTGGCTGAATGTCGCCGAGCGCTGAATCGAGTCGGCGTCAGTTTGTGTCTTTGTCTGTTGCTCCAGCCTCGTCAGCATTTCACTCCATAGTATCTCGTCCTCTTCGTCGTGCATGTGTTTGGCCATGCTGACTTGACGTTCGCAAATCTCAATCAAGACCGCATTCGACAGCTGTGGGTCGTTGCGGACGTATCTGAATGCTGTGTTGTAGCTGCGTCGCGCGTCACGATAACGCCCCATGGTGAACTGTTGTCGGCCCAGACGACGATACCCCAGGCCAACCCGCCATGAGTCGATCTTCCCATGGGCCTCCTTAAGCTCCCGGAGTCTCTGCTCGACTTGCTTGCATATCTCATCGACGTCCATCTGGGTTCCATGCGCCACAAGCCTGTATGCCTCCAAGAGGAGGAAGTAGACCGAGTAGTAGTTATTAGGTCCACAGGCTTGGTCAACCTCTTCAATGGCCGGAAGCCATTCTGAAAGATCTGTGCCTGCATCGTACCACAGCATGTCCAACGCCCTGTTCAGGCGCACCTCGTATAGCAAGTGGTTTTGCTTGTCAACTCGAGACTCCAGGCCATTGTACATGCATTTAGCCGCACGACCATACAAATCTCTGAGCTGGTCAACGTCCAACCCACCAAACGCTACAAACAGCGCCCGTCGGCAGTCATCTTCGTGGAGGAAGTTCGTCGCCCAATCCTTGATGTTCTTTAACAGCATTGCTGCAAGCGGCTTATGTCCGCTTTGCGCTACTCGGCCCACCTCGAAGAGCAGGCGCATCGGGATATCGTGGTACCAGGATGTGAAGAGGTTGGGACTTTTGAAGCCGGCAAAGGCTTGGCCCCAATGTTCGAAGGCCAGCTGCGACTTGCCACTCTCAAAAAGGGTGATTCCCGAGGTAAGGTAGGAAGAGAGTAAACGTGATGCTCGACGTCCGCTTTGATGCTGAGCAGACAGTTGCAGGTCCCATACGCCCCGAGAGCATGCCTCGTGCGTCCAGGCTCGAAGGTTGAACAGAAATTGTTCCGTGATACCCGCTGGGAGGCGAATACTGTCTAGAGTGACGGGCGAAGATAAGATGGTCGATTCGGCTGGGCTCCATGGGACCAAGCTATCTGATGCTTCCACCGGGCTCCATGACACCAAGCTCTCTGTTGCTTCGGCTGGGCTCCATGGCACCAAGCTCTCTGATGCTTCCACCGGGCTCCATTGCATCATACTATCCGATGCTTCCACCGGTGATAAGGTCAGCACGGGTGGGCTTGATGCCTCGGACAGCTCGGGTGAGCCGTGTTTCTTTGCATGAGCCTTCTGACGAGCTCGTCGTCGCCTGAGAGAGCGTGCTGCTCGCTTCAAAGCCTCGTTTGCATCGACACTTGTACGTATTGCCTTGGTTGCGGGAAGCTCCCCATTGACTATCTTTTGGGCTTCGTCTCCCTTGAGGTATTTCCGCAAGCCCCACTCCTTGATTTTGTTTTTAAACATCTTTAAACTAAGAAGGTGTTAGTATTATCAAGATGATGATGAGGCGGAGGTCACAAGCAACACAGGCACTGTCCCGCGGGGGCCACCCGTTCTGCACTCTAGACACGAGAGCAACACAGAGATGTTGTCCGAGGCCGAAACGCCAAGTCCTACAATCTGATGTGACAATGCCCATAGCTTCACCAGAGCGAGAGTCTAAGAGTGAGACCGGTCGTAGTCAAGTCGGCGAACAGGATGACCAAAGAGAAGGCTTCCCGCGGAGCGATGCCATAGTGCTCAGAGCGTCTTACCTTGCGTAAACATTGTAGTTGTCTTCCATTATAGTCATCACTTTGGGCAAAGCAAGGTCTTGATCCATATACAGCTGGGTAAATACCGGCCGGTATGCCTCCCAGTCCTCCTTCGTCTTGAGGTGAAACTTTGGAGAGGGTCTGTGTTCCATGGTGGCGACTCTTTCCAATGGAATGCCAAAGGCAGAGAAAAAACGGGCTCCTCGAGGAAGGAACCGCCTAATAAGCAATTTTATTGAGGTCGGCTGTTATTCCAAAAGACTTCTACGGGGATACAGATGCCCCAGAATGTGGTACGGAGAAGAAAAGCATAATAAGATGTGCAGTGATGCTTTGTACCAAAGGTCCCAAGGCCCGGTTGGGGGTCACAGTGGACTCGAAGAGTGAGAGGGCGGTTGACTGCTTAGAAAGCGGGCTCAGGTGAGAACGCCTCCAGGAATGTGACCAAAAGTCCTCCTCCTAGACTCAATAGGCAGCGAATGGCGGGCCAAGTTGGTGAGAAGATGTTGACATGGTGGCTGTGAAGCTGATTGTGCATTAGTGCGCGGAACCTTTGGGGTGCTGCCCACAAGACCCTCGAATCACCGCATCGACTCCCACGCCCGCGGTAACGTGCATAAGCCTGCGAGCGCTAGCAAGGGGGCTGTGGACAAAGGTGCAGACAGGGACCAAAGTTCCAAAAGAGACGCCCCCTTCTCACACCATTCAGGAAAGTCACAGAGCGAGGCACCAGGTGCGTGACTCGGGATGTGATTGGTATTGTCACTGCGTACAATTGGGCCCGGTGACTGTTTGGAGCAAGTTTGGTGTTACGGCAAGACTAGATTGATCGGGCGTTTGTGTTTCAAGATAGGCCTCACCGCCGTCTAAGGCCCTTCCACCGTTCTTTTCTAGGCTCGAGATATCAAAAGGGTGCTCCCTCATATGGTCGCCAGTCTGGACAATATCGGTGTATGATAATGAAGTACGACCCAGATGATGACGACGAGGCAGTATTCTGCAGTCTTGCAACCCGCTTCGGACGCCAGCTGGAAGATGTCAAGCATGCATACACCACTGCATCAAGGAATGTCTGCACCGTCTTGCGACGACAGTACTTCAACACTGTTCACGCCACACCAGAGAGGCCTCTATGCCGATTGCTCTCCGAAGATGTGCTTCTTAAGACCTTGGGCTCATTGCCATTGGAGGTTGGGTTAATGACACTTGCCCGAATATATGACGAGTGTCATGTCGCTCTGTGCAAAACTTTGGCAGCAGCCCGAAGAGGGCGGCCATACCATGAACTCTTCAAACGCAACCCTTGTGTAGATCTTCAGCCGCTGCATGATCTTCTGCGTCAGCATAGCGACGCTGTGGACAATCAAGTGGTCCTCGAAGCCACTTCGAGTGAGGAAATCCCCATGAGAGCAGTATGGAGGCCCATGCTAGACATGTGTTTTGACAGCCTACCTAGACTTCGGTCTCTCTCCAGTTTCTTGCCTGGAGAAAACTCCTCCAGCCATGAATACGCTGGTGTTGGAGGTGGAGGGGGTTCCGATATCATTAGTGCAAGCCTGCTGGGCCATTTGTTAAAACGATACCATAAACGGATGGAGCTATTGATATCGACTCGAACATGGGCGACCGGATCGCAAGGCAAAAAAGGATCCAAGCTAGGAATCAAACGAGAGGTGTATCAGCATGACGGACCAGCCCCTGGAGCAGATGGACGACCAGTTCCTGGAACCTTCCGTGTCAAAAGCGACACTTATGCAGAAGGACGCGATCTCGAGGCCATTCCACTACAATACCACGAAAAGATTTTTATGGTGCTTGACCAAGGAGAGTCAACATCTGATATTGCTGAGAAGGAGAGAGCAGATTTAAACGAACAGTTTGCAGCAGTCCTCCGCCAGGCTTCTCGTCCCATTGATACTGTGCTCATTGTCGATACGGGTGGCGATGTGTTCGGCGCTGATAAAGCCGGCGGAACAACACCAGACCAGGACTTCAGGGTACAGAGAGCCATGGCTGCCCTGTCGTCAAAATACAATCTCGTCACCGCTGTGGTAGCACCGGGGGTCGATGCTCCGGAGGATGCGGCCATAAAAGCGATGGACGCGGGCGGCAAGGTTTACAAACCTACGACCGAGGAGCAAGCCATGCTTCTCGACCTGTTGGTCAACAGATACAAGATGGACGGGTCTGATCCGAGTAGGTTTGGCAAAACCATACTAGCTCTACAAGCCCGGTTGAAGGGGGTTATTGGCTGGACCTCCCTTGACCTCCCAGCATACGTTGTTGATACCTGGGACAATCCCTGGAATAGTTTTGTCTACATCCGAGAGTGCATGAGCGACATTATACTGATGCCTACCATCAGGTTGCTCCCGCTGATTGAGCCTAAGAAAACAACCTCAGCTGGTTGAAGCCACGATGATAGATTTGGTGTTATGGAATTGGTGACCTCGCTGAGAGACCGCGCGTTATTCCCACCGCTGCTCGCAGGGAGAACATAAAATCGTCAAAAAACACAAGGGGCCTGGTCCAGAACTAGAGAGAAGAGCGTACGTCTGCTCTAGCATCTAGGTAGGTATACACACACTCGGCCGCAGGTGAACTGTGTCGGCTACTCACACGGTCAATACACTGATAGTTCCTCTTCTTGGCAACGATCGGTGGGTGGCAGTAGAAAATGCCTAGTATAATTCTCAGATACCCACACGTACATGTACAATATCATTAGCCATTCACACAGCTTCTCCCCTTCTCTTTTCTCATGTCGCTGATCCGTCGACCTTCTGCTCAACACAAAACTCTCCTTTCACCACTTCTCAAGCCTGTGTTCTCAGTCGTCCGCTCCCCTCCCCGAGCTTTTCACACTTACCCCGCTAAGATGGACTCCCAATTGACCCCGGTCTTCACGCCCGATGCCTGCCCTCGTAAGCACATACAATGCCGTGGACTGTTCTCCGGAAGCTGAAAACTCATGTCTGGTGTAGCCGCTGGGCCTTACAGCCAGGCCATCAAAGCTGCTGGGCTGGTCTTTGCGGCCGGTCAGATCCCCGCGGACAGCACTGGGAAGCTAGTGTCTGGTTCCATCGCCGAGAAAACCGAGCAATGCTGCAAGAACCTCAAGGCCATCCTGGAGGCAGCAGGAAGCGGCATTCCCAAAGTCGTGAAAGTCGGGGTGAGTTATATGCCAGCCAGGCCGCGGGAGTGATTGATGATGCTATCTTTGCCAGAATGTACACACCGATTGATGTGCTGACCGGCTGGATCTAGGTCTTTCTGTCTGATATGAAGCACTTCCCAGAGATGAACGGAGAATACGAAAAGTGGTTTTCCCACAAACCCGCTAGAACTTGCGTTGCGGCTCGAGAGCTTCCCAAGGGCGTGGACGTCGAAATTGAGGCCATTGCTGTCCAGTAGAGTGTCGGGTGTAAAGGGCAGCAGAGACTGCGCGATGGGCTTCAGCCTTACCTTTGACAATATCCAACAACTGAAGCGGTGCGGATCGAACAGCCCGAGCCAACAATTTTTGCTGCCATCTGGTTAAGGCCACATTGAAGTGAATGCAGGTCCAAATCATCTTGCCAAAGCAATAACGGACTTGAGCTCCAGCTTGGTGGCCAGGGCTACTTGGGAGACAGTATATACCTTTGTCAGGCAAAAGCTTCTGTACAGCGAAAATCTATCCGTGGGCGCCAGCTCAATCATAGCTTCTTATAGCTTACTCCTCCCGTCTTCACCCTCATGTTCCCCTAGTTCAACCACCACCTTGCCCCATGTGTCGCGGGCCCCAAGATCGATCAACGCCTGAGGCACCTTCTCCAACCCCTTGTATTGCTTGTCGGTATAAGTGATGCCCCGGAGCTTACCAGCCTTTATCATGTCAAATATACCTTGCCATACAACTGGCTCCGTCTCTGGCTCCTTCTTTGAGTACATCCCCCAATGCAGGCCAACAATGGAGATGTTCTTGAGAAGGACTCTGTTCAGGGCCACCTTTTCTATGTTGCCTCCGGCAAACCCAATCACTAACAGCCGGCCGTTCCACGCGATGCACTTGATCGATGTGTCGATCATGCCTCATAGAAAATTAGGGACGGCATTACACATCACAAAGCAGAATCGACTCACCGACAGGATCATACACAACATCCACACCAGCCTGGCCATTTCCTGTTCTGTGTTTTGTGCAAAGCTCTATCACCTTCTGTGGCCAACTCTTGTCCCGGTAGTCGACCACGTAGTCCGCTCCGTAGTCCAAACAGACCTGTCTCTTGCGCTCGGTGCCTGCCGTTGCAATGACAGTGGCTCCCAGAGCCTTCGCAATTTGCACAGCTGATAGTCCTACACCGCCTGCCCCGGCGTGTACTAATACCCATTCGCCAGGTTGTGTCTTTGCGCGTGTTACCAAAGCGCCGTAGGCGGTGGGAGTAGTCACGAAGACACCGCAGGCGTCTGCGAAGGTCCACCCTTCAGGAATGGGGAACAGTGAGGACTCAGGTGCTAGTATATGTGATGCGTAAGCACCGTGGAAACCACCAAATACTCTATCGCCGACCTTGAATCGGTGGTGTATCCTGGAGTTGACAGTGCCGTCGACACTGCTCAGAACGGTGCCTGAGGTCTCTTTGGCTGAGGTAGGAGTTGCAAGGACAACGCCGGCAAATTCCATACCAGATATCCATGGCAAAGGCGGTTGATGCTGGTATTTGCCTTGAATCTGGAGCAAGTCAAAGAAGTTCGCACCACAGGCGTGAATTCTGATCAGGTATTTCGTCGGGTCGGGTGTTGGAGTAGGGAGGGTAGTAACGGACAGCTCCTGAGGTCCGGAGACATATTTCGTGACTTGTATGGCTTTCATGATGTGCGAGTATCTAGAGATGATATGAGGGGTCGACGAGATGAAGCAGCAACACTTGGGAATATATCATCCCGCCTCCAACATACGAGCACCATCACTCATTACGTTACCGCGGTCTTCACGACGGACTCGGTAAAGTGGTAGACCGCGTTTGAATCGAGTTCTTTGCCTCGGCTACACTTTACCTTAAAGCGCCGGCAACAATGTCTATTCGAGGCTTAGAGCATCGCCTGAAAAGATCGATTCTTGGGTCCGATGGTCGGCACACTAACGCCTGGTGCGCCTGGAACCCTGGTTGGTCTTGGCTGCTGCTCAGCCATTTCCTCCTGCGCCTAAGTGAGCCGTTTCCTTGCTGCCTTGTAAGTCGTGCAACTCGTCCTCATCGCTGCATACATCGCTTTCTCTTCAAATGAGTGTGTCCCAGTCACCAGAAGCCCGGCTGACGCATCTTGTCGAGCCTCTGATTTCCGGTTTCGAGGAACTTTTAGCAATAGTACGAGGCCAAGTCGACAACGAAAAGACTTTGAGGGATCGCGTCGAATTCGCCGCAAATGAGGTAAGTGACACAGGAATTCAGCCTTCACAGTTGTTAGTTATTAGGATGAGATATCTTTTGATTAGCTCTAGATCAAGAGCTACCTTTGCGTAGCGATGAGCGACATTTGCATGTATTACCTGAATATTGTGTTTCACATACTGTTGCCTCTCAGACCAAGGAGGAATCTTGCACTGACATCGTCTATTATAGTACGAGCGCCTGTTAGCTGCTGGGAGCAGTTCTTCTTCACAATCTCTCTCTCCGAGCGACGTCGCAAAACGAATTCGTCAACCTTTGACGATCTCCCGAACTCCCGAGTCCTTGAAGATTCAAGAGGCTCAACGAGCGATACAGTCCTACAGAATGTTGAACCCAGAACAACCTCAGCGGGGTGCGTTGAAATGCCCAATCGCACATCATGTCGCCGACCCTGAGGACTTCGAGCGAGATTTCACAACTCCTGGCGTCCAGGGTAATCTAGGATGCCCTTTTGCTAAGATGTCGAACGGCGTCACTAATGGGCAGAACGCTGAGGAAGATCCCATTGCGGCAGAATTCCACCAAGACGGAACCTCTACCCGGTCACCCAATGACCAGCGGCCAGGTCAGTGCCCGATACGCTTTCTTGACCAACATTCCCCTGAAGAAGTTGCCAAATATTTCGAAAACCACAAGCATGAAATACCACGCAGCCATGAAATTTGTGTTAGAAGATATCAGTCGAATGAGACGAGTGCTCGCCAACTTGATGCCAAGTACGGTAGCCTGGTCAACATGATACAAGGCCTAGGTGTGAAGCACAAGGCCTATCTTCCCGAGCGAGACCGGGTTGACGAGCGAGACAAGATGTCTAGCACCAACGTCGAGAAATGGGCCGAAAATGTGAGCAATTATGCCGCACCGGTTACCGTAGACGCCCCGGCAGACGATGAACAGTCTCGTGTATCGCATTTTGAACGCCCGTTACGAGAAGTCCGGGTTGGAGAGTCTCCAAGCCGACCTTGGGGGATCTCTGTGCCCGCTAACAAAGACGTTCCTCCAAGTGCTCTGCAATCAGAAGATGGTGTTGCGCATTTGAAAATCGACCGAGAAAGCCCTGAAGTTTCGTCCCCAATAAAGCCTTCCAAGTGCCCAATAGATCATGGCAAGTCTGGGAAGCTTGGGGAAAATCCTCCCCGGACCGAACCTGAAGTCGTCAAAGATGCAGATTCACGAACACAGATCATCTTCCATGGACCTGTGTTTTTCGGATACTCGGCCGATGAGGTGGCCACATTGCTACAGAAGACCAATATGGGTGGCTCTCCTCCAACTGAGCGCCGATGATTTCGCTTCATGTGTTTAAGTTTGTTGGATTTGTAGCGTTTGAGCGACATGATGATTTCTACGATGACACGACGACTGGAGATGACGGCCATCTTATATGAGCTTTGTGCAACGCAGAATGTACAATCAATTTGTGACTATACACTTAATGCCATGTCTAGATATGTTTTTGAATGTAGGCACGCAAGGAGTCAACCTGTCCACTGTGGCAGGATGGCCAGAATCGAGGCTGAACTATGAAGGTCCATGAATTGTTCTAGCAACGGGTGTGAAAAATCCACCAGCTCTAGCATGCAAGCTCGCATGACGCGAGGCTTGCAAGCCGCGACTTCGACCTGAATCGAAGAGCTTGTGGGAGAAACCAAGCAGCTGGAAAGTGAATGTTGCATCCTTGTAAAACTTTTATTGCAGAGTCATATAAAATCATTCATTTCGGACTCAAATGCGATCGAAGCAACATTTGAGGAGTTGAATTGGTGTTGAAAGGAGATACTGGTCAAAGTGTGCGCCAGTAATTAATGGCGAAATTTTGTAAAGTGTACTTCGCGACGCAGGGTTTCCTCCACCGTATGCCCTCTCTTCGGCCGAGCATTACCATCCAAATGGCATTTCTGTGGTCTGATTCTGACTTCTTTTACACTTGGTCCGCAAGCATTGAAAGGTGTTGGCTCACCAAGGTCCTGAATTCACCAGGCCATGGAAGGTCTTTTTACTTGCCTGAGATGTGCGCGTGCACTCTCGAGTGCTAGTAGATACCGGTCGAGTTCCAGGATAGCTCAACAACTTTCCGGACGCCGCAGCTTTACCTCGAGCGCCTCGTTCTACCACTCTACTCTAAAAGCTGGTAATGCCGCGAACGCAGTTCCCTCACGAAGCCTCAAACAAACTGCGAGAGCAGTGTCATCCGCTGCGGCGCCTGCTCAGGAGGAAGACAATTTCGAACGTCACAACCTCCCTCCCACCGATTATGGAGAGTGGCGAGCGCATGGGAGGGTTGTGCTCAAGCCAGACCAATTATTTCATCCCTACTCCAGGTCCCCTATACCAGAGATACGACAGAGAGCTCGATACATGAAGCAACATGCGTTATGTCCTCACCCTGCCCACCAGCAAACTCGAGTGCCTATTTCTCCCCACGATCCCGAAGCGAGAAAGGTCGAAGGTGTCAGTTCACAACCTCCAGCTCACGTCGAGTTTGAGTGTCCAGACTGTGGCATTCCTGTGTACTGCTGTGAAGAACACTGGGCGGATGACTTTGAAGCTCATCTCGAGATATGCGACACGCTGAGACAAATCAACGAGGACGACCATGATTTGCGATCTGGAAGATGGTTCCCCGAGTTCGAGTATCCGGGCCCGCAAATAGACGAAATATTGGTCAACATGACAAGCTGGGACACGTATCTCTACACTCGACAATACGAAGCAATCAATGAAGAACGGAGTATGCGGCAAGTTACTAGGTTATTGACATATCCGCTGTCGCTGGGAAGTGTTCTGCATGAACTCAGCCCATACAATATCCGCTCTGGAGGACGGCTCACAACTGAAGGCTTGAAGAGCTTGACTGGTAGGTCTGCAGGCTTTTGTGCATTGATTTACCGCTGATCAATTTAGCCTTGCGATATACGCTTCACCCTCCCAAGCAAGGCCAGGGAACAAGTATCAAAGGCTTGAGACTGTCCGCTCCTCCTGTGCGCATCTTCATCCTCGGCGCTCGAGCAGAGTCGTCGTTACCGCGCGAAGTGTGGACTCAACTATCCTACCTGTTCCCTCAGTCTCTGATTCACCTGGTGTTCATCGGACCGGAGTCAATGGCAAACCGAGATGCCGAGTTTCCACTTCCAGAGAGAACGGCGGCGAACCCATTCGGAGCTATCGTGGAAGATCGTATATCACCTAAGATGAAAATCACGACATACGTCGAGTACTTCCACACACTGCACGAAGCAAACCTCTTCTACCCTTACGACCCATACTTTGACTGCTTCATGCTATACCATCCAGGACTTGGACATCCCGCTTCTGCACACGAGTGGGAGAAGACTCTGCCCCAGCTGCTCGAAACGAAGTGTCCCATCATATGCACGGGCTATACTGAGTGGGATATGACCCGAGATTGGCAGTGGGTTATGGAGAAGTGCGCAGGCGAAGTTGACCTGCTCATGGAGCCTGGAGAGAATCGCTTCCGATCGCTGCGGTGGGATCTGAACGACCTTGATCCGCAGGATATCAGTTGTGGAAATTGGGGCATCTGGGCGTTCCGAGGCAAGAGGTACGTATTGGCACATCTCGCTGATGGCGTCGACGATAGGATTATCATTGCTAACAGAAGACAACAGGTACGAAGCGACTACGCGAAATTCATCGGAATAGATGGCGGAATGTGTACATGTAGCGATACCCGCCGTCAACATTGGATGTATAACTAAAATGCTTGAACAGCTGGGCGTGAGCGTAAACTCACTAGACAACTCGTATTCTCTGTACTCTTTACCTCTCTAGGGTTTATGCTTGCGAGATGCAGGCTGCACTGCCACACCCAAGAGAAGCCAAGGGGCGTATTGTTTGAGCACGGGAGCAAGGGCTCCGGCATCTATGCCTCAGCGTCCTCGCATGTTTATTGAGAGGTGTAATCGTCATGGATTCACAGTCGCCTCCTCGGTATTGACGGCATCAGCGGACAGTGAAGCCGTTTCTTGTAGGCAATCAAACACCTCAGGCTGATTTGATATTCTTTGCTCGTGATGTCAACCGTCTCGACCCGCGGCCAATGACGTCTATTTGTTTGGGTGGCTGAGTCTGCATTTCTGCCTCAAGGCGTCTTTCTGGCTCCAACCTGTATGACACTAGGGCTAAACTGCTCGTTCTCTGTGCGTTTCCGATCACCATTTCAGATCCGGGGGTTGTGACTAGTCACCATTCTCCGTACTAATCAGTCATCACTCAAGTCTTCACTCTGGTCGTACTCGTATATATCATTCCCTTGAACTGGAATGGCGGGGCCGCTCTCCATCCTTGCCACTGATATAATCAATACGACACGCCCAAGTCGCTTGCATTCCTGACCCCTTCAAAAAAAAAGTCCCCAGACTAGCCTGCGACCGTCACCCCTACCGCAAAATCCTCCCCTTTCACAGTAACGATCGTACACAAACATGAAGTTTCTACATTTGACAGCGCTCCTATACCTGTTTACCTTTGCCGCATCAGCGCCGCCCTCGACGGAATTCAGCAGCGACATTTCCGTGCGCGATTCTTCACCCCTTGAACCATTCAATGCACTAGAAAAGCGCAAAGGCGGTGGCGGCGGTAAAGGAGGAGGAGGAAGCGGCGGAAGCAGCAGTGGTGGTGGGAGGACTGGTTCGGGTTCCGGGGGTTCCAGCTCAGGAGGTCGCCCAGCATCATCATACTCATTCTCTCCGTCGAGCAACGTCGGCGGCAGAACGCGCGAAGGGTCGGGCACGCCCAAAACCTATGGGAATCGATATACTGGGGGCGCCGTCGTACCATACACTGCTGGCGCACGGTCACCCTCAAGAGGCATCGCCCCGTATGCGCTTCCAATCGGCGCCCTTGCCTTGTTCCCGGCCCTTTGGCTGTACGGTTCCGTCTGGGCCTACCCATATGGCATCCCATACCATTACTACCACGACGGGCGCAACACCACCAGCAACGTCACGTGCGTCTGTCAACGGTACCAAGTCTGCGGATGCGACCCGACCGACAACAGCACGTTCCTAAACCAGGTCGTCACCAATGGCACCGGTTCGGCGCCGGTCAACACGAGCCTGGTGCGGACTGTGGACTATGGTAACGGCACTGCTGTGACATACATCAACGGATCACTTGCAAACGGGACCACGTCAGACGGTGGCACGGATCCTAGCAATGAGAGCGAAATCAGCGCCGCCGTGAAGGTGATGATGGACTTTGGGGGTTATTGGATCATGGTAGCAACAGTGGTGTTGGGAATGTGGATGACAGCTTGATGGTCGAACCGAAAGGAACACGATCGTTAAAGCTTTTTGATGTGGTTTACCAGCCAGGGAGGGGTTTTCTTGTTTCACACATATATCCAGGAAGGAGGGTTCAGGTTTTTTTTCTCGCTGTCGCTTAAGAGATGCTCAGTCATGTCGCAAGGAGCGAAGCATATCGCGGGCTACATTGCTTTGCAAGCACCATCGACCATGGAAATGGTTTCAGAAACGTTCGTCGGCATACCATAGCGTACGAGAGTAGGCATAGCGTTGATAGCACAGTGACGGTTTTGCCATACGCCACCATCATCCCGGAGAGAAAATAGTGCCACGATACTCATCAACTTTTCTGTGAAGTGGACAGAGGGCACAACCTATCTTCCTGCGCCAGGATAACATGCTTCTTTCACAATATGTGCACAGGAAGCAGAGACGGAAGTTTTCTTCACTGAATAGATGGCCAACGCCAATGTCTCAAGTTCAATACTGTTTCTGAATATGTAACACTACATGGACGATTGCGGCTTCTACACACGCTTTACTGCATCTCCTGCCTTGTGAGCCTGCAAAAAATGGTTAGTTTCTCGTCTTTCGAGTGTTTTCGTTACGCAAGGTTGGCTTCTTACCCTGACAGCGCCTGCTCCTCCCAGTTCTTGGTCCAATCCACCTGGATATTCCGTGGGCACACTGGGTTTCCCTGGGTAGGTCGCTTTGACGAAGTAGGTGATCCCAAGGATACATGAAATAAAGCCTCCCCAGAGCAACAGCCCTTGGCCGGTAGTCAAATGCGTGTAATCCTCGAGGGCAAAGACACCCAGCACTTCATTGTCTTCGTGTACCGGTTCGCCAAAATTCCTCCGTTCTTGCTTGTCGTCCCAGTCGGCATAAGGGTCTCGGTGTTGTCTCTTGATTCTGGGAGGGTTTATGTAGCCACCATTCTGTGCACGTCAGTCAGCAGATCTGCGGAATCTCCTCGCAACCGCAAATTACCATCTCTGGGTCGTCAATCTCCCCAATGGCCTTGTCGGAAGGGAAATCTCCAACCACATTTCGTGGAATAGCTGCCCTCTGCGCCGTTGCGACGGAGAATGGAGCTTTGAAAAGACGTGGTTGAGGTCGGACAAGGGATCGGGTCGACCTTGCGGCGAGAGTCAAGGCTCGTGGAGAGAGCATATTTGAGGAGTAAATCGGGGCAGAGGCTCCCAAGAGCCGAGCGATAGCTGTAGCAGTCAACACTAGATCATGCAGCCCGTGTTTATTGAAAGGCGACGGCGAGGTGGTCGTTGGCAGTTGTGGCAGAGGGCACTGATTGATTGGTCTTGGGTGGAGAGAGTGAGTTGTGTGTCTGGAGGTCCAGGAGCTCAGGCGCAGGCGCAGGCGGAGGCACTGACTGACTGGGCGTTGAGTGCGGACTACTGGCTACGGAATTCGACAACACTCCAAAGTGCAGCTTCTTCTGCCACCCGTCGATCTTGCCTACAGCCTTTCTTGATCTCGACCTCACCACTTCAGCTGACGCGCACAATCCTTCAAACTTCGCACGCTTGCTCGACTCGATCCCTTGAACAATTCGACGTGCGAAACGACCAGTTTAACGCCCTATCCGTGGAGTATGCTGGTCGTGCTTTTGTTATTGTTGTAAGGGATCAATTTTGCAATGCCAGCGGGCGCAAATGTCGGACTCTCCTCCGACCGGCGACTTGCATCCCAGCAGCCAGGATCGAGGCATGTTTCATCAATCACAACAACATGGCCACCCGTGACTAATGACCACACAGGGGTTCTCGATGATCAAGTCGCACCTCCTCCCCGCCACGAAGATACGTCGATCGAACGCGGCGACTCTGATGAACCGCAAGCCAAAAGACGGAAGATCGCAGCAGGACACAAACCCTCTCCGAGACCAATTTCGCCTCCATGGAAACGGGTCGCGGCGGAAGGTCCGACGTCCTTCGTCGAAGACGGGCGAAGGAGATCTGGGAGAACCAATATCGTGCCCCTCGATTTGCAGCCACAGTCGACCAAAAGACACACCCGCGCCGCGTTTGACAAGGTGAAGTCAGAACGACAAAAGCAGGCGAAGCCCATCTACAACGTGTCGACACGAAAGCCAAAGGCTGAGACATTAGAACCATCACCCACGCCTAAACGGGGTCCCGGCAGGCCTCCTAAGAATCGTGACTCTGACAAAACACCCTCAATCAAACATGAAGAGACACCGAAGCCCGCCAAAGCCTTGCACGCGCACAAAGCTCCCCCCACACGTCAAAGACAACGTTCTCGGGAGGTTGAAGGGATGAGAGCCAAAATCGAAGAGCTTAAGAAGCTGCGAGATAGCCTGAAATCCTCTAGTGCCTCTGTGTCCAAATCACCTCGCCGTCGTCGCCGGCGAAAATCAACCTCCGTCAATGGTGTCGAATCCAGGTCGCCGCCACATGTAAATGGCTTCTTGGAAACTGACGACGACGACGCCTCGGATTTGTCCAGCATATACACGACAAGAGATTCCAGTCCTCCTTTAACCTTACACAAAGTGACGCTTCGTGTCCAACTTCCTGAGCCCACTGTTGCCACACCTTCTAATATCCCACCGCCGAAGAGATTTTCATCATTTTCGGAATTCCTGGACCTTGACGAGTCCGAGCCACGCGCTGGTGAGGACTTACTTACTCCCCAACAAATCAGACAAGAGGCAGCATCGAGAAACAGAGTATATGGGGCACTAGAGAGTGGTAAGGTCTTTGACAAGATACTGAGTGATACGCTTCCTGCAAAGCACGACGAACCCAGACGACAATATGCGCATCTCGATCATCTGCTCGCCCACATCTGCCATTTCAGACAGTTGCTGAGAAAAGAAGCACAAGATCATAAGCGGACAGCACAGATCCTGGCTCACGAGGCGAAGAAGTATGTGGAAGAGAAGCGAAAGCGTAACAAGGTGAAGACGCCCGAGGAGATAGAGCAGGAAAAGCGTGAGGCGGCTATTGCTTCATATCGCGCCGTGGCCAAGGATATGGACAGGTTGTGGGCAGCAGTGAGAGCTGAGGTGGACTTGATGCGACAGAAGCAATATGAAGAAGAGCAGCAAGCGAAGATGAAAGGCCATCTCGCCCGGGTGCTGGATAGAACTGATCAGATGTTGAATCGTGCCACCGACCAAGAGGAATCTCTTATGAGCGAGACGGACCTGTCGACAGATGAGGGCGCAACGAGTGAGACTGACGACAGTGAGCAAATGTCCGAGAGCGATACGGAACCTGAGTCAGAATCTGCAGCGGGCGATGATGATGCAGAGATGTCAATTGAGGATTTGAAGCGAAAGTACGGAAACCTTCCAGATTTACCGGCTGACGAAGAGATGTCTGTCCAAGGTGATGCGGAAACCAATCCGGATCAGTCCGAAGAAGAAGACTCGGATCCAGAAACTGAAATGGATAGCGAGTTTGACACTGATGATTCGAACGATGACGATGACGATGACGACGATAATGATGCCGAAGATAGTGAAGAAGATACTCGAGGCGGCCTTCTATCCTTGTTCTCAAAGAAAGAGCTCGCCAGTATGGCACCGTCCTCCGAAGACGTTCCCACGGACGACAACGATGGTGATGTTAGTACTCCACCTCTGGTTCAAGTACTCGAAGATGACGAGATGCAAGCTGCGGACAGTCCTCCAGTCTCGCCAAATCCGGAAAAGGCTGAACATGACGAGGTCGAGTCCGCACACATTCATGAAGTTGATCATGTTGAGGAGGCACGACGAGATGCTTCAGTTGACGTCCCAATGCCCCAGCTAGACGATAACGACTCCGCAAGCCAGGAGCCAAGTGCACATACTTCACCACGTACAACTGCGACCAAATTGTCCGAGCCAGACTCTGTCTCATCTATCGAGGTCGCTCCCGAAACCACACAACCTGCAGCCCAATCTCCAGAGACCAAGTCAACGATCAAAACTCCAGTTCCTAGCTTGTTGCGTGGCACTTTACGAGAATATCAGCATGAAGGTCTCGACTGGCTGGCGGATTTGTACGCGCACGGGAGAAGTGGCATTTTGGCTGATGAAATGGGTCTTGGTAAGACGATCCAAAGTATTGCACTGCTCGCACACCTTGCCGAGGTTCATGAGGTCTGGGGTCCGCACCTTATTGTGGTGCCTACCAGTGTGATGCTCAATTGGGAAATGGAGTTCAAAAAGTTCCTGCCAGGCTTCAAAATTTTGACATACTATGGCAGCCCAGAGGAGAGAAAGCAAAAGAGGAAAGGCTGGATGACTGACGATAGTTTCAACGTTTGTGTCACGTCGTATCAGCTTGTCTTGCAAGATGCCAATTCGTTCAAGAGGAGAAGGTGGCATTACATGATTCTCGACGAAGCCCACAACATCAAGAATTTCCGATCAGAGAGATGGCAAACCATGATGACTTTCAACACAAGAGCTCGACTTCTCCTCACGGGAACACCGCTCCAGAACAACTTGACCGAACTATGGTCTCTTTTGTTCTTCCTTCATTATGGCCAGGACAACCAGGGTGAGGACGATGCCTTTGCAGGGTTGAAGGAATGGTCCGAATGGTTCAAAAGGCCTGTGGAATCGATCTTGGAACATGGACGGCAAGTGCTGGACGAAGAGGACCGTGAGCAGGTTGCGAAGCTGCACAAAGTCATTCGACCTTTCCTTCTTCGAAGGCTGAAAGCAGACGTCGAAAAGCAGATGCCGGCAAAGTATGAACACGTGGAGATGTGTCGATTGTCCAAACGCCAGCGGCAACTTTACGACGGCTTCATGTCGAGAGCTCAGACCAAGGAAACTCTTGCTTCTGGAAACTATCTGTCCATTATCAACGCCCTCATGCAGCTTCGAAAAGTATGCAACCATCCAGACCTTTTTGAGACGCGCCCCATCACGACCTCCTTTGCTATGTCTAAATCCATGGCTGCCACTTTTGAGATCAAGGACCTGCTTGTCCGTCGCAACTTGATGCGTGATGCTGCGAATGACCTGGACCTCGATTTCTTGAGGTTGGCTCCATTATCGGACGAGAATATGTCTACGATAGAGTTCATGCAGACAGCGGGACGGCATGCATCTCACCTCCTCAAAGCGTTACGAGAATCTCAATATCGACGGATCTCTCAAGATACCAACTGGCATGGTGAAACTTGTGCAGGAGTCTTGGGCTCGCTGGAGAATGTTGGCAGAAAGGCCAGAATCCAAGAGCTTGATCGAGCAATCTACTACGAAGCGTACCGTCACCATCAACATCCGATTTATGGAAGGGGTTTGATCAATAAGTTGACCGTCAATACCACCAACGCCCGTCTGTCCAGACTCTCTCCTTTCAGAGTCAGAAGCAAATGGTGGGAGAACGAGATGCCAGTGGCAGCTCTCGATCTTGTACAATCTATCGAGTCGAGATCGACCCTCATGGAACCTCTCATTGAGCAGTTCGCCTGCATCACCCCTGCGGTGGTTGCTACAGACCTAGGCATGACTGCTGTCACCGAGGAAGGAGCTGCAACAATAAGAGCAGATCCGCAAACGTGGAAGCTGGATCCTTTTCACCAAGCAAGGATGAAGCTGTCAATAGCGTTTCCTGACAAGAGACTCCTGCAGTACGACTGTGGCAAGTTACAAAGGCTTGACAAATTGTTGCGTCAATTGCAGTCCGGAGGCCATCGGGCGCTCATCTTCACCCAGATGACCAAGGTCTTGGACATTCTCGAACAATTCTTGAATATTCATGGTCATCGATACCTCAGACTGGACGGAGCCACTAAAGTTGAGCAACGGCAAATCCTGACCGATCGATTCAATAACGATCCTCGCATCTTAGCATTCATCCTTTCGTCACGTTCCGGCGGATTGGGCATCAACTTGACGGGGGCGGACACTGTCATTTTCTACGATCTGGATTGGAATCCTGCGATGGATCGGCAATGCACAGACCGAGCACATCGTATTGGCCAAACGCGCGACGTCCACATCTATCGGTTCGTTTCCGAGCATACGATCGAGGCCAACATTCTTCGTAAAGCAAACCAAAAGCAACTGCTAGACGATGTCGTTATCCAAGAAGGCGACTTCACGACCGACTACATGAACAAAGTGACCTATCGAGACATGCTCGACGGACCAGATGAAAACGACGCAGCAGGGCTCGCGATGGATAGGGTTCTTGGGAACGACAAGACGAACATTGCCGTTTTGGAACAGGCAGAAGACCAAGAAGATCGTGCCGCGGCCAAGGTGGCTGCCAGAGAGGTCCAACATGCCGACGACGGTGATTTTGAGGACAAGACTGCCACTGCGACTCCACGTACCAACGAAGCCCATACACCCGGACCATTCGCCGCCACGGACGCTGCGTTGGCTGAGACTCACATGGACGGGGACGACGGCGGTCACGATATTGATGGGTACATGATCAAACTGCAGTCTTGGATGATGAAGGATATCCCTCTCGGTCCTGGCAAAGATAAACGAAAGAAGGGGAAACGACGAGACGAGCATCGAGTGAGAAGAGTTAAGTAGAAACAAGAAGAATGAGAGGGAGAGTCGTGAGTACAGAGGTGATACAGATGTCCCTGTCGTTTGTTCTATGACGTGATGGGGGATTTGTCTACTGTTGACTTTTTGGAACCCCTTGTAAAAATAGTTGTACTGTTAGGAGAGGAGGGAGAATTTCTGGGATTTGTGACAACAGTGAGGGAAATGAGGTGAGACGGAACCCAGTCCCAGCCCGTCACGAATGAATTTTTTTTTAGTTGGGTGACTCGATCATTGATCGGCACGGTTCCGATCGAGTTGCCCAGGTACTGAGTGAGTGTTTCAATGTACCTCGCGAGCGTGATGAAGAGAAGAAGAGAGAAAAGGAAAGGGGAGAACGAAGTGTACAAGAAACTTTGTCGTGTATTATCATTTATCATAATGTATATAAAACCACCCAAGGTACTTACTCCACAGAGAAAAAAAAACGAAGAGAGAAAGAGAAAACTCTCTCGCCGGGGGAATCAAGAAACGCGTCCAAAACGTGTAAACTGGACGGTGTGTGCTCGTATATCGATCGTACAAATAACCCTCCTTCAAGTTCGTGTGTGTGTGTGTGTGTGTGTGTGTGTGTGTGTGTGTGTGTGTGTGTGTGTGTGTAGGTGTGTGTGTCCGTGGTGGTTGCGACACCTCACCGCGTCGATTGCTTGCTACCGTGCAGGGCCATTCCCGATGAAGGGTCTATAGAGTTCCTGCAGGATACTGTGTACTAACCAACTAACTAGTATTCTATGTACGCCGGTGGAGACGATCATTTTTTGATTTATGTCCGATAAAAAAAAGATCAAATTAAAAATAAGAAATAAGAGAGAGAAATCAATCGAGAAGAAGTGAGTATAACTACGGTACGTATGTATACATTTGCCTCCGTGTTATTTGGCCTTTTTTTTTTTAGCAAGTAACATCTACGTATTGACGGAGAGAGCACTGTAAAAGTCAAAATAAAGGGGGTCAAAAAGGGGTACACCTCATGCGACACTGAACAGTAACGTAGCTACGTAGTTAGTGCTTGGGTCCAAATTCTTAATTGTCTGATATGATGCTGAGTACGTTATTTTCACGGTCATACCGAGTCCTCTCGAGCAGAAGCAGCGATAAAAGACCAAGATGCGAAGAACGGTTACGTAAAGGTAGGTGAGCCTGCTTGGTTGTTCAATTGCTCGATTCTTATGCTCAGTGTTAGGTAGCTTGCTCCTTTTTCCCCCTTTCATAGGGTACTGTATCGTCCGCCGCCACCCTTGATTACTGCTGACAACTGAGCGCCGCTCAATTGCTCATTCAGAAAACAAAATTAAACGATTGACTGGGAAATAGCATCTGGGTCCCCCAAGAGGCATAGCGAGAAAAGGCAAAGTTCGTCACTTCGTGGTCGCAGTGTGTCGCGTAGCATTAGGTAGTTCAATCCTCCTGCGTACCACGGTCGACCCTGCAAGTCCACCGTCCGCGGCACAGACGTCACGGATGTCTTACTGGGGTTCCGTCGGTCGCAACAAGACTTAGTCAAGTCAAAAACACACCGCATTTTGTCTGTATACATTCGTTACAAGACCAAGCCTTCTGGGCAGTTAGCGAGCGGATCCAAAAACTCATGCGGCCTTTTCGCCTGTTTCTTCTTCCCGATGCTCCGGGGACGCAGGGACATACTCGTCGGTGTCGAAGTGGTAGAGTTTCGGTTCGACGAGACCCTTGCGACGCAGAACGTTCTTCTTGAACCAGTACGGCGCGACCTGGGAGACCTGGTAGTGTTGGTGTGTTCGAGTGGGCACGGCGAAGACGTAGTCCAGTTCTTCGAGAGACCTTTGTTTCGTCTCGGGAAGCCACAGGAAGATCATGAGGAAGGCTATGGCGTTGAGCCCCGCGTAGAAGCCAAACGCTCCTTGTGGCGTCATGGCCTTGAGCATGCGAGGGAAGGTCAGGGATAGGACCGAGGCCCAGAAATTGTTGGTCGCCACGGCCCACGACATGCCCACCTCACGATGCGACAGCGGGAAGACTTCTGCAGAGTACGTAAACGGCACAGGGCCTTCTCCTGGCGAGTAGAAGATGTCGAAGAGGTAGATGAACAGCGCAATTAGCCCCAGATGAGCGTCGCTGCTCTCGGGGATCCAGAAGCAAAACCCGGCCGCCAGAAGCGTCCAGCACATGTTCGGGAACGTGAAGAGAAGCAACGCCCTTCTCCCAAACGTGTCGATCGTCCACACTGCGGGCCAGGCGAAGAGGAAGTTGATCAGACCGAAACCCCACGAGGCCAAGAGGCTGCCGGTATAAGATGCCCCTGCATTCGCGAAAACCGTGCCACTATAGAAGGCGATGATGTTTATCCCGCACATCTGTTGCGCAATCATGACAATACCAGAGGCTTGAGTTGCACGACGGATACGGGGAATGGTAAAAAGCTCGACGAAGCGGGTGAAAAAATTGCCGTGAGTTGAGGCCGCTGATTCCTCAATCAGGATGTCTTCCTGCACCAACTGCGCGTGAATGTAATAGAGATCACGTGCAGCTTGCAGAGGGCTCCTTCGGAGACGCAGAAGAGATCGATAGGCTTGCGCATGCCTTCCCTTCTTCATGAGCCAACGAGGAGACTGTTGGACAAACAACGGTTAGAGGTCTGGTCAGAGAGATTAGAAATGAGACAGACGGACTCACCTCAGGACAGAAGAAAATGCCAATGACCAAAGGCACGGCAGGGATGAAAGCCGAGCCGAGCTGGAGTCGCCAGGCGACTCCAGTATCCTTTATGGCCAGGTTCGCGCACGTGCCGAGGAAGATACCAAAGGCTGTCCAGACTTGCCAGCTCATAACCAAACCGCCACGGATGTTGGTGGGTGCATTTTCCGCAGAGAAGACAGGTACAGTGACTTCTTTGAGGCCCATGCCGATACCGAGAAGGATACGGCAGGCGACGAGTTGGCCCCAATGCTGGATGAAAGCAGAGCCGATAGGAGCCAGCAAGGAGAAGACGGCGCCCAAAAAGATGGTGCCACGACGGCCGATCAGGTCGTTGATAGGATCGGAGATCCAACCGGCGCTGCATGAACGTTAGCGACGTGGAAACATATCAGTGAGGAAAGAGGAGCTCACAAAAAGGCAATGGCAATGTAGGGACAAGAGTTGATGAAACCAATCAACCAGGAGTTATCTTCACACGTCCCCTTGGCCTCACAAACGGGGCCGGAATCAGGAATGCCCATGTCCTCGGGGAATCTGAGGTTGGCGGCGTTTGACCCAGTCTGATCCCATCCTTGAATGGCAGCAGCGACCGAATTGAGGACGATGGTGTAGTAGAGGATCTTGGGATGTCTCCAGCGGTGGGTGACTTCCTCACGCAAGAACTGACGCTCCGACTCCTCGATCTCAGGGATACTTTCGAATTGGTGAGGGCTCTGGGCCAAGATGGCGCCTTTGCGAAGCAAGGGAAGAAGGTCGCTCAACTCGTTCTCAGTGGCGTAGTTTTCGACATCTTGTAGCAGTTGTTCGCGAGGGATGCCCACCAGAGGGTTTCGGACTCTGTGGAGACAAGTCAGCGAAGGTGTTCAGGTCCGAGCATAGAAGTGGAAGGGCGTGGTTTGAGGTATAAGCTCACTCTCCGGTCAGATTGTTGGTCAACTCAGCAACGCTTTGCTTGCGCCTGGACTGATCGGTATAGAGAACACTAGATCTTCTAATCTCATGCTCGTGAGTGCCCTCATCTTTGTGTTCGGCCATGGCTGTTGCTGTTGTTGACTAGAATTCGGGGGACGCGAGAGAGGATGTGGAAAGGAAGAGAGTGTATGGCTGTGTGTGTCTGGATAAGGTCGGACAAGTGAACTTTTGAGAGGGGCATGAGGAAGCATACAGGGTGAGACGTGCCAGGGCCCACGAGGCCTTTTTTGAAGCAAGGTGCGATCTTGGGAACACGGCATGGGCAAAGGGCGAGCTAACGATGGTCCTGAGGAGACTTGAGCTTTTCGACTTGCTCCTTGCGTGACTCGCGCCTTCTGATCGGAGATGGTGGCGTCGAGGCCAGTCTGATTCTCCAGACACCAAGACCCGTCGGTGAAGCCATGATACCCTGTGGCTGGCTTCGTCGAGCTGGTCAAATGAGGGGAAGGGCGTTGAGTAACGCTGTTGGCTTGAGCTCCCCTGCGGTTGTCCCAGACCGGGGTGATTGACTGGAGAGTTGCCGCATCACACGACGACTCGACCAGGCCAGGAGGTCGTTCTGCTGTACACCAGGGTGTCAGAAGTCCGAAATGCTTGTCCGAGGTGGATAAGGCCACTAGGCAGGACTGCCCGGTATGACAGTGGGCAAATTGGAACGATGGACAGAGACGCTGAGGGCCTTTAGCGTGCATCCCCCGCCATCGGCGTCAGTGGCGTCGTCCATGTTGATGTCTGTGCACCGTTCGCTGCTCGTTCTCGCAGGAGGAAGATGGTCAGTGTTGTTGACTGGAAGACTCGGAGCATTCGTGAAAGTCGTGGTCCTGTCCGAGGGTGCATTGTACAAGGTACTGCGAAGTCCAGACAACGTAGAGTTGCTTCGCCAAAGCTTGGATGAAATTTACTCAAAGTCAAGCAAAGCTTACACCAAGACTTTTTTGCTGGTGGAGTGTTTTTGGCCTTGTGGCTTGTTGGCTTTTGGCTACTTGTACCACTACCGGGGGATTTGCAGCTAAAAGGCTCCGCTCGTGGATCCTCCCCAGAGAGGCGTTTAGGTGCTATAAGCCTATACACTACGGAGGACACTGGACGGGGCCCCCTAGAGACTTCAGATGCTACCTTGGAGGGACTCGATATTGAGGCACTGTCCGCCCACCGACACCCGCCAGAAGCAGCTTATGGGGCAAACACCGCATTTCCCAGGGACTCGAGAGACTGTCCTCCCTCCTGTTTTAGCCTTGGTGACTTGACGTGGCGGTCCAGGATACGGACATGGTGCTCGCAGTCGAAAGCGGCCCAGTACGAGACTGTTGGCTTCGTCGTCAACGTCAGGCGTCCAGCCAAGTTTGCCCGTCCCAGGCAAAACCTTGAGAACACGAGAGTCGGCGAGTCCGTGACCGAAAACGGCCCAAATAGTCTGAAATATTACACTGCACGACCTCGGTAAGTAGCTGGGCGTCACCAGGCTGATTCTTGTGCCGATCATTCCATTTCCCCATACATGGCGAGTACAATAGACCACGGCTTACTTTGGTCTCCACCGGAACTTGTACTCTTCTGTACTCGCACACCAGGCCATCAGCTGATCAAGGACTCTGGGACTATGCAGGTCTTGCCTTGATTGCGTGCTCACTTTCTTCGCCTGGAGACCCAGATTCCCTCCCCTCGTATTCCTCGACAGCCTCGTCTCGAGATCCCCCAGTCCCTTCTCGAAACAGTCAACTCTACCCGAGCATTTTCCCACCCCATGTCAGCGGGATGTAACTGTACGGTTGCCTTTCTCAGCAGATCGGCCATCGAAAAGCATGTCGATATTTCCATCTGCTTGCCTTGGATCCCAATTTGCCGATCTAGCCGATGAAGAAACCTCAACTGGAAAGCACCTGATTACAAAGCGGGAGCCATCTGACTGTCAAAATGGGATACTCAGGGTTAATGATGTGCCTATCATGAAGAACCGGCACCCAGAAGACGGTAAGAGCATGTGGGGGATTGTTCCCCTTTTGACTATGAGGTGACCTTCACAGGGAGTCCCGATACGACAACTGGGCTTCGCACATGGGGGGCAGTCCACGACGATTGACCAAGTCTCTGGGCGGCGGACTGCAGCTCACGCAACGTTAAAAGATATACGCGAGGTGCATTAACCCCTTGAAAAGGAAACCCAAAGGCAGAGTTCCAGAACGCATGCAACCTTTCTTTTTTGGTAACCATAGGTACATAGGTACTTACTACTTACTTACCTGGAATAACAAAGTATTCAGACCTACTTAGTTACTTCCCTGCCACCTTTCGAATGGCGGCCACAATGTCATCAGGACCGAGTCCCTGCTCGTTGACTTGCTCATATAAACCGCCACTGCCCTCCTTGCGCGCGCCCATGGACAGATACTTGGGAGCAAGGTGACGCTCCAGCAGATGAGTGCCCATTCGGGATCCAAGACCGGTCTTCTGTGCGATGGATTCGACCACGAGCACAAACGGCGACGAGCCGTAGATCTTGAGCGAACCCTCGTCGACGGTGTTGAGAGTCGGCTTATTGACGAGGCCAACATCCAGGCCGTCTTCTCGCAGTCGCTCGACGGCGTCCAGCGACCGGTACACCATGTCTCCGTAGGTGACGACGTAGCCGGCCGACCCTTTGCGGATGAATTCGTCCTTGCCAGGAACAAAATCATAGCCCTGGCCGTACAGGGGATCCTCGGTGCCTTCTTTGTAGATGAGCGGCAGCTTGGAGCGAGTCGAAAAGATGAATCTCAGGCCCTTTTGGAAAAACACCTTTTGGACGACCGCCTTCATCTGCTCAGCGTCTGCAGGGAAATAGAGCGTCGTGCTCTCGGCGTCCATGAGTCCGTTGTCGGCGAAGAAGTGGTTCAGGCCGAAGTGGCACGTGTTGTCGGCTATCTCGTCGACGCCACTGTGGGAGAAGTGAGAGAGGACAGAGCAGTTGTTCAAGCGAGCCATGGTGACCTCGGAGATGATCATTTCAAGGAACGCCGAAAAGGTCGAGAAGACGCCCTGGATCGAGCCGTCACTGCCGAAGCCGAAGCCAGCGGCCGCCGAGAAGTTTCCACGCTCCATGACGCCAGAAGGGACAAAGACTTCGGGATGCTTCTGGTGGATGGCCTTCAGACCCGTGGAGCCTTCCAGGTCCGAGTCGATGACCATGACGCGCCGAGCAGCTTCATCCTTGCTCAGGCCATCCAGCACTGCGTTGACTGCCTCGCCAAAGACCATGCGGTTGGCTATCTTGTCCTTGGACGACCCTCGGTACTTCCACGGATTGCTCCTCGGTTTGATGTCGTCGTAGAAGGCGAGTTGCTCCTTGCTGTAGCCTCTGCTCGTAAGGTACTTGCGCGCCAGCTCAACGGGGATGACATCGTGCGCCTTGACGGAACCTTCCAAGCCTTCGATGTGTGGAGCCATGTTCCGGTCGACGATCAGAGCCGCAGGGCCGGTGTGTGTCAGCACCTCGCAAACCTTTGGGTAAAGCGAGTCAAGGTCTTCTCCGTTGGCGCGGACAACGTGCAGGCCGTGACCGGCCAAGGTCCGCCCGATCTCATAGCCCTTTAGATACTCCGAGGGCTTTGCGGCGATTGTGACATCATTGTTGTCGACAAACACCTTTATGTTGAGATTCCGAGCCACTGCGATGCGTGCGGCTTCGGCGTCGTTTCCTTCCTGTTGGGAGCCGTCGGAGCCGAGGAGAAGAACAGTCTTGTCCTTGTTCTTCATGGCGACGCCGTTGGCCATGGCCCACATGTGGCCCAGGCGACCTGAACTGAACTTGATCCCTGGCGTCAAGCCCAATTCTGGGTGTCCGGGGAGTTTGGAGCCTGCCTCGCGGTAGTCCAGTAGATGGTCAGGGGCGATGTCCCCATTGAGTGCCGCGAGAAGGTACTGAGTCGCGACACGGTGTCCGGCTTCGTCGAAGAGAGCATCAACGAATTTATCTGGGTTCCCGTTTATCATGGCGAGCAGGATGCACACCTCGGGAGCGGTGTCGAAGGGTCCTCCTGTATGGCCGGCCACCCCACGCGCCGCCCCCGTGGCTGTGAAAGCGACAATGGCATCACGGAAGATGTCGATGTTGTGCTGCAGATCCTGCTTCTGCTGCGGACTAAGTTGGCTGTTCCCAGGGTCGAGGGAGAGCTTCTTGAACTTGGAGAGGTCGACAGGTAGCTTAGCGTTGTTGACCATGTTGGCGCGTAGGGGGTCAGAACGGGTAGTGATGGGAGGTATCGAGGAATTTGAGGACACGAATTCGAACACTCACTGTCTGAAGAGAATTTAAAGCAGATGGAGTGAGTTCCTACCCACCTTGAGAGATGCTGAGTCAAGGCCATGATGAAAGTAGAAAACAGCCATGATTCAAGGGCAACGTCATTTGCATGGATTCTCACAGGGATTTCTATTTCCGGCTTCCCGGAAGGCGATGTGAGTCCTCGTACTCGTAGAGACACACCTGAAGAAGAATTGCACAAACGGACCGGGACCGGTGTCGACCTTGCAGCCGTGGTGCTGTTTGTCCTCCTCGTCCAATCCTCGTCCAAGAAGAGAAGTGTAAAGTGCAAGCACGGATATATGTTGATCGGCGCCCGTCTTGAAGCCATATTCACCCCGCCTCCATCTCGATTTTCGTACCGCCTCAGAGGGACAGCATAGCCTAGACTTCCACACATCATCGCTTGTTGTACTCTGTCGCTCGTGCTCGTCGTTATGTCGCAAGCCTTGAAAGAAATTCGAAGGACGGCATGCGAAGCTGTCTCTGACAGACTATAGCTCGAGGACGGACTAACTAACGCCACTGTACCCGCATCCATCGCATCCCGGCGATCCTGCAAAGTACTATCTTACTTACCTAACTACTCGTGTCAGTGGTGCTGTATGCGTGCACCTGTGTGCTGTGTACTCCATGACTAGTTACTTGATTTACTTAGTGGACTTTCACATGCTTATACGACCTCCGGACAAATAGTCAGTTCCTTATCATCGCACGCACTCCGCCGCGCCTCTACCCAGATGGCCGTTTCGAGACTTGTTGTCCTTCTGCATGTACTTATCCGGACTCACAGACCTCTCAATCTGACATTTAAAAATTGCGGCTTGAATCGCCGGTAAAACGACAAGACGAACGGCAATGTCTACGCCGGGTGCGCGAGCGGGTCTGGAGACCTTTGACGACCTCAACATCGAGTACGAAAACGCCTATCGCGACAACGCATTCAAGGTGGCGTGCGTGAGAAAAGCCATCTCCCTCGTGCCGCCGGGCTCTCGCGTGTTGGACGTGGGTTGTGGCACAGGCATCCCCGTATCCCAAATGCTGGCCGAAGCCGGACTCCAAGTCGTCGGGTTCGACATCTCGCCCAAGATGATCGCGCTCGCTAGTACACGAGTCGAGGGCTCCTTCAGTGTCTCCGACATGCTCCAGTACCGACCCCAGGGCGACTTTGCTGCCGTGTTTATCATCTTTGCACAGTTGCAGTTGTCGTATGCCGATTTTCATGCCGCCGCCTACAAGTTCGCGCGGACCTTGGTGCCTGGCGGCGTCTTCGTCATCGGCCAGATGCCGGCGGACAAGTACGTGAAGAATATAGCCGACTACGACGAGACGGGCACTTTCGTGGAGGACTATGACGCGCCGTTCATGGGCGAACCCCTGCCGACTTTCATGCTCAGCGCACAGGGCCAGCGAGATTTTTTGGCTTCAATGGGCCTGGACATCGTCAGCGAGACGATCGATATGTTTCAGCCAAAGAACCCGAAATGTGATCCGGAGGAGCAGCAGTATATAATTGCCAAAAGGACGAGTGGCGCACCACTCCAGCCGCCAAAACCGCTGCCCAAGTAGGTTCTAAAGACTATTGTAGATATGAGTCTTGACACAGATTGGCAGAAAGGCAGGAAGGCCTCGGGTTTGTTACGTTGGAAGCCCGTAGACTAAAGATCCAGGGGTCCTCAATGGACATCTTGCCCACCATCATACGATGTATCGGGGTGGTGGCTTTTTGGACAAGCTACTTCCACTAGATCTTCATCTCTCGGCGGCGATGCCATTGATTTGCCCTTCAGTGGACAAGAAACTACAGAACTGCTTCGGATAGCCGAAACGCTTCCCAGAGCCACACGTAGTGACTTCTCACTCAGTACGTGCACTGTCATTAGCGATTGCTTTTGAGACGTGCTCCACCTTCACAGGTTGATATTGCTGCGAGGGAACTGCAGCTGCCTTGTGTTCTTTTACAATGTCGAGTTTTTCATCACCAAATTCACGAATGAACGTCCGCGTGTTCATAGTTTTGGCTTGCAACCCTGTGCTTTCCTGCTTATATCGCTCCACAATCACCGCTCGGCCGACACTGGTCTGCTGCAGCAGTGACTTCAAAGCATGGAAAGTCGATCTTCGTGTGACACACATTATTAATGCCACGATGAGAACGCAGCTGTACAGAGCCAGAACAACAATGGCCAATATTGCATAGACGAGGTGGTATCGAGTCACGACGCCGTAGGAGAGGACTTCCACGGTCGCCGTGTCAGGCACATGCTGCTCTTGGCGCTGGACATACGTCGTCGTGCTGCTGAACTTGGAATTGAGCTGGCCTCTGGAAGAGGTGATGTAATTCGCCGTGATGTCAGTCCAGATCAATCCGAGTATTTTCTCGGTGCCCTTCTCACTGTATCAGAGAGTTAGCATGAACAGCTTCTGGGAAAATGCTGTAGAGGGCCCTACCTCTTCGAGAGTTCTTGCCACTTCCGCTTCAAGGGTAATGAGAATTGGCCCGAAAAATCCGGAACCTGTGTACTCACACCACCGAAGACGCTGTAGAGTATCGCGAGGACGCTGATTGGGGCTTCACATCCCAGCGAGTCGGAAGATGACAAGCTGCCTAATCCCAACGCGGCAGATCCAGCAGGGAGATACATGTAATCGCGACGCATGGTCCACAGGGCAGGATTGTGTTCGTGTTCGTCGCCGACGAGACCCCAGATTGGTTGAATATCAGACAAATTCCAGCCCTCTGTCTTTTCGACAGCCCAAAGAGGCGTCGTTGCATTTGATTCATATGTCTGAGGTTTGGCGGCTTTCACAACCAACTTGTCTAAAGACGTACCATTTGTGAAAAAGGTAACATTCATGATGAATGCCCTCACTGACGTCGAGCACGAGTACAGGGGTGCGCTATAATTTGTCCCTGGATCAAATCGGCCCCCGGAGTCGGTCGCGTCGATGTTGTAGAATGCACCAAGTACAGCTCCGCCGTGATTAGCAATGTGAGAAATGTTTGCCTGGTCTTCGCCTCCAAATCCTTGAGTAACCAGGCCTACAGATATCGTGTTAGCTTACTCGAAAGTCGGTGCAAAGACGGGACATTACATACCAATATTTTCCATCAGAGACAAGTTTTGACGGGGATCTGTGTCGATATACACGCCAGGTATACCGCTATCAAACGAACCTGTCCTTGCTACGCCAGGCTCAAAATACGAACCGGGAAGGAGAAATTTCCTGCCAATGGAGCTTGGGTGGTTTTCGGAAACATTCAACTGGGCACGGAGGTTGAAATTGGTCAATACTGCTCCTTTGTGAGCTCGTCCATAAAGTTGTGGTACCAGCTGTGTCTGGTTCAGATCGATGTACGGATAGTCCTTCTGCATGTGAACGAGTCCACCTTGGTCAACGAGATAAACCTCGTCACTCGAACCACCAAGGGACGCAATCCTGAACTCAAGAGACAGATTGTTGGTCACACACACAGATTCAGGCTCCAGCCACAAAAGATTCTCGCTCCATTCTGCACCGGAGTGGGCGTCAAGCGGGATGGTATGATTTCTGAATCCGAGACCGCCATTTTTCATGTCTGCAACAATCCCATCTCTTACAACAAAATCGTTGGCGAGCACGATCATGTCGCCGTATTGGATATCCCCAACGCAGCGTTTCTCATAAAGGTCAACCTTAGGTTCGAAGCCGGTGGAGTTTAGCAGCACGCTATCCTGCTTCTTTTCATCGCGTTCGAGAGTATACGACCTGTACTCGAGGTCGAAAGGAGTAGCTACCGTGGATCGATCGCCGTCACGACCACTCGAGAAAATGGCGCTAAGGTTTGAGGGGATCACCGAGCTTATGTACGCATCGTCAGAATCCCAGTTGATGTACGACCCAGAGATGTTCTGAGTAATGTAGAAACCATGATCTTGACCAGGACATGACATCCAGGTGAAAAAGCCGCACATGCGGCTGGTGTTGTAGTCATCTCTCGACAACGTGGTTTGTCCAATAGGAGACGTATCTTGCGCGGATGCAAACACACCTGACTGTGTCGACGTCGCAGCAACCTTAGAGTAGAGCCCGAGTGGAGTGACAACCGCAGCTATTGCTAGAAGTAGAAGCCCCAAGGTCGAAAGTGTCGAGAGAAAGACCACTCTTTTGCTGACTTTTGATGTGGCAGCGCCGTCGGTCCTCAATATCGATGGCCACCAGGACCCTCAATCACCAATTTCAGTTTTCAGCTTGATTTGAAGTTGAAAGGAGTGTATTTACCATTTAGAAAACGGCCGGTGACTGTCCTGCCCGCGTTTAGTGGAATGTCAACCCAAAGGACGCACACTCACCAAGTGATGGCGTTGCTAGACTCTGGGGCAAGTCCTGCCAAAATGTATACCAGGAGCAATGGGAAGGTGAGTTGTACTCAGGATTGTCAGTGACAGAGCCTCAACTTGCAACGCACTTACAGAACACGACTCCCACGTTGATAACGCCCGCGACCTGTCCCACGCTTAAAGCCATACCGAACACAACAGTGTTGTTAGAAAGGTTAGCGAACAAAGCTGAAGCAGGCTGTATGGGGAGCCTTCCAAGTTCATGCCTATATCTGTTCCAATTTGGCACTCACATAACGAGCATGCAGACACTCCGCCCTTGAGGCTCGTCAAGCGCCAATTGTCCCTCCTTGGCGCAGTGGGATTGTAAAGACAGCTCAATGATTCGCTGGGAGACCGAATACGATGCCTATTGCAAAAGCGACGTGGTCTAAAGAGTCTTTAGTCCATGGTACTGGACCGGGGTGGGTAATTTGGAGGCTGAGGCTTGTGTGTCTGACTTGGACCACCAGATGGTTACTGTAGCTCGAAGAGACCCCTGTTCAGCACACAAATTGCGATACATCATGGAGAGTGTCCACATAGAACGCTCAGGAAGGCCAGAGCCACTGCATGCCATGCAAGTCTCCGCGAATGAGGTGATGCTTTGTTGTATGTCAAAAGTCTGGCTAGCAGCCTCAACAGGGTAGATGCCTGATGGCGTGGGGGCGAATACTTGGCAAAGATCTCAATACCCCTGTCTCCAGCCTGGACTGTCCTATACAGTACGAAACCGGTGGCTTGGAAGCTGGAGGCTCGGAGTACCCCGTACCGTCTGGCCATTCTCGGTAGATGCTGGGGGGGATCGACATTGGAACCGCTCCTGAGGATCTCCCGTCTGTTACATTTGCTTGTCTGGTTCCGTGACACAGAAATGGCTTTTCTCTGATCTCGGCGCATGAGACACTGAGACGGAAGTCATTGGAATATCGGCTGTCCGCAAGGTCACACTGTGGTTACTTTCTCTCCAAGCTAGCCACGATCCGGATGTGTATGATACTTGTCCCCTGAGCAAGTTTGGAGATCTAAAGATGGCACCCATGTTGATACTGTCGATGGTGATTTTCTTCTCACCCATCCTCGTATCTTCTCAGACAGACACCATCACAAGTGCAGCATCTTCAACCGCTCTCTTTCCTCCGTCTGGCCTGGATTGTTGGGCTGAACCTTCTGGTGTGTGTTTGACAGCAAGTTATATTCAGCACTCATGTCTCGCGTACAGCACCTTCATTGATGATCTGTATGGCTGTGAGTGCTCGAACCATTATGACTCCGCATGGACCGCGTAAGGAATCTAGCAAGATTGTTTTATGGCAGCAGCACTGACCATTGTGCGAAGGTGTTCTCTGTGTCAATCCTATTATAACACGACGACTTGGGGTGACACGCAAAAGACTGATGCCGTGGTCGCTCAGTGCCCCTCGATACTTTCAAAGCTGAGTGCTGCCGCGGCAACCAGAACCAGCTCGTCGGTCGGACCGAGTTCAGCAGATGCTACAGAAGCATCCGCCCCTACGACCACGGTGGTTTCACAGACATCAATCGCAGGCCAAGCAACGGCCACTCCGAGCACAAATGCTGGACAACATCAAAGGAACGGCGGAGCAAGCTTACTGGAAATCGGAGGGGTAGCCATAATGATCTTGGTCATATAGAATAGGATTGCTGGCCAGGAGAAGTCTGGCGCTCGACCCAGGAGAATTCCAGACAGACGGGCGGAACAGTAAAACGGCTGATATTGCTTACCAAGACGTTGATGGCTGCCCTCCGCGGGTTAGCTAAGAATCACCCAGGCATAACTCCCGACGTGTTAGATGTCGAATTTAATGGTAGAATCGTTGTCGAGAGCACATGCGTTCAAATGATCACCCTGCGCGCCCATAACGCGTCGAAAGAATGACGAGCCTCGGCATTTCCCTGCAGATCCCTGACTGGAGGTTGCCTCACTAGTCTAACTGCGCCATAAGCCCAGTTAATGGTGGACATTTGACTACACCGACAACCCACACCCTTGAGAGCACCTGCAATGGTATAACTATCCATCTTTATTCTCCTTGGTCTCTGTACCGCCAATGTGAGAAAAAGATCAATACGAAACAAGTGCCTTCTGCCCAACATGGCTGCACCGCCGGAAATCACATGCACCAACCTCTCGGGCAAGTTCGTCATGGTCGGTCTCCTCCCCGTTGCGCTCTTTCAGCCTTCAGCCTGCTGATATGAATCAGAACAAGGCCCTGTCTGACGACTTCGACTCTGTGCTAGCTTTGCAGGGCGTGAGCTGGCTCACCCGCAAAGCCATTGGTTTCGCTACCGTTGTTTTAACCATCAAGGAATACAGTGAAGACTCGATCTACCACATTGACATCACTTCCGTGGCCTCAGGGCTCTCAACTACGCAAGAGAATCGCACACTCGATTGGAGCGAGAGAGACCATACCGATAGAATCTTCGGCCATGTGCGAGGCAAATCTCGAATGTTTAAGACAGGCGAATATCAGATGGAAGGACCAGGGTCGCCAGAAGACGCTGCCTTCCTCCAGGCCGAGAAGCTCAAGGATGGCAAGACTGATTCGACGTTTCTCGACAACGAACACGTCCAGAGCTGGGTAAAGAGCGTTGATGGAGGGAACTGGATTGCTGAACAGATCTGGGGATTTGAAGAGGTCGACGGCCAAAGAAGATATACTCGGCGTGTGCTTGTGTGGAAAGACGGGAAAGAGCAACGAGCCCGGCTTGTGTACGACTACAAGGGACAAGCTGCGGATGAAAACGCTGCCGGAGACGACGATCTGGCATATGGCGAGGAATGAGTGACGGTCACTGTCAGAAGCTCGAGAAGGTTATGAACTAGGTTGCAATCCAACAGCTCGTTCCCGTTAAGCAATTACAAGCCTTGCCAACAGCGCATGACAAGATGTAGTTAGCGCTCACGCTCTCATAGCCACCATTCGGACGAATACCATCGTCGTTCATGTCCCCCTTTACTATTGATGATAGTTTCGACCCAGTAGATAGCAGGAAGAGACTATTCCTATCGACCCCGTATGACGTATAAGGTTGACGTATGAGGGAAGCGTCGTCTCCATGTCTCTAGAAGACAAATAAAACTTAAAGAAGAACTTACATTTCTCAGACAAAATGTCCCGGTGTCGCCCCGTATGCCCGTATGTCCCGCACAATTATTTTTCCGCACCGTCGAGGCATTTACGTTTAGAGTTTAGCGTCTTCGCACAACGAGGCTCAGGCGTATGATACGTCCCTTTTCGGCTCAGAAAGCGTGATTTATGTGCACTGGGAAATGCCTCAGACAAAATCACGCGGCTCAGACAGAGCAGGATGGATTTCCATGGACGAAACCTTGATCTTCGCTGACGTGCTGACTGACTCGTATAAGACTTCGCCTCCCTCTCGGGGATCTTGGGCGTGACAACAGACACATCATCAAAACACATCACCCCATTTTATCGTCAAACGACGTTCAGTTCAGGTCTCAATCTCATCAAAGCATCTAATACAAGCACAAGCATAAACACAAGTACCTCTACTTTGACTCACATAGACGACTATCACTCGCCACTATTCAATAACAGCAACAAAATGCATTTCCTCGGTCACAAGCATAGTCAACAAGAGGGTGCAGAGGCTCAACCTCGCCGATCCTCTGTTCGTGATCTTCAAGCGAGAGCATATGCGAAGTGGGTGATGGAGACATCCATTCCACGAAAGCACCACACAAGCAGTTTCGAGGCCGAACGAGCCCGACGACATTCAGTGGCAGAGGATCAGGAACTAGTCATGAGGACGTAAAGTGAGGAAGATTCCTTGAATGCTGGAGTTGGTTTGTTCTTTGTTCCGGAATGGAGTGAGGTCTATCATCAAGACTGATTCCAGCCCCTGGTTTGCTTCTTGCACCTGTCTAATAAATAGTTTTATTCCTGATGTACGAAGCACGGCTCCGTACCTGGGGGGCATGCATAGTGTAATCACGTGGTGTTCTTACATAACCGGGCTTCTCCAAATCGAAATCTCCGACTTGTACCACGCATGTTCAGGCTTGTGCTTTTTCGAGAGGGAAATTCTAGACTCACTGCCTCGTTTCCCATCATCCGCGTTTCGCTTCGTCGCCTTTCTCTTTCGCTTCGCAGACTGTACTTTAATTCATCGACATAGCCTCTCTTTACGTCAGATTCGCGATCCCCTCGCTGCTTCTGGCTTTGCGACGTTCATGACCTTTTCTACGGCTACTCCGAAGCCTTTTCCGGGTTTACAAAAAGGAGAACAAAACTTATTACCACAGGCTCAAGAAACTGGGCAGGTGGTACCAACCGGGCACACTGATGATGCCACATCGGTGACCAAAGAGAAGCCTGTGGCTAAGCCATGGGCTCATTTCGTTGCAGGAGGGTTTGTCACATCCCAATCGATGTGTAGGGTTTTGAAGTGTCACTAACCATTTTTTATAGAATTGGTGGTATGACTGCAGCCGCGTTGACCTCTCCCCTTGATGTCCTGAAAACGCGACTACAATCAGATTTCTACCAGGCACAATTACGGACGCTTCACGCGCAGCACCATTATCCCAAAAAGACCACACTCACCTCTATCCCTCGATCCGCATTCTTCCATATTGCAGAGACTGTACAAATATTACGATCGATATATCAACATGAAGGATTCCGAGCATTATTTCGTGGGCTCGGCGCCAACTTGATCGGCGTAGTCCCTGCGCGGAGCATCAATTTCTACGTCTACGGAAATGGGAAGAGAATCTTGAACAATTACTTCAATCCGGAGGGGCGAGAGAATGTCTGGAGTGTCCATCTTGCAGCAGCCGCTATTGCTGGAATTGCCACGGGTACGGCGACCAATCCGATTTGGCTTGTGAAGACGAGACTACAGTTGGACAAGAACCATGCAAGTAATGATCCGACACGTGGGAGACAGTACAAGAACAGCTGGGACTGCATCAAACAGACCGTAAGACACGAGGGCATAAGGGGACTTTATCGAGGTCTATCAGCGTCATACCTGGGAGTGACAGAGTCCACATTGCAGTGGGTTCTCTACGAACGATTAAAGCTCTCACTTGCCCGACGTGAAGCCAAACGCCTGAACACGCCAGGATACGTGCGGACATGGCTGGACGACACCGAGGAATGGGCAGGAAAATTTACAGCAGCCGCTGGTGCCAAGGGTATAGCTGCCGCGATCACGTATCCTCACGAAGTCGTTCGCACGAGATTACGGCAGGCCCCGACTGTCATCACCGAAACGGGGAAGGCGACTGTCAAGTACACGGGGCTTGTACAGTGCTTCCGGCTGGTTGCGAAGGAAGAAGGTATGGCAGGGCTGTATGGAGGCATGACGCCACATCTGCTCCGAGCGGTGCCTAGTGCTGCGATCATGTTTGGAACGTGAGTACATGTTGGAGAATCTACTTTCACCAATTGCTAATTTGTGAGCCAGATACGAGATCATACTCCGATTGTTCGGGACGACGTCGTAATGGCACTTCTCTTCTTCGACTCATGACGAACTGTACATCAATCGAATGCCATTGACTAGCTCAGTGTGCAGTCTGATGGTGGCTGTGGTGGTGTCATATTAATGTCCAAAAAATCTCTTCTCGGGGTTTGGCGCAGCCTTAGGATTAAGGAGACGCGAAAGACTCCGTGTATCTCTAGGAAAAGCGCTTGATACCCTCCTCCAACCCCATGTCATCACATCATGTACAACATAAGACATTGTATATCACTCGATCACAAACCAACTAAATCCCATAATGCCCATCGGCAGGCTTGTTATTCCCTAGCTTGATTTAAACAACTGAATCGATGTATTCTCGAACTGTCGCTCCATGGACCGGTACTTTGACCATCACGTGACTCTTTATTTACATGTTCCGTTCTGGGATGCGTTCCTCGTTCCGTAGAAAGAAAGTAATTCGTGATCTCAACCCGCGACCACGATCAGCGACCACGACCAGCAGCACCGCCGTCGGCAACATACATTTCCACGATTCGACTTGGATAGCAAGGGTATCGAGCGTCACGAATACGGAAAAAGCAAAATGTCATCTAGTCTCGATTACGCCTCGACGCTCTCGGCCGTCCGCGCCCAGCAGGCCGAGAACCCACTCTCCATCCTCGCGCTGGCCGAGCCCATGACGGCGTCACAGACGGAATTCTTTTCATCCGGGCGCAGCGCGACGAGACAGAGGCAATCAGACGTCTCCTCCACCAACAATGCCTCGACGGACACGGGCATGGCCGACTCGCTCCAGCTGACGCCCGCGTCCCTCGCGGCCGACCTGGCGCACTACAAGGACCTCTTCTCCAAACTGCGCTTCAGCTACCTCGAGCAAGTGACCAAGGAGAAGTACCTACGGAGCATCGTGGGCGACCCGCCCAGCGTCGTGGGCCACGAGGAAAACGCGGTGCTCGAGGTCCGCCTGGGCGCCATGAAGGCCGAGCTCCAGGACAAGAAACGCGGCGTCGACGCGCTCGTAGAGAACATGGAGGCGCAAGCGAGGACGTTGGCGGCAGTGTACGAAGACGTGAATGCCAAGATCGCCGTCCTGGAGCGCGCGAACCCCAATGTCGACAGGTTGCGCGCCGAGGTTGAAGCGCTGCGACGCGAATTGGTCCAGAGACAGGAAGGAGGAGAGGATGGGGACACCATCAACAACAGCCGCAACAACAGCGCGAACGCGAGAAAAAGAAGAGAACGTGATGATCCTCGCATGAATTTGAGTCTGGATGAGACGGCGAGGGCGCTCGAGGAACAGAACGCCCGCATGGCGGGAGTCGAGGAGCGCATCGACGCGCTGGAGAGGGACATCCCCTCTAAAGTCGCCAGGCTGGAGGAGGTGGACCGCGAGTTGGCCGAGCTAGATCGCAGAAGGAACGAGAGCGTCAGGCTTGCCGTCGAGGGGAAACGGAGGAAGGAAGCAGGTGGAAGGGATGAGGTTGAGGAGTTGGGGAAGTGGTATCGTTGTCAAGAGGTCGTGATGAAGGGGTTGGGGTTGGATGTGAACGAGTAGCGGATGGTGGTCACCGTCGTAATGAATTTTATGCCTGGTTGCTCTCGGGTTAATGGGATGCTTTATGGTTGCGAGCATGGGTATGGCGGGACATGAGTGGTATGGGACGCGTGACCCTCAATGACATGATATGACGGTACCTCATAAGGAGTTTTTGGAGTTTCAAGAATTTGGGCATGGGAGTACTGAAGTGCTGGAGTCATGGAGAACGTCCTGAAGGATCGAAGCATCAAGTTTCAGGAGCGCTTCGTGAACGACCGAATGACGGGATGACTTTGTAAGATTATGTACCTACCGGGAGAAGACAGCGGTTTGCGATTTTCACGACGAGAAAGTCTAGAAACTAAGTTCCCAGAAACGCAAAGGAGAATAATGACAAGAACAAGAACAAGAAACAAAATACTCGATGGTAGATGTTGTGGATTGCTATCTACCAAAGCAAGCTGAAATTGTCATCAGCCGCCCGACGTTTGGAAACGCCTTTTTGGACAATTTTGACAAGGGAGAGAGCATCCCGACTCACTGGGTCGAGGTGGTGGTTGTGGTTCTTCTCCTGCATTTGGGGAATTTCTGCAGCCATCAATGATTCATCTGCCTGCGTTTTCTTGTTCGTTTTGTCATCTTGCCAATATCTCCCATCGGAACATGACTTGGCAGCCAAAATGAGAGGACCTCGGGATAGAGACACCAGATCGATCAAGCACCGTAACAGCAAAAAAAGCTGACCGTTGCCGGACTCGTTGCATCGTCTACTCCTCGTCCTCGCCACCCTCCTCGTCACCCTCCTCCTTGGACTCGGCGGCTCTGGCCTTCTTTCTCCTAACGCGACCAGGACGGCCACCGCCAAAGGGACTCGTCAGGGCGAAGTCGATGTGCTTCTGGCTGTCCAGTCGGACGATGAAGCTGGGGACGTTGACGATCTGCTTGCCGACGCGGATGTGACGCTGCTTGATCAGGACACGGGCGTGGTGGATGGACTTGGCGAGGCCGAGCTTGTAGACGCAGGTCTGGAGGCGGCGCTCCAAGAAATCCTCAACCTTGAGCGCAAGCACGTAATCGAGCTTCATGCGGGATTCGTCGAGCACACCGACACGGACGAGACGTCGAATCAAGGCATTGCCTTCGAAGAGACGCTTGGGGTCCTTTTCGTCGAGGGTGAGAAGTTGACTGTAATCAATTGCAACACGTCAGTTTTCCCTCTTCTTTCTTTTTCATCTTCCACTTTTTCCTTCTTCTTCTCTCCGTGAATTCTCCTGCGAGAGAGAGAGAGAGAGAAACACAAGATCGAAGCAGATATTTTGTAGAGTAGAAGGGGGGGATTTTTCATACCGAGCAGCACGACGAATCTTGGACAGGGTAAGCTGGACACGCCAGACTTCACGCTTGTTGCGCAGACCGTATTCGCCGACAATCTTCAATTCAGAGTCTCTATTCCAAGCGACACACACAATGTTAGACAAAGGGATATCTCAGACATGAAGCACAGTCAAGCTAGTGCTCAGTGGCCAGGATATAAAACGTACAGACGAGCCGACTCGAATGCTAGAAGGCGCAGGCAGATCGTTAGCTGATTGATTCTCTATTTTCCCTTCGACTTTCCAACGAACGCAAACAAGGATATCACACGCAACATCATCACAACGCAAAGGTTGATCCAATGGGGCGGTGTGCTGGGGGACGGCGGGACTTACGTCGACGAGGGACCTTGTAGGTCTTGGAGTAGGATCGTGGCGCCATGATTGCGATAGATCCTGCGCAACGTTTTGAGGCTGTTGCAAGTGGTTGTCTTTCTTGTCGTGGGATGGAAAGGAAGACGGTTTTCGCAGTTTTGTGGGTGCGTGAAAACGAAACCGACTAATGGTGCCGCCGCCTGCGATTCGCGAGAGCGCCCAAAAAATGCCAAGACCGCACACACAAAAATCGATTTTCGACTAAACTGCCTGTTAGACTCACCATGTGTGTGTGCCCACTGGTCCCCCCCAATTGCGCTTGGTCTTGGCACATTTTTGGGGCCTGCGCCCAAACCACCACACTAACACCTGCGAGCAACGTCGAAATTCAATCCCAAGCCGACACAACCACCAACCGAACGACAACTTCCCTGCCGTCTCGACATAATCCATCGCAATGGGTCACGCTGCAGGTCTCCGGGCTGGTACGCGATATGCGTTCAGCCGCAACTTCCGCCAAAAGGTACGCCCTCGAATCCGTTGAGAGAGAAGGAAAAAATATGGCGACGACGAGGAGGACGAGGTCACCACCTACAAAGTAGTGATGAATGGATTGACTGACATTTGCGAATTTTGAAAAATTTCTAGGGTATGATCCCTCTCGGCACATACATGAAGACCTACCGTGTCGGTGACATTGTCGACATCAAGGCCAACGGTGCCGTCCAGAAGGGTATGCCGTACAAGGTTTACCACGGCAAGACGGGCGTCATCTACAACGTCACCAAGTCGGCCGTCGGAGTCATCATCTACAAGAAGGTCGGCAACCGATACCTGGAGAAGAGAGTCAACGTCCGTGTTGAGCACATTGCCCACTCGAGATCGAGAGAAGAGTGTAAGTTAAAATCTACAACCAAAAAAGCACAACCACCCACCGACCATCATCACCATGTACCCAAGAAGGGATCTAGAATAACTGACAATCTTTGCTTTTTTCCCCCATCCACAGTCTTGACCCGTGTCAAGACCAACGCCCAACGCCGTCGCGAAGCCAAGGAGAAGGGAGAGTCCGTCCAACTCAAGCGTCAGCCCGTCGGTCCCCGAAAAGCCCACACCGTCGACCTGACCGAAGTCGAGAGCCTTGCTCCTCAACCATACGATACCCACATCTAAACAAAAACCACCGCGCCGTTCGCTTTTCGCTCCTTTCGACTCAAAGTTTGTAGGGAGGGTTGTGAATACGTGTGGGCGTGTGGGATGTGATTGCAGTTTATTTTTTCTCGAGGAAGCGTGCTTACAAAGGTTGACTAGAACCTGGGGCGCGATTGTATCTGGGAGATGAGCAGAACAAGAAGAAACCACGGATGGGGAAATCTGTTCGAGAAAGATCGCACTGGTAACTACTTGCTGGTCGGTCTTCATGGTAGTGTCGATACTGGGAAAATATTTCAGCAAGCCTACCTGACAAGAACAATCATCACGTGCGAGGAAGGAAGAGAGGATGCCTTGAAAACCTTGAGCCCTGCGATGAGGGTCTCTTGTCTACATGGTTCAAATGGTTACGATCAAATACAAAAAGGAATTTCCAAACCATGAAATCATCGTTTTCGATATCCCATGTTGCTTTAGCTCTCGATCCACGGCGTTTTCCATTCTACTCGTCGATCGCAACTTCGTAAAAGTATACTTGAGCCTCTTCACTCAACAAGCTTCTTACAGTCTAAGTGGGTTGCGGGAGACTGTGGTTGGGAAGCGTTACATTTTCTCTGGGCTCCTTTTCTAGTGCCCGATTTCTAGCTGTGCATATGGCTATTCTACAATTCCTGAAAAGGACGTTTTTCGTAGACTGATGAAGAGGGTCAATCCCACATTTCACCTCAGGGGCTCATGCCGCGAAGGTTTGCCATTAGGTTGACATCGCTTGGGGAAAGATATCATAGCATTTCTGAGACATATCCAATCCAGTCCTGGATAGTCGCTGAGCAAGGACCTGCCTTGTCAACATCCGTATCACTGAAAACCGCATCTGTAGAACACGACAAATGCCATCACTTCCGTGAAATCTGGAGGACTCCTCTGAATTGTCGCTGCTGACATCTGCTGCACTTTGTTCAGAAGGTAAAATCTTCGTCTTCATCATCAATCATTCCGAGAGCATTCAACTCATCCCTAGACATCAAGGTCGGGTCCGTAAAGACTTGCTTATTGTTGGCAGCATGCGCGAGCACATGTTGCGTGGAGCTGCGATCGGGGCCTAAACCTCCAGGATTGTCACTCAAACCTTCTGGAGAGAGTATCGAACTAACTGGTTTGACATCATCCGGGCTCGTTTCCGCACTCTCTATGCTGGAAAAGGTAGAACTCGGCATTGGCGAATCTACCGACCCTTTGTCAGGGGTAGACGTTCGTTGTAGCTTTGAGTCTGAAGTGCACAATGTCAACTCTCCAGGAGCTCTCAACGTTGACGATGGAGGCCCATTGCCAGGGAAGCTGCTCATCTCGTTGTCCGACCTCTGGGTTGATGTCGCTCCTAATTGCTGAATCTCTGCCTGGTTCGACTCCAGGACTTCAACCTTGGCTGACACGGTGGGCACCAGAGGATCAGGGAGATGTTCTCCAATTTCGAGCCAATCAATATAACCGTCAGCTTTGTCGAACTTGTCTAGAATAGCCTCGAGTTGCTGCCCATGTTCGCTCAGGGAGTGGTTTTGGTTGGGTTCCGGCATAAAGACTTCGCAAGCAGTACTCCTAGCAATCTTGCCCAAGACGTCTTGTAGTACCCATGGAAAGCTGATGAATGGCACTTCACCCGGAGAGGCGACAGGCTCTCCGTCTCCTTCGAAAATTTCTCTCCTTAGGAGGTAATCTTGCAGCTGATCTCTCGCAAGACGATATGCTGCCACTGCAAAAGGCACCAACTTTTCGAATTCAGTGCCACGTGCCTCGGTAACAAAAGCATCATAATACTGTTGCTTCAAGTTCTTGGAATGCTCTCCAATCTCCTCGTGGAACTTGAAATCTCTTGCAGCTTTGCTATGGTGCATAACAAAGGTCGACCAGACCTCGAATTCCGTACAAATCTGATGCTGTGCCATGATACGACGCATACTCTCGTCATAGTCTTTCTTGAGTTGCCTGACCAAATCCATGATTTCTTGAGGAGGCGAGCTGTGGCGCAGAATGCGTTGATCGAATATACCATCCCAATTTGGCTCAAACTTGACTCTTTCGACGGCATCATATAATTGGCCCAAAATCTTGTGCGAGTGATACTCTCCCGATCTCTTCTTCTCCATGAAGTGCGGGAACTTGGTGCGTTCCAAACCTCGCTGCATTACTGCAGGTACTCCAGTTTTCGGATAGTCAACCGCCATGGAATGAAGCTTGACCAGCTCCAAACACTGTTCACTTCTGACACCTTCGTCAAGATAATCAGCAGCAGCGAGATGAGCATGTGCAATTCTGCCCAAGTAATCATTCTTCATATACTCGCAGAAAAAACCGATGATGTCTTTGGTGGATATCTCATCCTTCTCAAGAGGCTTCGGAGCGTCGTAATCGAAGGGTTTCGCGTTCCACTCGGTAGGAATGAGGTCTGGGTCCCAAATCACCACATAATCATCTCCGTCAAGATCGCCACCAGAGCACATACTAGGTAGATCGCGGTCACCAGTGCTTGGCATAACAAGGACATCGGTCAGATGGTGGAGTTTCTTTTCGTCCACTGCTCTTACGACTCGGATGTCCCCCCGGTGTAAGGAAGGGTTGCGGGCGATGATGCATACACCCTCGACAATGCGGGGTGTCCTGGTATGCTGATCGGTGTATTGAATGAAGATTTCAGGCAAGTTTGAATGGGTTCGGTCCTGTGAATAGCGTTGTTCTTCGCTGTCTGTATAGCCTTTCAGGCTCCCGGTCTCATCTACCACGCCCAGCACGAACGCGCCTTGTTTGACAGGTATTTTAGCCTTTTCTTTGAGGTATTTCAGAGTCCACGCTCTGTAAAGTCGTAGTAGCGAGGTGACAAAAGGATCATTGCTGTGCCTGAATCCAGATTCAACCATAGAGGCGATGCTAAGGGTCATCAAGTTCGGGTCGACAGTGTCGCGCAGCGCGCGTAATGCGCTCTCATCATCGGTCAAAGCCTGATCCAGAGTCCGGATGCACTCCTCCTGTTTATTCAGAAAGACAGCATCCGGCACACCTAAGTGGGACAATACTAGAATGAGCTGACGGTTCAGGTATGGCTGCCAAAATTCGGACACTCGGATGATTTCAAGCTCGTCTGATGTACTATCGAACTTGTATTGGCTTGGTCGGATCTTTATGTCCACATCAGGTAGCGAGGGGTCGACGGCAAGTACTCCCTTGCAGCCACCCATGCGAAACTGAAAGGCTGAAGGGACAGGGCCTTTCAATTTGAGAGTCGAATGAACCAGCTGTGCAGTCAACGGAGAGATCTTGCCGATGCCATCAGTGAAATTATGCCCTTCATTGCAGATATCCGGAAGGGGATGTTTCTTCCACTTGCGATTGATGACAACCGATACTGCTCTGGTGGTCGAAAAACATTGACCCATGCGAGCGGCACGCTTTGCAACCACTTTTTCACGTTCGAAAACGCCCATATCTGAACGGATTGTGTCCGCAGTGATACCATTGGTGGATGCAAAAAAGTAGGCACCATGCTCTCTCAGCTGAGAGTTACCCCAAGCTAGAAAATGATAATGACGGTCCCCGAGAACAATGCCATGGGTAAGTGTGCGCCGAACCTTTTCATGGATCAATGTCATTTTACCCGTCGTGGCAGGGTACAAACGTGACTGGCCACGATAGATGTCGTCTTCGAAACGTATTCGAAGAAACCTGTTACTCTCTCGTATGTACTTTCGAACGATACGGTTTGTAACCTCTATAGAAGGGGTGTGGAAAAGAATCCCAGTTGCCGTCACCGTTGCATGATGTAGCTCAACGCAATTGGGTGGGAGCGGTCGTGCCCTAACCGGCTTGGAGTACCTAAAATCGGTAAAAATGTCCATTGGATTGTAGACTCGTTGTTGATGAGTATCGACGTGAATCAATGTTTGTTTGGCCCGATGGGGTGGCAGGGCAGCCAAACGTCGGAGGAAGTCCTCGTCCAAGGTATACTCGTTCAGCCAGCCATGTGACATGCAGACTTCGAGTTGGTAACGAACGTCGAATGGTAGATAGATAGCCGCTAACTCCTCAACTAGAGACAAAGCCATGTTACTAGAATCGAGCAAATCCCAGATGGGCGCCATGTAGTTGAGGTCGTGAGACACTTTGATGTTAGGATCGTGCCGGATTGGAACATTGAAGTCCTGAAGAGCGTTGAGAAATTGCTGTAGAGGTGTTGAGAGCTCTGGCTGACCAGGCATCGACTTGACGCTAACGCGAAACGTTGTCCATTTTGCGATATTGATACTATTGTGCAATTTCTTCGCCGAGACAGGGCTTCTGTCTATGATAGCATAAGCCTCTTTATCGTCGACGATGTCAGTCTGGCGGAACCACGTATCATCTTGAGCCCATCTGAGAGAGCCTTCGGAATGACTCAGTGCAACCGCTTCTTTCGACTGTCGTGAGTACCAGGGTGGGTGGGCAAGATGGAGGATCAAAGAAGTCGAAGCCGATGACGGGACTTGACACAGAGAAAACTGGTCGTCCAACGCCACAAAGAAACGATAGGCTCGCACAGTAGACGACCCTTTCGTCGACCTCAAATTTATCGGAAAGTGAACTTGCATTTCAAGCTTGGTAAGATTTAGCAACAACTTCACAGAGCCTGAGTCTGAGCTTTGTCTTGTAGCCTTGACGACCATGGACGTGGGATGCTCGAGGTAGCCAAAGTCGATGCTCTCGGCCTGCAGTGTTATTTCGGACGGATACTTAACACCGGATCGGATCGGAGACTGAACGTATGTCGTGCCTTGGGTTTCGAGCGGTCCAACAACCTCGACAGTAGGACAAGGACCTACACCTTGCGGGTCAAGGACGAAGGGAATTTTAGCTAGGCCAGATTTCCACGGTGCACGGTCAGGAGGAGGCCTTGAATGGTCAGCTGGGTTTGTCTTCGGTAGTTGAGACACCTACTTGAATGTGATCAAGGCAGACCTGGAGGACTCGCCCTGCCGAGTTTCGTCGATCCGAATGAATTCAACATTGCCATAACGTCGAAGATTCTTATGGATCTGAAGGGTTGTTGTTCCTTTGGGCAATCGCCTCAGCCTGCATTTGACAGAGGGTGCGGATCTCCAGTCTTCATTGGGCGCATGTCTCGTGTCGGGCTGCATAGGCTCGGCTCTGCTGGGCACATAGTGTTGCTGGTGTGGCCGCATTTTGAACCACAAACTCTAGATTCCAAATCCTGGTCCCATGCTGACAGGACACAGAAAATCGGACAGAGTCGTAAAACTGGCACTAGATGACCAAGTTCTGATCGAAAGAGTGAAGAAGGGCCAGGGTTAAGAAGAAGTGATGACAGAATGAGTGCAGAGACGGAGGCAATGTCTCACTCCTAGTCTGGGGTGAGGCGGTAGGAGAGGCGGTGAAGTCAAGCAGCGCGTGCAGAACGTCAAGACAACGCCATTCTTATCTTCAAGGTCATCACTCACAGGCGATCGCTGTAAGTGCTGCCTATGGGGAGGATTTGACAGCGACGTAGGCGTGAAGAAGAACGCGGTGCGAAAAGAACCGAGGACCACAAACGCGTCTTGTGTTCCTTTGATGAATTGACGTTTAGATTTGGGGAATTGGTTTCTGATTATTTGGTTAACATTGTTCAGCAGAGAGAGTGGCTTCAGTAGGTGCGACTTGTTTGCGAGAGCAAACGCAGAGCATTGAAGGGAAGAGAAGCAAGCACCCGAGTTCGTCGAAGTTGCCGTCTTGGGCCAAGCTGGCGGGCAGCATTTGAGTCCACGGCCACGACCACCATCGGCACAGAGCATTCAACGAGAGGAGTCACCCACGAATCTGGCGAGACGATCGTTTGCCGCCTGCAGTCACAAAGGACATCGAGATGTTTTCTTTTTCTTTCTCGTAGTATTTGGACTTCGCTGTCAAGACACGTGGCGCTCGCAAGCCTCAGAAAAAGCGCCCAATTGCGGACCGACTGAAGAAATGCTTCATGCAGGGAACCACAACTCAAACAGGCCTTTGGGACACAGCACACAAGTCCCGCTGTTGCTTCGCAGATCTGTACAAGGATTAGACTACAGCATGATGAGGATCTAAAGGTTGGCCCTGTGGCTAACCGCTTCCGATTGCACATTTGCCAATGCACGGTACATGCAGCCCTGAAAACGCCAGTCTTCGCTTACATGAGTTAGCTCGGGAGTGGGACTCATTCTGAAGGAGATCCAGATCGTAATGGTAAGCAAAGCACGTAAATGGATATCATGATAAAGCTATTCAAACAGACAAGACTGTCATCCTATAGGTCCAATTCCCCCAAAGCATTCATTCCAAGATCATGCGTCGTTACTCGTCAGACATTACAATACGATCAGCAATCCCCAATGGCGAGGATTCGTCGAAGCCGTTTCACCCCGGTACCTTGCACTCACGTGGTACTTTGCAACGCTGGTATACACAATGTTGCCGTACTCTGTGCCTGTGACATGGAAAAGTTGTCAAACACGGTACATGCTTGTCCCTCACCAACATTGGCATCACTGTCTATCAGGCTTTCCATCCAAAGCTCGCCGTTAAAAGGTACGTCATACTGTAGCTGCGGTATTGGGTCGCTGGTAATGCGTGGAATCATGTCTGGGCCAGCGCTACTTATGCACACATTCGGCTTGGTAAGCACTTCCCGCGCGAACCTGGCCACCTGACCTTTGGCTATATTGGCGCGAGGCCAGATTTCACCAAACGCAGCCAGCGCGGAGATAGCAACTTTCAAGCGCTCCTTAATTGCGGTCGCTTGGTCAGGGCGGTCGATTAGGCCATAAGCAGGCAGGTGCACTGTAGCAGCCGTGGTGATGCCACATACCAATACTGGGGGAGCATAAGACATGGAATGTTGGACTGTTGCAAGGCTGATAATGTTGTTCGCTGCTCGGAGAGCCTTCGCAGTATGTGAGGAGTAAGCAAGTGCCGGCAGACCCGCAGCTTCAGCGCGCGTACACGTTGTTCGGTAGTGATTGCGAATGAATGTGAGGCTCGACCGAGGCCGATGAAGGCTAATAGCGGCCCAGTTGGCCAGCAGGTGGGCCATGAGGAGGCACTCATCCACACGCCCACACTGTCCAACGATCTCGCGCTTGCCTGGTGGCAAGGAGAGGAAATAGTTCGTGATGCTGGCATCAATGGCCTCCACTTGAGGATCGGTGACGGCAAAGGTGTCAGGTCCTAGAGCAAGTACGGAACCAAGAATGTAAGTTGCTTCAACAACGTATGCGAACGAGGAGTACGCGTATGTATCTTCAGAGATGATACGATCACGAAGGTCCGAAATGCTGCGCGGCAACGGAGAGGCGCGAAGGTCATTATAGTCCTCGTCGTCGCCGGGTAAAGGGACATCATTGAAGGTCGAGTATAGCTGGAAGGGCTGCGACTGTCCGCCCATGACCACGGCCGTGCCTTCAATGACGAACAATGTCCACCATGTTCGCCGCCACATTTCTTGAACTGTCGGATCATTCCGGCCATGCTGAATGGCGAAGCTCTGCCGGTTCATGCCAATCCTCAAGGCGATCTCGATAGCTTGACTCAGGGCCTGGGCTCCTTCTTTCTGAGCAAACCTTGCAAAGCATGTCATGGCGTAGAGAAGGAGACCCTGGACCTTGAAACCATCATCAGGAACGTCCTCCGCGAAGATGCACTTAGCAGCATTGCCTAGCGCAGTCTGATTTGTACCCGGCACATAGTGACTCGCAAGGTAGTGGATGACAACCCGGAGAGGCCTGGGGAGTATGGATGGATCATCGAGATACATCTTCTTTGGTGCGACAAAGGGGTGACAGGGGTAGAAATGCTTGTAAAATAGTTCGATAAGGTCGTCACCTGCTCTGACTACACCTAGTGATCTAGTCTCGCGAGGTAGCGACATGGTTGAGTCACTGTGTCCACCCGGGCTGTCGCCCTCAGCCCGGGGTCCTGGTAGTGTCTGCAGCTCGAGTGGCATCGTAGCTAACATGGGATCTACCAGATCATCCGGGAAGAGCTCATCATAAGTAAGGGTCCGGATTTCGCTGGTGTCAGCCTCGTCGACAAAGGGTGGTTCTGGGTGGGGAGTCTGCGATTCGTTGAATATGGCATCATTTCTGGTCGACCTCTCAGGCTGGTTCTTTCTGAACTCTCGGTATCCTCTTCTAGAATCGACCCAGAAGCAGTCCCCGTTCCTGTCTGCACATCGCTTGCATAGCGGCTTCTCGCCACTACACTTCAAGTGACTTCGGCGACAGGGGATGCATGCCAGGAGACTTGGTGGCTTTGATCGGCTTTTGGACACGCTGGTGGACGTGCCACTATCGTTTTCGACTGTTGACATGTTGAAATTTAGCTGATGACTGTGCACCCCCAGCTACGCATGCAGTTTCATGAAATCCAGATAGCCTTGGTTCTACACGACGGGTATTCACCTCATTAAAAGCCCATGAATTCGCCCACCACAGTGTGAATCGGTTAAGGACGTGGCAAATGCGGGCCAGGTGAGGACAGTGAGCAAATACTTGGGGCGCCTAGATCCAGGCACTTCCGGCCATCCCACCGAGGGGAGAATTTCTGGTCGCCGATGTAGACCCCGAACGTCGCATTGATAGGTACAAAGTACGAGTGTCGGCCGGCCCAGTACGAGTACGGGCAGACTAAGCCGATGATGGTCAAGTGCCATCGCTTAATTTAGATCGGTAAGGCTGTCTACATGACCACGTGAGAGATTTTCGGAAGGGACGCGAGGGCGCTTTGTGCTCAACCGTATTAGCATCCACTCGACACTCCCCCGTACTTTGTGCCACAGTGTCGTTAGATCCCGAACGCTTCGCATTCACCGAAAGCAGTGCGACGACTCCCTCGTCTTGATCCTCTTTCTCTTGCAACTGCTTGAGACAATTCAGATTCTGGTCCCCGGCCTACAAACAAAGTCACTGTTGCCATAGGTCGAGGACGTTATGGAGCATTGTTGTCCCTCTTTCAGTCTGTGGTATGCTGAGAGTAAGCTAGCCGACGGTCCGCCCTGTTTTCAGTCAGCGACCTACTCCAGTACAATTTCCTCGCTCAAACTCCGTATGTGAGCGCAGAGAATATACGTACTCGCTTTTTCTACGGCTGCTCCAGACTCACGAATCAATAACCATGAATGACCTAGCCTTCACTGACTTTGCTGTGCTTTCGGGCTTCACCAACCAGCCGCACTGTTGCACAAGCCTCCCATCAACCGGGGAACAACATTCACTCACTCAGGAACCCGAAGTGGTCGGCCCTAATCCGAAGGGTGAACGCATAAGTCAGCTCTAAACCTTTGTAATCTCTCCGTGCCTTGACTAATATATCACCGTTGCACTCGCTTGACTCCGTGACTCTCTGTTTCTTCTTCACTCCTTTCTATCATAGATGACTCTGAACGATCATGTCTCAGCAGGACACAACACCACATTCCGGTGATTCCAGCAATGCGGTTGACACCGGTCTTGATCTGGAGAAAGGACGCGGACTCGGCCGTCACTTAACAAACACTGTTGTGACCAGCTTCTCCTGGGAAGCCGTCAATGTCACGGTGAAGGATCGAAAATCTGGCCTACCTCTCAAAATCTTGGACTCCAATCATGGCTCCGTGAAGGGTGGGAGCGTCCTGGCATTGATGGGTCCAAGTGGTTCGGGCAAAACAACGCTTCTCAACGTGTTGGCCCATCGCACCTCCACCATGAAGGGAGATTTCGAGGGCAATATCATGATCAATGGACAAGTGACAAACCAGCAGTCGATCCGCAAAGTGTCGAGCTACGTGGAACAGGAGGACGCAATGATTGGTATTCTCACGACACAAGAGACTGTCGACTTCGCAGCACGGCTGTCGCTTCAAGGGACCATGTCCAAAAAGGAAAGGGTTGCCAGAGTCAATGAACTCATCGAGTCCTTTGGTCTCCAGCGCCAGAGAGGTACCATTGTGGGCACACCACTGCGCAAAGGGTTGAGCGGTGGGCAGAAGCGCAGGCTTAGCGTTGCCAGCCAGCTCGTAACGTCCCCACGTATACTGTTCCTCGACGAGCCTACCAGCGGCCTCGACTCGGCTGCATCATTCGAGGTCATGAACTATATCAAGAAGATTGCCAAGGAGTACAACATTATATGCATTGCATCCATCCACCAGCCCTCGACGACAACTTTCGACTTGTTTGACCAACTGATGCTCCTCTCCGAAGGCCGAATGTGCTATTTTGGCGCTCTAGCTGGCATCCATGCCTATTTCAACAGAATCAATCGACCTATCCCAGTCCACATCAATCCAGCCGAATTTCTCTTGGACTTGGTTAACGGCGACTTTTCACAAGCACGCAACAACGACTCCTCGCATAACGAACTCAAATACATCCAAGACTCATGGTCGTCGAGCACTGAGTGCAGGAAAGCCATTAACGAATGCAGCTCGATATCGGCAACTGAAACGTCCCTATCCAAGCTTCAGTCCTCTCATCACAATGTCCTGGCATTATCCTGGATTCTCCTTCACCGGAACTTCATCAAATCCTACCGAGACTTCATCGCCTACGGCACTCGCGTGGCAATGTACTTCGGCCTGGCTATCATGATGGGCATGCCTACCTCACTTTAACCCCTTGTACCTTGCTGACTTTAGTTTCTCCTCTAGGCACTGTTTGGTTGCGATTGTCTTATGATCAGTCTTCGATACAGCCCTTTATAAACGCGATTTTCTTCGGTGGAGCATTCATGTCATTCATGGCTGTTGCCTACGTTCCAAGCATCATTGAAGACCTGCATACGTTCCGTAAAGAGAGGGCGAATGGCTTATACGGTCCATTGCCGTTCACTATCGCCAACACGCTCGTCAGCATCCCTTGGCTGTTCCTTATCGCAGTCATGTTCAGTGTAATCACCTACTGGCTGGGGCATTTCAGACCAACGGCAGGCGGCTTCTGGATGTGGACCTTGTGGCTTTTTCTCGATCTTCTCGCCGCTGAGGGCCTCGTGGTTCTTGTATCGAGCATATTCCCCATTTTCGTCGTCAGTCTCGCCATTACCGCCTTCGCAAACGGTTTGTGGATGTGTGTTGGCGGTTTTCTTGTGCCTCTCGGCAAGTTGAATGTGTTTTGGAAATGTGAGTTTCCTTGTTCCTCCCCCTTCAACGCGTCAGTCCAGAGGGGTCGCGCTGAACTGACACGGTGATTCTTCGCAGATGTCTTCCATTACATCGATTATCAGAGCTACGTGTTCCAAGGAATGATGGCGAATCAGTTCAGAAGCACAATCTGGAACTGCGAGAAACTGGCGTCGGGATATCAGTGCATGTATACCAGTGATCTCGAAGCCGAGGGTAAGATCCGTGGAACGGCAGTGCTACGCGCCTACAAGTACTCCTGGTCTGATGACAAAATTGGGGAGTGGATCGGGATCATGTTCGCCATTCTCGTTGTGTATCGGATTTTGGGATATCTGGCTCTAGTTCTCAAGAAGCAGTAGCACCAGCAGCGAGGAGAAGACGGAGTATCCTCATCTGGTGCTCACTACCGTCGCGAAAGGAGCAGCGGAGGAAAGAACACCGATGCGAGAGCGTTGCTCTAAGTGACGTGGTCAAACCGTTGTTAGAGTCCTAATTAATCGTGCATGGCTTCTTCATCCTGAACCATAGCGTCTTACACATTACACACACTTCGCAGGACATTCCGAGAAACGGGTCTTTTGCGAGTTTCATTACCTCAGTTTCTCCGTGAACGGTCTCAGGCCCATCAAGCCTAGCCACACTGCCTCTTCCGTTCTGATGGTTCGACTGCCCTGACCAGGCAGCACATTCACCCAGGCATCAAACAGATTATTGACGTTGTTCTCGGCGACACCCACCGTCTGGAGCTGGGGATCGCTCCTCGCGGCTTTCTCTAGACCAGCGACCCCACCAAAGACGACAAGGACGTGATTGTACGTCGGGTTCGTGAAGGCCTCGGTGGTCAGCACATGGCTCAACGGCTCTCCTCGCTCAGACGTGCCGATCGAGACATCGTAACCTCCGTCAAACGGACAATCCGTAAACACCTTCGAAAGGCTACTGCACTCCCGCACCGCGTAGCCCCAATAGTACCCCTTTTCTTCTCTCGGAGCGCTCGGCGCAACCGTCTCGGCTGTCGTGGACTGCTGATCGGGTAGACGCAGTGTGACTCGAGTACCGGGTGGGATCTCCTCGGAAACCTCAATGTACTCTGGAAGTCCTACGTCGACGAGCGTTCCACTGCCGTTGGCCGTCTTCGTCGAATGACCCGTGACGCCTTCGCGGTACTCACACCATTCATTCGCGCGCAGGTGGTGAGGCATGTCGAGACTGGGCAGCGTCCCCGCCGTGCGCAAGTTGGGGTGCATGGGGAACAAGGTCTTGCGCAAGTGTGGTGGTGTTTCGAGATACGAGAGAAGGTGTGATAGGAAGTGGTCCGGGTGCGAAAATGCAGTGTACTCGCTGTCTCCGACCTCCGGCCGTTGGCGCTGCGTGGCGGCGTCTTCATCGTCGAAGATGACGACCTCGTCAACGCAAAAGACGGCCAGAGCCCGAGCGATTTGGCCTGCCAGGAACGTCTTTTGTTCGTGAGATTTGGCGTTGGCGATTACGCTGCCTGGAAGAGCGATTGACAGAGTATGCGACCGGCCCCCTGATGGCTGGAAGACGGCTGTCGGTTTGGATGTATCGACTGTACCGTCTTCGGCGTCGTGGCTCAGTTTTCGTTTTTTCTGCTTGGCTTCGCCGTTCGTGTGTTTCCGACTCTGGAAGGGAGGGAGGGAGAGTTAGGAAATACACGGGCATTCTGGGAGCATTTACAACTTACTTTTTCTTTGCCCATGATAACTTAGTTCCTCATCCGATACAGACAAGCTTTCTCTCTCTCCTATGCAAAAATACTGCATAGCAGTCGGTCCGACAAGTCTCAGCCTCACTAGCCCCGTTCCATATTTTTTTCAGCCTTGCCGACGACGCTTACAACAGTTTACTCTTAAAAGCAGCGTTTGGTGGGTGTATTATGTACTGTATCCCGGGATGATGGATGATTGGTGCCCTATGAATAGAGGGGGAATTGGCCCAAGATCACCAACGGGCACTAAAACAGGGGACGGTCTATTAGGCGTCTAGGCCTCTGCTAGAGGGAACTTAGGCGGGACTCTTCACCCCAAACAGTGAGACTCGTCAGAGGGAAAAGGAGCGAGTGGCTTGTCCATTTCCCACCTTGTTCGATCCGCCAAATCTTGATAAAAGTGACACCTTTGCTCCCCAGAGTCTGGCGTGTACACGTGTTAATTCTACCAATTCCAGTCTCTGCGGCCTCCTTGTCAGTTTCGCCAAAAGTATCATCAATTGTGGTTGACAACTCCGTATTGTTCAATCATTCATCTGCCGCGAGGGCGACCTACCTGGCCCAGCGCTTCAGTCCTCATCTCAACGCTTACCTCGACTCTCGCCCCAACCCACTACAGAACACACTCACGCGACCATGAAGATCGGACGGCGGCGTGGGCACATCCTCCTATTCCTTCTGGCCTCGATTCTTGCGGTAGAAGCCACAGATGCCTCCCTCCCTCGTGAGTCAATGGCCAGGAATTTGGCCAACGCAAGGTCGTTAGGAGAAGTAGCCGCGGCGGCAGGAGGGAGCACTGGAGCAAAGTCGTCCCCAGTCGGGACTGAACACGCTCCTGTAGATGGCAAAGACGGAATGCCGCACGAGGGCCCTTTTGTTGAGACTACTGCAGAGAGGACGAGGAAGAAGACACAAGGGATAGGGTACGACGACGATCCGGTGCCGGAGAAATCGCCATATGGAAGCCAACCGCTTCCCCAAACCAACGATGCAGTCATGGATGACCGACTAAAATCGAGTCCAGCCGAGGGCACTAGAGGTGTTGAAGGTGGCATCTCAGAGAAATCAAAGGAGAACAAGCTCTCGGACAAGAAGCCTGATCCGCCCAAGGATGTGAGGCCACTCCCAAACCACGAAGCAGAGACCCTCCAAGACACGACGGACAAGACCCAATCTTCGGAAGATGAGCCCAAAAAGATTCTTACGGTGAGTAGAGTAGTTGCGTTGTCCAAACACATTTTGTTGCGCATTTGAACTGATTCTGCCACACAGGCTCCCCAAGACCTCCCGGACAAACCTCATGATATCCCTCACCCTGAAAACCCGTCGTCGCCAAAAGACACCACCATTCTCCCGGAAAACCCAGACAAGCTGCCGAAATCCAAAGACCACGAACCGGCCGTTATTTCTCCCATGCATTCCCTTGTGCTTTCGTTCACCATGATTCTGTTCTCTGAAGTAGGCGACAAAACGTTCCTCGTCGCCGCGCTCATGGCCATGCGCCACCCGCGAGTCCTGGTCTTCACCGCCGCATTCTCCGCGCTGATCACCATGACCGTCCTTTCCGCGATCCTAGGCCACGCCGTGCCGACCCTGATCCCCAAGACGCTCACCAACTTCGCGGCCGCAGGCCTGTTCCTCGTCTTCGGCGTCAAAATGCTGCTCGAAGCGCGCGGGATGAGCCCCGAGGACGGCGTCGGTGAAGAGATGAAGGAAGTCGAAATGGAACTGGAAGAGAAAGAGCACCAGCAACGTCGGATGTCCAGGCGGCGGTCGTCCATCTCCCCATACGCCTTGGAAGCTGGCCGCGCGGGAACCGGCCGAAAGCAGACCAACGGTCGACTGCCTTCGCCTCCCGAAAGCCCGGCGAGTTCCCGCGGGACTTCCCCCGAGCGGGAGTCGACGTTCAAGAACATGCTCAACGGCTTCAACAACCTGCTCTCTCTCCTCCTGAGTCCGGCGTGGGTGCAGACCTTCGTCATGACCTTTCTGGGCGAATGGGGCGATAGATCACAGATCGCGACAATCGCCATGGCGGCCGGCCAGGACTACTGGTGGGTCACGGCGGGCGCGCTGGGCGGACACGCAATCTGTACGGGTGCGGCAGTGCTGGGCGGTAGAGCCATCGCAGGCAGAGTCAGCTTGAAAACTGGTAAGTCGACCCAATTTGTTCCTCTTGCGCAGCTCCAACCTACGCAGCATCAGATTCAGAGTGGCTAACCCGTCGTTTGTGTTTTTGTTGGGAATTACAGTGACAATGGGCGGCGCGATTGCTTTCTTGGTCTTTGGCGTCATTTACCTTCTCGAGGCCGTGTATTGATTGATTGGTTGTTTGTTTGATTGTGGTTACATATTATGTTCGCCGAAGAATCATCCTCGCTCGTGGGTACTTGAGGGAACGTGCCCCCTTTTGTTTCGATACATTTAATTCGTCGTGTCCAAGACCAAAAAAGCAAGAGGGAATAAAAAAAGAGGAGCCGCCGACACAACAACATTTGTGGGAAACAGGATAAAACAATACTGACAATTGCATTCTTCTGTGGTCGCTGTCTGTTCCATGTCCTGGCTTCCATAGGTCTGCTTCACTGAGTCCAAAAAGAAGCAAACATTGATTGAACATGCAAAATGTCAATAAAGAGTTCGTCGTCAGCCCTTTTCAATTGCGATAAACAAAACACGGACACACACATGTCTCCATCCATCCAACACATCCATGTCTCAGCTCAACCCAGCCCAGCCAGACCTCACCAATGACTCCCAATGTACTCCGTAATAAAAGACTTTTGTGTTCGTATCAACCGGAAATCCAGGCTGAGAAAGAAACGCTTCCTTCCACTTATGTTTGACGGCCTGTGATCCTCAAAAAACGCCAACGCCAACCTAGAATGTACTCAACAGTCAAATCACCCAATCTCATCTCCTGGGGTTGGCCACATAATAGTCCTGAAATGAAGCAGGCCCAGAGTAATCCAACCCGTAAAGTCTGACTCCCTCTGCTCCAAATCAGACCAATAAGTTCCCAAGTTAGGGTTGTCCCCTGTAATCAAGAAGATCGGGGACTCAATTTGTATCCAATGCCCTTACCCGGTGCCCTCAAAAGGACGTTCCAACAAAGTCGTATCTCCACTAAAAGCAAATGATGGCCCAATAACACAAAATGGTCGAAAGGTAAAGTCGCAAAAAAGCTCCGAGTCAACTCTGGGCCGCAGAGACCGGCTGATAAAGACGGCGTAGTTTGCAGCTTGGGGAGAGATGACTTGCCGGTCCGCAAGACTGCGTCTAGAGACTGTTCAGTAGGAGAGGAGAGGAAAGACAAAAGCGAGCCCGCGGCGAAGATGGTTGCAAACGGTTCAGCCTCTCTGCTTTGGGCGGCTCAACATGTTCAACCGGCTGAGGCTGAGAATACCCTTGCCCTTGCGTGCATCCGCACTCTTCTTTGCCATCTCTCGCGCCATGCTCTGTCGAGGTTTCTTGACTTCAGTCTGCGGCTTCTCAGGTGAAGTGGTAGAGCTTCCGACTTTTGCGCGCTTGCCTCCACGCTGCTGGCCTTCGTCTTGTTCTTCTGGCTGCGGAGTGTCGCACCACCCGCCAGGCACGGATGGCATGACGCTGATACGGCGATTCTCCTTTCCCATGGGCTCGAACGAATCTTCATCTTCGTTGGAGGCGGTAGACTCGCGGCGCCGCTTCTTGCCGGGAATCCCGTGAGGCACAGTCTGCACTTCCGCATCCTCGAAGGGTTGGACCAACTCAGGAGCGCCTGAAGTCCTCACACGACGAATGGTAGAGGGAGATGGCCGTGAGAAATTAGTATTGCTTGGGGATCTCATGATCTTGTCGACGTGGGCAGTCGGACCGCTCTTGTTGACCCTAGCATTGACAGAGGCCAAGTTTGATGGCTGTGTAGGTCGTGACGGATGATGCAGAGTTGTGAAGATGGACTTGAATTCCTTGGACGCCCGGCGACTGTGCTCCTTGGCTTTCTTCTCGAAAGTCGTTCCAGATACAGGTTGCGCAGGACTGGAGGACATAGCGGGTAAGACTGGATAGTCAATCTCACTCTCAGCATCTTCCCAAGCATCGTCGCCGTCATCGTCACCAAGAACATACGCAGCTGGATCATACGCGACAAGTGGCCCAAGTGCCTTTCCGGGAGTGAGCTGAGTTGGGAGCTTGGCTGGGCTAGGGCTACCAGCTGCCAACTTGACAGCGTATCTCGACTTCACACTGGGGGTAAAATCCACTTTCTTCACATCGCCACTACCAGTAGTAGCGGTTGCGGGTCGCTTTGGAGTGCCTTGCCGTTCTTGAGTCGGAGGCATAATGTCAGTTCTCCGGCCAGTTCGCAGAATTGACTTCAGGCCATTGAATTTTGGTAGGCGAGATGAGAAGCCATGATGCTTCAAGGCAGATGACCCTTGAACGTCGGGCTCAGCCTGCACAACCTTTGCCGATTCTGGAGATGGGGATAAAGAGGATTCATTCTCAGGCGGCGGTGGGAGAGGACGGTTCAGTCTTGCTTTGTCGGCGGAAGGAGCTTTGGATGGGTTCGGAGCATAAGATGCTCCATGCGCCGTAGCAGGTCTTACCCCTGGTGTACTAGAGGCCGTCCTCAAAGATTTGACCGACGCGGGCCGTTTCAGTGAAGAAGCTTTGTTCGGCGATGAAACTGGTATCTGGCTTGCTGCAGCTCTTGCCAACGAGGCCTTTGTAGGGGAAAACAAATTGCTGGACATTGGCTTCGACACTGTCCGTAGAGGCTGTGCTGGTTCCACTGGTCGACTTGCCGAGACATCATGTAGCTCCGAGTGTCGGGCACGTTTAGCGGGAGTTGTGTTTTCAATACGCTCTGACTGGCTCGGGATGGATTTGAAGGGGCTGACAGAAGTTGGACGACCGAGAAATGGTGGCGGTGGTGGTCGTCGTGCGGGAGTGCCTTTTCCCGCAGTCCGAGGTCGCTCGTTCTCGTCCAGGCCAGCCTTAGAGCCGCTTCGCTTGAGTGATTGTGTAGTTGGCTGCGCAAAACTAGGCTTTCCTCGAAATGCTGAAGGATGATTCGCAATTGAGTCCATCTTCTTGAATTGAGCCATGTGTATATCACTGAACCGACCAGCTTTACCCTTTGGTTTCGCAATTTTTCGTCCAGAAGCGTTGACTCCATTGAACTCGGCCTCGGCCTTATCGTCCTTCTCCTGCTGGGCATCTCTTTCCGCTTGCATCTGTGCCTTGATGCTAGCTGCCTCTTCTCGAACATTATCCATTAACTTTTGTGCCTCAGTGCTCAATTGAGATTCGGCTCCGAATTTGAAGTCAACACTGGTAGATTGGAAGTGCGCAGGAGTGCTCGTTCTAGCTTTGGAAGGGGTATTTTGTGCGCTTGCAATTGTACGAGGACGGGAGGAGATATCGACAAACCCTAGCTTGAGGCCAGAATCCGGAGCCTTCGTTGTAGTTTGATGAGCATGTTCAGGATGCATTTCGCCGCGATCGACTCGTGGTTCGGTCTTTGGTGTCTTGAGCCCCGAGAGCATGGCAAGCTGAGACTTCGTTGTTACGGCGGACGTAGGAGTAGCAACAACCTCATCAAGTGATTGAGGTTCATTAACCTCGGGAGTTTCGTCGCGTTCTATCAGAGATCCGAGCGTTGCTGCACCTTGTTTACGAGCAGATTGTCGCTATGAAGCAGTCAGTCCGAAGTAGAAGCCAATGTGACCATGGACGCGGAAGTCGAGCAGCTGTGGTACGAGGAGCCGATATCCCACAACAAACAACTGCGAAGAGCGGGCAAACGTTACCTGGGGTTGAGCATTCTTGCTCAAGCGAGCAGACCTACGACGCGGCGTAGCCATGCTAGACCATACACGGCGAACGTGGAAATATGGTAGAGCGGATTATGAGATGTAGTTCGCAGGGTCAAGGCTAGAGGTCCAGGCTAGAGGTGGTCTGTGGTGGATTGAGGGTAGAGATGAAAGGCTTCTAGATTGGCCGCTTTGCTTTGATGCTCGATTTCCAGAATGACGTGACCAGGTAAACAATCCCCGTCGCTCTTGGCGCTTGGCAACAACGCCAGATCACGTGTTGCCTGGCCAGCCTTCACCACCGACTGCGGCTCGTACAGTACATACATGTATGTAGGTACAGATCCCCTAGAGACGGAGTGATGCGACAATATTCGAGTCTGCGAACATGAGTAATCTACCTTCGATCGAAATCCCGATGATGATATCCTTGTTGTAGAATTTGTGATCTCCGATTTTAAAAGGCCCTGTTTGGCGACTAGCCTTCTCTGGCCTGCGATGGTACTGGGCCACCATAATGTCCCCCAGGCCGTGTATTCTGAAGAAACCGGGAGGAAGCTCGCATTATAGTTAAACTAGAAAAGACCCTGTCACATACCGAGTGGCGCCCGAGATGCTGTATGCAGGTGGAGCGATTCCTGCATGTTGACGTCCCGCACACCCTTTTCCTCGTACCAGCCCCAGTACTTAAGAATACCAAGTATAAGACAAGCACCTACGCATCGCATATACGGAGTACAAAACGTGCAAACAACGGGCAAGAATATGCCATGCCCTCTTTGGCTTCACGACCGCGAATGCTAGTCGTAGTAGTCGTGTTCGTCCCACGGACGCCGCTGCCGCTTGAACCGAGACTGGATCTTCGTCCTTGGACTGGCCTCGGATTGACAAGGGATACACCGGCTATGTATAACGAAAACTCCACCTACGCAGCACGCATTGACAATCTTCCCACCATCGAATTCTCCCATGACGTCGCAGGGTTCTCGGAGTCCCGCCAACAATAATGTCATCATGGTGCTCGCATGACTATATCCTCCTCCTGGCAATGGACGTGGTTCATATACGAATAGTTCCTTCTTTAATCTCGTGGATTGATTGACGAACAGCCCCAGCCCGAACTTTTGGGCATCGGTGCCACTGAGGCTCTTGAACGTGTGTCCTGAACACCAGCAGCCGGATACAAGGGATTCTTGATATCGCCATGGCTTCTCGATCTCCGACTCTGCGTCCCTCCACAGAACCATATGGCGCTGATGTGGAAAAAGATGCCCGGCCCCTTGACAGTGCTCACAATCAAGATGCAGACCGTCCCAACCTGACCTTAAATGGCGAGAAGCGGCGTCGCTCTTCGCTGGGCTCAGCATTCCGGGGCCAAAGTGTCGATATGGAGACAGATCCCTTTGGAGACGAAGAAGGTGATGGCGTCAAGTATCGCACTTTAAAGTGGTGGTAAGCAGCGCCAGCATGTATGGGTCTAGTTCTTGATACTGACGACTCCCAACAGGCAGTGTAGTATGAGTATGTCTCAATCTACTGACTTTGATGGAAGATTCATGTAATATCAATTGACTCTGCGCAGTTATGATTGCCGAGACTATTTCCTTGGGCATTCTTTCATTGCCATCTGTTTTGGCCACAATCGGGATGGCCCCAGGAGGAATCTTGATCATCTGTCTGGGTATCATTGCAACCTATTCTGGTTATGTCATCGGCCAGTTCAAGAAGGCTCATCCATGGGTAGGCTCAGCGATCTGGTTGTGTTCAGAAATTCTCTGATGGCCCAAACTTTAGGTTCACAATATGGCTGATGCTGGATATGTCTTGTTCAAGCCATGTGGCCCTCGATGTGCGGCGGTGATGCGTGAAGTCTTTGGTGCTGCTCAAACCATCTTCCTCATCTTCAGCATGGCAAGTCACATCTTGACATGGACAATCTGCCTCAACACTCTTACCAATGGGGCTACATGCACGATTGTCTGGGGCATTGTTGGGCTGGTTGTTTTCTGGATTTGCGATATCCCACGGACCCTATTGAAGGTCTCTTGGCTCTCGTGCGTGAGCTTCCTCTCCATTACCACTGCAGTGATTGTGTGCATGGCTGGAGTCGGTTCTAGGAATCCTGCTCACGGAAACTTTCAAGCCACGCAGTCAACCTCATTTGTCACAGCTTTTCTCAGTGTCACAAACATTGTATTCGCTTATGCTGGACATGTCGCCTTCTTCAGCTTCATCTCCGAGATGCGAGACCCCAATGACTTCCCAAAGGCGCTGGTACTGTTACAAGTCACCGACACGACCATGTACTTCCTCGTCGCCATGGTGATATATGCATACGGCGGAGATGACGTCGATTCACCCGCCCTAGGCAGTGCTGGCACTGTCCTTGGAAAAATTGCATGGGGTCTGGCCATTCCTACCATCATTGTTGCTGGAGTGATCTATGGCCATGTCGCTTCGAAGTACATATACGTCCGATTGTTCCGCGGAACCAGGCATATGTCTAAACGGACATTACTGTCTGTAGGAAGTTGGCTTGCCATCACTCTGACCGTGTGGGTGATCGCATGGATTATTGCAGAGTCAATTCCCAACTTCAACGATCTGCTCGCATTGATTTCGAGTTTGTTTGCGGCGTGGTTCACCTATGGTATTTCTGGCATTTTCTGGCTCTTCTTGAACTGGGGACAATATACAAAGAACTGGAAAAAGATATCTCTCACCTTGGTCAATCTGTTTTTGTTTGGTATGGGTGCCGCTATCTGTGGAATGGGGTTATATGCCAGTGGCTATGCTATTCACAATGAGCCAGGGGGGAGTAGCTGGACTTGTGCAAGCAACGCGCAGTGAGGCGACATGGCTTTGAGCATTTCCATTGAGAAAGTAAACGTGCGACAACGTTTGCATAGCAGCTGTATGAATAGCAATGTGACCATGACTGAAACACAGGCCATCAAACATCGAACGTACCTTGAACCTGATCACATCACTCACAGCGATATTCTGTCGTATGTCTCGGTTTGTTTCGTTCAATGAAGCATGTCCCATTGGACGACACAGAAGTCGACGATCCAGGAACATCTAACTGTTCACTTTGGTCTCACCAGTAGTGATAGAACCTGATAGGCAGTTTTCCCATAGAGGGCGGTCTCCAGGTCCAGTGCCCTCCACCCTTCACTCTCGATCGTCTTTGCCTAAGAAGCCCTCGTTTGCACTTGCACGTGAATTACGAGTCGCGACTCGCACACCAATCATGGTTCCAAATTACAATGTGCACGATCGAAGGAGGAAACTTCCAGCTGACTGGCCGTCTGGTGTTGAAGCTAAGAGGGCCACAGAGACGCAAACGAACTGACCAGCAAGCCTTGCAAACGCATCTTCGGAGACCCAGCAACCACTCAAGGCTGATGTCGCGATGCCAAACCCGACACGACAAGGGGCTGGCTCGCCTATCACGCCTAGAGCTCGATCACACGCCGCCCAACTAGACAATTTCGGCCCTCATGCGAGGCCCGCTCAATCTTGCAGGCGCGATTCGAGAAATTTCGACCAGGGCGACAAGCACGACAAGCACGACAACACGGAAGCCTTGTTGACTTCAGATACTCCCAATCCTCGGTCAAGAGCAGTCACTGCCACCGACAACACAGGTCCCAGTGCCTTTCTCCGGTCAACGTCGTACACGGATCCTCTCCCGCTTCTCGCCGAAACGGCCAACTCTAGGGCTCACCAGGCTGCACCTCTTACTGAGGCCAACCTTCGCCATCTCTTGGACTCCCTTGATAAGAAAGACGGAGGAAAGACAAGAGGCGGAAGCGGCATCGACGGCGGCAGAAGAGTTGAGCCGCAACCTTCTACGCTCCAACAAGCCCAGGGTCCCCGAGGCCGTGTCAGTACCCATCATACCCGGAGTGTCAGGCCAAGTGTGTCTGTCTCTGCCTCCTTCGCCCCACCCGCATCGTCCGCCGCAGAAGAGGTGAATTCGGTTGGTGCAAAATTCGATCCGTCATCGCCCATGCGGAAGTCAAAATCTCCAAAGAAACAGGACAAAGATCGAGACAAGAAGAAATCCTCCAAGCGCCACGATTCCGATACACACCCTCTCAACCTCCCTCCCGACCAACTGCGCAAATTGACCGCCAGAATGGCCAGAGAAGAGGCCGAGAGGCAGTCGATGTCGGTGGACAGAGAAATGCCAGAGGCCGATAATAAAGATACCTCAGCGCCTACCCCCAACGGCACCTCGCAGCCTGCAACACCATCGCACGATACACCTGGGGCGTTTCCCGATGAACCTGCGTCGAACGGCGTTAATGGCCACACCAAGGACGAAAGAAGCCCGACCCCTCCACCGCACAAAGTTCCTCCCACACCCAAGGTAGATCCTGAAGCCTGCAAGGCCGCAGGTAACAAGTTCTTCAAGGCAAAGGATTATGACCGAGCCATTATCGAGTATTCCAAAGGTTTGTACTACATTGCTCGACTCCCTGGACTCCTATACCGAGGCTGACAAATTCTCGCAGCTGTCGACGCTGACCCTTCCAATCCCACCTACCTCTCTAATCGAGCAGCGGCGTATATTTCAGCAAATAAATACAACCAGGCCTTGGGCGATTCATTACAGGCCAGCAGGTTAGATCCGAACAACGACAAGATTTTGCACCGACTGGCGCGGATATACACCTCCTTAGGCCGACCGCAAGATGCCCTAGATACCTACGCTAAAATTCCCAATGCCTCAGCAACTGATACTGCGGCCGCTCGAAAGGCACTGCAGTCGATTGAATTGGCAGAGAAGCAAATTAGTTCAGAAGATGGCAACGGTAACATGGCACTATGGAGTATTGAACAGGCAAAACAGACGCTGGGAAGAGACACACCCACCCCTCGAAGATGGCAGATACTAAAGGCCAAGGCGAACCTGAAAGTTGGCTCCGCCAATGCTCTCGGTGAAGTACAGGGTATCGCACAGGCACTCATGCGCGAGAATCCTATGGATGCAGAAGCCATTGTCCTCGCAGCCCGGGCGTTTTACCTAAGAGACGAAAAGTCTGGAACGGGGAAGAGTGATTATGAACGTGCAGAGGACTTTTTCCGACAAGCATTATCCCTAGATCCAGATAATTCCGATGCACGACACTACCTACGGACGATGAAAAAACTTGACCGAGCCAGGACGGCAGCCAATGATATGTTTAAGCGTGGCAAGTACCATGATGCGGTCGAGGCTTATGGCGAAGCACTCACCATCGACCCGACGAACAAAGTAACTAATGCGAAGCTCCTGGGAAATCGAGCCCTGGCTCGAATCAAGATTAAGGAGTTTGACGAGGCGAAAGCAGATTGCGACCAAGCATTGAAGTTGGATCCCACGTACACCAAGGCTCGACGGACGAGGGCCAAGGCAACCGGTGAATCAGGCGACTGGGAACAAGCAGTCAAAGACTACAAGGCCCTGCTGGAGGACAATCCGCAAGACCCAGAGCTGAACAAGGAACTGCGAAACGCCGAACTTGAACTCAAGAAATCCAAGAGGAAGGATTGGTACAAGATTTTGGGTGTAGACAAGGATGCGGGAGACAAGGAAATCGAGCGCGCGTACAAGCGGAAAGCTGCTCTTCTTCATCCAGACAAGACCCAAGGCGACAAGGACAAAGAAGAAGAGTTCAAGGACTGTCTTGAAGCCAAGGAAACTTTACTCGACCCACAGAAGCGACACATGTATGATTCTGGAGCCGATCTGATGGAACCCGGTATGGGAATGGGCGGTGGCTTCCCTGGTGGGTTCGGAGGCATGGGCGGCATGGGTGGCATGGGAGGTATGGGTGGTATGGGCGGCGGCGGCGTCCAGATTGATCCCGAGATGTTGTTTAATATGATGAACGGCGGCGGTGGCGGAGGCGGCGGCTTTAGATTCAGCACCGGCGGTGGTGGCGGTGGCTTCTCAGGTTTTGGTTGAGAGACAAGCAGGGTATGGGAGTATGGGTTACCAAACTGGATGAGATCCAGTGGTGCGAGCGAAGAGAAAGTTGACAAGAAGAGACCAGAAGAAAAGACATCTGTCATGGGACTGGTCTCGAGGACACGACGATGGATGGACGCTTCGGGTTGCGATGCACATCATTGTACGGGTGAAGATATTCCGCACCACATCACGGGGAAATCGGGGAGCGAACCTTTTTAGATTTTGGAATTAGACGCACCGACACAGACAACGTGTAGTAGTCGTACTGCATACCTCAAACAACCGAGACCTGGACTTGGTGGGTGGAATGATCGCACACACGACGGAAGTACCAGGGAGGAGAGTGTTGGTGGTGAACGCCTCGAGTACATTGGGTTACCTAGACCTGACGGAGAGTATCAACGAGACTCACACGTGCAAGAAGTCGGACTCGAAGTCATTTCTCTCTTTTCTCTCTGGATGTGCGCGCATTCTGAACGGGCAGGGTGCAGAGTCCCAGAGTCCAGATATATATGATCATACCTCATCTCTCCCCCCCCCCCCCCCCCCCCCCCCCCCCCCCCAAAAACACCCCCTCCCATGTTCTCTGCTGTCCTCTGCTTCTACTTGTTTTTGTTTCTTCGTTGCGAAAGATACTGGCTTATCTTCTCTCAAATCAACCCAAGGCAGGGTGAGGCGCCTCCTTGCATAGGGTGGACAGGAACTGCGTCTTTGAAGATGAGTGCAGCATTACACTGACCCACGGACATATCATCTCGATTCCATGACTGGGGAGCCAGACTATACGTACATGCACTAGTCTCGACCTCAATCTCATCACTCTATCAATAACTCATTCAATCGTCATCGGCATCCTGTCGTCGTGTCCGTCTACTCCTCGTCTGTTGCTGTGTCTGCGTACGGCTCGTCCTTGTTGGTGGTGGCATAATAGCCTGCTCAGTTCCACTGTCACCCGCCCCTGCCCCTGCACTGTCGTCTTCATCATCGCCTCTCTGCCTCTCACGTCCGAATCGGATCCCCAAGCTTCTCTTGATCTTCGAGTTCAATTCGTCCTCTTCGATCTTGACGAGCCGTTGCGGTCCCGAGTCCCCTTCGTCGTCACTTCCACTTCCACTTCCCCTCCGCGAGCGGCCCGGCTGAGTCGCCGTCGCCCCCGCCACCATACCCAACGGCACGGCTCCGTACCCGTACACACTCCTCACCAGCCCGGCCACCCCTTTGGCGCCGACTTCGACCTTCCCCCTCGGCCCGGAAACCCACTCGATGACCTCCTCGCCCGAGGTCGTGTCCCGGCGTTTCTCGACGTACCCTTCCCTTGCCATCCTCGCGAGGAGCTTCTCCAAGGCGCCAAACGGCGTGTACGTGTCCATGTTCACGCGTTTCAAGTACCGGTTCAGTTTCTGGTCCGTGAGGGCGCCGTTGTTGAGGTATATCAGGCTCAGAATGAACGTATACAGCGCAGTGTAGGTCGCTTCGGTCTCTTGAGACGGCGCCTTGGTCGGCTGCACGACGGCCGGGTTGGTTTTGAGTTTGTCAGGTAGCACTGACACAAGTATCCAGCTCTTGGACGACGTGGAAGTATTTGATTTCGTCTGCGTGGCTTGATTCCGGCGATCTTTTAGCGACGTCTTCTCTTTGCTGGGCAGTTCGACTAGGTGCATGCCAAACGTGTCTTTGAGTATGTCTTGCGCCGAATTGAAGATCGTCTTGAAACTGCGGCCGTGCGTGTTGGAGTCTTTGAAGATCTTGGTGTGGATGTCGCTGCGGCGGAGAGGGGTGCGCGAGTATTCTGTTGCAAGGGCGAGACGGACCAGCTTCTTCACCAAGGTGCCATGAGGGTCATGGTGGTGGGAGTCTGATGCAGAGGATGCCGCCGATGATTCGGAAGAGGAACGAGGCCGTTGACGGCGAGATTGTGTGACTGTTTCACTGTCCGAGTCGGACTCTGCGTCTGGAGACGAGGGAGGGTCATCGCGAGATATCGCGTCCGATCGACGCTTGGGTGGCATTGTGAACTAACTGCCGGGGACGATATTGAGAGGAACGCGAGGGTATTTGAGGCCTTTCGGAGTGTGTGATGTTTAAATCGTGATTGCGATTTGCGATTGCGATCGCAGGCGCAACTTGCGGTTGAAATCAAGTTCAGCCTCGTCGCGCTTGGACGCGTTTAGTGCCGTAGATTGATTGAAACTTGGCGAGGCTGAGCTCCCTATTTTGACACCACCACAGATCTCCCTTTCTGTTCTGGCTTTGGAAATACTCAGCTATGCTATGTTGTATGGTTTCCCACAGCAGGTCCCCTTATCCTCCGTTTTAACGCGATTTCAGTCCAGCGATACCGCACATCCGTGAAACAACATTTGAGCAGGGTAACAACATCTCACCATCTATCTACAATACAATAGCAATAAAGGTTGATATGAATCCAGAACCTCGTGCTCGGATATATTTATACATCTCACACCATCGAAACTAACCTATATGACGCCACCAGACTGTTGGACCTGGTCCTGATTTTCACCTTGCTGCCAACAACTGCCCAGAGCCGCCGTACTTCCAATCAGCTTCTCGTAAGTCCAACAGACAGTCCTCCCATTCCGGCGACAACGCCGTTTTGATAGTCCCAGACGTCTGCTTACCCCATTCACCGAGCCATATGTTTCCTCTCAACCAATGTAAAATAATGCCGTAGTTCGCCACCAACGCCAGCGCAAGTGAGTCTCCGGCCGCCACGAGCTGAAAGAATCCCGCAGGCGATATGACCGGGAATGTTGAGATCGGGGCTCGGTGAGGGATGCTCACTGCCGAGGCAAATTCCAGGTTCAATCGCAGCGCGGCCAGTGCGTCGATGTACAGCTCGCGTTGAGGCGAGGCGGTCTTCAGGGCGCGGTCCAAAAGATTCGACAGCACCGTTTCCGCACATTCTGACAACTCCCCAGGACCTCCAGCGAGTGCTCGATTCATCTGGCCAAACAGCGGACTCAGCCGACCCTGCACTAGTTTGTCGAAGCCACTTTTGGCGATCGTCCCGGTGCCGCGGAGCAGATTCAACATTTCGACAATCTGTGCCAATGATTTTTCTCGCGATCCCTGAGTGACACGCTGGAACCCAAGAGAACACATGACCACCAGGCTCGAGAACAGGAAGAGCGCGTCGATGTTGTGGTCAGCGGAGTTGGCTAAATTGTGATTGAAGATCTGGATCGCGCAACCGTGGTGGTACGTTGCGAGACTCGAGTGTCGTTCCAGACCCTGTGTATCGGCGTTGTCGAGTGATAGTAGGGCCAGGTGGAGCGAACTTAAAGCCAGGATCCCGTGCAACAGGAAATCGTGCTCAAAGGCCAATTCGGGGACATAGTACCGCATGATGTCCACCCCTTCAGGGGTAGGCAGGACCAAGTCTGCCACCGTTTCACTCGTGAAACGATCGTAGTGATGCATCAGCCTGAGTCGATCGCGCTCGAGGGTGGTGAACTGTAATAGTGGCGTGATGCTGTGAATCGGCGAGGCACGGCTGCCAGCACTTCGGATGCTGATGCTTGGAGAACCTGGTTGTGAAGGAGAAGAGGTTGTTAGGACAAGGGATTTCGAAGCGGAAGCGGCTTTTCCTTCCAGCCGACTGTTCTCTTCAATGATGACGAGGCCAGAGTCGGGAGAATCTAAAGAGCAGTGTTTGCCTATTCGATCGCATCTTCCACAAGTGGGCCTTTGCTCGTCGCACTGCAAGTCTAGTATCAGTCTCCTGGGAGGTGACTACATGGTTGGGACGCGCTAAGGCAGTGCTCTCACCTTGGTTCTATTCTTCTTGCATTGGACGCAGCCATGTCGGCTCTTTCTGTGGAAGCGTCGCTGAGACGCCGGTGGCATCGCTTGACTTCGGACCCTGGAGGGAAAAAACACAATCTGGGCCAATACCGGTTGAATCAGTACCGAGATTCCCCATGCCTAATAAAAGACATCGATGTAGACTGCAACAAGAAATCAATAAAGAGGTAGAATGATGCGCCGCTGCCACAGTCGAGTCTAGACCATTTTGGGCGTGGGCTGGCAGTTGTGGTTTAGCGTCGGAGAGTCGGACGATCAGACAGGCGTATACAATACTGAACTAAGCCCGATACAGTATTTTATACGCTATACGAATACGATGGGGCCGCCCGCCACTCCATACCAACCGTTGTACCGATCGCACCTCGACTGACACATACAAGTCGCCTGTGAACTAGTCCATGTTGGACTCGTGAAATTTCTATCCGAGCTCTTCTGTGACCTAGCTCTGAAAGGAGAATCTATGCCCGGCAGTCCAAAGCGAAAGATACAAATACGCCCACTGCGCCATCAAGCCCCTCCAAGGCCCTCCATCGTCTTCCCATCCCTTTCTTACTACCACTAAGAGAGAGAGAGACAGTGAGATCTCCCAATCGTCTTGTCGCATGCCAATTCAGTCTATGATTCAAGTCTCTCTGCACTCATAGAGCACCACGATGGTCCGCCTCTCAGACGTCAAAGTAGCCAACAGGAACTTCGTCGGCTCTCTCACTTCACCCCTCGTCGCCGTCTTCGTTGGCGGGACGTCAGGCACATGCCAATATGCTCTTCACGCGCTTGTATCCACCACGGCATCAGTAAACAACTCCAACAACAACAGACACGTCCAATTGCGCATATACATTGTCGGCCGCAACCAAAAAGCGGCCGATGAGACGATCGCCCAATGCTCCAAGACGTGTCCAAGTGCGAAAATCACCTTTGTCCAAGCCAAAGACCTCGCCCTTCTCAAAGATGTCGATCAAGTATGCGCTGAAATCACCAGGCTTGAAACTGACGATGCCGCGGATCGGAATGAGAAACCAAGGATCGATCTCTTGGTGATGAGCCAGGCGGGATCCATTTTCGTCACGAGGAAAGGTGAGTGTCATTGTCAGTATCTACACTATAGCACACTACACTACACGACTCATTTTCCGCGCATCCATCGTACCTAATCTACCACTCGGCTGGCTCCAACGATAGGACGACTTATATGATATGTTACACGTGACTAACCGAATTACCTCAGACACATCCGAAGGTCTGGACAATTTAATGTCGCTAATGTACTATTCCCGCATGCGATTTATTGATCGCCTGCTCCCGTTGCTTCTGGAATCCCGTCTTCCCAATGGGTCTGACGACGGGAGCGGTGATGGTGACGGTGGTGGTAACGGACACGGTGCCAGCAGCAGCGGCGGCGGCGGCGCACACATCATCTCCATCTACGCACCACGTACCGAAGGCACTTTATTCCCCGACGACCTCTCCCTCCGCCAGCCAGGGCACTTCACGTACCTCAACGCCCGCTCGCACATAGCGTATTTCAAGACGGCCTTCTTCGAGACCCTCGTCGCCAAGTACCCTGGCAAACTCAGTTTCAGCCACGTCTTCCCCGGTCTCGTGAACACCCCCGGGTTCAAGAACCCAGATCTGCCGACGTGGTTCAAAGTTGTCTTTGCCGTCGTGGGTAGACCGTTGATGTGGATCGTGGGCACATCGCACGCCGAGAACGGTGCGAGGATGCTCTACATGGCCACGCCGCATTATCCGGCCGGTGGTGGAGCGCCATCCAAGGGTAATGGAGGCAACGACCAGAGGAAGAAAAGCAACGTGGCGATCGGCGCCGATGGCAAAAGAGGCAGTGGCGTCTATTTGGTCTGGAATGACAACGGGACCGCATCAACGGAGAAAGTCTACGAGAAGAGCCCTGTCAAGAAAGAGAAGCTGAGGGAGATGGTGTGGAGACACACGACGAGTGCGTTCGAGGAGATTGAGAATGGAAGGGTGTTTGAGGGTTAAGAAGTGACCAGCAGCCAAAAGGACGGCAGTAACCGACTGGAGGCAGAAGGCGATGTATATGTTCTATGCAAATCCTCATAGGCGTGTCGGTGTGTTGGGACTAAAGTCAAGTTTCACGTCTGTGATTTCGGGGAAAGCAAAATCTGAAAAAAAGAAAATGTTGGGTTTTGCTGTCTCTCTGGGTCAAAGTATATTCACTGTGTGTCTTGCTGTCTCACAAATCCTAGATCACTCCCTCGGTACCCACCGCACTCTGTACCCCTGGGCTGTGATCCTACATCGTACATGGTTCCTGTCCTCAGAACAATTTCACAGCGCTTTCCATTTGCACATCATCCCCAAGAGTAGACAGCCTTTGTGTTTGTGGTTAGACACCGGTGTGCCGCAAGATGGAATATCAATCACCCTGACCATCGGAACGTGGTGAACGGCACTCAAGTCAAGGGGCGCTCTAGTAGTACCGACTCGATCGACTGGTACCGTTCACACCGTTCGTAGTCGCACCGCCGCCCTGCTGGGATGATGACGACCCCGAGCCCGAATTTCCTTTCTTGCAGTCTGGACAGTTGCCTGATTTCGGACCCCCCGTAAATCTTGGACGGGAGCAATTACTGCCACATCGTTGTATAGGCTGTCGGTAAAAATGGCCGCACCCTGAGTAGTTGTTTATCTCGACTGTGCACATCTTGGTAGTGAGTTCTGAGTGTTCTGAAAGCGTGTCGCACGTGAGATTGGAAGCTTTGTTTTCAGTTGTGTGCCTAGAGGCAAGATAGAAGACCGCAGACTGAATATGTATATGCCAGATTGAAACATATATATCTTGTGAGATTTCAAGAGGGTCATTATATACCTGTCCGAAACGCGTCCGTGTTTGTCTCAAACGACTCTGGAGATCTCTGGTTTGGAAGTGACATGAATCCAAACAGCAATGTTGTATCATCGACGCAATGCTCTGGTCCAGCGATTGCTAAATGTTTTCAAATTAGACCACACTGTCACCCTTGCCCGATGAGTCGATACTCACATGGTGAATACGACAGTTGCAGTTCGGTCACACTTGACAGTCCGATTCCACACAGAAACGGCCTTCAAACAAAAACAACCTTAGTGCTTCTCCTCAGCCTGGATCTGATTGACAATTTCAGTCGATGCATGTTGGGCCCGCACCTTCTCATCGAGGTGCAAAGGCTCAACCGAATCACCAAATAACTCGCCAATATCTTCAAGCGATCTCCCCTTCGTCTCCGGGAACCAAAAGAAAATGGCCGTACCGATGACCGTGGTGACGGCGATGAAGACGATATAGTATCTCCAGCCGACAGCAGCAAATGCAGTGGGAGCGACCTGTAGAAAAATGATCGTGGCAACGAAGAGACCAGAGATACTGACAGCCAAACCTTTGGCGCGGACAGGGGTAGGGAAGATCTCGCTGGCGTAGATATAGGATGTGGCGTCGCAGGTGGCCGAAAAGAAGGCGATGTGCAAGAACAGGAAGAACACAGCAGCCGACGCGAGTCCTCTGTCTCCGGACTTGTTGAAGAGGTCAACAGTGATGCATTCACCAATCAAAGCAACCACACAACCTGCATAACCCCACACCAGCATATTCGTGCGACCGACTCTGTCAACCATAAGAGAGTTGAGTAAATTTCCAAAGGGACAGACCGTGATCCAGCCGCCTTGGATGAGTAGCTGTTGAACTGTGTCGAAGCCCAGTGACGAATACAAACTGGGCCCATAGTTGTTGATTACCAGCGTTCCTGAAAATATGTTAGTCTGTGTTGGACATCGGCATAACGGTCCCGCCTACCTGTCCCTTGGCAGCCAAAAAGAACCAAGAAGCCCATGATACATCTCTTACGCATGTGTGGCAGTCTCCACAAATCCATCATGGACAGAGCTTCTTGTCGTTCGTGGAGGATTTGCCCCTGAAGTAGTTTAAACTCCTCCTGGATAGCCTCCTCATTGTTGACAATATTGTCTCTCGTCTCGGCACGAACCGCCTTGAATGCCTGATATGCATCCTCAACACGATCGCGATCGATCAGCCAGCGTGGGCTCTCAGGCAAGAAAAGCACACCGATGGCAAGGAACAAGGGTGGCAAGCACTGGATAGCCAGAGGAAGCCGCCATTGAGCACCACTGGCGTTCACAAAATAGAACCCCAAGCCGACCCAGCTGGCAAGAGTGTAGCCGACGCAGATGAGCACACCATGCATTCCGACGAGCAAGCCTCGAATCCGTGGCGGTGACATTTCTGATTGATACAGAGGGACAAGACCGACGAGAGCGCCAATACCAAAGCCGGTGATGAGGCGCATGACGAGGAACATGCCGATGTGCACAGACCCGGCTTGCAAAGCACCACCGACGACAGTAATGATCGAGTATAAGAGCAGAGATTTGCGTCGTCCAATCCAGTCAGGAAACTTGATCATGGATAAAGACCCGAAGAGGCCACCAGCCTGGTAAAGCCCATTGATGGCGCCAATTAGTTGAGTGGCATTCGAGCGGGTGTCGAGGTCGAAGTAGGAAATGAAGGTAGGCTGGCCAAGAGTTGTTGCGATGATGCTGGAGCAGTATCCATAGGTTAAGGAACCCAAAGCAACAAACAGGACGATGAAGAACCGGATCACTGACGCTGAGAGAGCCATGATACGGACTAACGGATGCGAAGTAGCAAACTGGATCTAACGAAAGTCTGGGGAAGTAAGTTGGGGGGTCTGGGGCAGTCCTTATACTTGGACTTGACACCCAAGCTCGTCCGTCACAAGAGGAAGTTGCAAAGAAAATAATAAGAAAACCCGTGTGGGAGTCTAGAAGCAACACCGACAATCAAATGGCCACGCCGACCGGGGGCGAATGTACTTCGTACCGTGTGCCGAGCCATACGATGGGGTATTACCCTGCCCGACCCCAATTGCGGCACAAGATTAGCTTAGTTGTATAGCTTGATCAAAAGTGGCCTGGCCATGTGGAGGATCGAATATTTGACACGACCTGGGCGAATCAAGATTGAAAGTCGAAATAGTATGCCACCAATCAATTTCGTGTGGTAGAATTTCATAGCCGCATGAGTTGTGGGTTTTCAGTCGGTGTTGTACTAGTCCCCCGTACAATCGTCTGAACAAAGACGTGGATGTGGAGCCCGGCCACGGCTTCTGTGCCGAAAGCACCAGCAAACCTCCTTGGAAACGCTGCTTGGGAGGATACATAGTCGCTGATTCCAGCTGTGATCGACAACAACGACACCTCAGACACTGCAGTCGTGACAGTCGAAGTGAAGGGACGGTGGAACAATCCCATCGAAGGGCCCGTCCGATAGACACCATAAAGTCAATGTGGAACTCTGGGAAATGAAAGGCCACCAACCATACCCATCTCTTTCTTCCTTGCATGATGCGCCGGTAGCTGAGACCGTGTCGAAGTAGATCTAGCAGAAGGACTGGTTTTGGTTGCACTTGAGCTTGGGTCAGCAACATGGAAAATATTGTTCTTCATAAAGTCAAGTGCCAAAGACATATACTTTTCAGACTTTCTATGCCTTTGGGACTCGTGCTGCTCTGGGGATAAGCCTGATCGGAATATTTGCAATTGGCAGTTTCCCTGAACGAAGTCGCCAGGTCCTGGAACACGCGGCAGGGCGGTGAAAAATCGAAGACCAACATTTTGCCTGTAAATAGGTTGAGAATCGACTCTTTGCTCCCAAAGGTCGCAGTCCCTTCGTCCATGAGGCTGTGCGAGCCATGCCTCACCTATTTCTCCGCAAAGGACAACTCAATATACTGGAATCGTTGAGGCTACCACCGCTCGTGCGATTCATGCGGAGGAAGCATCTAGTGTGACGGTAGCTTTTGAAGGTTCTCATGATTCAGGTTTAAGAAAGCGACATTGGGGTGTAGTGTCGGTGACGGTGCTGGTGATTGACTCAATGCTCCATGTGCGAACTCCTGGGTCGATCCCATTCTACATCAGCATCATTACGGCTGGGGTTCGCCTGCGACTTGGTTGGATCTGTCATCCGACATCATGAAAGTACAGTGAAGTGAAGGCGTGTTTGAGCCAATGCATCGGCACAGAGAGATGTGCGACCCTTGGTAGGCATACCGTACAAAGTTGTAAAACCTGGGTAAGGTAGGCAATAGATTATGTAGCTGCTGTGGCCATGGTCAACCCGGGGAAGCAGAGCTCAGGCCCTTTTCTGGGGAGTTGATCTTTGCGGTCTGAGATTGGTCGGGTTGAGCCGCTCTTAGGGTTTCTTCTTCCAGGCGCGGAAGCTCCAGCGCGCCATATTCTTGGGAGAGGCTGTGATGGTGGACATTGTGTGCTCACAGTGAATAGACTTGGTTCCGAGACAGTCTTGATCATAGTGACAATGAGCGCGTACATTGACTATGGTTTCACTGCCCGAGCAGGCGCCGCTGTCCAAAAAGAAAAATCAAACAGTCTGACAAAACGCCAGAATATGGTGTCTGGGTATGCACCAGTAGGATAGTTATTGTCAGACGTGTGTATTTTCTTCTGTGTTTTCCCCTGGCTCGAATCGACCCGCAACTGCGACGATTCGTTGCCGCCAAAATCAACAATTGCGCATTAACACAACACAACACTGTCTTCTTTCTCATTGCCCCAGTGCTGTGTTCACCATCTCACTGCCAATTGCTAAGACTTCACATCTGACAGACCTCGGTCGCCTTCAAACCTCGCGTCTTTCGTCCATCACAACCTCTGTGTCACCACCCACCTCTCGCGCCAGCAACCCCTCGAATTCCTCCTCGCAATGGGTGAATCTAGGTGGGCAAGATATACCAGGCAAGCATTCAGCGTCATCGCTAATCGATATCCTCCAGACAAGAACTACTGGCCTGGCTGAATGGCCTGCTTCAGCTCAACATAACAAAAGTCGAACAATGTGGCACAGGGTATGTTAAAAAGTGCACTCACATCTACAAGGCCACTACTAATGTTTCTAGTGCTGCCTTTTGCCAGCTGTTCGACTCAATCTTCCGTACGTCTTCCCCCATCCTCTCTTGCGTTTCTGTGCGGAATCACTACGAACGGGAACTGATAATCGAATCACAGTGGATCTGCCTATGAACCGAGTCAAGTTCAACGTAAACACGGAATATGCCTACATACAAAACTTCAAGGTATTACAGAGTAGGTCAACCTAATGGTATCACTGGGTCTAACCCCGCTCTACACGCTAACAATCTGGGACTGCTAGACTGCTTTACGAGACACAACATCGATCGTACCGTACCCGTCGAACAGCTTATCAAGTGCAAGATGCAAGATAACCTCGAATTTCTACAATGGTCGAAGAGGTTTTGGGACCAGTACTTTCCAGGGCATGACTATGATGCAGTAGCCCGAAGGAAGGCCTCGGGCGGCGCAGGTGCTCCTGCTGCCCCTGCTGCTGCGCGTGTGAGCACCGGCGCAAGCACCACAAGAAAGACCGGCGCGACTCCTGTCAATAGAGCGGCTCCACGTGCCCTTAGCGCAGCCGGTGGCTCAGCAGTGCTGAAACAAGAGAACGAACAACTCAAGGAAGCTATTGGCGGCCTTGAGAAGGAGCGTGACTTCTACTTCAGCAAACTCCGCGACATCGAACTCCTTCTCCAGACCGCCGTTGAGCAAGACCCAAGCCTGGAAGCCGACGAGAACGGCCTGATCAAACAGATCCAGACCATTCTCTATAGCACAGAAGAAGGGTTCGAGATTCCAGACCTAGATGCCAACGGGGCGGAAGAGCCGGAAACATTCTGAACAGCGGGAGGGGGGAGTCCGGGAATGACATTATCACGATATTGATGCAAAATAAACGAACGACGACAGAAGGCGGCTGTCTTCTCAGGAGACACAACGTAATGCGTCTGGGACGTGAGTGAGACGCGAGAAAAGAACCCCTCTGCGGGTGGTGAACAAAACGGGGAACGAACCAAGGACAATTGCATGCTTTGGCAAGCGGGCGGGGCAGATCTTGTGTTGAAGTAGTATTCATTTACCAGGATGGTGGACGTCCTGCATGTGGATCATTGGGAGCGAGAAAGAATGCCGACGACAAAAGGTGACGGACAGGCTGTTACATGCTGCATTGCAGCAAAGTCGGTTCTTTTCTTAGAGCGGGAAACGAGACGAGGTGATTGATTGATACCCTACGCTGCTTCCATGGTAGAGATTTTTCGTCATTCTCTTCTCCTTTTTTTTGGTATTTTTGTCTCGTGTGTTTTTTCCTCTTAGGGGCTGTCTAAGCCTCGAGCTCTCTTTCCCCTGCCTCTTTTCAGAACGTACCTGGCCCTTCTTTCTCTTTTCTTTGGGGGGGGGAGGGGGTGTTGCTGCTTGGATGACAGAGGGTCGATGACAACAGAGACGGGGTCCCTCTTCTGATTATTGGATCGTATCAAATTCAAGACAGCTCTCGGACAATGTCTGGTGCCCTTGTCCGAGTGCGAGTAGGGGAGGATTACAAAGCGCATTGAGATTTCAGACGTGTACCGGGAGGATGAGGACGCCATCCCTGCTCTTGGGAGAGAGTGACATGCTGCTAGTGAGGTACCTAGTCGGTAAACATTTCACAATCCGCACATCCCAACACCCGAAGACGTGGCTACATCGCGCCCGCCGCCGCTTCCTCCTCCTCCTCCTCCTCCTCCTCCTCGAACAAGTTGAAGAAGACTGTTCGCAGCCTCGCCCTTGATGACACTACTAGTCAAGCCCCGTGGGCGCAGCTGGCTGTTTTGAAGCGACGCCATGTCTTCTTCGGTGTCCTTGCCGCGGTTGCGTCCGTGGCCCATCGTCCCCTTCCTCGAAAGCACGTCGGGTGTCTTTGGCGGCGGTGCTTGCGGCTGCTGCTCAGAAGAGTAATCGCCTGTCGGGTTCTCGTGCGCTCTCATCTCGTCTACATCCTTGTCTTCGCCCTCACCCTCGCCCTCGGACGACGTTTCTGCTGCTGGAGGGCTGCTTGGCATGTCCTCGCCCAGCTGGCTCTCTTCAGCGTCAGCCCACCTCGCTGAAAACGCCGTGGGGGTAATGGTCGGCACGACCAGGCTCTCCAGAGGTCTAACGCGCGGTTTGCGGTCCATGGTCGCTCTGGCGCGCGCTATGGCGACGCGCGATTCAGGGCTGAGGGGCGACGATGCTGGTCGATGGACAGACCTGGGTCGTAGAGTTGACGACGATCCTCGTGGTGATGACGACGATAGTGCGGCTGCACGTATCTCTGGCGAAGATGGCAGTTGTTTGTGTTTGGGGACTGTGAGTTGCCAGAAGGGTTTGGAGATTTGGTTTGTCTGGATCTTGTAGATGGCTAGTTGTAGTCGAGTACGGAGTGTCTCTGCTTTCTGAAAGGACAAGCATCATGTTAGTTAGTTCCCAAAGTCCCGGTTCGAGCTGTCAATGTAGAGAAGGGAAGGCAGACGTAGGAGAGACACGGGCAGAGAATGTGGACGGGTGGATAAACATACTTCGAGCAGCATCTCCTTCCGGGGATCTTCTTTGGGTTTGGGCGGTGGAGCGGGAGGCGGTTCTACGGTATCGACCTCCTCGGGCATTTGCGTGCCATCACTTTGGGATGAGAGGTTGTTTTCAAAGTCGATGAGGCTGGACATGCTCAGGCTGGCCTGGGATGGCTCTTGGTTGAACGTAGGGTGGTCGAGAGGCACCATCTGAGAGGTACTTTGTGTGAATGATACCGCGTGCTGCATGGACAAACGGTCAGTACAAGTAAAGCCTGGCAGCGCAAAGCAAACTTGTCGCATAGGACTTCTTCGTACCATCTTGTCCAATGTCTGCTGGCTTGGTTCGTCGTGGATTTGGAACTCGGATTCCAGTTGTGGAGGTTCTTCTTGCGAGACGTAAAAGGATGTGAAGGCCGTGTTTGGTGTGGACTTGTGTTGGCCCGTGGAAGAAGACTGAGAGGCCGCGTCTTGGTGCTCCGAGGGCCCATCGCTCAGTACATCGACATGCTGGGATAAGAGGTGAGAGCTGCTCGTCCGCTGCGAGTCGTCCGTCTCCTCATTGTATTTTTCGACAATCTTTCGTTTCTGTCCCGCTCGGGGACTGATGGGAGACGCGAGGCGCTTCAGCGGCCGAGGGCTGAGAGCACCGTCTAGGCTTGCTTTTGTCTTTGTCGGGGACAGCAGCACGTTGGGATCTTTGTCGCCCAGAACGCGACGCGTGGGCGATGCTCGAGTACTCATTCTCCACGTTTCGAGGTGGTGGTTGAACTGCTTAAGAGACCAGAGGCGATCTTCTAGAACAGGCACTGCATTAGCATACACGTCGAGAATCGCAGGTACATTGCCAGCGACACTCACCGCATACTAGAGGATTCCGTAGGTAGGTACTCTGAAGGACTTTTGACAACGTCGAACTGAGAGTGTGAATGAGCGACTGGTGAAGCAGGACAGAACGAGAGACCGATCCACACAGCGTCCAGGAATGCAGAATAGCACTGCTTCTATATGCGAAATGCAAATGAACGACGACACGCGAACTTCGCACGGCCAGACTTGAGGGATGAAGTCGCGGTAACACGTACAGTAGAGTCTCGGTGGACGGTGCCTCAGTTCGTTAGCCTCCCCAAAACGCGAACGCATGAGCCCCCGAGGATCAACCCGCCAGCCTGATAAATAATAACGTGCCTCGTGTGCTTTGATTCCAGGCTTGTTGTGCTCCGGCCCGCATCGCCCTCGGCTCCCTGCAGATTTCATCTCTAACTAGAAGACTCTAGCGACTCACGTCAAGTGGATGCCCTGGAATTGTCGCGGGGAAGCGTTAACAAGCGAGTCGAGTCCAGCACCGCCTTCTTCTACGAGAACAGTGCTCGTATGCAGGTACTCTGCCAGAGAAGAATCATTCAAAAGCTACCAACCTCGTACACTACATAGCTACTAGGCGTTGAATATGCCAACAAAGATCGAGAAAACTCTACCTTGAGGTGTCGGCAAGGCTGAAATGAGCCATGAAGCCTGAGTATGCCCGACATTGCTCGAAATTGCACCCTGAGGTTAATGATGTATTGGCTTTGGCCATCTCACGCTATGTACCCGATTTCTGGCTCCCGGCGGCACGTTCTGCTGTTCCCTGGGCGTGGAAACGCGGATATGGAGTAGCAAACGGGGCCACTTGAGGGTCTAGCAGGTGCAGAGAGTTCAGAGGGTTCAGAGGGTTCTCTCTCACGCTTGGACCATTTGACGAACACCTGTCAACCATGCGTTGAACACGGTGACGCTGCGTGCCTCAACAGGAAGAGATACAGGTCTCGAGTCTCATATTCACATCACTCCCACAACTGTTGTTCCCAGCTTTTTCCCCAAAGGTACAAATGATTTACGCGAACACAAATCCAACTCGTTGCGGCATTCATGAAATCCAAAACCACGCTATGCATCATTCTGTGACAAGACAAACGTAAATCCCGCCCCTTCACTCACCCCACCAATGCATGTGCTGGTGAAGGTCCCCGTCGGGCAGACTGCCTGCGCTGCCCTGACACATCTCTCCCAACGGCCTTTGCTGACGTTCAACGTCGCCCCTTGGGTTACCGGGGTAAGTGTGAACTTGGATGTGCCTGAGGCGCCAACTGTGGTTTGAGGATTGCCTCCGCATTTCTGGATCGATCCCGCGATACCGCCGCATATCGAGAGTACAGCGACATTTGTATCGTGAGAATTGAGAGAGACGGTCGGATCGTCACATGTCGTTCCCGTTACGTCGTTGGGGTCTACAGATGTGCTTGCCGGAGAGCGTGGTTGTACAGCATATGGCTCAGCGTTGGAACTATAGACGCTGCTGGGGATTGTTGGGTGGGCGTCGGCCGGGACTGCAGCGTTAGGCCATAATGGTGAAGAAGAGCCGGAGGATGTAAGTAAGAGGAGGGTGAGGGAGAAGGTCGAAAATGAGAACTGCATCGTGACAGACTTGTTGTGTTTGCGTCCGGTCTGGAAGTGGTCTCTTGTTCAGGCTGTGCGGTGTGTTCTTCGAAGGAAGCGGAAATGCGACGGACGATACCAGCATATCATGGGTCTTATAGAACCCCCAGTATCCTGATGCGGATGAGAAGTCGCCTCATCTGGTGTTCCCCTTTGCAAGATGAATCCATAGTCGCAAACACAGGCCAAACGCCGGCCTACTCGCGAGGGATCGGTGGAGAGGATGTCGGCCGGGGCGATACTCACGTGGGCTTCGCGTGGTTGAAGAGCCGTGTCAGGCGTCGGAACGTCCTACCAGACCCTCGAGGAAGTCGGCACGCTCGAAACGCCATAAGAGATTCGTTCGTCTCAAGGCTAGAATCGTGAGGCAGTGTACGTTCCGAGTTGGGGTGGCTAGTCCGGTAGCAGCCGAGGCTGAAACTGCGCGATAGATGTAAGCGAGGCTGCAAAGAAACGATGGTGCTTATGAGACTCTTCTCTCAACCTCGTTTCTTGGGTTCGTGGGGTTCTCATATCTGGCTGGCATCACCGTCAGTTGCGAGGTCTCGAGAAGGAATACCAGATGTCGATCTCACAACCACGCCGGCCGAACGGACAGAATTGAGGGGGGCGATTTATTGTGTCAGCTCAGCATTCCATCCAATCCTATGACGATACGCATCGTCTTCACTCATCGTCTCGCAACACAAGACACCTTGACTGGGACTCTTCCTATCATCGCAGTCGTGGAGTATTTCTCCCCTCGGCGCGGCCACTTCTCAAGAATGGTGGCTGCAGAATGCAGGCAGCAACAGAGGATCCTGCCAATCGCGGCTTGTAGACACGCGCTGCTGCCTGGCCAAGGGATCGTGACAAGCCGAATCGAAGCACGAATGCAACGCGATCACACGTGCCGTCCAGCGTGAAAAGGCTTGGGCATTTGTTGTCAAGTGACACCAAGGTTGCGTCCCCGTCAATGAGCAAGAGAAACCCGTCGGCCTGGCCAATGCTTGCGGGCGTTTGGACTCTTTGACTTTGGCATTTGCCGCGGTTGAGCTGCTGATAAGCATCTGCGCAAGGTGAGTAAGGTGACTGCGTGGGTATATATAATCATTCTCAGGCTCAGTCTCAGGCTCAGTCTCGAGAAAAACACCCTCTCCTAGCTCCCTCGTCTCCCCTCCATCAATTTGTTTTCGTCTACCAGAAAGACATAGCAAGAGACATAGCAGTACCTCTCAATCTGTGATCGTACGTCCTCCCTTAAGAGCCAAGTCAGTCTCCCTCTCGTACCGAGGTACCTTCAATATGTCATTGGTCCACCATCTCTGCCTGCCATGCCCGGCCAGCAAGCTCGAGGCCGAAGTCGCCTTTTTCTCCAACGCCTGTGCACACATGGGTGTCAAGGAGGTTATGCGGCCTGTCCCCACGGTTGTTGGCCTCGGAGAGACGGCGCCCTGGCTTTGGATCTCGGGAGTGGATGGGAAACGTGAACCCATCGCAGACACTGAGCAGATCCATCCGGTTCACCTGGCGCTCGCGGCCAAAGGTATGTATCACGCGGGAGCGCGTACCCTCTCTCTTCCCTCCAGCAATTCCTTGGACGGCCACCCCTGTTGACAGACAGCGCAGACCAAGCCCAGGTGGATGCGTTCTATGAGGCGGCCCTCAAGGCCGGCGGGAAAGACAACGGAGCTCCGGGCCTCAGACCTGAGTATCGTTCCAATTATTATGGGGCGTTTGTCATCAGCCCCGCGGGACACAACATTGAAGCCGTAATCTTTCTGCCTGAGTGAGGCAGCAAATGGAAGTAGCTGATGTAGCGATCGGGCCAGCTGAGCTGGCAAAGGAGGTGCAGGTCTACGGAAGCGGAAGCGGAAGCAAAGTTGACAAAGGATCAATGGAAAAACCCGTGACATCCACATAACTATCTCTGGTATCAAAGTCATCACATATGAACTGGTATACTATTAGGAAAAGTCGTGACACAAGACAGCTTCTGTCAGTTCCAAAACCGGTTTCAATTCCACCGCACACTCTCTGCCTTATCACCACCACAGATCACTTGAAGAAGCTGCTAGACTCGGCACCAGTCTTCTTTCCTTCCTGGTAGGTGGCACTGAGTCGATCGTACAGTTGCTTCACCCGCTGAAGCTCGCTGTTAAGCTTCGCCTTGACCGACTCGTCCTCGATCGAATCAATGAGATCGGCTAACGATTGAGCAGTGAAGAATTTGTTCTTCCGATTGTACAACGGTCTGGCCGCTAGTGTCTCCGGAGTGTCTCCAGGGGCTGGTACCTGATAGACAGATTGGAGGATATCAATGTCATCTACCAGGGGTCAGTATCAGTGGCACCAGCAATTGGAGAAAGGATGATCCTCACAAGGAATGGCAAAGAGATCTCTGCTGTCCTCGTAGGTGAACATGTAGTAAAATTCGTTGAAGCCCGACCATGTTATGCCACTCAGACACAACGAACCTGCAGAGGAGATCGCGTCAGTGGGTATGCAACAAGGCGATCGAAGTAGGCCTGGAAGCCAAGCTGGAGGGACTCACAAGGCTCGTGGGTCGCGAAGAAAATGCAATCTTTGGTCTCGGGCCGACCGTCTTTGGGAAGTTTGAAGAACTGCTGGATACAGTTGATTTCGCCGTGCAGCAATGGTGATTCTCGCTCGTTGTTGGTCTCGGCGAGCACTGTTGAAAGCGAGGCTTTGTCGAGGATTGCGGCACCAAAGAGCTTCGAGCCTTGCGACACCTGTTTGGCCGTGAGAGGCACGATCGACTCCTCGGTTGCCACGAGCAATGCTGTGGCAATGTCCTGGGCCCTGGACATTTCGTACCTCTTTCTTTTGAACGCTGGAGGCTTATGCTGGATCTTCGATATGAACCGAGCGACAATGTCCAGATAAAGCTTTTTATCCTTGAACACTGATTATCTGCGGTCGAGACTCTAATCAATGTTTTTTATAGTTTCTTCTGATTGTCATCGTCAGCAAAGGACCAATCAGCGCTCTCTGGTGGACATTGTGTAGGCGTAGGACTTCGCCGATGAGCGGGACACTGACAATCGGCGAAGCTAAGAAAAGATTTAATCGGGCACTTGACTCGCTTCATCTCGCATTGTTCGCATCTCGCCATCGTCCACCGTCGGTTGTCCGTCGTCGGTCAGGTCCATATCGAGAAAGCAGTGTGTCGCGGGTTGTGCGTGTATACAAAACCAGCTCACCGTGCAAACACTGGTCATTGAAAAACAAGGCTTAGAAACGAAACCTTGTCCAATGCCGGCCAGACCAATTTTTTCAAGCTCATTGGATTGCAGTCTGGGGATGATGGTTGTCGCACAGATCGTGTCATGCAGCACAATTCTGCGCCTTCCACAAATTCCTCACTGCTGACGTTCCGGCGCTTCGACAAGGACTTTCCATCTTCTGCCTTTAGCCTTCCAACCCGTCAACCATCTTTAGTTGCATCTCGCCATCTCGACCTCGCGTTCTGCTCAGCATGAAACCTCCAGTCTAAGATTGTTTGATCGCAACGTTCTGTTCGGTGCATATAATGAGACCTTGGCCTCCATCCCCACGCTGTCGACGATGTTTGACCGCTGTACATTGTTGTTGCAGCTGCTCACCTGGTTCCTGACGAATGTTCGGCCCACGCTCTCTTCAAGTCCCGATGATATTCAAAGTCTGCCGGCTTGTGCTGTCTGATATCCGCTTGATCTGAGACGAATCCTCGTTGCTAACTGCCTCTAGCAAGGGACGTGCGCCACTAATATCCTCAGCTGCTATGCGGGCGCCCAAGGAACCTTTGCGGAATGCGTGAACTCTACCCAATCCCAAATGTACTCTTGTGCCAGGCAAAAGTGCACTTGCAACGACTTTACTGCAGTGGAGAACTGGGTATATGAGTATGGAATGAGTGAGTGCACGCGTTCCCAGGGGACATTTCGAGATCTGTTGACATGTTGTTGGTTACACAGACTATCTGATTAGCACTTTATGGGCGTCGGAAGTGTCATCGTGCTCTGCGTCCGCTTCGAAGAGCATAGTAGTCGGTCCTCCAGTCAGCACGGGTCCTTCTCAGACGACATCCACCTCTACCGTAACCAGTTTCGTCTCATCGCAGACGAGGAATCAAATAACCTTCTCGCAACCCAGCACTACTCTAATTGCCGTTTCCACCGTCTTCGTCTCGATCAATGTCACTCCTTCGTCTGAACAGGGCTCTTCGATATCACGATCGAACACAGAGCTATCCTCGTCTACTCCTCCACCCTCAAATGTTGATGATGCGTTGGGACTGTCGACTGGAGCGAAAATTGGGATTGGCATAGGCGCCGGAATTGGAGGTGGCTTGATGGCGTTTGTCATAGTGTATGCTGTCGTGAAATTTCGAAGGAAGAACAAGTACGCTGACGTTGGAGCTGTTCCGGCGGGAGTGGCAGATCCACCACAGGACCTGTCTCGAAAGTCAGGACAACAGGACTCCAGTGGCTCCAGACTCGATCAGGCCGAACTGCCGGCATCCGAAGTCGTTCGTCCCAGGTCATCGATATTTTCAGAATTGGAAGGCAGTCCAGTACAGAATTCTGCGAAGAGACAGAGACCAACTGGCCAATCATCACCTGATATCACCGAGTAATGGTAGTAGTATTCAGCAGATCGTTCCTCTCATTGTGATCGTCCAAGTTTTCGGCAATAGCACCAATAGTCTATCGGGGGTTTAATGCTGGAAAGCAGTAATAATCAATATTCGTAACCTCACAAGGCAAGGAGCACCCTACTATAATTATTGTCTAGGGAATGCTCTCCAAAACACCCTCCTCGAACCCGAGTCTCGCATGAACTAATTTCTCTTGAGAGTCTCTTGCAAAATCTCGAAGCCAAACCCTTTAACGTCGCTTAGTCTTCTCGCCGCTATTCACCTGTTTGATTTTCATCATGTGCTACTTACTGCGAGAGCTGACGTCCCGCATGTCACGACAGAGGAAGAACGGAGGTCGACGGGCGTGGCCACTCTCAGTAGGCGGTCGCTTTGTTTCTCGTACGGCCGACCCACAGTCCACCTGTTGTAGAACCGAACCTGGATTTTTTTTTATTTTTGGCGGTGGTAGCTATTGTGAAAAAGGAGCGATTGCTGAGGTCATGAGACGATTCGTGTCTGGATTTGCTGTTCGAACAGCGGGGAATGGTATCGACACAAGGGTGCAAAAGCTCACGGAGTCGAGGCTCTGAGCACCTGTCATTCACAAAGGCGGCGTACGCGAATGCGACACGGATCGTGTTCAATGGCAGCGTGGTGCCAGAGTTGACCACACACACACACACACACACACACACACACACACACACACCTTGGGGAGCGTGATGGCCGGCGTCAGGTCCCGCTTTGCTTCTCTCCTCTCCACATCAATCATCATGTGAATAAAGTCGGCGCCGGTGTCGTCAAAGATCGTGAATGGCGGTGGTGAATCGCGTGGTTAATTGTTACCCCTTATATTTCACTTCCCATGCATATTTTTGAAATTGGTAATTCTATAATCGACTCTGGACAAATCCACTCTCTTGTTGGTCCCGAAGGCAAGGAGGAGGCCAGTACTGGTCAACCTGGGGAAATCGAGAGACGAGCAAGTCAGTTCCAATGAGCATTGAATTGAAGGTGGCGATAACTTCGGGGTAATACCAAAAACCGTGCGGTAACAAGACAAGGCAGGGCAAAGCGGGCGGGCTGGGGAGGGGGGAGAGTGGTGATGGTGTAGGGGCGTCGTAAGGCGGTGCAGGGAAGTGCAGTATGGGAATATCGTCCTTGTGGGGGATAACGGCACTCACATCCTTCTCGACTTGATATCCTAGCAACTTCGGCGCGAGCCCCGAGTCTCTCCAGGCCAGAGCCTCGCCTTCCTCCATGGCCACCATCCGCCTGTCGCGCTCCTCTTGCTCCGGCCCGTCGTGTAAGTGGTACAGGTGTTGCTGCAGGTTCCCGCGCTTGACAATCATGGCCGTCCTGTCCTTGCGGCACTTTTCGTAGATGTCGAGCAGCTGCTTCTTCAGCGCGCGCGACCTTTTCGGGTTCGGCGCCCGCGAGAACAACTCCCCCAGCACCGCGGCGTCTTCGAGACACATGCCCGCCCCCGACGCGAGGTAGGGCAGCGTCGCGTGCACCGCGTCGCCCAGCATCGTGAACGCCCCGGACGGGTGCGACCAGGGGTCGACGTCGTTGACGCGGATCTGGAGACGCCACTTGTACACTGATTCGCACAGGGATAGGAGTCTGTAAGTATTACCCCATGGTGGTCAGCACCCGAGAAAACACGAGACTGTGCAGCTGCATCAAATACACACAAGCCTTGGGCCCTGGCAGGGTAACACTGAGACGTAAGGATGACGAGGAACAGAGGACGAGGGAGGACGGAGTAGGCAAGCGTCCCTGTGTGGGTAGCTAGCTACGTAGGGTAACTTACTTTGGTATTCTGGGATCCCAATCTTTAAACAACGCACGCATCTCCTCCACGTCGCCTTCGAGTGTGTTGGCGCTGCCGACGGGCATGTCGTCCGGCACCAGGAGGACCATGTTCAACAGTTTCCCCCCGCGTAGGATATAGTTGACCGCGTGGGCGTCCGGGCCGAGCCAGTAATTCACCTGAGGGTCTGTGACGAAGGGTCGCAACTCCGGGTCGCTGAGCATGTGCTCGGTCGGGATGAGAAGTCTGTAGGCTAAGTCACCCGTGGGCGTCGGCGGGTCAGATCGTGACAGGAGGATTTCTCGGAGGCGAGAATTGATTCCGTCCGCGCCCACCACGAGATCGGCCACGTATTCGGCGCCGGACGCCAGGACCACTGTTGCTGTTTCGGGCTCGTCGTTATTATCGTGGTTGTCGGAGGATGAGAAAGAGGCGGATGACGACGACGACGACGACAACGGTGATGATATCCTCACGTCCACAACCCGCGATTGCACTTTGATCTCAGCGCCGAGTTCGACGGCACGCTCAAGCAGGACCTTGTGGAGATTTGCGCGGTGAAAGTCCCAGTAGAACGTGCCTGGGTAGGGACGCGCGCTCTCCGCAAAGTCCATGGACGAGATAGTGTTGCCTTTCCATCCCAAAATGTTGATCCGAGACGGTTTGGTGGCGTGTTGCTCGAGACGCTCGCGCAGGCCCCAGGATTGTACGACCCGGGAGCTGTTGGGTAGAAGTTGAATACCCGCGCCCACCTCGCCTATCTCGGCCGCCGCCTCCAGGACCGTCACTTTGTGTCCAGCAAGGAGGAGTGCGATGGCGGCCCCGACGCCCCCTAGGCCTGCGCCGACGACGATGATGTCGAGTTGCGTCGAGGGGTCACGCTTTAGTTGTGTTTTGACGGGGATGGGATTTGAAGAGTCCATGTCGATGTCGAAGTTGTAATTGTGACTATTTGTGACCATCGACTAGCGTTAGTTTCGTGCTGTCCTGTTCTGTTGTGCTGGGCAGTGCTGATTCTGATGATGGATTAAGTCACTGATATTAATGTGCTGGTGGATGATGCTGATGCTGATGCTGGGTTTCTGCGTCGAGAAGGAGGTAGTATCGACGCTTGTACCACGATTCACGCAAGTAAAATTAATGTCGATTTCACCCCGATGCTGTACACATTCGACGTCCACATATGAAAACAGTGTTCTCCTCTGGAACGGATCCGGCCAGGCGATAGGAATTTCAATTCAACGGCTGAATCACCTATTTACCATGGATTCTGATCATGAGATCTCACGGACTTCTCCTGTCACACGCAAACATTCATGTACCTCCCGTATGTATATGTTTCACTTCAAAAGAGTACCTGGAGTCTAGGTATTGTTCGAAACTCTGATCGCTTGCATGTCCGGTGGTACAGCCCATGTACGTAGACACATGTGATACTCCATGCTGAAGCCACAGCCTGCCATAGTCTGCATTAATCACAAAGCCACGTCACGCATGATTGATCTGGTACTCGGAAGCTTAACTTTCTGTTGGGAATGGGGGTTGTACATTGTACGGTCATGCAAGATGATCGATTAGGTGTGTCGCATTGTACGGATAACGACCCGGTTGCAAGAATCGACTAGTGTAGTGATGTTGTACAACTGTCAACTCCAGGAAACTAAGGGATCTGGAATCGATCGTCGTGGTGGCGTTGTTGTAGACCCTCCCAACAACTCAAGGGTGGGGGATAAATATCCAGTCGGAAAATGGGGGAAAGAGTGTGCTTCTGTGGCGACGGACATGGTTCGGGACGCTGGACGCAGGGCCATGATGGCAACTGAGACTCAAGCAGTGCGCGATTCGGATGGTGATTTCGTTTGAGTAGTGAAGATGATGCTGTTGAGAAACGAGTTCGCGAGAAGATGAGGAAAAATATGTAGTTGATTCCACGTCACGTGGACTGCAGATACCATCCCTTACCAGTCAGATCAATTTATATCATTGCACAGGGTTCATGTGTCCCATGTATATCGTAAAACAGCTATAGTATCACTTGCTGGGAGATGATAGGAGCACTTTAGTTTCGAGGAGGTTGTTTCAGAATCTCTCCAGCCGGAGCAGGCATCAAGGCTCCCTCTGGAGGAGTGTTCTTCTTCTTAAACTCATCACACATTTGTTCCATTGTTACCCATTCCACACCCTCGTGCTTGTTGATGTGCTCAATTATCCTGCATGCGAAGTTCAGTATGGCACTCTGGTTATCTCGGGCAGGAAATGCCAGGGAAGAACGCAACGTACCTTTCATGCATGAGGACGACATGGGGCCGACCAGAGACGTCGGGGTGAATAGTCATGGGGAACACGAACTCGTCGAATTCACGGTAGTAGTAGTCGAAGTGATCCTACATATCGCCAGTCCAATCAGCATACACGGATCACAAGCGTCCAACAAGGTTATTGAGCACAGGGCTACGGCCTCGTCCAGGAGAGAGAACATACCTTCCAGATATCCTCAATGTCGCGGGGATTGACCCACCCGTGGCTGTTGGCTGAATTCTTCATCTGTAGAGGCCCAAGGAGGTCAGCAGCAAGTCCAAGCATGCTAGAGCCAGGAACGGAATAGGCCTGCTGAGGAGGAATGGGTTCAAGAAACATACAAACATCATTGGTGGTAGGTCGTCAATGTACCATGACCCAGGGATCTCGACCAATCCCGTCATCTTGCCCTTGACGAGGGGCTTCATCCAATCGACCGCTTTCTTGGAGTAGTCGATCTTGGTCCACGTGTCGCCCGTCCGGAGCCAGTACATCTGACAGTCCTCGTGGCCCATACTGTGGTCGTACTCGATACCGTAGCTCAACAAGAGCTCCGTGCCAGCCTCACTGACTTCCCACCACGGCGCCACACTGCCTCGTGGAGGCTTGCCGCAGAAGTCGGTGAGAAGGCGGAACGTCTTGTCCAGAACGTCTTGCTGCTGCTCAAAGGACATGTCGCTTGGGTTCTCGTGAGAGTAGCCGTGCAGACCGATCTCATGGCCCGCGTCGCGCACCATGGCACACTCCTCGGGGAAAGTCTCAAGCGAATGACCTGGGATGAACCATGTCGCCTTGATGTTGTACTTGTCGAAAAGCTTCAGAAGACGTCTTGTGCCATGGGTACCGGCAAAGAGACCTGTATCGAATTGCGTCAATCAGTACACCGTCGTGAGCATTGTTGAAGACACGTCGATGATTCACCTCTGCTGATGTCACTAGTTGAGTCCTCTCCGCCATATGAACCAAGCCAGCCAGCGACGGCATCAATGTCAACACCGTAGCCGACGAGAACACGCTTCTTGCCCATTGTTGGTTTTTCGCGGTGTTGGATGTGGCGGTTCTTCTCGCGAGGTAAATATTTCTTGTTAAAGCGATGATGACTCTTGTCTGATACTTGACGTTTGATGGCTTTCAACTATCACCGATATACCTCGTTACTGAAGCTGTTCTGCGAGTACCGAAACCTTACCGTCACCCTCAACGATAAGGGACACTCAAAACCGTGATGTTCGTTGAACGCACCCCATTGGTGGGAAGTGCATTAGCCAATTGTTTACACGTCGCGGCATAAAGTGGACAGCCGACTGCATCGTTAGATAAGGGCTACGGCCATTGGTATTGGCGTGAAGCACAGGAATGTCGTTGAAGTGGGTGTCGAGTGACAAATGGAGTGGAGCAATGAGGAAGTGGGCGGATTTGGGCGCATCACGGCCAACTGTCCCTTTGACGCTGCTGGGGAGGCACCAGAACCACGCCCAGATAATCACATAATCGTCGTCTTCGTGCATTAGGTATTGGAGTGACACCTAATCAGAGCATCGAGTGCTTAGCGTGGGCTGCAAATTGCCGTCCAGGGGCCCGGTACGAGTACTCGTGGTCCCTCGCTACCAGTACGACCTGACGCCGGGTCCATACTTCCCAAAAATGGGGACTGGACGACACATCCGGTCAGAGCATCGAACCCGAGTGTGTTATGAGCCTTCTTTGAAATGATCCTTGGGAATCGACTGTGTACTTTCGACATCCTCGTACTACCTGTTCGCACTGTGCACACAAGCAATCCCCCTGGAAGCCAGCCTTGCACGTGATTCCCAAAATGAGTAGAGTGAGCCTTCCTCGACAGCCCCTTGATTTGGTCAACTATTGCCAGCTCACACTCTCCATAGTTCTCTCTGAAAGGCCGCACTGCTCTCGTCACTGGCGGTGCTCGAGGATGTGGCCTTGCTTTTGCCGAAGGTCTAGCGGAAGCCGGTGCAGACGTCGCCATCTTTGACGTGATTGACCCCGTCGAAGGCTTCTTTGAGATTGAGAAGAACTTTGGTGTCAAGACCAAGCATTACAAGTCGGTCACATTGCTGTGAGCTCGATGGGAATACTGACAGACCGACAGGGTTGACGTCAGCAGCATTGAAAGCCTCGAGAAGGGGTTCGCTGCGTTCAAGGCAGATTTTGATGGCAAGCTGGACGTATGCGTGCCATGTGCCGGTATCAACAAGAACCTGGCCTTCTTGGACACATCCTTCGAGCAGCATCATCAATTATTAAGTGTCAATGTTATGGGCGTCTACCACACTGCACAGATGGCTGCGACGCAGATGATTGAGAACAAGACGAAATGCGGCAGTATTATCATGGTCGCCAGCATCGCCAGTTATATGGCCATCCGGAGCCAGATGAGCAGTGCATACTGTGGTACCAAGGGTGCAGTGAGAGCCATGTGTCCAGCCATTGCGGCCGAATTGGTTCCCTACGTAAGTGTTGCCCTTCGATGATGGGGGATCAGGGCTGACAACTCGCCAGGGTATCAGAGTGAATACGATATCTCCGGGATACGTGAAGACGGAAATGACTGCTCCGGTATGTGGCAAGATGCTGGTGTTGAATCGTGCTCTGCAAACTAATCTAACATAGTTTCCTCATTTGTTGGAGAGCTGGAAAGACGAGATTATGAACAGAAGAGTCGCACAGCCGGATGATATCAGGGGTGCTTGTGTGTTTTTGGCCAGCGATGCTAGTTTGTACATGACAGGTCAGGATGTGTGTGTCGATGGTGGAGTCACCAAATGGTAGATTGCGGATCATTTGTAGCCCTCAGTTGTGAGAAGTTGAAAGGTTGAAATTAAGAGTTAGCTAGTTCTTTAAGAGCTTGTCTACCACTGCTGCAACACCAAGGACCTTCTCCTCTTCAAAACGACGGCCTACTATCTGTAAACCGACAGGATGGCCATCCATTGTCTCGGGGTCATAAAGATTCCAGTTCCACGCATCATAATCATTCCGAGGCTCATAACCTGGCACCAACGGATCTTGAGATGCCTCAACCTGTCCCGCTGGGAATGACAAAGCAGGATAATCCAGGAAATTCCACACTTTCGTGTATCCCACCCACTTGCATGTCCGGTGTGGTACCGCCGGGTGAGGCATGGTAGGCATCAGCACCACATCAACAGGCCGACCTGATCCTGGGGCTGTTGTTGCATTCCATTTCTCGTTGTAAGCTTGCTGTGCGGCAATCTTCCGTCGATTCAACTGCCAGTAATCGTACACCGAGATAGCCTTGCCTCGATTGATCAACGCCTCGACATGAGGAATGAAAGGCTCTCCACCAGCCTGAACATCTCTACGGATGTCTTCACCTCCATCAGCCGTGTAGAAGAGGTCCTGCATAGAGTGTGAGCAACCTGCAAACGAGGGAGCGGCGTTGACGTACCATGATCTCAATGCATTCTTTATGACCGGCAGAGTTCCATTGTACGAGCTCGTGGCCTGCTGCTTTCAGTTTGGCCGCGAGCTCCTTCAGTGCTCGTTCGATGGGAGGGTGAACCTTCACCACGCCGTCGTCGACTAGTACGCCAATCGTCAGGGGCCTCGCCTGAACCTCCTCGTAAAGATCCTTCCTCCACGGGAGCGGTGTAACCTTAGGATCGAGTATCCAAGGTTTGGCATCAACAACACATTGCATGACTGTGACCAAGGAGGAAAGGCTTCTGGCCATGGGGCCTATAGATGACGGGACATGCTCTTGTCCCTCTGTCGATACTGGAACACCCATATAAGGAAGCCTAGAGCTCTGACAGCTTTCAGTAACTGAATCTCGCGGCAGTTTGCTGGTGGTGCTCTGCTTACCGTGGGCTTCAAACCCCATAGGCCATTCATGTGAGATGGGATACGAATTGAGCCACCTATATCCGTTCCCCAACCTATCATTGACGCACGAAGGGCGAGCAGAACTCCTTCACCTCCAGTTGAACCTCCAGGTGTAAAGGCAGGATTGCGAGGGTTCGTCGTCAATCCCCAGAGTGGGCTCTCCGTCTCGCACCACTGTGTGAGTTAGCGGAAATCTACCTGAGACACAGAGGCAGTGCAGAATGCGCACCATGATACTCTGAGGAAGATTCGTCTTTGCCAAAATGACTGCGCCCAGAGATCTGAGGATCTGAACAACAGCTGCGTCCTTTGAGGCTGGCTTGAAAGCTCTTCCTACGTAGCCTAACGTTGAATCTGCTCCTTTGACATCGAACTGGTCTTTGAGTGTGACAGGCACACCATGTAAAGGACCTATCAGAGCACCGTGGTGTCGATAGTAGTCGTCAAGCTTGGTGGCTTGTACAAGTGCATCTTCAAAGAATACTTCAGTCAAGCAATTGGTCTGTGCAGGGGTTAGTAGACATTAGAATCGGGATACCCAAGCTCAATTACCTTCTGATGTGCTTCCGCGATCCTAAGTCAAGAATGTCAGTATGGGAACAAGAAGTGTTTTGTGGCTTCACCACCTTCGGATATAGCTTGCGGTGACATCGTGCGCAGTAACCTTCCCTGATGCCAGCAACGTTGTCAGATCGTCGACATTATCGATCTTCAGGACCGTATCTGCAACGGCGCGCTCTCCGTTGATCGTGGTCAAGTACCGTTCAACCAGTTTTTCTCGGGTTTCGCGCTTCTCCTTCACCACTTCTTGCCACGGCCTGGACGACATTTTGGTGGTTTGCAACGTAGCTGGGAGGCCAGAGCTACAGGTGGACCGCGCTGCCTTTCAGCGAGATCTTCTCCACGAGTCGACACTGGCTACAGCCTCGTGGTGCTTCACTTGCCCGATGATTATCAAACAATTTCGCCATGCTGTTCAGTCGAACGAGGCTGAGGGAACCGGTGCCGGTCTGATTGGTTCGTGGCGATGTCCGCGCTTATCGGCTACTGTTGCTGCCCTCCATTCTCTCTCTCACACATATTTTCGGAAGAGTGGGGGGTTTACAAACGTCCAGACCGTTGCGGCAGCAAAGTACCTGTCGCCAATTAAGCAGTCAGTCCACCCCAGCAGTGCGTCCAGGGGTTCATCGTATGTCCCTATCACAGAGTCACCTGACGAGGCCGTCTCGTCCCCTGCCAGGCCCACGTTTGCAAGGCTCGCTCATAAACAGCCGCATTCCGACGAATTCAACCCTGGCCAGAGCTAATGAAGCGAACTATCTCTCAAGTGTCGCCGACAATGTCTCCAAGCGCAAACAATGAAGGATTCAGCACCCACGTCAATGGCCATATCAACGGAGTCGAGGGTGATGTGGAAAACGCCGTCATCGTCGGTGCTGGACCTGCAGGGTTGATGCTAGGGTAAGGTTCAACATATCCTCGCTCTTTAAATTACTAACGATTTGATAGTGCAAATTTGGCACGATATGGCATCAAATCCAGGATCGTGGACGACAGGGATGACAAGACCTCGACTGGGAGGGCTGATGGGTTGCAACCTAAGACCATCGAGACATTCAAGCAGCTACGCTTGGCCGATTCCCTGTTGCAGAAGGGCGTTAAGATCTACGACATATGCTTCTGGGTAAGTGATTGCAATTCCCGTACTTCTAACCCTCGTTTGATTTGCGCTTAAGCCTTCTGGGAGACGGAAGTCCTCTCTCAAATTCACATATTGTTGAACTATGGGAAAATGCTGATAAACCCCCATCAGAATTCAACATCTACACAGCCTCTGCACAGAACAAGGAGGGAAGTACATTACCCTTCTGAACTGGATGTGAAAGACCCATTCATCCTGCTGGTACATCAAGGCATGGTTGAGGATATCTTCATCGAGGACATGAAGGACAGGGGCATTGAAGTCACTCGAAGCTCTCCTTTCCAATGTTACGAGGCAACTCAGGATCCCGAAGCGCCAATTGAGGCCATCTGCAAGGATAACAAGACGGGATCGAGTATATCGTTCAAGACCAAATACCTTGTTGGTTGCGACGGCGCCCACTCCAATGTTCGTAAGAGCATTGCAGGTGCTCAAATGGTTGGCGAGAGCAGTAATTCGAAATGGGGTGTGCTTGATGGTAAGCTTAGGGCACGCATACTCTCCATGAGCGAGCTACTGACGAATTTGCAGGTGTCATTGAGACCGACTTCCCGGACTTATGGAGCAAGGTCGTGATCCATTCGGAAACCGAAGGAACTGTTCTTTGCATTCCAAGAGAACGCAACATGACGAGGCTGTACATTGAGCTTGATCGGAATTTACAGGATAGTGTTCCCACGGAAGCAACTCAAGACTTCGTCATGAATCAAGCTCGAAAGATTATGGCACCGTTCTCGGTAGAGTGGTCTAGCGTCGGTAAGTACTATCATTAATGACGCACTTTATCTTTCAGCCCCATTAACCATGACTCTTAGAATGGTTCAGTGTCTACAAGGTCGGACAGCGAGTAGCTAGCACATTCTCAGCGGAGAACGACAGGGTGTTTATCACTGGTGATGTAAGCACTTTCCCTGTCTTCCCAATGTGATCGAACGGGTTTTAATCCGTATACCTAGGCTGGCCACACCCATTCCCCAAAAGCCGCTCAAGGCATGAATACCTCAATGCACGACACCTTCAACCTTGCATGGAAACTCAACCTCGCGATCCGTGGCCTCGCCACTCCAGATCTTTTGTCTACGTATCAGCACGAACGACGCAAGATCGCTCAAGACCTGATAAACTTCGACTTTGAACACGCTGCTGCCTTTTCCGATGGCGACTCCAAGGCTCTGGCGGACAACTTCGCCACCAATGTCGGTTTTATATCTGGAGTTGGCGTCAAATACGCAGCCAATGTCCTCAACCACCCTGAGACACTCCCCCGTGGAGCCCTCCGCGCTGGTGAACTCATGGCCCCTGCTCAAGTCACTCGCTATATCGACGCCAACCCCGTCGACGTACAGCTCGACATCCCTGTGCTGGGACAGTTCCGGGTATACTTTTTCGTCCCTGACGTTCACGTAGCCAGGAAGTTCTTGGATTCCGTGTGCAACTATATCTCTTCGCCCAATTCAATCCTAGGGCGTGCAACAGCTGCAGCGGCCAAGTCATATGCACAACTCAACCTTCCTCCGGTCGAGTCGGACAATTTCATCCAGCCCGGGCGGTATACGGCCGCATCGCACCTCTTCACGTTCGCGACGGTGACGGGCATGCAGAAATCAAGCGTTGAGATTACCGACTTGCCCGCCCTCCTACAGAAGAGTCGGTGGACGTTCTACCTGGACGACCTGCGGGATCAGAAGACTGGCAAGTCGTTTACAGAAAAGTGGCTGGGTCCCGTTGAGGCCGACGAGGTTGCAATTGTGAACATCAGACCTGATGGCTACGTAGGCAGTATTGGGCGCTTTAATGGGAAGGGCGACGGTGCAGATGCTTCTCAGTGGCTGGACTCTTACTATGGCGGCATCCTGAAGGCATGATGATATCGAGGACATCTCCTCAGTCCAATTGGTGCTTACGAAGATGATAAATATGATATTGTATAATTGCGACCTAGAAATGCATTAGCGGTGTCGCCATTGAAGATTTAGAGCAAAGACAGGTGACAGTATTACTTTTATATCTTGCAGGTGTTAACATTCCCCTAGTTTGATATATCGTAACCGTCATGGACATTTCGAATTGCTAAACTTATAAACTGGAAATTCAAACAAGGTAACAACGCTCGCTCTGATCTGAATCATACTGATATCGCAGTTGGCGCCGCCGTCGGGGTGGTCTTCTTGAAAGCTTCCGCAGCACCATAACTCTTCTTGTAGCTACCACCCACGATCCCTTCGACCGAGTCGGGAGGGTACTTTGACGACTCGCCCTCCCTGCGGCAGTTTGGCAGACATTCAATCACGTAGTCCGGATTCCCGCTGTAGAAGAAGGGGATCGAGTAGCGCTCCTTGCCGCTTTTGTTGATGACCCTGTGGGTATTGCTCACGTACAAGTCGTTGGACCACCGCTGAAACATGTCTCCCAGGTTGACGACGTAGGCGCCCTTGACGGGGACGACGTCGAGCCACTCGTCGGTGCTCTTCTCGTAGACCTGGAGCCCGTCGACCTCGTCCTGCATGAGCAGCGTGACAGATCCAAAGTCCGTGTGCGCGCCGATGCCCCTCGAGATCTTCTCGTCCGAGTCCGGCGGTTGCGGCGGGTAGTGCAGGAACCGCAGGGTCGCGACGGCGTCGGTCGTGAAGTCCTTGAAGAAGCTCGCGTCGAGGTCGAGCGTCTGTGCGATGACGACGAGCACGTCCCGGGCGAGCGCGTGCATGGCCTTGTAGTACGATGTGCACGTCGCCTTGAACTCTTCGACGCCCTCCATCGTCTCGGGCCAAAAGTTGGGCCCGCTGTTGAGTCTCTTGTGCACAAAGTACGGGTGGTCTGTCGGGATCTCTTCTCCGATATAAAATCCCTCCTTGAGGTCTGGAGCCGTGCCGGCCTCCAGGATCTGGGATCCGATCTTCTCGTAGCCTCTGTTCCAGGTGTTCTTCTCTGCAAAAGGGGAACAAAATCAGCGTACGAATGGCAGAAGCGGCGATTAGTCACGAATGGTGGAACACCATCCCGGGTGGTACCTGGCCGCGTCTGCATGTGTCTTACCTTTTAGCACGAGCTCCTTGTCTTCTTGAGGCAGCGAGAAGAACTTCTTCACGCACTCGAGAACAGCCTCTTGAAGTTCGGCGGGAACATTGTGCCCAACGATCTGGAAGAAGCCATTATGGAGGCAACACTTCCTGACTTGGGCTATCAATCTGGCTTTGGCCTCTTCGTCGTCCCCGTAGAAGGCTTGTCTGCAGTCAGTATAATGGTGATGTCTAGATCGACGAGGAGAGTTTTGACTTACATGAGAAGTTCAGGATAGGGGGGGCCTCGGCGATAGCCATTCCTGCTGCTCCGTTCGTTGCGTAGATGTGATGATACAGACAGAGACTTGCCTGAGGGAAGAAATCAGCTCAATGCACCATTGGACCGGTTGTAGTGAATCCTATGGGCTTTGATATTCAACAACCATCGTGCTCGTAGAGTGGGCATAGTTTGTTGTACGATTCGAACTCGATGCATGCGGGCAGTCAGTCACCTTATCCCCTGCATGGCCTTTCAATCCGTTAATGTCGTTTATCTGGCTTGGAAATGCATGGCAACCTTATTGACGGCTCGCCACCAGTATCTTCTGGTCTTCCCGTGGCCGCAGAAATACGAGGTTCGAGTGACAGGCCTCCCCCATCCTGGCCCGGTACACAGCGAACGGGCTTTTTCGGCTTTCGACACCACACAGATCCAGGAGCATGGTGTGATACCTGGTACTAGCCTGACGGCAGCCTTCTCCGACTTTAGATGTAGGGAATTGTTCTTCCCAGTCTCTCCGTCTCTCGAGCAAAAGGCTTCGACCAAGGGTGGGGGTCGTGATTCTGGCTTGTCAAATGGTTCCGTGTGCCCTTATCAACGATCTGCAGGGACCGGCTCAATAGGCTGTGCCACACCCTGGAGAAGGCACCTGGTAGATGTACATGTCCTAACCAACATGTCTCCACAGAATATTGTCGGAGCGTCGACGTTATGGCTATAACTTCCTGTACCTGGCAGACTCAACTGGCCATTGACACAACACTCCGGTATTGGTCCTTCTACAGCGGACATGTCCTTTTTGTTTGCTATGATAGCTTACGATCCGCTGCCAGTATGCGTGGGCCTTGATGTGGTACAGTGCTATCTCGTCTCTTGGCCAGTCTATGTTACCGTAGGTAAGGTGATCAACGAGCATCCACGGGCTGCTGTGCGAAGAATGGAGTTGATGCATTGAGCAGACTGCATAGCCCAAACCTGATCTAGGTAGTCTTTGCTGAGAAACGTTCGTAGCCGATCGCTGATGCCAATACCTCTTTCGACTTAGAGAGTAAGTTATAAGTTGATCTGCCTCGCTCGCCTGTGAAGTAGAACATTCGACCTCTCTTGTCCAGCACTCAGTAAGAGACGTGCACAGCGCCAAAAACACCCTTTACAAGATGGGAAAGGAAACTATCTCTGTGTCAGGGTCAGATCCCAATGTCGAATCCGGCTCTTTTGCGCCTGTCATCGACAAGGCTGCAGAGAAATCTTATGGTAAGTTGGTCCCCATGTCTATACAAGAGTCGCCGTTGACAAGACGTTCAGTCCGCAAGCTTGACTTCTATCTCCTACCGTTCTTGTCGATAATGTAAGTCCGTAAAGGCATTAGAACTCTCCAGGATCACCATACGGAGGCATAGGCCTTTTCATAAGCAGCTGCTGACGAGTGCGTTAGGTACTTTTTCAATTCTGTCGAGTAAGTGACGGTGTTACTGTCTTCAAGGACTCATAACGGACGGGCAATATCATCCATTTCGGTCTATTAAGAAGTCGCTGACATGTACACAGTCGTTCAAATCTGGGCAACGCAAAAACAGACGGTCTGGACAAGGACTTGAATTTCACCGGCAATGACTACTCTCTGCTCATTCTACTCTTCTATGTCCCATTCGGGCTGTGCGATCTACCACTAAACCTTCTGACGAAGAGGTTTTCCGGAAAAGTCATGCTTCCTTCGCGTTAGTCTAAGCTCACACATTACCGCCTTTGAGAGCAAGCACTTACCGAGACGCAGTCATGTTTGGTTGGGGATCTCTGTCCCTGATCCAATGCGCCGCCAAAAACTTCGGAGGCATGCTGGCCATTCGTCTCATCCTAGCGTATGTGACATGTCCAGATTGCCTTTGTCAACTTCTTCCTGTGCTCACAGTCTGCTGATCGATGTTCTGCCACAGTATTTTTGAGGCAGGCTTCTTCGCCGGAGTGGTCTTCTACATGACTCTCTTCTACACCCGAGGCGAACTTGGATTTCGAATTGCAGTCTTCTTCGGAAGTGCCTTGCTCGCGGCAGCGTTCAGCGGCCTGATCTCGTACGGTGTGTTCCAGATCCACCATGTCTCCGTCAAGGGCTGGATGTGGCTCTTCATCATCGAAGGCGGCATGACAGTCATCACGGCTGTCATTGCCTTCTGGTGGCTGCCCGCACGCCCAGATACGGCATGGTTCCTCAACGACGCCGAAAAGATTGCGGCGAGGAACCGACATCTCCGGGACGCATCGAGGACGGTCAACACAGAGTTTGATCTCAGGGCGTGCTTTGCCACGTGGAAGAACCCCAAGTTTGCCCTCTGGGTGGTGATAGCGTTCACCTATCCAGTTGCGTTTGCGACCGTCAGCAATTTCCTCCCGCAAATCGTCCAGAGACTTGGATACTCGGTGGTCAAGACCAATCTGTGGACCGTCGCTCCGAACAGCGTTGGGTTTGTGGTCCTCCTGTGCGTCACAAAGTCCTCGGACTACTTCAGAGAGCGGACGTACCATATCGTCTTCGCCCTGTCGTTGTCGCTGGTCGGCATGATCATCTTGGCTGCCATTGACGTTCTCGAGAACAAGGGTGTCGCTTATTTCGCGTGCTTCTTGATGGCGTCGGGAGCATACATTCCCAGCTGTCTGGTGCACTCGTGGCACAACAACAACAACCTGGAAGAGAACTCGCGGGCAGCTACCACGGGATTGCTCGTCGGCCTCGGAAACTTGGGAGGTATCATCTCGGCAGCGACATTCAGAGTCGAATATGCACCTGGGTAAGAGACCAATCACGAGTCCTACGTGATCCCCTCTTCCTCCTTCGTCGGCGCGGAAGTTGGCTAACGACTGATGATGAAAAAGCTACGTTCCCACGCTCATCGCCACCAGCTGCTGCAACGTTACTTGCATCGTCTTCAGTAAGTGTGCTGCCGTTTCCACATATATATACCACAGTTGTGACCTTACGCACAATACTGACTGATGGCAACACAGCTCTCGTACTCGGCTTGTACATGAAGCGAGAGAATGCTCGACGTAACAAAGAGCAAGGAGTCATCATGAGAGCGGAGGATGTGGACACAGACACGCTCCAAGACGGAGAGAAGTCTCCCAACTGGAGATATTTTACTTGAGATCTACGAAATCTTGGGTGTCCGGAACTGCTACGTTCGAGTTTCTCCGTGGCACAAAATATCTGCATTACTACTGCTAACGTGGTGGTGTAGTACTCATTTCGTATACTTCGTACGGCCATGAATATGTAACATGCATTAAATATATCATCTCAGGAACGTCTCGTACTCGTTTATCGATCGTTCAGGAACAAGTCCTCTGAGCACCTTCATTCCCTCGTGCACAACCGCCCAGCGGATGTTACTCAAGTGTTTCGCCATGACGGCCGTCAACCCGGAGGTCGAGTACTTGCCCAGCGCCCGCCAGAGGTGCTCGGGCATGACGCTCGCCATGCTACTGACGAGGGCGTTCATCTCGGCCTTGGCGTGCCACACAATGCCGTCGTCGGCGATATTGTCCAGGTGCGAGTCCTTTGACGGGGTTGGTGTCGTTGTTGTTAATGACGCGTAGTTGTGGTGGTGTTGGTGTTGGTTCCTGTCTCTGCCGCTCTCGCCACCACCACCACCACCACCATTTTGCTGTCCCGATTTATCAGTCGTGTTGGCAAAGTGAAACGCCCAACACGTCAGCGTGGACAGGTACAGACACCAAGGGTAGTGGAAGGCGTTGTTGACGTCCCAGTTGTCCAGGTTCATGATGCCGTCGCGAAGCAGGTGCGCCGCGTGCCATGCCGCCTTCGCCGCGGGCGTCGAGCCGCCTGGCTTCGCCCACTCCTTGATGATGCGTCGCGACCGGTCGTAGTCTGCGCGCGTCACGGGCCGGCCAATGATGTGCCGCGCGCCCGCGTAGATTTGTAGATCCAGAATCTCGACGTTCAGCGTGATGTGCGCCGCGTGGTAGATGGCGACGGTCGCAGTGCTGAAGCGCGTGAACTCGGCTTTGCGCGTCGTGTTGTCGCCTAGCGAGAGCGTCATATTCATGCAGTACGTGTCGAAATCGGCTTTCCAGGCGTCGTAGGATTGAGAGAGCCGGTCTTGCCATTTTGGTTGGTCCGACGAGGATGAGGAACCGTTTAGTTTATCCATGCCTACAGAGGCAGAAAAGTGTATCTGTTAGTAAACAAATGCGTCGCGGACGAAGGAAGGTGGCCGTCGCGGCGGTGCTCACCGAGAGAAGTCTGATCTCTTCGCTTCATGTCCCATTGTACTGACATCAACCCGTGCAGGACAAGCAAGCGGGAGAGGGCGTTGAGCTGGGGGATTTGTATGCCCAGGTCCGGGTTCATGTAGGCCTTGAGGACCGAGAGGTAGGAAATCTGTGGCTCCTTTCGAGCGTATTTCCACCATTCTTCGGCCGAGCTGGCTTCCCATGTTGTCTGGTTGCATGGCAGCGTGGTGCGCAGTTCGAATGATGACATGCATAGTGACTGCGAAAAGAGGACGGCATGTTGTGTGTCCCAGAGGAAGCAGAGGAATGCCAATCTGGAAAGCAGAGTAAGTTAGCTCGTACCAGGTTTGATACATGGGCAGATCTTCGTTCTCAACATACCTCTTGCGGAGCTCGACATCTATGGCTCGGCGCCAGTCGGATTCGAGATCGCCTGAGCCTTCGCCAAAATTAGGCTGGCGTACACTTTGGCAATCACTTCTCCGGATCAAACTGGAAGAGGCGTCAGCATTGGTTACGGATAACAGAAATCGCAAGTGGTGCCACTTACTTGATCAATAGTCCGTGGAAGAGATGTGCCATATCATGCTGCTTCTGGCCCGCTCTTGACTTTCCAAAACACTCGACGAGCAGGATTGTCTGGAGCATCCACAATTCTGGAGTCGATGAGAAAGCCGAGTGTTGAAATATTTGCGCTCGGAGGACGTCGTGAATGCATACTGCTAACCTGTGAATGGCTTTCTCACTGTATGTGGCACCCAGAAGTAGAACAGCCAAGAGGAGCAGAGGTTCAGTTTGCGAAGGGTCAAAAGTTGCTTGATGTAGGAGTGGGTATGCAACGTTGAAGCGGGAGAAGAAGAGATCGAGATAGTTCTGCATGGAGGAAAGTGACAGCAGTGGGTGGTCGCGCGAGATTTCAGAGCCTTCGGGCGTCTTAGGTTTCGCCGCCACCAATATATCCAGTATTTCATTGCGGGAAACGTCGTCCATGGTAGGCATTGACCTACGTGGTGGGCTGGGTGGTAGAGTGTGTATGTTGAACAACGAATTGGGAATATGTGATGCCATGTTGACTGGGTGGGCAGCCTGGGTTTGCATTGAGTCGGGAGATGTAGTTGTCTGGGGTGAGAAGTCGAGTTCTGGAGTGGGATTTCCAGATATGTGAGGCTCAACAGGCCCTAGGGATGACGTGGTAGTTGCACCAGAGTTTTGTACTTGGGGAGAACTGAATTGAAACATTTCGGTTCCTTGGATGGCGGCTGCGGGAGATGAGGACGAAGTCTGCTGCAGTGCTGGCTGCCTGAAAATTTCCTCCGCTGAGCTCGAAGAAAAAGCCCTGTTACCATTTCTGAAAAGGTCAGGAGCTTGTTGTGATGTTGGTTGGTATTGGAGAGCCTCCATTTGAGAACCTTGCGTGGACCCTTGAACTTCTGGCATAGTATTGTAGTTCTGCGAAGCAGGCAGAGAAATTCGTGTACTATCTGACAGGTCGAACAGCCAGTTATAGTTGTTCATTGTTGTAAACGGCATGTTAAATGAGCTCGCTTGTCTTGGTCAGCGTATTGATACGTTAATTGTTGGTACTTGACTTACCTGTGTCCGGGTTGAACATGTCATCAAGTGGCATCTCACCTGTAATCCCGAGAGATGTAGAAGTGTGTGATCCCCAGGATGAGTTGGCCAAAAAATCAAACATATCAGGTCCCGCGGTATGATCGATGAAGTCTCGGTCGGCAGGGAGCTCAGGAAGCTGATGTGAGAAATGGTCCAGTGATTCGGCGCTTAGCATCGACTTTGGTGGTGACAATGGTTCAGCATGGATCATAGTTTGAGGGTTACAGCCCTCAGTAGTGATTGTCGAGCCTGCGTGACTGGGATAGCTTCCATCCGTCGCCTGCTTTTTCGCAGATGCTCTGCAAGCCTCGCCTTGAGCAGGTCGCTTGCTCACGATCTTGCCGTCGGCATCCCTCCAAAGCTTTTTGCGACTTTCAATCACTCCAAGGCCTTCACCACCGGCCTCCTCATCTTTTTGGCGGTGGCGAGCCATATGGCGGTCTGCAGGGGGCCTGATTAATGCTTTATTGACTAGACACCAGTGTGCCATCTCACTTACCTAGAAGATCGGGTCTCTTGAAATGTAAACTGCATCTCGGGCAAGTGCTCTGGCCCTCACTGTGGTTTAAGATATGCCTTTGCAGGTGGTCTGATCTTGTGAAGCCCTTTCCACACCCATCATGGGAGCAGATGTATTTTTTGGGCTTTGTGCTGGTCGTGGATGACATTGGGAGTGTTGGTCTCAATAACACCCACTCCTCCGTATCTGATACATGCGGTCTCCCACCACTTTCGATGTGAGAGAAGTAAGAGCGAAACGAGAAGAGTGGTGGATGTAGGGAGTTCCAAGCATGGGAGAGTTTTGGCGGGGAAACAAGCGGCCTTTAATTCTCACAGGTACGAAATGGATTGCCCGACCCTGTCTGAGCCGAGTGCCACACGGGCGATAAGAAGGACGAGCTATTGGGTGGGTCAGTGTGAAGACCCATCCCGGGCCAAAGCACACACCACGGTGGGTATAACGAGCCGCTGCAATATATTGTACGAGGAGTTGTATGCTACAAGCGAGCCAGAGCTGCGTCTAGTCTATGCTGGGATTCAGGATTTATTTCCTAGAGTCCAAGCAATCCAAGCCACCTACAGTGCGGTCCAGGCTATATTGCGCTTTAAAATCTAGATCCTCCGAATCGCCAATTGCCGTATTCTATGCTTATGTCATGCCGTCTCACAGTACCTCTACGTAGTGGAACGTCTAAATGGAGTCCTTCCCTTGGTAACCAGTCAAAACCTATGCAGAGACCTCCTCTTCCTTGTAGAATGGGTAGTCGACGTAGCCCTTCTCGGGAGGGTCTGCGCCATAGAATGTTGTGCGATCGTACTGGTTCAACGGGAGTCCCTCAGCCAGTCGCTTGGGGAGGTCTGGATTGGCAATGAACCAACGACCAAAAATGATGCCATCGGCATCGCCAGACTCTACCTTTGGAGCGGCATTCTCAGCATTGAAATTCCCGGCAGCAATGAACTGAATGTCACCCTTCTTCAGGATATTTCGGAAAGGCACTAAAGATGGCTTGCCCTCGTTTGCTCTGGAGGCTACTGACGTTTCCGTAGTTGGCTGTTGGAGAGCAAGCAGCTTTGCGGACTCATCAAGGACTTCGTCGAATCTCGGTTCGACCATGTGGACGTATGCAGGGCGGTTGGCTTGAGGCAATGCGGCAATCTGCTCGCACAGATATGCCCAATGGGCGTTAGGGTTGGAGTCCTTGGTGTCTTGGAAATAGTTGTAAGGTGACAACCGAATGCCGACTTTATCTGCTCCTACAGCCTCGGTGACGGCCTTGATGACTTCAAGCGGGAATCGGCAACGGTTTTCCACCGATCCACCGTAAGAATCAGTCCGGGTGTTGACATTGTCGTGGAGGAACTGGTCCAAAAGATAACCATTCGCACTAGGACCGTTAGAATTTGAAGATGGTCAAAACACAAGGCAGCCACTCACGCGTGAATCTCTACACCGTCAAACCCAGCTTCCAGGGCTCGCTTGGCGGCAGCAGCCTCTTCCTGCACGATTTCATGGATGCCCTCTACGGACAACGACTTTGGGGGAGTCGAAGAATAGTCGGATCCGTCCAAGGCCTTTCCCGAGATTGGGATGTTGCTTGAGCTGACGGCATCCTGACCGCCGAGTAAGCCTGGAACGGTGGCTCGACCGACGTGCCATAGTTGACAGTAGATGAATCCGCCCTTCGCGTGAACGGCATCAGTCACTTTCTTCCAGCCGGCGATTTGGCTTTGGGTGAAGATTCCTGGAACACCAGGGTAGCCGCAAGATAACCGGCTGATTGGGCATGCCTCAGTCAATTGGAAGCCGCCTTTGCTTGCACGCTGAGAGTAATATTCAACCACCAAGTCGTTTGGAACATAGACACCGTCGGATTCCTTGGAGCCTCTCATACGGGTCAGGGGGGCCATCATAACTCGGTGTTCGAGGCTGATGGCGCCCAGTTTGAGTGGTTTGAACAGCAATGTGTCCTCCAGCGGCTTGAAGCCGGTAGGTGATGTTCGTGATGGCATGGTGAGCTATCGGCCTGGCTGGCTTGTGTCCTTTGCTGATTCCTGGGAAGTCGAACAGGCCTCTCTGATACTGAGTTTGCGTTGTAGAAAGGCTTGATATTGAAGACTTCACGTTGGACATACACAATCCCTTTGGAGCATTGTGTACTCGTACGTGGAGTGTCCTCCACGCCCACCCGCCTTCATAATTTTCACCTTGCCAGAAGTGGGCAAGAAACTCGCACCGCCTAAGTGAGACTAGTGAACCACGAGAGAGATCTGCGGCAAAGCTGGCCACTGTCGAGAGGTGTTGACTGCTTCTTTGTGCACACCACAGTGGTATGGGTCCCATTCCGCTGCTGAGCTGCGACCAAGAGTGGGGGAAGTAAGTTTGAAGATAATGTGCCCAACGTGCCAGGGGCCCGGAGGATCCTCGACCTCAATCTCGAGCCACGCAGAAGTCCGCAGACTGGAACGAGCCAATAGTACGGCATGTAATCACATTTCGTACAATAGTTGTCCTCGTACGGGCGACAGCACGGCCGACTCGGTGTGACGATCAGATGTAAGATGAACACGCGCACGCTTATCTTTCAGTGAACATCGTTGGATATAGTATATTTTGCCATCCAGCGGCAATGACAACAGTGAACGAAGGCAGTGAGGTGTAAGCGAAACAGAGATGGCATTGCCTTTTGTCGCCCGTCGTCAGGCGGTACCAGCTCCGTTCGAGAAGCTGCAAAGCCTCATTGAATCGGAATTTGGCGAATCGACGCTGCAGTTTTTCATGAATGGCAGGAAAATCGTACTCGAGAATCCGAACCCAGAATGGACTTTGCTTGACTTCATTCGTTCTCGACATGGGCACAAGGGCACTAAACTCGGGTGCGGTGAAGGTGGCTGTGGTGCCTGTACCGTGGTCCTGCAACAACTTGACAGAGACTCTGGGAAGCCCAGACTGAGGCACCTTGCTGTGAATGCTTGCCTTTACCCCTTGATTGGTGTGGTCGGCAAACACTTGATCACCGTCGAAGGACTTGGAACTGTAGATCATCCACACCCCCTTCAGGAGCGCATTGCGAAGCTCCATGGCTCCCAGTGCGGCTTCTGCACACCCGGCATTGTGATGAGTATGTACGCAATGATCAGGAACGCCTGGGATCCCGAATCACAATCTTTCAGACTGTCCGCCAGCGATATTGAACTCGAGGGGCACCTTGATGGAAACCTGTGTCGGTGTACAGGATACAAGCCTATCCTGGCAGCCGCGAAGACTTTTATCGTGGATGACCTGAAGTCGAACATCGTGGAGGAGCACGATAGTGATGAGGCTCTTTTGGAAGACGAGCAAGGCCAGCGAACCAAATATGTACCCGAAGGCATTCCAGAACTCCTCAAAAAATCACCTTTGTCATGCGGGAGACCTGGTGGCTGCTGCAGGGATAATCCGGGGTCAAATTCAGGCTGCTCGTCCAAAGAAGACTCAGTCGAGAGCGCACAAGAGACGTCCTCCGATGAAGAATCAGGGAAGAGCTCGCAAACATCCTTGACATCTTCTGGTCAGTCAGAGGAGAAGGAAGTGAGCGGAGCTTCCTATGGTCAGCCGATCAGAAGGAGACAAAGAGACCCTCCGCCGGGAGAAGAAGGAGAAGGTCTTAAGACTGGAACGAGTCTGGATGCGCCTCCGCCAAAATCATACCCAGCTGGACTGCTACCTGATTTGCTCCCCTACATTCCTGGGACTGAGTTGATCTTCCCGCCCTCATTGAAGAAGTTTGAGCTGCAACCGATCTGCTACGGGAACTCGGACATGATTTGGCTCAGACCTACTACCTTGGAGCAATTACTTGCCATCAAATCTTTGGACCCTACCGCAAAGCTGGTCGGAGGTTCCAGTGAAGTCCAAGTTGAGATCCGATTCAAGTACTCTAAGTTTGCTATCATGGTCTTCGTCGGCGACATCCCTGATCTCAAACGATCCGTTTTGCCGACCAGCGATGAAGATATTGCTCGAATGACCGAAGTCGTGATTGGCGCCAACACCAGCCTGACAGATTGCGAAAGCATATTCAAAGATCTCTCCCGCAAACTAGGGCGACGTGGCCTGGTACTAGAGGCTGCAAGAAAGCAACTTCGATATTTTGCAGGGCGCCAGATCCGAAACGCTGCTTCTCTGGCCGGTAACATCGCCACAGCTTCTCCTATCTCCGACATGAATCCTGTCCTGCTTGCTTCCGGTGCTACAGTCGTTGCTCAAAGCAAAAGCGACGGTGAAATTCTCCTGCCGATGAAGACATTCTTCCTAGGATATCGCAAGACCAGTCTGCCTCCCGACGCTGTCATCACGCAAATCCGGTTCCCAATCCCTCCCCCTGAAGCAGCAGAGGTCACCAAAGCCTATAAACAGGCGAAGAGGAAGGACGACGATATCGCAATTGTCACCGCAGCCTTCACAGTCAGATTAAGTGACGACGGTCTTGTCGAAACTATTGCATTAGCTTATGGAGGTATGGCCCCCACAACTGTCCTGGCAAAGAACACGGCAGACGTGCTCAGCGGTCAGAAATGGTACGACCCCCGAACTCTCGAGGCTGGCCTTCAATCTTTACGTAAGGACTTTGATCTGAGTTTGGGAGTACCAGGAGGCATGGCAACTTATCGTGTCACTCTAGCACTCTCATTCTTCTTCCGATTCTGGCATGAGGTTGTTGCTGAGCTGAAGCTCGGCGAGGTTGATCGCCAATTGATTGAAGAGATCCACCGAGGCATCTCATCTGGGAGTCGTGACAATTTTAATCCCGAAGAACAAAGAGTGGTTGGAAAACAGATTCCGCATTTGTCTGCACTCAAACAAAACACGGGCGAGGCAGAGTACCTTGACGACATCCCGCACCAGGACCAGGAGTTGTACGGTGCATTCGTGTTTTCGCAAAAAGCTCATGCAAAGTTAGTCGAAGTCGACTTTTCACCCGCCATTGGACCCGGTCTAGCAGTGGGCTACGTGGACAAGAATGATCTCTCCAAAGAACGCAACTACTGGGGCCCCGTCAAGGCCGACGAGCCATTGTTCGCCGATGGAACTGTCTACTCTCACGGCCAAGTCATTGGCCTGGTCTACGCTGAGACTGCACTTCAGGCCCAGAAAGCCGCCAGACTCGTTAAGGTGGTCTACGAGGACCTCCCTCCTATCCTGACCATAGACGAAGCTATTGAGGCGAAGAGCTTCTACCATCACCCGCGGGAACTGAAAAAAGGTCTCGCCATCGAAGATGCCATGGACAAGGCGTTTGCAGGCTGCCACCGAGTTTTCGAAGGGACAGTCCGCATGGGAGGCCAAGAGCATTTCTATCTTGAAACCAATGCTTCTATGGTTATTCCCCACATTGAGGATGGGTACATGGACGTTTGGTCCTCCACACAGAATACGTAAGTGCTTTCATTTGCTTCTTCTTCCGAACGCGCTCCTATGGTCTTGATATACTGACTCACAAGCAGAATGGAAACCCAAGAATGGGTCAGCCACACTACAGGCATGCCCAGCAACCGTATCAACGCACGTGTCAAGCGTATGGGAGGGGCCTTTGGCGGCAAGGAATCTCGAAGCACACCCATTGCATGCGTGTTGGCAGTTGCGGCACAAAAGGAAAAACGTCCGGTGCGATGTATGCTGAATCGCGACGAAGACATGATGACCAGTGGCCAGCGGCATCCTTTCCAGGCTCGGTGGAAGGTCGGAGCCATGAGAGACGGCACTCTCGTCGCACTCGACATTGACCTCTACAACAACGGCGGCTGGTCTCTTGACATGAGCAGCGCAGTCATGGATCGGTGTTCAACGCATATTGACAACTGCTATGAGATCCCGAACGTGCATGTGCGCGGTCACCTGTGCAAGACGAACACCCACAGCAACACTGCCTTCCGAGGCTTCGGCGGTCCACAAGCGATGTTTATTGCTGAAACCTTCATGTATGCCGTTGCTGAGGGACTCGAAATTGACATCGACCAGTTGCGCCTGAAGAATATGTACAAGGAGGGTCACCATACACCATTCCTCCAGCTGATCGACGAGGACTGGCATGTGCCGTTACTGATGTCTCAGCTGAAGGAGAAGTGCGATTTTGACAAACGCAAGGCTGCCGTGAGGATATATAACCAGAACAACAAGTGGAAGAAGCGCGGCATAGCATTGATTCCGGCAAAATTTGGAATCAGTTTCGCTACGGCCAACCATCTGAATCAAGCCAGTGCGGCCGTCAAGATCTTTGCCGATGGCAGCGTCCTTCTGCACCACGGCGGTACTGAGGTTGGTGTTTACTTTCCTTCTTGCTAGATCTTTCGTCCTCCCCGTTCTGCCCGGCCAGAGCTAACCATTATATACACAGATGGGTCAAGGCCTCTACACAAAGATGGCACAGGTTGCGGCACAAGAGCTTAATGTCCCAGTCGACTCCATCTACACCAATGAAACGCAATCGTTCTACACGGCTAATGTGTCACCCACTGCAGCGTCCTCCGGTAGTGACCTGAACGGCATGGCTATCAAGGATGCATGTGACCAGCTCAATGAGCGTCTGAAGCCGTACCGCGAGAAGTTTGGCCCCGACGCCAGCATGAAAACCATGGCACATGCAGCCTATATGGACCGTGTCAACCTGTCGGCCTCGGGATTCTGGAAAATGCCCAAGGTCGGGTACCAATGGGGCAACTATACACTTGGCTCCGTCAAGCCAATGTACCATTACTGGACACAGGTGAGTATATCTAGTCCTATCTCTCAAAATCCGGGAGACAAGGGGAGAATTGTTCACTCATACTGATGGGTTTGGTATTATTTAGGGCGTCGCATGCAGTGAAGTCGAGCTTGATCTATTGACAGGGGACCACACTGTTCTTAGGACCGATATTCACATGGATGTGGGTCGGTCCATCAACCCGGCAATCGACTATGGTCAGATTGAAGGTGCCTACGTCCAAGGTCAGGGTCTCTTCACCATCGAAGAGTCGCTGTGGACCCAAAGTGGCCAACTGTTCACCAGAGGACCAGGGACGTACAAGATCCCAGGGTTCAGCGACATCCCGCAGGAGTTCAACGTGACGTTACTCCAGGGCGTATCGTGGAACCATCTGGGTACCATCCAGAGCAGCAAGGGTATCGGCGAGCCTCCTTTGTTCTTGGGTGCCGCTGCGTTGTTTGCGTTGAGAGATGCGTTGGTAAGCGCGAGAAAGGACAATGGAGTCAAGGAGCCGTTGATTCTCCACAGCCCGGCCACGGCCGAGAGACTTCGATTGGCGGTGGGAGACGACTTGTTGAAGATGGGAACGGTTGTGCCGAAGGAAGGCGAGAAAAACTTCCTCGTGGCTGTGGCTTAGAGTACTACAGATGCAAGTGAAGATCTATCTTTGTACACGCGTATGTATAAATGAGTACTCTAGGTGTATGGCGCTTGGTGAAAGTATACCTCCGGGGAGCCGTGGAATTCCGACCACGAAGGATTTCCGCAGGCTGTCATCAGTCCGCAATTGCTCCGTGAACCGGGGAATTTGATGTCGAGGAACCAACGACCTGCGACGGTCTCGCCCTTGATTTTGAAGGTGATCGAAGGTGATCCATCATAAATAGAGCGGCAGGCTTGGTAGGCAAATAGGCCATTGCTCAGCACATTCAACGCCTAGCGGACCACCTCAGGGCTGGGTGTTAGGAGGCATGAACATCGAACGAGAGGGCCATTGAAAGCGAAGAGTTCCCGAAACTTGGAGATGGGACTTCTCATCTTCGTTTGCGTAGCCAGCTGATTGGGCGAGAGACAAGGTGTGAGAAAGTCGTGCACGAGGAGAAAGGTATATTGTATTCGGTAATGGGCATTACGCACCCACTCGGACGACCTTCCCAATCAAGGATAATATTCAGTTTCCCTCCCTTAAGGAGCGTCTATTCACTGCCTAACTTTTAGGCATCACCACCTATATTTTAGGCATTCTCTTCTACATTTTAGGCATCGTCACTATATTTTTGGTATCACTATCCAAATTTTAGGTATTAATATCTAAATATTAGACTTTATAATTATCATAGATTTATCTGTTCTGATTATTCTTCTTTTAGTTTATCCCTTTTGACTGTTGAGATATGAGATTGTCTCTATTGTGTTGTTTTAATTGTCTCGACTTCACTTATCTTTAAGGATTAGGCATGAATAAAATAATTAGGTGTGCTTAAGTTGCGTCAAGATAGACGCTAACCGAATTAAATGGGTGCGTAATACCCACTACCATTGTATTCGTTGAAATGCTGTAATTGCAGTGAGTTCCTGTCAGAAGCCAGGGTAAGGAATAGGCTTCACCAGCCTCCTTAGATCATTCCTTGCCTCCCTAGGATGGCTATATAATAGTCTAGGGCTCCCCCTAGGACCCTTTGATAGAGAACAGGAACCTTCTCAACCTCTCACGGTTTGACAGTTCCGAGGCCCTATTGCAATGCTATCAATTCCATCTCCATTGAAACCCCCGCCGGCAGCCGCTTTGCCTCGATGGCGCTTCTCGCTGGCTTCTGGGGAAAGTATTCTTCGTAGACCTTGTTCATCTCTGCGAAATCATCCAGGTTCGCAAAGAATACCTGCATTATGTGTGACTCGTCAAGATATCTGCGCATGGCTCGCCACATGTGAGACTTACAGTGGCCTTGACGACCTTGTCTAGGCTCGACCCAGCCGCTTCGAGGACGATGCCGGCGTTGCGACACAGTGCGTGGGTCTTGTCAGTAACACTGCCTTCTACGACTTTGATCTTGCCATCCTCAAATGTTGCAGGCATCTGACCCGAAACAAAGACGAAGCCATTTGCTTTTATGGCTTGAGACTTGGATCACCCGCCACTGGGTTAGCCAGCCAATTGTGGCAACGATACCGGACGAGTGTGTTGCATCTACTCACATATGGCCCAATGGCTAAGGCAATATCAGTTCTATAGGAACGGGCAAATGACAAATCAACGTCACGTACGTGGGATCCCCTTATCAGTGTAGACACTCTCCATGGTACTTCGTCGAGGCTGGGTAGGTTAGAGGATATCTGTGGCGAGCTCACTGACCTGAATAAGTCGTAAGCGCAGTATAGGAGGAAGAAGACATTTTGTCGACGTTACTCAGCTTCCACTTTAGCTAAGTCCCCTAACTTAGGGACGAGGAGACGTCCTGCTTCTCGTGCTTAGTCAAAAAACTGGTACTTGCGGCCGCAAGGTCCCTGGAGGAGAACGCCACGGTGTAATAGGGCGCCGAAGTTGTACAGCGATTTGGAGGGTCTGGTGGGCTCACTAGGCCCTGGGTCGCTGAGGTAATCGGATTGTCTACCACAGCACAACTCCGTCAGTAATCAAAAAGTCACCTTCTTTCACATCCGGTATTTACCAATGACGCCAACGCCAAAATACAACATGGCATTTCTAACCTCGTGGAGCTTTTGCAGCGACTCCTCCTAGAAGGGTTCATGGTCAGCTTGGCATGTCGAAGCAGGTGGACGATGTTGGAATGCCAGGATGCTGAACAATGTTTGAGTCCACCAGCTTGACGGCGTCATCAAAGAGAAGCTTGACTAGAGTAGATACATTGTCAAGATGAAGAAGTATAAAGAGGGCGCGAATGGCTGCAGCTCATAGCTAGCAACAATAGCATCAAGGAGCTCATTGTCTTTCAGACGATTCGAACGTCAGCTTTTCGCATTTTGCCCGCCCCTTTGCAGTTGAACTAAACAGAGTCTCTCAGTCATGGGTTTTGAAGCACCGCTCAGGAATGTCGTCGTGTTCGGAGTATGCATCCACTCTTCCAACGAAGGCACACGTGGACGGAGTTGCTAACCATCAAAGGCCGGCGGCACGAACATCGGACACCACGTTGTAAAAGCTCTCCTGGCTCAACCTGAATCCTTCAACGTCTCCATCATTTCCCGAAAATCCTCCAAGTCGAAATTCCCGGAGGCCGCTAAGGTACATTATGTGGATGACGCCCTTCCGCACGAGGAGCTCGTGAAGGCCATGGACGGAGCGGATGCTGTCGTGTCAGCCATTGGCTTCGGGTCGCTCGCCGCCGAGGAGAAGCTCATCGATGCCGCCATCGAGGCGAAGGTCAAGCGCTTCCTGCCTTCAGAGTACGGTGTGAACAACACACGCCCGAGTGCCAGAGCTCTCTGCCCGGTCTTCGATGCCAAAGGGGGCATCATTGATCTGTTGAAAAGTAAAGAGTCCACCGGACTCACTTGGACTGCTGTGCCTACCGGACTTTGGTTGGATTGGTATGTTTTCATCCGTTTTAACCACGTCCCGGTATAACGACTGAGCTGACATTCTGCACAGGGCTCTTGACCCGGCGATCGCATTTGCCAACATCGACATCAAATCTCATACGGCCAAGCTCTGGGCTGATGGCAAGCATACGCTATCATGGACGACATTGCCTTGGGCAGCGTACGGAATTACTCAAGTTCTGCTCTCGCCTTCAGAGACTGCAAACAAGGTCGTGCCGATCCGCGGATTTGAGGCCTCGCAGCAGGACATCATCGCTCTACTAGAAAATTTACAGGAAGTCACCTACAACGTCGAGCACATCGATGCGGAAGATGCTATCAGTAAAGCGCAGTCATCATGGCGCGAGAACAAGGATATCTCCTCGGCTTTGCAGCTTGTCAAGGCGGGATTCTTCCTACACGGGTTCGGCAGCGACTTGGTTGGCGAAAAAATCGTACAGACTGGCAACGAGTACCTGAATCTACCGGAGCTGAAGTTCGAAGAGACTGTCAGGAAAGCCTTAGAGCAATGGGCTTGAACGACCTGTGCAGTACGGAGTAGGTAGATAATCTATTCAATTATCCGTCTGACAGCGAGGCTTTTGTCACTGATGCCACCATATTGTAACCCATGGCATCGTCATTTGTGTCTTTTGGATCAATATTTTCCCCACAATATCCAGCTACCGGTTAAATACTTCGTCGTGTCTTTTAACCTGCAGCACTTCTCATATTCGTACCCCTCACCGTCTGCAATGAGATTCTTCGACGGTTTGCTCATATTCAGAGGAAGCTTGATGAAAGACACCAGATTCTCTCGCAAAGATCATGAAGGAGAAGGGCGGTGACGACAGACTGAGGTGCAAGGTCTGCGGAAAATGTTTCGCCCGCTCAGACACCCTTCTTCGCCACGAACGAAACCACCATGCTACTGAAGATCGCGGCCCAGTCCATCGTGTCACAATTGGCACCTTCCGGGCATGTCAAGGGTGTGCAACAGCGAGATCGCGCTGCTCTGGGGGCTCCCCATGCGCCAGGTGCAAGCAAGTTTCTACACAAGCGTCGATACACAGAGCTTTGCTGATACTGTCCCAGCACCCGGAAGCTAGAATGCGTATATCCCAATAAGCGACGTAAAGGCTCTGCATCAAACAGTCACCCTGGAGATGGAACCGACAATGGCGAACCGAGAGAGAAACACCCGGGGCATTTCAGTGAAATGGTTTTCGCTGCCAATAGCCTGTCACAGGATCCGTCTGCAGACAAGTCGACTATGAAGCCCCCAGCTCCTCCTTCAGCACTGGGGTCTGGTCGTAGTCTGGAGTTATACGGCCATGCTGCGCTAATTGATAGTTATAGTCAACCGCCTCAGCCTGTTTCCGGGTCCAGTAGGTTACTGGTGGCGGACGACACACTACCCCCTTCTCTAGGTCATGCACAGCCAGAAAGCCAGTTCCCAGACGGTCCCGTAGCAACGCAATTCGACACGGATTTTGCCGGAGTACTTCAAACGTACGACTACAATACATTTGAAGACGAGCCATTGAATTGGATTCCGCCTTCGCTGATTCCTTCACCGTATGATGCGGAACTGGAGCAGGACTTCTCCTTCATACTTCCTTCCTTATCAACTGAGCCGACAATTGGGACCGAATACAATATAGCGGTCCCATTTGACCCGAACTCTCAAGTCTACCAAGTCCAGGACGTCTCCCCGGAAACGTCAGACTCACACAATTTCCCAGCAGCATTTATAGGCATGGAGGCTAGCCCCTCGTCATCAGCGAGCGATGGCCTGAACATGGCCAGATCTGCCAACACGATATCATCCACCGATCCAAAGCGCAAGAAGCGTAAAATGTCCCATATCCCAGAGTCCTTTAATACCCCCAGGAACCAACAGAGTTCTTTTGCTTTTCCTCCATCATCCGATTCTGCCAGTATGGGAACATCTGGCGACCCAAGTGGCCATGTCACTTATTCGACATACCAAACCATTAGGGACCTCTTTCAAATTTTATGTCTCGATACCAGAGGATCACGCAAATTCGCGCAGTCAGATTTTCCCACTGTCGCCGATTTCAACACGTGCACCGGGCTTTACTTCGAGCACTTCCACCACGGCTTTCCATTGGTTCATCGACCATCATTCGGACCTCAGACGCGCATGATAGTGGTGCTTGCAGTGGCTACAATAGGCAGCAATTTTCTAAAAACACAGCGTGCCCTCGATTTCCGGGACGCCTGTCAAGAGTTTCTCCGGCGAGCAATACACCATTACTCGGATGGTATTCCTGATTCTGATCCTTTAGATGTTCCACTAGCGCAAGCTCGGATCCTGAATCTCGTCGCTCTACTGCAATCGGATCGTGACCAGCTTCGATGCCTTGCCCCCCGCTATCACGCCGATCTGTCGCAATGGTGCCTTGCATCCGGTATTCTTCAGGTTCCGGATGTTGGCGATTTTTCAGATACGGAGGAAGGCCCCCTCATCCACGGCGAAAGCTTGGATGCCTGGCAAAGTTGGATCCAAAGAGAATCACTGCGCCGAGTTGGCTACCTTGCATGGTTGCTCGATTGCTGTCTAGGCTATATGGCCAATGCACGCCCGTTGTGTAACATGGACGATGCTCGGACACCCCTACCATGTATGGAATCGGCTTGGGAAGCTCCAACGGTCGATCTTTGGATGCAAGCCATGGGACAAAGCTCCAAGACCCCTTCGTTATGCGTTGCGCTTGAGACTCTTTACAAGAACAAGAAAGTGGGATTGGACTACAGCGAGCTGTCTCAAGTCTTGTTGATACATGCGCTTTACCTTCGGACTTGGGAGGTTGGAACTCACATCAAGCAACCACTCAGCGAATGGGTTCCGACTGGAAAGGCACGAGGATTCTTGAACACCCCTTCTAAGGATAATTTCTGGCTCCCGCTATATCCTTTATACGCCAATTGGAGAAACAGCGCCTGTGACTGTCTTGATGTTCTGACTTGGCATGCCTCTAGCGTTGTTGCCCATGCTTCAGGAGTCGAACATCAGGTCATGCTTCATCTGCATCTTGCTCGCATAGTCCTCCTCACCCCGTTCCAAGAAATTCAAGATTTGCTGTTCTCGTTGATTGGCAAGGTCGGGAATTCGCCCGTGGCAAGCTTCTACGTTCACGATGGTAGCTATCAACCTCGCAACAAGGCAAAGCTGCCACAAATCAGGAAGATCACATGGCGTTGGCTGCGGGAGGACCAACACAAAGCTCGCCTGGCAATGATTCATGCTGGCTCGGTGTTTTGGTACGTTCGGCGGTACTCGGCGATGAGCTTTTACGAACCCGTCGCAGTTTACCTGGCCTCGTTGGTGCTCTGGACCTACGGTTCATACAAGTCCAGCGCTTTGGATAGGGATGCTGCTGCTGGCACCGCGGCTAACCAGAGGCCCGAGGGTGGCCCGAGCGGGCCCGACGCCGGTGCTGCGATCCAGCCCTCGCGTGTCGAGAGGAAAGAAAGGCAAGCAAAGTTCATGAACAAGTCGACCGCGCACCACGCCGACCGTCAACTTACTTCTCCTCCACATGCCACTTTTGTGTCGGCCCACGAGAATCGCGTCGATAATCCGGCAACTTCTCTGGCCCAGGACAGCTCTGATGCCGACAGTGATGATACGTCGTCTTCAGATGAGCGACCCGAGTTCATCCATCTGGACAGGCCTTGTGATGATGAGATCATCCAGCACTTTGTCCGAAACGGTCAGAGTATGGCCGGTTATATGACGAATGTAGGGAATATCTGTGAGACGCCCCAGAAGGTGCTCCTCGAAGGTGCAAAACTGCTTCGAACGAGGCTCGCATGCTGGGGGGTAAGCAGAGAGTATTACGACATCTTGATGAAATTGGCGGAGCTCAGGAAGGCAGGCTAAGTTGGGGTACTCACGTCTTGGAAGACTGATGTTGCTTCGTTTTAGCCACCGGTTGAACCGGATAAGATATGGGCCATTTGGACGTAGCCATGTTCCCTGTTGCACGGCGATGGATACCTCTCGCATTGATCGAGCTGTCTAATCTTCGGATCTATTCCTGCTTCCACCTCAACATTGTGACCGAACACCTTGGAAACACAAAGTCTGCATTTGCACTCGAATCCCATTCCGACTCTTGGATTCCAACTTCCTCTTTCCCAGCCATGTTTGTGATTTTCTCATGCGAACCTGTGATGGAGAAGACGCGAACCTTTGCTCCGGCAGTACCATTTACAGCCGTCGACAAGTCTGTGTCTAGATGGATATTCACCACACACATGGTCACGTAGCCTTCGTCATCGAGCGTAGCGCTGACGTCCAGCCACGGCGTGTCTTTCGTAGCTCTCACCCAGTCCGGCTTCGTCGGCCCCGTGTACGCATCACACTCGAGATGCACCGCCACGGTGTGGCCCTTCATGAACCGACAGAACAACTCGTACGGAAACCAGGTGGTCTGCTTGATGACGCCGGTCTCGGTGGTCATGAGGGGGCTTATCACGTTAACGCTCTGCGCTATGCACGCCATGCCCAGATCCCGGGCCTTGCGGACCAAGACGTTCAGCCATACGGCCACGGCCAGGGCGTCGGAGAGCGTGTACTTCTCCTCAGCACATTTACTCCCGGGGGCCCTCGGGGGCGACCAAACGTTCCACTCGTCGAAGCAGATCTTGGGCCGCGTCTGCGTGGCGGGGAGCTTGTTCTCGACAAATGCCAGGTCGATCAGGGCCGAACACACCTCGATGGAGCGCTCGGCGGCCAAGGGCGCGGTGGCGTTCTCGTAGTGGTCCTCGCTCGCCGTGTACAGATGGATGCTGTGCATATCAATCAGGGGCGTCTGGGCCTCGCCGAGGTCGCTCAGCCCCGCGGGCCGCAGACAGTGCTTGAGGACGTGGTAGTCCCACGACGTCGGACCCTCCTTGCCGCACAGGATCAGCGTGATGGACGGGTCAAGAAGCTTGAGCGCCTTAGCCCACTGCCACGCGCGGTCGGCGTACGCGGATTCGGTCATCTGGTTGAGCTGCCAGTCCCCCCACATCTCGTTGCCCAACGCCCAGTACTTGACGTTGTAAGGGGCAGCGTGGCCGTTGGCCCGCCGCAGGTTGGCGTAGTACGTGTCCTTGGTGCCGTTGCAGTATTCAACCCACGCGAGGGCCTCGTCTAGCGTCCCTGTGCCGAAGTTGAGGCAGAGGTATGGCTCGGCGTGCACCGCGGCGCACCACGCCATGAACTCATCAGTGCCAAAGTGATTGGTCTCGATGGCGCCCCAGGCCAGTTCGGGCCGCGCAGGACGTTGGGAGACGGGACCGATCCCGTCTTGCCAGTGGTATGTCGCACAGAAGTTGCCGCCGGGGTAGCGAAACACGGGGATCGAAAGTGGACGAAGCTCGTCGAGGACGTCTTTCCGGAATCCTTCGGGTGTGAGGAGGTGTTTGTGAGGGTTGGATGGGTCATAGATGCCCGTGTAGATGCAGCGGCCCATGTGTTCGGTGAAGCCACTGTAGATGTTCCTGTCGATCCTTGAGATTTTGTGCTTGGGGAAGATCGATATCGAGGTTTTTTCCGATGGGGTCAGTGTATAGGTTGTCATGATGGCTATGATGGGCCCGATCGAAGCCTCCTTTTGGCGAAGAGACAGTGAGTTACTTCACAGGATCCAGCTGTTCACCTTTCGAATACTTGTGACCAACGAGTATCGTCGATAGTATCAATGAGTGAGGTCCCTCCTTGCATCACGTGCAGAGTCCTCAATCTGCAGCTCTTCAGAACTACCGATTTACAATGTACCTTGTCGCAATCACTTGCCGGGTAAAATCTTCAGGTACTTACCCGCCGCTTAATATGTTCGCAATAATGCCCAAGCCTCGATTGACGGCGTTGCAAAGCCGTCGAGGATCTTCTGTTTCGAGGAAATATCCGGGCCACTTCTTGCGGAGCGGGCCCAATGCTGAATCTGGAGCGTACAGCTGGCCCCAATCTGCTTGGGGACTCTCTTCAGTCGGTGAACGCGAGGTGAAGCCTGCAAGGCACGTGAGGCGGGAATTGCGCCGCAGCGATAGGAGAGAACTATCCACGGTCCAGACGCAAATCGCCCTCCAGACACTGTCCTACTCGTAGTACCTCAGACGAGCAGAGTCGGCAGATGCGAATGAACGCCATTCGCTGTTCCCGTCTGACCTGGAGCGAGGGACCCTACGCCGGAGACCTTCCTTTTTGGGCTCATGGGCTCCTCCTCCTCCGCCGGAGTTTCCACCTCGACTCTTTCATGGGGCGAAATGCAACGCGACGCACACCACAAGAACTCAGTCTGATTCTTTCTCTCCGGATCTTTGCTCGCTTCTGGGGTTTCATGAGACACTTGTGTATTCTGCAAGCTGCGCGCATGACTTTTGACAAGCCCCCCGCTGTCCACACTCGCTCCGGTTGGACCAGCCTGTCGTTTTGCGGGGTGGACACGACCAGTTGACTGACTTTTGTGGGAAATATTGCGGGAGGCTCTGGTCGATATCAACAACTTACAGGTGTCCTGGTCTGGTCAGGGCCTCATACGACTAGCTCAATCGATGTCTTTGCCATGATATACATATATACCAATGGTCTAGTCGCACTTCCACCTCGACTTGCCATCTTTGGAGCTCCTTTTGCTTCTCAACTCCCTTGTACTTGCCGCCTGCCAGTATTCCTACCACCTTACTCACCATGGCGCTACCTCCAAAGTGGTACCAGTTCCTCATCAGTGTTTTCGCCTCTCTGGGCTCATACCTCTTTGGCTACGACCTCGGTGTCATTGCGGAAGTTGTGGCCAGTTCGACATTCAAGCAGAAATTCGCCGCCGACGACACCCAATCAGGCCTTGTTGTGTCCATGTTCACTACTGGTGCCTTCTTCGGAGCTCTTCTCGCCGGCCCCTGTGGTGACTACGCTGGCCGTCGATGGACCATTGCAGTTGGTGCTCTGATCTTTTGCCTTGGTGGTGGATTGCAAACCGGTGCCGAGACCATTGACTACTTGTGGAGCGGACGATTCCTTGCCGGACTCGGCGTCGGCTTCCTAGTCATGATCATACCGCTGTACCAAGCTGAATTGGCGCATCCAAGCATCAGAGGTCGCATCACGGCCCTCCAGCAGTTCATGCTCGGCGTGGGTGCCCTAGTTGCCTCTTGGATATCGTGGGCGACATATGTCCATATTGCCCACAGTAGCGCTCAGTGGCGTGTCCCTCTGGGTCTTCAGATCGTACCGGCTATCTTTTTGGGATTGCTTATATTCATGTTTCCTGAATCACCAAGGTAAGGACAGTCGAGTTCCTGCTTGCTTGGGTGAATTTTTAACACCGTCTCTTTGACAGATGGCTCATGGTCCATAACAAGCCGGACCAGGCGCTCAAGGTTCTGGCCCATCTCCATGCTCATGGCAACGAACAGGATCCCTGGGTTATGGCGGAATACGAACAAATCCAATCTTCCATTGCCTATGAGCGTGACCACGAGGCGAAATCGTACCTTGAATTGTTCAAGTCCCGTTCATCGTTCCGGAGGCTTTTCCTTTGCTGTGCACTACAAGCTTCGGTTCAAATGACTGGTGTTTCGGCCATTCAGTACTACTCGGTCACGATTTACGGTAACAATGTCGGAGCGTATGGAATACAAATGGACACACTGACTATGGAACAGGTCAGATTGGTATCTCTGGGAACGACACTCTCAAGTAACTGATGCGGACTCGCGCCCCCTATTGAATGGCCGTTGACAACGTTACAGGTATCAGGGAATCAACAGCATCATTGCATTGATAGCGCAATTCTGCACTATCCTGTTCATCGACCGAACTGGACGTCGTTGGCCACTTAGTGAGTCTGACCTTGATCCCCATACAGGTCGCCTTCTCAGTCTGACAATCCGACAGTTTGGGGGAATCTCGGAAACATGGTGACGTTCATCATTGCGACCATCCTCCTGGCCAAATTCCCTCCAGGCATTTCTACCAACCGCGGTGCTCAATGTAAGTCTGCCACGCCCCCGGGGAAGTTTCGCTTCAAACGCTATCTGTCTACCTTCTTTTCATGATGTGTACCGCTTTGCTCCGTCGAGGTGTATTCCTTCTTCCTATCAAGCATACTACTATACGTCGTCTGGACCGATAAGGGACTGACTGTGACTGATAGGGGGCTTCATCATCATGACCTGGCTATACAACTTCAGTTTCTCATGCACATGCGGACCGTTGAGTTGGATCATCCCCGCCGAAGTGTTCGACACGCACACCCGAAGCAAGGGCGTCAGTATTGCGACCATGACCAGTTTCGCATTCAACACTATGATCGTTCGTCTTTCCCCTCTTGTCGCACCTTGCTTGAACTTTCACTTCACGGAGTTATAATGCTAACTTTCTCCGTAAGGGCCAAGTCACCCCCATCGCCATGACCAACGTGTAAGTCGTTTTCTTCTGCGGATCCATTCGCAACCCCCTCTCCTCCCTCCATTCAATACCGCATACTTGAGTATATCGTCTCGTCCAGCTGTCATCTATATGACTGAGACTACAAGCAAATTACTAACAACCCTTGGTTATCACAGTGGCTATCGATTCTACTATCTGTTCATCGTCTGCAACTTTACAAACGCAGTCTTCTTCTGGCTCCTTCTGCCCGAGACTGCCCGCCGACCTCTCGAGGAGATGAATTACCTCTTCACGCACGCGCCTTGGATCGTCGTGGGAACCACCAAGGACAGCTACGCCAGTCATGACTTGGAAAATCGACTTCAGGAAATCACTCAGCAGGCAGAAATTAAGCGGAGCGGAAGTGTCGCGCACGACGAGAAGGTCGCGTGATAAAGGAAGCAGGGGTGTTGAAAACAGGAGTGGCTAGGATGGTAAACCCTAGAACGCACACACTCGGGGAACCTTCCTAATAGAGAATAATTATCACCTTTCCCCCCCTAAGCGATGCCTATTCACTACGGCCTAAACTTTAGGCATTTACACCTATAAAATTTGAGGCGCGGGGTCACGTGTGTAGTCACATGGTGTCAAGCATTACCAAACCTCAACTTTCCTTCGTTTCTACCTGTCCTTTCCTTCGTCTCAACTTTCCTTCGTTTCTTACTTCCTTCAGTTCATACTCGAGTACGGTCACTGCTTCCATCTATCCTCGGTGGCTATCCCATTACAACCTCTTCTCTGCGTGGGCTTCTACGAGTTTACCACAATGATACCCAGACTCAACTGTATTTCTTCCACAACAACATACGAACAGGATTTATCAGATATTGAGAAGGAACCGTTTCTGCTCGATATGAATTCTCCTACCACAAACACCCCCAATACTCAGGTAATATACATTTCCTCTTCTCTATTTTTGTGGCCATTTCTAATATTATTTCAGAATCCAACAACAAACCTGACCAAGCTCCGAGTCTACAAGATCATTCGACTTTCGCTTCTGCTTTTCCCGATAATTGCTGTCGGTTTGGTCCTCGCATTTCACCGAGAAAGAGCTTGTGAACACACCATCGGCAGAGCAGTAATGATAGCGGTCACTCAAGCATTTGTGTCCACCTCAGGTACCATAGCAATTACGGTCTACGCCGGTGATCAGGATTTTTGGCCGGATGCAGGCGTTCGCGAAGTTGGAATGCAGATTGTGACCCTTCTTTGGGCTTACCTGTCTGGAGTAATTCTGCACACGTTCCTGGACGTTTACTGAATGGCCACGGAATTGCGAACCTGAATGATTTCGAGGAGATGAACAAAGTCTACGAAGATTACTTTCCCAAGAAGCCAGCGAGAAGCGCCATCGAGGCAAATGGCCTGCTAGCGGGTGTTTCGACCGCGTCGGAATTGATAGCACTGCAATAGGGCCTCGGACCACGATGTAACGATAGCATTCAAAATCAATACAAGATACCTTTTTCCTCGTGCACAAAAGTTTAGCTCTTCACCTGCATCTGTAGTATGCTGCATCGTTCCCCTGTGAGAACAAAATCAAAAGGCCCCTTAATCTGGCATTGTTGGAGTTCGCGTAGTCCTGGTCGTGCCCAGGATGCAAGTCTTCGTTCGGTCGAAACCGGCGTCCAAGCGTCGATTTAAGGTTAGTGAGTGACTGACTCGGCGACTCGACTTGACATAAGCGCAAGACAACCTCATACCGACGCTCTTGTTGATGCCGTTCGTTGTCGTCGGCCTGCCAACCATGAATCAATCACTTGGGATCACTACAGCATCCAGGTCATGACACCCACACCCGCTTCATCTTCCCCGCGGTCCCAAAGAGACCGGCCGGGCGGACACGATGGCGACAGAGAAGACATCAAGAGACGCGTGCGCACCAAACAAGCCTGTGAACCCTGTCGGCGCCGACGGAGAAAATGCAATGGTCGCTTTCCGTGCGCGCAATGCATAGGATATGCATACCGTTGCACGTATGTCGGCGGCCCTCCTGACAATGTAGAAGATCAGATGGCAGAGCCAGAAATGGACGACGGCAAGGAAAGAGAGTCCAACCATCCTAACGGTCACAAAGACAATCTACCACAGTCAAAACCTCCGTTCACTTCGGAACTTCACAATCATGACATGAGCCCTGTCGCGCAAGAGAGTCCCGACAGACGAGAGAACCGAACGAGCAGATTTCGGCCTACTATCGACACGGTCAAAGGCCGATTCTCGAATGCACACAGTGGGATCGTGATGCCTCGAAGATTAGGTCAGACCATGAATCTGGCCACGCATATTCGATTTCATTCCTATGGCTGGTGAGTTGCCCACCCTCTTGTTCTACAAAGGACCGTTGTGTGTTCTCTCCTCACCTCTCGTCCCCCGCTTAAACACTTTCTAAGGTGCGGGTGTCTAGGAACCTCAACACCCGCTTGGAACCTACAGCGTTCGTCGCGCCGGCGGTATGTCGGTTACTGACCTTTCAAGACCTGTCCTTCTACAGCCGCATCTTCTTCCAGGTAGTTGATCCAGTGTACCACTTTCTCGACCAACAAAGGTTCGTCGAGCAGTGCGCACAATATTGGACGAGCGAGAACGAGACACCCACAGATCTCGGAGCGGTGGTCTGTGGCGTCGTGGCACTCGGGTCATTTTTCGCCGAGAGCCCGGCAGCCGTCGAGAGTTCACTGATCGAACATGCAAAACAAATCCTCGACATAGGATGTGCCTATGCACCGGGCCGAGTGTCACTGACCCAGATAGCGGGATGGATCCTGCGCACGCTATACCTCAGGCTGACCACCCGGCCACACCTGTCGTGGTTCTCGTCCTGTTCGACGATGCACATTGCAGAAGCCATGGGTCTACACGTCAACCTCCAGGACGCTGATCTCATCAACAAGGAATCCGGAAATGCCGCTTCGGAAGTCACCACGTCGCGCGCCGATCTGCTCGGGTGTGCCGTGTTTCTCAACATGCTCATCTCAGCGGAATATGGCCGGTCGCGGGTGATTCTGCAGGATGCGACGGCAGAGCCCACGTCGCCTTCGAGATCGAAGTTGATGGACTTGTGTGACATCATGGCCCGCCTCGAGTCGACACTGACACAAGAAGCGAGAACAAAGATTGTTACGCGTCTCGCCGGTCTACCTCTCGAACCACCGATATTCGGCCTCCTCAAGACCGACGTGACCATACACCTGTTTCGCCGACACCTGCACTCATACCAGGAGAAGCTCAACTACGACGAAGCTGCACTCTTGCTGTCGATCATCAAGGCTGGTTTGTCGGCGGCTCGGGTCCTGATCCCCCAGCGACAAGCCTGGTGGAACGTTCTGTCCACGCCATTCCAGTCACTCATGACTCTTCTGGCCATCGACACCGACGAGAGTTTGTCCATGATTGAAGACACCATCTCTGTCCTCAGCCTCGTCTACAACACCTTTCCCGCACACCTGGCCGGTGAAGTTCTCCAGACTGCGCAGCTGTTGATACGAGGGCTGGAGAAGCGAAAGATCAAACAAGCTCGGATGCTGAGCAAAGCCTGCAGCGACACCCAGTCGACCTTTGACACCCCGTCATGTTCCAATTCTTCCTCGGGTCCTGCCCAGGCCGTCGATCAGGCCGAGGCGGTATTCGACAATTGGTTGACCGGGGACGTAAGCTGGAACTGGCTTGCGACAGACTCCAACGTGCTGCAGAGTGGGAACGTGGGTGCTAACGCCGATATGTTCGGCGTTGGTTGATGGAGCGCGGTGAGCAGGCTCGAGATGAGCATGACAATGAAGTAGTCTGGTGTCGCACTGGTGGTCAACCGGGGACGATCATTGATACACCGTGAGGGCGCCCCTGGATATGTTTTAGCATAGTGTTCTTCGAATATACCCTGGAATTGAAAAGGATTTTGAATTTTCTGATCAGAGCTCCGATCTCGAGCCCTCTCAGTAGTCGTCGTATCAATGCGATTTCCCATCCCGAACGGGCGTGACCGGGGAAACTCGGACGAGGCTGTAGTGTCAGGTACTTGTTGTATCCCTCACCAGCCTCATCTTGTCTTCCGCTCCATCCACTCTTTCCGACACACGGGGTACCACATTTTCCTTTTCGTCACCACCAACGACGTTCTACCAGTAATAACAGTGGGCTGTTTGTTTCTCTCGTTGTCGTAAGCTCCCGCAGTACATGTAGCTAGCTACATTGAATCTCTCACCGAGCCATCAAAACCAGCCACTGTGTGGCGAAACTGTCTTCCCTTTCAAACATCAAGAAGCTCGGTCCGGGCCCGCCATTACCCGCGTCAATCCCATTGTCTCTTGGTATACATACTACTGTACATTCCCAGGTACCTGCAACAAGATCCGTAACTACCTATCTACTTTACAACAACGGTGTTGCCCAGGTCCGGACACGACCAGGCTGTCAACGTGGGTCCGGATCATGATTGTAAGTTGTTGTTGTCGTCGTCGTCGTCGTCGTCGTCTCCTGAATCGTTCGTTGTGTCCTAAATAACCCCCCGACAGGCTCAACACCCAAACGACAACCAGGACGACAAGACCATGCACGTCGCCCAGGTCGAGAAATGGGGCGAACCCCCAAAATACACCACGGTCGCTACACCCGATCCCCCGGACCCGGCGTCCGACGACGTCCAGATCAAAGTCACCGCGACGGCGATCCACAACCTCGTCCGCCTCCGGGCGTCGGGGACACACTACTCTGCCAAAACGCTCCCCCACGTGCCCGGCGTCGACGGCGTCGGCACCACCACCGCTGAAGGGGGAGAGGAGGCGTACTTTTTCGACTACCACGGGTCCTCGGGGACGTTCGCGGACCTCGTGACGGTGCCCAAGGCGAACGTATTCCCCCTGCCGGCCGGCGCGGACCCGATCCAAGTCGCGGCGCTCGTCAATCCCGCCATGTCGAGCTGGCTCGCCCTGCGCAAGCGGGCGTTCCACCTCCCCCCGGGCTTCTCGGTCTTGATCCTCGGCGCGACGTCGACCTCGGGCAGACTAGCCATCCCGATAGCGCGGGCGCTGGGGGCCGGCAAGATCGTCGGGTGCGCGAGGAGCCGAGACGCGCTCGACTCGCTGCGAGGAGTCCCCGCCGGTGGTGGTGGTGGTGGCGGTTTGGACTCGACGCTCGTCCTGCGCGACCCGGTGACGGCGACGGATTTCGCGTCGCTGGGCCACGTGGACGTCGTCCTCGACTACGTCTACGGCCCGCCGGCGGAGCATCTGCTGCACTCCGTCAAGGCGCTCGACAGGCCGACGCAGTACATCAACATCGGCGGGCTCGCGGGCGCGACCATCACGCTGCATTCGAGGGTGGTGAGGTCTTCCAAGATCGTCATGCTGGGGTCGGGCATCGGGAGTTGGACTGACGACGAGATCCGGGACGAGCTGCCCGGCCTGTTGCGAGCCATCGTGTCGTCGCTGCCCGTGCCGACAATCGAGGTTCGCTCGTTACGCGACGTCGAGACGGTTTGGGGTCAAAACGAAAAGGGGAAAGGGGGCCTCGAGAGGATCGTTTTGGTCCCGTGAAAATGTACCGTGCCTGGGGTACATTAGGTAGGTAGGTAGGTAGGTAGGTAGTATGATCGAGTTACGAATTGCTGTCGAGTTATCGAGTGCTGTCGAATTGTACTACCCAGGCAGTAGGCACTACGACCGAGCTACTGGGTCTTGATAACTCATCCCCATCATCTATGTCACTCAGATCACAATCACTATCATGTACAGCATATAGCTTGATGGGTTGACCAGGTCCATTGTACACAAATACTGACGTAGACTCTGTCCTCCCAAGACGAACACATACATAACATACCTGACATGACCTCGCTCTCCTGAACTTCCAACGATCACATCTATACCCAAGTACCCACACCAGGTACGCAGAGAAACACCATCACAACTTACTTTCCTTCGGTCTTCCACCGGCCATGTACTCCCTACTCATGTCTCTCTTCTCACTCAATCTCTCTCCAGTGACCCAATAAGGCTTCGGCACGCTGGTCCCTTCCATCCCCTTCACCTCCCCTGACACCAGTCCCGCGAGCGCCTCGGCACACCCCAGGATCCTCGGCATGCCATGACCCGTGAATCCCGCCGACACAAACACGCCGTCTCGTCCTGGAACGGGTCCGACCCAAGGCAACAGGTCGGCGGAGTACCCCATGACCCCCGTCCAGATGTCCGTGACCTCGGCCGCGGTGCCTTCCCACCCGCGAAACGTCCTCTGCATGTACCCGTCGAAATACTCTTTCGCGCCGGGTATCAGGGCCGAGTCGTCGGTGTTGTTCCGCCAGTAGGCGTCATCGAGTAGAACCTTCTGCTTGGCACCGCCGACGACAATGCTCCCGTCCGTACGCGTGATGAGGTAATCGTACTCCTGGGGTCCGAAACGGATCGAGTATGTATTGTTCAGATGTGGTGGTGGTGGTTGTGCTTTGTTGCCCGAGCTGTGAGATTCAGGAACGGCGATCCTACATGCCACGCCGCGTGCCGGGGTGATTTTGCCTCCAAACTCAGGCAGCAATGCACTCGTGTATGCGTTTGTCGTGACGACGACTTTCTTCGCCTTGACGATGCCTCGATCCGTACGTAGGATCCATCCTTTGCCGTTGCCGTCCCTTTCGATGGATGTGACGGGGGTGTTGGTTTGCAAGTTTGCGCCTCTCGCAAGGACCTTTTTCAATAGTCCCATGACCATCTTAAAGGGCCACACGGATGCTGCTGTGAAGCTGAATGCGCACAAGGCACCTTTGACGCCGGAGACCTATGTACGAGGATAATTGTCAGTGAGACTTGAGGTATCGCTTGTGCTCTGCCCGGTCGTTTCGAGGAAGAAAATCAATCGGTGATGTAGCCGGCCGAACTTACCTGCTCGGCCTTGCCATTTTCCCCAGGCACGAAATGCAGATCCGGAGGGAACTCGTACCCTTGGCTCTTCATCCGCTTCCACGCTTCCACGACCGGCCCGGCCACGCGCTGGTCCGTATACACGTCGATGGCCCTGGTGAGTTCAAAGTCGCAGTCGATTTCTTCTTCTTCCACGAGTTTCTTGAGGTCGAAGACCTGCCTCGTCTCGAACCGCGTCAGTTCTTCCGCGACCCGCACACCGTGGATGCTCGAGTACAGCGGTGCGTTGAAGTACAGGTCCGGCTTGACGTGGCCGCCGTTGCGGCCCGTCGCGCCTGAACAAGCCTTGCGAGCCTCTAGGATCAATACAGAAGGAGAAGAAGAAGAAGAAGGCAACGGCGCTGCTGATGCTGTTGCTGCTGCGTGATCGTCACCGTCGTCATCATCAATCAGTCTCTTGACCTGCCATCAAAAAACACTCACAGACGAGGGAGACACAGACGAGGGAGGGAGGGAGGGGGGCCACTCGAGCCTTGGACTCAGGCACCTTACCTGTACGAGTTCCTCCTCCATCGTTGCCACCGCCGCAAAGAAGGTGCCACGCCACCGCCGTCCCGGAAAACCCTGACCCTATGATCGCGACGTCGACTTGGTCCTGGGGCAGACCCGGCGTGCTGCGGAAGTCCGACAGGTCATCCGGATCGGTCGTCGTCAAACCGTGTCGCGACAACCAGTACGAGGACATGGGTTGAGTGTGTGGGAATGGCATGATTGATTGTGAGTGAGTGAGGTTGTTGCGAATCACAACTAATACGAAGTATTGTCTTCGCTGTACACCCAGTTTTAGGGATTCTATTCTCCCACCGTCTTAACGTCGCGTCTGGATGATCTCTTTTCTTCAATACAACGTTTTTATCGTCGTATCCAAGGTATTTTGATAGATCTTTATTCACGACCGGGCGACCCTTCTCTTCATCATCAACGGATATCAACCTAGAAACTGACAAGTTGGACGACGACGGAAGAAGAGAGGTCGGTCGGTAATCTCCGCGCCCAAATCATTCGCATGTCGTGGACGATAAGAGAGAGAGACAGAGAGGCTGATAAATACGAGCAACATCAAATATTATCCCCGCTACTTTACCGGCCCTCTAATTAGTAGCTTCGGTTCGAATGAATGACTGCCTATGTAGAATACTACTCGGGAACGAAAAGAAAAAAAAACCTCATTTCCAGACACGATTGTCGTCCTGAAGGGTGAGCGTATCATTGTCCTGTCCCACCCCACGCACAGTGAGTCTCTCAGCTCTTTTTCTGCCACAACAAATCTCCACCACCTAGTAGAAGCCCAGCAAGGCTGTGTCATACCTCACCAACTGGCCCTGTGCCGGATGCGCGCCGCCATAGGTGAAAGGACCCCCGTTCGTGGTGACATACAGAGATCCCCTCTTAACGTCCTCGGCGCTCGTACCGAACTTCGCCGCCGTCAAGCCCACGGGACCGGTCGAGTTTCCGGCCACGGCCACGATGCCAGGTTGAAATTTGCCTGAGCCCACGCCCGCGAGATAAGCAACGTGTCCGTACTCACACGCAAACCAGAGACCACCGGCGAAGTCGAGCGTGAAATCGTCAGGGAAGATGTTGGCAAACTCTTGGTCAGCGAGTACTTCTGCGGGGCCGGTGGCATGGCCGGTGGTGGTGTTGACGGCGATGCGGTAGAAGGTGACGGAGTTGGAGTTGTCGTAGTAGAGATAGCCATTGGAGTAGCTAAGGCCGTTGATGCCCAGGGACAGTCCGCCGGAGAGGGTTGCGTTTGGTGCCAGGGACGGGTCGTTGACGGCAATGGCAGTTTTTCCCGTGTAGACATTGACGGACCAGACGAGGCCCTTGGCCGAGTCAGCGACCAGGAGGATGCCGGTGTTGGGATTTAGAACGGTCAGCCCATTCGCGAGACCTGCACCGGGTAGATCTGCGACCTTTGTGACCGTGACGCCCTTGGCAGCTTGCTTCGAAAGTTTTCCGTGCCAGGGTGTGTGGGCACCGGTGGCGTGGCCGTTCAGGTCGATTTTAAAGATCCCATAGGTCCCAGGTGTGGACGCGAACGCTTTCACAGAAAAGTTGCCGACGACGGCGTAGAAAACATCGTGGCCCAGCTCCACGACACCGAGGACAGCGGTATGTGCAGGGAACTGGGCAAGGAGGAGCGGCGGGAAGGCGTTTGTAGACGATAGGAGGTATACTTCTGGTGCTGACAGGAGAGTGGCCACGAAGTTGCCGTCCTCGGAACGGGGAACGAGGTTCTCGATCCAAGTGCCGTTAGGGAAGGTTGATATAATGTGCGGTTCTAGGATCGGCTCTGAGAAGCTGATCGTCGAGACAGAAGCAGCTTGTCTAGACTCCAACGTGTTGGCTTGAGGCAAAGCTGATGCAGTGACGACCGACGTGAGCGTGAGCACAAGCCCAGCAATGGTAGAGCAAATCATCTTTTCTGTGGGAAGGTAAATGCTTTTCTTTGATGTAAAGAATGAATGTGAGAAGTCCTGATGAAGAATCGAAGGATGAAGACCTGCTCTGACCCCGATATATATATGCATAAATCACTGCCCCATGGGCCCATCCACCGTACGTTACCTCATCATACATGACTGACAATGCACTTACACCTGTATCTGCACCTTCACGCAAACGAGATTGGAATAATTCCATCATCGTAGCAGTAGAGGGTATTATGAAGCGAACGCCGCCCAGGTTCAGGCTAAAACGCTCCGGAAGTCACCTCAACCACTCGAGAAATGGACCGACGATGTGGAAGTGTGCCGCGAGGTTGGCAAAAAAGGTAACAGCTGAAGCATCTGCAATCTTCCAGATGTAGGGCCAAAGCCGTAGCCTCGCCTTATGCATCCGAATTGGTCGTAGCACGGTATGGCGACTTTGGCCGCTTGCGCGCAAAGTTATTTGCACGCCGTTGAATGATTCCCTTCCGGGTATAGTGTCTCCGTGAGAAGATGCAAAACCGAATCTCCACTGAACAGTCAGCATGGCGCCAAAGTCTTTCTCGATGTCGCTGCTGCATGCGAGGTATAGTGCGGACTATGTAGATGTGAAAAGAGAAAGTAAGCAACAATAGAATTCGTAGTAAGGCCGAAAAAAAACAAATTCCGCTTCTGGGCCGGTTCAGCCGCGCAGTCGAGCTTATTTGATTACCTGGCATACCGAGTTCTGAAAGGTGCTCCAGGGCACTTGATAATGAATACTGTAGCTTGTGCGACTACTCCCATGGCCTTGTGATGCCGAATGCAACGTGATGAAGGACGAACAGCATGTCCAAAAGGGCGTATGGCTGAGTTCCATCAGGACGACAGCGCATCGGGATCATCTGGTTTGTGGTTGGTGCCCAGAGATTCCAGTGATTGTTGAAGCAGAGCGATCTTCGACAGCACCAAAGCCACGTTGTCGAAGGGCTTGTCTCCGGCGATCGCGTCGTCAGAATCTCGTGGACTGTGGATGACTAGTCGATTAGGGGCGTGTACAACTGGCGGAGATGTAACGCAAACGACAGACAAGGCAAAGTATTGGCCCCAGCAATAACAACCAAGCCTTCCCAGGAATCCAAGCTCGGATTTCCATGCTCCGAAACATGAGAAGAAGTCTTCGTGAGTGCTGGTGGAGATGTATTTGGGCTTGCGTTGGACTGCGGACCAGGTAAGTCTTCGGCAGCCAAAAAGTACATCTTTTCACCACCACAGGCGCTTCTCACCCGATAGTGTGAGGAACTGAGGCTTGGTGACTCTTGTTCCGTCCAAAATTGTCGAATCTCAGGCTGCAGTCTTCGTGAGAGTTAGTGGAAAGGCTTGTGGCTTGCCCTGGACAGGCGGCCAATCCTGCGGTAGCCCAGTCGGCAAAGGACCTTTAAGTACGTATGTCCTTTTGTCACCACAATGCTTCTCAATCAGTCGGAGGAGGAGCTCAGTACCGATTGCTCGTTGGCGTACCAAGCCCTCAGGAAGCAGTAGGTGAATGGGCAACCAGGCGCCAGGTTTGTCGCACGAGGCTACGTGAGGTACGTATACATAGCTACCTACCTACGTACCTACATACCTATAGGTACACATTTTGGCACTTGATTCGTATCATTCATCTCCAGCAAAGGTACATAGGTACTTACCTACCTTCACTATGCAGGGAAACGCCCGCTCAATACAAACTCCCCAAAACTTACACTCATAAACCTTCATTGCCAGACTCGCTCTTGTTCTTGAGTCGATTCAGAATACTTGAACTTCGGTTCCGATTCTCATGTCCAACCGTCAAGGCTCTGAGTCTGAGCGGACTGAGACCACCACCACCACCTCCATCAGGGGTCAATCCGCTTTCAAGTTTGCCAATATGTGCCATGAGAGCCGTGTTTTCTTTTTGCAGCTCGCCGATTTGACGAGTAAAAATTTCTTGCTCCTTTTTCAGAATCTCGACTTCTGCTCTGGCCTCGTCTCGTTCCCGCGTGAGGCGAACTTTTTCGTCCTTCTCGCTCTGCTTCCGCTGCTTCTCAGCCAGTTTCTTCGCCTGCTTCTTCTTTTTCTGTTCCAGCTTGGCCACTTCTTTTTCGTACTTTTCTTCGTGTTTCTTGAGCTCCTTTGCGTGCTTGACATGTGCCTTTTGGACCGCCTCGTGCTCTTTTTCGTGATGTTTCGAAGCTTGACTCGACAATTTTTCACGCTGTTGAGCAAATTTCGAGTCCAGGGCTGCTTTGCGTTCTGCGAGCTTCGCAAGCTCTTTATCATGTTGCGAGACTAATTGACTTTCCGTGGTATTCTCAGATAAAGATTTTGAAGAAATCGAGGGATCCTCATCCGAAGTCACGTGTGAAGTCAAGTGTGAATCTGCGGACGCGAATGACAGTGTTGAAACAGTTGAAGAAGCGTCGTCATTGTCTTGGTCTTCATTTGATTGAGAGTGCTGGGACTCAGCCGGTGTCGCTTCTGATGCGGGACTGGTCAGTGGAGGAAAGTTGGGTATATGATCCTTCACCACTTGAGGTGTGTTATGCTTGAGCGTCTCCGCGACTGTCGCCACGAGGCCCGAAGACGACGGTAATAGCCGCTCTGAATCCACAGCCTCGGCTTTTGGTGTTGATGCTTCTTCATGCTCCCTGACACCGGCTAGAGTGCCATTTGCTTCCCAGCTCGCGAAACTCTCCTTGCGATGACCGTGAGGTCTTGACGGAGAATTGTCCAGGAAGTCGTCAGCTTCTTCTCTCTGACATGCCCAGTCAAGGAATTTAAGCGCATCAGCACAGATGCTTCCTGGAGTACCTCTCTCAACCATGAAACGAGGAACGCTGCCGCCAGGATCGCTCCGGGTAACCATGATCCACTCCACAGGGTGATCTTCAGGGTCATACTGTTGGTTGGAATGTGGTGTAGGACTTGAACTGAGAGCCGCGCTGACTGTTGCGCCCCTTTTCCTGCCAGGAGAGAGGTCCCGGCCCAAAGATCCATGTGTGTCAACTTGCAGGTGCTGGTTGTCATGTAGATGGTCGGAAGTCTGATGCTTCTCAGCACTTTGTTTCGACACTTCCTTCTCCAATGATTCCTCATGGCGGCCCAGATGACTTAGATCCGTAGAGGAGGTAGAGGTTTTAAGTTTCCGAGGAATTTCACGAATGAACTCTACTGATTCATACTGGCCTCTAATGAAGCCGTTTCCAGGTTGGGTCTCGGGGTGATTGCAGGGTTTGGAAATGATCATGTAGTGTCGGGGAGGTAGTTCGTGGGAATCGTCATGCTGTTTGAGGGCCTTTGACGAAGTGACCAGCAGCGTTACAAAGTCCCGGGGCGTTGTTGGCCCTGGAAACTGTGCACTGAGCCGGTAGACCTCTACCTTGCCTCTGTTCGGCACGCCTATTTCTTCGACTTTTTGATCTGCGCCAATGCCTCTGATGTTGCCTTCCCCCGGAGCACCCTGTACAGCTAATGAGGTAGGAAACTCTCGTTCGAACCCTCTCTTGAACCTACTGAAGCCTAAGCCTTCATGGACGCTCCTTCGCGCAAACCATGAACCTTTCCCGTCTTTGCTGCTGGCTTTGTAAACGGAGATCCCCAAGGGATTCTCTTTGGCAGACAGCTTGATTGGCTTTCCCCATTCTTTCTGTAAAGCTGCATACTCGGACGGCGGAGGCGGGCTTCGGGCTGATGAGGGTCTGATTTCGGAGGCACTAGAGGCTATCGAACCTGTCGTTTGCGCGCGATGGCGGTGGGAAGGTTCAGGGTCAGGGATTGGAATAGACTCGATGACGGTTTGCGCCTGTGAGAAGAGGTCGGCCAGAAAGGGATCTAACTCATCAGGGTCCTGCGGGATATCAGACCAGTCGCACGGTGCAAGAGCCTTCAAGGCCGAGTGCAGAGAAGACATTCTCGTTTGGAATGCTCGTCAGGTCTCGAGAGCGAGAAAGGCACGACTCCTCAGTCGGAAGAGCGATGCAGCCAGAAGAGCGACATAGAGAGGGTCACGCAAGAGACAGGAGAGACGCAATGGCGGAACAGTTGGTTTGTAGGAGAGCAACAGACTCCGCCAGTCAAAGCATTGGCACACTCATGATGACTGAGCATCTGGATTGCTACAAAGAGTAAAAGTCAAGAAGCTGAAGATGCATATGCGGGACAATACGAGCAGCACATCGGAAAGCAGTAATGAGTGACGCTGTTGCGGAAGAGCAGGAAACGAGATACCACAGCGTCATAGTCTTAACTAAGAGAGACGGGTGAGTGGCTGACTTTCGTCTTTGCCGAGCCTCCTCTACCGTACGAGAACTGGCGCCACTCGTGCAGTATGCAGTATGGTATTGGCCCATGCACGGGCTCGCCAGGCCTAGAAGGCCAACCCACTGTCTGGCCTTCTAGGGGAGCCCAAGGGAGCCCAAGGGAGCCCAGAGAACCCAGGGCATGACTAAGTGCCGAAGCCCGGTGCCCCAGCTAAGGCGATGCCCTCACACCACGCTCCTCGGATGCTCGGAAAGCAGATATCTACTGGAGAGCTGCAGGATTAAAAGCAGAGCGATGGAGAAAGATGTTCACATTTGTTTGGGAATTATCTTTATGTATCGAGCACAAAATGTGTCTTGATGTGCCAGCATCCGATTCCTCGTCCACTCAATGGACTGTAAGGCTTCCTCGACTCCAGGTCGAAGATATAGGAGATGACCCTATATACCACACTTCATCGTCTTCGCCAACTCGATAGGACAACTCTCATGGCCTTCCACAACAGTCACAGACTTTGTGATGGCTGTCACCTCTGCCACAGGCATAGTGTAACTTCCAGCCAACGACTCGTCCCACGAAGCCAGCAAAGAGACGTCCTGCAGTACGGCACCGAATATCGCATACCAGTTGCGACAACCCAGCACCGTGTCGGTGTTCAGATCTTGAATTGTTGGCAACCGGTGACAACGACTCTCTGATCCGAACGGCGGTTCCGCATTCAAGCGACTCCCGCCCCGACTGAAATAAGAAATCAGTGCATATATCCCAAACCTCCCAATGGCACCAGCCGCGAGGCTTTCCGTTTCTTGCGAAAAATGCGGGACTGTATCCAACCCAGGGATATCATACATATGCCATCCAGTCGACCTGCGCTGTGGTATGCTCGAAACATTCCCAAATCCCAAAACAAAGCAGAAGGAAAAGCAGATCAAAATCAAAATCACCACGCTTGCTGCAGAACCCAACACCGTGCCCCGTACCGTATTATTCCCAAATAGTCCCATGTCAAATGCAGAGTGGTATCCTTGTGTCGCTAAAATCAAGATCAAGAACTCCAATGGTGATGCTCAAGACTATATATTTCCCGCTTGCTTTTGTCGCCGTCTCTTTTCGGAAGGCTGCCGTATCAAGAGCGCTGTTGTCTGGTATCATATGGTGCAGTGGAAAAGCAACATCAACAGCGACTGTTCATCGTCACATGGCCGTCGCAAAGGGCATCGTGTATTCTTGATAACGGTCCCACCCGAATGTGCTCAGACTTGCAGATGTACTGCAGGGTTGTTGAGTCAACATACTCGGGAGAGGGAGAGGTGCGAAGGATGGTGCAGTAGACGGCGTGTTGTAGGCTGGAGAGCTGTAATATTGCGGAGCGCTGTAAGCAGCCGAAGAGTACGGCTGGCTGAAGGAAGGTGTCGGTGATGGCAGCTGAATGTCGTGCATGCCCACGCCTGTCCACATGTTCTGATTCGAGTCACAGGACGAGACTGGACTTGGGCTCGACGGGATAATCTTCCACGCCTCAACAGGCGCCGGCTGGATGGCCTGCATATGTTGCGATGGCCACCACTGTTCGGCGCCTGTCGAGCTCGGGAGCAGGGGAGTCGGGCGGACGACATCCACGATCCTTGGTGGAGGAGGCAGAAGTGGCACGTAGAGCCCCATGATGGCAGCGCGAACCTCGTCGCTCCGCCCACACAGGAGTTCACCCGCACCGTCTTCCTCCATGCCCTCCAAGGCATGGACATTCGTCCGATAGACAAACTTGTTGGCAGCTTGGACAAACTCCTCCTGCAATTTTTTCAGCTGTGCTTCCTTCTCGGACCACGACCAGGTCTTTGCGGCGGTGTCGATGGAAAAGACATCTCTATGATAATCGACCAGCGAATCAATTGTGTCTTGGGTAAGCTTGAAGGCGACCTCGTTCTGTGAGACCATGTCGACGTGGACGACGTAGGCTTCGACGGAAATTAGTTGGTAGTTGAACATGGCTTCCACCAGCGGATTCGAGTCTGTCCGTAAGTCGGCTTCCGGTGCCTTGGGCACCATGATGGCACATAGAGACCAGATGGCATCCGGCGACGAGAGCGTCTCGGTCAGACACCTCGTGTGTTGCGGGACACTGTTGAGCGGGCGCTTGATCTTGTTGATTCTCTTGAGGGTTGCCGTCAACCACGGTTCCACTTTGGTGTTGAGCACCACATTGCACGTCGATCGCGGAGCAAAGGCCGCAGCAGAGGCGGGTAATAGTATTGTCGGCATTATGAGTTCGTGATTGATCTGATTCGATTTCTGGGTTTTTCTATCGTAGCGTCGTCGTCTCTGACGGGAACATGTACGGGGCCTGCAGGGAGATGAGTCGGATGGCCCAGCAGGCAGAAGCGGAGGGTGAGCAGAAGTCAATGAAACACTAAGAGACTGGGTTATTTGGTTGTTCGTGCGAATGTGAAGGCGGTCCCAACGAGGGAATGGCGTGCGCGCCTTGAGGAGAGAAAGAGAGAACGGGGGCGACGGAGTATTGATGGGATTTTCAGGGCAGCGGCAGAAGGAGAGGGAGAGGGCGGAAATGGCGGGGATGGACCAAAGAGGCAAAGAAGGGTGGTATAAGAAGGAGGAGAGAGCCGTACCTTATATTGCGAGGATCGTGAGTAAAAAGCGCCAGTAGAGGCCTTGATAGGCTGGACGAGGAAGAGCTAAAGATGGGACCTGGCGCAGCAGCCGATACCTGTGTATGCAGTGGGATGGAGTCAGTCTTCAGAGACTTTTCAGGTATCTTAAGTATCTACGGGACTGCGAGAGCCTGGACGAGGAGGAGATCATCGTAGGCAGCGTGTCCCAGTATGCAGTACCTTCTCCGGCGACAGGCGAAAGGCGAGAGGCGAAGGCAAAAGGCGCACGCAACGAGAACGAGGCGCAGACGTTGTGCATGCATTTCGACTTCTCTTTTGCTGGAGTGACCGAAATCTCCATCTCAGAGCCTGCACGATTCCCACCTGCAGGATGCACACAGTATGTACATACGCTAGACAGAGTGAGTAGCCGAGCGAGAAAGGGCCCATGTCCCTGTCCATGGCTAATCTTCCCGTATTCATCGCTTGTTCCAACCACTGCACCGAGTCCCAAGGCACCTTATGTTCATGACCATCTTCATCACGTACAATACGGAGGACAGACACTCGCACTCTCACACTCTCTTCTCCATCTCCACTTCGTCGACCAGCAGGACAATACCGTACCCACGGTCGTGGTCAGATGCCAGGTGATACGAACAACTTGACCTACAGCAGAAGCAGGACTCTGTCTGACCCGGTTCCGGCGGCGACGACCTATAGAACGAGTACTCCTCCAGCACTTCCCGTTGCTGCACCCGCGCTATGTCTGCAGCTTGCATATACGCTACTGCACCTCCTGGTCAACTTTGGCCGCTGCTGAACATTGTTTGCAGCCGGTCCGGCGTCCACTTTCCAGCTGAACCCATGGCGGATTTCTCTCATCATCATCATCAGCTTCATCATTTTGCGACCAGGCCTGAAGATTGTTAGCCCCCCCGCGTATGCAAGATCAGCAGTGCCGTCTGGCCCAGTGAACCCTTTGGACTTTTGCCTTCCTTGTCTTCTCACTGGTGGCATCCTTTTACTTCCGAGGCTGCTGGAAATCATCGTCTGATTGCCAATATCCGATATTGACATCGTTTTGGTCAACTTCATCAAACACTGGCCAGCCAGCAATGTCCACAGGCCACGAATGGCTGGCGTTGACTTTGATCACCGAAGCCGCCTGGTCCGTGGACACTCGGGTGGCCCCGAGCGATGCGTGGATTGTGCTTTCCAGAAGGACCAAATTATCCGAAAACGCTTCTAGATTCCCTAATCCTGGCTTCTGGATTGCTTCGTAAACGCATGCTACATCTTTCGCAATCTTACCGCCGTTCAATCAACCACGTCCCATGATGCCGAGAGGTCAAAAGGTTTGCATGCTTCCGCAATGCGTGAAACGAACCTTTGCCTAGTCTCTCTTGCCATTGTCCGAGGCGCGAGGGGGAATGTCCTGGACTGCAATCGTAGTTGGTGCTTTTGGAGGAACTCCTCTCCAGAGTTTGCGTCCTCTCCTGACCCCGAGGCTTGGCTGGCGGTCTCAAAACACCACGCAAAGATATACAGTCACGAATACCATTTGCAGACACAGAATTGTGGTACATTTTCTGCTCGTTTCAGGAACGTGAGCGAACCCTTCGGCCCTTCCCAAGCGTCGAAGAAATTCGGCGAAGGAGCATCGAAAGATTCATCTCACCCCCAACGGGCATGTCTGATAGTGGGAGGGTGGCAAATGCAGCATAACCAGTCATTGGCATCTGGGGGCTGGTCGTTGTGAATCCGCCTGAGCTAGGAGCGGCCAACATCTGAGGTGATCCTCGTAAGATAGGCACTTCTGCACATGCATTGGTCGCATGCAGTGGGACCCAGCGCCGCCCGCTAAGTCTACATCCCTGCTACACGGTTTTATTGGTTGCTGCGACTTTACAGACTTGCCCTCGCCGAGTCCTCATGTGAGGGGAATCTATAGGGATTTCGATGTTTATCCGCAAGTAACCCTCGAAAACTATATACAAGTCGCAGCAGCCGCCGACAAGACAGCTTTGTGGGTTGTGATGGGTGTTTCAGAGGATGTTCCCAAACGGTGACTGACAAGATGACGACGACGACAGTGGTACCGACAAATGCAGCTGCCGGGGACCCAGACGAGGATCAGCGGCTGGGGAGGACGACATGGGCTGCATCTCGCGTACACGCCGTGCAGATTCGTGTTTTCATGCCGGCAATACCGGTTGAGGCGCCAGAGCGAACGACGTCGCCACCTGTGGCACAGCGAAGCATTGTGGCAGTGCCATGTCTATTCTGGGCTGTTGACCGGAATAACCGATGCCAATAGTCACGTGTGAAAGACACCTTCAATCCACTCTGAATGCGCCGAGCACCGGAGAATAGTATTGCCGGCGAAGGTTCTTGTTCATTGCGGTCTTGCAGACATGACTTTTGTGCATCTTGACGCCAAAGCTATCTGCACGAGTGGGAGTACTAAGCCGGCGTGAATTGATGTCCTCCATGTTGCCCTCAGACCTCACCTTTCCAATGGCAATATTACCCGGGTACTTCTGCCAGTTTCTCTGTCCTAGAAGATTGCGTTGAACGGCCTATTGATCCCCGATGTCAGCTGAGCTGAGCGGAGCGTCGCAACCGGATCAGCTCAAGCGAGGACTTACGCACCTACGAAGACAGATGGATGTGCGGTTCAACGATCCACATCGATGCCCTTCCAGTGGACAATACCATGCTTTGGGACGGCAACCTGGTGGCACATCAGCTCTTTTGTCTTGGACGCTTCACTGACGTCGCTATTTTACCGTGTTAAGGCAAAGTATCCTGCTGTGCCGTTGTGACACACATTTCGCACCCATCGCATGGGTTTGGATGCACACACCATGTACCCGGACACATTGGGAATGCTGTCAGTTGAGAGAGAACAGCGTCTACAGAGAAGGCGCATTTCCAGGGTGAATCCTGTCCTTCCCAAAACTTTTGACACGAGTGACACCTCTGTGCGACCATGAAGAATTGGTCCATCAGCAAAGCCTTGCTCCTCGACACGTCTCGATGCTGCCATAAATCATCAATGAATCGTTTTGTTCATTGACATCAGGCCCGCCTTGGAGCCGCTCCGCGCAAGTGCTAGATGCGAGTCCCATGCTCATGCCTTGCGGAGGCTCTGCACTGAGTAATGGCGACTGTGTGAAATTGGCTTTCTATAATTATGAGGCTGCACTGCTTACCTAGGTATGTAGGTACTGGACAGGCACCGCTCCCAAGTTCATGCAAGATCGCCTCCCAAAAGCAAGGTTGGGAGAAAGGAGGACAACCCTCTCGAAATGACCCCTTTTAGTAGCAGCCTTGCAAGCTTACCTATAATCTAGGTGACCACTAAGTGACTACCAGGTGCACAAGGCTAGTATCTGTGGTAGCAAGATCAGAATGTAAGGCTGACACTACAGCCTGATGGGCAAAAGGAGCAAACGGCAGATCATGATTTATTTTTAGCACATATGGCTACAGCTTTAGATTCGGCCTTCCGGGCTACTCGAAGGGGCTAGGGCCAGTAGTTAGGGGCAGGAGTATCTCAGCGGAAAGGGCTTGCTGGAGGACTGGAGACTGGCTGCGCGTAGGGCTTAGAGTGCTTGGAAAGTCGGAGGTTTCTCTCCCGGGCCCCGACGTTGAACTGCACCGTCACTCCAGCTGAAGTGTTCTTTTTCGGTATCAGCTTCAAGAATCGGTCACGCCTGGTTGTTTGTATCTTCGACACGTTCTCTCGGTTTAAACCACTCTTCTTCAGCTTCTCTGCAAGTGTTGCTTTCTGTAAACTACATTCATAATAGCTTCGACATCATTCGGGGTTATCCTGCTGTCAGCTTGGGGGATAGACATAACAACACTTCTTAGCTGTCATTTCGGTCGACTACAGACACTAGACTCTCCTTTATCACAACCGGCTGTCACAATCGTCTTTGAATTCTCTCGAAGATGCCTGGCTATCTGAGACCTACTCTGAAAGTGGCCGGTGTCGCTGCTGCCGGTGCCGGACTGGCCTTCAGCGGATATCGACACTACAACTCGACATCCTTCTTTTTCACCCCGGTTCACGCCGAGACTCTCCCATCAGACTCTCGAGCTGCTCTGAAGAAAATGGAGTGGAAGGGCTTCACTGAACTGAAGCTTCAGAGCTCGGAGATGGTCAACCACAATGTCAAGCGATTGACATTTGCCCTGTCAGATGATGAATCCATTACTGGCATTTCACCCATCAGTGTGTTTTGAAATCGCAATTTTCCTCTGCTCTATCCTCTTACTAACCCACTGGCAGCATCTCTGTTGACCCAACATACTCCGGAAGGTGCCTGGATTCCTGTCTTCAGACCGTACACCCCAGTGAGTGACAATGGTAGGTTTATCTCCCCACCCCTGTCCGGATTGATTAGCTGACCGACGTAGATCTCCCTGGGACCGTCACCTTCCTGGTCAAGAAGTATCCAAATGGCAAGGGCTCCGGCAAGATGCATTCCCTGCAGCCTGGTGATTCGATGAAATTCAAGCCACTCCACGAGTTTGACTACAAACCCAACCAATTTTCTGCAATCACCTGTATCGCTGGTGGCTCGGGCATCACTCCAATCTATCAACTCACTCGTAATATCCTCAACAACCCAGAGGACAAGACGAAAATCACCCTGGTTTATGCCAACAATACCGAAGAGGATATCCTGCTGAAGAAGGAATTCGACGAACTCGCTCAGAAGTATCCTGAACGCTTTACCAGGTCCTATGTCGTCAGCAAAACCACCCCGCAGAACGAGGCATCATACGAAACAGGGTACGTTAACAAGGCACTACTCAGCAAAGTCATGCCGCACAAGATGAACGAACGAAACATCAAAGTCCTTGTGAGCGGACCTCCGCCAATGATTGAAAGCGTTGCTGGAGCCAAGGGCGGCTTCGGTTGGACCCAAGGCAGCCTTGGAGGCATTCTCGGCGAACTGGGATACACCAAGGAAGAAGTGCACAAGTTTTAGAAAGCGAGTGGGTGTCTCGTGTAGTGGAAGGAGAACTCTTTGTATCCGTAGAGTGTAAATATTTTTAGAAGCGAGCATAGTAGACCATCATTTTTTGGCGTATCGAAACTCATCTCTGAAGATGCCCACAAACAGACTTGTACTTATCGAGTGTGGCTGGCGTTTGCTGTTGAACTAATCCTTCGTCGCGGAGACGGTGTACTGTGCAGGTACTTATTCATATACGGCTGACTAATACGAGTGTCTGTCGCGTGCGTTCGTGGTCGGTCGAACTCATCCGCTAGCGAGGTATCGGCAGGAGTTTGACGGGGACAGTTCTCTTGAGTCCCATACGCGCATTCTTATCTCCCCGCGGCTTTACCATTGATACTCCATCGCAGACACACTATCACCGCCTCTCGTCCGAATCCTGTGTCTTGACTTATTGCGTAGGAGACTCGGGCCGGGATGGAATGGGAAGGAATCCACTAGCAGTTCTCTACTTTGTCTGAGCGCCCTGTACGTCTCTTTCTGGTCTACGCGTGGCCCGCTACGAAGAGGAGGGTGACGTCTCCCAACCATGCAGGCTTTTGGTATGTCTCCTTCTCTTCCTCTCGATCCAAGCGGTAGCATGGGCTTTACATACACCCTCCTTGGTGGACGATGCTGCGAAAGCAAGCGCTGAACAATGTGACCTTTGTAGTTCCGAAGAATCGAAAGGTAATCTTCCCTTCGCTCTCACTCGGTAACCCCTCCACCCATCGCTGTGAGACATACTGATGGGTTTCCTGTATAGCCGAAATTCGATCTAACTCTTCGCATAATCGATCTGACCAATATCCCTCTAATCTACGGGACTGCCAGCGTACGATGGCATCTTCCGTCGTCAACCGCCGCGGAACATCGCGGACGCACCGACAAGGCCCCCATCCTCGAACACAGAGCGACATGGGATTACAGTAAGGAATTATCGGTGCGCCTGACCATTGATAAGACGGGCATGCTGCAAGAATGCGGCCTACACTTTGAGATTTTACAAGAGTTCCACGAGGGCGGAAGAGGCGGACGAGTACACCTCGGAAATGTCAAACTCAACTTGGCCGAATATGCACGTCTCCCGGAAGAAGCTATCACCGATCGTGACCCTCAAGAGGATAACGAGGACGACGGCATCACACGCAGATACCTCCTGCAAGACAGCAAAGTGAATAGCACTCTGAAAATCGGCATCAAGATGAAGCAGACGGAGGGGGACACGAATTTTATTGCTCCTCCGTTGAAGTCTGCCATGGTCATCGGTGGGATTGCTGGAGTTTTGACTGCCGAGGCCGGTGAAGGCGACGATATACCCAGCATTACGAGCAAGACCAGAGAGTTGTCGGAAGCACAGGATATCTATAGACGCACACTCGCCGCCACGTGGGCGTGCCAGTCCGGCGAACTACCGCCCGACAAACTCATCGAGGATCTGTTTGCTGGCGGTGATGGAGGTCGATTCTCTTCCACGGTGAACAATCCAGTGACCCGCCAGAGATTAGGCCTTCGGGACGATAGCAACAGCTCCTCGAGTGACGAGCCCAAGAGGCCTGAGACACCGCGAGACCAGCTCCTCACCCCGCATGCAGCCACCCAAGGAGGCCATAAGCGCACAGGCAGTCGAGAGTCGCCGAACGCCACTCCGACCATCCACAACAGCACAGTCAGTGGACGATCCAGCATAGACCAGCAGATGCAGGCAAGTCAGCAGGAGCATCAACGGAGACAACGGCATGACTCGGACGAGCACAGTGAGTTTGAATTGAGAGAGGATTTGAGAAGCTGGCAGGTACGCGTCAGGTGACTGACATGAGCTGTACTGGTCGTACGCTTTCTACTTGCCGCATATGGCTCAGCACCGTATGCCTTGGGTACGCGAGGCACGGCAAAGACTCGAACGAAGTGAAGCTCGCTGGGCCAACTTAGCCCATATCTACCCCGAGGATGACATCTTCCTCACCGAATTTTGCAGGCAGAACGCTACGCGCTCCCCAAAGACAGCCGAGCATTTTTAATCAGTGGTTTTTGCCTCAAAGGCTTAAAAGAGAGACAGAAGTGCCTGCTGATGCTTGGGACTTCCTGGGAGGGGCCTCGGTCTGTGGTTGGAACATATGCAGCGATACAGGCTGAAGATTCTCTACTGATGATATCTGCAGCCGTATGCTTGGTGATGGATTGTTGGTTCCGCAAAAATTTCAAAAGCTATGCAGTACAATCATGAACTTACGTTATCTGGTAATCTATGTTGATATCGTCTGACAGAAGGACGGGCACTTTGAGGACATTGAAAACAAGTCTGCATTTGGCTGTGTTATGGGGTTTGAAGAATCCGTCTTTGAGGCACCCTTTTCTACGAATTAACGAATGAATGCTCTGTCCTAACTAAATTTCATCTCTTCATTTGTTAGACCTGGGGAGGACGTGCCATCGCATGAATGTCGTTATCCGTTGCATATAGTCTGCCGTTAGAGGGAGGTGAGAATCAGAAGGCCAGATAAATTCGTTGTTTGAAGGCGAGTTCGTTGGCAAAGGCATGACACGAACTGCTACGGTCGAGCATTAGAGCGGCCAAGTGAGAAATTTTTTTTTTGGAGACGCTCACTCCACGTAACGGCATTTTGACCGCTTCTGCTCATCCCAGTGCTGCTGTTTCGTGGGCCACCAGGTTGTATTGCAGGTTCTCTCTTTAGATCCATGGCATGTTGAAACGTCTGGGCGCATCGGCTCACGTCTGTCTCAGATGTCAAAGGAAACAGATCAAAGAGAGTCTTCTTCGGCCTTCGAACAGACTCGGAGCCCCGATCACATCTGCGGCGAGAAGATGGCAGAGCAATGTCGCCGCCTCTGCCGTTCCTCCCCCTGTTGAGCAGGGCGATGACAATGGAGGAGACGAACATGAACCCTTTCCCCGTCGTCGGGAGGATTCCTCTCATACGAAAACCGCCTCTCCGCACAGAAATCGGCATCGAACGTCGATACGACATTGGAAACCCACCCGAACCGCAGAACTAGGCGTGAACTCGCTAGGGAAACCCGCCGAAATCCTGATTCTCCCCTCTACGGACCGCAAGATACCGCAGGTTCCGAAGGATGGAGGTGACAACAAGATCGTCAAGGCCATGATGCGGCAGGCCATTGACTTTGAGAAGCAGCCTCTCCAACTGCAAGAGTTGAAGACCAACATCGAGCAAGCCATGCGTCTGCTAGGCAAACAACGCGGTCAGCTGGAATACAGAGAGTGGAGCATGTTAAAGACACACTTGATGAAGGGGTTCACAAGAGACCATTTGAAGCACTATGTCATGTCCCACGCAGACCGCTTCAAGGATGGAATCGCATATGTCAGGGTCCTTGAAAGAGGTAAACTCCCTTTGACCAAGTTCATTGTGGAAGAAATCTGGGGCTTCACCATCCCGATCGCAGTGTTTGAAGATTCGGATCATTCAAAGAAAAATATCAAGGCTGAATTTCGAGCCGGGGATGAGATTTTGGACTACCTTTTAAACGATGAAGGCCAGCAGTTGAAGAAAATATCCGAATCTCATCAGGTCCAGATAGATGTCTTCCGATCACAGCAAAGGCTCCGTGTCCACGGAACAGCAACCAGGGTGAACTTGGCTTCGTCCATGATGGCTCGTCTCTTGAGAAGCTTCACTATCATCTCCATTCCCTTCACTAAGAAGTCTCTGAACGAAACATACGCCAATCCGGCTTTGCAAGCTCTTGTGAAGCCTTTCTTGAGATCCATCGAGCAAAAGTTTCACGTACGCATCATTCTGTACCCGAACTGCATTAACATCGTGCACCGCGATCGACCCAAGGCCGCCGACCATGCTCACAGAGAGATTCGACTGGCTGCTGAGAAGTTTTCTGAAGAAGGTCAACAGGTATTCTTGTACCATGAATCTTCGATGAGCGATACAGCCATGGCATCTTATCCGACACCGGCTGAACTGCCATGGGGCTTGCGTCAATTACCCTGGGCAAGGCTTGTAACATCAAAGACGCCTGCCAACTCCCACGAAGTGGGTCGTCCTCAAGCCGAAGTTGAGCCATCAGTCATTGATCATATTGAAAAGAGTTTACACAAAACTATACCTCTCCCTACTTCTCGCGAGACTTTGCACTGCGAATTTTCCGTCAAATTCGGGAAGGCATTATGTCAAGACTCTACAAATGTCGATTCTACTGCAGTTGTTGATGTTATGTCGAAGGCGATGCGTTCGCAACCGGCGGGTGTTTCATCAGAAAAGCTCACCGAGGCGAAGCAAGGGACAGAGGGGCATGGAAAACTATCCTCCTTCGGCGAATCGTGCTTTATCGGAGACATACCCTATCTAGCTCAGCAGCTTGCAACATTAAAGCTCTGGGAGCCACCGCAAAGGCACGATACTGAGGAGATCCGCCGAGACGGCTTGCTGACCTTACGCCTCGTCCTTGTGCCCATAACCAAGCCCAAGCAATACCCTAAATTTGAGGTTGTCATTGTCGCAGGCAAATCTCGAGATGGGAAAACAAGCTTATCACTACGCAGTATTGCTGCTGTTTTCTCCGAGAAATCCTGTACAGTCCTCTGTCCGAACCTAGAAGCTGATATGGAGGTCTCTGCACGGCTTAAACGGGACGTCTGGTATCCAGGCAAGCAGGATCCAACACCTTTTGACAAGTTGCTGCGCGACCTCAAAAATTACATATCCCGAGCTCAGAACCCGAATAGGGCTGACTGGGTTTTTGGGCCGTTTGTCAATCTGGGCTTCCCCAAACACTCGCCTGACTCTCTTGTTGTGAGTCAGCAGGGCATTGATGGTAAGATGCCGAGACACCAACATGAGACGGAGGTGACTGTGAGCAAGCAAGAATCTCCCTTTGAAAAAGTTGTATACATGTTGCAGAGCGTGGATGCCGTCGACGTCGATTCGAAGTCTATCTCAGTGTATGAGCAGGGCAGCGAGGGAAAGAATGAACTATGCTTGGAACATCTCACACTCACAGGCTCAAGCACAACTAAACAAGAACTTCGCTTGGCTACGCAGTCGTATTTGTCTCCACCGTCACTTGATAACCCCGACATTCGCCTCGTCACCCGAGCTGGTCTCGCGTTGGTGGAGCGACTGGGTAATGATCCCACCAAGACAAAGTCGTCTCAATTAGGTGATGACGTTCTGCTTCCTGAAGTCCCACATAACGCTATGACTTCAGCTTCTGGAGTCATTGAGACGACGAAGGTGAAAGATAGTCAGTCTCGTTCGAAAAAAGCCTCAGGCGGTGGATCCACAACAAAGAGATCCAAAGCCCCGAAGCGAGATCGAGGGAGAAGCGCCTTCAAGGGCACCAAGAAGAGTCCAGCGAAGCCAGCGCCTGAGAACGCCAAGCAGGTGAAAGAACAGTCCGAAGACGCTGTCGACAAGTTGGTGGGAAGATCAGAGGAGCCAGAGAAAGCGACGCCTAAGTCGAAAAAGGATCGAAAGTCGACAAGGACTCTGATCAAATCTTCCAAAGCTGCAAAGTCGAAGTCGAGGGCATCAGCTGCGAGTACAAAACCTAGCGTGAAGGCCGAGACCGAGACCGATTCATGAGCTAGTTTCAAAACATCAGCGAAACTGAGGTTGTATTTTTATGGGTCGAGACTTGAAATCGGGCGTCCACGAGGCAGCTTTGAAGATCTGCTGTACTGGATTGAAGAGTGTCTTGGCCTTGTGTGTATTATATACGTATATACCTAAGATCACATTTGTACTATATGAAGATCTGCCCGGTTCACACCTTCTGGTGAGGCTGGCTGTGAGTATGTAACATGGCGTGCAAATGTATACTACTCCCCATGGACAATTCTTCACACCGCGACCTCGACTTTGAATCGCTGCTGTGCGCAACCGCAGCCTCGTCGTCGCAAGGCTGAAGCCTCATCCAAGCCACTAACCCGATGGAGTTCCATGCGGTCAGCTACAAGCCACAGCCTCCCAAGACCGACGACTTTTCTCTCGACTTCTCCTGCATCGACTCTTGTGCCACTCTGTTGCCTTTCTCGGGCACTGGAACGACCTTGGTGACCCCTATTCTCTCACGAGGCCGTTCTTGATAGGCCTCTTCTCCCGTCTCGAGTCATTCGCTCATCGAGGCTGCTTGGAGCTGACCACTCTGCAGTCGAGTGAGACCAACCGTCATTGCAATTCAAATACTACACCGGCATCGGCACCTGTATCCTGCTCTATGCACGTCGCGAATATGTGACATTCTCGGCATCTTCACGACTCGCACTCGGCGCGTCCGCGTCTAGTGACCCTGTCACAATGAATTGTACAGACCCTCGACCAGAGACATGTTGTAAGCTAAATCCACATAGACACGGACCCCGAAGCAGCAGCTCGGCCTAGACAAAGTGTCGAAGAATACGCGCTGGCAGACCTCCCTCTTCTCGCGGATGAGCTTGCTCGAAATCATGACGAACTTGACGAACTTGACGCCTTCGATGGGGAAACGGGGGACGACGTGCCAGCGGCCCGACGTTTTCAACGCCCCAGCAAGAACCGCTCCCCTAGTGAGCCTAGCCTGACGGTACGGGAAGCTATCCGAGCATACCCTGCAGCCATCTTCTGGTCATTTGCCGTCAGCATGTGTATCATCATGGAAGGCTACGACGCGATATTGATTGTCAACTTTTTCGCGTTTCCGCAATTCCAACGCAAATGTAAGTTACTACATTTTACTTGCGGCAAAGTCCGCGTCACCCCGAAGAAGATTTAACTCTTGGAACTCTAGACGGCGAGTTTGTTGGAGTTACAGAACAGACTCAGACTGGTTATCAGGTAGCGCCAGCATGGATGGCAGCCGTTGGAAATGCTTCGGGGTTTGGCGCATTCCTGGGGACGTTCCTCAACGGGTACCTGGTCTCCATCTTTGGGCAGAAGCGAGTCCTGCTGGGTGCCCTGGTCCTCCTCTCCTGCTTCATCTTCCTCACATTCTTCGCCCCGAACATCCAGACTCTCCTCGTAGGACAGCTGTTGTGCGGGTTTCCCTGGGCAATCTTTGCCACGACCGCACCGGCGTATTCGAGCGAGATTTTGCCCATGTCGCTTCGAGTATTCGGCACGTCGTGGGTCAACATGTGCTTCATTATAGGTAGGAAAGCCCGGTTGTTGTTGTTGTTGTTGTTGTTGTTGTTGTTGTTGTTGTTGTTGTTGTTGTTGTTGTTGTTGTTGTTGTTGTTGTTGTTGTTGTTGTTGTTGTTGCTGTTGTTGTTGTTGTTGTTGTTGTTGTTGTTGTTGTTGTTGTTGTTGTTGTTGTTGTTGTTGTTGTTGTTGCTGTTGTTGTTGTTGTTGTTTTTTCCTTTTCTTCCCTTTGGCCGCCGTTACACCTCATGTCATCTTTCTTGCGCACACACGTCTATCATCGATCTTCTAAACGCGAGTCCGAGCCGCGACTAACATTGTGACAGGACAACTCATCAGTGCTGGGGTATTGAGAGCATGTCTCGAACGGGATGATGAATGGGCATTCCGCATCCCCTTTTCAGTCCAATGGGTACGTCCAACCCGCCCACCTGTAGACAGACAGACAGACAGACAGACAGACAGACAGACAGACAGACATACACGCACACGCACAACAAGTAATACCCGACTGACATGTCGTGACTCGTAACAGATCTGGCCGGCATTCCTGATCCCTCTCCTCTGCTTCGCTCCCGAATCGCCATGGCACCTCGTGCGACAGAACCGTCTGGCCGAAGCCGAAGCGTCGCTGCGGCGGCTTCAGCGCGCATCCTACTCACGCGTCGACGTCACCCAGACGCTCGCCGACATCATCCACACCAACCGGCTCGAAGAGAAGCTCAGCGTCGGCACGTCGTACTGGGACTGTTTCCGCGGCTTCGAGCTCCGACGCACCGAGATCGCGTGCGTCTGCTTCGCGGGCCAGGTGCTCTCGGGCCTGTCGTTCGCGTACAACGCGTCCTACTTTTTCGAGCAGGTCGGCCTCTCGGCTTCGACCTCGTACTCGCTCAACATCGTCGGCACGGCGCTCGCCTTGCTCGGGACGCTGGTGAACTGGTTCTACTTCACGCCCCGCATGGGCCGGCGCACGCTGTACCTGCTCGGCATGTCCGTCATGGCCGGCGAGCTGTTCCTGATCGGGGCGCTGAACGCCTGGACGCACCGCGGGTTCGTCGCCGTGACGCAGGCCGGCCTCACGCTCGTCTGGACCTTCACGTACCAGGTGTCGGTGGGACAGCTGGGATGGTCGTTCCCCGCCGAGGTCGGCTCGACGCGGCTCCGGCAGAAGACGGTCTGCCTCGCCAGAAACGCCTACTACGTCGTCGCCGTCGCCTCGGGCGTGCTGCAGCCCTACTTCCTCAACCCCGAGGCCCTGAACTTGAGGGGCTACGCCGGCTTCATCTGGGGCTCGACCGCCGTCTTGACCTGGCTGTGGGCCTACTACCGTCTGCCCGAGACGAGGGACCGGACGTACGAGCAGCTGGACGTCTTGTTCGCGAAGCGTGTCTCGGCCAGGGATTTTGCGAGGACCCGTGTCGTCGTCGACGACGACGATGATGATGATGATGGTGGTGGTGGTGGTGGTGGTGTGACGATGGCCGGACAATTTCGCGGCGCAGCGGAGAGTCCGAGCGGTGGTCGGACGCCGCCGTCGGTGGAGGGTGCGTTCTCGAGTCAGAGGAACAGCAGTGGCACCGACGTTGAAAGACACTCGGCAGGGACAAGGAGACGGTCGAGTCGTGATGGTGAAGTAGTAGTGGGACCAGAAGAAGAAGAAGAAGAAGTCCAGTTGCTTGGACGAGGCGAGCAGTAGTTGGAAGTGCGGGTTGGCTTGTACGTACTCAATTACGCATTGTGCGGTATGGCATCGTATGGTATGGTAGTAGTCACCGCGGTGTACAGATATAGGGATGGGTCGTCTCACGGTAGGCAGAGCGATATACACACGTACCCATCATAGTCACTTGCGAAGATGCGAACGTAGCTATTAGGGAACTCTTTACCCTACTCCTCCTCCTCCTCCTCCTCCTCCATCTAGTAGTTGTCTACCAACAATTAAAATATATTCGATAAAGATATTGAAGTGAACTTCTAATAAAATGGTGTTCATTCGGGCTGGCGAGAGGAGGTCGCAATATTAGTCTGATGATGAAGATGATGATGGTGGTGGTGGTGGTGGTGATGATGATGATGACTATGATGATGGCAAGTAACAGGAAAAAAAGTGTCTAACTACTGTCTCGGGATAAGTCAGTCATATGCCATTATACACCAAAACCACAGTGCATCACGATTGTAGTATTGCCGTTCTTCCTCATTACCGCCACCACCACCACCACCACCACCGCCGCCACCATCATCATCACCACCCGCCACTTCTGGTTACAAACTTGCCTTCCCGCTCGTCTCGTAAGGAAAACAAAAACTCAACAGCCCGGCGACGATGTACAGACTCGCGGACACAAAGATGGGCGTGTTCGTGTAGCCGACGTAGGTTGCGATGATGGGGGCCATCAGACCGCAGATCCTGTTGAAGGCGGCGGCGATCCCGGTGCCGGTGCCCCGGTGGATGCTGGGGATGACCTCGGGGGTGTAGCAGTACAGCGCGCCCCACATGATGTACTGCACGAAACTGGAGACCGAGTTGAAGGCGAGGATCTGGGCCTGGGTCCGGGCGGCGGTGAAGGCGAACAGGAAGACCGAGGTCAGGATCAGCGACAGGCCCAGGGTGCCCCGCCGCCCGACGTACGGCAGGCCGATGAGCCACCCCGCGAGCAGGGTGCCGGGGATCGAGCAGGCGATGATGATGAAGTTGTTGCGGTACGTGACGTTGATGCTGCCGGACCCGCTCTGCGCCCCGTGGGCGGCGAGGTACTCGGGCAGAAAGTTGCTGTAGAGCGGAGACGCCAGCCCGATCATGCCCCAGACGAGCACGATCAGGCACATGCTGAGGGCGAGTTTCCCGGTCGAGAACAGCGCGCGCACGTGCTTGAACCCGCCCGGCCGGAACTGCGCGAGCGTCCTCTTGATGGCGGCCGTCTTGCTTCTGTTGTTGCTGGCCGGGGCGACGCCGTGGCTTTCTGCAAAATCCCGCTCGACCTGCTCCAGGTCTTCGACCCGCAGGGGCTGCGTCGTGCCGTTGTACCTGGCCACGTCGTTCAGGACGTCGATGGCTTCCTGGTACCGCCCTTGGCCGATCAGGTAGCGAGGGCTTTCGCGCAGCCGGAACAGGAGGAAGCGCGCGAAGAAGGCCGCAAGCGTGATCGCCCCCATCGAGTACATGAGGTACCGCCAGCCCATGTTGTCCGCCTTCTTGCACTGTCCCGCCGGAGTGTCGGCACTGCACGAGTAGCGAGGCAAGAACCCCCACGCGGCTCCGGCCGGGATCATCTGCCCGAAAGACCACCACACCGCGAGGATCTCGAGTAGATATTGGTGCGTTCCGGGTAGAAATTCCAGAAACACGGCACTGTCGACGGGCACTGTGTGAAATCGTCAGCGAGGCTCATGTCGGGTGGATAAAACCAAACTCTTGACAACCGCCTAGGTAGACTTACGGTTGCCTCCGATGCCGAAGCCACAGAGCGAGACGAGAACGGCACAGCTCACGAAATTGGGGGCGGCACCGGCGGCCGTGCCGAATACTCCTGCAATCAGCAGCGTCAAGTTGAAAGCCAGCCGTCGTCCGATGAGGTCGGCTGTATGCTTGTCAATTGGAGGCCCAGAGAGAAACGGTACCAGGTTGAGGGTCGACTTACCTCCCAACCCCCAGAACGAAGCGCCGACAACGAGGCCTGCTGTCAAGGCTAGAGACAGGAAAGCTGAATGCTTCGGAGTGAACTCGACGGCGACTTGGGCGAGTGCATCGGACACTGTTGTTTGCCAGAGCTAAGAAGACGTTGTCTCAGTTCACCCGCGACATCCTCGAGAGGTATACAGGTATTTATCATATAGTACACACCTGGTCGCAAAGCCATCCATAACCGCAGAGGACGAACAGAGCCCATTGGTACTGCACCGGTCAGTCGATCAGTCAGGCATTGATGTTAGAAAAGAGCTAGCTAGCTCGCTCGCTGGCGTACGTACCTTGCCCATTCCAATGGCTTGGACGGCATGGTTGACTAGCCGTGCCTGATTCTCAAAGACGGGGTCGAGGCCATCGACGTGAAGGGACTTGTACTCCCGAATTGAGCCCACCTCAGTCGTAGGTTCAAGTTGCGGGCTTGTTGCTCCGACCTTGGTGTCCTTGTCCGAGCCCATGGTGGAAGAGTTCTTGTAGGCCTGTTGCTGCCGGGTTCTGTTCGAGAGTAGTAGCGAGTCGTCCTCGCGAGGCCCCTACGATGGGAGTTTCATTGCTTTTGTAGCCGAACACGGCTTATCAGGAGTCGATCCATGGGTATTGCTGTCTCTCTTCTCAATTGAGAGGCCCGATAAACGACTCTTGCCGATCGCACATGTATCGTGTTATGGGCTTCGAGACTGAATGAGCAACAGCACCGAGACGTCCTTTTGACGGGCAATGTCATCCTTCCAGAGACTGTCGACGATTGGACAGCGGGAGTATATCTTGTTGATAACGGGATTTCGCCGGTGCCGTCTGGTAGTATCGCGGGCAAGACGGATTGATACGGGGCTCCAGAGAAAAGCTGTAGGCCGTTGTAGCCCGCGTAGATGCGGCTGGCAATGGAGATGAGCATTTAGCTAGAGGGCGATCACTTTCGAGGGGAATGAATAGTCAGCATTTCAGACCTCTGTGTCCCTGCATGGATGAATGCATGGAGAAGGCCGCTTGGCCGTCGAGCCCCGTGTTTGCGGTTATCATTAAACATCTCGCCGTCTGCATCTTTGCCGCCGCTACGATCGACAGGCTTCCGGTGCGCAACACCTTCGTGCGTGCGGGAGATGGCGACTCTCAGTAAGCCTGGGTCATGTAGATGATCATGCCCGGCCCGTGGACATTGTTATAAACTCAAGGTAAGCTTCTCTGTCTGCTCACGCGGGAATAGCGACAGTGCGCAGCAACACTATTGTCCATGATGGCCTCGGAAACGCTGCTTCTGCCTCTGCCACACGCACAAGAACATGGCTTCTTCACCAAGGTCGAGCCCTTTGTTGACGCTCCTCCTGCGCCTCGCTTTGACCCTTCCGTCCACCTCTGCTTCGAACCGCCCAAAGCCCTGGTGACCCTGAAAGAACTTCTGCTTTCGGAAACAGATGCCATCTCTCCCGTTGCCATCACGGAACCCTTTCCCTTGTTCACGCTTGAAGGCGTCAGGCAGATGCGGGCCGATCTGTTTCGCAAAGAGGTTGTTGAGAAACACGGGAACCGGACACTGCCGCATTGCTACAAAATGAGGGGATATTCCAAGGACACTCCCTTTGTGGACTCGGTCTGGCGGAGTGAAGCGGTGCTTCAAGCATGTTCGCAGGCTGCAGGTGTCGATTTAGAGGTCGTGTTCGACTACGAGATTGCACATCTCAACGTCCAGGTGGACGCGCTCGAGGACGACATGCCCTTGGGCGACGCTCTGCCGCCTGCGTTTCCGCCGAGCCAGTCTACTTTGCCCAAGGCAGCTCCTGTCGATCACACAGACGAGCTGGCTTCGGTCGGACTGTGGCACAAAGACTCATACCCTTGGGTCTGCGTCTGCATGCTCTCCGACCCCAGTAACATGGTGGGCGGAGAGACGGGGCTCAGGAGAGGTGACGGGTCGATCGCCAAGGTCAGAGGGCCCGGAGTCGGTTGGGCCGTCATGATGCAGGGAGGCTGTATTGAACATATTGCCCTCAAGTCTGCCGGAACGGGCGAGCGCGTCACCATGGTCACTTCATTTCGTCCTCGCGACCCAAATCTTTCCGATGTTTCCAACCTGGGCAATGTCAAGAAGAGCAGCGACTGGGACCAGCTCTTCAAGCAGTGGTCCATGTACCGCCTGGAAGTTCTTGAGAAGCGAGCACAGTTGCTGAGAGAGGAAATCGGCCGTGGATCACCTACGGGCCCTCAGATCGCTGAGATGATGAGCAAATGGAACGACGAGCAGTTTGCCTATATGAACCATACTGCGCTGGAGATGACGGGCGACGGCAATCCAGGATCTCAATATTAAAGTCGCTCTCACGCTCGTCAAATGTCCTGTATCTTAGATAGTCAAATGTGTACATAATTTTTACTCCCAGTGAGAGAGCGGCCATGTGCTTACTAAACTCCAGTGCAGAGGTGTCCTGCTTAGATTCATACGATGACAGAGGAGTATCCAATGGGTGTGTGCGTTATACGCGTCTATTCGTGTATGTAATGCCTTATCGTATCGAATAGACCGACGCTGATTGACGCTGGCTCGATCGTGGTTCGTCTTGTACGAACATTTGTCTTCTCGTGTAGATTGTACATCCAGCGGCACCAACGCGCCAGACTTGGACCAAAGCAGAAGGAGTTTCCCTCCTTATCACCAGTCGGTCCTTCGCTGATCCCCCGAGATCCCCCTCCATGGCACGCAAGTCACGGTCTTTCGAGCACCATGTTAATGACGCCTTATGGAGCAGATGACCCGAGATCAGGGCCCTCGAAGCTACAAGTCTCGACGAAATCGGCCTTGTGATCTGTGTAGAACAAGGAAGATTGCCTGTCGCATTGATTGCTCACCACCATGTACATTTTGTCAGAGCCGCGGGAGCGAATGCACCTTCATAGAGAAACCGCCAGCCAAAAAAAGGCGAGCATTGTCAACAGACCCTCTAGGGAGCAATAATGCACCATCGTCGACACTTTCAACCACCTTTACCTGGGACTGGAACGATGCCCCGCCTCTAGAGTTCGATAGCACCATCTTTGGCGACCTCGCGCTGTTCGAAGACGTGAGCGCCGAGTCTGGTGAACAAAGTGATACGTCGATTACAGGCTTCAATGGCAAAACCCAAAGCAGCAAGTCTGGAAACATCCATAGCCCAGAGCAACGGAGAACCACAGAGCGGGAACGCCGCTTATGGGAAGAAGGATTCGTGCTGCATGGCGCTCACATGCCACCAGATACTGGCCATCTCAGCCGTCACGTTGTCGCGGGTCTTTCTGCACAAGACGGGCGCATCAAGTTGCCACAGCTCACGTTGCAGGGGATAGATGGATCTGACATGTTGGGTCAGAAGCTCAAGGGGAATGTGCCTGTACTGTTATACCCTGATCAGCAATCTCCTTCCCCGTTGCCGCAGTTCAGTGATCGATCGGTGTCCTGGTCTGATATTAGTGACTTGTTGTCCGCTAAACAATGTGATCAGTTGAAGAGTCTCTACTTTCAATTCATCCACGCCGCCTTCCCGGTATTGCAGGAAAATGTACAGTTGGGGAATGGCCGAGACCACAGCATCTCGGACAAAGCCCGCCTGGCACTGGCAGCTTCGCTTTACGCAACAGCGATTCCGTTTGCCATGCACGATGATCACCTCTGTGCCACGCTCACCAATACCTCGTCCAGGAGAGAGCAGCTTTACTCGATTGCAGTTACAACCATCCTTGAACAAGCTCACCGGCCGTCCATAGAGCTCCTGCAGGCTTCTTTGCTCCTGCTGCAAAAAGGTCCTACTGCTCAGCACTACGGGCTGACTCCTGCATTTGCCTGGTTGACATCCTTTGCGGTAACAATGGCGAAAAGTATTGGTCTACAATACGACTGTAGCGCGTGCAACATACCTGGGGTCGAGAAGCAAACTCGTACGCGATTATGGTGGGCGACATTTGTCATGGACACATGGGTCAGCCTGGATTCACCGGGAGGACGATCGATCAGTCCAGATGACTATGACGTTCCACCACTGCAACTGAGCAACGGTGCAACGACAAGTGCACCTCATCTGGTCGGGCAGGAGCTCAACCACTTCTGCCAGTTGGTCACCATGAGCCGGCTGTTGTCGCAGATTCAAACAACATACTACACCGTGCGTGCTGCGAAAGACACGAGGGGAAATCTGTTTAGGTCTTTGGACCTGGCCCGGCCGATACGTGCTGAACTGGTCGAGTGTCGCCAGCAGCTGAATACGGGGTTGTCTTTCAAAAGTGGTAATGAGACTGGGGTTCATGCGTCAATTCATATCGCCAGCTGCACGGTCTCGATCACGCTTTTTCGAGCCCTGATTCGACCCATTCAGCACGGAGATATTAACACTTCGTCGTCATTGACGGATAGCCAGAGGTCTGCTGTGAGTGCTGTGCTGGCTGGTTCTGTCAACTCTGCGCGAGAAGCGGTTCGTATCCTGGAAGAGATGGTAGCGGTGGTTGGGCCGTGGAATTCTTTCTGGCATTCCTGGTCCCAGGGCAACTTTGCAATTGTCAGCACATTCTTCGTACAGCTTCTTTCGGTGAGCAAGTCGCAAGACATGCAGCAGGACATGACGTCTGAAGTTCTCGAGCTCGTGTCGCGTTGGAAACGCGCCATACGGGTCGGAGCTGGCAATGGAGGCTGGGGACATTCATTGATGAGTCTGGCATTGACTCGACTTGATGCGCTGCTGAACCATGTTCCGCCATAGGACGGTCCCTACAGTGCTTTTTGGATCCTGTTCCGCCATGGACACATAGATCTGAACCGCAAATCTAGAGTCGTCGAAACTTGCTCACGCCGAGACTGCCAAGGACATTCCACTGTTGCCAAGACCGCGTCGCTCGCCGGCCAAGACATCTTGACTCCAGCGTTGAGCACGTTTTTCGAAGGGCACCTTGTACAGTATGTACCTCGTAGTGGCTGTTGTATCTTCGATCAAAGGACACCAGGACATACTGGACATACTGGACATACTGGATGGCGACGAGCTTATCCAGCGTGTATCTGCTGCCAAAGAGTCTCCTCTTCTCTGCGTCTCGTGCAAATTCGCAAATTCCCGCACCCCACGATTGCATCCCTCGTTCGATTTGGGTACTCGACATGGTGGACCTGCCAAGGGGCATCGCGCATATAGGTATGTACCTGTCTGTGGTACCACCTGAGGCTCAGACTTGGCACAAATCTTCTGTCTGGTGGCTTGTGTGCGGTGTCTCTGCGATATCGCGCGAGGCGCCATGTCAACAAGTGGGAGCTTGAAAGGCGGTTCGGTTCGTATAAAACTTTACTTATTGCAATCAGGGGTTTTGCCTTGCTTTGCCTTACGGTGTGTTGACTTCCGCCGGATATATCTGTGTCTCTGTCTCTGTCTGTCCCTTTTTGTCCGTCGTCTCATCTCATCTCGTCGATTTCATTCTCCCATCCCATCCCATTCCTCACCATCTGCTACTAGACTCATCCACATCGGACAGTGTGCTCAACCACTCTTCTCTCCTCTTCTCTTCTCTCCAGCTCAGACTCCCTCCCTCCCCGTACCGGTCTCGACACTCTCACACAAAGTCTCTTGCAAAATGTTGTCCCTCTACCAATCACTCCTCCTGCTATCATGTCTGCCGGCTCTCACCCTGGCGCATTTCGAACTCAACTTCCCTCCGTCGCGTGGGACCGACGACGAGAACCAGGCCACGTTCCCCTGTGGAGGATACTCGCAGACGCAGAACCGCACGCGCGTCTCGTTGACCGAGGTCCCCGTGTCCGTGAAGCTGGGACACACCGAGAACCTGTTCCAGGTCACGCTGGCCATCGGCGACGACGTCGGCAGCTCGTTCAACTACGACCTCCTCCCGACCATCCAGGAATTCGGACCCGGGGATTTCTGCCTGTCGAGCATCCCCGTCCCCGCCGACTTGAACATCACCGACGGCACCAACGCGACCATCCAGGTCATCACGAACAGTCATGACGGGAGTGGTCTTTACAATGTAAGTTTCCTCGACACGGGGGGTCGAAATTCGTTTTCGTGATTTGAGCGGAGAAGTGATTTATTTTATTTTATTTGTTTTTTTCCTTTTTTGAAGAGGGGAGGGGGGGTGTCGAGAGTTTGCTTTTTGGCTAACGATTGGACCATAAATAGTGCGCCGATATAACTTTCACCGCGACAGATCCCGAGACTCCGTCGTCGTGCACGAACGGAACCGGAATCAGCGCCACCCCGCTCTCGGCGAACGCCTACACCAACGCCAACGAGTCCAGTGGCCACGAAGACGGACATGGACACGGGTCGAGCGCGTCCGGGACGGCCAGCGGCAGCAGCAGCAGCAGCAGCAGCTCAGCAAGCGCCACCGCCGCTCCGTCCGGGTCAAGTGACAACAACGGCGCTTCCATGATGACTGTCGGATGGGGTGTTTTGGGAGCCGCGGTCCTGGCCGGTGTAGCCGTTCTGTGATGTGTATGAATGCATAATGGCCAAACCTAGGTGGGAATGACCGTGTGAAAACCACCGAGGAACTGGAGTGGTTTGAGAAATGACGAATGAGATGGCCCAAAAATGACCAAAAAAAAAAAGACAACGCGACCATGGTATTATTGCCATTGATCACTATTGCTACCGCTAGGGTTTATGACGGCTTGTGACGAAACCAGATGAGGATACTGCGAGTACCTGGACGGAAACGTCTACGATGTCGATGTCCGGACGGGCTAGATAGAGATACAGGTAGAGAGACTGCAAGCATGCGGGCCTTTCATGACGCCGTTGATTACCTACGTATGAATGTATCTCCGCTGGATGAGGGTGATTGATCGCCCTATAAGAACAATTTGATCCCTGTCTGACGATGGTCGATTGCTGAATCGTCTTCTCTCACGAGGGTGTTCCCAAATCAAAAGATCCACAGCACAAAAGAACTACAATTGTCAACATTCCAATCACCACCCAGTGTTGGAAGTGGTAGATGCTCGTGAGCATCTGAGTCCAGGTGTAGAACACCACAAAGGCATCCCAATTTTCGCAGTACGGCATACTATCGTTATCGTCGTCGTCGTCGTCGTCATCTTCGTCTTCATCACGTTCATGTACATCTTGGTCAGTTCGGATCTTGGTTGTCTTGTCGCTTATCGCTGCGTCGGATATGGGTCTCAGGTTTGATTCCCCCACGCTCTGTTTATTGATACCACCAACGACGCCACCGCCGCCGCCGCCGCCGCCGCCGCCAGACCCGGAGGATGCGTGTGCAGATGCAGATGCAGTATCGTCAATGGCGAAAGTGGTCGTGTGTGATACTAGTCCATCCCGTCCAGGTCCACATTCAAGCACGCCGTTCGGCTTACCCTGCGCCATGGCCGTCGCGGGGGGTGTAATGCTGGTAGTACTACTACATGTGGTGTTGTAGTCGAGGCCGAGGTCGAGGTTGAAGCAACATGTTCAACTGCGGCCGTTTCCTTGCGATCGACCATCGTCACCGGACGGCCTGAAGCCTTGCATGCCGCGCATGTATTGGTATATACCCACGTCCAGTCGTCCGAATGTTTGATTATCTGCTCCCCGCATTCCCCCGTCAGGACCATGCTGTAGCAGAATGACTGGAACGTTTTGTCGTTGCGCATGTGCCGGCGGCAGTGGGCGCAGTGGCGCGCGAGGGGACCCTTGAAACACATTTTTTTTTGTTTTTTTCTGTAAAAAAATTGCGCTGATGTTGTTGCTCTTGGGCACGGTATTGCACCATGCCAGGTCAACACGAAGCAAGATACGTGGAATTGGTTGTTTCGTAAGGTTTCTCGAGAAGCGACACCGGTCCCCCCTTATATTTGAATGTTTAAGTTAGTGTGTTCACGGAGCGCCGTCCCGCCTACCTGACAACGTGAGGCTGAAGTATGCTGCCTGCGACATATGCGTCCCTCTGACACCTCTTCAATGAGTACATGGTGACGCAGGGGTGAGTGAGTCAGGGAAACAACCAAACAGAAGAATTCGTCGTTTGACGTGTCAAACTGCCTTTTCTTGCTTTATTTCTCATCACCAGTAGCCAGACGGTCGGTGTAACCTCGTACTCTCATCCCAGAGGCATCCACTTCTCCATATGAATAGGTAGGCATGATATGTGATCTGTTTGAAGTGTCCAAACGACAGTGAAGGGTCAGTGAAGGATGGATGAAAGATGAGGTAATTGAGAGAATCTGAGGACGAGACAACGAGAAGCGAGCCGGGCAAAGGAGTCAGCCTCGTCAGTCGAGCCTCGTCCCTTTAGCCTTGCGGTACCTGAACCAAAAGCCACGCGGCTGTGGCGTTTTACATGGGACATCCAGGAACGGAGGTGCAGATCACTTTACGTGAAGCAAACATTCTTTGATCTGAAATCGTTTTTTCCATTATCATTAATACATCTCATCACATTCGTATCTCATATCAAAGGAATTCGAGGCCTTTTCTTTTCAACATGATGGCTGTTCAGGACATACCAACTTTGTACTTTGACGTACTCCGTGCCTTTGGCGATGATAATAAACACGAAACGACCTTTCAACATAACATGTGCTTTTTCGTCCTCCATATCCGTCAGGCGACCGTGGCTGGATACATACGTACTAACATAGGCCGAGGCCGAGGCCAAGGATCTGACCTGACTAGCACCCATAAAAGACAGAGGCCAGGCAGAGTCCCTTTCAGGCGTCCAACCCAGCCCCTTCATTTACTCGGAGCTTGACTCTGACACCAGTTAAAATATGCGAGGAGCTTGGGAAAGCTTGTTGTGGTCGAAGACGCGCCGCCGTTAGTTGCGGCACAAGCCTGGCAACTTCTGACACCTTTCATGAAGGGTGTTTGGTCAAGGCAAAGCTGATCATACACCTTACCAGTAAGCTGCGCGACGAGCTGGGTATTGTCAAAGACCTCGTAGCAGGCGGCTGGCGCAATCCCCAGAGACTGCCGGCTGACGATTTCAGCCAGGATGTTCTTGCTGCCTCGCCGGGGGAATCTGGGTGTCCGGGTCGCTGTTGGCGTGGTCCAGTCGGCCCAGCCACTGGTCGTTGATGAGGGCGGCGGGGCGGCGGCCGCAGGGCAGACTGGTTGGCCGTACACATCGAAGATGGCGAATGAAAGATCAAACAGCCTCGGGTCCAGGTGGAAGTACCCCAGGGTTGGTTCGTACCATGCACAGTCGGCCTCGGTTGGGTTCGGCCATGTCGTGTTCCAGTCTGTAGGGATGTCAAAATCAGGGAGTGGCTTGCATTCTTTGGGACTGCAGACGTAGTCATCCGCAGGTGGGTTCTGTTCCCAGTTGCAGTCAATCTGAGGTGGCGTGCAGATGGTCCCAGGAGGACAACCCCAAAGGTAGTTGCTCGGTAGAGGAGCCTTGGGAGTGTATGTTGGGTTGACGGTCCTAGAGGTGCAAGTCACCAGGCCAGTCAGGGGTGGAGGTGGGCAAGTTGATGAAACGACCGTGGTGGTAGTAACGTCTGTCACGGTGCTCACATCAACACTCGTGATGGTCTTTTCACTGACAATAGTCGTTGGACTAACGATTGTGGTAGAAGCCACGATGGTTGTTGGAACTGTCACTGGCACGCTGATGTAGCTGGTCTCGACACTGGTTTCGACAACGGTCGTTGGAACTGTCACTGGGACGCTAACATAGCTCGTCTCGATACTGGTGTCGACAATGGTTGTTGGGACTGTTACTGGGACGCTGATGTAGCTGGTCTCAAAGCTGGTGTCGACAATGGTCGTTATCTGGATCTCCACAGAGGTAGTAGTGACAGTGGTATAGTCGGTCTCCGTCGAGTACACTGTCGAGTAGATCGTCGTCGGGACGGTAACATAGCTGGTTGACCAGTCTACCCATCCAGCAGCACAGGGGGTAGTGGTCTCCCCGCCGCCGCCGCCGCCGCCGCCAGCTTGAACCAGAGTGACAATGAAGGGGCCTAGAGCGGCAATCAGCCTCATGGCGCCGATCTTGTAGATCATGAGTGTCTGTGTACACAACAACGAACGCCTCGGGTCAAAAAATAATCAGGCTCAGGGGGATGAGGCGAGGAGAAAGCCAGACAAGACTGCCTCGTCCTGATATATGGCCCGTGAAGCTTTGCATGCCACGGCCATGCGTGCACATTCTATTTGTCGTCATCAACCTCCGAACAGAACCCGCACTTCCCATGGAGCCGACGCTCCCACTGCGCCGTTGGCTTGCAGGAGTTAGTCATACCCTCATCAACCGTACTAGGCGTGTCAATGACTGCCTGGTCTTTCCCTCGAAAGGCCCCGAATTAGCGTGCTCGCTTGCCGAGAGCAGTGGTGAGAGGGATGATGCCAGGCCATTAGACGGACGAGGAGAAGGCAAACGCTCCGAATGGCATTGATAGCCTTTGGTACCTTGAGGCGATTGACAGGGGGCCGATCTCGAAATGGCTCACCCAGCCTCACAGACTACGGACAGTATCATCGTGTCATGTCGCACCGGGCAGGATCATGCTGTATGAGTCGGGAACAGGGACCTCGACCCGCCCGTGCTGACAACTTGACAAGGGCACATTGCGGAGGCATAATCGAAAAGGGCCGTGTTGTGGCTAAACTGCCGCTTCAAGGTTGGGGACACCGCTTGGAATATCCAAGAATAACAGTATGAAGGCGGTATAGGTAGTCATACGAGAGGAGCCGCTGGATGCGTAGAACTCCAGCGCGGCATCACACACTAGCGATGGCGGACCCACCAGGCCACCGCACGACGGGACACACTTTCCCCGGCGGCCCTGGACATTTCGCGCCTCAAAGACGTGCAGCTTGGAGACCATGCGCCGGTCAAGTGATGGAAGATGAGGCTCAATTACCAGAAGAGGCCTGGTAGGGAGGTGATTGATGGTGGTGTTCGAGGACGATGTTGCAACCCTGCTACCGAGTACATGTTCTAGCACTTCTTGGCTGCTGGTGGCTGCACGAAGGCTATACAGGATTGTCGAAGCAGTCTGCACACTCCACTGGCTGATCGCCCCAAGGTCGAGAGAATGTGTGTCTTTTCTGGGGCCACGTCCGAGGCTCTAACTCATTCTTCCCCATTAATGCTCCCTCTCATCCTGCAACCGCAGCAACCCCTCCTGGTCCATCGGGTCAAAAGTACGCCTTCACGACTTCACACCTGGGGGCTGTGATCCTGTGGAGCTGTAGAGCATGACTGACCAGGGGACCAGCCAGTCAACACAGCTCATGGACAGGGTGTCGAGTCGCGAACAATGGCAGTGCGGTCAACACCGTGGTCGCACATGACGACTCTTCACATGTTACTTCTACCAGAATCCCAAGCATCCAACAATCCATCGCCGTGGACATGTCGAGTTATACAGTGTCAGCCTGGTTCCGTGTCTCAAATGCCGGCGCCAACGAGGGCCGCACACTTGGTCTCGTTGTTGGGGCACCTCAGGCCACCAGGTCTTAGCTTGCCGGCAGGTGAGCTACTGTAACCGAATGCCAGCGGCCCGAATCAGAAAGATTTGCCTCCCTTGCTCCCTAGGCTCTCCTCCTCCATCTTGCAGAGGCTGGAACAGCGCATCCTCCGCAGTAATCGGGCACATCTTCCCCGGCCGCCCAGAATAGAGAAGGCGGATCGCTTGCGTCGACATCAGGCTGAAAACCTCGAGCGGCAACCCTAAAACCCCACGGTCACCAAGTTCGGTACTTCGACTGGTAGCTTGGGAAGAACAGAATCCCCGGTGTATCAGGACATGTTCCACAAGAAGTCGACGCACCCAGGACGACTTCGACGGTGGTAGGAAGGGAATCTTGGGATAGGGCTAGTGTGGCTGAGGTTGGCCTCTTCGCGCTTCCTGCGTAGCCCTACCCACTTCCTTCTATGTATAGTGTCACCGAAGTCATGCAGGATCTTCATGAGCTCCGTGAAGCTTGACAAATGCCAGGAACGTGTTTATGTCTTGGTAGGGTATGGTTTGCCAGTGCGCCTCACATCAATCGGGACCTGGTAACAAGCTTGTCTGGATCACAGTCTTCTGTGCTGCAATCGGGCGATTACTACCAATGCTGACCGACGGAGCTCCGCCCAGTGAGTCTAGCCAGTTCACAAGTTGTTGCACAACATGTCTAGCCTCCTCGGCACCAGCGACTGCTCACGAAGACCTGGAGATGAGCACACCGGCTTCTCAACCTTGTGCCTCTTACCACTGCCCAATCTCCCGTGCATGCATATGGTCTTAGCCTCTTTCCGCTTCACGGCTGCAACAGCCCGCAAAGAGTAAATGCAATATGGACCGATGCTCCATCCCGTGAAATTCTTACTGCATATGGTCCCAGAGACGATGCTCACACTAGCGTCAAAACTGCGGACGACACACCTAGGAAACGGGGCCAAAACACTGCTTCTTCTGATAACATCGTCACAGCCTAGGTCCCTCTAGTCGGTGGTATGCCGGCAGGGTTCTGGTTCTCATTCGGCGTGGTAGGCCATAGGCCCGTGTCAATTCATCAATGTTGCCTCTTCCGACGGTGTGGGTAGACAAAGGCTGCAAACCACATGCACCCGTTGTATCCTAAAGTCGACTGCTTCAAAAGCCTCCACCCACTGCATCAGTCTCAGCTCCCAGGCATACAGCAGCCATGTTGCTCGTACTGCGATATGCCTCATGGCTATTGTCGCTGGCCGTTCTCGCCAGTTGCGACTATACCTCCAAACAGATTGCAAGTTGGCAAAGACCTCGTGCCTCCTTGATACGCGACTATGTATACCTGGAAGGGGGAAAGATTCAGACGGGGTCTTGGGATAACCAACTTCAAATGTGGAATACCGATGATGTCGTTACCACTACACAAGGAGCGTTGTTCAATCTCAGTCTACACAAGCCTTTTGGTGCCAACGAGGGAGATGACCCTGCGGTCTTCCAGAGCATCCCGGAGGTTGCGGTGAACAACTTCTATGTCGATGGATTCATGTTTGCCAGCTATGACGAATTCTATGCTTGGGGGTAGTTGCTGTCAAATCCCCTTTGACGATTAGGGCTAACCGACCCGATCTAGTGGCATGATGTTGACCTCTCTAAACACGAGGGATCGGACGGTACACGACGTGCTATACAATGAGCCTGACGGGAAGAGTGATGCTGATCTCGGAGTACCTGACACGGGGTATGATCCTCAAAACTCAAACTTTCCACACGGCGTCACGAACGGTGCCGGGGCCAACGCACCAAGCGAGAAGCTCGGGTTTTACTTCGGCGGCTTGTACAACCAGAATGGCTCGAAGTACGACTATTTTGACCAGCCTGAAGATGAGGCCAACTTCCTTATCAAAGTGACAATGGATACTATTGGCGATTCCGACTGGGGCATATTCACTCCACCAGACGATGCAAAGATTCCGTGGCGTGCGGAAGGCGGCCTTGTCTGGATCCCGACCTCATCTCAAGGCATCCTGGTTGCTTTGGGAGGTGTTGTCAAGCCTGCTGATGCAAACAACTACTACCACGTAGACAATGTCACCACTTCGATGACCTTTGTGAAGGAATTCCCCGTCTACGATATCGGATCAAATATCTGGAGTCTCCAGCCATTGAGTGATGGTTCGCCATTCCCCGACAAGCCGATTGCGCAGTTTTGTACTGTCGTTGCCTCTGCAGCCGACTATTCACACCATGAGATCTTCGTCTACGGGGGTTGGGATAGCAACAATGACACCACTCCTAGCAGCGATGTCTGGATCTTGTCGATACCGTCATTCACGTGGATCAAGGCGGCCAGCTCAGGACGCGAAGGGGACCCGAGGATAGGTCATGTCTGTGTGACTCCCTACCCCGACGAGATGATTGTCATCGGAGGCACTGGATTTTCAGAGTCACCTCTGACGACATCTCGAACCGTGGATGTATACAATCTCAGTACGCTGGAATGGACAGGTTCGTACGACCCAGACGTCCATGACGACTACAAGCCAAATCAAGTCGTTCTCAATGCCATCTCTGCAACACCAACAGCCAGTGGTATGGCATCCGACGTCGCCAACTGGTTCGACACCAAATACGACACGAGCAAAATCACCAACTTTGGCCCTTACCAGAAACCAGCTGCAACGACAGCCTCCAATGGAACGTCGACTCCAACTCCGGCTCCGCACTCACACCATCGAGACTGGGTTGTCCCGGTCGCCGTTGTAGTCTCCGTTGTGGGTGCTCTAACTCTGTCCGGTTTCTTGTTGTTCATGTGCTTCCGGAAACGCATCATCGAGCGCCGCCGCCGGATCCTACGAGAGCGAGAAGACTCCATCGCAGCAGGTAACCGTAAGAGCTATATCCTGCCGTGGATCTTCTCGACCAGCTCTGCCGCCGCACCCAAAGACGTCGGATCCGACACCATCACCGAAGTCGAGCCTGCAGGATCGCCCCAAGTCTTGGCTAGAGGCCCACATGAGATGGACAGCAGTGGCGGCAACAGAAACGACTACTTTGGAGGCAGCCAACCTCGGTGGTCGTCCTCGACAGCCGTCAGGTCCCCGCGAGCAGACTGGGAAGGTCCCGCTGAGGCCCAAGACACCGGGATTGCGGCGATCCACGAAGTTTCTGGATCTCCAATGTCCGAAAAACCAGATGGAATCAACTACCATTTCCGCAATATGTCGATGTACCCTCCCAGTGTGGTGAGCGGGGGCCACCACAACATCCCGGCGGCCCAGAGCGCAACCATCTCGTACGCAGATGAGTCCGAGTCCGTGTCCGCAGCGACGGCGTCGGTGTCCCCTCGTAGCGCATCCGCAACAAACATCAGTTCTCCAAGGGGGGTACCTACTATTCCTGAAGACGGCGGCACCACACTCGACAATAGCGGCAACGGGACAGCGTCAGGGCCCGGCGGTGCGGCTGTTCTCGGGCCCTTGGACCCTGTCTCTCCGTTGACAAACAAACAGCAGAGACGGCCGCTGCATAATCGACACAACTCCAGCGTGAGCAGTGGCGTATCGATTCCATCACTTGGTGTGGATCAATCGTCTCCATTGCCATCAAGGCCGAGGAGTCTGTCGACTGAGGAGGACAAAGGGGAAGGTGAAGTGAAAGGTAATCAGACTCTGTAGTTATTGAGGACATGTCAACTTTTCTCCCGGCGGAAGAGAATATATGTATGAGTTATCACGATTGATGATAATAACGCAAGATAATTTTCGCGACACTCCTTCACAAAAGGATTTTTCGACTTACCATCTGCTTCTGACGGTGGCACGGGATGATACATGTGTTGAACGTGTTCTTTGACCGGAGGATGTAGTGGAAACGAAATTGCACCTTACAGGGCATTGGATTTAATGGATGATGTAGCGTGAACACTGAACAATACAAGATTTTGTTTGCCAGGTGGAAAAGGGCTCCCCGAGGGGAGTACTCAGGCACATACTGTAGGTGAGAAACGTAGTATGTATGTGCGTTCTACTCGGTGCTCAGTAACATTATCGGTCTCTTCAGCCTCAGGGAGGTAGGAGGTAGGCAAGGTACCTGAGGTAAGGTAGATACAAGTAATACGGAGGTAGGTAGGTAGGTAGGTCGGGGGAAGATATGTACAATCGATCTAATTATCTTTTCGTATCTACAAGCAACTCATGAGTACCAACCTAGTCAAAAGGAGCGGTTTTATTTTCTTCACCACCACCGTCGTCAACCTCAGCCAGCCACCTACCCTGAATTAATGGACATTATGATGTATCGATTTCTCATTCCACCTGTCTCCGTGAAGTGGGTGTATACTCGACATGTCTCTCACAACCGGCAAGAAACTTCTGTTCACATTCTGCGTCTGGCCTTTGGCCCTACCAGTAGTATTTTTCTGATCATCTTCTCTCCACGGACAACGAGAGATGGCAATCAGAAGTTCTTGCCTGTAAAGGCACTCTGGACGGACCCGAACCTGTATGCCAACCGAACGTCAGTTTGTTTTTTTTTTGCCTCAGCTCACACTGTTGTACGTCTGATACTGAGCGGAAGATCATCAAGGAACTTACCCCTGAGGACACTGTTTACCCAGCGAGACACTCCCGCTCCTCATGTAGCAAATCTTGGCCTCGGCGCAGGCGTTGTTGGTACAGTTGGGCGTCTTGACGCTCATCTTGCCGTCAAACGTGTTGAATATGCTGACCAAAGTGTGGTTCTGGGCCATGGCCTCGGTGACCTTGTGCCAGTACGTGGCGTTCAGAGGTGCCGTCTCGGGCCAGTCGATCGCGTACGTATCGCGGGTCGAGTACTCAAACTTCCACACCGGACCTGTCTCGCTGGCGTTGATGGCCGCAAAGGCGCTGACGTTGGCATAGTAGGTGTAGGCATCGTAGATGGAGAAGTCGCCCGTGTCGACCTCGTACATGCGGTATCCGCTGTTCAGGTTGGTCAAAGGGGTGACGCTGGGTCCGATCCAGCCGACGTTCAAGGCGTGAGCGCTGTCCTGGACAGTTCCATTGTTGGCATAGTAGATCATGAATTGGTCTTCGTGCGTGTGTCCGAAGAAAATTCCTGCAATCACATGGGGCGAGAAGCGGTCGACGATCTGGTAGAAGAGGTCTAAGGAGGGAGGGTTGTTAGTCGTCAGACAGAGGTGATTGTGCCTCTGCGTCACACGTCTGAGGATGGTGACATACCTGTAGGATTTGGCATAGGGTTCGACCCATCCCAGCCCGTCAACACGTGTCCGACTATCCAGACTCGCTCGTTCTTGTTCTCGGCATCTTGGAGTTCATCGGCAAGGAATTTCAGATTGCCGCTATTGTCCGGGTTGGTCGTGTTGCTGCCCAGGTGTGAGTAGTGATTCTGTCTCGTCTCCAACGGCGGGATGATACGTACATAAAGTTCAAGAAGTTGGCCTTGTACCAGAAATCGGTATTGAGGGTAATGATCCTCAACTTGGGATATGTGGGGTGGTTGATGCTGTAAGCTGCGTAATGCATACGAGCTTCGTTAGCAGCTTCTGCCGTGATCCAGTTGTTCTGTTGCCAAAGCGCGGCGACATGGTCGTAGTTCCAAGATCTAATTCGTCAGCCTTGAGAATGTCACGACGGTTCTTAGAACTTACTGTTGTTGTCCTAAATTGCCAGGCAATGAGTGAGGAGCATCAATGGCCTCTGCAATTACCGCCAGTCAGTGACATATTCACAATCATGAGTCAAGTCCTTACCAGGGTTGCTATCATGATTTCCCAAAGCTGCAAAGATAGGTCCACTGGGGATATATGCCTTGAGCATATGACAAATCGACCATTCAGCATACATGGTGTAGTTTCTGGAAAGTTCATTCTGGCTTTCGTGCGATACTAGATCGCCAGTGTAGATACCCCACGCGAACTGGTCGTGGTCGGACTTATTATTGTGAGTAGTTCCCGTCAAAGGTGCGATGGACTCCAGAGCCGAAGTAAGCAGGAAGTAGGGGCTGTCACACTTGAAAGCTCCGTAGAGGGGTGCCGGAAGTGAAACTTTTCCAGAAGTGCTGCCTGCATTTGCCCGGCAACAAAGCCCGCTTGAACAGTTGGCCTCTGAACCAACAGAGTATCGAGGATCAATATGCATGTCGCTCATGTGCAAAACCTTGACCCGTTTCCCGCTCGGGTTTGGAACCGTGACATTCGCTGGCTTTGGACCAAAGAATTTGGTTGTGTTGGAAGGGAGAGTCGATGGCATCTTGCAAAATGCACTGCTAATGGAGTTGCAGATGTATTTCCCATCAGAGCCAGACACATCGGCAAGAGCAAGAATCTGAGTCCAGACTGCACCGAAAGTCGTGGCTTCATAACTCTCCTTGCAGCTGGTGTTGGAGTGGAAACCGGTGCTGATACAAAGCTCGACCAACAAATCCGGGACCATGGAAGGCACGCGCTGGGCTACGTACTGGCCAACCTCCAGAGCTGATACACATTTGGAGCAATTAGACCCGCTGCCAGAGATGATGGAATGTACCTGACTGATGGCATCAGCGACAATGGCTGACCCGTTGTTGACAGAGTACAGAGGCGCCGGATAATATATAGGATCCTCGTCCTCTTCAGGAATTGTGTTTGGGTTGGTCAGCTCAAGCGGATAGGTATAATTCAATGCCGCATCGTAAATGATTGGTTGAGGCTGCGGTCACGTCAGTCTGTTGGTGTTTTTGACATTGTTCAGGTCCTACCTCTTCGGTTGGCGACGGGGGGACGTAGTAAGCCGAGAAGAGACTGGTTGGGAAGCCAGCAGGGACGGTATAAGCAACCACTTGAGAGCAGGGCGACTGAGCGAGGGCAAGCCGACAGGCACAGCTGCTCAATGCTGAGAGCAATAATGACCGGCGACAAAACATCCTGGCGAAGGTGGACCACAGCAAGATCAAGACCTACACAGGGCACGGACGACGCTGATGAAATGGCACGAAGCATGCAGGCCACTTGCCTTGATTTATACAGAGGAGAAGCAACATGACTGAGATCTCTGAGGTTGTGGGTCCGCAGATGCACTGAAGAAAAGACGATGATGATCGGAAGCCAATGACATACACGGCCTGCCAAGGCTGTCGAATAAGGGGCACCAGCCAACCACGTGCCTGGCGCGGGTTATAGTAGTGTCGACGCCTATTGCGGTCTAAGTCGAAGGAAGTCAAGAACCATATGCACATCAAGCATGGCAAAGCTCCGCACAGGCAGAGCTTGTGCTCGACTTCATAGAGCTTACTGGCACATTTCGAGAGCCATGTGGCCGGCGCCGAGGTCCGTGGTGTGAGTTTCCCTTCTTGGAGTCATGCAGGACTGGACGCGGAGCTTCTGACATCAGGGTTCTCACAGCCCTAGTTTTTCGATTGTCTTCGAGACGATTTCCTCGTATTGCTGCATACCCCTCTCGAGTTTTCGCAGTCCAGCCTTGCGCACGTGGTAGACGACACCAGGCGTCCGAGATTCGGAATCGTCGCCATCATCGCTACCCGAATCGTCCTCATCCGCACCTCTGTCGAGCTTTTCAGCATCGACTACACAGCGCATAAAATGTCTGTCGTGAGTGATAACGAGAAGTGCTCCTTCCCAAGAGCCCAAAGCCTCGATCAACGCATCAACAGTATCCGCATCGAGATGGGTCGTCACTTCGTCCAGGACGACCAAGTGTGGGGAGTCGAGGAATGCCACTGCCAAAGCAAGACGCACGCGTTGACCGCCTGATAATGTGGCCAAGGAAACGTCTGAGACTGCGCTGCCCCGAAGACCCAGCTTAGCAAGGGTCGCCCTAGCGGTTTGTTCGTCTCCGGTCCAGCCTTCAAGGCTCATGAGATGGGATAGAGCTGTTCGGCCTGGGTCGTGGCGTCCAAGCGCTTCAAGCTCTTCAACGGCATGCTGAGAGTAACAAGCAAAACGTGCTTTGGAATGAACGGTGATATTGCCTTTGGTGGGTCTCGGGCTATCATTTGTCGCAGCTGCCATCAGAAGGTTCACCAATGTGGACTTTCCACTGCCATTGAGGCCAGCTAGTCCGACCCGCTCTCCTGGGTGCATGACCAGGTCAATGTCCTTGAGGGTCCAAATGCCAGATTTAGGATAAGTATAAGATACCTTCTCAAAGCTAAAGAGCGGTCCCGGATGCCGAAGAGGAGTAGGCTGGTCAGGTAAGGTAATAGTGACAGCAGGGTCAAAGCCTGGAATTTCAATATCCGCCCTAGCCTTGAGATAGTATCCTCCGAGATCTTTGTTGAGTTTGAAGCGTCCGCCGTGTTGACCGACCTCGAGCCCGGATCTTTCATCAATCTTCTTTCTACGTGACGCTGCCTGCTTCAGTTTCTTGTCGTCACCTGTACGTTTTGCAGCTTTGATATTTTTCGTGATTGTGTCTTCCATATGCTTGGTCTTTTTTTCCTGAGCTTCGGACATCTTTGTCATTCTTCGAATCTGGCGTCGTTTCTCATTTTCGTATTCAGTCAGGCTTCCCTTGAAGGTCTCTAAAGACTTTTCTGGCGTCAACCGGACCAACACCAATTCCTGCGCAACAGCATCGGCGAAATCTCGATCGTGAGTGGTGACAACAACAGTGGTATCCACCAGTGAGTTCTTGATAAAGCGCTCTAACCAGACAATAGCGGGCAGATCCAGGAAGTTGGTCGGCTCATCGAGCATCAAGACATCGGTCCGTTGAATCAAGGCACATGCGAGGTCACAACGTGTCCTCCATCCACCGGATAGCGAATACACTGGTTGTCTTATCTGGGATTCAGAAAACCCAAGACCAAGAAGAACTTTTCGAGCCTTGCTCTCAGTGCTTCCGGCATCCATGGCTTCTAGGGCTAGACGAGTCGATTCGAGCATCTCAATGCCAACCTTTGTGGCCTCATGCTCGTCATCTGGCCCGACAGGGTTATCATAGCTTGATTCCATTAGACAGTTTCCCTTACAACCAGGTGACTTACCGAGCTTGGCTCTCCTTCAGAGCCTTTTCCCTTTCAATCTGAACTTGTCTTGCTCTGGACCCTCTTGCACCACTTCTTCTTTGCGCTATTAACGTAGCCTCGGCCAGATCCTGCTTTGCTTGCTCTAACTGAAGAGATTGTACAGTCTTGACAAGATTGTTGATATCCGTCTTTTCCTCCAAAGCGGCTGATAGATCTTCAAGGATGTGAGCTCTTCTCCGTTTGTAGAGCAGACTTACTTACGATTCACAACTCTAAGCGCAATCTCCCTTCTTATATCACTGCTCGTCACATAGCCGAGGACATCAACGGATAGATTTTCTACTTGTGTAGATTCGGTCAGAACATCCGAACTGACACGGGTTTGCCCAAGGAGTAGCAGTCGCAGATTGCTTGGCACTCCAGGTACTCGTCGCTCAGCCAGTGCTCGCAGAAGTGAGCTCTTCCCTGTTCCGTTTCGGCCTGCGAGCACATAATGGACACCTTGAAGGAATCGAAGCTCAACATGATCGAGCAAATCCCGGCCACCGATGGACAGAGTAAGGTCTTTTACATCAATGTCTTTTGACGTCGGAGCGTCTACCGCGTCCAAAGCATAGCGACTTTGTTGGCTTGTAACCACAAGAGTTCCATCGCCTGTGCTTGCACCTGAACTAGGGTTTTTGGATGCTTTGGAGGCCCTGGGCATAATCGAAAACGGTCAACGCGAGAAGATGGTGATCCGACGAAACTCGAGACCTGGCCGACATCTTAAGCCCCGTCAGATCCATGTCCTCAGAGATGCAGCGCAACCTCCTAAGATGAAGAAAAGGTTCGAGAGATGTCAAACAATGTAGGTTCGGCAACGCCACAAGGAACCAATATCACGACAGCGCTGATCGTGACTCACAGAATGTCTCGGCAGCGTGTGAGAGAACTCAGCAATGTGCCATCCGGCAGTTGATCTCGTAATTGCTGTGATTGCGATTAGTTGGCCTTTGACGCATACTCTGAAGATGAGTCACTGCAGCCTCTTCTGTCGTGATCGGACGAGACGAGTCAAGGCCGGGAAGCTGGCAACGGGTCGATGGTGTTGCGCCGAGGCTAGTGAGCTGGTGAGGCTAGGCTCAAAATGGATTGGTCGAGTACCGCGGTCACGTGTTAGCCCAAATTCACATTCACCTGCGCCGACAACCCTCCAGCCCGGGCATAGCACGTACAGATTCTCGCGAGACGCACTAGAAGCACGCAGTGTCGACCGGCCACCATGGCGGCACAATTTCGAGCGAAGAAGCTCGATTTAGGTGGCTTCATCAACATCAAGATCATCCGGGACCATAGCAAGCGAAAGGCCTATGAGAAATTTGAACCCCAAAGGTACCAAGTCTCATGCTCTCTATATCCATACACCGCACTGCGACAGGAACCCGACTGATACATGTTTTGTTCGTACAGGCAAGCTCTACGATACGTTGTCCGTAACACGTCCCTGCCGCAATGGATGCGAACGCAAGCACAGCTTGAACTCCAGAAAATGCACTGCTACACCAGACCTACCCAAATCAAGAACAGATGCGTAATGGGTGGCGTGGCAAGGAGTGTGTTTAGAGATTTCAAAATGGGTCGTGTAAGTCTATCTTCTCATCAGTCCGGGCCGATTGTTGGGTTCCTGTGATGATCCTCTCCCTGCAAGAAGTTCAAGAGTGGCTGACTCAAACGCTCCCAGTTTATGTTCCGAATGCACGCTCTCGAAGGATCAATACCCGGTGTCAAGAAAGCAAGTTGGTAATGTGTACAAATTCTCAAGAGGAAGTTTTGTGTCCAGCGTTACAATGTACATATACTTGATGGAGGACTGTTCAAAAACTACACATTCAACGGCCAACCAGACACTTCTTTTCTTTTCCAGAGAGTGTGAACAGCTGTGACCCTTCGATTCGCCGAACACAGGTATGTATGGATGTGTTGTGAGCTTGGTTGCGCTACTGAGACCGACCGCGCGGCGCAACTTCATGACCTCTTCGATGTTTGATTTAGTTGCTGAGGCTGGCGTACGCCTTGCCTCCAGCTATCTGGTCTATCGCAATGCACTCCTGCAGTCCTGCAAGATTGAAGAGCTCCTTGGGACTTGACCGGACATCTGCAGGACTAGTCTTTCCGGTCTTCTTCAATACTTGCAGTTCTTCCTTGAGTGCCTTTGCTACGGCCCCCAAGCAGACTCCCGGATGAATCATGATGCGAAACCCAATGTCTTGAGCCTCTTGAGCTGAAAGTTCGGGCGTTGTTCCGTGTGGTACGCTGTTCAGCAATACGGGTGTGTCTCCCATAATCTTGCAGACTTTCTCCATTTCTTCCCTGTTGCGAAGTGCTTCAAGGAATACAACATCTACGCCGATCTTGACGGCTTCTTTCAACCGCTCAATGGCCTCCTCAAATCCGTATGTTTGCAGCGAGTCTGTCCGAGCAATGATGACTATATCAGATTGCAGTGCGTCGCGTGCAGCCACAGCTGCTCGGAGTCTGCTATAATAGGTGTCGCGATCGACAATCTGTTTTCCCAGAAGATGTCCGCATCTCTTCTCTTGTACCTACTCCATATCAGCCAGCTTGAGAAGTGAGCCAAGGAGCTACATACCTGATCCTCGATATGGAGAGCCGCGACACCGGCACGAGCGTATTGTGTGACTGTTCTCGTCACCATTATCGGTCCGCCATAACCTGTGTCGGCGTCTGCAATCAACGGGATCGAGGGATCCAGGGAGGCAATCATGCCAGCATTGCCTCCCATATCGTTCAAATGCGCCATGCCTAGGTCTGCCCATCCAAGCCTCGATATGGAAGTTCCAGCACCAGTCTGGGAGGGTAAATCAGTTGTGATCCTTGCAATTAGATGTCTACTGACCATGTAAAGCGCGTCGAATCCTGCTTCGAGTGCGAGACGGGCCGTGAGGCCGTCATAGACACCTGGGCATACAATGATCTTGGAACGATCTTGCAGCAACTCACGAAGACGCGTGGCACCGGTAAATGGTGAGCAGGCCTTTGCCTTTGGTGGTGTGCCGATTGAGCCCATTGTAGATTGTGTTGAGATACGATACCTTAAGGAAGGCTGTACTGCTTGGGTTGAAGGCACTTCCTAGAGGAGTTGAGATGCTGACCGAGACTCTTTTGTTGGGCGTTTTATAATCTATCTAACAGACCAAGTTCCTCGGTAGTGCTCTCATTATGAACCCCAGGACGACAAACAAAATGTCTCGATCATAGCGCCCCTCTCCTCCACATCGAAACGGCGCACAGCCGACATCGAACTGTTTTTGTCCGATACTCGCCCCGATATGCGGAGTCAGTCCACCGAAGACCGATCTTACCAGTCCGAGTCTACGTTTAGGTGGTTATTCATAATGCTCGACGAATTATTCGTTGATTCAAGGATGCTGGTGCTTTCCTCGAATTTGGACCTGGGTATAAATTACAGAAGAGGTTTCTGGGAAACGGCCATCGCAGCCAGGTTTACTGTCCGAGATACCAGACACAACAAACTATAGAGCCGCCAATGGCAACAACCACTACGCACACAGCGAACATGCGGACTGATCAGGAGACCAGCACTTTCGACCGCCGGCTTCAAGAACTTCTATCTCAATGCAGAAACATTGACGCCAGAGCTCTGACTCTAGAGTCAGCTGCAGCCTCTGCTTCAATCCCCGATGTTCTATCACGATACATCGAGGCTCTGGAAAAGGGAGGCAAAGCCGCTGAAGCAGAAGCATTGGAACAAGTTCGCGAGAAGGTCGTCGATAGTACCAACTTTGGCGGTCTCGGGCTAAGCAGTAGGACTACTGAAGCCACGCCTGAACAGGTGTCTGAGAGCCTTTTCCTCGTCGAGGCATGGCTTGACTCGGTGACCTCGGCAGAGAGGGCAAAAGGGTTCCTGTCTTACTTACCAGCTGCTGTGCCGGGCACAAAACCCATGACATTGGCTGAAAAGATCTTTGCGCAGCATGTCATCGGTGACAAGCCAGCACACGGGCTTGTAGCAGGTGACGTGGTGAGAGTCGGCGTGGACTGGATTCTGGCATCTGAACTATCCTGGGCGGTAAGAATGTCTTTTCTTCTCCTTCTCTTCTTTCTCTCGTGCAAGCATCCACCAAAACACACTACAATTGCGTTGGACTTATTACTGATATCTTATCGATGGCTTCTAAAGGGAATGGACAGAACACACAAGGAAATGGGATCTCCTGGGATCTGGCGAAATGACCGCTTTTGGCTGGCGGGCGACCACGTCTACCACCCTGCCGTATCAAAGAGTCCCAAGATCCAACAGCTGCTCGAAGTGGCGGAGAAGGCGAAACAGGAATTCAAAATGACAGAGTACCAGGGCATGAACTACACCATCATGCACACGGAATTCGTGCGGGAACGAGTCGAGCCTGGAATGCTCGCCATCGGGTCCGACTCTCACACCTGCTCGGGCGGAGCAGTCGGTTCGTTGTCTCTCGGTCTAGGAACCGCGGACGTCATGATGGCACTGGCGCTCGGTGAGACGTGGTTCAAGATCCCCGAGTCCATTCTCATCGAACTCGTCGGCGAGCCGGCCGTCGGCATGTCTGGGAAAGACGTCATCCTTCACATCCTCGGAGAGCTGAAGCGCAACACGGTCGCCGCGGAACGGATCGTCGAGTTCAGTGGAGAAGGGCTCAAGCATCTGTCCTGCGACGCGCGGTTCGCCATCTGCAACATGTGCACCGAGTTCGGGGCCATCACGGGCATCTTCGTCCCTGACAGTATCACCAGAGACTATGTCGCCAAGAGGAGGCGGAGGGCGAACCGCCAGAACTCGCTCTACTTCAGACCCGACGCCAACGCAAGCTATGCGAGCAAGTACACGATAGATTTGTCCCGGGTCGAGGCATCGGTCGCAGTCTATCCCAACCCAGACGACGTGGTCCCCGTGTCTGCAAAGGCCGGCCTTGAACTCGACGGTGTGTTTATCGGCGCCTGCACGACCACGGAGGAGGAACTGGTTCTCGCTGCCCTGGTGTTGAAAGTCGGATTGGCCAAACGACTGCCCATCGCCAAGGGGAAACGTCATTACGTCCCTGGCTCGTTACCTGTCGTGGAGAAACTTAGACAGTTGAACCTTTTGGAAGTCTACGAGGCGGCCGGATTCACGCGAGGGCCTCCAGGATGCTCGTTCTGCGTCGGTCTATCCGCCGAGAAAGCCAGCGAGGGCGAAACGTGGCTGAGCTCGCAAAACCGCAATTTCCAGAACCGCATGGGTAAAGGTACGTATGTTTTCTTTGTGCGGAGTTTGATTCTTTTCGTCTCCCCCCCTCGTCTAGGTACGTACTGCTGCAACAAAACGGCTAACACGTGCTGTGTGGCCAGGGGCTTTCGGGCACGTCACGTCGGCCATCGTATGTGCGGCTTCGAGTTTCAGCATGACGGTCACAAGCCCGGCGGAGTTTCTCAAGGAGATAGACTTGGAGTTCTTTGGGAGATATAGTCCGTTGCACCATATCACATACTCGTCCGTCGATTATGTGGAGCCCGACTTGACTCCTAGAAGCGACACGTTCACTCGGAATGGTGTTGCAGCGACGACCACACACCTCGAGGCTGTGGAAGAGGGCAAAGGCAAGAAGATGCACAAGATCTCCAGCAAGATCGTAACGCTGGGCGACTTTATTGATACCGACGCGGTAGGTTCCCAAATTCCACTCTCCTAGAAAGCAAAAACACTCTGACTTTGCGACTGTAGTTGGCGCCTGGCCCGACGCTGACGACGTGCGTGACCGACGAAGAATTCGGTGAACATGTTCTCGAGTACACGCATCCAGACTTCCGGGCCAAAGTGCGTGGTGGCCAGCAGATAGTCGTTGCGGGACGTGCTTTCGGCGTGGGGTCGAGTCGCGAAGTTGCCGTGTCGGCTTTGAAAGGTGAGCGGAGCTCTTGACGAACCAACATATCTCCATTGAATGTTTTCTATTCGGTACTGATGCTACACTAGGTGTTGGCGTCCAAGCTGTCGTCGCTCGCTCTTTTGCGTTCATTTATGGTCGAAATCAACCTAGCCTTGGTCTTCTTGGTGTCACCATATCAGACGACGCATTCTTCCAAGCTGCCCAAGATGGCCAAGACATCGCTTTGGATATCCCAAGCAGAACCGCAACGGTGGCTGGTCAGGCTTACCCATTTGCTCTTTCCGATATGGAGTTTAACCTCACCGTCAACAACGGCATGACCGACTCGTACAAGAAGTTTGGGAAGGCCATCTGGGAGAATTTCACGCAGAGCAAGACGGAACCCAAGTCCATCTCGAGGGCCTTGCAGAATGGCGAGGGCGAGAAGAAACACATAAAGATGGATTGGTGAAGCTCACTCCCATAGATCCTCACGTTTCATCATCAATGTGCCCGTATCAGTACGAGTAAATTCTTGGAAATGCGTCCCCCGTCGATATCGGTCCATTGTGCTCAGCAAGTACGTCATGCTAGCCACGTAGATGCTCCGTGCTCGGAGGGTGCGCGTATGCTCTCATCGGTACACTCACAACCTGTATTGCTGTCATTGTCGGTGGGATTGTAAGCGAGACCGCCGAATCCATGGCTAGGACGGCATCCCTGCTTGTTGGGATTGGTCTGATTCTCATCACCCTGAGACGTGTAGAGTTCCGAGAGCGCCGTGCAGGGGCTGACGGCTTTCTTCAGGCCCGGTGAACGGTACGACGGAGCGGTCTCGCCGTGCAAAAGTACTGGAGAGATTGGGGTATCGGTGCGCTTGACGCCGATTGGTTGACGAAAGTCAACGCGAAGTCCGATTTTGGTCCCGGAAGTCCGATATATGGCCCTTTCGACTTGGACGAAGGCTCCGGGTCAGCAAAGGACGTTAGGAGGACATCAGAAGGTGTGAGTGTGCCGAAGCAGTCAGCTCCAGGTTGGAGGACGTCGTAGAGCGTCAGGTTGAGCTCAACTGACAAGAGATGGTCGTTGAACCTGGGCAGGCGACCAAAAATGGCACCGCGCAGTCAAAAGAGACCCTGCACTGCAGGGAGAGCAAAGGACGGACTTGTGCGAGAGTTCGAGGCTCTCCACACGGCCATCCTGGATATGACAACGGACCACTCGCCGATTTTATGAAGCAGAAATATGAAATTGTGCCCGTGGATTCAGGCTGACATCGAGACCATGTTGGCTGGTAAACGTCCCAAGATGGCCTAGTCACTTGCCGGAAAGGGGAAGGTCGGTGTTTTTGGCGGGAAAAGAGTTAATCCGCGGGGCGGTGGCTACGGATGATTGCTCTTCCGTTGTTGGTGAATCAAAATCTCGTGGTAAAGGCTAAAACGCACACAAGGGTGGCTAAAACGCACACATCCCCATTGGGTTAGCGTGATTCGGGTAACCTTCCTTGTCAGGAATAATTTTCCTTGCACCCCCCCCCCCGGAGGCGCGCCTATTCACAGCGTTCTAGGCTCGCGTTCTAGGCGGCGTTTTAGGCGCCCTAGGCTTGCAAAATATCATGATGCTAGGAACGATGCAAGGAACGCAAGGAATGATGCAAGGATCGATGCAAGTGATGCTGTCTCAGTGCTAGTCAGAGGCGACTCTCACCTATTTTCTATGGGAGTTCCTTTCGCCGCGCATTGCGCTCCACACCTAGTCTAGTCGAAAGGTCATGGTTCCTGGGATATGAGTTGACTGTCCTCGACCTCGTCCTCCTCCTCCGCGGCCTGTTCTTGCGCCTGTTCCTGCGCCTCCGCGGCCTCTTCTTGCGCCTGTTCCTGCGCCTGTTCCTGCGCCTCCACGACCGCTGTTTGACTCATTTAGACGTCTCCTTGCCTCCTGATTGGCCTGTTCTATTGCGGCGTCAGTTCGCTCAGGCTCGGTCAACATCCGCCTGTCATTCACATCATATCGATGCCGCGAGATAATATCTGGTGGTTGCGCAACCTCAGCATAGTTGAATGTGATCTCTCGACATCGATCTAGACGCTAGTGAACGTCGAAATCCTCAACCTGTAGAGGCTCCATTGATTCAATGCGTGCTCGGATGATATGAGGATATGGAAGGCCCCATCGACGCTCGAACGAGCTTGTGCAAGGTCTCCATGTTGTTAGAGGAGCCCGCAAGGTTGTGGGTGTTGTATTCATGTGAATATTGTGAGGCTTGTATATCTCTTCCACCTTGAGAAGTGTATAGATTGATATATAAGTGACCACAAAGACCCATAGTTGACTATTAAACTGAGGCCTTCTCGATTGGCTGTTATTAGTAAGTCTTACCATGATCTCAATAACTATATCTCTATAAATATATTCGAACTGTTAAATAATAGTTAAGATATCGCTTTGAGTGCTAAATAAATAACTCTTTAGCACTCGATGCATTCCTTCTAGATATAAGATTATAATATTACCAAAATAACGATGATTATCGATAAAACAGCGCTATATTCTTTATTGTCTCATAAATCAGATACAATAGAGATAGTCATAAATTTGAGGCTCAAATCGATAGTCTCATCTCAGACTATCTCAGGCCTTATTAGCGATATCCTCGATAGATACATTCACATATTTCCACCAGCTATTCATGAGACGCTTTAGTTGAACTTGAATCCTTACAGTGTCCTCATCAATATCCTTCTATGTTGCAAATCCAAGATCTCGCTAAGTGAGTGGTCTCTATATCTTCTTAGCCTTGCTCATGATTACCTTGTTAATATGCCAGAGACAGAGTAAATGCGAGGCAAGTGGAAAGACAACCTTAATAGTATTGATAAGAGAATAAGCAGTGTCTATAATAAACACTCACGAAGATAGAATTTGACAGTGTTCAAGGATTTTAAGGAGACTTCTCAACACCCACTGATAAGTGGTTTCATCCTCCCATCTAATGAATACCGATCCAAGGAAGAACGATTCATTGTTTACTGTCACACCAACCATATTAACCAGTGGCATATTGAAACGATTAGTTTTATATGTGGTATCCACCAACAAAACATCAGGATAAAGTCAAAAGAGATCAAGACCTCGGTGGTGAAAAAATACGAGACCCTCAAGTTTCAAAGTCTTAGTGTTATACAGGGTTCGATATTGCCATTGCTCTGTGATTGCTAGGAGAAGTGCTTGAATAGGTGTCCTACCATTTAAGTCAACCTTTTCATGCTTTTTGCGTTCATTTTTGACGTCCTTAAGTGTGATTAGAACATTATATAGCGAGCGAATTCAAGAGGTAGTTAACTGCGCTCCGAGGCCTTCATGAAGTTGCTCCTTAATGAGTTGAGAGATCTCACCTTGATGTCCACGTCGGCGGAGACTAGGATATATTAAAGGGCCCCATGAAGGCTCATGAGAGTGCTCAAAATGAGTAGAAATAAGTCGCCAGAGAGAGCCATCTATAGAGCGTTTCAAGGTGATTCGAAAGCAATAATTCTGACTTATAGTACCCCTAGATCGTTGAACAGCGCTTCTTTTCTTATTCCGCGGATCAGCGCGATCACAGACTAGGTAGATTGAATTGATTTCGCCGCTGAGATTGGGACGACCTTGTCGATGAATGCGGAGGCCATATCCGCGAGGCCCTGTCCATCCATCAAGGAACTCCCAGGCCTCCTCAAGTGAGTGAAACATAGTGTCACTAGGCGGGAGCGCAAATGGAATCACAGGGCCCTGTTCCTGCGCCTCCGCGGCCTCTTCACTAGGTTGCGCGTCGTCGAGAGCCTCCGGGGCATCTTCCTGCGCGGCCGCGCCCTCCGCGGCCTCCGGGTCGGAGTTGCACTCATAGAACTCATCATTCGACGCTGTTTCATAGGCCAATAGGGCCTCCATTTCCGCCGCTAGTTGGGCGGGGGTTGACATGACTAGACGGCGCAATGATAGACGGGCTAGACGGCGCAATGATAGGTTGTTGCGAGCAAGGAATATGTTGTTGAGAGGGTTGTGATCGAGGAGTAGGTAGAGATAGCATGGAAAGGGGTTTACTTCAGTTGTGCCAAGACCGACGCTAACCTAATATGGAGGCGCTAACCCAATGGGGATGTGTGCGTTTTAGCCACCCTTGTGTGCGTTTTAGCCTTTACCAAATCTCGTTCTGGTAACCAATATTTCTTCATTCGGTAACTGGCCACAGGCCCTCGAGGGATGAAGGCGGCGGTCGAGGTAATGAGGCAGTTGTGCAGCAAGGGGAGGATGGCGACATCCGGGCCCAAAGTGGTTGCTTGGCTAATGCATTGATCCAGAGAGTGTCTCACCGGCGGAACAGTCGACACGCCATCAAGCACAGAATGAGTCAGCCTCGGGGGAGGGGGCCTCGATGAGAAGTGACCGACCACGTCCATGCTTGTCAGGGTGTCGAGATTATCATTGACAGCCAGCTTGAGATCTGACTTCATTATCATCGCATAACAATTTCACCCTCCGGCAAACTGATTGAATTTCGTGGCAATTTCTTGGATCCTCGCGCGCCCATACCACTCACATCTCAACCCCGGACACGCGGCTCTACTTACCTAGTCTCTCACGGAACAGGTGGTGCCCTTGGATTCGTATCAAGATGGCAATCACCCCTGACAAACGTTCGATGCCCAGATTTACACAGGCCACACCAGGCTGCGTTACAGCGATGGAAACTTTCCAGAAGCCGTCGAGAAGGCGATGGAAGGTGTTTGTTGTAAGGGAGACTGCATATCACGGTCGTGAAACTTCAACTTCACAAAGGCCTTTTGGTTTGACAAATCGCCGCCGTCCCGTGTTGGGTTTGTGTAGCCTGAGGAGTTTTTGTCTTGTCATGTTCTCGCCGCAACTGCTCGACCAAGCAGGAGACAGCACAAGTTTCTTGCCCTGAACTCGGTTCGTGTCCGAGACTGACTTGTTCAACCCACTTGTTTGTGTGTGCATGTGTGGCAAACCCATCGTTCCACCGCTTCACAATATATATGCTGAGCCGACCAGTTCCAATGTGGAACCATGAGACAAAGTGCGGGTGCTTACAGTTCTTAACCTGTCTTTGTGGTTTGATTGTTTTGTTTTTCACAGGGCATACCTCTTCACGGTACACCTCGATCATTCCTAACGTCTCAGTTTTTGGTTGTCAACACTTCCGAACGTGAAGACGGAACTCGATCTGGGAAAGGTCACTAACTATCACTACCTTTTTATCTGCACCAGCACGCTGTTGTTGTCGTCACGGCCACACAAACGACCTGACTGACCTAGGGAAGGCCAACGACGAGTTTTGAAGAATGACCTCTACCTCGTTTGATCACGCTTTCGAATGCTACAAGAGCCGTTCCCGCGATGCCTTCCTCTCTTCTCCCCTCTACACCACTTTCGACTGGAACCTCGACTGCTGGACCCTCGCGCACGATCCAGGTCAGTACATATATCGACCGATCGACGTCCCTTGCACGAGGTCAAGTCTCTATCGAGCGGCACCGTCCAAGATGGCGAGAAGGTGCATTTACTGCGGCAACAACTTCGAAGGCTACAACTGCGGTTGTGAGAAGTCTTTCGGTGGCGGTTCCGGTTCAGGATCGAGTTCGGGTTCGAATTCGAATTCAAAGCCGGCCGTCACTTCCACCGGTTCGACTGCCGCGGGCTCCAGCGGCTCAAAATCCAAATGGCCGCAGTCTACGTCTACCCGGACTCACGACGCGGAGAAATGACGGGACGGCTCTCGACGGGGGACGGTGGTTCAGCTCGGGCTCGGATCCTTTGTTGTACGTGAAGAGCATCGACCATGTGAAGGACTTGGGGATCTGGATCGAAAGTGCTCAGTCCACGTGGGAGACTCGAGTCAGGGGCCGGGATATGGGACATTAGTACCTGAGCAACCAGTCGTCGGGAGTTGCGACGGCGCGGGATACGGTGGCCGTTCGTGACACACACCGATAAAGTTGAAGGAATCAAGAATCAAAATTCATCCAACCCAACCGTGCTCTACTCACTCAACTGATTGTTCATGAGCACACTTCGGAGGACCACGTGACAGTGAGTGTCCTGACACGAAGCTGTGCTTTTGAGTGTCGACATCACACTCCTTACATATTCGGGTTTGTGTTCAGGGTGGATTTTTAAGACGAGATTCTAGTGCCGTATGGGGACGACGGAACCAATTCATCTGTGACAATCATACCTGTCCAGCCAAGGGTATACGCAAGGTATTTACCATGGGCACGAATATTGAGAGAGACTTCAAAGCCACTCAACAGCTATCATCCAGACCAAAAGCCGAGTCGAGTTAGTCTCGCCGCTGTGTGCATTACATCGTATCCCCGTCGTAAGTCATGATGGTATTCTATTGTGTTGTATTGTACTCTACTTCGTTTCTCAGATTGAACTCCAAACCCCCGTCTTCCTTCTTTACAAAGACAACGTCTGGCGCACTCTTGACTTTCAAAATGCTCATGCCGACCTTTCCGAGCTTCGGACAGGATTTTGCCAATTTCTCGACATCGGCCAGGTCGATTAATTTGATTCCGGTTCTGCCACCGTTGTCGTTGCTTTGTCGTTGTTCCTTGTCAACCTCTTCCGTCTTGTCGACTATTATTCCAGCCTCGGCTTTCGCACCCGGCACACCGACAATTTCGATTCCCTCCAGCGCCCTTCCGACCCCGTTGTACCCTAACCCGGCCACGAGGTCATCTGCCCACCCGTCCTCAAGAAGGACAGCGACAGTCAAATCGACCAGTCCCGTACCAGTAGCGCCATTGGCATCGGCACCAGCGCCACCTGCGCAAGCGTATACTATCTCCCCCACCTCCACGGGTCGGAGGGAGAACATACCCAGGTTCAACACCTTGATAGACGTCAATGCTCCTCCGGCTGAAGCCGTCTCGAACCGTTTTCTGATTGCCGTGGCAGCTCTCCCGTCGCTCGCGAACGGCAACACGCCTTCTGGCATTTTCTCGTCGTTCTTCTTCTTAGCATCACCTGTGTTTTCGCCCTCTTGTCCAGAGGGCTCGTCGAGTTCATCGCGTCGCGACGCTGGGACAAAGTCGAAACTCACGCCGATGAGACCCGGCACGATGAGACTGGCGAGTTCTTCCCCGGCGACGCGAGCCAGGAAATCGCTGTCCTCGTGCCCGCGGAATGTGTAGCTTACATTTACGACTTTGAGGCCATCCCTATCACCTCCACTCGCGTCCTTGGTATCGACATCGACATCGACACCGCCTCCGGCGGAGCTTGAGTTTCGGGCGGCGGCGCGTTTCTCAAGTATCGAACCCACCCGCGTGAAAAACCCCGGTCGCGAAAACGAATCGATAACGTGGATCTCCTGGATCTGCGTGCACGACTCAAACAGCTCCTCGGCGTCTCTGCGGCTCGCGTCGTCCAGGCCGTCAATCAGGCAGCTGAAAAAGGTCAAGGACCGCAGGTTCGGAAGGCACTTGGCCAGGCGGCCCAAGAAGCCCAAGGCCGGTGTAGTGTTGCCGGGGAACCCGAGCCCGAAGAGCTCCAGCGTCAGATGGGTCACGGAGCGAGGGACGTTCGGCAGCAGCTCGGGCTGCGTGAGCGGGGTTTGGGTCTGTAGCAGAGTCTGGTACTCGTCGAGCTTGATGTCGGCGGTCAGTGTGAGCTCGCGGAGTCGAGACGCTTGAGGCGGGAAGTCGGGGAGGGTGAATTCCTTCAGCGGGATTTGTGCCGCCAGGGGATAACTTTGGTCGCTGCTGTCACCACTGCCGTGACCGACTTGGACCGTTGTTGCCATCGTTTGTTTTTTTTTTCTTTTCTCACGAGAGACTTTGTGCCGAGAAGGTGGTCAATGCCGTGTGACTTTGTAACTGTGTCCCAGCGCTCCACTCCACGGGGATGCCTCTCTCGCTCTCTCTTTTGCTCTCGTCTCTGTGTTGGCGATAGTATAACCTGGTGAAACCAATTGGAGTAGAGTTCACGGCGTGAGACACAAGTTAAAGGGTTGGGTAAAGGCTGGAAAGTCAGAGATGATTACCTGGCCCGCTGTTGTTCGGGCAAATGGTGTCCCGCGCTGAATTGGAACTGATGTGTACACCACGCCACACATGGCATACTGAAGTAGCTTGGGTGTATAAAAGAGGAGATCAGGTAACTAATGTGTACGACCCCTCTCGTCCAACTCCTCCTACCGTGCCCAAGGTACATACATGTAGGCCCGGGCATGCATGATTTTCAACTCATTCTTTACGCTTCCATGCCCACCCAGGCACCTAGGGATCATCATCTCACCGGCCCCCTGAATGAATTGCCGTTCTCGCAAGGGCGGCGTTGCGGAGGACCCAAGCAAGAACAGAGAAACGCTGATACTACTTACCCCTCAATGCTCTCGATTCTCCGCTTCTTGACTTTGTACCGAGTATGAAACCGGCGGAGCCAGGGAACCCGATCAACGCGGGGAAAAAGCCAAAGCTGACCCGGTGTCACCCACTACAGGATCTTGACAATGGATCTGCGCGGCGACTCGACGACTGGGTGCCTAGTAACGAGGAAAGAGGTTCCCGGTACGCGGCATTAGCTCGACAAAATGCTAGAGGAAGTGGACGAACGGCATGTGTGGATATGGATAAAGGACGCGAGTATGGATGCTCGCTCGCTCACACAACTACCGCCGTGAGAGGTGAAGTATACAATGCTAAATTATGTAGCTACGAGTACCGATGAGGCCTCGAAGCGGAGGAACGGGAGCTGCAGAATATACCGCGCACACACGCTCTCTCTCCTCTCTCTTAGCATTTTTAGTTTCAATAATCTCAGTGTTCAATTACGTAGTATTTTCTGTGAAAGTTTGTTCTGTCGTTGTCGTCCGTTGAGCTCAACATCAATCATAAGCTGCATCAAACAGATTTAAAGGGGAAAGGGGAGCCTTCATATCGCCATGAATCCATCCATCCATCAGCCAAAAAAAAAGCAATCAGAAGCTCCCAAATGCAACCCATGACGTGACACACGTGGTCATCGATTGCAAGACCGAAGATGTGCCAAATATGTGTGTATGTCTCTCTTGACCTCGCCTGGAGGTCGTGGAGAAAGAAAGATGCCCGAGAAAAAAAGATTGCCATCGTAGTGATATCTATATCGGCAGTGTATCTCCCAAGAGCGGTGAATTATCCAGGATTGTTCATTGACGGCGTCGCGAGGTGAGAGCTGGAGTTTAGTCGTCGTGTCGTGTCATATCATGACAGTCTGACCATCAGGAAGTTACGCGAGCCCCAACTCGACGTAGGCTGATTTGTGCGCATATCCGGATTCTGGACTGGCAGCGTCTTTGCCGGTATGTTCGGTCCAGGTTATCAACATCTTCCAACCACCGTTGGTAATGTCGTCGTCACCAAAGTAGCCCGCGTGCATTCCACCCGCGTACATGTATCCTTCGGCAGGAGCGTCGATCTTGGCTAGAACACCCTCTTCCGACCACTGGCTCGTGATGATGTGCTGGTAATCTCCATTCTCATCGACGTCCAGATCGAGAGGCAAATGTCGGTAATAGAACGTATTGTCTGCAACGGTGTTGAGGTAGATCATGACAAAGCTACGAAGAGCAGGGACGTAAAACACATCCAAGTCCTGCACGGGCACGTCGATCATGGTTGCTGTGGACTTCGGTGAAGGCATGTTGCTGGACCAAGCACTGCCATCCCAGTAGGTGTAGGACGAAAGACTGGTAAATTCATCCGGAGTGGTTCGTGCCACAAGCACACCATGGTCAGTCTCGCCAAAGAGGTAGATTACTCCATCATTACCGCCGACACCAGACGACCCCCAAGAACGGAGACCTCCCAAAGTGCCAAAGGTCACTTGGTCTTGCTTGAAGAGCTGAGGTACCAAGCGTTGAGCTGTTGGCCCGTACTTCTCATCCACCGAAACAAGGAGAATGGTGCTGCCCAAATCATGGAATACCGCCGCTTGAGTCTTCATGTTGACAACATCATACACCAGCGCGGGATACAGTAGTGCATGGCTTCTATTCAGAGGGATGAGGGATGACTCAGGCCACACCGCGTACCGATAGCCATTGCCCGAGAGAGCAATGTTGAAGGACTCTTCTCCAGTTGTCATGGGTGCGAAGCCACGCAATCTTCCAACATCATCTTGCCATTCGCCGAGATGGTCGACTAGGTCCAGGGCTTGGCCATAGAGTGCTTTCATGCCGTCGTCTGTTGCGACGGAGCTAGAGACGAACCCCACGAGTGGGTTGGACGTACCGTCGATCTGAAAACTGGCAGTGTCGCAAAATACAAAGAGGTGAGTACCATTGATCGTTCCACCCTTTCCGCCGTCTCTTGACATGTGTGGTACCACCTTCATGTCTGCGACATTCACATTCAGGGGAATATTTCCCTCACACCAGACGCCAGTATCACCCGCAATTGGGTATTTTGTAATCAAGTCGACGTTGATTCCCGGAATGAGGACGTTGCTTGAAAGCTTCTCTGGAGTTGCAGGGACATGGCTGACATATTGGGTCGTCGGCTTGTTGGTCGAACTCCCAAGTACCCTAAAATCTTTGACAGTCAAAGCTGAACCCGAGCTGCTAAGCATGGAGCGAGTCTCAGAGTTGGATTTGGGTGTCTTAGTGCAAGCAGACGTAGATGTTGCCATGGTGGCACCGACCAAATGGATGGTTGCCGGGATAGGTTCATTCAATGATGACTTCAGATAACAGTCGTCGGCGTCGTGGAGTCGGTCTGCCGCGAAGACGAAACCCACGCAGCGAGTTCCAGACACGTTTTTGCGATTGAAGGACTCGCATTGCTCCAGGCATTCACTGAAAGATCCGGCCAGGACAAACGGATAGATATTCTGAGCCGGGAAGTCAACGTCGCAGAGGAGAGTGTAGTTTGTGGCATTATTGAAAAAGACCGTACCATTGACAGCATAGCAGGAGAGCTTCTCCAGCGGAGGAATAGCAGTAGCGCAGGGACCATTGAGACAGGGTAAGACAGGCATGTTGGACGTGACATCTCTGGCCAGGTTGGGAGGGTTGTTGGTCGAGGTTGGCATATCGGTTCCAGGAAGTTGATAATGCACATGGCGAAGGTAGTCGCGAGGGTGGGCTTGCACAAGATTCAAGAGAGTCGAGACATATAGCATCAAGATGATGCTGACACCGAGACTGTGAGTTGCCATGACCTGTTCGTCGGTGTCAGATGTTTGTCCTCACAATTTGAGCGCGTTGATTGACCTCACCGGCAGCCTGCACACGGCGCAAAGGTCGACACCAGTAAAGGAGAGTATTGGGTCAGTTGAAAGGATTGAGGCAGAGAATATGTACGCTGGGGCTGTATCGCGCTGTTGGGGAATGATGTTTTGCGGTGTGAGTAGCGAGCGTGAGATGAGAAGAGAGGGCACTAGGAACGAAGGTCGTGGCTTTGTTATTGTTTTGATATCACGGTCAGAGGGTGTCGCGATCCTGCACGTACGGCCGGTGAAGGAGAATGTACCTGTAGTTAAGTAATGCCGCTTTCAAAGCAAAGTGCCAGACAAAAGAAGAATCCCGAGAATCTACGAGTTAACATGAAAGGGGTCAGAGAACAATGGTCCTGCAATATTCAGAAGGTATTGGCCACACATGTCCTTCTATGTCCAGCGCCAATCGTGGAGGGCTCAGCTGCATTCCTGTGACAAGATAGGAAGGCTGTAGACCATGTGCACAAGCTAATCTCTTCCACCTGCTGAACCTTCAAGCGTGGCTCGACACCTCAAGGACAGAGGCTCATTAAGCAGTGTGGCCGTCAGAGATGGAGTCGTAAACAGTGTGTTCGACTTGAACACGGCACAGCCGCCTCAATCACTGACCACGACCTCTACCAGAGCACAGTCGTCAGTTATTCCGCCTTTTTAGCGAGCTCGCGCAACTGTGGAGAAGTAGTGGCACTCTTCTCAAGATCTGCAGCCCATAGAGCTGCTCCGACAGTGTTGGTGAATGCGAAGATGAGGTTGACAAAGGGCATCATCTCCAAGACAAACGCTGCAACACCAAATGACGTATACCCTCCTCGGTGTTCTGAAATGTGGACTTCTCTCTGCCGCTTCGACCATTCTTTGAGCTGAAAGTACCTCGTATGTGCCGCTGGACCTGATCGCTTCCCTTGCAAGATGATGAAGACCAAGGTCCCTACTACAGGTATGAAGTTGAGGGGCAGGTACAGTAGGTATCTGATTATTGCGTTTGGGGTGAACTTTGCGAACGGCTTCTTGATCAATTTTCCTAGTCGACTGATATTGTCTCCCCTGGTAGAGATCTGTCGGCCCCCTTCCACCAAGTTGACACAGCCACGAGATAAGAGAACACCGTCAAATGTATCCGTGAGCGCCTCATCAATGAGAAACGTTCGGGAAAGGAGGTTGACCAAGGTCGAACTCTCACTCAAAGTGAGGAGGGCAGCCGAAACAGCGGCAACTGGACCAGAGGTGAAGGCCATGACAGCTGCTTGTGGGACGTAGGCAACGAGGAACATGAAAGTAGTGACTCCAACGCCGAGGGTAATGGTGGGTGCTAGCTTGGACAACAACGGTCGCCAAAGATCCTTGTGCATGAGGAAATAGAAGATGCCCTGCTGCCGGTTAGAGCTTTCGCCGTGCATAGGAAGAGGCCCGCACCTTGAAGGGGTACAGATAGGCACGAGATTCCACCGCCTCCTTGGTCATGTTCTTTACTCGCTCGGCCTCCTCAACGGCCACTTGTTTGACTCTTTCGCTCATCGCGAGGGTGGTGTAGGGGAAGACTGGAGGAATGAAGGAGCGGAGGCTGAAGACGCTTGATGGCCAGGGGAAGATAGTTCTTTGAAGAGAAAGAGCAAGAGGAAGAGAAAAGCCCAAGGCTACATATCATCGCGCCGCAGACCCAGAACTTATATGGTTTGCACTGTCGGGTGTCGCAGCCGTTGGATGATGTCGAGGGAGAAAAGAGTCGAGGTGAACAGATGACGTCACAGCCCAGAATCCCGCAGTCTGCAGTGCACGGGCTGAGTGACGAGGGCAAGGGGAAAGGTTATATATTGTACGAGTATACACTCCACGCCGGCATCCCAACGTCTCACCTCAGTCCGTAGCACTGACTAGAAGACACCGAGGGTGCTGGAATGGGCCATGGTCGAGCTTCGCACGTTGTCAGTTGTTGCCATCGTGACCCAGGCATCATTTCTGAGTTAAACCAGTTGAAAAATTCCATATTCGCTATATTCAGACTCCAATTCAAGTATTGAAACGCACAATAAGCATCCGTGCACGCTTCCCCGTCGCCCACCGTGCCGTTCGGCTGGCCAGTACGTCCCATTCCCAGATCAAGTCATCCATCCTGTTGGGGAAGAGGCGAACAATCTCCTTCGGCCCAGGGTAACTACTGACATGTGGATGGCCATAATTGTATTTTCCCAATCAACAAGCACAGTCATTGCTCTTCTGCTTTGCGCGATCCGCCAAATTGACCCTCGCCTCATCTGCTCGGTTTGCGGCGCCGGACAACGCGGCTTGGGTACCACCACCACTGGCTCCTCTCGCCCCTTTCAGCGACGTCTCTGGGATAGCATTTGCAATTGCTGAGAATACTTCAGCCACGTTTATGCCTGTCTTTGCCGATGTCTCAAAGAACAACAAGCTTTCTTCTTCGGCATATGATTTGGCTTCTCTCGTCGAGATTTTGCGTGCGTCTCCATTGTCAGTAGGCTCAGCTTCCGTGTTGGACTCAGTTTCTTCGCCATCTTCTGGAGAAGCTTCAGAGTCACCGGACGACTCCGCGCAGAGGTCCAGTTTGTTACCGACCAACGCAATCACGATACCTGGCGAAGCTTGCCTTTGTAGTTCTGCCACCCAATGTTTAGCCTTGGTGAGAGACGTAGGCTTGGTCAGATCGTAGACAACGAGCGCAGCTTGTGCATTTCGGTAGTACATGGGCGCCAGAGAGGCGAAGCGCTCTTGACCCGCGGTATCCCATATCTCGAATTTGATGATTCGGTTGGGCAAAGAGATCTTTTGCGTCAGGAAAGCGGCTATCTCAATGTTAGCAGTTGTGGCTTGAACCATGAGGGACCCATTTATAGGACTGGAAAATAGAGCATACCACCAATCGTTGGCTCTTTGTTCTCTTGGAAATCATTGTTGACAAATCGTAGGACTAAAGAAGACTGCTCGAATCTGTCAGCGGTATTCTTTTTCCAGTTACTTCAGGGGCCATCGAAGTATCCCACTCTTCCTGACGGACGTAGGTATAAAGTATCGCGATCCCAACCGTGCAACCACCTTACGTTCACCCCAGCGACGGCATCAAATGTCATGATGCAACGTGGCGTGGAATGACCTGGGGCTATTGATATTGGGGTAACAGTGTGCGCAACCCACCTTTCCAACGGCTGCTTCCCCGAGCAGGACGAGCTTGACGCTGCTGCTGGGCTTGGGTGCGGATGATGGGTCGGCCATTGACTGGGATGGCTGGAGTCTCACTGATCGTCAAGGATGAGGGAGTGGATTGCGTATTGTTCCAACGGTGTTCTGTCAGTATCTAACAGCTCCAGTCTCTGCTCTCTTTCCAATGTGTTATGCCAGATAACGGGTTCGCGTCCCGAACAAGGAAGGATGGGAGGGCCGGATACGAGTCGGCTGGAGGACGTAGGCGCAGTTTCTAGGAAAAGGTCGCGGTGGATGATGGACTTCAAGTATGGCGTCTAGTTGTCATCCACAGTACGGTTTGTCGGTTTCGAGGCAATGGGGGGAGGTGGTTTGGTGGGTGAGATGGAGATGGTGGTTGGTTGCGCAAGAGTCTTTTTTAGGGCAGTTGCACGCCGAGTCCGTGACGACGCCAGAGCCAATTCAACCCGTCGCTTCTCCGCGCATTCTCTACTTTATTGACTGCAGCCTGTGCACATCATACCTGGTCTGATGCATCGAATAGCTTTCATCTTTGCAGACGCCTGATGAATCAACCTTCGGCCTACTTTCACAATGCCGCTGACCCCTTCTGGGATGTCGCAGGCGATATAGGTACCAAGGTATCAGACAAGGTGAGGCAGGTTTTGCGCATCAAAGGTTGATATTATTTTGATAGTCATACTCAGTCACACAGTGTCGAGCCTTCCTCCATCGGAGTCTATTGAGGACCAGAAACAGCGCTTATGGCCTGCTCCGTCATCCAAGATTCTTTTGCGATGCTTCGTCACGATCAGGCAGGCATACAACTGACGACTATCCCTGCCAATGCCGACTGTCCTGCTCGCCTGTTATGCATCCCAGAAGCACAAACAGCTCCCCAAAGAAATGTGACCTGAGTCATACAATCTATTCAGCAAAACGTCCTTGTCCCTTTTTTTTGTGGCCCTATCCTCCCAGTACACAATTGCCGTCTATGTTGTAACGCCGGATAATACAAAAACTTTTTGATACAGTATAAGTTGTACAGGATAATCGTATTGGTGGTGGAAATCCCCAAGAAAAGAAAGTTGCGCCGTTGGTGATGCCTGAAAGGAGGGTCGCCGGAAACGCTCAAACAATTTTGAGACAGTACTTGTACAGGGTAGTCGAAACGCAGATGGGGATTAGAAAACCGCGGACAAAGAACAATGTGCTCGGTCGAGTGTGATGGAGGACACGCGGTGGTGTCTATGCGCCGTTGCTGGTCCATCAAGCTTGAACGTGATGGCCTACATTGGGTTCCAGTTGGCCGGCAAGAGAAGTAGAATTGGGCGATGATGTTCTCGTCGTGAGAGAGGTTTGAAAGGGTCTGCTGGTGACCGGTCTCATTTGGCAGGCGGCTTGGGCTTGGGCACGCCAGTTGTGTCATAGCCTCCGCGACCCATGTCGCAAGGAGCGGAATTTGATGAGGATGTGCAAGAAGTCATTGTGTCTGGAATTCAAAGGCTGTCAGAATGATTGCTACTTGGAGCGAGATACCAGAAGGCGCCGAAGCAAGGGTCTTATATAGACGGCATTGGTTAACTCACGTATGATGGAGATGTCCTGGGACTGCTGTCCTTCTTCCCAATGGGCTGCAAAAGAAGAATCTCGAGTTGTACAAAGATACAGCGTTGACCGATGGCGTCTCTGTGTAAAGCGTACTCGAGTCAAGGGAGGATTTGAGGGATGAGGGCAGGAGGTGCGTCAAAAGAATTTGAGATTTGTCGCGCTGTCAGACAGAGTCTGAGATGATGACGGTCTGGCTTGGTGAACGACAGGTCTGGAATTAGACTATCGACGTATATGGTACATATAGTACACGTAGATTCTCGAGTCTCGGGTGATAGAGATTGCGGACAGATTTTGTACGCAGCCGGCTGGTCTCGATTAAAGGGGTGATGTATCACTGGCAGGGAAATTCGGTATTGGCCTGGGCCTGGCTTTTGGGGGGAAAAGTTCAAGACGGAAATCAACAAGACAAAGGAATGTAGATAGCAAACGCGAAAAAGAACCTGCAAACGTGAGGCAGGCAGGAAATTGAATCACTTATATTCAGCGTGTTTGCAAAAAGTTGCTCGATAAGGGGCCGGCGCGCCGCGGTACGTTTGGACTAGCTGCAGGCATTTCGTTAAGCCCGCGAAGTCCACAAGGCTCCCTAGGAAGGGAATCACTGAACCAGGAAACCAGGAAACCACAAGTGGGTATCCGTGCCTGAAGGGCGGATAGTGGGACCCGGGAGTCAATCCCAAGGGCTAAGAAATGGGATCTAGACTAGTCAACAGCTTACGGAGTCGACCAGAAGACGAGTTAGATGATGGTGACGGAAGCTGAAAGTGATTCCGCGCCGTGACGCGGTGTGAACAGTGAGAGTGAGGTCCCTCCGTGCGATACAGGATCGCGGTGGTGGATGGTGCCTACCAGTTGCAGCAGAGACCTGAGTGACAGGGCGAGCACTTGTTCGCCATCAAGCTTGGACGTGAAATTGTCAAACATGATTTGGGTGGCCTGGTCTGGCAACTGGGTCTCCTCCGGGATCGTAGCGCTGCGAGCTCGATTTGAAGTGACAGCTCTAATGACGCATCCGAAGTAGGAATCGAGCCTTGCATCCTACTAGTACAGTAGTTCAACAAAGCACCCTAGTTCGCTTGTCGCCAGGGGTTCGAGCCAAGGGGGCCGCCAGGGGTGCGAAGGGGAAGGGTGGTGGCTGTATCAAGCCGGTTCCCAGAGCCTCGGGAAGCAAGGCTAACCGCACCAGGCAAACCGTAGGCTCTAACTAGTGCGTGTGTTCTACGGCCGGGGAAGACAGAAAGCGGCCCAAGAGCGTGAGAGGAGTGGGTTGCATCAACGCGCGGAAGCCGGTAGGCGAGAGACTAGAACCCTGCCCGTCACTTCTTCAGGAAAATGGCAAAGGGGGGCTCAGAGTCACTGAGGCCAGCCCAGCAGACTCGTTTGGAGCCGCTCGGCCGCGAAGGCTGAAACGAAACATCAGCCAGTTGTGGCTGGAAGAAGGAGCAGCTCTTCGCAACTGGTGCCAGACGTGCGTAAGGGAATTGACTGAGACGGGAGTTGTTGGTCCATTACATCTTCCGTCCACGGTGTTTGTTTCTTTTCGCACACCTGTGGCCTTCTCATCCCGCCCTCGGCGGCTGTCAGCACCAGTGCCAAAAAGAAATTCAAACAAACATAACTTGGAAGCAAACAAGCAAACCACCGAGGGTTGGTGATCACTGATTTGGAGGAGAGCCCCTGCTAATCGATACCGTGGGTGGCTTAAGGGATCAGCTAGCCAGAGCGAGGCGAGAGAAAGAAAGAGCCTGTGCCAATGGCCCGGCACCCTCTTGTCGTTGTTGTAACCTGTCTGGCGATAGACTATGTATAGTAGGTACTCATCCTCATACTGTATGCAGTAAGCTGGTGCTCGTAGCTTGACGTCGGAAGGTTATGTACCTGGTCGCCGGTCGGGCTGTGAGGACATTCAATACACTTTCGCTTACCAGCTGCACCTGCGCTTCCGCCATATTGTTTATTTTTTAGGCCTTGGTCTCCATGCATTAACTACTGCCGGTCTCTGTACGCAGCTTCCGGAGGTGCACTACCTAGGTAGGGTTAGTAGATGGTGACTCTGTACGTATGTACAAGGTACCTGCAGGCTGCAGTAGTTCCACCAGTGTCGATCGCAATCATGACTCCAGCGACTTGCCCACCTGGGCGAGCAAAAGTATCAAGCTGAAGTCGGCCCATTTGACAGGTCACTGACAACTTGACATGTCCACATATGAAGCATAGGAGACTCGAAGAAGTTCGGTTATGGTGCGGACGGCAGACCGTTTTGTGGCCACTGCGCCATGCAGTAGCTCAAGTCGGTCACTAAGTCGACGTCAACCTGTCACACCTCGATGGACGGCCTTCAAAGACTTCGGATCTTGTCATTCGATAACGAATGCAGGTGCAAAATCTCCGGATTGTGTCGCTCCTGGAAATGCAGCTCAAACGCTGGCCTGTCAGCAGAATATCTCCTGCATCGGTAGGACGATGACGATGCGTGCAAGTTGTGGCAAATCGGTCGCAATTAATCGTCGACACTGTTACTCCGTAGTGATAACAGGAATGTGATGGTGGTGTCGGTGTTGATCTCGAACCTCGATCTGTGTAATAAAATGACTGCGCCTGAGCCTGAGCCTGCGCCGGAGTCACAGCCGCAGGGACGAACGCCACAGAATGAATCTACGAGTACTACCGTCCACCAGACAAAGCATCACCGCATCCGCTCGGTCCCAACAAAAATCATCGTAGTTTTGCAAACATCGAGTCTCGATACTTGTTACTACGAGTGTCCATCAGGTAGGTCATCCTCTCTACAGGACGTCTCATGGCCCACGGGTACAACTCCAGTCTGCGGCCAACCCACCTAATCTTGCATCTCCCGCTTCCGTAATGCAATCAATAACCCACTTCGGCCGCTAGAATGCAGCTAGAAATCCAAGCAAAAGCTCATCTCCATCCTTCTGCAGCTTGAGAAAGTACTTCCGCGATGATAAAAGCGGAGGCAGGCTGAGACGCGGTCTGAGGAGAGGACCCTAGGAAGGGAGGGCTGCAAGTTTCCTACTTACAACTCCCCTCTGACGGTCGAATCACTCCTTCACACTAGACAAGGTCTCACAATCTTGTTCACCTCACATCTCAGTACTTGTGCGACGATGAAGGTGGCAGTGACAAGTTCCACATTCCAACCAGCCTCGTGCGACAGTCACGGTAGGTTGTTGCTTGAAATCCTAGCTGCTTCGTAGCAGGGCTAATCGGGATTCGACACCCCTTGATCGAAATTAATTATAACCAGCCATGTGGCGGCGGGCGGATATTAGCCAGGTACCAATCTACCCTGTCTACTCCATACCTTGGGCATACTTACGAGTTCCAGACGGCTAGTCTTCCCTAGTTCCTGACACCGTTCGCTTCGAGGAGGCTACAAGGTTGAAGGAACATCTCCCTGCTTCCGCACACACTTTAAAATGCACTCCACCATCAAAAATGTTTCGAGGGGGGTGGCCTGGACAAAAGAGACAAAGATCACACGAAAGGTACAACACACAAGTGTCGTCGTACAGATCGATCGATCGGCATCCTAATTCCGCTTCAGGATTTTGTTGCCCGTTGACACGAGCTGCTGAGGCCTGACATTGTCCCTCTTCGCTGGAACCTCCTTGCCTCACCAGCTTTGACATTTCGGATATCACATTTCGGAAACCAGGGAAATGTGCGTTGCGCGTCAGAATGCAGCAAACAACTCGCACGGGGAGACAAGGGCAAACATCCGCCTGTGGTTGAACTGTTGCCTTGGCGAAGCCAGGGGCTCCTTGTTTCGTTCCCTGCGAGGATTTTTAGCTGGCCATGTGTCTTTCATTCCCACCGCTAACCATCCATCCCCTTGGGCTCGGAAATTATCTGATCAACTGAGTGACTTCCCCAAAATGGCCCAGCGCCGTTGTACCTGCAGCCGGAAAGACCAGGCTCGTCTTCCGGCAGATCAACTTGCATGAGCCGCCAACAGGCTATATCCCAATGGGTAGGAAATCCCTACTTTGGACCACTTACAGTGTATGGTGGCGACGCGCTTGGGGACCATCCCGGATCCGCAACAGCGCCTCATCAGCCTATCGTGCAGGTTGCCCTGTTATCACACCGTTTGCAATAGCCTCACTTGGGCCCCTGGCTGCTGGTATTGCGTGCTGGGTCCCTAATGCTGGGAACACAAGTACTGTATCATAACTTCATGAGTCCGAATATCCGGGCGGCAGGGACAAATCGACTAGCTACAGTACGCGGGTAAGCACTACGCTATTTCCTTCATCCCCAATCGGGATGCGCTTCCGATGAGACGCGTTAGTCCCCAATGCCTCGCCTCATATTTCACCTGCTGTCTCCAGAGTCCAGACTTTGCATCTCAACTGAAGCCTGAAGCTCCTGAGAATTTAGAAACCTCTAGGCGAACTGCATTCGGTCACCATCTGGCGAGTGGGTTACGGAACAACTCCACTGGGATTCCACACGGCTGTGAAACAGTGATGAGGTTGTGACTGTTGGTTTCAACCAAATCCTCCGCCACGAGTTACTAAGACTCCTATTTCCTTTTCTGCGTATCGGGGGTGGAAGGCCACTCAATCATTCAAGCAACTAATTGAGTGTCGTTCGTTGGCCAAGTCACGGCGTACAGAGTTGTCTGTAATAGTGTTCCTTTTCTCATGTTGAACAAACCTCGCAAAGATATTTGGAAGCGACAGGTACCTGGTAGCGGCGATCTGGCCGTCAAGGTACTTGGAATGACTTGACACGTTCAATGACTGTGTTTCTGGCAATGGATTGGCTATTCGTTTCCGCGAGCCCTATGGAGCCACCCGGCACGTTTGTACCTCAGTTCTGGTCCAACGTGGTATGAGAATCCCGTGTCATTCTCCCTGTCTTAGCCACGCTGACCGGCTCTGAGGCTCATTTCAACGAGTACAACCAAATCCGACAATCGGTGGACACATCCCTCGGGGTAACGGTCCACGGAATACGTCCTTCGACGTTCACAGGGACACAAACCAAAGGGCTTCCCTTGGGAAGGACTGATGCTGCGGAATTTTCTTTTAAGAAAGTAAAGGTAACTCTTCTGGCATCGAGGCGCTTGTCATGTACAACCCCGTATTGGGGCCGTCGACAATGGCAACCTTTATGAAGAGTCTGTACGGCGGAATACAATCTCCCAGGTATTGCTGCAGTGCGGTAGTCGTGGCAAGCAGGTTGCATCCCTTGTCCATTTTTCGAGCGACACATTTACTGGATTCTGACAAAAACCAAGCACGACAACAATTTCAGCACGGCACAACTCTTGAGGCGCCCACCTTGCAAATTGAGTGATTTTAGTAACTACCTTGTGAGTGTGTTTCTCCATACCTCCCCAAGGGTCATTCATCCATGGAGCATCTCCTATGTCCCTGCTTGACCGACGGAGAATATCCACCCTTCGCATTCAAAAACGTAGTCTAGAGATCAGAGAGAGCCATGGCTGAGAGAATTCACCTGGGCCATATCGCGTACTGTACCCATTCGAGCCCACCAAATGATTTCCCCTGAATCATCAGTCATCACACTCGGTGTCTACGTTAGAAGTTAAGACGGTGGCCAGATAGACATACACGGTACAGTAAACTCTTCACTCGCAGACAATAGCGATAGGCATCGGTGATTCATATACACAATTGTACAAACACCTATCTATGGTGGTAGACCGCCTCGATCATCGTCATCATCACCAATCCCCCCAATACCCGTTCTTTGCATTCTACCATAGCCCGCCCTTAAACTATCCAGTTCATTTGATCCCCCTACCTACAAGTCCATTGCTGTTTTCGCCCTTGTGAAGCTTCTTCCGATCTCCTGGGCAAAACCATTTGACGGTTCGTGGAGGGAGTTCTACCAGGTTCACGCACTCCATGTGAAACCACTGGCCAAAATCGCACTGTACATGCAAGGTTAGCATGAAGAAAATTACACCTACGGCGGCTCACCAAGCCCCGATAAAGAGAACAGATAAGAACCTACCTTCTCGTCCAGCTCGCAGCATATCATCTCTCCCCAACTTACATCACCGCAGACACAGTACCGCTCTTCATCTGGATCAATAATCTCCTGCCGCCCATCGGCATCGATTCGAATCTGTGGGACTGTTTCTGCCGCCATAGCTGCCGCTTTAGGCGTGGTTTTCTGATGCGAGTGCTTGCCAGGTTTGGTCTTGCGCTTGCTGACACTAACCGCAGCGCCGCCATCCTGACTGGACTGCATCACCGTTCCCGGTGCGTCACGTTTGCTGCGACGACTGGCCGCGGTAGATTTTGGGGAAGCCTCTACAGCAGGCGTTTTTCGTCCTGCCACAGATGGTGTCATACTGGCACGTCGACTCGATCTTGTGGGCGGGGGTTCGACAGACGCTGCCGTTGATCGACGGGAGGGCGGTCGTGAAGGAATTGGAGGCGTGGTTTCGGTTTTCGGCGCCACTGATGTACGCTGGACGCTTGCTGCGCGTGTTGGGGGAGCCGGTGTTGGTGTGTTGGATTGTACTGCTGCGGGTGTTGAGACGGTCAATTTTAAAGGAATTCTGATAGTCCCTGCGCTAGGTGCTGGTGCTGGTGCTGGTGCTGTTGCTGGTGCTTGGACTGGAGGAGGCACTGGAATTTGAGTAGTCGCCACTGGAGCTGGACCCGGAGTTTCGCTGCTTGCTGTTGTGAGAGCAGAGGCTTGAGGACTTGACGCCAATGGCGACGGCTTTGGTGCTGTCTTTTGCTTCTTCCTCGCTGGGTCTGGCTCTATTGACGGTGAAAGGGACGCTGTCGGCGTATGCTCTGCCTTTCTCTTCTTGGACGTCTTCTCGGCCGGCTTCCTGGCCGGACTAGCTGCAGTGCTCCCGGCAGGGGTGGCAGAGCTTCGATTGAGTGATGCAAGTGCGGATGTAAACGGAGCGGTAAAAAGACTCCTGATCTTGCTACCCATGTCACCTAGTCTTCGAGCCGCAAGTTCTGCCTCCTGGGCAGCCAATGCGGCCTGTGACCGCGCTGGATCGGGTTTCTTTTCCTTTCTTGACTCTGACTTTCTGGCCGTCTTGGGCTTCGACGGTTGCGTCTGAGTCGGAGTAGCTGCCGCACTAGGGACGAGGATAGTGTCTTGCATCTCATCGTCTGCTTCATCGGCAATGTTGCTCAGTTTTTCGATCTTCTCTGGCTCTTCCCTTTTTTCCACCGTTTCGACTTTCTCAGGACTTTGCAAATTGTTCGGCCTGGGTCTTGGCCTCTCGGTACTATCAAGGTCATAGAATACGGTCCCGTTGGCCTCGGCTTCAGCTTTGGCTCGATAATAGTTCTCCCACCCTCTCCCGCGATCAGCCAGTTCGCGCCGAATCATGATTTCACTTGGCTCCCAGACGTTGTTTTTCTTCATCTTCTTCCTAAGTTTATACAACTCATATTCCGTCAAATGCGTCCAAGGCCGGTATTTACTGCCAATAGGTGCATCTTCAGGAGGGGGAGTAGGCTTGTGAAACGGTTCAGTCACTTCGCGGGTGACTCGCGGCCCATCCTCTCGGCGTTTTGTCTTCTCTTTCTGCTGCGGAGGCGGAGGAGGTGCTTTCGGTTGTTTCAATTTGAGGACTGGACGCGGCGGTGATGGTGGAGGGGATTCCCAGTCGGACACCTCTGTGCTCGCGATGGGTGAATCTGGGTCATACGGCGGCATCACCTCGCCAGGGACTGTTACCCGCCGACCTCGAGGTCTCTTGAGAATTGCTGATGCAACCGCATTCCCTCGTGGAGGGTGCAATGTTAACCGTGTGCTACTTTCGAGCTTCCGTCCGCTTCTTGAGCGCTTCATTTGAGGTGAAGTCTGCGGCGGAGGAGTAGGATCGCGAGAAGGAGGCTTCGGGATTGCATTCAATTTGAAGAGGATGCTCTTCAGCCTGTTTTGGTGTCGATCCACAACATCGTAAAGTCGACATGCCTCCGCATAGGCCGATTCTCGGGCGTTGAGGGCATAGTCAAGATGCGAAGATATCTGGGCGCGCAATTCTTGAGGATCTGGACGGTCTGCGGGCCGGAGTGAGGGCTGAGAGGCGTACAGTTTTGTCAGGTCGTTCAAGGCAGAGGTGTTGGTGAGGTATGTTTCGTCGAGGCCCCGAATCAAGGTGAGAGACCGAATAAGGTCGGCAGGGAGATATTCAGTGTAGTCTAGAAAATCGGTGACGGCAGCCTGCGCATCAGGATCTACAGAGCTATCTCGCTCGAGATCCTCCATTGTCACCATCGAGGCGAACTGTTATCGTCGTGGGCGCATAGGTTGGGAAAGGGAATGAGGCGGGCGGCTGTGCTGCCAGTGGCTGCTTTGGAGGGCACTACTGTCACACAGCGCATACGTTGGGCCTCCGTACGTTGAGAGGAGTAGATAGTCGAATATGGCACTCCAATGAAGAGCCTCTGTGGTGTGTGCTTTTGCGATGTCTTTGCATCTTGCGGTCTTCAACAGAACGCGACTGCGACTTTCCCTGCGCGACGAACCAAAGGCGGTCAAGAGCGGCAGAATTTCTGCGCCGCAACGATCACGTGCAGGGTGCTTACTGGCGGTGTCACCCAGCAGAAACATCATCCTTCCAGTTCGCAGTGCGTCGAGACCAGTGAAGATACATACTACTGACTTCAAGCTCCGACACGTGCATTTAATCTCTGAGTACCAACACTTCATGATCATATTCATTGCAGACCCCGACTACTCGCAATGACCTTTATCAGAGCTTAGGTATTTATAGTCTGCCACGAACCCCACTACCGTCCGAGCCCCCTTTACGTCCCTCGAGTGGCGTCGACCACTGCGTTGTTCCATTCCATTGGCTCGCTTCCCTTCATCATGAATACCTCACCTCAGACTCGCCTCAATCGTCTGTTTGCTGGGAAGCCGTTACCAACTCCTCCAGTCCCAGGCGAGCTTCATTTTTCCGAGAAGGAACTGAAAGAGAATATTGAACAATCGCGGAAGACACCTGCCACAGTGCAACATCCTCAAAAGGCCCCTAGCCCTCCAAAACCCCAGTCTACTTCAGCGACCGATGGTTGGAGCAGTGCTGATGATGATGATGACTCTGTGGCTGCCTTCAGACCGAAGCCGTCTATGAAGGCTCCCACCCAGCAACCAGACCAGAAGTTGACCTCAAGAACGATACTTGAATCAACTGCCCGTGCTTCGCGTGAAGGGGTGTCCACCGAGGCTGAATCATCAAGCGGTTCTGTTTGCCAGAGCAACAACCCCTCCAAAGTCATGGCTGATGAGAAGCAAGGATCCATAGCTCACGGCCAAATCCAGAGCATTCCAGATTCCGAAGAGCAAAACCCAGAGACTACGAGACAGTACTGTCAGTTTCTTCTTGCTGCTAAGTTTCCATACAAATACATGAATGATGGTGATGACAGAGTTTCGAAACGTTTCTTCGCCAACAACAAATTCTACAACCGAGACTGGGATATGTGAGTGTTTTCTATCATTGCTTGCTTGCCCTGCATTTCCACATTCTTTCATTATCATCGTTGAATTAACAGTTTATTGCAGCTATTATCTACATCCGCCCTTCAGTCTGGGTTCGAAACCAATCATTCTGGTTCCATATGCCCAGGTGCACAAACTAGTAACCGAAATTGGCGAGGCCTTCAAGGTTGAAGTCTCGGTACCAGACTTCCCTTTCACCGTCAAGTTCTCTGACGATGGGACCCCTCAACCACAATTTCTCGGAAACTCCAAGTCAAGAGACCAATTTATGAGTTTACAAAATTCAATCGACTTGCCTTCCAAGGGTCATGGCGAATGTCCTGCAAACGCATCACCGCATTTAGCGCAACAATTTGTATCTTTCAGAGAACTATGTCTAGATGCACTTGCTGCCCACAAGAAAAAGTCTGGCGGGGGCAAAAGCACCACCAAGAAGAAAGAGGGTGATAGACTACTGTCTACTCATGATTTCAACTCACAGTTGAGAAGATTACAACGATATTTCGGGCTACGTGCCAAATCGGTCAAATCCCAGCCCCCTGAAATACACCCTTCCTGGACAGGAAAGGATGAACTGCGTCAGCCTCTAGAGAAAACAGTCATGGAAACTTTGCATGTTAACGAGGTGGCACCTTACCCCTTCGAGAAAGAGCCAGTCTTCATCTCAGTCGACATTGAATCATATGAAAGAGCTCACAATCTAATAACTGAAGTCGGTGTCAGTACCCTGGACACCCTCGATCTCATCGATACTCCCCCCGGCGAGAACGGCAAGAACTGGATCAACTGTATTCGCTCACGTCATTTCAGAATCAAGGACCATGCTCACCTAGTCAACCGGGATTTCTGCGTGGGCAACCCTGATGCGTTCCAGTTTGGCCGGTCGGAATGGGTTACTCTACAACAAGCTCCAACTGAGGTTGACAACTGTTTAAAGTGGCCATTCTCTGTTCAGTACAAATATGCTGGGCTTAAGGACGCCTGGGATACGGAATCCACTCCAGTGTCGAGGATGACAAGCGGCAGTTCTGAATCATCAGAAGCTATAGCCGGGAAATCCGCTGCCGGTGACTGCTCTGTGGACCCGAGTCAGGACCCAAATCTTCTCCAACGCGGCCCAAAAGATCGCAATATCATCCTTGTGGGACATGATATCAGAAGCGATCTCGACTATCTTCGCACCCTGGGAAGCAAGATTTTCACGCCTTCACGTGGTGCTTATCCTGTTGCGGCAATGGAGGCTGTGGATGAAGGAAGTGATACTACTCGAATTCTTTCTTCTATCGTCGAGGCTCTCGATACTGCTCCTCTTTATAAGGCCTATAAGAATGAGAGTCAACCCCGCAACCTCGGAGCCATAGGAACAAACTTGGGATTGCAGTGCTTCTTTATGCACAACGGAGGCAATGATGCAAGATATACTTTGGAAGCTCTGGTTGCTTTGGCAATTCAGGCACGATTGGTGGAAGATGCTGAGTCGCCAAGTAAAGAGGGCAGTTCCGCCGATCAAGCGATACGGAGTAAATCGGACCGTTCCGGTGGACTCGGGGCTGACAACGCTGCTGGAGACGTGGGTGCCATTACGGAGCGATTGAGCCTTGAGACTTCAGCCAATGGAGAAGGCGAAGAAGGCGAAGAAGAATGGGAGTTGTGAGCTTCTTAGGGACAAGGATTTGCGATTTTGGCGCCAGAACGAAGCATGATTCTTCTACGACTCGATGACAGAGTGACGGCGTGGGTTTTAGAGCAGTGCTGGAGTTCTATTTATGTGCATGCTACGGTAAATCTAAATCTTCTTGGGGACGGTTGGTGACACGGTGGTATCAATCAGACTCGATGCCCAAGGTAAAGTCTCATATGCAGCAACGGCCTGACAATGAATGAATGGATGAACGAGTGAAGAAATGGCAAGTCTTGTTGTCATCGTTGTTCCGATGTTGCGTTCTCTGTTAGCATCATTCCTTATTACTCCCTGGCGACCGGTTCCTTTCTACCATACTGGCCCTGAACATACAATCACGCGTCCAACCCAATCTGTCCTCATCCCTGTCTGCTATCATCACCCCAATATGGCTGGACGACTGCGACAGAATCCGACGGCCAACACTGGTTTCCAGATCAGAACGAAATGAGAATCGCAACAGATCATGGTCTGTGCACGGGAATCACTTGATTGATTCATCTATCTACCAGACCATCCTGTTTGACTGGACTATCACAGCAATCGGGATCCATAAGAGTACGTGGTTCGGTATCGGTACACAGTTAACCAGACCGGGCCTCTGTCTCCTCCGGTGCAGGCGCAGCAGGGACAACAGAGCGGGTTTTGGTCTCCGTCACATCCAGCGTCGACGTCATCATCAGTCTCACTACCACTGTCGTCGTCGTCGTCCCTTGTGCTCCTTGTAATGTAGAATCCGGATCTACACTCACGGTGTCCGTTACTCTTGATTCCGAACGTGCGGTCTGGGTCCGGGGCTGGGGATGCATGTGCGAAACAGCTTCGACGAGCCAGGTCTTCGTCGTGGGCGTGGACACGGCAATGGTCACTGTCTCGGTGCCATCTGGGGACACGTCGCCTGCTATGCGACTGCGCACGATGCTCGAGTCTGTAACTACGCTCGTCAAACTGAGGGTGGTGCTTAGTGAAACTGTCGTTGTGGTGCTCGTTGTGCCGGACGTGATGACTGCGAGCTGTGTGAATGGAAGTTAGATTGATTTTGACACAACAGAATGAATAAAAACAAAACTTCACTTTGAATCTCCGCATCTCGTGAGAGATGGAGAGATGGATTGGTGGATGGATGGATGGATGAACGCGACGTCTAAACGGTATACGTACCCCTTCAAAGCTGACGACTTTACTCTCCGTTGTCGTCCTCGTGGTGCTCGTCACGCTCCATCTCTCGCTGCTCGTCACGCACTCCACTCCCGTCGCAAAGGGGAGGCAATTCTCCACTCGAACTGTCGGCGGTACGCGAGCGGAGGATGGCGGCAGCGGCGAGGAGGGTGAGGATGAGGACGAGAATGATGACCATGTGACGGGTACCAGATCGTACCAAGGCGCCGCGTAGAACGCCATGGGATCTGTGACTCTCGCCGCCGAGGCAGACGTGGTAGCTTCGGCTTCCCCGTCAGCCAGCAGCATGATGCTGGTTTCCGCTGTAACATAGTCACCAGCCCCATTAGGGGATGACGATGTACACCCGCACAGCCGCTCACTCGAGAACGTGACCCATTGACCGCAGTCTGTGACCTGGACGGGAAGCATGCCCACTCCGGGGTTGACAGTCGTGATACACGCCTGCGTCGTCAAGGGAGAATACACAGTCTGACATCCGGACGGGTCGAGGATGATTCTCGCCATGTCATCATCCGCCACCGACGCACCTGTATCTTCTCGGTCTTCTTTTTTTGTTTCTCCATTTCCACTCGACGACGTCGATGTCATCGTCCTCGCGATACGCGTGGAGCTCGTGCTTAGAAACACAGTCGTCCTCCCACCTGGAAGAGTTGCTGTAGCGTTGACCTGAACGGGAAGGTAGTAGTCCGTCACCATGTTGTTGTTGCTGTTGCTACTGCTGCTGCTGCTGCTGCTGCTGTTAATCTCTGTGACAGTTGTATTCGACGTCGGTGCCATTGTGAAGAAAGGACCTTCCGCGCTCACACGGCATAGTGTCGCCACTGGTACTTGGACCACCGTCGTGGGAAACACGTAAGAAGAACCCGTCCAGTTAGCAGCAGTATAGATTGGAACCACCACCACGCTCGACAGGGCGACAGTGGACATTGTGCCTGGATCTTGAGGAGACAATGTCTCCTCCGCGTCAAAACCACCTGGAGAAGTGGGTATCGGAGACACTTGCGGGCTCGATGGGTTTTGTTGTCCCCCGTCATGATTTGCAGCCTGTCGTGGTCGTGGGTGGTTGGGATGGTTGTGAGACTTGCCGTCGTATCTGAAGAATGCGCTGACGGGTGGTAAAAGAGCGGCAACGAAGGCAGCACTACTCAAGTTGCTGATAAACATCGTATGGTGGTAATCGAGACGGGTCAAAAGGAAAGCTTGGGTTTAAGAGATCTCCGCCAGCGAAGAATCACGGCCACCAGGGACAAAGAAAAGAGCGTCACTTTAATACGCGAGAAGAAACTGAATGGCAGGAAATGGAGTGCTCACAAGGCTCAATTATACATTTTCTCATGTCTTTTGACCAGCCATGGACTCTGGCTAGCTGGAATGTCGGAAATTTCGGTGTGGTCTGGGAGAGGTATGCGGGATGTGTCACAGCCCCTTGAACAAGACGTCTCCCAAGGGCCGGAGACGAACACCCTGGATCTGCCGATTCATTTGGTTAACCGTACAGCGCCCTCTCTCAAGAGTCAACACACAGACAATCGTGACCTGAAGGATGGAGGTAAAAGCATATGGCCTCTGGATTGATAGCGATTTAGGTGTTGTCTGCGGTCACCCTTAATGCATCGCATGTGTGCTCCTTGCAGTGTTGACAACTCAGTGCCCCCATCCTATAGCAGTCGGGAGTACGCTGAAGGAGTCCTTGTTGAGACGTTTGATAGAATAATTAGCACCATGGTACAAAGAGTAGGTCGGCTGCTCAGCTGCTCAGCATCGCACGGCACATCAGTTTTGAAAGGTAGGATCATAAAAGCCAGAACTTGTCGCTGGTTGGTCGCCATAATTGGCAGGATAATTGGCAGAATAATCGGAAGAATAGTTCTGAGCGAATCCCTAGCTGTACCCAGGACCACCTCCTCGACTGCTCTGACCACCACCTTGGAAATTTTGCTGCTGAGGGTCTTGGAAAGCGTTACCCATAAAGTCCATCTCTGTAGCCCTTGCTTGCGAAAACGGTATCGCTTGTCCTGGGAACTCCGCTGGGAAATATTGATCGAATGCCATCATCGGGTCGTACAGGGCAAAGGCCTGTGAAGTTGGTATCTGAGGCATCGCCTGAGGCCCAGAAGCGTACATTGAGGGCACATTTGGTGCGGTACTAAATATGTCACCAGAAGCTCCGGCGAACGGGTAGCCAGAGATGCCCGAGACCATGGCATCTTGCATCGATATATCCGACTTCCCAGGTGGCTGCTGTGGAACGTCGCCAACATCTCGACCAACTTTCTTGACGGAGGCTTGGAGCATGGGAAAACATATGGCCCAAGCTCGTTTCGCCGATGCGCTGTCTTCGCCGAGAGCGTGCAACCATCGAATACCCTTCTTGCATGCCTCCAGAATCGCGTCAACCTCCTCAGGCATATGATTGGAACGAAACGATATTTCGAGCATCAACACTGACGTACACTGTACAAGCCAATGCAGAATGCCCCACCATGGCCCAACTTTCAGAAGACCCACGGCGTTTGGTTCATCTGGTATCAACTCCAACATTTCCATTGCGGCCTTGACACATGAAGCGGCAGAATTGCGGTTGAACTCCATCGACTTGTTCGATTGGTTTGGGATCTTGCGGTCGAGACGACAGAGACATGGCCGATGGATAGTGATCTTAGTACTATAGTACACGAAGCCAAGATTCAAGCGGTGTTCGTAAGACTCGCGGTCACGCTGCTTGCGGCGAAAGGCGAAAGGCTGAGGGAGTTTCCTGTACCATCGCTCAAGCTGCTCGTCAAGGTCTGCTATTTTGGCTTGGACATCAGACCAGGTGCCGGTGAGCGAGGTAGGGTTGTAGAGGCCGTGGAAGATATCCTGGGCCAGCCGGCTTATCTGGACAAGATGCAGAAAGTAGAGAGAGTTGTTGGGAGGAATATCCTTTGCCCATTCAAGATCTCCTTGGCCGGTAGGCATGGATGGAGACCGGGAATTGATCTTGGTTTGAGAGCGAGAACGCTCCGATGATGGAGTTGAATTTGAGACGGTAGGAGTTTGCGGGTTTGAGGAAGGAGCGCGATCGCCCTGCTGACTCTCTTTGCTCAGAAGTTTCACACCCTCTTCTGTCTCGAATTTGTCTTCCTCCAGGGGAACGGGAAGAGGTGTCGTACAGTGGTCGTCCAGGATGCAGCTGACTCTCCCTGTCATGTTACAAATATTGTGTTCCAAGCAGTAAAGCGCCCACCAGACACGATAGCGAATTTCCTTGAGCGGATTCGCGAGATTGGCACTGTCATTCCGTAAATTCATGCCGAGCGAGACGGCAGCTCGAATTGCTACGCCAGAAAGAAGCCACGCTCTGTCTCAATTAGCCACTCGTCTAATCAACTGTCAAGTATACCTACCTGTTGACATGGCTAGCACAGAACAGATAGAATGACATCAAAGCTAGAACTTGAATTTGCTGGAGATCAGGATGCTGGAACAATGTCTCGGAATTCATGGTAAGCAGGCGCGCGCGAGTGAAGTAGATGAGATGATCACGTTCGTCGCCTTGCCAGTCTGCCTTGACAAGATGAGAATACCTTGCACCGATGGCGAAAATCATGTTGATTATAGCAAGCCATTTCTCGGGTGGTCTCTGGATCGTCCCACTGATAAACTTTCGAAATTGAGCTCCTAGATTGATTTTGCCTACAACGGGGAAAGTCGGATGAACTCGGCTGATATATGCATTGAACAGCTGATGGGCGGCCTCGGGGGTTGGCATCTCGTAAGGGTCAACGGCTTCAAATGTGAAGATGGAGGTGTCGTCTAGATGATAATTGTAGTCGCTCATCGCATAGCTGTCGTCAGCTTCTGCAAGCGATACTTGCATATCGGAAGGTGGGCGCATGGAGGAAAACGATGTAACCGAAGCCTGCGCCAACTTCTTCTGTCGGTCATCACCTAGAACACTTCCTGGTTTGTCTCCGAATGAGTTTTCTTCCCGTAGACGCTGTAGCCAGGTGACTTCTGAAGTCTTTCCCATGTAGCCGGTAGTCCTGGCTTTCTCGCGGGTGAAATCTTCGTCTGTTCGATCGAGCGCACCGGTCGAGCCGGCCCCAGCTGACGCATCAGACTCGGCGCCCGATCGGGAATCCTCTTTCTCAATACTCGGAATAGCAGAGAGTGTTAACGTTCCCGGCTCTGTCGCAGTATCTTCATTGTCGTAGGGAACCTAAGGAAATCAGTCAAGTAGAGCAAAGAAGCCTGCCGGTAGCTTACACTCTCCAGAGAAGCGCGAATCAACTGCGCGTCCTCATCCTGGACCCTACCCAAGAGGTCTTTCAGAAGTTTCTCGTACTCGGCCACTTTCTCTGTCATAGTGCCAAACTGTCTGCTCGGTGGTCAGCCTGCAGTCTCTCTCTCGGAAGGTAGAAGTCTCAATTTACTTTCTGACTCTGTCTCTTTTGCCATCCGCATAGAAACAGGCTATTTTGAAGTCCTGGCAATGCCTGCAGACGGGTCGTTCCCCGCTGCATTTTGTCTTCCTGTGGCGACAGGGTTCGCAAGCATGATTGACTCGATGCCTTCCGCCCGAGCGGTTGCCTTCGTCGCCAACAGCGTCAATAGATCTCTTAAGTCTCGGTATGGCAACTTTGCCTGAATTTGTAGACGATTCACCGATCGCGGATTTCGGGGATTGAGGAACTCGGAAGGACGATGTCTGCACAGTCGTTCCCGGAATTTGTGCGGTAGTGGAAGGTGGTGCTGGAGTGTTGGTTGACTCGATTGAGCGTGCAGGAATCTGGGATCGTGAGGAAGAGCGTGGTCGATCTGGTATGGACAGTGGCCGCGCCGCACCACCACCTCTCGTACTACCACCGCCGCCGCCAGTAGATCGGTGCTGCTGGTCCGACATACTGACTACTCGTGTCCACGCACAGAGGCAATGGTTGTGATTTGCAGGTCAGACTCGCTTTGAGTTTGTGGATTCATGGAGTGCTGGAGAGACCGAGGAACCGGGACAGATGTACTATGGTCGATTATTCAAACAGGCGTATGACCGAGAAGATATGCCGCATAGTCAAGTGTAAAGCATGTGGACCGTGAGCCACGTTACAAAACGTGTATGTGTGAGCGTTCCATAGCTTCTGACAGGATGTTTCTTCCTTTCTGGCTGGCAGCCTCCCGCAACTCAACTCAAAACGCCCCTCATATCAAACTCTTTTCTCCCAATGACATCAAGCGGCAGTAGTTTCCGGCTGGCTAAAAAACCCACCTCTATCAAGTGGGCCAGTGACCATATATAAGGCACTTATCCAGTTATCATTACAACAGGTGCACAAGCATGAGCATTCCCAGACTAGGTTTCTTGATAACTCTATCATAGGACGCCCTCTTTTAGCCCCGGCGATCTTATGAGGCCATGATCTGCCCGCATGCAAAACTCGTGGCAGTGGGCTCGAACAATCGACACTCCCAGCCTCGCCGCGTGGACAATGATATCACAATGCAACAATCAGGCCGTACCCAGCTCCAGCACAGGTGTTGCTCGTGATGAGGAGTCCGCAGCATGTACTTTAGCATCTCGAGCTTTTGCGGTGTGCAATCCGGGGGGGGGGGGGGGGAATGAGATGGCAAGCTTGTCAGCAGCCAACCCTGTTCTATCGAAGACCTGTGTTGACGCAGATTCCTCCTCGTTTCCTGCTTATCCTATTCTTGTCGCTGCCGCTTCGCTCCATGTTGATTCCAGTCGCCGCCGCCGAAGCCTTGTCCCTGGCCCGCATTGAACATTCCCGGATTGAATTGATTGCCTTGAAATCCTACAAAACACAATCAGTGTTCTTGATCAGGTCGGGGGGTCAACTGAAGCTTACCTGGCATACCCATTCCGGCCATCATGGGATTCATGCCCATGTTGCCCATTCCCATGGCTCCTCCCATGCCCATCATGGGATTCATTCCTCCCCGATTTCCTCGCATGCCGCCCATGTTGCCTCGCATGGGTCCGCCCATCATGCCGCCTCGGTTGAAGCCTCCATAGTTGTTGTTCATGCCCATATTGCCTTGGAAGCCCATGTTATTGTTGCTGCTGTTATAGCCGCCCATGGGTCCAGAGAAATTGCGATTGTATTGGCCTTGTCCACCATAGCCGCCGCGGTGAAAACTTCCTCCTCGGCCACCACGGAACCCTTGATTGGCCCCGTAAGCGTTTTCTGAGCGTGGTCCAGAATTGAACCCGCCCCCGCGAACAGGTCGCTCGTCCCTTGCCCTGGCTGGCGCATCCTTCGGCAGTGTTTTGAACGGGTTCTGAGTGGCATTCGTGAAGACGACAGAGTGCTTACGGGCGCCCGGTTGAGCTCCGTCCTGGGATTCGATTCTGTGTTTTGCCACGGTTGCCGCTTGGGGTGAAGAGAACTCGATGTATGCTTGCCTAAGATATGGTTAGAAATACATATGCATGCAGCGGTTAAGATAATTGCCAACCCTTTGCTCTTGCCATTGACTTTGTGCTCGCTGAAGGTAATATCTCTCAGCTCGTCTTCAGCTCCTGCTTCATTAGCCCAGCCTCGGAGGTCATCCTCGGTAATCCACCAATTCAAATCTGAAATCATAAGGGCATTCGTTGCGCCGTGGTCAACGGGTCTCTCGTCTGAAGTTTCCTTCCGTTTAACCCCCTGCTGCGGCGCAGGCGTGGTCTTGACTGCTGTGGCATTGGGTTTTTCCGTGGGCTCTTCTGCTACAGCTTGGGCTTGCGACGCTTGCTTATGTATCTGCTCCTTCTCTGCCTCACTTTCAGGCTTTACGTCTTCACCCGCCTGCATATGATGCTCACTTTCCGCATCCATGGCAAACAGGTTCTCTTCGTCTTCTTGTTTGTATTCCATGTTTTCGTCGTTTCCAGTCTCACCTTCTCCGTCTCCATAGATGTCAATGTCAAAGTTGTCCTCCTCGGCAGCCATGGTAAGAGAGGTGGAGGTGTAAGAAGACGTCGATTTTCTGTCTGAAAGTTATGCACAAGATGATCAAGATCGAGCTCTGCAATTCCATGCTGTATTAGCCAAGATACAAGAGAAGGATAGCGATACAGGCCCCAAGTGACAGTCCCAAACTCCCGCTCTACAGCTGTGCCAGCAAGACATACGTACAGAGGTGCTCAATTCGACGGTCCAGTCGCTTTCATCAGAAACCTTTGTTTGCGATAATACATGAAGCAGTCCAGCTGTCTCCTTGAAAGAATATAGATACAAGTGCCCAGGACCTCAACACCATGCAGCGTTCGAAAAGGAGTGTTCCGCGCAAGTCAATGAACCTCTTTGGACTGTGTGCTGCCCTCCACAGTGATGAGGCTATTGTTACACTTCAGAGCCTTGAATCTAAAGATGCGACGACTTGTTGAGCGTCTGGGCCAAGGTCTCCTGTACCAGCCTTGACGAGGGAAATCAGTCGGCTGTCAATCTGTCAAGGGCTAGTGAACCTGGAACCGAATCTGCGACGAAAAGATGTGGAAGAACGCACAAAGCGGAGGTGTTGAAGAATACAATAAAAACGAATATTTGAGGCGATGGTGTGTTGAAGTTAAAGAGGTGCGAAGTTGAAATACCCTCTCTAATAGTAGTCAGAGGGAGAGAGACTGCGCAGGATACGAAGCCCTCTGCCTGACACAGCCCTTTGTTAGCAGTACATTCGGCACCTCGCCAAGCGCTGCAGCTGTGCTAACAAAGCATCACCTGTCCTGGCTGTCCAGGGAGATGCATTGCAGCGTACTCCGTCCTCGTAGTGCCTACTACTCCGTACTAAGATAGTTAGTGAGCCCGTTCTCGACCTCCAACTGAAGCCACCTTTGCCTACACCAAGTCTTTCCCCATATTCGGTCACCTCATAAATTCAGCGATCAACTCGTGCTTTCAACGACCTGTCCACTAATTCTCGCAAAGCCAGAACTACTCAACCTGTTCAATACTCCTTACCGCGACCCATCCACCACGACCCTCAAAGCACAAGGATAGTTCACCTGCCCTCGATTGCACCTCCAAGCTCCAACACCCACAATGTCAGACCTTCTGCAAGAGATGGCCGATGTGCCAAAGGACTTTTTCAAGGATGGAACACAGTTCATCAACAGATGCACCAAGCGTACGTGACCTACTTCCCATACCACTCATCGTCCTTTGAGCGTGGTCCCCATGCAAGGGCAAAGGCACAAAGGCAGATGCAAGCAAATGCGGCGAGCGCAAACGAGCAGGAGCGAAAGCAAGATCACACGGGATGCATTGCTTTGCAAATCCCCCCAAATCGCGTGTTGATGAAGCTGTTACTTTGTCCACAGGGGGACTGACAAGGGGCCGTCGAGACACGAGACACGTTGGGACCATCTCCTATGACACGCCTCCCCCTCTGCGTGTATTTATTTCTTCGCGCTCGTACCCGCGCACGCATGCGTGCGCCCCAACACGCTCTTTTATCGCACGTATGTTTGCTAACGTCACCTTCTCTACTCAGCCGACCGGAGAGAATTCATCAAGATCTCGCAAGCGGTGGGCATGGGTTTCTTGATCATGGGAGCGATCGGCTACTTCATCAAGCTGAGTAGGTCACAAATCTCCACACCTTCACCAGAAACCTGACCCTGAAGCGGGACACCGAGAGCCTCGTCGCTGACCCTGACACCCACTGCCATTTATAGTACACATCCCCGTCAACAACGTATTAGTAGGATGATTTTGAACCAAAAGAAGAGAAAATTCCGAAGAAGCCGCGCATACACAGACAATCGCTCCCGCGAGTTTCGAAGAATGGAGGAAAAGCGAACACTATAATGAATCACAAGAAAGTTTATGTACCACCAGTCAAAGTGTCAGGGCGAGGCAATTTCAAAACACTACGCAATGCAGATGTCCTGTTTTACCGTGACGGGAAGCTAGGATAACGTTTTTCGTCAACGTCGCCTTCAATCGCGAGTCTACAAAGAGTTCCTGTCGATATGTCGCCGAGAGCCCTGGTCGGTGTTGATCAAGGAAAGAGAGACAGTGACGCTTTGAAACTTGCGCTGTCATTTTCATAACACTGCATGCGAAGGGACATCAGATGTTCTTGATCATTTTTGAAATTTCTGCTGACCCCCATGGCTATATTCAATTTTATCGTGTCGTAAAGTCCATTGTATCGTCATGATTTCCTGCGATCGTAAGCTTTCCAATTGCATTTGCCTTGCTCCCAGAGCCTTTGGACAAGCCCAAATACCCGCACAAGTACTAGTTCTAATTCCAATTCCTGAAGTCCACCTCGAGGAGCGGGAGTCATGAAGCCTCTGGCCATGCAGTCCTCCTCAAACTCACCCTCCTCAACCCACGTCGTACTGCGTTCAATGATTGTCACCAGAGTCCACCTCCACCACCTCCCTCGTCGTCGTCGTCGTCATCCTCGCCATACCTGTGCGGTCTGACCACGCTACTCCGCAACCCTCTTCCCTCCGCTCTACTCCGCGTGTACTTGTCGACGTTTCGGGCCTTCCTCGCCGCAGCGTCGAAATCTTCCCTAGGATCCAGTCGTGCGTTGTAGTTGCTGCCCATGGCTGGCTTCGCCTCGTCGTCCTCGGCCCCGTCGTTCCAGCAATGCAAACTGACTGTGCCAGTCGCCATGCCCCAGCCGTTCCAGCTCGTGGCAGCTAGCACCGGGGCCGTCGGGCTCCAGCTCGCGTCTCGCACACACGTCTTCCACACGCTGTTGTGGTGCCCGTGCAACTCGTACCCGTACCCATCGCCGCCGTCGGTGCGTGACCGCGCAAACTTGGTAGCGGCAAACACGTCAATGGTCGCCTTGCGCGTCCCGTCCATGTTCCAGATATACACCTTGCCATCCTCAGACCCTGAGTACACGTATCTACTGTTGGAACTTCCCGGCGGGCTGAAGTGACACCGTATCAAGGTCTTGAGCACGCTGTGTCCTCTGAACGTCACGACGGAGCAGTCGTGCGGGTTTGGCACATAGTCGTCTTCGTCGTACGGACTGAATCGATAGTCGAAATTCGTCGTGTAATTGTGCATGGCGATATTCTGGAAGTCGTTGGGCGAAATCATTCGTCGCAAATCCCACAGCTTCATCATCTGGTCTTTGCCGTTAGATAAAACATACCGTCCGTCACCCTTGGAATCGACATATGTCAGACCCTCCGTGTGTCCGACAAATATACCTGCGGGCCGTCCATCCGCCATAGACCGTCGATCCCATACTCGCAGCGTCTGATCATCACTGCCGCTGTAAAGGATGTGTGGCGACGACTTGTCGCCAAAGCATACCGCATTGACGTCGTCTTCATGGTTTGTCAGGCGGACGGTGCTCTGGCGGCGTTCAATGTCGTAAACCACAACGCTGTGGTCACTTGTACCTGCGACGATCTCTCGTCCGTCGCCGCTAAAGCGCAGAGACCAGATGCCGAAGCCGTGTCGGCCCATATAACCGTATGTCGAGCGGCCGAGGCCGGCACCGGGGGCGAAGTTTGTGAAATCCAGCAGTGTGTGCTCAGAATGATCTGTTGGGTCTGTTGGCGCAAGGCACACTGTGTGCCGAATACTGCTGTACGCCAGCCACTTGTTATCCGGAGAGAGTGTGGCGTCTGTGATTGTCCATTGACCGAACGGATAATCCACCGTCTTATAGTACTTCCACTCGTAGGGGTTGCTGGTGTCGTACATCCTGACCTTGAAGTTCTGGGTACAACTGAAGAAGAAATTGCCGTCGTCTGAGAACTGACCGCTATACGCCCGGCTATCGTAGTGAATGATCTTGTCTGCTACCGAGCTCGCAGGGACGCTGTTCTGCGCAATCAGCCTGTTCTGCTTACGCATGCTGCTTCTGGCATCCAGGCCGAGTCGTCGCCAAAGTAAGCGTTCGCTGATTGTCTGTTTCCGCTTGCGGAGAGTATCTATATGTGAATCTTTACTCCCATATATCCCACTGTTCATAAGTGCCCGGCCGGCGTCGCTGGGTACCTTGGGAAATCTGTCAGGCGCAGGCTTGGGACGGCCTCGTCGTCGGCGCCGAGCGCTGAAACCGCCATAGCCGGGTTCGTAATCGTCGTCATCGTCGTCGCCGAAGAGATCACGGCCATTCGGACCGAGGAGTCGGTAGCGGGAGAGAATTAATTGCCGCAGAGGAGCGCTGGCGTTGAGAAGGCCACGAATGTCGGCAGTGGTCACTGTTGCGATGGGGTTAGTCGCTCAGCAACGCACTGGGGAGCACATATCACGAACATAAACCGTGAGCAGCCAGTCCAGTGTTCTCGGTCTCCGTTTGCTCGCCATCCTCATCCTCGTAATCATCATCATCACCGGTCTCCAGCACGATCTCAATACCATTGAGACTCTCATGCGCATCTAGAAGATGTTAGCAGAGATAAAAGGACCGAATGAGCCCCATTAGTACCAGCAAAGTCTGCATCACTATCATCTTCGTCCTGCTGGCTGGCATCGGTGCTCTGTTCTTCAGTAGGGTGGAAACTGTCAATGTCATCATCATCATCCTCGTCTCCGGTGAAGATGTCCAGGATATTGGCGGGGGAAGGGCTCAGGCCTTCGCGTTCATCTCTTTGAGCCATAATTAACGATTCGACTGCAGATGTCTACTTAACGCATTAGGTGGTAAGGAATGGTTCGATACGCTGCGAGGAGAATGCAGTATCGCCAGTATGTCGTGCTTCCTTCTCATGGATGGGACGGCATGGGATTTGCTTATCTCCGAGAAAATGACGACTATATTATTTATTTGGCCGCATTTTCCCGCCTGCACAGGCAGAAACCACGATGTTGCGAATTGCTCTCGCAGAACGATACAAAGATCCTGTCCGCCTTCATTCTACGCGGCATCATCAGACCGAACGACTGGTATATGCTTACAAGTATCTTACCGCCATTTTCCGATAGGAGTCGGAATCTAGCATTGAATCACCCCAAGTTCGTTGGATGCATTGACAGATTACTGATACTGACAGACGTGAAAAGCCCTTCCCTATCCTCGGGGTAGGACCTTTTCGCGACTCCCGATACCCGGTAAATGATCATGGTTCGTGCAAATACTCAGACACCAGAGTACAGCACACCGAATTGTTCCTCACTTGTCATCCAACGTGCATGTCGACTGGCTATCCGTCCAACCGACCAAGATGTTTGCAATGTCGCTGGCATAACAGTGCGTGGCAGAGCCTTTGCCCAGGTCACCCGAGTCGTCAATAGCCCCAGAATTGTACAAGCGAGCAGCACGGTAATAGGCCTCTGCATACCCAACGCCTTCGACGTCTTTTTGGGCATTGATGTCGGCAGCATATCCGTGCCCAGCCTCTGTGCCGCCAACTGCATTGTGCCCATTAGTCTCTCATATTTTGAATCTATCTCAGCGCACTCACCTCCATCAGCGATCATGCCCAAGATCTGATCTTTGGGGCATGGATTAAGGACTTTTCCATCGTTGCAAGAGTGCGTCCCCTTGAACGACTGGAGCAAGCCTGGATTTTTGATACCATCTGGGGACACGCTTGTCTTCGCTCGAACACATCCCTTGGTTTCTTGGAGAACACCAGCGAGGATGAACCGGTGGTCTACCCTGGTCTGGTGTGCAATCTGCTTTATCGAATCATACAGGTCCTGGATCTCTTGATCTGAATTGTTGGGTACTCCGTAGATCTGGTCACAGCTTCGGCTGATGATATGTTGATTTGAAACCCATAAGTCGTTGAAGGAAGTCCACGTCAATTGATCAGGCCATCCTGCGGCAACTGAGCCGTTTCCTTCATACTGTGTGTAATGGTTCGATCCACCTTTTCCAACCTGTCATCAGTGACATTAATTGTGCGTAAGAATTGCGCTACGCACCGTCGTAGTCGTTCCAATAGCCGTCCGTTCCTAGAGTACCCTGAACAACATCTTCGGCTCGTTTGACAAGAGGGGAGGCAAAGGTCGACGCAGCCAGTAACGTCGTTAAATATCGCTGCAGAGTCGCCGTCAGTCTTTTTACTCGTCAAATCCACCGGGTCTCTGCTTACCAGCCCTGTGATCCCCATAGTCACGATTGTTCCTCAGGTGAACGGGCGGGGCCCTGCCGTGCACCGCACGAGGCCAAAGTTATGCTCAAAAACGCAGAAGAATTGATGGAATGGAAGGGCAAGTGGAAACCATGAACAAGGTAGAAGAGACGAGGGAAAGACCAAGATCGCTGTAATAGTAGACCTCCAAACAACATGCACGAACGTTAGAAAAAGCAAGACTCGCGCGAGAACGACCGCATGGGATGTTTCAGGAGCCAGATAGTGTTAGGCCGAGCCCATCATCGCATGATCGAGTTTGCAAGGCCACCCAAGGGCGACACACAGAGGGCCGAGATCGAACAGGCCTTATCCACAGCATCGCCCATTGTGAACTGCGAAAGCATTGCCTCGCGTGTCATAATACCCACATGAAACGCTCACCTGCAACTGGATTCGAAAGAAAATGGCAGGTAGGATCTCCGGATGTTGCATGGATCAGTCCCATTAGCGATCAACTACTTTTTAAAGTAGCAGAGTGGAAACACGGCGGTGGCATCGGGGGCCTTCAACGAACCGCCACCACTGCCCCTGCATGCGACCTCCGTTGACTCACCGTCGAAGCTGCCATGGTGATATGTGACTTGCATGGAATGTCATGAGGGAGGAGGCAGAAATGCAAGATATTGAACAATGACATCTGCAGTTGTTAGCTCTTCTTCCATCGACGCACTTACGCCATCTGCAACCGCCTCGCTATACGAAATACGGCGGTGCCAATGGAGAGCTTCCATCGACCGCGAGTCCAGGTATGTCTAGGAGTACGATCCAGCTTATTAAGTGTAGTATGCACACTTGTCATCAACTTTGCTCTAGAGATGAGCTCGCTGCACTCTCGTGATGACCTCCCTCCAACAAGGGACCGACATACAAACGCCGTGGCTATATACTAGGTATCTTCACAGGGAATACATACCTCGGATGGCACTAACATCTGGACCATCAGCCTGCTCAAGTCGGCTGTCTACGCGTTCATGTCCCAAAGGCTGATTCGGAGAACGACTACTTGATCGATTCCCGCAGACAAGGACCGACATGAAGACAACCGAGCCGCCTATTCATCGCTTACATCAACCACGGGGTTTCAACAGGCGTCCAACTGGACGCCAAGATGGTGTGAGGCTACCTCAAGGCAACTCGAGTCTCGTTCGTATCAGTCATTATGGGCTGTGCAACCCCTCCAGACCTGTTCACAGCCTCACAATGCGTCCCCGTGCCCGTGGTTCAGCTCTTCTGTGTTTATAGCCCACCGATGAATCTCTTCTCGTTCACAAACACTCTCATGATTTATCCGGGCCAGATAAAAGCAAGGCGTCCTTACAATACTACAGCCGTGAAACGATTCTCTGTTGATGCCTTGCATTTCTCTCGGCCAGCATGGCCGAGGTTGGCTTGGTCGCGTCACTCATCGGCATCGCAGCCTTTGGTGTGAGATTGACGACAGAACTCTACCAGTTCGGTGCCACCGCATCTTCTGCCAGAGAACAGACGGACTTTATCGCGAGAAATCTCAGGCTGTACTCGGACGTGCTTGAGCTTCTGGCCGACCGCATCGACGATGACGAACCTATTCATTCCGACAAGGCTCTTGACCTCGTTGATGAAATTTACCACCAATCGCACGATCTTTTCTATCGCATTGAAGACCTGCTGCCGAAACGCATGAATCTCGTCCAAAGGATCAAATGGACCTACTCCAAAGCCAAGGTAGAAGTCCTCGTGGCTGAAATTGAGTATCTGAAAAGCACTGTCAATCTACTCGTTAGCGTTCTATATACTGGAAAGACGATCCGCTCGTATAGGAAGCAAAAACGGTCAAAGGACTATGTCAATCAAATCGAACTGCAACGTATCAAGGTGCAAAATGCTATCGTCGAACAGATCAACGCGACTGACTCCAAGGTGAAACTACAAGCGGAGGCTGAGAAGGAAGAGAGAATCGCTCTCGAAGCCGAATCACATAGCTCCTGCCAAGCTATCAGCAAAGCACAAATCCACGGTACTGCACTCAGTCGGGATCTTGTCATCGCACAGTTTCGAGACTCTCTGGGATCAACGGTCGATATATCGGAGGAAAGAGGCATGATTATGAACCAATCAGTCGACTTGTTAAAGGAGCTATTGTCCCAATGGACAACGTTGGCAGAGCAGACCAATGCTTCGACGTCGAATATAACTGCAAACAGCCCACCTGATCGCCGAAAGCGACGGGGACATCAAGATCATGATCCTGCAGCCGAGGAACAGTGGCGTCGCGATCATAAGAGCCAAGCTGATCTTGCTAAAGATCTGGCTCGCGATCGTGCCAAGCTCGCCGACGAGTTAGAACAGCGTTCCACTCAAGCAGCTCAATACGAGCGTCAATTCCGAGAGATGGAGGCCTTGAACCGTGAACTTCAAAGTCGGTTGAAAGATCAACGACAATCCCAGATGCAGCATCCCTACGAAGGGCTGAGCATGCTCGAAATACTCACAAGACGGTCGAACCCCCCCGACGACGACGACAACAACAACAACAACAGTCCTGAGGTCTCGAAAGACCATGATAAACAGCCAAGTGGTCGTCCGTCGACAAAGCAGCCATGGCACCCCTATGATACAGGCCATCTTGGTGCTCAACCCGCCGGATCTAGGCACACCGCCCCGTACCAGGAGATCCCACTTCTATCTAAAGCAGAATCTCCAACATGGAGTAACGAATCCTTGATCAACGGCACCCGCCTTAAAGATCGGAGCGGGCAGAATGGCAGCTCCAATAAAGCCCCCTCCAACCGCAACGCGGTTGATGGACAGAAGAAACAGGATCGGGCCCCAAGCAGCAATGACAACCTTTCCGCAGGGCCCTGGCTCCATGGACACGAGAATCCTGCCCGACCGACCAGCAGTGCAACAGCTCCCCTCATACTCAGATCAGCTTTGGCTAGCAGCAAACCGAAGAAGCCCAGACTTGCTCGGGCGTCCATTCACTTTGCGCCCTACGCTTACGACAATGAAGGACGCAAGTACGATCTCCTGCAGCCAGACTCGCAAGACTCCCACAACACTTTAACCACGGAATCCAACGACGGCGGAAAATTACGCTACGCAGACCACATTATGATTAGTTCCACCGGTGAAGTGTTCGTATCCTGCTATGACAGCGTACAGCAAACTGCGTCCAGAAGATATCGATTTCCCATATATCGTGACGAGGCCTCGGCAAGATTGCCCAGGGCATTTGCCGCCATGACTGCTCGTGTCCGTTACGACACGCGCCGCAAGAAATTCTTTGCCGTAGAGGATGCCGAGGGCACAGTGGTGCAGCGTCCCGTTGAACAATGCTACCACAGGAGTTCGAAATTCTTTTTGATATCACCACCACCTGCCTTAAGAAAAGGCCCCCAGCCCTGACCTGCCGCTTTGACGTCCACAGATTGAAATGCTGGCAATTTCAAGTACAAATGGTGACAGGCGCAATGTAACGCGTTTCATGGATGCAGGTACTGAAAAGGACTTCCATTTTACAAGTACCTACTTCTCTCTACTTCTTTTTTGGTAATTTTGATATCATTGTTCTGTTCTTAGCTCTATGGACTAGTTCATCGACAAGTTTTTTTTCTTGAAGAATATCTATCAGCGTGCCATTCCACGATATTCTGATCAGGTAGGAAAACATTTCCCCTGTCCTGTCGTACCTGTACGCAGGTCACGTATTCTTCGTCCGTTGATTCAGGTACCTTTGCAAGCACGTCCCAAGCACATCCCAAGCATTCTTTCTGATATGAGCTCCAAATCATTCTGGTTTCCATGCATATTCATTCGTCCGTTCTTGTAATCTCACAACACACCTGGTAACTTGTTCACCTGCTGATGATCCTGATCCTGATCCTGATCCGTCTTCCTCTCATCTGTTGCAGTCTAGATCCATTCACTGCCTCCTGGCGCTGTTCCCGGCATTGGCGATTGCGATTGCGAGTCTTGGCGTGCATGTCCAGAACTGGCTTGCCGAGTACTTTGGCCTTGACCTGCTGGTGGTGCAAGCGCGGAATTGCGAGCCGATGTCAAACCATTGTCCCAAACCTCGTCGTCACATTCCTCAATGCGGATCTTCGGTTTGAGGGCCGGCGACGTGCTACCTCGAGTCTCTTGGACGTCTTCAATTGACATGAGTGCAGGACGAGAGTCGAATGCAGGTGATCGTCGGGGTCCAAAGTCCGAGATCGTACGTTTGAGTTTTGACGGAGCCAAGTAGAACGACGAGTCATACAAGTTTTCAGTGTGCAAATCCCACTCGTCAATCTTCGATCTAACATCCTCCATAGACCCAGTCCGCCCATGCTTCTGTGTGTCTACCAACAGATCGGTACGGTAGTTGGGCACTGTCAGATGGTTGTTATCAGGGAACATTCCGTCAAGACCTGGACTTCCGGTAGAGCTCATACCTCTGGTCTCACGGCTGTAGGTACTGCTTGCATAGGGGCTTTGCCTATTTCGATCGCAGCCGAGCATTGGCTTGAACACTGTAGATAGCGAAGAGAGGGAATGTCTCTGCGTCGGGTCTCGCGGCTTGGTCGCAGACATCACATCCAGAGGAGGGGTTGGGTTCGTACGCTTGCCAAACACATTTGCAGGAGACAGCTTCCTACTTAACCGGTTGATTGTCTTGGAAGGCTCAAGTTTCTTGGAAGACGTGAGCTTGGTTGGCGATGGGAGTGCTGCAGAGCTGGGAGTTCGTCTACGACTGCGGAGACCCGGATTTGAAGTCTTTTTGTCACCCACATGCATCAGAGCATCGGATTGAGACGCAAGGGTCGGAGGCGAGTGTCTCGAAGCCACAGGGGATGTTTGAGCAGTTGACGAACCACCAGGTGTCGTGAAAGGATTGGAAGCAGGCGTCCAGCCTCGTTTGGGCAGCTGTGCTTGAGAGTTCTCCTTGCTGGCTTCGCGATCAAAACGTTGCCGTATCTCTGCAAACGATGTTTCAGGTCTCGTCAGCATACCAGTTCGACTAAGATGGCGTGGGTTGCTCGCATTGATGCCTGTATAGGGATCAAAACACTCTTGCCCTTCCGCCAACGGGTGACTGTGGTCGTAAATGGGTTCTCTTCTGCGGCTGAGAGTTGTTGAACCTTCAGAATGTACTTGATTAAGCTGCAAATCCTCAGTGAAAGGGTGGGCATGCGTTGTTTCCCAGGTAGTCGATTCTGTGGAAAAAGAGTGTTCGGCGGTTCCGGAATTCGGAGCAGAGGTATTGGACGCCTTCGCAGCTACCGAGCTGGAGTCATGCTGTTCGAGCTCCCGGAAGAGTTTGCCAGGGTGTATGAGCCCACCTTTTCGACTGAGTCCTGCTGTAGGGATCGGAAACTTCTGCAATTGTCTCGTCAACGGTGGTGGTCTTCCAGCTGGCCGCGGTTTGAGGGGAAGCGGTTCCGGAACAGGCAAGATGTACTCATGCAAGCCATTGAGTCCACTTGCTGCCTTCTGATTTGGGACTTCTTCGTTCTTCCAGAGTACCTCGCTAAACCCGCTATCAATGTCACGGCGCGGAGGTAGCTGGGCTCTGGCTGGAGCAAATAAGCCACCGTTGTGGTTTACAGATTGATTCACAAGATATGTCCGGGAGAAAGGAGGCGGCGTTGGCTCGTAGCGCAAAGTGCTCAAAGGAACAGGGCGGGACGGAAATGGTGACTCGAGTCGTGGATTGTACCGTGGGACGCTCTTCTTTGGCTTCTTGAGGATCTTGCGCAGGAGGGTAGGGCGTGGAGAGGGAGGTCTGTTTCTTCTGTCGCGGAGATTCAGCAAATACTCGTCTGAGTACCGAACTGGCGGCTTTTTGCACAATGCTGGCAAGAGAAAGCCCCAGATGGCGATGCCGATGATAATGATGACAGAAACCACGCCTATGATGATGGCAATGCTGATTGCTGGATTGTCGCGTCGCTGCAACGACCTGGAATTCACTGGAGCCATTGCTAACTCTCGGCGAGCTTGAGCACCATAGCAGACTGCGCAATGCGATACTGCAATATCGTCGCTTATGTCGTTGATGATTTCGTCGACGCAAGTGAGAGCGTGTCAAGAGTGGGATGGGAGAGAAGCTTGAGGTAGGGCAGAAGGAAGATGTTCGCGACAGGAAGTGAGAGACAAGTGAGTGTGTATTAGCAAGTGAAGCATCGCCCACCAATGTTTGTCCTTGCACAGAAACCAACATTGCATCAAGAGTCACAACATCTTTGTTCCAGTGTCCGCTTTGATACGTTTCTGCAGGGACAGGTCTGAGTATTGGGCGACTCTCAGCACCTCGTTCGTTTTCGCTTGCTTCTCGCAACGTCGCCTTTCCTCTGATCAGGAAGCACAGAAAAGGACACGCCCACATACAACTCCTCCACATTGACCTTACAAGCCTTCTTGCTCACCCAGACCCGTCTCCCTGGTCCACACGGTCTACGCGATCCTGCGGTTGTGCACCGAGAACCCATCCTAGTCCGCTCACCAGATTATTCGTGACCATGGTGGCAACCATGTCTCTTTTCCTTGTCCTTCCGCCCTCAACGTCAGCAAATGATGCTGCGCTCTCTCCGACGCTGCCCTCCGACCCTTGACCAACTTCCCTGATTTTCAGACCCTTTAGACCGCCCGCTCCAAGTGGGAAGGCGGCACTTTTTCTGAGAGCAGTAGCTGCGCCTCTAGCAACATCAAACAAACCCATTGGTGCTTCCTCTTCGTATGAAGGCCCGGCTCGTGAAGCTGGCCACGTCCGACGTGCCATCGTACGCTGCGTTTCATCCCTATCTGCATCGCGATCCTCAAGTCCGAACCCGCCAGGGAGTGCGGCATCTGCCTTGGCATCAAATGAGCGCTCTTCTTCCACTGCCTGCGACTTCAGCCCCTCCATCTCTTCCTCGTACCGTCTCCAGGTGGCTAGAATGCCAGACAATGCCTCCCCCGAAGGAGCGAGCATGAGAGCCCGAGAGAGCAGCTCCATGCGTTGGGCCAGACTATCTATCTGTGAGGTCAGACTCTTCGGTGATACACTGGGTCTGAATTTTCCAGCGGCATACGCAGCGCGCCAAGAGATATCGTCCGCGACATTAGACATTGGAGATTCGGTGGATGATGGCAAACGTGTCGTGATATAAGCATAGGCTGTATCAAAATCGTTGGCGGTAAGGGCAGCCATGATGGCATGATAAGTGATTCTCTTTTCGGCATCAGATGCACGAAGTTCGACGGGGTCAAGCTCTTGTGCTAGCGAGCCCCGACTGGGCAAGTGAGCTCGAACAAGATTCCTTCCAATCTCCAACAAATCATCCAGCTTTGTGTACGCTTTGGGGTCTTGCTCGAGGACCTTTTCCAGTAATGTCAGCGGGTCTTTCTGCACGCGAATGGCCACAGGTCTGAAAGGGATGCCATGTTGCAAGGTCAGGTGGTAGAATGACAGGCTATGAGTCGCTCTAATCAAGTGGTCAATATCAGCAAAGGCCGTAGACTGTGCAAAATCTGGTCTGAAGGCTCGCAGGATCTCATTTGCTCTTTTCATGCCACCGCGGTCCCTGTTGCCGTTACTGGCGTTGTCGTAAGCTTCATAAATGGAAGCCACTACGCGAGCCTCCACATCCGAAGTAGCTAAAGGAGAGGGGCGCGAATGGATGTAGACCTCTTTGACGATGTTATACTGTGCTGCATTCAGAAGAGCATCCAAGATTTGCATTTCAACATACTTGACGGACAGCTGTCGGAGGTATGCCGGCGTTTGGTTGTGGTCAGTCATCGGCGTGCGTGACCAAGACTGGCACCAGAGCAAGTCAAGACGCACCGAGCGCCAGTCAATTTCTTTCCGAGTCTGACGAGGAATTTGTTGAAGGATGCGCCGAAGTTCGTCCTTGTGTCGTCGCTCTGATCCAAAGACAGATACTCGAGCAATTTCACCAAAGGATGATGCCAATCCTAATTCCGTCAAGAAAGAAGCAGTAGCCAGCACGCCTCCCACAAGTTGAGTCGAGGACGGCGTAACTTGCGTGAAATGATTCGTCCTTTTTGGTAGAGAAGTAGGGAGCAGATCTAAATCTTGCAGTTCCCTCACAAAAGCCTCATCCAATGACACAGTTGGCCTGGATGTTGACAGGTTCGGCATCGCCGCCCCTCCCAGCTTGGCAGCCTTTGATAGCACGTCCCAAGACATTGCCAGAGTATCCTGAGAGCTTTCCGCGCAACCATAGATGATTGCGAGACCTGCTCGAGCATAACTCGTCACATGACCTGACACTCCTTGCTCTTCTGGGGGACCCTCCCATTCAACGAATGTCCTTGCTGCAACTGCAAAATCCGCCACGCCTTCATTGATCAACCAGTCGTTAACGTACTCCCATGGTTGTTGCCCCTGTTCCGAGGTATCGGTCTCACCCTCGACCCTCCTTCTCTTTCGGTGGCTGGCCCCAACCACCCAGGGTGCGACAACACGATCCAGATCTCTTGCAATGTCGGCTGCATTATGTGTTCTTTTGGCACACTGCAAAAGTGAGTTCACTCCTTCTTGGACCGTCATTTTTTCCAGTTCTCGGAGTTGTATGCAGTCCTCGTTATCCGGATAGAAGTCATATTGAAGTCGAAGTATCGGAACAAGGTTGGTCTCGTACCAGAGCTGAAGATCCGGACTTAGCGTGACAAACTGTTCAATGAAGGCAGTGAGAGGTTGTAACGTGCCACCGAGGGCCTCTAGTCGTCTGGCCCATTCAATCACGAAGCTGGCAAGACCTTTATCAGTGTCTTGAGGGGTGTGCTCAGGAATAGACTGTAGTTTCAATGTTCGGCACTGTCGAGCGGCATCATCTCGCGAAAGTGACGATATCAAGGGATTGACATTGATGCTTGAAAAGTCATCTGAATGTGCCTGTCCGCCGTTCAAGGCATTGAGGAAGTCGACAAGAGCGGTCTGGTCCGGTGAGTCGACAGGGTAGAAGGATAACACGAGGCGGTATGCTATAGTTCGCGACAGCACTTTGGGCCACTGTTTGATGAGGGTGTGAAGAGCCTCAAGATTGCCGTTCGAGGTGTGTTCAACCGCGAGGAGAAGAACATGTGCATCTGACAGCTTGGCCAGACTCGCCATATTGTCAAGACATTGAAAGCATTTTGTGATGCTCAGGGTGCCAGTGATGTATGCGATATGTACATGTAGGAAAGATGCTACGTGGGAACATGCCAGGCTTCTCCGCAGCGCAGGCTTCGGTACCTGTAGCCTTAGTCAGTAATCATAGTGATGCTGGTTCGCCCGCAACGGAGATCCAAGCTTGGCCGCAGCTCCAACGACGCTCGTTCACTTACAATTTGACCCATTGTTACAACAACGAGGTTGAACACTCCTACTGTGTATGACCGGCGCATAGCACGAATTTCTCTATCAACATGGCTTCCGGCTACGGCTTGACTGGTGGTATGTAGCTCTTGAAACCTCGGTTTCGCACGTCACCTACCGTTGGCCATGAACAGTTTCGAAGCTTCGTTAAACTGACCAATTTGTCTACTTAGGTGTCTCCCGATGCTTTCCCTTCTGGCAAGAATACATGTCCTGCTATGTGATCAATCAGCACGATCCCCAGGCGAGAAAACAGGGCGTTTGTGCGCCGCGGTTAGAAGATTACTATGAGTGTCTACACCACAAGAAAGAGGTTGGTGGCATGCCGGTCTGCGCGAGTAGATGGATGATATGCTGACAAGATTACCTCACAGTATGCACGCGCAATGGCTATCCAAATAGCGCTCCGGAAAGCCCAGGCAGCAAGCCCCCGAGAGAATGCCCCCAAGGTCGGGCAGATACAGAGCCTTGGTTTGATCGGCAAAGAGGACGAGACAAAATCAATACTACAAGCCAATGCATCATGAACAGGAGCACGATAAGCTGGATGAGCTCTATCCCGGGGAGCGTTACTATTGTCGTGGGGCAGAAAGAGACCACGATCTGTACATATGGGACAACATTGGGGCAGGCGAACAAATGAATCAGAAATTACCCATCAATCCTACAACAGCAAAGCAAGATGCAACCTGCTAGGCATCGTCTACCGATGAACCAGGGAAGAGAATAAGTCTTTTTCCTCCTGTCCACGGCCTCGAAGCCTGACTAGCCACAAGTTATGGTTGTCGCTGAACTACTTCGTGTCATGCTTGTGCATGACGTGAGTATGTTTCCTACCTAGGTAGATTTGTAGCAATCCAAGGTGCTTTTTGCGTCCTACTTGAACCATAATGGCCGCCTACCTACGTCTACATAGACTTATGGTTTTGCGCTCTGCCTTGGTCGGTGAAGGCACTGTTGATAGCCCATCAAGAGATCAAGAGATCAAGAGAGCGATGGCCACAAAGTACAGACACATCTCATGCTGCTTCAGGATGCTAGCGTGGTTGGACAAATCTGCGAGTGTGAGATGGGATAGTGACATCTTGCATGCCGCCCTCAGGGCGCATACCCTGCACATCCGGCGTTGTAGATCGGGCGATGACACGCTGAGCGGAGGCGATATACTGTAGCAAGATGAGATAATCATCGGCGAGAGATAACCAGACAAACACGATGGTCTCGAGCAGTGTGCACAAGGACACGATTGATGCTGACCAGGCAAGGCAGCCACAGCAAAGGCAGAAGCAGTCCCCCTACGAAAGGCTCCCCGGTGCATCATTCACGAACGCCAAGAAGCCACTTGCTAGAAAAAAGCTTAGCTTGGGGTTAGCGCGCTGCGGGTGGATCCCAGGACGCAGCGGTAGGAGCAATCAGAGGCCAGGGGCCCATGGGCAAGCGAGGATTTAAAGCGATGCCAGACCCTCTCATAACCAACTCGCCGCGCCCCGATTTCACAAGTTTTCTGACCACTTGTTCCCGCTCTTGGACGAGGCTCTGGCACCTTCACCTGCCCGTCGATACCGATACAAGTGAAGTGCGACGGCCATATAAATTCACTGTGCACATCGTCGCCTGGCCATAACGCGTCGTCTGGCAATTTTCATCACCCCTCATCCCAATTTTATTCGCCCTCTGTGCGCCACCACGACATTATCGCGATGAATGTAACTTGACCAACGAATACAATCTGCATTGTATGGCGCTGGTATTATTGTTAGTTGATTTGGTCGTGGCTGAATTGATTTCGCGGTGCCCAGGATGGCCACTTCAAGGTTTGACACTTCTTTTTTCCTCGTCCAGGTCCCCAAACCCGCTAACCCTTTCTGTCCAGGCTCGACCGGCTAGTCACGTGAGTTCCTTCCCTCCCAGCACATTATAGCAGCGGATGGGTTCGTCCTGTGGCTCCCATCCCGTTACTAACATATTATTCCTGCAGCTTGCTGGACAAGGGCAGCACACAACTAATACGAAACACTGCTGCCCAGCAACTTGCTGATGTCCAGAAACAAAACCCAGACAATCTCTTTCCGCTGCTGGGAAGAGTCCTCCCATACCTACAATCAAAATCCTGGGATACTCGCACCGCCGCCGCCAAAGCTCTGGGTGGCATTCTTGAGAATGCCGAAAAGTTCGATCCCAACTCCGACGATGCAGACCCCAAGTCAGAGGCGATCAAGTCCGAGGATTCGAGCATCAAGCTCGAGGACAAGGGCATTGAAGCAGACGACCTACTTCACCTGGCAACTCTCGACATCAAGATGATTCTCAATTATGGCAAGAAGCTGCTTGGGAGTGCCGGGAAAGAGTACGAGTACTCCATGGCCAACATGACTCCTGCTCAACGATTGGCACACCAGAAACAGAATCTCACTGCCCGTCTGGGTCTTGGTGGTGAGTATATCGAAGAAGATCTGGTGAATGAACATGACTTTGCCGCTGGCTCTCAAGCAAAGCGAACGTCAAATCCCGGTTTGGCCCGCGTTGATACGAAATCTGGTGCTACGCGACCAGACGACTTCGGTTCAGCATCTCCGCTTACCGCGCTCTCGCCTTCGGAGAGCAACGGACACGCTCTGTCAGAAGAGGCCGGATTGAGTAAACGGCAACTCAATCAACTCAAACGCAAGAACAAATCTGCTGCGAAAGCTGGTGCCAGTAAGATGCGCGTGGTCGACCTATCTGTACGTCGCACGTCCGAGCCCAATCAAACTCCGGTCTCTGCAACACCTCACGCGGTCAAGCTGAACGGACATGACGAAGCCAACGGAGATTCGACGCCAGACTATTTCTCCATCAAGCGAGAGGGGCCCGATGACGATACAGCACTCATCTCGGAGTTCAAAGGAGAAGAAATGTCGGAGAAGCCCCTGATACAGCCAGATGAGGAACATGCCCGTGATTGGCCCTTCGACGTCATGTGTGATTTTCTTTCCATCGACCTCTTCGATCCCCATTGGGAAATTCGGCACGGCGCAGCAATGGGACTTAGGGAAGTGCTGCGGGTACATGGCAAGGGTGCAGGTCGACGCTACGGAAAATCGAGAGCCCAGAATGATCTAGCCAACAAACGCTGGCTAGATGATCTTGCATGTCGACTGCTCTGTGTCCTGATGCTGGACCGTTTCGGTGACTATGTTTCTGATACTGTTGTTGCCCCAATTCGCGAGTCGATAGGACAGACTCTGGGAGCCCTACTTACCCAGTTACCGGATGAAACTGCTGTTGCAGTCTACCGTTTTTTGCAGCAGATGATCAATCAGACTGATACTGGACTGAAACAGCCCATTTGGGAGGTCTGCCACGGCGGAATGATCGGACTTCGTTATTTCGTTGCAGTCCGGAAAGATCTTCTTCTTCAGGAGCCCGACCTGATTGATGGAGTTGTTTCCGCGGTTGTCCGCGGTCTTGCTCACCCTGACGATGATGTGAAGTCGGTTAGTGCCGCAACGTTGGTTCCTATTGCTGGCGAACTTACGACGATGCGACCTCAATCCCTGGGACAGCTTATCAGCGTGGTGTGGGACTGTTTGCTTGACATGCAAGATGATCTCAGTGCCAGTACCGGTGCTGTGATGGACCTTTTAGCCACCCTGTGTTCGTATGAACAAGTGGTGGATGCGATGCGCTCAAACGCAGAGGAGGATCCAGAGCAGTCGTTTGAGTCACTTGTACCGCGTCTCTACTTCTTCCTGCGGCACACTATCACAAGCGTTAGGATGGCGGTACTTAAGGCGTTGGCAACATTTTTAAGCCTTTCCAACTCGGGCAATATGGGTTGGGTTGGTGGTCGAGTGACTAGACTGATCTTCCAGAATATGCTGTTGGAGAGAAATGAGGGTGTCCTCTGGAAATCGTTTGAAGTGTGGCAAGCACTCATTGCTTTCATGGACCGTCAAGGACTGGAAAACTTTCTCCCAAGTCTCGAGCCTCATATCACGGCAATGGTCAAGGCTACGATCCAACCAATCGGTCAACCACGAAACCCGATTCCAATGGATATTTCACTTCTAATTAAGCCCTCAGGTGCGCCGATGGCTGCAATTCCGTCAAAGCACCGAAGAACCTCGGATTCAGATCAACAGCCAAAGAAGCGACGCAAGTTGGAGAAGACAGAGTCGGCCCCAGTTCAACAGCCGTCCCACAACACAGATGGACACATGCTGCACGGCGACGTTGAGCTGGTGGGCATGGAAGTCATGCTACGAACAAGAATAGCCTGCTCTCGGGCCCTTGGCCTTCTGTTAGGCAAACAGGATCAGTCTACGATCTCCGCATTTTGGGCAAGTCTCGTGCCAGCCACCAGCTCCGAGAACTCCAGCTCGAGGCTATTCTCTGCAATGGTTCTCGAAGAGGTTGCTAAGCACGAAACCTCCAAGCCTCTCAATACCTCCGCAATCCTAGCCGACCTGCAAAAGGTCCTCGACAACGACGGCAGCAACTGGTATGCAGATATTGTGTCATCATTGCAGGCTGCGAGGGGCCAATGTCAGGCTCTTATTAGCGCGTTCCAAAACAATGCACACGTGCCTCGGGACCGCCTGCCGGCGATAGCAGTCGTCTGCCAGGGTACCACTGGTGCTGGCCCGAAAGCTTTTTCACTTGAAGATGCCGAGAGAATCGTCACAACAGATTTCGATCGTCTCATCAAAGGCCTAACTCCTGCACAAAGAGTCTCGGGCACACAGTACTTGAATGATGCACGCGCGAACGCTAAGGCAGCCGTGGACGAGGCACGAAAAATCAAGGATAGTCGAGAAATGGCCATCAAAGCCACCGTGGCATCGGTCTTTATCAGACTGGGTGAGATCCCCAAGAAGCCTGGCCAACTGATTAAGTGCATGATGGACAGCATCAAGGGCGAAGAATATGAGGATTTGCAGGCCCGTTCTGCCTCCGCTGTTGCCGGCCTCATCGACTTCTACACTGCGAGTCCCAAACGGGGCCCAGTGGACAAGCTAGTTTCAAATCTTGTCAAGTTCACATGCGTTGATACATCCGAAACGCCCGAATTCCCTCCCAACCGCAGTTTCGAGGACGTCGTGCTCTCTTTGCGGAAAGAAGAAGACCGGAAGGACCACCCGGACGCCGCTCGCTTTGAACAAGAAGCAAAAGAGGCCAGAATTATGCGCCGAGGGGCGAAGCGAGCTTTGGACGAGCTGGCACAATCATATGGAGCTGCACTATTGGAGAAATTACCTATATTGCAATCTCTCATCGAAGGGCCCGTACGACAACTGATTGGTTCTGCCGATCCGGCCACTTTGACGGTTGACGATGAACAAGGACAGTCGCTGATTGACGCTTTATCTGCCCTCCGGACTCTCCTGCCAACACTGGATCATGCTCTGTACGCCTGGGTTCTGTCGTTAAGCCCACTTATTGGCAAAGCCATGCGTAGCAGACTCTCCGTGATCCGATACAGTGCTGCTAAATGTTTCGCGACATTGTGCAGTGTCATACCTGTCGAAGGCATGACTACGCTGGTCCAAGAAATCTTGCCGAACATCAGTAACCCACTTGATCTTCGCGACAGACAAGGCATCACGGAGTGTGTCTACCACCTCATCAGCGTCATGGGAGACAGGATCCTGCCATATGTGATCTTCTTGATCGTACCTGTTTTGGGCAGAATGAGCGATGCTAATAACGATATTCGTCTCCTGGCCACGACATCCTTCGCCACCTTGGTCAAGCTGGTTCCACTAGAGGCCGGCATTCCAGATCCCCCAGGAATGCCCGAAGCCTTGCTTCAAGGAAGGGAGAGAGAGCGCAAGTTCATGTCACAAATGCTCGACCCCAAGAAAGTTGAGCCTTTCCAAATCCCAGTCGCTATCAAAGCGGAACTACGTTCATATCAGCAAGACGGTGTCAATTGGCTGGCCTTCCTCAACAAATACAATCTTCATGGCGTGCTTTGTGACGACATGGGGCTGGGGAAAACTCTCCAGACACTCTGTATTGTTGCGAGCGATCATCACATCCGTGCTGAAGAGTATGCCAAAACGCAAGCCCCGGATATGAGACGACTTCCTTCGCTTATAGTGTGCCCGCCAACATTGTCTGGCCATTGGCAGCAGGAAATCAAACAGTACGCACCGTTTCTGAAATGTGTTGCCTATGTGGGCTCACCGGCCGAGAGGAGCAGTCGTCGCAACCTCCTGGAAGCTGCAGATGTTGTAATCACCTCTTATGATGTTTGCCGAAATGACAGTGACGTTCTCACGCCAATCACGTGGAATTATTGTGTCCTTGATGAAGGACATCTCATCAAGAATCCGAAAGCTAAGATTACTCAAGCGGTGAAGAAAATTGTGAGCAATCATCGACTCATTCTTTCTGGAACGCCAATTCAGAACAACGTACTGGAGCTGTGGTCACTCTTTGATTTCCTCATGCCCGGATTTCTGGGCACAGAAAAGGTCTTCCAAGATCGGTTTGCGAAACCCATTGCTGCTAGTCGCAATGCCAAATCATCCTCAAAGGAACAGGAAGCTGGCGCATTGGCTATCGAAGCACTCCACAAACAAGTGCTTCCTTTCCTCCTGCGACGTCTCAAGGAGGAGGTCCTCAACGATCTGCCACCAAAGATTTTACAGAATTACTATTGCGACTTGAGCGACCTGCAGAAACGGCTGTTCGAAGACTTCTTCAAGAAGGAACGCAAGACGGTGGAAAACAGCGTGGGTTCGTCCGATAAGGAGGCGAAACAGCACATCTTCCAGGCGCTGCAGTACATGCGCAAGCTGTGCAATTCCCCCGCTCTTGTCGTCAAAGAAGGCAACACACAGTATGATACAATCCAGAAACAACTTGCTGCGTCCAAATCCAGCTTGCGCGATGTTGCTCACGCGCCAAAGCTAAGTGCGTTGCGAGATCTGTTGGTCGATTGTGGTATTGGAGTTACAAGCGATTCCAACGAGATGTCTGCGTCGAACTATGTATCTCCACACCGAGCACTCATTTTCTGCCAAATGAAGGAAATGCTTGACATGGTGCAGAATGAGGTGCTGGGAAAACTTCTTCCGAGTGTCCAGTTTCTGCGACTTGACGGCAGTGTCGAAGCGACCAAGCGTCAGAACATTGTCAACCAATTCAACAACGATCCTAGCTACGACTGCTTGCTCTTGACCACCAGCGTAGGTGGCCTAGGACTCAACCTTACCGGAGCAGACACAGTCATCTTTGTCGAACATGACTGGAACCCACAGAAGGACATTCAAGCCATGGACCGCGCTCACCGTATCGGACAGAAAAAGGTTGTTAATGTTTACCGTCTGATCACCCGTGGCACACTCGAGGAGAAGATCCTGAATCTGCAACGCTTCAAAATTGATGTCGCCTCTACTGTCGTCAATCAGCAAAATGCTGGCTTGGGTAGCATGGAGACGGATCAAATTTTGGATTTGTTCAATCTTGGAGAGACGTCAGAGAATGGCCCTGAGGGTGCCGCCAGTGGAAAGGATGAAGACATGGTGGATATGGCCACTGGAGAGGTCAAGAAGAAGGGCGAAAAGGGTTGGCTCGACGATGTCGGTGAACTCTGGGATGAAAGGCAATACGAGGAAGAGTTTAACCTGGACTCTTTTGTCCAGAATTTGCAGAAATAGAGCTGGGGATTGATGGTCGCGATTGTATTGTGCGGCGAGGTCAAGGTAGATCAATCAGCATATCCGGTGGGAGCACAGATACCTCTCTTCTTTGGCTCTTCAAAATGTTAGAATAATGCATGGAAGCTAAAACATCAGAGGGGATGGAGAGTTCATCCAGTTCCCAGTGCAGAAATAGATGCGCGTGCCATTATTGCTGAGCCGTCTGCAGAACACTTCGAAATGCAAATGTCAAAATGTAGCTACAACCAATTAACACGCAATCTACGGTATCTCGACATCCTCGGAGTGTATCCGAGCTCTCCGGATCGAGGATTAGAATGTTCTTAATCAAGGGAGAAACGAAAGGGGACCTATTATGGTGTAATCACCCAGCCTGGTCGCCTGGCTGAACGGACAGCGATTTGGCATCGTCCCGATTCCTCTTTGACAAATCCGGACATGGAGAACGAAGCTGCGGTCAGCACAGCCCTTTGTGAGACTCGCTGGCCGCGTGCTTCTTTGGGCCTAGCGTCACTCCGCACTAGCCGTAGTGGCCTAACGTTGCGGCTAAGAGGTCATGGCCGCATCTCGGGCCAATCAATATACCTGGCTCTTGCCCTTGGTCTTTCCTTTATTAGTCTAGCGTCGTGCTAAATACGTACAGTGCGTGCTGATTAACTCGCTGCGCGAAAATAGCAAAGCAGACAAATCCCGCTCCTCATTCCAACCTGAGCCTGATAATCGCCCTCGTCGTATTGTACACATTCGCCTCCGCTCGACCTGCATGAGCCACGCGAGCACAAGAGGTACCAGGCTTCCGATCCTAAATCCTGACCGCCGCCTTCTGCCCTTCTACGGCGGACACCTCGTTCCTCAATGGCGGAGGTAGAGCATGGTTTATTCCCGTCCTGGCGGAGCGTCCAGGAATAATGCACAGCTGCTGACTACCATACGAGGTTGGCACATACAGTAAGCACAGAAGGACCAAGGTACACCATACATATATACCCCCTCGTCCTTCGTTCCAATACCTCCATACTCTCATTCACACAACCACAAGCAACAAGCAACAAACAAACAAATCAATCTTTTCCTTTTCCTTTTCCTTATTTCATTTTTTCCTAGAGTTATTGCACGCTCTTTAGCAACCAACATCAACAAACTTAATACGACGACTATTACTTCACTCACCACCTAAATCCAACTATTTGACTTCAATCACCAACCAGTCCAATCCAACAACCAAAAATGCATTCCGCTTCATTCGTCGTCGCTGCTTTTGCCGCCGCCGTCTATGCGTCTCCCATGGGCCCTCCTTCCGGGAGTGGTAACTACAACGGCAGTGCTCCCGGTGGCGGCCAAGGCTACCCAAGTTCTACGGCCAGCTACACGACGGGCCTGCTAGGCAACCCGACCGCGGCGCCCAACCCTGTCCCGACCAGCGGGGTCATCGCCGAGCTCCTCACTGCCGACAACACGGTCGTGCGGTTCATGGACATCCAGAAGGAGATCGCAGCAGGCGACATCAGCCTCAAGTTCGACTTCAACCCGGCCGCCAACCCGGCCATCACGGCCAAGGCCGGCGAGGGCGGACAGGTCGACCTGGCGTCGCGCGCCAACTTCCCGATCCTGACGGGCCAGGGCATCTCGGCGGCCGGCATCTTCTTCGAGCCCTGCGGGCTCAACACCCCTCACGTGCACCCGCGCGCGGCCGAGTTCCTGACGGTCGCGACCGACAGCAACATCTTCACGGGCTTCGTGCTCGAGAACGGCCTGACGTCCGAGTTCAACACGACTCTCACGCAGTTCCAGGGCACCGTCTTCCCCCAGGGCAGCATCCACTTCCAACAGAACCTGGACTGCTACCCCGCGGTGGCCATTGCGGGCCTCAACTCCGAGGACCCTGGCGCCAGCTCCGTCGCCCAGAACTTCATCCTCAGCGTGGACGAGGGCATTGTCGACGCCACCCTCGGCTTCCCCAAGCAGATTGACGGCTCCAACTTTGCCCAGTTCAAGAAGAACATCCTCCCCCCTCTCGCCAAGGGTGTCGAGGAGTGCTTGATCAGATGCCATATCCCTTACTGAGCAAACCGCTGACACGCGGGCATTATGAACAGCAAGCACCTCGTTCTGAATGCTACGGGGGTTTCTTTGGGGTTCTTTCTTCTTGCATAGCGACCGGGTTTAAAAATTTAGAACATATGGGAGGGGGGTCACACATTCCTTTACAATTGCATAGCGCGGGTCATTGTTTGTGATGAATGCAGGAGGTTTCCTGGTTCGAGTGGACGCAAAGCAACGGTACTATTGGAATGTGATGTATATAACGAGTCTTTTGGCTCTTGGATGATTGGATACGATTGAATACACACTCATTTTTATATCCACAATACTTTTAACATTTACATGCTTCCACGTCCTTCATCGGTCTGGACGCTTGATGTCTTTGAGGTGTTGCTCATTCCACTCTAATCGTGCCATTCGCATCGCTCGGCAACAGTGGTAGGTGACTTGGACAAGGTACAAGTTGCCAAGTCAGTAGCTGTGCAAGGCTGAATGCTCACTGGGCCCCCGCCTTAGCCTGGGTATCCGAGGTAACAGGGGTGTACGGAGATGTAAGCAAGGAGGGCGCCGTCTTCAAAAAGGAAGAGCAGATATGAGGACCAAAGGGCATGAGCCGTGGCAGTTCGCAACACTGACTGAGGTCAGCCCAAGTATCGGAACGCCCCGCACAGATGTCGAACGCGGATGCTCAATTCCGGCTTAGTCCCGAGAAAAGGCAACGGCCCTCGCGCTTTGGGAAGGCACATGCTTAAGTGGGGTTGTGCGCGCGGTGGCCGAAGACCGGGGCGAGGGCCATGATTGACCGGAGGTCGCATGCGGAACAGACACCCAGGGGTTCAGATCGCCGAGGGTCAGTCAAACCCTTGACAAGCTAGGGCATTTTGCTTGGTTTGTGTAGTGATGGTCATTCGTGCAGCAGAGTTGACGGGTCTACTTGAGTCCTACTAGCTTCATACAGACGACCAACCAACTGCGGTGTGTGTGCAGAGTGGATGCTGGGCTTTTTACATGCCGACGTATACCTTACAGTACATACCATCACATCCGATCACAATGAGGGTTGGCTTAGCGCCAGACCTGGGTGAGAACTGGCGACACGCAGAGACACAAATGCCACGGGTTTCCTCCAGAGACAGAGCTTGCAAGCTTGCATCCATTCCACCCTCTTTACTCTAGTGGTCAGCTTCTGGATGAGAATGTTTACCCTCAATGCTTGACTGTTCGTCCGATAAGGAGGCGAAACAGCACATCTTTTAGGCGCTGAGGTTATCTCTCAGAAGGACGGATCATATTGCGGGTTTTCGGTGATGCTGCTTGCCTGGGGTAGACCAGATTGGTTAAAACGACTCCAAGGCTGAATGTTGGGAAATCCCCCTGTTTTCCCAATATTCAGCCTTGGCGGTGATCGTGTTCTCATGCACCTTCGTTGTTGCACGATACATGATGCATGATGCATGATGCACCTCTCAGGCTTGTCATCCTGACTTCTGGCTCACGCACAGGGTATCCACTTTCTGGTTTCAGGGGACCTGGATTCACGCTCTCCAGGCGAGGGTACCGCATCCACCCACTTTGGCCTAATTGTCGGCAAGGGTGGAGAGAGTGTGCCGGCTACTAGGATATGGTTCGCGAGCGACAAGCGTTGGTGCGAGGCTAGTCCACCAGATCGGTTCAGGCCGCACGGTCGCAAGGACGGCTGATCTCGAGCACGGAAAATCTCTGCAGCTAGTGTGCGTTTTGCCGTAGAACCCCACTGGGTCAAAGGGCATCTTTAGCGCCTCAGAGTGTACTTGAGCATCGCACCACATGCTGTAGTCTCTTCAAGTGTACTTCGGGAGCCGGTGTATACCACACCATTTCAGCATAGTGGGCGTTGGATGCGATGCCAGGCACGCGCAGAGCTGGCGGGAAGCCCGACCAGTGTGAGAACTGGCAACACGCGTAGACATAAAAGCCCATGGGTTTCCTCCAGAGCCAGGGATTGCAGCTTGCTTTGATTTTATTCTATCCTCGCAATCGTGCAGAATACATTAGAAGTAAATACGCCTCGAAACCCATTGTCTTTGCAGCAAGACAAAGCCTTTTTCGTGCAATGGCTCCTCAACCGGACACCACGAATTCCAAGCCGTCGATGGACAGACCATACACCGGCCTTCTCGCAATGAACGGTATGTTTCGCCACCGCTATGCCTGGACTATACTGAGTCAGCGACCTAGGCAGTTTCGGAGACATGTTCTGGAAGAGCTGCGACACCTGGCAATACTTGTCGATTGCCTCCAACTGCGGAAGTGGAACCGACAACGAGGCAAACAAGCTCATTGATCAGCAAAGTGGTGAAGACATGGAAAAGGATAAGCAGGACCAGAAGCAGGCTTAAGACAAGGATGTGCCATAAGGCTACAGCAAAATAGTCTCAAGGGTGATTCGGTATAATAGAATTATAGTGGGATATGGATAGGTCCTTTCTGCAGGAAATGGATCATCAACGTTTCAGACTCGAGTCCGACAAAAGGGAACTCAGCCGAGAGCTAAGGCTTTAGGGACAACTAGTTGCTACTAATGCGGCAACTCCTTAAATGACACTCTCCATTCTCTCTGATGACGAGCCTTGTGAGGGCTGCCTACCTGAGGTATCTGTAGAATCTGTCCTCAACCTCACCCTCAGAGCCATTTGCAAAGCTCCGGGATCAATACCAGTATCCAACAAGAATGTTGCCTGATCTGTGAACAAGTGTGGCTAGCATTGTACCGACGTCCGAGCTTTGTTTGGGCCACGTGGACTTTGACTCGACTTGACGTACATCCATCTGGTACTTCGCCATTTCCCCTAACCTCTCTTCTTTCCAAATATCTTCTCACCACTGTCCCTCTCTTGCAACGCCTCGATACCGTCTCCTACGAAAACATCATGGTTGTACCAGGTGGGATAACAAACCACGCTGCCCTCCGCACTAGCTAATGCCTACCGCAGTCCCAAAGTTGCTCCCTGTCACAGGAACATTCGCTCCAGGTCTGTTTAGGAAGCAGGTGGCGTCGACTTGTGTCGCTGACTAGGACGCAGCATTCGTCGTGTACTATGTCTTGCTCAATCTCCGCGTCACTGTCCTTCGCTTCTCAGAGAGGACGTCCCTAGGCGACAATTCGAAGACTGCTGATGGTGAAGGAAAGACCGCGAATACAGGCCCTTGCAATCTTCTTGTCGCATGCCGTGCTCAGAGCAACTTTGCAGACAATGTGCCGTTTGCATTGCTCGCGGCAGCCTTCGCCGAGTTGAATGGAGCAAACCGTCGGGTTTTGACCGGATCTTTGGCAGCTCTCCTCTTCTTCCGAATTATTCACGTTGAGTTTGGACTCAAGAATCCAAACGCCCTCGGCTTGGGGCGAAAGGTGGGATATCTGGGAACACTTGGTTTCCTGACTGGTATGAGCTCATACGCTGCGTATCTGGCCAAGAGCTACTGGGGCTTCTAAGCCAGCAAGAACATGCCACCGGAGCGACTACAGCATGTGGATGGAATGGCCATTTGTACATATTTCGACCGATACGACAGAGTTCCCGAAGGCTACCTACCCCTGCACAGATAGGAAAGCACGTTTGAGATTACATCTGCATGATCTCGGAAACAGCTCCCGGCTCTTCTGCCTCCTGCTCAATTCCCTGACTTCTTTACATTCATTCCATCTTCATGATCATGCATTAATTCTGATGGCCTATCCGCAGCACTTTCTGGCGGCTTCAAGGTCCAACGTCTCGCTACCACCACCTACAATCCGCTCCATATCCGAAACGCTTTCGTCCTCAACCCCTACCAAACCCTCTTCCGAGAAGCCAGAGGAAAGCCAAAAGTTGCCATATACCTTTACATGCACAGTCTGCTGGACCGAGCATGACCCGCCACCACACACATTCGGCCTGCAAAGTCGCATCGTCTGCGCGGATTGTTGGAGATGGATTCACAGCATCAGCATTTGCTGGCGCTGTGGAGAAATAGTCTACAGGAAGACTGATACTGTCAGCTTTGGGTGGTGCTGGTGGCACTGGGGGTGTTTCTCATGCCTCATATGCGGGGTGAGGCCTACATGGTCTAAAATGTATTTCGTCAAAGCTGAAAGCTGCAGTCACCATTACCGCCACCTCCATACCTTGATCGCGCTGGCGACCCTTACAAAAGAGGCATGACGGTACAGAGTCCTCCGGTCTGCCCTCGCTGCAGCGAACAACCCGAGTCTCTGGACAAGCTAGAACAGCATGTAAGAGCGTCGCAGTCGGAACCAGAGGTCATCAAAGCTCCAGCGAACGTCGTAAATGGACAGAACGCACTCATATCGCTGAGTCAGCCACTTGATTCTGAAGCCAACAAAGCTGGAGAGGTGTTGGAAAGTCCAATGTTAGTACCTCCTTAGTTGGGTCTGCTAGACACGAGACACGTGCCTAGCTATGGCGAGAAGGACAGTCTACGACGCCGACGACGATCAACGTTACCCGCGATCACTAAAGTACCAGCCCCTGTATCTATGTCTTCTCGACTTCCAGTAAATGAGGTCAAGTCAAGTCACATCAAGGAGGAACCGTTTTCGATTCTCCCGAAATCTGACAAGAGAGTGACTGTTGACGACACACCTCCAGTTTCGGGCCATGATGCTGTTCTTGACTCTGCCGAAGCAGATGCATTTACAGCGTGCAATGCAAACACCAAAACTCAGATAGCCATCGACCGTCGCTCTAGCGATCTAATGAGCACTTCGACCTCCCGGGACACTGCTAGCACAAATTCAAAGGAGGCGAAACCCACAGCTACTGAACTTAACTCGACCGTCAAGCGTGAAAACTCGGTCATCAAGCGGCGTCGGTCACCCCGCAAGCAATCTACAGTAGCGTCGACCATCGCAACAACTAAAGACAAGCCACCGGAACCCGGGTCTATGCAAGACACAGTTCCCACCAGAAGATCAATTGTGAAAGAGTTGGCAAACTTCTTCTCGAGTGGCACAAGTAAAACATAGAAGCAAGTCTCGTGTCGGATCAGATAGGACCGACTCGGGAGCCCAAGCTAAGGGTGATTCGGCCAGTAAACGGTCTCCAATGACATCCAAGAATGGTTGTGCGCGATGCAGTAAGACACAGTCAGAGTCGTGGATAAGGGAGAGCAAAAGAGCATCGGACTTGGCCGAAAATCATCCAGAGAAACGTGTGTCAGAATTGGAAGGCTGAGATGGCAACTCCAGGTCCATGGACGTGAGAGAGAAGGCTGGTCCATCTTGTCGACTGAAGTAGGTCTGAATTCAAGTTTGGCAATATATGCTCTTCCCCTACCACATACAGATCTTCTTTCGAGAAGCAGACAACCCTAGGCAAAAAAAAAGAAAGACCAACAGCTCGCTTGAGATAATCGCATCGCTCGCTCCGGTAATTAATTGTACACGCTTAATTAGACCCCACCTCTTTCTCTCCTCCGACACAATAATACCGTATAGGAGATCCTCCCATGTATACCCTAAGTCCATCCATATCCTATGTCCATATCCATGTCTTTGCGCAGGTGATGATGGATATCAAGTGATCAGTATCTCGCCATCAACCACACCCGTCTCTTCTCATCCCCAAACCCTCTCAACTTCTGCATCAAACTCTCTGCGGTGGCAAGGTAGTCGTCGACGGCTGCATATCCCAGACCGCGTCGGAGGATCTTGTCCCGGTCCAGCGCCCTCAGGCTCTTCTCCAGACTATCGGGCAGCTTGACGCTGATGCCGAGCTTCGCCCTCTCCTCTTCTCCTATCGCCGTCGGATCCCCGGTGCAATCCTTGTGCTCGAGCCTCATGTCCTGCCTCAGCCCGTGCAGGCCGGACGCGAGCAAGGCTGCCATGGAGAGATACGAGTTGCCGATGCCGTCGATCGTCTTGAGCTCGTAGTGGCCGGGCTCGCACTTGCGCATCGGCACCTCCTTGTTCTGGCTGCCCCAGCACACGTACTCGCCGCCGGCCCAGATGCCGGCCCCGACGCGCTGGTAGGATTCTTCAATCGGCAAAGTAAAGGCCAGTATCGCTGGGAGATGCTCCAGGACGCCGGCGAGGAACGGGCCTTCGCATCGCTCGAGCGTGCCGCCGGGCCCGTTGATGCTGAAGTGCGCGTGGTTCGCCGAGCCGCACGTGAAGGTGAACGGGCGCGGATAGCACGTGGCTTTGAGGTTGTGTTTCTTGGCGACGTTCCGAATCACGTCTTTCGCTTTGTACATTATGTCGACCGCCTTAACGGGCTCAAAGGCCGGCAGTGGGAACTCCCATTGGCCTGGGGCTGCTTCGGAATGGAACTGTGGCACGTGAATGTCCAGCTCGGCGAGCATTTCGACAATCTCCTCAATCATGGGTAACATGTCGAGTTGCTGGTAGGTCATGTTCGACCACGAGTGGACAAAGTGCAGGGGGGCAAAGTCTTTAAAGTCTGTTCTCTCTTCATTGTAGATCGGGCGCATGAAGATGACTTCGAGCTCAAACCCCATCAGGACGGAGATGTTGAACTCGGACTTCAGCGCCTCGCATTGGGACTGCAGGAGCCACCGCGGGCACCGGTCCCAATGGCTCAGACTGAGGTTATTATGATCTGGCTCGAGCATCCACCATGTCTGCACTGTCGCAGAGGGCGAAGAAATGCCCTTGTTGAGTGAGAGCGTGGAGAGGTCTGGAGTGAGGATGAATTGACCTGTCGCCGACACACCAGTGGCGCCGTTGTCGTCTTGGAGGAGACGTGAGAGTGCGGTTGTACAGGCAAGGTATTTGCCCGTAGCGAGGGACTTTCGAAACTGTTGTGTCGTAACCATCCGGTTGCGTAGTGTGCCTGTATAGTCGAGGTATTGATTCCAGATATACTTGACACTCGGGTTTGTTTGCAAGAAGGCATCAAAATGAGTCAAGTTCTGGGCCAACACGGCTGTTGCATTTTGGCCAGACGGTGCGCTGATGCTTGTGGAGCGGATGGCAAGATTTTGGTTCGTCGCCGTCAATGTTGCAGAATTCGAAGAGTATCCTGGACGAGCTGAAGGAATCCCGGGTGTTGCAACGGTGGTGCTTGCGGTTGATCGGAACGAGGGCGCTTTCGAGCCGCCATTGACCAACGTCCTCATGCTATCCACCGTCTCTCTTCCACAAGCTCTCAGGAGCTCGGGGAACTTGCGCTCCTCGTCCAATTTGTACAGTGTGTTGGAGTTCCAAAACATAATATCAACGGCAATTTCAATAGCCTGAGCCACGCTAACATCGCCAGCCGCGACATATGCCGTGAGCACTTTTTCCAGTGCTTCTCGGAAATGCTTGTTGGCTAGCCAGTATGTCTCGGGATAGAAATGCCCGTCGGTACTCCATAGGATCTTAGAGGCAGGGGTCAATTCCAAAGCCTGCCTTAAAACCGACTCTTCCCCATCTCTGGAGAGCATTGGGAAGACCTCTCCAATATCAAGCCAGGCATTAGAGAAATTGGCAGCCAAATAGCCTGCCTCTCTTGTGTAGGGGTAAGAGGAGTGGAGAATGACGAAGTCGACTTGGGGGAAGGCTTCAATAAGGGGTTGCATATAAGCCGGGTTTGCTTTTATGAGGTTGATGTCGTTGTCGCCAAGTCCAGTGTGGAATTGGAATGGCAGGTTCTCACCATCAGTGTCGACGAGCTTCTCGAGCACGTCACACACGGCGACCACCAAGAAATCGTTGACTTCCTTCTGCTCGATGCGATACTTTGAGTCGCGCACAGCTTTTTGTAAGAAGTGGTGGAAAGACTGCAATAGGACTGAGTCGGTCAATGACTGGTGTGGCCGAAAGTTTTTGCGGCTTTCCAGCCCGATATCCAGGCCGGTGCGGTAACAAATGACGGATTTAAAACCACGGACATCTGGGTCATTGGCCAGGGTTCGTATCTGGTTGCGAAAGACGGTGTTGAATCGGACCAGGAAGCTCTCGGTCTGGCTGATATCCCAGTCTGCATCCAGGCCCACCCTCATGAACCCGGCTGCATGCGCGAGATGTTCCAGAAGCTCCGCCGCAACAGCTTCGATACGTACAATTCTAGAGACCGTCGGAACGAACTGCCTGTGCCACTTGAAGGGATGTATAATCTCTGCCAAAAGCCCATCATCCATCAGGATCGCATGCGTTCCCTCGAAGCACCTCTTGATTAGACCTGGGTAGTCTCTCCGAACCCACTCATACCTGGCCGCCTTGACATCTTGTAGTGTCTCAGCGCACTCGTAGAACTCGGCCAGGTGCTTTATACCGCGGATGTGCGCGAGACTGGTCTGAACGTGGTCGGTCAGGGCATGACCCTGCGCCTCAGACGTGATGCTTTCAAATGGATATTCTGCGCTGCCAAAAGCATTGTCCTCAGTCAACATGTTATGTGCATGGTTGTCGATGATCGGAAACGTTTGGACAATCTCCTGCAGATCCTGAATGCCTGCACTCTCGAGCTCGCGCACTTGGTGCAGAGTAGGGTAAAGCTCTGACATTGGAGCCATGGCCGGCAGCAGAATTGTACAGAGAGGGCTTCAAGAACAGTATCTCAAGGAGGGGTCTCGGGGGGAAATCGCCTGTGCCCATGGTTATAAGTACGATGACAGGACAGCTCTTGAAGTCGCTTACCGAACTAGGGAGGAGAGAAGAGCAGCGACAAGCAGCGTGCTGAAAACAGAAGGCGAGAAAGATAGTTAGGCTTTCGATCTGGTGGGCAAGTCCGCATCCGAACTTTAGCTGTGCCTTCAGGTTGGGCGGACGAAGCAGGAAGAGGTCGAGACAGGTGAATCATGGAGAGGTGTGTTTCGTTGAGAGAAGGGGGATGATTGGAACAGTTGTTAAACGAGTTACAAAACGGGTCGAGGATTTGCAGTCGGTCGATTGTTGAGGACGAGGATCAATTGAGCAAGTGATCGACGGGGACGAGTACAGGGCAACTGGAGTTTCGCACCACCATTGGCATCAACGATCTGACATGGCGCTCTTTTGCTCTGTTTTTCGCTAGAGAAGGGCTCTTACTTGTGGAGTTTTAGTGACTGTGATGGAGTTGAAGTGAACCTGCACCACGGTGTGGTGTGCCTGACATGACTCTCACGATCTGCGACTCTCCATCAGCGCTCCACGAATACCTGGTGAAGGGCACGCTCGGAAGTTAGCACTCTGGGCGTGGGTGGGCGTCGTTGGTACCTGATTCACCTGAAACAGAGAGCTTGGGCCCGGGTAGGTGGCTTGCATGGGGGTGGGCTACCTAACTAGTTAGTTAGCTAGCGTCCTGTGTCGCTCATCGAGTTCCGGGGGCGTCAATAGGCTCATTAGGCTGACCTCAGCTGAGAAATGGGCGTGGTCCAAGCCGCTCCAGGCTTGAAGCGCCCCGAATCCTCGGCTCGGACCGTCGATGGACACGCAAATTCGGAGATGATTTCGAGACACGCCATCACTCCAGCTTTGACGATGACGTTCTTCGTTGCATGGACGATCACAGGCACACAGCTCCATCAATTCACTATATCACCAAATACATCATCCTAGATCCTCGCAGTTCACTTTGACCACCATGTCTGAAGCGTACTCTTTTTCGCTGACCTAAAGAAGCTGTATCATGTCTCCGTCGCTCAAGAGGACGCTCAGCAGCACCAATAGGTCGATCAGTCCCCCGGCCTTGAAAAGAAAGATTTCACGTTCTTTGAACCACGTGGCGAACACGCGAGATGTCACTCCTCCTGTTCATGCAGATGCAGATCAATTCCGAATTTTCAGCTGGAATGTGAACGGCATCGGGCCCTTACTGCAGAAGCAATTGTCCTTTGGCTCAGGCCCGGCCCTGTCTCCTTTAAGAACATTCCTCAAGCGTCACGCATGGCCCCAATTCCTTTGTCTACAAGAAGTTAAAATCAGCTCCAAAGACACCGCGACTCAACGTCGCCTCCAGGCAGCAGCTAACGAAGGGGTGGCCTCTGACGAGCCCTGTTACACCCTCCATGTTTCTCTGCCGAGAGACAAGTACAACGCAACGGGATTTGGCGGGAAAGTGCATGGGGTGGCGACTTTGATACGAGACGATTTCGAAGCCAATCGTCTCCGTGACACGCGGCGTCCAGAGTGGGACTTGGAAGGAAGGGTCTTGATACATGAATTGAATGAAGGTTTGGTCATTATCAACGGCTACTGGGTCAACGGGACTACCAACCCCTATCGTGATCCGTCGACAGGCAGAATCGTCGGCACGAGACATGATCACAAACTACGCTTTCACCAACTTATTCTGGCCGAGGCACGTAAGGTCGAGGAAGAGGGCAAATATGTCGTATTGATAGGTGATATGAATATTGCGCGAGAGCGAATCGACGGCTATCCCAACTTGCGAACAACCCCCATGCAGCATGTCAAGAATCGTGCAGATTTCAACACTAAATTCTTCACTGAGAAAGGCGGTTTGCGTGGTATCGACATATTCAGACATATACATGGTGACACCAGGAAATACACCTACCGTCCACGAAGCAAACAATGGGGCGACAGCGGTGACAGAGTTGACCTATGCATTGTCAGCCGCCGACTTGTTACAGAAATGGCTGCTGTCACTGGCACTGATATCTGCGACAACGCAGTAGACCGTGGGCATTCAGATCATGTGCCACTCTGGGTGAGCCTCGGTATGTCCAAGTTGAAGGCCAGCACATCACTATCAAACCCAGCGTGAGATACACCCAGGTACAACATGGCTCTTGCCGCCCCATACAAACGGAAAAATGATGATCCGCAGCATCTCCTCCCGCCTCTAAGCGTCTGAGGGTTTTGCCTTCCGATCACGGCGTCATGCGGGGACATTGTTGTCAGGAGAGAAATATCAGCATCCTTCAGCTTCACCATTGTCTTAGCTGCGTCGAATTCCTCCAAGCTAGAATGGCAGGCCTGGTATCTCCTGCTATTTTGCAGTTTGAGAAGTTCGCCGCCGAGAACTATGTTGGCCCTCAAATCGATGAGGGTGCCGTCTTTGACCACCGAGCACGCGACAACATTCCAAGAATTGCCTTCTGAGATAGTCGATCTAATTGCCAACGAACTCTATGATGGCGGCTTTGGCCTTGCTGATGGGCTCCTGGCCTTCTCGCTCGTGTCTCGACAATTTCGTCGCTCGGCCTTACCTTTCTTGTTCAGTAGCGTCACCCACGTCGTCAGGGATCGTTTAGACCAGCAAGAACATGGAGCCTTGCGACGCTTCCTCAGCCATCCCCATCTCTTGAGACACGTCAAGGACCTCCACATTGCACGACCGGCCGATATACATGGTTTTGTACCATCGTTGGATGCCGTCAGTGCTCGATGCCTTGCAGAGGACCACAAGTCAGCCGACGTGCAAGTGATACAGAACAGCCTGCCGTTGATGACTCGTCTCCACCGCATCAGAATGGATTGCTCTGCCGCCACAGCTCTCGAGATACTCAAGCTGTTGCCGATAGACCATCTATACGAAATAATCCTTGACCACATCTATACCTCGTCACATTGGCCAACATTGATTGAGGCGAATACCGAATTAGCGACATTCGCTCGGAAGCATCGCCTGGCACTAGGCGCCTATGGACTGCCCCCTCCACAACGCACCACAAATAGCCAGGCCACATATGATGCGATAGCTCGGGCAGCTGCAGTAGATCTGCACATGGCTTGGTTACTCAAGGATGACCGAAAGGCTCAGGGATCTGCGCCAGCCCACAACGCTTGCATACAAGAAACTCCCTCGTGGACGGAACTGCGGCTTTTGATCAGACGCGCATGTGGAACAACCACCTACTCCATCCGGGATCTCGATTTGACGCTAGTACCCTGGACCAACCTTCGCAGACTTTCCATCTTGTGGGAGTACGCCATGCCGATGAATCAGTTCATATTCGACGTTGCCCCGAAACTTGGGAATCTTGAGGCGCTGCGACTGCGTGCTGACCACCAAAGACTCTATCATCCGGCGTGCAAATACGATGTCCCCACCACGGGGCTCTATGCCGATACACCGACCGTGCCAGCATTTGAGATCGACTACACCCAAATGAAGCGACTCCGGGAACTCGAGATCGACGGTATTTGCAACCATGTTCCAATCCAGGCACTGCTTGGGCCCAAACTCCGCTGTCTCCGTCTCCACCGCGAGGACACGTTGTGGTCGGTCTACAGTCCTGAAAGTCAGCGGTCTCCTTCCGACATCATCGCCGCGACCAAGATCTGCCCCGACCTCGAGCGCCTCGAGCTGGATATCGGGTACATCGAGAACCTGTGGCACCCGACCGCGATCCCGGGGGTCGACGTGGACGTGGAGCAGTATTCGTTCTTGAACGCCATTTCCAGATTCCGGCATCTTCGCCACCTTCGTCTGTTCCCTCCGTTTGTCCCCAAAGATTCTCCCCGTTTCAGCCGGAGCGTGCCGCACTGTGTCCCCGTCTCCGACGACCAGGCCATCCGGGTGTTCGAGCATCTCCGAACAGAGTGTCCGTCGTTGCAGATCTTGTCCATTGCCGCCATCCCGTCCTTTGTCATGATCGACACCATGTGCTGGGTGGTCAGACGGCGAGGTGAAAAGACCGTCTTGACCACGAAACATCGGGAGAGAAATTACCAGCATCGACAGATCTGGGTCGGCCAGCGACGAATAAGCAGCGAGATTAAACGCTTCACTGCTCCGCCTAGTTATCTCCCTGATCCAGAGGGGTGGATGTTGACGCGTGACGATTCTTATGAAGGAGGACGCCGATCGTTGATGGAGTGACGTTAATGGTATTGGCTGGCGGTAACATTGGCGGTAGCATAGGCTATCCCTACTAAGTAGTAGTATGGGCGTTGGCATAAGCATTAGCATCAGTGCTTAGGCGTTATCATCAGCATTCAGGGTGGTTGGTTTTAGTAGTAGTATTTCCACAGTATCGTGTGGTGTCTGTACGAAGCAGGCGGTAACTTGGTATGCAAGCTATTCAACCAACTTACAAGTACACTTTGTGTCCGCACCGCACTCTGTACGTGTCGTTCCGTCGGTGTCGGGAATCGTCCATCTGTGAGCGCCCCCCTGCCCCGAGTTGGCAGTTTGTACGTGTCGACCGTCGGTGTCGAGACGTAACCCGTCTGTGTACGTGTCGACGAGATTTTACTACCCTCCTGGAGATGGCAAAAACAAGAGGGGGTAGGTATTGACGTTTCTGAACATGAAGCATAGGCCCAGACATGATCACTGAACCGGGAGAAGAAGCCTTCAAGTTTAGGTACCCAGGTACCTGAAGGAAAATCCAGAGACCACCGACCGACCGACCTGACCGTCACGATAATACGTCATACATCATAGGTAGATGGTAGGTACATCCTAGATAACACCAGACGAACAAACAAACAAACAAACAAACAAACAAACACAGTCCAGTCCAGTCCAGTCCAGGCCTCACCGATCAAAGTTCCGACTTGATGCTTTCTTAACCTCACGTCGAGAGAACTCTGTTGGAAACGCCAACCCTTTCGAGAAAAAAGAAAAACTCCCCAGGTGCAAAAGTGCAAGACGAACGAGAGATCGTGGATGACAAAAAAGAGAGAGAGATGTCCCTCTACCCTAAATCATTACAAAGAAAGTTGAATCTGAATCAATCAATCAATCAATCAATGCGAACTCCCCTCCTCCTCCTCATCATTCATCATCATCAAAGATCTGAAAGGTATTGTTCAATATCGTCTCAACCACCTTGGCTTGCCATCCTGCATCGGCGATATCAGAGCCGGCCCCGGGTGCCTGTCCGTTGGCGCCACCTGCGCGACCCATCAAGGTCGGCGCAAACACAATGGCAAGGTTACTCTGCGTCATCTTGTTCTTGTCGCTGTGAGCGGCGACACGATGCAAGTGAAGAACGAGAGTTCGGAGAGTGGCATAGTTCGGATCCGGGAGGGAATTGACGAGAGCGTGGATGGAGTCTCGACGGACAATGTCGTCCTCGAGCTTGGCGGCTTCGATGAAGGCTTGGTATTGTTCCGCCGTCAGCAGCGGGTCGGGGAGGTCGCGGAGGAAATGCTTGAGAAGTGTTGTGACTGATGCAATATCATTGTAAAAACTCGTGGCGTTGCGGAAGTCGATTGCACTGGCGTCTGGTAAACGGTCAGCATTTGATTATTTGATTGACGACGAAAAAGAAGAACAACTAGTCAAAAGTCTCACCTTGATCGAATAATCTTCTCAATTCCATAATGTGGTGTGCCGAGCCTGAAGTCCTGTAGATGCCCTCGACCTCAAGCCCGTACAAGTCAACAGCCTGCACACACTGATATACAATTGTCGGGACCGCCGTTCCGTCTCTCTGGAATAGATTGTCCAATGATACTCCAAAGACCGGCTTGACTGGAGGACCAGCCATTAGTCCGTTTTGCCGCGAGGGTAGCGCATTGATGCTTCCGCCAGAACCAGCATATTGCCCTCGGCCAGCACCGTTGGAAGATCCCTGCGTAGGCCATGGTGGTCCGTTTTGCGGCCCTCCGTTCATGCTGGGTCCCGGTCGGGGTCCGCCATTTGGACCGCTTTGCAGCGATGGAGATCCTGGGCCTTCTCTTCCTTGAGGCGGCATGCCTTGCTGCGGTCCTGATCCGGGACCAGTTGTTCGCAGCGCGGGGTTGTATCCGGGACCTGGGCTTGGACCAGGAGAACTTTGGCCTTGTCCCATTGACGATTGGGGAGCACCAGGTTGACCCATTTGCGGCCCACCAAAACCTCCAACATGAGATTCACTTTGGCCTGGCATTTGAGCTGACTGGCCAAGATTAGAAGGGCGTGCTCCCATCCCTTGCGGACTTGTCGGACCGCTGCTGGGAAACGAGCCTTGCTGACCTAGAGAGCCGGCTCGTGGTGGACGATTAGGTTCAGAGTTTGGCGGCCCTGACTGAACTGGGCCGTTTGACGGGCCCTGGGAGGGAGCAGGACGGGGAAATGAGGATAGTCCATCGCCTTGTGCGCCACTTGGCGGCTGCGATGCATTGCGAGTATGAAGTGGTGCCAGATCACCACCAGATGTATTGTCGATAAACCGGTCACCACTGATAGAGTCTAATTGAGGTAGCTGAGGGGCGCCTGAGGCTGACAATCGGGTCCCAGGCTGGTTCGAAGGAGGCCCATAACTGCTTTGCTGCCCAGGAGGCCCTGGATATGGGCCACCATAATTGGGGCCTGGTCCCTGATGTGTGGACCGCTCTTCGTGCTCGTCACCTTGATAAGGAGTCACGCCAGATATTTGCCTGCCGTGGTTGGCAGGGTTATAGTTTCCATACGGATCTGGTCGCGGGGGCCCAAAGGAGGAGGAGGATGGTTGAGCTTGTTTGGGCGATAATGAGGGATGCTGTTCATATCGGATGTTGTCTCCTCTTATTCCTGCTTTATGGGTGAATTGCAGGACAAAGTCTACAAAGTCCTTGTCGTTATTGATGCTTGCAGCCACATCTCTGAGACTCCTAGTTGTGCCACCAGATTGTTGTCCCTTTATTGGCGTGACAGTCAGGCCATAGCCGAGAAGTAGCTTCTCTGTTTGTGCGGCGAATCTTTGCATCTGCACAGTGAGGCCCGCGTCCGTCTCCTTGATCAAATCTTGTAAAGCTGCGACAGTCTGCGGTCTCAGAACCGTTACCAGTTCGTTCTGCATCGTTTGCGCTACCTGGACCTTGTGAGCGTAGTCGCCATCTGCAGCTTCAACTTTTCGCTGAAGGTCCTCCTCTTGCTGTGCGGCAGACTTTTTGAAACCGGCCAGTTTGCCAGGTTGTCGCTCACCGGTCCTGGCTCTGTCAAATTGCTCTGCCAGCGAATTGTATTTGCTCTTTGCCTTCTCCATGGCATTTTCGGCGTCCTGCACACGCTTCTCAGCGGACAGCCCAGTCTGTTTCCAGTGTTTTCTCTCTTTGTCCGAGTTTGCCGCTAGTTCATATAGCTCTTCTGACATTTGGAGGATCGCGGTGGAAAACTGAGAGCCGTGGTCGGCCATTCGGTCGTGGGTTCGCGTAAACTCCTCATAGTTCTGTGCGAAGGAGCCTTGTCGGCTTTCCGGTCTTCTTATTTGATCAAGCGTACTTCGCGTGAGTCGTTTCATCCCGTGCGCATGTCTTTCTTCAAGTGAAGCTCGTTCTTTCAGGAAACCGGCAAAATCCTGGTCCGCGGTCAGCTGGTCCTCCACCTTGAACCCGGGATACGCACTCTCGTAGATGCAATACTTTGTTTCAAGCGGCTCAGCAACGTGGTTATGCCGATCTGAGAAATATCATCAGCAGCTGTCTGTACTCGTGACGGAGGACTGGCCGCGGCTTACATCTGAAGACAGAACATGTTGTACTTGTTCCTTGCTTGCGGAACTGAGCTGAGCGCCGGCGCCAACATTGATGGGCACAGGAGGCAGCGGCGCATCACTCTGGCCAGGAGTCTTCGGAGGGCCTGAAGGCCCAGTCGCAGGCGCACCGGAGTCAGCGGCAGAAGCCATGCTCGAGGGCTAAAAGCTGGCGCAAGAAGGCCAATGCGGGGAGTTCGAGGGTGTTTGTGTTTGGTGAAGTAAAACACTTTGGTCAAGGCAAAGGGTGCGACAAGTCACACAAGAAGAGGCGAGTGTCGCAAACAGCAGACCATGAACCAAGGAAGGGATGGACGGCGGTGTCAGTACAGAGAATTGATTTGCATTGCTCGTTGCGCCGGATTCCTGACGCTGATCGGCGACGCCACACGCGCGTTGGTGACGAGGACCCTATAGGGACCTAGTTTACAAGAGGTAGGTAGCTAGAGGGCCTCGTACTGCGAGAAGAGCTATCAACATCCGAGGCCTCCAGCCTTTTTTGATGCAAGCAGCGTCATCCCTCGGAGGCTCATTCACTAGTTAGGCTGCGCCACGGCGGTCTGTGCAGTGAGAAGAAGCTAAGATCGGCAGATACCTGAGCTTGTAGGGGTGCCCTGGCGGCGTAGAGCTTAACTGGAGCGGACGGGGAGGGAGTCCCTATCACGCCTAACCAGGGAACTAACTAGGTAATTAACTAACAACTAGTACTGTGCCTTTCAAGCTCAGGTTGGGGAGCCCAGTTAGTGAGCCTGCTAGACTCTAAAATGCCCGCTTGACTTTTGTAGAGGCCAGGGTGGCTGATGCGCCTGGAGATGTTCGCTGCCTGCTCTTTTGTGCCCATTTCGCTGGGTGATATCTTGTTATCTGTCTCCGGATCACCAAGGTATCATCTACAACTTTCCTTTCCTTCCATCTTCGGCAAGCTTGAGGATAGGTCGAAGGTTCTCTGGCTGGACGCGGTCCCAAAGACTGCCTACTCCCGCCGCCTTTCCTTTCGCGTCCTCGATCCTGAAAAACTCCTCTGCACTTCGGATCCTGTTTGGATGTATCTCGTCGAGCAGTTTATAATCCCGACGAATGACACCTTGGTTGCGGCCGGAGTACTTCCACATGTTGAAGAAGCCCGTAAAATTCTGGCGGAATGTCATGGTCGCAGCATCCTGTAGAGTGAATGTGTCAGCGCTTTCTTCGAGTGCAGCAAAACGAGGATTCTCTCGCAAAGTGTGCGACCAACCTTGGGATCCGCATTGTAACCGCTCGCGGTGTTGGCAGCTCGCGCCGTGTTTCCGGTGCTCCAGTACGTGTCAAGGTCTGTCTCAATATATCGAGCCGGGTGCCCGGTGACTTTCTCAAAGGCTTTGGCCAGGTCATCATAATTGATGTGGTCGATGGCCACCTCCAGATCCATGCCGTTCGATCGCTCAGGATGATCAAACAGCCATCGGCCGTAGAACTCGCAGTCGTCCAACGCCACATGGACGACACCGCCGTCATTCCCCAATGGTACTCGCCAGGTCGCAATGCCATTTTCGATGGTCGGCGTGAAGATGGTCCCTCTCGCGATCGACATCTCAATGTATGGCCTACCGCATTGTCAATAAAGAGAATTCGTGATAAAGTCGACGGACAGATAGATGATCAAGGACACCAAACGGCCCCTTACCCGGTAGTGAACACGGCCACGCCCATCCTGTGACTGTTGACCTTGTTCTGGGCGAGGATCCATTCTGCTATTCTTCCCTTGCCGTCGTAATGGCCGGTCCTGAATTTAGGATCATAGCCACTCTTCTTGTAGACATAGTCGAGGTTGCCATAGACGTAGAACTTGATACCTTCTTCCAGCGCCAGCTCGTAGGCCCGGATGGCCCAAAATATCTCTGTCTTCTCTCCACAGTTGAAACCATCAATGTTCACAAAAGCACCGTCACAGCCGCGGAGACCCTTTCGAAGGTCTTCTTCGTTGGCGAAAGTGCCTTCAACCAACTCGACATTTCCAAGTGCCACCAGTTCCTTTGCCCTGGCCGAAGTGAGATCCCGGGTTAAGACTCGGCATTTGTACTTTTTATCCTTGACGAGGCCTCGGATCACCGGGATTCCCTGAGCTCCAGTGCCCCCAACAACAAAGATATACGAGGTATGGTGATTCGAAGTCATGTTTGGAAGTGGTCAGGTGGTGGGGAGAGGAAGGTCTGATCGATAGACAGGCCGTGTCGTTGGAGAATCCATGACACGAGCTGTGGACTTTAAAGACATATTCGAGATGAAGTCTTGATTAGTCTTCCAAACTTATATTGGCCGTAGTCAAACTGTTTACTAACTGCGTCGACGCGGCGCTGTCCAACGAATGGACCACTCAGACCGGGGGTCTTACCTAATTAACTTGGAGACTGAGCTCATAAAAGTCAGATCATGGCTTGACACCGACAGTGCCGTTTGTTGTGAAGGTGTTCGGAACCCAGCCGATTCCCAAAAGGGTAATCTCGGGTGCGTGCGCTTCTCTCCGATCACTAATCATGAGGGAGTCCCTCTGCACACACGAGGTTTCGGCAAAACGTTGCACATCCTAGGGGAATCTTGTGATCAGTGAGTGAATCTTGAGATCTCGTGCATTGTACAATGTCCACAGCTAACATTTATCTGTAGCTCAATCATGGGTCGACCGGGGGATGAATTCTTACTCCGAATATGGCGATTCCATTCTAGCCACTACTCCGGAGCGTTGGAGTATCCTCATACTATTCGATCTCACATATTCTCTCATAGTCCAGAGGCTCTTCGCCTCTCCGTATCCTCCACCGGTTGCTGTTTTCTTGAAAAGAATGTGCACCTTTGACGAAGAACGGGTACTTTCTGGCAAATGCTTCTGTCACCTCCCAGCCATCTATGGCCCACGGCTCGCCCCAGACGATCAGGCCGTTCTTCTCCTGGGTGGAGCATTCTTCCTCTCCGACGCTTTGCCCGTCACCGACAAGGTCGAGACAGAATTCCAGGTCGTCAATGTTCTTCTCCCCGTAGCGGAGAATGTTGTCCCTGACGACCGGGTCGGGGAAAATATCCCATTGCGGATGGTGGGCGATTGTCTTTTGTAGTTCGGTGGGCTGAAGCCCTGGGGGGAGATGTCGTATATTTGAGGACGCGCTCGGCGAGAGCGGCAGAAACGGCGACGGGTAGTCATCCATGTACATGAGGTTGAGGTCCAAGCCGAGCATCTCCACGTTGGAAAGCAAAGCTCGGTATACGTTGTAATACACCAGTGTGATGAGGTGGTCACTCGACAGCGGAGTGTGCCAGGAGTAGTCTCGCTCCTGCTGCAGCCGTCGGGCAAGATCCTCGATGGAACGCATCCGGTTCTCGAACATGACTTGGTACCACTGTTGGCAGGAATATCTGCTCCGGATGGAAACAAAAGCAGATCCCTTGCCAGGCTGTGACTCCTCATCGGCAACATGCCATTGGCTCGTGGACAAAGCCCTCGTTCCCACAACCGACAGATCGTTCAGATCGACCCTCTCATGCAAGGGCTTGTTTTTAATCCTTGCGGCGCGGGCGCTAACGCCATTTTTATCTGAACATGTATCGCTGTTTTGGCTTTCGGCAGCCTTTTGCCCAGCCTTGCGTCGTCCTAGTGTGTTCGGGTCAGCGTCGTGCAGCAACGGAAGTGTGTTGTTTCCCCAGGTCTAGCTAGACATACTTGCGGCTCGCTGGTTCAATCTGTTCTGTAGCTTGCGACGAATGACAGGGTTTGTGATCCCCGACCACTCGTCGTTGAGGGTGTGCACGTCCGGATGGAGTTTTAGTTCTGCGCGAATTGCAGGGAACGCGGACACCCTTTCCATCATTGTACCTCAGCACACCAGTCACAGAGGTCGCAAAATATGTGTATACGGCTTGGAAAGTGGACTCGGAGGACTGCTGTTGTAGATATCTCTTCAGACGCAATCTGCTGACGAAGTAGATTGAAGAAGTCTCTTCCAGCTTTTACTACGGCCGGAGAATGGCCTTTAGAAACCATTCTGACTGCCCAAGCGCAGAGTGGTAATACGAGAAAAGACGAGAAAGACTACGAGTGGAGTCGGGTAAAGCGAATGAAACGATGCAAAACGCCGCGACTAGTCCGAAGGTGTTGAAGCCTCATGCAACATGCTGACGGAGGATCATCTTTATTTCCGGCCGCGACCAACCGGCGACCCCTGCGTCATCGAGGAAATGGATTAATTAACATATTGCCGTGAATCCGTCTCCTCTTGTGCTGCTCTTGTGGAAAGCAGCCTCATTCCTTCAGCCTTGTTTCAATGTTCTCTTCCTTCATGAATGCCTGACACCTTCGCAATAGTCTTGATGTGTCTCTCACATCGTCCCAATTGACGTCAGTCACTCCCGGGCGCCGAACCAAGCACGTATATGTTTACGCAGCAACATCACCAACATCGAGTCTTGAGCAGATGATAAATACCCTTGTAGGCATACACAGCGACGACAGCAGTGCGAAGGACAGTGGGGGCAATTTTTGAAACGGCTATGGAGGGAATGGGAAAAACACCACTCCCTTCTTCTCATACCGACATAAACAGAGCCAATTGAATAAGGTACAGACGATGTGATTCCGATTTGCCCAAGGGGATATCAAAAGGACTCCTGGCCAATCGCTGGATTATGACGCGACTGATATATAGGGTATATGCTCTGGGATCTTTTCAACCCCTTCATAAAACGAATGTTCCCGAGATCTTTCGATTGCTCCAAACCACCGATTTGCGCCCGCTGAAGGTCCTTACAACTCCCACGCACCCAGAGTCACCGACAGAGAAATCACACCAAATACCGTACAATACTCGAGCGAACCATGTACCCAAGGTAAAGCTACCTCGAACTAACACTGGAACAGAGCACTGCCACTTCCACTCGTAAAGATATCCACCGTCCTTCCCTCCTTGCTACCTTTATATCCATATAATTCCCGAGAGCTCTCCTTCTGCACATTAAGCTCTCGTCCGCTGGCAATAACGCTCCCGGATCCTGCGACCTTGATATGAACCATTCCCTCCCACTCCTGAGGATATTGGATATTCATACTGCCACTACCTTGTACAGTGTGCCTTGCTTGGATGGCTCTGACTGCCTCAGTCGAAGCCAGGGGACTCATAATTTTGAGCGTCTGGCTTCCCGTGGTAGTTGTGGTCGAGATGTTGGACACAGGGTCCCTCTCGGACACTCCAACACTGTACATGGTCAAAGTGATCGAGCCGGAGCGTGTGGAGATGGTCGTGGAGCCACCATTCCCATACACCAAATCACCTGAAACACTGCCAGTGTTTGTCGAAATATCTATCATCAAAGGTCGTTGATCAGATATCTTTGGGATAACGGGCTTGCTGAAGAACCCTCCACCGGAGCTGAATCTGACATGCACGCTTCCCGATTTTGTCGCGAGGCGAAGCACAGCTGGTTTATCTCCGGACTGAACCTGGATGTTGACATTTATGCTGCCACTGGTGGTTGAGAGGTCGAGCAGATCATACAGCTGGTAGGTTCCCGAGATGGAACGAGAGGTCTCGTGCTCGCGATGTTCGCGTTTCGGAACAGGAGGCCAGGGTGATGAAGAAGGATCAGGGCTGAAGACGGGGAATCGGCTTCTGTTATCCTGCACATCAACGTGTCAGTAAGAGTGTCCGCATGTACGATGACAAAAAAAAAGCAGCGAGGCCCTTTACTTTCGAGAACGACTTGCACAAGCCGGGTATCATCAACCACAGGCATAAGAGGAGAGCGAACGTAAACCAGCAGATCTTTTTGCACCGCCGAGCTCGTTCCTTGTGATTCTCCCTTCGTCGACCCAATCGTCGACCGCCACAACCTCGACCGCGACCTTCGCCGTGGCGCCTCCTCCACCATCGTCTTCCTCGGCCCCATCTGCTAGAAGAACCTAAGAAGGCCGGTAGATTGTCCGAGTCGGTGTCGTCATAGTTTTGATCTGGACGCTCATGCCTGCACGTGCCGTACGAATATTGAACGGGTTCAGGAAGGTTTACGCCGTCTTCGTCGTCTCGGAAAGCGCGTTGCACGGGGGGGATTGGAGATGGAGCAATTGTATCAGGAGTGCTTACAATCTCTGGTTGTGCTGGGAGTGCTCTATGCACAACAGGAGAGGCAGGTCCGGTGGGTGGCTGAGAGGGGGTAGTATCGGAGGGGGTATACATAGGTGGTGGATCTGACGGGTCTATCTCATGCGATAGCTGGGGATATTGGACACCCCGAGATTCTTCATCGTCAACTGTAGATGCCGTCGGCGTCCGGTTTGTCGCAGGTGTTTCGCCCGCAAAATTGTCTGCCCAAGATCCCTCAGAAGCCAGTCTCCGGGCTTCCGCTGCGGCTGATCTAGATTTGTCTGAGCTGGATGGGGTATGGGATGCACCGTCGGATGCCTCTTCTTCGGGGAAACCCTGGTATGTACGAGGGGGATATTGTTTGCGGATAGTCATGGTCACCCAGTGTCTGTATGGAGACCGGAAGGTGGATCAGGTCATGGATACAATGTTGTGTTTTGGCGCAGTGTGGGCGAAGCGAGTTGTCAATTGGATGCGCGTGGCGAAAATTTTTTACAGTTCGAATGTCGGCGAAAGATATAGCGGCAGTGGTCGTGAGAGCAGATGAGGGCTTTTTGGGATCGTTGTGGAAGGGAAGAGAATGCGAAGGCCCGTCACCTGAGGCGAGTGTTGCGAGGGCGGGCGGGATGTGTAGTGACCGGCAACTGAGGGGTGGAGGAGGAGGAGAAGATGCGGTCGAGACACAGGCAGCAACGAATATCTTGCCTGATATCGCCTGCACTTCGGGGCTGAGATACAATACCTCCGCACCCTGCACGTCGGGCCCGACCACAAGCGTGCGATAGGCAGTCGGCCGCTGCAGCTCTTATCCACTGACACATGGGCTGGTTGGGAGATCGAAGCACCCGCTGGCACCTGACTGGTCCTGGGTCCGAATACGTGCACAATGCTCCTATGCTGACTGCATGTTGGAATCGTCATAGATATATTTCTACTGATAAGGCCCGTTGCTCCTGATCAAACGGAGGGATGTGCAGCTGAAATGTGCAGCTGATGCTGTTTGGAGAAGAGACTCTATATCAATCTCAATGATGTTCGCAAACAGAGAAAGGCAGTGGGTGAAAAGCCGCCATACGGGAAGCAGCTGTGCTGGATTGGGTATATTATGGCTTTGGTCTTATTATCCCATCTCGACCTTTCCGGACGCCATAACCGCGTCCAGGATCTAACATGGGTTCGTACCGCTGATAGAGAATGCGTTCAGAGCAAGTCCCGTCGAACCCTATCACCAAGTTCATCAATGAATGTACACAACTCCGTCGCTGATGCCACGCTAAATGCCGACTTTGATGCTGAAAACTCAAGATCTCGCTCAAGACTGTGCGAAGGCTTTTCACGGGTATCACTTAGCAGGCAACAATAAAAACAGGTTGACCCTTCGCTCCTTGTCGGTCAGTCAATCAATCAATCAATGAACCAATCACCCGTATCCAAGGTTCTCGAGGATTGCTTTTGCTTCGTTGTGTGGGAGTCCAGCCACCCCCAGCGCTCGTACCTGACTTCCCCTCCGAAGACGCTGGAGCCCAACCGCGACTTTCCATCCCTCGCTCTGGGAGAGAATGAAGACATACTTCTTTCCTTCTTGGTCTCGAACGCTCGCTCGAAGGACATGAATCCCGCTCAATTCGCAGCTCTGTAGGATACCTCGTCAGTAACGGCACTTCCTGCACCTCGCACAGGAGACAGGGCTGGCAAGGGGGACTGCGATTCATGCAAGGATTTCGTGTGAACAGACAGGGGAACCATACCTCTGCTAACTTCAGCGTCCAAGCCTTTACATCCCATTCACGCTGCGGTACACCACGAACATCATCGTCGATGAACAAGCCCTCGGTGGTGATTCGGAGGATGAGCCCATCAGTGACATTTCCTTGTCCCGACACGAGCTGTGAGATTGGGGTTCGCGTGAAAGCGTTGTTGAAAGAAAAGACTCCCTTGATGATGATCTTGTCAGGGTCATTCGTTGAATATGGGCCTCGAGCCGATGCTGGAGGGGTCGTCTTTGCAGTACTCTCTGACGGGGCATAGGACGATTCTGAGTACATTGATGCAGCTGAGTTGGCCTTGTATGGTCTTCTGGGCCGATCATAAGGGCGAAATGAATATGCATCGTCATCACGCTCAGTTTGCGCTGATGGCATCGGGGGCCGCTTCGCAGCAGCTTCTGCGACTTTTCGTGCCTTTTCTTTCTCTTCTGCTTCAGCAGCTGCTTTGGCAGCAGCGGCATCCTTCTCCTTCTGCTCACGCTCTTTTTTCTCCTTGCGTTCGCGTTCAAGTCTCTCTAGGGCATCTTTTTCTCTTTGCTTCTGTCGCTCCTTTTCGAGCTCTTCTCTCCTCCTCTTCAAATCCTCTGCACGCTTCCGCTCCTCTTCTCGTTTCCGTGTTTCTTCTCTCGCCTTCTCCCAGCTGGACTTGGCACCTGTCGTGTTGGCCTTGGTGTTGGCTTGGGGTGTCGGCCTCTGCCATGACGACTGCGGTGGAGGAGCACTGGCTCCATGATTTGGCGGTGGTGGCGGTGGGGGAGGAGGAGGAGGAGGTTGTGGCTGTGCTTGTGGCCCTGGCTGGGGATGAGCATACGACCCTGTATTATTGAAGCCTGTGTAGCCTGCACCTGCAGATCCTCCAGGACCCGAGGACGTACTTGGCCGGGCAGAAGAGCTCGGCTGCGCCCACTCGCTTTGTGTCTTGCCAAATGCCCAAGCAACCACTGCCACGCCACAAATCAGCATAAACACACCGCCGCCGCCACTGTTGACGGTGGTGAACAGCCATTCTTTGACGACTGGTACAGCGGTCGTGTAGATGAAGAACGTAGCGGCCGTGCAGAAGACCCCGGCCAGAAAGCTGTTCCGTTGGGTTTGTAGAGAGGGAAGATAGAGGAAGCCCGAGCCTGATGAATGCGGAGGAATGACAAAAATGTCATACCTGCCATCAGGAAGACCCCCCGACCTGCCACCGCCTTGAGGGTTGGAGCCATGCGGCGGCGGCGGCGGTGGAGGAGGCTCCATGAGAGCAAAGCCCTCGGGAAAACTGTGTGTATTTTATCTCCGTAAACAAGTGTGTAGTAGATGTCGACGAGAATATGGGGCTTTCTTCTTCATGTTAAGATCGACTGCACCGTGAGCAGGGTCGGTGACGTGAGCGGGAGTCCGAGCTTTGATAGGAAAAATCCAGAAGCACCGCAGCGTCGAAAGGTGGTCGTTGCGTCGGCAAGTTCGATCGTGTGTGGATTGGCTTGTGAAGTTGTAGTTTGGTGGTGAGCTATGGATGTGTTGCGGCAGAGTTTTCGAGGAGCAAGAAGAGTGCAATCAACCAGGGGACTGGCGAGTGATTGGGATGGTGGCGACGGCTGTACAGGATGCGCTCAAGGGAGGGAAGCAGGACAGGGCCAGTTGTTTGGGCTGGCGCTAAGCGGGCACAAACGACAAGTCAAGCCGACGAAAGGCCCAGGGTCATCATTCTCGAACAAGGCCCCGTGGGCAGGGTGATGACACTGGTCAGAGAAATACAATATCCAAGAAAAACTGACGGTGACAAGGGCATGAAGAGTCACCCAGACGGTGTTGACTTCACATTCACCAACCGCAGTCTTTCGTTCAGATGTCGCCCACTTCCCAAGCACACTTGAAGGAGAGAAATTATTACATCCATCAGCCATGAGACGCGACAAATATACTCCCTATGTTTTGTTGGCAGACTCTACAATTCTAAGAACTCTGGAGCCAGACTTGCAGCTGCAAAACAATGCAACTGATATCCAATGGAGTGGAAAGCCTGCAGCAGCATGATGCCGCCGAGTGCAGCGAATTGCTGTAGACGAGCAAATCATGTTTAGAGCCTGTGACTTCACGCCGCTGATAGGCAGGAATAATCCAGAAAGCAACGCGCTTGAGGAGTTGAGACTTGGACGTGCAGAACAACGGCGGCGAGCGGTCGAGGATGATCATGGGTGAGATGCCACCATGGCCACGTCGACAACACCAAGCGAGCGGTGAGAGGATGTGATGAACCCTGCGTGCGAGGTGATACTCGTACCCGGATAGGATTGTGTGATTCTGCCACTCTGTTCGAGTACGATTGTTAGTGCCTCCGTGAGGTAAACAACACGATCCATGGGATGTTGCTTCGGTAACAGGCGCAGCTGAGCGGGCCCATTGCAAGTGCGGCGCTAGAAGAACTCGCCCGCTGGGCTAGGGATGTTGAGCGATTGAACGAGGTCTAGGGACGCCCAGGGGATGGGCATTAGCGGATCACAGCGACCATTAATAAGGCTTGACAACGGCTTGCTAGGCTCGCTCCGGGTAGGCTGGAATCCCTTCCAGGTCTAAAACCCACAGGCTACAGGCCCCTGACGGAACCTGCATCTCTTTCCGCGTGGCTCCCAAAGTTCAACACTGCCCCTTCATCTGGATCCATGTGCCGACGTCTTTGACGGCACTGAAAGGTTCGCGCCGATGCAGAATGAGATCATTGTTTCCCCTAGCCTTGCAGCTGCAGTGTACGAGGTACAACACAAGTATACTGCCTCACGGTGTCACAGAGGCAAGCGCCTCAGTACCAACAGCCTGTATCTCAAGACCTTGGTCAGCATCCGCTGCAATAGATTGTGCTACAGTCACACCTATCACCCCCAGCCGAGACAAAGAAAGGAGGTCACAGTTCCACTGAATGCCTGCTTGGATCTGTCTGGTGTGGTAACACAAATCAAACTCCCTCGTACCAACCACACCTCCACGAACACCTAGCATCCAATAAAATCAGGATGGCTCCCATGTCATGCGGCCAGTTGCTCATTTCCACCCAGGTCCCAAGTCAGAAGGTGATCTGAAACCTATCACGGATGCGTTCCCCGTTACAGTAGAACGGCAAGAGACTAGATGTGATGAGAACAGCAACAGAACAAAAGGAGCTGATCCCCCATCTATATTCCTATCTGGAAGACAGCTCAGACGCAAATAAAGGGGTTACGCCTTCTAACAAGCTTCTAAACACTAATCCACCAGAAATTGGCGAAGCTGCGTATTTTGTGGATGCATTGATGAAGTGGTTCTGCATTGCGTTGAATACAACAACATGGCCTATGCCACTAAAGTAGGTAGCAATGACCCTTGCAAACCAGTGAACGCGATACTCTACCCGCCGTGCAAAAGCAAAATATGCTGAGAGGGATTAAGACACTACAGATATTGGCACATGGCGGGGGAAGTTTCCCCCACGCTAGTCCATTGTTTCTCTTTGTCGGTGCATTGAAAACGGTGTCGATGCAAGGGACCAGAAACCAGACGGACGTCAGGAACTCAAGACCTGGTCCTAGGTAGAAAAGTCCAATTTGCTCCGTGTTCATGTCGTACGCCGGCTCTGAGAAGATTCCCTGCATGTTGTTGTATATGCTGTAGGTTCTGCCAAAGATCAGGGCTTGATAACATGTCTCTCGAAGAAGAAAATAATCTGCGGTGGCCATCAACCCACAGACAATAGTGAGAGTCTAGACCAAGGCAGCATGACCTAAGGAAAGGGAGCTTCCGGTGACCTGCGTTCAACGCATGCTTATTTCTTCTCCATCCTCATCGACTGGCGATGACGCCTGCCCCATGCTAGTGTGCAGTATCGTCTATGGGGTGCCAAGGGCGGACTACAGCAGTCGGAAGAAGTGGAGGAGTTGGAGGATGGTCACTGATGCGGATGGAGGCCCTGTTATGAGTATCGCTGAAATTTATCCCGACGGGAAGTGAAACTGAATTTAATTCTGACTGGAAGCGAAAGAAGTACATGGATACAGGTCCCTGATGGCCGGTTAAGGCGACGGTGAGTTGAAAGTGGCTTCAAAAGATGCCAGGAGCTGGGAATGGCTTTAGACTGGTAGTGAGGCTTGCCCAACAAAGTACAATTTGGCGAGCAATCGCGCGTCTTGGCAAAAACCATCTTCCTCGTACCTGACGTGGCGGCAACCTCGTTCTTCACCTTTGGTCATCGACTTCATTCTTTTTCCATCTGCGGTCTACCACATCTCTGATAATGGCTTCCTTTAGGCCGCGGGTTGAGGAGGTCTTCCGCAACGATGAGGCTAAGAAAACCCTCATAGAGGCATGCATTTTGTTCTGTCCCTGGACACCGCTAACCCAGCTTAGGACATGTTGGCCGAAATCGAGGAACGTACCAGAGAACGAGATGCTGCGAAAGGCGAACTTGATATGGCCAAAGATACCGCCCGCACGTATTACCAACGTATGGTCCAAGCGGAGTCAGACAGATCCCACCTCCAGACATCCACGGTTACTCGTCTCTCGTTTGGATGCCTGGTTCTCAACTAATGTTCTTCAGGATTGTGACCGATTCCTGCTTGTCCTGATTGATGGTGACAGCATGCCGGTAAGGCCATGAGTGCCGACAGAATCCCCTAAGATGAGAGGCTCCTCGAGAACAATTAGCTGACCTGGACAGTTTCTTGATGAATTCCTGTCGAGAGGCATGGAGGGTGGCGAGGCCGCTGGAAAGCATCTCCGATCTTCAGTTCTCGATTATTACAAAACGAACCCCAAATTCCACGCTGACGATCGTGTCATCATCCGTGTTTATGCTAATGTGCGTGGTTTGAGCCGTACCCTCAAAGCTGCCAAAATCATCTCCGATGAGTCGACCTTTGACCAGTTCATCGCTGGCTTCAATAAAAGTCACCCGCTGTCCGATTATGTCGATGCTGGTGTACACAAGGAGGCTGCTGACTCCAAATTGAAAGGTACGTCAGTGGAACCCTCCCTTGGTCCAACTGATTTGACAGGTCTACTCAAAGCAAACTTCGAGCTCTTCTACCGAAATCGACACTGTCAGCATATCTTCTTCGGAGGATCTGCAGACAACAGCTATGCAGGCTTTCTCAGCCCTTATACACTTCCTGGAGGTATCAACGATCGCGTCACCTTGGTCGAAGGCCCGCCATTCGCTTATGATCTCCGAAAAGTTGCACAAGGGTTCGATCGAGTGTCGTTGACCACGGTATTCAGGACGGCAAAAATACAAGTCGTCAATGGTACCCAAGCCGTTGCTGGAATCAAGAGACCTGCTCCTGCGAGCTACGGCTCTGGCCGACCGACTCCAAGTTCAGCTTCGACGCCCGCAGACAACAGATCTTCATCACCTCCGACCACGCCTAATGTGTCACCCATCATTTACCAGAATCAATATGGCCAGCGCCTTGATATACCGCTGAGCTACGACAAGGAATACCTCAAGCTTCTTTACGACAAGAATTCGAAACTGTGCAACAACTTTTATTTGCGAGGCAACTGTCCCTTCGGGTCTTCCTGTGCATGGGACCACTCTCAAAAGTTGAGCCAAACCCAGCTTGACACGCTGCGATACAAAGCCAGGACTTCCAACTGCCGCAATCCTTTCTGTACAGATCCCACCTGTTGCCTAGGCCACATGTGTCCGCGGGGAAATGCCTGCAGTCTTCCAAATTGCAAGTTCCTCCCAGAGATGCACAACATTGACGTCAGCCGCCTGTACGAGTACAACACGGAAACGCAGGAGAAGAAAGAATTGAAGCCTTCCTAGGAGGAATTGCTCCGAAAACTTGCTACTTCTTCCCGCGCTGCGTCAGAGATCCCAAAACTGGCATCACTGCCTGTATACCCAGCAGGTCCTGGCTCTATACTCGGTGCTGCAATTGCCCGCCTATCTACACGGGACCGGGATTTGCCATGCCCATCGCGGGGCCGACGGCTATCTCGAACTTCTTGATTTTCAAAGAGGAAGTCTGGAAAATTCCGTGCCCCCTCGACCCAAATTCATCCAACGTCAGAAGGTATACATGAACCGCTGACGTGAATGGTCCGATCCTCCCTCTCAGTACGAAGCGACTCTTCCTTTGCAACTGCTTGCTTGCCTGAGAAATACCCCCTTCAATTGTTTTCGTTTGTCCAATTGCTAATCTGCTCAAACGGCATGCTCTAGTGTGCCGGCACACTCCGACCGAGGCAAGGCACTGAGCATGCTTGCGAGCATACCAGTGACGACTCTGTCTTGGATTTTTAAAACACCTTGAAGCTCTTGTAGCAATTAAAACCACTTTAACTCATAGTTGTTTCTCTGACGTGGCTCACAGTAATTGGCTTCCCGTAGCGACGCATAAATCGATCGTAGTGTGATTATCGTAACCTGTCGGCTTGGACAATGGGTTGTGTTTACAGCCTTGCTTCACAGATGTGGCTGGAGTTCGGATAGGGTTTCATATCTTGTGAGATCTCCCCCTAAAGACATCCCATTCAATCTTGGACGATTGCCATACTCTTTCTGAGTTCTCGCTCGCGTTGCTTGCACTGCAATTCCAGTCTTTCAATGGCATATTGTAACCGCTCTTTCTTCTGCTGCATTCGTTTCATCTCTAGGATTTTCGTATCGGTTAGACCGGGTGTATGGGAAGGCCTGCTGCTACGGGTTGGCTGTCTGACACCACCAAAGCTGGAACTTCGTCTGTTGTTGTTCAATCGCCCTTCCAGCAACTCCGAGCGGGCCCTCAGACTCTCCTCTTTCCTCCCAAGTTGGCTCACGTACTTGTCCACTGTCGACAACAACTGGTTAATGGCAGGCACAATCTCATCGACTAGCGACTGTTGTGCCTCTCGGAGGGTGGGCTCGGGTAGAAGTTCGAAATGCTGTTGCGTTTGCAGCACCTTGCATAGACGGGGAAAGTCGGACACGCCTTCGTCGAGAATGGAGATGCTCGAGTCAAGCAGCGACAACGAGGACCTCAGCGACGAGACTGCGGGTCCAAGGGACGCCATGGTAGGAGACCTTTTTTTGGGGGGGTCTCTTCGAAGTATTTTAACCTAGGGAGTGATTTTGGAATGAGGCCGTATCGACAGGGTAAACAACCATGGGTCGCGACGCAATAATGCAAACTTGACAAATATGCCAAGATTGGCCAAGTTAGGTTTAGCTCGCTCCCCGAGAGCTCGGGAGAACGTTGAAAGCAAGAGCTCACTTTTGCCCCCGACAGCAGCCAAACTCTTCACGGAACAACCTATTCAACCTCGAAAACCCAGACTGTCCTCAAAATGCCTGGCTGGATCCCCAAGAAGTTTCCCGGCAAAGTTGGTGAGTTTTAGCGACTACATCAAGACGAACCGTCCCGCACGTCGAACAAACCGTGACTGACACCCCAGCTCAGCCGAACCCATGATCCCTTTCTACGCGGCCGGTCTCATCGTTCTGTACGCAATCAACGCCGGCGCGAACGCCATGATGGCCTGTAAGTGATTTCTTCTCTGACATTTGAAGCCCTGGGAGGTGGAATGAGAACATGGTATTGCGAGAAGGCCCCAAGACTGACCTGGCTCTAAAACTGCAGCGGACGAGTACAAGAACGATCCTCGAAACCCGAACGCAAAGCCCAACCCCAAGGCGACATAGACGGAAGATTGTTTTCTACCTATCTGAAGTCCAATCCAATCCCGATTCAATGATCGTCAATCAGGAATGCGGCGGAGAAATACACAAAGCTGCCTGAATCAATTGTACATACTACAAGCATAGAGACCCAGTGGATCAATGGAATGAAGAAGTCGGAAAAGTCTACAGCTTGCAATTTCCCTCGTGCGGATGTGTTGTTCGCTATTTCGTTCCCTCCGTGCAATTCGGCTCTTCCCGGAAACGAGATTGGTGATATGCTGCAGGCATCGGTCGTGATGGACTGATGTTGCAACATTTGGATGATCACATCAAGTTCACAGAATTTAAGGAGCCACACTTAGCGACATTTCTCTGTTACTTTGTGAGGAGTTTTGATGGGTTGTTTCTCCGACGACAAGTCCAGCTAGCAGAACCCGGCCTACCCCTTGGAACAGGTAAGGATGAATGATCATGATTTATTCGAAAGAAATGACGTCTTCAGTACACCCCTCCAAGAGAGCCTGCTTCCGAAACCGGTGTGGTCCTTAGACCTCCTCGTTCACCGCGCACTCAAGCGAGGTTGTGCGATTTACTTACGTTTTGCCTAATCAAGCGAGACAAAAAGCATATATAGCCGGCGTGGCCGCTGCTGACGCTGGGCTTCAGCCTTTACCATCTCTTCTCAGATGAACCTCCGAAGAGCCCTGAAGAAATTGGTGATCATCGTGATAAAGGAACAGTGGCTACCATGAGTTGTGACAAGACCCAGGCCAAGGGTCGATTTGATCCCTTCATATCCGGAGACAGAATTCGGCACTGCTGGCTTTACCTCGTCAGAGAGGGGCTTCGACCTTGGAATCGTCTCGATATTTCGAGCCTGAGGCAGTTGACTTGATGACTGTCGAAGAGAAAAAGATCTTGTATAGAATATCGACAGCTGTACAGGTGTGAAGGTAGGTCGATTTCGTGATCTCTGACCTTGGCTCATGGCGTGTTAACTCAAATCATGACACTCTCATAGATAGATCCGTTACTGAAAATGGTTGTCCAATCTTGATTGATTATTTGGAAGGCTGTAGGCCAAGGTATCCATGCTGGATCGCCTGGTTGCTAATGTCTCGAAATCTGATTCACCAGTCGCGCTGTAACAACGGCAACGAACTTGTCGGTGCCGACGGAAGGTCTATAGTCTGATCAAAATCCGTGGCTACGCTCAATGCCGCTTCTGCGACTGGCAGTGCCTCGTCTGGGTGTATATTGTGATGTATCGATGCAGGACTGGCCTCGTTGGCCCAAGTTGGTGTGTTGTCTTGAGTGGTAAGGTAGTGCTGTTGGCGCGGTGGAAGCGCCATGCTCGACGCCACCAAGAGTAGCAGTAGCACCAGAGTCGGATAGAGAAACACCGTCATGGTTGCGGTTGATTCATCGATGAAAAACATCGACGAAGGAGACGAAGAAGAGAGAGCGAGAGTTGCCTGGTAGAAGCCTCCAGAGTCCGCTATTTCTAATTAATGTGACAGGCTCTGCTGGTGAAGGACCATGAAGGAGGGAGTGACAAACTAGTGTGGCTTGGGAGGTTGGAGGTTGCCAATCAAGACGGGGCAGAGTGAACGTGCACAATGAGGAGGTGTTTAGTGAGACGGTACGGATATCATGGCTGTATATGACATACTCCGTCCTTCCGCAGACGATTTCCATTGTTTGTCCTAGCTTGATGCTGTACTGGATTCCAATCACCTCAGAAGGGCGGAGGCCGTACAGTCGGTCGCTGTTCCCGCTCCCGATCCAGCAGCTAATAAGACACATACCATTTGCCCCTTTCCTGCTTTCGCCCTTGAACACACCCCGTCAAGGGATTGTGACACGGACTATGCACTACATGCTTCCAAGAAAAGAACTTTGACGTGAAACGGTCGAGAAATTCCTCGGAGTCGGGGTCATAGCACCTCATACTCGTGTTCAGGAAAGGCGCCACTGAAACTTCTGCTGCCCCTTGCAGGCTTCAAGAGAGCTTGGCACCTCTGTCTGCTTCCGGACCCTTTCATGATTCACACGCCGATAGACTCAGCACACACATGGACAATTCATCTGTTGCTCGCAGTACATGTTCCGCGATGTTGTACCGCCTACAAACAACCCCACGCTCGACCAACCCGACGCGATTGTCGCAGCTCAGCCTCGTCGCCTGCAACCTTTGCCCACTCTGATGGCTTCCTGAGTTCCTCGGGGCCACGAAACGTCATAGCTTGAGCGTGTTCTTCTGTGTATGATTGTCGTGCAGAGCAATGTACACGCGTCCAGTTCCCTTGTTGACACGGACTACGCTATACGCTTCAGCGCTCACCAGTCTCATATACCGTGGTGGACGCCATACTTCGGCCCCCAGAGGGACTGGTGCGAGACGTCACCTTCGAATGGAGCCAACCCGGGCGCATCGCAACCCTATCATCAAGCTTCGGGGAACCAACAACAACACGGCCATACTTGAATTCATCGTATTCATTTCCATACGGTAGGTGACTTATCTCCCACTGCCGCGGATTTTCAGCATACCCCATTTCCATGACCAAAATATTGGTTTGCGGGTAGCACGGGAGCGATCTCTTCGGGAGCTACGTGACGGCTGCCTCGTCTATACATAGCAAAGGCCCAAACTTTGATGTTGGCCCAAACTTTCTCAGAAAAAAGTGATTGCTCTCCTGCCGACCATGATGATGAGTACGGGGTAGACTACCATGGCTTCGCCAATAAAAGCACAACTACCAGACCAGAGATTTTCACCTGTGTTATTTGATATATTACATCTCTAGGTACAGCGACGTCGGCCAGCGACGCCTCATCGAAGAAAATTCCCATGTCAACGATTCGGGGGAAGAAGTCGTGTGCCACCTTCTCCACATACAGACGCGTGTTTCTCCCTAGGAAGGTAGGAGCTACACTTCCTTCTGTCGCGCGTGCAAAGAAGTTTCGCTTCACTCCACTCAGCCGGTGCCTTTTCTAAATCGGGATTTTACTGACAGGCAGTAACATGGAGCTGGAATGTCGCTGCAAGAGCGCCGTTGTTGAAGAAGTCACGTCCGGAGAGGTGGTTCCCAAAATTGACCCATCGACCCTCCTGGTAGTGCTTGACAATCCTCCCAGGTACCAAAAACATGATCTGACTGAGTGACAGTGGCTTTGCCCGAAACGTCCGCTCAGCGTGCGAAGGTTAACAATAAAAGACACCCAATTAACCCTTGGCCGTTGACGGATCCCTAGGCCGCCGCGGAGGTCGATATTCGTGTTGTGCACCGCGCCCGTCGTTCCTGTCAACGACAATGTCTCCTGGTGGCATTTCTGGGGTCTTCGGCCTTTGCCTACGCCGACTTCTTCTCCCATTATGAAGGCCGTGTAGTGCCGACTGCATCCATTGCTCAGAGGGTTTGTTGTTTGGTAATTCTTCGAAATATGTGAAGTCCTTGAAAGAAACTCCATTCTCGACCTCTGAAGCTGTTGGATTAGTCTCTTCACCCCGTGCAGTTCCAGGTACAGTTCCAGGTTCTTCAGGCACGCCAGGTTCTTGAGGCACGTCCGGTTCTTCAGGCACGTCAGGTTCTTCAAGCACGCGTCGTCCCTCCTCAATGACCTCCTCGGGCATTGGCTCTCTGTAGACATGGATGATGTGTTCTCCGTCAGGGGTTGCTTCACTCATTGCCCTGCCCTCTTCAGCGACTTCGCCGAACTCTTCACTACTGTCAGTGTGCTCGACAGCTTCTTCCACAGGGCTCCCATCTTCCCACCCCATATCGTCCAAGTCGCTCTCACTCTCATCATCGACGATACCCGATATCTCTGATCTTCTCAGTGATCCATGCTCTACTGCGAAGCTGTTTTCTGTTCTGGCATATCGAGATTGCGAGAAGTTAGCCTCCTCAGCATGGCTGACTGAGCCGGCCGATTCCATGTTGCTCACTTGAGCAGATGTCGGTGGAGTGTCGGTGTTTAGAATGGCTTTGATCTCCTCATGTGTCTCAATATAGTTTCGCACAACGCCTCGAGTGGCCTCGGCAAGGCCTATGTTTAGCTGCACCACTAGGCGATCTTCTCCCCGGAGTTCTAGGCGCTGGCATCTCTTCTGCAACTTCTTGACACTGTTCCGCAGACCCTTGATGGCTCTCTTGCTCGCCTCCCTATTATTGCTAGATCAGCATGTGGTTTCGGCACGGATGTTTGAAGACGTACAGCTCTTGTTTCAAGTCCTCCGGAACCTCTCTGTCATTGGTTCTGAGTGCCCTTATATGGTTCATAAGGGTCTCCAAATTTATCATTGATATGAGCAACTCTGCGTCTACCTTGGTGGAAACGAGGAATAGGTGGATCTGTGACCATTCCTCCTTCCAGGTGGACCACTTCAGAGCGACCCACCATCGTTTGACCTGAGAGTATTCTGGCTTATCAAGTCGAAGCGGTTCAGACTTCTTCAGCAGGTGTCGAATCTTATCCCCGATGTCCTGCGATGCCTGCACAATCTTGTCGGTGATTCTGTTAGAATCGAGATCTATCAAGAATCCTCCTTCAGGTGAGTCGGCTGTCCGCATCGTCTTGCCGAATCGCTGCAGCAGTAGAGCAAATATCTCGGCCTCGTGGGCGATCATGTCTACTTCTTTGTGACCGTATTTCACGTTCTTTATGAACCGATTGAGCTTTTTGCAGACATTGTGGAATTCGTTCGCTATGGTGAAGATTGCAGTTACTCCGCCGAGGGTCTCCATTGCAGATTGAAGTCCCAGAGTCAGTCAGTCAGTGATAGCACGAGTTTGGTATCCGAGAGTGTGATGGAGGATGTGGTCTCTTCCATGGTAGCGCTGATGCGACAACGATGAAGATGCTCTCTCGGCACCCCTCGCGTAGAAAGCTACCAATCACTTAAGTGCTCGTCGACTGCGCCATGACCGGTGTGAAGGCTTTGAGGCTGAGAATGGAGCCGTAGGTCTACCTACAATTGGGAACCAATGCAAGCAGCTGCCAACCGCCACAAGCAGACGCCCGAATGCAAGCCATCATGCAAGATTGCGCCTGCAGGGCTTGGACAATGAGAATCCACCACTGGTCTGGAGGAGCCAAGGAACGGCCCTTTCCCTGCCCCGAGTGCATTGAAGCAGATACCCTGGGGGCATTGGGTGAGTGGGAGAATATGGCGTATTCCGTTTTGATCTCGCGTTGGGGTGTGCTGGCAATGCAAGGGAAGGGTGAGGGGCCGTAGATACGGAGGTGCGCCAGGATTTGAGTGTGGTCATGACATGTTCGCGCGTACTCACAAATGGTCAAACCGGTTGAAACTCCAGTTAATGATGGTGCAATTCATGGTTTCCATGGAGTTAAGGAGTTTTGGTCTACCTATCAAGGTAAGTTGACGAGTTTGCTGCAACGTAGCCCAGTAGGAGCACGGATTCGGTGGGGGCACTGTGAAGGTTTCCGACGCATCCCCCTGCAGAATGCCCGTGAAATATTTATGTTCGTGCCTATTTAACTACTACACCTCATAGTTACCTTTACACAGTGTGCAGGACATAGTCACTCGTGACTCACCCACTGGTTTTTCCGTGCTCGCTGTGCGCGGAGTTTCAACCGTTTCGCAGACACACTTCCATGCGGTAGGGCGAGGTAGAACCGACCAACACCAAGGTATCTCACAGTTTGATTCTTCAGCTAGTTCACCAAGCTCTTCGAGGAGGACGACACCACTTTCCTGAACTGTGTCGCGGGCTCTGCTGCGTACAGAGTCCTCGAACATCTCTCTCTCACTGACTGAGAGAGGATAGGAAGATCATCTACAGCCCGCTGGGAGTAGTTCGACCGCGACATCGATGTCGTGGAACTCGTACGGCGTCCGGGTCCTCGTGCGGGGAGAGTTTTACCCATCCGTTTAGGCATGAAGTACCCTAAGCTGAGAAAAGGGTATTATCGGTGAGCTCGACTAATAAGCTGCTGTGGCCACCGCCCGCCAAAGCATACAATATACCTACGATATTGTACGACCGATCGAGCTTTTCGGCATTGAACAAGCGCTTTAGCATGGCACTCTCATGGAGTGTCACCCTCTCACTCTCACCTCTCAACTCTTGCCAAGCCACATTGCACCGGTCACGCATGAGCGCTGCCCTGGCCACGCCCACAACACACCGCCCGCGCCCTCAACTCCTGGTTTAGTCCTTCGTGCTGGAATTTCATGAATTCATTGCTCAAGGCGTGATTGCGATAGCACAAACAGGGAAGACAAATCGACAACATAAAAGCACAATTCGTTAGCCGCAGAAGCCGATGGCGACCTCAAACTCCCTCAAACTCCATCTCTTGAGCACTTTTGATAGTCAGCTTACAGGGCAAACCAAAGAGTGTCAAAGCGATACCAGCAGCTGGAAATAAGAGTATCAAGCAATACCAAGAACTTGAAATAAGAGTGTCAAGAAATGCCAAGAACCCTGACGGGAAACGCACCGGCACTGGATATGAAGAGCGGCTGAATGATATGCGCCTTATGGACCCAGGACCAGCTTGGGGACACAAGACAAAAGATCGACAGACTGATCGAGAAAAGGAATGTCGGCTGCTTGAGCAACCCTTCAATTTAAGCACGCAAAATTAAGTAATTAGGCGCATAAGGCTTAGCTAAGGTAAGTACCTAAAGTTGGCTGGACCGCCGTACATGAATGAATGAATCAATATCTACAACCAATCAGCATGGTGAAGGCGTCCCCCTTATCTTTCGCAGCAAGCCTCGATCACCTACAATGCTGACTGTCCGTATTTCTCATCGGCCTCGTAAAAGAGATAGGTGTACTCCGTACCACCGTTTCAAATGATCACGCCGTCTTCAGCTTCCCCAAATGGGCAACGAGCTACTGCTCCCGGCGCGCTGGGTCCAAAGATGCTTATCGATCACCTCCTTCAGCCGTCAGGGGTGGCTCGTCTGCGGCTTACATGTATATATGGCGTCCCCTCCGCAATCCCTATTTATGCTCCGCGTGGCCCTACCGCCCTAGACTAGTTGGGAGCTGCTATCTACGTGTTGACCGTCTCTCACGCTTTGTCACGCCGAACGCCAGAATGCCCGAGCTGAAGGAAAAGAAATCAACCGACGGCCCAGAGGAAGCCCTCGCCACGGGCGGTCAGGAGATCGCGATAACCCTGGACGGAGAGATTGTCAATGCGTCCGGTCACATCGACCAGCTGAACCGTCAGTACGGTCTCCTGAGCATATGTGGTCTTGCCCTGACCGTCGACAATGCTTGGGTGGCCTTGGGGACATCTCTCGCGGTCTCGATCTACAACGGCGGCGCCCCTGGCGTTATCTGGGAGCTATGGGTCGCAGCGTTTTACTACAGCTTCATCAACGCATCAATCGCCGAGTTCGCCTCCTCCGTGCCTTCTTCAGGAGGAGTATATCACTGGGCTACCATCACCGCGGGCCCCAAATGGGGCCGCCCCGTTGGTTTTTTCGCGGGCTCACTGAATTATTTCGGATGGCTCTTTGATCTGGCCTCCATAGCATACATCATGTCGGAACTGTGTGTGCAGATGTACTTCCTCTACCACCCCGACTATGTCATCCAGCCTTGGAATCTCTTTGTCGGCTTGTTATGCATCATCGTCCTGTGCCTGGCAGTCACGATATTCTTCAACGGCGCCTTGGCCTATCTCCAACATTTCGGCCTGTTCATCGTCACGGTGGGTGGCATCATCACAATCATTGTTCTAGCCTCCATGCCGTCGCAACATGCATCGACGAGCTTCGTCTGGACGGATTTCGAAAACAATACAGGCTGGAGCGGCGGAGTAGCGTTCCTGACCGGCGTCCTCAACGGCGCTTTTACCATTGGAACCCCCGACGCCGTCACACACATGGCCGAAGAACTCCCCAACCCAAAACGCGACTTACCAAAAGCCATCTTTGCTCAAATCGGCCTCGGATTCCTGTACGCTTGGTGCTTTGCCATAGCCCTGTTCTATGGCGTCAACGACCTCACCGCGGTCCAGAACAGCAATGGTTCATTCCCACTGGCCCAAGCTTACTCTCAAGCGACGGGCAGCCGCGCCGCAACATTCGGCCTGCTCTTCATCATCTTTCTTTCGCTGGTACCTTGCTTGATCGGAACATTCTTGACCGTCGGACGAACGTGGTGGGCGCTCGCGCGAGACAACGCAACACCGTTCTCGGGTTTCTTCTCCCACGTCAATGAACGACTCAGCTGCCCCGTCGAAGCCACCCTGCTCACTGGAGTCTTGACCATCGGATTGTGCGCCATCACCCTGGGAAGCAAGACCGCCTTCAACGACTTGGCAGGCTCCTTCGTCGTGCTGAGCAGCGTATCGTACGCGGTCACCATCCTGCCAAACATCATCACCCGCAGGAAATACATGCCCGTCGGGCCCTTCCATCTCGGCATGGCCGGATACATAATCAACGGCCTAGCCGTCCTCTTCATCATCCTCTTTGACATATTCTTCTGCTTTCCGGTAAAGTCTCCTCCTCCTCGATATGCCAAACCTCCATGCCCTCCTCCCCCTCCCAAAAACACACCATACAGCCTATAATCTTCATTCCCCGTTCTCCAGACGTTAGCAATTCTATTACTCGGTTGTTCCCCTTCAACAGAATTCCTCACCCCAAAACTAACATCCTGGATTCTTCATCTGCAGTACGCCCTCCCCACCACCGTGGCAAGCATGAACTACAACTCCGTCATCCTCGCCGGCGTCGTAACACTCACCACGTTCTGGTGGTTTGTCCACGCGACAAGGAAATACGAGGGGCCCAACGTGGGCAAGATGGTCGAGGCGAACATGTTGGAAGCGAGGCGCGCTTCAAGGGTGTAGAACTATTTAGACCCTCGCCTGAGAGCATTTTCCTGGTAGAGTTCAGCTTTCCGTCTTTTCAAATGAGTGATAAAGCAATCCCCATCCCTCGCACATATTTGGCATATCCAGGGACTCCCTCTCAGAAGACCCTTGTCGGTTTCTTCAAAGGATCTTCCCCTGGCCCTAGTTTGGCTCACGAGCGGTTTTCGCACTTCGGAGAGATATTTTGGAAAGAGACGGTACGGAGCCTTGTGTGTTGCAAACGTCGGAGCTTGAGGTTCGTCACCACACAGCCCAAAGACATCCCCCCATCCCGTCCTGCCTTCGTCCCGGGAAACTCCATCACATACACCCTTTCATTCCCTCCCGGGGATTGGAAACACCAGTGAATGCGATCGTTTCGTCCTCGCTGCTCCCTGTTCGCCGCCGTCCCCGTCCGCATGGCACGCTCAACGGAGCTTTCGCCCAGTTTCACTGTCCAGCAGTACAATGTCGTGGCTCTTGCTATCAATAAGTTACCAGATTTGCTTTTCGTGTCCGTTTCCGTGGATTAGACATACGGTGGGGAGTATGTGGTTTGAGCCTGGGAGTCCGCGCCCGCACGACCCGACTCTCGCCGCTGTCAACCGGCCAGATCCTTCCAGGTTGGGCTGACGTAATGCTCTAGTCGCACCCTAAATGGCCAACGCAATAATCCAAACATTATATACGTAAACCCGCTGAAAATGCCCTAAAATGTGCCCTCAGGTGAACCTACCAAAACTGAGTTGAGTTTCGCTCTGCTGGCGCAATGGTAGCGCGCCAGACTTCTATCTTTGAAATCTGGAGGGTAAGATAACTCTCCGTCCACGCGTACCAGACCAGAAGGCTAACGGTGAAAAAGTTGTGGGTTCGAGTCCCACGCAGAGTGGTTTCATCTTTTTTCAATTTTTTTTGCTCGCGTTATACGACACGGTACATGCAGAGTGGACAGGTACCTAGGTCTTCAAGACATTCGGTCAACCTACAAGATATATGTGTTGTAGGTATATGTATATATTGAGTGCGACGGCCCAAAGCGGGTAGAAAAGAAGACGGCCCCGCCATCCCCAAAACCTCAGCGATTGATTCATATGGATCAGAGATACTCCATACAAGCTTATATCCTAAATTAGGTAGCTGAAGTAACCCAGGTAGATCCTCGTACTTTACCTACTCGAGGTAACGCCTACATCAACATTTTCGTTCTACTTTTCACGTCCGTATATTCTACTGTATCACAGTTCTTGGCGAGAAACTCTTCTTCACCCATCTCCTCAACCTCGACTCCGCATTCGCTACGGCGGTGACTTGTCGACATGAGACTTGAAGAACAGGTTGTCCTTGTGACAGGTAAGTCAAAGCTAAGCTCGCCACCTTCACGACGTACAACGCAGAGTAACCAACCCTCATCCACCAGGATCCTCAAAGGGAGTTGGACTAGCGATCGTAAAAGCCTTTCGAGCCCAAGGGGCTCAAGTGGTTCTGAACTACCACAGCTCCAACCCGGAGACCGTGGCGGGTATCGCACAAGAAATAGGGGCCTTTCCCTTCCGCGCCGACGTCACGGACCCGGACCAGATCAATGCTCTCTTCGTGGCGGCCGAGACGCATTTCGACAAACCCATCACCACGGTCGTGAACAACGCCATTGCCGGCAACTTCGAGTTCAACGGCGACGTCGGCCGCCGCAAAGTCCACGAGATTCGCTGGTCGGACTTTGACGTTCAACTGCGGGGGTTCCTTCGAGGCACTCTGAACACGACTCAGGCCGCGTTACCCGGGTTCGAGAAGCTGGGATGCGGCCGGATCATCAACATCGGGACCAACCTGTTCCACAACCCCGTCGTGCCGTACCACGACTACACTGCGGCCAAAGGGGCCCTGCTGGCATTCACCAGGACGTGCGCGGCCGATCTCGGGCCCAAGGGCGTCTCGGTCAACATGGTCTCCGGCGGTTTACTTGAGACGACGGACGCCAGCGCGAGCACGCCCAAGGAGGTGTTTGAGCAGATCAGGGCCGTCACCCCGTTGAGGAGGGTGACGAAGCCGGAAGACCTCGCTGGCGCGGTGTTGTTCTTTGCCAGTCCGTGGGCCGACGCCATCACGGGGCAAGAGGTGATTGTGGATGGAGGGTTGGTGATGAGGTGATGGGAATTTTCAAACCCCCGTGGATAGATGTCGATAATTCTCACATATGCGGGCGGGCCATGATTACAACTTTGCACCAACGGACGGGGGAGCCGGCTGGATCTCGACGACGGCCTTGCCCCAGACTTTCCTCGACGCCAGATCGTCCAGAGCTCTCGGCACGCTTTCTAGACCGTGATACGTCCTGTAGATGACAGGTTTGACCCTCCCGCTTTCAAGCATCGCGTCCAATCCCTTCCACACTTGCTCGGTCTCGCTGGGGTTCCGTCGTCCGGTTTCTCCGTATCTCTGTGATGCATGGTGACAACGGTCATCAGTCAAGCGGTTCAGAATTGCACTTGCATTGCATATGCAGAGATCAAAAGAAAAAAAAGGACTCACATATCCCAACAACCTCGCACCCTTGAGCAACACCCTGTTCATGGAGAGTGTTTCCATTTTCCCGTTCAGGCCCGCGAAGCCTGCGACGACGACGGACCCTCCGAACTTGAGACACCGGATGCTCTTCGCCACCAGGCCGACGGTGTCGTAGACGACGTCGACGCCGGCAGGGACGATCTTCAAGACCTCCTTCTCCCACCAGTCGACGTCGTACCGCACGACGCCGAGTACGGCACCCGCCCCCGCGGCCCCGAGGCTACCACCGTAGCCCCTGCGAACCACCTCCGCCTTTTCCTCGCTGCCCACGGTGGCCACGACCTTTGCACCCAGGGCGAGCGCGATCTGCACCGCGTACACGCCCAGCCCGCCGGCGGCGGCGTGCACGAGGACCGTCTGGCCCCTCGTGACTCGGGCGACGCGCACCAGCGCGCCGTAACTCACGGGCGCGGTCGCTGGCCCCAGGCCCGCGGCGTCCGCCAACGTCCAGCCCGTCGGCACCCGGCGGACGGCCGATGCAGGGACGGCAATCTGCTCGGCGAACGCTCCCACGCTCGCGCCCCAGACCTTGTCGCCGGGCTTGAACGCCGAGGTCGGTCGCGCCGAGGCGACGACCCCCGCGAACTCCAGACCGAGCACGAACGGCGGCTTCACCAGCCCGCTGTGGTTGTTCTGGTGGAGGCCCCTCGCGTAGAGGAGGTCGACGTGGCTGAGTGCGCTGTGCGTGACCGTCACCGTGACGACGTCGTCCTCGTCGGGCCTCGGTGTTGGACCGGGGATGCTCGTGACCCGCAGGTCGGAGGGTGACTCGACGTATTCTGAGATATATATCGCTTTCATTGTCGTGTGGTACACGAGGGACTCGAGTCGGTTGGTGCTGCGGTTGTCGAACGCGTGACTCGTGACTCGTAGAGCGTCCAAGAAGCGAATAGAGCTACCTCGCGACGTGTGCAGTGTATGATGACAAACCTCGCAACCCGTAAAACTGGGTGTACCAAAATTTCCTTGCCACCCCCTGGAGCGCTGGGTGCGTGAGGTTACGGGAGGGGACCGCACACGCACTCTCTCCACAAGTCCAACCGAATCATCGATCGGATGAGAACGAATGAAGCGTGAGTTCCGGTATGGTTGAACGCGGAACAAGCAAATGAAATCTCGGAGCTTTACAGGTACACAGAAACTCGACAGGTAAAGAACGAAGAGAACAGAAGTTCATCAGATACATATCTGTTACCTACGTGAAGATTGTATCTTCTGTGCCGAGGTTGCTGGCGTCTCACACTCGCCATATACATATACTTTGTGCCTAACTAACTGGCTTGGTATCGTCTCCCGACCGCTGCAAACATCCTTTGAGATCACTCCCGAGGGTACCTACTATATGGGTTGTTTGACGTTGAGGACCACTGAGACACAAATCATAAAGAAATAGTCTGTCGATATTGCGCACCCTGTACGTGTTTTCGACGTCGGTGTCCAAGTACCCCTCTGGTCTTACCTGGACTGAAAAGTGCGCGGTCGGTGAGATTGCCGAGGTATTTTATCACAGTATATTGATTGCTCGTCCCTACCACTGCATATGGAGGCACTTGCATTTTAAACTAACAAATACAACCTTTCACATACTCCTCACTTATCAAGACAAAAATTGGACCGGTTAGGTCAGGGTCATGCACGCTATATGTACTCGACTCCGGCACTCGTGCGGAGTGGGATCTCAGGCGAAGACACCAGTTCCAATTGCAAACTTTTTCAACACCCAAACACTCAATACTGTCCGTCAATAGTTAGGGTGCCAGTCTTGGATATCAAATACTCATTGACCGCGACGTCTTTGCCGGATTCTTTACCGTATCCACTTTCCTTGATACCACCGAACGGAGACTCTGCGGCGGATGAGTTGCCAGTGTTCTGTGAGACAAAAGTCAGTCAGTCAGTCAGTCATCTAGATGGGACCACAAATCCCCATTTCGACAACCCCTTCAAAGAATTTGTAATCACATCTTCAAAGTGACAGACTGGGAGAAAAAAAAAGTCGACCGGCACGGCCAAGACCGGCTACCGCAACCGCAACACCGGGAAAGCCAACGCCAACACCGGGGAATTCTACACCAAAACCAACCACCGACGCCGGCAACAATAACAACAGCAAACAAGATCACTTACCAGGCCAATCATGCCAGCCTCCAAATTCTCCAACATCCTCCACACCCGGTCGATGCTCTTCGTAAAGGCATAGCTGGCCAACCCCATACTCGTATCGTTGGCCCAACGTACGGCCTCTTCCTCCTTTTCGAATTTGAATATTCCCGTGACGGGCGCAAACGTCTCTTCCTTGCTCAAGAGCATACCGTCCTTCATGTCGGCCAGGATGACCGGGTCCATGAAATAGCCACCCACGCCCTTCCCCAGACCGGCACCTTCCTTGTCCGTCGCGCCCTTGTGCGCCTTGCCGGTGCCCAGCAGTAACTTGGCGCCATTCTTGATCGCGTCGGCCGCCTGCTCCTCTGCTTTTGCGAGACCCCTGGGCGTCGTGACGGGGCCCATGGTCGTCCCTTTTTCCGCTCCGTGGCCGACCTTGAGCTGCCGTGTTTTCTCGACCAGCATGCTCGTAAACTTTTCGTACACGCCGGCCTGGACGTAGAGTCGGTTCGCAGTGATACACGCTTGGCCTGCGTGCCGCCATTTGAGCGCCATGAACTGGGCCAGGGCCTGATCGAGGTCGGCGTCGTCAAAGACAATAAAAGGGCAGTTCCCGCCCAGTTCGAGCGTGCATTTCTTGAGGTTCTTCGCGCACAGCCCGGCCACGATCTTGCCGACGCGCGTACTCCCCGTGAACGTGACCTTCTTGACGAGCGGGTGCAGGATCATCGCCTCGCTCACACTGGGCGTGTTCTCGAGACTCGTCGTGACGACGTTGAATACACCCGGCGCGAACCCGGCCCGGGTCGCCAGATTCGCCAGACTTAGACACGTCAGAGGGGTCTCGGGGCTGGGCTTGACGACCATTGTGCACCCTGCCGCGAAGGCGGCGCCGGCCTTGCGGAGAATCATGGCGATGGGAAAGTTCCACGGCACCAGCGCCACGGCGACACCGATGGGCTGCTTGATGACGACGACCCGTCTGTTGGGCGCTGCCGGCACAGACACGGTCCCCTGGATCCGCTCGGCCTCGCCGGCGAACCACCACGTGAAGCCAAGGGAGTAGTCGAGTTCGCCGTACGCTTCGGCCAAGGGCTTGCCGGTCTCGTAGGTGAGAATCTTGGCCAGGTCGTCTCTGGCCGCCGTGATCAGCTCATGCCATTTCATGAGAAGCTGTGCACGCTTGCGCGGGTTGACGGTGCTGTATTCCTGGAACGCCTTGTACGAGGACTGGATGGCCGCGTCGACATCTTCGACGGCATTGTCCGGGCAGGAGGCCCAGGTCTTGTCGGAGCCGGGGTCGATGATGTCGAAGCGCTTGCCGGATTTGGCCTCCACCCATTTGCCGTCGACGTATGAGTGCTGGTGTAGGAGGTCGGGGTCATTCAACTCGAAAGGGAGCGTCGGTGCCATTGTGCCGGTGGTGGTGTGTTTGATGACGGCCGGTGTTGATGTGAATTCAATGTCTTGATCTGGTACCGGGTAGAATGATGAAGACGCAGAAGGAAGAAAGGCAGGTGTATACAGGCGGAGTAGAAGCAGTGGTCGAGGAGATAGGGAGGTAGTGTATATACCCGCCCAGCATCTGCACAGCAAGAACTAAGCGGCTGTATCAACCTTCTACGTAGCCGAGGGGGAGGATGCGGAAACCGGGAATCAATTGGCTTCGACCCCGCAGCAAGCAACTCGTCGTCCCCTCCCCCTCTGTCCCTCTCGCTGTCGATTCCTCCCTATGGCATTCCAGTACAGCGCGTTCCACCACAAGCTAATTGATGCTTTCCAGAGCAAATTTGGAGTCGACTGCTTCGTCATTCAGCCATTGTGTTCTTGGAGAAAAGGCCCTTGCCACTGCCCAATGCGCACTAGGCTTCAGATCCATCGCCGTTAATTTCCGCGGTCCATGCCGATGCCGGACGAGATGGGAGTAATCAACCAGCATGGGATCCTGATAGGTGTCGAGCGTGTCGGAATGTCCCGCAACCGGGTCCCATCAAGACCCCAAGGAGGATGAAAGCCACAAGGAAGAATATCAGCAGAGGAGACACAATGTTATACACTATTCGGTGCCTGTTCTGCTACGTCCATAGACACCACCAGTGAGCACGGGTTTGGCTGGATCCCATGGCCCAATGACCACATTTTTATACCGCTGTAATCCGATCAGCCACCAGGAACAACCACCCATCACAAACGCCGTTCCAAATCCTCCAATTGCAAATCCAATAGTGCACCGTTTAATGACATGCCAGATCCAGCCCAGGCAGAAGCCACAGTCACCATAGGTGTGCGTGTAAGATTTGGAGAGAATCAGGCCCAACCCACAGGTAGATATCGTGACCAAAGCAAAGGTGAGCAGTAGATGATAGTTAAAGGACTTGTGGCGAAGATGGCGTCGGAACACTGGAAACAGGCCGAACACCTGGATCGAAAAGAGGGTGAGGCTGAACACGGCTGTGGTGGTAAGTAGTCGTGACGCCAACACGGTACTCGCCATCAAAGCCGCATTTGTTGACAAGGACGATGGAAAGGCAGGAGTACGGAATGACGCGTGCGGAGGTGGTTTCGTCGTCTCCCCCGTGGCCGCTTGAGAGGCTTCTGATGAGGGAGGGATTGCATGTGGCTTTGCAGGCATGTACAAGCTACTGTAGTCAAAACCGAAAATATTGATGATAAGAAGCCACGTTGCAAGGGCCCAGATCGAATCGGACGAAGTTGACCTCGTCAGAGATTTCAGGATCGGTGACAAACCGATGAGTGCAAAGTAAATCAACCCAGCCGACTTGAGTGTCTTTAGGCGTGCCTGATTACGAGGTGAAATGGATGCGGGTAGGGTTGTCGGCGAATAAACGATGCTAGGAGATTTGGGCTCCTGCGGTCGAGATGTAGTCGGCCGAAGATCTGGAAACGGTTCCATCTGCGAATCGCCCAGCCCGTCGATGGGTGAAATTGACTGGAAGGATGATTTTGACAAAGATTGGCCGTGCTTACCGGAGAACCTTGACTCGTTGTCCTTGACGGCCAAGTTGGTGGTTGACAATTTCAGACCGAGCCCACGGCCACCGAGGCCTCCGTTCGCGTGTCCGTTGGCATGACCATTACCGTTCATCACCGGTTTCGTGGAGCCCGTAGAGCTTGTGCTCGAACCATCATCGACATCGGCAGACAATCGATTAGCCTTCTTCGCGGCAGCCATCTCTGCTGCTTCTTCTTGACCCATCCAATAATCCCACACAATCCAGCAAGCCACTGTGGCGACTGTACCGCAAGTCACAACCGACACAGGCGACAGGCGATCCTGATAGATCCCTGCATAGGCACACACGAAGATGGCGACAGAACATACGTGCTGCACAATGACCGCCGAGTCTGCTACCAGCGGCCAAAAATCGTACGGCTGCAACCTTGGGTTTCTTTGCAGATGGTCCAAGAATGTTTCCGTGTCAGTGTAATTGTCCGGAAATCCATGCTGTTTGATCCACAGCAGCTTTTTCCACACGTGTGGTTGTCTGCGCCTCCGGCTCGCCGCGCGTCTTTTTTCTTCCGCTAGCCTGGCTGCGACAGGAGGTATGGCAGGGGGTGCTCGTAGCGATGCGATTGCAGGTCGAAGAGCTGCCGCCGCCGCGGAAGCAGCTGCCGAGCCAGCGATCTCTGGGACAGGCCGCAGACGTGGTGGCGAGAATGTTCTGAATGCATCTTCGGGCGCTAGACGGGTGGGATCGCTAAGAAGGCGATTGACTTGTGGTTTTGCACGGTTGGGATGAGTCTCGACTGGAACTGGAGGCGGGATAGGAGAAGGAGTAGGAGATGGTGTTGGTGTCTTTGTGATGGTCGGACTGGTAGGTGGCGATGATGAATCTGGCGGCGCCATATTGCGCCTCGTATTGTTACCGTGAGATCATTGTTGGCTGTCCTGAGGAGGGACAAACTTCCCGTGGAAGAATTACGACTTTGAGTACATTGTACGTGCATGCAAAGACAAAGCGATCGTCTTGTTAATTCGGGTAGTACTCGTATTGCGAGACGATCCCGGCAAACTTTCCGTTTAACTCTGAGCTTTACGAGTACGAAGACTAAGTACAATACGCGAGTTCTACATGGCCTACGGAGTCCTGGAGTCCTGTTCAGGTCAAATAATGTGAGAAAGATCACTTTCAACAAGCTTTAAGAGCAGTATGAATTCGCTCAGGGGTGCTGGTGAACCCTGTAGAGCCTTCAAAAGTAGTCAGCGCCGTACGCTCAGGCCTTCACTCAACGTACTTCCCGTTACTTGTCCGCAGTATCCCGTACCTTCAGGCGCCTAGAGGTATTGAATGAAGATGTCCCATTCCTGCTATAAGAACCATTGTTCCTTGACATTTCTTTTTGAACCTCCCAACTTACCTGGCGCCGAGTCGTACTGCAAGGTTCTCAACCAAGCCGCACTAGTAAAAAGCTTCATCAGCCTAATCAACACCCGGTCCCCTCTGGCCCCCACCACAGTTGCTTCTTCAGGAGCTGGACTTGCCCCTTTGAGCGATTTGGACGTTTTTAATGAGCCAGCAACGACTTTTGACAGACGCCACATTGTGCGTCGTCCAACGGTACTACGCACGAAATACCAGTATGGGCGGATTTCGAGCTACCTACGAAATCCATGGAGCTCGAATTCCCGATATTGCATCTGCACCTCATTGTAGCCTCACTGGCATAGATACTCGGACAATTACCTTGCTCGCCGTACCCATAATCTCTGTCGTGTGGCGATGACTACTATTATTTCTACAGCACGGAGTACTCGTCGTGTTCTCGTACGCTCTGCTCTGCGCTGCGCTCTCCCAGGTAGCTACCAGAATAGATAGAGGCATAAACTCCGCCAGCAGGGTTACGACCTATCTCCCCGTCCGTTACGATTCTGCCTTATGCCAGCTACTAGTCGCATCTCATTCCGTTCTCCACAGGCGAGGCTGAACTCGTCTCCCCCTTTCTTCTCCCGTGTACCGAATACGAAGAAACCGCAGCCATCAACCCTGGTCCGCCAATTCCCCATTAACGGAGGAACAACAACGCGTATTCGTTTGCCTGTGACCCTACTCCATATACTAAGCAACATCCTTGGTCTGTCTCACTGCCGATCTGTCAATCCGATTCACCCTTACTCCGTATCCGCGAGACCGTGACAGTTCAAGGACTTAGGTATGGTAATCGCCTTGGGGCTCCATCCGTTTATTGCAGGTCAGAATCTTATTGACAGCATGACTGATACACACTCCAAAGCCAACAGCTGCATCCTCGTTTGAACAAGCAGCTAGGTAGAAGAAGAGCTAAAAATTTCCGACCATATCTGTGAGCTTCGTAACACAAGGGCCTCCTGGTTCTAAGGGACTGCTATCTCGCCAGCATGACGTAAAGCGGAAATTTTCTCAAATAGCGGAACATGATCGTAAGGTATGCGCTTCGGTATAGTATTTCAATTGCGGTTTGCGTGCCTCTTCTGGGAGACTACGCATGAGCACATTTCTCGTGGATAATGCTCGGACGCTGAAACCTCTCAAGAGGGTCGCTTTTTGCTCTGCTGATGATGGGAAGCCTCATCTGTAGCCGGATTTGCCGATAGAGCAATAAAATCTTTCTCGTCTTTAGGCAAGTCATGACCACTTTCCAGTGGAAATTGACGTACTGCTCTGTGTGAGTGGCGGGATCCCCAACCAGATGAATCAAGATCAAGTTTGGAAGATTCAACGTCAATTCGATGGGCGGACTCCCTAAGGTGCCCTACCTAGCACAGATTGCCCACTGAAGTACAAGAGCTGCATGTTGCCCTTATACTTGCCAAATTTGTCTATTCAGGATGGTTGGATATACCGTTTGAGCGGGCGAAGGCAGCCGTATATCTGGAGAAGGGCTCGAAAATGCCATCGGTATCGTGGGCAGTCCGTAAATCTTCTGCAGTCGATGCATCTGGCCTCTGATCCAATCTAGTTGCCCGGGACGTAGAGTTCTCACGAGTGGCCCTGGTTTGTTATGAGGCCATCTCAAGACAGGAGACTTCAGAAACCCGATAAGAGGTGTCATGACAAACCACCCACCTATTGCGGCTGCGGCACGGATGTGGTCTTCCTGAGTCATCTCGACAGGGTTACCAAATGGGTCGACATAGTTGGCCAATTTGCGAAGCTCCTCGGGGACATGAGGATACTCGCTGTGTTCGTGTGGAAATCGCAGTGTCGTTCGATTGCCAAGGTGATATGGTAGGGACGCGCAGAAGCGATCCGTTATCTCCTGTGTTCGGGATTTTAGGTGTGAGTCTAATCTCGGATCAACGTCAACGCCGAGGGCTTCGAGTTCTTGCTTGCAAAGCGCCATAAGTCGAAGTGCACCGACATGAGAACTGCGAGAGGCATTGTTAACATGTGAGACGGTCAGCGACGAGTACACATCGACTGTATCGCCGTAGACTCCAGCTGCTCGGATGGACGGGTGAAGTTCTGAGGAAGGTACGGCGACGGGCAGCCAGGACTTGGGGAGAGCCTCCCGCCATGCCTGAAGCTTCTTGTCGATTGCCAACGCTTTCCTGAGGATGGTCTCATAAAATTCGACGAGTGTCATATTCATAGCTTGGGCTCCCTCGGCAGCCACCACATGCAAATCCGCAAGTTCGGCGTTGATTAAGTCAAGCTTGGCGGAGGGAAGTACGGCGGTCTCCTCTGCAAGAAGGTCTTCGTTCAACGCGACCTTTTGGCCTGCTTGCATTGCGAAGCTAATATGCCGGCTTCTCAGTGCTGTCAAGAGGCGTTGAGAAGTTGGTGTTTTGAAATTTTCTTTACCCCTATGTCGGAGAAGCGCAACAGCTCCTTGTTGATGTGTACCATTGTCAATGAAACCGACGAATCGCTTGTTGAGAGAATCATAGAAATCGAGAAGGAACACTGCGGCCAGAGTATCATCACTTTTGGACTCGACCGGGTCGGCCAGAGCAGTCTTCAATAAGCTGACAGCGCTGGCATAGGTCTCCCGGGCTAGGTATGAGTCCATATTTCTAGACACCCACATCTGCGTGACATTGATCGCAACAGCGTGGACAGACTGCACAAGGGCCGAGTTGACAGGCGCGTTCAGGTACAGCGGAAGAATATGTTCGATGAAGATGTTTGTGCTCGGATCTCGAGGAATATTGACATAATTCGAAAAGAAGTACGATAGGCACTCTGCTTGAGCATCTCTGGACGGCTCAATCAGGATCATCACGGGGCCGGTTGGTATAGGCGACGCGGAGCTGGCCGTCATGATCTCATGCAAGTCGAGCTCTTCATTGGTGGTTGAGGGTGAGTGAGCTGCTTCGATCTTGGGGGTCTTCTTCGGCGGCTTCTTGGTCTGGGCAACAATTGGCGTCTCATCTTTGTGCAGCGCATCGAACAGGTCTCGGTAGCCTGGACACTGGTGTCTGCAGATTGTCAGAAGATTGTGCCTGAACCTGGAACCACAAAAGGCATGTGCATCACAGGAACGCGCCGCATGTACAGCGAAGCATCCGGTACGTACTTTCGCTTCTTGCAGTTCCCGCATTCGGGTCGTTGTTCATCGCACTACCAACGTCAGTAATGATATTGGATCGAGTTTCGCAACGGTCTCGATCACTGACTTTCACCCGCCGCTTGCGACATGTATGACACCCCCGGCTAGGGCCTTTGTAAACCATTTCTTGCGAGGTTTGGATATCTCAATCTGTCAGACGCGAGTGGTCAAGCGGGCACGTGGGCTCCTTGTGTTTGCTGAACCAGCAGTTCTGACTTCGCAAGCCCTCCGCCTTTGAGGAACATCGCCGGCCTCATATGCATATATTGTGCTCCGTATCCTGAGGTCACACCATGCCTCCCGCAGGAGAAGAGAACTGTCAACACTCGGCCCCGGCGGTTGGGATGTTGGTCCGACTTGGCGGGGGGCTGTGTCATTAGTGGGCAGGCTAGTTGACTTAGCGGACTCACAATCCCGCTCATCGCGTCTAAGGCCCTTAACACCGTGTGGGAGACGCAGAGGCAGCGTCGACTTTGTCTACTTCTGTATGTGCGAAATACGCTCGCTAAACTCGGTACGCGGACATCTAGTGGCTAATCTGTTCCAAAGACAACGTCCACGTCCACGTACGCGCACCAGGCTCCCACCTTTCGCGCAGGCTTTGGCTTGTACTTGTAGTTATTGTACGTTTGTGGCGATCATCTCGGCAACACGGCCCAATCCTCCGGAGTCTCGACGGCAGCCTCCTATACAAATGATTGCACCGGCATTTCCCACTTGCTACTTCTAGAAGACATCGCCCGGAGCAGGGGGTTGTCTTGTTCTTCCACGTCAAGGCTGCGCCGACTTGAAACCCTTACCGGCATCTTGGCATTTCGCCGGCCCTGACGCAAACCATTTTGCAGCATGAAAACAAAACAATGAACAGGTCGGCCCGTGGACTTGGTCCGTGGACATGTCTAGCCACAATTTGCGGCCCAGCTGGCATCAAGCGTAGCGTTCTCCTTTTTCCGGCTAACTCGGACATACTGTAATAGACCAGAACCCGTCGACTTGACCACGAGTACCAACAGTGCTATGCTTTTCAGCGTCTCAATTCTCACCATTATTGACATGCTTCGGGGTGATAAGTGGTAACTCTACTTTGTCAAATGTCCCGGTTGAACCAGTCCTCTGTCGAATTCACCAGAGAAATATCTACTCCGGCAGAAGGTCGCCCTACCAAGGTGTCTTACTCATGAACTCTGCCTGTCTCAAATGGTATGAGACAAGGAAGATCACCAACGTCGGCAGGGTTTGATACGCCATTTTATGCAGCATTACTGGCTGGCGGCTGCAACATCCCCGCGAGCTAAAGGAATAGACATCCTATGGAGCGTGGCTGAAGCTTACCGCTCGTTTGCAAAAGTGCGATGTTCGCGTAAAAGGCGCTATCGCTTGTGGCCTGAAGGTATCTGTAAATTGCCTTACATCACACAGGGGGCATCTATAGGCGTTGTTGGCGCCAAATGCAACTTTGTCGGCAATGGTTGTCGATCAAGGGACATCGTGGCCATCAGGCTTGGCCAGGACACACTAGCTAGAAGAACGTTTACTAGGTAGCTCAACATACCGTACGGTACAGGACTCGCTTGAAGGATGCATAACCATCATGCATATATGAAGGCCAAGGATTTCACCAAAGACATCTTGTGCAGGCTATGCTGCTGAGTGACACAAAGAAGAAAATTGTTGGTGACGATGTTCAAATCAACTAACTAATTACGCAATCCTCGAATCCCGAAAAGGTCAACTGTTTCTGCTCACTGGCGCCTGCGTTGTTGGTACTAATATCGCTGACCACCTCACTTCCGCAATCTCACCATGGCAGCTGCGTTCCAGTGTGGTCCCAAAACTTCCCACTATGTGTCTCCTTGTTGGCCTTGTCAAACAAAGAAATGAGCCCACTCACACTCTCGTCGAGAGTGACTGGGACGTCTTCCGCGTTCATCCCCGCAAGCGCAGCAGCTTTGTTTCCCATTTCTGTCTGTACCCACCCTGGCTGAACGGGGACAATGGTTATGCGACTCTCCTCTCGGTGGATGCGACTTGCGGCATAGGTAACCGCAGCCTTTGACGTGCCGTAAGCGATCATCGGCAAAGGATAGTGGTCCTGCAGTCCGTTGCTACCAATACTGGAAGATATGATGAAGAACCTCGGGTTTTGACGTGAGGCATTCAAGAGTGGCTGAGTGGCTTGGTACAACAAAATGGGTGCCAGGGTGTTGATTTCGAAATGCTCGATAATGGTGGCTGGCGAAGCCTCACTAGCAGGACCAAAGTGCTTCAGGATGCCGGCATTGGCGATAACGACGTCGAGGCTGCCGAGGCTGTAGGTTGTCTGAAGATACTTGACAAGATCCGTGCCGGCTGTGTGGGAGCTGGCATCGTACTCGGCCACGACGATCTTGCTACCTGGACCGACTGGAATGTTTGTCAATGAGGACGCAGGGGTAGAGTCGGGCCCGTCTCTGATCGCAGCAATGGCAAGTGTGTTAGGTCTGGCGGCATATGCCGTAAGCAGGCCTCGGCCGATGCCAGACTTGCTTCCGGTGATGAGCACAGTGGTATCGTACGCCATATCAGCGTCCTTGAGAGACTTGTTATGTCTGTGAGGGGTATCAACTCTTTCTCTTGAGACGAGTTTCGTTGTTTTGCTTTGATGTTGATGGCGATTGACGCCGAACTGAGGTGCTGCGACGACATATATATATCTCTCTAGGAGCCGTTAGCCTTTCCTGGTATTTTGTTCTCTGTGCCTCCTCTTAGCAATGTCCACAGACAATAATTTCCTCATCAAGATCATGGCCAGCCACTTCACAAAATATTTCTTGACAAAGCACGCGTTCGAAACTCAAGGATGCTAGCTTAGGTCATCGTTTTTTTGATTGGCTCCTGGTACATTACCTGATTTGGTTATCGGTCGCTCTGGAGAGAATGTTCACCACGCATGTCATTTGATCTGACCTGATCCAGAGGCAAGAAAGTCTCGATAGATAACCAGAAAAGTGTATTCAGAATGCATTGAAGTCACACAGGAACAGGAGTCCTTTCGTCATCTCCGAGACGAGGCAAGCCGATTTGAGAAAGCCTTAGGGAGGAGACGGAGAGGTGGGTGGGAAAAATGCACGATATCAAGTTCGACGATTAGGTAATCAGACCACGTGCTACGGATTGTGACAAACGTGCCAAACAAATTGGAGTAGAACATCGAACATCAACTTTTTGGTCGAGCTAATGAGAAGAGCCTTTTGCTTGCAGCGAGCTGCTTTTGACGTTGAGGAATACAGGCACCTCCGGTCGATATCATATCATGTCGTGGTTCACATCGATCTTCTCCTCGGGGAAGACAGCACCAAGTCCTCCACCTACCGAGACATCAACGCTAGACAAACGAATCCTTGAGGAACCTGCCACGAAGTCTGAACCCGCAGCCGAAACTCCCAGCCCGCTAAGGTCTCCCACAACTGCCGAGCGGCAGGACAGAGGAAAGGTCATCTTAGGCGCCGGGATCGCTTTCTTCGCAGTGTCTCTTCTCATCACACGGAGAGCATTCGCTCGAAAACGGCTGGCCGCAAATCCTGCATTCTATGCGAACTCTCCAGCTCATCAGGCGGAGCAGGCGAAGAAAGTCAGTGGTGCCATGGAAGCCTTGGAAGCATTGAACATTGCCACCATCAATGTTCTGAGCATGTCCATGATAGCAACTGGAGGGACGATGTGGTATTTTGGCATCAACAACATGGCCGATGCGCGACGTGTGCTGAGAGGGGGTTTAGGTGTCGATGGTACTGGCAAGACTGAAAAGGAGGCGGAGGAAGACTTTGAGGAATGGATGGCGACTGTCCTCGCCAGGAAAGAGTCCAAAGGTCCACAGCAACCGCAAACCAATGAAAGAGGCCAGCCCAGATAATGTATCTGATGGCCAACAACGACACATGGGGTGCATGGTGTAAGCCGGCAATCGGCAACACCTGCAAGTGTGGTCTGCGCATGATTCTGAGCAAAGATAGCTCTTGCAGAAACCGAGGAGCTTTTACACATACTGCCGTGGACATGACTCGCACATGCATGCCACTCGTGGTTGTTACAAGCACTAGCATCAAATCATTCCCAAAGGTGTGAGAAAATCTTCAACAAGGGAAATCAGCTCGACGGCGGAGCTTGAGATGTGGGTACATCTACTATCCAAGCAAGTCTACAAGTTAGGGGAGACTCTACTCGTTTCGCCCATACAGGTCGGCGTCTCTTCACGCGTGCCAACAAGACAAACCGAAACTTCAAGACGTAGGCACACACTTCCTTTCCAGACCACATGCAGCAAGGCATCCGACGAACAATACATGCAGAACCCTGGCTGGAACCGAGCATTCAACAGCTGAACGAGGCTCTGTCCGCGATTTCTGCACTCCTCCGCTCTACCACTATAAACTTCCACATTCTTCTCTCCTCCTACATTTCTCTGCCTGGTATCAGTATGTTTGGGATGGTCATTCTAGGGGCACATGTTTGGCATCACAGATGTTGAGGACTGCACTTTGACTGTGAAGCCTGCGACAAATACCCTCAGATGCTCTTCGAACATCATTTACTTATGGAAGATGCGATGCCCCAAGACGTGCTGGCCATTGGCGACTCGATGCCAACGGAAAAGGAGAGAGACGGTGTTCTTTACGAGATGGTCGCCTATGTAGTATGCCCTGGGTTGTAGTTCCGCGATGCTCTAAGAAGGAACAAGGAGTAAACCGTCCAGCCCAAGGCACAGTGTAATAACAGAGAAACAAAGCTTTCATTCTTGCAAATTCAGTTGGCATCATTGGCAATCTATCCATATGTCCTCTCTACTCACCAAGACACCGCTTCAGAATATCAGGCGACAAGGGCGTGACCATGAACCAGCTTCTTTTGATATCTCAACGTCTGATGGCTAGCTTACAGCAGCGAATACCGAATGTTGTCCGCGTCTACTCGTAAAGTCACCTCGCTTATATTTGACCTCTTCATACGCTCATCGTGGTGCGCCAAAGTGAGCTATCAGCTCCGAATCCATTGGGCCGTACTTGAGAGTCTCAAAGGGCACATTACAGTACACTACTTTGCACGCCGCCGCTGCCCTTTTGAGATTTTGATTTCTCTCTTTGGCAGACTCCAACGGTTCCACGGCATTGCCTACAGCCTCGCCAAGGGTTGCTCAGGGGGTATATTTGTCCACTCCTTTACGGTCCTCAAGTCCATGATGGCATTCGGGCCGCCGAACCTCGCCTGGGTGTCCTCCCAGTTTCTATTGACGGCCGTCTCTGGCCGCCACTTGAAACTCTTGCCCAGACGTGGGTCCAGCGTGCCCTCGATGGCATCGACGATGAATCCACCCACGGTCGGGATGTGCATGAAGCCATGGCCCGACGCGCCACAGCCCAGCACAAGACTCTTGTACTCGGGATGACGGTCGATCAGGAACGACCTGTTGGGGGTATCGGCGCACCAGCACAGGCGGGCGAAGCAAAACGGCCGGTCGGCAAGCTGCGGCATGGTCTCGCGCAGGAAGTCGCGGCAGCGGCGCTCAGCGTCGGCGGGGATCTGGTTCACGGTCAGCGGTACGCTGACGCGGGTCCCATCGGCCTTGGTGTCCCAGTTGCAGTAGCCGGGGTGCTCGTCGCACATCTTCAACTGGTGCTTGTCCTCGTCGGGTTCCATAAAGAAGCCCTTTTCAATGTGGAACAGCACGGGAAGGTTTTTGAACAGCCGAGTCTCGTCCGGCGTCATCTGGATGTGCGCAAGCGTCCAGGCCGTCGACCTCAGCTGGCCCTTGAAGTCGAGGAGACTGTCGCAGTTGGCGCCCGCGCACAAGACGGTCGTGTCCGCGCGCATCACGCGGCCGTCCTTTGTCCTCACGCCCCTGACGTCGCCGGCCTCGACCAGCAGCTCCGTGACGTCGGCCACGACGAACCTGGCGCCCAGTCTCTTGGCCTCGTTGGCGCAGCTCACGAGCGCCTTGCGCGCGTGCACCCACCCGGCCCCCGTCGACTTGTACAGGCCTTTCCAGCCCGCAAAGTCGCCCGTTAGCACGCCTTCGGGCATGGTCTTGCGAAACGCCGCGGCATCGTCGAGGTGCACAAACTCCTTGTTGACGTCCGGCCGCTCGCGGTCGAAAAGCTGCTTCAGCCCGTCCTTGGAGCTCGCCGCCACGATGTACCCCGTGTCATGGTAGTAAGGGGAAAACACCGGGTCCGAGGTCCATCCTTGCGTCGCGCTCGTGAGCAGGGTTTTCGACACCCACGCCTCGTCATCGCCTTCAGAGAATTGCCCCTGCTCGACGATCTTGTTGACGTCGTTGCCTGCCGAGATGGGCGACGGTACGGGGAACGGGTCGACGAGCGTCACGTCCGTGTACCCGCGCCGCGTGAGGTGTAGAGCCGTACTGCAGCCCCAAGTGCCGGCTCCTACGATCAGGATGGATGAGGATTTTGTTGAAGGCGACATTGTAGTTGTCGTATCTCAATCAATTCCTCGCGAAAGATCGTGATTCTTTCTCCGTCTGATCTCGACTCAGATTCGGCCCTTGTCGAGTGTTGGAGGAGACAGTTTGACAGAATAAGTCGCACTTTCTTCTTTATATGCTGAGATGATCTATCATCTTGGAACATGCTCCGCATAGGGTCCAAGGTCAACGTCCACTCCCCTACAGCCTCTGGTATTATTGATCGGAGAGAATAGCCGACTGGTCTAGATTTGGCCCTTGGTGGGTACGGATAAGCATTTATCGGTATCGTGAAGGAGTGAAGAAGGTCCAGCCGCACGAATCACCGTCACGCCGCGATAAATGGCCTGACAATGGATTCTTCTCATTCGCCGTGGTCTGATGTTGTGGTCAAGTTGCCCATACTGCCGGATCAGGAAAATCTATCAGTTTGTCACACGAAGAACAAAATTTCTCCTACCAATAATCAAATAAAACTAGCACAAGATTGCGATTTTCTTCATATACTCCCTCCAATCTCCTCAAATTCTGGGGTTCAAATCGATCAAACTAGGATAATCGGTGAGTTTCCAAGGAGTGTCCACAGGCAGGATTGAAGTGTTGAACTAGGCTGAGTTGCGGGCGCTGTCAGCACTGTCTTTACAAGCCAAATACTCATGCCTAGCGTCTTAGCGCCTCCGGCGGAACGCCGACGCCCTCACGTTCCTTACAACTTTTGCAACACCATCAATTCACTGTTTCTAGTCATATATGACTATATTCTCGGCCTTCACAAGGAGGGCTTCCCCTCCGAGAGAGGGAGGTCAGACTCGTCAATACATCCCTTTTAGCCCCCAGACATCGCCTAGAACAGAGCGTTGCATAACATGAAGTGTCCCTTTCAACATAATAGTCCCCGAATCAAGTCTTTGGACGCTGAACATGCTTACATGCCGACTCCTGGGCCTTAGGAATGCTCTTCGCTAGAGCGAACTATCTACTTTACATTCGGATCTCATCTCAACTGGTTTCATCTTACCAAGGGGAGCAATAGCCATAAAGAAGTTGATTACATCCGATGAGGACTGTATTGTACTCTTCCCCTGGGGTGTCGCTGGTTGTGACGATTCCCATTCCGTCGTAACGTCCAGTATATGCCAGAGCAGCGCGATAGCGCGATAGCACTACTGGCATGCATTGCCAATGCCTTCCTCCGCGGGCATTGTTTGAGGAAGCGGTTCGATGCGCGGTCGTATCCCCAACGACAAGGGGTTTGTGTGATCATTACAGCCATGTCGTCTCTCCAGCAGACGAGGACCATGTTTCAAGCTTGATTTCCTTAGCTGTCGCAGCATCAGCACCTGTATCTTCAACGATGCGATACCAGGCGACGTACAAGAAGCTGGGAATGCCGACGAGGAATGCCATTTACGCTCACCCGAAGCCGCCAGACCAGCACAACGTTTTTTGCAGCGACGATGAGTGCCGCTATCAACCTGGCAGAGCGTAGCCCCACGTTGAAGCCGTCCAGGTAGGCAACTCTGTCAAGAAGAGATCCTAGTATCCAATACGTGACCACAATGGAGGGGTTTTCAGGTGTCCGTCGAAGAGGAGGAATTTTTTTAGCAAAACTGGCTAAACGATGTCAACGGCCTTGGTTTGTTCCCGATGGGTTTGTTGATACTTGACCACACGGCGGAAAATGCATGGTAAAAGTCGTTAGAATCTGGACATTGTCGAAGCGTGGCTCCGAGTAGCCTGATATCGCTTGGAGAGATATCTAAAGCTTGTGTCATTGGGGTACGACTCATCTACCGGCGTACCATTCGAACAGATTCGCATGATAAAATTTCTTTGCCAAACCGCTTTCACCACATCTAGAGTGAGTGCTAGGAGATACAACTGCGAGCGCGAAGTATTTGTCGCATAACATAGACTGGTCAGGTCGCACACTCTCTAGGCTGATATCACCGACTCAAGCCCAATTTTTCTACAAAAGGCCCAGATTCGGTGTTGGGCCATAACGTCTGCTGCCCCAAGACCACCAGAGCTCCACGGACCATCCATCAATTGGTTCGATGTCCTTTCTGGGTCATATTGTGTATTGGGATTCTCAACCGCCTCTCCGGACGCGTGGTCGAGTTTGCTGCTTTTCAAGTGGGTGTCCATCGACTATTGAGTAATATCCGGAATTGACAATACTTCAGGCTCAAGGGCTTTTGGAAAGAAATCATTCTAGGCTCTGAAGAATGAACGGATCTACATCTGACCTCAACCGATGGAAGAGTATAGTTGTCAAAGGGGGCCAACAGAATGACTTCTCTATTGTTCTACCTCTCGTCTAAGTCTACTCTGACGCGATGTGATTTGCATGAGATATCCTAGGCCCTGCTATCACGTCCGAAGACCACGGGTCGGGGACTTCTGGGGGACGATCAGGAAAGAAGTAAGATACATCGACGCGGTTGGACTTCAACAACCAGGTCTATGGTGCGCTAAAGTTCTTCAACATTTCCAACGGCTTTCTCAGAAATGACGCCGTAGTTGGCTGGATTCTTCTCGCTGTCCTCCGAAACAGCTTCTTGTCGGACTTTATCCGATTGATTTAGCTCAAAGATGCTCCTATGACACCCAATGACCTCAGGAATGACCACAGCGTTGTCGCTACCGTATTCTGTGTTGCTGGGGTAGATTGCCACAGCCACCACGCAAGACACCGCGCCGCACATCAAACAAGAGAAGAGTAAGATGCCTTCGGTTCGATATGCCACCTTGTGAGAGTCTAAGGCGTACATGATAGCCTGACCTAACCCTCGAAGAGCTTCGACATAGCCCATCAACCGAGCCAGAACGACCGGATTATTTGAGTAGGATGATGCCAGCCACTGGGCATACGCGGTAATTGAACCGGGCACGAGACCAGAGAGAGTCAAAATAATCAGAGGAGACACGGATGTCGAGAGTGGTCGATCTGTCCAGTCCACGTGAGGGGGAGATCCGTGACGATTGAGGTCGTGCTTGATCAGTAGAAACAATATGCCCGACCAAATGCCTGAGATAATTAGGATAACAACGGCGCCAACCAGAATCCCGCGTTGGCGCCGATATCCCAGTCGATATGAGTCACAAGATAGGCCAGCAACTAAGGATCCAATCGCAGTAGTCGACCAATACCCTACGTTATTGAGGGCTCTCGTGCGAGCGTTGAAGTAGAATGCATTGACAGAGCCAAAGAAACCATTGGGAACTTGACAGACGGCAAACGCCATGGAGGGAACCAATGTCTTCAATGCCAAAGATTCCCGGAAGATACATCTTAGCTCCTCGATCCAAGAGTGATTCGCAAAATAAGCAACAGCACGGTCATCATTGCGACGAACTGTGGATGGGTCGCTCAAAAGGCAGGCAACTAAAACACCAAAAGATTGGATAACAATGACTGTGATGTAGACAGCTGGCGGTACGTGGCTCTTTGACACCCCAGAATGGATCGTAATGGCAAGGACAGTGGCTGCGCAAGCGGCATCGCATCAGTCAAGGTGCTCACGGATTCCGTGTACATGAGAAAAAAGTCGTACCTGAGCCAATGGCCGACCCAAGGGCAAAGGCGACCCAGACAGAGGATACGTATGCTCCCCTCACCTGCTCCGTTGAGTAGCAACTGACAATGTAGGCTATTTGGCGTTATTACGGCTCGCAAAGGACCTCTTATACCTGAGTGATGTTGGTGGAATCATGGGACGGGTTTCATACTTGCAGTAGAATAGAATAGACCGGCCGTGATACCGTGGAGAGCACCGCAGAAGTACGAGAATCCTGCGGTACGGCCAGAATCCAGCCACCATAGGCCTCCTGTGTAGATGGGATATCCTGTTGCGGCGAAAACCAGACAAACCCTAGGACCTAGCTTGTTGATAAAGCTTCCCGAGACGAGACCTGAGAGAACCATGCAGGCACAGAGAAGTGCGTTGATGCGGTCAACAACGGGTATGTTCCTGGGGTGACTACCTCCAGCGCCCAGCCCCGAGACTGCGGATGTGAGGCCGACACAGCAAAAGAAGACAATGGAGACGATAGCAGTTTGGGACAGGGGCCTGCGTGTCTAATTAGCTGGACATCCAAGACTGCCCAGGCCCTTCGTACGCACGATGTCCGTTGCACGTTTATCAGCGCCATTTGGCTGGATGATTTCGTTAAGGTGACTGACCAGAACCATTGTCTGCCTAGATTGCTCGGGAGAAGGACAACTACACTTCCCTTTTCTTATACGGCGGCGCAAGGCAAGATTGCCCCAGTTTGTAGAACGCGTGAATTCTCTGCCATATCGCACTGTGGCTATTCTCTAGCTGCGATACACATTGGAAATTTATTCGATCTCGATCTCTGTCGCTTTGCAGGTTGCAAGATATACAACAACATCTGTTGGCTCTCTGAACCGACAGCACTAGTGCCAGAGCCGCCCTTCTGTGTGCCACGGGATTGACCACAAGAGGACTCTGCACCAGGCTGACAAAAGTCGAGGTGCCCCCGTTAACCGAATACAGAAGCTGTAGTACCCGAAGAGGACTAGTCGATAACATACCGGAAACTTGTTCACGAGGCGGCCGTGTTTGGATTTGTCCGGAAGCCTAAAAGGGCTTACGAAAGAAATCGGCGCTGCTATCGGAGACCCACTTCGGGGGTCTCTTATCGGTCGCGAGAGCTGTGAATTCCGATCCGTGGGCCTGAAGGCTGAGAGAAGGTCTCAAGGAGCCGAGGCCAAGCGGCTCCCAATTTTCGATAAAGCAACTGCCCACCATATATCAACATGGGCTGAAACCGTGCTCGTTTGCTGTTGTGTCTTTCGTAATCCAAAGAAATGCCGAATACCTGCAAGCGCAATCGAACGCAGGAATCGTCGTTATGTCTCCGGCGAATGATCAGCATGACGCCCTTACCTTGTTGAATCCACCGGCAGTGCCCAGTCTCTTGGATCTGCATGAGCCGCCAACGTCCGCTCATCTCCCAATAAATGCGGGCATGAATATCTCAGGGAGCTCTACGATTCCTGCCAAGACACGCGGGCTCTTGGAACAAAGGCGGAACCCGCCAACGTCCAGGGAACTGGCCGTCAGCACAGATCGGACGCAAGGTGGATCGTTCGTGGACCTGCAGATCATCCGTGTCCACAGCCCTTGTCATCACATCTCGGTTCAGGACCGAAGCAGGATCAAGGCTCATGCTATGCGCCAAGTACACGAGAGAAGACGTACTTCGAAGAAAGGTCCTCTTTGGGCCTTAGCCGGCCAGGCGACTCAGAGATCTACCGAGCTCCAGATTCAACGCCCGAAAACCCATGCTGACACAAATGGCAACCCCAGCAGCCAAGGGACAGGTGCTCCTCTGGCGATATCATCGCCGTTCGAACGTACATCGCAGGGTGTCACTCTTGTCTGTGTTCATTGCGGTCTTTCGAGATTTCCCAGAAACCACGACTCTGACTACTTCGACATCGAATATGACGGCTTGCCCAACGCTCCCTTGGCAGAGTCTTTTGATGTTTTTGCTACCACTTTGGCACCGATCACCCATCGTGTTCATGAATTACTTAATCACTGTAAGGACGCCAGCAGAGAGGATAGGTTGTCACCTGCTGACTAATTCATTAAGACCTGGAAATTGTTGCTCCTGTGTTAAATCCCCCGCTCTACGGGACAACCAACAAAAGCGTGGCAGCGTTTACCTTGATTGATATACTTAGGGGTATGGTCAACGATGAAGGTTGCATGCACGCTATCGTTGCAGACGCAGCCTGGGAAATATCTGCACGACGGCTTAAAAATAACGAACTCGAAGAAGCTGCGCGATCGCAACGGGAAGCTGGCTTTCACTTCTTCGAAGCTGTGAAATTTTTGCAACGTAGATTGGAAAATTCGAAAGAAGCTCTGAGCTGTTCGACTATTGTCACAAGCTGCCACCTGGCAGGAGTTGCGGTAGGTTACACTTTAGGCGCTTTCGCTTACCAAGATGTTGACGGAGAACGCATTCCACAGACCAAGGGCGGCAAGGAACAGTTCGCTGCGCATCACAACGGCATCATCAGAATGGTTCAAATGAGAGGAGGAATTGACACACTTCCTCGTCAGGCTGCATACCATGTCTCAAAGTGAGTTCTGTACAACGAAATGTTTACTCTTTCTCAAATGTCTAAGCCTGACGATTTTTGTGGTCAGAGGTGATGGTCTAATGGCTTGGATGCGGAACAAGCCTCCATTTCTGCCGCTGTTCAGAAGCAGGTTTTATCGCGGAGGCAAATTGACAGCCGAAGCAAAGACAATGATTCAGACCTTTCGCAAATCAACCGTGGACGATCATCTTCAGGAGTTTTTGGGTGAACATCTCGCAGGTGTGGAAGACTGCTTGCAGAATCTAACGCAGTTGGTCGAGCTCAACAGTCATTCTCCCCGCAGAGTCACATCGGCGATGAGAGAGTTTGGAGAGGACACTTATGCCAAAGTACAGCACAACATTGTATCGTTTTCAATTTCGCCGAGGGATGTCAACGTCTCGCCACATGGCCATCGTCAGGACGCATGGCGAGTAGCGGCTCTTATCTATCTCAACAGCGCTATTCGAAGAGCCCCCTCGAAGTACCTGCTACAGTCGATGACCGCACGGCTGGTTGCAGCACTACAGTCCTCGGATATGGCTACCCTCTGGGGATCCCACCGCACAGTTTTGTTTTGGGTCCTCTTTATTGGGTATCTCGGATCCAACGGGCAAACGGAACAAATCTGGTTCGCAGTCAAAATACACCAAGTGGTCCAGGCAGAAGGGTTCCAGACGCTGGGTGAGATGCGAACGGTTCTCAGGAGGTTTCTATACCGAGATAATATGTATGATAGGCTACTCAAGGATCTATGTGGAGCCCACCTTGACATGCCCCTGCCCAGCTGTCCCTGAGATGTTTACCTGCAATTCCGACGGCAAAAAAGGGCTACCGAGTGTCATCCTCGGACATTGATAACTCTGATAGGCGCTTTTTTCCCGGCTAGGGTTTCTGTGCACAGCACGAAAATCAGCCTCTGGTCTGACGCGATCGGCTGTAACCGTGCAATCGACTGTAGCTGTAATGCATCATCGACCGGCGATATTGAGATCGGTAGATGAAACGGATCATTTACTTAGTTGCCTGCATTAGGCTGTGGACCCAGGGACCTTCCGGGCCGAGCTAAGCCACTATAGGAAGCTGTACCTACTTCCATGCCTTTCTACAATATTTCACAGATTTCATGCTGGCTTCATCCCAGGCCGCAGGTCAAACATCAGGACCAGAAAGATCTAGGCAAGCTATAAAGCCATATCAGCCTAGGAGATCTACCTCCTTTAAGTCATCGTGTTCCTCTTTCTCAGCGCCGAAATTTTGGCGGAAGAAAAACAATCCTCACTATAGCCTATAGGTACGAAGTATTGCCCTCAGCCCCAACGTGCAGTAAATCAGAGGTGATCAACACCCGTATATAGCAAAAGAAGGCTTTCTTAGATCCATCCGTCCTGGAAGTACAAGGTAGCACGGTGCCTGTGATGGCAACCCTGCAGCTTACGCCAAGGACCACATCTAACCCCGGCGACCAGTTGCCACTACTTTTCATCACGAATAACCCGAGACGTTACTCGTACACCCTCTGTACCAATGACGCAAAAGCCGTCGCGTCGCATGTATCTGCGCGGTACCGAGCATGGAGTAAGACAAATCGGCGAAGCCTCGCACTGGATTCAACCACAAGGGCTATACTGGCCGCACGGAATTCAGCCCTGCAGAATCCGGGAAGCTCGAAACCACTCAAGGCTGGGGCCAATGGTACAGCCTACGCTGAAACTGTCGAGCGGCTCAAGAGATATCACCATGCCATGAGTACTCGTCGCCGTAGATCTTTCGCCGAGACTTTACAATCCGACCGGGATGAATCAAATAGCGACACCTGGTCCATGTTTGCGGATATCGTATCTCCTCACATTACTCAACTGGGATCACAATTTTTCGATCCTTTTACCGCAACCAACGTCAAATTTGACAGAGAGATCAAGTCTACATTGCACTTCTACTTCACAGTCATCCAGCCATTTGCCATAAGCTTGATGCCATCGTGGCACTGGATTGACAACTTGTCGCGACTTCAAAGGACACCTGTTCTCTGCTATGCGGTCGCGGCATTTACCTCGATGTTCTTGTCAGGGTTCCTGAATGGCGGACCGGGGGTTGTCCTGCCGCCTGCCGATGAAGAGGGCGAGCGATCGTTATGGTCTATTCCGGCGTGGTTAAGGTTGCAGACGAGCTGCCTTACCAAGTTAAACACGGTCCTTTTCCGTCAACCATCTCCAGAAATTACCGAGGAGTGCTATGAGGCTATTCTCTTTTTGTTTCGTATGTCAGTAAGTGTCCTGAACTCTCACATACTACCTCAGAGGACGGCCGATTTTAAAACACCAGGTGTAGGTGTTTCTCGCCGACGGCGAATCAACGAGGCTACATTACAAGATTCTTAAGCGCATCGCGCCGACAGCGGGCAAGAATAAGTTCAACCTTCTCCAAGAATTAGCAGTGTGAGCTTCTTCCCACATCACAGAAGTGGTGGTGCTGCTGCTGACCTCATTTCTTGTAGAATGAAGGTGAACCTTGCCTGTATATTCATGTTCCAACACTCGATCATCCCCCTACGAACAAGTGAGCAAGAGGTATCAGAGTACCCTGGGATTGAAATCGGTCGTGCAGCATGGTCCTCAGAACGAGAATGGCAAAACCATCGAGCAATCGTATCTGCACGACTACTAGCCTGGCGTGTCGAAGAACCCGGCGACAAGCTCCAAAGCGAAACGGGATCCACAATCTTGCGTCTAGACCTGAGTAGCAAGTTGTTAGCCAGTCGCGAAAGTACAGAGATCCAGCGCTGTTTCCAGATGGCTGTCTTCTTGATCATGTACCTTCACAACATCGACTTCAACACGAAGGCGCCTCGTGTGAGATCAAGTCTCACTATGTTGAGGAAGAAGCTTGCTGAAATAGGGTTGTGTCATATCCGCAAGACTTGCACATATACTCTGTTTATAGTCTTGCTGGCAGGGGCAATGACAACGCGTGGTTGTCCCGAGAGAAGCTGGTTTATCGAGCGACTGGCAGCACTTTATCTCGAAGTCCGTTGTATGGATGACGTTCACAAAATGCTTGTCGAATTCATAGACCCTCTCAGCCTTATCATCAGTGTTCTACGGGAGGTATGGGAAGAAGTCGTCGACTTTCGATCTGTCACATTGGTTCAGAGCCGGGAAATGGATCTGATCATGGGCCGACATCATCTTGGATGCTCTTGAAAGTAAAAAAGCTACCGGAGAGTGAAGCCTGTGGACTCAAGTTGAGTTTCCCCTCGGCCGTATCACGCACTTACAGCCATACTACAAGCTGGAATCAACTCGGACCAAATACAGAGTCGCACTGGACACTAGATTCTTAAGCCGCAGGCACGCTTCAAGCCGTGCTGCAGGAGAAAGTCACATTCCCGCTATGGAGAGGACTCTTGTGTGATGGCGAGAGAGAGAAGCACCCTTGATTGGCCTCCCAAACACACGTGCCCGTCAGCCAATCTATCTGCAGCCCATGCTGGCCTCAGAGCATACCGCCCCGTGCTGCGAACCAGGCTTTCGTCTGATCGATACCCATGAAGAGGGTAAATAGGATCTTTCCAAACACGTCTACGTCACCGGCCTCAACATCCATGAGGACGTCAGAGAAAACCCCGTCCTTAATCACGAGGTGTCTCTTACTTCTCCACGCAGCAGTGAAGTTGAACAAGTCCTCTGCATTCCACAAGTGTGCGGACAGAGTCCAGGAGTTGCGGATATGAAGGTCGCCATCGCAGGAGAAAGGGAGAGTTCCAGATAGGACGCGATGGAGTTGTATGAAGAAGAGGGCGATCATGAGCGTCCGTCGAGCTGACTCGTGGAATATCCACGACGTCCAGAAAGGCCTTGCCTCCTCCAATGAGGATACTTGAAGGCTCTCCTCTCGTGTATGCTGTGCCGGAAGAGAGAGTTGCCCAGAACCGAGGTGTGACATGAGCAGTAAGGTTGAGTCTTCCAGCGCCAAGGTTGTCTTCTCAAGGGCGGTGAAGAAGCGGAGGTCATTGTCAAATGTGCACATGATCTCATAAAGCAGAAGAGATTGAACCAGAGCCAAAATCTCCGGCGCCGTAGTGGGCTTGGGGGATATCAGCAGGTCTTCGATACGAGCCTCGATCGACTGAACGATGTCTCGTGCATTGCAGGTGGTCTTCGCTATGTAAAGGGCGCAAGCAGCATGAGCATCTAGCATACTACGAGGGGGTGGGCCCCTGAAGAGCTGAGGGTGATGCCACGGCGTGCGTGTTTCGAGGACCATTGTCGTCGGCGCTCGCTTGATCTCGTCAATGGCATATTGAAACCTTACTGCGATAATTTCGAATATGCGGCCCTGACTGTCTGTACTGATCTGAGGGCATGTTGGTGACGGAGACAATACATAGATGGGCGTATCCACCTTGTCGGAGCCTCCGGAAAAGAGGTTATCAAGTGGGTCGGTATCACTATCAAGTGCAACGTCAAGCAGACCCACATGTGGTCCAAAATCGGTCGAGGCCAAACGAGGTGAATCGATGTCGAAACCGGAAGCTTCAAGCATACTGCCATTCCACAGGTCCGCGACCTGCTCCAGAGCACTAGGCGTGAAGCAGAACTTATTAGCAACGTCTGGCGTCACTTCCCGCACTGTGTCTGGGCGATGTTGCAGACACCCTGAATAAACACAATCGAGACCTCTCTGCGCGCAACGTACGCATGCAAGCTTTCCATAGTCGCATCTTCGCTTCGCCTTGATGCACGCGTCGCAGGATTTCCGCCGAGGCGGAGGGTTTGCTCGTTCCACCGCAGACCTGGAGAGGGACATGGCGTGCGAGTAGATCAGCCTTGCTCGTGGATAACGACACTTTGGAGTACCCGAGTTGATGTCTAAGAATCACGGTTTGGATGGCAGTCAATTTCGGAACTCCGCCAGGGAATCGATGAATACATCCGCTGGCGGAGTTCCGCCAGAAGATGACAAAGGCAACATCTCCAGCTTGTAGGAACTGGGGTAAAAGGAGGCATAGAGCCTCCCCACCATCGGTACTTCGGATTTCTAAGCAGGGGAAAGCAGAGTGCAGTCGTGCCTCTCGGTCTCAAACGCGCCGTTAGTGGAAATATACTACCCCATTCCTATTGGTAGGTGGAAAGTTAGAAGGGATTTTGACGGCTGTGAGGTTCCATTGAATGGTGCACAATAACAGGAGACACCCCCTTAGATCTGAGCATATAAATGTGCACATCAACTCGATTCTGTGTGATCGCCTAGACACGTATAACGCGAACATATTTCTCGCTCCTCTTAAAAGGGCCCATTAGTCTCACGTGACTTTGGCCCCGTACGCCCAAAAATGTCCATCTTTGTTGTAGGCGCGACTGGCATCGTGGGTGGTGCAGTGGCCCGCCATCTCCTCAGCCTCAACTGGGCAGTCCACGCCACCACCCGCAATCCAGACTCCAAGGCATCCAAAGCCCTCCAAGCGCTGGGGGCCAAACTCTTCAAAGGCACATGGGACGACGAAAGGGCCCTCTTGACTGCCCTAGCCGGTTGCTCAACCCTCTTTCTCAACCCATACACCTATCCCTTCGACCAAGGGGAGGAAGTCCATTGGTCGAACCTCATCCTCACCACCGCTAAAGCGGCAGGCGTCAAACAGGTCGTCTTCACCTCCATATTCGGAACGCAGAACCCGGAGAAGTTAAAGTACCAACATCCTCTGGTGACCAAAGTACAGGAATCCAAAGGCAAAGTTGAACAACTGGTGCGCGCCGCCGGCTTCGACTTCTGGACCATTTTGCGCCCGGGGTAGTGAGTTTCTCCCGACAGACCGCCGCAGTGTCGACAGAGTTATTGCTACTGTTCCGCTAAGAACGGCACATGCTAATGTAGTATCGTAGCTTCATGGCTAGCTTCTTACTTCCTAAAGCGGTTTTATTCGCAGGCTTTCTCGAGACCGGGCGGTGGACAACTGCATTACTGCCCGAGTCGCCTATGCCACTGATCGATGAACACGACATCGCCGTGTTCACTGCCGCGGCGCTCGCGGATAAAGTACGGTTCAACAGAAAGGAGATTGAGCTTTCAGGCGAGCTGCGGAACCCTGAGGAGATCACAAAAGCATTGTCCGGGGCAAGTGGACGGGAAATCAAGGCGGTGTACCTGACCGCCGAAGAAGTGGAGGCTCAAGAGGCAGATCCGCTAGTCGGCGCCTACTTGGCTCTGAGAGATATGCATCTGTACGTTGATATCGACCAAGTCAAGGCTTGGGGTCTCCCGATAGGGACGTTTGAAGCGTACCTCGCACGGAAGAACGATGTTGTTCAGGAAACCTATGGGTTGAAGGCATGACAGGTCCACCGTCTCCGATACTTAGCCCAAGGAGCAAATGAGATGATGTTTGTTAGTCGCGATAGAGGGTAGAAACCGGTCACTCGAACATCAGCAAGAAAGGCAGGCAACTGTCATATTATGGTGACCAGAGAAAACTCTCTGCGTTATCCTACAACTATTCTTCCTAACCCCTGGTAGCGTGTCAGAAAGGTGAGCTGGCCCTGTCGGTCCTGAGCCGACGTTCCACGTGGGGATGCAATGTGGGCGGGTGTCGAATGAAACAGCACGATCCCAAGCGACGTGGCAGCCTCTCTTCCCTCCAATGAATCGACTGCTACCCCGCTGACTTCTCCCACTCCGATCAGGAAGAATTAGAATCGTTCCTCCATATCTCCCACCTCATAAATGGATCCAGCTAAGTCGATTTTGATCTGTGAGATTCGGTGCAATGGCAGATCCACTCGGGATCGTCGGCGTCATCGGCGTCGCGGCCCAGATCATTCAGCTGGGCGTGCAATTCGGATTGGACTGGAACGATGCCCCTGCCGATACCAAAAGCTTTATCGCTGAGCTTGAAGTTTTGATTATGGTCTTATCCGAAACTAAGAAGAACACCGTCGAAAACCAACAGTTCATGGAAGCCTTCAAGGACCGTCACTCTACTTTGCTCTCGCGCACGGGAGAGGCATCACCCGCAGCGGAAACCCCCGCCCTCATCTCCGCCTGCCGATCCGAACTGGAAACCCTGCTTGAAGATCTCAAAAAGCGATGTCAAACTCATCGAGTGAGCTGGGAACGACTCAAGAGCGCATTCCTCGCCAAGCGAACGCGGGAGACGGTTGAGAACCTGCATCGGAAGTGCCAGGCGTTGAACAGCATGGCACTAATCGATGCGGTGGCTCTCGGAGCAAGTACATATAACACGGTCAACCAAATCCACGCACGGCAGCAAATGTCAGACCAAGCCGAGAATGACCGGTTTAGAATACAGAGGAAAACGGCGTTGCTCCGTAAGCTCTACACGTCTCCCTACAAGGATCGTAAGGACAGGAACCCGATGAGAGTGAGAGGAACATGTGAATGGTTCACACACCATCCACTGTTTCAGATTTGGAAGGAGAGCAAGTCCTCCTGCGTGCTTTTGGTATCTGCAGACCCAGGATGCGGAAAATCAGTGTTGGCGAAATACTTGGTGGATGAGGTGATCCCGAGCACTCGAGCGAGGACCAGTTGTTACTTTTTCTTCAAAGATGACTTCGGTGACCAGAGAACTTTGGAAAGCTGTCTGTGCTGTATCTTACGTCAAATATTCATCCAAAGACCTGATCTAGTGTCTGAAGAGGTTCTCAGCAAGTTCGAAGAGGACGGCGAACAGCTCATCGGCTCCTCTGGTAGCCTCTGGGATCTGCTCATTGATATCACGGGGAGTCAGGACGTTGATACTATTCCTGATTCGACGATACAGAGTCCTGGCGAGATTTTCTTCGTCTTGGATGCCCTGGATGAGTGTGAGAATTCGGGCCAACGTCAGTTAGCAGAAGCCTTACGCAAGCAGGAGTGGGCACGACCAGGGAAGTTTGTCTTGAAAATCTTACTCACGAGTCGGCCCTACACTCATATTCAACGTGAGTTCGGCTCTTTCAGTAACCTCATACCTACCATTCACCTCAAGGGGGAGGGGGAGGCAGAGGTCGAAAAAATTTCGAGAGAGATCGATGTTGTCATTGAAAGCAAGGTCAAGGACCTTGGGTCCTGGCTCCAGCTCCAACGGGAAGAACAGCAAATTCTGAAAGATGAGCTCAGTAGGATCCCGCACCGGACTTATCTTTGGGTTCATCTGATACTTGAAACTATCAAGGACAGCATTGGCATCACGAAAGAGTCTTTAAGTACAGCTGTCCGCAACCTTCCCAAGACAGTGGAGGCTGTTTATGAGGGAATACTACGCAAGTCTCACAATCCTGAAAAGGCAAAGAGGATTTTGCACATTGTCGTGGCCGCTGTAAGACCAATGTCTTTGACAGAGATGGCCGTGGCTCTCGCGATCGAAGAAAATCATGAGGGCTATGAGGATCTCGACCTCGAACCAGAAGTCCGCTTTGGCAGCACGGTTAGAGAAATCTGCGGGCTCTTCGTGACCATTATAGACTCAAAGATCTACCTGCTTCACCAGACGGCCAAGGAATTCTTGGTGCAAAATTTGCCCCGGGACTCGGATGACATGATGAGAAACGAAACAGGCTCTCTTCATTGGAAATCCTCCCTTCGGACAACAGAGTCTCATCACATTCTCGCAGAAGTCTGCATGTGGCGCCTCCTCTGGAAAGACGTTGCCTCCTGCAATGTTGACATGGCCGCAGACTCGCAGGAAGTTTTCGATCAACACATCCTGTATGATTATGCTGCCCAAAATTGGGTCACTCACTTCCGAGGTGCCCGGATGGATGATGACCATGTAATGGTTTCCAGGGCATCCGGACTTTGTCATCAAGATCCAGAGACTCCACTATCTTGGTTCAAGAGATATTGGGGGAGTAAGCGTTTGAGCGAGCTAATGGTTTACCCCAAAGGACTCGATAGTCTGATCATTGCTTCTTTCTGTGGGCTTGACTGTGTGGTCAAGTTGCTTCTGGAAATGGATGACATTAATGTGAACTCAAAGGACGATAGGTACAAAGGGACCCCATTGATGTGGGCAGCCGAGTACGGCCACGAGGGCGTGGTTAAACTTTTGATTGCCAACAATGAAATCGACATTGACTCGGAGAATTCTCAGCGTCGGACGCCGTTGTCTTTCGCTGCCGAGCTCGGTCATGAAAACGTCGTCAAGATTCTCCTGGAGAGTGGCAAGGTGTCTGCGGACGGCAGGAGCAATCACGGCAGAACGCCATTCTCGTATGCTGCCTCACGTGGGAACGTGCGGATTGCCGAGCTATTGCTAGATACGGGTCAAGTCGATCCAAATTTCAGGGATAGAAACAACCGCACCCCCATTTTTTGGGCAGCATGGTACGGTAGAATTTCCGTTGTTAGATTGCTACTCCAGAAAAGCAGTGTTGATGTAGACTGTGCGGATGACTACGGCAGAACACCGCTTTTGGCTGCGGCCCGGAATGGACACGAGGACGTTGTTGAATCACTTCTCCGCACAGGGAAAGTCGACGTGAATGCTGCAGATTCGAAAGGACGGACTCCGATGTGGCATGCTTCGCGTAGAAAGCATGGCGCTATTGTACAGTTGCTCCGACTCCCAGCGTTAGGGGAAAGTCTCCGAGCTCTGTGAGCCAAAAGCGCAAATTGAGTACTGAAGAGCACTAGACAGATGAGATGTTTGAGCCTAGATACCTGCAATCTAAATCCCTTGTCTACCGCATTCTGTTGTCTAGTACTCAGGCTCTGAATAGTACTGGAATACCCATTTCGACGTGATTTGAATTATTTCCAGGAATACCTGTTGTCTGATGGTCTCAGGTAAACCTCAGGGTTGAGAAGCCCCTTGAGGACAAATCCTGCGCCAGCTCGGTGTACCAGCTTCACATACCCGTCGAGGATACGACCAACTAACTCATAAGGCCTCCCCGAGCACTAAATGTCACCATGGGATGGCTTTCGTCCCGTTTCCCCGGCATCGAAACCATAAGGACCCACTATCATGCATTGTAACGCTAGAACCTTCCTCGAAGCCTTTCTTGAGCCTGACGGTGTCGATTAGCGCTTAGTTCATCCGGTTTGTTCGCTAACTCTTAAGAACAGGGTTCTCTTTGTCTTGGTTTCTACTCATCGACGTACGGGATGCCGGGGGAGGACGAGACTGCCATCACTCTCGTAGTGGGTGGGGAAAGCGGAACGATCAACCGCTGCCGTCAGTGGGGGCAACTGGATGAGCCTCATCATTGTTGGTAAGAGCTGCTCAGCTAGAACTTGTCGATCGTGCCGCTGGAGAGTAGGGTGAGGTCATCTTCATAGCCCTGCCGACACGGCCCCTGGTTATCACGCTGCACTACCACGTCTTTCCGATTATGGCGCGTTAGCTGACCGAATGGGGCGTATGCAGTGGACATTACTACCACCTTCCCCTGGCGAAGCGAGATGGGCATACCCCGGGTTTCAACACTTGAGATCATGGACGGGAGGCTACGCCCGGTGACAGAACCCACTTCGAAATCCAGGAGCTTTGCAGTCAACTAACCGGGCCTGTACGTACAATCGAACGACGTCGACATACATACGGCACCGTTATCAATCAAAGACAAGCCCAACCGAGAGCAAGCGGGTTGTGGGCCGCCTCAATCAGGGCCAAAGGAATGATTTCTGGAAAACCTGAGGCTTGTGGCAATTTCAGACCAATCATAACTCTGATGCTACGAAGCCACAACCATCCTAGGCAAATCTCTCGGCGAAAAGCCAGGACACTACTTCTAGTCCCCGGCCACTAGCGTTTATGGTATGAGAGCTCATTGGGCTTGGGTGGCATGAAGCCAACCCTGGCGTCTCTTTATGCTTTTCATTAAGCGAACTAATCTATCGTAGAGAAAGGTCACTCTTTCCCCCGGGGAAGAAGGGGGCGCGGGATCGCGGAGGTCCTGGTGACCCCAACCCCCCTGCTGAGTGCTGCGCAAAGGTGCTTCTAAGGTAGGTAAGGTGCGGGGCGGAGGGAGTCTGAGGTCTCAACCCGCGGGCACAAGGCGCATGGAATATATCCCTCAGTCTACCCCAGATTTTCAAAATCCATCTTTGACTCAGAGGTTATGGTGCCATGAGCCGCGCGCACAGACACAACGTCCAACAAAAATGGCCCCTACATCTGAGCCTGGCAGCGGCAAACCGACAAACGCAGCTCATCTGACCTTGGAAGCATGGTCGCAGGGCATGATGGTCGGCTCGCTGGTGACCATGGCCATGATCACCGCGGCAAACATGCGAGCCGGCGTACTGCTTCACAAGCTTGTTCTTCTCGAAGTACGTATGGAACGAAATTTTGACTCCGCTCTCTCCAGAAATCAAGATACCCTGTTTCTTTTTGGCCCTTTTTCTGAGGAAAGCCGGCTAACCCAAAGGTCGCTGAAGCTGGTGTTGGCGATCCCCAACGGTTTCTTCATCTTCTTCAACGCCCCAGTGTTTGGCTGGTATCTGTCTTCGACCGCGGTGTTGCTCATTACGTCCTGGGGCCTTCACAACGTCATTGCCTGGATCAAGAACAAACCATTTCTCAGCCAGACGACCAGTCGCATTTACATTGGCACGGTCGCCTTGGTCCAGGCGTACTGGGTGGTTGAGATTTACGCCAATTTTGCATATTTCAACAACATCAATGAGCGGTTGTTTGTACGGACCAGGCCGTATGAAGCACTCTGTCGGTAGGTCAAATTTGCTTGCTAAGTTTTTTTCCCCCATTCTATCCAGCTTCCAAATTCCCATATTCCCCTTCCTCTGCTCCCTTGTGCATTGGCCGTTCAGTTGGATGGATCCGCGACTGACTCCTTTTCTTTTCCTCGACGTTACTATTAGTGACCCGTGGTGGATCTTTACAACGGTCAACCTCCTCTGGAATATCAAGCACCGTTACAACTTGGGGTTTCTGACCATCATTCGCGTCTCACCGCGTTTTGGCATCCTCTTGCTGAGCATGTGTCTCAGCGTGGCATTCATCGTCGTTGACATTCTCTCCGTCACATCGGTGCTTGACACGGGCTCTATCAATCCGTTCTGGAAGTTCTCTTTCGTCTTCAAGTGTTTCACCGACACTATCATCCTAGACGACTTCAAGACCGCCTTGGACAAACTGTGGCAGCATGGGAAGAATTCTATCGTGGTTGGGAATGTGCACCGGGAGAATAAGATCGTGCCGGTGGTCGAGCAGCTGGAACTCCAGAGGCGAGCGGAAATTCGGTGCCTATCGTTCTCCGATCCCTTGGAGGGAAATGTGATTATGATGACCCGGTTGGGAAGCCGAGCCGGAGGTGAAAATGAAGTTTGACCCTGAAGCTGAAATTTCCTGTAAGATATGGAGAATAGTCTGATCTGGTCCCTCACAAATGCCACTCAACCGTGGTGTGTCACTGGAGCGAGCGCCTCGTGAACCAGGTTTAGATCTCATCATCACTCGCAACTGCATTCGGATGGTCGAGTTGCAAACAATCAAGAGTAAAAATGGTGCACTGGTTGAGAGTTGCAAGCACTGGGTCAAGAGTATGAATGGTGGGTTTGGCTTCTCAAATTCGTCATACTGTCCTAGATAAGTGATTCTCGTTGTTCGAGACTGGAACATTGAATGAGCGACTATTCTGCCCCGGTACACTCGCGTTCCTAAAGACCCCTCTTGACAATTGCGCACCTCATGTCTATTGTCAGTTCTATCTCCCCTCTTCTCTCTCCTCAGTATGAGTTTCTTGTGTCCACTTGCTGTTGCAGACTGAGTGAGACGATGTTGTCCACCAACTCGCATGGCCTCAAACTACATCTTTATGCTCAACGACAGACCCTTTCTTCTGTGCGACGTTCTCAAGATCAGCCAAGCTTCGCTTGCGAGCCTCGTCGCCTCCAAGGGCTTGCAATTCGGTAAAATGAACAGTGGGAACAAAGCCCTTAGACTTCCAGGCCTTTGAGACTTTGCCGTACAGCTCATCGACCTGTTCCAAGGAGAGACCCTTTGTCTCGTAGATGAAGAAATGAACAAAGGCCATGCAAATGCAGCAGAAGCCTCCCCACAGGAAAAATACCTTGGAGCCCAAGTTCGCGTTTCCAGGTCCTGGATTGACAAGATATGGTGTGGAGTAGGCGATTGCCCAGTTCAACAACCAGTTGGACGACGTGGTGATACTAAGACCCTTGGCTCGAGCTTTGAGGGGGAAGATTTCGCCGGTGACAACCCACGCACAAGGTCCCCAGCTGGAGGCGAAGAAAAAGATGTAGAAGCAGACAAAGGCAATAAGCGCCTTGTTGGCGGACGACTCGTCAGGTAGGGCAGTTCCAACACTGGCGACGATCAGCTGGCAGACGCTCATGCCAATCGCACCAGTAAGCAGAAGAGGTCGTCGACCCCATTTCTCCACCAGGATCAAGCCGGGCACCGTGCTCACAACATTTACGATGTTGGTGATCATAGAAACCACAAAGGGGTTGGAGATGCCGGAACGAGTGAAGTAGGATGTGCCGTAATAGAACTATAAATTCATTTTCGAAGTGAAATCAGTAACGAGTTCTGGTTCAAGAAAACTGACGGCTTAAAGAGACTGTGTCTCGTCTCTGCCAGGTGGGTAGAAGAACTTACAATGAAGTTGACACCGGTCAGCTGTTGAAGAGCTTGAAGGCCAACACCGGTGAGAAGACGCTTCCGAATACTTGCATTTCGGAAGAGCTCCAGATAGGAAGCACTACCGACGGCGAGCTCGTATTCGTGGTTAGCCACAATCTCCGCAAGTTCCTCGGCGACAGCAGTATGATCGACTGGTAGTTGACGAAGACGAGCCAGAGATCGGGCAGCAGCGTCGAGTTTACCCCTCTTGATGAGATAACGAGGTGTTTCAGGGAGGATGATCATTCCAACCACCAGAATAATGGCGAAAGCGAACTGTACTGCAACAGGGATTCGGTAAGAGCCGGTGTCTTGACGATTTTTTGTTGCATTCAGCACGATCGCTGCGATCAAAAGCCCGAATGTGATAGCCCATTGATATGTTCCTACGATAGCTCCTCGAATCCATTTCGGTGCCGTTTCCGATTGATAGAGTGGAATGGTTGCCGAGAGAAGACCAACGCCGAGGCCGGCGAAGAATCTGCCTGCTACAAACATCGGGATCGCAGTTGCAGCAGTTTGTAGGATGACGCCGACCGTGAAGACGAAAGAGTTGAAAATCATGGCGAATCGACGACCAATGGTATCAGCCAACGGCGCAGAGAGGAGGGCACCCTTTGAAAGAGATTGTTAGCCTCACTTCTCTTCTAGCCACACTGTGTTGCACACGATCACTCACGAAGAAAGTGCCGGCGGAGAGAATTGAGACGATCTCAGAGGTTTGCGCGGCTGTGACGTCTGGAAAGTCGTCGGTCGGATTGATGTAGCCTGTAGAGAAGAGCTGTCTCCAGTATTTCATGGCAAGAATTCCTCCGATGGTTCCAGTGTCATATCTGGCTTCCGTCAGCAGCAAATCCGCGATCCTAGGGGCAAAGAGTGTTATTACCCAAACAAGACACCACCAAAGGCCACGAAGGCGCCGATCAAGATGGCGGGTCGAGCAGACCCGTCCACGTGCTCGGGTTTGTTGAAGAAAAGACCCATGGTGATCACTGGTCCTTGCTGATATTGGGTACGTTCAGAAGAAGAGATGCTGTGTAGAGTACAGAAGGGGTTGTTGAATGACGAACAAGATGTTTTTCAGCTGGAGGACATAGCCCCTTCTTATACGTCTGGGGCTGGTACCTCCCCGCCTGCCATCGCCCCATGGAGGTCTGATGTGAGGTATACCGCGGAGTGACAGTCGCTGGTGAGACTTCCTCCACCGGGGCATGTGAGACTTCCACACGCAGGGGCCTCCTCAGGGCGGTCACCCCATTCTGAAATTCGTTCTTCAATAATGTTTTAGGGTAAGTATTAACGCTGACCCACCTACAACGATCTCGTGGTCGACCAACCGCATTGTGACGGCTTATCTGCTTTCACAACTCCATAATCGTCTTCAACACTGATCGCGACCTCAGAAAGAAGCTTTCCAAGGCTGTACTTCGCATTGAGAGCCCCATTTCCAGACCTTTCTTGTTATCTTCCAGCCCCTTGCTTGCATTTCTGGCGCACATAAGCAATTTACAGTTCACGCGATGTCACCAGCACAGGTTGTCAATTGAACCTTTTTCGGGCTGTGATCGCCGTGATAGCATGGTGTAAGCCGCAAATTTGACCGAGCAGATGGAGAATGCATCCACCGGTCCCTGATGTGAAGCGTGTGAGCTCCACCTAGTGTCACATTTTCAAGAGAAGATAGCCGAGACAGGAAAGATTCTAGAAGAACTCTACATCCTGATGGAGACATCATTTCGCTTAGATACTCCGTGAGAGATCCGCAATCCATGTATCCCACCAACTGGCAGTCAGGGAGGAATGATCTGCTGCCGGGAGCCTTGTGCAGCCGCAGGCCGAGATGCTGGTATCGAAGCAGCTGACATTAATAACGCGAGTAGCCTAGTGATCGAGAGTGGGTCGGTCTTCGTCGTGGTATGCGCACTGTCAGCGAAGGCCGATCAACAATATCCATACTTAAAGATTGAAACTGTGGTGCCCTGCCAAGGCTGGAGGGGTTGGAATGACCTGTCAGGACAGTCAACCTGTGGAGACCTCAAACAATACCATCAGGATGACCTTCACAGAGGCAGAACGGCAACGGGTCATAGGAGCATCATGGCCAAAGCAACTCAGCCGGTCCATGCTTTCAAACTCACACTCAAAGGCATCCTGAATGTTTGATTACGGCCAGTGAACGTCGACCCAAGGTTCGTCTAGCAAACTCGTTGGGCACACGAACGTTACTGTTTAGGATTAGTGCGGCCAAGTCACGCAAGGCCCCACCTGCTCCGGTTGAGGATCCATATTTCATTAGTCTGTAAGCTAGAATTTTCGCGAAGGCCCGCACATCCTTTGTGTAGGTGGTGCAATCCATTAGTCCAAGCGCTAGAGTTTCCCCGAAGGCTATAGCGTGGAGTTTAATTACATTGCGCCTTTCAGCATATCTGACGACTGAGCAAGGATACCTCCTCGACTAGAATCGTGAGGTTACCGTACTTAAGCTCAACTGCACAACTACTACGCTCAGTACTAGATAGTCATGTCAGAAGAACTAGACACAACAGGACTAGCGATAGGACACACGGGACGAATTAAAGTTCCAGAGGGAAATCGAACTGGGATAATGGCTTGATATCTCGGCGCATCCAGGTTATAGTTCTCGTATTCTGTTAGTCTGAGCGCTAGAATTTTCCCGAAGATTACTTCACTGGGCTTAGCCTGCTATTGTGAAACCAGCACATGCCGCAAGGACTAATCTGTCAGGCCAGAGGTTATCCCCAACGCGGACTGGTGTCTTGAGACCATCTCACCGCAAGCCTATCAGGTGACACTGGGAGAGAATGGATCACGCTAAGGATGGGTAGTGTATTGTATGAGGCTCGAGGCTGGCATGTGATGTTGTTATCTCTGTTTGTGTTCTTGGCTAGATGGCAGTACGAGAGACTGTCCCAGTAACGAACAAGATGACGGCATATGGGTGGAGTTTGGCTCGCCGGATGGTCTACCCGAGAAGCTCGTCCAGTTTGAAGCCGTTTTGACAGCCAGGAACCATACAACGAACTTTTCGATGTTGGTCGCGTGGCCTCAACCTGAGGCGGAAACATTGCAAACAATGTGCGAGGGTAGAAGGTCGGTCACAACTCTGAGCTTGTTGCAGTGAAACTCATACCGAGCGTGAACTCTCCCTCCGTCGCGTGGGAAGCGATACTCGGACCACCCTTGCCCTACAGATTTCAAAGCTTGTTATCTCTCAATCTTTAGCTTCAGCCGCTAGAATAAAAGCATCAATATGCTTTGGCATCTAGGTCCCAATACCAAGCGATGAGGAATCACCTGATGGGCATTAGGAAGCCACTAACACATGCTCTGCTGCCGGCCAACGACGGCTGGACCGACTATTTGAATGTGTGGGCTCGCACCTGATGAGCGAAGGCTTGCGACGAGGGTGCAAAGACTCCGGTGATGCATGAGAGTGCGCATTCATCCTTGTAGTCGCCTTTGGACAGCACTGGGGAGCCTGGGGGGTTGAGAAGCTGGGAAACCCCACCCCCATGAAGATAATTCAATTTTCTTCTGTGATTTCATGGCGAGAATCGAAGGTCTTTCGTTATGACGACCTAGGTGGGCTGGCTAGTTTTTTGTATATACAGCGACCACCCACTCCTTCGCTTCTACTCAGGTGATGAATTCTCTTCACGCCACTACAACCATGTATGTCCAGACAGTCCTGACCCGATTATCCCAAGTCTCCCAATCGAGGACATTGGCTAGTTGTCTAGAAACGCTCTTGATCAACCACTGAGGAGGACATTTACAACTCTGGACACACCAGATAGATTAGTCGAAACCCTTCTTTCGACAGACTGGAGAGCTGAAATATGGAAGGATACCGGTGTTGCGTCGCGAGGTATGGGCGACGTCGTGCACAATCGTACAAGGGTTGGGGTTTGACAAGAACACTGTTATACTGAGTTAGGAGAGCGTTCTCCCCAGACAATCCCAACTTCCACTTTCCCATGTGATGAGGCAAGGTATAGGGAGCGGGAGAGTGGGAACTCTCGATTCGACTAAAGCCTGTCCTCGCGCACGATGAGAGCCTTCAGGTCGTGGATTTACAGGCATGCGATGTTTGGTCATATTCCTAAAACACTTATTCAAAGTCTATACTCTCGCGCGATAAGAGGCAATATCCTCCCCCAAAATCCTGGGCCTCTTCGCCTTTTTATCCTGTTTGAGCGTGAGCCAGCAAGCAACTGGGGCATAAAACCTCTTTCAACCTTCGATTGTGCCAACAACAACGAGCATGTTCATGGGCGACAGAAAACGCACACGTCACGGGTTTTCTCTTCAGGATTACAAGGATAGTAACAGCACTTTTTAATTTTGTCCCATCGAGGTTACAATGGCCTTGCTATCGTCGTAGTATCCTACTGACCTTCAAGAACAAGAAGCACAACAAGAGTTAGCTGGCCGAGGCAAGTTCAATGTAAAACGCCCACACCGCCCCTGAATCTGCTCGCGCTGTAACTGGTTAGCGCTAGCTTTCTTCCATATGTGATATAGGCCCCTCGTAGTGCCGACATCCGCAATGTCATTCCTCGTGCAAGTATTGCGAACGAAATCAACCGAATCTGTCTCGACGGCGCGGCAGCCATCGCGGGGGCTGACGACTGTGTGTCTTAGTCGTTCCCAGCGGTGTGTTCTAGTCGTCTGTCGCCAACCTATCGGGCTCTTCTGACTTGTCAGCCGTCTCTACTGGCTGGAACTTGGTTTGGTTTTGTGCGCACCATTGTAGCTGACGGTTCCAGCAACGTGGAGATGGTAATTGGTAGTCAGTTGCTCTCGGCTCGGTGACAAAAGTTTTACATCTTTTAACTCTGGACGATCTGGCCATTCCCCTCTCCAGCGAATTTTTCCCAAGAGCGCTCGAGTGATAAGTCATGGATCTGAACAATGTCGCCTCTGGGGTCACTCTCCAAGCTAAACCCATCATTTCAGCTAGGATGACCCATAAAAGTGTCCGGGGGAATCGATAGAAGACAACGTTTTCTCCACTATATCAGAGCCGCCACAATGGTTGCGGGCATTACTGGAAGTTGGAGAGGCGAGCTAGCTCCAAAAATTCCAATTCACTCTAAACGGATCCCGCCGCTGTCAAAAACATGTATATTGGATATCAATCACCAGATATCGGAGTCGACTGTGAATTATGATTGATCCAATGAGGTGACCGGTATTCTTGCTATTCATAATTCATATCTTTTTTTTTGGATTACTGCGTTTATCCAGACCTTTTTTATCCAGACTTTTATGTCCCTCGTGCGCATTACTTTTGGTGCATTATTTTAGAACCTCGCCTGTCTACTGTCCCGACTTGTCTCTAGTCTGTGACGCCGGTAACATGTCCAAGTAACAAAGAAGAGATCGCGACCTCATCTAAGCAGCTCTCGATTTCGCAAATGCCGAACTGATATCGTCAAAGCTATTACCGGTCGCAAGTAGGAGACCCAGAAGAATGCGGGATTTCTGGGGCGTGTAGAAGCCACTTCCAATATGTGTCGCTGTGGTGGACGACACGTCACTCTGAGGCACCTCGCCGGCATTGGTTCGGTAGCTCTGCACAATTGGAATACTGAAGCGATTGATAACATCCTCTAGTGCGTAATTGAACGACGTCGACACTCCGCCAGCGCCAGCTCCCGCGATCTAAAGAGTCAAGGTTAGTTCGTACACCATGAGAATAACAGTTTCACAGGGCATTGTGTCTGAAGCCACGAGTGATGCCGGGAACTCAGGGATGCCTGGGTACTTACCACGATGCCTTTTGCTCCAGAGCTGACAGCGTTGTAGAGCGTATCATTCTGCATGTTTTGGTATGAATAGAGGATATCAACACGGGGAATCGACGTGACGCTGGAAATGTCGAAAGAGATCTTCCCCGTTGGTGTCACGGCCGGATAGTAGTAGAACGGTTCGTCCGAGGTTAGGACACCCAAGAAGCCTTGCTCGACAGGCTTGAACGTTTCTAGGGTATTTGCGTTGTTCTTGGTGATGTAGAAGGCCGATGCAATGCGGTCGTTCAGCACAACCAGGGCCCCTCGATCTTTGGACTTTGGGTCGACGGCGACGGTGACGGCCTGCAACAAGTTTGACGGTCCATCAGCGGAGATGGCGGTCGAAGGCCGCATGGCGCCAACTATGACCACAGGCTTGCCACATGTCACGGTCGAATCCAGGAAGAAAGCGCTTTCCTCCATTGTGTCGGTGCCGTGAGTGACGACGGCGCCGGACATGGTGGGATCCCCGCAGATGACTTCGTTGATCTGCTTGGCCAGCTTGAGCAGGATGTCCGACGTGATATCCTCGCTCCCAACATTGGAGATCTGTACTCCGGCGATATTGGAGATGTTGAGAACCTCGGGGACAGCGTCGATAAGCGCCGACACCGTCACCGAGCCGATTGAATACCCGGTGGTGCTGGAAGAAGAACTTCCCGACCCAGCAATTGTACCGCCTAGGGCACAAGGAAACGTCTTAGCTCCATATCCCTTCGCGAATCGAGATCATGGCAGCGCAAATAACTCACCTGTGGCAAAGACGGTAATGTTGGGTAGGCTGGCGTTCATCTGCGAGAAGGCAAGTCCAAACGAGTTGGTATAGTTATATACTAATCCCTCGGCACGAGGAAGCAGGACAGGCGACGCCGTGCTCGCTGCTGCGAGCATCGTGAGAGACAAGAAGTTCTTCATCTTGACGGTCGAATGACGGAGAAGGAAACCCCCGAGTCGAGAAGAGTGGTGGTGAATGTGTAAAGAGATCGATATTGTATTACTGGCTTGTCATGGCCTTTTATTCTTCCTCTTCCACCATGCAATGTTAGCACCTCTGGTTTTTCAGAGCCTCGATGCATGGATATTCTCCAGAAAACCAGGGCACTTCCTCTCTAGGTATAATCTGCAAGGAAATCGACGAATAGAGTCCATGAACCTTATCAAAAGCTCTCAATAGTTCAACTAGAAGCATTCCTTGGTGTGCTTGTCGCGAGCTTAGTACCACTTCACCACACAATCGGTATAGTTAGTGTGGTGTCGTCGGAGTGCGAAGCTCTAGTTGGAGGGAGGGAAAAACCGGTAAAAAGGTACCCGGTCGTGGGCTTTTCCACCCCGAACCCGGGCATATCCGAATCCGGAGAAGATAAGCCCCATTAGTTTGTGGCACTATCAAGTGGGCCAATTGGCAGCCTCAGATAGGCCCAGATAGGCCTCAGATAGGAGGCTAAAAGGGTGACATGAAAAGATTATGTTAACTCGGAGAGACGTTCGAGACTTCATGGGCAATAGTGCATACCCAGCTGTGCCTCTTTGATGAGGAGTCGACCTCTGATGCAGGCACCTTTCACATTTCGGCAAGGCGTCGAGCGGTACGAGACCGTCAAATTCTTGCTCAGGCCACGCGATACCGACTCTGTGGAGAGCTGTAGGATAGAATAGCATGATTGAGCAACCACTTCACAGGAACGGCCCATTGCTCTAGCGGTGCAGGCTTGTCCAGACTGTTATCAATTCCGCTTTGAGCAGGTCGACCCGTCCCGGCCAAGGACCTGCATACACGATAGAGACATGCACGATCTCGGAGGAGCCGGCTCCCCCGAGGAAGCCGATCATCAGACGTCTCGGACTGCACAACTGCTCCTCGGGGCGTGAGCCATACAATGACATCCCCGACTGTAACTAGTACATTTCATTGCTCCGGCGCTTGGCACGATAACATCAAGCAAGCCCTTTGATCCTCACGTGGCCGACCGGGGTGTATCGCTGGCGGCGTGCCTCGAGACAATCTGCGGATCGTGCTAAACTTCCATCCACATTCCCTCCACACCGCCAGACCGAGCTTCACTAATCCAGGCGAGCCGCCTGCCGCTCACGATACCGAATTGTCCGGCGATTGATTTTGCCGCCGCTGGCGCTATCACTTTGTTCGTCGAGACAGCAAAGTTTTCGTCTCTTGCGGCGCTCTCAGACTAACTGCTCGGTACAACGCGCGCATTCGCTGCCTTGTGTTGGATTATTGGGACTATCCACTCCTGTGGTCGACAGAGACCAGCTTGCGATCATGGAGTTGAAGTGGTTTACAAACTAAACCCATCCACCGATATGTCTGGGACATGGGGCACAAAAGGTTCCCTCGTAAAGCTATTGCACGAGGAGCCTCTCTGGAACCATTGCTCCACCGACGGGGCCACATGCACTAAATTGGCGTTCGCTTCCGTATCGCAGACTGCCTGGACATGAGAAGCGACGATTTAGCGCTGTTGCCATGCGCAGGCATGGAGCGAAACTTCGTACGCTCGCCTGTGTAGGTGGCGGCAATGTTGATATTGGAAGAGGCTGCCTATTGCATCGACAGGCCAATCCGGTCGGCAGGAAACAACGTCTTCTCCGATCTCCTCACTGTATTCGGCCCAAAACCAAGGATCGTGAGCCGGTCGGGCGAACGCAAGCAACCTGGCAAACTCATATATATATATTATACCAACCTAAGTCTTTGTGCAGGGCAATCATCAAAGAAGTCGGCAGCCATTATTTCACCATAACCGACTCTCTTATATGTTTTGATATTGTCCAGGCCGTCTCCATGAGCACCGTCACTGTTGGGGCCTTGGGCGATTTCTAGTAGAAGGACGGTATGTACCAGCTCTTCACTATTGCCGAACACCTCTCTAGTCATGATGTTCAGACATATTCTCTCTTCGTTCTTCCAGGGCCGTTTTTCATCTTCTAGATACCAGCCCCTTATGGACGGAGGCCAATAGCGACTTTCGCGTTCCCAAATTTGATAATGGAGGACTTCATTATGCAGAAGCATATCCGACGATGCTGTTCTCAGCTGGCCGGAGACGATGAGTTCCGCATGTAGAACTGCGCCGAACGGATCGGACGCAGCCAGCCTTACTGTTGTGTCCATGATATCCATGGCAGTCTTGACGTAATCGCTTTTTGCGATCATATCATGGCCGAGGTCTTTCCAAGTGACAGGGCCGTCCATGCTGGCCCAGGACCATGAGGGAGCACGGTACGGTGATTCCGGAGCCCTCGTCGCGATAGCCGTGTTCTCTACCATCCAGGCAAGCCCGAAATGGACGTATTTCCTCCAAATACCCGCCAAGTAATCACCTTTGATGATGTCGTGGGCGCGTCTGGCGAGTCCTGCTATCGCAATCAACTTGTCTCCGGCATCGAAAAGACTCCGGTTCGCATAGTCCTGAACGATGACAAACCACGAGAGTACGTCAACGACATTTCCAGGAGGCTTGCCTTTTGCCTCGCTGTGGAAATTCCGATCCGGAATGTTGAAGTGGTAGCCGCTCTCATCTGAAGTATCAAACTCCGCGCCGGGAATTTTCTCGCTCTCGTACCGGCGACATCGAACACACTCGAAAAAGACCTCGGCTTGGCAGATATGGAGCACGCGTGGCGCCAGCTGCCGCTCTTGGAGACACCATGCCCTCTGAGCAACCGGGCCATCGCCGACGAGCGTTTGAAAATCGGTATTCGGGGGACAAAGACGCGCGAGGCCAACGGTTCCGTCATCATCGAGGATGTGCATTACTGCGCCATCACGTTGTAGAGGCGGCCGATCCTGGAGAAACCCTGCTCCGCAACTGACGGCGTCACTTGCCGAGATAACCAGAATGGCGTTGGTGTAGACGTCGCTCATTTTGGCGCTGAATTGAATGGAATGTCAGCATGTCCACATGAGCGCCTTGAGGCAAAGCCGCTCACCTTTCCGTCAGCCAATCGTCCATGTCACCCTGCTTTATGCAGAGACAGTCGACCCAGAGATATGAGTAGCCCAGCGCGATGCAGGCCGCAACGGCATCCTGGTATGTTTGTGGCATCTTGTCACCCTCGATTTCCCATCCGCCTTGCTGGGATGCTTCCACGTATTGGATCCACCAATCATCCTTCTTCCCCCAGCAATAGCTTAGTGCCACATAGTCCGAGTCAAAGCCCTTTGGGACCTGAATGATGTTGAGGATCCCCGTCTGATGCCACGCTCGAACATCGAGAAGTCTCGTTGGATACCTCACCTGCCTTGGGACGAGTGCGCGGCACGCCAAGTGCGTTGTCAAGCAATGGCCTATCCACTCTTTGACTTTTGCGACAACGCTTGCATCCATGGGATTGGCACCGAGTCTCTGACGAACTTGAAACCCTCGCTTCTCCAGTGGGTCACCTGAAAAACATCAGCAGGGAGCCTAGCAGTCTCGTCTTTGTCGTAATCAAACCGGAATAGACATATATGGGCAACGCGACGTCGGCATGAAATCCCAGAGAGGATTTGGTCACTACGTTTTCCGGGCCTCTCCAAGGCTGACTTATGTACTGAGTAAAGCTCACTGAGTCCGACACTGAGTTGAGTGCAGGCGCGCTGGCCCGTTCATTGCCACATTGGACGAGGAGAAAAGACGCATCAAGTGGCCTTTCGTGAATATAGCCTGGCTCCCCTGGCGCCAACCCCGGGTTGAAAGGCCTGCTTTTGCGAAGAGTTATCGGGGTAGTGAAAGTTCTATACCACTCTTCCGGGGGGTCCAACCGATGGGTCCAGGGCAGAGCCTTTGGTACGTAATTTCTGCCCTTGGACTCCTTGTCGAATGTTGTTCTGTAGGCCTCCGCGATGGCGCGACTCAAGTGGTCGGAGATCCGTCGGCATACATCACACGACAACGCCGCTGTCTGGAGCGAGAGCCAGTCATGATGCAAGAGGTAGCCGTCAGCACTGCGAAGTGAGGCCAACGTAACCAAGTTGCACCTACATATAGGGGTTTTGCTAGCATCTGTGGAGCTCATCGCCGGTACACCATACGGGAGGGAGAGGAGAGAGCGAGTAAGTTTCTTCCTGCGGTCTTTTGAATAGAATAAATATTGCTCCTATCGATGCCCAAACAACATCAGGCTGCATTCTTGGCGCCGATGAAACAACCGTCTACATAGGAACATCTTGGTAGGTACGTGAATCCGGCGTTGCAGTAGCGCTTAGCACACGTGATGGTCAGACGCATGCGGCAGAGATTTGCTCTTGTTATTCAAGAGCTTGAAGCACCTTCACCATGCCATCAATGTAGCTTTCAAGGGACTTCTTCATGATTCCTTCGACCATGCAAAGCGTTACAGAGTTTCCATGTAGTTCAGCGCGCAGGACCAGCTCGGCAACGTTAGGATGTTGCGGGTTGCTTATCGTAGGCGGTTGGAGAGTCCAGCGCTCCAGGACAGTGATTCCTACTGGCGGTTTCTTCACTACCTCTACTCCGTCCTCTTGATTTGTATAGGTGACAGGCACATCGATCTGTCCCGTCCAGAGGCCGAAAGGCAAATAGTTGACACGGTCGCTGATCACATAGTTTTTGGAGACGGCGGTGGAAGATGGCTCCGTCGACGGTGCAAGGTGATAACTGATAACGTACGGGCTCAAGCCGATGAAATTTGAAGGCTCGTGGAGACATGCAATTGCCTTTGACATCGGAACTTCGCCTGGCACTGCTCGGCTAAATGAGAAGCTTCGACTGGACTGCATGGTTTTGAAGACTTCGGATCAATGCAGATTATTGACTTCTGTGCGAGGAAGAAAATAGGAACTGCGCTGTTCTTGTAGCTTGTGCGTTCGGTCGATCCTCGTCCGTCGAACAAGCCGACCGGAAACCCGACAACTCGATCTTCTCATTGTTAAGTACTCTCGAAATGAAGAATTTTATCACGGTACCACTCAACACCAAGATCAGTACTCCTTTGGGGATAGAGAGATTTGTTATTAAAATGTTACCAATCAGGCCTGACGACAGACTGCGTACCAAGCTGAGCAGCAACCCGAAGTGGCCGTTGACGATGTTAGCGTGCGCAAACACCCCGCTGTAGGCTGAAGAAAGTGCTCGACTTAGAGTAACACAAAACAGGCCCGAGAAGCGCCGTTTTGCCTGTAAGGATGCCGGGTTCTCTTGTTATCGGCCGTGAGGTGCCTTCTGCCGTTGTGAAGGGAAACCATAAGTTCGAGGAAGATCAATCAGACAGCGAACATAACGAAGAAAGCTCCAACTGCCAGCGGAAGGCTGATCTTTGTCGAACCAAGGTGAACTCAATAGCGATTTTTCATATCATGTCCTCTCTGGAGGAAGTGCATGCACCGGGAGGGTGAGAAGAGGGTCGGTCGTGAGCACCCAGGTAGAAGCATCCACGAGCCATTAACTGTGTCATATAATAGCCTTCCGATGCCTTTTTTTCCTCCACAACGTACTCTGTAGCAGATCTTGAAATCCTCTGCAATTTCCTCGGTCACTCACTCCACCTTCTTTCGACTGATCATTGTATCCAAAGTCTTCTGACCTCTCTTCCCTCGCTTGTTTTTCTCGCTCTTCTTCTCGGTGTCATGTCCATGTCCATGTTCATGCTCGTCGTCACTATCGTCTCCATTATCGTCAGCATTCTCACCCGTATCGTCCTCATTCTCTCCTTCTTCGTCTCTCGACCTCTTTACACCCCTTTCCATCGAACCGTTGGCGGCCTCCTTGACCTTTGCCCCTCGATCATTAAACTTGAACATCTTCTTCCATTCTCCCGTCCTGACCTTCTCGTCGTCCCCGTACAGTCCGACGTCATACGCCTCCTTGACCTTGTCGATACAAAACTGCCTTCTCTCGTTGAAATCGAACATGGGCTTTGGATACGTTTGTAGTTGTTGTTGTTGTTGTCGTGCTGCGGCGTTCTCGTTCTCGTTCTCGTTCTCGTTCTCGATCTTCCTGTTCAATCCGTCCCCTTTCACCAGACACCCCCACTTCTTCTGGTCCGCTATGGGCGCCTTGTGCGGCTCGTAGATGTACTTCTTGTCAAACAGGGCCAACTCAGGCACGTACCTCCTCACGAAGCGACCTTCCGGGTCCCACTTTTTGGGGAAGCTCACGGGTGAATAGCATCGGTAGAACTGCGAGAAGAAGGCGGTACACGACAGCCACATCCAGTTCCCCGCGTTGCATGCCGGCTCGTGGTCGATCAGCCACTCCTCGAACACCTCGGCGCCGCGCTCCCAGGACACGTAGCAGCCTCCCCGGGTCAAGAAGCACGCGACGGCGTGTCTGCCCAGGTGGTGGATCCAGCCTTCCTGCTTGAGCTGTCTCATCAGCGCGTCGATCCACGGGAACCCGGTGCGGCCCTCCTTCCAGCGCCGAAAGTACTCTTCGGCCTGCGGGTCGTCGACCACATACGTCCCGTCGGCGACCTGGATCTCGCCCTCGCCCTGCTCGCTTTTGACGACGGCGTACCTGCTCTGCAGATGCCAGGGGATGAACCTCGCGACGGGGTTGCCGACCACCTGGCCAAACGCAACTCCGACCTTGGCCTGTGCCGCAAAGTACATGTCCCGGAACAGCAGCTGGCCGGGCAGATTGACCGGCTCGGCGCTGTTGTGCTTCTTCTCCCTTTTCCGTTTCTCCAGCACGTCCTGCACGTCCCACCAGAACTTGCGCACGCTCACACTCCCGAAGTGCATGTGCGGCGAAAGGAGCGTGGTGGCCTGCGGTTCAAAGTCCGTGGGCGCCGTCGCAGGCTTCTCAAACGTCCCCACGTACTCTTCGTCGACGATGTACCTTTTCAGCACGGCCAGCCCAGCGGTCTCTCCACCGACGTGCGGCGTCGTCACGTCGTGCGGGTCGATACCCATCTCTTGCAGCGTCGGCACGCTGAACGTTCTGTCCGGGCCCATCAGGCCGACACGGTACTGCGTGTGCGTGTGTGTGCCATGTGCCAGGGTCCTCTGCACGGCGTTGAAATCGCCGCCGGGTCTGGCGGGAGCAGCAGCAGCACCACCACCACCACCAGCGACCGCGGGGTTCTCTTCGTCGACACGTTTCCCTTCGCCCTCGATCTCGCGCTCAATGTCGCTCAAGTCCATGTCCTCGGCGTCCAGAGGGTCCGGTAACGTCGTGGGCGCGGCGACCGGCCGAGCAGGCACAGCAGTTTTCCCGAGCTTCCCGGCCGCCTTGACAAGCTGGGCCATGCTCATCGTCGGGCGGCCGCCATTCGCCTCGACGACGTCGTCGCTGTCGAACAGCGTCCTCCCGCTCACAGCCACGACCTTGACGCCCAGGGCCTCGGCGACGCGCGTGACCTCGGCGTCGCGCGTGCGTGCGTAGGCGTCCGTGTCACGCTCGAACACGAGCACGTCGACCTTCCACTTCCGCAGCAGCGGGCCGATCACCTTCCCCGGCGCCGCCCGCACGACGTGCAGTTTCTGTCGAGGGTTCAGCCTCGCCAGCGCCGAGGACACGTCGCCCATGCACCCGACCAGAAACGCCCAGCGGTTCGCCGACCCGCGCTGCCGGTACACGTAGTGCGGATCCCACGTCCACAGCGGCACGAGGCGCGACGGCTTCAGCGACAGAGCGTGCGCCAGCGCAGGTGAGTCGTGAAGACGCAGATCCGTACGGAACCAGTACACGACGCGTGGACCGGCCCCATCCTTTTGGTGTTGTTGTTGTTGTTTCTGGGGTTTGAACTTTGGTGGCATTTTCAACATTCACCACAGTAGAGAAGTGTAGAGAAGAATAGAGTACCTAGAAGCAATGTCCTCCCCTCGTTAACTAGTTAGTTAGTACTGGTTCCTGGTGTCGTGGCGCTCTCCCTTTTTCCTTGTCCTTGTCCTTTTCTCTGTCCACGTCCTCGTCTTCCCTCGTGAGGCCTGACCTACCGGCTAGTTAGTAGGACCGTTACATCAGGTAGGTAGGTAGGTACCTCGTCTGATGGTCTCGCCGCGAGGGTCTGGGGCGGTGGCGACGGAGTATCACACGCGCGCATCGCCACAAAAGCACCCGCCATGCACACTCCGACCAAACCAACGGGTTACATTTATTTAAACCTCACCTACCTTGCCGCATTCGTACAATCCATGACGACATCGAACCCTCTCACATCTTTTACCTGGCCTCCACTTCACTTGAACTCGGCCTTGGTGCAGCCTTCTCGTGTTTTTCTTTTTCCTCTTCTCTTTTCCTCTTTTCCTCTTTTTTTTAGACGTGGCCCTCTTAGAGACCTACCTCCCTAACCACCTCCAGGCGACCTGCTACTTCAAGCTTTAAATATATTTGACCGTGGCATCAGGACCTACCTACCTACCTACCTACCTACCTACCTACCTACCTACCTACCTACCACCCTCCCCAACAATTTTCGTACGGGTAACAGGGATCCTCAGGTTTGCGAACTCTGGACATCACCAGAGTCGTTGGGGATGGCCGAGTACGAATTACCCCCCTTATCTACATAAGACTTCTATCGACCCTGGGATTGCTTTCTTCCCAGGTACTAAAGGAAGGAAGGTAGGTAGGTAGTACCACCGTGTACACATGTTCGAGTGCCGTAGATTTTCTATTTCAACCATTTACGTAGCTGCGTCCATCGTTTCATTCATTACTACCTACCTCCCTCTAGGCTAGCAGAGATAGGTATGGTGTTAAGTACAACACCCGTAAGCATTGCTATGCCTTTTGGCAAGAATCAAACATTACACACCCAGTAATACTGATATTGATGCCTTTTTGTTTTTTGTTTTTTCTTTTCCTCCTCTCCTTCTTCTTCTTTTTCTGCTCGAGTCTCTACTGACCCTTCAGTTACCATGTTGAAGTATGCACTTGAGGCTGTCCATCTGAAATCTGACTGACAGGAGGTCCTGTTGGAGCTTGTGGCTGCCCGTCCGAGATCTGCGTAACAGGATATCCACCACTTGCAGTGGAAGGAGGTCCCCAACCTCCGCTAGGCTTTCCAGATGGGCCAGACCCACCGCCTGAGCTGCCACCAGAAAGAGTTCCAGAAAGAGGTAGGTTCCTGCTGGATGCACCCACGTAAATGATGGGGTTTTCAACTTGAACCCAGTTCTGAGATACAGTGTCCCAAACCGACACATCTCGACGAGTCAATTCAACCGTGAATGTGGCGGATGCTCCAGCAGCAATGGTGAGTCTGTCAAAGCCACGCAGGACCTTTGGCGGCTCTCCATCTCCCAACCCGACGTACAATTGGGCAACCTCATCGCCTGCAACGTCACCAGTGTTGGTTATCGTCGCTGTCACCGTGGCCACAGTCTCGTAAAGACCCGGGTTGCCACCAGGAGCACCACCAGCCGCTAGCAGTGGCTGTGAAGATCCGTCGGTAGCACCAGGGGGGATATATTGATCCGACGGTAATCCATAATCGGTGTCATCGGAAGATGCCTTGAGATCGGTGGAGTTTAGGTACGCGTAAATGTACAAGTAAGGACGATAGGGAATGGTATCGTTGGGGAACACATAGTCGGCAGGATCGGTGCTGAAATTGCCCAACACGGGAGCGGGCCCAGTCTCTCCGCTGGTAGGTGTGTATGGAGCCGGGCTTGCTGGTGTAATGACCAGGTTCGAGTATTCGAACGTGGTGTAACTCAAACCAAATCCGAACTCGTATATGGGCGTGATGTTATGTGCATCAAGCCATCGATATTCGGTGAACACCCCTTCAGAGAAAGTATCCTGTGGAGCACCAAATTGTCCGTTATTGGGTTCGTAAATAACGTCGGTGCCGTAGTCTTCGCGATTGCGAGCGATGGTAAACGGCAGCTTGCCGCCAGGGTTGATAAAGCCGTACAGAGCATCCACGATGGCATTGCCGCTCTCCTGACCTGGTAGGCCGGCCCAAATGATGGCAGTGACGTTTTCGTTGTCATACCAGGACGAAACATTGACAGGCCCAACGGTATGCAAAACCACAATGGTGTTGTTGCAATATTTGGTCACGTTGTTGATCAATCGTTCAGCGCCACCCCAGAGAGTCAAATTGTTCCGATCGCCAGTATTTCCGTCAATGGTAATGAAACCCTCGCCGGATTGAGCATTGCCAAAGACAATGGCCACATCGGCTTGCTCGGCGAGGTTCTGCACCTGAGAGTCGGCATAGTTGTCGAGGATGGCAAACACTTCACCATCAGTTTGGGTCAAGACGTATTGCTGGATGGCTTGTTCAGGGGTGATCAAATATGGGAATTCCGCCGTACCGCTTCCGTAACCCATGGCAAGGGTTCCGTTGTCGCAGTTTCTGTTAGGGCAGCCATTGGCACCCCACGGGTTGCTGCCGGCATCGTATCCAAAGATTCCAACTTGTTTCTCTTTGCCCGTGAGTGGAAGGCCACCGGTGTTTTTGAGGAGAACGTTCGAAGACTGAGCCACTTGTCGGATGACATTACGATGTTCGTCTTGCACGTTTACATGCTCATTGACAAGCCCAATCGGCGATTGCGGGTCTGCGGCATGGATGTGATCATTCGTGTTTTGGCTCCACTAAAAGACACGTCAACTGAGGCTCACACGGAGGACCAGACAATACTCACGGCATAGAAGTTGGTAGGAACGTAGTGCGTGTCGCGACCGACATAGTAGTAAGCTGCCATGATACGAGTTACCATATCATCGATGCGCCATTCAGGGATAGTTCCGTTGATGACAGCAATTGTCAGGTTGGTGCCCCAAAAGGTCCGTCCCGTGTTGAAGACAGTGTCACCGGGCATACTCATGTCAAGGCCTGCTAATGCAGTCCCAACTCCCGAATGCTGAGCTTGCCAGTCAGACATGACGAAGCCCTGGAAATTGAGCTCGTTCTTCAACAAATGATTCAAAGTGTAAGAGTTGGAACAGCCGTACGAGTTGTTGATCTGGTTGTAAGAGCACATGACTGTGGTTGTGATTAGCGTATGGCTCAACAAATGGCCAGCCATTGCCTACCTGATCCGGTTCCGGCTCTCACAGCATCAGCAAAGGGCCAGAGGTAAACCTCGTGCATTGTCTTGTCGTCAATGTTGGAGCTGATCGTCTCTGTGATGTTGTAGCCATATCCCTGCGATTCTCCCACTTGACGGAAATGCTCTTGCTCGTTGAGAATATAGTGCTTGGTGCAGGCAATGACACCTGCACTCTGAATTCCCTGGACAGTCGGGGCAATCAGAGCGCCGGTGAGATAGGGATCGGGGCTGAATCCTTCCTGTACGGAGTCAGTACCTGATGAGGAAGTCTGATGCCGACCATATTGATGCATCATACCCAATTTCTTCCGCCTTCGGGCGATCGACCCAGAGGGCCACACACGGGACCAAGCTGAACGTCCACGCCTTTGCCTCTGTGCTCTTCACCCATGGCCACCCCGCGGGCGTACGCCAGACTACGATCCCATGTCGCGGCGACATTCAGACCGGCTGGGAAGGCAGAGACATAATCGGCTGGTTCTCGGGTTAACCAAGCCGGCTGTGGACCTTGAGTGCTGACATACCATTTCTGACTCCCAGAGGACTGTCTTGCATGCACAAACTCGGGAAGCCCAGTCGAGGAATCTCTCCCACGTTTCCGACACATCTCTCACTTTCCCAGCTGAACCAAACAGTTAGCCCAACTCTTTTTGAGACGCCGAAATGCAAAACATACCCTACACCGGTGGTGAGATTGACCTTTTCGAGCAGAGTCAACTGGCTCACAAAAGCCCGCGCTTTTTCGTAGGCCGCAGACCAGTTGCCGGCGCCCGAGCCCCAAGGCGAAGGGTAGCTCGGCGGTGAAGAAAAGATCGGTCCGTTATAATCATTGTTGAAGGGTTGTGCTGATTGGCGCTTGTTGAGCAGATCGGCAGAGTCGACAGGCTGGAAAATATACTGTGAGTAGGCATTCAGGGAAAACGTGAAGTTGAGAACAGACACCACCGAGCTCAGCAACGGGGACATGATTGCTGGAGGAAAGAAAAAGGACTTTGGCCAGGAAGAGCCCAATATGGCGATGCCCAGCTTTCCGGTCCCTGGCGCCCTGGGAGGAGCCGGAGTTGAGCCGCAGTGGGTTGGATTGGACGGGGCTCACTAGGCTCAGGGCAGTGGCCTGTATTTGTACAATAGGCTGTGGGGAGTGCCGCTCTAGGCAAAGACAGGGGCAGGGGGGGGGACGGGACAGGCCCAAGATGCACTTACACCAGCCAAGATCTGGGGAGGGAGAGCGACGATGGCCGCCACAGCCGCCGTCGTCGAAAGCCACATCTTGGGCTATCAAGGCTTGTTTTGTTTCAAGGCACCGTCCGGAGAATATTTGCTGATTGGGACTCGAGTTCGGGTGGGACAGCAGCAGCAGCGTCTCCCACTCAGATTCACCTGACAATGCAAGTTCCGACTGACTATCCCCTGGGCCTTGACTGGAAGGGGTCCTTCTTGGTTAGGTTAGTACGGGCTGAGGGACGAACGAGTGGCCGACAGAGAAGAAGGAGCAGAGGGGACGGAGGACCATGGGAAGAAATCGGGGGATATTTGTAGCCATACGCGACTGCGAGAACATGTATGATGTACACTATGCCTGGGCTGCCACCCAGCGCTCAAATGGGTGCGCGATGTGCAAAGCTGGTGATTATGATGATGATGCCCGGGATGTGTTGTATTGTGGAGGTAGCAACGGGGGACACTAGCTCAAGTGACTTCTGTTCTCCGCTGTGAATCCAGGTAGTCAGTTACTGTAGAGCGTAAACAGGCCGACTAGCCTTGTCAAATGGACACCGAGTTGATGGTCCCTTGACGCTTGATCCTTGATCCTTGATCCTTGACACTCGATTGAGGACGAGCAGGAGACTTACTCATGCTTGACAGCGAGCTATCTACATACCACCTCGTTTACATTGCCTCCAGTAGTACGACCATTCCCTGACCAGGGGCTTCTTTCTTTCCGACCCTCGATTGGCGGCATAGTAGGGAGCGCTGGGCTCAGGTACACAGACAGCTACTGTACATACCTTAAGGTCCCAGGGACGCATGCTCTCCCCAGACTACAGTACGAGTCGAGTCTCCAAACTGCGCTTGTCCGGGACGAGTGAGATACACCACGCGGAGACACGCGCCACCACATCTCCTCCTCCCTCCTCCTCCTCCACCACCACCACTAATCAAATCACCTGCTTCTTGCATGGAAGCGGAATGGAAGAGCAAGAAAAAACAAGCTCTTGAGGTTGCATTCCTCCTCTTGGTCCGCGTTATGTCGTTCTTGTGGTGCTGACGGGTTCCGTCGAATTCTCATGCAGGATTTTATTCACCGTATGCTGTGTCCGCCAACCCGTCGCTCTCGTCACCCGACATCGGCATCCGAGCCAAACAGTGGTCTGGAAACAAACACTCCACAGACCACAATGACAGCGACAATCCCCCGTCAAAAGCCTGCAGTAGACCAAGAAGGGTACAGTACCCCGCAACTACCACCACGGTAGAGACCTAACTAATTCAATTTGCTTGACTACTACTGTACAATGGCCCAGGATCCGTACGCCTGTACCATCAGCGACGACGGCGTCACACTTTGCGATTTTGGACAATACAGTAGAAATGCTTCATCCTGATCGTCTCCAAGCGAAATTTGACGAGTCGACAAGCTCCCGCACATCATACTGAGTGATCACTGATGCTTCGTCCGTCCGGAGGCGAGCAGCGCACCGAGATGGGATCGTCGTGGGCTGGTGTGATCACCACCTCCTCTCTTCCTCCACCACACCAGCCACTCTGCATGTTCCTTTGCATCCAAACTTCTTCTTTTTGGGCATGTTCTCCGTCAATTCTCCAGAACCCGCACGGTACATGGATCGTCCTCTCCGCTTCTGCCCCATGCCATCAGCCGACATCCCTAGGCTAGTAAGGCACGTCTTCCTTGCCGCCCGACGTTTATCCCATTTGCTAACTGCTGCATACAACGACCCCGGTGGACGTCACTTCTCGTCGTCCGTCTCGCGCCTCCGAACATACGCATCCGTCCCAGGCCCTCCCGGATCACTGTCTTCTCCAATCAAACGCTCTCTAAGCAACGTCTGCGTGCATTGTCGACTGCAACGTTTTCATCGCTCTATGCGTAAGCCCCAGCATCACGGCATTACTCTGGCTAGAAAACCAACAGCCGCCCTGGACAGCTCGGCAATCCAGTTCGCCATCGTGCAGTCGTGCCGATTTGCCTCGTGTTGCGCAGGGAAGTGGCCTAGGCCGGTCAAAGCTTTGTCAGGCCTCGCAACGCTGCACCATCACTTCCCCTCCCGTCCTTGGTGTAATCATCTCGAGAAGCCGACCGAGGAATCTGTCGCACTACCCTTGCATATCACGTTTTCGAAGAAGCCTTCACTTCTCGGCATGGACCCAGAGCAACCCAAGGAAGCCCGCCATCGTCATCCAACCTACATGATGCCGATCGAAGAACGGGGCCTTCAAGCTGAGCAGTCTCTGTGTTCCGCTCACCGACCCGACACTCCGCATACTGACTTTGTCCGCCCGTGGTCCTACGAGTTACAGATCTCCTTCACCCACCCGTAGAGTAACTGAAGCTTCGATTGCGGGGAAAGCTCTTTGTCGATCTTATGACCTGGAAGAACTTTTCGCTTCGCTTCGTGCACATGTGTGACTCCTGCTGCCTGCACGCGTGCCTGCAATCGGCTATCGATCCCGCTTTTGTTGGCCATGTGAACGGTATCTGACCATTGACTCTTGCTCGCCCGTAGATTAACCGATCGAGACGCCATGTCGACCATTCGTCTCGGTCGCCATCGCCTCGGTTCCATGGTTGGCAAGGTATATTCAATGCTAGTCATTATGCTCTTAGCCCTGAAAATAGATACACCTGAACTGCGCAGCGACCAGGTACAAGTTAAACACCGGCACTAGTGATGGCGTGACTATAGTCATTGTAGGGGACGTTGGTTGAACTGGACAGAAGCAATACGTGGTACTGTCTTCAAGGGAAAGACTTTCATTGGCCTTCCGTTGGGTCCATGTGAGCCACGATTTCCTTTCCTAATATCCAGACCATGTATGTTGGGAAGACCAACCAAAAACCATTAGGAATCATCCACAGCACTATAAGGCGGTAAGCGGTGTTGTGTCCGACGTTTGCAAATCCGCTGAAATACTCATTGAGCCCTGTTTCATTTGTTCGGTCAGTCACAGGCCACGGTTTGGAGGTGTGCATATTTGAAATGGTACTCACAATACAGGACACTCTTGCTCAAGGTCATTACCGTCGATGCGAACAACACCAGCACTGCTTTGGCCACTCCAGGCCCCGATACCGTATTGGACTTTGAGCCAACCAAGAACTCTCCGAAAGTGCGGGCTTTGAAGAGGTCCTGAGCGCCATTCCGAATAATGGTAACGAGATAGTAAATATACAAGACGTTCTCCACCGCATTCAAGGATGACTGTGCAGCTGAGAAACCGACATGATTATCCCACGCCGGCCATCCATACACATAGTCAACCGTGCCGTAAAGGGCATACGGTGTCCAGATGGGTGAGTGCAACTTTCCCCCAGGCATCGTGTGCGGCCGCATGAGCATGTACCCTGTGTCCCATGTCACCAGGGGTAGGGAGACAAACAGCCAAATGATAAGCAGGGGAGCGATTTTGTGTGAGTAGGTATGTTGAGTCACTTCGTTTTTCTTGGTACTTGAGCGATTTCCTGTACGCGCATGGGGTTTCGGATCGACCATCGAGATCGAACCATCAGGAGGCGGTGAGGAAGTCTTTGCATCTGAATTTGATGATCCGGTCGAGGTCGCTGGTGTTGCAAAAGATCCCGGGTGTTGTCTCGTGGATACCATACTGACCGGGGAAGTCAATGAAGATTCCGAATATACTGACAACAGGCCGAATCCGTCAATTGGAGCCGGGATCGGGTTGCCCTTTGGATACTGGCCACGGGGTTTGAAAGAAGCGTGTCCTCGATAACACGGAAGTCAAAGGTCTATCTGATCTTGTCTTTGGAGATGCTTGCTCGAGTCGTTCTCTGATGTCTCTGCGACCGAAGCACTTCTGCGTCTCCAAGTCAGCCCCTTTGCGTTTTCTGTAGTGTTTCAGTGCTCGAAGGAGGGCAATCGTGCAATCACGCCTGAGCAGCCGTTGTAGGGGCCTGAGACTCTTTTTTGCTGGTCTCGTTGATGAAATGGATGGTTGCGCAACGTCAGAATCTATCCGCCGTTGAGGATGTCGCGGGTGAAGTTCAAGTTGATACACAAACGCCTGATCGCGTGGCTGTTACACATAATTTAAGGGAGGAGTCTCGTTAGAGGGGCAGACCAATGACGCACTGCGGTCCTTGGGATAATCTACAAGGCCATCGGCTCATCGCAATCCGGCGGCGCCCACCATGGCGCAGCCGCGAGGAGGCGTTGGCGCTGGCGCTGGGAATACGGAGTCAAGGCAGCTAAATCAAGCGGGCTGCACAAAGGCCCATAGAGTTTGCCCGCTTCGGAAAGAGGACAGCGATTATGGCTTTCGTCCGCAGGTACCAAGGGACACAGCGTCCATAATTCACGTGGCGCAGCTGGCAGATCAGACGGAATGTCTTCTATGTCCTTCGATGTACACGCACACACCACCTCGCAAGGTATTTGACAGCGTGAGAGCATCAAAAAGAGAAAATCGGCTATAGTGTACTAACCAGTACCGTACGGCATACGCAAATGCGCCGCCTTAGATGTACGTCCTTACTACTAGTTGGAACACACACATTATGACGTGAGATTATCCAGGCCCGCGTAGAGAGGTTCTCGTTTTGGACAAATTGTGGGTGTATGATTTTTATTTACCCTGAGCAAAAGTGACAAGTGCAAGCGGGCTTAAATCGTCTGCGGAATCGACTTGTTAGAATGAGGAGTCTGTTCCTCGATACGCATAAACGAATCAAGGTGCTAGTGTCTGCTACACCACGTAGCGAGAAGAATACGCTCAGCTTAGTGTTCTTGTACAACGTTGTCGAGCACCCTAGACTGCCAGGGGGATGTCAGCAAAGAAGCCCCGAGCTTTGCGTTATGTGGCTGTGACACTGCTTGCGACAAACAAAGTCGGTCCCTATGCAAACAACAGACGATTGCATCGCCTGATAGATGTACTCATTATCGCATGTCCAGGACGCTCGCACTGACAAAATGTACAACAGGCACCGTATGTTCGGTGCCTGACCTCTCGACCAGTGATTTCTGTCTCATCTTGCGGCGCTAGTTGTTTCGATTGAAACCAGCTTGGCCACATCAGCAGTACCCTATACTCCTAGCATTGGAGCATGCATCGTGTCTGCGACACTGAAAGACGCGGTCTGTCGTGAATGCGCAGGCTTGACGTTAGATCGTGGCAACTGCCCTCCCAGGCATTGTTCTGAATTGCTGCTGCAGAAGTATTCTAAGACGCTGGATTTTCATTCTCAGATTGAACAGTGGGCTGCCCAATATCGGTCTCGAACAGTTTGGCGATGACATCAGGTCTGATTATGTCCTTACGGAACTGCTCTTGCTGCAGGAGTGCCAGATTTCTCAGAGTGGCGCCAGGATGGGTTAGGTATTTGGCATATTCTGGTTTGCGCCAGTATCCAAGGAGATATTCCAGATACCGTGCAAAGCGAGCTGCGTCGGAATTTTCAAGGTCTCCGTTGTTGTGACTGGCTACTGGTTTGTTGAGGAGATGAGGGTAGTTTACTGCCAAATATTGAAGGTAGAGAGGATTGGACAAGCAAAGAACAAACTCTAGCTCCAGGGTGAATCGATGAGACAGTGGCCTGGGCGGCGTGGTGGGTTCCATCTCTATCCTCCTTGTGATCCGAGAGCAGGTCTTGCAAAAAAATGTAGATGTCGCTGGTAAAGAGCGCTGTCGGCTAGCTGACGAAAACAGTGCTACTCGTTTGAATTGACACGCACCTCAATCGGCCATGGAATGTGCGAGGCGTAATCTGATGATTGGCGTATTTCAGAGGCGCTGCAAGAACGTTGACCTTAGAGGCACTATGCTCACTGACAGTGCAGCTGCTGGTACGTGATCCCTTGTACACTCAGTAGAAGTGTCACGTCGCGGCGCGCACAGCGGGATCCTTCTCGCGTCGGTTTAGAGTTGAGACCGGGGCAAGAGAGAAATAGGGAGACACAGGTATTGTACCAGTACGATCTGTCTGGCGGGGGCCCAAGTTGGCAGTCTGAAGGCAAAGAAGACAGGCAATCGTTCCTGATTGATTTGTACCTGTCGCAAGGAGACGTTGAAGATCTGATGAATCGGACCAACAAGGGCGTCTCGAGTGGATGCACCAAATTAATGATGCCCAGCGTACGCGCAATGCCTGCGGATGGAGACGGGGGGCAGTGCCCTGAATCGACTGCTGTGTCGTGTCTGTACTGTAAACAAGGGACGACGGCGATCGACTCGCAACGATTGGCACTAGAGACCCTGACCGTCGATACCCAAGTTCTCGTTGAGGAAGAAACCTGATCAAAGCTGCTACCGGTGTCAGTAGCGGTTCTGAAGGCGTGTTGTGAGTCGATCAAGCACCCAATGCGGCGAGTAGGTTTTGCCCAGAGCCAGTCGACGCGGGTAGCGCGGAGGATGCGAGGATTGAGTCTGGGAAAGACCGGTGGCCGGTGTTGGGAGACGGTCAAGGGGGCGCGCAATGAGCCCATTGTAGGTAGGTGAGGTGCCTAGGTAGTTAGTGAGCCTCGCTAGCCTTAGGGACTCTGGGGGTGCGCAGTACACTGTAGTCTGTAGGCTCGCTAGGCGTGGGCTGGTCGCCTCTACACAGCCAAAGGCTCGTACCCAAATGACTACCTACTACCTGAAATGACGAGTTATGCACCACCATCAATAATAAATACGGAGCAACTCAGGCCTTTGTGGAACCGCCTAAAGAGTCAAGACATTGGGTTCCCGCCTGCGCCCGTACGGAGTCCTCTATTGCAGCATTCGTCCCTCTTCCTCTCTCCTTTCCAATCCCTTATTCATTTACAGCCAACAACTATCCTCGCGACCAGCCTTCATTCCCCCGAACAACATCCTCATCCTCATCCTCATTCTCAGCCTAGCCTGAGTACGACAATCAACATACGATAGCTCTGCATGCTCTTCGGCGAACCGCCGTAATTCATTGTGTCCACCCAATTCCGCTTCAGCGCACGTTCCTAGAAACGGCCTCATACGCTCCGCCTATCGTCCGCATCGGGTCCAAACAATCCGACTCCTTATCCCACTTGCGCGTCCCTTCTCATCTTTCATCGTATCTCTTTGGTCTCCTTTACTCTCTGTCGCCTGTCCGTCTGGTCCTCTATCGTCGCTCTGTGAAAGAAGCCAGAATCACCGCAAAATCATACCCTGCGCAGCTGTTGACCACGGGGAATCAGAATCCCTCCTGAGGCTGGGCCAGTGAAGAGCCAAATCAAAAGCCATGATGGCGCAAACTGCAACTATGCCAGGTACGTGCATAGCCGTCTCACCTTTGACATAATACACTTCGTTCAATGCCTCTTTGACTCCTGTATCCTTCAATGTGGCGTTCCCCTATACGAGACGCGACGCGACTGACAGTGTTGTACAGAACGAGGAACCTCACCTCTGGCCTCAAACAATCCTTTTCGCAATCGGATGCCTGATAGTGCCACCAGCCCAAATCTGGCCCCGGTCAAACCTGCCTCTACAAATCCCTTCCTGGACAGTAGCGAGGAGGCCCCGTCACTAGCCAGAAACAAGAGCGCGACAAGTGACCGCCCGGCGAAACCCTCCAGGCCCGTGGACACTACTGCAGATATATTTGTACGTGCATCGGATTCCGGCATGGGCAGTCACTAATCTGATTCAAAGGCATCTCTCGATATCAATGATTCTGCAAAACGTCCACAGAGACCTCCCCAAAATGGAAGCTCTCGACGGGAGAACATGCCACCGCGGCCAAATGGGTCTCAAGGCCCTCCTGGTCGCCACAGGCCAAGCAATTCAGATGAAGAACGTCGGAGGCAACGATCAAGAAATCGGGGCCCTCCTAACGAGCTAGACATCTTTGCAGACCCATCTGATACCCGCCCACGCGAAAGACGCACTCAACGCCGCAACTCAGAGTCTTCGATCCGGCACAAGCCCCGAGACTTGGACCCCGAAGCAGAGAAAAGGCGCAGAGAGAGAAAACAACGCGAAAAAGATGGCACGAGCTCTCACCGGTCTAAGAAACCCAACAGGAAACTGGATGTCATTGACAAGCTCGATGTCACGAGTATCTATGGTACAGGATGTAAGCTGATGCTCGTCATTCCACGGAAAACGCTTCTGACCAGTGATAGTATTCCACCACGACGGCCCATTTGATGCCTGTAACCCTCACCGCAATAGAAAAGGTTCTAGACAAGCTCCGATGCAGGCTTTCCCGAAAGACTCGATCAACATGCAACTTGGTGGTGCAGGACCTCTCAATAAGACTCTGAATCTTGATCAGTACAACGGCACTGGTCAGGAGGCTCATGTGGATTACAATGAAGCTGCAGTCGTGGACGAAGATGCTGATTACTTCCGCCGACCTCAAGCCGAGAGAAGCGCCAGTTTCAACCCGATTGCCCGTACGGAGCCTGTTCATGGAAATGAAACTGCAGGACTCGGCACCAGCACTTTTCTAGAGGGTGCACCCGCAAGCCGGGCCGCCATACAGCGCCGGGAGAGCGAATTCGAGGCCCAGCAGCAAGCGCAGGCCAATGGTCTCTCTCGGAAGAAAAGTCTGGCACAGAGAATCAAGTCTGTCCGTCAGCCTCGACCGAATCTCGGTGATAGTGGCCGCATGACCTCACCAGAACCTGTCGCCAGTCCAAACAGCCCCCTGGGAACAACCAAGTCGGAGAATAATGCAAACCCGTTCTTCAAAGAGTACGACAGAGAGTACGAGAAGAAGGGAGCTCAAATTGCTTTTGGGGAGGAACAGCAGAAGCAAAGTCGAAGTCGGGCGCCCAGCAGTCCACGGCGCGGATTTGCTGGTCTGGAGAAAAAGTTGACTGGTGACAGTCCTAACGGCGACGACGGCAAGATTGGTGGTGGCTTCCTAAGTCGAGTCAAGAGTTTGAAGGGGGGAGGTCGCACCCGTGGAAGACGAAACACCGAAACTTCTGGAGGTCCGGTTCATGCAAGCTGATTTACGTTAGAGGGGTTTGTTTTGCTTGGGTGCATGGTCAAGCAGGAGTTCTGCATCGAAATGGGAATGGCATATATGCAAAAGGGTGCGGACAACGAAATGATGATACATTCGGACGACAACTACTACTACGATGGAGGATGTCAAGTGTTGCAGTTTTCTTGGTGGAAGATTCTGGACAAGTGCTGCGAGCTTTCTGGCAAAGTCGTGGCAATGCTGGAAATTGGATAGGAGGAGCACAAACAGGAGGATGCTACCAAATTTTGCACGCGTGCGCGTTTTCCAACAAGTCGACGATGCAACAGGGGGCCTGGCCCATGATTATCAGCGTCGTAGAGGAGGACATTGAGCCACCTATCAAGCTGGGCCGATAGATATAGTGAGACTTCAGGTGGACTTCGTCGAAGCTGTCTTTTGTAAATCCTAAAGCCAAAGGCATTCCTCATCTCTGTGCGTGTGTTTTTGTGGGTTCGCGTGCCCTCCTTGCTTCCTTGCTCGCCTACGTGAATGGACGTCCACCACATACAGTCATGTAGTTTTGACCTGAGCCACCAGGTAGGGGTCAGGGCTCTTGGTGATTGAACAAGAAGATCCACGGGTTTGATCGATGACATTTTATAAAGTACTCATCAACTGATGAGCGAGTGAAACTACGGAGAATCCGTATGTAGGTGTAGGGTGAGACGACCAAGTACGGGATAGGTAGATACGAGACATGGAGAGATTCGGCTTTTCATTTTCAGGCTCGGTCCGTTCTGTATGGATCCTCCGTCCTCGGGCTCCTGATTCCGTAGTTCAAATACCTATCCTACTTGCCTACTTATTTACCTACAGTACATACCTTGGGACCTAGGTGCGTAGGTAGGCAAGTAGGGGGCTTAGAGTACCTGGTCTTTTTTCGTCGCCGCCGCCGCAGTCGTGGTCGTTGTAGTACCATCTGGCTAATATGCATGCATTTGCTCACCCGCGGCACACTCTGCTCACTTCCTCGCTCGCTCGCTCGTCTCGTCTCGTCTCGTCTCGTCTAGAAACGACATTCAAGCGGCAACAGCAACGACAGCCAACACTTTCCCGCCCGTCTTCTCGACAGGGACATCCCAGATCCCCTCGGCTTTCCCGCCCACGTTGTCTCGGTTGCCGTGACACGCACACCGTCTCACTTTCTCATAGAGATCCGTCAGTTCCTCGTCTCTCTCGCCGGCGATGATTTCGCGCACGTCGACGTCGGCAGGCAACTGTGGAGGCGAGTCTGGTCCAATATGATCGTCATCGTCGTCGTCGTCGTCGCCTTCCACGTCTTCAATCATCCTAGGTGGTCTTGCGCTCGCGCTTTGGAACCTGGTCAAGCCTGGCATACCGTCATCGTCATCGTCACCGTCATCGTCATACTCCCCATCATCACCCAGGCCGAAACGTGCACCTTTCACGTTGTCTGCCAGCCTGCTGTCTGCGTCCTCGTCGACGTCGGTGTTGTTGTTGGTGTCGAGTTCGTCGTCGGCCAGTTCCAGCGCGGCGTCCTCTTCGTCGACATACGCATCGCGCGCCTTCTTCGACCCAGCCTGCTTGGCCCTTTTGATCGCCTTCTTCTCCTCCGGCACGGGCGGCGCTGCCTCGCAGTCGTACGCCATCAGCTCGGGATCTTCGTAGTCGTCGCTCGAAGTGCCGTCATCAGAGTCGTCGCTGAGGCCGGCGGGGAACACGAGATGCTGCGGCTGCGGCGACGGCGACCGTCTTCCTTTTCTCGGGGACCGTGACCCGCCGGACTCGTGTCCATAACCATATCCATTCTTGGACGGTCGCGCGTTGTTATCTTGGAAACTGATCCTCCTTCCACCCGCAGGCGCAGACGCTTCGTCTCCTCCGCCTCCGAGAGCAGATGAGCGTTGGGAAACCTTGTGGTCATCGTCGTGCTCAGGTGGTGGTGCCTTGGTGCAATCAAACTCCCCATCATCGTCGTGATCACCATCGTGCTGTCCCTTGGCAGTCGCGGCCGTGTCCGGGTGTGCCAGCGAACAGTCAAAGTCGCCGTCATCGTGCTGTTCCTGGGTGGTCGGGGCCGTGTCGGGGTGTGCCAACGAACAGTCAAAGTCGCTATCCTCGTGTTTCTCCTTGGTAGTCGCTGCGGTGTCCGGGTTTCCCAGTGAACAGTCAAAATCGCCATCATCGTGATGCTCCTTGGTACTCGGGGCCGTCGCCGTCTTGGTGTTTGCCAATGAGCAGTCAAAATGGTCTTCGGCGTCGCTCACTTCCCTGGACTTCTTGCCGACACCTTCGGCGAAAGCGCTTTTCGCTTGGCGATTCTCAATCTCCACGATCCGAAGCATGAGGTTGTCCAGCGTGAACGCATGGCCGAGAATGAACCGCAAGTCCCGATCGGTTCGCTTCGCGGCCAGTCTGAGCTTGCACTGTGCCGTGTGCGCGAGGGTGTAAGTCGTGGACGTGTTCACTCGAGCTGGCGGTTTTGGTCTGGTTCTGCTGGACGGCATATGCATCGTCATTGCCGTGGCCATTTCCGGAGCACTTTCTGGCACAAAACCAAGACGAAAAACAGACGTTTTCGCTCGTCACGAGTGGTCGTCCTTATCTTCGTGGTCAGAGTGTAGATGTGATTAGAGTGTTGGTCGCCTGTCGTTGGGCAAGGGGACCAGCGAGATAGGACTGGCTGAATCACACTGGGAATGAAAGTTACGTAAATTGCGAGAGGGAAAAACTCAAGAATCGACAACCTGGACAACTGTTCAGAGCCGCACGTGGCCTCGGACGCAAAAGTGAAGTTGATCTTTTGTCCTCCAAGCCACGTGCTGTGATTCCCAGCGTGGTGACCCTTTTCGAGCTGCAGAACAAGAGAGTCGTGATTCAGGGTCCGGCTTGTCCTTCAGGCAGATGTCGAGCCGAGCGCAGTGATGGAAAGGTCACGATTGTGAGGTAAAGATCAGTCAGTCGGCTTCTGGAGGGGGATCGCGATTTGTAAACCACCTCGTATTCGACCTGTTCTGGAAGTCGATGTTTGCAACGCTGACAAAGCCCGTCTCCATTGCCACGCTGACCAATCGACGTCTAAGCTGCGAGGACTATCGCTCCCTATCCGCACAGTATGTGCGCTTGATAAGGTCCAGACAGTTCGGCAATTGGCCCACAGACCAGCCCCTGTTCACCCACCACTCGACGGCGAGGCACATGGACCAACAAGGCAAGATCCCGTGAAGAGTCTCAGGTCACATGGAGAAAAAGACAGACAGGGCATTTCTGGAGTTGAGAAATCTTGTTATTACATCCACTCACATCTACCTGGCTCGATTCTTCATCGGCATGCTCACTCACGACGATTGTCGGAGGAGAAGGTCTGGTATATCCCATACCTGGCGAGATTTCCAGCCAATTCGCACTGTTGACACAGGTGTCGATGCGCCTGGTCAATGCTTCCCCATCCCCGGTGGCCCGATGTGCTGCAAAATACTCATACATGATTCACCGTAAGTACTAACACAAGAGGGGGAGATTGATATGTCATAAGTCTTCGAAATGCTTTTTTTCAATGCAAAGAAAAAGCCAACTTGAATGAAAATAGCGACAAGAGACAAAAGATCATCTGCAAAGCCAAGCTCCAATAAACATTTTGGAAAGATCTTCAGAGGTCTCATGTCGCATGCAAATCCGCAACGTTGCTCTTCTACGCTGCCGCTGTTTTTCTGGCCGTTCTCGCTTTGGGATTCATCGACTTCTTCTGCTTCGACCGGGGGCTGCTTGAAGTGTCGTTGCCTTCAATGTATCTCAACAGCTCGTCAATACTCCTGGAGTCAAGCGCAACATTTCCTGTGCCAGTGCGCACATTTGGCTCTGCGGCAGCGGTATGTGCGCCTGTGTTCGGCGCAGCGCTGTTAGCATTTTGTGGTTGAAGTCGAGTTCCCAATCCCATGCGAGGGAGATGGCGAATGCCGGCCAGTTTCCGTGTCTGGAGCGCTCTTGCCTGCTTAGCAAGGGAAACTGCATTTTGAGTCAACTGTTCCAGCCAGCTTTCTGCCTCCTTGGTATTCCGATCGCTAGGTCCAAGCTCGGCCAAGAAGATATTGTATGCCTCCCGCATCTTGTTCACAGCACCTTTGGCATCTCCGTCAAGGGCCAATGCCTGTGCAAGCTGGAACAAGATGGTGGCTGCATTGATGGACTGCCGTCCGAACAGGCCCTCACAGACGGTGAAACAAGCTTCAAACCACTTTCGAGATTCAGAGTACTCTTTCAAAGACTGAAGCATGACAGCCGCGTTGTTCATCGTAGTGATCGAGTCTGGATGACTGGGTCCGAAGATGATCTTCCACACGTCGAGCGCATGCCTGACATATTTCAGGGCCTGCTTGGTATTACCGACATGATGCTCAAAGAGGGAGAGATTCAAGTACGCCAATATAGCATCGTGCGAATCTACTCCCAACGTCCTTTCGGTGACGATGACAGCCTTGCGCGCGAGCTCGACTGCGGCCTCTTTCTCGTCAGTCTGATAGTAAATCGTCGACAGAGAGTGGTACATCTTGGCAACTTCTGGGTGCAAGATGCCGTAGATTTGCTCGTGCAAGGACAGGGACTCGAGGACGAGTTCCTGGCCCAGCTGCTTTTGTCCCTGTGCTAAAGAGATCTTACCAGCTTCCAATGCTTCTTCCGCAAGAGAGCTTCTTGGAGTGGAATCTTTAACGACAGGTGCGATGTTGAGAATGTCGTCTGGGATGAACGTAGTATTCGGTTTTGACGCAGCACCGTTGGTCTGTACTGGTTCGCCACCTTTGGTCTTCTTCTTTTTCTTGCTTGCGGTCTCTTGTGTCGCCCCGTCATTGGAGCGAGTGTCACTGCTGCTTCGAGCAGGTGATGCGTCGAGTGACAAATGGACGGTTTTGCTGAACGAGTACTCTCGCGCAACAAGCTGCAATCCAAGCTTCAAGCTCACTTCCCTGAGAAGGGGTAGTGGTTGAATCGATGACTGCCACCCTGCTTCAAGATCATGCCTATACCTCATCTTCACTTGCTTCTCAACCTCAGCTTGCAGCTTCACTGGGTTCATCTGCTCGAAAGAGAAATCACCTTCGGGGTACAAGGCTCGTAGATCTTCCTCGATCTCCGGTCGGGGGTTAGAGTTCATCTCTGCGCCTAGCAGGCAGTTCAGCAGATGTGAGATGCATGGAGCGGCGAACACAGCGGGCAAATGTCGCAAATACCCGTTGATGATATGCTTGGCAGCCCTCGCCACCATCTCCTGCAATACCACCCGAGAAAAGGCTTGAAGGCGGGCACCCTTTTCCTTTGCAGCATTGGCTAGTCGGCCCAGATACCTTATGTTAATGCCACGCTTGTGTAGTAACTGACACAGAGACCGGCCATCCATAGGGAAACCAACATCACCATCATGCAGATCGGTGATGAGGTCTGGAATGATTTTACTGCGAAGGAAATCACAGACTGCACGGACATTCTTTTCGTCGTCAGCGTATTCCTGTTTCTCCTCTTCACCTTGTGGTTCCTGCCCACTGCAGACGTCTGGATTGAGGCTGAAATTGAAGTTCGAGATATCGACTCTTTCCTGCTCCAAGCCGGCGGCGTCATTTTTGCCGTCACCTTCTGCTGCGGTGCTTCCCTCCTCCTTGGCCTCACCCTCTTCAGTATGTCCATTGGGCTCTGCGAACTCCAGTTTCTTCTGCTCGTCGCTGTGGCCATTTGACTTGTTGTTCCGCCTCTTTTCAACCTCGGCGCGCACGTATTCTTGCATCTTCATGCGCCAATATGCCTCCACAAGCTCCAGCCTTAAAACAGACATGCGATGCGGGTACTTGTTGTCACCGTCGACCTCCACTTCATCTGACCAAGCGACATCCAAGGGGGTGATACGGTAGAGGTCCAGGACATATTTGCGGCCATCGGTGCCCAGGAGACCCTTGGTCTCGACACTACCTTCGAGATCATGTCGCTTGCCATCCTTGTCCCAGACAGCGTGCTTCTTGACGTGAAGTGATTTGGACAGCTTCTCGAAAACGGGTACGAAAGCCTCGTTCTCGGTGACAATGTCCCGACCCTCGACGCCACCATAATCAATCTGATGCTCACCTGGCTCTCTCTGCTTGAAGATTCCCGGGACGATACTCTGTCCAACTATACGTTTGCCGAGGTAGTCGACCACCACAGTACCGGGAGTAAATAGCCCGTTGATGTCCAGCTGGTTGACGGCCTTGACACCAGCTACATCCTTTCCCACAGCAACCCTAGCGGCCTCGTCTCCACCCTCGCTGGCGAAAGTTTGGACGCCGTCGGCGCCGAAAGAGTAAAAGATGTTGTTGTAGATGAAGATTTGAGCATCGCGGCCTTCGGTAGGATTTAAAGGTGCAACCTCACCTCGGGCAACCAGAACAGCACCCCGGGCAGCTGCATCGTTGTAATCGGCGAACAATTTCGAGGTCAGACGTTCCCGGAAAACTCGGTCTTGCAGGTTCTCGCGTGGGAGTTCTCGTGTCGTCTGAAATTCTTCATTCCAATCGCGGAGATTTTCGGCTCCATCGGCTCCGCCAATGAGGTATGCTTCCTGTGACCGTGTAGGATCTGCTTGATGATGTGTGCTCTGAGCGTATGATCCCGGTACAAGCCATGGGTTTGCTGGAATGGCATTCTGGAATGGGAAGGTCGTCAACAGATCCTTCCTGCCGTTGATCTTCTGCAGCTCAACAAATGTATCGTTGAAGGACGGCGAAAGGAGAGAGATCAAAGTGAGCAGCGAGTGCGCACTGTAATTCTTTGGTGCTGACTTGGGGAAGGGGTCGAATTTGTTGCTTGACGATTTGTTGACGAAGAAACCGGATACGCTCGAAGTTATTTGGTATTGCTCCCCTTCATTAGTTGTAAGCTGCAAATACAGGAGATGGCCCTTTTGCCGCAGATGGTATGGGGGTGGGTTCCACTGTGACACAGACAGAGACTTGATCGTCTTGGGCAGCCCATCCTCTTTTGTGGGAAGGACAGCATCCAGAGACGGTCTGCCGTCGACCTCGTAACCAGCCAAGGGATTATCCTCTGGCTTTGGCAAAGGTGCCTGGGCAGAACCAAACTTCTCATCGTGCAAAGAGAGCCCAGCACAGATGCCATGGAGCTGGTCGGATCGGTCTCCAGTGGCTCCGATGAGCTCTCTTATCCGAATCACATGCAATCTTGCCTCTTTCTCTGTATAAGGATCTTCAACGAGTGTCAAATCATCATTGGGTTTGAGGTCCTTCACCTCGGAGAGCTCCACAAAGTCATTGATCCGCAGGCCATTGTGCTCGAGGTGGAAACAGGTATACTGGAAGGTATCGGGAGTCTCGACGATGGATTGACGGACATCTTGGACTTGCTCCTGATGCGTTACCATGAGCTGTTGTTTATAGGGTTTGTGAGGCAGCTTCACGGTGACCTGGAACAATGCACCAGCATTGGGGTCATCGTGGTGATCATGGTCGTGATCGTGACCGTTGGTCCCGTTGGTCAGAGGTAAAGAGGCATCTTCGGTCTTCGGTGTATCTGTTACATCTATTGAGGCTGTCAGAGCACAATCCACATGTCCTCAGCAGGGCTGGCCGACCTTGTTTTGCCTGTACGTCACCATTGGAAGCCATTAGGAATTTTTGGAGAATGAGCACAGGAGAATAGATCAGGACGAAGAGAAAGCCGGTGTCAAGCGGAAAGGAATGACAAAGAGAGGGTAATATACAGGGGCCGGGCGACGACGACGGGAATAATGTACAAGACTGGCAAACGAGGACCTGGCAAAGCTGGCTCGAAGAGATTAATTTTCTGGCAATAATTCAGCAGAACAAATTGAAGCAAATAATGCTGGTGTTTAGCATTCGGCGCGGAGAACCATGGACGCTGTGTGATTGGCCGCTCGGAGGGCAGGAAGCAGAGTCCGAGGCGAAGAAAATTTCACGGGGAGAAGAGCAGACGCGGGAAGAGTCGTAACTATTGAGTCTATGACTCTGAGACGATGACTAGGAGCAGAACGGGGAGCGTGGAGTACGAGTCGCTGCATGCGGATGAGGATCCAGGTAAAAAGCCTCACTGTGCGGGATCCGCTCGTGGACACCTACTATACAGTATGTATGAGAGAGAGAGTGGGAGACTATGAAGTAAAGATCTTGATACTCCTGTCCCTCTCCATAAAGCTGCCATCATCGAGTGCGCTGGCCTCTGTATCTGCACATAAAACATCCCAGTCACCTACCTCTCGAGGGAACCTCGATCGACTGCCTCAGTGCCACCTTGCTCTCATTTTCATCCTGCCAACACCTACTCTTCATGGCGACGGGTGAGGACGAGTGTCCAGTAGGGGACAAAATTGAGGATTCTTGGCTGGAGCACGTGAGCAGGATTGTAAGCGTCTCCCAAGACTTTACGGAGCAATAACAAGAGCTGTAACTTTAGTCCCATCCCTTATTGATCACCCAGCATTGATTAAATTAGTCTTTGGTTTGCTATCCTACCTCAAAAGTCGCTCATTACTTCTTTCCACACCGTTGTAATCTTTCTTTGCATTTTCTGCTTTGGATACTGGAAATAATTCTGATCTATGCGCCTCGATCCACGACCACCAGCGAAAGGGGTAACTGCAATTAAGTTTGGTGGCGCGCGCGAAAAGCCAGAATGAGACTAAACGTATCAAGGCTTTGCGCAACTGCCCGAAGCAATCGCCTGTACATGGATGCGCGTCGAGTGCCAAACAGCATCAATATTGTTCGACATGCGTCTCAGTTGGGACCTACCAGCAACTTTCCAGGTCAAGGGCAGGATGAAGACGATGCAGAGCACAAGGGGAACCAGAAGCAGTCCGGAGGGCAGCATCAGTCGCCTTTTGGCCAAACTGCCGCCAAAGTATTCGAGTCCGCCGCCACCACGTTTGCTTCCATTGCCATCCTTGGTCTCGCAGGCTATTCTTACCACATCTATTACAAGTCTCTCGTTTTGCGCAAAATGGAAGAGGCCTTCACCCCGGGTGACCCCATGCTGGACCTTGCTACGCCGGTTGTAGCTCGTGCAGTTTCTCCGGACCAGTCCGAAGAAGATTCTGATCACTGGGTTGACAGGCCTGAGCAGACGAGGATCGATAGCATCATCAATGGCGAGTCGAAGGGTCGATACTACCTGTTGGTGGGTGAAAAGGGCACGGGAAAGTCGTCAATGATTCTTGAAGCCATGCGGAAGACGAATGGTGATGGCGTCTCCATGTTTGAAGCGCACGCGGACCCAGAAATCTTTCGCATTCGGCTGGGCAAGGCCCTCAACTACGATTTCCACGAAGACTACATCGGATCTCTATTTTCCATCCGAGGTCCCCGTGACACCACGGCCATCCTGGACATTGAGCGAGCATTCAACAAGCTTGAAAAGATCGCTTTGTGTCACCGAGATGGGTCTCGCCTGAAATCTAGTCGCAGGGGCCCGCTCGTGCTCGTGGTCAACTGCGCTCACCTTATAAGAAACGACGAAGATGGCAATGATTTGATAGAGCTCATGCAACAGCGGGCTGAGCAATGGGCGGCAGCGAATCTCGTAACCATGGTGTTCAATTCCGATGATTATTGGGTTTATGAACGATTGAAGCGCTTCGCGACAAGGATGGAGGTTATCCAGATCTTCGATTTGCCCAAGGGTCACGCCATTGCCGCATTGGATGCGTATCGAGCGAAATACTTTCCTGAGCAGGAGCGTGATCCCGAGATTCTCAAACAAGTCTATGAATTGGTCGGTGGACGCTTGAATTTCCTCAGCCGGGTTGCCAAATCCTCGGACATGCTCAACATGTGTCACCAGATTAACCAGGCCGAAAAGACGTGGTTCCTCAACCAGTGTGGCATTTTGGGAGAAGACATGGATGACGACGTGATGGACCAGCAAAAATACGCTAGTGCCGCCATGGTCCTTGCAAGGGCCCTCGTCGAGAAACAGGAGAAGATGGACTCGAGTTACCACGACGACACCGGCCATATCCTGCCACAGATCCCCCTCTACATTGCTCGACAGATTATGACCAGGGCTGATTTCATTCAAAGCTACGACCACGACAACATCTTCACCATTGACAGCACCGCTATGGTCCGCGCGGATAGTGTCCCGATGATGAACGCGTTCAAAGAAATTTGCGCCGAAGAAGGATTTGATGAATACCTCGAAGCCACACTCGATCGCATTTCAGCCATTGAGAGCATCAACAGAACAAAGGAGCTTTCATTCAAAGATCTATGGATCGAACAGAAAGGGGAGCAAAGAGGCAAATACGTATTTGTCAATTTCGATAGCAAAGGTCGTGAGATTGGTACGACTGAAATGCGGGTTCAGCCTGATAAAACGCCGGAAGAAGATGATTAAAATTACCATTACCGCGACCACTTCTTCCCTTGTGCATACAACAATATCATCCAACGGAATTTTACCTCAGGGCCGTCGCCCTAGACACACCGCACACTGCCGAATCATTTTGGTTGGCAAGGGCGGAATTCCACTGCCTCGGGTTGCAAATGCGCCTTCCAAGGATCTACATGCCCGACGACAACCGGTACCTGGACAGTAGTTTCTGAGTGGCTCGTCTGGCTGGTGCCGGATCCATCTGTGCATTATTGACTTGTCTGTGTAACGGCTGCGAGGGATTAGCATTCCACGGCCTTCCATACATTCAAGGTTTGATTGAGCCTGCCTCGTCTGCAAACGATATTGGTCACCTCTGCATAGCGAGCATTGCCATTCAGTTGAAGTGAAGCCAGTCTCGGGTGCTTCGAAGCCACACAAGCACGGTCCGAGACTCGAACGTACATTCTTGTCGCGACTACAATACTTACAGTAGTAGAGCTCGGTAGCCGGGTCCTGGTAACGATTATAGTGCCGCTGGGATTGTGCAGCACAGAGACCGCATACATACTTCTTGCAACCAGAGAAGATACCTTTTTGCTTGCTCTTGCAAGGAAGCACCGGCATCAGGGTACAAGGTCTTCTGCAATCGCCGCATGTTGTCAGCTTGAGGCCTGCGAAGTAAGGATCTTTTGCCGCTGAGCGATCAGGAGGGAATGGTTTCCACAAATCAGCAACTGCGCGAGAGGTCAGTCTCAGGTTTGTATAGTCAAACTCCGACAATCCGCCAACCTTTCTCAGACCATCTCGAAAGTGGGTGATATAAACAAACAAACTGGTGAAACTGGCCTCGAACTTGGAAAATAAAGGTGTGTCTGGTGCTTCTGGTTTGCTGGATGTTGTCGACGATAGGAAGGGGGTGTTAAGGGAGAGATCCAACCGAGGTCGCTTACCTGCAGCTTCCTCGATACAAACAGAGTCGCAGAGCTTCCTCTTCTCTGATTCCATCTTTCACTTGGTTATTTGGATAGTGCTCTTGTCACCCCTTACCCAGGGTGAGCCCACCATCTTTATGAGAAATGAAGTGGTCCTTCAGGACAATGGATATTGCCCTCCATTGTGCGCTTTAGCTCTTGAGCACGTTTGTTCTTCCTTGTCAGATGTCCTCGTGTGACCAACCAACAACCTTTATTGCGATGTAGTAAACAAGAACATGAACTGCTGGAGATGGAGGAGCGGGCATTGTCTCGAACAAAGTCATTGTATACTGTCCTTTCAGCCGCGGATGACTCTTGGGTGTATTCCGACGGCGTGTGGAGAATTGATGTACATATAGATGCATGATTCAGCCAATGCTGTAGTTCTCGAATCTGTGTAACCGTAGTCTCTACGAGATGAACTTGAGGTACCCAGGAAGATACCAGTAGGTCGGGAGGTGCTCGTATCTCACAGCGCGTTTGTGTCCATTGTAAGGGTGACGTAGCGTGTCCCAATCGGTTTCCGAACCAATCACGTCACGATCGCGTCCGTGCCATCATTCATTCATTGATTGAATCCTCTCCCGCTTGCACATCTCGCTCCTCGCCAGCCACTGCTTTTTCCTCATTCCTACGACACTTGAGTCCTGCAAGCCTTTCCTCTCCCTTTGGTCCTCTCGGCCGTGTCTCCCAGACTCTCGACTCAATCCTTCCATGTTCGACGACTTTCTCGCACTCACAACCACCCTCATCCACTCGGGTCACGAACAGCCCCCCACCGACAGCGCGAGTTCGGATTCCGCGACAGACAGCATGCCTCCTCGAAGCCGACACTCCAAGTCCGCCAGTGTTGCATCCAGTAGTGACGCCACTACTGCTGTCAAAGGATCAGACTCTGTCAATGGCGACATGCTCCCTCCTGCAAATACAACAAAAACAGCAGCGCGCAAACGACGTGCTTCGCGCTCAACCGCATCTCCTCCTACCTCTCCCGTTGTTGTGATTCCGGCCACAAAAAAGCTCGACAGCCCCCCTGCGTCACACGAGCAGCATCAATACGCGAAATTTGCGGGGGTAGCCATTCTTAGCATATTTCTGGAAGCTGGTCTCCAGACAGCTGCCTCTACGGTTGGAGTAGGTGATCTAAAGGCCATTTCAAAAATAGCCGATGCATGGCCCGAAATAATAGGGTTATTGGCCTGGAAGATTCTGAAGTTGGGGATATATTGGACAGCGGGTTTTGACGGTATGTTCTACGCGGTGTTTCGTACACTTCTCTTTTGCGATTCACCGACTGACTGGATCAAGCATACGATGTCGCGTCTTTGACGCTGCTCATCTCAACCCCGGAAACCATTCTTCTCGGTCTGTTCTACGACATCCACCCCACCACTCTGGTGGCGTCCACGCTCTCGTCTATTGTGGCCAACTCGGTCCCATACTTCCTCTTCCGATCACTGTCACCGTCCCACAACCCCAACACGGCGCCGAAGACGACTCTTCGTAACCGCCCCATCTTGACCGATCCATACACCACGGTCGCCACGTCACTACTGGCAACAGCGATCTTCGCTGTCCTGCTCGAGGCTAGTTTCGCGACCTTTCTGCCGAGCTGGCTTATCACGCACTTCTCTGGTCTGCGGTCTCTCGAAAAGGCGCATCTTGGAGCAGGAGGTCTCCCGATACTGCTGCTGGCATTGATTCCCGCTGGTGTGGCATCCATGGAATATCTGTTTGCTCCGTCGACAGCCGCAGCGAGCACAGTGCCAGCCACGCCAGAATTCGACCCTACGACAGCCGGCTTCGCGGGACACGTCTATCACAACGCCTGGGGATGGTACTCGCCGCGTCAAAAGTCCCTTATCAGCCGAGCTGGACTCTTGGCGTACCTCATTGTCGCTGAAACGATTGTTCTTTTGTGGGGCACACTGAAGGGCATCGAATTCACTGGTGCCGCAGGCTACGCTGGTATCTGGGGCGTGGGGGTTGTACTCGTCGGAGCAGCGTTGGATTGGGTCGGTGGACCAAGCGACTAAATTTCGACTATTACACTCTGGAAAACAATTTCTGAAGAAAAAGATGGTTAGATGGGATGCCATCACTTGGGATTTTTTGTGAATGGAATCGCATTCGGCGTCGCGCCTTTCAGGTATGGGATAAAAGGCAAACGGAGCTCGATCCGTATGCTGCTATTCAGGGCCGCACAGGGATATCACAGAGTAACTCCTTCGAGAGGGATATTTGCGTGGAGTGTGCGGGTGCTGTATGGGCGGGCTTTCCTGGGATTTCATTCCATATGTAGTGATACTGAGTGTTTGCGCGGGGAAAAGAGGACTCGGACTTTGCGAAGCGCTGAGCCGGGAGGGAAGGGGATTACGATAGGTACTCGGTTCATTCCATTGTATTGTAAGGGGGAGTACGAGATAAATACCTACCTACCTACCTGAGGTAGGTTGTTAGAATCAAATCACTCGAACAGGGTCCTGACATGTCCCATACTAGGTAGGTAAGCCCTCTAGAATGATGAGCAGTCGAGAACCTCTGTAGTTCAGTACGTACCTTACCTACCTAGGTATATCAAGCCCATTCATTCCATCCATCAACAGTGTCGAGCGAGACTCCCGCAGTATCAACGCCTTCGCTGTTGCCGTTCTGCTTGAACTTGGCTTGATCACTTTCGAGACATTAGAGTCGACCTGGGTGAGGAAGAGATACCTATATATTGTCGGTGAGGTGGTGCCTACCTGATAGATGTCGCCGTTGCTCAGCGCAGACTCGCGCGCGACCAGGGAGTGATAATATCCTTTGACTCAAGGGTTGGAGGGACGAAATCCTGGTCGGCTGTGTCGCGGATTGTTGTACGAAGAGTATACCTTGAGATTCTATAATCTGCTTTCTCTCTTATTCTTCTATACACTCGAATTGTTGTTCACGATACTAATGTTCCAATTGACACCTTCTATCCTGCATCCGAAGACCGTCTCTATTCTCAGTCTTTTCTTCTGACGGTCCAAGGCTCCGCTAGATTCTCCCCGGCTTTTGACCGGATTTTAGCGAATTATTGGCCTTCTCAGCATCCATTGCCGGCCTGATACAAGTAAACTTACTGTCCACGGTACTCTGAACTTTTGAGTCAGCATCGAGCCAATGTTTGACCACATTGGCATCGTCACCACTGATTTGAAGAGCAGCGCGCGGCTCTACGCTCACATGCTGGCGCCACTGGGCATCAAAATCGTCGAGAAGCACCGCCTCGCTGTCGGTTCGGCATGGGTTGTCTTCTCCAGCGGCATCCCACACTCGCCATTTTTTGTGCTGGGGGAGGGGAGGCCGACATTTTGGACCGATGACAACACGGTCGCCCGAAGTCCGATTCACCTTTCCTTCTCGGCGCCGTCGCGCGAGGCAGTGGACAGGTTCCATGCCGCCGGGCTTCGACATGGGGCTCGCGACCACGGCGGGCCAGGCACCAGGCGCCCTCCGTTCTATTGTGCCTTTCTCGTCGATCTCGACGGCAATAACGTCGAGGCCGGCTGCTACCTCGACGCTCATGACACGCAGGTGTCTGAAGAAGCCCCGGTCACCTCTGATGGTGCAGAGAACCTGGAGCGGAGCCCACAATGACCGCTAGAAGTCGGACTCTTACACCGTGCAGGGTCAAACACCAACCAGCACAAAGCTGAGTTACAATATTATGTTTGCTGGGTAGTCAACCACTCTATCATCCGGACCACAAATCAGTGTTAGTAAAGTACTTCCTTTGCAGAGTAGCCAGGTAGTCCTTCCGTTGTCAGGCAGAACGATTTATGTGCGGTCTACAGAATCTGTCTCTCAGTGTTATTCGCCTCGGCCTGAGCTCTTTGCACAATGATTATACTTGTACTTCTGATCCACGTCCCGAGGGAATCATCGCAGACCTACAACACCGAGTGGCTGTCGTCACGGCTTTGTCTGGGGGCCTCCAGGTAACAGAGGCAAGCAAGGACGACACGACTCCACACGTGTTTCACCAAAGCCGGCATGCGGTCTGCCACTCTCATGTTCGTCACAACTCTCACAGGTACAGCCCCTTCTGGAGCCACGCACACCTCTCGTTCGCCGTGGGATCGCGTTGGACCGCAAGATCTGGCTCAACCCCCGTCCGCTGAGATGGTAATGTATATTCCCAACTGCATCGCATTTTGTCCCCCTACATCGGGAAATAAGACAGGTCGGGACCATTGGGATTGTGTGGCCCGCCATGACAGTGTACGTTTTTGGCGTAGATGGCGTAGACGCCGTCAACTACTGGTCCAACTACAAATAAGTGAGCCGATTGGCGCTAGACCGAATGAGCTTCAGCCTCGTCTCGTCAGAAGGAGATGGCCGCCAATATCTACTAGTGGTATTGATCTTACAGAGCACAGCACGACTACTACGGATACTCCAGCCAGAGTACCCTCAATGTAACAGATAGTTCACCACAATCCCCCGATACGACTCACGAACGACTCCGAGTACAGAGAAATCTTCAAGGCACCTAAATAAATGGCACCGGTCGAGATCCCCGCGCGGACGGGCGCATATGTGTCCCTGAAATCCGGACAGCGGCTCAAATTGATCAACCCGCACGGCACGCAGGTCATTGATTTCTGGGCCTTTGTGTTTCCTGAAAAGCAGGAGACGTTGACGGGACCAGACACAGATACAGATACAAAGATACCGACCAGTTTCACACGGTCCAGCACTACTGCCGAGCTGGCAACGACACCCACGCCAATAGCACCGTACCCTTTCACTTCGGGAATCCAGTACTTCTCGGCCTCGCGGACGAGGAGTATTCTGTCCAAACTGGTCCCTTCGGCGACCACGCACGACGTCCTCTACACCAACAAATCGCTCCCGTTGTTCACGCTGGTCGAGGACACGACGTCCGGGATCCACGACACGCTCTTCGGCTGCTGCGATAGGTTCCGCATGCATAATCTGGGTCATCCGGATTACGATCACGGCAGTTGCGCGGAGAACATGCATCTTGCGCTCGCACGCGCGGCAGAGGACGGCTGCTTCGTACCCGGCAGCGTGAGCACAGAGTGGACGCCCGATCCGCTGAACGTGTTCATGAACGTCCCCGTCCTGTCCGGCTTAGACCGCGAGTCGGGCGGCGGGCGCATCGAGTGTGTGCCGCCGCAGAGCAAGGCTGGCGAGTATCTCGTTCTACGGGCCGAGAGGGACGTGGTCGCCGTTATGAGTGCTTGTCCGAATGATTTGATCAAAGGCGTGAATGCTGGTCAGTGCGTGGGCGTCGAATATGAAGTGTTGTTGGATCTCTGAGCAAGGAAATCGACGGTTGCCTCGACAGAGGGAGTGAGGGAGGGAGAGAGGGAGAGAGGAGAGCTTTCCCTTTTTGTGCAAAAATGCAGGACATTGGTCTCTCTCACAAGTAGTGTGGCCAACACCTCAGCAACGCTAGCCTATATGTTCGGCGGCGGGCAGAAAGGGTGATGAGCTGGATAGACATTGGGATTGTTCCAGAAGCGCAATCGCCTTGGTCGGGGCACCCCCGACCAATAATAAAATCTCGCGCTTGGCCGTTTCTTAAAAATGTGTTATACCACACACTGGGAAGCCGAACGGTACAAAGTGTGGATTCCAAATATGATCAAGCCTTATGAGGACGAAAAGTATCTTATGGATGAACATAGCGCGACCATCGGAGCTTTATAACCAGTACTCGCTATTACAGCTCGAGAGCATCACGCTCCTTGAGTAGATCTTAAAGGAGCTGGTGGAGAATTGAAGCGAAATCGAGGACTGGGGGCTGGTGCGGTACGGGCGAGGACTCGGCGAGATCTGGTAGAAGCGTGGGGAGAGCTCAGGGCGACGGAGGTGTGAGAGAGGAGTAGGAGGGCAAGAGGGCAAGAGAGCCCGAGAGCTAGGAAGACAGAGAGGGGGTTGAGCTGAAATAGATCAACTTGCTGTCTTTCAGTTGAAGGATGCGGGTGATCTAATTCAGATCCATTCCTGACCGGTTGTATTCTCCAGCTATTACCCTGTTTCAGAGGCCTGGGGCTCGTCTATATCACTGTCCATGAACCTCCCTATGCCGATCTGTTTTGTCGCTTTCTCCGCGTGCTCTGTGCAGGGGTTTTGTTCATTTGGGTTGGTGTCACTGGAGGCGCATCCTCGGTGATCATCCGGACAGACTTTCTGGCTCTCGCTTTTGCCTTCTTGGGCCGACCAAGGCCGACATCAAGTAGGAAGCAGATTCTTGTCAAAGCACCACAGTAGACAAAGAGTATGTTGCCATAGGCCATTGCATTCCAACTCTTGACATCGTAATAGTAAGCAAGACCGAGAGGGTAGCAACTGTATAAATGTCCAAAATCCGCAATCAAGAGACCGAGGATGAGCGCCTTCCAAACTTTGAGATCGGTCGTAGCTCTCAAGACCAGGGCTTCATTGATGGCGAAGAGAATGAAGAGATTCCCAAGCTGGCGCAGAATGACTTCAGTCGAGACAGGTACACCTGATGTCCCTGGCGCCGACGGCGCATGTGTCCATTCCAAGTACGTTGCAGGCTTCAACCAAGCATAGAATGCTCCTGCGAGCGTTGAGAATGGCTCGATCCATTGGAAAAAAGCGATGTACGGGAGAGGGATGGACGCCATGGTGAGTCGCGTGCCCTGAGAACGTCCGATAAGGGGGTTGAGGACGAGAGGGGCGTCTGCAAGGGGTGAAGTTGGCGTGCAGTTGTAGCAGTTGTACAGTTCGCGCAGGGGATTTGGTTCCCTGAGGTAGGTACTCCGTATGCTGCGCGTGTGAATCGACGGTTAAACAGGAGCTGGGGACAGGGAGCCAGCAATTGGGGAGCCTGGAGGCGGCCAGGACTCGGGACCCAAGACTCGTATTGTACGAGCCGTGTCCCTGGGTTCTGCAAGCCCTTAGCAGTGCTTGTGCTAGTCGGATGAGAGTTGGCGCCGTGTCGCGTCGCCGCCCCCCCTCCCCCCCTAACCGCAGTGATAACAAGCGAACCAGTGCGAAGGGAACGTCAAAAGTGTCAGATCGCCGGGGCCCAGACTGCCACGATGCGGGAGATTATGGGCTTTAACGTCATGGGCACGCCTGAAACACCGAACAGCGTCCTGAGATCTGAAGCCCAGGGCCCTCACTAGCCCGCTTAGACACGACGGGGGCGTCGGGGGGCAACGGTCCCTGCTCGGTCCCTGCGTGGCTCGCTCACTAGCAATAGTACAACAATAATACAACGTGCTATTGCATGGCCACTTGCACAGTATTGTGCAGAGCATTCGCCAATGGGGCCTCGCTGGATGCTGAAACCTCCACAGAAAAACTCCAATATCCCAGGCCTAGTACTGACTCCCGAAGCCATCGATTTCCACCTGCCAAAACACTCCGAACTCTCTTTTTCTTTCCCGCTCTGAGTTTTTATACGAACGCTCGGATCCTCAATAGAGCATCTCTCTCGGGGTCGTCGTTTCCCAACACTCTTTTCTCGTCGTTGCGTCCTCGTTAGTCACGGCGAAGATCGCATCTGTCGCCACTCATTTCTCGCTCTCTTTTCTTCCTTCCCACAACGAAGACACCAGCCATTGGGATCTGTTTGCATCCCCGGCGCGGGCGCAAGACCATACTCTCGCTTCCCCCGACTGGACATTTCGAGCTCCGAGCATTTTCGATAGGGCCAGAAGGCTGGCACATTCTTGTTTGAGCAGGCGACCGATAACTTCTCTTAATTCATCACATCCTACCCTCCGACGACCATGTCGCAAGACGAGGCGTCCTCGTCGATCGCCCCACGCCGGAGGACTTCTCTTCTGGTTCTATCAAGGCCGAAAAGCGCCTACGAACATGCGCCCGAAAGGAGCACCTTTTCCCAACGTCCTATATCTGCTCTAATGCCTGCCACCACTCATGATGTGCTAGACTGGTCCAGCTTCAGCCAACAACAGGCGGAAGCTGGGCGAGTTCATAGCACTCTACCATTCGCGGGTCCTTTTGCGAACTATTCTGCCGAGTCGAGGGGTCCAGAGCCGATGCATCAGCGACGATATTCAACCATCACGCAGTCTTTTAAGAACGGAATCTCCGAGCTTCGATCGCTGACCCGACGAATGTCGCTCACCGTCAGGAGCAAACAGCCCAAACAAAAGGAGGAATGGTTGGAGTCCAAGACACTACCTTTGAGTACCGTCAAGACTGCAGACCAGATGATGGATCTGCGCGAGGCTACATCCACAAGGCCCAAGTCGCGAGGACGACTTTTCAGGAACCCCAGTGCGCGGCGTCGACCATCTCTCCCACTTCTGACCTCATGTAACGCGCAAACCACCTCAGAGATCCCATTCGCTCGGGGCAGAGGACAGCCAATCCTATCCGACCTCGTCTATGGTGGAACTGAGGCAAGGGCTTCCGCAGCTGCTCAGAACGAACGTTTTCACGCTTCCAGAACTCCTCCTCTGCCGCCTTACGAGCCTCGAGAGAGCTCTGGTAAGCTCGAAGGAGATGCAGAAAGCGGCATTGGCATCATTCTCGATAGTCATGACCGTAGAGGATCGTCGCCGGCCAGCGCACACGTGACATGTCGAGATCCTGCCTCGGTCCTGGCGACAGAGCTTGTTGAGAATATTTTATCGTTCCTCGACGTGGAGTCGTTGATTAGTGCTTCACTTGTGTCTCAAAAATGGTACGATTTGTGCAGGTCGCAGGCCGTCTGGAGAAGAATCTTCTACCAAGAGTATGGATGCAAGGTGCAGACCGGAGTGTCCCATTTTCCTCCACCAGCTGGGCTAGGTAAAAGCGTACCAGGGCAAGACTACCGAAAGCTTTTCAAAGTGCGTACCCTTATCGACAAACGCTGGCGCAACGGTGAGGCTGCTGCAATCTACCTCAATGGACACAAGGACAGTGTCTATTGTGCTCAGTTTGATGAGCACAAAATCATCACCGGGTCGCGCGATAACACTATTCGCGTATGGGACGCCCACACCTACCAATGCATCCACAAGCTTGGTCCGCCCAACAATCCGCGAGAGAGACAGCAATTAGCTTCGGTTGCGGTCGAACCCAAGGGAGTGCTTCCCTTCTTCAAGGCGGACGTGTCCTCCCCAGATCTCACGTCATCGGAAATCCCAATGTGGCATCAGGCTTCGGTATTGTGTCTCCAATATGATGAAGAAATTCTAGTCACAGGCTCATCGGACTTTTCCTGCCTCGTTTGGTCCATCAAAGACAACTACAAGCCTATACACCGGCTTGTTGGTCACCTTGCTGGGGTGCTTGATGTATGCATTGACAAGACCCGAATCATTACATGCTCCAAGGATACCACGATCAAGGTGTGGGACAGATCCTCGGGCCGCCTTCTCAAGACGTTGGTCGGGCATCGTGGGCCGGTGAACGCCGTACAAGTCAGAGGAAATCTGTTGGCCAGCGCTAGTGGCGACGGTCTGTCCAAGCTGTGGCGACTTGAAGATGGAGTGTGCATTAAAGAATTTCAATCCAAGGACAGAGGTCTCGCCTGTGTCGAGTTCTCTGAAAATGGCCGGACGATATTTGCTGGCGGAAATGATCAGGTCATCTATGAGTACGACACGATCACTGGAAACAGGATCAGAGAACTCAAGGGTCACCGAGCCTTGGTTCGATCCCTCCATCTCGACTCGGCCAACTCCCGCATCATCAGTGGTAGCTACGACCACTCCATCAAGGTGTGGGATGCGAAGAAGGGAGAATCAGAAGAGGATGGTGGGCTCAAGATCAACTTTGACGGATGGACGTCGAGTTGGATATTATCGGCGAAGAGTAATTATCGCAAGATCGTCTGCACGAGTCAGGATGGGCGGGTGGTAATTATCGACTTTGGTTACGGGATTGAAGGTGTTGACTTGGTCGAAGCCTAATACTCACACTCGGCGTTTTTATGATGTACATTGGATTAGGGCACTACGAAGCTACGACTATTGGAGAGGACAAAAAGGATTGGAGCGCATCTTATCGCGCGGTGTTTCCAACAGGGCATGGAAGGAGACCTTTTTTCCTTTGTTTATTTCACATTGCAAGGTGCTGGAAGACCGCAGGAAGTCAGAATGTGTATTACAAAGAAAGATTCTGTAAGGTGTCAGCACATTATTAGCCAAAGGGATTATGGGTGCACGGTGTTATTTGTGGCATCAAGATTTGCTGTCTTTTTGGGTCTTGCATTGGTATTGGGTGTCTCTTCCGGCCTCTTTGGGGTTGACACAGGAGGTCGCTACGAAGAGGAGGTCAGGGGCTGAGACTCGGGCTAATGCAGGGAGCGCTCTTCAGGAGACGTTGGGATATTCCGAGTCACAGTCAGCGACACGCTGCCTGTCTGGCAGAGAAAAGATGTGTAGATGGGGAACATGTGTGTACTTGTATACCTAGAGCTAAGCAATGATAGGAGCCTCGATATACGGTGTAGTTCTGTAGGTGGTGCTGTATATTGTACTGCAAATAGGTGCAACCAATGGCGATGGGCACACCTCGTAAGCGACAAAATCCCCTCCGAGTACTGTAGAAGCAAGTGAGGCGAGCCATCGACGTCATCATTGTTTACCTCTGTGTTCGGCCCAATCGGCAGCAGTCGGTAAGCGAGAGGGAATCGGAGGGGAGTGTGTGACTAGTAACTAATTCTGTGCCCAGGCAAAACAGAACCATCATTCATAAGGGACGATTGCCATGGCCGGAAGGATATGGACAGCCGGTGCTGGTTAAGAACGAACTGTCGGTTCAAACCGCCGGCCGCGGCTCTACATGTAAATCAGGCACCTGTCACACAATCATGGGCGTGACTCCCAGTGTCATCACTGCCCATGACATGTCCTTTGTTTACATTTGTGGTTGAAGGCAAGGGACTGGCAAGGGACACGAGGTGACCAAGGTGGCCATACAAGAGAGCCAGGCAATTTCACTGCTTCTCAAGGAGACTCCTCGTACTCGTACCTGAGATGCTGACAAACAGAGGACGTTGACCCGTGCACTCAGATCTCAGTTGGGGAGCGGCAGGTCAATGATGACAGCAAAATGTTCGAGGGTGGTGGCGACAGAACGGCTTTTATCAAGTGCGGGAGAGACTATTGTACTGTAGATGCAGCACCTGCACTCGAGCCTCTACCGATCATTTACGCGTCTCAAGGAGGCTTCAAGTAGGCACCTAGTTATCAGCTCCTCCGTAAACTATCGCCGTCACCAAGAATTCTAATCAGCCTAGAGGTGCAGCACCGACCACCTCTTCTTCCTATTTATTAAGCCCAAAACGTCAGATCAACGCGTGCCACCGGCCAATCGATCACGCGAATTGAGATCCAGTTTCCTGCAGTCTTTTGCTGCCGGGGCCTTCGAACCACGGTCACCATTATTCATTCAGGTTGCTTTCTCATTCCCCAACTTGCGCTGCATCCGACAACATCACTGTCTGAAACATCCCGCAGTCTCTTCTCGCCCTTCACGCGCCGGACTGATTCATCGCCCACCTACAGTGAAGAGCACTGGGATTCATGTCCCATGTCGCCTGCGCCCTTCCGTCCCACCCTCTCATCTCATCCCATCCCGCGATTCCGCTCAGAGTCCCTCCCGCGAAAATCCTTGCGTCAGAAATAAACATTGACGTCGCAAACAGCGTAGCCTGCGTCGGCCTTCTTCACAAATCCGTGACATCCACATAACCTCGACTCTAGGTCCCCGCGACATCCACATTCGACGAAGCATTGGCTGTGTCGCCGTGCTTCCAAGATGCCACCGTCAAAACGCAAACCCCGTCGCAAGCAGGCCGATATCCTCGAGTCCTCCGAACTCGATCTTCCCGACTCCTCGCCGACGCGGCCGTCGGCAAAGAAACGCAAGGTAGGCACTTTCTGGCAAACTCCTTCGAAAAATCTGGTTTCGTTGACAGAGGAATAGGTGAATGGAGGGCGCGCCGTCGCCAAACGAAAATCCACGTCTCCTGAACCTGAACTCTCTCCCGCCCAGGACTCGGGTGACGAAACAGAAGAACTATCCCAGACTGACCTCGTAGATTCTGTGGTTTCCTACCTGCAAGTCTCCAGAGATCCCATTGTTGCGGCAGCAGAATACTCCAACGACAAGCCACAAAACAACAGCCCGCAAAAAGTGTCCGCGTACGCGAAGATTGCTGGAAGAGATTGGACATACTTCGTGCGTGAACAGTCGGTTAACTTTGGAAGGCCACCGGACGACCGTCCAACCGTGAGTGGTGCTTCGAGCCCTATTACAGACCTGAAAGAAGTACTTCCTGTTCACATCGATCTCGGGCCCAGCAAAATCGTCTCGCGGCATCACGCCTCAATATACTACGATGCTGATTACCCGGTCGACAAGGGAGGCTGGCACGTCAGAGTCAATGGGAGAAACGGTGTGCGGGTCAACAACGTTTTGATCAAGAAAGGCCTGCGGAGGCAGATCAGATCTGGTGACATTATAGAAATCGCTGGCACGCAGATGATGTTTGTCACCCCGGGAGACAAGGCTCAAATTGATCAATACTTCATCGATCGAGCCAAAGCACTGGCTGCGGGCGAAGAGGTACCTCAGCCCCAGATCCAAGTTGAGCCGGCCAGGCACAGCAGCATATCGTATGGATCTCAGGCATTTCCCTCGCTCGCGCCGGCTCCGCCTGATTTCAAAAGAGAAACCACGCCACCGTCGAACGATGCAGGGAAGCAACAGCGAGGCGTTTTCGACAGCAAGGCCCCCATATCGCCTATGTACGGCCGCGGAATGCTGATGCAGAGCAACCAGGATATCGACTACAGTCGGGACACTGCCAAAGACCTTAAGCCACCGTTCAGTTATGCCACCATGATCGCCCAGGCAATCTTCTCTAGCGAGGAGGAAAAGCTAACCCTAAGCAACATCTACTCTTTCATTGCGGAAAAGTATGCCTTCTATCGTCACTCAAACAGTGGCTGGCAAGTCAGTATTCTTCAACTACTCGTTGCGGCTCCCTTACTAATTTGCACAGAATTCGATCCGGCATAATTTATCGCTCAACAAAGCGTTTCAAAAAGTCCCTAGGCGTACCGACGAACCAGGGAAAGGTATGAAGTGGCAGATTGCACCTGAATTCCGTGAGGAATACTGGAAGAAGCAAGCCCGCCGTGGAGGGTCTGCGCCTTCTTCCCCCGCGGCAGGCAAAGACGTCAATCCCAACTTCAGAGGTCCAAATGGGCAGAATCTAGGTTACGACACAAGTATGGTCAGCCAATTTTCCGCTCGCGATGGGAGTGATCGGCCAGGCCCTCCGCCCCCGAACATTGGTCTACAATTTCCTCCATTCAATGCAGGACCTCCCGGCCCTCCGGGCCCATTCCCGCCTGGGCCAACTCTGGCTCCGCCTGTGAATGCCCTTGAAGCCATCACACCTCAAAGACGAAGGACGGGCACCCAGAACACCCTCCCTGACCTGGAGTTGGAAGAGTCGCCACTGCCACATCGTCCAGGCCCGACACCTCGCCTCGGAAATGGTCTACCTGCTTATACTTTACCGTCGTCGGTCCCGCCGTCGCATCATTCGCCGGCGAACCCGACTCTTTCGTCATCCTACCTTGACACTCCATTCCACCGCTCGCAACATAGCATGGTCACTCCAGCACCACTCAGGCAAAACCCCAGATTGGCGCCTCCCAGCACACTGGTAGCTCCCAGCAAATTTATGCCTGAATCGTCTCCTGCCGGCCCGAGTTTGTTCTGGAAAGGCTTGATGGCGGTTACTCCAGGCCAGGCTTTGCCCGACATATCTCCGGTCAAGGAGGAATCTCCCAGGGCCAATGGGCTCGATCGTCACGTTATGAGTTCCAGCCCACCGCCTATGGATGGAGTTGTTGGTAGTCCTAGCAAGCCGGCGAGAAGCAGCCAGATGCCGCCTGGCTCGAGTTCCAGTGTCAAGAAAGACGGCACGCCTGCAGCAAGACAACGAGAAACCGCAAGTGCCGAGAAGGAAACCAAGTCTGGTCGCAGCACATCGACGGTCCCATCGGTCAAGTTGAATCCCACTAAAGCAGAAGCCCAAGATGATGACAACGACGACGATGATGACGGAGACGGTGGCTTCGACCTTGCAAAGGGGTTCGCGCCCATCGCAAGGGGCAGTCTCCCTTCACAACGGAGTAGTAGTGTTCGAGCAGGGTCTTAACCAGACCGAGACAACCGTTCGAAATTTTCGACACGTTCGGAAATGTACAAATTAACCTTGATTTAACGTTGGATAGAGGCAGCTGATGGCTCCCTTGGCTCTCTAATCTGAGGCCAAAGCTTTGTACGATTACGCATTTCTGAGGTTGTATGTTTCATGATGACCACTCCTAGCTATGCTGCTCCTACGGTCACGGCGTTCTGGACAAAAGGGAAGCTGGACGGCTTTGTTACTTTGTGTGCATATTAGGTATGTATGGGAGAGGACGCTCAACTGCATTGCACGGTATGGACTTGATGTTTCACAGAGAGAGAGAGATATGTCTTTATGAATCAACATTTGGAGGCCCAAGATCTGGGCTTTCTGAATTGCATTGCTCGTTTGCAAAATACTGTAGATATCATGGCTTAACAATAGTGACATGGGTGATTGTGCGATATCCGGAGTAGATTCCGTTTTCTGTTTTCTGTTTGTTGTTTCTCTCGCATTTAAACCCAAACAATGTACATTGGTTATATAGTAACCGCCTGAGTTTGTGTAACACTGTCACTCAAGATACGCTACTAGGTTCCTTCAATTCGTAATACCGGAGAGAGAGGACAAGTCAAAGGTACCTGTAGTTTATCTTCACTTCCCTGTCTCTTTTCTCCTTCAATTATTTGCTCTCACCGACACATCTACCGCATTCATTTCCATTTCTTCTTCTTTCAAGATTCACTCATTAACTCGGCGCTTTTGCAATTGCTTTGGGGTTTCTGGTGCCGGTGCCGGGTACCCTTCACCTTGGCGTAATTGGAGGCTTAGGCCATTGAGTGCGACTTGTCTCACATCCTGTCAAGCTGTATGTGCTAAATTCAATATCCGATCCTCAGCATCGAATGGAGCCTCACTTTATTCACCTTTTACTCTTCGAAGCTTGACTCTTTTCTCGCCGCCTCTACATGGTACCCTCAATTTACTCTTGAACTTGGTCCTGGGTATTCATCTACCGGCAACGGCAACGAGAGCAAGAAAGATCACCAAAACCAAGGCTGCTGCTGCCCGCCGCCGACAAAGAACTTTGAAAAAAAAAAATGTTCCGCCGTCGCCCAGATACTCTCCCCCCAGACCCCGTCTTTGAGCCAGAGCTGAAGAAGTTGGGCTTCTTCATCAATGAACACGATCAGATCCGCATGATCAAGAACCGCGAAGCGAAATATTCCTTCTCTATCAACAAGAATGACAGGGTGAATTACGCCTACAGGGAGGCCAGCAACGGTAAGTCTGGGCTACATCTCTGAAGAGGCTAGCGCACGTGGTCCTCCAGCCGCCGGATCTTGTCGTCCGATGTGATAGCGACGAAGACTGACATGAACTCGTGGAATTTTAGCTGCAATATACGCGATCGTGCGAGAGCGGCTGGAGAAACGAGATTTCGACATGGTGAGGTTGCCACTAGGAGCCACCAAAGATGAAAAACACATTCCCATCGTCGTGTCCAAGAGCATCGCGAGCCGGGACAGGGTGATAGTGTTGTTTGGCGAGCGCAGTTTGCCTCCGGGCATTCTCTCATGGCGGATCCTTGGAGACGAAGGAATCAACGTTGGTTCGGTAGTCGACTTTGTCACTTCAGCTGTGACTGGACCAAGTCCTTCGCCTGAGCATTCTGCTCCCGGGATCATCATTGCGAATCCGTCGCAGTTGCTTTGGTACAGAGGGGGAGGACGGGCCGTGAGCGATTCCGAGTGGCTACACTTGCCACGAGCGACCGCGGTGAGCGAGCCGATGAAGTTTGACCCGGTCAAGAATCGAGTTCCTGGAAACGAAACTTTCGAGGCTCACGTACAGTTCATGTTTGAGGAGGTGCTATCGAAGTTGGTCCACAAGGATGCGAGCATTGACATTGTGGGCGCCGAGTTTCCGGGAAGCGCCGTTGTCGACTATCTTGCCTCTCACTGTGAGTGTCTTCTGGGGGACTTAGGCAACAAGAGACGCCTGTGCTAACAAGCCTGCAGGGGATAAGTGGTCGAAGAGAATTACCGGCATCGCGCTGGTGGCTCCACAGCACAAGATCCAGGACCTTATAGCCACAGATGCACCGGCCGACTTCGTGAACTTCTTGTCTTTGAGGGCCAGGGCGTATTTTGTATCTCCTCAGAAGCTGGAGAGGCCAATGGCTGGGCGGAAGGAATTTGGATGCAATTGCTACGCCAGCGGAGAAGAGTTCTACCAAGAGAATGCAATAGTGAGAAGTTGGAAGAGTATCCTAGACTGGTTCAACCGGTTGTATGCTGATCCAGACTTCGAAGAGGTTCCATTCGATGGTGACGATGGTGGCGAAGGAGCAGAAGAAGTAAAACTGGGATGGTGAGACAATGAGCACTCGAGATAGACCTGGAACAGGTGCACTTGAATACTGCTTGATGCCGGGAACTATGGTATGATGTTATGAACAATGCTTCAAAGATTGCCGATGCTGGGGAAATGACTACGGAGTTCCTGAAATGAAGTTCTTGTCGACGATCATGGATCAACTAGAAATATCCCAAGTTTCGATCACAGAAAAGGTACGAGATTCTGTTTCTACCATCTCACACTCGGCCATTATTGAGAAATGCTGCCTCCGACTGCAGTGACGACTCTGATCATTTCCACTTTACGCCTTCCCAACCTCCGTGGATGACACGAAGCACAGTGAAGTGACGACCCAATCCTATTCAATAATCGAACAATGGCAACAGTCGGTACCTTCCACCTCCCTGTGCAATTCGAAGTTTTTCTCCTATTGTTGCCCTCACCTTCACTCGATAAGGCGGCTCAATCAATCATGGTCAAGTTTCGAGGCATCGAAATTTGCATCATCTCACAGTTCGACATCCGCAAATTGCCCGAATTCGGATACAGCCCTTCCACTCGGCCAGCTGATCCATTCCAGGTCAATCAGCAGCCTCAACCGTCGAGCGCTTCAGCCTTCCCGACTGCGTCCTGCCACGTCCCAATCTACCCTGGTAGTCAAGTCTGGTTTGAATACACCGTTGACGGTCCTCATCCGCCTGGAGCGGCCTACTTCTTCAAACTCTTGATCAACGGGAAAATGGTCATATCGTGGGATTGTACTGCAAAGCACGATTTCCATGGCAAGATGATGTACAATCTAGTCAATGAAGGTGCTGATGCTGTGACTGGCGAGAGTCTAGTGAGAAGAGAGGCCTTTCGTTTTGGAGATGGGCTTGAAGACCGTGACCGAAGAGACTTGGACGACGACATGATCCAAATCAACGTGCATCGTGTCGAGCATCGCCAACGCGTCAGAGACCTCCACCAGGGATTCGGAGCAGTAGACATCAACACAACCAGCGCTGAAGGCCTGCGGTACGGCGCTCTATCCATTGCTCTTTCTTGAGTTCTGCTGACAATTCAACCTAGTCTTACAAACAGTGGGCTCCTGGAGCCTGGCTTCCGGCCTCGGCGCTACAAGTACCAGCTTCTTGACCCAGTCGACATGCCGTACGCCGCGTTTCGGTTCTATTGTAGACCATACGGTTAGTCGATACCCCCTAGTGACAATGACGAATTACATGACTGACATACACCAGAATATCTTGAAGGGAATGGGATCATTCATCGATCTGCATCGACGGTGTCTGGCAGCACATCATCTACCGCCTTCTCGGAAGAGACCTCAAATCATGCAGATGGCGCGTCGCCTCTTCGACAAGTCGGACATGTGCCAATATCTTCTCTTCGCAAGTCAGCAGGAGATGTGACACCGAACAAATCGTCCGCGAAGAACGGAGTCCCGCAAACGCCTCGAAGTCAAGGAAAGATTGCCATGGTGGATTCAGACAATGGAAGCGTCGGGCGGGTCACCACAGTAGACGACTCCTTGAGCATCAAGACGAAGGACAGCATCGAAGAGCTTCAGTCATCAGTTCCACGGTCACCCAAGTCGCCTCGGTCGGCAATGACGAAGCCAGAAGATGACGCTGACAGTGCGGATTCAGAGACGACCAAGTCGCCATCAAAGTTCCCACGAGACACTTGTGAGCGATTGAAGAAGAAACTCATAGTCAATATTAACGGCGCAGACTTCGACATTGAGCGTAAAAAGGGTCCTTTGAGTCCGTTCACCAGTGGTGGAGTGCTTAGGAAAGCACCACCTCAGACGGCCCCAGCTGCAGTTACTGAGTTTGGTCCAACCGTCGACGAGGAGGTCAGAGTCAGCCTCAATTCGAAGTCAAAGACAAGTCCCAAACTCGACAATGGAGTTGAGAAAACTACCCGGGCTGAACGAGGCGGAAAGAGGCTGATGGGTTTTCTTGGAAGAAGAATCGGTGCAGATGGAAATGCTTGATCTCTCGAGACTGAAATCTGGGTGCATCTCGTCCGAGTGAAACGCAGTCACGGTTCCTACTTAAGGGTTTCCTGTCATCAACGGGTGATGGTTGAATGAGGCAAGTTCAGGCAAAGCTGGGAGTGGAAACGAGATATTCGGAGACCAATGAGGATTACACGAACGACTGCTGGAGTGGAGTGCAAGTATATACCTTCTGATGAGATCAAGTGCCCTTGTCATCTACATTTCAGTATGCAAGTTGAGTAGTTATGATATTCTGCGAGGAGTGTAATCAAAGTAGACATCGATAGGAGAGGGTTTCCCGGTTCTGTTTGCGGAAAGTTAGCCGCAAGACGTCCTCTGCGCCTCTTGCGGCTGGCTGTAGTAGTACTCTTACTCTTCCGACTACGAATACCGAGACACTCGCAGCCGACAGGGGCGCCAATATGTCTTCATATCGTCGTCGGGGAGGATATCCCGCTCACGAATCGTATCGACAAGTGCCTGTACAGAGTGACGACTTTTACGACGATCGACCAAGGTCCAGATCGTCAGAACGCAGATACAGTTCTCCTCGCAGACGCAGCCCTCCGCATGGTAAACCATAGATCAGGTTGAAAGATGTCTACATGAGAAAATACTGATGGGTCTTGTCAAAAGATATCTCGAGATCAACACCAGGCGAATTTCACATCCGTGGTCGCAGTGCGCGGAGTCCTGATCGCAACAACGACCGCCGTCAAGACAGACGAGACTATTATAATCATGATGAAGACGGTCGTAGATCGCCCTCGCCACGTCGAGGTGGAAGATACTATGACCGCGACCGGCCATACTCGCGAGACCGGTCGAGTCGAAGCCTGAGCCAAAGCCGCAGTCGACGAAGAACGCCTTCGGATGAAAGACCTCCCAGTCGAGGGCAGCCAAGCAAAGAGATCATGATGGAAGGACTGGCGCCGCACCTGACAGAGAACGATGTTCGCGAATATCCTTTTTGACTGAGACATGCACCACCAACACCTCCCGGCCTATGAACCGTTGCTGCTGTTGAAGAAGATGTGTGGCTAAGATCTGGATTTCTCGGACAGATTTCTTCAGAGTTGAAACATTACTATCATGTCCACCAACTGGACGACGTACGTGTCATTCGCGATCGACAGACCAGTGAGTTTTATAGGTCCATTGGATGCCACGGAGACAAGTCGCTGATACGGGTGTAGGACAATCAAGACAATTTGGCTTTCTACGCTTCCCGACCGTTGAGGAGGCGGAAGAGTTCATGGACCGCAATTATCCTGTTCTCTACCTCTATGGTGATGGCGAAAAGTCTAACGGAGATGCTTCAAAAGTTCGAATCACTTTCGGTCGTGAGCGAAAAGAGACCCATCGGGCAGAAGACTCGGATTGGACGTGTCCAAATGTACGGTCGCGCCGATCATGCGTTCTTCGCAATGCGGCTAACAAAAGTCTCCAGTGCAACATCAACAACTTCTCAACGCGAAATCGATGCTTCAGATGTCAAGCGTTCAGACCTGGTAAGGAAGTCTCCTAGTTTTTAAGGCCTTTACTTACAAACCTCCAGAACCAGGTTTTGACGCTCCGGTGAAAGCAGTAAACGTTGGTGATAACGATACGTCCGCTGACAATACTCCATCACAATTTTTGCTTCTGCGTAGACTGGAACCATCGGTTACTGAGGAGTTACTGGTCAAGGGAGTGTCGAAACTGAACAAACCGAGTTCGACGGCCGTGCAGAAGGACGAAGCCCCAGGAAAGAAAGGTGCGAAAGTCGCTTCCACTACTGGTGATGCGAATCTCGGCGCTAAAGAAGGCACACTCCGACGAGTTTTGCTTGTTCGGGACCGACGAAGCAATGAAAGCTGGAGGTATGGTTTCGCGGAATACGCGTCGATGGAAGATGCACAAGCTGCACTGACGAGGTACAATTCCTTTGACCGATTCACGATCGCTTCCAAGCAGGTTCTCGTCAGCTACATCCACGCTGGAGTGTTTGTCCCAGTGTTGAACCCGACACCAGACATGGAGCGCTTCACATTCAGTCCAATCGGCAACCCGTCAATGAAGCTGGCGTACTGGGATGAATCCGCCTACGTAACGGAATTAGCCGTTTCCATGCCGCCCACAAGCTCCGATGGTAAATCGGTCCCGAAAGATGCTGGAGGCTCCAAATCTAAAGAGACCGAAAAGACCAAGAAGCGCAAAGCGCAGACTTCAGCCAGTGCCGAGGACGGAAGTGCAAAGAAACCCGCGGCGTCACATTTACAGTTCTGGAGCAATCGTCACGCCGAATTGCACGGCATCGACCAGAAATCAAGAGAGGGTGGTGAAGCGAACTCGTCAGATGGCGGTGGTGGTCCGGCGCCGCCAAATCAATCTTTTGCTGACCCAAGTCGACATTGTTGTTATTTGTGCATGCGCCAATTCAACGACGCAGCAGAAGTCAACCAGCACGAACGGCTTAGCGACTTTCACAGACAGAATCTCCGGGATGAGAGTAAAGTCAAGAAAGCGACTGCGAAATTAGCAAAGCATGGCATTCAACATACTGGATCTGTTCCTAGTAACGATGAGACTGATTCGGCGTCCCAGTACCGTGATCGAGCCAGGGAGCGGCGAAAGATCTACGGCGTCGTCAACAAGAAGGGCGAACAGGTCGGACCGGGATCGGGATCGTCCAAGGTGAAGAAAATGTCGGATGACGACGATCACGGTGGTGACGACGGGCCCGCCGTTGTCCAGTCCAAGGGCGCGTCGCTGTTGAGCAAGATGGGATACAGGGCGGGCCAGGGACTTGGAGCCAGTGGAGAAGGCATGACGGCTCCGATCGCGCAGAGCGTGTATGTTGCCGGCGTGGGGTTGGGAGCTCAGGGAGGCAAAGTTGGCGACGCGGTCGAAGAGGCCGAACGGAACACGAAAGGACGGTATGAGGATTTTGCCGAGAAGACGAGAGAAGGAGCACGAGAACGGTATGCGCGGTTGGGGTAGGTGTGTATTGAGGTACCGGTTATTAATTACTCCTACTTCTATTCGCCGTGTGGAGTACGGATACGAAATTCCTAAGAAGATTCGTCCCTCGTGGATCGTGGATCGTGGATCGTGAATCATGAATCGTCGATGATTTTTTTCTTTGGATTGTAGGGTGATCGATTAGTTAAAGGGGGTGTGTTTTGAGCGGTACAGGTACTTGGTAACGAGAATAGAGAGATCTCAGGAGGAGCAGGGGAAAGAAACAGAAAGGAGTGTTTGAATGATTTAAGACTGATATGTGTGTGCTTCACGAGAGAGACACAAGTGACGTCTCACGCTGTTTCTCGAGCTACGGGTCATGTCCTTATCTTGAGCTCTGGATTATGTACAGCGTAATAAGTACAACCTTGCCCTCGAGCTGAGCTGACAGTTTACCCGAAGCTAGATCAGGTTGGGTATTGTACCTAGGCAGTGTCCGCCGCTGGATGTTTGGGTTATCGTAAAGGGGGGGGCAAACTAGGTACTGACATGGTCGTATGGTCGTGTGGTCGCGTGGTCGTCTGGCTGGTTAGAATGTCATTGCGTCGTTCGATCAGGTATGCATGCATGCATGCATGCATGGGGAGACGTGACTGTTACCGACACTGACTTGTGTGGCTGTGGGCCGGGTCTGTTTGAATTCGAAAGCACCGAAGCACTGAAGTAGTGAGAGTTCACTCTCCAGAATACTGTAATCTAGTAGGTGGTTCAAAAGTGCTTTTGCGGTGTCCATCCATGGCTTTTTGGCCGTCCTGGCATTGAGTTACTGCCTGTACTCAATTGAAGAAACTTGAAATCTCAAGTCTTGGTTTCGGAGTGTGTACTCGTCAATCGTCACACCTCTGAGGCTTCCTGCACTGCGAGGGAGTCCCAGGCCGGTATGGTGTTGCGTTGTCTAAAGTATGTGGTCCATGCATGCAAGCATATCGGGATGTCTGTCCAAGATCCGAAGTCCAAAGGTCCAAGGTTAGGCAGGGCTTTTATGGTCCAAGGTTCAAGTGTTGGTCAAGAGTCTTGATCTCGTCATTAAAGTCATCATCATCATGGCTGTTGTCTTGGGGGGAAAAAAATTCGTGCCTGTTCAAAGTCTCGCGGCTAGACTTTTCAACACGACATCCTCCCATCGAGAAATAACTTGTTCGATCTCTTGGGGCAAGCCTCGCATCTCTCTCGCTGTCGCTTTGTCGTCATCACCATTAGTATCAACATCGACATCGACATCGACATCGACATCGACACTGAGGCGGCCCATCCGGTCGATCATTGAGTCGTCGAGATTCTTCATCAACTCGGAGATCTTGAGTTCGGTTTTCGCTTCCTCGTAGAGCTTTTCGACGGCTTTGACATCTGGCGATTCCTCCGCCCGGGACACGCTCGGGGAGGTATTGCCTGCGACCATCGTTCCTGCGAAGACATTCTCATCATTATTTACACCCACAAGCCCTTCGAGGTTGGTTGTATGGTTGGAGTTGTTGGGTGTAGGACCGCCCCGACCCGACAGGGGGGTGCTGGCGCTGGCACCGGCACCGGCACCGGCACCGGCATTGGCACCACGGGAGGCATTCTCACCACGAAGCAATGCTGCTGGTCCTCTTAACCCTGGGCCCGACTGTCTCGAAGGCCCGGACCTCTCCATCTCCGACGACGTTTTCTTCAAGCCTTCCAAAACACCTTCCAGCACGCCAAACACGGCACCGACACGCAGTCCAATCTCCACGCCGAGAGGATACCCAGAGTCGAACCCGTCCTGCATCACGGCCGCCTTGCCCACGGAGAGGCCTTCGCGGTACCCGTCCGTCATGTGCTGGCGTCGCAGTTGGGGGAGGTCACTCAGTATCTGCTGTGGCCTGGTCGCGGACGGTTGGCCTTGTGTGGTGGTGTCGGAGATGGCATGGTGAGGCTGACCGTGACCGTCGCCGTGACCGTGGTCCGACGATGTGTCCCAGATGTCTTCGTCCGCGCCGGGAGATTGGTCCGGCGTAGTGACTGTCGTCGAAGCCGGAGATGACGATGCCGTCTGGGATTGAGGAGAGCGAGACCTCGTCCGCTCCATTTTTCGGACCTCAGCCTTCTTCCCTTCCTGACTGCACTTTTGTGACGTACAACGCCGGAGAAACGCAGTCGCTGTGATTATGACAAAGGCGGTGATGCCTAGGGATTGCTTGTCCAAAAGACCAGCGACAGCCACCCAGGTATTATTAATAGTGACAACCCAATAGTCCCGGGTCTTGCGAGGCGCGAATGGTCTTCGCAAGACTGGCCGTGGCGTAAAAAGCAGTTTGCGACTGGTGCAGATAGGATCAACGCTGCTGATCAACTGTAGGTGAAAACGGCTGTTCTTTGATACTGATATGGAAAAAAGAAAAATCAAAGCAAACAAAAATGTGGCAGTTGGGATCGCCAAAGACAGTGAGCGACTTTCTACAAATCATTTGACCGTCTTGACATAATTTTCGATATCACGTGCCGCCAAAAACTCGTAGCCCCTTTACTCCCTATGTTGTACGGCGATCGTAGCAATTACGCTTCGCAGAATGGTCACAAATAGCCAATGTGATCAAGAAGGAGTCTGAAAATTTCGAAGATAACTTTCCCTAACTTTTTGTACATAGATGGTACACACCGCTGACATATCATCAAGTCGCCACACGATGATACGATGAATCAGCCTGAACCCGCCATGCTCGTAATGGCAGACTCTGCAACGCCAGCGCTTTCTTCTCTATATACATCCAAAAGAGGGCAGCACCAATGAGAACAAAGACGACGTTCGTAATATAATATCCATCGCGTTGCATGAGACAGGTGCCACCACCTTTCAGGCAGATGTTCTTTTCCGCTTCAAGGGCACAGCTAAACTGACTCGTGATCGGTGTGACATCTGGGTGAGCTTTGCTGAACGCATCTGGATCCGCGGGGGGTAGACAAGTCGCTTTGGTGAACATGTCGACGAATTTGAGTATGAAGAATTTGGGGAACGTCCCGCCGAGATTGGAAACACTAGAGTCATAGTTAGTAAAGCCTTCGTACCATGAGAAAGACCAAAACACTCACGTAGCTAAGAGAGTCATGTACGTTCCGCCAATGGCAGGGTCGGCGATCCGAGCATGAAATGCAGACACGGCTACAAACATGACTGTGTTCATGAACGTCGAATAGACATGCTCAGCGATGACCACAAACATGTACCAGAGGGGAACGGCCTCATTGACCGCCGTCGGATAGATCATGATGGTGAATTGAGCAAAGACGGCCGCAAGAAGTCGTGCAACATATGCCCAACACCATAGCTTGAGAGGCGTATACTCGGTAGACCACTTCCCAGCGTAGTATCCCAGACCCAGCTCGAACGGAAAATCAATCAGAACAACCAGAGCCATATTCGCTTGGCCAAATCCCTTGTCGAGTAACTTCAGGTTTGTGACTGCATCGTTGGTCACAAACCCCAATTTGCCGACCAGGTGAATAACCACAATGGTGATGATGTTGGGTAATTTCATAACAGCTATCATGCTGCGATAGACCTCCATGATACCGTCTCGCTCGTTCGTCTTGTCCTCTTTTTTCATCACAGCAATTGCCAACGTCACCAGGAGGTAAACCCAACCCCAGAAAGCCATGTAGCCGCCAAGCGTGAACAACCCATAATCTTGAGGCACAGTTCTGAACCATGCATTGGCAAAATCTGGTGCTTGTAGAGCCAAGAACACGGTGTGAGACAGGAAGGATCCCGCTGTCAGTCCAACTGTCTGTGCCGTGGATGCGTATGAGATGTTTTGCATAGACAGAAGAGAGATTGCCCACCCATCCACGGCAATGTCCTGCGTGGCGCAAAGAAAGACCAAGAGAAACCACCAGCCCGTGAAGCCCCAGACCCCGGAACCGTCTCTTTCACCAGCCTTTTTCATAAGCTCGTCAATTCTCCCTCCGAGATAGATCATGGACAGTCCGGATATTGTTTGTATTGGGGTGATCCAACTCTTTCTCCGACCGAAGCGCCGACTCCATACGGCATCCACGATCGGACTCCATAATAGTTTTAGAGAGTATGGGTATATGGCGAGGGAGAAAATGCCGATTTGGCCGTAAGATAGATAGCTCTTGAGGAGGAAAGGAACAGACCCAGATGCAAGGCCCATAGGTATACCCTGGAGAAAGTAGAGAAGGCATAGCAGGAGGAAATTTCGCTTGTCTTTCACTGGCAAGTTTGAGAAACTCGTATTGACCATGCCTGGTGTCTGCGGCGATATAGGTGACAGCGGCTCATTGTCGAGGCTAAAATCATCTCGGCTCATAATCCTTGTCGCGTTGGGCGTCGACTCATCGTTCGAGACGTGTTTTCGCCTCATTTCGATATGTTTGTCCATTGTACCGTTTGCCCGGCCATTCGCATGCCCGTTACTAGCCGTATCTATTCGCAGGTCCGGCCGTGAAGGTGATCTTCTGTCCTTGATCTTTTTGGACTTGTTGCGTTTCATCTGTGACTCGGAACCTTCCGCGGTGACAAGGTGGTCCCTTTCAGAATCTTCCGACTCGATAAAATGGTCCTCCTCCTCTTGTTTGGGCGGAATAAGTATACTTCGAGGCTTCTCCTGGTCGTCAAAGTCTTCTAGTTCAACGGCGTCCGGGTCTTCTTCGCGTTCCTTGTTCTGGGCAGTGACGTGCTGAGAGGGAAGGTGCTGGTCTATCGATGTGGAACGGGTATGAAAGAGTGGATATATATGAGGTTCGGCGATTGAATCAGGCATATATGTGGCGAAGGAGCGTGCTGAGTGGTGGGAGCAGAAAGGACTCTCTGTCCTTTACAAGTGGACCAGTACAGTATTTTATTAGCACAGAACAAAAAGTGTGAAGTCATCGATCTGCAGACAATGGAGAAGCAGAATCAACAGGCTCAGCGGTCCTGGTACATGTCCCCCATCTCATTACCACCGACCAGAAGGCATGATAAGATGACCATGGCCTTCCCTCCCTTGAGATCCAAGATTCTAGAATGCGACCAAGTGGCCCCTCCAAATCATCGTCTCCTGGTGAAACCCCTGGCACGTGACCGAGAAAGGAGACGCGCTCTCGCACGACGCGTAGAAGACGACGTGAGGACAGTTTACTACCGCCATGCAGCAACAACCACACAATACCCTCATACACCCAACCCATGATGGCCTCCGCCGCGTCTCCTGCACCTGAGACAAATTTTACCCCCTTCGAAAGTCTAAGCTTGTCCCTCGATGAAGATATTGCCCAAGTACGAGCGGAGAGTACGCACTCCTCGTCCCCCGCATTGCTCTACAGAGTCCTGGCTAAATAAACACAGTCGAGAAGCTGACCAACCGCCGCAAATTGTTGACCTCTTCTCTGCTGTCTTCGACCAAGATACAGAATCAACTCTCCACAAAGCCAATCCGTAGGCGAGAGAACAACTCAAACCCATCACAATTCGAGTCTGTGTTCCAAAAATCCTCATCGAACGTCTACCGTCTGAGTTTCGGCGTAACTTCGTTTCCTTTCCATGATCCAAGCCCTGAAATTCAACCCAAGAACCCGTTGCTCGGCATCCGCTTTGATATATGCGATCGCAATGGTCATTTTGATAGCCCGTATTATCTGTTCTGCATAAAAGTCGGCGGAGACGAAGGGCCATCCACTCGGGAACTTCGTATACATCGACACACGATTCCTGCGCTTGTTCCGCTGGAAGAGTATGAGAAGCAATATTTACCGTTGTCAGATGAAGGATATGGCGGGTCGGAGGATTCTTTGATGAGCATCGAGGAAACTCAGAGGAAGCAGGACCTACACGGCTTAGTTTCGAGAGTGCGGCACGACCTTGTGGCTTGGAGATCAAGACTAGACGCAATTGAATGGGTGAGGGACAAACTTGGAATTTCTGTCCTGAAGGATAAACGTCGAGGCCCTGGTCAAGAAGTCGAACATGGAAATGACGGAGACACTTCCTTATTGGACATTGACGCACCTGCAGGAAACTTTGGTATTCGAGAGTTCGAAGCGGTTGGCGTTGACGCTCGACAAGTGCGCATCCTCTGGTCTGATGACAGTGTTGGCCGCATCAAAATTACGGACCAAGGCAAGATCAAAAAGGCAGCAGTCATCGGGTTTGACGGTCATATCGCCAGTGTTGAACGAGTTCTGACGGAAGGAGATGCGACTGTATTCGACCTCCTCGATAGGCTGCAAGAGATCCACGCGAGTGCTAGAGAAGGTGGGATCAGGTGAGAAGAGAAGAACTAAAGCGTATCTTAACTCATGTGCGGGTTCAATGCGGAAGGTCGTTTTGATGACCGAAGGAGTCGAAATAATCGGTTCAGGAATATGTTGTCCCATACCCCGTTTGCAAGATCATGACCCTGTTCCTGTTGGATAACAGGAATTTGTGGCAACAATGCCGATCGTGGGAGCGACTCCGAATATCATCAGCGAAGCCCTGGCGCACTGGTGGTAGCTCAGGCTATAACCGAAGCACGCCGCGAATTTGCACACCTTGAGACCAACCACCCAAATGCGTCATTGTATAACGGTGCGAAGGATATCAATAACTTAAACGGCAGACATCTCTATCACCCGTTTACTGATGGGTGTCCGACGTCTCGTTCCTCGCTTGCCTTAACGTCCCGAGGTTCGAGAGGGACATCACTGGGAAGCTCTCCCTCGCCTCCATTAAGACCATGTACTCGGTTTCGATCGACGCCATCTTGCCTTCGTCATCGTCCGGACCAACCGGGTTGCCTACTCGTAGCTGACCCTGCTCTTTCCACTCCTGCTGCCTTCTTATCGTGTCCCGCCAGCATCGTCGCCACATTTCGGAGAGATCTCTAGTGCCGAGGAACTGTTGTCCGAGTTGATCAAAGTCTGGTTCCGGAGGCGGCCATTGTGTTTGGAGCGGCGCAGCCCAGTGCTCGGAAAGAACGGCCACGCTTTCGAATGTCAGACTTCTAGCAGTCGCAGCCAAAATGATGTGTCCCTTGCTCTTCAGGCCATGTTCAGCTAACGTGCCACTGGACAATGGCTTGCTGATGTCGATACTGAGCCCAACCTCGAGCAAGATGCTACCGAGAAGGGTGGACGACCAAAGGGCGCAGCTTCGTGCTATGTTGGAAACGTGGAGACATCGAGTCAGCTTTCTGTTGATGTAAGTCTGCGCTACGGTGTCCAAATCCTGGTGACTGTTAGGCCTATTGGAAATGGGATACTGGAAACCGCTGCTTCTAAATGTTGTTGTGCTCGTGAAGTCTGGATCAAGATAGTGACAAAGACCAACTAGAGCATAACCAATCTGCATGTCGATATCGGTTAAATGTTCTGCTAACAAGGCTCCCTTCAGCTGCTTAGTAACCGACGCAATGGCGTGACCTTCCGACTTATCACAAACATTGTCCATGAGGTTTTGTACCTGCAGGACCACATCAAGCAGCTCAATGCTTAGCAGACCGAGGTCAGTCAGTTGACGTAAGGCTGGAGGCGATGAGGCAAGAATATCAAGTTGTCGCAATGAGAGTGTATCGTGTATGCGCGTGAGCTGCGTGCCTGTGTCGGGCGACTGTGCTTCCAGCCTTTGTCGGAATACATCTGTTTGCTTTCGGTAGTTGTCCAGAGCTTGCCAGCTCTTCATGCGGTGAGCAACAACGCTGCTCATCACTGTACTGGTATCATTGGTCGAAAGGTATCTTTGTGCAAGGTTCCTGAATGCCGCAAGATGTATGTCGAGTGCTTCATCGTCCTTCCACATGTACGAGACACTGAGCATGTAGTCTACGGTAAAGAGGAAGGTCTCAACATTGATAGGTGAGACACCGGAGAGCCTGAGACGCAGTTTTGACATTGCCAGGCCTCGACATTGTAGGTGGAGACGGTCTGTTTCGGGCAAAAGTCCTTGCGAGAGGCACCATGCGGCCCTCGTGCAGGCCATTGTGGCACTAAAGAGCATGTCATCCTGTAATGCTACTGGCCAGTAGAGACTGAGATACGTGTTGGAGCTGTCGACCTCATTAGTGAATCCGAGGGGACGCATCACTCGCAGGCGCTTCTCAACGTACCCAATCAACGTGTCAAAATGGGTGATCGCCATAGGCGCCCAAACGTGAATGACTAGCAAACTCGGTAAGTACTTAAATGAAACAACGTCCACTCAACCGAGTACGCACAATGGTCAGCGACAGACATCATGTCGGCACTTTGTTCGGATGGCAGAGAGTTGAAAGGGTCCTTTCGAAGTCCACTTGTTGGCTGCAAGCTCGTGATCGTGATAGCCTGCGAGGTCGACGAAGAGGAATCGCTCTCGTCATGCGTGGAGGGCTGGGCTTGTGGCGGAAGCCTCACTGCCCGAGACTGCCATCCGACTAGGCTTCTGGCGTATACCGCATCCTGCCGGGCGGAGACGCGTCGGTGCTGTCGCTTCTGGCTCGATTGCCATTTACGGGCAAAACTCGTAACCACCCTTGACGTTGCGGTTGGTTGTGACTCCGGATGATGCTCGATGAACATCAACGTGCCCCTGCCAGGTTGCTGCGTGGCCTCGCTAGCTGTCCGGCCAGACATGGGCATTATTGGCCGCCAGTCGTGCAAGGCCCTTTCAAATGACACGGTCAGTCCTCAGAGAGCCGGATTGATATCATGATCTTGCAGTCCTTCAAGATGACCCGTGCTCGCATCGTTTTTACCCGTAAATGTTGTATGCATCGCCGATCAGTTTCAAATTCCAGTATTATAAGGTGCTATTTGACAGTAATCCTAGAGATTGTCACAACCACAGTCTCGTAGATAAGATATCGGGGACTAGCGGGAGCTTGTGAGCGGGTGTTAATCCACACTGAATGCTTGAAGAGGCGTGGTCACCTAGAATTTTGAGGCCATAAATACACTCCTCGATCTCCACTGGAAGCGGGAAATGATAACTCAGGGGTCAGGACTGTGCGGAATTCGTCGATCAGTTGGCGCTAGAGAAGATGACTTGATGCCACGACAAGGCCTGGACTGCAAAGCAAAACAGCATGCTGGTCGTGACGGGGTAAATTCTGAAGCAATCAGAATGCAAGGAAAATATTCTAAATCCAGCTTAGACAACTCTTGGCTGCAAGAGAAGTAGGTTGAAGCTTGGACAGCAGAGTGATACCGCAGGTACCGGCTCACTTATACAAGTCGCTTGCAGATTTATGATGGAAACTTTGCCAACGCTTTGATGTTTGGCCCCTGGTGTCTCGTAGTGGTGCTTCTTGGCAGAAACTATTGGAACTGTTCTTATTGAACAAGCGAGCCGTTGGCAAGCGAATTGTCTTGGTTTCAAGAGATCCCGAACCACACATCGCGGCACACATTGCAGCCACATTCATCCTTGGAGAGACCCGATTTTCTCATGACGGAAATGCCACTATCTCGTTCTAGTTTTCACTGCAATGCAAGTGCTTGGTAATCAAGGCGTGCTGCCCAGATATTGCTCTCGATCAGTGAGCATCGTGCGGGATCGAGGAGCGTTATCGTCTATGCCGGCCGCGGTACCAGGTCCACGCCGACCGGACGTGACCTCTGAAATCCCAGAGACCAGTGCTGCGCGCTGGTGTTGTGGATATTCAGATCATGGAGGGAAGTAAGCGAGTGTGTCGTTCATGCATTCATCCGACACGAACCTCACTAAGGCGGCTCAGAGCTCAGGGTGAGCTTGGTGTATAAAGCTTGGTCCTCCCCAGGGCGACTTTGTTGCGGTCTAGCTTCTGTAACTACATCGAAAGCAGCGGTAAACATGGCGGAGTTTCAGATCCCTAAACGGCAGACTGCAGCAGTGAGAGTTGGCGGGGGTGAAGATGCCAGGGCTCCTTTGAAGGAAGTCGATGTTACCCTTCCTGGACCCGAGGAACTGCTGGTCAAGATCAACTGGTTTGACTCTCACCATACCCATGTCGTTAACCTCATATATAACTTTTGGACAGGACTGGCGTGTGCAGTTCAGATGATGCTCTCATCCACGATGGATGGCATGATGTCGGTGTTGATATGAGCCCCGAAACTAAAGGGATCGCCGGACACGAAGGTGCTGGAGTCGTGGTGGCTGTCGGTGATAGTATGAAACATAAGTGGAAGGTGGGAGATCGAGCAGGAGTCAAATGGGTCTGGAGTATCTGTGGAACATGTGAATTCTGTACCAATGGCACAGACGAGCTTCATTGTCCTTACCAGAAGATATCCGCGGTCACTGTTCCCGGAACCTTCCAGCAATATGTTGTGGCAGATGGTAACTACACATCGAAGCTCCCCGATGGCGTCGAGGACGAAGAAGGTATGACAGGTAGTTGACGCTGTCGACTCGCAAGATTGCTGATTGTCTTGAAGCTGGACCTATCATGTGTGCGGGAGTGACAGCTTACACTGCCTGCAAGCGAAGCGGCATCAGGTCGGGCCAGTGGCTTGTCGTGCAAGGGGCGGGCGGAGGCCTGGGACAGTTTGCGTTGCAGTACGCTCGAGTCATGGTAAATGCTGAGATATTCCCTCGCTTGCACCTCTGCAGCCTGGTGAGCCTAAGAACTGACATTTCCAGGGAATGCGTGTCATTGCCATCGGCAGCGGCGAGCAGAAAAGAAACCTCTGCACGCAGTTGGGGGCGGAAGAGTTCATCGACCGCAAACTGTGCGAGGACATCCCCGCCGAAGTGAAGCGCATCACCAAATATGGTGCTCATGCTGTACTTGTTCTGCCTCCTTCGAAGGAAGCGTATGCATTGGCACCGCAGCTTGTACGTCCTGGCGGCACTGTCGTTGTGGTCGGCTTGCCTCACGATGCGTCGGTAATCGCAGGCGCCAGACCTAAGCAGATGGTTTTGGATCGCTTGAACATTCTCGGGAGTGTCACTGGAACGTTGAAAGATGTCGAAGAAGCCCTCGAATTCACCGCAAGAGGACTTGTTCGCCCTATCTTGACCAAAGGCACCCTGGATGAATTGGACAAATATTTTGACTTGATGCATCAAGGAAAAATTGCTGGTCGTGTAGTTTTGAAGGTCTCATAGCTAGGCAGGGAGGTATCTAGATCCCGGTCACTACCTATAAAGCACTATATTCTCCCTAAATCATCACGAATGAATTGCTGGTATCAAGACACAAAAAGACGTGTTTGCTGCGCATAGCCATGCTTTCTACGCCTGAGTCTTCATACCGCTCCCCATAGTCCGTGCTTCCGGTATCAACATGTTGGCCCTGGCTCGACTCAATATTCTGGTATCACCGTGGCTTCTGTGCCATGTTGGTCATGTCGTTCAGTTCCGCCGCATACCACAGCTCAACCTCGGCTAGAGTCTTTCTTCTCCTGATTTCTGTCGCTACGGCTGCCGCAATGCTCTCGAGTTGTGCAGAATCCATCTTCCAAGTCCGGACTCGTTCAATCGATGCCGATCTATGGCGCTGGTTCTTTCGAGAAAGGTGTAAAATCGATCTGTCTCTTTGGCGTCCAGTTCACGGTTCTTCCTGTCTACCCAGAGGAGCACAGCAAAAGGAGTGGCAATAAAGGCAGCAAGGCCACCGAGCGCCACAAGAGCTCCAACGAAGTCTGCTGCCGATGGTTCGGACATCGTGGGGGAGAGAAGAGCGTAGACTGGTGAAGATGGAAAGTCTTGGGAGAGAGGTCGGGTTGATAGAGTAGAGTGCGTTGTAGGTGTTTATTGAGAAGTTCGGGCTGGGTTTCTTGAACTGCGCGCTTGCTTGTGGTGGAAGTGAGAAAATGCCGCTTAATGTCGGATTTCAAAGACCCATGAGGACCTGTTCATGACGGAACCTACCTACTTTATACTGTAAGAGTTTTTCCCGTTTTCATACAGCCAGGCATCAATGGCCCTCAACTATAAAGCCTGCGATGCTCCGCACCTATAGGCGTCAGCCTCTCATGCAAGGCTTTACCATATCTCGTGGACAAATCCCACGGGCGCTCTGGATACAACGACGCGCAGCTGAGACTTGCCCGAGTCTGTATCCACCCTTGGTAGCGGATCGGAGCTTCCTGCTTCTGGATGGTTGCCGTCTGTGGCTTACCAGAAACATTTTTGCTGCCGTCGTGAACTCACTTGTGACTGCCGCTCGTGCCATCGTGCTCCTGTGTGCCTCCTTGATGGCATCAAGATTCTCCTTCCAGAACGTGTTGGTTTGTAGATAACGTACTTGTCATGCTGGCCCCCGTCCGTGCATCGAGTAGCACTCCATGTCTATCAGGCAGAACTTGCCACGATGACCGACTGCGCTCAATCCAGCATTCCCGCCCCCTGTTGTGACAGGTCAGCCGCAAGCCCAAAGCGTCGTTCAGAAAGGTCCAGGCTGAGAAAAGCAAAGGACTTCAGGCGCTAATGGTGTCGACTCGTCATGGAGACTCGAGAGAGGCAGTGGTCCAAGTAAGCGATGGCTGTCGGTCCGATGTGAAGTGATTTGACTGACAAACTTTTGGAGGTGGACGTTGATATTGTATCTCTTCACTCCCTTAAGCCTTGCAGTCTCCGACGCTGAGTCAGCTTCGCTATGCCCAAGACAGAAAAGCGCCGTGAACCAGTCAACAGCATCCAGGGTGTTTGTCGACACTTCCAAACATCCAGGCACAGATACCATCTCACGCAGTCTTCTCTGACAGCCTGGGGGTGAATCGGCTACGATCTTTCCAACGAATACTTTTGAATTCTCATATGTACTGATTCGGATCAACTGGCCTCTCTGTCCGGACGCCATAAGTCCATGATGTCAAGACTTCAAACTACCAGGCTTGGGCTTTGCTGTTTCGATCCACCACACAGCAGTCATGCACGTACTTGTACCTTGCTCAGTACGAAGAAGCTGCTGTTATAAAAATTGCCCTTTCTTCGTCTACCATATCTGTTTCAGCAGATCAAAGCCAGCTTCAGCTATGGTGCCCCATCTGGATAGTTCAGCGGGGCCGCAACATCGAACCTCAATACCCGAAGCCCCCATCACTGCAGATTACAGGGCGCATATCCCTCATGCGGACTCGAAACTCTTGAATTCAGGTATTGTACAGACCAATTTCGCGCCTACCGCGGATGCACCTTATGGAACAGAAAAAGATGGATGGGCCAAACAACACCAGCATCAGACAGTGAGTGATCGAGTCCGATACTCACAATCAAAGTCACAGACTAATATGCTACCTGCAGGTTCTGGAGCAACACTGCTCATTCTTTGACCCAGATAGCGATGGGGTGATCTGGCCCACTGACACCTACCGTGTGTGTCGATCCTTTGATTGGAAGATCATTACCTCGCTCTTTTTCACCGCATTTTTACACAGCGTTCAGTCCTACAACACTGCACCGAGCATTCTACCTGATCCATTCTTCAGACTTTACGTCAAGAGAGCATATATGAATAAACACGGGAGTGGAACAGGCACATTCGACTCAGAAGGACGCTTTCGTCCCCAGCCCTTTGAGGACTTTTTTGCAAAGTTTGATCGAGATGGCAAAGGAGGACTAACGAAATGGGAACTATGGCATGGTTTGAGGAGGTCAAGGCATGCATTTGACTTCTTTGGCCAAGTGTCTGCAATGTTCGAATGGGGATTTGCTTGGGTTCTCATCTGGCCTGAAGATGGGATATTGCGGAAAGAGGATGTGAGGAGATTGCTTGATGGGAGCTTATATCATGAGAAAGTTGCAGCCAAAGGCGATGCATGCCCGGGACTCGATGGTAAATCGTTGGATGGGTCTACACCGAGATCTGCCTCAACCTAACAACAATAACGCATGACGCCAGGCTGAGTGTTGCACGAGTGATAGTGACAATCACAGCTTCTACCAAAGTTCTGATATGTTGCTCCTGTGTGTATTGGGTTCAGGATGCTTCCATAACAGCTGCCTGGTACAAAAATCCATCCTTAGTGGGTCACCTTCCGACTCCGTCACATTCATGTGGATGACTACGGCTTTTGTCGTCGGGTACAGCAAGCTGCTAGGATAACCTGTCTCACAAGACGTAACGGAAATCTTTATTCTCGTATTCAGTCTTGTCCCGCATTCCTGCCTCGTTACTCGCTGCCTTGTCTGCCATCCCGTACTTTTTATCCCGACGTTTGTTGCTCAAGAACATATAGGCTGCGAGCGGGCAGGGGGGTTAAGAACGACGTCAGTTTTACAGTTTTGTCAAACGTAACTCGCGCACAAATCTCGTAAAATCTTGAAACATTTTGCGTTAATCCAAGGGTTTCACTGGAGCAAGACTTACCGAGCAACAGTAGATGACATCCGAACTTGATGGCGTAGCCGACTAACAGCCCGATGGTGGCGCCGCGGTACTCAGGTGCTTGACTTGGCTGGACGACAAACGGTCCGGCGAAGTTGCCCCAGCAGTAGGCCGTGAAAGTCAAGGCACTGGCGAAACTCCGATGCGTGTACCCCGCCATATTGCTGTTGATGGTGACGAGGGAAATGGTGAAGCCGACGGATTGAGCGTTGACGAGCCAGAAGCAAACCAGCCTGCCCCAGGTGTTGGAGCGGGGGAGGTAGGCCATCAGCGCGGCGGCGACGGTGCAGAGGATGTTGGCGGCCGTGGCGGTCAGGAGGCGTGAGTTGGGCACCGTCAGCATGATGGCGCCTCCTATCAGGAGCGCGACCACTTGTACGCCGTCCCCGACCGACTTCAGCTCCGTGGTCCTGGTGGTCGAGAAGCCTAGGTCTTTGATGATGATGGTGGAGAAGGAGGTGACTACACCGTTGGGGATGGCGGCGGCGAAGACGGCAATGAAGACCAGAATGGACTTCGGGTCGTAAAAGGCGAGCAGGGCTTGTTCCCTGTTGAAGGACTTGTTCTTGATGCCGAGCTGGTTCCCGGCAACGCGCTTCACGGCGACGACGCGTTCGTGCGGACTGAGCCATCGAGCGTTGGACGGTGCGTCTGGAAGCACGAACCACAGGACGAACGACCATAGCATGGTGGCGCCGCCGAGAATGAAAAAGATCAACTCCCACCGTTCCGGCGTGAGGTCCTCGGGCAGCTTCGAAATGCCAAACGAAATGTAACTCCCTGCGATGCCACCGAATCCGAGCGCGCTGTACCAGATGCATTGGCGGAGAGGGATTTCCTTCCTTCTGTACCAGAAGCCAGTCATCAGCGTCAGACCGGGTGTCACGGCGGCCTCGAAGACGCCCATGAGGAAGCGCACCGCCATGGCCGAGGAGTAGGATCGGCATTGGGTGAGAACGAGGACCGTCAGCCCCCACATCAGGCACGAGATGGCCATGACTCGCTGGGCTGGGTAGCGGCCGATCAGCCAGCCGCAGGGATACTGTCCGAAGAAGTAACCTGCGTAGACTATGGCGGAGAGATAATTGAATTGGGTACCTCTGAGGCCCAACGCCTTCTGGTACCCAAACAGGTTGGCGTAGTTGAGCGCCGTCTTGTCCATGTACTGGAGCATTTGAGTGATGAGGAAGATGGGAAGGATTACAAGGTCGATTTTCCAGCGAAGCCGGCGTTCCTGTGATGCGCCATTGTGAGTTGGACACAAAGAGCGTTGACTTGGGACAGACACTCACATCATGCTGGGTGACTTCGATTTCCAGAGCCTCTCGATACTCTTTGTATCCAACGGCCAAATTCTGCAGGGTTGGAAGTCACTAGATCAGTACCGGAAATCGTGGGTAATTTTGTGTGTTTGTGTTATCCTACCTCATGAACTGGATCGAGTTCATGGCCACTAGCCGACTTGCTTAGGGCGTCGATTTCTACATCGGCCTCATCCCGAGGTTTTGTGACCGGGTTATCAACATGGACTTCCCCAGCCCTTGACTCAGACATGGTGATAATCCCAACGGCTGTCTTCCCCTGGCCAAGACCGTGGGGAATAGATCACTGACCGGGGCGAAAGGAGAGAAGAACAGAAGAAGAAGAGACGGAGAATGAAAAAGAAAAACGGGGTTTGAGAAAAGAAAAAGACCGAACCATGCGTTCCCCATGGAGGCGGCCCCAACCGTATTTTATGGTTCCCGGGGAAGAATCCGGGGTTTCGATTGACCAGTGTGCTTGTAATCTCGTGGAAAACATGCAGATTTGGTGGATGTTGAGAAATGTTGAAAAAGAGCGGTCACGGTGAAGGTGTAAGATCGCATAAAGTCAGCTTCACTAGCCCGAGTGGCGCATTATTTCGACGCCGAATACGATATTTAGTAAGCAGCGTAGGTGAAGACGAAGAGGATGTCGATCGTCTGAAGACACTCGGACAAGGCCGACGACTCCGATTATCTACATGCCTACGGAGTACTTGTTTTACTCGTATAGTGTACTGTACACCTTACGGCGCCGTTGCATTTTTGACCTCGGGCCATCAACATCTTCATCCACAACCCACTCTTCACCCCTCAACACTGAGCAACGACCAACGTCACGCGGGTTTGTTGCCAACGCATGATACCCAAGTCACTTGAACGAGATATTACCGAACGGTACGGAATAAGTTTCGTGAGTAGACATGGCAGGCAACGAGGGCTATCTCGCCAAACCCTCGGGCGAATGCTGCTTGAAGGGGTCCATCCACGAAGGCGAAGCAAGAGGTCGCATCGAAGAGATAGCGGGAATCGAATCGTACGTTTCGGCCCCTCGGGGCAAGGACAACGGCAACATCATCCTTTACTTCCCGGACGTTTACGGGTTCTTCCTGAACGGGTTTCTCATCATGGACGGTTTCGCCGATGCCGGCTATACGGTCGTCGGAATGGATTACTTTCGCGGAGTACGAGTTTCTTTTTTCGTTACTTTGATTGTGGTCACTTTTTGTCGTCTGAAATGCGAGACGAGATCTGACAACTGCCGTCATCGGCATTGCCTAGGATCCCGTATGGAAGCACCGCAAGGACCGCCATGACCACTCGAACCCGACCTTTGACTATGAGGCCTGGAAGATGAAGCACACCGCGTATGCAGACGCCGCGGTCCCTGGCTGGGTAGAGGCCGTCAAGGCGCAATTTGGCAAGCCAACGACAAAGTATGCCTGCGTAGGGTATGTGTTCAGGGAGCCTCGCAGTCTCGGGCAGAACATCATGGCTCGGCACACTGCACACACACACACACACACACATACACGTCCCTCTGTTGAGCCTACTGGCCCTCCCTTTTTTACTGACACCGTCCGCACTACCAGATACTGCTTCGGAGCACCATATGTGTGCAACGAACTCGCGGCCGACACTTGTGCTGCGGGTGCATTTGCTCATCCGGCATTCTTGAAAGAACACCACTTTCGTCGACTACAAAGTGAGCAGAGCCCGTCGGGAGAAGGACGAGCGAGATGCCAATACTAACGGCCGTTGACTTTTCTTTCTTCCCCTCCTGTAGAACCCTTGTTCCTGTCTTGCGCAGAAGTCGATCACACATTTCCGACGGAGGCCCGAAGAGAGGCTATCGATATCTTGCGACACGACAAGAAGACGTACAACGTGCAGCTCTTCGCCGGCGTCGAGCATGGCTTTGCCCTCCGCGGGAACATGGAGAACCCGTACGAACGTGAGTTGCCCTTGAGCCGCTGTTCGACTCGAGCGCGCCTTGGCTGACGTGGATACATACCTGTCCAGGCTATGTGAAAGAAGAGAGCTTGAGAGCCATCGCGCAATGGTTTGATTACTGGCTGTCACGGTGAGACGAGACATTACGTCCGTACTTGTTCTTATGGTCGGTCCACCGGGACAACGTCGCCGGGTCGGGTTGGAATGTTTTCTTTACCCTCGGGGAATCTGTAGTCACGATTCTCAGTTACAACTGTTGCAATTCATTCTATGATCTATAATAAAAAATGGCAAAGTACCTCCAGTGAACGCTCCCCAGGGAATTCCTGAACATGCTACATCAGAAAAGGATCTACTCTGGTCCCTACCTTTCAGCTTGCTGCACGCGTGATAATCGTCATGAGCTGCCTCCCTGTCCAGGCAAAAGTTCGGAAGCACCCATCGCACATTGTCGCGCTCGAGGCCGATCCAAGGCATCTTGGTCGTCTGCCATGGTCGGAGATTCTCCTGTTGGAGGCGAACTAGTCATGATGTCAACATTCCGAGAGCCTTATCGAGCTGACGAATCATCCTTACCTGCAATAATTCCTGACAGGGGGTCCTGACCTGACCCTGAATTTGGATTTGAAGGACAAACCTCACGCTGTCGAAGCACAGGCTCCTCCTCATCCGCTGTAGATTCGGTTGCAAATACTGCCCGTCCATGGATCAGTACTTCTTCGTCTTGCTGTGTCGCTGCACCAGACACCTGAGGTACCATTTTCTCGTCACCATCCGCCGGCGACACAGCTTGACTGTTTGCGAGGGAGATAGAGGAGTCTGGGCTTGATTCAGCATCAGAGGACGACGCGACAGAGTCACTTTGTCCCATACCTCCAGAAGCTTGTGCCTCTGCAGCATCGCATTCAGAGTAGACCTGGGCAGCTTCCAAAGTAGTTAGCATTTGGTCCACCTCTGCCGCCAGTGCCTTGTGGTTGGCAGGATCTATTGGCGTCTGCTTGCCTCGCAGATACCAGTGAGCGACACGCACGAGCTCAGTGCAGTATTTATGGAAGGCGGCTTCGGCTCTGTCGAGATCCGCAAGCTTGGTGAATGACAATCTCCAGCAAGTAGCTAGTCGTTCCTCAAAGGCGTAGCGAAGCTTTTGATGTGTATTCAACTCCGTTATGAAGGAAGCCTTTGACTCGGCGTTAGCAATGAGCGAAGCAGTCTCGATACGGCAAATTACGTCGTGTAATTTACCCAGGGCGTGTCTGTATCCCTTATCCAATTCTTCAAATTCCGAAACGGCATAAGGGTTGGGGTCCGAGTTGCCTTGGAAGAACTCCCATTGTACCAGAAAAACGTCGTAACTCCCGTGGAAATGTGATATCGTCTCCTCCAAATCGGACTCGAAGGTGTGCATCCACCGCAGGGCAAGACGTTGCGCATCTCTAATCGTGCTTCGGTGGTTAGTGGACGCCTGTATCGTATATGGGAACAAAGGCTTGGGTATGTATACAAAAGCCAGCTGACGGGGAGGCTCGTCTGAAGTCGGCATCATAATCCACGCCCTTGACGAAGAAAATCGGCCAAATAGAGCCAAGCATGAGTTGGTCATCACTGCAGCCCAATACTCGGGGTTGATACGCGAAGCTTCCTTTGCATCTCGAAGAGCATGCACTCTTTCGAGGGCTTCTTGCAGCTGTTGGAAACTCTCCTCATCGATACCAACCGCCGTAGCTCCACCACTGATGAGTCTCTCAAGCTGACACCTAGCGGCTATGAACATGTCGTCGGTCATAGCCCCCACAGTAGCCTGAAGGACGATTTTGGCGCCGAGGAGTAAGTTGACGTAACTATTTAGTCTCCGACCGACAACCTCTGAATGCGTGTCGCCTTCCAACTCACCAATACTCAAAGCCGGGGAGGCGTCAGCGCCTGCGACCATTACCAGCAGTCGGGGAGTCGCAATTGAGGATTGTAAGGTAACTTGGAAGCTTTTGTCGTTCAGTCGTGCCTGTTTGATTTCCTCTAGCAGTCCTTCCAGAGTAACGCCCTGAGGATTCATCAGAGTTCGTTTCATTACCATCTTCACATGCAAGTTGTCCGACTCGTGAAGTTCTTCAAGCACCGCTCTCCAAAGGTGTCGGCTTGAGACAAAATCGCCCAGTTCTTGAGCTCCTCTGCCGCGTTGCATGTGTCGTAGTAGGACCGTGAGGCCTTCACGGTTTTCGATAATCGGCGTCCCGGTCAGTATGCGTCGCGATGAGGCACAGGCACTGACCTTTAGCTCGGTAATCACGTCTCTGACGAGCTTCGCCATTCTGTGTCCTTGCTCAGAAAGGACTGGTGGATTGCCGAGGCACTCCTGTGGCCACAAGTCTATCTCGCGAAGAGGCCGAGATCTTGCCAGCATGCTTAAAGTCAAAAAACGCCGAAAGGCTCTAGACACTTGCTGAAAAGTCAATATTCCAAGTTCGCTGTCGAGGTGTGTGGCGGGCATGTTGGAGAATAAATAGTTGACAATGTCGCTTTTGCTGTATGTGACGAATTCGGCCTCAAGAGAATGCCGCGCCTTTGCAAGACCTGTTTCCAAGGAACGGTTGCTTGGAAGACTCTGGTGTGTCGACTCAGCCTGGGGGTTCAATAAATGCGGTTCTTCATGGGAGGAAGCTGGTAGGGGAAGTTGTATATCGCTGTACGTGGGTGGTGCCTCTCCAGCAGTATAAGCCGGGACCGTCAGGGCTTGTGATCCGAGGGGATGGTTGTCTGGTACCTCTCGTGGGTGTCTAAGAAGGACCTCCTGACCCGAGTTGTTGCGGTATACGGGTCGCGGTTCATACTGGGGGGGTGGATGTTCGAAGAGTTGGTGGCGTCGCTCCAGGGCTGGGTATGGCCAAAGTGCCAGCCGATTGATGCGACGGCCTTCGTGTTGAGGGCGTGCATTGGGAGGCTCCTCACCACCAGCAATCGTTAACGACGTTTCCCACTGTTCAATGAGTTCATCCAACACAGTGTCTGGTATCGTCAGACCCCATTGGATTTTGGCGTATCGTCTCACAAAGCGGATACCGTATTCTCGCAGATTTATACACTCGTAGGCAATTCCAGCCGGAAGGATGTGACCTCTGTGATAGCCACGTCCTACAATCGATGGGACAGTTGGGACCACGTATTCTCCGGCCGACAGGTCTTGTGCAAATACTTCGAAATCCTTTTCGACCACTGCACGAATCGTCTCGATATCAATCTCGACATTGAATTCAGTCAGGATATGACAGGGGATGCAACTGCTAGAATGGTCATTCTTGAGGAGAAATAAGATTCTTGCAGCCATAGCAACACAAATGACTTCCCCCGTAACCAGACGGAGTTTGCCAAAGCGTTTGGATTGAAATATTTCATTTTCAAAGTCGGGCTCAAGATCGAAATAAGCTTGGGGCGCCATGTTGATTGCTGGTACAGTTTGAGGCGCTATCAAGTTGCTGTGAACCAAGATCAGCTATGCGAGCGTTACAACGGGGACATTTGGAAGATTCACCATGATGAATAGGAGGACGTGGTATTTATAATTGTACCCGAAAGAAAGGCATTGGCCTTGTACTATGCAGTGCAGACTCCGGAGCGTCTTCCACCACTTACAATCCCATTTCCAAGACAGATAGGAGGCCCTGCTTTCATGAGATCCCACTGGCAACAATATAGATGGCACTTACAAGACACTGACAACGCCATGACTTCTTGTTCTTTTCTGAATGGAATTTCTTTGCTCCTTTGTGGGGCTTCAAAGACAGGGATGCTTCATTGTCCAAAAAAGCTGCTGTTGTTTACATCAAAGAATGAACCAGAGCTAACCAGTGGCGCGTTCCAGAGATTTGATACTTACTTCAGTGACAAAACCCACCTCAAAAAAGTTGATAAATATATACTCTCAATGCAGTTGCAATTTCAGCCTCCCACCACCCCTGTGGCTCATGCCAGTGAAGCCCTATGAATAATCGTGAGCCGCTTCGCATACTCGATCTCTGCTTCAACGTCTTTGTGCTCTTCCAGTACGTGTTTCATTCGTTCTTCGACCGCCGAAAGCCTTCTCTGTCGTGTACATAAGTCAACATCTTCACGGTCTAGTTGTTCTTTTGCTCGTGAAAGGATCATAGCGTCAGTAAGCAGATGCTTTTCATGGCTCTTTGCCGCATGCAGTCTCGCTTCTGCGGCGCGAAGGTCTTGACGAGCCTCGATCCGCGCAGCACGATAAGCACTGACATTTTTTGGCTTCCGGACTGCCAGACTGAAGCGGCTGGGCTGAGCAGTAGTTGTGGAAAGAATCCGTCGCTGATTGTCCAAAATGCTGCTTACGACTTCGGCGACTACCCGGAGAGTTTCAATGCCAGTATATTGGATAACCTCTTGAACAATTTCGTCTTCTGTCTTGCCATCAGTGTACAGTTGGACAATGCGCCAATAGGCAGGAATTGGAACCTCGTGGCTACAGACATTGACTGTTGCAATTTCGTTGAAATTTGATTCTGGGGCAGCAATAATCCAGAGACAATTGCTGTCTGAAGCCATTGCGGATTCTGAGGGAGTTTTTGGTGGTGACAAGAAGTTCGCTAAGGAAGAAAACCAAGTCAATGTAGATTGACAAATATGGGGCTCATTGTTCAACTTATCCTTTGTTGATATCCTACCTCCCTGACGGCTGGCTGTTTCTGGAAGATGGATGGTTACTGTCAAAGAGTAACAAAGGCCGTAAGAAAATTCCGGGTTTGAAGACCAGCGCAATGGCGCCAGCAGAAACACAGGGTCACTGGATGCGACGTAGCACTGCATGTTGAACAGTTGACAAGATGAGAGCTTCCGAGTGTCACTTTGTCACTTTGTAACCGAAGTCACTGGCAACAGCTGTCTTACGGTTCTCGAGTAGAATTGCGATAATGATGACCTTAAGTATGGAAACTTTCGCAAGGGATTGAAGCAGCCACTGTGTAAGGACCAGTATGAACAGGGGAAAGGCGAATGAATTGAGACCACGCCCCTGAATGAGCGAGGGGAGGACACGGTTACCGACAGCCACCTAATTCGCGTTCACCACTCACCTTTTGGTAAGCCTGACAACCGGTGTTGATCCCAGTATCACAGTTGTACGCTCACCACTTGTGTCATGCTTGCAGGTCTATATCCAAGTCTGACTCATGTGATTCCTCAATAGCTTGACTGGACTTTGGTTTTTGGACGGCCAAGCTGAAGTATTAACACCGGGCATGCTTTACATTGCTTTGGAAAGAACAACAAAGCACGATGGCCAGCGTTGAACACGATACGTCTGCCAACTGATATATCAATCAGGTGCTTGATGATCGCGTGCAGAAGTCTTCATCCCGCACTCAACGTGTTCCCTCGTTCGCAGCTCGCCTGTGGAGGAGACCGACTCTTGTGGTCCACCGATGCCATCTCTCTCCCAGAACTTATTCTTGTTATCATCACCTCTAATCAGGCCTCCAATGTCAAAGGGATCAAAGAGGGTAAGCAAGAAGTGTCTCTTGTCCACCATCCCTGGCCCTTCAATCTCGGTTTTGCCATCCACGGCTAAGTATATTTTGTGATTGGCCGGAAGATATTTGGCTGGGGGGAATATATTCAAGAGGAAGGTGTTTGCCAGCATGGGAAGCGCTTCAAGCATCCAGAAGAGCACCTCGTCTCCATTCGCGGCTGAATTCGGAGGGTAGAAAAATGCCGCAGTGCGGAAGGTATTGCGAATGAGGATGAAGAAGCAAGACGCGTACAGCTCGTAGATAATGACCTTGCACTTGTGGTTGAAGACGCCAGCTTTGAGGCATCGACGGTGGAAGACCATGGCGAGGTAAAGGAAGGCTAGCATCATTCCGAGCAATAAGAAGAGCGAGACCTTGACCAGGATGATACCAGTGTTGATGCTGGATATGCTGTTGCTGGAGTTGGCCGCTCTAGACGCCCCATTTCCTGCGAGGATGCCATCAATTGTGTCGAGTGCAATACTAGATCAGTGTTAGCTTTTCACCCGACTCAAGTAGACAGCTCGAAATGCAAGGCTTACAAAGTCGTCCACACTCGTCCCGGATGCAGAGGGGAAAGATATGGCAAGTAGTAGAGTATTCTTCCAAAGATGAAATAGTTTGCACCATTATAGACCGGAGGTGCCACAAAGAGTAAGACTGCACTTGCGATAAATACGTCCAGGTCGTCATAGTGATAAGCCCCATATTCTCTGAGCGCAAACCCCGCGATGAACAGGAGCGCTGCCCAGGGAAGGAGGAATCCGATGCGCCAGGATCTGTACTTGAGATTGTTCTGCCACACATGCAGGGCCCCTGAAATGGAGAACAAAATTGCAAAGGCGGCAGAAACGCCCTTGGTAGGTGCGTAGACCCAGTATGATCCTTCCACAGCATGAACCATGGTTAAGGGAATAGAATCAAGGCTCTGTTGCCCGCATGGGTCGCGATCAAGGTTGAAGCAGGAGTTGCGCTTTATATGTTTGAACTTGGACCAGAATCCAGGTAGTCGTCCAAAGTGATCGGCATATCTAGGTCAAGTACTAAGCAGTTGAATGGTGTATGTAGTCTTGTTCCATGAAAGCCTTGCGAAAGGTGCCGTCTGGGTGTAGACAGATTTGGAAACAGCACAGGAACTATTCGGGCAGTGTCCGGGGAGTCAGAATCGGTATCGGTTTCAAAATGCGCTAAAAAAGGTCGACAATACTCGTACACCAATTACGATCCGAGTGGGATGAGATGAATAGACCTCGTGGGTGCCTCGTGGGTGCCTCGTACCGGTCTATAGCGATGTTGTCACCAGTGGTCGCATCCAACGAGAGGGGGCCGCATTTCGGCTTCGCGGAAAGCACCCATACTGGAATGGTGCAACTGAAATCGACGATACACAGTCATTTTCGAAATGGAAGTCGATGCAAGAGGCGAGAATCGACAAGAGGAGAAAGTGTTCGCAACCCGAATACGACTGGGTTGCGCGATCAATCGAAGAGCAAACAGGATGGCAGGGCAGACACGTAGTGAGCCTGGTGAGCCTTGGCCGTGATGTTATATGCCACGCTATGACGTTTCCGGATTTCGGATTTTTGTATTTCCGAGCTCCATCTCTGCCTCGAAACCACCTCCACCTGTTAACACAGCTTCTTCAACACCTCACACAACAGTATTGCTGCGTACAATGGTGGCAATCCGTGCTTGATAGATTTGTTCACTTATACCAGAACACCGCAGATTCGTTCAAAACTCGTAAAAGCGCTGACGCTTGGCTCTATACCGCAGGCGAAGTATGATGGTGTTTACACTGCAGATCTCATACTCATTGATGCTGAGAAATTAATGCCTCGACTGCAGGGTCATTCTTTCACAAAGCTCGATCTTACTTTAATCCTACAACTACCTTCCGAAAGACATATACTCAAACTGTCAATTTTTTAACGAGAGACAGATCAAGTCTCCCATCTAAATGCAAGAGGCACAAGGCCAATCCCGGATCCTAGTGTCTTGTTTATCTGACAGATTGAGCTGCCGAACCTCGTCCAACACTGAGAATCAAGATGTCGCAACATCATGCCAACGGTCCTCGCGTTGAGCAATTTGACGAGTATTTCCATAAAAATCCGGCGCCCAAGTCTCTGTCAAAACATCAAGCATTGACACGCGAGTTTATTCAATTTCACCTAGAAAACTCGCCGAATCGCCGAATTGCATTAGTCACCTCAGGAGGCACAACTGTGCCCCTTGAGAACCAGACAGTACGGTTTATTGACAATTTCTCCGCTGGAACCCGTGGAGCAACGTCTGCCGAATACTTTCTAGAGGCGGGCTATGCAGTGATCTTTCTTCACCGGCAGTTCAGTCTCCTGCCTTATTCTCGGCACTACAGCCACAGCACAAACTGCTTCCTTGATTTCATGGAAGAACATGATGGCGATGATGAGCGTGTCGTGGTAAGGAAGGAGTACCAGGAGAAGATGCGACGTGTTTTGCACCAGTACCAATTTGCGAAGAAAAACCGCCTTTTGCTCCTCCTGCCTTTCACCACCGTCACTGATTACCTCTTTCAATTACGCAGTCTCGCTGTGTCGATGCAGCCACTAGGCGAGCGTGCGCTATTCTATCTTGCTGCAGCTGTTTCCGATTTTTTTATTCCCAGAGAACGCATGGAGGAGCACAAGATCCAATCAAGAGAGGATCACGCCGGCGGCCAAGGAGCAGGGGCTAGTCGACAACTGGTCATTAACCTCGACCCGGTGCCTAAATTTCTCAGCCCTTTGGTGCACTCGTGGGCACCTAAAGGAAGCATGATTGTGAGCTTCAAGCTTGAGACTGACCCTGCCCTTCTTGTGGCAAAGGCCGAACAAGCCCTCAGAAGATATCAGCATGATTTGGTCATTGGTAACCTATTGACTACGCGCAAATGGGAAGTAGTCTTCATTACCCGGAACGGAGGCGAGAGATGGCTCCGCGTGCCTAAAGCACGGAGGTCGAAGAGTATTTCTGGAATCGAAGAATTGGTAGGGAAAGCGGAACGCAAGCATGAAGCTCAGCATGTGGACCTTGAGGGAGGGACTGTGACCGAAGGCATGGAGATAGAAAGCTTGATCATACCTGAGCTGGCCATCATGCATACAGACATGATAGAGCACGGAAAATGACCAAAGGCAGCTCAACAGCAGTTGCAGGCACTCAATACTGAGATCTCTTGTTTTTCACGTGCAGCAATGATGTGGACATCAACTACGACACTTACAGGTATTGTCCAAAGAGACAGACTCATAAGCTGGTAAGTGTCCCCGGGTGTACAGGCTAGATTACCTGCCTAATTGGCCGCAAGAACAACCGGTGGTATGCGAAGCGTCGTGATCTGCAGAGTAGTAACTCCATCAATGCGTTCAGCCGGCTTCTGGGATTTGCCCACCTGCCGATGGGTGTGCGGTGAGTTTTCAACCCTGTCACAAATCGAGATGTCTCTTTGGGACGGACGATGAAAATAGATCATCTAAGTCAATCACAATCACGGATGACCGCAGGACGGAACCCTCGTACGATGACGAGTACTGTAGGTCGCAGCTGACGACTGCCTGCAGGTCAGGGACACCAGCTCCAGTACTGGTGCAAGATCGCGAAAGCCGTCAGGTTCGTTGATTGGCAGGACGGACTGGTTAATAGATCGACCTGGTGAAGAAAACATGGTGACGTTGGGGTGACTCTTGAACCTATTGACAACTCGTTTGTATTGAGAAGCATTTGTGCTTCAAAATGCCAGAGCCAGACGTTAGGCGAACCGAAGGAGAGTGTGGGCAAATCACAGAGGCGAAGACCTCGCGATGGGAACCGACTCTCCACCACTTTCGCCTCGCGCCGGCCACCGGTCTCGATTAGCTTGAATCATATGATGCCCCATCGAGGGTTTGGTGCAGGTACTCGTAGTATTGTTCTTCCAGCCGCATCTGGGTCTTGGGAACGCTCCTTTGCGGCATATCCAGCAGTCTTGAGAAGATAAACTGCCTCCTCGCAGGGTGCAGACTTGATGGTGGTGGCACTGGGAAGTAATGGCGCAGGCTGGATGGGCGGCGTCTTGTACGAGTACATGGAATGGAGGGGATCAAGATTCGAGAGGCTGCTCTGGCCGTGAATGGCCACATCGAGACTGTCAAATGCTGTCAAGCTGCAGTAGATACGGCTTTGCATGAACTGACAGCCGCAGCCGTTCAGGTGGTAGCGAGGAATGTCGGTAGGGGGGTACGGAGGACGGAGTACGAGTAGGGGTGATCCCTACAACAACGATTAAAAGAGACACACAATACGAATCCTCCACAGTCCCGCAGGCGAACAAGCCTTGCTTCCCTGCCGCTCCTCTTCCTCTCATCCACATTGTTGCCAACTTCGTGGAATCGAGGGAACAGCTGCTCAGTCGTTCGTTTCCAGTTAATACGGATCTTCTCTCTGTCCTTGTATTGTTTCTTCATTTTCGCTACTTGTACGCCGACTTCAACCCACCGTCGGCGCTACTGGGACGAGTCCTTTCCCTGATACTCTGGCCAGTCCCCTGTTCTGACGAGACCCTTTGGCCTGCCCCTGCAGACCCTAGCACAGGTGTTTGCGCTGTTCACCGCTATCGATCCCAAATTGTCGGGATTTGCTCTAGCTTGCATCGAATCCTATCCGTGCCAGGTGAGTCTCAACGGCGAAGGATGCAATTATTTGCATTTGAACCATCAGATCTTCAACGTGGCACGGACCTCTCGACTGACAGTGATGTTCTAGATCGATTACCTTGCTACACTCCACCGTCCTTGACATTCAGTCGTATAGACTCTCCAGGGCCCAACACGCAACGCGCCGCAGGCTTCGATCCCTTACCTCTGTCGTTACACCCAGCCCATCCCGAGACATCCTCATACGAGATTGGGCTGACCTGCGAGTACTGCTTCCCGTTACCAGTCGCTCGGTCAAACAATGAGATAGCACAGGGGGCAGTCCTTGCTCTAAGTGTACCGAGATGACAGCAGTTCGTCACAGTCGATCTGTGGCATTGGGAAGCAGCAACCCCGCAGCAGGCAAGACAACTTGGAACGTGTCGCATGGTGATCTACAGCCATGGAACGAGTCTGCCACACTCGTCGACGACGTCTCCTACAACAAGGCCGTCCTACAATTAACCGCATCCATGTCCGAGGATGACCTTGATGACGAAGTTTCGCGGCAACTTGAATCTCTGGGCTTGATACAACCAGCCTTTGTGTCGGCGCTGCAGGTGATTACTTCCTCTCTCTCTACGGTCACAGTTGCTTCAGATTCAATCAATCAGAGTCCAATCCACCCACAATCCCCGGATTTGAAATCCTCGCCTGGAAATGACCACCATCCCGTTACGCGATCGTCTCACATCTCCGACCATTCGCCTACCCAGTCCAACTCTCCTTCATCTCGGGTGAATGCAGACAAGGGAAGAAACTCACCTTTAAAAAGAGGTTTGAAAAGGCTTTCTGGTTTTCGAAGAAGAAGATCTGGCTCGGCGGCGCTTGTGTCCCCAACCTTGACCAGTCTCAGCAGTACAGACACACATCAGAGTGAACTAGGCTCTATAGACATGAGAAACCCGTTGTCGATCAGGTCGAGCAAGAGTTCGTGGTCACCAACTTTGCCCACATCCAAACACAGCTATGATGAGCCTCCTCCCATTGACCAGGACGCTCTCAAGCGGAGTATGGAATCCCAGCAGTTGATGGGCCTTCGGATGACCCAGTTGGAGGAAAAGGTCCGTTTTCTGGAGTTCCAGACCACTCTAATCTCGCAGCTTAGAACCCAGAAAGAGCATGTAAAAAAGCAGAGACAAGTGGAGCATGAAAGAATACTGTCCGAGCAAAGCACTAAGGTGAGTACCTCAGATCTCTGACAGCAGCTGTCAAAGGCAATTGCTAAGCTTCAGTTAGAATGAAGAAGCCGTCGAAGCCCTCGAGGCGCGTCAACTCGAAGAGGAGTTGAAGATGCAGAAGGAGCATGAGCTTGAGAAACGAGCTGTAATGGTGCGACTGCGCCACATGGAAGCCTATTGCCACACCTCCACACCGCCGCCAGACTCTATCAGTCCGGGTTCCGGCCGCTCATCCATCGATTCTGCCCTACCAGAAAGAAAAGTGACGGACAAAGACTATCACAGCCTTGCTCAACAATACCGCGAACGAGACGTAATGGACACCTTACATTCGTCGAAGATCAATGTTCTGCGCGGCAGGCAGAAGAAAGCCGTCGAAAAAATGATTGCGAAGAAAGAGACCGAACTCAAGAAAATGGAAGAAGACCAAGCAAAAGAACTACAAACAATTGACCAAAGTTTCACCGCTCAAGAAGCCCAGTTGAGACTGGCTCTTGGGGTAAAGCGTACCAGACTCGAGAATAGGTGGAAAACACAGGCATTAATCGAAAGGACCAAGCTGGAAAAGGCGACAGGGCTTCCATACGCTCCCCTACCCGATGTCATTGCCGTGGAGGATCCCGTGACGACTGATCTCACCCTTTCCCTCGGCCTCAGTATTTGAACCGACCCTTCCAGAACGACCATTTCAGCACCTCTTTGGTGCATCTGTCTTGTTATTGCTGTGATACCAACAAATACCCCTTTTTATTTCTTTCCCTGACATCGCTCCAACTATACCGATTTGCGGTGGACACGATCTGTGGCTCTTGCCGGCAATTGCCACAATGTAATGCGTTATGATGGATGAGCTCACCAAGGAATGGGAAAACAGGTAGATTATGACCACGCAGTACCTGCTATGACTTATTGATAGACAAGGCCTTCGAGCCGGGGTAGCATATGTATACGAATCCTAGGCAAGAGGTCGTGAGATCCTTCTACATGAGTAGGGATTTCGCATTTAATCGTTCGCGGACTACTTCCATCTTTGGTGCCATTATCGTCATTAAAAGGCCTTGCCTTGGCCTGATATATAGCCACCGATCTACACATACACCATCACAACGAGATACAAGACGGAATCCGAATAGAGGAGAAATTCTCCGATCCCAAGGGCTAGCGGATATGACTACCCGGTAGTCCTCCACCACAACGTCATCGTTAGCTCAAAGTGCTGGAAAGAGTTGAAATAGTCGTAGTCGTTCTTGGGAGTACTGCATTGGATGCTGTCATTGTTCTCCGGTCCGAATACGAGTAGCGCAAGAGACACGAGTATTTACACTCGTACAAAGACCCTCTTTCATCAGGGAGATCGTCGACTACCCTTCACAAGTCTTCCACTCGTAGACAAGCATCAGTCAACCTACGAATACGACAGCCTACTCCGTTCCTGCCCAACTCGTCCTAAGCAACGACGAACACTCAACGTCTCTGGATATCGAGCAGCCGTTTATATCTCTCCAAAGAAAAATTTACGCCGCGTACACACACACACACACACACACACACACAGGGATAGAGAGAGATATTTTTTTCCCTTCATCACAAAGCCCTTCAGTGTAAACAAATGGCAGACCACACCCAAGACAAGACCGACGGCGTGGTCCAGGGCGTCAAGTCGGCCGTGAAGGGTATCAAGGGCACCGGGGACGCGATCCGCGGCACGGTCAACGAGAGCATAGACACTGCGTTCAACGATCCGGAAGGCAAGGTCAAGAACCGGTTGGTCAAGGAGAAGGGAGAGCGCGAGATGAAGGAGGCGGATCAGAAGCTCGCAGCTGCCACAAAGAATCGAACTAACACTCCTCAGGGGACCACGTCGACCGGTACCACCGGCACGACGGGGACGACAACAGCGTGACTCAAGATTGGTGGGCTCGCAGAGCATGGGACGCCGTCAACGCATGGAACGACGACCGGCGCAGGTGCGCATTCGGGACCCGTGGGCAACTTGAGCAGCGGTGCGCCGCCCCAGGATAGCGTCGGTGGTGAACCGGAGCCGTCGAGGGAGGGGTACTAAGTACCTGGATATTGAGCCACTGGAAGGGAGAGCTTTGAGAACAACCGCTGTAAGTAGGAAACTTCGTCTGGGTCGTGGTGGGAGGATAAAGTGGTCGAACGGTCAATGGTCATTCACTAGTTTCCATCTCTCCCATCAAATTTCACTCTCCTGGTTCCTTAACCGCGCTTCCTCGATGCTCCTCTCCCAGTCCGTGTGGAAGATGTAGGCGAGTTCGATGGCAGATACCAATGCCAGTCCAAGCGCGACCCCCGTCCAGAGCCCCCACAGCTGCCAATCCAGAGCGAAGCCTAGACTGAAACTCACCGGCAGGGCGACGACATAGTAGCAGAACAATTGCACATATCCGCCCATCTCTTGGCGCCCCATTCCTCGCAGGATCCCGTTACACGTGGTTGCCAGGGCGTCGAACATTTGAAATGCCGCGAAGAGCGGTATGATGCTCGCGACGTTGCTGATGACTTCTGGGTCGGATGAGAACAAGGACGGTATCACGCCCCGCAGGCTGACGAAGAGCGTCATGTTGACGGTGCCGACGAGGATCGCCGCGAACAGCGTAACCTTCAGACCCATCCGGGCCGCTTGCAGGCGAGCCGCGCCGATATGTGTACCGATCCTGGTGGATGCCGCAATGCTCAGGGCGAACGGCACCTGGAACTCGAGCAGCACCAGGGTGCCCAGGACCGACTGTGTAGCCAGGACGGTCGTTCCGAGGCGCGAGGCCGCAAAGGTGAGAATTTCAAAAGCGAGCACTTCGGCTTCGGTCATCAGCAAGCCCGGGATGGCGAGTCTGATCATCACGCCCCAGTTGCGAAAAGCTTTGGGGGTGAAGCCAGTCCAGCAGGATGGCGCATCGCCGCCGGCGTTGTTGGTCTTCGAGACCCGGATGTAGAGCACCAACACGATCGGGAGGAGACTGTGTGTCACCGCCACGGCTAAGGGAGCGCCGATGAAACCCCATTGCAGATGCCAGACCATGAGGTAGTTTAGCGACGCGTTCAAGGGTGCGCAGATGATCAGGACGTACAGCGGCGCCGAGAAGAGGCCTTGGGCTTGCACGAAACGCTTGATCGCCTCGAACGCTGCGTAGCCCGGAGCCCCAAAGACGACGATGCGCAGGTAGGTGGCGGCGAGGTGCGCGACGGTGGCGTCGGGGACGAGGCGGACCAGGATCGGCTCGGCGAGAAAGAACCATATGATGCCAACGGGGATGGTGGTCAGCCAGAGAAAATAGACCATGCGTTGTGTGTATAAGCCGACGAGTTCCTTGCGGCCGGAGCCAAATGCTTGGGCACAGAGCGTGTCGAGAGACGTCGCCAGCCCGTTGAAGACCGAGTAGCCGGTTATGTTGGCCGTCATGGTCGCGAGGCTCACCGAGGCCAGCTCCGTCGTGCCAATGTGGCCGACTGCAAACACGCTGGATACAGTCAGGGACTGCTGCAGGAGAAACGTGAGGACCATGGGCACGGAGTAGCCCGCGAGCACTTTGGACTCGTGCTGCCATGTCGTCTCGGTGAGGTCGCCGATGCTCTTGGTCGTGGCGTCTGGTCCCTTGATGCATCCGTCAGGGCCACTGCTTTCTTGTGCGAGCCCTGAATCCGCATGGTTGAGCAGCGCTGATGTCTCAGAGATCAGGCCCTCGTTGTCCGCCCTCGTAGCAGCTGCCCTGGGATGAAGGGTCTGCGCTCGATCGGCGGTCATCGTCGCGGGCGCTCTCGTTGTGCGATCACTATGGTCGGCATCGACTGCTCCGATTCTTGACGACAAAAGATTTCAAGCAGGAGAAGAATGCATTACAGAGAGATCTGGAAGTACATTGGGCTCTTGTCCCCTATCAACGACAACGGCCCGGTGCGTGGATACCAGCGATCGCCCGTTCGGATGCGGACAAGCCCTCATATTCTTGGTAGATCGTATTGATAAGAATGCTGTGTACTCCGTACCGGTAACTCAGTTCGTACTCTGCCGCTTTGCGCAAAGGTCAACCGTTCCTCAATGATTCGTGTGGAGTGGATGCCATCGAGTCCGCGGCCAATGGTAACCTCACTCCACTGCATGATTGAGTTGCAGATAGAGATATTATCTGTGTCCGAAGTGCAAGGTTGAGTTTGCACTGTTCGTCCATCGGGTTCAAGTCGTTGCAAATCAATAAATAGGACTATTGGGTAAAATGTGTTTAAAAGTAAAACAGCTTTGATGCCCAGGCCAGGCGCTCTAACTAAGCTGGCATTGGTAAGGCCCATTAGGCTAAACTGCTCCCAAGATGGCGGTCGCTCTAGGCGCGTTGACTCCCTAAACGGGACTTGCTGGGCCCTATTAAGCCCCGGAACCAAAAAGCTGGTGCACGTACATTATCAACCTCAACTCTGTCCTCGTTGTCCGTTTTTCTTGGATGACTCTGTGCAAACTCTTTTGCAGCGATGAGTTGGTCTTGTTCCGCTTCATTCACAAGCCGGGTCCCTCCGGCCTCTGTCCAAAGACAACATAGCTGTATGCCAGCGTCAGCTTCCGACAGTGCGATTTCCGTCGCCAACAGGACTCGAGCACTTACAAATTGTAGTAACAATGGATCGTCCGATCCTTGACGTCTTTCCTCACCCTCGATAGAAATACTTCCACCTCCGCAGCGGTCCAATGAAGGCACCGTGTGAAAAGCATCATGGTCAAACCTTGGATACCCTCAGTCATGTTGACGCTCTCAAGAAGGCCGATCTGTTTGAGACGCTTGTCTTTTGGCCACGAGCCAATGGGGATTTTCAAGATATGCTCTCTGACATCGACGAATCCTGCCTCTTCCATCCATCGTTTCAAATTTCGGGGTGAGGTGGCATCAGCGCCGAAAGGAATGCCTGTTTGACTCGTCAACACGAGGCTTTCTATCGTCGAGCGCACGACCGACAGGGCAAATTCAGCATCGAGCTCACTTACTGGCATCGAAAAACTTCACTCCCCACTGGAACAGAGCCGAGTCCTCTGGGAGCGAGCCATCGTCGCTGCTCATATATGGGTATTTCTCGTGCCATTCGACCCAGCCACCCGGCTTGACAAACCTGCACCGGTCATTAGCCGTCGTACTGACCGCGCTCTCGCGCTCTTTGGAGTCTCAATGAAGGATTTCATACTGAAAGCATTGACGAATGAGTTTCGGCCAGTCTCGAATCGCGCAGACAAAATTGCGATTGTGGATGTAATCAAAGGTGTCCTCGTCCCATGTCCATTCGGCTTCCGCATCGTCAATCTCGAAAGTACAATTTGGAGGGACCCATTGAGGCTGAATGGCACTCAGATCTGTGCCAGTGACTGAGGACCCAGGGAACATATCAGCAAATTCAATCGCCCAGATACCCGTGCCCGTTCCTAAATCCAATACTCGGGAGCCTTCAGGGTTGATCGGCGCCCAAAACAGTCGATCTCCCAACAGATGGGTCTGCATAGCATGCTGCATGTCCAGCCTTTCGACTTCTGCTTCATCATTCGGAAACGCATACTCTGCAGGGTTGATCTCGTCAGACCAGATCCTCGTCCCCCCGAAATACACAAAGCGCGCTTACGTGATCGGCCATAGGAATGGTACCGGCGGCCGTGTTCCCAGACGCCGCGAGTAATCTCTGAGGCCAAGGAAGTGAGATCACTCTGTCTATTCTTTGTCAATGATCTCTGTGTGTTGCACTCGGAGGAAGAATTTCACACACATCGAGGTACCATAGGCAGAGTCAGCGTCCAAGTCGTCAGGACCCTATTTCCATTCAAAGAAACAGTCAGCATTTAGATGACTAGATTCCCAGACAAGAGAATGTCTGAATGTCATGAAACTTCGGCCTACATCAACCTCGATGTATTGATTTCCGTCCGTATTCCAGGGTGATCCAGGTTGCGGACTGTCGTCCGCTTGTGGTTCGACTACGGCGTCAGAAACCGGCGTATGGGTTGCCATGTTCCAGCCTGACCACGAATTCGGTCGTCGGGAGGCCTGGTGTTTTTGAACATGAAATATGAAATGCTGAGAGCGAGGCGGATTTCGTTTCCGTGTTGTAGCACAAAGTCGGTCGAACGTTAGACGCTCTACGAGGAACAGTGCATGGCCTGTCTTCACCCTCCATGGTGATCGTCGTTATGTTGCGGTGACTGCCGACAAGGGCCCACCCCAACACGAAACCATGTAGGGGTTATATGGGGTTCGTAGTCCTTCTGCTCCATACTCGGGACTATCTTACACTTCTATAGGTGCCACCTGTGTCCTGCAATACAACGCAGCATCTTTTATCCTCGGAAGCGATTTTGCCCACCACTGCTAGCTTTCCCCCGTATCATCGACGGCCAATCGTCCAGGGTAGGCTGCAGCTCGACAAACTGGTTCATGAACAGCTTGACCAGGTCAAGTTAGTAAGGCTCATCTGGGTGTGGTCGCAACTTCTCTTGATAACACTTGCATCGTTCTCTGCAAGACTAGAGGCTGTTCTCTCTGCATCGTTCCCTCCAGTCCCTCACTAGCTCATGCCACTCAGTTGTCGCTTCGAACTCTTACGTTCCCTACACCTTTCAACCCCTCCATGCACAAATCGTTGCAATCTTGACCTTACCGTCGCCCAAACTTTGCTGTGTCCCCTCAAAGTCGTAGCTAAACGATGGCAGAGAAAAAGGATCCTTTCCATGTTCTCATTATAGGCTCAGGTATGGTCGTCATCCTTGTCACCTTGCGGTCTGTTGAAGGCACTCGTGACGCTGCTCTCAATTTCTACAAGAGCTCACCCTGTCTTTTCCACAGGCATTGTCGGACTGCTCATAGCTCAAGGCTTGAAAAAGGTAGTAAACGTGTACTATTTAGCAGTTTAGGCCGGCCATTAATGATGATCTCTACTACGTGGAACAGGAGGGCATATCTTACGCCATCTACGAATCTGAACCTTCTGCCACGACATACCGGCCACGAGAATGGGGGATGTCGGTGCAATGGGGCTTACCCATGCTCGCTGATTGCCTGCCCAAGGAACTCTTCGACCGCATCTACACCGCTGCTGTCGACCCCAATTTCGAACCCCCAGATCCTGGTATTCTTCCGACATACAATGGCGAGACGGGTGAGTTGATGAAAAACATCCCACTGTTGCGCATGTATCGCGTCTCTCGCCGCCGCTTCAGGAAGTTGTGCTCAGAAGGTATTGACGTTCAGGTCAGTCCACGCAACTAGCGTGACTCCTTGTTCGTACCCTTGACCCCGAGCTGATCTTGACCTCTAACTTCAAGTATAACAAAACATTCACCGAAGTCACGTATGATGACGACAATTCCACTGTCACGGCTGTCTTCCAGGATGGGTCACAGGCGACGGGTAACTTGCTGATCGGAGCTGATGGTGTCAAGTCGAAAGTCAGGGAGTCTATCTTCGGGGAGGAAGGACAGGCCCTCAGCGTTCCCTATTCAGCGGTCAACCTGCACGTTTGCTACAATGATGCCGACAAAGCAAGATTTGTTCGCCAGGGCCATCCAATAATGACGATGGGTATGCACCCGAATGGGTATTGGCAGTGGATCTCCAGTAGGCCATCCGATCTTTCTCCCAGCCTATTGTCCTTCACTGACCACAGCGCTAGTCCAAGAGGTGCCGGATCCTGACAACCCAGCGACCTGGGTGTTTCAGCTTCAGACAACGTGGCATCGGAAAGAAGGCGAACAAGTAGATTCGCTCGCAAACTTGAAAGCGAAGGCGGAAACAATGGGTGAACCTTTTCGTTCGGCGAATCTTTGGATCCCTGAGGGAACAAAAGTCTACTCGAACAACTTGTCATACTGGATTCCTCGACCCTGGGACACCCATAAGGGAAGAGTCCTCCTTGCAGGCGATGCAGCTCACCCAATGACTTTCCAAAGAGGTCAAGGCCTGAACCATGGAATCGCAGACTCCCGAAGCTTGGTACTCAAATACAAGAATGCACAGGAGGGGAAAACCAGCTATGAAGAAGCCGCTGAGGCGTATCAAGCTGAAATGGTAGACCGTGCTGGTGAAGAAGTTCGCTTGTCGAAAGAGAATACTGAAATGCTTCATGATTGGGAAAGAATGGCAAACTCACCCATCATGCAACGAGGTGGCCATCCCCGGGAGCAGCAGCAAAGTAGCAAACCCTAGGTCTGATTGATCTTGCATGAATGTTTGCAGCAGTCAGTCCAGGTCGTACATATCACCATCTTGAAAGAAACAGAAGTTGAACACCTCGGATAAGGCAAAATAGAATGGTAGTTGCAGTCTTAATAGTGTTCAAGACGTGTCTGCACCGCCGCTGATGGGCTTATGTAAGCACCAGTGTCATGTCCTCCGCATACAAAACCTCCGCAGCGATGCAGTTTACAAATGGCTCAAAGCTCTCCAATAAATTTACCATTCACCTTGTCAGGCCTTGAACCTCCTATCAACGAGACCAACGAAATGCCAGCACAGATGCCTCGTCTCCAGCAAGCCGCGCGGCGTCTTTTTTTTCAACCAGAGAGGGTAATATCGAGGTATTCGCACACCTATGCGACGACCGCATCCATCAGACCACCAAGATCGCACCCGTTTCGGCGACAGCCACTATCATCCCAATGCATGCAATTGCGGAACTTTTCATCGTCGGGCGCGAGATTCGCCGCCGGGGATAAGATGTACCATCGCACAGGTGTACGTATGATTGTTCGCGGTATGTGACAATCCGTTCTCTCTGACTTGCGAGGTAGCCATTCTCATTCAGATCAGCGGCCCTCTTCGTCGGCGTCGGCGCAGTGATGGTGTTCTACTTCCAATACGAGAAAGCGAGACTCGAACGGAAACGACTCACGGAGATGAGCAAAGGCTACGGCAAACCCAAAGTCGGGGGACCATTTACGCTTAAAGACCTGGAGGGCAATGAATTCACTGAGAAAGATCTTCTGGGGAAATATTCGATGGTATGGTCATGAATCGAATATGCAAGGATTTATATTGACGATGAAAGATCTACTTCGGATTCAGTCACTGCCCGGATATCTGCCCGGATGAACTCGACAAGTTGGGTGACGCGATTGATATCATACAAGAAAAGGCACCGAACTGCATGAGGCCAATCTTCATTTCGTGTGACCCTAACAGAGATACTCCTGAGGTGCTCCGAAAATACCTCGCCGAGTTTCATCCTGCGATACAGGGGTTGTCGGGCACATGGGAACAAACAAAGAATGTGTGCAAGCAGTATAGAGTATATTTCTCGACACCACCGAACTTGGAACCCGGTGAGGAAGACTATCTGGTCGACCACAGCATATATTTTTATGTGATGGATCCGGAAGGCGACTTCGTGGAGTGCATTGGTAGACAAGACACTGCGGAGAGTGCTGCTGCGATTCTCCTCCAACATGTGAGGGACTGGCAAAGAGAAGGCAAGCCTCTCGATACAACGCCTCTCCCTTATCTCGCCGCCAAAAAGGATTCGACGAGCGCGGCGAAATAACTCCAGCTCAACGCTCACGGATGGCTTTCAAAGCCAGCTTTGTGAAATTGTGACGAGAGGAAGGAAGGCCAACATTTGCATTATGCATACTATACATAGATAGCATTGCGACCGGCGTGTTTTTTGCGATGTAAATGCCCCGACTCGCCATGTGTATTATTAGATTGTCAGATGACAGCAAGGCCTGTGAATTGCGCCAAATGAAAAGGAAACACTTTGCACTTTGAGCCTCGATCTTGCCCTGGCATTTCCAAGATCACGCCGTCTCTCATCTTGCATATCAACGGTAGCCAATACCATTGCTTCCCAGCCACTTCAATTCCAGCGCTGGCTGGCGAAAATCTGAGAAAGGAAGGTCTCTTGCCCAAAGAAGAGCGAGGGATATGCAGGGGAAACATTAAGCATACAATTACTGCGTCATGCCTAGAGTGAGTGGAAAGATGTCGAGGAAAAGTGAGGCGGTGAGCACTGAACGTGGCTCCATTGAGACAGCGAGGAGGACATGATTTTGTGCGAATTTAGATGATTTTCCCAACAGGCGGTGGCCAGCAGTGGACAAGAAAGACCTGGCAGCGAATAGAATGCCATTGCTGAGGGCATCCGAAAGCAGAGACTGGGTGTCTCGTACGAGCAAAGATCAGCATATCAGAAAGAACATGGTTATGCTTGTCAGGGATATTGCAATGCCACTCGTACGGTTGAGCAAAAGGGGATTATGTGGGATCGGAGCCAAAATGACGTACTGCACGAGGGTTCAGTACGAGATGGCGCTGTTGTGATAAAATGTTCGTCTCGTACGAATATTGCTGCTGGGCGATATGCCAGAACGTTTGACCGGCGAATGGATTTGCTGACATGAGGTTTTCTACAAAACGTTGATACGTGAACGCCCATTCTGCGACACGACTTCTGGCGCAGGTTTGTGCTACAGCGTGCAAGAAATACCCGTGTGCCTGCGAGAGCTCTTCCTTCTTCTACCGTGCGAAGTCAAGTCGACCGCGTCTTGAAAATGTCTGGCGCAGCGAAGGACGGCGACGAAGCCACTGCAAAGTCAAAGGCTTCCTCGGTCCTTGATCCTGCCAACTTCCCCCAAACTAAATCCTCGGATTCAATCTATATCTCGCTGATATATGACCCTATCGACTCGCAGTCCTGCTTGCGTTTCACTCGGTCTCCAACCGCTGGTGCCAATGTCCTCTTCCTCGGCACGACTCGCAACAATTTCGACTCTCGTCCGGTGTCGCGCTTGTCCTACTCTGCCTACCCTTCCCTCGCTCTTAAGAGTCTCTTTACCATCGCGGAAGATGTGCAGAAGAAGCACGGGCTGGAGAAGATCGCCATCGTACACAGGCTCGGCGAGGTCAAGATTGAAGAAGAGAGCATCGCCGTCGCAGTCAGCAGCGGACATAGGGCCAGTGGATGGCTGGGAGCGGAAGAGATCCTGGAAAGAGTAAAAGCCAGGGCAGAAATATGGAAACGAGAGTGGTTTGCAGACACCGGCGAAGTTGAGGAAGGAGTGTGGAGAGCAAACAAAGACAGAGATGGACAAGGAAACATCATATCCAAGTCTTGAGCTTGTCAACATGGTCTAAGTGGGACGAGAGCAGTATCAAGTTCAGACCGAGCAAAAAGCTCAAACATGTCCGAGTACCCAGCATCGTGCTACCTACGAGATCTGTTCCCGGACTTGTCAGGAACACTGCTCGCCATGAAGGTTACAATATATCTGTGGTGGGCATCGGAGCGGATGACAAGGCGAACACCGGTTCAGCGCTGAAGGCATGGTCAGCTGTGCGCTTCTCAGGATAAGAAACGAGATCCTGACCAAAGAATCACAATGCGATGACGATGTTACTGGTACCGACAGCAATGTCGCAGGTAACGTTTGCGTGTCAGTTGATGACCATGGGACTAGGCAAAATCCATTGCCGAACAGACAATACTAGACAATACGAGTACTAGCGAAGGGTTCGCACACCGAAATGGATCGACCACATAGATTCCCGAAGCTCAAAGCCAAGAAAGGCTTGCTTTAACACGACATGGTCCGAGCAAAGCCTGCGTGTCTTGGTTCAAGATAGCAGAAGGCTGGGGATGTTGGTCACGAGATCCCCCAGCACCAGCGGCATCTGCACGCCATCGATAGTGGCCAATATCCATGCACACCCCAAAGTGGTCGACCTTCTTCATGCTTGGGGGGCTGGCATGATTCAGGGTTGAGGAACACGCTAATGCAGCCACTATCGATCTGGGCTCTTTCTTTAGGCAAGCCACAATACCACTCCTGATTGCAGAGATTCACCTGGGCTTACAGCAGTTGGTGGAGGTGCGGATCACGGCTCCTCGTGAACACAAGCTGAGGGTGTGCCCGACTAAAACCTTGCCATGGTCGAACGAGCATGCCGGAGCAGCAAGAATGACCTCCCACCTTCGAACGCAGAGGATCCTGGAGGAATACATACGACGGGATGGACTCTACCCAAGCTTCCCACCTCATTGTCGCAGCATCGGATACCTCTGTGGCTGCTGAAATTGTCATGATTGGCGTGAAGGTTCCTCCACAGAGCTGTGTTGGATACTCTTCCTCTTCCCGGGGAGAGGGATGGCAGTGCTCCGTTCGAGCCAATCCCAGCACTAGGGTTGTCATATCGCCATCAGGCATCTACAGTACGAGATTCTGACAGATGGTAACGTCACCATGCATCGAACCGATACCTCAGGGCCTCTCAGGCTCTCACTAGGTGCATTCATGCATGCGACAATGAGACATGTAGGCACTTAGTCAGACCTCCGTTGCTGCCTAAGGCACAGTCGATAGTGAAGTTCACGTCCAGGCGTCCAAGAGCAGTGCCTAGGTCTGGCGGTGAATCAGGCATTATTGGCGGCATTTTCAGACACTTCGACCCATACCAGGCGAGGATTGTATTTTTGTATGCATAGTCATCCACGTGAGGGGTCACGGCCGTCGTGCTTGTTTGCCTGGGGAAACTTGGTCGTTTCAGGCCACAATCCCCATATTCCAACGCCATGATTCATGACGATCAGGCCACCTTGTAGCCTAGCACTCTTGCTTCAGCCGCACGGAGAGCCTGGAAAGGAAACTGGCAGGTTGCATGTCAGACTCGCGGAGCATCGACATCATCGACATCTCAAAGAAATCGGGAATCGGCATTCCCTATCGAAAAGGTAGTGGGGAATCTTTTTATAGAGACGGAGTTCAAGGGATGGCCCTAGCTTGGCAACTCGCATTCTATGCCGCAGACAGTGAGGCGTCGAAGGTTCTTTCGCATCAACCGCCGCATGGCGCGGTTCAGTTAGTGCAGTTCCTCTCACCACAGGTCACCAATTCGGCATTCCAATCCGTGGCGGTGGTAATGCCGTTGTCATTGCTGTTCGTCACAGATGATCATATGCGTCGCACAAGAACGCTGTGAGCAGCACTCTGGCGGGGAACGGAGCTTCGAATTCACCTACAGAAAAACGAGCACGATCAGGGTGGAGGGGACACGGGAAGGTCTCATCCTGATACGATGCCCGAGCACTACAGTCTGAGGTAGTACGAGCACTCCAGACAGGTATGGCATGGCAAGCATGGCATATTCCCCGCCCGATCAATGAATTCAGGAATTGTTTCCACGTTTTTTTATGACGGACTCCAGTTATCGCAAGCTAAATTGATAGTGATACAAGAATCATCAGCTCGTTAGTGTCTCCTGGTCCCAACACGCACGCGGCGCTCCAGTAACTCGACAACCCTGCTTGCTGGTGAAAATCTGGGTCCATCTTGCGCGTGGCAGCCCTCTAAGCTCTTGCTCCAGCACAGTCCACCTCAGTAAAGCCACCCATGGAACATCACATGCTTACAAACAAACATTGGTGCAAGGGATCGAGCCTCTTCTGGGTCAATAGTGTCGCAACTGAAGCAGAGCATTGACAATTTTCCAGGAAGCCATGGTCGTTTTCGTGGTAGAGAAAACTCAAAGCAATCGTCCAATTGCTCAGTACGAAGGTTGATGCCAAGGGTCAGCGGCGAGCGTTTCCGACAACAATGAACTACCGAGGGTGGTATCCGTACAATATTGTGCAATACTCGGTACAGGTGTTAGTGCATTCACATAGCGTGGAAGAGGTGGGCTGTTCGGGAGTCCATCAGTCCATGACCAGTTCAGGTGGACAAGACGGACAGAGAGGCCAGAGCACGCGTCAAAAACGAGCACCCAAAGATAAGCGAACACCAGACTCGATGCAGCTTCAGAACGGGAAAAGGTAACCTGTAACTATATAGTCCGCGGATCCACGATGAGTCGATGAGTCGATGAGTGCTCTGGCCCCTGATCCTTCAAGTCTCCTAGTGCGTTGGAGGGTACTGTAAGTCAAGTAACACAATCTCGGTCAGGAGAAAAAAAACACCTTAGACCGCAGTTCTAGGCGAAAGCAAGCGAACAGACAATTTCTTCCCAAGGCTGTATCAGTGGTGAGCTGCTTATGGGTTGGATTGTTTGAGGACAGGGATCATCAGGGGAGCCCGCCAAGCCTGCGACATGAGATTGGAGGGAAGAAAGGAGCGGGAGGGATTGATGCCCTTCAAATTGGGCTGACGCAAGCTGAAGACAGCACTCGGTGACGAATGGACCCTAGCACACAGGTATACGGACTACCACGGGTGGGTGGGTTTGTTTGTTTGTTGTCGGCGGTCGCTTTTCCCTGCTCGACAGTGATTGATTTCTTTTTGCTTCTCTTTCACAGCACTTGGACCCTTGTGGCTGTTCGAGGCATCAGTGGCGGGAGGGCGTGCGAGGCGGCCGGGTCTGGGGATACGGATCCAGTAGTCACTACAGGACAGTATCGTTTGAAGCTCGAGCTCCTTTCGAGCGGGCACACAACAACAATAATAACGGCCGGTCCATTCCATCGACAAAACTTACAGTACAGGGGACCTGGTGAGGGCATCGAGAGGGATTGGTCGACCATGTCAACGAGGGCGCACTAGGTCGGAGGCCGGTCGACCAAGGCCGTGGAGGAGCCTGAGGCCGCCAGCAAGCACTCGAGTATTGTACTGTACAAGTATCTCGTCCAGGGGGACTCGGGAAGCCCCCCAAGGGAGATGAGATTGCGGCGGCGCAGGCCCTAGCGACGGCGCTACGGACGCATAATTAGCAACAGTGGCCTGAACTCCGATCATGACCTCGATAATGGCCAATGGTGCAGGCTGTTCCTGGCCAATTCTTCCCCACTAAGGCTGTCGCCCTGGGTCTGATCCTAATCATGCCCTCTCCACCAGGGGGCGGGAATACGAAATCCATCAACCACCTCGACCCCGTACGGTCTCTGTCTGTGACTCCCGGTGCGTGTTTTCAGTCTGCACGGCAAACCCAACGGTGCAGATGCCTGCTCCTCCGTCCGTATGGGCTTCAGCTCGGGTGTCGGTGTCGGCACCAAGTATCAGCGGCGCTTTACGTGAGATTCTCCAAACAACGGACTGTGGCACGGCGCTGATACGAGTACCAGGTACGGGTTCCAAACGGAAAGGGACCGCAAGAGGAGCTCAGGGCGCAAAGGGTGGCCAAGAATCAGGATGGGCACCTGCGATGCACCTGGAAGTCCGTATTATGGTCGTATCTACTCCGTGTATACGTACCATTGGTCAGCGGTGGTGACTGGCCCAGGACCATGCGAGATGCTGCCACGGTGCATGCATTCAACAGGCTGAAATACGCGCACCGTCAATTTAAAATGGTGTACTGGTCCGCTGGGAGAATTCAATAATAGGCCCAATAGCTTCCTCGTATGGTCGCGGGTGAGTCTCGATGCCTGGGGAGATGCTAGGGAGGTACTGTAGCAGGTAGAATCATCCTCCTTGGGCAGGTAGCGAAAACTGGGTATGCTTGGGTGCTCTGCTATCCAATACGGAGTATTCGATATTCTGTATTCTGCCTCGTGTAGAGGGGGTCATAGACTCGTTGGCCAAAGTCTAAACTGGTGAGCTCGTCCGTCGCATCATGAGTGTCCGTGTCACCGAGCGGCGCAGGTCTGCGACTCTGCCAAATTGGGGGGCCCTCGAGCAGCCTAACGGCAAAGCCTCCTCTAAACTTGGGGCCTGAAAAAAGGGCAGTAATAATGCTCCTGTAATAATAATCTTTCTAGTGATGATTACTCCCCCGCTCCCAAGGCTCTTCAAGCCCGCTGGCCGTCTAGTCCGCATCTGTTCTAACCTCTGATCCCAGGGCCCGCAGCGCCGCCGCTGAGCAACTTGCGAGCCTTGAAGCCGCCCGCCAGCCAGCCCGTTCTCTGCCCGTTCGTCCTCCTCCTTCGCCCTCGTCATCTCGCTCATCTTGCGGATCCTGATCCTTTTCCTGTCTCTCTTCCTCCTACTTACTTCTGTCTCCTCTTGACCCAGACGCTCGCTCACCACACAACCACGCCTGTCTCCCTGTTCCCGCCCTCTCGGTTCTTTTTTGTTGTAATATTCTCCCTGACCCCCCAACCTTTTCCTTACAACCACAACACGCTCGTTCGTTCCACATCCTTTCGAAACTGGCGGCTCCAAGTAGCTGGGACAGCTGGGAAGTCGCCCAGGGCTACGACTCTGGCTCACGTCCCTCCTCCTTTCAAGCCCAGCAGCCCCAACCCTACGGCCACCATCGTCGACCGACGACCTTGGCCGCCTACCCGGCCAACAACACCGCCGCCGCCGCCGATATGGACGACGACACGCGCAGCAACAGCGGCAACACCCTCCGTCCCTTGTCCCAACCCGCGATGAACTCGAGATTCCCTTCGTTAAGACGCCTCAACTCGACCGAACCCTACCGACACAGGTCCCTACCTGCTGAACCCTCACCTGGCTCCGACCGCGCCAGCAGTGAGATCACCTTCGCGGTGCTGTACGATGATGGCCCCGACTATCACGTCGGCCACTATGACGAGGAGGGATCAATGCAGACGGCTCGAAATGGACGCGATTCCATGAACTCATATGCTCCTTCTTTCCGCACTCGCGACTCGAGGCTGGTTAGTGACGACAACTACCTCGAACGAAACCCCGACTTCGTTGCCAACCAGAGGTTGCTGGCCGAAGGCTACCTCAATAGTAATGAGTCGTATTATGAGCAGTCCGTACCACGTTATCCAACTCAGTCGGAAGAGACACTCGCTATGAACACACTGTACAACGCTTACGGTCGCGACGAGAAGCGACCCCTTTCGCAACAGATGACTCCACCCATGGACCGTGCTCAGAGCAAACATTCCCACGAGTCTTGGTGCACTTGCGACGAAGATCACGGTCATGGCCACGGGCTGGAGATGTCGGACAAGAAGGATCCGTCCAAGTTTGACCTCGAGGCCCAGAATGCTCCCCCGACACCTACTCCATTCTTGTCCAAGGAGAAGGGTCCGGGAGGTCCAGGAGGCCCCGGAGGGCCAGGAGGGCCACCGGGCGATGATAATCCCTACAAGGTATGTTAGGGTCTCCTACAACAGAAGCACTAGTCTAACAATCCCTTGCAGGTCCAGTTTGAAGGTCCGAACGATCCCCTCAACCCGAAGAATTGGCCTTCGAAGCAGAAGTGGGCGGTGACTGGCCTTACCGCGTCCTTCACCTTCCTCTCCCCCTTGGCTTCGTCCATGGTTGCCCCCGCCATCCCACAAATCGCACGAGACTTCAGCATTAGCAACTCGATCGAGCAACAGATCGTCCTTTCCATTTTCGTCTTGGCATATGCCATTGGTCCCATGTTCTTGGGTCCTCTGTCCGAATTATATGGTCGCGTCATCGTTCTACAGTCCTCCAACATTATCTTCCTGGCGTTCAACACCGCCTGTGGGTTTGCCCAGTCAAAGGAGCAACTAATGGCTTTCCGTTTCTTGTCCGGTCTCGGTGGCTCTGCTCCTCTCGCCATTGGTGGTGGTGTTCTGGGCGATCTCTTCAAACCCGAAGAACGTGGAAAGGCCATGGGTATCTACGCCATGGGGCCTCTTCTCGGCCCTGCTATTGGCCCCGTCGTCGGTGCTTGGGTCGCTGAGAAGTCGACATGGCGATGGATGTTCTACGCAAGCTCCATTGTCAACCTGTTTATTCTCTTCGGTGGTTTCTGGAAACTTAAAGAAACCTATGCACCTTATATTCTCCACAAGAAGGCCAAACTCCTCCGTACACGGAGTGGCGACAACAGATATCGCGCCGACGGGGAAGGGGAGGTTGACCAGCCCATCTGGAAGAAGATTGCCAAGACCATGGGTCGATCTTTCGGCATGCTGTTCACCCAGCCCATTGTTCAAGTCCTGGCTCTGTATATGGCTTTCTCCTACGGTATCCTTTACTTGGCCTTGTCAACATACTTTGAGCTTTTCTTGACCGTGTACCATGAGAGTGTCGGTATCTCCGGTCTCAACTACCTGTCCCTGGGTCTTGGTTTCTTTATCGGTGCCCCGGTCTGCGGAAAGTCGGGCGACAAGATCTACCAGAAACTCAAAGCCAAAGACCCTCGTGGCAGAGGAAAACCCGAGTTTCGCATGCCGCTTGTTGTTCCCTTTTCGCTTTTCGTACCGACCGGCCTCCTCGTGTACGGATGGTCGGCTCAAAACGTGACTCATTGGATTGTCCCAAACATTGGCGCCTTTCTGTTCGGCATTGGTACGATCGCGGCCTTTCAATGTGTAACCACCTATCTCGTCGACTCGTACGGTCCTCTGGCAGCGTCCGCTGTAGCTGCAGTCACCATCCTCCGGTCTCTGGCTGGTTTCGGTTTCCCACTGTTTGCCCCTGCCATGTACAAGGCTCTCGATTACGGCTGGGGTAACACCGTCCTGGCCCTTGCTGCCATTGGGATCGGTACTCCAATTCCCATTATGCTATGGCTCTTTGGTGAGAAGCTCAGAAAGCGAAGCAGCCTCACCATGAAAGGTCCTCCTCCTGGGAAGGGCGGTCCTGGAGGCCCCGGAGGCAAGGGCCCCGGTGGTCCAGGAGGTCCTCCGGGAGGTCCGATGAAGGGACCGGGTGGTCCTGGGGGTCCTGGGGGTCCTGGGGGCCCTGGAATGGGCCCAGGAGGTATCCCAAGCGGGCCTCCCCCTCCTTTCCCCGGCGGTCCCTCCAATGGTCCACCTGGAAAGCACTAATTTAGTTGAAACGACACGATCTACAAAAGAAAATGAACTCGCAGCAAGCATTATATTAACTAATATAATCAACCACCCTCATCACAGCCTTGTATCTATGTCATCATCCTACCTCCAGAAACCTTTGTTTACTATGTCATGAGCGGGATCGGCGTTTTTTTATGGTGTGCGAAGTTACTTCCTCGCCATCGGAAAGGGTGTTTTGGGACCTGGAACCTATTTTTGGTTGTCATTTGATTGCGCGTCCGATGGATGGAGAGAAATCCACAAAATTCCTGTGTCGTGCCGGGTCCCATACAAGTATTGAGACTGAACGCGAGTCGGCAGACTGGAGATGGAGTGCTTTGTCTAGCTTGAAGATCAGATCCGATCCGATGAGAATAAGTCCTGTGGGATGTGTTGGTTGCATGTTGTTGGGAGTGCAGCGGAGTGAAGTATTTATTATAGGAGTTGGTTGGTGGATCCTGCAGGACTCTTGATTGATACCTGGCAATGGGAAATGGGAAATGTAGACGAGATGATGGAATTTCATTGTCAATTGTCAATTTTTCGAAGTTCTGATTATTATTATTTCCTTTCGGGATCGTTCTTTGGTCGTCTTAAGAGTCTTTGATCTTCCCCTTTCTCTGTGCTCTCTCTCTTTTTCGAGAAGCCGATGGAAGATAGCCCTGATACCCTCCTCCTCCTCCTCCTCCTCCTCCTCTCATGTGTACACGACAATACGGAGCCAGTTACCGTAACAGTCATTCTCCCTCTTTGGTCCCGTCTTTTGTCGCTTAAGGGGATACGGGGTAGACAAGATGGATAAAATTGGATAGATGGATACTTCTTTCTCGTTGGATGTTTACTCACCACTTGCAGGACGCGCACGTACGTACATACACAGGGAGGACGGACAAAGGTTATGAATAATCGTCGAGTTTTCTCTGTATACGTGTGTGGTATCCAAGACAGACAGACAGCCGACCCCTGATATAATTTGTTTCGTGACCCCATAGAAGGGGAAGGGGAAAAAAAGAAAACAGACATGTCCAACCCAATCCATCCATTCCACGTGGATCTTTCGAGAAGAAATTGCAACCGTTGGCACATTCGGTCGTTGGTCATGTGCGAATACTCCGTACAAAGTAAAAAGCAAAGCAAAATATTGACACGGGAAGAAGACGAGGAAAATTGATCGTATTTCGTGGGGTTTCGTTCCGGACTGATTTGGTCAGCTCGGTTCGGTTACCGAGAACGAAGGGAGAGGTTGTGTGTCAGTCTTCGAACGAGCGCCGCGGCCGAGCACGGCATCGCCGCCACCACCACCACCAGCAGAACCAATGATGGCCTCCTCGTCGGCTACTCTCGAGCGGTCCTGAGGCTTGTGCTCTCCTTTCTCTCCAGCGGCGGCGGGAGCAGTGTCGTCAGTCTCCGATTGTTGATCTCGGTCTTCGTCCCCGTCTTCATCGGAGGATCCCTTCCTCCCGGACACTTTGCGAGCGGTGCGCTTGGTAAAACGCGAAACGGCCCGAAACATTTGTGCGACGGGGTGGAAGATGAAGCGCAAGCCTCGCCAGAGAGGGGAAAGGACAAAGGTCAAGCCGCGGACGCAGCCGTTGAAGACGACGGCGAACCATTCGTCGGGGAAGCAACGGACCAAGACGCCCCAGAGCAAGCACGGCAGCGCCGTGAGAAGCGAGATGGCCCACTGGGCGCCGTTCAGCCGGGTGATGCTGAATGCCTGCCCGCCGACGAAGATGATCATGATCTGGCCTCCGACCATGATGCAGTTGATGCCCATGAACCAGAAGTTGCGGTGGATGCCCTCGAAGATGTTGAACTTGTTGTCCAGCCTGCGGTTGTTGAACTCGTTGAAGATCTGCATCCAGACGAACGAGTTGAAGACGATGGTGTTGAGCTCGACGCGCTCGTGCATCTCGTAGTTGAAGATGGACATGCCGGCAAAGTACAGGATGAAGGTAACGACGAGCTGGTAGATGGCCTGTCCGATGATCATCTTCCACATGTTGATTGTGATCAGGGGCTCGGACTTGGGCTGTGGCGGCCGGTCCAGGATCTTCTTGGTTGGGGCGTCGGTCGCGAGGGCCAACGCGGCCAGCGTGTCCATGATGAGGTTCACCCAGAGGAGCTGGACCGCAGTGAGTACTGAGTGGTTCGAGTCGTTGGACACGGCAGACACGAAGGTCAAGATCACGGCGGTGATGTTGACCGTGATCTGAAACTGGAGGAACTTCTTGACTGCGTCGTTGACCGCCCGTCCCCACATGAGCGCCGTGATGGTCGAGGAGAAGTTGTCGTCCAGGAGGATGATGGACGACGCTTCTTTCGCCACTTCGGTGCCGGCGATGCCCATGCTGAAGCCCACGTCGGCCATCTTCAGCGCCGGGCCATCGTTCGTGCCGTCGCCTGTCACGGCGACCGTTTCGCCGAGATGCTTGAGACGACTGACCAGAATACGCTTGTCCTCTGGAGACGACCGAGCCAGGACGCGCAGCTTCGGGAGGGCTGCGTCCATTTCCTGGTCGGAAAGCTGGCGGAATTTGGGTCCTTCCATGACGGCGCTAGGGTCGTCCGAGTGGAGGATCCCACAATCGAGCGCGATCGCACGAGCTGTAGTGACATTGTCGCCGGTGACCATACGCACTACGACACCGGAGTGCTGGCACTGAGCAACGGCTTCGACGACACCTTCTCGCAGAGGATCGTGAATGCCTACCACGCCAATCCAGGTCATATCGTGGAAGACGTCATCAAAATCCGCCATCTTTGCGTCTTCTTCGAGCGTCTTTGCATTCGCAGGAGGCCACTGGGGAAAGTCCTTGTACAACATGCCAATGGTGCGGAGAGAGTGTTGGGCGTATTCGTCAATAGTGGCAGAAATGCCCTCCTTCTCCGCTGTAGTAAGCTCGACTACTTGGTAGGCGCCCTCGGATTCGTAAACATTCGAGATGGTTTGGGTAGCTTTGGAAAGCATGATTTCCGCGGCACCTTTGACGAGAAGCCTGTAGCTGCCACCATGTTTGATGACGATGCCCATGCACTTTCTCGCGGAATCAAACGGAATAAGCTGCTTGACCTTGTGGTTTGAGCGTTCAGTAGCTAGGTTTTCCAGACCGAGCTGCTCCTTTGCCAAAGTGAGCATCGCCACTTCAGTTTTTGAGCCGATAAAAGTTGGTATTCCCTTCTCTTCGCCTTCGAAAGCCGTACTGTTGAGTGCAATCGAGGTGCAAAGCAACTCTTTCACCTGCCTGCTCAGCTTACTGAACATGTCTGCAAAAGACATCGGTCCTCCTTTGGTCTTATCCGAAGGCGACGAAGCGAATTTCTTGTCCGCTCCAACTGTGCCGGCAACCACGGTCATTTTGTTCTGTGTGAGAGTTCCAGTTTTGTCTGAGCAAATAGTTGTAGCATTGCCCATGGTCTCGCATGCCCTGAGCACGCGAACGAGATTGTTCTCTTTCAGCATCCTTGTCGTTGCGAAAGCGAGGGCCAATGTGACAGCTAGAGGTAGACCTTCAGGAACGGCCACAACAATAACAGTAATTGCGACGATGAGGATATCCAGAAATTCCTGGGCTTTCTCGGCACCGGGCCGGCTGTCAGATGGCAAGTGTGCGAGAAATTTGATGAGAAGGACCAGAAACAAGAGGCCAGCAGCTGACGAGCCCAGGCCACCGATCCAATTGGCCAGCTTTCCCAGTTTGACTTGCAACGGGGTGGGATCGTTCTTGGTTTGTAGACTCATGAGGATTTTGCCGTAAGAGCTGTTCGTGCCAACGCTCGTGACGAGATATGTTCCGACACCCTCGAGGACTTTGGAACCGCTGATAATGAAAGGGTCCAATTTCGCAGTTGCTGTGCCTTCTTGGATCCTTCGCCACACCTCGTCGCCAGGAGTCTTTTTCATCTGGTCAGATTCACCAGTTGCAGAGGATTCGTCACACTTGACGCCGTGGCCGGAAATGAATACGCCATCCGCTGGCACAGCATCTCCGGGCTCGAGATGCAGCACGTCGCCTACCGTGATATCATAGACCGACACCTGAATGGATTTACCCGATCTAATGACTTTGACCTCTCGATCATCTTTCTGCAGAGCATGTCAGCATCAGTCGCCACATACGAGGGGGCAGGTTTTAAGTTACCCTTTTATTAAGTTTAACAAACTGACGCTCCTTCTGCCAGTCATTTGCGGCACCAACAGTGACAACAATCACAATGGCGACACAGATAGCAACACCTTCGACCCAATCAACGCCAGACTCCCCAGCAACAGTCTCATATATACCAAGCGCCAATGAGACAACAGCTGCGATCGTGAGAAGAATGAGAATCTTGTCGTTGTAGGCCCTCCAAATGAGAACAAGAATACCATCAGGTTTACGCTCTGGGAGTCGGTTGTCTCCAAAGACTCTTAACCGGTCATTGAACTGCTCAGTTCTCTGTGCCTCAGGTCGCGTGGGTACAGACAGAGATGGCGAATCTCCGTATGCTGCTTCTTTACCTTCTGCTGTTGCTTCGTCGAACGATACTTGCCCATCGAGTCGGGATTCATCTACGGACAAGCCTGCTGTGATACTAGTTCTTAGCCCTCGCTCCAGACCTCTTAGGCCACCTAGTGCCTTGAAAGCGGAAAGGGATTTTGGATTGAGTAGTTTATTGAGCTGGCCGGGAGTGAAGGCGAAAGGGTTGTTCTCAACCACAAAATCCTTCTCGTTGCCCTTGTCGGGACGGAGGGCGTCGTCCACAGATTCATACTGCAGGCTGGTTCTGGAGTATACTGTTGCAGTGGATGTCGCAGAGACACCAGAATTGGACCGGAAGCGGGATGCAGCATCGCTTGACTGAGAGTTGAGGGTTGCTCCATCAAAGGTGTGTTTTCGGTCTGGCGATATAGGAGATAGATAATAATTATTCTCATCAACGGCCGTCTGAGGAGGCGTCGTCATGCTAGGACTCCTCGTGTGACTGAACGCTGCTGATGATGGGCCTTGTTCGGATAGGTTCTATGACCATCAAGTTTAGCAATCGAGAGTCAACAGCTCCAAATATAACGAGAATGTACATACCGATGTATCCACGGTAATCCTGGGGCCGTGAGGATTTGGGCCACCCATTTCGCACTGCCGGGAAAGAACGAGACTGCCTTGAAATAATTTGCGGGATTCAGCAGATTCTGGCAACAGGCATGCGCTCTTTGTTCAGCCTTGGTTCGCTTTGAGCCTCACTGGAGCAGCGGACACATTGGTTGCGTTGAAGAAGAAGGCAAGGCAGTCGAGTGTATAAACAAGATAGAAAATTTGCCTTGCGAGGGTACAAACCTGCAAGTGTGTTTTCAAACATGGGCAGTGCTCGGAAGTGAAGAAGTTGCCCCATCTTGTTGTTGAGGTGCCCAGATCGTGAAGGAGGCTGTGCAGCGTAGGTGCAGCCTGGGCACAAGTTACACAACCCACCCACCCTCAGTTTTATGTTTGAGTTGGCGCGCAGATGGCACGATCCAAAGACCAGGCTGTGGGGTGATTCGTGTGATTCATCAGTTGCAATCCATCCACAGGTGATGGAGAACGGAGTTGATAGACCAACATCGACGTATGGATGGATGCACAGCGGCCCCTGAGTTGTCCCTTGGGCACAAAGGGAGGCGACGCCTTTTTCCGCCTTGCTTAGTCACGTCGTGATGGGATTGTCCCAAGGTAGTCGTATTCATTGAACTCGGACAGGTACTCCAGACTTACATATTAAGGTTGACAATGTCCTTGGTACGATCATGGAGAAGGATGCTTTTCTTCATCTTCGCCTTCTCTTCATCCACGCTTGACCAAGCAAACACCATGACATTCTCACACTGAATTGGGTGCTTGGCGCCGAATCTGTCATGGCTTGGCTTTCTTATCTTCTGCTTGGATAGCGTCATTCAGCTTGACAGGAGACAATGGCGTGGCAAGGGATGCAATTCGAGTTGTTCCCGGTGGTCAACGAGCATCATTACGAGGACAGGGAGCGCCTTCTGTGCCACAATCGTAGCAAGAAAAGATGATGGAAAGCTGAACGGTGGATTAATCGAGGGAGATGGAGGGCGATGGAAGGAGATTTGGGCAGTTTTGATTTGATGACCGAGTGACGAGTCCTGGCCAGCCACACGTATGCCGGTTTCACGTGAATACTGCGCCACAAACTGTGGCGAATGATCACGTGATTGGCTCGGCCAACGTTCCCGACCAGGCAATGATCGAGCTTCAACCCCTTAGAAGGAGGATCTGCCGGCTGATCAGACTCTCCAGTCTCGCTTCTCAACATCCGGTGTCGCCTTCGAGGCTGAGCTCGAGATTCTGCTTGGCACTTTTGCCCAGCAAAGTTCATGGAAACCATGATTACGGAGTATGAATATTATGATCACTCGTTGTCGACTCGGACTTGTCCACAAAGTATGCTCAAATTCGTCCTTGAGCTGGTACGGGTAAACCGATTTGCCTCTATCTGGTAGGCACCCAGAGAATCTTCAAGGTTTCTCAGGATTGGCATTGAAGAGATTTGCTGAAACTAACTACCCGTACTGACATGGCATTTCCGTTGCTTAAAGTTAATGACACTTGGCGTCCTTAGGGCCATCCCGTCTGTCTTGAAATCATTGTTCAAATGGTTCACTTTGGTGATATCAGTCTTGGACAGAAGTGCCGCCAAGTTTCGGATTATGCTTCAACCTGTTCGAGGTATCGGAGCATCGCCACAATCACCTCCACTGAAACGGGGGGATGCCCATTTTTGAAAGCTTCTCCGCTGTTCCTCGACACCAAGCTATCTCCCTCGAAACATTCAAGACTCCTTCGGCTTGTGTTCTCGCGCAAAACTCCCAAGCAGTCTCCAGTGGCCAGAGGGTGACGATGCGCCCAGCGATTTTGACTCTGCCTGTGTGGAAGAACTCAAGGCACTGACAGGCAGTTCTTGACCAACGTAATGCTTCGAGCACAGCCGGCTCACGCTCCACGTCAGCATCTGGTTCGCGAATGAGGATGTCATTGACAATTGTGGCTATGAGAGCTGCCACATGAATTCGAACGGCCGTGTACACAGTGAATGCTATCGCAGTGGACAGTAATGGAAAATCAAAACAAAAATTATCGAGACCAACCCACGTTGCAGGTCTCAGTTTGTACAGGGCCCCTCCGTGTTGCGAGCGCAAGGTGTTTTCCCATTCGGTCAATTCACGCGCGACGCCCTTTGTTCGTTCAAGGCGTTCCCAAAGAGATGAAAGTGTCCATTTCTTAGGCATATCCTGCTTTACCAGCTCAGGTAGGATCCTAAGTCCAATATCAAGCATGGTATGCACAGGGTGTTGTGCAAGCTCAAGATCCTTTTTCCAGGAAAATGAAATCCATTCAGGACTTGAAAGGAATGCTCGTTGTCGATTCATGAACAAGAAAGGGGTTTGCAATGCCCGGTACCCGTAGAAGTGCTCCTGCGCAGACTGATTACTCAAGCCCTCGGGACCACCGTGAAATATCAGAGCACCAACTCCTTGAATATGACGGTTGAAATTATCCCAAGACTGATTGGCGATGAGCTCTGACATTGCACATGTCAAAGCCGTCAATGAGAGCATGGTTGGACATATACTTCTGTCTCCCTGGGAATATTTGGTCAAAGCGAGGCGCAGTTTTTGCAGGGCCTGAGTCTGCACAAAGGCTGCATGCAGGGTCATCTCTTCGTCCTTTTGATCTCTTCCGATGATTGCCAATGAAGCAGCTAGGAGGGTTTGCATCAACACTTTGCACTCCGGTCTGCCCACCTCCAGTGTGGCTGAGGTTATCCAAGTCGAACAGCAGATTGAGAATCTCTTCTTGGGTTCGTACTGTATCCGCGGCAGATTCGTCTGAGAAGGGAGATATCGATCTTGAAGAATCTGGATAAAAGCATCTTGATATTTCGTCCCAATCAATTTCACACCAAACTCCGACGGGATGGCCCATAACCAAGGCCCTCTACTCTTGGAGACCACGAACGGGTCTTCTCCTAAGTCAGAGTCGGAGTTGAATGTGATTAACGACCTTATTTCTTCCTCTCCTTTTGTTTCAGCCTCGGAGACGTCATTTGAGTCGGCTTCATCCGTGTGGTGAGTAGCCGCTTCTTCTGCAAGTTTCTTTTCTCTTTGCCTTCTCCTAAAAGCTTGAACGTTAGCACGAACTTTGGCGCGGCGAGCTCCCGCCCTCTCTTCTTCAGTTCCTGGTATTCGAGGTCTACCGATCGGCATCTTGAAAGAATACAAAGACCTGTTCAAAAAGATCGTTGGCAATATTGGCGAAGACTGAGGATCAAAGGATGCCTCCCTCGAAAGTCATGCTCAAGTACTTCGCGGTTTCGTTCACCAGCATAATCTATTAGGTCAGCTATCCCGCGAATTCGCTCAGTCTGATTTACACAAAACCCTTCAACGGCGGCATCTGTATGCTCCGCTCTTCGAGTGGGTCTGCTGGCCTAGCCCCTTAGGTAAGATGCTCTCCTTGGCTTTGTTCGATTGCGACGAGGTGCGATAAGATTGTCAGCACATCTACCAAACTCGCTTCACCGCTCACTGCCCTATGGCATTCAGAAGATGACACGGAGCGGCCGTGACTCGGGGACCATCGAGCATCGGTGTGGAGTACTACATGCTCAATCTGACACGGGTCGGAGCTACGGAGGTGTCATTATCTCAGCTGCAGGCCATTCCTAAATCAGAAAATGCTGCTCTTATTTGACTGGTCACCTCAATACCGCTGCCAAGTCACTCGACGATTGGTGCGGGCAGTCTACTGCTTGAAGTATAGTGAGGAAGAGAGGTACGTACGTAGTCGAATGTGCATTATGTTCTCTACACCTCCTTGCAGTGTCATGCACCACTGGATTATTATTTGCTGGAACACGAAGAATGACTCCGAGCTGACAGTGTATCGGTCACAAGGAGCAGCTTGCTCATCTCGAGATTGATCTAGAATCTCTGCCTGCACTGTTCCGCGACTCTTCGGCAACCGTGGCCGTTGAAAAGCGTAAAGTTGAAGCATATCCCGCTTGGGGCTTGCCGGAAAAACGGACCTCTCGAGATCGGACTGCCCTGTCGAGGTATCCCACACCTCACACGTCGCATAGATATCCAACGGCTGGAATGCTCGAAGTTTGCTTACATCTTTACTAAGACGTAGGTGCCAGTGGATGATGCGTTTGCAGTCCAGCATCGGGTGGTTCTGGCTCCCTTCATGATCTCCATTGCTGAGTCATGAAGTATCTTTACTTAAAGTCCGTATTGGTCCGAGCCGAAGACGTTGAGGCGATGGCTCACTTCGTAAGCTATCATCTGTGTAAGTCGACGTCTTTGGAACTTGTGCCGCAGGTCTCTGCCCATACTTATACACTCACCACTAAGAAACTAACTACTCAGGCAGGGATGAAGTACTCAAGTAACCATGGGGAAAGTTGAGCACGGAGAACACTTCGGCAAAATTCCCGCCGTTAATAGCCGCATATGGATAATTCATTTGCCGGACTTCGTTCTTCGGACAGCATCATAAAAACTCATTAACCGACGATCAAAAGCAGGAGGCGCAGAGCGATACCACTGTGTTGATATTCCTCTTAAGCTCCACTTTCATACTTCTACCTTTTGCAATAGCATTCGACGGCAACCACAGCCGCGCGGGAGACAAGGAACACGTTTGCATACCTAAGAAAACGAAAGGAGAATAACTCCGAGACGACGAGACCGCACCTCGCCACCGTGATGGCACCTCCGGCAGTATTGATGGTAGGTACCGGGGAGTACACTACCGGCTTCGTCTCTGGTGCCGCGTCGACATCAGACAAGAAAGTAGGAGTTGTAGGCTTGACACGTAAGTCCACCAGGCCAGCCGTTTGGGTTTTTTCTCAAACGTCAGACGTGGGACGCATGGGTCAGAAAAGATGCCCGGAGTGATCAAGTATCGGAAAGGGCCAAAAGATGCTCCAAAACAGTCCAGGTAAACTGACACGGTATATTTTCTCTCACACATAGTGTTCGATCTCCGTCGACGGGGAAAAGTCTCGGCCCTATCGATGGCCGGTGTGTCGGGGCGCAAGTTCCCTGCGATCAGACAGCATCTCCAGAAGAACATCTCAGAGGCGTACAATGGGCTGGACGTGTCGTTCTCGTCCTTCCCGTCCGACGACGCCTCGGACCCGGAAGCGTACAAGGCGGCCATCGACGCGCTCCCCAGGGGATCGGCCGTCACCGTCTTCACGCCGGACTCGACGCACTACGAGATCGCAAAGTACGCCATCGAGCGCGGGATCCACGTGATGCTCACCAAGCCGGCGACGAAGCTCCTCTCGCACCACCTCGACCTCGTCGCGCTGGCCCGGCGGCACGGCGTGTTCGTGTACGTCGAGCACCACAAGCGCTTCGACCCGGCGTACGCGGACGCGCGGTTCCGCGCCCGCAACCTCGGCGACTTCAACTACTTCTACAGCTACATGTCGCAGCCCAAGTCGCAGCTCGAGACATTCAAGGCCTGGGCCGGCAAGGAGTCGGACATCTCGTACTACCTGAACTCGCACCACGTGGACATTTGCGAGTGGATGGTGCGCGACGCCGGCTGGCGGCCGGCACGTGTGCGCGCGAGCGCGAGCCTGGGAATCTCCGAGTCCATCGGCTGCGCCAAGGGCACCGAGGACACAATCACCCTGCTCGTCGACTGGGTGAGGAAGAGAACAACGACAACAACAACAACAAGCGGGGCTGCCGAGGGGGACAGCAGCACCAGCGCCAGCACCGGCCACGAAGGCGTCGCAACCGGCATCTACACGGCCAGCTGGACGGCGCCGATGAACGCCGGCGTGCACTCGCAGCAGCACTTCCACTACGTCGCCTCCAGGGGAGAGGTGAACGTCAACCAGGCCAAGCGGGGGTACGACGTCGTCGACGAGGGCGACCTCTCGGGCAGCTCGTTGAAGTGGTTCAACCCCTTTTACATGCGGTACGCACCGGACGAGGAAGGGAACTTTGCCGGTCAGGGCGGGTACGGGTACGTGAGTTTCGAAAAGTTCATCGACGCCGTCACCGCCGTGAACGAAGGCAGAGTCAGCCTCGAGGACCTGGACGAGAGGGGCTTGCCCACGTTGAGGAACACCGTCCTGACCACCGCCATCCTCGAGGCCGGGCGGCGAAGCTTGGACGAAGGCTGCCGCACCGTCGAGATCGTGGGCGAGGGCGAGCACGTCGAGTTAAAGTGACCCTCTACAGCAGATACCTTCTGAACTAGCCCGCCTCGTCCTCGTACGTACGTCCAGGATATACGAAAAAGGGAGAGGGGCCAGGGAGAAGAGAAGAGAAAAAAAAATTGACGGGGGATGACGCATTGTTATCGTTGTTGTTGTTCTAGTTGCTCGAACGTCACAAAATTGATCCATTGATCTCATTCCGCCAATGTCAATAAACATCCCAATTCGAAACAGTAGTACAAGAGGACGAGGTCATTATTAAAATTGCGTGGCTGGCAAGCTTTGTTCTTACAGTAGGTGTAGATACCTAGGCCGAGAGACCGTTTGTCCCAGGTTCTTGGTACTCCGTTGTGCTCGGCGTCAACACAAAGCTGGTCCACTTTGCCAACCTATATTATCTCAAGTGACGTCTTGGGAGGGAGACCATGGTCATTTCGCTTATGATGCGTGCTGGTGAAGTCCAACATGTCATCATGCCTGCCATGTGGTGCCATTCAAGAAGAATCTGGTGCTTCGATTTGTTTTTCTTTGCTTTGCTTTGGCTGTCCGAGGAGCGTCGCGTCATGGGTCGGAAGCGACCGTTTACATGTGTTGTTATTGACGTTTTTGTTGTTGTTGTTGTCGATGTGAAGATACCAAGACTTGAAGGCCCTTCCATGCCAATTTCATTTTGCCGGGCCAGATGCGACGTCTTTGCTGCTGCTGCTGCTGCCGCCGCCGCCGCCGCCGCCGCTAATCACCCTTACCAGCCTCTCAGTGAGACTACCTCTTCGCTCGCGCTCAGCCTTCTTCGCGGCTTTCTCGGCGGCCCTCCGTTGCTTTCTCTCCTCATCTGTCTCTGGAGTCAATCCAGCGACGGCACTGTCCTGAGACGCAGGCCCGCCGACCGAGAGACTCCGCATGCCCATGCCGCTTCGAATGTCTGGAAGCATGCCATTAGTTCCCGGATCAACATATAGCTTGGACTGAGCAAAGTCTCTCAGCGCAGCGAGTTCTTCTTGGCTGTTGGCAAAGCCATGCGACGCACGGTAAGGCGGTAGCCGGTCCTCTCTCCGATCGTACGAGTCTGCGTAAGGGGGCGGCGATGCTGACATTTCGAGAAACCCCGCTTCTTCTGTTTGATAATGTAGAGTACGGAGTACTATAGCAGGGACCGGTCCGATCGACAGACGCCAGACTCTGGGGTCTTGCTGGATGAGATTATGCTCGCTTTTGTCCCTACCTGCCAATGTCCTTGCTCACAAGTAAATAAACCCTCATCCGTCGTTCTCTGTGTGTGGTGTGACGAGGTGAGCGGCCATGAGCCTGGGGTGCAGACATCATCAACTGTTCGTGCGTCACATGGGGAAGACGAGGCCTTCCGTTGGTCGTTCGATGCGGGCTAACAACACCACCTTTATCTTACACTGCGGCGTGGACAAAAAACGCCTCGGCTGGAAACATCCTTGCTAGAACGTATGCTGTGTCACTTACTGATCTTCTGACCTTGTGCCCGGCCGGACTATTGAAGAAAGATCAAGAGATCAATATCTTCAAGTGTGTACAGCGTACACCTCGGCTTTCTTTGGTCTAGATCATTGGTACAACGGAATTGCGCCGCAATCTTCTGGAACACGCCTTGCGGATATCTCGATCCCCTGGCGACACGACCGTTGAGATTTGGGAAAAGGCTTGATTTGGATTCTTCCAGGCCCGACAGTAGTAGTCCAATTTGTTTTTGTTTTGTGGCTCAACGAGGCCAAGAAGAAGGCAAGACAATTGACTCCATTAGTACCGGAAGTTCAAGGTTGTCTACAACAACAAAATCTGGCCAGGGCTCTGTTTATTGGGTACCAGGATGAGTTTTGTTGACAATAATAGATTACCAGAAGACTCTCCAGAGGCAAGGGGCGGCTCTGGGCCCGCGAGAGGAACTTTGCTGACTGCTTGGCTCCCTGTAGTGAGGCCTTCCACTATTTGTACGTCAAAAGGCACCTGTAATAAGCGTTGAAGAGTCGCGTCTCGGGGTGTTCTTAAGCAGGCCTCCCAAGCCTAGTGACGCCCCCAAGACGCCGGGAGCCCAATAAAAAGTGCCCCGGGAGCCCAAAAATAGGGGAGGATTCACTAGGTATCTGGAGGGTCTCAGCGCCCCAGCTTTACTCGCCACTACAATAGCACTAGTTAACTAGCCATGCCGCCCTTAGTGGCCCAGACTCGTGGGACTCGGCAGCCATCTCTTTGGCGTCTGGGCAAAACACCCTCAAGTGGTTCCGTTGCTGGCGATTCTCTCCTCTCCTGTTGGCTTTTTGCAACCTCATGACCACCTTGACAGTAAGTAATGATTCATGAATACCTTCAGGCGGTGTTGACCGACGAAAACCCTTCGCCGACAACCACCGAGCACTAAACTCCCTGCAGCCGCAGTGAGAAAACCGCGCGACCCGACAGTATACGAGGGCTCCGCCTCTGCTGCTGACTGCGACTGGTCTTCTGGGCGGCCCCAGGGTAGACCTCGAGCTCGATGTCCTTGTAGCCGATCTCCCACAGCATTGACCAAGCTCGCATCTGGACTTCAGGAGCAGACACCTCTCGACCGAAGGCGAAATTAACCTGCTAGCGACGCGGGCTTGCTTTTATGATTGAAGATGGGCAGTCAACACTGCAACAACCTCAAGATTCACCCCCTAAATTAAGATTGGGGCTTGGTATTCAGCGGAAGCCTTGGGCTTGGAGGCTCTCTTTTCTCGCCTGACACCAATGGGCGCTGTCATCCCACTCTACCAAGGCTTTACCAAGAGACCCGTCACTATTCACGGAGCGGCCAAGCTGTCGTTACTTTCAGCGACAGCCTGAACAACTTCGATTCTGCCCTTGGCGAAAGCAACGCTGCTGGAGACGGAAGAAGCTTCTGCAACCTGTCGATTGGCTTCGCTAGCACGCTGGTTGGGTTTGGAGAGGAACATCAACATCCGCCCTCCACCCGACGACCCTGTCGCTTCTCAGACAACCATCGGTCTTTGTGCTTGGCGCCTGCCCGTGCCACCACACGCTGTTGCCAGAAACACCGCCAGCCATGGTCGAGCTCGGACTGAGGTAAGATGATTTATCGGGCTCGACAGGTATAGTGGGAGTTGCATGATCAGAGTGACAAGTCCATTTATCAATTGTCCCAGAAATAAATTGAGTGAGTCCTTGTCATGGTGGGATTGGCCACCAGCCTCCCGTACCAATTATTGCGGCGAATCATCTACCCAGCCTCGCTCGTCCTCTGTTCCTGGAGCTGGGCTGACCGAACAAGGTAGAGATTTCTCCACAGAAACGTTCATTCAACTGGATCGGTGAGACACGAGGTTTCCGAAAGCATGCATCTCTCACTACACGTCCGTCCGTCGTCTGTGTGGAATGCCATTATGCTTCCCGCCACGACCGGTTTGTCCATGCGGCCATGCCCAGCAACATCAGCCCCAGAAGCAATCCGCCTGCTAAGACGCTAAGACAGGGACAAGAAGTTTGTCAAATCTGCAATTTTCAGTACCAAGCCAGGCCACTGCTTCCAGTCAATCGTGGCGCTGTAATTCCCCGATGACCTGTCACGAGCCGGGTCTCATCTGGGGAGCTGCAGGCTGATGGACGATCCTGGCCGTTGAGGATAATATACCTTCCCAACCTCGCACATGCACGACAGCTTTCCTCTTGTGTTACTAGTACTATAGCATTCTTCTTTTTACTTCCCTTGCACGCAGCACACAACACCCTCGTTGTTCGTTTTGCCTTCTTTCTATCATTCTTTCTTTTCACAATGGCCTTTTCCAGGTTCATTGTACTACTCTCGCTACTGTCATTCGCTATCTTTGCATATGCTGCTCCCTCGTCCTACTCAGTAACCTCATTAGAGAAGCGAGCGAAGACGGTGAAATTCGAAGTTGACCTAACATGGGAGGACTACTCGCCCATCGGGGGCACACCCAAGAAGATGATCCTCGTCAATGGGACCTTCCCCGGCCCAGCATTGGAGGCCACCGTCGGTGATGAGGTGGAATTCCTGGTTCACAACCATCTCCCTGACCCTACGACAGTCCACTTCCATGGTATCGTGCAGCAAGGCACTCCATGGTCTGATGGCGTTCCGGGTCTCAGCCAAAGACCTATTGCTCCTGGCGCCTCATACCTCTACAAGTGGACGGCCGACGCTTCAGGCGTGTACTTCTATCATGCCCACTACCGCTCCCAGATGATGGATGGTCTCTATGGAGCGATCATCATCAAAGCGGCCGCGAATGCGCCGAAGCCGTTTACTCTGATCAGCAACGATACCTCTGCCGTCGCCGCCATGGCCGCCGCTGAGGAGTCTCAGGAGGTTATCTTCGTCTCCGACTATGTCAAGTACACTTCAGCCGAGTTTCACGAGCAAGAAGCGGCCGCCAACGTTGACATTGCCTGCGCTGACGCCATTATTCTCAATGGCAAGGGCTCGCAATACTGCTTGAGCAGAGGCGAGTTGACTGCCTACACCTCCCCCAAGGTCGCTCCCCTGCTCGCCACCGTCAGCCCCTCGGAACTCACCAACAAGGGCTGCTTGCCTCCCAACCTAGTGCCCACCCAAGGAAACTTCACCTTCAAGATTGACGCTCTGCCGCCTGATGCATACTTCGAGTGCACCCCATCCACTGGCGAGATGGCCACTTTCGACGTCGACCCCGCCAAGGGCTGGGCCGCCTTCACCTTCATCAACCCAGGCGGCTTTGAGCTGCTCAAGTTTACCATTGACGGCCACAAGATGTGGGTGTATGCCGTTGACGGAGGCTACGTGGTGCCCCAGCTCGTCGACCAGGTCATCATCAACAATGGCGACCGTTACTCAGTGCTCGTCCAGCTCAACCAGCCTGCAGCCCAGTACGCGATTCGTGTTGCCAACAACGGCCTCAACCAAGTCATCAGTGGATTCGGTGTCCTCAACTACAAGGGCTCGTTCGGCCCCGCGACACAGGACCCCAATGCCCTGTCCAAGATGAACTTTGCCGGCGCCAACCTCACGCTGCTTGTTCCCTTCAACGACGCCAAGGCCGCACCGTATCCGCCAAACCCACCGGCCGCGAAGGCCGACATCACGTACCAGTTTAACATCAAGAAGCTCGGCCAGCCGTTCGGCGCCTACCAGTGGACACTTAGCGGCGTGGACGGGTTCAACGCCACCATGGAGGACGTCGAGCCCCTTCTCGACCAGGACCCATCCAAGTTGGCCCCCAGCGACTTGGTCCTGACCACCAAGATGGGCCAATGGGTCGATCTGATCATTAAGACTCAGGGGCCACTTGCCCAGCCTCACCCGATGCACAAGCACAGCAACAAGGCCTACGTTCTCGGCAAGGGCGTCGGACCGTTCAACTGGACCACGGTCGCCGAGGCTGCTGCTGTCCTGCCAAACACCACCTTCAACTTTAAGAACCCGCCTCTACGCGATGGGGTGAGTCTTGTGTTCCTTCTGTTTCTTTTTGTTGTTATTCCGTCGTGGTCAAACCCGCTAACTTTTCCTTTCTTTTGTGTAGTACACTACTCAGCCAGCCGAGACCAACAGTACCTGGATGGCTCTGCGCTACGAAGTCGTCAACCCCGGCGCATTCCTGTTCCACTGCCACGTCCAGACGCACATGGCCGGTGGCATGGCAATCGCCTTGCTCGACGGCGTCGATGAATGGCCAGAGGTCCCCGAAGAGTACGCCAGCGGCAACGGCCTTGGAAAGCTCCAAAAGAAGGGCAGGTTACAGGCTAAGGCATCCTAGTTGGATCCCACGCAATGCGATGTTTTGATGTGTGTTCTTTTGTTGCTGTTGCATTTACCGGGTACTCGTGGTTCGGAAGGGGTGGCTTTGTTCTTTTGTTTATTTGGCCTCGAGATTGAAATGCTCACAAAATCCTGGCGTCTTGTCCGGACCGTGCACAGGCGGGCTGAGTAATGATGTCGAAGCCAGGAAAAAAATCTCTACAACAATGCAGTAACCAGGGGTTCTCTACCTAATTATTTTTCCCCCCATCGTTCACGAAAAAGGATTCTGCTCTTGCGCGAATCCTCCTACCCACAGACGATTATCTCCCACACAGACGGGACCCGGTGGTTTCATCCATCTTGGACCCATGGTGGCGAGGACATGGTGCCCAGGCCATCGAAGTACCTACCTTCCTACCTACCTACCTACCTACTTAGTTGTACATTGTGATTTTCACCCCGTTTCTCAATCAAGGGCGGTGGCACGCATACATACAATTAATGATGATGATTATTTTTCCGCCGTTCAGTTTGAGACGTTTGCTTGCTGATCATGGTCATCATGGTCATCGTGATCATGATCGTATCGTATCTGGTCTATATCTGTTCCGTTCCGTTCTGTTCCGGTGTGATGTTACCTTTCCTGGTCGATATCTTTCTTTTATCTTCTTGAGTTTCCAGAGAGGATAGGTGTATATATCCTGCTGTCACGGTGTTTGGAGTTAGTGGGGGTCGGGCTATGTATATACATTTCACACACACACACACACACACACACACACACACACACACGCGCGCGATCTCGCTTACGCACTCGGAGACTGTCTTTTATTACTCGTACATATACAGCTTGCCGGAATTGAGTTGAGCTGGGCCCCAGGGCTCGCTCAGACCCAGGGCTGGCTGGCTGGGTGAGGCCGAAGCCGAAGCCGACCTACATGACCTGCGTTAGCTCCTCACCTCACCTCACATCACATCACCTGTCTGTGTGATTCCTTCGATCCAATAAAATCACCACTTTGTTCTCACGCAGGACGAGAGAATCTCATTCCCAACTAGTTAGTCGATTGGTAGGACGGGTGACACCACCCCGCCGCCACATAACACAAACACGGACACAAAACACAAACATCACACAGACAAAACACAGATAAAAATATACAGACTACGGATTGATAAATCAACGCTAGATAGTTAGTGCAAGCGATGTCCAATTGACACTCGACACTCGACAACTTTGTCCTGACAAAGGTCCTCATTCGTTCCTGCGACGCTTCTCCTCTTCAACCACTCTAGCCAGGCATCATCGACACGCAGACAACTCGCTTCTCTAAACACCCATCACCAGAATACAGCCAATAGGGCTCAAATAGCACATGAGCACTTTGCCATTAAATATGTACTCAAAGGGTATTTACTATTTGAAAGTGGGGAAGAACTATACAGTTCCCTCGACAGTAACGATGGTAAAACAAATCAAAAAAGATCAAATAGCACTCTGCTAATACACACCATGTCACGAAACAGTTGTCATCGCCTACGTGTCTGAATTCAGCATTATGCGAGCAACCTCTCGACCGATTGTCTGACCCTGGACCAGAGACCAGCCTCTGATCTAAGGTGATCCAGCTCCTTGATACCACGGATGGTTTCGATGGGTCTCTGAGTCTTGATCTGATCTTCAGTGATGAAGCTGCCATGAAGACCATAGGTTACCCTTTGTGTCAACTGGATCCGAGCAACGATGGTAGTCATATCCCTTGCGTCGATGATCCACAGTTCACTGATAGCATCGGGCCGACACTCGCCTTCCGCATCCAGCTGCGATTCATCAAAGACATAAGTCAACAACCACCCATCATCTTCGCTTTCACCATTGTGACGTGCCACAAAGCGAGGCTCCTGAGCATACCATCCCTGTGGCAGTTTGAACACTGAGACCGGGTCATCTCTCGTATTACCAGAGCTTATGATGTCAGAAAGTGACCTCTTGTCGACGCATCCAGTGACCGATACAAGACTTGGATCCTTCTTGCCTCGACTGATCAAGGTCTCCGCATCGATTTTGACGAGGCAATCGATCTTGACCGCTCTGCCGAGAGCCGCACCAAACGAGCCTTCGGAGGTTGAACAACCATAAATGTATCGAACTCGGCCCATGACATATTCTTCGTTGACAGAGGGGAATTCAAACGGGATGGCACTCAAGGCAAATTGGTAGTTTATCCGGTTGCACTTGAAATCATCCATGCCAAACTGATAATAATACAGTCGACACTGGTCCTCTTCGTCAGTGCCATTAAGGGTTGTTGGTTGTGGTACCGCAATATTGCCAGCAGAGAAAACAAGCGAGGCTGACGTCAATCGAGACGCCAGCATGTTGACGCTGATCGTATCTACTCGACCAGTCTCTTTGTTAGTGACTTGGTCGTCCCAAGTATTAGCAGTGTGGAATATACAGCAAGCCTTGGTTTCGAACCAGCGAATCAGCTCTGGCGAATTTCTTGGGAATATCCCGAACCGAGATTTGGACATAGGATCATAGGCCACGACCGGTGTGTTCTTGGCCAGGTTGAGAGGATCGAGAGACAACGGCAGATCCATGATGATGGTATGGTTGAAAGAAACGCCAAAGTCGTGCATCATCTTCGCCGATGTTATCCCAGGAATCGGAGCGTTCAGCAGCCTGGTCGGCCTTTCGAGTGGCGTTGTCGAGACGATCGGTTTGTGGGTAGAAGGAATTATTGAGTAATGTACATACGGCGGCGCGAAGGTCGCATGAAAAAGAATCAGTTCTCCGGTTCGGGAATCTACCCTTGGGTGTGCAGTCGTCCATTCCCTCATGAAGCCCAATATGCCTTCGCCGCCGAAGCCGGGGCCTTGTTCACCCCCAGGCTCGCCTTCAGCTCTCTTGCCATTGTACCAGCCAATGGTTTCCAAGCTTGGAAGGCTGACTCGCATTGGTGGACCTGATTCGCAAGTGGCCAGAGCCCGGCCATCGTGGAAAATGATAGCGGTGTTGGCAACGCTGATCTTCTTGATGACCTGTACAGAGCCCGGCAGCCAGGACAGGATCACGAAGAAAATCGCACGAAACACCAGGACAATGATCTTGTACAGCGGCGAAAGCGGGTTGACCAGAGTAGCGATACTGGGTAGAAGAGGGGTGCGCAAGCGTTGCGATGCGATGGTGGACAGGAAGATATCTGTCAAGACATATTGGTTGACGAACTCGGGCTGGACTCCATTGGTCGTTCTTGTGAAGGCCACTCCACTCAGCATACCGTCTCCGTCGAACCAATGCGCATCGCGACCGAGGTCCTCATTTGAGACAGGATTGCCCCCGTTCCGAACGTACTCCCCTCCCACGAGCTCATCAGGAATTGCGCCTGTGTAGACGCATGGTGTCAACGGCACAGTCTTATGGACGGGGGCAAAGTTGCCGCTGAGATACGGGTGCGGTCGTGCCCTGTTGCGCTTCGCAGCTTTGGAAACCGGAGTCATGTTTGGCAAGGAGTCCTGTCCTCGTGAAGATGGCTTCCGACATTGGAGAACGAGACGGAGGAGGCGAAGTTGAAGTTGCAGGAGGAAGAGCTGGCCGTGTCCTGACCGGCCGACCCGGTCGACTCGGTCGTGTCAGTCCTACCGTCTTTCCAGATGCCTTGATAAGGGCCAGTTGATTTGGGGTGGTGACTTCGACGTGGCTAGTACTGCATAGCGAAAGAGGGGTAGCCTTGACTCGATCGGTCGCGAGGAGGGATTGAACCAAGCTGAGAGAGACACGTTGTCGCGAGGAGGCGGAAGTGCGGAAGATCAACGGAAAGGAGGACCCAGGCATTTTACCATCTGCACTTGAACGTTATCAATGAGGTGAAAGCAACGAAACAGAACCTCCCACATGTCAAGCAGGTTCAGAAGCGAAGGTTAGTGAACGGTTAGCGGACGGATAGGCAAGGAACCCACATGATGTCGTTACCTTGGTAGTACATCAATGGTCCAGGCGAAGGGGAGAAAGACGATGATGCTGCGAGTAGAAATTGAGGCTGGATTGACGCCATGTTGGAAAGGGCAATGGCAGGACCATGAGTTTGCGCATGATACAACGAGGTAGAGAGTAGAGTTTCGTGACGCAATGTGTGCTGGCAAACGCGCCGGGATGTACGAGTACGAGGAGGATCCGGTTCGCAGGAGGAGGGGGGAGTGAGGGCACGTTTAAACTCAATTATGTTGTTTATTGGTATTTTAGTGTGCGCCCGTATAGCTGCGTCTTCCTGCGCCTCGCTGCTTTTAGCCTCGCCCGCGGCCTCTCACTTGCCCGCGCCAGCCTTGCCGAGCGGCTCTAACCCGATGCAGTAAGTGGCTTGGTCTATTGCACCTCCAACGACTCTGCGCGTCATGCAAGACCAGCAGAACCTTATCATCGACGACCTGGCGAGCGTCCAGTTGCCGGTGTCCCAGCGACCGTTGACGCGTTCCTGTCCTGGCCTTGCAAGAGATGCTCGTACTCCATTCTCTGTGCTATTCACTTCGTGCATGAATTGGCTTGTGCTCTGCGTTTCCGACTTCTCTAGCTCAGTTCCCCGGCAGCTTGGATAGCTCGTTCAGCATTTCCTCGAGCCCTCTCCTGGGACTTTCATTCCTATCTATTCTTGCATGTGCTGTGTCCTTCTCTCACTGACGGCCGCCGAGTACCTTCTTTATCCCCTTCATCAACCGCCATGACTCCTACCTGGTTCCCCTTGTTTCTCGATTTATGAGTCTCGCGTGGTTGCTTCGAACACGGAGACACACAGCTCCCGTCATTCAGGCGCCATGTACGACTATGCGCTGGTGTAAGTTCGCCTTCGCATCTGCCCTTCAAGAGTTCATGACAACAGTTTGTACTGACCGTCCGGATCTTTGAAACAGCCACGTCGTTTACACCATCCCCATAGCCATAGCCCTGTCCATAATTCTGGGCCCCCTGTTCACCCGGAGGGATGGGTACAAGATCCTCTTCCTGCAGGTCATTGCAGTCTCGTACACCATTCCATGGTATGTTGGGAGACCTGATACTCGACCTGTAACATGCTGAACTGGACTAAGGGATTCGTATCTTATCAGAACGAAGGTTTGGAGTACGTCTGTGCATTGCTATTCGCTCGTCAGTGGCCTGACCTTATCCAGCATACCCGGCAGATGTGATAGTAGGGCCAAAGCTTCTGGACATCCCTGCCGAGGAGGTCTTTTTCTTCGTAGTTCAGACCTACATTGTAAGCCACGCCCATGGTTTTCTTTGTATCATCTGACATTCTCAAACAGACGACATGTCTGCAAATCCTGCTCTGCAAATCTATTGTCACAGCGACATACCTCCGCAACGAGGCAGACCCCAGGGATACATCCGGTGCCGCCCTCCTGCCTCGGAAAAGGATAGGCCAAATCATTCTCGCGCTAGCTTCTGTGCTGCCAATACTGTTACGGGGTAGCAGTGCTGAAGGCACCTACATGAGATTGATCCTTGGCTGGGCTGCACCGGTGATGTTGATGCTTTGGACATTCTCCTATCAGTTACTGCTCCTTTTGCCTTGGACGAAGACGTGGCTGATCATTGCCCTGCCGACTCTTTACCTCTGGATCGTTGATACCCTTGCTCTCCGTCGGGGAACATGGTCCATTGAGCTGGGCACCAAACTGGGCATCCATGTTTGGCCTCATTTGGAGATTGAGGAAGCTGTATTCTTTCTCATCACAAACACCCTTGTTGTCTGGGGTTCTATCGCGTGCGACAATGCCTTTGCCATCCTTGATGCCTTTCCACAGCACTTTCCGGTGGTCCCATCCATTCCCTCGCCACTGTTATTGATTCAAGCATTACTCTTGCCCACCAGCAAGTACGACAGTGGCCGTCTGCATGGTTTGCAGAACGCCCTAACGGTGCTTGCACAAAAGAGTCGATCCTTCTATCTCGCCTCTGGCGTCTTCTTTGGCCGGCTTAGGATTGACCTCATCTTACTGTATGCCTTCTGCAGAGTGGCAGATGATCTGATTGACGATGCTCCCTCTGCAGAAGAGGCAGACATGTGGGTCAAGCACTTCACCCACTTCCTCGATACGATCTATTCTTCAAAGTGTGATCAGGCACGATTGGAAGCGGCGTTGGCACCTTTCTCGCCAAGGGCACAATCCATCCTTGTCCTCTTGCCCTCGGAGAAGCTACCCTCTCAACCTCTATATTTGCTCTTGGAAGGATTTCGAATAGATCAAGAGTTTTTCGCCAAAGACGCAAAGGAAAACCCTCCCATCAAGGCCTTCAGCGATCTCGAGCGGTACGCCACGTGTGTAGCTGCGACAATAGGCGAGCTATGCCTCAGTCTCGTCTACGAACACAGCCCCGACAAGCAAGCCGACTCCGCTACAATAAAAAGATGTGTGGAGGCAGGTACCAAAATGGGACGAGCACTGCAATACGTGAATATTGTGCGAGATGTCCAAACTGACGCCGAGGTCGGGAGGTGTTACATCCCCGACGAGTGGTTTACCAAGTCATCTACCTCATCGCCTGCTGCTCAGCAGCAAGAAATCCTACGCCTCCGAGAAAAGATCCTAAATACAGCCTTCGAAATCTATGCCGGAAATAGGGACGCCATCGAGCAGCTACCTCCATATGCTCGGAGTGGCATTCGTGTCGCGGTCGAGAGCTACATGGAGATAGGAAGGATGTTGCGGCACCGCATCAATCAGGGACAACCACTGGACTTCGCTGGGGGTGGAAAGAAAGGACGAGCCAGTGTGCCCAGATCACGCAGAGTCTGGGTGGGCTGGAGGACCCTGGCGGGATGGAGGGGTCCAGCGTAATGAACCCGGCGTTATGAGCGCCATCACAACACGAGATTCTCTCTGATACGATAGGAGATAGCCGGAAGTTGGGGCGTGTCCCGCGAGTTCATGCAGGGCGTGAAGACACGCAAAGCAATAGTGCGCCTGTGCTGTCAGAGGGTTTGCAGGGGTGGATGTTGCTGCCACCGCCAATGCGGGGGAGATCGACGGGGAGCGTTTTCTACGCGCTGAACTAAAACTCTCCGTAGTCGTGCTCCATCAGATACATCAGCTTCAAACGCTCGAAGCCTGTGTGTCGATTTTCCTCCCACGACACGCAGATTTATCCACCAACAAACGTCGTATCAAGTTTAGCAGCCCTCGAGCCGAATTTGGCAAGGATGTCTACAGCTGGCTGCAGACGGAGACCGCCTAGAGCGCCAATGTGCTGGCTAGAGTCATGTTGTCATTGACTTTCGGAGATACAATCGCATTCCACCCTCAGTTTCTGCTCCCACCCGGCTTGTTCTTCTGATTTCCGTGTCTACATTGTCGAAAACTGTGGCCAGGATCATGGATAAACCCAAGACCGCTGTTATCGTTGGTGAGTACTGGCTTTCCTGCCTGACTTCATCGAGGCCTGATCGTTGACACAAACCTCGTAGGAGCTGGCGCTGGAGGGATTTCGAGCGCAGCACGCCTTGCAAAGGCTGGCTTTCGTGTCACTGTTGTTGAGAAGAATGACTTTACCGGTGGACGGTGCAGTCTCATCCATCGAGATGGCCACCGATTCGACCAAGGTCCCTCACTCCTCCTCCTTCCCGACCTCTTCCGCGAAGCATTCACCGATCTAGACACGTCTCTCGAAGCAGAAGGAGTTGAATTGCTCAAATGTGAGCCAAATTACAACGTGTGGTTTGGCGATGGAGAGTGTATCGAATTGTCGACCGATGTGGCTGCCATGAAAAAGACCATTGAAAGGTGGGAGGGCAAAGATGGCTTTGAAAGATATCTACAATGGATGCAAGAGGCCCACGTCCACTATGAGGCAAGCGTGGTCCATGTTTTGAGGAAGAACTTCACAAGTCTTTTGCATCTCGCGAGACCCAGCTTCCTGCCGTACCTGCTGGCTCTCCATCCGTTCGAAAGCATCTGGCGTCGCGCGTCGACATATTTCAGAACCGAGAGAATGCGACGGGCTTTCACATTTGGAAGCATGTACATGGGCATGAGCCCTTTCGAAGCCCCAGGCACTTACAGCTTGCTACAGTACACCGAGCTTGCAGAGGGTATCTGGTAAGATGATGTGGCCCTGACATGGCCTCAGCTGACCAGTTTCTAGGTATCCTCGAGGTGGTTTTCACAAAGTCCTTGATGCTTTGGTTCAAGTAGGCGAACGTCTAGGAGTGCAGTACAGGCTCTCTACTCCGGTGTCGCATGTGAATGTTGATCGATTTTCTGGTCGTGCAAATGGAGTGACTCTGACGACGGGGGAGATACTCAATGCTGACATAGTGCTCGTCAATGCTGATCTCGTCTACGCCTACAACGAGCTCCTGCCGCCGTCACAAAAAGCAAAGACGCTCTCAAAGAAGCAAGCTTCCTGTTCCAGCATCTCCTTTTACTGTGAGTCGAGTTTATCGTTGGAGCAGAAGGAGTTCTCTGACATGGTACAGGGTCCATGGACAAGATTATCCCTGGGTTACATACCCACAATGTTTTCTTGGCCGATGAATACCAAGACAGTTTCGACGATATCTTCAAGCGACAATCGATACCCAAAGAGCCCTCTTTTTACGTCAACGTGCCTTCCCGAGTCGATCCCAGTGCCGCTCCTAGCGGTCGAGACACCATCGTTGTTCTCGTACCGTGCGGGCACTTACTAGAGAGCCAGGCTGATCGCGGATTGAACCCACAGCATGCACAAGACTGGCAAGCGATGGTGTCAAAGGCTCGCAATGCCGTGATTGAAACAGTACGTTTGAGGACTGGGGTCGATCTCGGGTCCCACATTGTCGACGAGGTGATCAATACGCCTTCTTCGTGGAAACAGAGCTTCAACCTCGATAAGGGTGCTATTTTGGGATTAAGCCATTCGTTCTTCAATGTCCTCAGTTTCAGGCCACGCACGAAGCACGATCAAATCAAGGGCCTCTACTTTGTTGGCGCCAGTACTCATCCTGGGACTGGCGTCCCGATCGTTCTGGCCGGTAGCAAAATCACAACCGGACAGATCCTGGATGACTTAGGCATGAGCAAGCCTTGGTCTCCTGGGGGCCACGAAAAGAGGGTGGTGAGCAATCTGGACGTAGTGGCCAGACCGCCGTTGGCTCTTGGACCTCTGGTGGTGTTCTCCCTTATGGTCTTGTGGGCAGTCCTTCTGCCTTACGTCTTGAAGTATACGCGTGCTTGATAGAGAATCTTACTGTTGTCTAGAGTTTTGCGAGCCTCGTCAGGGTTACGCTAACATGTGATGTCTGATGAAGATCAGCGATGTCATATGTGATCCACCAGGTCTCGTCTTTCCCGCCTCGTACTCGTACTCGTGTCCTTCCCGAGATCTGTGGCGCCAGAATCTTTGCCATTAGCCACAGCATCTAAAGCAGCAATGCCTCTCAAGTGGAGTTGGTTTTCATGATGTCAAGCGATCCACGTCGGTTCATAAGCCTCTTGATGAATTCAGATGTCTGCCAAGTCGGTCGATCATGGAAGGCGATCATCTTTCGTCGACATCTCAGTTGTACCTTGACTTTCGGTTGTCTAGACCTTCGTCTGATGACTATTTTTGTCACTCTCGTAATGATCACCTTAACAATCCGAGTATGCTGTCACTGATATTGAAGCATGGGTGGGAGAAAATGCTCGTACTCGGAACGTATCTTTCTTGCATTATTCTCTGACTGCCAAAGTTCTCTAACGCGAGCTCTGAAAATACGTTGCTTCTCAGTGACTATAGCAGTTGCTCTGGTATGGGCACGGCAGTCAACGGCAAGTACTATCGCGAGAACCGCTGACGGGTGACGTTCGGGTGTTTGTCGAGTGGTCGACACATTATTCATGCTATCAGCGTGCAGTATTGTGTATGGACCAAAGACAGCCCGATCCTCCCCGTACATGGAAATGTTTTCAAGGTATGTACTCATCCGATGCGCCCACGACTCTACAAAACATGCGGGATCTGAAGCTCGGGCCCATTCAGATCGAGCATTGGCCGTTGTTCGATGAACCGCGTCCCTGGAGCCGGTGACATCAACACTTTTCACTATCACCACCATTGTCGAATTCTGACGGTTCCTGGCCTCTGCGAGCCTTGTGGCACCGACTGGAGCGGGCAATATCGCAAAACCTTACCCTGCAACGCTTCTTCAGGACAAGCTTTTGCCTTTGCGGAATCCGCGGCATGGTTCGTCGTCATGGATCTGATCTGTGTCGTTCCCAGACATCCTTCTCGTCCATTATGGACCTTGTGATGAAGAGGGAAATGGGGAGCTAATAGTCTAGACGTCATGTGCTTGTCGTTGGCGATGAGTCGCATTCTAGTATAAAGAATCTATCTCTTGGACCGTGGCTCCTAGAATCGAGTGCCGTCCAAAAGCCCGGTCGATTAACCTCTGCTCAGTCCCAGGAAACACAGACCCCGGCGCCCTATTGCATAGTCGTCACATCCGGGTCGCATAGACCAAAATACTTTGCCAACATGGGTAACGACGCGCTCAAGGCCAACCCGATGCGAAACACGGTCACAACCGACAATCATGTAAGTCGCTGCAGATATCTGCACCCTCCAGGGCATGCTCAGGACAACGCGTTTGCTTGGTTTCACTGGGGTGCCATCACTGTCTGCGTCGAACGGCCTCTATCCCACATGATGCGACGTCTAACTTGAGTGCAGATCACTACCGCCGGTTCGGACTTCTATTATGCGATATGCGCTGCCATGGGGTTCAGCACATTTGTCTTTATGGCGCTGTCGTTTAACAAGTCGCGGTCGCAAAGGATCTTCCATTACCTGACGGCCTCGATCACTCTCGTCGCTTCCATTGCTTACTTTTGCATGGGAAGCAACCTCGGATGGACTGCTATTCAGGTCGAATTCGAACGCAGCGACCCCAAGGTGTCAGGAAACATGCGACAGATCTTCTACGTCAGGTACATCGACTGGGCCATCACCACTCCATTACTGCTGGCCGATCTCCTGTTGACATGTGGTCTTCCAACTCCCACCATCATGTACGGTAGGTTGATACCCTGAGCACGACTCTTCAGCCTTCAACTTCGGGGCCTCTATCCAAGATTCGTAGCGTGTATCTGACACATCTCAGTTGTGCTGATGGACGAAGTCATGGTCGTCACGGGCTTGGTTGGAGCTCTTGTCAAGTCGAGCTACAAGTTCGGGTAAGTTTCATGTCCAACGTTCTTCGCCGTCGTGGCTGTGGTTGATCGAGACCAGGTTTTTTGTGTTTGGCTGCGTCGCATTCCTCTTTGTTGCCTACACAGTGGTCTTTGAAGGTCGCGCGTATGCCCGTATTCTTGGTCAAGACATCCTGAAGACTTATACGCTCTGTGGAGTGTGGACCATCTCGCTGTGGTTCCTATATCCCATTGCCTGGGGATTATCTGAAGGGGGAAACGTAATTTCCAGCGACGGCGAGGCGGTTTTCTACGGCAGTCTTGATCTGTTGGCCAAACGTGAGTTATCCGACAGACATTCCATCCCGGTCGTGGGAAAGTGCTGACATTGCGTGTGGCCAGCTGGCTTTGGCGCGCTTCTTCTGTGGGGGCATCGCTCAATCAAGGTGGAACGACTTGGAATTTCAATTCGTGATCCGGAAACCGGCCCGTCGCGACATAAGGAGAAATCTCTCCAGCAGCACGATAATGCCGTGACTGGTCAAGATGCGGGCGAGTCTCAGCCTGCGACGACTATGTAGGACTTTGTTGTCGCCGTATTGAGGGGGTTATTCTTTTGTTTGGTTGCTGTACACTGCGAGGAATGTTATGGACGCATCAAATGGGGATGACGCGCAAGGGAGATCTACGTGGAAAAAGATATCTAGAGGGGGTTTTAGGTGAAGCGAGGAGGCAAAGGGTTGACTAATGGATGGATGAAACTGACTATCTAATGCGAGGTAGTGGTTGAGCTGATCGTGGTGTCTTCCCCCATCTAACAACGTTACGACATTTGATATCCAAATTAGTAATAATTCTCGGATTATATCTTTTTCCCTCGCAGGAATTGACGGAAGGGTTTTGTAAATGCTCACTTTTGCTGGTGCATTCGGCCCGGTGGAACAGGTGAACAGTACAGAGTACGATATTGAATGGTGATTTCATCAGTTACGCCAGCGGACTAAAATACCTCTGGGCCATGTACAGGTCTTGATCGAAATGGCTGCGATGGCGTGTCGCAGAGACGAACAAAGCCACGCTAATAAAAGGCTCGGAGTTTTACCTTCTTTACACCATTTCCGGGCCAGTCTCAGTCAGAGTCACGCTGAGGAGTGAGCCAGTTTTGTCCCCCTGCCATTGTGTGTCGTTGAGTCCTGAGTTCCGAAAGGGTAGACTCCTATAAGTTGCCCGCAGGAGGAAACAGAGGCTCGGGTTCATCGACTCTACGTGTCACTAGTTAGTGACTCCTGACCAAGAACGAGGTCTTCCCAAATGAGATGCCTGAGGGCTGTATTCGGTAGAGATGCGAGATGTCGAGACTCGAAAGGGGAGGCGGATCGAAGGCACGAGTCACGAAAAGGAGTCTGATTTCGCTTGAGACACACTGGACTGGTTGCTGGGTCGATACCGATGCTCCTTACTAGTCACTAGTAGTGTCCAGTCTATACAGAACTCCTTGCCGTACACTCCATATTCGGGGGCCTCCCCACGAGGCCATCGTCACTCCAGTCTACGTACGTCAAAAAGCCCCTGCTGACTACAATAGTTGGTATGGTTAGGCTACTCCCCCGGAGAAGCAAATTATACTGTACGGAGTACGGTACACGCAATCTTATCACACTCAATTAAAGCCTACGGTACGGAGTGTAGGAGACAGGTATCAAACTGCGAAGCCTGGTGGCCGAGGGGTTTATTAGAAGTTAGAATGAGGGACTAGGCTCGCCTCTAGTACTGTAGGTCTCTGTGCCATCCGGTTCTCGTCTTATCGCTGTTCCAAGTGACACACTCTCCCCCAACGCTTCAATCCCTTTACCTACTCGGTGCCGTACATGAAGCTCTGTCGCGTTCGAGATGCTGTGATCCATGCGGCGACACGGGCCTCGAACCCCGTTGGGAGAGTCGATGCCTGTTTCTAGACCGCCGCAGCATCAGTACAGTAGATACTAGAGACCCTTGCGCCGTTGAGAGTGTTTGAGCGCCTCGACCGTGCGATTGGGGAGCTTGAAGGCTCTCAAAGCTCTCGAGCACAATCTTATCGCTTGGACAGCGGTCTGTGAGTGATAGCATGATAAGTGGCCTTTCCCGGTGAGATTGGTCGAACAGCTGTCTGCAGTGGTTTTAGGTTTGGTGGCCCAAAGGAGCAATTTCTCTTGCTTCCAGGCCAGAGACGCCGGTGCGATGATGGCGCCAAGCCAACCACTTTGGGGAGATTCGGAGCACAGACTAGTAAACAATAGCCTGTCAAACACCATGGCTCTGCGCTTCCTCAGTCGACCAAGCACCTGGAGCGGGATTATTGTCCCAGTTGACCAGCACTGAAACCCGTCCTGTACCCATGGTAGGTCGCTTGAAGTTGGTCGACGGTCACGAAGCATAGGTAGGAACCCAGTCAGGACGAGCACGGCGTACTCAAGGTAGAGGCATGTTGCAAGGAGCTGCGGAAATCAACAATGCTTTTCCTGCGGCAAGCCAAATTACCTCGTGGCCAACCAACCCCGAGAATCACCTCTGGGCCCTGGCTACGTGCCAGCCAGCAGTTGCAAGAAGAGTTCTGCGTGCGACGTCAGCGGCAGATCTGGCACCAGCAAAGCTTTCCTGCTCGACTCTGGTATTGTGAAATTGACACGGTGACACTGGCGGCTCGGAGGCTCTGCATGGGGTGTCGAGAGCCAGTCTGCAGAGAAACCAATATGCTAGTGTGTCAATGCACCCTGGGCCGAACCGAAAGTGCCAGCAATGATAGGCGGCTGAAGATTTCGCGAAAAACTCTGCCCTGGCTCTCTGTGCCGGCCGTCTGCCAGGGCCCGCATCGCCGGCCGTCTTTGCAAGAGGGTTCCATCGTCCAGGGCGAATCAGAAACGAAGCGCATTTGAATTTGCCTGCTCAAATTCTTTCGCCATCCGGGGTTTCCCTGGCGTCTGCGGTCTTCCCTTAAGTTTCGAATTGTCCCGACTAGCATCAATGGTTCATGGCTAATCTGGCGCTTGACATCCCTAGCGGCCTGTCGGGAGATTTGGCGTGGCTGGCATTGGCTGGCGGCGGGGGACAGGCCAGGAACAGGCCCGGATGGGCAGAGGCCGGCCATTCAGCGACCGTGTTTCATGGTGGTCCACTTTCTTTTCTTCTCCACGATCAACGGAGCTCAATCCCAGCGAAATCAGCAATTCGGCCAGTCGACGGCCATCGTCTGGAAGCTGGACTGTGACCGGCGCTTCTCTCCAAACAAACGCAATTTTCACTGTCGAGGCGACCATGCCATCGCTGCGACGCTGCCAGGCCAGCGGTCCACCTTTATCATGGCCAGCGCACCTCCCACAACCCTACCCCATCAGATATGCTTGCCGGCCGCCACATATACGCTTGTGCTGCTCTCTCTCTCTCTTTGCGTTGACCTCTTCTCCTTGCGCACCCCAGAGTCTGATCTGCAGATAGCACCTTTGGCTATCGTCCGAGTCACTGAGCTCCCTCTCAGTCGCATCGCATTCGTTTCAATCACCAACTCGAGCAGAGCTCACTCAGGCAGTCAGTCACAGCCACAACGCAAACACATTCTTTCGCCGAGCACAGCATATCGAGAAACCGTCGTTCGGTCGCAAACCCACAGCTCTATCGAGGAGAGCATTCCCTGACCCACGTTATTCTCGACTATACATCAAAATGCGTTTCACAACAGCATTCGCCGCAGCCCTGCTTGCGCTGACACCGTCTGTGTTCGCAGATGCGCAGGCAGGAGACTGGTCAGAAACAACCAGTATCACCGTCACAGCTACCATGTCAACTACAAAGACTGTGACCAAGTACCTTATGTACGCCAACGCAACCACATCCACCATCGTCTCGCACCCAACCGGGTGGAACAGTACAGTGCACACCACCCAGGCATCATCAACAGAATACAACAAGCCCACCCTCACCGCCGGCTCATCGTCTTCCTCTGGCAGCCCGTCAATCGTTTCTGCCACCGGTGCCGCCAGCGCGCAAGATATCAACCTCGCAGTGGCCGCTCTAGCAGGCGCCGCCGCCATGGTCTGGGGTTCGTTATAGCCAGACACACTCAGATAAACTGTCGACATGCTCAGCGTCCAGTCGATATCAAACTTCATTTCTTTTGTCTTTTGACTGTGTCAATAGTCTTTGCTGAGTCGAAGCCCCAGTCTGCCTCCTCGGCTGGCCTACCTTACATGAAGTTTTCCATATTTTATACCCATATTGTTTGATTTCTTGGAGAGCGTCCGAAGAAGGACACTCTTATTTTCTCGATGCGGGACTCGGGGGAATCCATAGGTCGCAGCCGGCCTTGTGTGTTTCGAAGGCAAGAGTATTGGAGAGGGAGGAGATGGTTTTATATCGCCTGGGACGCGATTGCTGGGTGGGGGGAAGGGAACAGAGGAGACCTGCATACACTCACGGTGTCTGTCTATGTTTGTGTGTGGCAAGGGACATTATGCGCTTCGACGCACAAGTTCCAGGGGAGAGGAGAGACGAGGAGATTTATCGTATGTCTGAGCAGAGGGAGGGGCTGCGCATGATTTTTGCATTGAGACGACCGATACGACTGAAACTATTCTTCTCTTGTTGAATCGTGCAAGCGAAATCATTCTAGCTCTCTCCGGAGAAATCTTATATGGCCTTTCACAGCTGTATAGTTTCAACACGATTTTGAATTTTGAACATGTCTACATGAAAAACTTTGTGGTAATCGAGTACGGAACACTGCGTGGGTGAACGGTTATACCCTGTTCTGAATGTGTTTGCCTGATGAGGTGTATGTAACAGGCGCGCGCAAACCCCCCCTCCGCCCCGTACGTGCTGATCACCATTATTGTTCAGGTTTGGCTGGAGTGTGTAGAAGAACGATGCAAAGTACTGCTGCCCGACCAACTACGCAGGAAGACTCCAAAAGAATACAGGGTACTCGTACTCCATACTACCTAGGTAGATATTGTCCTAGGAGGTGTCATATAGTGATCGCTGCCGAGTGCCGGCGACAGCGACAGCGGCGGCATCGGCAACGACGGACTCATCCATCTGTCACCCGCACACGCGACACTCGGCTCGATTTGACGCGTCGTGAATCTCGCCTTCAACGTCACTCGCCTTTTCAACACCACCAACAAGCGCATCTTCCGTGGGAGTACTCGCATGTTGGATTTATCCGCCGAGGTTCCCATCGCTCTTTTCTTTCTTTGGTTTCTTTGCTCACCTCTCCGCCGGCTTCTTCAACCTCTGAGCGCCTGCGCATAGTCTATTTCCCAGTGTCCAACTTTCCCTCTCCTCCCCTCGCCGCGATCCTCTCTACTGCACCTCATCATAGTCGCCACCAGGCCCTCTGTGCAGGTGTTTGCCTCGCGACCATCCCGCACTCATTGGGGTTCTCCAGCGCAGAAGAGGTGCTGCTCGCTTTCAACAACGCACATCATTCGCGTGAAACCAGGCACGCTGCGCCGTTGCCTCTCGGGCATACTTTTGTTTGTCTGCAGACACAAGGCCCTCGCTCGTGATGGACGATCTCGACCTCCCTCCCATACCCCAGTCCGCGATCATCGCCGCCCAGACGCCTCCCCGTCCGCGCCAGTCGCTCCTCTTGGCCCGCAAACGCACCCGCGCCGAGGTCTACGACGACGAGCCTACGCTGACGACATCAAGCGACCCGGCTCTCTTCTCCAGCGACGAACAAGCGCCCGGTGCCGAAAACTACACGGACCGGCGCCGCAAGAAACGGACTTTCAAGGGATCATGGTGGGATCGGCACCCCGCCCGTGAGGGACTCAGGAAAAGCGCGCGGCAGAAGCGCGAGTTCACGCGCAACTTTGACTCGGGTATCTTCATGGGAAGTCAAGACGAGAGTGGCGAGGACCACGACTTGTTGTCCAGCGACTCGTTCACGTTGGAGGATGAGTTGATGAGGGATCAGTCGCGTGAACATGAACGCGGACACCACATGACAAGGCAACAGAGGCCATTCAGATTATGGGCACAAGAGAGTTCTCCAGATCAACGCCACCGAGCTGAAGGTCGTGTTCGGACCACAACCGATAGTATTAGCCCGAAGACGAAGATCTTACCCAAGGTGAAGCCGCTGGAGCCCATGTCGGAGGCACATCGCGAGGTCTGCGAGATTGTTCATCAGTGTCTTGACATGGGCAAGGAAGACGTGGATCTCTCGTGAGTACCTAGCACCTGTGTCTAGGACTTTTTGTTATGAGCGAAGTGCGCTGGGGTCTGATTTGCTAACTACTACTACTGTTACCGCCGTAAAGGGGAAGATCGTTAGATTCCTTGCCTGAAGAAATCACCTCTCTCCAGACCTTGGCCAAGCAAGATGAGATCGTCCCGGGCATGCTCGACACGGGCACCGATCTCGAACCGCAGCTTCGCGTCTACCTGGCCAACAACCTCTTCACAACATTTCCGGCCCCGATACTCGAACTGAAAAATCTGCGGCTTTTGTCGCTGCGAAACAACTGTCTAACATCCATCCCCCCTGGGATTCGGGACCTCGTCAACCTGACGACTTTGAACATTGCCGGAAACCAGCTGAATGAATTACCTTGGGAAATTGTGGGTTTGGCGAGGTCTCACAAATTGACAAGATTGATCGCGGCCGGGAATCCATGGCGGCAGCAAAGGCCGTTGACACTCGGGCAAGAGAACACGAGCGATGGTTTATCCAATATGCTTTCTCAGCCGGTAGGAGAGAGGGGAAGAAAGAGCGCGGCGCCATCTGGTGGTGTCCCATCGCTAAGTGAGACTGTCCTTCGACAACTCGCCAGGCTTGATCCAAAGCAAAAGATCGACTTTCGAGGTCTCATGCCAAACGGGACATCGGACATGGTGCTTGACAAGCTGGATCTGCTCAAGACGCAGCCCAATCGTCAATGTGGGTACTGTGGGAGGCTCATGGTCATGGCAGCCAGTGAGAATCTTGAATGGGTGGCTCTGTGGCCTGGTTCGCCGGTTCTGCCGTTTCGAAGGCTTGAGTGTGCAGATGGATGCGAAAAGAACAGCCGGTCTGGTCCAGAGGGGAAAAGTGATAGCACCATGGAACCAATTGAGGTGGATTGAGCACCTCAGAGAGAGAGAAAATAGGAGTAAAGAAGTCAAAAATTTACCTCAAAAGTCGTGACGAGACGGGGTCAATGAGGTTCTGCTGTGAACCAGGTGTATGACCTATGGTTCAGCGACTTACCTTGAACACTTTGTCTCTCTCTCTCTGTCTCTCTCTCTCTGTCTCTCTCTCTGTGTGTGTGTGTGTCCACACTTCTCACTAATATTCCACAAGATGTTTCGCGCACCCCCTTTTGTGCCCATGTATACAGATACATAGGTAGGTAGGTATACACGGCATCGAACCACAACTATCACCGCTTCTCGTAGAAAATACTTTACAAGCATCGCCTCGGGCTTGTTCTGTGTTTTTTCCAACCTTTTATTGAAGACGGTCCCGTGACATCGCGTTAGCGCGTGTTTCGTTCATTTTCGTGATTGGAACCCGAGAATCGCGTTGCTGCCTGTATCTTTTCCTTTTTTTCCCTTATCGGTCGCTTACAGACAGACAGACAGACAGACAGACACAACCGTACGGTACACAATTTACCTGCCTTAGGTAGTTAGTCAGTCAGTACCTACACTATCCTTACTGCACAACTACTGCTATAAACTGCCCTCCCTGCCCTGGCTGTCGAAGAGCAAAAAAAAAAAGGATTTTGATCACCTTTGTAGGTCCTGGTTTCTTCCCTGGTTTCCGGGTTTCTTGTGAAGCCTCCCTCGTCACAGAATTCCACAAATCTCCCAAATCCCATTGATTCCAAAAGGCAGCCTCACTCAGTCGCTGCTCTCGCCTTTTCTCCCCCCCCACACACACGCAAACACACACACGTTCTCTCTCAATGGCAACGGCGGCGGCAGCAGCAGAGACGACGACGACAACAACACCACCAAGGCGACAAGCGTGTCGCGGATCCTGTCACTGCGGATTGACGCAGTACGTCGTCTTCCTCCGCCTCCCGCATCCGTTCTCGGCGACCGATCCGCCGCTCCCGACGGACCAGGAGGTGTACCGCTGCAACTGCAGCACGTGCACCAAGATGAACTTCTTCCACGTCCACCCGGCCCACCCCCGGGACGACTTCATGCTCCTGTCGCCGCTCGACCCGGACCGCGAGCTGAGCACCTACCAGTGCTTCGAGAAGCTGCGGAAGTACTACTTTTGTCCCACGTGCGGGGTGCGGTGCCTGACCTTTGGCGGCGTGGGCGAGACCGTCGCCCTGGAGGGAGACGATGCGGTGTTGGTAGGTGGTGGTGGTGGTGGTGAGGCAGCCGAGGCCGAAGAGGAAGGAGGAGGAGGAGGTGTCCCGGCGCGGCAGGTCTGGCGGGCCAAGTGGGACGGAGACAAAGATACGACGCCGTACGTTGCCGTCAACGGGACTACGATTGACCCCAGAGAGGACTTTGATCTACGTCTCCTCACCGAGCAGAAGAGGGTGCAGTACTTTGACGGCTGGAGCGACCCAAAGGACGAGAAGGACCCGAGATGGGACAGACCTCATGATCGTGGATGTTATTGATATCAATACTTTCAGAAAAGAAAGGGGGTCCATGGTTTCCAAATGCCCAATGCCCAATGCCTCGAGCCTGCCTCTGCCTGCCTGCAGGTCGGTTAGGTAGGTAAGGTAGATAGAAGAGCGTCCAAATTGGGTGAGACCAGCACACCCCCAAACCCGCGCTGACGAGCATCCATAGCTTCCAAGGGTTTTCTCATCACTTCGGTGTCATGCCATGCCGAGTCCCTTTTCGTATTCTTACCCAACATACCCAAGTCATTGCTAGCTCCGCAGTCGTCGCATTGATAACCATCAACCCGTTAGAAGGCGATCAAGGGTCCTCTCCCCTGGCGTTTTGGCGAAGGTGGGAATCAAGAAAGGAAGTTCAAGACGTTTGTCCGTAGTGGATTACGCTGGCCGATCCTGTGGCTCAGGCGGCGGCGGTCTGGTTCGTGGCAGCCTTTTGAGAATCCACCCTGGTCCTACCCGTTTCGGAGCGCAGTTGTAGTCGTCCTTGACTGCTTGCAGGAGTGCACCGGGTATTTGCTGATTGATTTCAACCGAATCGTATCTGATCGCACGACCTTTCAAGGCCCATTTCAAAGGTTTCCCAGCGGCTTCGGTGAGATCTTTGAAGACCTTGAACATTCGTTCTGCCTTTTCGCCAGGGTCGACATCGTGTCCCAAGATTTCGAACATCTTCTCCGAACAGGATTTCGCCTGCGTGGATGCGTTTTCCATCTGGCATATCAAACCGAGGCACCGGAGGAGGAGTTCCTGTCGGTCAGACCAACCGCGTCCAAACGTCAGCTCTGCCTCCCACCGCGTCGCTCTTCCGGATAGGAATTCGTAGACGGTTCCCAGGCCCGGGAAATTGAAAATGTCTGCCCCGCTGGACCAAGGTATGAGGCCCGCCTTGTTTTCGGTGTAGGCAAAGGCATACATGGTCAGCATCTTTACTGATGTGTCCGCTCCCGCTTTCTTGCAGTCTGGATGCCAGTCCACCAGTCTCTTTGCGTCTTCCATTTCCAGCTTCATCATGCTGTCAGCTGCTGTTCCGTATTCGTCTGACGGTACAATACCCATCCCTTGTCTGGTCAGATTCCTGACGAAGAATCCTAGCCTGCCCGTCCTCTGGATCTCTACTGTCACCAACCTTTGGGGATTCGGATCGAGCGACCAGAAGCCGACTGGGACTTCGGTGTCCTTTGGCATTTCGGGCAGACCCACCTGCTTCGATTTGTCGAGGAATTTTTGTAGTCTGATATGACCGCTGAGATCAAGAGCCACGGCGTTTACCCTAGCCTTTTTTCTCGTAGGATGACCTGTTGTCTCCGGTGTTACATCCCCATCGTGTTCGCTGACTTCCTGATTCCTGGTTCTTTTCAGACTTTTCTTGCGTCCTCCAACGGCACTTAGAGGGATAGTCCCATCGATTTCCTGCGGGCTTTCTACATCTGTAGAAGTAGATTTCTGTGCAGGAGAGCTCAATATCGGGTATCGGCCGAGTATCTTTCTTACTTTCTTATATACTGTCCTGTTGTTCATCAAAAGATCTCTGTATTGAAGTGGTAGATTTTGTTCCGCGTAGAGGACATCGTTTTTGTTTATATTGGGATCTTTCTTGATCCGGGTCAAGGTGGGAAATATCGTTGCCGTCGTCATCTTGCTTGTTCTTGAGAGCTGCAAGAGGACTGTATGTTGTGAGGTGCCACAGGGTTGTGCTGTGATCTCGATGAGTGGGAAGGAATGCTTGTAGGATGGAGCCGGGGTAGAGCGGTATTTATAGCCGTTATTGACCCTTGGACCGATAGAGAAAGGAGGACTGCGGCAATGTCAATGTGAGCCCAAGGTGAAGGTTGTTTAAATGAACCCCAAGGAAGTCGAAGTGCTTTAGTTTAACGTAGCGCCGCGCTTCACTTCGGCATGGCCATTCCTTTTGAATGATGACCAGAGCTCTCCGGTCAGTTGTTTCGGTAGGTTCTTGATCCCGAGTAAGGCTTGATTTGATGTATGTGGTAGTCAATGACACGGGTGCAGGAAGAATTGAGCAGCCTAGAAACCTACGGTATTTCAATGATGGCTTCGTCACTGAATTCTTTCCAATGTGTTGGTAGTGTTGCCTTGACTTCATGTCCCCAAGCAGCTGAGACAGAACTTGAGAGTTGATCGACGGCCAGTAAACGATGAAATCGGCCGACCGAACAGAACTTGATCGTAGTCCTTGGATCTCGGCCCTTTCAGACGGTGGTTGGTCGTATTGATCGACCATACTATTTGCAACTGAGGATGGTATCATAGCCTCGCGGTTGGCAAGTGGCGAGCCACGGGGGTTACGAATGGCTTTGGCAATGAGACCACTGGCGCCGGATATTGCAGAAGAGACACCATCTGAATCAAGCAGCGACTGATACGAAGAAACAGGAGACGTGTTAGTGATCCTTTGGGAACTAGATACCGGGGACGAGTCATTCAAAGCCAAGGGATAGTTGCTGTAGGTGTCGTATGAAAGGCAAGGCTCAGAGTTCTGGTGGGTACCGCATGAGGACGAGGAAGACATAGGACACAAAAAGCGTTTCGTGTTTCTGCCCGTATTGTGCCACAGCACTTGACTGGTGTGTATCGGTGTGTCGTGGTGTGCCATGGTGGACTAGAGTCTCCTGCTCACTGGATTTTGACTTTCTCACAAACTCAACGGGGAGCGCCAAAGCCTCACGCGGTTTGACGATCAGCGCAATCCACACAGTATCCGAAGAGCGAGGTTCCCTCGCAGGCGAAGAAAACCCAGCCAGGTCGATTTACAAGGAGTGGAGCGCCATAGGCCGCATATGTGCTCTTGGTCCATCCTCGGATGGAAACAAAGACTCACGTCGCCGCTGTACTCCAGCGTGCTTTAACAGCATGTGGGAGGGTTAAGGGTGCTGAGGTAGCTGTTCAGGAGAAGCCTGCACGTTGCAAGCGAGGGAGTCAGATTAGCGGGCGCGCCGCAAGGGTGAAGCTCAATGTAGCGAATGATGATGCTGGGATCGTATGGCGCCGTCAAAGCTCAACAAATCCCTGGTCTTTCGCACATCAGGCGGAGACGTCTTTTTAGTAACCACGGCGCTGTTCATGATGGCCCTTCGGCGGCTCGTTGATGACTCTGGAGAAATAATCTGACATTAGGCGGTACTGTGCGCAACAATCACCAAGATTCGGGTGACGATAATGCGAAGTCGCCGTAGAAGCAGGAGCCGGAAGATGTCACTCGGCCGTTCTGCACATACTGGGTGGGATATTGCCCTTTGCGTTGCGTCTCCGCGAGACCATATGTGTATGGAGTACGAGAAGGACGAACCGAGTCGAGTAAATATACTGTTGGTTAAGAACTCGTCAGACGAATCCTTCATCGTCTAAGATGTCGTCTGGTACACTTGTGAGGAACGGTGGAGTTTTGTAAGACATGTTGTCAATTACTGTCACCTGGAGCTTGTGAAAGCGTTGGTGCGACGTTCGTTGGCATACACGAGCAGCATTCGAAGAACAAGCAATACAACCAGTACCAAATCAAGATACACTTCAGCAAATCAATGCTCCCATTCTCCATCCTTCTGGGAATGCTACTGCTTCAAAATTCCTGCAGATAATTTACAACTTCGACTTTCCTCCACTAACTCTGTTGAGCTGCAGGACATCCGTCTCTTGCAGACCATACTTCTTCAACAACTCCCTCGCCTTCTCCTTTTGGGCCTGGATCCTCTTCAAAAGGGCCACACCACGCTTGTTCTCATTCCGGCCCAGTTGAAGCATGTGCACCTCATCCGGCCCATCCACGATTCGCATTGTACGTCCACTGGCCCACATACTGGCCAGGGGAGTATCCTGGGAAACTCCAGCACCTCCGTACGCTTGGATTGCACGGTCGAGCACCTCCATCAACATTGCTGGTACTTGCACCTTAACTTCTGAGATCTCCTTGAGCGCATCCTTGGCGTTCGATTGATCAATCTTGATAGCGGCGTTGAGAACAGCTAAACGAGAGGCGTCGATCTCGATACGTGACTTTGCCACGCGTTCAAGCATGATGCCGTGTTCTGCGAGTTGTTTGCCGAAAGGACGCTTGGTCGGGTCGTTCAAGCGCGCGAGGAAGTATTCTAATGCCTTCTCCGCCTGTTTGTTCGTTGTTAGTATTGGGGGTTTAAGTATTAAGGTTGGTAGAACATACAGCGCCAACAGATCGCATAGCATGGTGAATTCTGCCAGGTCCAAGACGACCCTGGACCACTTCGAAACCTCGCCCCTCGCCGAGGACCATGTTACTCTTGTGTACGCGGACATTGTCGAAGCTGATGTGACCGTGACCGTGTGGTGCGTCATCGAAGCCCATGACGGACAACATGCGGTGGATAGTGATACCTGGAGTGTCGGCCGGGACGAGAATGACCGACTGTTGCTTATGGGGGTTCTTGTTGTTTGGATCTGACTTGCCCATGACGATGTAAATCTTGCAGCGGCGGTCACCGGCACCACTAGACCACCATTTCTGGGAGACGTTAATTCAAACGATCGGACAGCGGCACACCAGGAATACTCGAGTGTAATGCCAGTACAAGACTTACCTGTCCATTGAGAACCCAGTAATCGCCGTCTTTACGCATGCTGAGCTCGATATTGGTGGCGTCACTACTTGCCACCTGGGGCTCCGTCATTAGGAATGCTGATCTGATCTGGCCATCTAATAGCGGACCGAGCCATTGCTTCTTCTGTTCTTCGGTACCATACTTGGCGAAGACCTCCATGTTCCCGGTATCGGGAGCGGCACAATTCGTGGCTTCGCTGGCTGTCACACTCTTTCCAAGGTACTCTGCCATCAGACCATATTCAAGATTGCTGAAGCCAGCACCTTCCTTGAAGTGGTTCTTGGGGAGGAACATGTTCCATAACCCCAGTTTCTTGGCTTTGGCTTTGAGGTCCTCAATGACCTGGGGGTGTGAATCAAAACGAGCCACAGTGCCTTCGCCGATCTGTTGCTTGAAGACCTCGTCGGCAGGAATACATTCTTCCTCGACAAATCGTTCCACCTGGATTGAAAATGTAAGAATCCATCAAAGTAGCCAACAAGACGTTCCCCCTGCTTACTAGATCCAACGTCTTCTTCGCCCGTTCACTGACAAAGGGTCGAGCAATAACCGGAATTCTTTCAGACGCGGGAATGTGCCCGGCGGGACTGTTGATGAGGTAAGGGACAGACATTTTCAGTCAAAGGAGGAAAAGGAATCTGGGGGCTCGACGGAATGAGAACGAACAAGACGGGGAATATGACTTTGGAAATGAGATCGATTGTGGTTATATTGAAGGTGATGATTACATTGAGCTGCTCTGGCTTGATGATGCGTGAGCGGCATTCCCGAAGTGCCGAGGCAATTGAACCGAATTGGAGGTGGCGGCCCGCGAGGTCAACAGTACAATTCGACAGGGGCACGGCTACAGGCTCAGCAAATACGGGGCATTCGAATCGTACCCCAGACGACGGCGTCCATCACTCCATTCCCAGCGACCCAGCCTATACAATGTCAGGCCACTAGAGGCCCGGGGAGTTATTTATGACTTGGCTATCTCACGGCTACGGTCTGTCTCAGCTTTTCCCCGTCACGAGGCTTTCCTTTGGTGGTGGTCTCGACTGGCCATGGCGCTCCCAAGGTTCAAGGCCGCTGCATGCCATCTCGCATCTGTCTTCGGCTCAGCCAGACAGACCACCGATAAGACCATCGGATTTATGAGGAAAGCTGCCCAGAATTCAGCCCAACTCGTGGTCTTTCCCGAGTCATCCATCCCCGGCTTTCCTTACTGGTCGTCAATAATCGCGCCCGCCACGGGTCATGACTTCTTTCGTTACATGGCCGAGGAGTCGGTTTATGTTGATGGGGAGGAGATCAAGGCCATACAGCAGGCTGCTCTGCAGTCGCGCATTGTGATCAGTCTAGGATTTTCAGAGAAGGTTCGATATAGCTCTGCAACCTTGTTCAACTCGAATCTGATCATTGGAGATGACGGCCAAATCCTGGTCCATCATCGCAAGTTGATGCCCACCTTCTTTGAAAAGCTGACCTGGTCTCCTGGCGATGGCCATGGTCTCCGAGTTGCTGATACCCGTCTGGGAAAGATTGGGGCTCTAATATGTGGTGAAAACACCAATCCTTTAGCCAGATATGCTCTGATGGCACAAGGGGAGCAGGTGCATATTTCGAGCTGGCCAGCCATCTGGCCAACAAGACTACCTTTGGACGGAGAGCCTACGCCAGCGACCGGCAATTATGACAATGTGAATGCTAACACGATCCGCGCGGCGGCACATTGCTTTGAAGCCAAATGTTTTGGTATCCAGAGTGCCGGAGTGCTTGACCATGCGAGCATTCAGGGCATTGCACAGATGACATCTGATCCCAGAAGGACAACGAAGATTCTCTCTACCTATCCGCAGGCCACAACCCAATTTCTTGACCCAAATGGCCACTTAATCAAATCACGCATAGTGTGGCCGTCCAGCGATGTCCAGGACGAAGGTCTATGCTTGCAAAACGAAGAAGGAGTCCTGATAGCGGACATCGACTTGAACAAATGTGTCGAGGGAAAACAATATCACGATGTGGTAGGTGGATACCAGAGACTCGATGTGTTCAACTTGCAAGTCAACCGCAATCGACACGAGCCAGTTGTCTTTGCCAGTGGTAAGAAGACGGAACATGACCCACCGGAAACTGCTTCTTGCAGTGGTAGTAAGTCGACAAAGGATTCCGGTGGGATTGCACGATGAATGGAAGGAAACCTTACTGGGCCGACACACCTCGGCCCGACAAAGCTTGCTGCTTCTGAACAAGTGCACAAAAAGAGTCAGTCAAAATTCGTGTACAAGTACCCGGGTCTCAGCAGCCCGTCTCTGAGCTTGAACCTTCCCTCTTCAGCTCGGGGTGAACGAAGGGTGCACCGGATCCTGGTGGTCCGAGGCACCCATCACGTGCGGTCACGTGCGGTCACGTGCACCGGGGAAAGCAGGGGTCCAAGTCGAGGGTTTCGTGGGGCAGAACCGGCACGGTACCGGTCTTCTTCCCTCAGATATTGTCCGCAGATAGCCGGCAGCAGGGCCGGCCAATAAGGACAGGATGTAATGCCTCGGGAGGCGATTTCTCGTTCAATTCACGGCCACCAACTTGTCTGCACAAGAGTTAAGACTCGTACTCTTCCTATATACCTGCAGCTGCTCTGCAGAAAAGGCATCAGGCTACGTTTCGCCTCGAGTGTCTACTAGTCGTCCAATCCCTCCACTCCTGAGACCCTGTTGCCATGGCCGGTCGTCGTTCCCTACTGCGCGCAGTCCCCGCATTGTCTGCGAGACGAGCACTACAGATTCCACACGCCTCCCTCAGAATGTCACCTACACAGCAGACGGCAACGCGACGACTACATGCTACCAGCAAGCATCTCGCTGCGGCCGCTGCACAGGCAGACTACCCTACCACTCACGCAAAGATCGAGCAGGTCACCGACACTACCAACTTTATCGACAATCAGTTTGTCGCTTCCCAAGCAACGACATGGATCGATCTTCATGACCCCGCGACCAACAACCTCGTCACCCGCGTCCCTCAGAGCACCGATGCAGAGTTGAAGGCGGCTGTCGAGTCCGCGCAAAAGGCCTTCCCGAAATGGCGAGCCACTTCCATAATGACAAGACAACAAATCATCTTCCGCCTGACACACCTGATCCGTCAGAACATGGACAGATTAGCCGCTTCAATCACTCTTGAGCAGGGCAAGACGTTTGCCGATGCCAAGGGCGACGTACTCCGTGGTCTTCAGGTCTGCGAAACCGCTTGTGGAATCACAACCCAGATCCCAGGCGAGGTTATTGAGGTCGCAAAGGACATGGAAACACGCAGCTACCGCGAGCCTCTCGGCATCGTCGCTTCGATCTGCCCCTTCAACTTCCCTGCCATGATTCCTTTGTGGTCCATTCCTCTGGCTACAGTGACCGGCAACTGCTTGATTCTCAAGCCCTCGGAGCGCGATCCAGGTGCAACCATGATCCTTGCTGAGTTGTGCAAAGAGGCAGGATTCCCTGATGGTGTAGTCAACATTATTCACGGTGCTGCCAGGACGGTTGATTTCATCATCGATGAACCTGCCATCAAGGCCATCTCTTTCGTCGGCTCCAACCGCGCAGGAGAGTACATCTACACCCGGGGTTCAGCCAACGGCAAGCGTGTCCAGGCCAACTTGGGTGCAAAGAACCATGCTGCTGTCCTGCCGGATTGCAACAAGAACCACGCTCTCAATGCCATCACTGGCGCTGCTTTCGGCGCAGCGGGTCAACGATGCATGGCGCTGAGCACGCTTGTCATGATCGGTGAGACGAAGGAATGGGTTCCTGAGATCGCGGAACGCGCTAAGAATCTGGTAATGAATGGTGGCTTTGAGGAAGGTGCCGACCTCGGCCCAGTAATCAGTCCTGAGAGCAAGAAGAGAGTAGAGGACTTGATTCAGAGTGCCGTCGACGAAGGAGCTACCATCTTGCTTGATGGTCGTGGCCAGAAGCCAGAGAAGTACCCCAATGGAAACTGGGTAAGTTCGACGTCTCAAACCCGTACGATTGTCTCTCATACTAATGAAATCAGGTCGGTCCAACAATCATTGCCAACGTCAAGCCCCACATGAAGTGCTACACGGAAGAGATCTTCGGCCCGGTGCTGGTGTGTCTGAACGTGGACACCACTGAGGAAGCGATTGACCTGATCAACGCAAATCCTTACGGCAACGGAGCTGCCGTGTTCACTCGCTCGGGAGCCACTGCAGCCTTGTTCCAGAAGGAGCTCGAGGCTGGCCAGATCGGTATCAACGTTCCCATCCCAGTGCCGTTGCCCATGTTCAGCTTCACTGGCAACAAGAAGTCTGTCGCAGGTACCGGTATGTCCAACTTCTACGGCAAGGACGGTCTGAGATTCTACACCCAGTGGAAGACGGTGACTAGCTTGTGGCGTGCCGAGGACGCATTGGCCACAGAAAAGCAAGTTGCCATGCCCACTCACTCATAAGTCAATGCAGAATGCGGGGGATGGAAATGAGTTTGTTGGATTGTATCTACCTTCCGCTATATGTGTCAAAATGTTTTTCCCTCGTTCACTCATCAATTGGACGTTTGAGCAAAAAAGGGACAAATTGATCAAAATGGATGGTGCTTTATGGCAGAACTTGTCTATTTGGGATGCTCTTTCGCATGCTGAAGGTCTATCGGTTTGTAACAAGGGTATCCCGACCTACCTAGATGTACCTAGTTAGGCAAACGTATTGTACCGCGGCCATGAAACTTGGCTAGGAAAGGGCACCATATCAAGTGCTCCTCTTTCCTGGTGCACTGAATGTTTGGATTCATCTGGACGCCCACAGCCCTGAACAACCTGATCTATGCAATTGACCGTGCTCAAAGACATACAGCGTTCTTGTAGGCTACGCCTTGAGGCATGGCTTCTAGATATTGCTTGACGACAATAGCATAGATCTGCATAGGACATGGAATCAGAGTGACAGAGAAAAACTGTGCAAACTCTGGATCAGCCAGGCTGCGAACAAGGTCCAACGAAGTTCTCACCTGTAGGTAGGTAGTGAGCCCAGCCTCGGTCTACCTTCTCCTTATTCCAGGCTTGCATTAATCCCCAATTGGCTGACATCATCACCACGATTTATGGGGACGTGCTTCCGAGCGTGTACCCTTGGATATATTTTCCTTCTGGGTTGGGTTTATCTTTCAATAGCCAGACATTGACTTGTCTGAACACTTTCCCGCGGTCGACAATGAAGCCCCCGGCGCTACGGCCCTGGCTTCCCACGTCGGCGCTCAGAAGGCGCCCGACGCAACCCCATCGGCGGCCGTACGCCGTTCAGTCACCCGGGGCGCCGACGCTCCAGATCTTCAACGAGAAGGTCAAATATCTCCAGAAAGAACGGGCAGGGTCCAACGCCGAGTACAGCCGCAAGACAGACTACCTCAAAGACGAAGTTGCTCGACGGCTGGTCGATCGGCTGCTCGACATCAACCGCCAATTTCCTCGGGTTCTCGACCTGGGCGCCAACAGCTGCAACATTGCGCGGGCGCTTTCCCAACCGCCCATGATTGCGCCCGACGGCGAAGCCGAAGGAAACAAGATCCCGCTGTCGGCCCGCGTGCAGCATCTCGTGTGTGCCGAAACGTCACCGGCAACGCTGCACCGGGACGACGACCGCCTGCCTGCGCCCGAGGTGCCCGTCACCCAGACACTCCTCCCGTCGCTCGAGAGCCTGCCGTACGACTCGAACAGCTTCGACGCGGTCCTGTCGAGCCTGTCGCTGCACTGGATCAACGACCTGCCGTCGGTGCTCGCGAGCATCAACAACGTCCTCAAGCCCGACGCCCCGTTCCTCGCCGCCATGTTCGGCGGCGACACGCTGTTCGAGCTGCGGTCGTCCCTGCAGCTGGCGGACCTCGAGCGGCGGGGCGGCGTCAGTCCGCACGTCTCCCCGCTCGCGGACGTGCGGGACGTCGGGAACCTGTTGACCAGGGCCGGGTTCAAGCTGCTGACCGTCGACGTGGACGACATCGTCGTCGAGTACCCCGACACGTTCGCGCTCATGACGGACATACAGGCCATGGGGGAGGGCAACGCCATCGCCAAGGGCATGGGCGGGCCGATGACCCGGGACGTGCTGTTGGCGAACGAGGCAATCTACAGGGAGCTGCATTGCAACGAGGACGAGAAGGACAGGATCCCTGCCACCTTCAGGGTCATTTACATGATCGGCTGGAAGCCTGGCGAAGGCCAGCCTGAACCGCTGCCACGCGGGAGCGGCCAACTCAATATGAAGGATATCCTGGGCGGAGGAGACTTTGGACAACAACAATAGCAGGCACAAAAACAAAAAACATCGTGTACAAAGAGTAAAATAAGAAAGATCGGGTACTTTTTACGGTCACGTTGGTGTTAACCCTGTCAACTACTACAATAAGTGTGTATACAGCCACGTTACCCAAGTGTTACACCATCACGATAGGTTGCTCAAGATCTCGAGGAGATAAAAAGGAGCAATTGCTTGCTGCTAGCTGAGAGGCTTGCGGGTTGAAGAAACATTCAAGGAAACGTCTTTGTCAAAATCTTGAAATTTTGCTCGGTATCTGCTCTTTTCGCTCAACCTGAGCATTGATGCTACTTCTGCATGCGTACGTACGGTTCCAGGCCATTCCATTTTTCTTCATGCAAAAAACTTGACGCCCGCCTTCATCACCACACCATCTCCGGGTTGAAGGTTCCTTGAGAGAAAAGGTTCAGGACTGCACACACTTTGTAGGTCCTTTTGGTCATCTGCATCTTTTCTCCTCTTCATACCCGTTCGAAGCCAACCCTAATACTTGGTATCTCCGTGACCCATTTCTGTGCTTTGATCGTTGTCGGTTGCCTAGTAGTCGGCAGCGGCGCTCATGGGGAACTCGAAGCCACAGACACGTCCGGTCAATTTTCGGTAGACCTCCGAGTATGTGTCGAGTCTGTAGTCCACACCGCCGCGCTCCTTCTCGTCCAAGACGACCTTGAGGACCTTGCTTCCGTCTTCCTTGGTTCGCAGTCTCTTTCCGACGATCTCGACCGGGTAGACGACGTCGGCGAGGATGGACTCGTGGACGGCGGTCAGGGTTCTGCTGCGAGGACGCTTCTGGGTCTGCGAGTTGCGGGATCGGTTGGATCGCTTGGGGCGGGGAAGGATGCGGCGAGAAGCGATGAACAAGACGTGGCGGTCGGAGAACTTCTTCTCGAGCTCGCGGGTCAGACGCTGTTGGATCTTGTGGAAGCCGGCGAGGAGAGGGACAGGGACGAAGACGACAATGGCGCGCTTGCCGTGGCCAACCTCGAGCTGTTCAATCAACGCCGTTAGTTTCTTCATCTTCTTCCACCCTTTCGACTGAGAAAATGCCCCAAAATATCAAAATAAAGTGCGTCTCCCCCAAGAAGGGAGGTTCCAGAAGTCGGGCCGCCGAAAACATAAAGAATTAAAAAAACACGTACCTCGCGAGCACTGGTGAACTGGAGAGGTCGGAGGGATGACTTGAGGTCAGGGATGTTGGTCTCGAGTTCGTAGAGAGCGGTCGCGATGCTGGTTTCCAGCTCGGATGGGTGTTGCCTCGATGGGCTGTTGTGGGCGATCTTGTTGAGCGCTGGCTGAGACATGTTGGCGACTGGAAGGTGAACGACTCGGTTCCAATCGTTGGTTGTCTCGACTTTGCAGGATGGTGGTAGTGATGGCTGGCGTCTGCAACTTTTTCAAAATTGTCAGAGTTGGACCGCAGTTGGACTTTCAACCCTCCGCCAAGACATGAACTTATTGTGCGTAGCCCTCGGTCCCCAGAACGGAATAGCGCGCAGGTTTAGCGTCTGCGTTCTGACTAAGCAGGCGACCACAGCTACAACTTCTCGTCTCTGCACACTCACACGGGCTGTTGTGTGATTTGCTGTCCACGGCCTTCAAACAAGGACGTCCTTTGTATTTGCATAGGCGCACTTTGGTCATCTTGACATAAGTCACGTCACGGGAGAGAGGCTCCATCTATAAGTCTACCTGAGTCCGATTGTACAATCAATGCCTGGGACAATGTCTCCAATGGATTGCGCTGATCAATCTACCATCCAGCAAGCTGAACATGGTTTTCTAATTCTCCAGTTGATATCACTTGTTGATATCTTGAAGTTCATGAACTCGATGCACACCCGGCCAAATCTGCCCATGCCTACCGCTTCAATCCTTGCCCATTGCTAAAACCACTTTGGTCGAGATTGCCACCTCCTGTTTGCCCTCTTTGAGCCTAATTTGATGGACTAAACAGAGAACATAAGTTCACAGTAACAGATTTAGATGCACAATCGTTGGAAACATCCATACAGAGCCGCTTCCGTGCAGGCATTTGCGCGTGGCTGGTAAATAGCGTAGGCCCTGTTTGCATATCTGAGGAACGAACCGGTCTTCACCGTGGATGTTCGCACGACAAACTCGACCTGATGCTAGGTACGTGCTTGGGGAAAGTGGTGGAGGCCGTTGTTTCCCACCGTTCAGCCATACCAAAGGCTATGTTTGCGCCGCAGGACATTCTTCGGGCGTCGAGTTGGGGATGTGAGGGTGGTCACCATGGACTGCAAGTGGTTTCCGGGTTTGACTTCTGCGTTATGAGGACCTAGGAAACCGGTGAGCGAAGCGCTTGCTCGAGCAAGGTCGACCTTACATGTGGCATCGATGTTTTTCTGACAAGCCTCTTGGTCACTTTCTGGCTCTTCAAAGATGGTTGGCGGCACACCGCGCCCTCGGGTTGGTGCATATAGTAAACCCGCCGGGAGCATATCTGTCCAATGGCCCCTGCGGAACGGCGACGAGGATTCGGAGTCAGATAGCGGTTGCGGCAGCTTATGCTTCACTGACTGGAGTATGATGTGCATGGGGCTGGTCCCATCCTCAACCCAGTGGTTCCTGAACGCTGTCAGTCAACCTGCTCTTGTGCACTTAGTCAGGACTCACTGAGAAACACGGAATTCGGGAACAACAAGCTGCGCCAGAGGCCACGCATCACCGTCTGTGATGATGAGGCAAAACTCTTTGATCTCCCCTATCTTATCGTTGAATACATCGGGATTGACCTTGGCGATGTTGATGAAGTCTTCCACCATGACCTGGAAATCCCTCACTCCTCGAGGGTCATTGATACAGTAACGACTGCTGTCAAGCCTGCCAAAATCGAATGTCGCCATGGTAAGAATTTCAAGATTCAAAACGCTCGATTGTACCCAGTTAGGAAGTGAGACAGGAAGAAAATGAGAGTTGAACCCAAGTGAAGACGAAGGAGGCCAATGAACAATATATCCCACAATCTATGTCTGTGTTTGCCATTCCCTTTCACCACCTTCACCACCTTCACCACCCAAAATCTCCGTAAGAAAAAAAAAGGAGCAACAAAAGGCTTGGAGAGTCGAAGTCCAGTCCCAGTAGCCTGCGCTTCATAATACTTATCCTGACGATGACTATCCGTATCGGCTAGAACAAACTTGACGTTCTGATGATACACAACTTAGCCATGGAAACCTGTTGAAGACTCCTCCCAGCAACCGGTTTCCAAGGATAAGCCCCCCTCCAAACCACTTCGCCAAAGCGTCGCAACTCGAGGCTGTGCTCTTACTAGTAGAAATCCAGGCATGCCTTTGTATTGTCAAAAGAAATTTCCCCTTCCCACCACACAGAGTATGTTTACTGGCTCCGTCTCTCTCGATTGTTACCGTCAATCCAGTAGACACGGCTAATCATCGGCACAGATAAATTCTAAATGACGTACCGGCTGCTGGCCAGCAACATCTGCCAGTCTCGGCACGTCTTCGAGTCTCAACAATGTTGTCCTCGACCCCCTTCTCGTGCACGATTTACTTTGGCTGAGTTCGTACGTGTCTATGGCTAGAATCTCCAGGGTTTTATAGTGCTTCAAGTCACCAGTACCATAGTTTGCCAAACACATCCCTCGAAATGATCCCAGGGATCAATGTTCGTAAGTGAAAAGACTTGGGCGACTCGAGCAACGCAACTAACCAGCTCCCACAGCCTTCGAGTATGTGAGCAAAGCCCTCGGTGCCTCCGTCGACGAGCTCAAGCTCCTCAGTTGCTTTCTCCTCTCTTATCCTCTCGCTGCCATCCTCAAGCGACTACCGGACAACCAACCGCACCTGCGCAATCTCTTTGTGGTCGCAAGCTCCCTCTTCTACTTTGTTGGCCTGTTTGACCTATGGGGTGGAATATGGACCTTTCTTGTCGCCTCTGGTGGCACATACGCCATAGCATACTACATTGATGGGTCTCTGATGCCATGGATTGTGTTCGTTTTCCTCATGGGGCACATGTCTATAAGCCACATCCATCGACAGATGCTCGATGATGCCAGTGTGGTGGACATAACGGGAGGTCAAATGGTCCTGATCATGAAGCTACACGCGTTCTCTTGGAATGTCCACGATGGGAGGCTGAAACCCGAACTTTTGAACGGTAGCCAGAAAGATCGTGCCCTCTACAAGATGCCCAACCTCTTGGACTACGCTGGCTACGTGTTTTTCTTTCCTTCAGTTTTCACCGGACCGGCATTTGACTTTGTTGACTACCGGCGGTGGATCGAAACGAGCATGTTCGATGTCAAGCCGGGAGAAAAGGGGCCTGCAACTCGAAAAGCTCGCCGAATCCCTCGATCTGGTCGACCGGCTACGTACAAGGCCATTATAGGCGTGGCGTGGATCCTGCTCTTCCTCAACTTCAGCGGCTGGTACAACGTCAAGCTACTTCTTTCGGACGAGTACATGCAATACTCGTTCCCACGTCGCGTATGGCTGATGTATATGCTCGGCTTCACGTCTCGACTCAAATATTACGGTGTCTGGTCGCTCACAGAGGGAGCATGTATCATGGCCGGCATAGGCTACAATGGAATGGACCCGAAAACAGGCAAGCCGCTCTGGAATCGGTTGGAGAATGTAAACGCCTGGGGCATTGAGACGGCACAGAACTCACGCGCATACCTTGACAACTGGAACAAGAACACCAACAAATGGCTACGCAATTACATCTACTTACGAGTCACGCCGAAAGGTAAGAAACCCGGCTTCCGTGCCACACTGGCCACGTTTGTCACTTCGGCATTTTGGCACGGCTTCTACCCAGGCTACTACCTGACCTTCTTGCTCGGTGCGTTTGTTCAAACCGTGGCCAAGAATTCCAGGCGCTATATCCGTCCATTCTTCCTCACTCCCGACGGCACAAAGTCGACAAAGTACAAGATCTACTACGATATCGCAGGCTACCTCGTCACACAGTTTACGTTCAGTTTCGTCACGGCGCCGTTTGTGATTCTCGGATTCAATGACTCCCTGAAAGCATGGGGTCGAGTATACTTTTACGCCGTCATTGAGATTGGTGTGGCCATGGCCTTCTTCGCCTCGCCAGCAAAGAGATGGTTGATCGCCAAGCTCGACAAGCGCAACCACCCGTACCTTCGAAAGACCCTAACTCAAGAGACGAACTACCCGCCTTCGCTAGGTCTCCCGAGTGATCCTGGGCGTGAGATCGACGAGGCCATTGAGGAGATTCGCCAGGAAGTCGAGACTAGGCGCAGAAGAGGGAGTCTCGTCACCATGCCGACCGGTGAGAGTTTAAAGAGGGAGATTGAAGCCAGGACGGGACGAAAGATACAATTCCCCGAATTCAAATTCGGCCAGGCAGCAGCCGCGAGCGGATCTGACGTTTCACGAGTCACCGAACAGAAGATCGTGAAATCGAAGGCCGCGAAAGCTGAAGGAGGAGCAGGACTGGCGCCTACGAACCCGCCCGGTAAGAAAACGATATGAGAAAGGGCGGTTTATGATGTGTGAGAGATTTTGTCACGGCACGGCGATGTCGGTCGGTCTGATGAGATGAGAAATGTCTGGATGAACTTGGCCTGATGTCTCTATTGCCTTTTTTGGCTATCTGATGATACCGGTATAGAATTGTGCGCCCTGATGATGCTGTCATGAAAGCTGGACTGTCAAGCTTGCCATACAAGACAGAGTGATTTGATTCCATCCATGAGAAAATATTGCTTCCTCGTGCCATGCCATCCATGCTTTGAGTCTCCGCGTCTTTCTTTTCTCCTTCTTCCCAACCTAGAATCGAACTCTACCAAAAGACTACCATTAAGGTTCGCAAAGGTTCGTAAGCGAAAACCTACGGTGCTTCTATACTTTTTGCTCCGTAAGCTCTCGGCCTTTGGAAGATGCCGAGAAAATCAATCTTGCACAAAAATTCAATCTTTGAAGAGGATCACTTTTTGACTTTTGCGGGCCGGCCGGCTAATTAGGGTACTTGGGTTACGTACCAAAAGGTGAAACCTTGGTGGACATCTGTCGATCATGAATAGGAGGATAGGTAGGTACCAGCGAGCAGCTTGCATGGAGGCTCAGAGAAAAGATTCAAAAAGTCTGTGTGTTGGTGTTTTGGTTGTCTTTCGCTGAAGGCTGTACACAGTACGGATTGCAGTGGTACCGTGTCCGTACCCCTAAAAGCCCCGAGGATTTAGGTACGTACCTGCGTAGTTATTAGAGGCTAGTAGTAGTAGGCACAGTAGTAGGCACAGTAGTAGGCACAGTAGTAGGTACAGTAGTAGGAAGATACACTAATTAACAGTACAGCATTAGGTACAGTAACTAGTAGAGTGTGCAGTGACTAATTAGTAGTGGTACTGTACTGTACCTGTGTACCTTGCAGCCTCCCCCCCTCGCTCCCCCCCAAAGTCACAAGTAGAAGTCAATCTCTGCTGATCTCCCTCCCACCCGCTTCCCTTCCCCCCCCCCCTCCCTCCCCTTGAGCGCTTCTTTGGTGGATGTGTCTCTATTTTGCCTTCCCTTATCACTACGCAATACAGTATGGCGTCAAAACTCACCAATGACGCAGTGGCCAGTGACTAAGTTAGTGACCAACTCTATATCACGTACGCTGTCGGAACCTTAAGCAAATGAAAGTATAAACCAAGGCATGGCAAAGTATAATGAGAGCGTGCTGGTGAAATTCGATCATGGCAAAAGTCCTTGGGATACATGTGAGGGACCCATCAAAACTCTCTCTTGACCTCAGATCCATAAGACAGTTCCCAAGATCCTTGGTACTCACCTACATCAGCCCAGGCTTCCGTTACAGGTTACTTCACTTAGGCACGTACAAGTACTACTGTATCTTCTGCTTGGCTTCACCGTGGCTCAGAGGAGGTTGATCACTGCCGTTTCCTCCCGAGTTCCGACTCGTACAGATCGAGTCACGGACTCATCGCCAGCTGAATGCCAATGCTCAGTACGGAGTAATGCTCGCTGATTAATCGGTCATTGGGACCCCCCCCCCCTGTGTGGGCGGTCGCCCTCTTGTCCTCAATTTTTTAGTTTCTGACCTCCAAAGCGACATTTGGAACGGTCCAAAAAAGCAATTGTTGATTGGACCAGTGCGACTTGAGGGGATGGCCTCCCCGGTGGGCTGTTACGAATACAGAGAAAGCAAAAACTTCTTGTGATCCCGAATATCCGTACACACGGTCCAATTACGAGTACATGCAGCCCAAAGCTCTGTTACACCACCGGACCAAGCAGGAATGTGAGCAGGAGTACGAGGGATGCGAGCCTGTAGTACCTACTGTGGGAAGAGGCTAATGCACATGCAACTCCGTATGCACTCGTACAGACAAACAGCAGAAGTAGCAGCAGCAGCAGCAGGGACCCGCCCGCCTGCGTTTCCACACGCGCGCGCAGCAATAGTGCGATGTGAGACTTCTAGTCTCTCAGGGCTTCAGCTCATGCATATCCGTTCGCAAACGTGGGTTCTGTCTGGCCTTCGTCACAGCCACAGACTACTGTACAGACCACGCATCAGACGCACCGACGCAGGGCCCGTGTGAATTACCCCATGGAGTAATTCATTCGATCGTGTCCCTGGAAGCTTTACGTGAAACAGCGGGGACGGCATTCACGTACATACAATACGTGAGAAGTAAAACTCCATGCGAGGGTTGGCGCCCGCCGTGGCCCCCATGAGTGAGTGCCCATGAAGTTTTTCCCGAGTCTAGCCCTACAATAGTACCTCCCTAAAACCACCCCCCCCGGGCCGCCTCCCCCCCCCCGGGTCAAGACCCATTCCCGGTTAAAGCATAGTGCCTTGCACTCCCGTACCACAGTTAGGCTGAAAAGGTCAGCTTAGATGGAACGCCGGCGATCGAACGAACACACACCGGATACCAAACACGGCTTTTTTTCGCACCTGGGTTTCCATGACCGTTCCTTTCCCATGTGTGTTACCTCCTTGCGTAGGTAAATTTAACGCCCGCCCCGCATCGTGCTGCGATCATATTGTACAGTTTACACTTCAAGTATGTGTGGGAAAACAAGCTCTTCATCTCTGTGGGGATGGGAGGGGGTGAATTCCGACATTTTGGGTCAGTGGGTATTAGCATTTTTGAAGCTGTATACAAGTATTGACATATTCCGTATTGTAGCCTTAGGCAAGTATTTACTTACTGATCTGCCGCCGCACGAACCGCCTGGGATTCATTTGAGTTTTTTTCGGACACGCTTTCTCTTCGCCTCGTATTGCACCAGTGACCAGGGTACCGTACGGAGTATCGGCGGATCGTATAAGAAACCCTGTTAGTCATTGATGACCGAGTCTAGCTTCTGCTGTGAGGAGAAGGGGGGGAGGACATCGTACGGGATATGCCGATGGATTGGATGTGGTTTCCACTTTTTTTGCATTTCCTCTCATCAGCCCTAACTAAACATTTCCGTCTGCCCATAGGCTTACCTGTACGGTGAAGTTGCCAAAACTACCGACTGGCAATGTTTTGTTTGCCGGTTGTGCGTTTTTTTTTTGAGAGAGAGAGTGTGTGTGTTTTGGTTGTATCAGTTCTGAGTTGACAGTCGGCGTCCCCTGTAGGTTCCGGGTAGTTCGCCAGATGGCCGGCCATTCGATTCTGCCGAGTTCAGATGCCGAACATTGTAAGGGTGCCGTGTACTCCCGTACTCCGTACAAGGGGGGGGGGGGTTCAACTACTAGACAGGAGGTATGGGATACTCGTAACGAGAATTGGGTCATACTGCAATTGTCTCGTTAGTCCTACTGTACAGAACAGGGAGTGGTCGCCGGCCACTGACCCACGAGTCTCACTAACTAGTAAGCCTACTCGAGAGGGGGGAAACACGCACACGCACACACACACACACACACACAGGCAGGCCCTGATCCGAGCCCTTTTTTTTTTGGAGATTTGGTTGTTTGTTTCCACATCCCCGATGCTGGATGAACTACTTTACAATACTATCGAAGCGAAACGAGGCGGAACGAAACGAAGCTAAGTGAAGCGAAATGAAGCGAAGGAAGACGAATCATTTTTTTTGGTGCATCTGGCCCAGCCACAGAGATGCTAGACAGACCGCCCACCGTACTTTTCCTGTGCGCATGAGATGGGCGGTACAGCCCGTGAGTGACAGAGCTGGCGCGCAGCACGGGGCATGGGATGGGGGGGTTACGGTACAATAGAAATGTCTCGACTCGACTTTTGGGACGATCTGTTCGCTTATTCGAGCCAGGCCAATCAATATTTTTACCGCCGACACATTTTTTGTCACCTTGGGGGTATTGTACGTTACATGTCATGGCTCAATGAATGGGGAGGTGCTACAGTACAATTCGTAGGATTGTACGGACGTACTGTACATACCAAATAGGATGTGCCGGGGGTCCGGGGGGTGGTAACAACTGAAGGTATCTATCTACTACCGAGTACTGTAAGTCCAAAGAAAAGTGAATGTCAAAGTTGAGGTAAAGTTGAGGTACAGCAAGATCCGTTGATTCGATTCGATTCGATTAGATTAGATGGCTTCAGCTGCTGACGACCATCGCCAAAAAAAAAGGTGGGATTTTTGCCAAAAGCTGCACGTCACCGTAAAATTGATCCTCCGGCGGCTGAGGTACCTTACTCGTACATACACCACCTGAACCTCAAGGCAACTAATTAACTACGGTACCTACCTGGTTCACGGAACGCGAGGAGGCACGGCACAGTACTTCGGCACGACGAGGACAAAATAAAACACTTCCTCTTTCGGAGTCGTACTGTACCTCGTAAATCTACGGGCAGGTCAGAGACAGGTAGTTTCACACACACTTGGCATGCCCAGAACGAAAAAAACAAATAGTGGCCTCCAAGAGGAGGGGGGGGGAGAGAGGATTGAACAAAGAGATTATTTGCCCAGAAGCGACGGAAGTAATTTCCTGAAGAATCCGTCGGATAATCTGATTGTGTTTACCACCTGACTGACTGACTGACTGACCGACTGACTGATTGATTGATTGATTGATTGATTGACTTGACGCCCAACGCCCCCCCCCCCACCCCAAATCCGAGGAGCTCGAAACAACTTATTGCGGTGCCCCGATGTACTTGTGCAAGTTACCAACAAAGGTACTCCGTGGATAGGTTACCTCCTTCAGGTGTCAGCTACCCGGGTATCTACAAGCCAGGTACAGCATCATCCCCTTCCCTGCCTTTTATAACACAATAACGCTACGCGATACACGATACAATAATAACCCTTCTTTCCCACGCTCCTTCTGAGGACCCCCGACAGTTGTTCCCACTCCCACATCACGAACCGAAAAAATCATCAAACTTACTGGTGACTACGACGAACGTGCTTGTGGTAGTGACTTGGATCGACTGTACTGATCGTACTCGTGGATAACTTCGTTTTCGTTTTGGGGTTGTGGACCAATGGCCAACCACCACACACCGACTCTCTCTCAACCAAAAAAAGGCCTACTCTACCTACAGCTTTACCTGACATACAAGAAAGTATTGTAACTGGCCTGATTAGCCGAAACAGCAGCACAAGCATCCCCCTCCCCCCCCACCCAAGAGCTGTTTCATTCAATTCATTCAACCCCCTCGCCGCCGCCATTGGGAGACTCTCTGAGTTTCCCGATGCAGCTTGTACTGACGACAGAACCCCTTCTTTGTTTTCTTTTGGGGGTGAACCGTACCATACCCTGGGTGAATAAACCCTTGCTGACTTGTCAAAAACTCACAGTGCGTTCGACCGGAGTCGATCGTGACTTCGACACATCGTTTTGGGCTCGCCTCTGCTGATACCCACACCACCGTGCTGGCTCTGGCCTGACTCTGGCCCTGGCTCTTATCGACCTTTGTCACTTCAATATGCCAACGTGCTAACACGATCCTATCTATCCTATCCATCCGAAGGGGGCGGTGAGTGATACTAGTCGAGTTGAACCGAGTCGACTCATCTCTGGCTAATTAAAAGAGAAACCGAATGAAGCTAGACATTTTGATCCCTCAACGGCCGCTATCTCTCATTCCCTGAACTATTGAACAAGACGAGACGCTGCGTGTAAAGTCCCCTGTTGCAAACCAATACTAGACCGTGACAATCAATCGAATTGTGCTTGCATGACCGTTCAGTCAATCCCGTCACTGCCTGCACGTTGGCTGCAGAACCCTAGTAACCTAATTCCCATCCTATTTCAAAAGCTCCATTGACAAAAACAGAAAGCTCAAACAACGGATGTTGTGGTACAGAAACCCTTGCTGATTCCCCTTGAAACCACCTCGCCTCGATAATACTCAGCAAAACAAAACAAAAAAACCCCCCCGATGAATGACCAGAAAACGAGTACAGCCAACCTTCATTCATATCGTTGACTTCATCAACCCACGAAGCGAGACTTGCATGTGCTTTTCCCTTTCCTTTGCCTTCCCGCTATCCTAAGCCTTGGCCCTCTCCCTGGATCATGTCCGCAAAGAACCCTATTTCCCTGTCACATGCAGCAGTCCCTGGACAAAAATCATACTCCCCTAGCTCATGGGAAGATGTTTGCAGTAATAAATATCGTAACAATCAAAGAAAACAAAAAGCGACGTTTATGATGGACAAAGTATAGATAACCGTAGACGATAACTAAGTGGTGCCACAAGCCAAAGTGCATCCCAAAAGTCCTTGGACGGATAAGTAGCAAGTTCGCCAAATGCAGAGAAACGTATTTGCTCAGTTATCGAGCGGTTGAATAAACCGAACCAAGGCATTCCGAGGGCGGACTGAGTATCAAACTAACAGGAGGGTCGTAACTCGACCCCTGGAGGTGATACTGTCGAGTCGGTGACGACGGGTGGCATGTTGCTCGAGGAAGTTACCACCTCGTCACCGGTAGCCCTTTTCCCGTTCCAGTCTCTTGAATGTTCCGGACTGTCACGACGCGGACAGGCACAATTCTATTGTGATGGATGGGGAGGCTGCGGAGCTGGCCCCGGCCACTGCGAGTATTGTGGAGGCTGCGAGTATTGTCCTTGAGCGTTCGGCTGAGCCGTTTCTTCGGGATAGTAGGGGGCCCTTGGGCTCTGGTACATGTGAGATGGTGGTGGCTGCGCCTGTTCTCGACGTTCTTGGATTGGAGACGCCTGCGTTTGGCGAGACTGATCCATCTGGGGCGTGTACGGGCTAGATCGATATGACATCTGCGATCGCATGTCCATAGAGACTGGGCTTATGTTGTTGACCGGTCTCTGCATACTCATCGGCGGATACATTCCGGATTGGCTTTGAGGCCGATCTGACCCCATTGGTGGAGCACTAGGTGGCATGCTTGTTGGCAGACTGGTAGGCGTGGCGGGGATTGATCGCGATGTCGGATCGTAGGTGCGGCCGTAGCTGTTCTGGTCGTACTGATTGTACTCAAGTCGCTGGTTTTGCATGTGGCTCGAAGTTACCTGTGGCTGTTGCATAGTATAAGACGAAGGAGCAGGTGGACCTGGAACAGAATAAGAAGGGCCAACCCCCGTCTGCGAAGGCATCGGGGTATAAGCTTGAGCCGGATAGTTCTGCGCGGGATAGAACTGCTGTTGATTGTAGTCTCCACCATAGGAGTTTCTCTGGGAGTTTGGCTGACTGAGTCGGTAGGGATATCCAGGCTGTGCACCATCTAGATCGTCGACATCTTCAAGAGGAGCTCGGAAACTCTGTTTCTGGGTCAACTCGGGGCGAGGACGCACGTACTGCAGGCTCTCGCTCTGAGAAGGAGTACGCAGATTTTGAGCCAGCACGTCATTGACCAGATAATACGAAACGAGATGATGAGTAACCCCCTGGACCGTCACGCTCATGGTCTTTTTCACGAGTCCGTCCTTTTTGAAGCCATACGAGTCGACCAGTGATCCGATGAGCTGTCTCTCCATCTCCGCGGTCTGGCTCGATTGGTCGGTCGTGTAGGGTGGTCCGTCAGGACGTGCGTATGGTTCGCCAGGGCGGCTTGGTCGTCTCTGCTGTTTTTTCATCGCACGCTTCTTCTCGCCGGGTGGGAATGGTTTATCCAGCTCGCGATACACCAAGAAATTCCCCAGGATCCGGCTAGGGCTCCATGTCACCCCGTCGGTCCATCTCTTGATTCCTGACGCGTTCTCCTCGTAGATGAAGATGCTACCGCTTGTGATGAGGTGTGCTCGTTCTCGGTCATGAGGCCTCCGCGGTACATGTGAAAGATGGCCTTGGAGACAAGCCTCGAAGAGTATCAAAGCATCCTGAGTCGTAGCCACGTGGCCTCGGAAGGTCGGTTGCAGAGACGCTCCGCCTGACGACATGATTGCGTCCGTAGAACAAGATACTCTTCAGGGTTGGGAGTTATTGGGTTTGAGGCGAAGGTTTCTGTTCTGCTCAAGGATCTATCCCTAGGGTGAACTCAGACGAATGCTTCAGAGTATACACCTTGCGAGAAGATTCGGGCTAGGACACGGGCTAAGACCTTGTCCGCCAGCAGGCACAAAGAACAAATGATATGAGGGAAAAGATGGGTGCAGCAAAAACACTTGGTGATTGTTCTGACGCGACCTGGGGAGGTCTCGTCTTGTCCTGACCGAAGTAAAATCGAGGGCAAAGTTCTGTTGTCCAAGGTCAGATACGGGGCACCACCACAAGGAGACCGACGAAACACGTAAATGGGATCGACTTACAAATGGCACGCCTTTGACGGACGCGTCTCGGCGGAGACAAGTGAAGTGAGAAACGGGTTGAGAGTTGGACAGAGTCGTCTCTGCCAGGCCAGCACGAGCCGAATGGTGGATAGAAAGGTAACGACAGATTCCAAAGCCAGCGGTCGATTAGCTTCTTTGGCGTATGACGAAGGCTATCGAATGGAGAATTCGACAAAATGCAAGAATGAAAATATGTTGACGACGGGAAGTGTGTTCGAGGAGAAAAGTCGCCAGTGCCGGAAGAGGTTTTGGACTGATGAACGTGACTTCCTCTGGACTAATCTCGCCTTTCCCAAGCAACCTTTTCCGTGTGCGCCTTCGAATCAGTGTGAAGTGAACCACGGATGTGCACACACACCCAGACACGCCCGCCCAGAGAGTGTCACTCACACACAGGACACAGAGAAACAAAGGTACAAACTTCTCAGATGCGGGTGTCGAAGTTAAGACCAGCACAGGGCCCGCTGGAGATCTGCCAATAGGTATAGGGAGACGAGATTGACTTTGGGATGGTGAGTGAGATCTGTGGCAGGGTTGTTCTTATATTATAGTTTCAACGAACGACTTCGTGCCTGGGAACCGGCGACCAAGGTGTAGATGGCGCTCTGCTGTGTACAGAACTGACATGTGGTGTTAGAGCAGACGTTCCAAACAATGCTGCCTCCCTGGCAAGGTGATGCCAGGTCTCTGAAGCAGAAACTGAGGCAGCGATACAGCGGGTGCGGACCCGAACGTTGTGGCGCTTGTAAGTGGACGACCAAACACGGCTTCCCCCCTCGTAACAACGCCTGGCGACAGAGTTCACAGGACGTCTGGATTTCCGCTAGGCAACGGTTCAGGAACTCTACTGGCGACTATCACCGAAAAACCGGAAGAAGTGAGAGAATAATGTTGGCCGCCAAAGCCTGCCTGAAGTATCCCACTTTTGGATGACTTCCCGGAGACGGGAGCTACTTCGACAGTTCTCCACAGCACCAAACCAGGCAGGACCTTGGAGAGAGAGATTGACCGCTGCTGGACTTTTCTGGATCTGGAAGAGAGTTGGAAGTGGAATGGCTCCAGCCAGGGGTGGGCGGCGATTGACTTCTGTAGGCGAGCCGGCAAGGGTGGCAGACGGCAGCTTGGGCTGGCTAGCTGAGTGACTGGCGGATGGAGAAGAGTTGACTTGCATTCAAAGGCAGAGTTCGAGCTAGTCGAGGGTCACGGTCCAGGATTACAAAGTCTGTTCGAATATCAGAGACTGGATCACAGCACGAGGACCAACGGGGCTGCAGAAAGGAGGAATTTTAGCACCAACGGCGACGGACCCGGGTCTGCGCGAAAGAGATTTTCCACCCGCATACTCGAACACACAGACGCACACGGGGACTGTACGAGTGTTTGTACCGCTTTCTGACTCTGAGATACGCGATCCTGGGCGGCCGGCCCAGAGATCTCAGCCTTTTCGGGAGCTGCTGGCTTTCCGAGGGCCCTTTGTCTCGCCGACAACGCTCCAAAGCTGAAGGGGCCCGGAGGGAGAAAGGCAAGGCGGCTCGAATAGCCTTTCCAGGGCACGCTGGAGCCCTGCTAGCATGTACTGGGGCTAGTCGTTGTTGTAGTGGAAATGCGAACAGACCATTATGACCACATGAACCCGGGACTAGTACTGATATCGACTACGCCAGAGGTGCAGCAGCCACAGTAGCCCTAGTCGCAGCATAGCCTAGAGGTCGGTGCCATAGCCCTACGAAAATCCAACTACAGTACATCTACTCACTCTCCTCATGGGGCCCAACGACACTGGAGAATGGCTGCAGGCTGATGGGAAAACAAGGAAAAGCCTTGGTCCGATGGGCGCAGGCTGGTCTGGGTGTCTGAGCCGATCCAGATATGGTGCTTGGCCCCATCCAGGGGTGGGCCTGGCTGTTCGAGGGCTCCTACAGTACCACTGTACAGACCGAGGCCACTTTGAGACGCTGGGATATACAGCATCCCATCAGGTATTGTATTATGTACAGGAATATGTTGGGCAGGGCCGCGATTAGTCATGGGCTGGACTTTGACCAGGGTCCCGACTTTGCAGGACCACGGTCTAGCATGGTCTCGTTGCGTGTGTGACTTGACCGACTACCCGAGTTGGCTCCCCCTGGACATGAATTGCCGTGCGAGGCGCTCAGCCACGCAGGATGTAGACGTCAGAGGTCTTGAAACGTGACCGCCCCTCCTCCTACAAGACCGATAAAACGTCTTCGAAATATGTAGTCGCCTGGGAAAGTCCCCCAGGGGCGCCGGGCGGCATTCGGTTTAGTTCTCATGGGACTGACCGCTTTTGGACACTCACCGTCGCGTATACCCCCCCCTTCCGGTAGCTACATCGGATCCCTTTTTCGCGCGGATCATCGCGTCTTCGTGTTCCAGGAAAAAGGAGCGGCAGGGACGGGATGTCGAAGAAAAGATGGAAGTTCGTTCGAAAAAACTGACAAAAGTGTCTCCTGTCTGTCGCCCATCAAAGGCCCTACGGTATGGCCATGGCTGGGAAGTGCGAATTTCATGAAATCCCATGTCGAGTACCCCGGCTTTGAGTTCGTGCCTCGAACGTTCGCCCAGCCGTGCCTGATCCATGTTCACGAGTGCAGTGCATGGACCTGCCCGTGTGTGTGTGTGTGTGAGGCTGTGTCACATCGCGCCACGCTACCAATGTGTCAGGTCGGCAAACGCACCCAGCGACCATGTTTCCATCTATCGATCAGTAAGACCCTGAGTAGTCCTTTGAGGGCGGTGATCGGCAGAGTCCATCTCTTTGATGTTACAAGTTTCTGTGGGTCGATTCGAGTTAGCGCCAGCATCTCCATTGTTTGGTTGCGTCCTCGGCAGCTTGTGGACAGCGAAAAGGAAATAGATGCCGCCGCCGATCCGACTATTGTTCGGCGACTTTGCATCAGCGGCGAGCGGCGGCGCATGAGGCTATGCCCAACGAGCCTAGTTAGGGGCCGACAAGCCTGGAGGACGAGCACCAACAGCTGCCACTGGCGCGGTCCAGACTGGTCTGTTAGACTGCTATGCCCTTTACCCCGGTGCTCTTGCTGCATCATTCTCTTACTCCGTACAAGTCTCATTTGTATCGGGCCGGCATGGCGGCACCCCGCAGACAGCCAGCGGACTCAGGGTTGTCGACGCAAGGCGCAGAAGTCGTGCCATCAGCAACGCTCCGTGTGAGGATCTCTGGGATCGTGTGATGACGGCAAATGCGTAACCCAACTACCGCTACGGAGCAGCTCAAACAAAGGGCTTCTCAACCATGTCGCTTGGCGGGTCCGTTTGCCAGCAAAGCAGCAAGACGGTGTGCGTGCTTTGGTACTCGGCGCAGACGTGCAGATGCTGTAGTCTTTCGTCTCGCTGGGCTGGTGAGGCTTGCCAGTCCACCCGCTGCCCTCGTACTCGGAGTCACATGCTGCCCTTGACGGCATCTGTGCAATTTCCTCATGGCCATCGCCTTCGAGTTGTCATATGTTGCACCCCATGACACCTGCGCCGTGTAATTCACCGAGAAAGGAGGGGGGCCCCTTGACCCTCGCTCGAGCTTGGTCCACCTGCTGGAGCGTGCTAGGTGGATGCAGGGATGTTCTGTTGAACGAGTGAAACCTTGCCGAGCCCCCGTGTCCTGACCCGAATCACTGGTCCCGAGGAACAGGACGAATCATTTGCCCGGGGACTTGTTGCTCGCATGACAACTACAGTACGAGCTCGTAAGAAGGGTACATGGCTTTTCTGGCGCACAGCACATACTGTCATCAATGGTTGTCAATGGGAGGATTACCCAGAGATGGGCGGTTCCGCCTTGAGCTCGATCTCTGCGTCGTTTTTTTTGCCTTTGGCGCCAGGAAAGACGACACCGCGATCGCGACAATCATAGCATTTCTTTTTACGAGGACGTAGCCGCCGTCGCTGGCGAATATCCCTTTCGGACGTCCGTGGCGACAACTGCCTACGATATTGTATCCAGCGTCTACCCCATCGTGGTTTCTGGTCCACTTCACGCTGGCATGCTGCTGTTTGACAGTTCCTGGGACGAGATCACAAACGGTGACAGCTGCCAGGTCCCCTCCTGAGAGAACGCACGCTGCCACGGTACGAGCGAGGGGCGGCGTGCGAGCTTACGGGCACAGACTTCGGTCCAATCTGGGGGAGCAGCATGTGCATGTCACTGCACACCAGAGACGGAGGTCAAGGACTTGGTACAGCAAAACACCAGTACCAGCAGCCATCGTTGAGCGTCGTCCGTGACATGGGCTTGGCTTGTCGTTTTGTTGCAATGCGACATCTGGCTCTGCTTTGGCCACCGCTGATCAACCCCCTTTGGCTCTATTGCCGACCGGCCCACCACATCATCGCATGCCCGACGCGCATCTCAACCGCGATCATCAACAGTGAAAGGTCACGAAGTGAGATAAAACTCTAAAACTCAGCATGGACATGTACAATCCCAAGGCCCACTTGATACAGGAAATGTCAAAGATTCCTGACACGAGGACACATGCCAACGTCTCTCCACAGACATCAAACTGTCTTTGGTCGTTCGAGCCTTCACCTCTACATATCATCATGACTGGAAACGGTGAGCAGCTCCCGAAACAAAGCCTGGCTGAGCCAAAGCTAGTGTTTCCTCCGGACACGATAATGTTCTGGCAGTGCAGTCCGTGATCGACATTATTGGCGCACGAAGACCACCGTGGTACACACCCAAACGCCCATCAATTGTCATTCCTGTCCTCCTCTGCGAGAACTTGTTGGTGTTGGGCACCGTCGCGCACCTTGAAAGAAGGGTGGACTTCCCGTAGCGAGAAAGCTTGAGCTCCAGCCCTCATCTCAAAGGTATGGGCACCACCAGCCGGGCTGAGTACATTGGCACGCGTCAGGGTTTGTACTTCCAGCGCTAAAAACCAGCTCAGTCAATCAATATCACGAACCCCGGCTCACGTGGACCCATCGTACTTGTACAGGCGACTTGACAGCACGGTATTCCGTCGCTGGTGTTTGTTAGAATTTGCGCCGTCCCACTGAACCACACTCTTTTTGGGGCGAGTCTCCAAAAATCAAAGTTTCCCCTTGAAATAGTACGGCAAGGTTGTGGCTCAAGCCACCGAGCTCTATCTAGCCGCGAACTGAGCAATAACAATGCGTTCAACTTGGAAAATCCTCACCAACCCGGATCCGCGTCAAAGTTTGTCCAAGGGCGCCAGCTAGATGGAACTACTAGTCCAACAGGTGCCGATATCACACGAAAAGATGCGTCTTTGTGGAAGCAGGCAGTTTTCTGGCAGTCTGCTACTCCGTACATACCACTCTTCTGTCTGTGTAATGCAAATCAATCGAACAAAGTCCACGGCTTCTTCCCCATTTGTACAAGGCTCTCGCCGGGAAATCTCATGGGAGCTCCGACTGTCTGCTCAAAGACAGCAAGACTCTCCTCGCTGTGAGCTTGCCCAGACTCAACGAGCCCAGTTGTCTCTGTCTGCTCGTCCGTCAGAGGCACCTGGATGATGACTCCACATTCCCAGTTTCGACAGTTGAGCTTAGGCTGCCTGGTCGATCTGTCCTCAACGAGTTTTCCCCTGTTTTAACAGAGACATTGTATATGTGTCAGCTTGTAACAATCCCTGACTGATGATTCAAGAACCAACAAAGACAAATGGAGACTTGGATAGAGAAGGGTTGTAGACTCACCAAGCACTCTCAGACAAGTTCGCGCTTCCCAAATAGACCCAGGGCCGTTGTGGCTGTAAAATGGACCTGCTGTGTTCGTGTGAAGACGAATGCGGTACCGCTGTGCCAGCCAGTGTAGCAAGAGTAGGTCTGACATACAGGATCTACAAAGTGACAAGAAAACAATCAGCCATCAATTTTCTCCGAGTTGAGAGCGAGAATACTCCGCTGGGCGAAGTATCGCATCCCGCTGGACCTGCCGAGGAACACCGGCATGCGTAAGTGAGGAAATGTCAGTCGGCCAAGGCTCAAGGGGCATTGTTTCGGATCACCGTAGGGATATCAGTTCAGTACTTACTTTGTTGTGCATCAGCAATCCCTCGCGTAAACTAATGCAGTCGCGCAAGTTGGACTGTGGAAAAGACTGCTGCGCCCACCATTTGCCCGAGAAACAGATGGTGCCCGCATTTTGCATGCCTCCTTTGGAAGTCCGTACCGTCGTGTCGCTAGGGTAGTATATCCGAAAATTCCTCCTCCATGCATCTTCCTCCTGTTTCTCCTTCCCCCTTGCACCGTCCAGCAGGCCTGCTGGGTTGTCCCTCGCTTCGGAGCGAGATGTCGAAGATGATGACGACATCGACGCAGCGGCGAGACCAAAACTTGAAATGTCACCCTGTGCCGCCCAGTAGACATTACGCATGAATGCTTCGTTCAGATTGCCTAGCGAGGACGTGACGTAGTCGAGCTGAAGGTCTCGACAGGTCGCGAGACCCAGCTGCGCCACTGCATTGGCAAGTCCTGGCAAGCCCGTACTCTGGATGACTTGCCGGTTCGTGTGCGCACCACCCAAGGTATGCACGAAGGCGAGGTGTGAGGCGCGATCGAAATCGAACTTGGACAGTTTTGTGAGGACGTCGTCGGGCACCGTCTGGGCCTTGAGGAAGGCTCTCAGCGATGTCTCGAACTGCGTCCTCGTGTCTACCCCTGGTGACTTTAACGGCAAATCAATCAGGAATACAGTGTTCTCCATGAAGGAGCCGACTCCCCAGTCGAAGCCGACGAGATTGGCCGTCGGAATAACAACGCGGCATCTCTTAGACCAGTCCTGCTCCTTCGTTTCTCCATCCCCCAAGCGTGTCGTCACCCCGAGCGGCGGTGCCAGTGCAGGTTTAAGCTCGTCACGGTAGAAGAGAAGCATGAGCTTGCTGTGCATACAATTGGTGATTCCTTCCACTGGCGGAAAGGTAATGCGGACATTGTTTAAGCCGCTGAAGTCGGACGTGATGGACGTGCGTTGCGAGGCGGATTTGCCGTGCATGACGAGCTGGAACTTTGTGCGTTTGGTGTCAAAGTGTGGAAAGAGCCAGTCAAAGTCCCAGATGAAAGATGAGAGCAGAGCTGATTCAAGAGATGTGGATGGGGAAACAAGTTGGTCAAAAGAGATGGTGCCGATGGACGATACATTGCTTGAGTCGGCGAGGGCCGTCTTGAAGATCTTACCTTCTGGGAAGAGCTGTGGTGTAGTTGAAGGAGCAGATGAGTGGTTGCGAATGGATGATGCTGATGTGCTTGGAATGCCTTGTCCTGCTGCATTGCGGTTCACACCTATCGGACGAGATATTGATGTCTCTTGAGTACCTGTTCTATGCGCTCGTCGTTGTGAAGGAGGAGGTGAGATTTTTGTTTTTCGAGTTTCTGACGAGGCGTTTTGGTCAAGGCGGAGTGTCTTTGAGTCCTTGCCGTTGACACTGTTCATGTCACCCTCGCGCTTGCGCTTGAGTCTTGCGAGTCGTTCCTCTTCCATCTGTTTGCGGTTCAGAGCGAGAATGCTAAACCCCGACTTTTTAGTTGATGCGTCGCGGTCCAGGGGTTTTGTGTTTGTCTTCAAGGTAGAACCTGCAATGGAGTCGGGCTCTGGGGTGGATGTTACCAGAGTATCCGACGACGTTGTTGCTATCGCTATGGTATCTGATGATTTTTCCATGCCACCTTCTGCGTGTTGTACAGCCGCGTCTATGCCATTTATCTTAGTCTCTTTGCTCTTTTCTCGTCTTCGTTCTGGCTTGGCGGTCAGGATGCCTCTTTGGTCGTTGCCTTTTGGAGAGCTACAGCTGGCACTACTGTTAGGTCCACCCACGGCATCTGTATCTAATAGAGACAGTGCGATGGCTTTTTTGAGGTCTTCATCTTCAGATTCTGTTTTACTGCTGTTCTTCTCGCTCGGGCTATCGTTACCAGCGTTCTGTGCCGTTGAGTCCCGCAAAGAAAGTGCAATCGCGCGTCGCCAGTCTTCGTCATCTTCATCAGACAGCTGTGACAGATCGATCGTGGTGGTATGTTTGCTGTTCGTCCCATCTTCCTCCCGATTTTGATGCGCCCGTCGGTCTGATTCTGCATTTGAACTCGAACCTGGCAGCACCCGAAATCCTTTACTATCGCTATCACTTCCAGCTTCGGTGTGACTTCCACTGCTGTCGTCCTCATCAATGATGTCCACGATCACAGGTTTTTGAGTCTTTGAACCAACAATCCCAGCGGTTGTGGAAACTGCTGGATTCGCACTATCGCCACCATTCCCACTCGACGAGCCACTCAAATCGTTGTCGGATGTTTCTTGCCTACCTGGCAAGAGACACCTCGGAGACCGATCTGTCGGAAACAGACTTCGCATTGCGCTCATCGGATCTCCGTGCGACGGGGTGATGATGCTGCTGTGAACTGGTTCATTTCCAAGGGGGTTGAGGTGATCGAAAACTTCTTCATCGCTCTCACTGTCTGACACAAGGTCTACCAGTCCCGGCTGATCGTTTTCTGGCTCCATGACCACGGTTGGCGTGGTTGAGATACGGAGGTAACAGCGAGAGGATTTCTCAGCGTGTCTGAGGCTGGAGGATTGAATGGATGGAAAGGCGGTAGTAGAAGAAGACAACGCTGGGATGTGTTGCAGTATCAATGCAGGTGATTCAATAATGGGGTATGATGCGTTGATAGCAAACACGCATTTATCCTTTGATAAAGAGTGATTTTGAATCTTGAATGAAAGGGAAGCGATAACGTCGGACTCGCACGGCTGTGGCAAGAAGGAGTATTTTTTAAAGATATGAGTAGGAAGTAGTTGCGGATGGGTGAAGACAGAGCCTTGTATCCAATTCGACATAAGATGAACGGCAAGCTCTGAGCGCCGAGTACTTGTCAATGATGTCGTCTGTGAAGGGTATAGTATGTGCATGTGTGTTCCACACATTCAAGTAGCTACATGCATCAGAGCAAGGCGTCGGTTCTTGACCCTTCGTTGACCACAACGGGAGTACCTGGGATGAGAAGCAGTTGTCCAGCCTGTTCAATATCAAATCAACACAAACTGTGCCAAGAGGACCGCTGATGTGAGAAAGAATGTCAATGTGATGGCCGTTCAGCGCAGAACTCAAGTTGACGCAGAATGCAAATTGGAAGGGCGTACGAGGCCCAGAATAAAGATCGTGCTGTTTATGCGACTCTTCCTTCCAGCACGGGTGTTGGATCGATGAAGAGGTGTTTGTTTGCTAAGAGCATGGATGGTCGACGCACGCCGGACTGCCGCACGCTCAAGGAATCATTGCTGAGTCTCTGCCCCAGCTATATTTTGGCACGATTGCTTGGATCACTGCAACAAGCGTTCCTGTAGAACGTGTCCTAATTTCTCACTTGAAGATTATGTTGTTCCTTTGATTTTGGATAATAAACGGCAGCCTTAAGTCAATCCCATCCATCCGGCTCACGTGTTTTCGTGTCTCCGGCGCGTTTAGTGTAACTTGACGTGACATATGCACCGGTTCTCGATATGTTGAACAACCTAAAGCTGACAAGGCTGACACTAAAAGACTCTGCAAATAACTAGGTCTACAGAGATAGTACGTGAGCGTCATGATTCAATTCGTGCTAAAGTATCGATCGCAAAGGCAGGAAGCGGACAGCACCTCCGGGTCGATCGCTAAGAGCCTTTGAACGTCCGACATGTTCTTCGGCCGGGAGGGTTCACTAGCAACCTTCACCACATTCAACGCCTTCTAGTGCCTCCAAATCCCGTGCTTGTATGACGAGTCGACGAGGGACTCGCGCTTTCAGTTCCAGATCCCCACGACGACTGCCTAGGCACGGCACCTGTTCCATTCCCGCGACCAAACCAACCACCTTGGTTGTTATTATCATTGCGGCCTCCGAGCCAGAGGTCGTCTCTCCTTCTACCGAACCATCCGGTGTCTCTTCGCCGTGGCTCGGGATCTGTCTGAGTACCTCTCGAAGCGAGGAAGGCTGCAGCAGCACCGGCGGCAGTTCCCGTCCAAAAACCTGGTCGCCAACCTTCTGCCTGGCGAGGTTGTGCACGTCCTGTAGAGCTTGGTCCGGCGCTCGAACTGGATGTCCACGTAGGTTTCTTGGGACGTGGAGGACGAGGCTCGTAAGGTGGAGGGGGGTCATGATCATCGCCGCCACCTCCTCCTCCTCCAAAGCCACCATCTCCGCCGCGTCGCGGTGGTCGTCTCGGAGGAGCCTGGTCTCTCCACGCCCTCCAAAAACGATAGATGATGATGAGTAGCACAACGAAAAATACAATCATGAATGCCGAAGCTGCTAGGGTTGACGCCGTTGTATGCTCGTTCATGAAGTCCGAACCAAAGTTTTTGGCCGAACCGTATTTCTCTTCCCCTTTCTCGGTAAGCAGCAGTCTGTATTCAACACCGCAGCTACCTTTTAAAACGTAAGGGTCGTCACTGCTCTCGTAGCCCTCACAAATTACATCTGTGCTGCCCAGTTTAAAATCTTCCGGCAAGGACGCCTTGCAGCTCCATTGGACGTTGTTTTCATCGTAATCGACACCTTCGTTTACACAGCGTATCACATCGACGGTGTACAGACTGCAGATCTTCGACGGCCCGACGCATTGTAACTGAGGCACGGCTGGAACACGGCGGGACGAAGTCTGTTTACCAGCCCGGACGGTGAGCGCAGAGACTTTGGAGAGCAGGACCGCATCGCGAGGGACTTTCTTGGGATTTGTGAGTCGCGCCGAGAATGCTGAGCCTGTGAAAAGCCAGGTTAAGAGAATGAGAAGTCTCATCGTCAGGGATTGTTTCGGGTATCACGGTTGAACGGGGAAGAGTTGGACTCGGAGCATGCCAGGCACAAACCTGAGAATGTAATGAAGATATAGGTTTTAACGTTGCGAACGTTGCATCAAGTTCTCCCACCAGGCAGCTTCGCTAGACACAAGAAAGGTCCCTGGGAACACACTGGGTGACGAATCGACGACAAGTAGACACAGTGGCCATATGGATTTGAAAGTGATGGAACTTTTGTTGCCTGATTTTCTAGTTCAACTCCCCGCATTGGCTCGCGAGGCTCGTCACTCTTGACGAGGCTGAAACTCTCGTTTGCACTCTTAACTCCCTACAATAGCTATGCCTGCTCTTCGAGGTTGCAAATCTTATTTTCGTGCACTCTATACATCTATCTTCTCATCAAGACTTGGAATGACAGAGGGCATTTGTTGCCATCGCCCAAGGCCACAACAGGGCCTTTGTTCGTGCTGTGACCAGCTGCAGAGACTTAATCATGCTTGTCCCTTTTGGAAGTCGTTGGCTTCTGACCATCGCATGCTCTTTTAAATCCTGGAGTTCCTTTCCTCCGTCCGGACATGTCGGTTGATCACTCAGCCCTCAACAAGCACCGCGTTGCAGTCACCCCGAGCGTACCTCTGACCTTCATCCTATATCTGGCCGATTAATGTATCATATATTGAGTCGTCTTCCAAGTCCTTCGGTCGATTGATGACCGCATGTTCGAGGATGATCTGAGCGGCAGCATTGCTTCTGGGTTCAATGAGACATTCAAATGGTGCTGGTCCAAACACTGGAAAAGCGGCCGCTGTAGGTATCAGGAGTCAGCAGCTTTCTACACCGACTGTAAAGGTAAGACAAAACTTACAGTAGCCAGGGCCCGGAAGCTTCTTAGCTGGCCGAATGTCAAAGGCCCAAAGAATTCGACTGATCATGATGAAGAGGCTGGCGTCTGCCACATGCCGCCCAGGACATTCTCGCCGTCCAGCGGAAAAGGCAAAATGTGGTCCGGCAAGGTTCAATTCTGGCTTCGCCCTCGGGTCCTTGGGATCAAGGTATCTCTCCGGTATGAGTTTATCGGGTTGTGGGAAATACCGCGGGCTTTGGTGGATAGCATAAGCGTTCGCGATGATCACGGCACCCTTGGGAATATTCTTCTCTCGATACACGTCGTCCTCACTCGTGGAATGCAAGAACGCCATTGGCGTCGCCGTGGCCCATCGATGCAGTTCCTGGATCAGGGCAGTTGTGTACGGTAGCTTCGGCTGATCTTCCCAGCTAGGCAAGCGATCGGCGCCGACCACTTTGTCGATTTCATCCTGGGCTCTAACAATGGCATCAGGGTTGAGTACTGCGGCTTTGAAAAACCACTGCAGAGTTGTAGCTGTCGTCTCTGTACCGGCAGTGATCATTTCGGCAATGAGGTGGGAATATTCGACCTCGTCAAAATGTTTGGTTTTATCGGTTAACAGCCGCGTAACGAAGCAGTCGGGCGCCGTGCCATTCTTGACACGCTCTTTCATCTGCTCGTGGAAGACTAGGAAGAATGGCATGATTTGATTTCGGACGGCGAGAGCTTGCTTCCGCCATGGAGCCAAAGCGTCTGGCAAGTAGTCGAGGATGGGAATCCAATCAACTAGCCAGGCTCCTGGGCGAATGTTGGCAAAGAACAGTTGCATCCTTTTGCCGATTGATTGTGGGATGACCGCATCTGGCTTTTCAAATCGGCAGGATAATCTGCCAAAAGTATCAGTATACTTATTCGCGCGCAGGAACAGAGAGAAGGGCCACGCACAACAAACTAAACGTTATGCTACCCGAGAATCTCGATACTTCCTCCCAGAATTCTTTTGGTTCTTCAAGTAAGTTCTTCAACGTGCGCCGGCTCTCGTATTCCTGGAAGGGGATGAAGAGCTTTGCAGTCTGCATCCCTAGTAGACTGTGGATCACCCGCCTATGTTCCTGGGTAGAGGATCAGCATTATACTCCATACGGTTGATCAGTATCAGACATACACGCCAATTCTCTCCATACGGCATGTTCACGATTCGTGCTTCTTGTGTGATCAATTTTGCCTGGCTGGAAGCCTTGGGCCTGGAGCTATACTTTTGCCCCCGTTTGACGAAGAGGTCATTGATGGCTTCTGGGCTACTCAGCACGATATATGGAGTCCTGCCAATCTTGTAGGAGAAGAAGTCCCCATACTGGCTCGCCCATTTTGTGAGCTTGAAGTGCACAGGCCCGTCACCCAGATCGAAGATGTTGCCAAAAAAGGGGAGTCCAGGAGGGCCTTTGGGAAGATTGTAGGTACGACTCGAGAAGTTGTATAGAAGGACAAAGATGAAAAGAAACACGACAAGGTACAAGGCGTACCTAGTGCTGACCGGATCCATGTCGTTGATGTACATATGGCAGCATTCAGAAGGATGAATATGTAGGTAGGTTTGTCTGCCATATCTGGGCGAGTAGCAGGGCTTTGTATATCTGCTTACCACGTCTCCCCACAACTTGATCGATGTATAAAACGCCGGTATGGGCTAAAGCAATTGTACACATCCGTTCCCCGTACTGCGGACAATAAGGAAGCCCCATGTCTACGACAATCGCAGCAGTTGCGCGATATGTTCGGGGCTCCGCATTTTAGTTATAAGTCCGCGAAACACCGGCCTGGGTCGTACGTGGACTTTGGCGTCAGACCATCGTCAGGAATCACAGGTAGCCCGTTATATGCCGGGACGTCGAAGGTCGTTGCTGGGCACGAAAAAGGCTACCTAGAGAAGTGAATAACGTATAGCCTCAAAGTTAGCATCCAACAATACCCGACCACACGATTCATCCTAGATTTTCCTCGCGACACTTCCAACCATGAAAGAAGCGTTTGTGTCTCCTGATCTGTCTGTGACGATCAGAGAGAGTGCCATTCCCGAACCTGGGCCTGCGGAAATTCTCGTCAAGGTTATATGCTCCGGATGTAATCCCAAGGACTGGAAGTATCCAGCCTACTCGGGCGCAACCGTGAACTCGGGCGATGATGTAGCCGGGGAGGTTGTGAGAGTTGGCGGTGATGTATACGAGTTCAGAGCCGGTGACCGAGTGGCTGGCATGCACATCATGCGCACACGAGGAGGCTCTTTTGCAGAATATGCAATCCTACCCGCGTCGACAACGTTTCACCTACCAAACACTGTTTCCTTTGAGGAAGTAAGTATGCCCACAGTCGTGGGTCGGCGAATACAAACTGAGCATGAGACAGGCCGCAACGATTCCACTTGCAGCTCTTACTGCCTCCGTTGCCTTATACCACAATTTGAGACTGCCATATCCGTGGGAGCAATCAACGAAAAGGACTCCCGTGCTCATCTACGGCGGTACCAGCGCAATAGGGACATTCGCCATCAAACTTGCCCTTCGTTCAAACATCCATCCTCTCATTATAGTTGCTGGACAAAGCCGTGATACCCTAGGCAAGCTCCTTCAGGAGTCTCAGGGAGATGCCATAATCGACTACCGAGAAGGGCCCAGTGCGGTTGCAGAGAATATGCAAAAAGCTCTGAAGGCAGCCAACGCCGGACCTGCTTACCATGCCTTTGACGCCATCTCAGAGGGAGGTAGTTTTCAGACTTTGAGCAAGGTATTAGCACCGCAAGGCCACATAACGGTTGTTCTCCCCGAGGCCGACTATAGCTCAATTCCTTCGCCAATTACAACATCACTCACCTACGTTGGTGTTGTCCATACTGGTGCACCGGCCTTGTCTGCCCTCAAGGGAATAAATTCTGTTGCAGAAGGTGATGGGAAAGACGTGGGGTTTATCTTCTCGAGACTGTTCGGGAGAGGTTTGGCAGAAGGGTGGTTTTCACCACATGCACACAGAATGGTGCCACGCGGTTTGGACGGCCTTAGCGACGCTCTTCAAAGTCTCAAGGGCGGAAAAGCAAGGGCTGTGAAGTATATCATTAGGCCTCAAGATACGGTGAAACAATGAGAACGACTGTCCATATAAGATATAGCTTAGTTCTCTGCTAGATCTGAGCTCGTACTGACTCGAGCTAGAACTATGAATCCTCATCATCGGACAGTAGGCTGTGTGCAGCAAGTTTTACAGTCTGTTATCTTCATCATTAGATCCCTTTGATTCCTACCAGGCCCGTCTGTCATATGAATAGTCGTCGATGATTCATGATAGTTCGCTAGCATGTAGAATAGATGGTCAAAGAACTTGGGCAGCATTGACATGGCTCCTCTGCGCCGCATGGTCGCCGTAGAAGTCGCATACCAGCGGAGAAACATCGTAAAGACTATAGTATTCAAGAATGGTTATGCTGGTCAAATTTGAGATAGTTGAGGGCCCTTGTACCATTTGGAGCTTGTCTAGAGGCCTGCGCCAAGTTGATAGAGATAAGCTTATATCGATCCAAGTGCGTGACGGTTTACTCGATCAGACCGGGGAGAGATCCCAAGTGATTGGCCCCTCTTTTTGGGGGTACACGGCATACCACGGCCTTTGACAGTGCTGAGGTCCATCGGGGCGCTCTTAGTGGCCTGCACTCCCAAAGCCGGGCGATCGAGTCACAAGCGAAAATGCCTTGATTACGGACGACGGTTGATTTCTACCCTCCAGTGTGACCCTCCACAAAGGGTTTGAAAGCCGCGTTACAAGGTCCTCCCTGCAGTGTCGGACAAACACTGGAATGGCATCTACCAGTTTTCCAAAAGTACCTCGAGCGTCCCTGTACTCATGGCTTTCTCCCTTTGAAATCGACATCGATGATTTCGACAGTGCGTTTGGAGTGCGTGGAGGCCAAACAATGCTATTGCGTGGAAGCTTGCAATGACATTGAAAGGCGCCGCAGTGGCCATTCACCTCGATTCGCACGAGAACGAGCGCAGACCAGTTGCAAGAGGTATCAGAAAGCGGGACAATCGAGGACTACGTCGGAAGGCATATCGATACCAGTGACGGTGAGAACCGACATATCAGCATAGAAATGGGCTGGAGGTCGATCGCCAGAGGCAGGGCCGAAACCGAAGGAATAGAGCATATACAGGTTTGGATTTCTCGGAGGAGAGGTCGGTGGTGTAGATGCTAAAGCAACTGGCCAATTTGAGGACTGACACATAACTTCTGAAGGGTCTTTGGCCATGAGTTCTGATCCTTGTTGTTGACTGGAGCATTTTGTTCTACCATGGTAGACAGCAACGGTGACAGTAGTGTTTGGTTGAGCTCGTGGCAAGTGCTTTCCAGAATGTTGAGATGTCGCTCAAGACAATTAGAAGCGGTAGAGTCCTTAGCAGTATTTGTCTCAAAGTACGGGTACATCCCCTTCTTCACGGAAGATGCCTGGGTTTATCTGCAATCGGATTGTAGCTTACGAGTACAAGCGAGTCTCACCAGGCTGGCTCCGCCTGCGCCACTAGGATCGAGCCGGGGAATCGGACATCTCACACTTGGTGCTCTTTTGTTCCCCCGCAGTCCCCGGGCGTCTCATCCTGGGCTAAAATCCCCCTTCCCTTTTGATCCTTCTCACCTGCTTCCCTCCCACAGCGCCAGCCCGGCGGCAATATGAAAGATAGTGCTATCGTTGAAATTCAGACCATGTCAGACTCTATGACGTTTGAGCAGTGGTCGAGGGAAATTGCCGCTTCGTCCGGCTTGGTGTCTTTGCCCGAAGGCGTCCGAGCCACGATTCTCCCACACCGAGCCTGTGAATCTTGCAAGAAGTACCTTCTGAAAGGAAAATGACCCATCGGGTTGGCACGCTACTAATTCATTCGCAGGAAAAAGACAAAATGTGACATGCAGCGTCCCATCTGTTCACTTTGCCGCCGCACCAGGCAGCTTTGCGTATTCCCAACTGAGCGAAAGCGCCCTCGTCCTGGGACACAGTATGAATCTTCGAGGAAACGCAACCGTCTTGATGCTGAGCCACACGCGACGCAACTTTCAGTCGGATTCCAGGGTAGGCAGCTCCCGAAAGGTGTGTCCTATACTAAAAGAAAGACTGATAAATTAGCATCAGGCCCTAAAAGTAATTCTTCAAGTGACAGTCAGCGTGTCGAACACAATGAGATAGCTACTAACGAAGCGCTGCGACCTCAACCTGAAAGCAGGAATGTCGAATCATGGACTCTCGGTCCGGAAGACTATGGACATCAAGATCTAGCTCAGCCGACACCAGGCTTTTCCGACTTCTGTGGTTTGGACCGGAGATCAATCAACACTCCAACAGGATCGCTGGGGCATCTGCCAGAGAGCTACGTTCTTCCCGACGACTTATTAGCCGGATTTCTGTGGCAATCCCCAGAGAGCGACCTTTTGGCTCCGAGCAACTGTGAGGTACCTGCTCCAAAGTCGGACTACAACTGTGTTCTAATGCCTGGTGCTCGGATTGCGAAACACTCAATAATGGATAGCACAAACTCGAATGAAGATGCTGGATTTGCAAATGGCGACGACCATGCAGAGAAGAGTATCACATTGATCGTCTCCGCATCTACTGCTCGTTCTCTGTACGTACGCGGTTCTATTCGAATAGTTCCTAGAGGCGGTGTCAAGCATAAGCAGGGGCAAGGGCTAATTGATCCTAGAATCGAGACCTACTTCGAAGACGTACATGCTTGTTTCCCAATCATCCACCAGCCGACCTTCAGGGCATCCTTACCAGACCTCCTGGGAACTGGACAACAGCAGCCAAGGCTGCCTCTTGACCAGGGATTGTTGATTTACAGCATGATGGCTTTGTCTTCTAGATTCTCACGCCTACCCGAGTTCCGCGATGTCCCTCTGACCCAGCGCGGTCGTGGCTTTGCCCACCAGTCAGGCAAAATTATCAGTCAACTTTTGATGGAATCAGAGCTCGATAAAGCTTCACTCACTTTTCTACACGGATGCAGTCTTGCCGCGGCCTACTGGCTTGCCTGTGCGCCAAATGGAAAATCATGGTTTCTTGTCGGAATTTGCGTGCGCATGGCTTACGGCCTCTCACTCCACACCACAGATGTTGACCTCCGAGACTCAGAAGCACAGTCTCTCACTTCCACCGAATGGGCCAGGCGAGAATCGCTGCGGCGGGCGTGGTGGATGGTGGTTGAATGCGACAATTTCGCTTCGGTTCTCCGGTGCCGACCTTTGAGCATTGATCGCTCCCGAATGCACGTATTGCTCCCGTGTAACGATGAATTCTGGTTTTCAGAGACACCATGCACGTCAGCGTTTTTGGACAACGACGCCCAACGATCCTGGAAGGACCTAAAGTGCTCTTCCAATAAGAATCCTCACGCGTGGTATCTTCTGGTCAACCAGCTGATGATTCGAGGTCATGAGATGTCTCTGAACTCTAGAAGGTCTATAACAGACCAGAAGAACCTTCGAAATTTGATACAAGCAGTCGACATGGGTCTGCCCGAAGAGTTCAGCCGTACCCGACATTCAGCAGCTACGTTTGAAGAGGGATCAATAGACCATGACAACTGGGTCGTTGCTTTGCATCTGATGTTACAAGTGTACGTATTTTGCCGACGTCATGGCGTTACTATGGTTTTCTCTCGTGGCGTTCTTGACTCACACCTTCTAGTGCTCATGCATATATCTTTGAATCGGAGGAGCAGGAAGAGGATGAGGATGCTACTCTGGAGGGAGAAGATAAAAGTCCGGTTTCCTCTGAAAGCGGTCGCGGAAATCCTCCACATCACCCCTTCTTTGAAGGTGGTAAACGGCCGCCGTTACAAGTCGCGCCTCAAAAGTTTCGACCAACATTAAATGCCATGTTGCGCGTCATACGAACATGGCCTCCGGACTATTGCATAAACTGCCAGCCATGGATAGTCTGCGCCCTCATTGGACCCCAGGCTTCACACTTGCAAGCCACATTTTTTGCGCCGACTCCTTCTCGTGGAGCCCTCGAGAGAGACTTGATTCGTGAGACGATCGGGCGAATGGCCAAGTACTGGGATGTTGCCTCCGTAACACTCGGTAAGTTCATCTCTCTCTCTCTCTCTCTCTCTCCCTTACCATACCCTCGGAGACACGCTGATGACTCACCATGAATACTTCAGAGCTTATGGACACCTTGACCAGTTGGCTCAGCTCACGCTTGCAGTCCGATGATACTACCACCACTGCCACGACTCGTAGTCCTATCACAGATCTAGAACCTGACCACAAATTACGATGCTTGTTGCCTGTCTAGGGTCTTGTTCCGACTTCAGGCAACGATTTCATGTTTGTATTTTATATATCGATACGACTGGATGGTACGAGATTGGCAATTCTCAGTCCCTGACGTCGTGACGAACTTTGCTAGGACTCATAGCGAGGAACTCCTAAGTTGACTTTTTGCGTTCCAAATTGGATCTGCTGATCTCGACTTGATTTGATTCAGCTGTGTGTAACGTGGCGAGTCTGCGTTGCTTGAGTCGATCAATCCCTCAGATGACCCCAAGGTTATTGGCACAGGGCCGTGACGAACACCCGCGACTCGCACAACCCGCAGCAGCTGACCAAGACTTGACAAGGTGATTACTGCGTAAATGGTGTGATCATCATGTCTCGGAGTGGGTGTATTGCCTACGTCTCCAGGGGGACTCGGAAACACATCCGGGGTACTTACTACAAGTGGCGGTATTCAGAACGACGAGACCGTAAGCACCGAGCACCTTGTCCGTCACAGTTTCAAGGTCACACTATCAGGAACCCCCCGACACGCAGTAATTACTCCCCGACTGATGACTGTCACAGTTCCTGCAATCGGAATGCCGCAGTTCGGCCTTCCAGCTCGACAGGGCCGAGCTACCACTCAGCTGTTAACGTGACATAGTCCCAATCGTCACCCAAGAGAAAGGGGGGGAGAAGCGAGAGAGAGAGAGAGAGAGAGAGAGAGAGAGAGAGAGAGAGAGAGAGATCGTCATTGCGTCACGCCGCGTGCGCGTGTATCCTTTTCCAGGCGCGGCTAACCTCAAACAGCGTGGTGAGGATCGTCTCTGTTACCGCGACAAAATTGTAGGGGTTTGGAGGGTTGGTATGCGTGCTCGGTGGGAGAAGCAGTCGTGGAATGGTTACAGGGAACGAGATACCACAGCGTCACCAGGCTTTGAGAAACAAGAAGGACAGAACTCCCAAGGATCATCACCGCAAACCTGAGCCATTAATATATTCATTCATTTATTTATCCATTCATTCATTGCACAGACACCTACACTCTGGTACCGGGCAAATGCGGTGCCTTTCGAACCACATCCTCGCATGCGCAGCGTGGAACCCATGGGAGCACTTCAGACATAGCACCGTGAGCTTCGCCATGGTGGAATCCCACTGCCGCGCCTGCTCTGCCTTTTGCACCTCTCGGTCAACTCCTTGCTGTGGAGTCGCCGCCTCTTCAACTGCAATGGTGGGCACGCTGGAAACCCCGTTCGTTGACTCTTGGGCGGCAGGTACCGCGGTTTCCGCCGACGAATCTGTAGCCCCCGACTTCCTTGAGTTGACCTGAGAATGTGGTGACGATTTCGGCGCCGGTGACGAAGTAGTCGCTTTCAAATTCCCGGAGCTTTTGGTCGGTCCGATCGTTGTGTGCACGCTGTGCACGCTGCCGGACAGGCTGGCCCCAAGGTCGATGACGCCCCCTTTGCTGCCATTCAGCCTTGCCTCCAGTGGCCCATACCAGGGCAAATACGACTCATCCGGCATTCCAAGCCAAAGATCGCACACTCCGCAGCGTGGTAGATGTCTTCCGCACTTTGGACAGACGGTGCCAACCGCGGCAGCCTTCTCTCTGGTCAAGGGATGCTGTGGGGTTTCCACCATCTTGTGACCCGGTGAAGCCTCGTCGTTTGCGCCTGCGTTGTGGGCAATGCTTTGTGCACAAAAGCCGCAAACAAGTCGGACTTGTTGCTTGGCCGGCGGTATGAGCCGTCTCCCACTTTCGTCGACTGCTGCGTTCTGACACGCTATATCAAATCTGACACGATCGAACCGCAAGTTCCAGCCATTCATCATGTGTCTGTACACATCCTTCCAGCCGTCGAATCTGCGAACAATTTCGTCGTCATCTACATACCGTGGTACAGCTGGACAAAGGGCTAGCACTGCGGTTTGTAGGTCGCCGAATCGCCGGACGTAGCTGTTGAGAAGCCCAAACGCGTCACGAGTGCCAATGCCGGTGAGGATGATGCCTTCAACATCACCTTCATTCAAGACTTCTTTCGTTGCTCGTGAGATATACTCTGTGAGTTTGGAATCGTCAAGATGTCGCAGCGCTACGCACACTCGATACTTGAGTGGGAGGGAATCTTCAGCAACAACCTGAGACCAATCCCCCGTTATGACGTAGGCAAGGATCGCGCGAGCGTATGGATCGGTAAGCTCTTCGGCCAACGATGAGATGGTCTCCGCCCAGTCATCTTGTGCATCCGAGTCGTCACCAGACGTCGCCGCTGCGTCTACATTACGCATCTTCTTTGAAGCGCCCGCGATGGCCATTGCCAGCATCTTGTGGGATTGGTTCGAACCCTTTCCACGCAATGCTTTGTAGGCCAATTTACGCTCCAGGGAAAACATTGCAAGTGCCGCAGCTTTGGTATGCTGGTTCTGGGCCACAAGACGATTAGTTCTTGCCTCCAACTCTTCGTATGACCAGGCTAGCCCTATCGAATGTAAACACAGTTGCCTATTCGTTACATATTCTGACTTGCTGCTCTTGAGACTTGCAATGTTGAGTCGGCGGACAAGGTTTTCGATGATCTTGCCCGGTTTATTGGAGCATGGTCCCAGGGTTCTGTTCTTGGCATGTATATCCTCCATCCAGAGGGCATAGACTCCGACATATGCCAGATCGAAGTTGTCCTGCGTCATGTTTCCATTTTGAGCTATTCTGGAGGAATGCTCAATCCAACCCCAGAACGATTGTAACCAGTTCGAATCGGAAACGATGTCTTTGTTCTTGGTGGGGTTGAGTAGATAGCCAGCTTGACAGCGACCTCTTTGGATTGAGTTTAGAGCCAGAAGATCCTGAAGAGGGACATCTCTCTCGTAGTACCCAAGATCCGAGTACCACGCTTGGTTCTCCAAACTGGACATTTTCCTTGTGTCTGGAGCTTTTCCTTCCTGGCGAGACTGCTTGATCGTCCGTTTGAGTATATTCCTAGGTTGAGCTTTGCGTCGAATCTCTTCGATGGTCTTTCCGAGAGTCGATGCATCCAACAAAGATTGCTCGATAACCGTATCGCCCTTGCATAGAAAGTCAAGATTCCCAAGGACAACCGGCTCGGGTGGAGGATTTGTTGAAGAGACTCGAAGTCTCCCATCACCGGTGAGAGTCAGGATCTCGGGTTGACCAAGCTTTGACAACGTCGTCATGAAGTCAAATGATACAATTCGGGTCTTTTCATCCTGAAGAGAAGGATCGCCCGAGTGCTGCTTTGCGACTTCCTGGGCGCGATCAAGAAAAATATCTACAGGCGCACTGTTCTCCCAAGAGGTATCGTGCCCACCGTCTTGTTCCGCCTGGTGCGTTTCGTCCGAGGAGTCCTTGCTGATATCATAAACTTTCAGGTTTCCTGTACTGGAGAGGACGCCGAGATGGCCCCGACGAGCTTTCGAAAACCGTAGGCTCCAGATCGTGCCTGGGCTTTCGATAACGTTCTTCAATTCCAAAGAAGCATCTGGTTGCCCTGTCCCTGTATTTGAGCCTGCACCAAAACTCATGTGCGGCGTGTTGAGTCGACTGATCATTCGCCGGTCCCAAACGCATATTGACGGATCGCTAGTGGGATACCCTGAAGCAAAGTAATTTTCATCCAGCCAATCTACGGCCAAATTGTGAACGCAACGTGTGGCGAATTGTAGGCCATTTCCGACGGATGGCTCCCTGAGGTCGTACAGTCTAACAAACTGTCCCTTTACACCAGCCACCAAGAGCTGAGGGTCGTCATGAAAGAACTTTAAGCTGGTTATCGGTTCTCCACTAGCGAGTTTATGAAGTGGCTCCAAATAACTCTTTGAAAAGCCCTTCGCTCCAGGTGCGGGAAGTCGCTGATTGTAGTCCCAGACGTTCAGACAGAAGTCCGTTCGGACTTTATCCAATCCAGCCGCCAGCAAGGTGTGGCTGTTCAATGCGACAGCGTTACATAGTCGTTGGCTTCGTACCTGGAACGAAAGTGAGTCGTGGTAGCCCTCCGCGATGTTGATAAGAGTTGCTTCTCCGCCTGCCTGCCCGACAACCACGAGACCCTCGTTGACCGGATGCCAGTCGAAAGCGCGAAAGGCAGGGACTTTTGTTGAAGTGTGCACTGACTCATACTCGACAGACAGCTTAGTTTTCTTCGTAATGTTGCATAATTTGAATGATTTCCCCGTCACGTCGACATATAGAAAGCGCTGTGGCGTGCCTCGATGAGAGTTGCGCGAGAAACGGATCGCGGTCTCCATGCCGATTTCCGAGCTCTCAGGACTTGAAATGGTGCGCTCCTAACGCCCATGTAGACACTGAAGATGCCGGTCCATGTCTTTCTGATCTGTCGATTGGTTTGTTAACCTCAACGTGGCCGAAGAATAGATACATAGGATTGGGTATTCCTCGTCTCGCGTTCAGACCTTCAGTCGAGCATAACGCCAGATGCGGATCGGGACTAGTGCAATAGAGGGCGGTGAGAAGCGGCAGAATAATTTTATCGACTTGTGCATCCACCCGATGCACTTTTTGTCACTTTGATCCTCATTCTCCTTGTTCAATCCTCTTTGATCTACGGTTCTTTGGTGCGTTGCTAGATGCATGTGTTGACAGTTGATTTTCCAGTCCCTCTACTGTTACCTCCTGCGCACCATGGGCAGCTATCGGCCGGCTCCGCGCCGACAACAACATGATACCTGGCGCCCTTCAGATCGAGCATCCGGCCGCGGCCGTGACAATGAGCGTGAAAGAAGTGGCGATGACAATCGTAATCGTGCTTCTGCTCGAGAACAACCTAAGAAGTTGGCACCAGTCAGGTCGGGCGTGAGCAAGTCGAAGAAGGAACGTCAAAACAACCGCTCAACGCGAATCCACTCCCTCCGCAACCTCTTGGGCAAGAAGGCCGACTTGCCCATGACTGTTCGTCATGAGAAGGAGCGGGAACTGGCTGCTCTACTTCTGGAGCAGGAGAAAGCCGAGGTCACCCAGAATGCTAGAAGAAATCTGCAACGCTATCATTTTGTCCGTTTCATGGAGCGCCAGAAGGCTACAAGGGCCCTGAAGAAACTTGTCAAGCTGCGATCGTCGCCTTCATACAAGGATGAATACAAGAAGAAGCTGGAAAATATGATCCACGAGGCCGAGGTGGATGTGGCATACACTCAGTATGCGCCACTAGGAGAAAAGTACATCAGTTTGTACGTGGGAGGAGAGAGCCAAGTTGACAAAAAAGAGGTGGCCAAGAAAACCTACGCCATACTGGACACAAGCCAGCGTGACGAGTTTCGTGCCATTTCCGACGAGCTGGCCCAAATCGTTCGGACAGCGTCTGGTGTCAAACCCCCATTGTGGTATGAAGTCGAGAAGTACATGGCTGAAGGCCAAGACAAATTGAATGCTCTTCGAGAAGGGAGATTGACGGCGCATAAAGTGGACAAAGAGCTCACGAGCGTTGGGGGCAAGGAACAAGCATCTCTGCGGAGGCTGCAACAGCATACGTCCGAGGCAAAGCCATCATGGCTCGACGATGATGGTATGATTGATCCGGCTGATTTAGATAGCGAAGACGACGAGCAGCCCGGTGGCGTCCAAATAAGACGAAACCACGATGACGCAGACGACGACGAAGACATGAGTGATGGCGGATTTTTCGAACGCTGAAATATGCCCTTTTGATGATGTTAACGACTTTGAGATACCCCGGCATGGAAGAGGCGAATGGAGTCAGACTAATAAAACGCAATGAGCTTGAAGACCGCCCGTCGAACACATCAGTATCTAGATACAAGATTTACAAGGGTTTTATTGGCGACTCGTACTGCTCGATTCACGAAACCAAACAAGACTTGACTTACTTGATCATCTTTCATGCTTGCGGTTCCCTAGCTGGCTCATCTAAGCTCGCCACCCAAACGCATTGTCTTTAAACACAACAGAAGTACAGATACGTCCTGTTGCACATCGCATCAACCACACACTTGACGACTATCTACCAGGAGCGATCGCGTCCGGTTACCTTTGCGATGGGCCAAATTGATAATATCACCTCTGTCCATTGTTCTATTATATTTATGGTGCGTGACCCTAACAGGCAGCCAATTGACATCACCAATCCGCGTGGTGAAGAATACGGAGTCTGCGCAAGACTATTACCTCGAGAAGCAGCCCTGAGAACGCAGCCCTTACGTCTCACTCTCTTCCGATGACAAATGTGAGCATGACGACGTCGCCCATCTAGATCTAAACGCCTGACTACCTCCAGAGCAGTCGCGGCGAGGTATTCCGAACGTCCTCACTATTGCCAACAGCCCGATGCTCACTTGAGTCTGCCCTTATCACGTACGGTTTACCTTCTCATCAGCTGCTCACGGTCTTCAGTCATGCTGCTACCAGCGCCAACAACTTGTATTAACCTTACCCATGGTGTCACGATTTCAGGGTATAAAAGAAGTACCCGAAGCAGCAGCACCATCTCAAGTACCACGACCGTTCTTCTTACACCCACACAACTACACTACTAATACTACCACCGTCACACATACACACACTACTACGACCTTCAGAGTCAGCAATAGCAATTCTCGACACGACATACTTTCTCATTTCTACCGCCATAAAGGATCACGCCTCTTTTTCCGCTTTGCGAACCTTACCACGATGTCCGACAATCCATATTCGTACTCGCCGGAGAGAAGCAATGACCGCAGCATTGACTCCTTGTACTTTTCGAATACCTCGACCCGAAGCAGCGTCGGCACCAACCCGGGTGGCCAGAGCTCCAGCGCCCGCAGCGAGTCCACCCTGGACAACTGGGGCGCCGAGATCGACAGACGATACATAGGAAACACGTCCTCGCGAGACTTTGCATACGACAAGTCCGACCCGAAACACACCACTGCCTATCTTTTGCCCGACAAGAAGAGATGAGAAGAAGCGTTTGTACAAAAAACGTGTTCAACTCTCTCTTCCCAGACGTGCACATAGGAAACGTGATACTGGGATCTGGCTCTGATGATGTGCTATGTGTTTTGTGAATGGATGGATGGATGAGTCGTGCTTAGTCAGACAGGGACACATGATATACCTGGATGGAGGACAACCCGTGTTTATTTTATTGGGACTCTGTCGAGGCTTTCTGGAACAATTCACCTTGGGCTGCCGAGATGGCGGTGGAAATGTGGATGGACAAGGTACTGTATGGAGGGCACGTATGCATGCATGGGTGCGTATGTGGTCCCCGGTGTATCACTCGATGAGTGCATGCATGGATGGGGTAGTATGATGGATACAGACAGGTACATTGTTTTGTAGATAGCCACCTGGCCGGTAGCTGATACTCGACCCCTCGACCACTCTGAACCGTCTCCTGAGTCGGCAGCCAAGTTTGACAAAGTACCAACAGCAAGTACCTTATCTGATAGCATGTACCGATGGATAATCTCTCCGGGGATTGTGTGGACAATCAGATCAAATACATACAGTAGCAGCTACTTACCAAGGTAGCTAAGGTACGGAGGTAACGAGGTACGTAGGTAGGTACTTAACTTGCTCTACGTATCTGAGGCAACGGAGTGCTTCTGCTCGATATTTGGGTATCTACCTGAAGACTTAGTTACAGAGTTGCTAGGTAGGTTAGCCAGCGAGGTTATAGGAATGGGGAAGTACTTACTGGACGTGCCACGCCTCAAAGTATCTTAAGTTAGTAATGAATGGGCAACTGCTGGTCCCTCTCACCCTTTTCCCGGGAGCGTCTTACGGCGCCGCGTCAATTGACCTCGGGCTGATTCCCGGAACTGTACCGTCGATCACTTGCCAGTTGCCAGTTGCCGTAGAACTAGTTAGCGCCTTGACACAGCCGTCGAGGGAGGCGACAAGGGTCTGTGACAATCACGGCCACAGGTCATCCAAACTCAGACCTGCGAAGTCCCAATCTCAACGGGGAAACGGAGGAGAACCTATAATGAGACCTTCACAGTGAGACCATCGATCATGTGGAACATCGAAGGTGGGAATCGTGTCGCATTACAATCGATTTATACAAACGGGACGTCCATGTCGAGCTTGCGCATCGCCTCTCTCCAATCGACCCATGTATCGGCAACTTCTTGGTTCGTCATGACTGCTTTTACCGCTCGAGCATTCCAGATTTGCCCGAGCAGGGTTTGTTGGTTCGACATATTCCTCATGCCGACAGTTTCCGCATTCTCCAGCAGGCTCTTGAAGCTGGCTTTGTCGGCCTCTTCGTATGCCTCCGCCGCTGCGACGAAGACTGGCCACACGGCGAAGGTGCCTCCACAAATCTCGAAAAAGGACGACACAAGGGCGAGCACCGCAGATACAAGAGGCGACAGTTCACGAGGTGACAGTCGATCACAGACTTGATAATGATATATCAGGGTTGCCGCCTGAAAGGCCTGCAGGTGCAGATACTGAGGATCTTGCTTCGCCGGGTCGAGGCTTGTCGTTCGGAGAAGGGCTACAGGGGGAACTTCGCGTTGATACTTCAAGAGGGTCTGATTCAGCCGGAGCGAGACGGTGATCGTCGAGTCGTCAGCATTTTCTTGGTCACGCTGAGCTGCAATGGTGTTAATGCTGGCTATCGTCTCCATAATCGAGCTCGAAGTCCCCATCGTCCATCCGTAGCCGGGATTGCTCATTAGTTCCTGGCTCAACATGCTACGAACATGGTTCGTCTGGGGGCTATCCGTGTCGCTTGCATCGTTTGCAACAAAGCCACAGGACTCAGAGCCCGTCTTGAGCAGGTGACAGCTCTGAGTTACGTACCAGGCTTCTGGTGAGCTCACCCATGATTTCGCTTTCTGATGATATTGAAGAAACCTCCAGGCAGCCTGCAAATGATACCTCCAAACTTTCGAGCTTCCTCGCGACAACTATAACCTCCTCGTCAGAAAGTTTGTCCCATTGCACAGAGGCTACAGATTATATTACTTACCTCTAGCAGTAGGAATGTGAGCATTGTGGTTAGTAATCCAACATAGTCCGCGGAATCCTCTAGGATACAGGCGCGCAGCTCTGCCATTGCCGAGGAGTAGAGTCTTGTCCCCAGCGCAGTCATGACGTCTCGGTCGACGGCGCCTTTATGGACCAGGCAAAACGCCGCCAGAGCCATCAGTGCATGTAGAAGGTAGTTTTTACCCTCCTGATGGCTGAGATGAAGAGCGATGGCCGGATATCGTAGATATGGGTTTCGAGCTTCGTGAATGGGTACCAATGTCGGTGCGACCGCAGTGAGATAGATATTGAAAAGTCGAGCATCGGATTGACTGAGCCTATTCTCTGCTCGGATAGGTGGTGGGATGGACACCTGAAGGAAATCAACCGACGACTCTGGCTCGACGGTGGGCCTGTGAGAGACGCTGCTGGGGGAAGCCAGATCCTCTGTGAACTCCCTCGGCAAGCTGCCCCCTGGGAAGCTAAGGCAAGAGTGAGAAGGACTCGCGTCTCCCAGTAGCGCCCTCGATACATCCTCCACGTCGAAAGAAGCACCGTAGTCTAGGATGCTTTTGACCATCCAGGACGAGTCTGGTGCAACGCGAAAGGCCGAGAAGGGCGGACATGACAATCCATCTGGCACATCCTCGCCGTCAAAATCACAGGTACGAATCAACTCGTCGAGCTCCAGAGATGATAGAACAGGGTGATCCTGCCAGGTCCGATCTGTGGTGGACCCATTAACGTCGTTGCACACAACGGCAACGTAGGACTCACCTGGCTCGAGGGAGCGTCTTCCGTTGTGGCGATAGGTCTTCTGGTCAGCTGAAACCCACACCAGATTTTGCTGATAGCCACTGCATTCCAGCCCAGTCTTGCGACAACGGCCACAGGAAGGTCGAAGTTTGTCGCACTGGCCTCCTTCAGTTGGTGTCTGCCGAACATTGACCCAAAACGTACCTTGACTTTTCGCTCGCGGCACCGCCAGCATCCCTAGACCATGGCGGTCAGCATCAAGACAGGTCGGTTCCGGAGTGTGTGGCCAACCGTGAACGTTCGTTCGTAGCCGGTGGACTTCTTGGTCTCATCGCCGGTGCAACGTACTCTCGAGGAGGCACTATTCATTTCGAAAACAGAACAAGAGGCACCAGCACATCGTTGTAACAGCCCAAGCTCGTCATAGACTACTTATTTCTTGAACTACTCAGAAGTGCCGAGTAGGTGGATGCAAGACGAAACATATTGATAAGATTTTGGCAATCCATAGCGAGACTGCGGGCACCGGTCACCTGGAAGTGTTGCAAGAGATAAGCTGATAGCTTGCAAACCCTGGCCTGTAGCGAGAAGAGCGTGGACTAGTTAGTTGACCCACCACGGCCTCGGGCTTCCAGGCACACCTCCTCAGTCCTACAGATAGTGTGTTGTTGAAGACCGTGCTGATACTTCAGAAGCATTCCAAGGATGCTTATCGGATCTTCTTCTCTCTTGCATTCAAGGACATCCCTCATTAATGTCTTGACTAACGCAGGTCTCCCTGTTCTTGGCGACGTTACAACTTGTAGATCTATCCAGTTTCGAGACTTGTCAGCTTCCTCCAGCTCTATCGTCTTTCAATCTCTATGCGCTTAGGAACTCCTTAACCTGTTCGGACCAATTTGGTGCTCTGCACCGAAGTCAGCCAGTACACAACTTCTTGCCCGCAGCGGTTACTTACCTCTTGTAGTCCCATATAGCAGGCACGTTTCCTTCTTTCAGGCCATCAATCGACTTGATCATCGCAGGGCCCAGGCCTTCGTCTTTGATCTGCTGTAGTGGATAGACATATTCATGGATTATGAAGATGCGCGCGCCACTAACTGGAAGCCTAAAGAGAGTCTGCAACTCACAACGAAGGTAGATCTAAAGGCCCTGTAAGCGTCCTCCATTGGGTTGAATTTGCGGAGATAGAGGCCAGTGAAGTGATATGAGAGGAAGAGTCCACACACATACCTTGGCTGGATTTACATCACCAGATACTGGACCCAGATAGTCCTTGTCGGTAAGTTGACTCGCTGTCTGCGAAGCCTTAATCGAGATGGCCCACTTGGTGAAACTCGTCAGTTGGCCCAGAATTTTTCAGGCTTCACTCACATTTGTCCGACAAACGACTCTTCCGACTTCCAATTTACGGAAGTAACGATCCATGCTCATCTCAAGCCTTTCCTTATATCCCGGCACACGCTGATGTAAATCCTTCAAGGAGCCACCCAGCCGTTTCCGAGGGTCGCTCCTGTTTGGAAAGGCCCACATCAGTGCATTCAGCGCAAAGCCATCCTCTTCATTGTCGCTTTGAGGCGTCATGAACAATACGTCATCGTCCAGGTTTCGATTGAGGATCTCAAGTGTTTGCCGTCCATCCTTGGGCGGTGTCATTGGAAGATGCTCTCCCGACACCTTGTTTTCCAATACTTGGCGATCGGGAAACAGCGTAAATATCGTAGGGTACCGCTGCGGCAGCCATTGGTGAACGAGATAGGTGTAGAACTCGTGCACAGCGGGTAGACCGCGTGGTAGGCAAGCAAGCACTTCGGGTCTGCTAGCGGCAACATCGCGTCGAGCCTTAAGCCGTTCAAGATAACTCGAGTCGATGTGTATGATATGGTTGATATCTGTGTTTTGAAGACCTGACTGTCTGTGAGCAAAGATCTCCTCAACAAGATTGCCCCTCGGGCCGACAAGGTGACATGGAACAGTATGACAAAATGGAAACATACCCATCGTCATGAAGTACTTTGGCTGAAATTTGTACACACGTCGCGGTTCCGCGTTGGAATAATCATAGTCCTCAAGCGGCGTGATGGCGCCCATCTTCATCGTGTCTTTCTTGTTCAACAAGGTATATTTCTCCGGAGGCGGGGTTTGCTACACGTAAAGCTCAGCATGGTTTCGAGTGAAGGTATATTCACGAACCGTCTTCTGGCCGACACACCGATGCTTCAACACCCTGCGCGTATTCGTAACCATTCCCAGAATTAGAATCACACATAGCGGTAATACGAATTGAGCCGGAACCATGAACAGATTCATTTTGATTGTTGATCCTAAGTCTCCTGTTGGCTCTTGAGAATGAGGTTGACTCAGTCTTCTGACTCGGTGATTCTGGAGGAATAATGCAGATTCGACGTTTGATTGCAAATCGCCGTCGCTATTGACTGCCGTGTAAGGTTACCACCTTGCCGCAAAGCAAGGGTCCTGCAACAGGCTCCACTTCGAGATAGGCAGGGCAAAGTGTGAGTTCAAGCCGTGTTCCCGGGCCAGTGACTTCGCCCTGGAGTACATCTATAAATCACTCGCGGTGGTCGCGATCCCAATGCTCACTTTCGAGATATATTTCCTGCCAATTGAGAACACACTGCTGTTCATTACCGGCATGTTCGCGTAATCTCTAACGGCGCAAATACAAACTACAACCTACAGGCCTTGGCGGACTGCGAGGCGTCAGCAAGAAGCAATTCAACAACGATAACGGAGACTCACATTCTCAAAACAGCAACTCACATGATGGCGAACGGGACATCTATCAAAAGGACTCCCGTACCGGCGCCTCTCGAAGACGACGAAAGTCCAGCGCTTCTTCATCGGTCGCTGCGTCTCCGGCCGTACAATGTCTCCTCGGCGAAGGGCATTTACATCACCCTGAAAGACGGACGGAGGGTGATGGACGGCTCTGCCGGCGCCGCGGTCGCTTGCATCGGACGCGGTAACGATGAAGTCGCTGCCGCCGTGGCTGCGCAGTTACAGACAGGTGTCAGCTACCTCAACTCTGTGGCCTTTACTACCGACGCCGCCGAGGAGCTGGCGCATTTCCTGATCGACGGCCCGCACGGGGGTGGTCGCTTCGGGTTTGAACGCGCTTACTTCGTCAGCAGCGGCAGCGAGGCCAACGACGCGGCGTTAAAACTAGCCCGACAGTATTTTTTTGAGAAGGACGGGGCGGAAACCCTGCGCACAAGGTACGTCGCGAGACGTCAGGCGTTTCACGGGACAACTGTTGGTGGGATGAATGTCAGTAGCTTCGTCGCGAGAAAAGTTCCGTTCGCGAATTTTCAGCTGCAGAATGTTAGCTGGGTCACGCCCGCATATCAGTATCAATACTCGAACTGGCAGCAGGGTGAGACCGAAGACGAGTTTGCGGCGAGGTTAGTCGTGGAGCTGGATGAGCACTTCCAATCTCTAGGTCCCGAGACTGTCATTGCCTTCATTGCTGAGCCACTTGTGGGCGCGACGAGCGGGTGCACGCCCGCCCCCAGAGGATACTTTAAGGGTGTGCGCGAGGTCTGTGACAAGTATGGGATAGTTTTAATCCTAGACGAAGTCATGTGTGGCATGGGCCGAACAGGGACGCTATTCGCTTTCGAACAGGAAAGTATCGTGCCAGATATTATAACCATCGGTAAGGGTCTGGGAGGTGGCTATCTCCCAGTTGCTGGCGTGCTCGTGCACAAGAAGATTATTGATGTTTTGAGAAAGGGCACTAGTAGCTTCAACCACGGTCACACATACCAGGCCCATCCGGTTGGCTGTGCGGCGACAATAGCGGTTCAAAAAATTGTGCGCCGTGAGAAGTTCGTTGAGAATGTCGCCCGACTGGGTAAATGGTTACACCCACTGCTACTTGAGACATTTAGCAGCTTGAAATACGTCGGCAACATTCGAGGACGAGGCCTGTTCTGGGGTATCGAGTTTGTGCAGAACAAAGCCACCCGAGAGCCATTTCCTTCTTCGCTGGGCTTTGGGCTTCGATATCAGGCGACCTGTTTTGAGCTAGGCCTGGCTGTCTACCCTGGAACGGGTACAGTTGACGGCAAAATGGGGGATCACTGTATCTTGAGCCCGCCCTACAACGTGACGGAGGAGGAGCTGAGAAAGATGGTTCAGATCATGAAGCAGGCATACGGTCAACTAGAGAGACAAGTTGACGGTGAAATGACTCAAAAGCAAGGAGGCAATGGAGTTGTAGAGACTTCTTAACGCTCAATACAATTAAAAAGGCGGTTGAAGATTGTTGTCGCGGGTTTTGCGTCGAACTGCTAAAGCAGCAACGAAAGAGTAAAGCAGCAACATGCAGTGAAAGGGGCGGCGGAGTCGAGGTTCAGCCTCGCTGCTGAAGTCAATCATGACACCGCCCCATATCAAGCCCTCGTAGAAGGGCAGAAAACTGCTCTCTCGCCGACCATGTCTGTGCTCAAACATACCCAGTGTCTCATACCAGATGTGTACGTGTAACACTGGGTACTGGTTTCTCTGGATTTTGTCCTGCGCAATAGAGTATTGGCGACTTTCATCTCGTGTGGACTCACACTGTTTCAGGAGAGCGAGGATCAATGGATCGCAGTGGAGCATCAAGCGACCGATCATCCCTGACTGTTCTGGATGTCTGGCGCTCGTTGCTCGGAGTGACATGGCTCATCCCTGAACTTCCCATCTGCACCTCGTTTCCTTTGGCGTGATTGTTGGCCAACCACAAGGGTGATTGAGGTGAGTTATTAGGCGATTGTGCCTTCCCAAGCCACTGCCTTCGTCCTGGATGTTTCCTACTGCCTCCTCAGGTCTTGCGATGTCTGGCTACCTCTTCAAGAATCATGAGACGCAGCGACTCGTCACTATCAAATACGGATGAATCTCAAGTCGGCCTTTTGAACGAGAAACGCGACTACTATCATGACGATCGAGCAGCAACAGGCTCTGCATCAACAGCCTGGCTGAGGAATCCAACCTCCAACAGAATCCTACTCAGTTGGCCATGTCTGCCTCTGCGACACTTTGGTCGATCACTCAGTCAGGCACTACAGATATTGCTACCGAGTTTCCTTCAGCCCCGACAACAACATGTTTGTGGCAAGAGTGACAGCCTGCCACCAACAGCATTCTTGGACGGCATGCGTGGGCTCGCGGCATTTGTGGTTTTCATATGCCATTTAACCTATGGCTCTTTCGAAATTGGTCATGCATGGGGAGCAGACCCAGATCCAGAATCCCACGACCAGAACGACCACGTCAACAAAGAATTTTTCCGTCTTCCCATTGTTCGACTGCTATACAGTGGCCCTCCGATGGTCGCCATCTTCTTCGTCATTTCTGGCTACGCTCTCAGCTGCAAACCCATCAAGCAGATGAGATCGCAAAATCATGAACAACTCATGACCAGTATGAGCTCGGCCATCTTTCGCCGTGGCCTCCGATTATTTCTACCTTGCTTTGCCTCAACATTTCTCGTCATATGTCTGGCTCAACTCGGCTTATACCAGAGAACTGAGGTCTACGTGGGTCAAGTGCGTATGCAGCGCGAGGACCACTGCTACACCCAGCCTAACCCTTGGCTACAATTCATCGACTGGTTACAACAGATGCACATCTTTGTCGACGTCTTTAATTGGTCGTTGTATGCCGGCTCGATCGAACTCGACCGCCACCTGTGGACCATTCCTGCCGAGTTTCGGTGCAGTCTGGGTCTTTTTCTCAGCCACATGATGGTCGCTAGAATGTCTACCAAACTTCGCATCATGACCCTCTCAGCGCTGACGGTGTGGGGAGCGTCGTGGGATCGATGGGAGCTCTGTCCCTTCTGGGCTGGCGCGATAATTGTAGAGTTGGATATCATACAACTCACCAAGACGACCGATCTACCTTCTACAACGCCGAATTCTAAAGAGCACCCACAATGCAAACGAACCGTGTCCGGGATGTTCTACGGAGCCCTGTTTCTGATATCGTTGTTTCTCCTTTCATACCCAGACGCCGCCGGCCACGCAACGCCAGGCTACATCACGCTTACCAAACTGATCCCTGCCGCGTTCACGCAAAAACATCGCTTCTGGCCCACGATAGGTGCCGTCATGATCGTATGGTCGTCTTGTCGGTCGAGAGTGCTGCGCGGTCACGTCTTCTGTTTTGGTCTCGTACAATATCTCGGCAAGATCAGCTTTCCACTGTACGTTATGCATGGCCCGATCATACATACGCTGGGATACTCGGTATGTACCTGCTTTTCTGTAGTTCGTGTACAACGCACTGCCAACGGATGACTGACTATTCGGGTTTCAGATTCTTCCCAAAACTCCGATCCACGAAACACCCGAAATCATGCGCCAATTCGAACTCGATTTTCTGAAGGCGTCAATCGTCATCGTTATGGCAGTCATCTGGGCGGCGGATGTGTTTTTGAGATTGGTGGACACACCGTGCGTCAATCTGGCCAGACGCCTCGAGAAGAAGTTATTTGTTTCGTGACGACGAAAGACTCTGGTACGTTTTATAGATTGTACACTGCAGAACACTACGGACGTCGTCGTTCGGTGATGGTCGGTTCATTCTGGATACGTGAGCCTTCCCGGCCGACCGCTGAGGCTCTACGGAAGATCTCAGCCTTGTCTACACATGAAGAGGCTGAGATTGAGTCTTGACACATCCTGTGACTATCATCGCTCAATACATATTCAGCTAGATATTCATGAATAGATCGGTGTAGAAGATACAGACGTATAAATCTCTCTTCCTGCCCTTCGAGTGTCGTCGGCAGTACAAGTACTGTAAGCTTACAACTCCAACCCTCCCCACTCAGCCTGGAACTCGAGTCTCTCCTTATCCAAAATACTCTCAACATCCAACCTATTCTTTCCTTGTTGACTCTCAGTCACGACACCGTCGTCCAGAAACTTCAACCCATCCATGGCCTTCCCGTCACACGCTTGCCCGAGAGTGAGAAAGGCAAAGTGTCCACCTACGACAGGACGCGCAAAGAAATTTGGCCCGGGAAACCCGCCGCGGCCCTCGGTCATGTGGAGATCAGTCAGCGGACGATCCGTGGCTGTCTCGTTCACCCACTTGGCCACGCTCTGCAGGATCCCCGCGCGCACCTTGGGCGCGGCGACGCTCATGGCGAAGAATTCCCAATCTGTCTTGGTGTACAGGTGCCTCGAGTCAAGGGGCAGCCCATACTTCTGACGCACGGCCCAGTACCAGTCGCTCTGAAGCTGGTAGACGTGTTTGGGGACAAAGCCGTCCTTGTCGCCCGCTATACCCTTCTTGAGCGGTTTCTGATATTCGTACCGACCACCGATGCTGCTCGGTACACTATCGGCCTCGTGCTCAGACGAGTTCCCAGAGCCGAGGTGGAAGCACAGCAGGCTATCGGCGTAGAGATTGTATGTCGTTGTCCAGGAGCCGTACCAGTCATATGCGAGTTTGGCGTGCGTCTTGTCCCGCGAGATTCCCAGTTCTTCCCATCTGGCAATGTAGACTTTGGAAATGTTATTGTAGGTTTTGACGTCTTCGTGGTTCTCGACGAGTTCCGACAAGCCTGCCATTGCTTTGATACCGATAATGCCCTTCAATGCAAGATTCGTTTGGAGAGCCAGCCAGCCCGCAAAGTCGTCTGTTGACAACTGGTTGTGTGGCTCCAAGGAGAATTCGACCAGATAGCCGGTCCACTGCTTCCACAACCGATAGCTCTTACTCACCCACTTCTTAGCTTTGCGCAAACTTTCGGGTTGTCCAACATAAGCATCATCAATATACGAAAGACCACCTTGTGTGCCGACCGACAGAGGCGCGAGACTATCGCTTGACGATTTTGGTGTGGGCACGCCATTCATAGGTTGCCAGGTGGCTGAGACTGATGTGTTTCCGCCATTTTTAAGGGAATTCGCCAATGCTAATCCCATGATGAGAATGTTTCCACACTCCTCCACCGGCATATACTCATCACGCCCAAGAGGGTGACCGGTTGCATTGGGGAAATGAGCCCCCAAGTCGTGCATGGCATACTTATTGGGATACTGCCCACTCAACATGTGCTCAATTAAAGGTTCAAGCACGTAGCCAAGCCATCTGGGATTGGTGTACAAGAAGAAAGGGAAAGCAGGGAAGATGACGTCGATGGTCTGGAAATTCCCGTTGGACGAGATTTCCTTCAAGAACAAAATCGGGTTGTCAGGAGTACCGGAGAAGCTCGTCGCACCCAATACCTGTCGGGCAGATAGAGCAACAATATCCACGTAGTCTTCCGCTCCGGACTTGTAAGCATCAATGGCTAGCTGGGCGGAGTAGTTGGACGCTAGCTCTTTGGCCGAATAGAAATCCAGATGGTGGAATGTGAGAAGATTATCAACGGTGGTGAAATAGGATTCCCACAGTGGTCGCATGAAGGTCAACCCTCGAGCAGCGGCAAATTGCACGACTGGATCTTGGATGTGAGCAATTGTGAAGGTGATACTGTCGTGGCGGACTGACGTTGTGCTGTGGTTCATTGGGAAGGATTTTGAGAATGCGAAGACCGGCTCTTCGTCCATGATGGAGCGAAAGTTATTGTCGATAGCGTTCTGGAGGGTTCCGGTCCTCGAGAAGCGCTGCCTCAAGAGGGCAGACGTACCGACCTCATGTCGAGCATCCGCAGGAGCAGAGAAGTGCAGGGTACCCCATTCAGCACGATCCTGGTACTCGGTGAATAGTTGTTCAACCTCCCTCCGGAAATGCCATGTCTTGAACCCTTTACCCATGCCATCCAGAGGCCTCTGGTCAATCCCCCAGACGATCTTGCTGCCTCGGTCTCCACTCACCCACTGGCCGTTCAGGTCGATGTAGATGTCCAGTCCAACATTGCCGGACACATAGACAGTCAAATAACTCGCCGGGACGGATTGTCTGACGGTAGAAGTAGGGGTGATTGGGGATAGGAACGAGAGAGTTATATCTATATGGCTCGAGGCCGAGGAGGAGGACGGAAGAGGAATCGAGTAGGACAGGTTGGTGGTCGAGGCATCGTACTGGGCGCCATGGTAGATGGGATAAGAGACGGTGTAGCTGTTATGAGAATCAGTTCCTGCACAGAATATGTGGCCCTGGAGCATTTACTTGTCACCCTCGCGACGCAACGAGTCGTGCGGTCTTCCTAATAGCGGGAACACCGTTCGTGGCTCCGCGACACTGGCCAGAACAGAGAAGCCGATTTCCTGTCCGGTCCAGAACATTGGCCACCTTTCCCAAGGCGGATCTCTCGCGTTCTGTAGCCATGTGCTCAGGTAAGGGTTTCGCACAACCAGAGGTAGAACAGGGGGAGTCAATCGAGAGGACTCGACAACTGAGGGGAGGACGGCTGCCAGCACTGCCCAAGCGGAAACCAGCCGCATGATGAGGGTTATGGGGGAAGAGTAATGCTAGTTAGAACAGTTCCTCCAGAACAAGAGAACGAGACGCCGCTCCTGACGAACCTCGAGCTGGGTGAAGAGAATGTGCGGCAGTGAAAAAGACCTGGAGTTCGACCAGCAGAACCTCAAACGTACGCGCAGTTGGAGAGCAGCTGGTCAGCCGACGCACCCCCAAGAGACACAAATGACGGCATCTTCATATTACTGGTACTGTAGGCCAGCCTAACTAGTTAGTGGCCTACCTAGATACTTAGTGAGCTGTCTAACCCCAGCTATCCCCAAGTTTAGGCACTGGGCAAGGCCCCTATAGGCGTAACACCCCCCTATGGACTTCAATTCTAATACAGTAGGCCCCTGCACGCTTTAAACTCCCTCTAAGTCGGGGCACCACCTAGTGCGCCAACCCTGTAATGCGCCATCCTCCTCAACCACCATGCTATCGATTCATGCCTATTGTACAACGTCGACAACGTCGTTAATGTGCCATTCTATACATAGATTTGCGAATTGAGTCTTCTGTAATGCCTCGGACGAGAGTTTTGCCTGTTTAGCCCTATCTGTTCGATCCCATTGCTCCTGACGTTACTCTGCCTGTAGTTTAGCCTTCTTAACCTTCTTGATAGTAGCAAAGGCTTTATTTGAGTCTATTTCAACTCTTGTACACCTTGTAGTAGTCTTCTCCTTAACAAGAGTCGAGATCCTTGTTAACTTGTATGATTGTTCTGTTGATTACCATGAAAGTTGATTAATTACCTTGGCTGCTTTTTAAAGAACAAGACAAGCCTTCTTTCCAAGCGGAATATTTTGAAAGGCTTTATTTATTTGACTTCGAAGTTGATATCCACTTTTAAGTGTTATTGTAATAATACTAGAAGAGTGTTTTCGCTTTCTTATACGCGGAGTTTATAGTGTTTTTAAAGTAGATTATACTTATTAAATAACTTGAGAGGAATTAAGTACTTTGCTTGAGTTATATAAACTTAAATCTATTCCTTTTTAATTGGCTTCAATATATCGAGATATAAGAACTTTTAATCTCGCTTTTGAGTAATATTCAATAAATTAACTATATTATATAGATTATATTTCGATAAATCTTAATAAATTAGTGACCTTCTTTCGATAAATACGCTTTAAGATAAAAAATATACTAACATTAAGTGATTAAAAGATATATAATGAGTATAAAGATATATAGACTAACTAAATATTATATATAAAGTATATATATTAAGATAAGAGAGTGACTAAATATATTGTATATTTAATCGACTTAATTATTTTCTATTTATTAAAAAGAGAACGCTTCTTAAATACTATAAAGATAGTAACTAGCTTATAAATTAAGTATCTATCTAGATGGTAAAGTCTTCACTTAAGTGATAAATAATAAAAATCTATAGAACTCCTTAGAAACCTTGATTTATAATAGACCTAAGTCTATTATTAATTCTCTTTTTAACTTACAGACTAACCTTATATTTTTATATTCTTTATATATCTCTATAAGGCTAGTTCTATTAAAACCTTCGATTTTGTTGTCTCGCAATATATCGATAAACCTCGATTGTTATCTTTATTTTTAAGTCGATAAACCTTGACTATCGCCTCGCAATATATCGATAAACCTTAATTATTGCCTTTTTCAGCACAGCCTTAAGATCCTTTATAGGGCGATCCCAGCTGATTCTTTATTATTTTCAGTCTCTCTAGGCTTATTAAGGCATTTATTCGCGAAATGCCCTAATTGGCGACAAGAATAGCACTTAACAGCGCGCTTAGTCCTTCTTGGACTAGTTTTGGCAATCATTGCTGTCTCCTTAGGTTCCTGGTCCTTTAGACGCCTTGATTCGTTAATAATCGCATTGAATAAATTATCGAGATCTATATTATCGTCATTATTATTATCGCGATATTTTATTATTATAGCCGCAATAATAGGGCTATATTCACTCGAAAGGTTATTTAGCGCGAACGCCGCTATAATAGCCTTTGAAATAGGCTTATTTTATATAGCTAATTTATCGATATATCCCCGAATTTTAGCTAAATAGGCCTCGATTGAATTAGAACACCTCGCGAGAGTCGTTTCGAATAGCTGTTTAGCTATTATAAATTTTATACTGAATCCTTTAAGGCTATATAGCGTCTCTAGTCGATTATAGAGAGCCTTAGTATTGTCGTCAGCAATATTAGCTGTTTAAATTAATGGTGAATCGCTAATATTGAGCCGAATAATTACGCTAGCTCATTTAGAGTCGGATTTTTGTTTTTCTATGTATTCTTCGATCTTATCCTTAAGTATATTCTTAAAGAATTCCTTTTTAGGCCTAATGGTATAGCCTAGGTCGTCCTTTACTAGCAAGGCTTTTAGCCTTATTCGCCAAATATTTCAGTTCTCTGCGCTTTTTAGGGGGTCGATTTTCATGCTTGGCGCCATTTTCTTGAACTGAAATATAGTTGACTATCTTGTACGGGCCTAATATAGTCGATATCTAGGCTTTGAAAGTCGTTATATATTCAGGTGAATTAAAGATATCTTGTTATCACTTATTGTGCCGGATTATCGCTAACCTGGGCTCATAACCTGTTGAGATAAGGGGGTGACTGAATATATTGCATATTTAACCGACTTGGTTATTTTCTATCTACTAAGGAGAGAACGCTCCTTAAATACTATAAAGGTGATAACTAGCTTATAAATCAAGTATCCACCTAGGTGACAAAGTCTTCACTTAGGTGATAAATAATAAAAACCCATAGAACTTCTTAAAAACCCTAATTTATAATAGATCTAAGTCTATTATTAATCCTCTTTTTAACTTATAGACTAACCTTATATTTTTATATTCTTCACAATATATATATAAAATTAATTAATATATAACTTTTAGTATTATCATAAAGAAGAAGTTATACACCACTATTTAAAGTAGTTTAAGAAAGAAAAATCGATTATAACTAATCTAGACTAACTTGATTTAATATAAAAGTATTCTCTATTATATAGAAGTACTAGTTTAATAAAGTATTCTCTAGAAACCAAGTTAATTATAAATCTTTATTCTTAAAGATAATTAAGAGATTAATTATATAATCATTAGCTAAATAGACCTTAATTATAGTCACTTAGTCACAATTTTTAGGGCTTTTCTTATATAAACATTTTATAGTACTTTATTCAAGAATATATTGATTTATATAGACTCTCATTCTAAGTCTATATTCATTAAAATTTTATATATTGCTTATATAGATTTTATAATATATAATAACCAACTAAAAGTGATTAAAGAAGGTTTAAAGGGCTTATATTAATGTATTCTCAGCCCGAAGATATTTAATCTTTCTTTCTACCTTTTAATTATATATCTAGATAACGCTTTAAAAAGTGTTGAATCCAATTAATATTAATTAAAGATACACCATTAGAGGCCTTTAAAATAAGTCCTGTAAAGTCGCGTACTTATGCGAAGATAGAAGGAGAGCCAACGAGATCAAGATTAATAATTCATTATATAAGGAGGTCTTCTTATGTCGGAGATAGGTTTTGTTGTGGCTCTCTTGCTTGTTGTTGTGTAAGCCCTTCTCTTAGTCATCGACCTAGAGTATCTTGACTGATTCTGTACGCGGTAGCGGCGGCACGAATTGAAGGATATCGATCGCTTTGGTACGCGTCTATCGCGGCTTGAATAGCTTGTTCGGACTCAGAGGACATCTCGATTTGATTGTAGAGGAAGAGGATATAATTTGATTCTGTACGAGAGAGAATAGAATATGTTGTGACGCGTTTAGAGGTGGTGGGGGAAGCGGCGCATTACAGGGTTGGCGCACTAGGTGGTGCCCCGACTTAAGCATTTAATGAAACGTTAACTACACAGTTAACGTCCCGCGATAAGCGAGAAAAGTCCCTCGGCATCAATCCCCCCTCTGGACTTGCGCGCTATGGCTGTTCCTCCTCCTCTAAGGTGCGCCGGTGACGGAAAAACTTTCACCCAGCACGAAGCCCTCAAGATGAAAGCAAATGTTACGCTGCGCCGACATCGACTGTCCACAGAGATTCGAAGAGGGTCATAAACAATGGGATGGGTGAGAACTCATGGCCTGTCCTCCTTCCGAACTCCAGAGCCTCGACACAAGTGGCTAAGTGGCCTTCGCGAGCGGACTTTTCCCAGATGTGTCACACCCGCAGTGCCATTGGCTGCAAGGACTTGCTTTCTTGGTGGCGACGACATTTTTCTGTCGCCGGTCGCTAGTTCATGAACGTGTTCTGATCATAGAATCTTTGATGGTGTCCTGGTAATATTTCTCTTTACCGGCCGCTATCCTACACAACGCTTCAGATTATCTCTCACGATTGCAAGTCATGGACGTGCAAAACAAAGAAGCTATCCTTGCCCCAGAAGCATCTCCTCCAACCGCACAAGATGTCGAACAGCAAGCCCGAAACAAGAACGACTCGCCCACACAGAGTTCTGCCTTCAAGAGCCTGGGAATACTCGACCAGTTCCTCGCCTTGTGGATATTCCTGGCCATGCTCATTGGCGTTCTGCTGGGGAATTTCGTCCCCGACACCGGGCCAGCTTTACAACGGGGTGAATTTGTAGGAGTGTCTATCCCAATAGGTAGGTCATTTTACCATCTCCATCACCTTCAACGGTGCTGGCTACCATACTCAAGTACTAAGATCTCCTCAAACAGCCGTTGGTCTGCTGGTCATGATGTATCCTATCCTTTGCAAAGTCAGATTCGAGACTCTGCACCATTCATTCAGAGAGAAGCAGCTCTGGGTGCAAATTGCCTTCAGCATCGTAGTCAACTGGATCATCGCTCCTCTGTTCATGGTAAACCGCCTCTCCACAAGTCCCGTTTTCAGGTGCTTGTTTGTACTGACCAAAAAACTCCACAGCTCGCTCTGGCCTGGGCATTTCTTCCCGACGAGCCAGCGCTACGCGAGGGTCTCATCCTCGTAGGCGTCGCAAGGTGCATAGCTATGGTCCTGATCTGGACCGGCCTAGCAGGCGGTGATAACGAGTATTGCGCCATTCTCGTCGCCATAAACTCGCTCCTCCAATTGATTCTCTTCGCACCTCTCGCCGTCCTTTTCATAGAAGACATCAGCCGCGCTTCAGAGGCCGTCGATGTCGATTACGCTCCGGTCGCGAAGAGTGTGGGTGTATTTCTAGGGATTCCTTTGGCAGCCGCCATAGTCACGCGCTTTACATTGCGGAACCTGGTCGGCAAGGACTGGTACGAAAGGGTCTTCCTAAAGCTTATAGGCCCACTGTCGTTGGTTGGACTCCTGTTCACGATCATCGTCCTTTTCGGGTCGCAAGGCCGGCGGATTGTTCATCAAATTGTCTCCGTGGTCAGGGTTGCGGCCCCTCTTGTTGTTTACTTTGCCGTCATCTTCAGCTTGACCTTGTTGATCACGCGAAGGTTCGGATTCGGGTATCGTCTGGCATGCACACAGAGCTTCACCGCTGCCAGCAACAACTTCGAACTGGCCATCGCTGTGGCAGTTGCAACATACGGCGCCGACAGCGACCAGGCACTTGCAGCAACCGTGGGACCATTGATAGAAGTCCCTGTCTTGCTGGGCTTGGTATATGTGGTCAAATGGTACGGACGCAGGAAGAACTGGGCAGCTTAGACGTCCTTATCGAGGCAATTCGGAGAGTTTTCAATCAGGTTGAATGTCAGGAAGATGCCTTACAGACACGTTCACCAAGTCTCTGGCGCGAGACACCCCTCAGTGGATGAGCCTCAGCATGGGCTTACAAGATCTAGGCTTTCATACTCCCAAACGACCATCGGTACAGAGGGATCATGCCTAGGTGATAGAGCCAGCTCTTCTGATCATTTTGATACCCTGCTGTTGAGAAAAGGGGTGGTTGGATACGGGCCAACCTATCTCCTCTCCCCGTAGGACTCGATGCAATTTATCCGAGAATGGCATTCAATTTGAATGGAGTCCAGAATTCCCCGATGTTCGAGCGTAGTTGTTACTCCGCGATAGTCTAATTGACAGTTGTTACACAGTGCTTCGTCATCCGAATCCTGTTTCTCCTACCCATTTACAGTTTATCGGCACGGTATCGGCACCATGCCGGCACGGTGTTGAAACACTGTCACTTTGAGAGTGTAAGATATTGAATTAGTATGTCGTGAACTCCGAATGCTCAACATGTACAAACTGATACCGGGCAAAGGTCTGTATATAGTAACAGCTCTTTAATTCCCTGAATACCGGATTCCTTATGACCGGCCAATAATGTGGTAGTCATTCTGTCAGCACCTTCACTGAGGATGGCCCTGCAGCCATCGAACAGTCCTCTGTGACAGCGACTCATCACTTGAAGAGCGATCCCTTTCACCTCGCAAGAGTGGAAGTGGGTGCACCTTCACCGCATTGGCAGTCGTCACTCACCTGAAGATTTTAAATGTGAGACAATATTTACAATAATCCCACCAAAGATCGAGCGATGGCAACATCAAGCCAGGCAGCGCGTATCACGAAACTGCTTCGGCAGGCTGAAAGCAACATCTCGAGCATCCCTGGAAGTGACAACAGCAAGTACGCAGCCCTGGGGAGGCTCCAAGAAGCACGCAGCCTCCTGAAAGCAGAGGAAACGCGTGAAAAACGCGAAAGTGACGCGCCTGAATCGACGCGTCAAGAGACACCAAAAGCATCGAAGAAGAAGCGCACCAAGAAGAAAGGGAAGGCGAAACAAGAGCCAGAGCCTAGGAGTGGAAATACAGCCAATGACACCCAACAAGAAAGCGAAGAGCCCAGTGTAGCGCAAGGAAACCCAGAAAAGCCGATATGGATGACAGTCGTGAAAAAAGGAAATAAGGAGAAGCCTGGGAACGTCACTCTCAGGACAGCCAAGGGGACATCGCAACAAAGAAAGAGGGCGGGAAACACCCTAAGCTCTTAATTAAGCGTATTAACGGACAGTAAAGCGTATAAGTTCTACGGCCCAAAGAAAACAAGGCCAGTAAGGACTAAGTCGCTCTACTTTCAAGTCAACAGAAAATCAGAATGACAAATAATCTGGGGTATAAACGAATTATAAAGACTTCAAGACATTAAAACGAAAGCTGGAAAGGTAGTGGTAGACAAAATCAGGGCTACTAAGGTTTATTTAGGGGGAAGAGTAGCAGTATACTTAAGAATCTACCTTATATTATTTTATAAGGATAAATCATGAGTTCAAAAGTGGATTCTATTAGCTATTTTTGTAAAGGAATTATTTAAACTCTTAGCTATAGAAATATCTGTTAAGGGATCTGTAGAGAATATGGCGAAGGAGCTTTGGAAACATAATATTAATATATACCTAGGACTTGAGATCCTTGAAGCAGAATGGCTTGGACATCTTAAGGGTAGAGAAAACTGCTCTTTAATATTGATTATTAAGATAGTGAAGGCTATAGATAAACTGATACTAAGTGGCCTAATAGGAGAAGATACCTACTATAAAGTGATAAAGTTCATTAAGAACTACACTTTGGGGATATAGTATAAATCACTCTTTAGGAAAGTGAGAGATAAATAATCTTAAGTGGCTATAGATGAAGAATCACCTATGTCCAGAGATGAAATTATATTTAGTAGTTCCTTAGAAGAGATTACGGACTTAGAGGATATCGAAATAGGAAAGAGAAGGCTCTTAATATTATATCTATCGTTAAAGAGAAATATGAAAGGAAGGCCGCTTAGGGTACTTAATAAGCCTAAATTTAGACAAGAATCTATATAAGGAGAAAATCTATTCACTATCGCGTTGACCTAACCTGAAAAGGAAGTAAATATAGAGGCCAATGTGATTCTGAATAGCCAAATAACTTAATGAGGGTAAACCTATATAGAACCTTTAGGATTATCTAGTTTAATGTCTGGAAATCCGCAGAAAAGGTTATAATCGACTTTATGGTAGATAAAGCGATAAGAGACATCGATATCTTAGTAATATAGAAGCCATGATGTAATAAATACAACAAAAAAGGATATAACTTTAGTGGCGGCTCGTTTCGACTGATTGAGACCGAAACAGAAAACACTAGGGCGAGTATCTATATTAATAAAAGAATCTCAATAGAAGATTATGAGGTAATCGAAGTCACATCGAATCTAGTCTTTATCCTACTATGTCTCAAGATTAATGGGAGAATAGTAGAAATGATTATTCACTTAGTATATAGTTCACTATCTATATTATACTCAGTAAGAGAAGTCCTGAAAGAGCTAGCCCACACTATATAAGCGATCGAACGAAGATAAGAAGAGTAAATTCTCCTCGAAGACTTTAATCTATATCACTTAATCTGGGAAGGATAAGACTCGAATCGATATATTATATCAGCCGACCTAATTTAAGTAACTCTAGGAAATAGCTTTAATCTAATTCTCTTAAGAGGCACTATCACTAGAGATATTAAGAAGAACCTTGGTCAGCTAAGCAAAAGAGTAGAAAAGTCAATAATCGATCTAGTATTCACTACAGTAATGATTATTAACTGAGTAGTAAGCTGTATAGTATATCGAGATCTATATAAAGGGTTTGACTATCTTCTAATCGAAATGACTATCGCACTAGATAAACCCGCTAAGTTGGTATTAATATGAAGAAGAGCCTAGAAGAGTCTCAATAGCGATAAGTTTAAAGATATCTTTAAGTAAACGATTAAAGTGCTAAATGGACTGAAACTTGATATAACTATGGAAATTAATAGGTATATCTAAATCCTAGTAAGAGGAGTATAGACGGCAGTAGAAGAATCAACTTCTTTAGCATGAATAAGTCAATATAATAAGAACTTCTAGACATTGGAATACACTAAGGCGGTAATCGAAGCCTTCCATCTTCACTAGCGAGCCCATAATACTCATGATCTAGAAGACGAGAAAAGAGCCTAACAAGCTATAGTATATAAAGGAAAGGTACTCAAAAAAGCGAAGAGGGCATACTTTAGAAGAACGATATAGAAAGTCTTCTAGGATTAAGGAAAACTCTAAAAGCTTAGTAAATAGGCGAAACGAAAAGCGAAAGGACTACTCGAACCTGAGTACTTTGGTACACTGAAAAAAGATAATATGGAAACGATTAGAGTAGAGGAGAAAGTAGATATCTTTCGCGAAGAATGCTTCTTCTTCTCTCTTAATGCAGATCTAGAAGACCTATTAGGATTTAAATACTTAATATAACTAATAACTTTAGACGAGGTCTTATAAGATGAACTTATAATCGCGATATAGAAAACGAAGCTAGATAAGGTATCAGGTCTCGACGAACTCTCTAATTAGATTGTGAAGATGATTATCGAGCAAGCAACAGTAGAACTAGTAAGGTTATTCACAGTATATCTTAAATATAGATACCACTTAAGAGAATTTTGAAAAGCAATCACGGTGATGCTAAAGAAACCAGGAAAGAAAGACTATATCGACCCCGCGGTGTATAGATTAATCGCTCTACTCAATACACTCAAGAAAATCCTAGAATCTATTGTAGCGAGACAAATTAGCGACCTTGTAGAATGATGGGAACTTCTTTTAAACACCTAATACAGAGCGAGGCTAGGAAGATCCATAGAGACTGTACTCCTTAATATCTATAAGTAGACTAGAGTAGCCTGAATAAGAAGTAAAAGAGCGGTAGTCATAATTCTATCAATAGATATAGCGAAGGCGTTCAATTAAGTTTTCCACGCACGCCTTATCTATAACCTGAGGAAGAGAAGAATATTATAGATCCTAGTTAACTAGGTAGTAAGCTTCCTGAAAGATAGATAGACATTAATCAGACTTAGTGACTACACTTTTTAGTTGATAGATATCTAAGTCGGAATCTTATAAGGATCGTCGATTTCACTAATTCTCTATCTATTCTACAACATAGATATAATAGAAGACTATATGAAAGTAAGGCTTATCTTAAATATCATAGTGTTTATAGATGATAATAATATACTAGTCTATAGTGACTCAATATAGAGTAACTACGAGAAACTTTAGGAAGTTCACTAGATCTATAAGAAATAGGCAATATAATATAGCTCTCAGTTTAATGTTAATAAATACAAAATAATCCACATAGCAAGAGCGAGGAGAGACAATATATAATAGCCACTTATACTAGATAACTAGATCATTAAGCTAGATAATAAGCTTAAAATCCTTGAGGTATATCTAGACAGAACGCTAAGCGAAAACGCCTATATTAAGGCCACTCTAGACAAGGCGCCAAAGTTATTAGCGACGATATAAACGCTTTAAGGCTTCAACTGAGATATATCGCTCTAGGCAAGTAGATAGGTTTATCTTAGTATGGTTCGACTAGCACTTATATATAGATCTTTAGTATAGTATAAACCAGAAGGGATCCTTAAAGGAGGAAGAATAACAACCAAAAAGCTGTAAGCAGTTCAAGGGCAATTCTTATAGACAGTCGCTAGAGCGTATAAAGCGACATCGATCGAAGCTTTGGAAGTAGAAATCTATGTTTAACCACTCAATATTCACCTCACCAAACTGACGCTTGGCGTCGTAGCGCGCTGCGCACTATTAAAGGCAAAAAGAGAGATAGAAAAGCGAGTAATAGTAATTTTACATAGACACGGAATTCGCGGCTAAACACCAAGATACTGAGGGCCTTTCTAGACCCTCTAGGCATGGATTATCGCTATCTCCTCATAATCACTAGAGAGGTAGATAAACCTGAATAAAGAAACAACCAGAGAAGTAAACATAAAACTCCTGAACATAATCAAAACAGTAATCGCGGCCAATGGCCGTGACTACTGAAAATGTCGCTAGGAAACAGGGTTAAAAGGCGCTTATAGTTAGATCTTATAATCGCGCCCTAACGCCAAAATAATCTAAATCCATAATGGGTTGAAGAAATATTAGTCTACTATTATGGTGCAACTATGTACAGGGAAGATCGGCTTCTAAGCCTTTCTATATAAGAAAAGAGTTCCGTAAATCGACAGTCTATTCTGTCTGATATGCAACGAACTAGAGACTGTACAACATGTTCTACTAAGATGTCCGAGGTGGGAAGAAGAGAGAGAGGAATGCTTAAGGACGGGACTCAAAAGGGGAACCTGACCGTCATTGAAGTCACTCCTGAACATAAAGAAAGGCTGTCTCGCCGCAGCTAGGATGATATAGAGAATAGGACTGCTACCACAGTTCCAGTCCTGCGATATTGACGAGGTGGAGGAGGAAGTTGAACAGGAAGGACAAGAAGAGGAGGATGAGGTGTTGATAAGAGGATAGAGAGGGGTGGTGGCCCGAGAAGGGCAACGTCTTCATTAGCTCCACGTGTAGTTAGACGGACGTAAAACGGGATCAAATAAATAATAAATCCCACCAAAGTCCACGCAGGCCGCATTTCCGCCATTTCACTTAATCAGTCAACCATGCAGCGGCCTATATAAATCGGTGCTGTTGGCCCATACCCTGGCGAAACTCAACGTTATATATATATATGGACATGATTGTCATTGCCTCCTCTGTCAATCGATAGAGACTCATCCTGGTATTTTAGGCTCTACCACCGTGTGTGCCACACCTCTACGTCTATCACACATCCTGAACCCTCCTCTCAGCACCCCTGGATTATCAATATATCCTGTGATATATGGTCCCACTTATGGCGAACACCATTTGCCCGCTTCGACTGGTGCAAGGGTACCAGTTCTTCGTGTCTGCCCTCATGATGAAAGTCTACTTCATCGACCGGACTCTCAACTGGGCTGAGGATGGGGCGATGCAAACGGTCTCTCTCTAACCAGATTTTGTCGCAATGGAGCCTCTTGAACGTATGTATTACTCTTCCTGATTCCGATTCATTGTATCTCCAGTAAACTAACAGTATATCCTGAAGCACCGTTGTCGGCGCCGCCCCCCGGAGCCTGAAGAGGGAGAGACTTAGACCCTGGATCTTCCAGCATCACCAGAAAAGTACCCGTTTTTCGCTACCCAACGATGCTGAACTTCCATCCGACGCCTGTATCGGATCAAGACGAAACTGTTAGCCTCTTCCAGCACAAGGAGTAGTCAACACTACTTTCCCAAATGATGCACAACATCTTTGCGAAACATGACTGGAAACTATTCTGCGGCCGTTCGGACTTTGGGGCATCACAAGACGCCAATAGAACATTGCCTCATTCGGAGGAGAGTCATGAGAAGTTCATTTGGGTGCGCACTCAACATCCGAAAAAAAACATTACGCTCCTTCATCGGGCTCCTGCACCAACCAAAAAGCCTGATAAAGGCACTCGGTCCAACGGCGCATATGTGATGAAGTTCTGCACTCCCCCGGGAGTACGCAAGACCATCACGTTAACCTTCCCCCCGCCTGATATCGGCCCACCAGTGGGTACAATGCTATATCCAGTGATGGAGATCTATGGTAGCGGCAAGCATCCTGCACCGTACGGTCGCTTACCAGAATTGGGCCAATGGACGATTGGAAAGTGGCAGATCGCCTGGGCGTCCGGGTCGACCGGAAGAGGCCACAAGGGTCTTGGAAATCGTTCTATTTCCAGCGTTGGCAACGCCGCTTGATCGTGCCAGAAAGCGGCACCATTTCATACGATCCGGCGTGCAAATGCTCACATGTACACTATGCAAGTCCAAGAAGGTCCCGGAAAGGTACGGGGTATCCAAGAGAACTATGTACCTTGTCGTACAGGTCAACGGTTCTTCTTGCAAGAGCACATCGGCAATGACTGGCCGTGGATGAAGGGGCGGGGCTTTGCACGGATCAAGGAGGCTCCGACAAGAAAGAAGTATGTGGATCTACAGGACGCACGCTTCGATCGAAAGTCTCCGCTGCTTCAGTCTTCAATCTTTGATGAATGGGACGATGGTCTCCGTACCAAAACTGAGTTTGGTCGTGCGGTCTATCTAGCCGCCTGCTTTCATCTCATTCAAGAGAACGAATACGAATTCCAAATTCTAAGTCGTTGAGCTACTGGACGCACCACGTTTCGCCAAGCATCTCAGATGATGACGACGATTCCGGTCAATCGCTGTTTCGTCAGTAGCAAAATTCCTAGTCCTAGGGGAGCGCACTCTCGGGGATACTTTCAGCAGAGTCTAAAACAACCCGAAGAGGAAGCAGCTCACAATCGACTATGGGGAAGTTTGCACGGACTTCGCGTGTTGAGAAACCTCGTCCCGCCCAGAGGGACTGCCGTACTCTCCCGTTATGGTACAGCCGAGTCCTGCTTATCAGCTTCAAGGAGGACAGGGGAGTGAATGGCTACGACTTTTGACGAGGATCTTTCAGAGCTGGAAGAGGAAAAGGAAGAAGAGAGAGACGATGTTGAGCCGTTCCAAAACGAGGACAGGGGCGACCCGTACTGTGAGTGCGACGACAAAGACTCAGAGTGAGACTGCAGGTTTGAGGACGATGACATGGACGACAATGGCGATTCAGAGAGATCGTACGACTGCTCTGATGCCGATCATTATTACGAGCTGAAAGAAGAGCGTGATGAAATGGAGCAGGAGAACCTGCGCGAGCGGAAGGAGAAAGGACGACAACGAGATATTGAGAAGACTGAGGAAGAGGAGGTTCGCGTTGCATATAGATCTCTCAACAAAGCTGAAAAGGAACGCAAGACAATCCCAGCCCGATCACTTACTGGCCAGAGGTTTAGGCTCTTCTGCGGCGATCACGTTGACCTTTTCTACTCTAGTTTCTACGTGACTAAAAGAGTGGATTTCTACCACCTTGACAACACAGAAACTCCCTCTCCGCTCGCCATCAGCCGGCGAGAGTTGGTTTGAAATAAAAAACATCCCATGGGATCTTGGCTTTGGTCAGGATACTCCTGATTGCGTCGACCCGGGTTTCAGAACAAAACCGAATCTCCCGACCATCAGCCCTTTCCCCAGGCCCCAGCAACGACGCAATGCGTCTTCAGCTTCTACTGTAGAACACGAGAGAACTCTACGAAGTCAGCCCGCTCGAGAGCGGGCTGAATGCAGCGCAGGACGTAGCAAAAGAGCTCAACAGGGATCCCGTTCCCGTGCTGTGACCACGGCACATTATGATATCGCAGACCTTTGGCTCGTTTCTGGGGTTTGTCGCGTGTTACAGCTTACAGCCGCTACGTTTGGTGACAATGGCTTTTCCTTTGCACGGCATACTATCCTTTTGCTCGGCGAGTATTCCTTGAGTGACATAACACATAGTATTCCACACCCGAGCCTCCCCTGTCGGGAGAACAAAATCCATACCCCCTGTGTTTGACGGACCTGGCAAGCCTGTGCGACCTAAGATCCCACTGGTGAACCTGCCTCAACTCCAGGACATATGCGCATCGAATCCTTCCTGCGACCATGGTTCATGCCTTGAGGGTCCTCATTGTCCTAGAACCAACCTACTGTACGTATACAATCAACGGATGAACAGTCGTTGGGCCTGGTCCTCATGGAAAATAATTCTTGAACAGCTTGAACAACAGCTTGAACACCAGAAAGCTGGGCTCACACTTGGTATTGCGGCCCAACCAGCGACTTGCGGAGACAAACCCCATCAGGTTCGCTGTCCGCCGCAATCTCACCCTCTCCCGAGATGCCAGCGAGCTTGTCGGTCAAAAGCCCCACAAGAAAGTCCCAAGCTCGTCGTTCAAGCCGCCTCTTTGTGCTCCGCAACTGTCGCGGCTTTCGTCTCAGCCATCTCGATTTGGTTGATGTGAGTTGAGATTGTCTTCCCTCCCACGTTAGCTTCCAGCGTTTGCTCGCCGTTGTCGATTCGAGTCTTCATCACTTCCTGGAACTTTCTCGGGCTGACACCTTGAGAATAGAGCCAGTCGAGTTCGTCGAAACTGAGCCCTCTTGTATCTGGGGTGATGAAGTACAAAGTAACGGCGACAATAGTTCCCAGTCCGAAGAAGACGAAGCCAACCTTGCCTCCCAAATTGGCGCCACTTGGCCGTGGGTTGATCCTGAGCTGTGTTAGTTTCTATGCCGGCAACTAAATGAGGCGGGACAGACATGTACGGCACGATAAAGCCAATCAGCCAGCCGAAAAAGGCGTCGGTGGCCACAATGTACCCTTGTGTCTGGGCTCGAAGCGGCAGCGTTGCGATTTCGGATGCTACGGCAAAGCCGGTCGCTCCCAGTGAAAACTGGTAGATTGCACCCCACAAGAATATACAAGTCGTGATGACCTGTTGACATCAGCGTCAGCCATTCTCGAGGACCAGCGACGATAAGCACTCACGTAGCCAGCTGCGTTGGTGTTGGAGATGCACCCCATGATACCAATGATCAGCAGAATGAACACCAAGAGGAAGCAAGGCACAATCAGAATCTTGCGACGACCAAAAATTTCGATCAAAGGAAAGGCTGAAGTGGTGGAGCACAGCATGACCACGAAGAGACCTGCCGACACCGAAAAGGCATTCTTGACATGGATGAGCTGCAGAAAGTAAGTCAGGTATCCCAGGACGAAACTGGCGCCCATGAGCTGCTGGCCAGCCGAGATGAACACGGCAGTAAAAGTGCGGATTCTGTTGCCTCCCCTCCAGACTTGCCAGATCGCTGGCCCGCCTAGGTTCGCAGCAGCCTTGAGCTCGGCTGCGAAACGAGTTTCTTCGTGCAGACGGTCGAGTTCCAAGTCAACAAAGTCGGAGTACTTGGCTGTGTACAACTTGGTCAGCTGCTTGCGTGCGTCTTCAATGCGATCCTGTTGGATTAGCCAGTACGGCGATTCGGCAAAAAAGAAGTACCCAGCAAAGCCAATTGCAGGAAACATCATCTGCAGTAGAATGATAGTCCGATAACTCCACGGGCCGTCAATCTTGACTGCACCTTGGGCAACGAAGCTGGAAACGGTCAGTGAGTAGCTCAAGGACATGTTCGTGCCGCCATATCCTCAGCGGAATACATACGCCACGAGAGCCTGGCCAAAGACAATGGTGCTGTTATACAGGCAAAGGAATAAACCCCGACATTCGGGACGAGCGTTCTCGCCAATCCAGGTGGGAGCCAGAGTGAACCACACACCGATTGCAAGCCCTGTACCCTGGTCAACCGAGATTCATGGAGCAAGGGTGATGAAGAGGCTGCTCACCATTGACAAACTTGCCCGCGAGGTAGACTTGCCACTCGTGCGCAGCATACTGCACTCCTACCCCAATGCAGCTGGTAGCACAGGCGACCAGAATGGACTTTTTCCTGCCGATGCGGTCCATGAGATACCCTGCTGCAAATGCTCCAATGGCGCTGCCAGCCTGCATTGCTCCTTGCCAACCACCGAGCCAGGGAGAGGGAATAAAGTAGGTGCCGGGATCTTGCTTGTTTTCCTCGCCAAACTGCTTGGTGAAAGCGATCATAGAGATAATCTCGGCATTTGCGACGTTGTCAAAGCCTTGCATGATAGTCCCAAAGGAAACCCATATCGCTTCACAGAGTCAATTAATCTTGCGTTTCACAAATGCTGGTCAAGAGTCAGGATTGGGGGACTCACCCCACCATGAATATCGCCAATGAGTCCTGAGGATCTTCCATTTGTTGTCTGTGTTGATAACACGGAAGTTGGCTTCGTCGGCCATGTTGGGCACCTTCGGTTCTGTGAAGAGTCAAGCGATACCGACTGAATGATATCTTCGAACTGGAGGGGCGTCTGCTCGTCCTATATATGCGTCCACAGAGTAGAGCGTCAAGCCTGCAAGACGGAGTTGCTCCACAGAAACATCCCCAGAGAAGCACATTGTGGGGTTGGTCGTACGAACCCGCGTCTGGAAGCGCAGGACTGGCCTTGGGTGTAGACCAGCACGCGGCAATTTGACTGTGGAAGTCGAGGACGGCTGAGAAGGGCGATATGCTACAGCAACAGATGGCGCAAACTCAGCCGCGGAGTCGAGTACATGCTTACCCGCAGAGCTGCTGTCCATTCTCTGATTCGCCCATGAGCCGTCGGTCAGTGGCAATGAACCCACAGTCCATCACCATGGCCGCTATTGTGGATGACCTCCCCCACCGTGCTACTTGTGTTGAAAGTCGATGAAGGGAGCCAATTTCCATTGGACGCGGTATGATTGGTGACTTGCATGTTAGCTAGGGGGTCCCCGGACTCCAGGTCGGACTCCAGGTCGGACTCCAGATCCTAAACCAACGAAGGCACGTCCAGACGTGCCCTCGAAGCGTTTCTTCAACAGAATCTGGACTTTTCGAATTCTCGCTTGAATTCGTGAAATTCATCATCATCCATGGACAAACGGTGCGGCCAGACTGCTTCCTGTTGCACCTGACCTTCAATATTCTGGATCACGATGACCGACCTCTGGGCTGCCGATGGCGCCGAATTTGCTGATGAACCAGGTAGAACGCAATCGGCCAAGCGTCGACGCAAGATCCTGGACATATCGGATGACACAGAAGCTCTTCCCCGAAAGCGAGCTCTACTCGCGTGCGATTCTTGTCGATCTAGGAGGACCAAATGTGACGGGCAGCGGCCGGTATGCTCCTATTGCCATGTGTGTAACCCACCAAGCCTTGTCCCGTGTGGCCATACCCGAGTTGCGGTATGCTAACATGCATCGTCATGGCAGGCACAGGGAGTGGAATGCAAGTATCGGAAGGTCGCCGACCCGCCTCCAACGAGGTATGTCCTTAGTACTCGGATGGTCGGTCCTGGAACGGCTGACACAAGGGTCAGGCTGCAGGCCGAAATCACCGGCATCAAGGAGAGCCTGGGCACAATCGAGAGTGTTATCAAGGCAAGACTAGGTACAATCGAGACACTCCTCCTCCAAGGTTCAGCCGCCTCCGTTGGGTCGACCAAGTCGACAGGTCACCTGCGCCGGACGATCTCCCACTCATCTTACCAGGCGCTGTCTTCCCCCGACAACCCTTTCAGTCAGTGCAGCTTTGCGCCGGTAGATTTGCGCCCCGCGGCGCCCCACGAGACCTTGACCTTTCCGAACATGATCCTTAATAACAAAGCATTTGGTACTTTCATCGGGCTGGACAGCTACCTAGCAACCGACCTGGTGGCGCTGGAACGCTCGTCTTGCCGTGTGGCTCAACCCTCGACGCGCCAGCATCTTTTCCTGCCGCGCCAGAAGACCGTAGAGTGAGTGGACCACCGATCCGTCTGAGGTCTCGTTTTGGACGTGGGTATTGGTCACTGCACTAACCTGGCCGCTAGAGCTTTGACGAGGTTCTACGAGGAAATCTACGGATGGTTCCCAATTCTGAGTGTGGCGTATCAGCACCAGTTTCTCACCATCATCGACGGCCCTCTGTTGTCGACGCCGGAAACATGCCTAGCGCTCGTGATCGCATCGCTGGGCTCCATTGTCAATCGCGAGGACTCCGAAGGCCACCTCACGTTCAGTGAGCTCGCATTTGGAATGCTGTCTAATGTGTTGGCGGAATGCAGCATAGTCTCGGCCCAATGCTTGTTCTTCATTGCCGTCTACTACAGCTGCCGCTGTAAGCCGCTCGAGGCCTACGAGTATGTCTCGATTGCCTCGCTGAAGGTCCAGACCCTGGTAAGACTGTAAGTAGTGGAACCTTTGACATGACCGAGAATCATGTACCACGAGCAGCCTTTGGCCTAACTTGACGTTGTACTCAGTCATCAAAACGACGAAGCAGAGACCGAGGCTGTCAGACGTGCTTATTGGGCCGTCTTGCTCCTGGAAAGGCAAGTCCAGGGCCGCTACGGTCCTTGTCCATCGGACTGACGAGAACGGCAGTGAGTTGTGTATCCAGTTTCAGTTGCCCGGCACGGGAATATGGAACTTTGATGAAGTCACCCCGCTTCCGAGCAACCATGAGACCTGGGCTTCGTCCCCGGATTCGGCCTCGCAGCTGTCCGATGGATCAGGAGTGTGTATGACTCAGATGCATCGGGAGCAGCTCCTGAAAGACGCCGATGCGTACTTCCTGGCCGAGATCGCCATGCGAAGGATGCTGCACCGCTGCACCACGGCAATACGCGAGACGGAAACGGGGGAGTTGGTCTATGCCCCGGTGATCGCGACGGAGCTCGGTTATCAGCTGGAACAGTGGCACGAGCACCTTCCCTCAAGCCTCAAGTTCGACACGGTCAACGACGCTGAGCAGACCAACACCAAGCCGTCGGTCTTGTTTCTCCGGACGCAGTACTTTTCCTGTCTACTCTCCATCCACTGGCCGGGCGTGTACCGGCTCAGCCAGTCAAGTGCATGGCAGTACGAGCTGCACACTGCGTGTGAACGCTTCTACGACGCCTACATCAAGTATCTCGAGAGCTGCGTTCCGTGTCTTGACAGATGTCCGGTCAACGCATGGCCATTATACGCAAGGTAAGTTTCTTGACTTTTTGTCTTGTCTCGCCTGCATAGTCTGGACTATGGAGTAGCGTGTCGAGGGCGGTAAATTACTGACTCAACCTCCAAGTATGTTTGTCTTCACCATGGCCGTGGCCAGGACCATGAGGTCTCCAACGACGGCCGCTTCCACTCCTCCGAACTTGGGCAAGTGCCTCTCTCTCGCGTCAGATACTCTGGGTGCCGGCGCCAGCTCCAGCCCGTCACTTTCCCGTCTGCACTACATACTCGTAGGCGAGTTGTCAGAACATTTAGGGTAAAGGTGTTGTACTGGCATTTTTGCGAATTGCGCCCAACGTGTCCAGCAATAGCCACTTTCACGAACACCATTGGACGGATGAATCGTGCCCCCCGAATCTCACGCCATTGTGAATCATCTAGTGGTCTCGGCCAAAATACTCGACGCCCGATGGCTTGTTGCCCATGATCTCGTCGATCTGCTTCATTTGCTCCTCGGTGATCTTGTCAACAATCTGCACGGCCTTGACGTTCTCCGCGATCTGCGAAGTCTTGCTCGCTCTGCAAAAGGACGCCGTCAGTGTGAGTTGCCAAAGGCCAGGGCGTTGCCAATGAAAAACGCTAAGCACACGTACCCTGTGATGACGGAGCTGACTCTCTTGTTCTTCAGGCACCAAGCAATGGCCAATTGCGACATGCTGCATTCGAGAGCCTTTGCAATCTCGCCGGCCTTTTTGACCTTTTCGATTTCGGCGCGGCCTTCTGGCGTGCTCAACTTCTCCTTGAAGGCTACCATGAACTGGTCCTCTTTTATGGCGAGACGAGAATCCTCGGGCACGTTGAAATCGTTGTACTTCCCGCTGAGTATGCCGCTGGCCAATGGCGACCAGATGGTCAAGCCGTAGCCGTACTTCTCGTACAGCGGAAGGTATTCCTGCTCGACTCGACTGCGCGTGAACATGTTGTACTGTGGCTGGTCGCAGATGGGAGCAATCAGACCGAGATTTTTGGCGACGCTGTGGGCGCTCTGCTTGGAGGGTCAGATAGTCAATAGCAAGCACGTCTTCCATTTGTGACGGGCCGCGAGCAGTTCAGTTCCAAGAACATTTCGTACCCTGCTGTCCTTATTTACGTACCTCGATCTCTTGAGCAGACCACTCGGACGTTCCCCAGTAAAGGGCTCGGCCGGTGTTGATCAAGTGCGTGAATGCTCGGACGATTTCTTCCATTGGTGTAGCCCTAAACCGGAGTGAGCATACTATGATACAGGAATCGCTTTTCTTCCACGGTTTCCCATTTCTCGGGGCAAAACCTACGGGTCACAACGGTGGGCCTGGGCGATTAACACCGGGTCAGCAACTGCAAAAGGACACATTGGGTCTTCCCTCGGTTTCTGGGTTGCACAGTTCGAAACGTACCATGATGACATCCACGTAGTCCAGCTGCAACCTCTTGAGAGACTTCGCCGTGCCCTCTAGGATGTGCTTCCTCGACAAGCCGACGTCGTTGGGTCCGCTCTGGAAAATGAACAGATTCTGGTCAGCCTCGCCTCGCTCGCGCCCTCAAAGCCACCTGGCGCGGTTTGCATCTCGTTGGGTCTGTGGCCCCTCGACTTACGCCGCCCCAGTAGATCTTGGTCACAACGACAAAGTCGCTCCGGTCCCATCCAAGCTCCTTGAAGGCCATACCGAGACTCTCCTCCCCCTTGCCTTCGAGGTACCCCTCGGCCGAGTCGAAGAAGTTGATGCCGTGGGTCCATGCCTCGCGGAAGAATGCCAGCGAGTCTTCCTTCTTCACCTGGCCGCCAAAAGTGATCCTGTAGGTAGGTACTCGCACTCGTGTCAGTTTTCCGTTTGTGTACGTTGGGACGTCGCAACCGCCGTGGCTGGATGGCTGGCCGGCACCGTCTTCTCTTCAGGGGGTGGTCGGCTTGATCTTACCAGCTGCCCAGCGAAATCTCCGATACCCGTAGACCCGTTGGACCGAGGAATCGGTACTGCAAACCATGGTATGAGTGTGGACTCCGTATCGCGGTTGGGTTTTGCTTCTCGCCTGCCTACCTTCATGTTTGCTCGGTCGAATTTCGGTGCCATGACCCCTTTGAAATGAAAAGAGGGCTTCAATCCGTTCACGCTTGTGGCTTCTGTCTTGTTGATTTTCGGAGGAGGGGTGCAGATGGGACGCGAGAGATGTTGCTTTTGTCTTTTCTTGTGGCCTGCATTGAACGTTGTATGAATGCCAATCTGAAATATGTATCTCAGTCCAGGATTGCGTGGTGGGCACACAGTGGCTCCCTGTTGACCCCCTTGGCCGCGGAGCTGAGGCGATGTCTCCGCGATGCTGGTCATACCGATCTGCAACGGTACGGATACAGCCTGTCTCGGATCACACATCTCCTACGAGTACTGTCCGGTGATTGGGAGTGCCCGGGCAGCGCGGACAAGATGACATGCATCAAGCATGTGACGAATGCTTGCGTGACGTTGTTTCACAAGACTCGTCACAGATGTATGGTATATCATATCTATATGGGATTCCATCAAGGATTTTGACAAGAGTCGATCCGGCGCAGGCTCCGCGAGCAAGGCAGCGATTTCCACCTCCTGTCATGGCCAAGTTGAATTACACCGACTATGCAAGCAGGCCGCATGGGCCTTTTTCCAATGGTATGGCTCGTGACCAAGCAGTTCACGGGCAAGGAGGACTAATCACTCCAGCAGGACCACTCAGGTTGCCTCTGCAACGTCCGCCGGTCGAGGAGAGGACATATCACTCCCCCGCTGTGGAAGAGGCCATCACAGACATGACATCTCAGATGTGCGACAAGGACCTTGCGCGCCTCTTTGAGAATTGCTACCCCAACACGCTCGATACAACGGTGAGATGGGTTTCGAACTCTACAGATGCAGCACACATCATAGCCGGTGACATGTACTTCGGCCCTTCGTTTCAAGCTGATTCGGTCGCTGAGTATGCTTCTTCTTTTTCCTAACAGGGACGCCGCATGGCTGCGAGACAACCTCTGGCAGCTCCAGGCCTACACATCCCTCCTTTCGTCGAGCGACCCGACCATCAAGCATCTGTGGAGAGGTGTACTCTACCAACAAGCACGGTGGGTTGCTCAGTCACCCTACAGTAATTCGTTCAACCCACCGGCAGCCAGCGGAATCACCGAAATCGCCGAGCACGTAGTCGACATGAGTCAAGACGTCGTAACCCCGCCGACCGATCCGAAGGTCACTTTCGAAGGTAAATACGGGCTTGACAGCCTCGCCAGTTTCCTGCGTCTGTCGCGGTTGTACGTCGAGAAGACGGCAGATGCAACGCTGCTCGAGGATGAGTGGCTGCGTGGGCTGAAGAGCGTGTTGAAGGTCCTGCATGAACAGTCAAAACCTACCTTTGAGGAAAGTGGGCGTTTTGCAAAGCCGACGTACTCGTTCCAAAGACCCTCGAACCTGAGCATGGACTGTGTGTACAATGGCTCGGAGCTGCCAGACAACGGTACGTTCTCTACAATCCACGGGATTGGAGCTTTGCAATTCTCACATTCTGATGCGGTAAGAACAGGCGGCATAGGCAATCCGGTGAATCGTGGCACTGGGCTGATCAAATCGATCTTTCGAGCCTCGGACGACGCTACCATACTCCCCTTCCACATTCCCAGCAACGCCTTCGTCGCGGTGGAATTGCGGCGGATTGCAACTCTGCTTACCTCTGTCGACAACGTTTTGGCCAGCGAGTGTGATCAGCTCGGGATCGCCGTCGAGGACGGCATCTACAAGCACGGTGTCCATCAACATCCAGTCTATGGTGCTGTATTTGCGTACGAAGTGGATGGCTACGGCTCTCACATCTTCATGGATGACGCGAGTCCTCCGTCGCTGCTCTCGTTGCCGTATCTGGGGTTTGTACCGGCCGACAATCCTGTTTACGTGAACACAAGACGTATGGTTCTCTCGCGCAAAGGCAATCCATACTACGTCGTGGGTTCCGAGCTGGAAGGCCAGGGCAGTCCGCATATCAACCTGGAGACCATGTGGCCAATCGGGACCATTGTCCAAGCCCTTACAACCGACGTAGACGACGAGATAAGATGGTGTCTGGAGACGTTGAAGAAGAGCTCCGCTGGGCTAGGACTTATCCACGAAGGAGGTATGGAGCTTGGTCCTGTAGTCTGACAGCGGACAAACGACTAACGTATGAACAGTGGCGGTAAATGACAGCACCAACTACCTCCGATCATGGTATGCGTGGGGGAATAGTGCATTCGGAGAGCTGATTTTGGATCTGGCAGATCGGAAACCTGAGATATTGTTCCAGGTGATGCCCTGACGAGGAGCAACTCATGTCCCGATTGACAATCACCACGACATAGAACCTTCTCGTAGAAGTTACAATCTTCATACCCTAGATCCATCAGGTTTGGATTCTAGCAGTCCCGCTGGTTGTGTACCTCGAAATTGTCAGAACCATTATCAATTTTGCGTGTCCAAAGCCTACTGACCAACGTGTGGCCAATTGCTCGTGTCCATTCCGTGTAAGGTGCTAGATGACACGTTGCCGACACGACGTCGGTGTCTTTGGTGCAGTGAAAGCTGGGGATATGGCTCTGCAGGTAGCGAGATGCGGAGTAGGAGTAAGCATTCCGCAAACGCTAACTAGTTAGATGTGGATTCTTTCTGCTGGTGCAGCCCGAATGACTTCGCCACTGGCGTTATGAGCCGCGCCGTCGAGTCAACAACTCCGCGACGATCACCGCCGTCGAAACCGGGGCTGTAGAGAGCGGGATGTTGACCCATGTCGCGTAAGAAGAAACATTGTCACGCGGTGGCTATCATGACAAGGCCGGACGATTGCGCAGTGACCAGGACCAGCACCTCTTGCATGGTTAAGTGAGTGTGGTCGACGGCGCAGACAGCGATTGAAGACAAGTACAAAAACCGTCGGGAGAGTCATCAAGACCTCTTGTCACCCAACGACCATCGCATAGTGTTACTAACAAGTCTCAACGTGCCGCCGTCAAACTTCACACTGCCCAAGCAGGGGATTCGATCCAGCTCTTCCTCACGATGGCGCCTTCGGTTTCCCAACTTGCTGAGACTGTCGCAACATCAACAATGTCGGCCATTCACAAAACCAAATCCACCATGGACGTCCGCGGCTCTACTCAGCCTGCAGTGGCTCCACGAAGTGTCTCGGTCACCAGAGTGACGGATGAAGAGCGTCTCGCGGGCACCACGAGCTTCGACACGATTCAAGCTGCATACGAAGGCTTCAACCAGGATGGATTTAGTGTCTTGACCAACGCGATTGACCCGGATATTGTCGACAAGCTGAACGCAAAGATGCTTTCCGAGACCAGCGATTACTTGAGCAAGCCCAGCTTGCATTTCAACCAGGGCCAAAAGGCTCGCAACATCAGCCAGACGCCGCCGCTGAACAAGGAGTGGATGTTTAGGGAGATTTGGGCGAACCCTCACGCCATGTCGGTGCTCGAGTACATTCTCGGTCCAGAGCCAGAGCTGAGATTTGTAAACTCGAACGTAGCCCTGCCAAACAAAGACCCCAGCGCAAGACAAGCGGTCCACAGCGACGCGTACCACGACCACCCCGATTATCCGTGGGCAGTGGTGCTCAACATCTATTTGTGCGACGTTGGGCCAGAGAACGGAGCAACCGAGGTTTGGCCTGGAACGCATCGCATCACCGGCAAGAAGGACCACGTCAGCAACTACAGCGGCCGTATCAGACGAGAAGTCTTCTGCGAGCGAGCCAAGGTCTCGCCACCCAGCCAGGTCCGAGTCCCCAAAGGCAGTCTCTGCTTCCGCGATCTCAGGACATGGCATGCTGGAATGCCTAATTTGTCTGACGACCCACGTGTCATGTTGGCTCTGGTTTATTTTCCCAAATGGTATCGCAGCCCCATGCGCCTGACGCTGCCAAGGAGCGTCAGAGAAGAGGTCAACCATTGGGAAAAGGTTGACTTTGAGGCCGGCACTGACTGGGTCGATGGCGAGATCAAGCACCTGGAGGTCCAATTTCAGGCAAACTGGACACAGGATGTCGACTTTGGCGTCTTTGCCAGCACGGATGGGAAGGGCATCAGGACCGTGGCAGCGTCGGAAATCGAACCTGAAGTGACCAGGCAGGACTATTGGGTGCCGGGAGATAGTTGATTGAAGAAAGCGTGTCTTCACTGGCCCGTATGCATGGCTGGTTCACAATCTTAACGTTGGACAACATGTCGCATCATCTTCCAATGGCAAGTGCGTCAAAGTGAACCGCTCCAATAGAATAAGGGAAGGAGGATGTGAGGACAGATGACTGCTGGCACATCAGAAGATGTGAGGGTAATCGATGAGGATCCTGCAGGACGAGCTCGTTTATCCTAACATAATATTGGCCCCGGCGAGGTGTAGCCATGCATCTAGAGGGATGAGCGAGGCTGTGGAAACTGTTATGCGAGAGGGCTTCCTTGTTCATGGACAGGGTCGGATCATTTGTTCTTCCCAGTAGGAGCGCAATCGACCAGGGCGCACAGATTACTCGCGCCCACCGTTGACCAACGGATCCTCAGGCTCGACGTTGATAATCCGCAAATGGAACGCTTTTACTGCCAGAATCCGGGGTAGAGAATATAGTTGACCATCGGAGGGCAAGGAATGATCTCAAGAGGCGGATATACCTGATTCTGACGTGGTTTGTATGCGTCGCCGGGGAGGGGGGGGGGGGGGGGGAGTTTCTAACTCAACCGCGGGACCATTGATAGAAGTCCTTGTCTTGCTTGACTTGGTGTATGTGATCAAATGGTATGGATGCAGAAAGAATTGGGCGGCTTAGATATCTAGAGGTATCGAGTCCTACGGGAGAGGAGATAGATTGCCTCACTTTCAACTCACTTGTCTTTCAGTATGTACCTTAATTTGAATTCACTTCATAACTCTTCACAGTCTTAGTACTGCCAGTTTACAGTTTACTTCACTGCCTACTTCACAGGGCCTTCATGATCTTGACAGAATTCTGATTCAAGACTGTTCTATCTTCGACAACCTCTTTCGCATCTTGATCTTTTTCGTGCTTTTTCTCCTCGGTCAAACCCTGTAAACGCCTGCTCGCCTTGAGAACTCCTGTCCGCTCTTCAAAACACACACACACACACACACCAGTCTCAAGCAACTGACATCGACCAAGCAAGATGGCACCGATAGCCACATACAAGAATATCCGAAACATTTCGAGACGAGTCTCGGAGAGTAAAGGCCAAATCAATCGGGAGACTATCGAGTACATGGAGGAACACCTTCCGGGTCACTTTCGACAAATTTTTGAGAAAGATCCTGATTTGACGACCCGAGTCAAGGCAGCTCTGGGTCGGAATCCGCGCCTGATGGCGAAGAAGGATATGGACGATGCTTTGAAGGCCGAAAAGCAGCTAGAATCAGCCCATCAGCTCCCTATTCCTTCCGGTGATTCTGTTGAGTCAACAACAAAGTCAGCCTCAAGGTCAACCCGAAAGCCGACAAAGGAGAGACCTTCCGGCAGTAAACAGTCAGCGACAGTGCCGAATTCAGAAGCCGTCGATGTCGATGTCGAGGTCGATGAAGAGATTGAAGGCGAATCGGAATCGGAAAGTCAACCTAAAGCGAAGCGACAAAGAGTTCAGATTGTGGACGTCCCCATACCCAGCAATATCAACGCAAACCTACAGGAACTGATCCGAGAACAGCCTGATTTGGAAACGTTTCAGCCTCAATGGCCAAGCAAGTCGGAAGTGGCAATTGGTGAATGGGGACCAGATCCAAACCCAAAGCGATTAATCACAGCAGAGATCCAAAAGACCGCCGTCGTGGGATTCTACATCCGAAATCTGCTCAAGAACGGGAAAGCGATCATCACTGACGAGAGTTACTCTGCAAAAGCAGATCGGGTATTCTCTGGGGATCGAGACACCACCCTCACCACACCGCAGATAATGCGGAACATCGAATGGCTCGAGAAAGCTAAAGAATTCGGCGCCGACCAATCCGAGGAGAATCTGATGAAATACGTCTTCGCAAACGTCGGTGACAAGACGGTCTGTCTCCCATGGTCTGACGCAGACGACGTCAAAAAGAATCCCGAATTCGGAGTCTTATACGCATTCCTGTCCGCGAAGCATTCGGACGACGAGGCAGAGTCGATTTTCGGACCCGGATGGGCTACTCCGGCAGCGTTGCTCGCCCGACTGACGGAATTGCAAAACCGACTGAAGGTCGCGTCGGATAAGGCACAAATTTCTGTGGAGGCATGCGTCGGTTTGATGAAAGGCGACGAGCCAATGGAAACAAAAATAGGATTCTTGCGGATGGTTTTCAAAGGGCTCATTGGAGATGCTTGCGATCCTCTGGAATTGGCTTTTCGAATGCGTACATTGGACCTGGAGGAACCGGCAGGGATTGGCAAGAGCACATGGCAGACACTATGCGACGAAACCCTCTTGGATTTGGATTGAAAGAGGCGAAGATGAAGGGCATCACTCTGGAGTGTGACAAGACGGGACAAGGCATCCGGCCAGCAAAAAGTTTCAATTGACATCCCTACAGACAGACATGGCATGTGCATTAGGCTTTGCTAATTATCCGAGCTGTACGATAGAGCATAGATAAGCGTCCTCCAACGGGCGGAGCTAAATCCAAAAAAAGATTTTATTGTGTACGTATTATCTCTGATTTCGTTTGTGATACGGATGGTTTGTCAAACTCCTAGAGGGTGAAAAGGTTCCTTATTCTTTATGGAAGGGCTTCAGGGGAGGTCTAGACTGTATAGGCAGCTGGTTGACCATAGGAGGGCGGGGAATGATCTCAGGAGGCTGGTGTATCCAAAGTTCTGACGCGCGTTGCATACGTCGCAGGGGGGTTCCTAACTCAACAGCGCCGACCGAAGTCTTACTGATGACGACTAGCATATTCAAAACAGTATCAGAAGAGGCTCGCCGGCTTAGACATTCTTCCCGAGGCAAGTGACTTAGTGATGAGGGGCTGTAGTAACATATTTCTGTGATGGTATTATATTATTTTGCGTAGATCATAATCTGCTGTAGAGCAAAGCTCTAGTCTGTCAGAGCGCTTCGCTTTTTGCGCATACACAACGATCGGGATATCGTGACCAAAATCATACAAGTAAAGACGTCAATGAGATGATCTGAGTTGGCAAAATGGCCCAGATTCCTCCTCCGCTCGGGGTTGGGGGTATCATCAACGCTCAAAATCGAATGCTCACCATGTCGTTTCCACTCCATTACATCCCACCCGAAACCTCAGGCGCTTCGTGGGTCCATCTCTCTTTCACACTATCACCATCCAACACCCTTCAACAGCGTTTCGTCATTTCTTACTCTCTGTGCTCAAGTTCCTTTTCGCCTTCGACACTGTTGCGAGCCTGGTCGGCAGGACCAGCTCCATTCGTCGCTGGTTGAACCTCTCCCGCCTCGGCGACACTGTTCTCGGCGCCGGCTTCTCTCCGGATCTTCTCGATCTCTTCCGGAGGAGGAGCTTCCCATTTACGGCTTTCCCAAGGCTTGATGCCGAGGAGGTACATGGTGTCGATCTCCTCGAGAGTCCGGCCTTGACCCTCGATGACGAAGAAGTAGATCAAGAGCAGGCCCAAAAGGTTGCACCCGGCGAAGACGTAACCGTACAGGAAGTCAATGTCGCCGGTGATGAATGGGGTGAAGAAGGCGAGAAGGAAGTTCCACAGCCAATTAGAGGCGGTCGACAGCGCCATGCCTTTCGCACGGTAGCGGGACGGGTAGAGTTCACCACAGATTGTCCAGATCATTGGTCCCCAGGCTGAAAAGATACGTTAGTAAATGACACTATGTTCAAAGGGATGGGAAAGGAGGTGCTGTTGTCTGGTAGACCCCCCCTCCCCCACCCAGTCTGAGCCGCACCAGCTGGTTGGGTGGGAAGGAGGCCGCCCAGTCAGGAACGGTAGTTGATAGAGTTGACTTACTGGTTGCGAAACCGAAGATGAAGAACGAGGCCATGACAATCATAGCAGTACCACTGGACTCGGTACTCTGAGGGTCGTTACGGTCAAGAGAGAAGTGGCCGACACTGGCGAAGATCATGAACATGAGGACTGTGTCTAGCTGTTAGCGATGATAGTCACATGATGTGCCAAGACTCAATCTCAGCCTCGTCATGTGACAAGGCTGACATCCTTGTATAGCCTCAGGGGTCCGTAAGGAAGACTTACACATCCAGAATGATCCGACCATCAACGAACGACGACGTCCGTAGTGTTCTACAATGTATAATCCATAAAAAGTGGTGCCGAAGTTAATCCCGTTTAGGATCATTTGCGTCACAAATGAGTTGTTGATGCCTGTGGCCTTGAAAATGACAGTTCCGTAGTAGAAAAAGTAGTTGGCGCCAGTCAGTTGCTGGAACATTTGGAGGGCGACACCGAGGAGGATACGGTATGCCATCTTCGGTGCTCTGAACATGTTGACCCATTCCTGGACGACGCCGTCTTGCTTGGTTTCGGCGCGGAGCTTGGCTTCGATCTCTTCGAGTTCGACGTAAACGCTGTAGTGGTTCGCCGGCGCACCGTAGACCTTGAGCATGATCTGCTTGGCTTCTTCCTTCTTGCCTTTGCGGTAAAGGAACCGAGGTGTCTCAGGGAAGATCAAGATGCCCGCTCCGAGGATAAAGGCGAAGACAAACGCGAGACCCATGGGAATACGCCATGATGCCGAGCTGCCTCTCTGATGCTCGAAGCAGCCGAAGTTGATACATGAGGCCAAGAAGATACCGAAAGTAATCTGTGTCAATGTAGGTTAGCTTCTGGGATCAACCAATTCAAAATTGTTCGAGACTTACGAAAAGCTGGTATGTGCTGATGAGAGCTCCACGGATGTGTCGCGGGGCAGTCTCGGCTATCTCTTTGTCAGGACAGGACTACTCAAATCACGGCGTCGGACTTACCCATGTACATGGGCACAAGCAAAGATAGGGAGCCAACACCCAGACCTGCAACCCATCGACCCATCATGATCTGGTACCAGTGATGTTCGGATGAGATCATGACGATGTTACCGACTGCGAAAATGCAGCACCAGAAGGTGACCGAGGGTTTTCGGCCAATGAGATCTGCAATTGGAGCTGCGATCAAGGCACCGATCAAGGTACCGATTGAAAGCTATATGAGTTAGCGGTCGTGCTCGAGCGACAACCAGGCTGTATAACAGGAATGACACTTACCATGGCCACAATGAGACCAGATCTCACATTGCTGAAGTAGGCAGTGCCGTCATGGTGATGCTGGCCGAATCTTTCCAGGAAATCTGGCATGGCCAGGAACCCCGAAATTTGACCAGTATCATAACCGAAGATAAAGCCACCCATAGAAACGAGCATGCCCATCCAGAAGGACGCCCATGTTACTCGTCGCAACGGACTGTAGTCCAGGTGTGATAGGGACTTTCTTGCATCGGTGGAATCTGCACCATGCGGATTATACCTGCACCACACAATCAGCAACGGGGGCTTGATTCAGTACTGAAGAAGTCAGGCACGAACCTCTCGTAGGAGACATAGTTGGTCAAGCCCAGAGCTTCCCGCGTAGGCTTCTGGAACTTGGGGACTTTGAAAGACCCCATGATTGTTGTCGTAGGTTGAGTTGGAGTTTGTTTAATTGTTGTTATTTGAGAAAGCAGTGAGCTCTTTCGGTAGGAAGAAGGTATAGCAACCAGGTTGATCTTATACTTCCTCGGCCAATACCCCCGGTGGGAAAACTATGGCACACCACGTGTTGATCAGTGCTTTGTGAATGTAACTTTCCAATGGCGGAGCCCACGGATGACACCACGACAGGAGACGGCGGCTGCTGCATCGCAGGTCCAATGACGCCTGCGATGTGAGTAATTTCTCAAGGGATGGGTAAGCAAAGGTGCAGGCCTCTGTACCTGTGACATGGAAGAAGAAGGCTCCATCAACCCACAGCGGGCATACCGTGCAGAGTAATCCGAAGACGGGGTGCCCATGGTACGAGGATGGACGCTGAGGCATAAGGATGGCCACAGCCAATAAAATGAGTGCGAGACCAGGGGCGGCAATTCGTCGGTGCCGAACAGCGAAGTCAATAGAATAGTGATAGTGCCGGATCAAAAGGGCCCGACGATTCATGCACACTCAAGTGCGCCGCAGACGTCGGTGTGGCGTGAAGAAGCTCCTCGCTAGTAGTCTGGGCTCAGGAGCTTGTGTAGATCTCGAACATCACGGGAGGCGAGGCTGGACCGGAAACGCGCGGATAGTCTTTACTTACCCACCAACTCCAACATGTCAGCAACGGCAAATGGTCATTTGATCAATGACGAAGTGAGGTTGCTTCAAGTACGGAATTAAGTGAGGATCGACTTCTTTCTCACACCCTTTCGTATCCGGAAGCTCCCACCCCATGGGGGAGTCTTCCTAGAAGGATTCGAGGTCGAAGTGCGCGCCACATAAGCTGAGTGATAAAGCGAATGAGATGTCTTTAGCAAGCTTTTGGACTTGCTACATTTGAAAACTCTATGGTGTTTGGGAATAGTATCGTTGTGGAATACACAACACAGTAGATTTGTTGATGGGGCCAGGTCTCAGGATGCACAAAAAGTTGCTGATCGCCGATTAGTCAAAAGTAATGGATGATCGTACGAGTACTGTACAGTAGTCAAAGTCTTAGCGCAAACAGTGTCAGACCGGACATACGTTGGTAGTGAAGCTTTACGTCCATACATAGACATCGAATTTTGGGATTCTAAGTTCCTTTCACAAGTCATGAGGCTGATTCTCGAAGCCTCACTAGCTCCTGAACGCACTCGCCGCTGAGAGTTGTCGCCGCCCAAAAGGGATATTTGTACAGTAAGCCTCACTAGCCTGGCTGTTTGTGGTCTCCCTAGTATGGGCTGCGGTGTTTTGGCTGGAGCACGTGAGCCCCACCAGGCTTGCCCTTCTCGGATCACCTGACGGGCGCCGGAAGCCAACGATGTCTTGAAGATCACGGGTCTGGAAAAGCTTTTCCATTCTCAGCAAAAAAATCTTTCCATGGTGCTTTCTCGAAGACTGACGGTCCAGGAAATAATCATGACAGAGACTCACTCCAATGTCACGACATCATCACAGCCTTCGGCCCGTCAGTGCCGTTGGTGTCGAAAGCGCGTGATGGGTATCTAATTTTTGAGAACAGCGATTCGACTTTTCCGCGCCTAGGCTGTCTGTTGGCCCACATTCCCATCCCCATATGCATCCTGTGGAAGTTTCCGCGTACTTCGGTGCCTCCTTTACAGCTCAGCTTATGTTACATCCTGGCGATGCCGTCGTACATCCCTGATTTTGGCATACCTCCTCAAAACCCTTGATTCATTGTGCCCTCAAATTCGGGGAGGCATCTGTCAACTGAGGTTGTCCTGGGGTCGTGATAATGTGAGGTCTGGACCCTTCTGAACTTGCCGCGAGGATCTAAACTCTTTCTGTTTGGATTTTCGAGGCACCGACTATCCATTTGCTTCTCATGGAGCCGACACGGCCGACACACCGAAAGCTATGTAGCTTGAATAAAATTGTCAGGCTGCGCATGCAACAGGGTCTCCTCGTCATTTCCACCTGATGCTTGCTCCCGCGGTGGGAGCTGTAGTGATCTGGCGCAGAAGACCAATCACACCCCGGCTGGACACAACATTCCCGGCGACTTCACCTGGAAGAGTCGATATTGTGTTGATGCCAGGGTCCATGATCTCATCCGCTTCATCGAATGCTTCCATCTCGGTTTCTCCGCATTTTGACTTTATATAATACTTCGGTGGACGAAGCTGCTACACTTTGACAGGCGTGAAAGTCCAGGTCAATCCATGACGAAGACAATCATGGACGAGGGAAGATTGTTGATGATACTATACAAGGCTGAGAGTGTTATATCCTATAAATGGACAGAACCACTGCCCAGACAATGTCTCCTGTTGGGCGCTCCCTGCCCCACATTTCTATCGAGTACTCCAGATACGCCTCCTTGCTCCTTGTTCCAGCCAGGCCAAATTTCCTCGGACAATTTCTTTACAAGGTCCAATTTCTCCCACATCGTTTCTCTACTCATGCCTACTCCGCCCTCACGATGAATACTAGCGAAGCCACATTGAGGACTAACAGCAAGGTTGTCCCGGAGAGCATCTTCCCTAGTTCTGCCCTGGCCCTGGGCGATCGTATCTGCAGCTTGATATACCCTCTTCTTGAGTTCACTCATATCCTCTAGGTCCGCATGTTTGGTCGTCACCACACCTAGGACAACCGCCTTGTCATTCGGTAAGTGCTTCAAAGGTGTGAAATCTCCCGCCCGAGGACTGTCGAACTCTAGGTAAAACAGCTTGTACGCCGTTTCGTTGAACAACTTCCTGGCGATTCGTTCGTATGATCCACTCGCCAACCCTACGCCATTGGGGAAGTTTCCTCGACATATGTGCACACCGACATGGAGGTCCCATGGCAAGTCCCGAATCACGTCGTTATGCGACTTGATATACAATTCGAGCAGACGATCCAGGTCGACCCCTTCGGTCTTGCAAGTCGCAATCCACTCTTCATCGCAAAAGAAACTGAGGTTAGGATCGTCGACCTGAATTACTCTGAGACCATTATCGTAAAGCGTCATTATTTCCTTCCTCACGGCGGCACTCAGATCAGACAAAAGCCCTTCGTCCGAGGAAAACAGCTCCGGTGAAAATGGCTGTTTGAGCTGGATGTGCCACCACCCAGGTGGAGGAACTGTCATTTTGGCATTCTTGACTTGATCTTCGGGTAAGAGGCTACGGAAGAAGAGCCAGTCGTCGAGATAAGCAGACTTGTCGAGGGTCACTTTCTTGGCTGTTGGATATCCAGCTTCCCGGCATTGAATCCCCCGTTTTATGAGTGGCCGATTGGTAGGGAAATCCTTTTTGAAGTCCTCCAAAGGCGTGTAGCGCATTTCGAACCCGCTTAGGGCTTCAAAGAAGTTGCCATAAAAGATGCTCCGCTCGAATTCACCTGTCACAACGGGGAGGATGTTGCGATCCAGTTGTTCTCGTACGACGTCCTTGATGGCGGCATCCTGCACGGCCTTCAATTCACCCCAAGAATCTTCGACGTTGTCGACCGGCGCACCGTTTTCAGGCGAGGGACCATTACGCAGACGATCTGCTTTCAAGGTCGAGTTTGCTCGCGCGTCTACAAGACTCTTTGGACGAAGCAACGAGCCTACTTGATCGGCTCGAAATGGTGGAGCCATCGCGTAAAAGTCACGGAGTACACAATGTCCGTACAGACAAGGCCGATGTTCAACTGCGGGGGTTGATGTGAGGACTCGATGAAGCGTTGCGTTCGCAAGAGGTCACTACTGACAAGAATTCTTTCTTTCAAGTACGAAATCAGTTCAGCTCATTCAAAATCCATCTTACGTGGGATGATGCCGAAATGGCTCCCCTCACCTCCCGATTCTCAGGAGCAGATCTCGTACTCACGGAGTAGTGTCTGCGACCATACCGTTGGCGGATGTTATTGAAGTTGATTGTGTGTTGACATGATTCAGATGACAACTCGGTGAGATTTTAGTTCTGGCCCATCCTAAACATTGATACCCCTGATAGGTCAAGGTCTGCTTACTAGATGCAATGACGAGTGTCGGTTTACGGTGCCCTTTCGAGCATTCACTATGCGTTGACTATAGTATTCTGGTTCCTGCCACTCTCATTACTTCCATGCGAGACCTCATCCTGTTGGCTTGTTCCCGCCATCTTCTTACAAGGAAATCTCACTCAATTTCTCCCGTCGATCGTGCGTAGGTACGAGTCGTACGACTTCAGATGTGAACCGCTCCACCTAACACGAGCTACAAAAGTACCCAGGCCCAGTTCCCCCAACAACCCAATTCCGATCCTACCATGAGATCGAATCTAGCGGCCACCGCCTTCAGAATACGAAGTACTCCGCGGACCGTAACTCGGCCTCAAAAGACAGGATGCTAATTAACTTGAGCTTTTCACTCTACCAAAGTTACGGGGCTTGCCCAGAATGAATCAAAGACCAGCTGCTACAGCGGTACAACGCCCCCAAAGTGAGCTAAATCATCGAAAGCAACTCAGAGCCGCGTCTAGACTGGTCCTCATTCCTGTCAAGAAGGACATGTCACATCGGAAAGGCCCTTCTCCCTGCAGGATCGTCCCGTGGCGGCGTGGACATTAATGCAAGCCACAAAGTCCATTTCACGTCTTCCATGCTAGTCAGTGTGCCGGGTCCTATTTACTGTACACTACCATAACCACCAATAACAACCCCGGTTTGCACCGGCAAGCAACGGCTCTAACATTGCACTTCCGAACCATGTCCTTTGATTCTCAGGGGCCAGGGCCAGATCAGACCATTTTTTGGTTCCCTACGGGATACATTAGTTTCCTTCCAAATCACAAAATCACCCTCCTTCTAAGGGAATCCTGCCTGCCTAGGCACCTCCGGGAGCTCCCACCGATTGGTACGCGCACCGATACCATGTAACCAATGCCAACGGCCCCCAGTAGAATATAGGCGCTATTACGCAGGCACGGTGAACCCCAAAAGATAACAAAATCTGTGTCGCTACCCTCTTCAAACCACCTTCACCTGCCATGCCTTTGACAGAATGTATTCACAAAGATTGGATGTTGAGACAGGAAAAGGAAAAGTCGAAGGCACCCCAGATCCACACTGGGTAACTGGGCACCCGAGCAGGAGTCCACCGATTGGCGATACCAGCACCCCGTATTGCATCGCAATCTTTGAACGGGGAGTACGGAGTCCACAGATGTCCATCCCCGACGATCTCAACGGTGCCAAGATCGATGAGAGAGTTGATCAAACCCACCTACTTCGTACGCGACGCAGGTGAGTTTCACCAAAAAAGAACATCCGAAGTACGGATGCTCCATCTGCGGGCGGTCGGACTCGCTCTTGGCTTCAAAAGCATATGCCTGTCTCTGTCGTTGTTTCTGACCCTGAGCCGTTGACGGTCGAACACACTGGCCCCTCAAGAGTAGTACTACCAAGCACTCACTACTCGGACTGCTACCATCTATCCGTGACCGAACAAGGAACATATTTGAGAAATATGCAAGAAGACCAAGGATCCTGAATCCCACCCCTGCAGGCCATAGCACTTCAGTTCTCCCAATGCAAGTATGGAGTACCGCCAGTGCATGTACCGGTCCCAGTTCAGGCACGGAGTACGGAGTACCTATAGAGTAAAGATGAGACCAACACCCCCTGCCCATGAGCCATCCATTCTCATGAATCATGATTCATGACGCACATCCCGAGTTCACCTAGCCCTACTTTTTCCCACTAGCCTTGGTTTTGGCCCTATTGGGCTATTGTAGGTAGACCACAATTTGAACATCTCGGTTACGTCCTAACTGGAGGAGTCCCCCTGATAAATCTGGTACCTTGATTCCGAAAACGGATCGGAGTCTGGAACGACACACTCTTCATCCGAAGGGGAATGTGCCGTGGGCCGTTGGCCGTTAGTGTACAATGTACCGGCATCACGGTCAGGGGGGGGTTTTCGAAGCGAGGGTCGATGATCCACTGAGGAGGACGCTAATAAAATACACCCGTGTACGGAGTACCATGTACTCATACCGTGTACTCCGCACAGAGCAGACATGTAGCCTATACTGTACAACAGCAGGTCCATAGTGGTCTTCTTCCCAGGGTGTTTCTCGCCGAGTCGTCACCGTTTCAATCTAGACCTTCCCCCTACCCTTACAGTTGCATAGACCTTGCATAGGACATTTGTTGGTTGACATGGATCCTTCCAACTTCCAGAAACCAACAATCCTTGCTACTTCGTCCCCCGGCATTCACCCCCACCGCCGCAACATTGTAATCATTTCGACCGCGGTGGCACTCACTTCTACTGGGTTGGTCAACAGAAGACGAGTCCTGGGATGTATCGTGTGTCCCCAGGTGACCCGAAACGCAGGAGAAAACAGAGCAGCACCCAACACTCCAAAACAAACTCAGAAGTCAAAGTCACAAGGGGCCAGTGCTATACAGTCCGCACGCTGAGCTGATCACAGTCTCTCTGGGGTCCTCGGGACTTAAGAGTCTCCTTTTCTCTATCTATCCGGTTGGCTTTGCTTGTCCCACCCATCACCCACATATGGTCTTGTACACATATCCGTAGCAATCCAACAGCGTCGACTTGTGAAAATATAAAAAAATATCCGGTCCACAGATACGCATTCGAACACATTCCATACTATCCATAGCTTCTCAAGAACTCCTCGCCCACCCCTCATACACCCATTTTGTGTCTATTCTTCCTATCCCATCCCAGCTAGATTCGTGTGCTCCCATCTCATCCATAAACCCATCCATCAGTCAAGATATATATGTGTCCCATGTGCAAAACCACTCTCTCACCCCGTATAAACTCCCGAACCACCACTTCAAACATACCCAAATCACCAAGACAAACCTAAACATCTTGATACGATACACTCCACTCTTTCGTCGTTTTGATAATCATCGCTTTACTTCCGTCGCTGCCATCACTCCTTCCCCCGTTCGAAGTGACACTATTGCTCCTTCGCTTGGGGTGTGAATCTGACAACGATGGAATCTTCTGTGCCTTGCTACCTCTTCCACTCTGTATGACCACGCGATTGCTGCTAGTCAAGGCACGACCAATACTGTGATCTGAGGTATTTTCTGCTCGGATCCCTTGACGCGGGAGGTCGAGACTCTCGCTTCGATCATCACTTTTAAAGGCATGGCTCCGCACGCCGGAAGCGACGGCGACCTTGCTTCGTGCCGTCTTGCCCATGAGGTAGCTGTCGTTGCCATAACCGAAGCGTCCGTCCTCGGAAGCCACGCCCGAGAGGTAGCCGGCCTGAATCGAGTCCATGAACGGACGTAGATGCGGCACGCAGGCCGAAAACACACTGAAGAACAGTTCGAGAATGGTGGCTATCGTGGGCAGCCAGCTGTTGAACGTGATGTCAGTGCCGCGGTCGAAGAAGCGGTGAATCTCCGTCAGGCGCCAGATGGTACATGCGACGGCGCCCAGCCGAAACGAAAATGCGAAGCAGACTGCGACTTTCTTTTTCGATGAGAGATGAAGACCGTACACGAGAAGGATCGGCATGGCCATTATTGCGATGTCGGTGAGGATGTTGACAATACCAATCGTATCCCAGAAGCCCGTCTGGTTGAAGCATGTTTCTGTGGTGATCAGATATGGATGTGGCAAGGCGCATTGGAAGGCACTGGCAAAGAGTGTGGCGACGGTCCATAATCCAATGAAGCCGACAAGGGCAAGCATCGGGATGCGGTGGTATGATTTATTGGGAGCCAGCGCAAGGAGAAGCGATAGTGTCGAGAGTTTCCCAAAGGACATTGTTATAATGTAAAGCATATTCCAAGCATAGCCGGCCTTTTGAAAACCTTCGTAGTCTTCCGAACGGACGGTGGAGAGCTGCGAGCCGAGTCCACGGCTGACCTGATTGTTGATCGCAATTGTGAAGCCTATGGCAAACAGCTACGCATGTCAGTATTGATGGCTTCGGTTTGGAGGACAGGGGGAATTTGATCCATACCATGGCCGTGGCAATGATACTATCCGTCCACATCAGTCGACGCAGTACCACCAACTTACTGAGGAGGACGGTGATAACCGCCAGACACAAAGTCGCCAACGATACCCATGATACAAGATTCACAACAGGACCTTTCTTTGTAGCTGATATCAGGGGCACTCTGACGACGAGCTCGCGCATCGCTATCATTGTGTGGTGGCGCTTTCGGCGTAGAGATGTCGTTTGATCTCACTGCTGTGAGGATAGATACATGGAGACCTCAGCAAGGTAGTCGAGGATACCCTCTGATCCAGGCCTATACCTAGGAGAACATCGTAGAAGTATAATTCTAGACTTACCCAAGAACAAATTCAGAGTTGGGTTAGAATCAGACCGAGGAACCAGGTGTTGCAACAACATTTGCGGCGGGTGGGTGGCTTGCCAGGCCATCAGCGCGTGTCCACTTGTATGCGGGAGGCCTGGCTGAACCTGCATGGGCACCTGCATCATGATACGAGAGGGCGATCCGGAGAGCCATCATATGGTCTCAAGCAGTCATGAAACCGTTCTAGCCCATGGGTGGCAGAAAGCAATTCTCCCGGTGGCTTTCTTGTACAGGGTGATAAGATGGGCGTGGGTTGAAAGAAGCTTCACCGTTGTTGGGCTGGGCGGGACGGCGCTGACATGTGCTTCTGGCGCACCCACTAACTTGATCAAGCAAGGAGGATCTTCCCAAGTCTCATCCCAAACCTCCTAAGGTTCTCTGGGGAACATGGGTAGTACTAGCCGCTGCGTCTACCGTAGGTGTGCGTGTCTAGCGTTGTGACTCTCGGGGGATGATCTTTTGGTTGACTGTGGACTCCACCAACATAGGCAGAGCAGGCATTGGAAGCCGTCTCAATCATGAGCCTGTCCCGGCCCCCCAACTAGCCCGGGCTGCTTTATCACATTTGCTCCCTGCTCGCGTAGACTGAAGGCGTAAATCCTGGCTTTCCTGTTGCGTGGTTGCCACTGCGACCTGCCTCGTTTGTGATGGCTGTCACAGAGATCCCTGGTAGACATGATTCAGGAAGTGGATTTTGCCCAATATCCCGGCGTCGCAAGGAATGTGATCAGAATGAAGCCTTCAAGGCATGTGGTTGTTCGCGTGGTCTTTGCGACTCCACCGGACCTCTGGCATACGATGTTACTTAGAAAGCATCTCCCATAACAAGCAGTGCAAGTCTCGTCATCAAGATTGGCAAAATTCCGCAGATAAATTCGGCATTATTTACGAACTGTACGCTTTAGTTGAAGACTTGATTGCACTGACCTTGCGTTCGTGAAGCTCACCGATGTAGGCGAGGGCTTGAGTAGCTGCGTGATAGGGGTTTCATCACAATATGAGTCCTTGCAATTGGAACGTCGCACCCCTGCCTTCCCAGTAAATCTGCCTCTAGAACTTGGGATGATTGCACATGCGCCATGGATTGAAATTGCTGGGCAATTCCTGGCAAGGACTCCACATCTGAGGGACGACAATAACAACAGGCGTCCCAGAGCAGCGTGCATGAAATCAACAAAGCTATTCCGTGTCTGATTGACCTTGCCGTTGGAGTCCATAGAGGTCCGACCGGGGATCAAGCCTCGGATGTCAACTGGTTTGAACTCGCATCTACGCACAGGCATCTTGCGGCCGCAGTTTGTAGCATATAGATCAGGTAGCTCGTACGAACAACCGACTCCACAAAACGTTGGTGTGCGGGAGGATAGCGTTGGCCGGTCCAACGCTGCTAGCGAAATACAATGAAGCTTTCCACATTCCGGCCACCTCATCGTTGATCGGCGTTCCCTGAACCAGGCTCCTTGTTGTCTCGTCCATTTGAGACCCTGGCTCCGGGTGACAACTGTGCTAAGCAAGCACACCAAACTGGCTCTCAAGGACGGACAACCTGGATGGTCCACCTTGTCCAAAGTTTCGTGTTCTCGAGCTTTCTGGATGGATTTAACGCATATGCGAATCCCACTCGGGCTAATGCAGATAACCAGGTGATTTTCTTCAAGCATGAGACGGAGTACGAGACACAGGGCCGTGGCTTGGACCAATCTCTTCAGATATGGGCGCAGTTAGTTCGTCCCAGGACCCTTTTTATTGACATTGTAGTCACTGGTTGAAAGAGCCAGATCTACCTCCCTACTCCTTCCTGTGGCGACTGCTGTCCAACATCTCACACTGTCCTGAACTGTTGAGAACTGTAGTGCTCGTTCATCATCCATTTCCTCCGTCTTCGGTAGAGCGACTCGCCTGTGTTCTCGACTTTCCTAACAACTTTGCGCGAAGTAGGACTGGCTTCCATTTCGAAAACAGCATAATGGACAACGTTTATGCCATGAAGGACGGCGGCAAGTATGCTTCTGAAGTTCATCATTCCAGACACTCGTCAGATGGAATGCAAAATGTCGAAAAGTCCGTTGACCGTGATGAACAAGAGATGGCGAGGCTTGGAAAACGCCAGGAACTGCGAGTATGACTTCCCTCTCTCATCAGAGGCGTAACTGAACGTGGACAGCGAAACTTTGGTTTTATGAGCATGCTTGGATTTTCTTGTACCCTCATGATAACATGGGAGGGGTTGCTGACGGTTTTCGTCTATGGACTCACTGACGGTGGCCCCGCTGGGCTCGTATACGGTTATCTCTTCTGTTGGCTGGGATACTTCACCGTTGTGGCTTCCCTCGCTGAAATGGTATCGATGTGCGTAGCGATCTTCATCCAGCTTACTGTTGCTGACTGTCACAGGGCACCCACGGCAGGTGGCCAGTATCACTGGACTTTCCTCTTTGCACCAAAGTCTTGTCGCAACTTTCTCTCCTTCGTCACTGGTTGGCAGTCTGTCCTTTCGTGGCAAGCTTGTCTCGCGTCGGCGGCGTATCTGGGCGGCACGATCATTCAGGGTTTGCTGGTACTCAACTATCCCAGTTATGATTTCAAACGATGGCATGGAACTTTGCTACTTTTTTCAGTCATTTTGTTGGCGTTGCTTTTCAACACCTACCTTGCAAAGCAGCTGCCCAAAATCGAAGGGGCTGTATTGATCGTGCATATTGTGGGATTCTTCGGAGTTCTCATTACCTTGGTGTACCTTGCACCACATGGATCTGCACATGATGTGTTTATCAAGTATCTCAACTCGGGCGGATACAACAAGGGAACCTCATTCTTCGTGGGTCTGATAACAACGGTATTCGCATTCGTTGGAGCCGACGGAGCCATTCACATGTCTGAAGAGATCATCAATGCTTCCACGGTGGTACCCAATTCGCTTGTGGCGTCGATCGGCTTGAATGGAGTAATGGGGTTTGCCATGCTGATTGCAATACTGTTTTGCATTGGTGATATCGACAGCGCGCTTACTACGCCAACGGGATTTCCGTTTATCGAAATCTTCCGCCAGGCTGTCAACACAAATGGCGGGGCCACAGCGATGAGTGCAATTGTCTTGTCGTTGATGATTTTTGCAACGATTGCGGTATTGGCAGCAGCGTCTCGGATGGTGAGTTCGAAATGTTGTCCGATTTCGACGTCGGGAGCTCTGACTGTTTGCAGATGTGGGCTTTCTCCAGAGACAACGGCTTGCCCGGTTCACATTATCTGTCTCGGGTCGAACCACGTACAAAGCTGCCCCTGTACACAGTCGGACTGTCAGTTCTCATTACCATGTTGTTGGGTCTGATCAACATAGGTTCTAGCGCAGCGTAAGTGTTCCTCCCGAAGTTGGTGGTACAACCTGATCGTTCTGTAGCTTCAATGCCGTCGCATCACTCGTGGTCTCGGGCTACCTCTCGAGTTATACTCTTCCAATGATTCTGCTGCTGCACAAAAAGATCTTCAATCCTTCTTCAATCCATTATGGACCATGGACCTTAGGACGACCATTTGGGATATTCTGCAATATCTTTGGCCTGTGCTGGATTGCAATTGTCATGGTTTTCAGCTTTTTCCCATCCGTCCGAACAGACCTGACTCTGCAGACCATGAATTGGTCGTGCCTCCTATGGGGAGGTACCATGATCATCGGAATCACCAGCTATTTTGGTTATCTTCGAGGTCGCTATAATGGTCCAATTGTCGAAAGGGATATCATTGATCAAGTCCACCGCATTTGAAAGTGACGAGCAAAGGCAGAAAAGCCTCTAGGGGACATTGGTGAAAACTACCAAGGTATCGGGGCCGGGTATGTACAACATTGTTGAGTTGCAAAAGTGCGAGATAAAATTGTTGTCTTCAAAGGAGCTTAGAATGGATCCGAACGGCGCGTTCAACGGAGTTCGTCCAAAAATGGCATGTCTAGAGGTTCTTCGAACTGATTTCTTCGCGAAGACACCCCTGCCTGAGTAGACTTATACAATGATGGGCCTGCTGGAAAGGCAGATGCTGGACACTGGCTGGCTGAAAGGTTATTGATTTTAGGGCAAGGGGTGAGCACAATAGCGGTACCAATTGCGACGTGGTAGAAAGTGTCTCCCAGTTGCTTTGATGTATTCTAGCTCGACGCCCACTCATGGGAGCTTAGATGCTGACCTGGTCAGAAGAACTCATCACTGGCCACTCTTGTTGTTTTCTCTTGTCTCTAAGTCGGAGTACGAGGCATTGTAGGTACCGAGACAGGTACCTGGAGAGTCCTGTGTCTCGATCTTCGACGGACTGGCAGGTGTACGGCCTACCTGCCCCAACAGGCCGGCGAGTCGAGGACGCTGCCGTGATTTGTTCAACGCTAACTCGAACATTAGTTAGAGGCTCACTAGGCGGCAGTTAACAGGATCTGCAAGTAGGCACTAACTAGGCTAGCCTAACAAGCGATGCCCGGATACCCCAAACCTCACCAACCCGCCTGACATCTATAGGCGGGCCCTGGCCTGGAAGGGGGTGTAATGGGGGGTTCGAAAAGAGTCCGCTACGCCAAATTCCCAATTGGGAGGTGCCAGCAAATCACTTTGCTAACGACTTCCATGTCTATCAGCATCCAATGCCTGTTACTGTGTACTCAATACTTTGCCAGCGTATACAATCGGCCTTCTCCGAGTCGAAGCCCTCAATGTGTCAATCTCAATTACCAATCTTTGACAATGCCATGGCCTCCTGCCGGGGACACGCACCGGCATCATGGCGATAACCGTTCAGAAACCAGGTATCATGCGCTATCCATGCCATGTTCCTCCCAGACCAAATCTACACAACTACAATACCTTCCACGCGTCCTTGAGCTCAGCTGAAATCACAACATGGGCAGTCGCAGGTAAGACATGGGCACTCAACATCCCATGCAGGCCGGGTACAGGATCGAAGCACGCGTCCTCCACAACGGTGACAATGAAGCCGCGATCTGCCGCCTGTCTCGCGGTACTGAGCACACACCCACTCGTCGTCAATCCACAGAGCATCAAACTCTTCACACCCCTCTGTGCGAGTTCCTCCAACAGGCCCGCAGACTCAAGCGCCGAGACAATCCCAGGCGGACGAACCACCATCCGCTCTTGTCCGGGGTCGATCGGGGCAAGCACATCTGCTTCATAACCTAGCTCTGGCAGGCTAGCGAACTTGTCCTCGATCATGCGCCAATTGAGTGCCATCTTGCTGCGTGGGAATGGTCTGCTTCCCGGCCTCGCGTCGAATACACAGTGGTAAACGAGCATGCCCTTGGACAGAGCCCAGTCGCGCATTTGTCGAGCTGTGTTGAGGACGATAGGCGCCGCATCCGCGAGACGAGACACCACAATGTTCTGATAGTCAAGCAGAAGCAGTGCAGTTTCCGGTGGTGTGACAGACAATGGCGAGGCGGCATCCGTGGAGGAAAGGATTGCTCGTGAGCCGTATACCATTGCCAGCTGCTGCCTGTCCCGCTGCCTGTCTCGCTATCTGTCTTCTTCTCGGTAGGTCTGTCGAGTGCAGCTCTGAGGCCGTACACTTGGAGTACTTGACGACTCAAAGGCTACTGTCAGGGGGAACGTCAGTACGGAGTTCAGGCCAACTCCAATGGCATCCTGGTCAAGTAAGTGGTGATGGCCTAGACTGACTCTACATAGGAGTTATCACCCGCCGTGTGCTCAAGTTCTCTGCTCACATGAGGCAGTTCGATTAACCAACGAGTCTTGACTGAGCTTTACTTGAGATTCCAGAAGAGCGTGTGATTGCGAGCCCCTCGACGACCGTGGTGTTGTACTTAGTATGCAGCCGGAGATAAGGACGTGGAATGTTGAGCATAACGCCGAAACCGGGCATCTGCAGCCTGTTCGGCAACACGAGAAACAGGGCCGAAAGACTGGCTAGACTGGAGAGACTGTGTCCCCGGTCATTCTCGTTATCGCCGATGAAGCAGAGAGCCAAGTCCGTTCCTCCCTGCCGATGGCATCGCAGGACTCAACGACTCCATACTCGTGCGACCCTCTGTTGGACGGACTCGGACATGCTACCCTGGATGGTACCCTTTCTGCTCGATGTGAATTCGCTTGGGTATACTGTGTGCCTTGAAAGAGAAAAATTCAGAAGACAGTTCCGATGGCATGATTCATGCTGATGCTGTTTGGCTGCGTTGCAACGGAGAAAGAATACAGCAAGTGCGCCAGTCCCTTTACAGGAAAATGCTGCAATGAAAGCACCGGCGCTATTTGAAGGGCTACAAATTAATCTTCGACATTGCTTGTATTAGACTTGCCTGATTTGCAAGCACAAAAAACGAGGACGATGAAGGGCGGTCGGTATTTGGATTGTTTCTTTTCCTTCTAACCGATCAGATCGATTCACCAGATAGGTGACTATGTCATGCCTCATTCTTCTCCTTGAGTGCCTTCTCCTTCGACCTTTCTGTTGCTCTCCAAGAAAAGATCAGACAGATGGCCAAGACAATTCCCAACCCGTCCAGGCCTATACCAAGATACCACGCCCCTCTATATCCTTTTAATTCGTCTGTGCCGCCGTGGTTCACGTGTGTCTCCACAGTCCCTGCCATGCCTAGACCGATACTGATCGAGTAATTCACCACGGTGTTGATCAAGCTTGCGGCTAATCCTTGATGTTCGGGCGGCATATGATTTGACAACACAATCACGCCGCTGGGGAAACTCATGTCCATGCCCCACGGCGTCACGATAAGCGCAACAAAGGTTTGCGCCCAGAATGTCTGATGCACTGGCATCGTCGCGAGCAAGATATTCCCGACGCAGAACGCCGTCATCGAAATCAACAGCACCCAGCCTGGCTGGATTTTGCTGATGACGAAGCCGGTCGTGATGGATGCGATGGCACCGGATATCGCGGTCGGCACGATCATAGATGCTGTGAGCAGAATCGACTGTCCGCGCAGGATTTCCAGAAACTGCCTAATCAGAACGTGTCAGCAATTGTCGAACATCAGGAAGCAGTGGTCTCTTCTTACCAGAGATAAAAGACCCAGATGCCAAAACTTGCCCAGCCAAACGCCTCGCATGCAAACACCAGTCGCGTATCGCGGGTGAACGAGCTCATTGGCACGAGTGGAAAACTAGCCCTGTACTTTTCAAACCAGAAGAATAACGCCAGCAAGAGAACACCGACGATGAGCAAGACATAGACATCGACCTGAGCCCATCCCGCAGTCGGGCCTTGATTCCATGCGAAATTGAACAGCACCAATCCTACCACGCCGATCAGTGTCCCCGTGACATCGAGTTCTCGGAACGTCACGACTCCACCAGCGACCGGCATGTCTGGCACGGTAAAGACGACCAGGAACGCCATAAGCACACATACCATGCCCAGCACCCAGTATGCCCAGGGCCACCATACAAACTGCGTGAATATGCCAGAGAACACGGCTCCGACGAGGTATCCTCCCGGGGCCGCTGCTCCGAACAAGCTCAGGACCATATCCTTTCTCGGTCCAGGCGGGTATGTTCTGCTGAGCACCGCAATGCCGTTGGGGAGCATGATGGCAGGCCCTATTCCCTGCATCGCACGACAGAATGCGAAGAAGATGAGGGAGTGGGAAAAGGCGCTGAAGCCCGCCACGAGAGACCAGACCGCGAACCAGCAATAGCCGATCACAAGGAGCTTCTTGTGCCCAAAGAGATCACCCCATCGGCCAGCAGGAAGGATGAACGTGCCTACGGTCAGGGAGTACCCAGCTGGAAGCCACGAGAGCTGGCCTGGGTTGGTGGTGTTAAAGGTGTGCCCAATGACGTGCAGAGGCGCGATCGATTGAGCGAGGGCTGCCTGGGTAAGGAGCTGTGCGGATGTTATGACGATGACGAAGAGGATTTCGTGGAGGCGAGAGAAAGATGCGACCTCTGTGGCGGTAGGCACCCGAGAAACCGTGTTGGTCAGGCTGGGCGCGTGGCCTAGACTTGTGCGAGCAGTCTCATGTCTGGCCAGGTCTGTGTCGTTTCCCAACGGAATGCTGTTCGTTGTCGTTGCATATGCCACATGTCCTGGTGAAGGGGTCTGGGGCGGTGTCTCCTTTCCTTTAAGGACGGTATCCTCGCCCAATGCCTCGCTTTGGGCTTCGGGAGGCATCGTGGAGGTCGGTGGTGGGCGAGGATGCATGATCTCCTTTGCCTCGAATTGATTCATTTGCTTGAATGTGAGAGACGGACAGAAATCTACCAATCTGCCCCGGCCTGCCGTGCCTGGTCACTACCACTGATAACGGTATGAGGATATCCAAAATGACGCTTCGAAGATCTTTGGCAGACACCGGAGTTGAATCTCCGAAGCGAGACTAAGGCGCACGAGCTCGTACAAGCATGATCGACGATTGATCACAGGAGCGACAAGACAGGATGGGTGCAGCGACAGATACTCTTGAAAGAGATCGGCTGCTTCTTGTAGGAAGTTCTGGACGAGGAGAGGAAAATGTTCCGAGCCTCACCCTACGTTACGCGTGCCATGTTGCTTAAGTAGCTTGTACATACCCAAGGGGACGGCTGGTGAGGCCTCTGCCCCAGAACGTTTGACGCCATCAGCGGAATCAACCAAGGGTCCAAGGTCCAAAAGGTCCACTACAAGAAAAATGATATCAAGCGGTACAGTGTTTTTTTCTTCCCCTTTACATATTTTCGTCTCCACTTGGAGCTACAAGTAGAATCCACCCCATCTCGCCTGCAAACATGTGGAAATGGATTGTACTCGTCGTACAAGCGGCTGCGTGGGAAGGCATTCCCCTTCCGCCGAGATTGTCTAGTCCTCGAAGAAGCTCAGATGATTATCCAAGCATTAAAAATTGCGGATCCACCGGTTGGCGGTTGTTGCGGATCTTCTTCCGCCCAACAAGATGGCGAACGATAGTAAGGACGCGGATACCTGCCCGGAAATCTACTCCCGTAGGGCATACAGTACCTTGAATGTGAAAGCCCCAGAGGGGTTGCCGATACTGACGAGACTCATGTTGACATTTGATGGCGTGCAAACCATTGGTATGACGGGGCTGTGAAATATCAGCCTTGTACAGGGAGGAACCCTCCAGGACTGCGAAGTACTATCAATTAAACAATGTGAAGTTCCCTCAACCAATCACCAAGACCCCTAGAGTGATGGCGCAGGTTAAAACCACATGGTTGTGTGGTGGACGGCCATTCACTCAGGCGAGCAAGGAAGCAACAAGGACCAGCGTTCGAATCCCCAGACAGCATCCGATAATCGAGAAGAGATTCAGCAATTATCATAGCCACAGTCAGGGTTGGATCAAACCAGACAGGCTCGTCTGGAAGGCGTCTTCAACTGTGGATGGTGGAAAAGGCTCAAATCTTGAAACATTCGAGACCTCGAAGTTTCACTCTCATTTTCTCTTTTGTGCCTGAGAGACTGTACAAATACACTCTGCGGAATGTCAACTGATTCAATGCCAATGAGTCTATCGTTCCCAGAACACTATCACACTTTCACGCTCGAATGGTTGCTGTGTAGGTATGTGAGATTGATCGCGGTCACGCTTGGCTCCGCTTGGGAGCAGATGCAATATTCGCCGCAGGTGCGCTCGCGGAATGAAACAAACAAGAACTGAGAACGGCCGAAGGGTCATCATATCGTATTCGTCCCGTCCTAGCGAAACCTGAAATCTCTCAAGCGCCGTGCGGATCGACCCAACAGCTTCTCATTGTGAAGCTTGTTAGAAACTGCCAAATATCAGCTCGTGAATCCTCTCCATACATTGTCAGGCTCGGAATGACAAAACTCTTTCCAATACTCAGCTATTCCTGAGGCCGACAATCGACGCGCTGCGACAGGAGAGGATGGACTGCCGTGAACATGTTGCCAGCCGGATCTGTTTGTGGACAGATTCTAAAGTTCTACAAGACCAGCTTGTCGGCGATCCATAATGTATCAGGGCTGGCCAGGGAAAAACCATTGTATCAACTCATTCCGAGTCCGAGGCAGAGCCTGCGCCATCATCATCGTCGTCTTGGTGAGAATCGGCATTTTTCAAACCCTCATTGAGCACATATTCCTCCTTGATTAGAATTCCTCGAAGCTCTTCGGTCCTCGGTGTGCATATCTCTGCAGGCTTCCTGCCATGACCATCTTTTACTCTGGGATCGCCCCCAGCTTCAATGAGCATCTTGGCCATTGCCTCACCCAACTCGACTTCGCGTTCATTTGCATATTTGACGGCTGAGTGTATCGGCGTCTCTTTGTCTCTCCTGGTGATGGGGTCGCATTCAAGAAATTCGACGTTAAGTAACTCGTCCATAACATCATCTGGAAATTGTTAGCTTCAGAAAGGACAACTTCTTCGGCACTGCGCTTACAAGCCCCGTAATTTGCGCAGACATGGAGTAAATGGTTTCCCATAGTGTCGGTGACCGTGTTGAAAAACTCTGCTATCTGCTCTTTGCTCTTCTCCTTCATGTCGGCCAGGACTTCGTTGAAGAGTTCGACATTGTCTCTACGGCATGCCTCGAGTATCTGCTCCTTGTGGGAAGCACCCTTGCCACTGGGTCAGCCGGAACAGACCAGATAATGGTGAACGTTACCTCAACATCAGTCATGGCGAGTGTGAAGCAGACCGGCCAAGACAAGAGCAGAGAGAAGCGCCTTAGTTCGTGCCTCCCTGTGATTTGTATCAGGCAGATGTGATTTGGGCGTGGTGGATGTGTCTTTAAGTGACGGAGTTGCTAAAGTTTTGAGCAGAATAATACGTCAGGAAACCCCGTACGGAATTCCTCTATCGTAGGAGCAATTTGTTCACAGAGGCGGGCGAGGGTATGGTCATTGAGTGTCTTACGCAGTCGATGTTGTTTGGAGGGTATTCCTACGGAGGAGTGCTCTTCGCGGTTGGACCCTGGGACCCTCAACTTCAGCCTCGACGTTCAGCCTCGACCTCCGGCATGCACTCTCTCCGAGCCTTATCAAATCCGGTCCGAAGTTTTCCCGCATGAAATTCATCATATGCCCCTCCATAAAAATGTCTGCGCAGCATATTTGTAGAAACCTGACACGACACTCAAGAGAGCCCGGCTCTTTTTGAACCTGGATGACGCTTGAATGTATCAGAACTTCGGGGCTTCTTCATCGACGCAATGCCTCCTACATGTATGTCTCCTACTCCAGAAAACTCAGCCATGAGTGCTGTTGACTGAACCGCGAACAGACTGCCCATATTGTTCCAACAGTCTCACCATCGCCCGCGTGACGCCTGCACATGATACGAGAGAATGGAATGCATTTACATGCAGGACGTGTCCTTATCAGTTCGTACTCGACAAGAATTACAGTGATCACATCCCTATGAAACAGAAGCAAAAAGACGATATTCTAGGCGAAGAACAATCAGATCTCCCAGTCAATGAAGGTGTGTTTAAAATGACCATATAACTAGGGAATCGTCAGTCTAACGAGTAGAAGTACCCGGTGGCTGCCCTAATGAAGAGTGTGACTCGAAGAAGGCCTATTTCTATCAGCTACAGACAAGAAGCGCAGACGAGCCTCCCACATCCTTTTTTAAGGTAAGGCCTGGGTTGAACGCTATCATCATGCAGCCGCTAATGATCTACAGTGCATCGAATGTGGCAAACAATGGAGAGAATACTAGGAACAGAACTGGGTGCTTCAGCTCCCGTGCACCCTTCACGACTCGACTCACAAGTTCTTCCCTTCTACGAATATGCCTCTTGTATGTGACGCTAGACCGATATCAAAACTTACCACGAACCACGGATGCCTGCACATTAGCGGCATTAGATCTCCTATGGGTCCCATGGGTTTCTACACACCGGGTTGATCAGGAAAGATGAAGGGCCGCAACAGAGGAATATCCACCATAGACTGGCCACGGGGGTAAAAGAAGGCTACACGAGAGCACCAGACTCGGGATCCCGTCTTGACGGAGAAAATAGGATGAGTCAATTGCACCACAACCGCGATATGAGATTGTGGCCTGATGGCGAATTGCTGGCTAGTGTGTATCAGGCCATCCAGCCATGACTCTTCGAGTCCAACCTCGCAGGGATATACCGTATCGTGTGGACTGCAATCCATTCGAAAAGAAAGGAATGGGTTTTCAGTAAGGAGAGGCACAGGTCTGGCACGACGAACATCATCCTATGTAAATAGTTGTCGTGGCCATGACACCGTCCCGAGAGTGGAACGGCATTAATGCCGTGCACAGATGCTCGGGTGGGTAGCAGTAGCCTTCAGGCAGGACCTACTGGACCTACGGGAGGTACGAGGAGTAGGGATGATAGATGTAATAGTCCCGGATTGTTGCTGCGTTCATCGCAACGTCAAAGGAGAAAATTGTATCTGCTCCAGTCTTTGCAAAAGCCCAATTGGCCACCGGAACATCAGGCAAAGATCGATACGCAAGTCTAAAAGAAGACACGTACAAGGCGGCGCCAATCATACTCGGACTCGAGAGAAAAGGTTGTGGCCATGGTGGGGTTTAGCACAGCAAAAAAATGCTGCCACAGTGACGGAGAACTGAGCTGGCTGACGGTGATTCACAGCGCTTGAGCCCAACTAGCGCCAAGCCCTGTCTTTGGGCCGCAGCCTACAAAATCTGCGCACACTTCTCTACAACTCTTCCTCTCTCCTCTTCGTCGCTCAGTGAGTCCATCACCACCCCCCATACCTCATCTGCCATCAAAACTAATCATCAAACAGCACCTCTACGCAAGCCGTGGTATCTGAGCATCGCACGCGAATTCTTCTAGTATCTGCCACAGGACTACAAGACTTCTACTACTCTCAAATCATCAATCAAAACAACCGCCGTCATGGGGTAAGCGATTTCCACCTCTGCCTTGTCAAAATCTCTCTCTCTGAGATATCAATGAGCATCTCTGACATGCGATCTCTCATTCTAGTAAGGAGAAGACTCATATCAACGTCGTCGTCATCGGACACGTCGACTCCGGCAAGTCCACCACCACCGGTAAGAGATGGCCCGTGGCAAGCACAAATCAAGAGCAAAACACTCACACACATCAACAGGTCACTTGATCTACAAGTGCGGTGGTATTGACAAGCGTACCATCGAGAAGTTCGAGAAGGTAAGGCTCTTTTGCCCTTCTTTTCGCCTCTCACCTCTTATCATTTCTGCCACCAAATTTTTGTTTGGTGGGGGAGGGGCAACCACCGCATCACGTGATGATAGCTCGGCCGTGCTAACAAATTTGCGTCTCGCAGGAAGCTGCTGAACTCGGCAAGGGTTCCTTCAAGTACGCCTGGGTCTTGGACAAGCTGAAGGCCGAGCGTGAGCGTGGTATCACCATCGATATCGCCCTGTGGAAGTTCGAGACTCCCAAGTACTATGTCACCGTCATCGACGCCCCTGGTCATCGTGACTTCATCAAGAACATGATCACTGGTACTTCCCAGGCTGACTGCGCCATTCTCATCATTGCTGCCGGTACTGGTGAATTCGAAGCTGGTATCTCCAAGGATGGCCAGACTCGTGAGCACGCTCTGCTCGCCTACACCCTGGGTGTCAAGCAGCTCATCGTCGCCATCAACAAGATGGACACCACCAAGTGGTCCGAGGAACGTTTCAACGAAATCATCAAGGAGACTTCCAACTTCATCAAGAAGGTCGGCTACAACCCCAAGTCTGTTCCTTTCGTCCCTATCTCTGGCTTCAACGGTGACAACATGATCGACGTCTCCACCAACTGCCCCTGGTACAAGGGTTGGGAGAAGGAGACCAAGGCTGGCAAGGCCTCTGGCAAGACTCTCCTTGAAGCCATTGACGCCATCGACCCACCCAGCCGTCCTACCGACAAGCCTCTCCGTCTCCCTCTCCAGGATGTGTACAAGATCTCTGGTATCGGAACGGTGCCTGTCGGTCGTGTCGAGACTGGTGTCATCAAGGCCGGTATGGTCGTCACCTTCGCTCCCGCCAATGTCACCACTGAAGTCAAGTCCGTCGAAATGCACCACGAACAGCTCGCCGAGGGTGTTCCAGGTGACAACGTCGGCTTCAACGTCAAGAACGTCTCCGTCAAGGAGGTTCGTCGTGGAAACGTCTGCGGTGACTCCAAGAACGACCCCCCCAAGGGTGCTGATTCCTTCAACGCCCAGGTCATCGTCTTGAACCACCCTGGTCAAGTCGGTGCTGGCTACGCCCCAGTGTTGGATTGCCACACTGCTCACATTGCTTGCAAGTTCTCTGAGCTTCTCGAGAAGATTGATCGTCGTACCGGAAAGTCGATCGAAAACAACCCCAAGTTCATCAAGTCCGGTGACGCTGCCATCGTCAAGATGGTTCCCAGCAAGCCCATGTGCGTTGAGGCCTTCACTGACTACCCACCACTTGGTCGTTTCGCCGTCCGTGACATGCGTCAAACCGTCGCTGTCGGTGTCATCAAGTCTGTTGCCAAGTCCGAGAAGTCTGGTGGCAAGGTGTAAGTTTTGACTTGAAACTCCCTTGATTCGTCTAGTTGATATACTAATTATGCTACAGTACCAAGGCTGCTGTCAAGGCCGGCAAGAAATAGACGTGTGCAAGAATTTTCGGAAATGGTTATCGTTTTGTGGCGGGTTGTGGAATTCTGCAGGAGTGTTTTTCATGGTTCTGCAAAGGGATTATGGATGAATGTCTTCTGACTTGGGTTTCTTGGCTCGTGACCTTTCTTGCCATGATCCAATTTTCTGCTATGTCTTTTTTCGCCAGCGTTCCGTCACAGATGTACTTGTTGGTCCATCGAGGACAGGTACTCAAAAATCAGACACACCCATGGTCGTGTCGAAGTCAAGATTTGATAGACAAGATTTCATGTCCTTCATGGGCTATTAAGCTAGCTTTTCAATAATCAACAGGACATGGATGCCATTCAGTTTTTCCTCATTTCGTCTGTACTGGATTGTAGATGTGAACAAGCTCCCACGCTGCTTCTCCGGGAATGATCCCGTGTGGCGGAGGGAGGGAACGCGTACAACGTTTACGAGACTTAACGCTTGTATGGATGGGATCTCCATATGTTCAGCAACTTGCACTCAATGCACCGCCTTTGCCAATCTGTTTAACGCCACCCAAGCATGCCGTCTGATAATTGTACGAGTACAGAGATACAATGTGAATAGAGCGGTGGCAGCTTAACAATGTAGTGAAAACCCGTTGATATCACTCTTCTTCCCTATATATCGTGCCTACAGCTCTGGTATGTCACCTTGGACAAAGCCTTTTATCCGATTCACCAGCACGTGTATCCTCCATCCACGATCTGTGTAGACGGATTAGCATCTGTTCGGAAATCAACAGCCTCGCACATAAGGTAGACAAGCTTACCACGTCTGACCCGTTCAGGTAGCTTGAAGCATCACTCGCCATCCACACAATGGTGCCTCTGAGCTCGTGGGGCTCTGCCATCCTCCCCATCGGGATGTCCTTCTCCCACGATCCAACCAGCTCTTTCCCTTCGTGTTCTAACAGACCCTTTATCAGGTCGGTGCGCATGTACCCAGGACTCAGGCTGTTCACTCTGATGCCTCTCGGCCCCCACTCCGTCGCCAAACTTTTCGACAACATCCGGATACTTCCCTTCGACGCGTTGTAAGCCGCCTGCTTCTGCGGACGCACACAGATCGTCGCCGACATGCTGGCGATGAGGACGATGGAGCCCCGGATGTCGTGCTGCAGCATATGTTTCCCGGCTTCGCGGGCAAACAGCCAGCTTCCGTCGACGTTGATATCCATCATCTTCCGCCAGCGAGCGTATTCGTAGTTCTCGGCCTCGACGTTGTCGACGATGCCGGCGGCGGTGACGAGCACGTCGACCTTGCCGAAGTCTCGAACGATCTGGGCCCACGTTCTCTTCACGTCGTTCTCGAGAGTTGCGTTGCACTGGTAGGCTCGCAGCTCCGGCACAGGGTCTTCGGGGTAGGCTTCCTTGACCTGCGACGCTATCGATGAAATCGAGTCCTCGCAGTCTTTGATGGCCAAGTCGACGCATGCGCCCCGTGCGCCGCTGAGGGCGAATGCGGTCAGGAATTCTTTCCCCAGGCCTCGTGCCGATCCGGTGACCACACAGGTTTTGTTTTCGAGGGAGAAAGAAGGCAAGGTTCTCACCGTGCGGGCTGTCCAGCGGCTAGGGTTGCCGTGCTTGAGTGAATGGCGAGCCGTCGGACGAAGAAGAAACCTTGCGAACATGTTGAATGGGAGACCGCGGCAAGCTCCTTCTGGAGAACGATCAACATACGAAATTGCTTACCTGGGTCTCCGTTGGCAGTCACGGGCGTCGGAGCACAAGAATATCTGCGTACAAACCTCTCGTCATATGTAGTTAATGTAGAGGGACAAAGCCCCTCATGCCAGTGCGGTGGCTTCGATGCTTGTGACACCCCTCCATCTGCCAATTCGGGCCATGGTGTGCCACCGGGAGGGGAGCTTAAGCCACCAGGAGCCAGCTTGAGCACGAGGAGAGCGATGGGAGGAACGTGCAAGCCATGTAAAGTAAAGTCCTTAGTCAGAGACTTTGAGTTCCATCTCTTGCGGGGGAATCTTAGCGGTCATAAGTACGGAGTAGCACTAGTTAGTTACAGCAGACTACAGGCTACGATGCCTACGAGGCCTGGGTTACGAGCGTGTATTTGACGGCCGCTAAATCCACCAGACTTCGCAAACTTGCCCCCTCTAATTTGCCCTCCAAGGTTTCGCGTCTGCAGCCCTAATGCCATGCCTGCAGCTAACTTTGGGGGCGGTTCATGCCCAGCGGCCAATATGCGGTTTCAGCTGAGGTGAGTATTGCTGCCACAAGGAACCCAATCCACAGGGTTCTGTGCAGCTGAGCTTTTGTACCTGGTGATCTCGTCCTTCTCGTTTCTAGAGTTGTTTCTCGCTCAGTTCGTATTAGGACGCACAGAACACGCACGCACTTAAGAAAATGTCGTCAATGCTCGAAGTTCGCGACCAGCGTCGGTCCAGGTCAAAATCCCCCGGCGGGCGGGACAGGGACAGGTCAAGATCGCACTCACGCGACAACCGCCGGGAGGAGCGAAGTGAATACAGCAGACGCCCGAGTCGGAAGTACGAAGTGAGCGAATCGGAGAACGACGACGACGACCGCCGCAGGTACGCCGAGAAAAGATCCAGCAAGGTATACTACGAGGAAGACGCAGAGGACGACCGGCGCAGGCGCACGAGCTCAAAGAAATACGCCGACGACAGCGACCAGGAGGCCAAGTACCGATCGTCGAAGTCTACACAAGAGTACCGCAGGCGGGACGTCTCTGTGTCGGACGATGACAGAGGATACGCCAGGTCGAAGAAGAAGTCGGACAGCGACTCGGACAGGCGCAGGGACAGGGACAGGGACAGAAAGAGCAAAAGTAAGAAATACGACGATTCAGATGAGAGTGAACCTGAGGACTACCGGCGACAGTCCACCACACGCAGTTCACGCGTCGAGTATACTGAGGCAAGACCTCGCGACTCCCGTCACTCCAGTTATAGTGGTGCAGAGGCACGCTACACCGCCCCTGAAGCGCCGCCGCCTTCGAACCAACGATATGCGTCCAATGGTCAGCGGTATGCGGAAGTCGACCAGTTCAAGTACGCTCAGCCGAATGATTATACCGCGAGAAAGCCTGAATACGAGCGCTCGCGGCCATCGGACGGCAAGCGTGGAGGAGAGGGTTATGACAAGAAATATCGCGAGGACCGATACGAATCCCGAGAGCCTAGAGACAAGAAGTATTACGACGACAGATATGAGACTCGCGAGCCGAGAGACAAAAAGTATAGCAATGGCCGGTCTACCTCCTCAACAGACGACGTGACCAAGCGGATGTCTTCTTTGGCTGTGGGAGGTGCCGCGACCCTCGGAGTAGCGGGAGTGGCTGCGCATGCTGCCGGCGCGAAGCCTCCTGCGTCACCTCTCCTCGAAGCGTATAAAGGCACGTATCAGTCGATTTCGCCCATGCCATCGGCGCTGGTTCTAGCAAATCACAAGGACGATTCAGATCTATCAGATCTCGATCTGGATCTGGACGATGACTCGGATGATCCAAACGCTGATCTGAAACGAAAGATCCGGAAGCTAGAACGAGAAAAGGAGAAGTACGCCCAAGATCATAGAAAGAGTGCTGCCAATGCCAATCTGAGCACGACAGAGATACGTCCCCGGCGCTCATCCAATGTTGAATCTCCACGGGAAAGCACCATGATAGAGATCGCGCCTGGTGGCCGACGAGAACGGGCCAGCTCTAATGTAAGTATACTTTCCCCAGGCGGCGGCAACGGGAAGAAGAAATCAGTGTCGTTTTATGATCCTGTCGATGACGCAAAACGCATCGCCGCAGCGCTATCTGGCACACGCAGCGCGCCGGATCCCCGACCCCTGGTACAGATCCTGCCGTATTTGTCTACCGACGATCTCCTGGCTTTGCGCGCCGAGTACAAGAAACTGGTCAAAGTCAACGGCCAAGGCATCAATATCGCCAAACATATCAAGATGCGTCTACCTGGGAATCTGGGCAAAGCATGCTACGCAACCGCTCTGGGCCGTTGGGAGAGCGAGGCGTACTGGGCGAATTCGTGGTACCAAGGCGGCGCGTCACGCCGAGAACTGTTGATCGAAAGCTTGATGGGCCGTTCCAACAGTGACATCCGTGAGATCAAGAACTGCTTCAAGGACAAGAAGTACTCGAACGATCTCGAAAAGTGTATCCGGACGGAACTGAAGGCCGACAAATTCCGTATGGCGATTCTCCTTGCTCTGGAAGAGCGCCGCATGCCCGAGTCCAGCCCGATCGACATCAAACTGGTGCGTGACGACGTCCAAGCCCTCGCACACGCGCTGGACTCTGCGGGCGGCGAGTCGGACATGATTCGGATCATCGTCGTGCGCAGCGACGCCCACCTGCGTGAAGTGCTGCGTCTGTTCGAACGCACATACCGCGTCAACTTTGCTCGAGAGATGATCACCAAGTCGCGCAATCTGGTGGGCGAGACACTTGCGCATATTTTGAACGGCGCCCTGAACCGGCCCATGCGAGATGCGCTGCTGCTGCACCAGGCCATCAGTGAGACGGCGCCGGGCAAGGAGCGGACGGAGCTGTTGATTTCTCGATTGGTCAGGATGCACTGGGAGCCCAAGCACCTCGAAAAGGTTAAGGCGGTGTTTCGAGAACGGTATGGACACAGTGTTGAAGAAGCCATCAAGCACGAAGTGTGGGCTCAGATGAAGACGCAGGAAGGTCGGATCTGTGCCGAGTTTTGCGCCGCCTTGGTGGAGAGTAGTGCCTTTGAACGACGGGGTGTGGGTGATATGCCTGTTGAGATTATTCGATAGGTCGGAACAGTACGTAGTTAACCAGGTAGGTAGATGGGTATAGTAGTTGAGTGCCGTGTTTCTTACGAGACAATGAGTGCGTGAGTGTTGATCCATCCAGTGGTTGGGTCAATTGATATCATATATGGCGCATTTAGATTTCCTGCCGAAGCTAAAATGGGAAGACACTCATTTACTGGTACTTCTGCTACTACTGACGGAAGGAATCATGGGGATCGATGTAGCAAGATAGATCAGATATATATACGTGTTATATACCACGAACTGCGCTTTGTCGCTTACCATTTTCGTTCAGGAGAAGGAGCGACGCATCGGCTGAGCACATCCCTCAGGACAGGCACTAGTCCTAATCGGGTTGAGGTAAACCCACGGAGATCAAGTGGGTGACACTCATCTTGAGCAAACATGGCACGTTGAGACAGTGTCACCGGCACCGACCACATTACAACACCCCCTCAGCCTCCGTTTCAGCCTCGGCAAGCTCTCCAAGCCTTTAATACTCGACAATGCGGAGGGCTGAGGTTGTACGCTGGTTGGTTGAAAACCCTTTGGGTCAATGGCTAACTTGCCCGCCATCTTCCGCCTCATGGTTTCTCGTCGCCTTAATTTTAACCTCGTCAACATCACATTGACACTTTGACACCTGGGCCCCGTTGGCAAGTATCGGCGTCCCTCATGGATACGCGCTCCCAGATATGGAAGCCTCTTAACGCATCGAAACAAGAAATCAGGCTCTTCGTTCTCGCACCCTCCAAAACTTGGAGGGAGCAGCCACGAGGGAGGTTGATAACGAAGTCGCTGCTTCAGCATCCACATTACGAAGCGCTATCACATGCGTGGGGAGACTCAACGAGCCCAGAACTTGTTCTCATCGGAGAATCCCAGTGGCCGATCCAAACGAGCCTTCGCGATGCCCTTCTGAAGGTACGGGACAGGGAGAAGGAAAGGCCATTTGGGTCGATGCGATTTGTGTCAACCAATACGATCTCAATGAACGGGCTCAACAGGTGCAGCTAATGCAACAAATTTTCCTTCGAGCGGTCAATGTTCAGGTCTACCTGGGCGATGATTCACTTGCAACTAACGACCTAATTTCAGCAATCAAAGATGGGACGTTGCTGAACGTGAAGGATCGGGCTTATGACGATCCTAAATATCAGAAATACTACCTTAAGTTTAAGGCATTTGGAGAACTGGAATACTGGGGTCGGACATGGATCATTCAGGAGATCGCCCTAGCCCGCAATGTGCGCTTTATCTCTGGATTAACACGCTTGACACGCTTCACAATGGAGGATGTCAAGGTACTGTGTGGGAAAGCCGAGCGCGCTGAGTGGCGAGGTCGCAGTTACGACAGACTCAAGCTTATAAGCGATGCTTTCGATCTACTATCTTTGGCCACCACTGAAAGCGTGGAGGAGCACGCCAAGCGACTGACGAAGCTACTGCAAATGAGCCGAAAATCACGATGCTCAGATCCTAGAGATCGTATCTACGGACTATTGGGAATCATGACAGCTATGTTCGGAACAGATTTCCTGGAAGCCAGTTATGAACGGACCCTCGTCGATGTATACACCGATTTTACTCGCAGATTTATAACCACGACAGGCTCCCTAGTGATTCTTAACCAGTCGGCACATATTTATAATTCAATCACAGCGCTGCCAACATGGGTTCCAGATTGGTCATCGCGGTTTGACCACGAGTCTGCAGTGCAAAGGATTCCCTACCACGAGAAATTCCACGCGTCTGGTAAACTCCTCGAAGGCAGATATCGACCTAGTCCTGGATATACCCTCTCTTCCAAATTAAACCTTAGCGGCTTCCTCTTTGGGCATGTGAGGGTGGTTGGCTCACATTTTGATTACACCACAGACCAGTACAGATTATTGAAAAACTGGGAAAAGTTACACTCAGGAGCCGCAGAGTCCTTCCGCCGCACAGTAACTCTTGACGACTCAAGGTTGGGTCAAACCGATCTGGATCATGCTTATTTACAAATATATGATTACAACCGTCTCCCCCTTGACGTCAATTTGGATAGACGTTTCTTCGTCAGTGACAGAGGAATGCCTGGCGTCGGGCCAATGGACACCCGAGAAGGAGATCTCCTTGCAATACTCGCTGGGGGCAAAGTGCCATATGTTCTGCGAAAGAGCCCCAACGCCACGACGTCTTCCCCAAATGAGTTTACTTTTGTCGGTGAGAGCTATGTTGACGGCGTCATGTATGGAGAGCTACTGGACTCGCATGATTTTGAAGACATTGTCCTTGTATGAGCGTGCGCATAACCTATTTTGAGCCAAATCAGATCTCAGCGACCGAGTGACTCGTCGATCACCTCTCTCTCATAGCTCGTATTTTGACGTGGCCCAGCGCCCAGCGCCGAGCAACGGGATGAGCCTCGGTTTCAGCCTCAGCCTGAGGTCTTCGAATGCCATGGGCCCTCTTGTGGTCGCTGAGATGGCACACTCGCTCTGGGCGTCGCCTTCAGGCTGAATCCGGCCTCCATGACCTCCGAGGAAGGTTCCTGTCATGGAATGTGTATGGTATTGACAGTGACCTAGAGGATTGGCGGACCCAGGTTCTCGTCGGGACGAGAAGCTGCTGCTACCCACGCTCCTTCGAAAGCAATTTGCCAGCCCCAGGAAGCCCCTCTTGGCCTTCTCTGTACTCTCGGCTCAACACCCTCTCGAGCTCATGTTCTTCCCTCCCCCCCGCCCTCCCCAAGTCGGAGGCAAAGCCCTTCAAGCAGTCAAAGCCCGTGACGTTTCCTGACGTGGTGAATGGTGAGCTGATGAGAATTGTCACCAGGTCGGTTTTCCTAGCATGTCGCTTGAGCTTGGGATCTCCTCGCAAGTGCTGTTCAATCGCGCGGCTTGCTCCGACGTGCTGGCGGCGTGGCAAGTCTCCAGACGCCGGAACTGAACTAGCAATGTGGTGAAGACACAACGGTCATCTTCTCTTTCCTCTCCTCCATGTCTCAAAGCGTTCGGTCCACTCGTGTCGATTGGGCCTGGGGGTGCATGATGATCAATCTTTTGGCGGCCAATCATTTAGCAGCGTTAAATGGCATACGATGCGTTCGATTTGAAAAATGCCGTCGAACACACGCTTGACCTCGTGGAGGAGAGTCCTAAGTAGAGTGTGCCTGAGTAAGGATCGTCCCTCAAGAGAGCGGAATCCGTGGAACAGCGTTCAAAAGGGGGGGGGGGGGGCACAGATCCCTCGCATGGCGACTGATCCCACAGAGGAGAAGGAGAAGCAGAAGGAGAAGAAGAGTACAAATGCGTTCTGACCTTTAACCAAAAACACGCCCCTACGTAGTTATGCCATGGGCGGGCAGAGCGAGAGAACAGAAAGAAATCTCACAGGGGACAATTGATGTATAGATAGAAAGTATAATGAGTAACGAGGAGCATTCATAGCTCCGATATCCCATGTTCCTGTTCCCTTTCCCGTTCCCGTTCCCGTTCCCGTTCCCGTACCGTACCTTACAACTCTACCCCTTGTCATCAGGAGCCCCCGGCACCACCGCTACCACCACCGCCACTGGTACCGGCACTGTTGACGCGCAAAGTCGTCCATTCACCCAACAATTGGTCAACGGCGTCTGCGCCGTCAGACGTGCCCATGAGTACGCCCAGGCCGGTGCCAGTGGTGGTCGCCAACTGCAATGGTGCTTTGGCCTTGCCCTTTCCCTTGCCCTCTCCTTTTCCATTTTCTGGCCCCTTCTGGGCACCGTCGTCGAGGTCTACGGTTTCCATTGCATCTTCGTCGATCGTTTCTTCGGACTTCTGTCCGTCGATCGCGGTAGCAGTAGCAGCATCGCTGCTTGACACGGCGGACCGCCGATCTGGATTACTAGCCAATGACATTGTCGTCGTCGGCGGCGGCGGTGGTGGTTCTATCTTCGCGCCTTCGCTCTCACCCTGCGCAATGGCGGCCTGCACGCTTGCTGAGAGGATGTCTTTCATCCGCGCGTCCTGCTCGGGGGACCAACCGCCTCCTCCTCCTCCTCCTCCTCCACCGCTTCCCTCTGCAGCGTGGTTGGCTTGTCTGTTTGACGTCTCCGAACCCAGAGCGGCGGGAGCAGGACGGGAAATCGATGCAGACGCAGACGCAGAGGGAGTGTCTAGTTCAACGCGGACTTCCGGGAGTGGTCCAAGTCGCGGCGTGTGCTCGATTGCGTCCGCGGACATCAGTGGCCGTGATGCGTCGGCGCCCTGAGCTTGTACTGCGACTGGGTTCATCTCGATGTCGCCTATTCTGGACGCTGGGTCAGGTCGGCGACCTGAAACCAGCGAATCCGGCAACACGGCACGGATGGCGTCGGTCAGTGTAGGTCCTGAGTCGGAGTCGGGACTCTCGTCGCCATTATCGGCTGGATTCGCATATGTGCTGGACCCGTACCGGTTCGAGTATGGTTGGTATCCTCCGTTTACACCATTGTTGGAGGTTTGATTGTAGCTAAGTACGTTGCTGGCGTCTTCGGTGATTTGCTCTGTCGCGAGGAAAAGACCAGTGTTGTCGAGGGTTCTGTGTTCAAATAAATAATTAGTCTTGACGTTGTAGATGGACACAGTGGATGGAAAACATATGGGAAAGGGAAAGACCATCAAAGGGCCACTGATCCAGGGAAAAGAAAGGTCACCACATACTGCTGGATTGAACTCATGGCCGAGTAAGGGCTGGGCATCGAGTTCCAAAGATTCGAATACCACGTATTGCTCCTACTAAGACCATTGGTGTTTCGTCTAGGTCTAGAAGTGCTTGTGCGAGACTGTAACGAGTCCTGTCGTGGACGAGTCTGCTTCTGGAGTACAGACACTGAAATGCGTGGTTTCTGAGGTTGACCTTGTTGAGCGGGTGTGTCCCTGTCGAGTTCGACGCGCACCACGATGCCCGTTGAGTGGTGGAGAACAGACGACGACTGTTCGACTTTGACGAGTGCGTTTTCGAGGCGGTCGAGACAGGCCTGGATCGTAGACGCCGCCCTTGCTCGGGGGCTTGAGTCGGCGTACGAATCATCCGAGTCTGGAGTTTTGATCATGGAGAGAGAAAGACTGGCACTCGCGGCGGCACTGCCATTGGAGTCTGGCCGTGACTGAGGGGCGCTTTCAGCGGGAAACGATTCGGTCTCTTCGCCCAGGTCCTTGAGCATTGCTTCGTATCTACGCGTGGCGTCCTTGTTGGCGCGGACCAGGTTCTCCAGGAGTAATTTCTGATAGCCGTCCTGTTGCTGCTGGGGAGAGTTACCGCCCCTAGATAGAAAATGTCGTTAGAATAGAGACGTTCTGCAAACAACGAGAGAAACTGCACTTCTGGATCAAACGTACTCCGCCTTCATTTCTCGAGCGTAGCTCAACACGTTCAACATTAGCACCAGCGTGCTTTTCAGACGCTCCAGGTTCGTGGCGAGGAGGTCGACCTTGGGAAGGAGAAACGGGTACTTTAACCGCTCCAGTGGCGACAGAGCGGGCACTTTTCCATTCTTCACGCCTCGCTCCCTGGCGCTCTGCATTGCTTTGCCGATGATGGTCTCAATCTCGCGAAAGACAGCCTCACACTCGCGGGTGGCCTCGCGTGTCGTGCCTATGGCCGAACTCGAATACACATGCTCCCCTTCCTCGTCGTCATAGTCCTGGTCAAGCTTGACTCCGAGTTCGTGCAAAACCGAAGCGGTCAACGCGACGTTGTTGGCGAGGTCTTTGATTTCGATCCGGGCGGTGGTGACGGTCTCGGAGAAATTATGCAGAGTCACGGCGAGCTTGATGCCGGACCTTGCGATCCCAATCACGGTCCCTGCCAGGCCGTCGTCGTTCGCCATGGTGACGGGCTTTCGTTGGTTGAATTTGATATCCGCGAGCAAGAAATAGAACCGGATCCTAGGAAGAGAAGGACTTCACTCCATGACTTCCCCGGGCTATTTCCGACGACGCCGTTTCAAAGCACGGTTACTGTTGATTGATATCAGGGTCCAACTTGTTCGACGACTAGTTAGGTAGGTAGGCAGGTAGATAGATAGCTGCACGATTTGACGTTTCACGGCGACCGAAGAAAGCTGGCTTGTTCTCTTTTGGTGTCCCTGAGCTGAAATTACAGTTGAGCGTGGCTGGCCTGAAAGCTGACATTCTCGAGTCGTAGGAAGACACTATATTTAGCGGGCCGAACTAGTCGCGTGCGCCGTCGGTCGCAGCCTTGCGGGGACGTGACAGCTGCGCAACAGGGCTGAGGCACGACTATCATATAGTCCCGGGCTGCACAAACGCTGGAGAGGATATCTTGATTCCGCAGGCGGTGTGGCAGTGTCTTGCACTCACCCACACAGCCTCATCCATATCTAGGGCCACTTGTAATCTGTATGCCCAGCCTTGCGAGAAGTCTATCTAGCGATACGGCCCCCGTGTCCAATGCCTGAGGGAAAAAAGCCCCATGCCGGATCAAATGCAATATCCAGTAAGATACAAAAGTTAACCCTCAAAGACATTATGGTTCATCTCAATTCCATAGTCTTTTGCCATCCTCCTCATCTGCTGCTCCATATCATCGTCCATGCCTTTCCCTCGGCCCAACACCTGTTTGAGCTTACTGTACCAGAAATACGCGTCGGTCGCAAGTAGCACCATCTTGAAGATCAGATGGCTACCAAAGTTCTTCCAACGTTCCGTGAAGCTCAAGTTCTTGTCCTCTGCCAAAGCCCGACTTGCCCAGTTGCCGGTGATCTTGATCCGGTTCACCGGACTGCCTAGGAATTGATTGTTTCCCTGGACGATTCTCATGTTTCGTCCAATGAAGATCAGCTCTCGAGGCCACTTTTCCTCGTCGCCCAAGATCTCCTTGATGCCCTTCCGCATCGCCTGCTGCATCTCGTAGTGACGCTTCCTCCTCTCCGCTTCGCTGATGCCCTTGATGCGCTTCGACACAGTCAGGTCGCCACCCTCATAGGGGCGCATCAAGGTGGCCGAGGCAAAGATCTCGGCATTGTTCACCCCCCACTGGCCCACGATTTCCTTTAGCGTCTGATTGTCAAATGTCATCAAGGACTTCCAGAAAAGGGAATATTGGTGTCGGAACTTGGGCGACATATGGATATACAGGCCGTGGTCGATCAGAACAAGTTCAGAGTGTCCGTTTGGCAGGCGACGGACGAAGATGTTTCCCGGATGAGGATCGCAGTGTACATAGCCCCAGAGAAACATCTGTGCCGAGAACAAGTCGATCATGGTCGTCATGACCTCTTTCAGGTTGAGGCCGAGACCACCTTTGCCGTCCTTACCACGCCAATAGCTTCTGTCAGGCTTAAGCTCCTCGTCATGCTGGCGAGACCGTTGTTGAAGAGTGGTCATGGGAGTCTGCGGCGGATCGAGCGGCGTTCCATGGCACCCCGGGCTTCCCGTCCTCCAGCCACCTTGCCATGGCCGCGTCAGAGCATCTTTGTCCCACAGTCGGACACCCTCAATCCACTCAGCCGTCATGACACGCTTTGTGGTGAGCTCGTCGTAGACTTTGGGGATGTACACTCTATCCCGCAATCGTGGTTCCCCTTTCACCAACTCGGCCATGCGTTTGGAATTTTCTGCCTCGGCCTGAAAGTCGCACTCTAAAAGCAGTCGCTCTGTGATATAGGGGACCAAAGTGTACAGCGGAAGATCGAACCACCAGGTATATATCTTGGTGACGACCTTGAACGCCCACAAATCCCAGCCGACCTGCTGTGCAATCTCTTTTTTCTGGATCTTGATGGCGACTTCACGGCCATCTTTCAACCTCGCCCAGTGTACCTGTGCTACACTTGCGCTAGCTCGGGCTTTCTTCTCCATGACCCCAGCCTCTGGATCACCGTCAAATGAGATGCCAAACACTTCCTCGGGAGTCTTCCCGCCGAAATCCTCCATGATGACTTGCCGCACCTCGGCCCAGTCGTTCTGGGGCGCATCATCAAACATTTTTGCAAACATTTTTTGAAACTCCGGCGGCAAAATCGCCGACTGCATGGCTATCGCCTGCCCGATCTTGAGATACAGGCCACCATTGGAGCGCAGCAGGTGAAATAGCCTCGTCGCATTACGTGCATGGACGTCTGCAATGTCGTCTGCAAACGGAGGATTTTCGCGGAAGTTGATCTTGTAGTCCAGGGCCGTGGTCAGGCCTGCAGCAAATGTCCGCGTGCATCGCGTGAGACTGGAGGCGTAGTATCTCTTGTCAACCACGTACGCAGCCGCTCCGAAGAGTGAAAGATACGCCAATCGTCTTATCCATTTTCGAGTCCGTTTGAACTGTTTTGCGGGCACAGCTTTACCGAGCGAGGCAGGGGTCGGCGGCGTGAAGGCCGTCCGGGACCAGGACTGGGAGAATGCGCGGTGCTGTGACTGTGGTGGTAAGCGGGGAGATGCCAGGCGATGGCTGCAGCGAGCGCAGATGCGCCCTGCTGCGAAGGCCATGGGGAGAAGTCAAGACCGAAAGGAGATGTCAGGACAGCATCTCGATGCTTGGGAAGGGAGAATCGTGGCACACGATACAGAATAGCGACATTGATCTGCCTGCGGATATAAAAATATTGATGACGCCTTTATCTGCCTGCAAAACGCGCATTGATCGGCCCCGAACCCCGTCGTCTTTTCCTTTCGTATCTCCGTGACCGTCTTTCCCTCGGGCAATTCGACAGCGCTCACGTGAGAAGGCTGGCTTAGTCCCGGCCTCACACCCCGGGGGCCTTAAAGCCCGAGGCCAGGCTATAGTACAAGTATTTCTTAAGCCGCCTAGCCAGGTGCTGCCCACCTACGTCGGGCTGACCCCACCTCCATTTACTGGTCGAACTGCACCTGTGGCCAGCCCGACGGGGGGAGGCTCTAGGGCTCACTAGGCTTCACCGCGCATTGGGCAGAAATCCTATCACAGAGTCACCACCACCACTTTCTGGTTGTCGTCAATGCCATATTTTGTTTACTTCAGATACCTTGGACAATTAGATTCATTCCTTGTTTAATTTCTTTTATATTATTTCTGCATAATCCCTCTCGTCGTCGTCGCCGTCGCCACCGCCCTCCTCCTCCCCATCCTCTCACTATACCGTGCTGCACCACCACCACCACCACCTACAATGCCTCGCTCTAAATCGCAGCCTCAATCGCAGCCTCCTGCTGGCTCGTCCTCGGCCGTCCCTGCAACATTCACCGACTCCCTCCCTCTCCCCAGCATCATCGTCTTCGACCTAGACTACACGCTGTGGCCGTTCTGGGTGGACACGCACGTCTCTGCGCCCGTCAGACCCGCCACGCCTCACGGGCAGTCGTCGCAACAACAACAACAACAACAACACAACACCCGCATGTTGGATCGCTGGGGCGAGTCCTTCTCCTTCTACAGCGACGTCCCGGCGATCCTGGCGTCGGCCAAAGATCGAGGCATCACTCTATCTCTCGCCAGTCGGACCCACGCACCAGATCTGGCCATGGACATGCTCCGTGGCCTACACGTCGTCCCTTCTACTACAAGTAAAACTACAACTACGGCAAACGACCCGGACTCGTCATACTCCTCGGTGTCCTCGTCATCCTCTTCGTCGTTGTCGTCATCGTCGAAGGATTCGTCGCCGTCCAAACCGCTGCGCGCCATAGACTTCTTCGCGCACGCCCAGATCTACCCGGGGAACAAGACGACGCATTTCCGCCGCATACAAGCCGCGACGGCCAAGCACGGCGACGGCGTCGCGTACGAAGACATGCTCTTCTTCGACGACGAAGGCCGCAACCGCAACGTCGAGACCGAACTCGGCGTGACCTTCTGGCTCGTCAGGGACGGCGTGACGAAAGACGAGGTCGACGCCGGCGTATGGGAATGGAGGAGACAAAGAGGCATAACGAAAAAGGAACTGAATCGTCGGCCGGATCAACACGAAGACTGAGACGTTGCAAAACTATCTTAGAGGGCTCCGAAGACGTTGCACAACTACCTCTTCCAGGAGGCCCATTACCGGATTCGTATCAGCCACATCACGCGGTATACGCCATGTACCAGTATATGGATACTGTACGGCCACATGTTGGGCGGGCCTGATGCGACGGGCAACCAAAAAATGGAATGTCCAAGAACATCGGTCTTATTGGTGCCGCCCCCATACACAATGTTGCTGTGCAGTATGAATGACAAACGACACCGCAATGCGATGACGTTCGACCGCTGACGAAATACATTCAAACGGCGAGACATTACGCCCACAGCTACAACGAACTTGTACCTATACACTATACTTCTAGAGTTCCGAGAGGAAGACCATGACACAAATAATGGATAATGACATAGAACCCCAAAAGAATTCATCAACTCAATTAGATTTGTCTCTGCTGTATCGTAGCACAGAACTCCTTCCTATTGTACATGTTTGCTCGGCCTTGGTCTTGTCCTGCAGAGCTCATTACTCCACCATGTGTGAGGCGCCGATCGGTAGAACCATTTCCTCGCCGTCAGATTAGACAAGACAAGACAAGAGGAATGGCTTTGCAGTCTATGCCCGAGAGACTTCCCCACCGAGAGTACAAGACATTACTTCCCAGGCCATTAAACCCTTTCCAAGATTATGTCACATGTCGGCCACCTCTGGTTCTAGTCTAAACCATGACCATGATTCTTCGTCTGTTGTTTGTCTGTTGTTTCAATTCGTTTCTCTTCCACCTTGGGTCATGTATGATGTTGTGAGGATGGGATTGGGGTATCAGAATATGTCCGTTATTGTACAGGTGATGTTGTCGACTCGGCCGGGGTGCTGGGATAACCAAATGTCACCCGGTCACAATTATCGCTTCTGCTTCGCGCGAGCAGAATAGGGCCTCGGTCTCTTGAGACTTGCTGGCATCGAGACTCGCATCCAGCAGGGACGACAAGAGGTTCTCTCAACCCCTAGACTTTCTCCTCGAGGTGGTCGGCATGGCTATTTCAACAAGTTGATCACCATCGTCGTCGTCATCTTGATCGTCCTGACCTGCGAACTCAGAGTCCTGCTCGTCAGGGTCATTCATGCCAAAGGCACGGCCCAGCTTCTCCTTCTCCAGTGGGCTCAGCACCTCCTCGTCAGAGCTATTACCACCCTCAGTGGGCGCCACCATCTCTCCCATTTCTTCGTCTTCGAAAACTTCCAGAGGTCGCCGTTCGAGACTCGTTCGTGCCTCTAGAGGTGGATTCTCTGGATCAATGTCGGAGCCGGTATCAGATGATGAATCATCCAATGATTCCTCGAAGTCGTCATGTGACGCGTTTCTACTGGGTGCAAACAAGCTCGTCAGTCCACGGCTAACCGAGAAATCGGGGCTGGCTCCCTCAGCCTTTCGCTTTCCGAATGTGGTAATGTCCTGCTCCTCTTCGTCCAGTGAGAAGGGGTCTCTCTCATCGTTGCCCAAGGCAGCGAATGGATCGTCTGCTTCAGAACCGAATTCGGACGCGGCCACTTCCTGTTCAGCCTCTTGCTTGTGTCTCGCTAACCGATCAGCTAACCGTCGGCGGGCACGTGATGGTTCGATGTTTAGGGGCGCCGGCGGAGGTGGTAATAAGGGAATGGGCTGGTCAGACTGCCATTATTAGCCTAAAAAATAAACAGTCGTCGTTTATTCGTCACACTCACATTTTCCGTCAGACCCGAATCAGCAGCTGCCAGCTGGCGATGCTCATCCTCCTCTGCATCATCCATATCCTCATCATCATCATCCGAGGAGCTCCCAAATCCACTAGAGAGCGAGCCATTGGAATTGTAGCCTGCACTAGTAGCGCTTCCATTATTCGAAAGGTCAATACTGTCCAAGGGTTGGCCACCAAGTCCGGCAGCAGCTAAGCCACTCGATGCACCAAAGCCCTGACCTGCATTGACAGCGCTCAGTACAGCTTGTCTAGGCCCGAGCCCGTTGTCAGGTCGGAAGCCGCCAAGAATGGCATTGTCACGCTCTCTGGTCTCGGCCAACGTCTTAGTAACGTATTCTTCCCAAGCCTGGGAATAAATATAGTCCTGAACAGTTGGGGACAGAAGTTCTCGAGGATGTCGTTCGCCGAACTTGACGACTTCTTCAGCCACTAATGTGAGATGACCCATATAACCGAGCCGCATGTTCTTATTTTGTTGCTCTTCATCGCTTCGTCGCTGGCCTTCAATGATGGCATCTGTGATGCGACCAGTTTCGAAGAGATCAAATGCGACTAGGCGGTTGTGACCTCGGTCCATGGGACCATTGAACACCTGCTGAACAACATCGTAGACAACATTGTGAAGAAAGTTGTTCCACGGAAAACGGAAAAAGAAAGACTGCGCTGTTGTTAGTAGTGTCACGAAAGTCGGGATGAAACATACCAATATCGTAGGCACCACCTTGTTCTCAATGAACATTATCTTGAGGTAGTCTCCCACAACGGGAGACTCGGCGTCGTGCTCTGTCGGGCAATTATGCGTTGTGTCATCTTGAGCGGTCTGAAATGAGTCACCCTCCAGCTGATTGTCTTGACCCGCTTGTTTCGTGCCATTGGGGCTTGTCGGAGGCTCAGGACTGTTGGCCGTCGGTGTTTTGTTTGGATCAGAGGAAAACAGAGGCGCCGGCTTGTCGTCGGAGTGCGCGGGCTCCTGGTCAAGAACGTTCGTTTCGGGCTCATTTGGGGGAGAGGTCATCACGGTGTCTTCGGGGTTGTCTAGACTCATTCGTCGCACCGTTTCATCCAGATTGTCATGGGAAGTCGTTGGCTCTTCTGTAGTTACGTGTTCAAAGCTCTTGAGGTCGTCCTTTTGAGCCTCAGTCGCGTCTGCAACCGCAACCTTTTCAAAGCCATCTTCTTCGCCAAGAGTAGCGATTTGAAGTTCTTCGGTTGAAGCTGATGCAGAGGGGGCGAAGGAGTTCTCGAAGCGCGAGGAAGTTACCGAAATGTCGACAGCGGAATCTTCGGGCTGTCGGTGGGTTAAGAAGACTCCTTGTTGTCTTAATCGCTCTCGCTCCGCATCTCGCTCTTTGATCAGCTCCTCGCTTCCAGGCTCGTTCAACAGACCCATGTTACTGCAATGCAGAAGCTCTGCCATCAACTCGCACGTCTTGAATCGGTCAAAACCCAGAGGCTCAATGTGAGTGCCCCATGCAGATTTCAGAACACCTCTCTCCTCGATAGTCGTGGTTTCACCTTTCGTGACGGTGTGTTTTGAACTGAGAATGAGCTCGGTGAAGTCAGGCACGTGTTGAGCAAACAGCCTCAACAAAGTACCAAGATAAATGGGGTCGTGATTCGTGGGAGGGATATCCGTGTTGTGTCCTTGATCAGGATCATAGTCAGAGTTGTTCTTTCGGATGACTTCAATGACGATGCCTACACCCACGGTGAGAGGATTTCCCCCTTTGAGCATGTAGGAGATGAGCTGGGAAATGCATTTTTCCGACACCAGTTGTCGCGTCAGACTGTTTGGGCCTATGCAAGACTGTTGGTCTTGGGCGGCATTTGCGGATATCGTAATGATGGCTTTCAGAAAGTCACCGGCAGAAGTCTGAGTGGACGAATTACAATCGGGGGAGAGATTCGACAGAAGCATGGGAATAAGGTCTTGATCGTGCAACCAGTCGACAATGCCTGCTCCACCATCCGACTTTTCCAGGCTGATGATTTTCAGCAACAAATCCATCACCATTGGGCAGTCCACGTGCTGCAGCATGGCGGGAACGATGCCTGGGAGAGATCTGAAGAAATCCAGCATGTCTTCCGTCTTCTTTTCCAGTAAAGTTTCATTGACTTTGGTAAAATAGCCGGCCTGGAGGGGATCTAACGGAGCTGGTTGTCGGAGGAAATCCCAAAATTCGATAAGGTAAGGCGTGTTGGCCATGACGGATTCGGTGATTGACCATGTTTCACAGGAAAGGATCTCGCATGCGACAAAGGCATACTTGAGTCTCCTTTTCTCAACCTTCTCTTGTTCTTCGTCGGCATTGCTTTCCTGCTCGTCCTCTATGACTGGATCCTTGCCCTTTTCATCCTCCTCAAACTCGTCGTTCGAAGGACCTGGAGCTATAACATATTGCAACAGGGAGTGAAGATGGGCATCCTCACGAAGAAACTCGATCAGTTTTGTGTGGTGGGATTTGAGTTCTTGAATTAGATCCGACTCTTCAAGCAAATCTTCAAGCTTCACATTGGGTTTGTCTAAGATGGTGTCGATTGTTGAAATGTTGGAGTAACCTCCAAAGCGCCAGAACATCTTCGCAGGCTCGAAGTCAATGCGATCAGTCTCGGTCGCGGGTGGTCAGGAGAGGAAGTTAATGGTGGTGCAGAGACGGAGGAGATTGGTTGAAATATAACAGGCCGTGGACAGTCGTGACTCGTGAAGTGATGACTGAGTGAGACATAGAATTGCGTTCCAGCGCTGAGGCAACATCGATAGTCAGTCACTGACGATGCGTAGATAGTTTTGTTGCGAGAGCCAGAACAGGTCAGGCCGTGCTCGCGAAGGGCAACAGGTACGTCTGTGGGTGTGTGTAAGTAGACTCACCTACTGCTACAAAGGAATGACTGGAAGGAAAGCTGGGGTAATGAGGTTTAGATGGCGCAGGAATGTTGTACAAGAAAGGTAGGTCGCGTGGTGAATGATAAGTGCTTCACCGGCTGCTTTGTTGGATGCCGCAATCACGCAGGCACTTGGCAAGGCGAGTCCGAGCAGGCGTTATTAGGCGTAGGGCAAACGCTGCGGATGCCGATGCGCTGTCCTCCCACTCCGTATTGTTGTGTGTTTTGCCGACGATCAGCTCCTCCGTATCCTTTTCTTGAACACCGGGGCGGGCTGGCCGGGGCCCAACAATGTACAGTGCTTGGGTCAGGAAGGTGTATACACAATGAGGTATGCTTGTGACCTCAAGCCGGCTGCAGAATCTAAGAATAGTGCTGTGGTGTTACAGATGCCATGCACACATGCGGAATGAAGTGAACGGTACAGAGGACGGGGTACGAGCATTCGTCAGGAGGGCGAAAAAGTCAATGCACAATTCCGTATGGCTCGCAAGGAGAAGGGGACGAGCAGGGATGGGGCAACGAGTACACGCCTCAGGCGCGTAGAGTACTGTACCTAGTAGTTCAGTGCCGAAAGCTAAGGAGTAAGGTCCCTGTAATCTCCCCTAGGCGTGCCTAATAGGTACCTAGAGGTACGAGTGAGTACCTACCTCAGGCAGATAGGTACCTATTCCTTGTTCCCTCAGGGAAGTCGTTGCCACCCATTGATTACCTGTAACTAGTGTCTGCACCACCGTTGAAGGATCCAATGCCCCTGTTCTTACACCCACGATTCGCCAATGTGCCGCCGTCGTTGCCAAACTAACCGCGCCAGCTTCGTGCCAACAACCAGAACCACCAATCTCACGTATCTTCCTTCTCGCGTGCGTTGTCCACCTGCCGAAAACCACATGGCTTCACGAACCCTCACCCATACCACCCTGGCCCAGAGCACGCAATCCATTTTCCGTCAGTAGAATCATGTCCCGAGTTGTGGTCGGCGGCCTTGGATCAGCCTTCGCAAGCGTTTACAGCAGCTACCTCACGCTCAATTGTCACGATGATCCTCAGATGAGCGGGCCATCGGCAAATCCTATCTAGATCACTGCGAGGGTGCTATTTTCTAAGCTTGGAACAGAGCAATGCCCTTACGAGCGCTGAATGCGCCCATAATTCCACAAGAAACGGACAATGTCGAGTCACATACAGTACCTGACCTACCTGAGGTGTCCATCCCTTTCTGTAAGAAGGTGAAATGGATGGCCATGTCACAGTCAGCATACGGACACTTGACACCGTTCGTGGCCGAGAGAACCACTCCTTGGCAGTCCGAGGAGGAGCAATGCGGCTTAGAAATACCCTCTACGTTGTGCCAGGGACAGTAGGTCAAGATCGGAGTGAGAAATGTTATCATTATTATGTCTTATACCATAGCTCACTACCACGGCCTGGATCGGGTGTTGGCCTTATCATTCAGAGTGATATGCCAGGGAAACGGAGCCTTACCGACGCCTAAACAGGCCAACGAGTTGCGGTCTCCATTTCTTATCAACGGCTTTCTGCTGCTTTGCAGTATGTACCTCGCGCTGTACTCACGCTGCAAGTTTCCCAGCAATTCTTCCGCGAGCACAAGCACGAGGACAAGATTTTCAGTAACCCATCATCTAGCGTTGCCAGTTCACTCGTACTGCTCTAGTTGTGACCACTATATCGATCCCGTGAGCCGGCCTACATTATGTCAGCAGTGCCCCAGACTGGAAGGACGGCATCAACTACATATGGAGACATCGCGAGACGTGCTGTAAGTATGGAGATTACCCCATATCGTTGCGTTGCAAGCGACTTCGGACACTTTCCCTATGGTGTCGTTCTTTGTGTAGTCAAGCACTAACACTGCGTCCAGTGCGATCAATGCCGTCTGAGAAAGGCAAGTCGAGACTCAAACTTGAGCAGTCCTCACAAGAAGGATGATGACTGACCGCGAGCCCCACGCCAAACTAGATTCGGTGCGACAGACATGTTCCGTGTGCCCATTGTTCAACCATCGGCCAACAGTGTTCTTTCAGAGACACGAGTCAGAAGTCCAAGGAACCAAGGCAGCGGATTCTGATCTCAACTCAGTAGTACGTTTTCTCAGTGCTTACATAGGCCTCGAAACCTTTCTGGCTGCCGAGGCCGTGTTGTACGAATCGTTCAAACCTGCTTGTGTGGCGCTGTTGGAAAGAGCCATATGTTAACGGACCGGGTTGTGCAGCGAGAGGAAGATCGACCAGATCGAGTCTGGCCTTGCCAGAATTGAGAAGGGTCTTAACACCCTTTCTCAGGCCCAGCAGCGAATTGAGTCACTCATACTCGCCAATTCATCAAATACTTCCACTGGACTTGCTCTACCCCCGAAAGCGACAAAACCGCCTGAAAAGCACTCAAGGAGCTATCCGGCGGAGAGCTTGCTTTCTACAAGTGATAAAAGTTTAAATGGCCACGATGATACCCAGGGACTGGGTTTTGAAGGGGATAGTTCTATCACTGCGCATGCTGCCTTCGCCAGTACCTTTGTCAACCATGCTGTTCAGCACCGTTCCTATAGGGAAGCTTGGCCAAAACTCAGGGCGGCCATGGCTGCACTTCATGAGCTTCTACAGATGCAAAAGGCAAAGGACGATGATCATTTTGCTCATGAAAAACCTTTAGGGAAAGAAGGGTTTGCAAACTTTCCCATGCCTCCTCTAGAATCAATCCTGCCACTTCTCCGCGAACTCAAGAAAACAGTACCCCTGACATTTACGTTGATCTGTGCTTATGGCAACGTCGATTATTTTACCGATCAGTGCCGAAGCGTCTATTTTGCAACCGACACCTTCTCACAAGCCACATTTGTGATTGTCAATGCCGGATTGTACTTCATCTTGCAGGAGAAGATGATGCTTGCACGTCATTCCGACAACGGAGATTCAATTTCCAGCTATCAAGCGCATCTCAATATCTGTCGCGATAATCTGGAGACCGTCTTGGCGCATTTAAACCTCCTCTTGCCAGCACAGCGAGAGAATGTGATTGCGCTTGTGATGGGAGCCAGCTATGCTATCGAGATATCTAAACCGTTACTCGCGTTACGGCTCAACACCGCTGCCTGTCAATTGTGCTTGACTCTGGGATACCATAGAGCGATGAACCAAGCTGGAGAAGACGACGACGCGAGAAGGCAGAGAGGAGTGCTCTTCTGGCTGGCTTATATCCTGGATAGGGCATTGGCCCTTCGGTTAGGACGCCCACCGATTCTTCAAGATTACGAGATTACACTACCACGGAAGCTTGAATACCTAGGAGAGTTTGAATGCCATAGAGAAACCATCCACAGTTTCATGGTTCATGCAGAAGTTCAAGGAAAGATATATGAGGAATTGTATAGTCCAGCGGGGTTGGTTCGGCACGTTGAGCAGCGAAAGGAAACCGCACAAAGATGTGCTGACATCTTGCTAGCGGAACGGAGGAAGATAAGCGAGAAACGGGCGAAAGCTCTCCACGACGCTGCTGACGGAGGCGTTGAAATTGCTACAATGCTATCAATGTCGGATGAGTTAGCTATTTTATCGACTCTGACGCTCATATATCGCTCGATTCCTCCCACATCTGATGGCGTCGCACGAGGCACCCCGAGGACTTTCTCGGTTGACTGCATCAAGATGGCGAGGGAAGCGATGCATGTACACCTTGAATGTATTGAGCTTGTCAGGAAATCTCCAACATTGGCAACAGCTTATATGCACTGGTAAGTCGTATCATGGATCGGAACTGTCAGCTGGCGTTATCATCAATACTGATCATGACTTCTCCTCCCGGACAGGATCATCTTATTTCAACCTTTCATTCCGTTTATTGTTCTCTTTTGCCACGGCATCGAAAGCTGTGCGATTGAAGACCTTCGGCTGATCGAGCGCTTCATGACATCTTTGGAACCGTGGAAGGGCTTGTCTAGCCAATCGGACAGACTTTTTCAACTTTGTCAGGTTCTTAACGATCTTGCAACGATTTGCGTGGAAGCTGGTCAAGCGGGCAGTGTTCAACGACAACCAGAAGTTGGGGAGCTGACTGGCTTCCTGGCGGGCCAAGAAGAAAGCATGCCTGAAAATCAGGCTGAATTTATAGATCAAGACATTCCTATGGATTTTGGCTTGGACGGTTGGGATTTGGGGCAGATCGATCCCATGTCAAGTCGTCAGAGTTATCAGCTCAGCGACCTGTTCACGGAGTACTACATGCAGGTTTTGGATGCTTCGGACTTTCTTGTGCAGGATCCAATGCGGCGAGGCTCATCTGGGCGTGGAAGAGAGTACTGAAGAGCTACATATGTCTATGCTGTTTCCAAAGCGCCAAAGCCACGTCGCAATCGCTAACATTCGTGGGGAATTCCCTCTCTTTACCTGTCGAGCCATCTTACTGCGAAGGGATGACCTCAGCATTGGGATTGTTTGGAGCCTTTCTATTGCTAGCTCCCGCTGATCTGTCGCAAAGCAGCCAACGTCAAACTCTACCATGCCGAAAAAGGAAGATCGCACCTCTCGTAAGGTCATTCGAGCCTATTGATTTTGCATCTTAAAGAAGCGTGCAGCAACTACAAGAAAAATGCGGCATCAGAAAGCTACGACAACGTTCATGTCACTTATCTACAGAGGGCTATGTACGACGTTACCCTCAATTGACCGACCAGGCCATCTTAGACAACTCTAAAACTATTTTGGAAGACGTCTTTGATGATTTCCTTCAATCCGCTGGCAAGGAGGTTGGACTCTTGCCATCACTGGCTAGCTTTTGCTGTTATGGTTGATGAAAGAGCAGAAAGGATGAGCACCAGAACCAGTGAGGAATCACAGGCTAGTCCGTTATCCGAATCGCTATGCCAGAATACTTTCAATGAAGGGTGCAACCAAAGCTCCCAGCAATGGTTCAAGATACCAGATTCCTACGGCACCACCGCTTTGTGGTGATTGCTGGATATTCGCAACAGTCCGTGGAGTGCACCGAGGTGACATCCCTACCTGCGAGGACTTTGAAGCCGGACAACATCCCCGTGCTCGCGCTGAATCCACAAACAAGCGTAAAAGTTTACTATTCAATGCGAAAGAAACCAGATAGACCACTCTTCTCCGAGGCCTTGCAGAGAGCATAGATTCTCTGAGCACGTCTTTACCTTTAAAAGGCAATACCTCCCACCCATAACGCCGGAATGAGACAAACAGAACATCAGCCACAGTTGCGAGGAAACCCCTGCACCCTCCTGCTCGACATGCAACAGGAGACCAGGACCTCCATCATTTGCCTGGATCCTCGCAGCGAAGCCACGTGGCAATTACTTAGACTTTGGGCGGACAATGCATAGCAGCCCTGCCGCTTTCTCGGTCGCTTCAAGATGGCCTGCTCTGCTTCCCGCAGTGGACCCGGTCTGATTCTCCATATCTCTGCCGCCTCTCTGAATCGCCAAATTACCTACTCGGGCATGTATCGTCGCCCATCTCCGTTGAAACAACTATGGGAGCAGCCCCGAGCCAGGACCTGGTGCAAATGAAATCGAACAGCGATAAGAGAGAACTGAACCCAGCTTTGCATATATTCATCAAAGCATCGTATATCTAAGTGCCTTGGCTAGGCTCGGGCATCACGGATTCGATCGATGCAGGACATTCCGAGGTGCTGAGTTGTGAACACCGGACTTTGCACGAGAGCCGAATGAAGGTTGCGGAAACCTTTCGGGGAAAAAATACAGGCATCGTGAGTTTGTACAACTTCTTAGTCAGATCAGGTTCACACCTTCGGCGAATTGTTTCGGGAACGGAGCCTTGCAGGAACTGTCATCAATATGGGCGAGATGAGACTATCTTCTGTGGTTGAAGCAGAACCATATAGATGGCCACACAACTTGTCCTTAGGCCCAGACAACACCGCCCTCATCGTTATTGACATGCAGGTGGATTTCTGTGCTCCAGGGGGTTACCTGGATGCACAAGGTCTTTCAATAGAGTCTACGAGAGCGATAATCCCTCGCATTCAGGAGCTCTTGGACGCGTTTAGAAAAGGCGGATATCAGGTCTATCACACCCGCGAAGGCCATCGACCAGACCTGTCCACGCTCTCGAGCCGCGAACTCCTGCGCAGTCGCAATAACCCCAGTGGAAAGGGTATTGGGGACGTGGGCCCTCTCGGCAGACTCCTTGTCCGCGGCGAAAGGGGCCATGAGATTATACCAGAGCTAGCCCCCTTGCCGTCGGAGCCAGTTATCGACAAGCCCGGAAGGAGTGCCTTCCAGCATACTGATTTGAAGTTGCTCTTGGACAATCGTGGGATAAAGAACATGGTGATCTGTGGTGTCACAACGGATGTGTGTGTTACGAGTACCATGAGAGACGGTAGTAAGTTCCCCCCTTGCAGAAGCCTGTCTTGCGTGTCACCCTGTACTCTCATATCACATTGCAGCAATTCGACTGACTGATAAAGACGATATGGGACTTGACTGTCTTCTTGTCTCCGACGCTTCAGCGGCCGGGCAACAGCATCTGCATGAAGCTGCCGTGGCGAGTGTGTGCGAAGAAGGCGGAATCTTTGGAGCTGTGGCAACCACCCAGGAAGTGCTTGCGGCTGTAGGAAGAGCAAGTTCATAATTTTGCGGCCAAGATCTGATACTGTTCATTAAATGTGTCCTCTGGCCATGGCAACTTCTGGCCCACTACATTGATGCCCTCCTGCCAATTAGCCCCTCTGATAACGGACACTGGTCGACTGATTCACCCTGGAGAGGTTCTTGGGAAGTGAACTATATACAACCGACTGTATGCAAGCAAAGTTCGATATCAATGATGTTGGCGGGTCATGCCCGGCCACATAATCAGCTCTTGTCAGATTCTACCACTCGCCATTGCCTACCACCAAATACAAGAGAATCTCCGGCCTTGGTGGTTGCTGCCATTAGCCATTCGCAGGGAAGTCTCTCAGCTCCGGAGCTGCTCTTCGGGTCCTTCACCCACTCTCCGTTTTCCTGCACTTGCCATCGCTCCGCGAGGAACTCGGCATCGGTTTGCAGTATTCCCTGGCAATAATTGTCGATCCGGATGATCAGGCCCTTGCCCGATTCTCCGCCCGGTTCATCTACTGGCTCCGCTACCAGGAAAGATGGTTTTGGGGAACTCAGCTTCCCTTCAAGCCAGTACTCTTTGAACATTTTCTTCTTGCCTTTGACCGTTAAGAATCCCACCTCCATGACGTCTCCGTTGGATAATAGGTACATATCGGCGCCGTCTGACCCATATTCCCGAGATGAGTCAATGGGATGCTCCCATTTGACGTGCGCTACGCAGTCGTATTCTGGACAGCTGTCTGTCCCCCCAGGCAGCCAAGCCGTTGAGAGCCCGGCGGTCGCGTAGCCGTTGAAAGCGTCGGATTCCTTGATGCCCTCGTACTTGTCTTTCGAGGCAGAAGCAAAGCGAATATCGACATATTTGCCTGACGGTGCCGTCAGCACCAGGACTGAATGGTTCTCCGTCGGCGGATCATAGTCCAGGGATAATCCACGTCGAATTTCCACGAGTGGTCTGTTGAGAAGCTTTCTGGCCCATGGGGGAAGTTTCTCAAACTCCGGGGAGGCTGGATGAGGAACAGGTATCATTATTGAGTATCAGCGGAGTGGAATGGAACACTATCGTTGATGTCGCTGGCGTCAGGTGATTTTATGCAATTGAGTTGATTGTCAAGCGTTTCTTGCCGCGACCCTCAGGGCTTATCTGGAACCGAATCTCGTGCCATCCATTCCGACAGTGCCTCCAAAGGCCGTTTGATCGATGACTGTACATGATTGCAACGCGATCTTGTCGATGTGTGCCAGTCGGAACATAGGACGCCAAATATGGACTCCGCCCAGTCTTGGTTCCCGAACAGTTCTGGATTGCGGGGGGCGAAAGATGCCCATCTCGCCAGCCTTGTGTCCGCAAACCCGCGGACACCGAAGCCAGGACCAGTCAGTATATGCATCCGGGCGACTTCTATTTCCTGTTGGCGGAGAGTCTTGCTTATCAGAACATCATATCGGCTCGCCAGTCCCACTTTTCCACACCAAGCTTCATTCAACATAGCTCCAGATAAGGAATCCTAACGGTCTCATGGCAGTACAGTAGCCAGGGGCTTTGAGACCTGTTAACGAATGCTCAATGGTATAATAGTAACAAAGGAGCATGAGAGTCGGCAATGGAAAACCCCATCGTCTCAGTATTTGTCTATTGCAGAGTCGTCTCTGAACCTGCATCTCCCGGTTCTCAGCTCACCCCCCCCTTGACCCTCCCCCAAAGGACTGGCCATCACCATGTCGAAGGAGCCAGAGACCAAGAGCGTCTCTACCCCTGTGGGATCCATCAGCGATGGGCGTGTGCGGACAATCGACATTGAAGATGAACGCCTGCAAGACATGGGCTATGAACAACACATGAAAAGAGGCTTCAACATCTGGTCTATGACTGCTTTCTGCCTCACCGGCCTTGGTCTTCTTCCTAGTCTTGGAGGTGTGTTTCTGCATCCTCTTAGCATATCCTTTGATGCGCCCCTTGAGACTCACCAACTGAACAGGAACATTATGGTACAGCCTAGGCTTCCTGGGCCTGGTATCCATGACGTGGGGCTGGTTGACCGCCTGCTTCTTCATCATGACTGAGGTCCTGGCCCTGGCCGAGCTGAATTCTTCAATGCCTACTGCAGGAGGCTTGTAAGTAGCTCAACCAGCTTCCGCTGGGTTTATCTTTCACTACACACACTGTTGGTTGACCCGGGGTCTTCAACTACAGGTACTATTGGTATGTGGCTTAACAACCTCCACACCACAGACATGCGCGTCTCATGCGCAACAGGACTTATCGATGTGCGCCTCCAAAGCTCAAGAGAATTGCGTGCTGGGTCACTGTACGTCTCTTCTCGCTTTGTCAAAGATCCACGAAGTTTAGCAAGCCGAACTGCTAATGAGAGGCGGGGAATGGTAGGCATGGTGTATGATTTTGTCGGCCTCTCTCGGCGGAGCGTCCTTCTTCATGACTCAAGCGGACATGATTGAGGCGCTGGTGGTCATGTTCCACCCGGATTTCTCGCCAACAGACTGGCAGACATACTTGGTGAGGCTTACCGGGCGTCGACTCATACCACCCCGTTGTACTGTTGGTGAACCACTGCTAACACGTACACATTGACGCTCAGATCTACCTGGCCACTGTAATCGGGTTAGTCTTGACTCTCACTTCATGACCACCGCATGGGGAACGCGTTTCTTTTGGTACTGAATGAAGTCCCAACGTAGGTGTGCATTGGTCATGGTCCTTCCCAGCAAGGTGTTGGGTCGAATCAGCAATGTCTTCGTTTGGCTCGGAACTCTGACATTCTTCGTCATGCTCATCGCTTTGCCCATCTACGCGAAGAACAACGGCCGCACCAACAGTGCCAAGCAGATCTTCACCTCGTCCTACAACCAGACAGGATGGTCGAATAGCGGCCTCGTGTTCCTCTTGTCGTTCCTCGTCCCCTGCTGGTGCATCAGCGGCTACGACTCGACCGGTACGTCTTATGTCCATGCCTCCCCGTTGAATTTTTGTCGTTCGGCGATTTCACACGCCCCCCAAAAAAAGAAAAGTACCAAAAAGGCAATACTGAAATTGAACCCTCCCCCTTTCAGCTCATCTTGCCGAGGAGACCGAGGATGCTGCCCGCGTGGTACCTCGCGCCATGTGGGTTTCGTGCCTCAGCGTCGCGGTGCTGGGATACATCTTTAACGTGGTTCTGGCCTACGCCGCAACCGACATTGACGCCATCTTCGAGTCGCCCCTCGGACAGCCACTCGGTGCCATCCTCGAGCTCGCGATGGGCAACGGAGGCTTCACGAAGCTCCTGTGGATCTGCACCGTCGTGTCCAACTTTGGGGTCGTTTTCGTGAACAACACGGCGGGGACTCGCATCTTCTTCGCCTACGCCCGTGACGGCGCCCTGCCGTTCGGCAAGTGGTTGAGCCATGTCAACACCGTCACCAAGACACCTATCAACGCCACGATCGCCCTGTCGACGGTGTTTGCGCTCTTGGGCCTCATCTCCCTGGGCTCTTCCGAGGCGCTGCAAGCTTTCTTTTCGGGCTCTTCGGTTTCTGGGGCCACGGCGTACCTGATGCCGGTGTTGATGAGGTATGCATGCCTGTGGCATTTTCCCCAAGTCACAAGTCTCCGCGTTACCGCTGGTCACATCTTCGAGCTGACGACTTTCGTCATCACCAGATGCATATACGAAGACAACCCAGACTACGCGCCAGGCCCGTTCTCGCTGGGCCGGTGGTCGAGACCCGTGAGGTGGATCGCGGTCGTATGGACTGGTGAGTTATACCCTCGTGCTCCTCGCTCCTCGCCCCTCGCTCCTCCCTTTTCTAGCCTCGGCGCGAAACGGCTTTTGCTCCAAAGATTTGTCGAGGATTGGGACTGGGAACATGTGCTGATACATTCGTCGTCATTGTTGTTCAATTCATACAGTCTTCACAGTTCCCATCTTCGCGTTTCCGCGGACCCCCAACCCAAACATTCACACCTTCAACTGGAGCTCCGTCTTCTACTGCGGTCTTCTGGCGCTGGTGGTTCCGTGGTACTTTTTGCGAGCTCGCAAGTGGTTCAGGGGTCCGGTTCCCAAGGGCGCAGAAGGATCCGATGTTGCCTTTCACTAGGTAAGCGGACTGCAGGATAAAGGAGGCAGGCCAGCAAGCAAGTTTCAGAAATCCAAGAAAAGAGAGACTGCCATGATGGGAAATATCGCGCCATCTTAGGGGGGGAGGGGGTTTGTAAAAATGGAAACGCGAAGGCATTTCAAAATTCAACCTAGTAGGAGGAGACTGTTGCAGTACCGTATAGTGGTACAGCGGTGACGAACAATCAGTCTAGGTCGTGATGAAAGACGCGAGTGTAGTCTTTTTTATCTTATTGTGAGCGCATTATGTATGGTGAACAGACAGTCAATAGGTAGGTAGTTCTGCCCTGTGAGCCGGGTAGGCACCTATGTATCTATTAATTTACACAATGACACGATTTTCGCGCTCAACGCCGCTACGCAGAAACGGTTTGTATGACAAGTGTCTCGAAGGGGTTCTTACTTTCTCAATGACGGAGAAAGAGTCTCCTACAGAGTCAAAAACGCCTTCTCCTCACGATTTTGACGATACATGGACCCGGAGACACCCCTGTCTGGGTGGACGGTTTTAATTATCAATGCGATAGCCCCCTTGAACGTGTCCACGTTATAATTATGCCACTTGCGATGCAACAACTGTCGGAGGATTTTGGACCAACGCATCCCTCCACAGAGGGTACTCGACCGACCTTACAAACTTGTCCTCGTACCGGATACCCTCGTCCTCGTCTACGACTCCCTCTGCCGGGGGGAGCACCGGGGAGATGAAGGCATCCCAATTCGGGTCAAAGAAGAACGGGATGGAAATCCGTAACGAGTCGGCGTCGTGGCAGACGCGATGCAAGGTCGACTTGTACGCCCCGCGGGTCCATTCGTGCAGCATGTCGCCGATGTTGCAGACGTAGCAGCCCTGTTGAAGGTCCAGAGTTCGCAGGGTCAGTCTCCCGGGAACAACAACAACAACAACAAACCACAACCTGGTGTCTGTCTATCTGTCTGACACGGGATAGGACAACGGTACAGTGAACAGGTGGGTGGTGTCTTACCTCGATGGGATCTGCCCAGATCCATTCACCAGATTTGCTGAGCACTTGGAGAGACTTGGGGTTCGAGTCGGTCAGGAGGAACGTCAGGATCCCAAAGTCTGCCCGTGGTTGGCAAGCAAAAAATTTCACGGGTCAGCAAGGGGTTCATATGTATGTATGTAGGTGACGTGTGCCTTCAGGGCTCCTTACGGGCCCAGAAAAAGGGGTGTCGAGAGATCTCGTACCTGTGTGTTCTCCGATGCCCGCCAGTTGCTTTGACCTTTCCTTCCGTCCCTCGTAGCCCAAGATGCGGAGGTTCCAGAAGGCTTTGTCGATCCGGTTAAGGAAGATGCTCTCGTCGACATCCAGTCCGATCGCTATGGCCTTCATGACTTGAGTCCCGAGAGCCTCTAAGCGTTCGATGTACTCTTCCGCTGTCTCTCGGAAATCGGACGGGGTCGAGGGCCACTGGTTGAGACCCATGCCCGTCGTGTACGGTGGACCTTGTGTCTCGACGGGACGATAAACATCCAATGCCTTTCGTGGGAGGAACAACTCTCAGAGAAACACGGTCTCGACACTATACAGAAAAGGGACAGGGAGGGAGCATAGATCAGGTTCATACCTCGTGCGACCCCTTCGTGGGATTGTTGATCTTCAGAAACCCACGTGCGTTGTCTCCCCCTTCGGCGATCTTTCGTATGGCAAGCCGTTCTTTTTCTTCCGGTGTTGCCGTCTCGAAGAAGTTCCGCGACTTGGTCAACATGTCCCCAACGAGGCTCATGGGTATGCCATGGTTCTTGAGGTAGAAGAAGCCAACCTCCCGACAAGCACGGTCGATATCTAGCGCGACCTTCTTTCTCTCTTCAGACGAGGAAGCAGGATCAATGAAAGCTCCGAAATCTACAATGGGCAGGGAAGCAGCCATTGTGATGGGCGGGTGGTGACGGCGATTTTCAGCTCTTGTCTATCTGTTTCGCAGGTGTTGTGTATTGGCAGCATTTTTTTTTTTTTTTGCAATTAGCTAGGCTTCCACGACCTTGAAAGCCAACCGTAAGATTATTGTATTGTCACGTTAGGGGTATTGCTGGCGTGTGAGGGTCCCTGAAGATAGCTGAGATGGCACTGGGGCGTTGCTAGTCTGGCTCGGGCGCCGCGGGATTCCGATGCTGGAAGACGGGAGGGCAGGTCCCTCGCATGGTCTGATTGATAGCCATGGTCTTAGCGACGCCGCTATCAGATGGCTTCTAGTGACAAAGAGGCTTTGATAAGAGGGTAATCTTCGCAGCGCGAGATGGAGTTGACCGAACGTCCAGGAAGAGTATGGGAGATGTGGTCAGGACCCGAGGATGGTGAGGATGAGATGACGGGTTGGGAGGGAAGCATGGCACACACAGTACAGAATGAGCACATCCCACATATGCAAGTTATGTGGATGTAGGTATAGGAGGATGCGCACACTATTCAGTGGGAGAGAGGACGTGCTGTACTTCTTACTCCTTGGTCAGATTGTCGGCCGCCCTGTCCAACATCGACGAGGCTGCATATTGTACAGTGGCTGAAATCCATGCTCCGTGCAAGCCTACCATATAATCCCTATCTACATTCACTTCAATTGCTATCCTTCAAGAACTAAACAAGTGAGTTTTTCTCAACAATCACCAAGAACCCTGAGTGATGGCTCAGGATAAAACCGCATGGCTATGCGGCGGACGGCCATTCACTCAGGCGGAGTGGACGACCCGGGTTCGAACCCCGAGTCTTTCTACGAGGATACAATATTTGGACAATGGATGGCCCCATTCTCAGTAAGTCGCCCCCCTTCCCTAAGAACTTGTAATTCTCGGAGCAGATTCCAAAGAACTCAAAAAACGATGGAAAACAAGGCTTCCTAGTCAATGGAGGAGGATATTGTTTTTGTGGAGGAGAGGAGGATCTTTTTGCCTGTACATAATGCGTCGGCTGATTATCGGCGAAACACCAGCTTAGCTAATCCTCCGATCCTGAATTCGCTTTGCGCTGAAATGACGCAGGCTGCCTTCATGTTTCTGCCCGCCAAAACACTGCGCTCTAACGAGTTCCTTGAGTTCCATACCTGAGGTACCTGGTAGAGACCTTCCGCGACAGACCCAATCTCGCACATGGTCCAATCTTCGAGATGAATCGTCTGTTCGGATCTAAAAACACCGCTCCAAAACCCACCCTCAACAGTGCCATCTCGAATGTGCGTGTTAACCTTGCCCATTCTGTACCTTCTAACCCTTGCGACAGGTAGATTCAAGGGTAGACTCGATCGATGTCAAGTTGGCCAAGATCAATGCCGAACTCTCTACGTACCAGCAAAAGCTGAGCAAGATGCGCGACGGCCCGGGCAAGCAGGCGATCAAACAGAAGGCCCTCAAGGTCCTCCAGCGGCGGAAGATGTACGAATCACAACGAGACCAGCTCCAACAGCAGTCGTGGAACATGGAACAGGCAGGGATGATGCAGGACAACCTGAAAAACGTCATGACCACGGTGGACGCGATGAAGACCACCAACAAGGCGCTCAAACAACAGTACGGCAAGATCAACATCGACAAGATTGAGCAGATGCAGGATGAGATGGCCGATCTGATGGAAATCGGCAATGAGATCAACGAGAGCATAAGTCGCGCATATGACGTGCCCGAAGACGTGGATGAGGCCGAGCTGGATGCCGAGCTCGAGGCGCTCGGAGAAGACATGATGTTTGAGCAGGAGATGGGTATAGGCCAAAGCACACCCGGGTTCCTACAGGATGAAGTGGCGCCACCGACGTTTGTCGATGAACCGCCGGAGCAGGCAAAGGTCAAAGAGGCGGCCGGCGGCGTGGGTTAGCTTGGACAGAACGTCTTTGTATTACTTTTTACGTTTGACGTTTGGTCTTGAGAGGAATCGTTTGAGCTGGGAGTCCACGGAGGCAAGCATTTTGGGTTGAAGTAATGCGGAGAGAAAGATTATTGGCTTTTTTTTTCATGAATTCATGGATCCATCCGAAGCGTCGTTGACTACACAGTATCTTTGGCTTTTGTACTCAGGTGTTCTTTTTCAGATCTTGCGTCCAAGCTTTGACTGCTTTGGGTCCTTCATGGGCCGCCTTGAACAGCTGTCTCTCGGTCTCCTCTAGTCCCCGGAGGAAATCAGCACCGTCGCCCAGTGCTCCTCGAGGGTTGTGCGCTTGGTCGGCAATCTCCAGAGCTCGTGCCTTGAACGTCTAATGCCCATTGACAGTCAGTTGCTCTGTCACATTTGCCTAAGGTGGTGGGGATCTGGTGTATGATCCAGCTGACGACGGGGCTTTGTCGCAAAAATACTCACGTCAAGTAGTGTGCTGAGAACAACCTGGTCGTCAAACAGCTCCATTATTCGTGCCGACAGCGCGTAGTAATGTGGCGCCTGGGCTCGCAGGTCAACCGTCCTCGGGTCTGCTTTCAAGGCGTTGATCACTCGTTGCTGAAGAGGCGACGGAAAATTCAGCGTGACCAGTTGAGGAGATCCAGGCGCATTTCTTGAGACTGGTCAGGACATCCTGATCCCAGGCGATCAATAAACGGATATACACATACCCGGCTGACACCGCAAGCATCACACCCAGCCACATGGGAAGTTCAATGGTCGTCCCGGCTTTTACCTGTGGACAGTTTAGGCCCTGCTTCGAGAGAATCTGAAGTGGACATCCATACCGTCCCTCCAGCATTACCATCAAGATACCCGAGTCCGGGCACGTCGAGTTGAAAAGTACAAGGGATTTTTTGGGTGTCGGTCAAGATGGCGTCAACGTTGTAGTAGGACATTTTGCTGCGGCTTTGTATGACTGAAGATCATTTCGCAGAGCGCCACTGATGAACTCTGCAGTGTACCAATTGTATACGACCAGAATTATCCCCTACGTATATGAGAATGGGGCCAATTATGGTGCTGTTTGGATGCCATGAACAGAAGCCCTGACAGAGAGGAGTCTCGAACCGATTAAACGCGTGCAAATCCTCAGCCTCGTGTACGCGTTTCCGTGCCGGTGGCTCCCACAAGGCTGCACTGCAATCCCGCATCTGCCCAACGCTTCCCACGCAACGGGCCACCTCGGTTTCCTCCATCCAGACAGGACAATGAGCACTCAAAATGCTCAGCAGCCGTCCCAATCGACATCCGCCGCGCGGCCACCGGTGACCGTAGGACAGACCACACACCTCGATCCGGGTGCCTACGTCCGTGGCACACATGCCATCACACTCGGGGAGCACATTCTCATCCACCCCCGCTCTCAACTCATAGGCGTCCACGGCCCGCTTTCAATCGGCGACAAATGCATCATCTCGGAGAAAGCCATCATCGGGGGCCCTGTACAGCCATCAAGTACCACCGCTTCGTCTGCGAAGCCATCCGGCGGAAGTGTCCAGCCGAGTCCCTTGATCGCTCAGGGAGCAGAGGACGACGACACCGATAGAGACCCGGTCAAGACGACAATCGGCTCGAATGTCTTCATCCATGCTAGCTCACAGATTCATGCGGGAGCCGTTATCGAAGATGCGGTCTTGATCGAGCCTCATGTGTCGGTACTCGCTGGTGTGACTGTGGGATCACACGCAAAGCTCTGTGCCGGGGTTACAGTAGATCACGACGTAGACGAATGGACTGTCGTGTACGGCAAAGGTAACATCAAACGACGGAGGAAGCAGAACGATCCAGACTCGGATGAAGGTGCAGAGCAAGCGGAGGCCATTGAAACGATGAGACTCAAAGCTATGGATAAGGAACGGGAGGGAACGACCACAATTTTGAAGATGGCAGCTAGAGTGGCAACTATGGCCAAGAAGAAATAGTGACTTGAGGTTGTCCCCACGGCTCAGGACTGCTACTTGGACTATTACTACCCTGAGCGTAGTTCATGGGCGACGAGAGACTCATGGCAGAGTGAAAGGGTAGTAGCGGACGATTGTCCTTCGTGCCGGACATGTTCAAATCATCACATCAAACATGCCCAACAGGATACGCTGGCGCCCTTTTGACGTGTTCATCGATCGTCTGAGTTTCTGGTATTCATGAGGCCCGCCTGACCAGACTCTTGCAGCGCGAGATCGACTGCTTGGCTCTTGCGTAGCAGGCATGGCGTAGCTTGCACTCTGTGCATGAGACTCGAGGAATTACAGTCTCAGTATTGTGTGGTTGCCGGTTTCCGGTGGTGCTGGTCGTGGTAATAATTCAAGTATCATACAGAGGAAGGCTTCCTGCCATGACTGCGACGACTGCGATATCAACTTGGCGCTGGCGCGACGCGCTAACGCGTTGTGGGCGCCATGACCGTTTCTGGACTGGCGCCTTGCATCACATGTTCACCACAACCACAACAACAACAGGAAGACGGCGAGAAGTGACAGCGATAGTTAGCGCCATCGACCGCAGTGACTACCGTCGAGAACCTTCTTACATCATCTTCAGGGTTGACAACACTAAATGATACAGATGGCCATCAACCTCCAATGGCACGATTACGAGGCGCGCACTCTGTTAGCCGGAGAAGTTCTCCCATTTCACCCCAGAGACCATCATCTTCCTCAGCCATCAACACACAACCGACATCAGGCCAACTGCCCCCTCGCGCACGAAGCCATGACATCCCGGACACCCGCCAACCGTTGCAGCATGTTGTGCAGGGGCTGAGTGCAGTGAGCGAAGAAGCGGACTTTCAGCAGGGAACTCCCGATGATTCTGAGTCTATCCAGTTTGCCTCGGACACGTCACGGAACACTGAAGACGACCTGAAAGACCTCGACCGAGATGCTATCATTGATGTGCTTGGCGACCTCTACAACGACTCTAACAATGTCTTCGGCCTTTTCGACACCCTCGATGAGGGTCCCCTCCGCAGCTACTGTGACGCCTTGTGGAAGCCAAATTCTGCCCAAAGACTACGGTTTCGTCGTCGCGAGGTCCAATTTCTAGCAGGTCTGGAGACCTATGGCACCAGCGACTACATCATTCCCGAGCTTATTGTCTTGAAGATTGCAGACAAGGTCAATATCCATGACGTGTCAACGGGCCCGGCTCTACAGGCGCTTCCTATCATTTATACTGCAAATCTCTCATCCGCGATTCTCCATGTGTTTAGCCTATTGCCAGACAATCAAGCTACATTCACACAACTCATATACAACGACATGTGCCACGAGGACGATGATACTGACGAACGTGTTCCATCCGTGTTTGCAGGTCCAAAGCACTATCCACTAAGTCCGAAATTAACGGAAGATCTTGTCGACCTAGGTGTCGATATTGTCACTCAGGTATTCATCCAAGAAGCTGAGGAGAATCTCGCCTCAGAATCCTACTTTGACCCGGACAAGTTGGCCAAGAAGGTGTTCTGGGACGAGCACGAGCAGTATCAGGGCTATTCATCGACGAAAACACGGCCGAGAGCCATTCAACGCCTCAAGTTGGTAAGGAAGTACTTCCGGACTGATTCGCAAGAGCCACTTGATCTCGATGGACTCAAGAAAGAGTTTCCATGGCCTGAGTTTGCTCTAAAAGTATTAAAATGGTCGCTGGCGCGCAAGGCCGAGTTAGTCCTTTCGATCAAGAAACTGGGTGGTATCGACTCGATCATTGACACTATCAAGTCGATCGACACCATTGACGATGAGAATGCAAAGAATTCAACCCGTATGCCGGAGACGACATCGGCGGATCATATTGCTGCCGCAACCCAGCAGAGACCACCCGGAATCACGATGAAACGGCGAAGACCAGCGACAGATGCCGCCAGATTAAGAGAGTTGCGAGAGAGACTGTCCACCAGCATCTCTGATGATGACATCGAGGAAGCGGACAACACTCCACGACAGACAACAATTAAGCCTCAGTCCATCCATCAACGAGAAATTCCACAATCCCCGTCACAAGAAGAGGATGAGGCGCAAGATGAGGCCGATGGTATGGTGCATGAGACAATAGAGGTTATCGAAGAAGCTGTACACCTTGACGAAGATATTGATGACAATGTCTCGCACGGTTTTCAACACGAGGTCGAGGATCCCCGTCGATCTGACCGACTCTCTGAAGACCCCGTACAGGAACTCCAATCGACGCAGCAGACGCACATAGTCATGTCCGCCCTCTTGCGCCAAAAAGAGCAACTTAACCCGGAGAATGCAAGACAACATGAAAATGTTCACCCCACTAAGCCGCAGAAACGATCTTTCCTTGATCGACAGCCCAACGCTCACAAGGTCAATTTCACCGAAGCGTCAGACGACGAAGACACCACCAGCACACCAAAATTGACCAAACGGCGCCCACCACCTGCTGAATCTGAATCCGGGTCTGAAGAGGAGGAAGAGGAGTTCGAAATCGATACACGGCCACCTCCAAAGAAGGTTCGATCTGACAGACCTCAGGGACGTCAGCTTCCCAGGAGTAGGTCTTCGCAGCCACTGGCTGATGATGAAAAGACCCCTGCTTCAGCATCCCAGCGTAGGCCAACAGCAGCAACCGATGCGCGAGGCCAACGAACATCACAACGTGCCCCTTCTTCAAACTTGAGCGTCGTCGTGCCCAGTAGAACTGCCGTTCGCGGTGTGGCAAGTACGCAAGCGCAACCTGCGGCCTCACACTCGAGTACTCACCCACCACGGCAAAGCATCAGTGTCGAGATTAAAAAACACGGAACCTCCCACAACACAAATGCGGCTCCTTCTTCTTCCAGTGCACCTCCTCCCCAGCAGCCACGCGTAGCTTCTCGCTCACGTCGCGAGACGTCGTCGCCCCCCGTTCCCGACGTCCGCACCGTCAACGCCGAAGCCAAACGCAATGCCCAACTAAGCCGGGCACTCCGCGGCGGTTCCGCCGTCCAAGTCCGCAAAGGCTGGACGGAAGCCGAGACTCATCGCCTCATTGAATTGATCGAACTGGTCAACGGGCCCTCTTGGGTGCAGATCCAGGAGGAGGACTTCGCACACGCCGATGGACCGGAACTCCACAATAGAGATCAAATCGCATTGAAGGACAAAGCGAGGAACCTGAAGATGGATTTTCTCAAGTATGTACCGCTTCCGTGCACTCCTCTCTCTTTCTTGTTCTGTTTCGCTGCAACTCACGCATCTTTTGCTCTCTTCTCCGCTCTTCCCAAATCCTCAAAGTCAAAGTTTCATGATATGGTCAATACTAACCGTCTCAATTTTAGAGCACGCCGGCGTCTACCTGTCGGATTCGAAAAAGTAAGCATAGGTAATCGCATGGTCAGCAAGCTGCGTGAGCTTGGTATCGACTACGTCGAGGGAAGATTCGAAGGCACCTACAACGAGATGGACCAATAGTCAGCGCCGTGGCACTCGCGATCTCAGACCTGTGAATGTTTGAATGACACCCTTCTTCAAGGCATGCACGGCGTCAAAACGTCGTTCTCCTTGCGGTTCGCAAGGTAACCCTGGATCAGGGAATGGTGCGCGGCATCAGCAGCAGCAGCAGCAGCAGCATCGTCGTGGAAGTGTTCTCGCGTCCCGTCGCGACGGACTTTTTGTTGCACCTGTTTCGAGCGTTGGTTTTGGGAAAGGCGTGGTAACGCGCCGTGACGAACGGGGCTTTTGCTTTCCTGCTCAACCTCGACTTGCAGTCAGACTATTCTTGAATACCCTGGATTTATATGGGACTTTATACGGATCAATCCCCTTTCGGATGAGGAGCGGACGGGCCAGGCTGATTTGGTTTCGTGTACACGAGTTCGTAACGAATACGGCTATGAGGACTAGTGGGCTGTTCACTCGAGTGCGAGGGCCCAGTTTCGCCATATGACATGCAAAATGAGGGCCGGGCGTCAAGGGAGGGGGTTCGGAAAGGGAACATCATGGTTGGGACGAGGATAGAACTTTAACGCATAGGGTCGGGGATCCTTGTGTACCCTTGCCACTTGGGAGTCAGGATCATTAGATTACGATGATACCCGGGAGGAGAGTTTTGTCGTTGTCGTTTGTCGTTGTCGTTTGTCGTTGTCGTCGTCGTCGTCGTCGTCGTCGTCGTCGTCGATAAATGTGAATATTACTACTGATCGGTGGTTTTCTTCCTTTCTTTACCAAAAAAACAGCCCGATACTCGGTGATGGAGAGATACACGAGGTAGATGGGATGGATGCATGGTCGGGGCATGAAATTGCGCTTGAGGATGGTGTGCCTTTTTTTTTTCTTTTCCAAATCTTTCGAGCCAGGGCACGATACGTACTCGACCTTCGAAGACGTAAGCGTCCACGGTATATATGACCAACCCGTCTGTTCAAAGTTAGAAGCATTGAGAAAAGTCGCGGTCGGTGTCACGGTTTCCCACGCGACGTTGAATCTCCCGAATATCGCGTACGTGTAACGAACGTGCTGTGCGGTGCGAATGGTCATTCCACTCCGTCGACGTTGACCACGAAACAAACCCAAGGAAAAGCCGCACATGGTAACGAAAAGCTCTCAAAACGAGATACACGTCATTCATTATATAGAAAAAAAAAGAGACGAGAAACGAGACTGGAAACATGGATAAATCCCATCAGTTGTCATAGCTTTGACGACCAAAGTTGTGGTCTAAGTCGAAAAGTCCAGCCCTCGACGGAGAATCATCAAACCAACCCCATCATTACGTCGTATTGATACGGACCACTCCGTAGCAAGAACGCCGAATGTGACCAAACTCGCTTCCAATCAACCAATATCAACCAAATGATACCCAGACTTGCAAAGGAGGAGTCTTCCAATGGACACCGTGCTAAAAGAAAAACATCACAAAACGCCTCCCCTATCTGTCCACTATACAGTGCTGCCCGCAAACAAGACAAGCTGTTGCAGCCGCAGAAATCTCTCCCTCCCTCATCGGCTGTGGTTCACGTCATTGCAAACTCGGCCAGTTCCCTTTGCGATTGACTCCAGCTCTCCGGGTGCTCCAAGTCGATACCGTGCATCTTCAAGAACTGCTGTTCGGTCGATAGAGGCTTTTCAACTTGTTCAAAAGGCGAGCCTCCGATACCAGCATCATAGTCAGCGATGTTTTCAAACGGAGACATGTCGTCGAGACTACTGAGATCCAAGCCCTCAATGCCCTCCAAGCTGACGACCCAGGGGTCATCCTCCTTTTTCACAGGTTCTGCATTTTTGTCCTTCGCAGCTGGCAATTCCTTGTCACTCGTCTCTGGGCTCTTGGACTTGTCGGTTGATGTATCTGTCAAGGCTCCATTGGGACCTTCGTTAATTTTCCGCCATCGTTCGCTTGTATTTCGATAAGCCTCGTAGAACTTGGATTCCGACTCCTGGATCTTTTCCTGTGTAGGGAACAGTTCTTCCCATTCGTCTCCGCCAAAAGCGACGCGCATCTGATCCAGCGTGATGTTAGTATGAGCCCATGGATTGTCGTCGTTTACGTTAATCTCATCAGCGGAAATCTTCGACGAGGAGTTCCCGGCAGCGCTTTCCTCTTTGACGATGCCTGCCTTGGATTCTGTTTTGGGCTTTTTGATCTGTTTCATATTTTCATCCAAGTTCAGCGCCGATCGCAACGAGTCTTTGAGGAATGCAAGAGGATCGGTGACAGGTTCCATGTCCAGCCTGTGCGTCACATTGTGGTGTTGGTCGAGTTCAGCCTGGGTAGCAAAGCCTTTGAGTTGGTGCTCACAGCCTTGGACGGGACACTTGAATGTCTGAGCTGGTTTCGGTGTTTTTGTCTGTTGAGGCGATGTAACAACTGGCGGCGTGCTGCCTGCGGCTTGTGGCTGGTTCTTCTTCCGCCTCTTTGGGTCCGCCGGCAGCTTTAGATCTTCCTGTTTCAACCCTGGAGTACCATACCAAGCAGGAGCACCTTGACCCTTGTCGCCGAGCTGGAATGGGGGTTGAGAGGAGGTCGGTGCAGGTGGAGCCTGGTTCGCTTTTAGAGCCTTTTTCCGTTCTGCTTCCTGTGCTTGCAAGAGATTCATATTTTCTTCAGTGAGCTGTGCAGGTTGTGCTCGTGCTTTGTTCTGAGGGATCGTTGCTACAGTTTGCTGGAACTTTGACATGATGTTGCCGATGATGACCTCTGCCGTATCAGGAGTAATGCTGAAATTATCCACTACCTCAAAAGACTTTCTTTGGTAGGCGTCTGGCTTGTACTGTGACATCAGCTGTATCTTTTGTGTTGTAAGCTGCTTCAGAGTGGCCTCATTCTGATCCATACGATAGCATGCCACAAGAAAGGCGTCAAATCTACCAACCATGTTCTTGACATTGTCCGAAGTCAACATTCTCGTCAGTCGCTCTTTGCTGGCTGGATCCATGTTGGGAATTGGCCGCAACTTAGGCATGCTCGATTGGACCTCTTTCATAATTTCGTAAATTCTCTTCCGCAATTGTTGCTCTCGTTGTAAGTTCAAGTATTGGTGCTTCTTTGCTGGATCGAGTTGATTGTACTGCTCCTTTGATAACTGCGGAAACTTGTTCTCGGTCTGCTGTTGCGGCGGCTTGTTAAAGGCATGGTTCGTTATCTCAATGATATCATCATCACCACTAGGACGCTTGATAGCTTTGCTATCGCCCTGTGACGGCGATGGCCGAGGCTGTGATCCTGCCTGGCCAGACGTCGGACGAGGCTGAGCCTGTGTTTGCTGATTTTGTGGCGGCTGCATTGGGAACTGCTGTGCGTGTTGGGATGCTGAGAACTGCATTGGCTGAGACATGGCCTGCCCACCACCCTGCTGCTGCATAGCTTTTTGAAACTGCTGACGTTGCCGCTGGACAATCATCCCACGGATCTGGTCGTCACTTTTGTTCGCTAATTGGGGATTTGCTGCTCGCACTTTCTGGATGTCAGCCTGGGTTGGGATTCTCATATTCCCAGGAGCCATGGGCGGTTGCGCCGGGGTCCCTTGTACCTGAGCCTGTGGCATTTGCTGAGGTTGTTGGGGTTGCGGTACTTGAGACATGCCGTTGTTCTGCTGTTGCTGGCCCCGAGTCCTCATGATATGAGCAAAATGAGAGGCTTGAATGTCAAGCACATGAGAAACTGGCCAATTGGGAACCGGATTCTGAATCAGCCACTGTTTGAGTTGATACCAGGTTCTCATCTCAGGCACTGGGGCATGCTGTCTGATGTTGTTGAAGACAGCCGGTGGTACAGGCTGCTGGTCCATAACTTTCATTTGTTGCGGGCTCAGCTGCTGTCTGGAAGCTTGCGGTTGGCCTTGGTTCTGAGGCTGCTGTTGTTGTGGCTGCTGCTGCTTCTGTTGCTGCATAGCGATTTGTCGTTGCCTCATCATTTCTTGATTCTGCTGCATTTGTGCCTGCATTGCATTCAGATCACCTTGCTGGGACATGGCTCCCTGGGATAGAGACTGCATCATTTGCGTCCCACCAACGTTGTTGCCGCCGAGAAAGGCACCATTCTGCATTTGCGGGACTTGAGAAGGTTGCTGTTGTTGTTGTTGTTGCTGCTGCTGCTGATTTTGCATTCCTTGGGGCTGTTGAGACAGACTTCTTCTCATATTGCCACTGTTCTGGAATTGCGTCAGGATGTTTTTCCATTCACTCTGCGGCTTTTGGCGCAGAATTGCTTGCAACGGAGCCGGAAAATTCGCTAGCGCTTGCTCTCGCCTGTGCTGTTCGAGCTGCATGGACTGCTGTTGCTGACCTTGCTGTTGCATGCCGGTATTCATCTGCATCTGTTGTTGGTTCAACATCGGTGTATTAGAGACTGGTCGGGCGACTGGCGGTGCTGGACTTGCTCCTGACACATTGGGACCTACAGGCCGATTGATCGTCGAGAGTGGTGTGTTGGACTGAGGCATACTTTGTCGTTGGTTCGCCATTTGGGCTTGGGCAGCCGCAGCCTGGGCGCGTGCCTGGGCTTGGGCCTGGTTTTGGGCTTGTAGCTGAGCTTGCTGCATCTTCGTTGCTTGAGCAGCTTGCAGACGCTGTTGTTGAGCCATGAAGGCCGGGTTGATATTTCCCTGACCTTGTTGACCCCCACGCTGCTGGTTAGCCATCATCTGTTGCTGCAGCCGCATTTGCTCTGGAATCATTCCCTGAGCAGTACTAGCAGGTACCACCAACTCCCCTTCACCCTGAGAGCGCAGCCCTTCTGCTTGTTGACCTTGAAATCTGCCCATATCCCCCATCATATTTGCACTGCCGTTGATCACCTGATTCGCCTGTTTGGGCTGGTTCTGTTGCTGGGTCATCAAATTACCGTTATTGCTCATTTGACCGGGAGCAACTCCAGCCTCCAACTGCTTGGCTCGTCGAAACTCCTTCGTCGCAAGCATGCGAAAGTAATATATGATTGGATCAACAGCCTTTTGACTGAGATTCTGCCTGAGCTGAGGGTTCATCTTTTCGACGATACTCCTCATTTCCTCTTTAGGAGTGCTCTTTGCAAGTTCGGCCGCACGAAGATTGATGGCCTTGTTATCATCGGCAGTCAGTTCAGCAACTTGAGCCTGCTTCTGTTGACTGTTTGCTTGCATATTCATTTGCATTCCGGGTTGAGACTGGTTCATTGGCGCTGGCTTGACAGGTTGTTGCGGCTGATTCATCATAGGCGACCCTTGCATTTGCTGCTGCAATAAATGAGGCGGAATGCCCATATTAGGGTTCATATTCTGCATCTGCTGTATTTGAGCAAAATTTTGGTTGGGCATTTGCATGTTCTGTTGCATTGGCATCTGCATGCCTTTCATGGCTCCGGTGCCACCCTGGTTCATCTGTTGAGCACGCCAGTCGCGAATCCGGCCCAGTTTATCGCTGCATGCTCGTACATAATCTTCCCTGCTCGCACCTTGAGTGAAGCAATTTCTCTCGAATTGTAAGGCAACCTCGATAGCACGGAGCAACTCGACTGGGGGTTGGACGAGACGGAGAGAATCGACAAGCAATTTGACCTGACCAGCACGTTCTCTTACGCTGACGTTTGCCTGCCAGCCAGTATAAGGGCCCTGTGAGTTGAGAAAGTCGAAAATATGTTGCTGGACCGAAGGATGATTGAGAGTCATCTGTCCTCCTGCCCTTTGAGGCATCCCTCCAGGCATTTGGTTTCGCATCTGGCCTCCCATTTGCCCGCCCATCTGGCCTCCCATTTGCGCTCCCATTTGCCCGCCCATTTGCGCTCCCATCTGCGCTCCCATCTGTGTTCCCATCTGACCACCCATCTGCATAGCCATCTGTTGCATGTTGTTCGGTATGCCCCTCCCCAGACCGGCCATGTTCTGAAACTGTTGTGGGTTCATGATCGTGGAGGGCAGTGACGAACCGCCAGGGCCGTAATATGTGTCTTTCTGATCATTCGTGTAAGTGTTGGCTCCCTAGCAATCTTCGCGGTTCGCTTGCGCTCTTGGTTTTCGGAAGTGATCGGCTGGCGCAGGGTTGGAAGAACGAGGCGGAGGCGGAGGCGGAGGTGGGGGTTCGAGGAATTTAACAAGAGAAGAGGACACTGGGTATGTGCTGCGCTGTGGACAAGGGGGGGTGTGAAGTTGAGGTGAAGTTGAGGCGAAGTCAAGGTGACACAACTTAATTGGCAGCGACTCGAGGGCGGATTGGTGTAGAACCTAGGCGGGATCATGAAAGGAGGAGGAAGTCGAGGTCCATGAGCAAAGAGAGTATATTGTAAAGATCTGTTGGCTTTGAGTCAGTCAGGCATGAACCAAGGCTGACACTAGTGTTGATGGATAGACGGCGCCTGAAGTGGTGGATTGTGGTGGTTGGATAGCCAAACGGGCGCGTCGCTGACGATCCAGCCAACAAGGAACGGTAAAAGGACTTGATTGGAGGGCGGATTGAGGACGGCAGCAGAATCAAAATGTTGCCCAGCTCAGCAGCGTGAACAACACACGCAGGGACAGCGGATGGTTGAGGTCGAAGGCTAGATCGACAACAGTCTGTCCAGAAGTGATGTACGTCTGGGAAAATGTATGAAGCGCATACGGATGAAGTGGATTTCGTGGGCAGTTGGTGTTGATGCTGGACGGAGTTCAGCTGGTCGGTCTAGTGAGGCAATGGCACCGCAGGCATGGCAAGGCTGCAAGGCTAGTGATACCTTGCTTACCTTTCTTAACGAGTTCTGCCCAAGGGACGGTACGCACTAGTCCTCACTAGCCCTCCGTTTGGGGCCCTAAACGAGCCATACAGGCTATAGCACGCAACGCTGACGGGCGTCAGGAGGCCTAGTAGGTAGTTGGTTAGGAGACTAGTTCGCCTAGCACGCCCGCGTAAAATAGCCCAGTGCCCCCCAAAAACATTTGCCTCGCCACAGCCCGCTCTGCCTGACCGCCATATTGTACAGTACAATATGCCTCACTAGCCTAACCAGCCTGCCTAGAGTTTAACCCGCATCCTCTAATCACCAATGACGCAGCCTTGTGGCTTCTTGTAAAGCCTCGCGAGTCGTGCCGTCCTGGTCGCTACCGAACTAACTCGCTCATCTCTCCACCATTTATTCCACCCACTTCCGTATTTTCGGACCATCTCTGCAATTGACGAGGCTTTGAAGGCTTTCTATCCTTAAGCCTCCTGCTGCAGACGTCAAACTTGACGGAGGACTCATTTTCCTTGTCTGTCGCAGTTGCAGCCCGCAGACCTCTGCCTGCGCCATGATCAATCCACTTCTTTGACCGATAACAGACAGATATTTGGTCATGGCGACCTCGATCGGCTCAGATGTCTTTGCAATTCTGGCTTTCTTGGTCATCTCTATTGCCGTTCTCCTCCTTCTGCGGCACTATCTGCCTCTCCGGACCACTCCCGCCTTTCTCCTAGTTCCCATCTTCCTCGCCCTAGTCCTCCCCATCAGTGCTATTTTGTTAGTACCGATCGACCTTGCTTCGAGCGCTCGAGAAGGAAGTCATGGCGGCAAGGGAATATGGCTGCCGCCAAGAGCCGTATTGGTCTCGTGGAGGATTGTGTACTGGTTAACCTTCATGTTGACTTGGGTGGTCCTCCCTCTACTGGGTGAATACATGGACGCAGGCTACCGCGATTCAAAATCTCGCATGACATATTCACTGCGGTCCAATGCTCGATACCAACTCATTGTCCTGGCTTGCGCCGTCGCGGGATTGGTCTACATGATCTTTTCGTATGGCTTCGATTTCACAGCCATTCGCGCATTGATCATGGCCCTTGCCTACGTCTGGGGCCTCATCCTCGCCATCTACCTCATGGGACACGGGTTGGTTGCAATTCCTAGAAAGATGTTCAGGCGATCCGACATTGCTGGTAGTCTGCGCGCTGTGCAGAGTCGAGCGCCGAAAGTGCACGAGAAGCTTGAAGATGCCATCATCTCCCTGGACGAGCTCGAGGCGCAGGTCATGCAACTCAAGCAGCGGAAGACTGGCACAGCCCGCGATTTTCAAGAATGGATTGATGAGCTCGTCGACCTCACCGGCCAGTCAGAATCTCGCATCTTCAGCAATCCCGCCACATTCGAGGCGTCGGCCAAAGTGCCAGCTGTTATCACTGAACGCTATTTGGCCGACTTGACACGCCGCCTCGTGCGTGCCAGACACCGAAGAGCCCGATATATCCTCGAGTGGGACGGCATTGTCCAGTCTGCGTCTGTTCTACAGGCCATCATGGACTCAAAAGCGTCCAAGAAACTCGACTTCCGGCGCTCTTCGTCTCGCTTCTCCCTCCTCACCCCGTTTATGCGCTATCACCTGCATGTTCATATCGTTCCAGCCTTACAGTTAACGCTCGGAGGCCTATTCTCGCTTGCCTCGCTGGCAATAATATGGTCTGAGATCATCAAATTCCCGGCACCGCATCTGTCTGCGGTAAGCTTGACCGTCATACACCACCCGAGCAATATGGACTATCAGATTGGTCTTGGTGGCCAAATTCTAGCTTCTTGCTGGATAACATACATGTGCGCATGTGCGTTGTTCAGTGTCAACGATGTGCCGACGTGGAATCAGCGTGCGCTGGTCAAACGAAACACCTATGCTGAATCCGCATGCTGGTATGCTGGCCAGATTGCCAAACTCACCGTACCTTTGGCATACAATTTCTTGACGTTCCTTCCCCGCGACATCCAACAGTCTAGCACCTTCTACCAGTTCCTCGGACGATTCATCAACCTCACACCGCTGGGGACGTGGTTCGACTATCTCTTCCCAATATTCATACTTATCCCAGTGTGCGCCACCCTGTTCAATATGTATGGTCGGATCAAGAGCGCCTTTGGTTTTGATATAACGGAGGATGAAGACGAGGAATTGAACCCTTCCGGGTTCGGAACTGGAGGGTGGAGAGAGGGCCGGGATCTCATTGCGCGAGATATTCAAGGCAACCGCTCGAGCACGTTAGGGCTCAGCGACTCTCCGCGGCACAGTCTTGACGGCCCCAGACGCCCGCGCGATGCTCCCACAAGATGGGTGCCTCCCGCGCAACGGCCGGCAGGTCCAGGTACGGCGAACAGATCGGCGGCACGAACCCTCGATCCGGAACCAGAAGAAGAGAACTTCTTCACGCTCTTTGGCCGCCGGGTGAAGAATACAATCGACACAATCGACACGCCGAAATGGATGCAGCCGACTCGCTCGACGTCGGGCCTGGGTGGCGGCGGCGGCGGGTTCAAGAGGCCGAAGTGGTTGGGTGGCAGCAGCGACTCTGCTGCGTCCAACTCAGCGCCAGGTCAGGCCCCAGAGAGCAACAGTGCGAATAACAGCAACAATATCCTCGGCCGGTTCGGGTCGAGAGGCGGTGACGGACGCATCATGATCTAGCATATACAGTATACTTTTTAGTCTTGATTCTTACTCTAAGAGATTATAATTAATATTTCTTCGATGATTGAGTATGGAACCACCTTTGCGAAGCGATTTCCCTCTTCTCTTCACAAGTCCAGCGAAGTAGTAATAACCTTTTAAAACCCTAGGAAGATTTGACATAGACGGGATTCGACGCGCTATGTCAACTTGTAGCATAATCATAGCTATAGTTGTGGACACCCGTAGATCAATGAATCATCGAGGCAGTTGGTCTCACGGCGACAATCCGTACCCTCTTGACCAGGTATAGAAAGAAAAATTCGTCATCATTTTTGTATAATCTTTACAGATCTCCAATAATCAGTTCTGGCGTCAAGTCATACGAGTATTACATCTCCCTCATGTTTCCTGGTCCTGCAGGCGGCGGTGGCGGGCCCATGGGATATCTTCCGTCTGATCCCATCCCAACAGCGCTGGCTGGAGGAATTCTAGGTGGCCCTCCACCCATCATCATACCTCCCCTCATGCCGTCTCGCCCTCCTCGTGACGACATACGGCCACTTCCGCCCATACCAGGGATTTCAAAATCGGGATTGCCAGCAAGGAGCACGTCTCGCCTCATCTGGTGTTCTCGCCGTCTGGGAGGTCCCAGCGAGGCAAATTCGCCACCATTACCCGGGCGCCAATTCGGGTTGATCCCGCGCTGGCTGACCGACGTAAAATTACTTGTTTCACTCTCAGCAGGCGACCGGGCTCCGGGCAGGTCTTCGTACGAGTTTGACGGTGGTAGTGCCAGAGAGTCGGGTCGATATTGAGGCTGTCCTGCAGTCAGAAGTGGTGGCACTGTTGTGGGCTGGGTGGCTGGGTTCGGTGGAATTGCAGGCATTGGTTCGGGGTCAGAAGCGAAGCGAGGGTCGACGTCTTCGTAGTATACATCACTGCCCCCGGAATTGACACGTGGTCTCCGTGATGGACCACTATATCCTCCCACATGACTGCCCGTCGAAGGCAATTCGACTGGAGAAGTATAGCGTCCAGGGGATCCCGGTTGGGCAAAGTCCTCATGCGATACGTTGTTCCACTGTGAACGCGGAGGAATATATCTGGACATGTTAGTTCCTGGATCTGTTCGGTATCCACATTGACTTACGGATCTTGACTCTGTGACCGAGAGTTCGTTCTTGAACTTGTCGGTAATTCTGTTGGCTGGGCCGATGGCAAAGGCGGCATTACTGGAGGTGGAGATTGTTGTCGAGTGGTCCCGACTGGTGATTGCATGCGACTTCCATATCCAGAGCGTGCTGGAGATTGCGCTCGGGCCCCATACGGAGCCAGGTGTTCTTCTGGTCCAGTGGTATATACAGATGGGCTCATGGCATCCGCCCGGTTGGGTGCTGGATTCTCGACATAAGGCGTTGAGCCCGCAACTGGGCCAAAAGGTCCCATGCTGTCGGGATACGAGTCCGGGGGTGTCGTTCTCTGGCCTCCATCCGGGGGATAACCTGGTGGGGGGCGACGCTGCCCATCAGCCATCATTCCCCCTGCGGCCATTCCTGCTCCAATGGCTCCAATGGCCGCTGTAGGTGGATATCCTCCTCTTCCACGACCAGTGTAGCCGCCTCTCATCTCAGGGAAAAATCCACCGCGTCCTGGATAGCCTTGTGGTGGAGGAGGGCCTCGAGGCCCGTACCCTCCTCCTCTTGGAGAATAAGCTCCACGTGACGGGTACTTGCCCCTGCCTCGAGAGCCATAACCTCTGCTACCTGGAGGGGGAACTGAACCTTCACGGTACGAACCAGCTGGCGTACGCTCTTCACTAGCTTGCCTTGGAGGCATCATGGCTCCAGCAGCACGTGGAATAGGGTTCCCATATTGATCCCGCCTTTCATCGTAAGGCGGCCGACTATTCGATCGGACAGAGGGAGGAGGGTAGAAGTTATCAGAGGCACCATCTCTCAAGGTAGTTCCATCGCTCGTGACGCCTTGTGACCTCAACGGTTGGCGGTCCTCGTCTGGCTTTCCCGACTCAAAGGTGGCAAAGTTCGGTAATCGGTCTGCTCCTGGAGCTCCGTTTACCATCGGCATTGTAGGTTCGGCAGAATCGAATGTCTGCGCGGGCAACTTCGACTCTTGAGCTTGTCTGTTGTAGAAATTTTCGCCGCTCATTTCGGCATTTTCAGCAATCCTCTTCTTCCGTGCTTTGCGAGACACCAGCGTCCTCCTCATCGCACAGGTGACGACTCCGGAGGCCGTGATTAGAATGGTTGAGGCAAGGACAATCCATCCACCCCATTGTAAATGAGGCACGAAAAGTAGAATATCAACCAGGAAAGCCAACAAGGTCACCAGCAGGGTCGGCAAGAGCAGGATAAGAAGGCCAAGAAGGTATCGAGCCGAATGCGATGGCGAATGCAGATGAGCGGCAGCGGCAAGGGCAAGACACACTAAGTTGCAGAAGGCGGCGACCGGATGAACAATGAGCAAGGAGGATAGGGAGTGCCTGGTCGAGGCAGGCAAGTTAAAGTCTCCATTGTCATCAGAGCCAAATATTTCATCTATAGACAGATTTAGAAGGGTTTTCGGAGACGGAAGAATTGGTCATTACCCGTGGTATAGCCCACTCTTATATCGCTGCATGACTTGGTAGTACAGTAGCCAAAGACACCAAAGTTGACACCCCTGTAAGTCGCAATGGGGATCGATTTGACGATGGGGGTTGAGATGACAGACAAGAGAAGAAGGACGAAAGATATCAACAGCAAGACTGTCAACGGCGTGGCGGGTCTGAGCATCGTTCAGGTGGACAGGATGGTGGGATGCCGCAGACAGAGAAGAGGAGGATCAGGTCGATGGCGCCGGCGCGCAAAGTGGGAGTGAAAGATAGGTGCGCATTGATGGTGCTTTTGTTGAAACGAGCGAAAGGTGCAATCTGCAAGCGACACTCCAGATGTGGGTGGACAGGATGCTGACGACAACGAGGAGGAGGAGGAGGACGAGGACGAGGACGAGGACGAGGATGATGGTGAGGTTGAAGATGACGGCGGCTGAAAGTACTGGAGTAGTACCGAAGGCGTTTGAGATAAGTAACCGGTTGCTGTAGGAGTCGGTTGCTTTCCTGCAGTCGAGATAGAAGGTGGAAATGGGGCATGGATCAAACTAAAGTCAAGGCTGGGAAAGGTGGTTTGACGGGCCTCTGAGTCCTTGACAGGCGAGGCGCAGCCGTTGCTGCTGCAGGAGGAAAACCGGGCAGAGGAAGGAGTGGAGACGCTTCCAGACGGCCACTAGCTGTCCAAGTGGCTGCTCTAGGCTCATTATGGGGGCTTGCGAGGCCTACCGAGCCCCGGATAACCAATTGTAGCCGACAATTCCTCCAGGAAACCCACCTAGATCTAGTTGTTGTAGGTGTCTAGCTACACACAGTTTAGGTTTCATAGGCGACGGCCTTCTCAATGGTCCGGGGGCTTTTAGCGATGCTTCGGGATTCAATTATTAGCTTGTCGGCGCACGCGTCTTTCCTCTCCCTCACTTTGCTCCTTCCCCTGCTCCGTATCTCTACCCCCTTCCTGGCGTCCCTAGGCAGGACACAGCGAGGACTCTATGCGTAGCACCTTCTCGATTTCCCTGCGCCTTTGGAAAAGCTGACCCTGTATGTAACCCACCCTCCAATCCCAAGTTCAAGGTGAGCTCGAGAGCAACCAATCTAGGCGCCACGAACTCTACCGAGCCTGGTTCCTGTATGTTTTGCATCTGATCCTGTTTTGATGCCTGAGGTTCCCCGGTCATGGCGTCAATTCGGATGCAAGACATCAAGGAACATGTATGATGTTACTCAGTGCTTGTCTCAAATCACTAGGCACCCAATATTAGCGCAGATCCGTGGGTCAAACTGGAAATGCTACGGAACAACATGCGCTGGATCTCGCTTCCTCAGAAATTGAAACTCACAATCTCCTCGTCCTAGGCCGTGTCACATAGCGTGCTCCACACAAGCGTTTCGGAAACTAGAGGCCATGTTGACTATTGGTTTATTCACACGGAGTATGCCAGTACTTACAACATATTGAACAATAATAATACAAGTCTGGAGCGACACATTGCTCTGTGTGGCAGTTCTTACTTGCCTCCTCGCAGTTGTCTGGAAGGCTATGCTCGGCCTCCTAGTACTCGTACAAGGACTACCAGGGACCGGCCTCCAGCGAAGGGGGAGGTAGTCAAGCTTGCCGGGCCGTATTTCCGTGGATCGAATTATTCAGACTCCGAGAAATTTGCGTTTGACATCAGCTTCTTTCAGAAAATGAGCCAAGCTTACTGTACTTACACCAGGAACCTGTACTCGTACCGGGCATCTTCGAGTACCAAGATGCCAGTCACATGACCAGGTCGACCCCAGGGTCTTAAGCTCGGCCAAGCTTTTGCTCAATGGTGGAAATGGCGGGGCACAACGCTGCAGGTTCTATGCATCTGCCACCGACGTCACCACCCCAGTATCCAGAATTCGTGCTCCCAAAGTTCAGGTGTACTTTGATGAGATGCCATATGGTCTCACTGCAACTTTCTCTACGGTTGAATGAACACCTGCACGTTTTCCTGAAAAGCTGCCATGCCCTTGTTCAATCAGTCTCGCCTCAACGGCAAGGAAAGAACAAGAATGGCATAGTTGCACCCGCCTCGGCACCAGGGGCTCTTCTATCCTGCGTCCTCACTTACCGCCTACAATCATGAACGACCCGGGTCTTGCCGAACCGATCGATAATGCTGACAGTCAGGTCAAAGAAAACGTCCTTTCTCCCAAGAAGAAATCGCCCGAGGACGATATGGACGAGGAAGAGGAGGAGAGGAACTTCTTGACACCTGCAAGGTGGTGGTATGCGTCAACTGGTTTTCCACTGATCGCAGGCACTTTCGGTCCTATGGCAAACGCCTTTAGTATTTGTGCTCTTGTTGAGAATTGGAGAGTCAAGATCCCGCCTGGCGGAACAGAGGAGCATGGGATTGACATCAAGGATCCGAGATGGTATGCTCCCCTGCGAATCAGCACACAATACTAACGGTCAGCAGGTTAATAGCTGTAAATGCGATATCCTTGGTCTGTGCTCTCATTGCCAATGTGTCGTTGCTCCTCAACATGGCACGTCGAGTACCGTTCGAGGTCGCCCAACCCATAACCATCATAGGCTTCTGGACCGCGTCGATCCTGCTCATCGCCCTCATCGCCGTTGCTTCCCACCATTTCCATGCCCCGGGAGTAAGGGATCAGGCTTTAACGCAGGCGTATTACTATGCCATCTTTGCAGCGGGCCTTTACCAAATTATATCATATCTGATGTGTGTTACCGTCTACGGCGCGTACAAGGGCTATTACAGTCGAGAGTTCAAACTTACAGTAGCTCAACGTACCTTGATGCTTCAGACAATCTTATTTCTCACGTATCTGCTTCTGGGGGCTCTAGTTTTCTCACATATTGAAGCTTGGAAGTTTCTCGATGCAGTGTATTGGGCCGACTTCACGACACTAACTATCGGAATCGGTGCTGATTATACACCAAAAACACATTTGGGCCGAGGGTTACTCTTTCCATTCGCCATTGGAGGTATCATCATCTTGGGTCTGGTTGTCAGCTCTATCAGGTCACTGGTTCTAGAGAGAGGGAAAAAGAAGCTGGCCGCCCGGCTGACCGAGAAGACTCGAGCAAGGTTGGTGAGAGAGATTGAGAAATCAATGCAGAAACAGATCGACCTGAAACGCCAAATCGCCATGGGCCTCGGAAAAGCTACCGCCGACGCGCTCACTGTCAAACCTGGGGACGATCGAATGGCTGAAAAAGACAGAAGAAGGGCCGAATTCGAAGCGATGAGAAAGGTGCAGGATCGTGCGGTAACTCAACGAAAATATATGAGTCTTGGGATTTCTTCCTTTGCATTCGCCTTCTTGGTTAGTATCTGGGCCCACGTTGACGAAAGAGTTGTTCTATGCTGACGAAGCACAGTGGTGTATAGGTGCATTGGTGTTCTTCCGGTCTGAACACAATCAGCAATGGACATATTTTGAGTCGCTATACTTTTCATACACCACTCTTTTGACTATCGGCTATGGCGACTTTCAACCTATCAGCAATAGCGGCAAGCCCTTTTTCGTGTTCTGGTCCCTCCTGGCGGTACCGACCTTGACCATCTTGATATCCGACATGGGGGACACCGTGGTTAAGGTCATCAAAGATTCCACAATCTGGCTTGGAGAAGTGACTGTGCTGCCGAGTGACGAGACCAGTATGAAAAATCGGCTCAAGTACGGCATCTACAGATCTACTTGGGGCAAGTTGGGTTCACCTCATTCCGATGTTGAGAGCGTGGAAGGAGAACAAAATGGGTTTCATGAGTTGCATCCTGGGTTGGTGAAGCTATTTCGAATTGGCAGTGGCGGGCGACAACAGGACACAAGAGCACGCGCCGATCATGCCGAACTAGCAGGAGACGTTGAGCAGTCAAAACGAGTTGATGAGAGCCAAGCTCGCAAAGGAGGAAGTCATTGGGAAGAGAGTGAGGTCTTCTTCGATCCGACGATGGGCATTCAAAAGGTTGCTGACGCTGACAGATGAGCACAATAACCGGCATGTCTTACTCTCCCAGATCCGGAAGGTGTACACCGACACTACAGCCTCAACGCCGAAGCGATACTCTTATGATGAGTGGGTAGACTTTCTCAAGCTCCTGGGCGAGGACGAGCGGGACCCTACGACACACAGACATGCGTCCGCGCTCGCAGACCCCACGTTTCGCCAGGGCGATACGACTGTCGATAATAGGAAGGTGCTAGATCTGGGTGGACAGGAAGGAGCGTACGGCAAGGGCAGCGACAAGAAGAAAAAAGTCAAATGGAGCTGGATCGGCAACAGGAGTCCGCTGATGGGAGACAAAGAGGAGGCCGAATGGTTGTTGGAAAGGCTGTTTGAGAAGCTGGAAGAAAGCCTCCGCAGAGAACTGGACGAGAGAGAGGAAGAACAAGAAGGGGCGAAAAAGAAACCAAAGCGGCGTATTAACTCCATTGCCGATCAAGAGGACACTTGTACCTCTGGTAGCGAGGAGTCTTCTGACACCACACGGTGCAGGGAGAGTGGACAGACAGAGCAAGGAGGAGGAGCAGGAGGAGGAGGAGGAGGAGCAGAAGAAGAAGAAAGAAAAGATCCCGTCCGTACCCGATGAGTCGATGACCGATGACCTCGCCCAACCACGACTGATTTCCCGGTTTACGTGGGGTTTAGGAACAGGCCACGGGACAACACCTACTTACTTACTAACTAGTCATTGTTGACACCAGTCAGTCATACACACTATGATATCAAACAAACATGTATAAAAAAGACCTTGCAAGACCTAACGGTTCCTCAACGGACAGTAGTTGTGCTTATTTACTCGACGGCTGTGGTAGGGAACTGTGCGCGAGATGCGGATGCTGCCGCTGGGTGCCACGCTAAAGTCAGGGGCCGGCAGCCTCGTTTCAATAGTCCCACGTAAGAGTAAACTTTGTTGCTTTGGAAAAACTTCTTGACACATGTATCGTCCCCCTGGAGACGTCGCGCCATGCATCATAATATCCCTTATTACCCAGCCTGTTTGTTGCCCATGGACTATCATGACTCCAGCGGACTGTGTAATAACTCAACACAGCGCCCGTGTTCATCGCCTTGCTCGCGCTTTCAACCTGCGCTCTCTTCTTTTTCTATTCTCACTCTCCGTCAGAATCTCCAGAACGTCGCTCCCGCACCATGCGCTTCTTCGCAAACTTTACGCAAGGTTTACAATAGATCACGCCACACGATTTGCATTCCCACGTCCCTGGCTTGACGGCATTGTTGGGTTGATCTTGGCCTTGAGCTTCCGGGAGTTTCTTTTCCTTCTTGGATGCATCCTCGTCTGTGTACACCGCTACCTTTCTAAAGCAGGCCATGCATTCGATCTCGACGAGCTTAGCATGGCGAGGATCGAGCCCGACCATCCAGAAATCGGGGATTGCGGCAGTGTTGAATTTGCGAAAGCGATGTCTACATCCCCAGACGTCCCATGCTTCGTCATTGGGCTCACTCCCAAAGTCAAAGGCACCTTCCCACTCATCCAAGTCAGGCTCGTCGAGATCTGGAGCCCCGTTGTCCTCAGATGGTGCTGCCGTATCCGCAAGTACACCTGCGATGGTCGATTCGGCGGCGGCCTGTGTCTGCATCTCGGTTTGGTTGTCCATGATGGTGTTGTTGCCACGTCCATTACGTGGATCCACAGCGACGACTGCATTGTTGGTACCGCTGGCAGGTATAGTATTAGCTTCGGCCATGTTGGGAGCCTCTTCTTGCAGGACACGGATGTTCTCCTCGGCTCGTTCACCACCTGCTCCTTCTCGAGAACCGCGCATATCAATCGCTGCTAGTAGAGCGGCAAATCCTAGGTTTGGCGGTTCCGACGATCGCTCCTGGCCATCCTTGACAGTTTCGGAGTCGCTGTTGGCATGGGCTCTGGATTCCTGCACAATTTGCGGATGGTGTTGGGGGTGTTGTTGGTCGGAAACGACAACTAGGCTGTCACTTCCTGTTGGGCGAATGGCAGTGTCGTTGGATCCGCGCTCCGGTGACACATTGTGCCCTTGGGTTTCAAGCTCATCGTCATCAGCATCGGCCTCAACTTCTTCATCCTCAGCGTCCTCTTGTGGCGTATTGCCGTCTTCACGTGCTGCCTGACAAGGCCTCTGGTAGCAGGCAAGTATAGGGCGTTGACAATCCCAGCACCAGTGTGCACCACATCTACATCTTATGTGAGAACAGCCAAACATCCTTGCCACCCCCATCCCACACTTGGGACATGTTTTGTAAGAGAAGGTGTCAAGGATGAAATTGCGCTTTTCATCCCCATAACAAGCGTGTCCGTCGTTGGCCAATTGTTTACAATTTGTGCATACCCTGGCGTCGCAAGTAGGACAGGTCGCTTTGGAGCCTTTCTCATCGAATATTCTAGGTGGCAGAAATGTTGAGCAGGTAGGAACCGGACAGTACAGAGGATTTATGGTGCTGAGCTCGTCAAACCTGGATTTGTAAGCTTCGAGTTCGACTGTAGGCAGAATTTCGCGAGCAGTCTCGTGATGGATGACGGTATTGCAGCATCTGAGGGGCATCCTCTCCATATCCTCCATGGCTGCTTTGAAGTCACGCCTCACGCAATCATGGCATCGAAGCAATTTGCATCGGCGACAAGGGACCGCACGAGCGTGGTCTTCAAACGGGGCCATGCAGATAGAGCATGTGAATCCGCCGTGAGGTTGGACAGTATAGGCCCGGTCGCCAACGGTGATGGTGATGCGTGACCGAAGGGCCCGGGCTGCGTCTGCGGCTGTGGAGAATTCAAAGACGAAGTTCTGCACGATCCTAGCAGTGCGGTTCAGACGAGTGTGTGAAATTTTAGCCCCTATGTAGCCTTCGGCGCCGGCGAACTGTCGTTCGACATCTCCCAAGGAAGTGGTGGGGTCGAACAGAACGTCTTCGATGATGAGCGAGCTCGGTGTCTGGCCTGCCATGGTTGATGGAAGGAGTAATGGATGGGCGTGACCATCCGGCAAGGAGGGCGTTCTGCTGTCAGAACTATGAACGACCGTCGACGATTGACAGCCAGCGGTGGTGGTGTCCGTCGTAATAGTGAGGGTGGATTTGGCAGAGGAAGATCGCCGTAGATGAAGTTGAAGATGCGATCGTAAACGGCGAGCAAGCCTTGATATGATGGTTCCAGCCATGTGAGGCCGGTGTCCAGACGCCGATAAGGTGAAGATGCTGAACGCGTATCACTACTTCACTGTGTCTCGGTTGTGCCTGGAATCGAATGCCTGGTAAGTCGGCACGCAGTGGCAGCAAGGCTGAGGTGGCAGGCAGTGACTTGTAAGGCTCCGTGGCTGAGTGATTACAGGCCACAGACACCAGCCTTGAGCCTTCTTTCAACACCGTCGGTACAAACGCTGACCACAATTTGTCGAGGACTTTTGAAGCTTTGCTGGAGATAATACCCTCTTTTTCGGCTCTTTATAAAACCTCCAGAGAGACAAGCAACGGCGCTATCGATTGTGCCGCTTGAGTCATGTCTGTCCATGACCGGTGAGACATTAGGCGACCCTGACAATGATTGGCCGATAGACCAGGCAGTGCAATGGGCTTCAGCTCTACATGGAGTTGCCTGGAATCGTCGACGGCTACACAGACCCGTTGGATCCTTCAGCATCTCGGTCGAGAGCTCGCATGGTATCAATTGGGAGTATGTCTCTGGTGGGCTTTACGGCCACACCTGACTCTCAAACAAATCGACACAAGTCTTTGAATCATATGAGTGATAGGATGCTCCTTATTAATCCGCCCCACGCTCTACACCGTCGTTGTTGAGAACAAAGAAATGCTGCAGGGGTGGATTATGCGGAACCTCGACCTAGAGGAGCCAGAGCAAACAAGGTCAGATTCCCTCCTCTGTCACTTTTCAACCCTTCAATCACCTCCAAGGAACGATCCGTGTACCTCTTATCCAGTTCTCCAGATGTCAAATTACCCAAGTATCGATAGGCGTGGGTGTCGAGGGAGAGAGTGTCACTCCCAGGAAGGTCACCATCGGCATTCGAGAGGCTGTCAGTCTAGCCTTGAAGTTGAATCTCCGTCCCAAAGTCCTCGGCATGGCTGATGATCGTGACCTCAACACAGGAAACCGATACTCATAATGGTTCACCATTGCCTACTGGTACAAACCCAAGAGATTGCACAAGAAAATATCGATAGCTTATGGGTTCGGAAGCGTCACAGTCGTACTGGAGGCCTGCTTGACCTACTTCTGATGATAAGACAAAGACACAAGCCATCGACTCCATCTTGGATGTCCCTTGCTCAACAGAACCACTCATCATCAGCACGTCAGTTTTCAAGGTCGAATCGCGAAAAGCATCACGCCTTCCCTCAATTCTGTGCGTGCTTCCGAAAGTAGACGTAGAAGGCTCCGGTCCCTGGTCCAAAGTAGGGTGAAAGTTTGTCGATCTCTTCCGCGAAGAGTGCAGTCTTGCTTGCTGTCTGATGAAGCTAAGTGCCGCAGCGATGCGCAGGACAAGGTCAGTTCAATGCAGGCGCGCTAAAACGCTCAGAGAGATGCTTGCTTGCTTGCGTACCTCCACACTCTCCCATCCGAGGACGTACACACCCAACCTCTTCTCGTCGGAAGCCAGTTGGACCTTCTCACTCGTCAACGGGCCGCCCCGAGAGTCGTTCGTATTGGAGCAATATGCCCACTGGCCGCCTTCAAAGCCTCGCATGCCGTATGCGTCGGTGTACGTTTTGTGCATAGATGTTTGGAAAGCGAGAGACTTCAAAGGCGCTTGAGGTGACAGCGCTATGAATGCCTAGTTGTGGGTCGACATCACCCATGGCTATGCGTCAATAACGACTGGAGTGCATCCATCATTCCAAAGGAAAAAAAAGGGGGGGAAGCAGGCAATGAACGAGCGCGTGTAGAGAGAGAGAGAATGAATGAAAGCTGCACTTCAGGAAAAAGAAAATGAGACTGATTTTGTCTCTTTCAGAACTAGACTCACAAACTCGCATACGCGCGCCTCGAACGCCTTGGTCAATTCAGGGACCTGGGCGTCGTCGATCTCGAGAAGCAGTGACGACGTCGTCACATCGTCGCCGTTGATGGTGACGATGCCGCCGCGGCCGCCGTCGTCAGATGATGATGATGGTGGTGGTGGTGACGATGCTAGTGTTTCCGCACGTTGTGCGGCCGTCGAAGTCGCGGGCCAATCTGGAGCAGACAGAGAGTAAACACGCAAAGATCCCCCGAACTCTGTAGTACTCAACATGTCCGACGGGGACAAAACGTACTGATGGCCCAACAGATCTCCTCGGCCTTGCGAGGCAGCGGCGCTGAGATGGTGTATCCCACGTATTGGCTGATGCAGACCTTGGCCACGGTTTCGCGAAGGCGATAGAACTCGGGGCTGGAGATTGTTTGCGGATAGGGGAGAGTGAAGCGCAGAATCTGTGAAATCATGGTCTTGGGACGAACGTTCATTGGGGGCTTGCGATGCCTGCTGGGAGGAGATACTGTTGTAGATAGCTACCTACCTACCCGAGGGTGCTCACGGTGGGACACGCGAGTGCCAGCGTCCCTTTTATACCTTTGCAGCCACAGACGTGTCCGTCACTGTTCGTCGCATAACATCGAAGATCGTGCAGACGGGCTCGGTAGAATTCCGAGTTCTTTGTGGCGTGTTGGGATTATCTCGCTTCGATAAGCCAAATTTCGTTCCGCTGTACGGACCAGTCAGTCATTCCGGACGAAACCTCATCCGTCGGCCGGTGATTCACATAAAGGATATCATTGATACTCATCAATGTACGGGGTACGTAGTAGTACTCGGTCTCGTCTTCGTGGTGGATTTTTATCAATGTGTGTCAATTAATGTTTATTTTTACGACCAGAAATGCCACCAAACTTCTGTCTGTTCCCCTATCAACTCAAGATGTTACAATCCGGTTCCTCACGCAACGAGCCTCGAAGATTTTAACGACTTTTGTTGGTCTCCTCACTAAGGTCGTCCGTCGTCTTAGAATGACCGACACACCCTGGGCACTCGTCCGCTACGCATACTCTAACCCCTTCCTTGAAGACACCACCACCGCCGCCACCGCCTCTTCTTGTTAATCAGTCCTCTTTCGTCCGCGTGGCAGGCGAGAGCACGTCCGCGCCCACACGCTTCTCGTAGTCCAGCTGCACGACGTCGAGGTCAAAATCCGCCTCGCCCACCAGCTTTTTCGCTTCTGAGAGAAGATCCGCCAGATCCTCCTCAAGCAGTGTCGTGCTGACTTGGATGACCGCGTAGGCCGAGTAGCCTGGCTCACAAACATGCCGGGTGCTTAGGATCTCAGAATCCAGCGACGTCAACATCTGGCCGATGTGAAATCTCTCCGGGGCTCTGAGGTAGGGCGGCAGGGGCTTGCCGCTGCCGATGGCGCTTGACAGGATCGCAAGAATCGATGTCACGTTGTGAGAGGCCAGTTCAAGCGAGGTGACGAGACTCTTGAAGTCCCTCAGCCAGCTGCTCTTTGTCTCTCCATTGACGTCTGCCGAGTCCGGAAGTTCGCCGTCGGGAAGTTGCGAAAACGTCTTGGACACGTACGCCATCATACCTGTGAATCGGAGGATGCTGTGCAGCGGAACAGCAGGGTCAGCCTCTGGCCGTCGCAAGCTCATACTTTCTCTGGCTTTTTGAGAGGGGAGGACACTTACTTTTGCGTGTGATTTAGTAGCCGCTCATACGTTTCTTTCGGGAACTTCCCGCCGAATGTAGGCTCCCACTTGATGAAGACGAGATGGTTCTTCATGGCCTGAATCAGAATCAACTCTTTGGCGAAGAGCTTAAGGCGTGCTTTCTCGACCTTCCGGATCGGACTGTTCTTGTCGCCTGCATCCCCCCCGAGCCCCTTCAGTCGCAGCGACAAGGTCTTGTGCGTCAGGCTGTAGTAGTGGCCCAGCAGGTACAGCGTGTTGCCGAGGTCTTTGCGCATCTCGCTTCTTGCAGTCGTCACCGATGGGAAGTATGTCATAAGACATGCAACACCCACGCCGCCAAGCACGCAGGCCAGTCTGTACGGAGCCAGTTCGTAGATGGGATGGAAGACCTGCCCGTTTGACTCGGAGATCGCGATGCCCACCTTTTTCACTTGCAGTTCGTACCCGACAATCAGCATGGTGGTGATCATACCGATCATGGGAATGACGGGATCGTCTGGTTTGGTCACCAGCAAGTAATGGTACAGGAACATGGTGACACCGACAAACACGATGACGCCTGCAGTGTGACCGTTGACGATGTACCAGTCAATGTACGAGAACACCATGGAGAGGAAAGTCCCAAATACTCGCAGGAATTGGCCGTACATTCCCGAGCCCGCTGTTTGAGTCATGCTGATCGCGACCATGATCGCGCCCCAGGTGATACGCTGCTCAATGTAGAAATGCTGTGAGTTACGTAGGTAGCACGGTAGAGCGACAATCATGGTTCCCGTTGCCACTTTGAACCCAAACCACGATTCCTTCGATCCACAAATCTTGGGAATGAGACGCAAGTAGTCGGTCAACTTCTCCCACCAGGTCTCGGGAGGAAGGTGTTCGGGATCGCGTTCGACACCTAGAGCATCACCCAAGTATACAGTTGGCGTGCCGCTACGATAACTGTAAGTCTGATAGTCAAGGTTGCTGTCTTCTCGGCTGAGCAAAGCCCTGCCCCATTTCTTGAGTGTTTTCCAGCTCGGCACAATCAGCCGTTTATGCTGCAATGTGCCATCCTGGACTTTAGAGTCAGCGAATCGCACCAATTCCAGAATGCCACGGGCGGTGGCAATGATGGAGAATTCAAGCTGTCGTGACTTCTTAGCGTACGTCTTCCACAACGATCTGGTGTGGTACTCACATCGAGAGTCAGGTACAGCTGTGAACGGCTGGGCTGTTGGATGGCCGCGGGCGGCTCTGACCCGGCAATCGTGTCCAGACCATTTGTATTGCACCAGTCCTTTAAGGGTCCTTCTCGTGCCTTGAGAAAGTCGTCGATAGTAGTTTCAAGGTAGCCGGCGAAGCCTTTTCCATCAGCAGATGCCGCTTTCCGGGCTTCAAGATCTTCCTTTGTGCCGAAAGCCGGCTTTTTGGTGAAGCCGAGGGTCAAGAACGCATAATCAAGGCCTTCGGTCATCGCCTTGATGAGTTGCTGTGATGGTTGTTGAAGCTGTAGGTATAGTTGGCTCAAAGATTGCGTTCCCTGGCCCTGTTCGACCACATTAGAGCTCGTTCCTTTGCTGATCTCGACTGTTGTCCAACCTCCCATCTTCTCCAAGCGGTCATTAGCCTGAATGATGGTTTCCATTCCAGCCGTAGAAATAAGCACATTACGCAGAAGTTTCGACACGCTGCCGAAATCTTTGGCGGTCAAATTGCTCCAGGCAATTTCACGCTTGACATAGCGCATTTCAGATTGAATCTTGACTTGGCACTCAGTTGCCGCTGCAATTGCAGCCCGCCACTTGTCCGCCTCTGGCCATTCCGTGATTCGATCCGTAGAAGTCTTGTCACTGTCACTGCCAATGCTACGAGCGTTAGCACTTGCTGCTAGTTGGCGACTGGGCAACGATTCAATCAATTGAACCTGAGCACCGAATGTCGACCCGAGATGATGAAGATATTCGTTGAGCACAATTGTGACAAGATCTCGAGTCGTGACAGGAATCACCACGAAGTGGACTGCAAAAGCGATGCCGAAGCCGACGAAGAAAGTGTCCAGAAGTCGTCTTGCTGTGCGTAAACGAATCAGCAAAGGATGAATTGCCATCTTAACGAAATCATACTCAGGCTATATGCTTGTTCCATAGTAGGAAATATGCACCCATATGTCGCAGTTATGTTGATGTAAATCGAAAAGACAATAAGGGGGAGGAAATACGGTGGTCGAAATGCACGAAACCTGCGTCACTCATTAGCAGTTTCGAAGTACAACGATGTTGCCAAATCGCAAGCATACGTGTTATATGCCCATAACCAGAAGAAGAACCACACCGCAAGGCATGCACTGGCTGCTGCATTGTACGAAACCACTTGAGCCCCCGGGACGGGCCCATTTCGCATTTGTTCTGCGGACAAATGTGTCGTATTCTCTCGGGCCTTGATGGCCGTCCACATATATAGCAACGAGATTGCAGCCGCGAAACAGGTGAAGATCTTTGACTCGTCAGTCGCCCATGTCCAACAGATACGTAGTTCTGGTCGGTGCGCGGACATACGCAGGTAACAAAAAAGTTCTGGAGAAATCTTGCTCGCGGCAGGATGGGAACAACAAACAGGGACATCATAGGGATTAAATAGCCGATAGTGCTGTACCGCTCCGCCACGCTGTCGGCTTGGTATCTGATATTGTAAGCACCAAGGTCGCCCTAGCTTCAGAATACATACATCGCAAGTCCGATAGTGGGTGCGACCGCTCCCCTAGAGATAGCAATGTTAGGACTGCAACTGTGTATGATACTCGCCAGGTACATCATCTAGGTCAATCGATCGGAGCTGGTTGTACTCAACGTACTTGAACATTAACAAGACGGTAGGGAGGTCGAGCTTTAGACCCAGTCTATCCATGATTCTCTTCATCCTCGAAGGCCGTACGACGTCTGCCATATTCTCGGACCGGTTTCGTCGCTCTGGTAGTGGTGGGACAGCTGAGCTTCCACATACGAGGATAGTATAACCAGAGAGGTAAGGCACCTGGCGATATTGGCTGCCAAAGGTGGTTGAGCGGTTTCAACACTGCAAGAAAGAGGTGTGTGTGCAGAAGAGAGCAAAACAAATGAAAAAGATACAAAGACAAAGACAAGCAAAGCATTTCGAAACATCGAGACAAATTCATGCCCGGGGACCTCATTCCATTCCTTGAATCTCACTGCGCTCAACGGCATGGATGTTTCTCATGTAATCCATGAGCTCAGCATGTGGCATGATGCACATACTAAATCCGGTATAGGCAGCAACAGGGCCGGCTGATCTTGGCGACGTCGTTGGTGTCGGTTACATAAAGGGCCCGGAAATCAACACGGGGAGCTGAATCCCGTTGCAGTCTAGTGAGTCTAGCCTGGCTGCCTGCTGGTGAACGTCTTCTTCAGCTTTTACCCTTCATCACCCTCTGTCGACCTCGTATCGAGAACTCAGAAAATGTGTGGGTTTCCGAACGAAGAAAGATTTGTTGCTATTGTGCAGATAGGCAAAGATGAGAGCTTGCAGGACGCCCTTCAAAACGAGTTCTGTGCTTGATTTCGACCTGCTAGAGATCTATTGACTCCTCTTCTCCTATTAATACGCCCCAGCAGCCGCAGTAGAAGCGGTATTTGCCAGACCTTGACGCTTCTCACTTCGCCAATTTCTCTTGTGCGCTCCGGTACCAGCTGTTCCAGTCATCGAAAAAATTTGGTAGCAATCGACATCTCTTCTCAGTCAATTGTCGCTTTTGTGTCGCAGAATAGATCTCGGCAACAGAGCTAAGATTCGCCGGATCAGCCTTGACCAGGACCTTAGCAAGAAATATGCTTGCTTGGCCCGCAGCCTTTGCATGTGCATTTGACGACTCCATGCATGCTTCATCGTGAACAGATCGCAGAATTCGGAAAGCATCGTCTTCCGCAGTATCCGCATCCAGAGAAGGCACAGATGAGCCTTTGCTACGTGCATAGAACTGTCGCCAGATACCACATCCACGGTCTGCAAGTTGTTTTGATCGAGTGGTTCTTGCAAGTTTCAGCAAGGACTCGATCAGACGAAGCGTCAAAGGGTTATTCCGTTGCTGCTTGAGATATGATTCGATCAAATCAAGGACGCGGTTCTTGAAGTTGACCACATTTTGTTTGGCTTCTTTGGCTTCCTTTTTCTTGTTCTGTAATTGTTTCTCGTGTCGCGCGCGGAAAACCTCGGCCAGTTTTGCGTCGAGCTCCATCATCGCATCGTCGTCCATGTCTGCATGGGAGGAAGATCTGGAGTCAGCTTCGTCTGCCAAAGCGTTGCCATTCAAGCGACGAGTGCCCAGAGCGGAGGCAAGTGCTGCGTCGAAAGCAGCGAGCTCCTCGTCTTCCTCGTCGTCCTCGTCGTCCTCTTCGTCCTCGTCATCCTCACCATCCTCACCATCTTCACCATCCTCATCATCCTCACCATCCTCATCATCCTCACCATCCTCATCATCCTCACCATCCTCATCATCCTCACCATCCTCATCATCCTCACCATCCTCGTCATCAAGCTTATCTGAGGCCTCGGTCGAATGCTGTGAGAATTGTTCTGATGGCGAGCTTGATTCATCAGCGCCGAAGGGAGAACCAGAGGCACGCGAGAGAGAGTCGACCTCTACATCCGAGTCCACGCCCGTTCCTTCACTGTCCTCCATATCGACATCTTCCTCCTGGAACATCTCTTGCTGGCCCTGTATGTTTTCCTTCGTTTCTAGAATACGACACAGGGAATTAAGACCATCACGAGTAACGAAAGGTGCGAACGCCTCGAAAATTTGGAGGGTGATTATCCTCAAAAATTTCGAGGGCCTCGAAGCGAAGCTTAGGATAACTTCCACCATGGCGTCGGCTGGATTTTGTGCTTCTCGGCTTCTCGGCCCTTTCGAATTCAATCCTTCCCAGTGTTCCTCATATGCGAGAACATCTTGCAAAACTCCCACAGCATCGGATTCACCGACGTAGATCTGGAAAAGCATCAGACAATAAAGCAAGCAAAGGCCATCTGAGGACTTCGGAATGGTCTGCGTCGAGACTTTGCCGGTCGGGATTGGATAGGGTGTTCTTTCCAAGCTCTGTGATAAGTCGCTGAGTCGCTTCCAGGCTTGGTTCACAAGCGTATATACGGTATCCTCGAATCGTGAAGCCATGTACTGATCATTTGTACCGACAGGCTTCAGGCGTAATATCGTATCCGTCAGAACACGATAGCCCAAAGCCTTGAGCTTCAGAGTCTGTTCAAATGCAATGGCCAAACGTTCTTTCAAATATTCCCGACTTGCTTCGGGAAGCTCTGGGGAATAGAAACCGGGTCCTGGCATGGAAGCACTCTCTATCAACCATACCTCCATGACATTTTGGGCGATCTGTACATCTCCTGGATTCTGGGACCCACCTTTCTGCTGGGCACTTCGAAGCACGGATGCAACGAGCTGAGACTGTAGATCTATGACAGTTCTCTGTCGCCTAATGGCTTGCGTTTTGTCCTCATCTGGCACATGCTCAGTAGCGATGGACATTAGGATGCCTGACAGCAATTTGAGCCCGTGGTTATCGGCCGAATCGAAGAAACTCTGCATGGTTTTTGTTTTGGTTAGCTTGTCAAAGTCGCCATAATTGACGCTGCGGAGTAGAGCTTTCATGCAGCTTTCGCTCAGGCTTGGCTGAGAGGCGGAAACCCTGTCGTTTTGATCAAAACGGGAGTGGAACATCTCGGACGTTTTCAAGGCGTTGTTTCTGAGAAGATGCTGAGAAGCCTTCAGTGCATCGACCAGGCACGATGTCGCTTGAGGAGTGAAGGTAAACCGCAAGAGATGCTGTGGTGCGGTCATGAAAAGCCTGTTCCACAATGCAAATCCCCAAGATTTTCGTTCAGGACTACTGGTGGGTGAAAAGAGGCTTTCTGGTGAACGAAGAGTCAGCAGTGCCACTCCGCAAACATACAAGTCACTTACCATCCACAACCTTCTGCCAGAAGACTTCTAATGTGATCCGCTCATGCTTTGAAGGCTTGTCAGCGCCCTTCCTGTTAACCTCGTGGAACGTTCTATCCTCTCGGAACAATTCAGCGAGGACAACATCCCAGGCAAAATGCAACTTCGGTGACCAGCCAGCAGACCCTTGAGCTTCAGTATCGGAGCCGTCTTGAGGCAGAGTCCGTGCGTCCTTGAGGACATCGGCGAGAAGCCTGACATCTTTAGTTGCCAACGGGTCCTTGTACTTCCAGACAGAACTAGGCAACTTTGCACGAGGAAAGAGCTTTGTGATAGTCAACCAAATTGCTAGACCCTCAGGTGACCGTATCATCTTCTTGGCTTCGAGGACCTTCACTGCGTCAACAGAAAATCCTTCCAAGGAATTTGTGTCACCGGAAATAATTTGATCCATAATAATCCAGCCGCATTGCTGTCTCAGCCATGGCTTCTGTATTGCCAAATCGCAGAGCATCTCTAGCACTCGTCTCCATTGAAGAGGTTCAGGATTCTTGAAGAGGATGTCGGATCGAAACACGGCAGATATGCCGAATAGTCTGCCAAAATAATGGTTTCGCTCCTCGTCGGCAGTAGTCCCAGTTTCTGGTACAGTCAAGCTCTCCAACATGTCAACGATCGTAGCAGGAGGCCACGCATCGCTCGGTGAAAGGTGGCGAAGAAGCTCGGTCAAAGCAAAAGAAAACCCGAGTCGGGCAGCTTTACGACCACTGCATAGTCCACGAAATAAACGGGTTAGAAGGGGTTTTATCTGGTCGTCGCTGGACACTCCTGGCTTGAGAATCTTAGTGACCAGGGTGTTGGCGGCTTTGAGGCGAACATTTTCGTCCAATTCGGCCAAGTCCTCGTAGACCTGAATAAGCTCAAAGTCGGGCTCTCTCTTTCTCTTCTTTGACATTGTGAGATGCTGATGGACTGAGTACACAGTGGTGGGACGAGGATAGAATGAACAGTCAAAAGAGGTACAACTATTTTTTTCAATGTATGAGATTAACCGGAGTTCAGGCCGTAAAAGAGGTTAGCGCGCTCGGGATTGCCCTGGGTGGACGCGGGGGATAAAGCGGCGGGTGGGAAGCCGTCGGGCTCTCACCAGGCGCAGTCAAGGAAACTTCTCGACGACACATTTGACGCGGGCATGATAGGTATATACCTAACTCGTCTTTGAACTACCTCGACCTCTGTAGGTTTGAAACCCTTTCCATCTTCATGCTACTATAAGCACCTCTCGCCGCTGATCCATTATTTGAACAACTCTCCTCATATCCCCGTTCAAACCCTCTCAAGCTGCTCCTCCAACCAGTTCACGCGACACTGTCACACCATCCTCAACCCCGCCAACCTCAGTCGCAATGCAGGCTCTCCCGGAATCCCGTCAACAGACGTTCGAAGAGATTTACGGTCCTCCCGAGAACTTCCTCGAGATCGAGGTGTGTTACTGTTGCTCTTGCGCCCCTCGCCACTCTTCAAAGAGCCGGTGCAGCGCTGAACTTTGCAGTGAGATCGACTGCTGATGCGACCTGGTTCCTAGGTAAAAAACCCTCAGACACATGGCTCCTCTCCTCGAAACATGTACACCTCCTATGAAATCCACACGCGCACGAACATCCCAGCCTTCAAGCTGCGGCATTCTGTGGTTCGCCGCCGCTATTCTGATTTCGAGTACTTCCGCGACATCCTAGAGCGGGAAAGCGCGCGGGTCACAATCCCCCCGTTACCCGGCAAAGTATTCACCAACCGCTTCTCTGACGATGTCATCGAGCATAGAAGAGAGGGTCTCCAGCGGTTTCTACAGATTGTCGTGGGTCACCCACTTCTGCAGACGGGTAGCAAAGTTTTGGGTGCATTCATACAAGGTAAGCAGGAGGCATGCTCCAGCACGCTGGCGGAACCCAGGCGCGGTGACGGCTTAGTTGTACTGACAAGTTTCAGATCCTAATTGGGATCGCAATGCGTGGTAGTTTCGAGCAAAGGCGGCCTCTTGAAAATGATGTACTGTTTGGACATGAGCGCTCCGGTGTGGCCAGCGACCGGGATCACGAAGAACGAGCAACGAGTGACGTGCTTTTCAAAGATTTGGCGCGTTTGGTGGTGACACTCGTCAAGATTCTAGGTAAAGGACACCCGCCTTTTCCTCGTCAAATTGAGCATGAAGCATTGTGCGAGTGGCGTATGGGCATGGAGGTTTCGAGTGCTGCTGTGCCCGAAGACTTTTCTTCTTCATAGGGGATCCTCTTGGTTCTATTTCTCACCAGTGACCAATTGTGTGTTTTGTGCTCGTGGATCAAACGTCCGGCCTGGCGATGGCTGTGTTTGGAATATCAGCAGCGGCATTCCGCCTAGAAGCTCGAAGAAAAGCGCCAGCGTGAAAGTGCAATGTCATCGGGCGAATGAAATAATGATTGATATTTCCTTCAGGTACAATAACCTGCCATTCTTGACGCATTATCTATCGAATGCCGAATGCAAATGAGGGCTCCAAACCTATAAAGTGAAACTATAATCCCATGTCCCATCGCGTTCCCGGGGTATCAAAAACCGCACACCAGAAAAGAAAAACAACAGATCTATATACTATCCTTTCTCGAACCATTACTCGAACCACACCGGGGTAAATGAGAACCTGCTCAAAAACGAACTCCAACAACCATGTATAGGAGTTACTATATCCCTTCTGCTCGTGTCGGTTTGGGTTCACGCAATAACTTCTTTTTCTCTTTCGGGGCTGTCTCTTCGTTCTGTGATACCAATTCTGTTCCGTCCTCCTGTACTGCGATGTCCGGTGTCTGCTCTTCGACTGGGAGATGGACCCCCCAGTTCTCAGATTCCAATCTCGTCCCACTCATGCAGTGGAGGTAGAGTATTATTTCCCCAATCCATGTCGTCAACGCCCAGTGTGAAGCTCGGGAGAGTTACGCCGGGTTGTTCCCTGTCTCTGTCTCTTTCCTTTTCTGCCTTGTCCCTGGGCTCGGCTACCTCACCGTCGCTGTCGTCTCGCAGTAACATGGCTAGCGTTGTGTTTGATATAGATCGATGTGGTTGCCCATCAGCGGTTCGTGCCCAGGTCGAAGTGCCGCCAGTAGACACCGGGAGAATAATGGCTGCTTTGGATCGCGGTTCCGGGGTCTTTTTTGGTGCAGCTGCACTGGTAGATTCCATGCCCGTTGCTACGGCAGAAGGATGCTCCTGCCGTTGCGCTGCTTTCTTGACCTCAGACCTCAATGGCGCGGTCTCTGCATGCTTGTACCCGTCGGGAAATCTATTGCGAATCCGATCACGTAGGTCGGTTGCTTTTCGGTGTCCAAGGTCGAGATCTCGATCGTCGTGAATGGCAGTCCACTGGAAGCCGTGTCTAGCCACGCCTTTTAGAAGATTGGAGTCTTCATAATCAGTCCACACGCGCCTCCGGCGTCGTTGTCTCTGAGGTTGTTCTAGACTTGCCGGAGGGCTTGTTGGCAAAATATGTTCAGGAGAAGCACTGTCTCGAGCAATGCCGCCTGGAGCGCTCGCCGCAGACAGATCGGTGGCAGATGGGCTTCTCCTCGGTGAGGGACCGTATTTGGCGATGTTATTGTTTGCGGCACACACTCTGTAACGGTCCTTGAGGTCTACAGAACTTCGGCCGACAAAATTGAAGTCGGGATCAACAAGGATTTGCTTCCACTTGCCAACGCCATACTTCCTTACACCTGCAAGAAGGTCCATGGTCTCGTTGTCCGACCATCTTCGCCGAGGTCTCCGTACTTGTTTCTTATCGTCCGAGGTAGCCGGCGGCGCAACTGCTTCGTTCAGGGTTTGAGGCTTGGACGGCTGGCTGCTTGGGCCAGCTTCGATGGTTTGTTCAACCTCCTTCTGATTTCTGACAACAGATCGTGATGTTGAAGCAGTGGCTCCCACATTGTCCGGCTCCGTCAGTATGTCCTTGACGTGGATTTTCGAAGTCGTGCTTCGTGAAAGTGTCGGTCGTGAGTCTACGTCGATAGAGGGCAGTAAAGCCGCAGAGGGAGGAGGTTCGTGCAATCCGGTGACCATGGCCGGCAGTAAAGGGGCCGGTCTGCTCTGGCGGTCATCTTTCTGAGCAGGGCGAGGCAGTCGTCGAACTAGATCAAGCGATATGTGATCGTTGTCATCAAGCCTGGCGCGCTTGGACACGGGTTCCAGAGAACTTGGTGCTTGAATCGGGGATTTCTCGACAACAGACAAACTGATGAACGATGGAAGCTGCATGGGGGCAATTTGGTTATTGGCATCAACAAGTTCGCTGATTGCGAGATGGGGCTTCTTTGCTTCGCGAGCCAGGAGGACGTCATTTGGTGTGATTTTCGGCGCACGCTTCTTCTCATTGCTACCATCCACTGGCTTTTGGTTCTTGCCATTCCGAGTGCTGTGCAGGAGGTTGTCGGCCAGCGGCTCGAGAGGCGAAGGGACGTTTCCATGGCGAGCGGGAGCCGGATTGCGAAGGGGAGCGATATGGAAGTCGGTGAGGGCGGGGAGATCCGTGATCTGGAATTGAGGATCGTCAAGGAGGCCAGGTAACGGTTCGGTCATACCGTTCATGGTGTCTGCGGAAGGTCATCGCCGGCGAGATATTAGGAGAGCGGTGAGGGAGGGCACTTCGGTGAGGTGTAGAGATGTCGTCGAGGTCATCGAGATAGGTACAGGGAGAGGTCAACAGCAGAAATGAACGTTAAAGAGACGAAGCAAGGCGATCAAGAGAGAAGCATTGGACTCGACATCTGTGCTTCCAATGGATCGCTATGATACAAATCCGTATGGAGACAAGCACACGTTGGTGCGGTTCGTCGTTCGTTCAATGTTTGCTGGACTCTGGCCGCAGCTTGCGAGAGGAGAAAGAACATCGGATCGGCAATCTCTTGGAGCCATCCAACCAGTCAACAAAGACTTCCTCCGCCTCCCTCATCTCTCTCCAGGAAGACTGGGGACCTCCCCTGCAATTTCAAGCCAGGAAAGCCTACATAGAGTCAACAGCTTACTGCGTATATCATTCGATCACGGCCTGCACACGACGTCTTTAGCGGCCAGCATTAATTCAGTGATCGACGAACCACCCGATCAGTCGATGGCTTTTAGGCTTCTGAAACTTGTGTTTCAGGAACAAGCCACCAACCCGAAATTCCTGTGAGTACCCTAACTGGAAAAGCCGCGAAGACTTGGAGCATCGCACGCAATCACACACAGCTCTCGTGATTGATCCTCTCTGAGGGCCCAAAATCTTACCAAGCTTACGGAGGCGCGATGTACGTTTTATTTGGATGATCAGGGAGTACGGAAACTGAGCGAGTGATTGCAACAGATTCCGGGGCACTCGCAAACAGGAGCTCCCGGTACTCGGTACATAGATAGGTACCAAGTCGTATCCTACGACAGTAGCGACGACAAAAGCAGAGAGTGAGGTCTTGGAAGCTGGTGTCCGTCTCCGAAAAAGTATCTTGACGTCCTAACTGTCGCAGAAAAGGCTCCCGGAACTTCTTCGTGTCGAGACACATAATCTGTGCATTTGCCCTGACCGAGATAGCTACCGACATCTATAGTCTCCTGAGCCATACGGACCTGATGTGAGACTGAGTCTCTGTGTGCATAGTTGTGAGTCTGTGAGACGCCTTACACTCAGGTGGAGGCCAGTATTACGCGCTTCGCCAGGTGATGAAATTGGGATATCTGGAAGCCTTCCATTCGACCACGCGAGGAATTCTGGAATCTCGTGAATCAGTGACGAGGTAAAGCAACGCAGCTCTCAGGGGCAAATCGCCTGTTGAACGAGCCAGATCCCCGCAAATGCAAACGATAGGGCATTCCTCATCGCACAGCGCCTTGTATTGAACGAGTCGCATGCCCGAAGCCCTTGACTGGTGCAACGTGGGTGGCAGTGGAACACGACACCAGCGTTTCAGGTTTCTGTCGCCAACGTCGGCGGGCAAAAGTCCCCAGAACTTATAAGCCTCGAAGGTGGGAACAGTTAGAGGACCACCAAAAGGCAGAGACTTTCTTAAACTAGTCGCAGTTCTCGGTAGTGCCGCGTATGATCGACCACCTGTCCTGCGATATCCGGCAATCAGGATGAAGGTGGTAAATTGAGCATCATGGTCGGCAGACAGCGCACGTTTCATCCCTCGTCGAGTCGTTGTTGGTAGTTTTGAACTCGGCCAAAGCAGCACAGCCATAGGTCCCATGGTTCCTAGAGAGACAGCTCTGCGCCATCTTGGCGGTTGGCCAGCCGCGTAACTTGAGAGTGGCCAACGACACAAGCAGGGACAAGGATCTAGGGAATGGTCGGATGAGCAAAGCCCTCGACGCTGAGCCCAAAGGGCTGTTGAAAGGCAATACGGCGTGAGGAGTTCTTGTACCAATAAGCGCCTGTTGGGTCCGAAGCTACCCTCCGGTAGCAAACAGGAAGCAGAAACGAGGAGCGAATAATATGGAGCAGCTCAAGTGCCTCAAGGTAAGGTATTATTACCAGAAAACTTGAGACGCGATATCCGTACCTTCGTTCCCCGAAGACGTTGAGTCTATTGTGCCTTATGCACCTAGGGTACGGAGTACCTGCCCTTAGCTAGGTAAGGCTAAGGGTAGATATCCCAGCCATGCGTACTCCGTACCCAGGCATCTTTAGGCGCTGATACTGCCTAACTTTAGGCTCATCAAGCCCTGTTTGAGACTCTCGGTGCCTCGACTCACTTTTTGTAGAGTAGGTACCTTTCTTGTACCAAGTAGCCAAACCCCGTTGCCAGCACTTCCGGCTGCGCGTCCTGTTACGGAATACAAGAACCAACTACCCAGCTACCTATCAGGTACCTGATGTACTCCGTAGCTTGTTTCATTTATTAGTATTCATGTTCTTTATCCTTGCCTTCCGGGGTTTCTTACCTAAGGCGTCTTTAGCATGACTGCTTGCTGCTCTATGGTGTACCGTACTTTGTGCTCTGTGACCACTAGTGAAGTTCCCTCTCACAAGGGACCTGAACCTGCACCTGGTGTCTCAACCCCCTAATTCATCACCACCGCTTCTTCCACCCTTCATCACTTTTTTCCTTGACTTGCACCTTTCTCTAATGTTCCAGCCCTGGGGCGCTGCTTCGTTTCTTCACATCTTTCTGTGTTAATACAGCATCATTGACTGTCTCCCGCCGTCCCTAACCGTCATGCCCTGGAGCCTCTAAAGTAATATCCTGCGCGATCAACCACCTCCCACTTCCGAGCAACGACACCCCCCTATCGCTCATTCCTTACAATCAGCTCGACCCTCTGAATGATTGAAGATCTTAGTTAAGACATACACTATTTCCTCTCAGTCCGATCTCTTGGTCTATACATTTCGACCCTCCATTGCGGTCTGGCATACACATTTTGTGACCAGGACGACCGATCATACGTCGTCAATTAACGCTTCTTGACCTGCCTCTATTCTTCTATTAGAATCAAGCTGGACGGGATCTATCATAATACTATACTTCGTCTGGCCGAGTAGGTCACCTCTCAACCGTCACTAAATAATCCTCTGGCATACAAAACGAGCTTCGGCCACCTCTGTCCGAACGGCAGGAACCATGGCACCAACCATGCGCCCTGAAGGTCAGCTCAACATAAATCTCTCTGGGTTGAATCCCGTCTCTGAACCTACCTCGATCCCTACTACCAAGTCTCCATTTGGCAGTGCCAAACCCTCACCTGCGCTGGCCGGCTTGTCGAGTGCAAGAGTTGGAGCTGGCTCTCCTCTACATGAACAAGCCTCGAGGCTCTTTCCCAAACGTACCCGAGAATTGCAGTCGCAAACTGGTCTCTCCCCCAATATCTGGGGACCGCCAACCAGTGGCACCTCAACTCCTCTTTTCGAGATCCCAGAGTCTCCTTCTCAAGACGGGTTTCCCGATTTAGTTCCTCTCACCGAGACTGGCATCAACAGCCCAGCTAGAAGAGGCCGAGCTGGTACGTTGCCCTCAAGGATCTCGCCAGTCGGAACTATCAACGGAGTTAATGTCCTCACGTCCAAAACGTCTCGACCAACGCCCTCTACAAGTCCATTTCGGCCCGGCTCGACGTCGGCGGCGGAGACCGCCTTTTACTCAACGTCGACCAACTCATTAAACTCCGGGAATGCCGCTCTCTTATCTAGGCTGCGCGCTGGTAGCATGCCACAGAGAACAAGCCTCCTTGGCTCATCTGGGGCATTTGGCCAGAATGCCTTTAGCAGCGGCTGGGGAAGCAGATCCCGGGCTGCTACTTTGACCAGCATCAGCTCGGCGGATGATCCGACTTCGCCTCAGCAGCCAGGCTTCTCCAAGGATGGCATGTCAGACTCTGGCGTACGTACTCTTGACTACTTGGGGCTGGTGGAAACGCCACAACAGTCAAGATTGATGGAATTGCGGCAAGGCAACGATGAAGCTTCCCATGCTCACGAATCCGGACTGTCGGAAGGTCTGACCAATTCAAATATGCGTAACTCTAGTCGGTTCAGGTCATTTTCTGTCAACACAGAACCCAAGTTCGGCCTGGAAAACCAAGACCCCGGTTACTCGATGTTCCAGAGTGGCACGTTGACGCCATCAGCTGCTGCAGCGCTGGAAGCGGAGTATGAACGTGTTCAAGAAAAGGTGCGCCTGCACAACCAAGCTGTGCAGGCCTTTGCTGTCAATGCAAGCGCTGCACGACCACGAGCACGTACCGCTGGGCTTGTGGAAACTCCCCAACGCACATCTCTTCGAAATTTGGTCCAAACAAACCTGGACCTCGGCTTTGATATGCAGGGTAACAACCTTGATGAATCATCCCTTGCTGAAGCTCTCCAGAACCTGAACATGAGTGAGGGCGCTCCTCCAGCATTCGATGGCATGGAAGACTCCGACGTCCAGCTCTCACGGTCTTTATGGATAGGATCTATCCCTAACTCCACCACCATGTCTTCTTTGGACGCCATATTCAGCCGATACGGTCCTATAGAGTCGACAAGAGTGCTCACGCATAAAAACTGTGGATTCGTTAATTTCGAGACAGTCGAGCATGCTGTGAGGGCGCGTCAGCTCCTCAATGGGAAGGAAATTTTCCCAGGTGCAGGACCTGTGCGGATTGGCTTTGCCAAAGCCCCAACCTCTGTCTCTCTGACCCCTGTTCAAAACCCAACGCCCCCACCTGGTGCCAATGGTCAGCAGGATCCGTTCACAACCTCACATACCACAGATGGGAACGGAGGCAGTGCTGAATCTGCGAACGCTCAGCAAGCAGTTACCCCAACCTCGTTCCAACGCCTACTTGACTTGCAACCTGAGATCCTACAGATCGTAGTTGACTTTGGTGGACAACAAAGCGATCTGCCCGCGATCTCAGCAAATATTGACAATGCCATCCAATTTCAGTCGCTGGAGAAAGAGATACCACCGATTCCGGAGCCAAGCGCTGGCAGGATGTACGATGCCCCCAGGTTACGAGACATCCGAAAGCGCATCGACAACGGAGCCTGTGGATTGCAAGAGATTGAGCAGACTGCCATTGACATGTTACCAGAAATCGCCGAACTTTCTTCAGATTATCTTGGGAACACTGTGGTTCAGAAATTGTTCGAGTACTGTTCTGAGCAGACTAAAGAACAGATGTTAGCGTGCATTGCTCCTCATCTTGCCGAAATCGGCGTGCATAAGAACGGTACCTGGGCTGCTCAGAAGATCATTGAAGTCTGCAAGACCGATGCCCAGACTCGAATGATTGTCAACGCTCTACGTCCATACACCGTGCCATTATTCCTAGACCAATACGGAAATTATGTCCTCCAATGCTGTCTCCGATTTGGTCCACCATACAACGATTTCATATTCGAAACCATGCTCAGCCAGCTTTGGGAGATTGCTCAAGGTCGATTCGGTGCCAGGGCTATGCGAGCTTGCCTTGAAGCTCATCATGCCACCAAAAGCCAGCAGCGCTTGATGGCTGCAGCGATTGCTTTGCATAGCGTGCAGCTTGCTCAAAATGCCAATGGTGCGTTGTTACTGACCTGGCTGCTCGACACTTGCACTTTTCCTCGTCGACGATCTGTGCTGGCGCCGCGTCTCGTCCCACACTTGGTACAACTATGCACTCACAAGGTTGCTTACTTGACGGTGCTCAAGGTGATAAATCAACGTAACGAACCGGAAGCTAGAGATATGGTATTGAAAGCTCTTTTCTTCAGCTCTGAGGACACGGTCTTGGAGCAGATTCTGTGCGATCAAACCTCCGGCGTGACTTTAATCTTCAAAATTTTGACCACCCCTTTCTTGGACGAGACTATGAGGCCTGAAGTCATACAAAATGTCTCAAGGGTCCTGACGAAGATCAAGGCCCAGGCCAACCAGGGTTACAAACGAATCATGGATGAAGTTGGCTTATCCTCCCGGCCAAGTCAGCCTCACGCACAGCAACAGCCATCCCATGGCTCCCAGAACTTCAACGAGAGAGGCCGACAGCCACATCAATCATTGAACGGAATGCAGCAGCAAGGCTTTCAACGCCAATTCAGTGGCAGCTTTGTGAACGGCAATTCTTTCGAGAACAATATGAGTCCAATTCGCACTGGTTCGGCGGATTCCTTCGGGTTTTCCGCGTACAATATGAATAACTTCCCACCGCAACAACCGTTCTCCCAAGTACCCTATCAACAAGTATATCAGCCACAATATCACAATTATGGCGCACAACGATCGAACAGTGCATACATGCCAAACGGGTATACCGGCTATGCAACGCCACCATCAACGGTTGATCCCTTCCACGCCATTCCGAATGCTTCAACTTCGCCCCTTTCATTTCCTGTAAGTCCCGTCATCGGGTCGACGGGATATGGACCGCAAAACTACACGCAGACAATACCAAACAACATGTACAATTATCCACAGCAGCAGTCCTTTTTCTCACCACCCATGCAGACCGTTCATTCCGGTGGCCGGGGTCGGAGAGTAAGTCATTCCCGTCAGCCATGCATTCTGTGACTAACCAAAAGATAGAGATGAACAGATGTTTGTCCTGAAGGCGTTCGACCCGTTGCCCATCTACACCCGGGCTTAGCCACTGGAACTTTCCCGGGGGCTTTTTCTGCTGAGACCCTTTTAAGATGCGGCACCTAGAGGGTACTTTCTCGATGGACGAGGCTCTACGAACTCAAGGACTATGGCAAACACTTGAGATGTCTCTCTCGGCGTTTTCTGGCCATATCATGTAGCCAGAAAGCTTCTCGCCTTTCGAGGCAACCGAAATTCAACAGCACTTTGCATTTCACGAAATGGAATTTCTTTTCCTTTGTCTTACTGGTTTATCGGCCATCAAAAGGAATCATGGGGAGCATGCATGATCTGCAAGACAGAAGGGCATTTCGATAAAAAAAAATATTTCAAGCCTATAGTGAGTGGTGAGCAAGATTGATCATATGGAGTAGGAAGCGAATATATATCTTCTCACTCTATCACACTGCAAAAAGATGTAGAATCTTGTCCTTTGTGCCTTTTCTGTGAACTCGCCTTGTTGGGGATACATGTGTCCTCTCTCATACGCTTTTTGGATCTTCTGATTTCGACACTGTCCGTGTGTAGGTGAGTGAGCCACTGGCTGCGACACAATGGAGTGTTTTTCCAGGTGTTTCGAAGATTTCGGTGCTTCGCTGATTGATGATATGACAGCCTGCCACGCCTCGGCAGGCCACAGAGGGAACGAATATGCAGCGGCAGCATCGTCGAGACGACCTTTTGCGCGTGGGACTTGTCCGACCGCCATCTGGTCGGTGTGGGGGGAGGGGGTGTTTGTGTGGCTTTTCGCTGTGTTTGCGCATCCGACAGAATCTCGCGGTCACCTTCAGCTAACTCAGACCCAACACGGTACATGTCATCCATCTTTGCTGCAGTCTTCAAGCTCCCTCGTCCTCGGTGCAGTGCATCCGTTCTACAAGAACCGTCCTGCTTGGGGCCAGCCGGCTTCGAGTGATGAAACTGGAGGCCGCTTAATAGCTCAAGTGGCGGCGGACGGCTGACTGAACTAGAGTTCAAAATTGCACATGCTGGTGGCGAGCTGGTGAGCGATAGACAACTAACGAGTTTCGCTTACTCTGAGCCGGCTCGAAAACAAAACTCAAGGTCCCTTCCACAGCCAATGGTAATTCTCGCCCGAGGAGCTGCCAAAGGATTAACAACAGACCGTTCGCCAATGCATTGACTTTCCTTCGCCGACTGCCTCCACACGTGATTGTGTACTTTTGCATCGGGCCTGGTAATCACCGGGCACTGGACGATGTGTCCCGGAAACTCAAATACTTGATTGACTCTGTGAGAAGTCCGCACAAGATCCAGTCTCTTTCAACGATCCAGTGTCGGTTTTCCAGGCTTGTCGACATGTGGCACTCACTGGTTACAGTCTCACAGACCCATCCAGCTATCAAAAGGGTCCTAATTCTGTCCAGAAATGTAAAAACCACCGTGGGCAAAAAATGCCCTCGCTGTGTCAGTCGTGCTGCTCCCCTCCCCAGTAAGGAATCAGGGAGTGTCTTGAAATCATAGGCCCAAAGAAGCAATTCGTCTTCTTCAGACAAGGTCGTTTGCCTTCATCAGCCGTTGTCGCGGGTACATAGAGGGATGGTGCGAACAGACGCGTCGAGCTTTGGTTTGTACTTCCAAAACGTGGTCAGTCGCAATCTCCTCCAACCTAGTTACCGTCGTGGGCATTTCTTCATACAAATCGTACAGCATAGCATGACAAATGAACCTAGCAGGCAGACGTGAATAGCTGGGTCTATCCTGAGCGTCCCCTGCGTGTACCAACCAAGGGGCAATGGAGGTTGTGGATCCCTGTCCGCCGGCTGCAGACGAAAGTTAGGCGCCGACATCATGCACGTGTCACAAGAGACTGAGCCTGGTTGATTACGAATGGATTTTTGAGATTCGGGGCATGATCGCCTCTGATTCACACAATCATGAACTTAGCGTTAGACAGTGTGGGAATAAGCGCCGTAGCACCATTATCGTTGACCGTTGATCACTGAATTCTCAGCATTTTGCATGGCGTCAGCCCTCGTCAGTGGGGTTGCTGTAAAGACCAAAGTCCTTAGTCCTTTCAGCCTCGTGTTCAACACCTCCGTCAACAACGAGCTGCTTGGGCCGCACCATTGACGTTGATACCTGCTTTACGTCCAACTCATGGCCCGGTAATATGGCAACTGATTGTTGAAGGAGACAGCGTACTCTCAACCAGAGGAGGGCATCTTCGGCAGGTCGCAAGACAGGAGCGGTGCAGGCATTAGTTGCTTTCAAATGAACGCACTGGAAGAGAGCTAGAGAAAATGATCTGTGCGCTCTGAGGGAATTGTATTTTGGGGTGTCATGTCGCGCTTGTATCAGAAGAACCAGGGCCAGGGTTCGTGAAGTAGAGGGACTCGAATTGGGACCTCGTTTCTCAATACGGGTGATTGGGAGTGGGAGGAGATTGGGTCCAAAATAGCGCCAATTCATGCAGCCGCGAGAGGGGCGGCCCTGAATGTGAGGGTTATTCTTCGATGCAGCCAAACAAGATCCGGATCGATGGCTGACGCCCTAGGTCTTTTTGATGTTCGGCCCATCCGCGATTGGCTGTCATGCGAGAATAGATCACCTGTGCGGTGCGCTTCCAGTCCTGCAGAGCGCGCATGAGAAAGCGGCTTCATGACGAAGCCATCGCAGCCCTCCGATGCCCCCTCCTTGCCGAGCAACTGCTGCTAGGGACTTGCGGGTCGGTTCTTTGGTGGTTGCGTGCCACACATGCCCAATGAGTGGTGGGGACTTGAGCCATCTATGGTGCTGGGCTGTGACTCTATCGCCTCATTCAACTAGACTGCCCACCTAACACGGGTTGTTCAAACCCCGGGATAATAATGGGGGTGGCATCCTTGCACGAGCCCACCTTATGATTAGCAACGAAGACTCGGACAAGGCTGCTGTGATCCATGCCCAATATCTGCACTTTGGCGTTCAAGCACAGTCGAGCAGCTAGCGTCGCCATTCCATGCGGCAATTTGAGCGAACATTTGGGGTCAGCAACGAGGTCAAATCAAGCAAAAGAAGTGTTTGGACAATTTCCTCCTCCCCAATGATGATCTGCTCAAACCTCCCGAACGAGCGGCCTGGGAACGGCGTCAGAGTCGCTCTGGCCATCCGACCATGGTGTTTTGAGCAAGGCGGAGTCTGACTTCAAGTTGTCACTGGCAGGGCTAGCAAGTTCGTGTCATCATAAAACTAGCGTCTTGGTAGAGTGAGGAGACTTCAAGAGGTTGCTCCGTGGAATGCAACCTCCGAACTGAATGGTTCTCGAATCAGAGACAGATCCAAACAATATGCCCCTTCAGGTTGCCAGCTGAGCAACAACACAAAATCCGAACGGAAAGGCTTGACGTGTGACTTACCACACGGTACGCTTGATCATTGGTTCGACGCAGGCAAATCTGGTATCATTTGAGATCACGTACTGTACATAGCACAACGCCATGACAGACTGAGGCTTGTCGATCTGCCTCAGTATTTATCTGTGATGGTGGCCTCGTGATGCAGGCTGCAGCTCTGGCAGCTGGCCCTCTGTGGCATAGACGCGAAAGACCAAACAGGGGGTCTTCGAGTCTTCAATAACGTGAGAATGGCAATATTAGCTGCCGTTTGAGAATCCCATTGCCACCCTGGATCTTGAAGGGAAATTCTGACCACCATAACCGCACGCGTATTTAGCTTCCGCTTCTGGCGCTACTGAAATCGCGCTGCGAACGCGGTAATCGGTTCAAGGAGGAGAAGTGGCCTTCCTCAGCCGCTTAAAGAAGGACGATGCGCGGCAGCCGTTGACATTTAGCCCCCGGTCGCCGTTGGCAATGTTCAGTAGCGCGTTTGCCATGTTATCCGGCATGATAGACCAAAGACATCTCGTATTCGGGCTCCGCACCAGAGCAATCGTGCTCCTCCAGTCACTCACGGAAGCGAAGGCGCAAGTTCGGATGGTGAAGGAGATCTGTAGCAGGGGTTTTAGTCTGATGGATTCTCGCAGGCAAGGTAGGATGGCGCGGTATATGTATCATCTCGGGGCTTGATCTGGGTCATAAGATACATCATTCGTGGTTCATAATCCGTGGTTACAACTCTCTCCGGTCATTGAGCCACGGTATTTATGGCCATGCCCTTTACATCCAAGGACGCGGCCAGTTTCTGCCATCCTTCAACCTGGGGAGTGTTTAGTGCATCAAAGGTGTTAATCTTGCTCCCTCATTTCGGACCATTTTCACAGTATGAGATACCCTTATTCGCCGCCGTCGAGTGTTGGCTCAAACGACAGCGATTCTCGTCTGTGTATTGATTTTCTTCTCAACGAACAATCCCCAAAGAATGTATTTCCCAAGGAAGAATACACCGACGAGGATTCATCCAACGAGGAATTCCTCAGCGAAGGAAACCCCAACGCAAGGATATCCAGAAGTCCGCCACGAGAGAAGTACACAGAGGAGAAGATGTTTTTCGTCTGGTACCATCGGGTCGATCTCGATATGCCGTGGGACAAAGTCACCAACGCTTACAACTGTTTCTTTCCAGAGGATAGGAACAAGGGCGGCCTTCAGTGTCGCTTTTACCGAGCTCTGAATCAGTACAACGTCAAGAAAATTCGTGAACAAGCCCGACATGGTCGAATAACAGGGGGTGAGATCGAGAAGTTCGGTGTTCTCGATTGTACCAACAGGAGATTCACCTGGATGTTACCACACCATCTGGCGGACATCGGCATACCCATCCTGCGAGCGAGTCCCAGAAAACCGAGAGGCCAAAAGCAAGAAAAGACAATAGGGAATATCGGGGATCAACCGTGCTGAGTCCCCGACCATATTCTGCAAATGTATCGATGCCTTTGGGAGAGCTGGCACGCCTTATACTTGCAAGGACTGGGATTGAGATTCAAAAGACAATGATTCATTCTTCTCTTGGTTGTGGCGGAGCATCAAATGCAAGGACAACTGGCGTGCCGGCTGCGCTTTGGGCAGCGTCTTTCTACCACCTATTGCTGTCAATTTTGTCAAAGTCATCTTCGTCAAAAGCTTCGTCCTCCGAAGCATGTTGACGATGCTTATAGGGGTTGAATCCGAACTCGTCGTCCGAGCTGAGTTCATCCTCAGGATAGTCATTCGCAGGGTTGTCTTCAGCTATGTAGCATCAATAATAGTGCTTGGCGACAGTGACAGTGTCTGCTTACCATTAGAATCTTCGTCGTCCCAGTCTGTGTCATCGTCACTGTTGACGTATCTCTGCCACAAATCCTCGTCCTCTTCGTCGATCACGAGCAGTCCGATGTTGGCATCAGGCAAGTCAAGCAAGCGCTCTGTCTCGTCATCGTAACGCACACGAACATATGTCTCATAAATATAATCTTCCTCGCGGTCGCGGAAGCTCATTTCAGTATCCTTTGACACAGGGATTGAAGCAGGAGGGTCTTCGCGCTCTTGCCGCTCTTGCCGCTCTTTGGCTTCAGGATCTAATTCCATAGCCAGGGCGGCCAGCTCGTCCGCCAATTGGTCAGATTCGTGGTCCCAAGTACTTGGATGGTCTTTGATTGAGTGGCCCTCCCTAACACTGTTGGGGACATTTTGAAGGAATGTGCTAGTAGCATGTCGCTGGGCCGCCTGCAATGCTTTGACATCTGATTCTTTGGGTTCAGCCGACGCTCCGCCCGGGGCCACATCTAATATTTTGTCAACCGGCGTTCCTCCGTATAATGGATTTTCCTCATGACGAAACTTCACACCAAGCCTCTCAACAAAGGTGGCTAGAGGAGGTCGGATTGAGAGCTTCTGCTTCCTGATGCTGCCAGATGAATTTGGACCCAGACCCAGTCCAGGGGCGAGATGACGGGCAAGATGGAAACGTCTCGCAGACTCTAGCTTTGCTTTTGAAACGGGTGTCGTTGGCGCAGACTGGCTGGTTATGTCGGCAGGCGTCTCTGGCTTGATCACCACTCTTCCAGCAGCCTCATTTGCTTCCAAGTTTCTTCTCAGTCTCTCAAAGTCCTTCTTATCATCTCCAGGCGCCGTGGGCCGTATTGCTGGAATGCCATCGGCTGAGGTTTTGGGAGGATCGAGGGGAACGGAAGGTGCATTGCGGGAGGATATAGGAGCTATGGGATCATGGCTGAGCCGTTGGAAGTAGAAGTCTGTGACCCTCCGTTTTCTGTCAGGGACAGTGCCGTGTTCGAGATCTAGACTAGAGTCAGAACAATTCCGGACAGATGTGGAGGGTACAAGCTTACATAAAGTATCAACGGGCTCTTGAGATCGGCGCCTCTTGACACTGATGCGCTCGGGAAGTGGCATTGATATTATGTCTGGTCTGGAAGAGAACGACTCAAAGGAGATTGGTATGCGTGAGCAGGCAGTGGATAGGAAGGTATATAGGTACAATAGTAGAAATGCAAGCCAGGTAACGTACCTTAGTATGGAGTACGCTTTAACTTTGGATCGTTCCGTCCGACACCGCCATTGAAGACATTATTTTAGTGGCCGCGCTTAGGCGGCTGTGGTTGCCACGTAGTGCTAACTCAGTAAACCCGTGCTTAACGTGCGGCTGTCTTTTAATGGGCGTCTAGGCCTAACTACCCGACTAGTGCCTTATGTTTCGGAGGTACCAGGATTACAGACAATGCACCTTGTGTCCAAGGCTCTTTGAAACCCGTACAATGCACCTAATTGCGTCGGGTTAGGTACGAGGCTGCGCGTGAGGCCTCAACAAGCCTCAGCCAGCGTTGTCAAGGTTAAGCTGACAGTGCTCATAGATGGATCGCCTGGACGCACAAATATTTACAGCGCATTGTCCCGTTTTGCTCTGGGCTAATCCTTCTTCACCTTTTCCAGTCCTGTTCCCTGTGAGACAAGTCGATCCTATTGCGACCAGCTAATTAGCAAACATTCAATCTCGCCCATGCCGAAAACCGACTACTTACCAGAATACTCGCAGGGAGTAAGTTCCTCATCATCTTGACCGTCCCAGCACTGCCACCAATCCATATCTGCCCGCTTTGCCCAAGTTCCACCGCACGAACAAGCTGTTCAGCAAAGCGCTCCGCCGTCACCTGTACTGACGCTCCGGCATTCTTCACCCGCTCATCCAGCGCCTCCTTCGCGTCCCGGTAAAGCGATTCCTGGGGAATACTGACGTGCGTGTTGTCGCCGATATGACTCTTGACAACGCCGGCCACCACAGTCAGCACTTTGACTTTGAACGGGGCAAACTCCAGACGCAATGTTTCACTGTAGGTCAGGGTTGCTGACTTGGACGCCGCGTACATGCCTGGGCGGTGTGATTAGCCCACCTCCCATCTCAGTCATCGCACGACAGAAGGGCATGAAGTGATTTAGGTATGAGGATGAGGATGAGGAAGAGGGTGAGGGGGAGGAAGAGGAGTCTTTGGCATACTGGTAAAAGGCGCATTCAATACTCCCGAAATGGAGCCTATGTTCACTACCGCCCCCTGCGCTGCGATGAGCATCTCAGCAAACGCCTTCGTCATGGCAACCATGCCCCAGTAGTTCACATCGAATAATCGCCGAGCTTGCAGCATATCAGTGTCGATCGCAGGTCCCATGATTGCCGCACCAGCATTGTTAACCAGGCCGTCCAAACGTCCTCCTGCTGTCTCTCGGACAGTTGCAACTGCATTGTCGATGCTCGACTGCGATGTCACATCCAGTTCCAGACACGTTACGTTGGGAAGGCTGGACAGCCCCGCCATCTTTGACAATGATCTGGCTGTGGCAAAGACATGATATCCGCGTTGTTGATAGCAACTTGCTATTGCCGCGCCAATCCCTCCTTCGCTACAGCCTGTGATGAGAACCGTCTTCGGAACAGACGCCATGGATACCAGCGGCACCCGAGACGATCAGCAGAGGCCAAGACAGAACCAATATTCTTCAACGTGGTAGGTAAAGGGACCAAGGGACGAAGGGTTCAAGAATTGACATCAGATCAGAAGCAAGGAGATCCAAAAGTAGAGACCACCTAGCAGGCAGGAACAATCGTGGCCATATATGAAGAAAGCTCTCTCGGCCGAGACACTCCATCGAGTGGTCAGCCAATATACCACAACTTCGTCCGCTCCGCTCCTCAGTGACCAATGCTGCATGGCTCTGGGTCTCAATATTTTTCCGACAAAGCAACAGAGCCACGGTCTGTGAGCCATCAAGTTATCGACATGTGCCGGGGCTCATACGGCGAGCTGAATCTAAAGCCGGTGGCAACCTCATCATTGACATGTCGCTCAGAGACATTCTCAGAAGGTCTCTGGTGCTTTCATTATGCGATCTCCTTCGGTCCTCAACCTATGACCAGCAAGTTGTGGACAATAGAAGGCGCTGTGATGTCCAGTTAGTTACCCTCTTCGAGCAGCCTAATTACACATCGATCCATCTTGCCATCCACTAGAAAACGCCATGTCAGTACGTACTAGAATCTCCCCACCATTGTCGCCACGACGTGCAAAGGAAAGAGAGAGACGTACCTTATTGACCACATCCTTTGCTTCATCAACGAGCCCAAGCTCCAGCAATACCTGTGTGGCAGCACGCACCCCACTCTCCAGAGCGCTGGCAATCCACGAGCTTGTATAGCTTGTTCCCTCACCACTCAAGACCACGCCTTTCTGTGTCTTGAAGAACTCTGGGATAAAGGCCTTCCTCATTCCCGCAGTCGGGCTTGCCCAACTGATCGTTTCATACTGGTCCAGTACCCAACATCGCCGGTTATAGTTGCCAGTATACTGGTCATATACGACGTCCCCGTGGATTTCAGCCATCTAACACAAGCCATTCTCATCAGTTCCCGTTCACTGGATTCAAGCCATACACTCCACCCCTGGTCGCCCCTGACGGCGATCCCTCACACTTGATAACGTGGCAAAAAAGGAAGAAAGGGTAGTCAAACTCACCGCGTCAACAACGTATTGAACATGTACATCTTCCGGCGTGCTTGCCCACCGCAACCCACTGTCGCTCGACGAGTAGCTCGCTAGCATGACTCCCATCCCGGTGCTGTTGATGTCGTAGCTGGGGTAGCAAATGCTTCCGATCCCTGGGATGTCTGTTGTTGTACTGCAGCTCCCATAGATTGGCAGGGCAAAGTGCTCCCAGAAGCGTGTCTTGAACTGTAGCGCAACCTTGCACACCTGATCGTAAGGATACGTATCAATTGCCGTCTGCAACAAATCGCTAAATTCCGGGAGGCGCCATGTGCGCACCAAGGCCAAGGGTGCGGTGACAACAGCCAAATCGTACGACGCGTTCTGCCAGACCCTGTCCAGCGGCTTGTTCTTCCACTGCAACGTTACCCTCTCCGTCGATTCATTGTAGTCGATACGCTGGACCTTGCGGTTCATGTACGTCACACCGTCGACCAAAGGGTGGAAAGCAGAGGGCAAACGGCTCAAACCACCGTCGATGGTCCGCCAGTCCGTCGCGGAAAAGTACATGTTCTCATACAAGCTGTCCCAGAAACTCAAGGCACCCGACCCATCCAACGCCACGAAGGTCTCGTTCAGGTGGTACTTGAGATAGTTGTGCACGTATCCAAACTCGGACCAATCGTCGCCGCCGATGCCACCAAGTCCGGAGTCCAGGAACGTCTTGTGTGCGCGGTAGACGTTCTTCGCCATTTGGGTGAGAAAGTCTTCGTTGCTCAAAAGGTCGTCGATGCGGGTATTGAGGGCGTCTAGGCGCGGATCGTCCTCAGACGTCGATGGCCCGGCCAGACTGGCGTTCGCTTTGACTTGCGAGACCGTAGGACTCTTGCCGTTGGGCAACCGCGAACCCCGGACGTAATACAGGCCGTTCGGGCTGCTTTGATACCATTTGATAAAGTCCACGGTGAAGTTGGTGTTGTTGTGATTCAGCCTGTTCACTTCGGCCGCCAGGTCAAAGACAATGCGGTGGTCTTGGATTTGAAGTGTCTCGTTGGTCTCAGAGGACGTGATGGACAAGGGAAACCGCATTGGGCCCATCTCCTGGTATTGCCGCTCGCTTGGATCGCCAAAGTACGCAGTGTGGACGCGGCCGCCGAGGCGTTGGCCAGCTTCGATGATGGACAGGTTGGTCATTCCTGACTGGTTGAGTGCCAGCCACGTCATGAGTCCAGCCATACCGCCACCTACAATGGCTATCTCTTTGGATTTGGCAGTGCGAACGTCGACAACACTGATCTCCTTGTCCTTCAACAGAGCCACGCCGTCGAACCACGGTCCTTCGGCGTCGATGCCACTCGAGTTGTCCATGGCAATTGAGAAGTCGCTTTGTCTTTTTTTGAGACGGCGACGGGTCGTTTTGGCATTAGAAACCATTGACACCGGTGTACTTCTGCCGATCAGACCCTGCTTGCTGTCCCACGCTGAAAGGCATAGCCCCGCTGGTGTGAACTCGGGAATCTTCCAGAGCAGTCTGTCATGATTGCAATGCCTTGCTCGGCCGACGAGATGGTGAGCTTCTCCTGGTGTGTTGGCATTGCAAGGACCATACGTGAAGACCACCTCTGAGTCGACATCTTCGTGGTATGTGACGTGAATGTTGGCCAAGCTCGAGTCGACCTCGCGCTTTATATGAAGTTTGACCGGAAGCGATGCCCCCAAAACGCACGACAAGAACAGAGCGATGGTGCTCAATTGGCCTTTCATCTTCCAAGTACAAATCGAGACGGAGAAGCCAGTGTGGTAGGAAGTTCGGGTCGTTAGCGATCCAGTCCATGGATCGTGCATTTATACATGTTGGTTTCACACACGTCGTGCAAGTGTCGGCGAGTTCCATTCCAACCTGGCTCCATCGAAGGTCGTCGTGGAGAACCCTGTTGGGTCCAGGAGCGTGCAGGTCCGATAGTCGCGGATCCCGTCATTCGTCAAGATTTAAGAGGTTGCATAGATTCGGCTGGTATACTGTAGATCATCTCAAGAACAGGCGCCAGGATACGACGCTGTCCGCCTACTCATCAACAACACTTACCTTACTTACAAAGTGGGCCAGCCGGCTGGGATCGGACCTTTAGATACATATGCATGTCTGTAAGTTTGGCTGAGAGCAGGTCAAGTCAAGGGAACGACTGCATAATACAAGGTCCCGAAGCCGAGAGTCACGTTGCATTGTCCCTACCGTCTGCCAAACACGGTGATGTACAGACCTCGCGTATGACAAACATGAATATATCAATCGCCTCCAGACTTTCTTTCTTCGGGATCTGTTTTTCTGCAATGGTCGCACACAGACCAGATATGTGCGCATCTGTACGTACCTACTGTAGATCAGATAACACTGCTGGCACGAGTAGCCGAATTTTATGCCGTGTTGCTGCCTAGCTCACACCCAACTCCGAGTATCAGTCGTCCTCATACCACTGTTTGCTAAGCGAACCCGTCGAGATCCGACTATATTATACGAAAATGAGCAAACCGGAGCAGGAGTGGGATGTTAGTGTCAATGAGTGTGGAAACGTCCCCGGGGTCTTGTTGAAGGGCGGTGATAGTGAAGTACCATATCCCCGTTTGTATGAAATGGATATTCACCGACATCCACGGAGTAGTGCGATCCTCCATGCAGGAACTGATAAGCGAATGATATGCTGACCGAAGCCAATGTCATTATCATTATCATATACAATTGCCATGTCATATCACAAGTTGGACAGGGAGAGTACTATGACCATTTGAGGAATGCAACTAAAGCGCATCATGTGGGCTTGGGTGCATTCGAGATACATGAGTGTTGAGGACATTTGAGGAGGACCAGGCAAAAAGTAGCACTCAGTGTTCATCTATGCGTCACAAATCTGTTGTCTCAGGGCTTGTCATTCTATCATGGGCAAATGGCAATCACCATGGCTTTCCTCAAAATAAAAAGGGTCACCAAAAAGGCTTCCAGGAAAAGAGTGCCATTCCTCCTTGACAAGGATTTCGCAACATCAAGCCTGCTCCATACTCCATTTCGATGCGTCCTGATCGTCCATGTGCTAGCTGGCAGCTTCGGTCTCGCTCACCGTGCCACCTCTCCCAGCCTGCCCCGAGTCTTGTATCCTTTGTCGCTTTGCGTCAGCACCGTCCAAAGTGACTGCTGTGACGCTATGCTGCACGTTACTTAAATCTCCAAGAGGCGTCCGCTTGGCCGCTTGTTGTCCGCTGTCCGTCGCACCTTGCTCTGCCTGGTTCGAGTGCAAAGGGACAGTATCAGGTCCGCGCCGTGTAGGCGGTCGATATGCCGAAGTGGTAGGTCCTCGTATAGTTGGATGCTGACCGCCTGGACTTGGAGCTCCAACCCTTCTACTCGAGTCCAACTGAGGATTGATCATAGTCGTTGCATTGTTTGTGTCGGGTTTTAGGTCGCGTTTGAGTGGAACAGATTTGGAATGATCGACCCCAGAGGTCTTGCGGATGGACGGACTTTCAGCGTGGGGGTTGAATTTTGGTGCCGCAGCTGCATCAGGTCCTGTGGAGTTGTTATTGGCGTCAATGTTGGGAGCTGCTCTCGCAGAGTAGAAGCCTGCCGGACGAGGAATCTCAGATGAAGTCTGCCGAGCGATATGGTCGGGCGCAACACTGGGAGAAGAGGATCGAAGCGTCTGTTCAGCAGCGCCGCGTGAGTCGGCACTGGGAGGCTGCCTGACAGTTTGGGGTGGAACCTGGGGAGGACGCTGGCCAGGAAGAGGCTGGGGAATTATGCCCCTTGATGAGGGCGCAGCAGATCTCACGGCTCCAGGCCGAGCACCTGGCACTGGTGCTTTCGATGGTGTTGATATCTCGGCTCTGGGCGGTGGGAGCATGCGATCCGATGCACCATTAGCGGTCCTTCGGATTCCATCCGTCGATTCTGTCGACAGAGCCGCCTCTTCTTGTTGTGCCATGTCGATGGCATCAAAATCTTCCAATTCGAAATCTTCACAATCAAAAGTGTCATCAAAGTCAGCAGATATTTCTTTGGATGTCTGAGGCAACATCGGCTTCGCCACAACTTCCTCTCTTTTGGGAGCGAAATCCGGGTGTCGATGTAGAGCATCCGGATCCCATTTCGCAGTCCCGACCTTCAACTTTGTGACCTTGGCGAGATATGACTTATCATAGACACAGTTTCCAAGCAAGTTACCGAAATTTCGTAATGCTCGCTTCAAAGCGTCGGTTGTACCCTCCTTCTTGGCTTTCTCAAACGCAGCGGCTTTTCCTTTCGCATTCTCAACCTGCCCATAACCGATATCTTCGTGATGGGTTCCGTCCTTGAGTGTGACTCGCACGACGACAGAGAGGCCGAGGGATATCTTGCCAGTCTGTGTGTTTTCATCAACGAAATCAATCTGTATGTTTTGGATTGAGCTACTCCAGCCATTGAAGCCAAAGACCTCGTTCGCGAGATTGATCAACTTGTCCGCAGAAAGATAGTGGACTTTCTGGCCACCCGGGCCCGGCCGGTGTGAGATATATTCCGGACCTAACTGTTTGTCCAGTCGGCTCTGTAGGGTGGCGATTTCTAGGGCCGTAAATTCGCTGATTCTCTGTTTCGGTTCCTCAAATGGATTGGCAGTGGCGTTGCCATTGGGCTTGTGTTGGTCTCCAACGCTGAATAGTTAGCAGCCGACTCGGTTCGAAAGTATGAGGAAGTAACATACGCAGGCATTGTCATGGGCGTGCTGTCCGAGACATCTATTCAACGCCAATGAAATGTAGCCTTGAGACGAGACTTTGGTAGAATGGGGATGTTGTACAGGCCCGCAGATACTCCAAGACCTTCGACGCGTCGGGCCCGACGCGCCTTTACACCACATCCGCGCGATCACATGACTCCAGGGCGGCATCCTTTTTACGCAGGCCATTACACGAATGAAGAAGCGATCAACGGCGAACATGTACAAAGTCGGTGCTCAGTAGGATATCACTTTCTTCATTGAGCACATACAGATATCTCGACTCATGAAACCCAAAGCCTACATGTGCCATCCCCACCAGCACTGACCAGCCAGGGATGCTGGGGGTGCCAATCTAGATCCATGACACCTAAACCACCAGCGATCTTGTGACCCCGTAACACCTTCAAAGGAACAATCTGTGCGTTGCTCATCAGGTCGCTCGTAACTTGACCGTGGAAGATCTGTATGCTCCCGTCATCACTTCCATCAGCAAACAGAGGATACCGGTTTGTTGCAGGATGGAATCGAACAGTTCTGATCGCCTTTTCGTGGAAACGTAAAGTCTTGTACGGTCGCGCAGACAAATCCAGGTCCATCCACAGAAGGCGCCTGTCATAGGAGCCCACAATGAGATTGTCCGATCCTGCGGTTGAAGAGCTTGTAGGATGGATATCGAAACTACTAATCCATCTGGCACCAGGCTGAATAATCTTGAGCAGAGATTGCTTGGAGAGATCATATGATCGTATGACCCGTTGGTTGGCAACGAATAGAATAGGCCTCGTAGGGTGGAAATGTGCCGCTTGAGGTGTTCCTCCGCCTCGCAATCTCTTGCGGAATGGTAGCTGCGTCTGATGTTTGCTGATGGTGTGGATTGCAATGGCCTGGGAGGCTGGAACGGTTGTGGCAGGACAGATCGTCACAAAGTGATTACCGGCAGAGTGGAAGGACAGAGTCTTTGCGGTGTGGCCAAGATGAATGATGACGGCAACGCCTTTATCGCGCTGACCAACAGCTGGCCTGCTCCATTTGATACCGGAGGCTTTGGGGGCTGCATTTTCAGATGTCCCGTAGCCCCATCCTGCATCGAGAATGGCTTGAGCTGCCTCAATCTCAGGACTGCGGTCGGATCCAAGATGTGGGATGCAGAGGTATATGTCGTCTCCAGCACATGCTGCCAAGACGGGGGCGTCTTTGCCAGGTCGCCAACGGACCACATTCACAGCAGAATCGGTCGAAATAGTGACCGACCAGATTTGTCTTTGCGGCTCGAGCAACCAAACCCGGACTGTGCCATCATCACCTCCAGTTGCGAGATATTGTCCAGAAGGATCGATGGCAACAGAGCGTACTCTGCCTTCGTGACCACGAAATCTGCCAGCTTCGTGCGTTGGGAACGGCCTTAGCTCGTCAGGGTTGGGTAGTTTGGGTAACAGAGACTCGGGGTCGATGTTGAGTTTCGTGCGTCGAACACGAGGCGCAAGGTAAAGATCCAGACAGCGGTCAAATTTCTCTTTGACAAACCTATCATACCCCGGGACTTTTCGCAAAGAGGTGTAGTCCGTTGGCAGGTAGTCTTTCTCTCGGTCCTCCTCGTCAGCCTTCACCCATGCTTCCTTTTCTTTCTTGTCTGGCAAGTACTCCGGTGGTGGATGGTAGCTTTCGTCAAAGCCAGGTGGTGGAAGTTTAGGTGCTGGCATATGCATGGCATGGTCAGGTCTGGGCTGTTCATCTGCCCAGATATCGTAGCTTTGAATGCCCTCCGTTTCCTCTTCCTCTTCTTGGGGAGGCTTATAGGGAAGGATGCGCCCTTCTCTGATAGCTCGCACGATCTTCATGACACGTTTAGCCTCGTGTTTTGAAGGCACAAACCGTCTTTTGGGCTCTGGTGCAGCACTCAATGGCATTGCCTCCGTCTTGCTCGTGAACCACTCAATGGTGGGTTCATACGGATCATACCCATCTTCCGGGATCTCATTCATCTGCACCTTTTTCAACAGTTGTAGCTCTTCCTGAGTAAGCTCCAATGGTTTGCCTGTCGACGGATCTGTCAGGCCTGTCCATCCTTTTGGTATTTCTATACTGTCGAGCAATGCATCCAAAGCTTCTCCCCTTGCTGGCCTCATGATCTTCTTCCCGTTGATATTGTAGCCGATATGCGGGTAGGAATCATAGAACGACAGGGGAATGTTGCCGATAGTGTTTGCCTCGTCATCGGGTACTGAATAGTCCGAGTCTTCACCAGGGTCGATCTCGTCGTAAATGAACCGGTCGTTCCCATTGGCATCCTTGACAACTCTGTAGTTGGGATTTTCTTCTTGGTCTTCTCGTGGAGTTGCGATGTCTGCGCCGTTAACTCTGATGTCGACTTCCGAATGCTTGCCCCTGTTGATCAGTTGCGAGGCCTCTCTAGTGTCTCCAGAAGGTATCTCATCGGTGCTTATCGACACCGCGTCGCTATCGTCATCTCCCTCACTACTCAAGTCGTCTTCTTCACCGACGCTGTCAGAATCATCTTCTGAGAGTGTCCCGTCCAGCTGGGCAAAGTCGAACTCGTCGCCCGAGACAATGGCAGCGTCTTCCTCCACATCCTTAGTGACGGCTTTTCGCTTTCTCGAGTCAGCCATCGTGCCCGAATCTTGCCCTGGATCACAAGTGGTTTGGGCAGAGAGAGGACTCTCTAAAACGCAGTTTGGAAATTTTTTGGTTTGTTCGGAATTTCTGGTGCCGATGGCCGATGCCCCACTAAAACTCCAATATCGTATCCGTATGTCAGCAACAATTGTACCAGGTACTCCGTACAGAGTACAGTACGAGTAGTTGTCCCGCACCTCAGGCGCCCACCGAACTATAGAACTCTCCGTTGGGTATGCGCAGCGCAAAGCAAAGAACTAACACACTGTAGCTAGCGAGTCCTCGCATTCGATCGAAATTATGGCGGCCGAACGAGGAAGAGACTTGATCGAGTTGTACGGGTCGTATCCCGTCGCAAAGACGTTCGCAGTCACAGACAACGTTCCCGACCTCGCAGAAACAGAGATGCCTACCTACAGCGCGGCCTTCGACGCGGATCCAACAACGAAGAGGCATGCGGCTTGTGACGAATGCAGTGAGTGCGACCACCGAGGAACCGCGTGTCTCCCCCATCTAATGGCTACCAGGAAAACGCAAGCTGAAGTGTTCGGGCGAGCCTTCGGGTTGTTCAAGGTGCCTCAAACAGACCCTAACCTGCCACTATTCCTTACAATCGAAGATGGGCCGACCCCGGAAAAGGCAGAAGGTTGAGGGCGGTCTCGAAGACGACGCGCCGCCTGCAGAAACACAAGAACAACAGCCTCTATTGGGTGGCCAACCTGGCGTGGAACCACGGAAAGACCGTCGATGCCAGAAGGCCATTGCGAGGACCGAATTTGAGAATGTGTGCACCGCGCCTATATCCCAGTCGATTCGCCGCTCGGCGGCGGCTAGCAATTTGACGAATTCAACGTCTCAAGGCTCCAATAACACATCGCCCCGTACTCCCCCTGATGAGGCTATCCTCCCGAACGGCTCGTATCCTACCGACGTGTCCCTCTGGCCCGACTTCTCCGACATGACCATGCTTCCCATGTTGGTGCAAGACAGTCATGAACAGGACAAGGCCCTTTCATCCTTCAACACGTCAGCCGCGCCGATGGGTGCGTACCTGGCTGCCCATGACCATTCTCTAGCTCCCAACCAGGCCCATTTATCACAGTTGCCCGCGGTGCCGGACTGCCCCTGCTTGCCGAATTTATATTTGACTCTATCGACCTTGTCCACACTCTCCGCTTTCCCGGTCTCGTCTGGCACGGTCGACACTCTCCTCAACTCTCACCGCACCGGCCGCAGCGTGATATACTGTGCCGTCTGCCCACAAAAGTTCCAAAGCGGCTCGCAGAATGTTATGCTCAGCAGCATGCTCATCACCGTCCTCGCAGATCACTGGCTACGTGTAAAGAAGAGCAGCGTAGCCGAACTGCGGAAAGGCTTCAGCGACGGTGACAACGACGGGGACACCGACGTTACCATGACATCCCGGGAAGACTTGGAATGGCGTACGTTCGGCTATCGATTGATCCGCGCTTGCGTCTTTGGCGACGCAGCCGCTCCGATCCCTCCTGGTTCCAACAGGCCCGTCGTCCCCGCGTCGCCGTACACGCTCTCGGACATGTGTAGCGCTCTTGAACGGCGACAGAAGCAGTGGCACGCAGTCGAGCCTTGGACGGGCGAATTCGCGCAGAAGCTGTCGGACGACGTGTCAGGAGGCAACGCCATCGGTATGACCTTGGAGGAACTGAAGGAATGCGAGGAGCAATCCTTAGCCAGTGGAGACGATGGGATGCTGTGCCTGAGGATTGTCAAGCACGCGAGGATGATCATGCGGAGTCTCGACGGACCTCCACCGAGATTAGGTGACTAGAATGGAGAGAGCAGACGTGCCAAACTGCTCGTAGACTATATTAAAGTCATCCAAGGGAACCACTAACGACTACGGTCCGCACTGCTCGAATGGATCTCCTGTCTCGCCATGTTCACGACTATCATGATATTACTTTTTAATGCCAGCTACGATTGCAATATTGGAAGTACGAAGAAATCATTCGAGATACGTCTCTCAAGACCATGAACTTATAGTTTGTAGGTCGTTGGAACATTCGTTTTTCTGTTGAAATGAATTAAATTCCTGGTCTACGTGATTTCATAGCCTCAAAAACACAATGTAGTCGTTTTGATTGTGACCACGTCTGAGATGTTTTGTGTCTGTCTCTTTTTTTTGGGGGGGGGGGGGGGGGGGGGGGGGGGGGGGTGATTGATTATATATGCTCATGATAAGCCTATGTTCATGCACAGGGGGGTTGTCTCTCTCCGCCGTTCCTCGCATTTGTGTGCCACCGTGGTTCCATCCTGCGGTTTGTTCTTACAAGATGACACAGTTCTTTGGCAACCCACACGGTCCACTCTCTGGCTTGTCGTCGGTGTCGGTGGTCGTCGTCGGTTGCCGGGTGCTGGTCTCCTTCTTGGCTGCCGGGGCCGGGGCCGGTGCCGGGGCGGCGGTGGCGGCCTCTTCCTCCTTCTTCCCGTTGGCGCTACCATCTAGTCACGCGCCGAAGCTGACCTTGCTGACGTGCTCCCAGAAGCCCTTGCCCTGGGCGGTGGCGAGCTCGAGCTCCTTCGCGGTCGGCTGGCGGCTGCCGTCGCCGGCGGCGAAGGTGCCTGCGCCCCAGGGGGAGCCGCCGCGGACCTCTTCCAGGTTGGCGAGGAGCGGGAAGGCGGTGGCGTACCCGAGGGGGACGTAGATCATGCCCTGGTGCACCCAGGAGGACAGGGCGTTGATGCAGGTGGTCTCCTGGCCGCCGCCGGGGGTCGCGGTGCTGACGAACAGCCCAAAGTACTTGCCGTGCAGGGCGCCGGTGAACCACAGCTGGCCGAGCTTGTCGATGAAGGTCTTCCACTGCGCCGAGTAGTTGCCGTAGCGGGTGGGGATGCCGAACAGGAAGGCGTCGTAGGTCTTGAGGATGTCCGGGGTGATGAAGGGGATCGACGTGTCTTGAGCCGGTGCGTGCATCTTGGTCAGGACCTCCGCGGGGAGGGTCTCTTCGATCCTGTTGCACAAGAAAAAGAAAAACGTCAGTCACGCTGTCTCCTGTGTGTGACTCTGCCAACGCAGGCCAAGGGAAGGTGGTGTCGAGGTGGCCCATGTGAGTAGGTATCAGGGAGAGGTCTGCTCGCGGGTTGGCGGGACACAAGGTGGTACGTACTGGTAGAGGTCGGCGCTGCCGCCTGCAGCTTCAATGCCCTTCTTCTCTGCCTGGGCCAGCTGGGCGATGTGGCCGTACATGGAATACTGGCATCACCCAAGTTAGTCGAGACGCTTCAAGGAGACAAGACCGGGGGTTGTGGTCGTCGGGGCGGGGGTGCGCGTACGTAGATGATGGCGACCTTGGGAGCCATGGCGAGTGTACTGTGATGGTGGTGACGGTGATCAACGAAGGGTTTACAATGAGGTTGACAGAACGTGGATGAGAGTACGAGACTGGGAGGAGAGAAGTGGAAGTGTTGAGGAGCAGATGAGGATGTGTCGGGGGTTTAAGTATTTACTGCAAAGAGTGAAAGTGATCGAAAATGGCAAACGCATGTACCACATGTATTACTACTATTGATTGCATTAGCACGAGTCCCAGTATCGTTCGATCTGTAGTTCTGAACCAGACGTGACGAAACCTGCTACTTGTGGCGTCTGTTCTCCTGTACCGTAGCATGTCTTCCAGACCCGTCGGCCTCCGTATCTGCGGCGACAACAACAACAACGACGCAAAGCTTGTCGTCGAGCTATCGCACCTGTACCTGGAATGCTTTGGTGTTCCCCGCTCGGTTGTGGAATCCGTGCATGACGCAGCCCCATCCGGGCCGCTCGAGGGCACCTTGGGTACCTTGGGTGCCTACATACACACCCAGCTTATGGCAGTATTATTAGATGATGATTATCAAATCCAGGTCGCAGCTATGCTGCAGTTGCTGTCGATGCGACCACGAGCTTTTCGCGCAAATTGGCCGCAAATGCTCGTGGACGTTGCGATCCCTGCAACATCGAGGTGGTGGGTGGAGAGCGGCAGATGCGCGGCTTATGAAATCCTGACAGAGAATTGTCAAATTGCCCAATCGCCGCCACAATCCCGCTTGCAGTGTGCGGAATCAAGTCGCGGGCCTGAGTAATGTCGATTTGCAACCCTTGATAAAGTTTGTTTTCACCTGGGCCTCGGAACCATCTCTTTGTCAGCCCTTGTCGATAATGGTTTGGCCGTTGGTTGGATTCTTGGTCAGCTGCGCCGGTTTGGGCTGCCTCGACTTCAAGAGAAACATGATGCTTCCTACAGCCACCGGGAAATTTGCTACCATCATTCCAATATCATTCACTCGTTGCTCTCTCAACAGGATTCCAATGGCGCCTTCTCGAGCCCTAATAAGTCTCCTGTGTAGCTGTCGAACCCCTTTCAAGACTGATCCCAGGTACAGTGAGGATAAAGGCCTGTATTCCACATTGAAAAAAAAGAGCCTCGAATCATTCCTCCTCCCATTCAAGCATCATCTGCTTCTCGTGTATTCTACTCGCGCTGCCCACAATGATCTTCGCCTTGGCCAGCAATTTGTCCTTGAATCTCTCCGCCGCTTCGCCCTGCAACCTAGTTTTCCACGCGTGGGCTTGCATCATGATTGGGACAAGAGTCGGGGGGTCAGCCTCGCTCAGAGCTCTGACACTCTTCAGGCCATTGTCCCAGAAAATCCGTGCCATGCGACTTTTGACAAAGGCGACCTCCGCCATTTCAAGCAAGTCTGCTCGGGCTCCTGCACGAAGGCGGTCAAGCATGTGTTCCAGCACCGCTCCAAGCATACCCCAGCCCATTCTTTGGCAGAATTTGACCATGCCGGCGGCAAAGCCGTGACAGGTCTGAGCAAGGGTCTGAACCTGTCCGCGAGACACGTTGTATTTCAAGCTGATCTCATGCACTGGCATCTCGTTGCAGAGATCACGTAACTGGAAGGCCGAGTATACCCGGCGATACACCAGAGCCAACCGGATTTCTTCCGCAGTGGTCTCCTTCAACTGAGCGCCGCTGTTGACGAGGCGATTGACAAATACAGGACTGACTCCGATCAGCCGTATCGCTCTCATCCCACTTTCGTCAAGCTGTTTAAGCTCGTCCCGAAAGGTCAACCAAGCAATCTCTCCCGGGCCGGAAGTTTGGACGGGTGTGAAGAGGTAGAAAATGTGCATATCGCCATCCATGACGAATGATTCGAGGGCGCGACGCAACTCAGAGTGCAAGAAGATACCGTCTTCAGGACTCAGGCCAGCGGCGACGACAGCTGCGCCCAGCATTGTCGGTTCAAGGCAATTCTGGAGGTCGACAGCCTGGATGAGCCGGCTTTCAAGCAGTTCGTCAACGGAGGCTTTCACCATGTTTTCAACCCCGCCCTTCTCCGTCGTGTGCCAAAGTAGTGATGAATGAACGTAGTGATCCAGAGACGTTCTGCTTGACGCCAATCGAATGGCCACAACTTCAAGCAGTGCTCTTTTGATGCCTCGTTTCTCGGGCGTCAAGCAGCTGGTGACAGCGGGCATCTCAGCTTCGAGCAGCTCCGCAACATCTTCAAGTTCTCCTTTTTGGCAGCACAAGTAAGTCTCACCATACTCGTCTTTACCCTTGCGTCCCGCTCGACCACGCATTTGCCGTAGCATTGCAGGTCCCACCAAGTCTCGACCCATTCGAGCGCCTTTCAAGATGACGCGCCGGGCTGGGAGATTGATACCCGCAGAGAGACTACAGGTTGCAACCATTATCTTCAAACACCTTTGTCATAAGCCTCGGCCACGAGTTCTCGTTCCTCCGTCGTGAGTCCGGCGTGGTGGAAACCAACGCCACGTGAGATGGTCCTGATTAAAGACGCCTCGAACCCTCCCGGGAGCGCTTGCAACGACGCTATCAAGTCCTGTCGCTTGTTTAGTGTCGTCACATCAACACAGTCGACAGGCATTGCATCGCTGACCAGACAAGCCGTTTTTTCAGCTCCCAGTCGACTGTTGCAGAATATCAGGGCAGCGTGGCCATCTAGAGCTGTTTCAACTGCCAGAGCCACCACAGCATTGGTCAGGGGATTTGACAGGTCCTTGTACTCCGATTTGAGTATAGTACGACAAGCCTTTGGATGTGGTGTTGAATACATTTCTTCCGTGGTTAGCTGACTGACTGTCCTGAAGAAGTCTTTGGCGTTTGCCGTCGGATAGATTTCATTCTCATAGACCAGGTGTTCTTCGATTGGAATTGGGCGGTATTTGGCTACGTAAAATTTGGCTTTCAACCACTCGGCGATAAGTTGCGGATTGGAAAGTGTAGCGCTCATTCCTATAATCTGCACACCGCTCTCAAGTGACACTAACTTGGAAGCAAGAAGTTCCAGGATGTATCCACGGTGCTCCTCGTTTAGCATGTGTAGCTCATCAAGCACGATAGCTGAGAGATCCACATGTTTCCCTTCCTCGATGGCGGCATTGACCAGAGAATTTGCTTTTTCAATGGTGCATACGGCCACGTCACATTCAGGCCATTCGACTGAGGACTTGCTCCCACCAAAGAATCCAGCTACGCGAATGGAGGTATTTGAGCTTCGCCATGTCGTGCTCGGTTGACTCTCAGACATGTCGACATCCCTGCAGACGCCATCGACGAGAGCTTTCAGCCACTTCAACTTTTCTTGTACGAGGGCCACATAAGGCAAGACAACGATGGCCTTTTTGCCAGGATTCTCGATGATTCTCCTAAGCAAAAGAACGTCTGCCACCAGTGACTTGCCGCCACCCGTGGGGGCAGTGTACACCAGATTCTGCTCACCCTCAAGCAGCCCTCGCCCGAGCAGACATGAAGATTGCCAGGGGTAAATTGATCGTACGCCCAGAGATTCCAGGTTGTCAACCAGTTTGGACGGCAAAGCGTATCTAGGATGGCGAAGAGATAGGAGGGGGTTTTGGGAAGGGCCGGGAGTAGAAGAGAACCTTGGAAGAGATGGTACGGGCCGTGATGTGGTGACAGACTGTCGGTCCTCGCCATCCACCACCGGTACTATGCGACTTGCCTGTAAGCGAGGGAGTGGCTGACGTGGTTCATTGGACCTCGGTTGTAACGAGGGCGTTCGCGTTCGCAACTGGTTTGACACCTGACCCTGTAGACGCTCTTGGATGTGCGACTCTACCTCGACACCATCACTGCGTCGTTTGATACCAGCGAGCGCCCGAAAGGCATAAGTCTGTTCGCGGACGAGATCCAAGGTCGTGCGATTACCGTGTGTCACGGTCGAGCGTTGCCAAGAAGAACCCATGTAGCAGCCATGAGCATCCCACTCACCAGCAGCACCAATGTTTCCCAAAGGACCAACGTATAGACCGGAGTTTGATAGTGGCAGGGGTTGAGGGTTGTCCAAGTATGCCAGCAAAAGAGCGAAGTTGGCGATGGCAAATGCAGATAAACACGGCTAGACCGCAAATGGGAAAGCGCGATCTGAATCTCTGCAGGCTGCATTTGGGGTCACGTTATGGAGAATTCACCGAACACCTTCTCTAGACAGCGGCTCAGATGCTCGCGGGCAGCGACGCAAGAAAAATACGTCGGAGGGAGCCGTGTGTTTGTAAACACCGATAAAGATGGGAATTTCTATGGTGCGAGTGCTTTGTCTGCGACTGACCTGGGTGAACCTGAGTTGTGTGACAATGGAGCTGTCGCTTTCAGCATTCAAAGGGGCACTACGAGCGCGGAAAGCCAGGAAAGGGAGAATCGAGTGAGGACACATAAGTAGCGATGAAGGCTGATGAGTGGGGAGATTAATGTCTGTTTGGGAGGGTGACCTGCGTTGAGGCTGACGGTGATCAAGGGATGGATGAAGATGGAAGTTTATAGCATGGCTTATGGGCGACAGTGGAGTGATGATAGGCATCAAATGGGCGGTCAGAATGACGCGAAACTTGCCGCCACGATTATCGCCCTTGCAGAGACGAGCTGGCGGCAGATATCGAGGCGGACACGCAGAGACCCAAGCAACAGATGCAGTCATTTTTAGAGACGAAGCGCTCGGTCATGTGACGCCAAGGCGGACGCTAAGACAGCGGTGGGGCCTGCCACGGCAGGGAACCACCGACTTCCTTCGACCTCATCCATCCTGTGCCGGCGGACAAGAGGCGGGCAGTGGCCACAGCGACCAAGGCCACGATCAGCGACGGCCATACGAACAGAGAGAAACACATCCTGCTCGAGCGTCGATTTCTGGACGAGTCAAGAGCGGGGAGAGGCGGGAGGCGCACGAGGAAACGTCCCAACCTGAGAAGAGGCGTTTGAAACGAACCACTCTACTCCGTGTTTGCGTCGTAGTGCGTTAGGTCTACCAGTCAGTAGAGCTCGCAGAAAGAAGAACCTACTGTACTACCCAGACGCCCGACAGCCGCCCCAAATTCATTCTTATTGCTACCACGCCGAATGGTTTGGGGCATCTGGGCTCCTTAAAACTATAAACTATTCGTGTGATGATCATCGTCCTCACCCACCTATTCCTTGCAGTCTTCTACTGCATCATCCTGTCTTTTGTTCCCTCGTGCCAGATCAAGAGTTCGCTTGTCTCTCCCGCCCTTGTACGAATCCTGCCAATATATTTGCCTCGTACTCCACCGCCCTCCCACGTCCTTGACTTCGTGGGCACAGTACAGTAGCTTTATGCCTCTCGTGTCTCGTGTATCCACTGCCCACTGCCCACTTGGCCGTCCGTAGTGTCGCTGTCTCGATGTCTGACCGCGAATGCCCTGTCAGGCTGCCAATGCCGCCTCCAGACAAAGTCACTCTAATTGTCTTTACGTATCCCATGTGCGCACCTTTGACTAGCCGTCAACAGGCCCGGCGCCTCGTCTGTCGAATATCTCGGCATCCTATCCGTCGTCTGCTCCCGGATTCCCCTTCTTCGTCGCCATCGCTGTGCATGGTCGTCGAGGCCAAACCTGCCACCTCACTCACTAATTACGAAATAACCTTGCGACCGTCCATCACCACACTAGGGCCACATTCTGACCTTCCGCCGATTTCTCACCTTTCCCCATCTTTTTCCTCTTTCTTCCCTCTTCATCCTTCCTCCTCCGCCCACTTCAGCCAGCATATTTCTCTTTGGCTTCCCTACCTACACTACTCGTGGGCTCGGATCGACCTGGACCGCCATCTTCCTCTCTGTTTGTATCCTCGTTCCCTGCACAACAACTTCCGCCTTCTTGCGCCATCCCTCCATCCCTCCATCAGCAGTGCATTCGGACTTGGAGCCACGCGGGCGCGTGCCTGACCTGATATATTCTCCTCTTTGCCTACGCCCGCCATCCTTCTCTGGCATATCACTGAGCCGTCCTCGACCCGGCTTTAGTCCTCCTCGACTCGACGACATATCAACATTACATGTAGCGTCGCTGTCTCCAATAACACCGACCTTGTTGCCACTCCGCATCTCAGTCACCTCGCCGCTCGAGCCCGTGGTGGTCGCTACACGTCGCGCCCACATCCGCCTACGCCATGCAATAAAACCCCGACCACGACAACTCACGAAAGCTGCGCTGTTTCGTCTTGAATGGCCATGTCGAATTCTGAAATCCCTTCAGAGGCCGCCACGCCTACGGGTATCCTCGAAAAGCAGCCAGATGCAGCCCTGATTTCTCAGACCGATGCGCCGCCAAGCGCAGCTGCCCACAGCGATGTTACTAGCATGGATGTGTCGCCCGCACCCGAAGCTGCGCTCCCTCGCGAGATGCCGCAGTCCCAACCGATGACCGCCACCGCGTCCTCCTCCTCCCAAAACCCTCCTCAAGAGAACGGCATCGCTGCCAACGCTGCCTCATATGGCACTCGTTCGAGAAACCGTACGGGGACGCGACCCAATTACGCCGAGGACAAGGATCTCGATCTCGACATAGAGACGTCGCCCAAACTCAGTCGCTCCGGTAAAAGATCTTCCGCAGTGGCTGCCGAACACAACACCACCGCTGCAGGCTTTGCTGCGGTCAACAGCTACACCACCGATCGATCCTCGGACAATGCCCCTACTGGAGGCACGTCAACTCCTGTCTCTGCTGCAGCACCTGCACCCTCCAAGAAAAGGAAACATCCCGGCAGTAATCATGCTGTTTCCACGAACCACTCTCTGTCGACCAATTCGAGGTCTCGCCATACCCCTGCCATGCCGCTGAAAGGCTTCGTGGAGACGAACATGATGAGTTTCTCCAAGTGCGGACGTAGACTCAACTCGAAGCAGCAGCTGGTTGCAGACGATGGAACAACCGTGCAGGCAAATGGTTAGTTTTGTGTGAAATGCAGAGTGCTCCCCTTTGACTAATCCGATCTAGACCATGTCTATATGGTGTGCGAACCCCCGGGCGAACCTTACTACCTTGCCCGTATCATGGAATTCCTGCATGCGAAGAATGATCCCGAGGCTCCCGTCGACGCCATCAGAGTCAACTGGTACTACAGACCGAAAGACATCCTGCGCCGTGTGCAGGACACCCGAGTAGTGTTTGCCTCGATGCATTCAGATACATGCCCGCTCAACTCTATCCGTGGAAAGTGTAACATACACCATCTGTCCGAGATATCGAACATGGATGAATATCGCAGCCAGCAAGATTCCTTCTGGTTTGACAAGCTCTTTGATCGGTACATGCACCGTTACTACGAGGTGATACCCACCCAACGAGTTGTCAATGTTCCACAGCACGTCAAGACCGTTCTCGACCAGCGCTGGAAATTTGTTTTGGTAGAAATCGGCAGAGGTCGTGAATTGACCAGCGAAAGCAAAAAGTGTACGAGATGTGAACAGTTTGCCAGCAACCACGACTCCGTCGACTGTGCCGTCTGCAAGAGAACCTACCACATGCAATGCGTCAGACCCCCGCTACTGAAGAAACCTGCGAGAGGCTTTGCTTGGGCCTGTGCTGCTTGTAGCAGAGCGCAAGAGCTGAAAATGGATTCCCGCAATACATCGGCAGGTTCTGAAGCTGCTCACGGTGACGACGACGATTTCATGGACGAGGAGGACGACGAGCCTGTATCGAAGATCCAGGAGACCCGCGAAAGCAGTACTGTCCCCGAGGCACATCCTGCACCCACAGCGGCTCAGATCGCACAGGCAAACCTGTGGCCATGGAGATATCTCGGAGTGCATTCGCGAGTAGAGGATGCGCTTGACTACGACGACCGAATCTATCCTCGTGCTAGCTCCCGGCTTGGGCCTCGCCATCAAGCAAATGTCAGTGTATGGCATGGCCGACCCGTGGAGTTTGTGAAACCCGGTGAAGCCAAGAAGAAATACAAAAACGCCGATGGGAAGAGAGACAAGAAAATGAAAGATGGAGGCAATGACGCGGATAAGGACCAGCGCCCCAAACGCCCCAAGTGGGTGGTTGACGAGCCCATGGGCTACATTCCTCGTGGGCACGATGAACCCGTGGAAATCAAGGGCAAGAAAGAAAACACTGCGCAGTTGATTTTCAAGCTGCCAGAACGGCCCGAGGCGTCAGAGCGAGGAGGTGATGACATTGACAGACCGGAGAATGCGGAGGAGATTGTCGACGAATACATGAAAAAGGTCAAGCCCATTGCGGCGCAGTACAACTTGTTGGATTCTTCCGTTGACTTCTTGACCAAGGCTGTCGAGAAGCTATACGAAAACAAGTTCGACGTGGACAAGGCCCTAGACGCCATGAAGGGGCTTTCATTGAGATCCGACTTGAAACAGCCAGACCTGAATCGTGAAGAGATCAAGCGTTTCGAAGAGGGTGTCGCCAAATACGGCAGCGAACTTCATGCCGTATATCGCCACGTCGGGGGGAATGTGAAAGAATCGCGGATCGTCAGGTTTTACTATATGTGGAAGAAAACCGAAAGGGGTCAACAAATTTGGGGTAACTACGAAGGCCGGCGTTCCAAGAAAGAATCGAAGCGGGCTGATAAAGACGGAAACGTCAAGCTTCTGGATGATGTTGCGGATGATCGAGACGATTCTGCTTTCGATGAAGAGAAGGCTGTTCAGAAGAAGCGTGGATTTGTCTGCAAGTTTTGTGGGACAAACCATTCACGGCAATGGCGCCGCGCCCCGGGCACACCTCCAGGCACCCTCGTTCCCAAGGATTCCTCCGCAAAGAATAGCAAGGACAAAAGTGGCTGGCTTACGCTGGCACTTTGTGGTAGGTGCGCGTACCTTTGGCGAAAGTATGCAGTTCAGTATGAGGACATCGAGGAGATATCGAAGAAAATCGCAGCCTCTGGCAGCCGAGCTGCTAAACGGAGAGTCGACGAAGAGCTGCTGCGTCTCATTCTCGAAGCGCATCAAATGTCGGGCGATCCTATACCTCCACGTGCGGTCGACGAAGTCAACAAAGCCGGTATGGAGGTCCCTCAGAACATCATACAGCCGGAGGAACCACCTAAGAAGAAAGGTAAGACCGAACGGGATGGACTCAATGCGACGCCTGATGCTGTTCCGGAGAAGAAGAAGGTACCCGAGAAGCCACAAGAGCCACCGCCAATCGAACCCGACCCACCTAAGGTTAAGATCCACCCTTGCGCTATATGCCGAGTCATTGATGTACCGGGTCAAGAACTGCTCAAATGTCGTGACTGCAGATTGCATGTGCATGGGTCCTGTTATGGTGTCGGCGTCAAAACCAATACCAAACCGTGGTTTTGCGACATGTGTAGAAACGACCATAACCTGCAGGTCTCGACTACGTACGAGTGTGTCCTCTGTCCGGTAAAATTCACACATCAGGAGTTGATGGAACCACTCAGGCCTTCACATAAGAAGAAAACAGACCGCGACCGTGAGAAGGAGAGGATTGAGCGCGAGATCATTCAAGAGGCTAGCCGTCGTTGGCGAACGGAGCAGGAAGCTGCTGGGCGCCCTGTCAATCCCCGAGAAGCGCTGAAGAGAACCGCATGGAACAATTGGATGCACATTACCTGTGCGCTCTGGACAAAGGAGATCAAGTTTGGCAATGCGGAATTGCTTGATGATGCCGAGGGCGTCGGATTCATCCCGAAAGACCGATTCGAAACCATTTGTAAGATCTGCAAGCAAGGAGGCTATCCGACGGTCAAATGCCACCAGTCGAACTGCACTGCATTCTTCCACGTCGGATGTGCTCACCAAGCAGACTATATTTTTGGCTTTGACGTGGCCCCTGTCAAGAGCACTCGCCGTGACTCAGTCAATGTGATGAAGCTTCAAAATGAAGTCGGCATTGTCACCGCTGGAATCTGGTGCCCAAATCACCAGCCGTCGACATTTGTACACCCGATGCTTGAACCAACAGAAGGCGATTTGACTGCGATGCAACTTTTCGCACGGACTTATAAGCAGGTTGACACTTCCGTTACTGGGACAGTTCGGAGAGCCGCTCAATTCACCACAAACGTGCCCTCCACAGCACCTGCTGTGCAGCCTATCTCAAGACGCGAATCTACAGTCAACGGGCTTGCCAATGGCACTCATGGGCACGTCGAGGACGTGAGCTTGCGCTCGTCGCCGATCGTGGATTCTCCAAAAGACAATGGGACTGTCAGCGTAATCGATGACAAAACGAAGAAGACAGACAGAGGTCGAAAGATATGCTGCACCTGTGTCGTGGATGTCAGTCCTCGATGGTGGCCACTCAAGCCACGAGATTTATCTGGGCCTAGTATCAACGGAGTGCCCGCAGCACAACTCTCGGATGCTCCTAGTGCAAATGGAGCGCAGGACGTTATCATGACGAATGGAATTGTCAAGGCCGAGCCAACTGACACAAACGGGGTGGTTCACGTTGGAGACAACCGGGATCGATTCATGTGGCAATGTCACAAGTGTCACACTCTGAAGCGGACACCGCCTTCTTCCCCCTCGCAAATCAAGCCTCGAGAAAAGCGCGCTCCAGAGCCGGTCCCAGAGCCATTTGCCTATCAATCATCCTATGCTGGGCCATCTCCAGCGAGTTATCCAGGGAATCGGCCACAATTGGAAGCAGGATTGCCACCTCCACACTCTCATCCAACGCACCCACACCGTCAGCCCAATGCGCCATTTCACAAACAATTGACCTGGCAAACTCCTACAGGATGGTCCCCAGGCAATGTTCCTAGCGCCCGTCGGCCATCACCGCCACCCCTCACAACATATCCTCCCAGTTACCGGCCACCATACGATAGCCCTGGGTATGGCAGACCTGCGCACCATGCCTATTCAACTGTGCCGCCGCCACTCCCCCCGCCCCCTACTGCCGGGCACTTGGTCCAACATTCTCCACCACCTGTATCATATGGCGGTCCTCCTCCTCCCTCTTCCCATCCTCACCAAGCTCCGGGCGGGCCAAACCCGCCACAAGGTGGCAGACCACCTTCCCCGAGATTCGAACGTCCGCCAGCTCCTTCACCACACCTCGGACTACAGTCGAGTATCTTGTCTCGATCGTTTGCACCTGAGCCACCACGACAACCAAGCTTGGGATCTCCTGCAAATGGCTATTCAGCACCCCCGATGAGTACATCTAGGCTCTACAATCCGGTCCCACCGCCACCACCACCACCACCGCCGCAATCATCACACTCACCAGCAGGAGTCACTAGACAGTCACCATCGATACAATCCTTGCCACCAATTTCTCAGCCTACTGCTGAGCAGCCAGGAAGATCTCATTCAAGAACCACCAGTATCGAAGTGTCTGGCACACCGAGATTTGGTCCTCGACCAGTGCCCGAAAGCCCACGCCAGCGTCCGATTACTCCGGCAACTGCACCCGGACTTAAAGACGACAAACGAGATGGACCCGGCGCGAGTGCCAGTCCGAGTCTCAAGAACCTGTTGAGCTAGACACTACTTGCAGCTATGTCTGATCTCTCGAGCAACTCGGGGTTGTCATCAGTACCGCCGTCTGATTCATGCTGCTCAAGGAGGCATTGACAGGGTGACTCAAGTAATCCCATGCCTCTTTGCATACAGCGTGGTATGGGAAATGAACAAAGATCTATGGAACCTTGGGACAAAGGAGGCCAATGGCCATTCGAGTTGTTTCGAGAACACGCTCCCAGCTCGCGAGTGAGGGCGAGAAAGGTTGCATAGAATCAACCATGCCGTGTTGTATGTATGTATGTAAGTATGTTATGTGTACCATTGGAAGCTTGTAGGGAATGTGAGAGAAACTATTGGTTTTGCGACAGATGCCCCCCATATGATGATCGTGCTCTAAACTAGAATTTTTATCAAGCAGACCGCAAGAACCCACGGGATGCGTAGTTTTGGGGAACGTTCTAGCCAACAACCCCAGGCGTACGGATGTACGCATGGATGTACCTAAGGTAAGGTACGTTGACAGCAGTGATGAACATTTTACGCGGGTAGGCAGGTAGCACGAAGTATACACAGTCGTCCCGTCATCATCCATCCAAAGACAAGCAAGTATCGGAAAAGGTAGACAGACAGTAAACAACAATGTCTCGCTGTCGCACACCAGGCCATCGACACAGCACCTCCCGCGAGACGGCGCCAAGGCCAAATTCCGCCCTCGGGACATTCATAGACGTCGTCCACTGACAGCATTCCCAAGGATATTTTGAAGCCTCTCGATGCCCTCTGCGGCTCTGGCAAGTCAGTCTGTGTTCTACATCGTGTACGTTGACGACGGGACGTGTACTGGTTCTGTACTGGTCCGTCGTGACCAGGGAATAGATGGCATTCAGGTTAGCAGCTATGACTACCTCCGCCCACGCCGTGCTGCGCTGCGCCGCGACGTGCGAGACGAGAGCGCGAGAGCGCGATGGTCCTCAGTCACTGACCAAGTGTGTTGCTATTCTATGTTTTGGTGGTGGGTATGAGACTCTGCCAATTTGCGTCGCTGCAGAGTGTGCTCATTCGTCGTCCTCGTCATCATCGATAACCCGCCTCTTCTTCCTCGCTTGAGGGCTTCCTCTGGGCTCATCGGCAGGGGCGTCCCCATCGTCGTGGTCGTCGTCTTGCGCGACGCGCTTTGGCGTCGAACTCCTGTGCCGGTCTCGATCTCGATTGCCTCCTCGGGTCCGTCCTTCCATCAGAGTTTCTCTCCCTTCAATCTCCAGGTCGTCAACGTCCGGGTCGTCCTCGTCTTCTGCGTCGACTTCTTCGCCCCCACCTTCGTCATCGTACACCTCGGGCTCTTCGTCGCTCGCGGCAAGAAAGTCGTCCTCGCGATCGTACTCGTCCTGTCGTCCACGGCCACGCGGGTAGTCTTCGTCCTCGTCGTCCGAATAAATCTCCCCGCGACGGTTCGTTTTGCGGCGTCGTGCTTGGCTCTTTGTGCCGCGGGCCATGGGCATGCCTTCGTCGTCTTCCAGCCCCTGGATGCTCAACCCACCACTTCGGCCGAGGCCGGAACGGTGTAGCACACGGTCTTTGCGGAGGAGGAGTCTGTCCTGCGCGTTCTCGACCTTGCGAGCGTTGCGCGCTTTTTGTTTCTCAAACTCTTCGGCCTCCTTCTTGCGCTTCTCGGGGTCTTTGTTGATGATTTTGAAGCTGGAAAGAGGATCATGCATCTGTGTCGCTGCGGCAAGCGACTGCTGGAGCTTCAGGACCGACTCATCGGCAATGTCGCCGGTTGGTTGTACCTTCATGGACGCATCGAAAGGTGCAATGATCTGAATGTCCACGCCCACGGCGGCTTGAGGAGCTGCGAGATAATTGTGGGTATCTTTGTTCGGGTCGTAGTCTGCTTGAGACGAGCCAGGCTTCTTAGGCCAGCCCTGTCTCAAAGCTGTGGTGGAGATGCGGTAGTGGTCTTTCGGACTGGAGGCGATTTGGAGGGTCATGCTACCATCCGACCAGCGTACAAGGCGTGAGTTTGATTGAAGAAGGTTCGGATTTTTTGGGTCTCGCCGCCAGAAGACGGTGCTGGCTGCGGTAGAGAAGGGGGAAAACTTGGTGGTAGAGTCGGCACCCGGATCCCTTCCATCGTGAGGCCTCTCTGGAGGGTCGTAGGTTGCGGGGTTGAAGTTCTTGTGTTTGACACCCAAGAATTCTGGCACGTTCAAAAGGTACAGCTCTTCTCCCTGGGGCGGCTTAACTCGTGACATATCAATATTCATCAGCTTCAGAGACTTTTCCTCCCGGGGTGAGTCCTCGCCGCCCTCGACTGTTTCTGCAATCCGATCGTTTCGCCCTTCATCGTCGCCGGAGTCGAGTTCGGAGTCGTCCAGTTTCCTATTCACCCTGCAGACAATATCAGTGAGTGCCCAAAAGGCTGCGCAAATTACAAGACTTACTCGTTGGCCGTCTCAGGTTCGTCGTCGTCGTCTCCAAACAGATCCCCATCGTCGGACGCGTCTGCCCCATTGAAAACATCCTGGTGGTCAAGAGTGTCATGCTGACTATTCGAGTGTGCACTTTCCAAATCCGAGGACATTTTGAGTCTCGTCGGTAGGGACAGGAGCGAAGAATGCCGTCTCGGATGCTGCTGCAAAAGCGTGAAGCCAAGACGTGTCGAAGTAGAGGTAGGCTTCGCGGGTGGGAGGGCGGTCAGCTCAGACTTGACATCTGCCCAGCTATGAGCACAAATATAACGAGGATGAGGTGTGGCAGGAGAAAGGACCGAGAGAGCACTGAATAAGTGTTGTCCTGCTCATAGAGCAAGCATTCAATTAACATGCTGGCATTGTCGATCAATCCTTTGCAACGTCGGCCAAATTGCCTCAATCAGTCGAGCTTCTCGGCTAACTTTCTCCCCTAAATGCCTCTGTACGCTCTGCCTCCCAAGGCCAAGGGTGAACTCCTGTATCAATGCGTCTTCACTTTCACGCGCAGTACACACCTCACTCCTTTTCTCCCAAGCACCAGAAATTGTGGGATATTTGTGGTTGAACAGGACCACACACGTTCCAGAATATTTCTAGCACAATGGCGACGTTCTTTCAGAGCGTGTATGTATCTTCTCGGTTCTGTTCTCTCGCTTGTCACCCTGCACCGCTTGTTTCTCCCAGCCGCCGATGATCTCCCCCCTGTATCCCCCCCAAGAACCCGAACTTGGAGTGGAGATCAGCTACCTATAAGTGTTTCTCAAGCCCGTTCACGAAGCTGACCCTATCCTCAGCCGACAAGGTTTCACAAGAGGCAACACAAAAAGCAACCAGAACCTCAAAGCGCAGTATAACGGCTCTCAGTCCCCTAGCCTTCAGCAAGCGCCCCCCCTGCCCACTATGCCGAATTCGCCTTCTCTATCCTCCAACTTTAGTCAAGAGGGAGTCTATCAAGAACATGAACCGAAAAAGTACATGAACGAGAAATATGCAAAATGTTCCGTGAAGGGAAACTTCCTCACTCTCGCTGCGCAACCGAAGAATGTCGAACTAGGAGAATGGCTGGCCCACCAATGTAGGCATTGTTCCGTCGGCCCATCAGACACATAGTGACTTTTTCTCTACAGTGGTGGAAATGAATAGGCTCCTCACCGCCATGATTCAAGTCATACAGGAAACAGATTCCAACACTGGGATGCCGCTGTGCAATGAAGTCGGCTGCCCCACAATGTCGGCTGGACGGTAGGTGACATTGTTCAAGGACAAAAGCGCAGAGGCTGATTCTACAAAGACTCACCTACACCTGGCTCGAGAATGGTCGGCCAGCCAAAATTCCCGCACCTTCGTACATCGTTCGAGTTCAGAGGTGGATAGTTGGCAAGATTCATGATGAGAAGACCTTCCCAACCACGCCACCACCAAGTATTGCCAACACCGGCTTCGCATCCGGGGATGTTGATTCTACTCCCAACTCTGCGCAAACCCCTATTGCAGCGGGACCGACGAATCTGAACCAATCCTTGACCACTCTGGCTGGAACTCAGGATGAATGGATCGGCAAGTCGTCGGGCTTCCCTCAGCACTACCACCAAGACGTCAAGAGCATCATCAAGCAGATGTTCCGATGCTACGCTCATCTGTACCACAACCACTGGGACAATCCGTTCTGGCATATCAATCGTCATTTGGAGCTGAATAGTTGCTTTGTGCACTTCATCACGGTTGCAATGTACTATGACTTACTGCCGAAGAAAGACATGGAACCCTTGCAAGGTCTCATTGACATCTTTATCAGCCAAGGCGTTGTACCCAAGGAGGCCGTGCAGCAGCACGTCAGCTAAATTGTCAGCAATTACCAGCATACTGTCCAATAAAATGTTTCAGTCACGACGATCAATCGAGCAGTTATACGACGTCTACGGCAAGGCCACGAAAGCAAGTGTATGCATTTTAGCGATGATCAGGGCGTTCTTGAGGCGAGGGCAATGAATTCAATGGCCGTCATATATGGTCACACAGAAAAGAGGATTGACTTGGTCGTGGTACGGATCCTTCTTGTTCCGGAAGAGAGAAGACATACTAGGAAAACTTGGTCGCTATGGTTAGCTATGTCGAAACATAGATAGGCTTTGTACCTCACAATGCATCTGCTCCGATGGAACTATCGAAGAGCGACGACTGTGGGAGAATGGCCAATCTTTTGGCGATGATGGTCCTTGGTATCTGAATAGACTGACGCAGAACCTACGTGCGCAGTGAAAGTAAGCACCTCTTCGACGTCACTGTGATCCCTAAGGGTTCCGGCATCAGATGATCGCGTGGCCCTGGTCGGCGTGTTGAACTCACGCGAGGATGGGAAAATGTCAAAGTACGGCCCAGGTAGTGTACAGGTCTGCATTTCCCTCAGGGACAAATCCATAACGCAACCCTTTGCAACCACCAGGGTTGCAGTAGCCGTACCAGCTAAGCTTGAATGCTCTCTGAATGTTGTGGAGGGGTGGCCAGGAGGAGCAAGAGTTTCAACAGCACCCGCAGGATGAAACCGCTCCAAACCCCATGGCAAACGCCCAAAGGCATGGAATGGAGGGAGGCGGGAGCTATACCGGACGCCAAAAGACCAGAGTTATGGCGTGGGCCTCTGTGGAAGAGGAGTCATCGAGAGAAGCAACTAGTGCAAACGGCCTTGAAATCACTACCATTCGGGATCGGGTCAGGTCAGAAAAGTGAGCATAGAGCATAGAGCCTGAGACATGATCTTTCCTTATTGAAAACTATGCGTTGTTACAGTTACGGATGACGGAAGATCTGTTGACAAGCCGAATCAAATCCTATCCTTTTCAACGCCTTGCATACATTTTTTGGGTCCAATCATAAAGAGGGCGTGGCATGCTCTAGATAAGAGAGACGAGGCCGGCGTTCAGCTTCACTCGGCATTGCCGCTTGAACGCGTAGTGCTTCACTCGGCATTGCCGCTTGAACGCGTAGTTCTCTTGGTGACTTCCGCCTTGACCGTCTCGGCGCCACTGGTGGCAGCATCGGCAACCTTGTCCTTCGCATCGGCAGCAGCTTCCTTGGCCTTCTGAGCAGTCTTTTTGATGTCCTCTTTACTAGGAGCAGCAGAGCCACCCAACCCAGCCAAACCGACGACAATCGCGACGACAAGAACAAGAGCACCACCTAGGGCGGAAGCAACTTCAGGCATGAACTTAACCGCCTCAACTGGGTCCTTCTTGGCGATGGTGATGAAGAGGTCGAGCTTCTCCTTGACGAATGTAACCGGATCATCCATAAAGCTGAGGTCTGAGGGAGATTTCGGAGCCTCCGAGGGTTTTGGTTTGCTCTTTGCATCCTCATCGTCCTCGATCGGTCTCTTGACATCATATGTTTCGGCTCGGAAAGCGGCAGCATCTTCGACAGAGTGACCAATGTAAATGTTGTCAAAGGTGATATCGGATTGCATTGTCCAGATCTCAAAGCCAATCTAAGAAATGTTAGCAAAGAATAGGCTATGTCAGCAATAGAAACTCACAGCTCCAATGGGCTCGAAGTTGGCTGGGGTCTTGTCTTCGAAGTAATCCGGGTTAGGAATCTTGCGAGGCGCCCACGGTCCCCTGTAGTCTGGGTTCTCGATGTACGGCGCAGTCCACTTCCCTTTGTAGAGAGGGTTCTTGATCATTGGTGGCTCCCATTTGCCGCATCCGGATACTTCTTCACACTTAGGGTTGGGAACCTGAGGAGGAATCCAGTCGCCATCTTCTTCATCGTCCCAGTCCTCGGGCTTCTCGGCTTCTGGGTCTGCGACCATGGTGGGTTCGTCCTCAAGCCAGTCCTCCGGCTTCTCGGCTTCCTCATCCACAATCTCATACGGTTGGTCCTCGTCCCAATCCTCTGGCTTGGTAGCAGCAGGATCTGGGATACGGGCTTGCTCAACCCAATCGTCAGGCTTCTTATCCTTGGGGTCGTCGATTTCTTTCTCGGGGTTCACTGAAGGAGAGAAGTCTTCGAGGAGGCTCCCCGTCTTGACCGACTTGTTGTCAATCAACATTTCGAACGTGTTGTCGGGATTGACAATCAAGGTATAGAGGTGGGTTAGTTTGTCGTTCTTGGCCTGGGGAGGGCTCTTGAGGTGCTTCTCTTCGTATTCGCCCGTCTTAGGGTTCTTGTGCTTGAAAATGAAGTGAACCTGTAGCGACATGAGTAAATTGCGACCGACCATAGTTTGCGTTGACGTACCTTGTTGGTAGCACCACACTTGTCGGGCCCAAACATGATCACGTAGGGTGACGTGTTGGAGAATTCCTCTGCGTGCAACTCCTTGTTCTCCTTCAAAAGCTTCATGTAGGCACCACCGCACTCCAGGCCGTTTTGGAGCTTCACCTCATACTGGACGACCAGCGTCTTGCCTTTGTTGTCAATGACAGATGGAAATTTGGCCGAGATGGCATGGTGCGCAGCTGCGTTCTTGACGACCAACCCCTTGTCGCCCACAATACCAGGCAAGACGGTCGGTTCTTCGACTGACCACTCCCCAACATACGCCCAGTCCTCGTCACTCTTGGAGTCTTCTTTCTTTGCGTGTGAGGGTGTCCATCTCAAGTCCCAGTCATCGGTAAACTGTTCTAGGAAGGGGGCTTTCAGGCTGGTGGGCTGCTGTCTTGTGAGCCACTATCTCGGATATGCCCCAGATGCATTCGACTTACCGTGAAGGTAGGCCTCTCGGCGACACTGGATGAGGGTTCAACCTCCTCCTGCGCCAACGTGCTGCCGATAAGCAGCGCCGACGCGTAAAGAGCCGGGGCGATGGCTGCGTTGAGCTTCATGACGGGCACACCGTGTGAAAATGCGGGACTCTCAATGGATGCACTTCTGAAGGAAGAATTGGCGGAGAGAGGAATAGATCAGAAAGAGAAGGAAATGTCAATGCTGCCGATATATCTGGAGGTTTCGATGGTGAACGAAAGGTGTCCTTTACTGTAACTCCACACAGGAGGAGACGCTAATCATGAAGTCGGACCTCGCACACAGTACAAATTACCCTTACATTAACCGCAGACAGTAAGGCTGACGAGGCTGCCTCTTCACCTCTGAATCGCGCTCAGAGACTTTAGGGGTGCGGCCCACTAGCCGCCGCCCCCTTACCTACAGACATGCACAGGTACCTTAGGCGCCTATCCACCAGCCACATTCCAGGTGTATTGGTTAATAATTACTAACTTCAATCTTCTAATAAGCCATACACTCCCTACCGATGCCATCGTACAAGTATGGTCTCATTGCGGTTTCTCCGCTCTACCTTCCTTATTTCGAAGTTAACTTACCAAAGTTGGAGACGACGTTGGCTTACCTTATAAAGGCTTAAGGTGTGGCCAATAGATACTTCGGGTACCCTAGCTACGTAGCAAACGAAGTCTTTGCTTCCTTTCAACTTACGGTGCCGCTCTCTTGATCTCAAGACTCGATAATTGCAGCAAACAGCTCAAAATGACTGATGAGAGAAATGACCACCTGGTGCAATCTGATGACCCAGACCATCCCGCCAACTTGATCCCAACACTATGCAAACAATTTTATACCCTAGGTAAGAGGAGTGGGTGCTCGGTTGTCAGTCGCGTACTAATTCCCCAAGGATGGGTAACTGGCACCGGGGGAGGCACTAGCATTCGAAAAGATGAGCATGTCTTCATTGCGCCCTCGGGCGTCCAAAAGGAACTGATGAAGCCTGAAAATATTTTCGTTCTGTCCTACCCGACCCCGAAATATCCACCATCTGCTCGACAATATATCCGCAAGCCCCTTGACCTGAAACCTTCAGCGTGCACACCTTTGTTTCTTGCCGCCTTTGAGCGTGGCGCGGGCTGTTGCATTCATACACATTCTCAGTGGGCTGTGCTTGTCACGCTGCTCGTCGAGAAGATGTCAGGGCCAGCGGCATGTTTCGAGATCAGCAACATTGAACAAATCAAAGGCATCCCCAAGGGTCCAGGGAAGGGCATGCTCGGCTTTCACGATACCATGAAGATACCAATCATTGAAAACACTCCTTTCGAGGAGGATTTGACCGAGCACTTGGAGAAGGCAATGGAACAGTATCCTGATGCTTATGCCGTATTGGTTCGGCGGCATGGAATGTTGGTCATTTCGCCCTCCCTAGATGGTTGCCTGCTGACACTTTTTCTTAGCTACGTCTGGGGCGACAATGTCGCAAAAGCGAAAACTCAGTGTGAGAGCCTAGATTATCTCTTCCAACTGGCCGTCGAGATGCATAAGCTGGGCCTGCCTTGGATTTGATTGATCTCATCTACAGATTCTTGGGTTCAGACTTTCGAAAATCAAGTCCCAGCAAAATATATACACCTCACTATGTGTCGTGGGTGCTTGTGCACTCCGACTTGTTGATTTTCATGAGTACAGCATGCTTGAATTCTCAAATAGATCGCTTCGGACTGCGTCATTATGTCGTTGTTGCTTTCTGTGTTTTGGCTCGTATTGGCGCAAATAGTTCGCCCAGTAAACAGTGCCCCTCGCTTTCCCCTCCTTAAGCGAAGTCTTGTATAGCAGATCAGTCTCATATTCTCCATTATCCATACCAGTCAACTGAAATTTCTTACCTGCACTACGGTCCATGGGCTTCGCCATTGATTAACAATGTCGACGACATCAACCTCAGCAGAATCCCAACTGGCATCAGCATCTTCAGCCCAACGCACAGCCGAGGCCAAGAGGGCATTTACGGCTTCTCTGGTTGCCGCGGGGACGAGTATCGACGCGGAGTTGGAAGCTCGCGCGAAAAATATTCACTCAAATGCCAAAGCATTATCAGAGCAGGAGGATCAGCTTCGCAAGAAAACGATAGCCGTGGCCAGAGACGCCGATTCGCTGGAGAAGCTACTGAAAAAAACGAAGCCTGCAGTGGATAGTCTGGGTGATCTGGATACTATGTTGGCTGATCTTGAGGCTGATATGGCCACTATGGAGGAAACTCTGCGTCTAGCTGAGCAAAGTGACGAGGAGGGAATCCGAAACAACGCGCATTGAGATGCATCGTGATATTCGCATGCTTCGCCGAGGGGTACTATGCGCCATTCAAGACACCAAGCGACACTCTTGGTTCAACGGGACAAATCTTTACTACCTGAATGTCTAAGAAGCTTCTAGCGGAACTTTCTGACTTGTGATGTAGTCTGGAAGTAATGTGTCGACACGAAAACCAAACGTGAGTCTTTTGAATGGGGTTTTCATATACAAGTTTTCGTTGCGGGAAGACATCTTGCACAATATTATATTCCGATTCGTTGAGCTTGACGCCTCTCTCGGCCGTACTCAACACTTGATACGAGTCCAAGGGTTGTCCCTAGGCGAATTCGTGCTGCTGATTGTGCTTGCTGCAATGGCGAATTGATTCCAGCCTACCTACAGGGTCTTCCTGAACTTCAATGTGACTGTTCGTGGCAGGGCCTCGAAATACTTACGGCCTTGTCCTGGGTGCACCACGTCGGCACCTGCGATTCCCCTCACAGCCAATCGGCGCTCGATGCGTCCTTCCGCAAGCATCGCCCATCAACACCATGCCTTATGCCCTTTGCTCTAGAGCGATCCCAATAGCAGTTCGCATGCACATCGAGGAGCTACACGAAGAGCGCCCCAAATGCTTAAAGCATTCACGGCTCAGCCCATTATTGAGCTGAAACAAAGAGACAAATCCAGGATAGAGTCAATCCTCTCACACAGCGATCAATTACTCGTCGGCCTAAACACAGGCTCCCTTCGTATCTATCGCGTCAAAAACCCTCCACCCGACCATGACGAGGACAATTCCAGCGAGTCCAGCTCTGCTGCAGCACACACCGACGACCGTCCTTATACGTTGAAATCCTCCGAACTCCTCCGAGAATACGAAAAGTTCTCGAAGTACAAGATAGAACAACTTGCTATCTTCCGAGAGGCAAACATTCTTCTGTCATTGAGTAATGGGCTGGTCTCAATACACGATTTGGGCACCTTCGAGTTGCAGGAACAATTGACAAGCACAAAAGGTGCAACGCTCTTCGCAGCTACAAGCAATATCGTAAAGGACACTACAACGGGCGTGCCCACATTGGTGAGTAAACTGGCTGTTGCTGTGAAGCGGAGACTGCTCCTGTGGTCATGGCATGATGGAGAGCTCGACGGTGATGCTGTTGAGATAGCTCTGTCTCACAGCATCAAGTCGTTGACGTGGGCCTCCGGGACGAAGATTGTTGCAGGGTTGACTACGCACTACATCCTACTGCATACAGATTCTCGAGACATCATAACAATTGTGGGGCCTGGGAGCATTGGAGGTGGTCCGGGACAAGAGGCAAGTAGGCTGGGAGGCCCAATGAGCTATATCGGAATGGGAGGCATGCTTCCTACGCCTTTAGCGACAGGGCTGGGAAACAATGAGATGTTGTTGGCCCGAGATATCAATACACACTTCATCGACCGAGATGGTGAGCCCATCGGCAGGCGACAGATACCATGGCGAAGCCCTCCACAAGCTGTGGGATACTCCTACCCGTACCTCCTAGCTTTGCAAGAAGCAAGCAAAGGATCTCTTGAGGTACGCAACCCAGAGACTCTTACATTGCTTCAGACTATAGATCTGCCTGGTGCTGTACTGCTCCAGGTACCAAATCCCAACATCAGTCTGGCGCACCAAGGGAAGGGATTTCTGGTCGCAAGTGAACGCACTGTGTGGAGAATGCAAGGTCTGAACTATGACTCTCAGATCGATTCATTAATCGATAGTGGGGCTCTTGACGAAGCCATCAGTCTCTCAGAGATGATCGAGGAGACTCTCATCAAGAACAAAGCTGCACGCCTACGGGAGGCCAAAATGCAAAAAGCACAGCGCTTGTTTGACGAAAAGAAGTTCAGGGACGCTCTGGATTTGTTTGGCGAAGTCTCTGCACCACCGGAAAGGGTCATTAGGCTCTATCCTCCGCTCATAGCTGGCGAATTGGCACAGCCTAATGGTAAAACGGGATCACTCGACTCGCCCAAAGACGATTGCACCAACCTGAAGTCAACAAAAAGTGAGTCCATTGCTAGTCCATTGAAGAAATCTAAAACTACGACGTCTGAGGCGGACAAAGAGAGTATCAGAAGTGCGAGAACCGTGGACCATGCAAGCAACGACGCATTATCTGAAAAAGAACTCAAGAACGCAGTTCGTGAACTTCAAGCCTTCCTTGCCGACGTCCGTCGGAGGCTACAGAGGTTTTTCAATCCGGATCAAACAATCCGCACACTTTCTGAAGTGCAAGGCAGTATGCAAGCTGAAGATATTCAACGGGTCACCAACCACCTCCTCGGTATCACCACCCTGGATGATGATGGTTTTGCGCAGAAGCTCTTGGGTGTCGCTACGTTGGTGGACACGACACTTTTCAGGGCACATATGTATGCCACGCCATCACTTGCAGGTTCCCTTTTCCGTATCAAGAATTTCTGCGACCCGGACGTTGTAATGGCTAAGCTTGAGGAGACAGAGCGATACAATGACCTTATAGAGTTTCTGTATGGCAAGGGGCTCCATCGGCAGGCGCTGGAAAGACTTCAGAAATTTGGGAAGGCAGAACATACGGAGGACATCGACCCCCAATTACACGGACCTGGAAGAACAGTGTCCTATTTGCAAAATCTCGGACCTTCATTCATCGACTTGATTCTGGAGTTTGCACGGTGGCCACTAGAGACAGAGCCCCAGGCGGCAATGGAGATATTTGTTGCCGACACTGAGAATGCAGAATCGTTACCACGCCACAGAGTCCTTGCTTTCCTTGAGTCTATTGACAAAGGATTAGCACGAGCATATCTCGAGCACGTAGTGGATGAACTGAACGATCTGACACCTGATCTTCATCAACGTCTGGTCGCTCTGTATCTGGAGGTATTGGCAACAGCGCAGTCGACCAACCAGCAAGAAATCCTTGACAGGTTGTTGACTTTACTCAAGACCTCGGACCAGTACTCTCCCGCAAAGACCTTAGGTTTGATACCTAGAGACCAAGCACTGTTTTACGAACCACGGGCCATTGTCTTCTACAAGATGGGCAATCATAGGCAGGCCCTGGAAATTTATGTCTTCAAACTCCATGATCCGGCAAGGGCAGAAGAGTATTGCAATCAAGTTCATCTCGAGGAGACTATCAACGACGCGAGCAAGCCTCCGTCTCGCAGGAGATCGACCACAGACCCCGTTGACGAACAACCGTCGGTCTATCATATCCTCTTGAACCTCTACTTGAACCCCCCAAAAGGCGAGAAGGCCATGTGGGGTCCGGCGATTGAACTAATGGCCCGTCATGGTCCCAGATTACCAGCGAGCTCGACACTTGAAATGATTCCCGAGGATTTGTTCGTGAAAGAGCTGGAGTTTTACTTCCGTGGGAGGATGCGCAACGCCAATACTGTACTGAACGACTCGATGATTTCTGCTGGTCTTAGGAAGGCTGAGGCGGTCCGTGTGCAGGCTGCGCTTCTGCTCGGAGAAGGTGGTCATACGGGAGGTAGAGGGAGGAAAGTCCGCATCGACGAAGATCGTGTCTGCGGAGTCTGCCACAAGCGACTTGGTGGCAGCGTCATCAGCGCATTTCCCGAGTGAGTGATTCCTGATATCACCATCCTGTGTTTCGAGACCTAACGTATTTACAGCAATTCTGTTGTTCATCTTGGTTGCGCAGTGCGCAAGCACACGGAGCTTGCAGGCAAAGGCCAGTACCGCTAATCTGCGCATCACGGCGTAGAGGCATGTCGTTTTGAGATACCCCGAGGTGTAATTCCGGTGCATGTATACTCATGTGTCGTCTCCCGCGACTTCTTCGCCATAGTTTTCCTCCTCAAGCTCTTCTTGTGTTTTCTGCAGCGAGGCTCCACTGGTGCTCTCCTGATTCTGCCCCTTTTTATCTTCATCCATCTTTTCTGTCAAGAACTTGTTGATCTCGTCTTGTAGTTTCCTGCTCGAGGCCCGTAGTTCCCCTAGGTATTGCGTCTTCGCCTCTGAGTTTAGTGCGTGTGAGACTGGAGCGGCAATCACATGGTGAAAGTCGGCCAAGCCGGTCGGAGACTGGTAGGAGGCTTTCAGGACCGTGGGAGCGTGTTCTGTATGACTAGCCATCGGCGTGGAAGTACCATTGGAGGCTTCCAGTTTTGAAATAGGCATTATCCGTCAAGAAAGCGCGTTACTAGGTATCAGCTGGCGTTGAGGAAAATGTAACTGAGAGCGCGGGGAAACTAAGAGGCATGTCCCGCCCACTGTCCGAGTGGTTACATCCCTGCAGCGACTAACCGGAGTTTCTGAGAACGGCATACAGACCAACACCACCATGCTCTCCAATCTAGACATCAACAACAACAGTCAAAGGCCCTTCGCGACACGTCTTTGCTCAAATGCAGCAGCAGTACTAGTCTATACCCCTGTGGCGGAACTCGCCATGAATCCAGCTTCGCGTCCACCTATGGCTAGTCTACGCTGAGGATTAGGCTGTACCTGGATGCATCCTCGAGTGACATGCGCAGCGAACAGGGTGAGAACTTTCCGGCGTGCTTCTTAGCAGGCCAACTCCAAGATTATGATAATCCGGTGCTGATTGTTGCACTCCAGGCCATACTCATTGCCTTCTTCGCCTACAATGGAACCTCCACCACGTCGCACGGGGTTGCGATCTCCTGTACCTCCTGCTTCTGTGTCTCCGAATCCCTCGTCTCGTCCACAGTCAAAACAAAGCGACCGACCGCGTTCAAGTGGGAGTGAATCTTCGGGGTCGTCGAGCCTGTCTGTCGTAAAGAGATCTCCATACAACCACCAGTTACCCTCCTTTGTGTCACACAATAACACCAGCAATGTCTCGCTGTCGCACACCAGGCCATCGGCACAATACCTTCCGCGAGACGGCGCAAGGCCAAATCCGCCCTCAGACATTCATAGACATCGTCCACGACAGCATTCCCAAGGATATTTTGAGCCTTCGATGCCCTCTGCGTCTCTGGCAAGTCAGTCTGTCCTACATGAACACTCGGCGATGTCGACCCTCACGCCTTCCCAGATCGCCGCACAAGCCGCGATGCAGCATCTCAATGCTGTCAATCACAACCGCAAAAGGTCTCAAACTGTCCCCTTTCCACAAGAGCAAAGTCACCAAGAAAGCCGTCGAAGCAGTAAGGGTTCAAATGGCTCACACGAAGGACAACCGCAAACATCCCCTCACGATCAGCAGTACCGGAATGGTCTCATCGGGAACAATGCGGCGGCAACAGCGGCGAGCGTAGCCTTCCCTAGGAACGCCGCCTCCTCCAGTCAGGTCTCGTTGGTCGAAGAGGAAAAATCTAGAAAAGGCCTGAAACGGTTCAAGCCGAAGCATATGGTGCTATCGAGAGATAAAGACAAAGAACCAAAAGAAAAGGCCTTACCATCACCAAGCAAGCTGGCGCCAAGTGGATTATCCAAGGTCATGAATGCCTCGACAGTGAGTCTCACCGAATCATTATCCTCTACAAATTCTTCAATATATCAACACGCCAACCCATCGTCAAGTACGATTGTTCCCATCCCCGAACAAAAGGACAAGTCGCATAAACACCACGGCTTGCGGCAGAAGTTGAAGTTGAAAGACAAGGATGACAGTTATGCCCTTCCTCTTTCCTCAGCAAACTCCAACTCCAGACCAGTCGACATCAACAATCCCCAGTCACTGTATTCTTTTGCCCCGTCTTCCCCTGCTCCATCCTCGACCTTCGCCAAGTCTGTGTCAGGGCTTGATCTACGCCATGGCGGCCGTGCATTGCGCGAGAAGAAAAAAGAGGAGAAGGCGGCATTTGCCAACCTTGAGACGGTGTACAGTCGAGGTGAAAGCGACACGTCCGAGTGGCCGTCACTAGGGACCAGCTATACTAATCAGTCCATTACCAATTTTAGTACTTATGCCGAGGTCAAAGAAGCCGGAGCCGACCTTGGGTTGAAGAACATGTCTGCGGATGATGCCTGGGACGCCTTGAGGGCAAAAATTCTTATCGTCTTTGAGGGAGAAGATGTCCCGGTTCCGGTAGAAAACCTGAACAAGCTGGTAACTTTCCATGTTCAGCGATGTGTTCAACGAAGAGATCCTAGCATCGTCATCGGAGATTTGGAGGATTTGTTAAAAACTGGCTTCCACAGCCTCAATCACACGCTGCGCCAGGTTTCTGATGAGAGACTTGTGTCGAGTCTTGTTGGTATGTGGATTCAGGTGTTTGGCATGATTCTGCCATACATGCAAGCCGTCTTTCTCCCTCTCGACCAAGAATTCAAGGGCCGAGGCAGCATCCTCACCAGTCCTAAGATGGCCGCCGAGTTCTGGGGCGCTCTTCCCAGCGCAGAGTCGGGAAGTAAGCTGTCCTCATCCCCAGCTTCTGGTAGCGGTATGGACTTTGTGGTTGCTGCCGGAGAGGAGTTGGAGGTCAGGCGCATCCTCTTAATTTCATTCCGAGACATCGTCATTCTTCCGAGGTTTGAAGTTTTGAAAGCCACTTTTTCAAGATTGAGCCTGGAAAGCATCAATGTTAGCTTGGCTCAGTATGACAACCCCACAAGACTTCGAGGAAACAGTGGAGGAAGTGACCGGCCTGCCACGGCTCATAGCACCGAGCCCATGTACGGGAGCTACAATTCTCAGACCAGTACCCTGCTAGGCAGCTCTACCTCGGGGGGAAGATCCCGTGCGACTTCCAATCTGTCCGTGACCAGCAACCCTGCACAGGATGTTGCTTTCCAATCCTTCAGCTCCCCACCAGCGGCAAGACCTTCAGATACTTCTTCAGCACACGTGACGGAAACCGTTGGTCGCATGCTACAGTGCCTCTCCGTCCTCTGCTCGGTACAATCTGGTGATGACGCTCAGGGCAAGATGGAAGAGCTGAACAGACAGCTGAAACTGAATTGGCTTGGCCGTGGTCGGACGGGCCGAAATAGGAAGGGCTTCGTCGGAAGCAGAGTCAGACCCATGGTCAACGGAGGAACTACCATGCGAATCTTGGATCGTGATGGAAGTCCGACACCAACGCCTACTCGGCAAGGGACTGTCAGTAGGCAGGGTTATGATCACAAGGGATAGCACTGGGTGCGGCGACAATCTAGGTATGGTAGCGTATATCCTACTCATTCGTTTCGATACTCCGACACTAGCCTCTCCAAAGCCTTCGGTGTCAGCCACAACGTAAGATACTGGCTGATCTCTTTGCCGACATATATAGTCCTACATCTTAGTCGAGAACTTGATGCTCATTTCGTTTCTTCTTCTTCAGATCTGCGTCATGATAGCCTTTCCTTTCTGGCCTACTCGTGCCTGGTCCTCGCACTATGCGATCTGAGAGGTCGTTTGCTACAGTACGTGGTCTTTTCTCTGAGGACCGGTCTTGCCGACACCCAGTGTCCGAAGGCTTTGACGAGGGTTATACTGTGAAGGGAAGTTGGAAAGTTGACGAGATTCCCTTCCTGGAGAATGGCTGCGCGCAGCAAGCGGTAACCGTTCCTTGTCGATGTCGTCATATTGTCAAAACCGTGAGAGGTTGAGAAGGTTCCTTGTTCTCTATAGAAGGGTTCCAGGGGAGACCTAGACTGTATAGATGTCTAGCTACTAGGTAGCCAAGGAATGATCTAAGGAGGCTGGTTGAGCCTATAGTGAAGTCCTCGCCTACCCCGGATTCTGACACTTATTCGTTCGACGACAAACCCAAAAAAGGCCACGGCTGGTCAATACTGAGCTGTCCAGGCCAAAGCTACTGAAGTGAAGCCTACTGAGGCTCTACAAGGAGTGTCTGAGTGCCGCTTCTAAGCAGATATTCATCCGACTTGAGACGCCGGAGAGAATGTTCATCCGACTCGCTGTCCGACTTATCGGACTCCCGTCATCAACATCACCAGGATTTTTCCACATTCCACAGCTCCCAACCCACACGTGATATGTGCTGTGTGTTCCCCTTAGAACAATGCCAGTGCGGACTTGTACTGGAGAATGGGCCAAGTGCGATATCGATCTATTGACCGTTAGGCATTGGTGATTCGGGAGGATTGGGATCGCCGTCGGGCTTTACAGGTGCCGTTTGCGAGAGCATGGGCTGCTGTCTGTCGTCTCGGGACAACGAACGGACTATGAACAGTACTTGTTGATGGATAAGTATAAGAGTTGATGTTGGGGTCGCGAATAGACTCAGGATGTATACCGCATCACCTCATTTCACCCTGCCGCTCTGCTCTGTTCCCGCGCCGCAAAAACTGACAACAACACCCCAACTACCTGTACCTGATCAACTCTTCCTTGTGACGGACTTGAGTTTGGGCTCGAACAAAAATGACCAAAACTATTGCTGTTCTCGGCGCAACGGGGACACAGGTGCGTTGTTTGCGTTGCTCCTTTGCCCCTTTTCCACTCTTATACCCTCTCTACATCCGCAGCACGTCTCATGCCCGTAACTTGTCAACATTCACTTATACGGCGATCACAGGGAGGCTCCGTTGCCCGCACCTTTCTCACCCTCCCAGGCTGGACGGTGCGCGCTATAACACGCACGCCATCTTCTGCGGCTGCCCAAACCCTCGCTTCCTCAGGCGCAGAGGTTTTCCAAGCCGACCTCGACGATCCCAAGTCTCTCGACGCCGCGTTCTCCGGAGCCCACGCCATCTTCGCCGTCACCGACTTTTGGCAATTTGCGCAATCTCCCAAAACGCACGAACTCGCAGCAAAAGAGGGCATCACGTGGAATGAAGCCGCCTACCGTCTTGAAGTCCAGCATGGTACTAACGTGATCGACGCCGCCGCCAGAGCGTGTGCCGGCACCACTAGGAGCCTTGAACGACTCGTATTCAGTTCATTGAGTGGGGCCAAAATTGCAAGCAAGGGCAAGTACAGCTGGGTCTACCACTTTGACAGCAAGAGACGCGTGGTGGACTACCTTGCCGACAAGGCCGCGGATGGCGGTGGCGCGGAACAAGAGCAATACAAGGCCCTGCTGGACCGCACGAGTTACGTACAGATCGGATGGTTCTTGGACAATTGGAGCAAGAACGCGCTTCTCCTGCCGCAAAAGGACTTGGAAACGGGAACTACCTACGTCTTTAAATGGATTGGAAGTCCCTCGCCTCAGTCCGCACTGCCGTCGGAACATCCTCTTCCCTTCACCCACCCGCCCACGGACACGGGCCCGTTCGTCGAGGCACTCGTCCTCAAGGCGCCAGCGAAAACGACCATGCTGGGTGTTTCGGACGTCATGAGCTATGCCGAGTTCGTAGACAGGTGGGCCAAGTTCCACGGCGTCAAGGCCAAAGTGGAATATCTGTCCGTCACAGACGTGGATGAGATGATGCCAGGGGGTTTTGGGATCGAGGTGGCCCAGACCGGGGCTTATGTTGCCGAGTTTGGATGGGATGGCGGCGAGGGCGCAGTGATGCCGGAGAGTGTGGGCGTTGACAAGACGAAACTAACAGGCGTGGATGAGTATATTCGCACTACCGATTGGAAAGTTGTATTTGCGCAGTGACTCTGCGTATTAGCCCGAGCCTCGAACCGGCCCAGACGAAGCTATTCGTAGAGTACTAACGGGTTCTGTCGGGCAAACCGATCATTGGATTTGACAAAATATCATATCATTGAAAGTCATCTCAAACTGATTTCATCTTCAAGCCTACACACCCCTGAGCTGACGGGAGCACCTGTGAGCGGATTGACCATGATGCCATCGTGTCGCGTCAACAATCGTAGTATAACCCGCGCCGAAAGCATTCTCTGTCTCGCTGTCAAGGAACGGTGACCTAGAACAAAATCGGGACCAGCGCCGACCTCGGCGACTGCATGCGCTCGCGGACAGTACTTATTACTTCCTCGTTCCTTGACTTGGTTATGTTCGTAAATGATGATCGTCCTCGAGGTTTGAGACCCTGGTATACCAAATCCGTCCCTTAATACCTCAAAGATAATAGATCACTAACCCACAACCTCGGTTATCGTAAAATTGAGATCAAGAAAGCTCTCGATCACATTGTGCCTCGTTCGTCGACCAGGTATTCCAACATGTACACTTCGAAACTTTCCCTCGCGAATGACTTCCCAACTCAGCGCCTCCTTCACTTCCCTAGAACGCCGGTGTCTTTGACACCCTCATTACTGCCTTGACAACAGGCAAGGTCGAGTTGGCACATTCGCCAAGACAGGTTCTCGACGAACACAGCGTTAAGCTCGACAGCCGTTCAGAAAGTTTTCTAGATCCGCCCAAGCTGACGCTCAACCTGATTGTCTCGACCACTTAACAAGCTTCTCTTTTCAGTTCAAGACTTCATGATGAGCGTGTCACCTTCAGTCTCACCTTCCGAATTCGCAGAGAAACTCCGCCTTTCCTCTGATGGCCCCTCGCCGCCGAGGGCCGGGGACGGAGGGAAGGCAACTCTGTCTGACAGGCCACCAAAGCCGTGATGGCAGTGGGGGCAACGTGACTCGAGGCTTCGTCGATAACGCATATGTCGGTGAAGCATCATGACGGCCAAAGCACCATGCATGCAACTTGATCGGAACAAGTTAGTGGAATGACCTTCGAGTGGCGCCTCAGAAGTTCCCTTCCCTCAAGAGTTCACTCACCTGGCTACCAGCGCTCCGGCGCCTGAGTATGTCATCAACATTATCGGGTACCAGCCGTAATTGTTTTCCGCGTTGGCGGTCTCAATTGTGCTCCAGATATACAGGGCGAGAAAGGTGAAGAGGCCGAGCGTGTCTGCTGCCAAAAAGAGAAGCGAGGGGGCCTTGACGTCCTTCTCCTCGTCTCGAAATCGAAGGCGTTTTGAGATAACCTTCGACCGGAACGTCCTCAGACTGGAAAGGAAGATCAAGGCATTGCAGACCGTGGACGTCGCATAAGCCACGGGGAGGACGGTGAATACTGCCTTTCTCCGTCCGATATGTCCCACGGCGATGCTCAGGCCGAAAGCGACGGCACCGACAACCAAAAGTAGAAGACGGATGATATTCTCGGGGGTGAAAAACTTGATAGCTTTGCTGAAACGATTCATGATGCTGCTGGATGATAATGCTGCCGCTGGAGAGGAACGCAACGCTTGCCGGCACGACAAGTGACTTTGTGGATGAAGTATAGAATGCGGAAGATTACTCACCATCTTGAGTTCAACCGGGCAGTGTGGACATCTTATGTGTTATCGAGGTGCGCCGTTCTGTCCACCACGCTTGACCCTTCAGCCCTGATTGGGGAGGTCGAGGAAGCTGTAGTGGATAGTGTCTGGGAAGTTGAAACGCGGTTGCCTGGCCTACAGTATACTCAGGCGAATATGGTCACAGGACCATGGTCTCCTTATTAAGTGGATCGATGCCGGAGGGATCGCTTGATGGGGGGCCATGCAAAGAACAATCCCTTCTCTTTTCGAGTAGCCCAGCAGAATGCTTCGGATCGAAGAGGTTGGCCTAAAACTGTAGACCAATCGCCTTGATGCTGTCTAGAGGCCAAGCCGTGCATGTAGGCGCGTCCTGATGGTGACAGGGCGGGAAGTATGGATCCTCGAGATAGGCAGATACGAAACGGCTTGAGGCTGTTAGCGTGACATGACGTGGTTTCTGTCCTTTACAATATCTATATTAAGAGTTCTTGGAGCCGTGGAAGCAGAAAATCCGAGTGGGTGGCCTGATATCTGCAATAATCGTGTTGAGAGATATAGAATGAGGATTTGAGCCGACTGAAGGCGTCCATGTGGACGCCGTAGGAGGCTTGAATTCGAGTTGAGTTTGACAATCACCTTTGGCGAGTCGGCAGATGATGAGAAGGCGATTGATACTGCTTGTTTCGTCGCCATCTTCGTTAGCATTGAGCATTGTACAGTGTAAGAACGGGGCCAAAACCCAGAGCATTCTCGCTCGAGCGAGCAATTGAGGGGCTTGCTTTATTTTCAATACAATGCACTTTAGACGACGGGAAATGGGGCCATTTTCTTGCATCGATCGTGATTCTGTCACTGACCTTGTCCCTCTCCCCAACGACAGAACCCACCCAGTGAAATTGTCAACTTACACGGTTTTCACAGGTGACAGCACATCCTCTCAGGTCAGCGTGAGCTACGGACGGCGTTGTATTGTCTCACAGACAGCCGACCACTTGGTCTCCGATATTTACACTCCACGGTTCCTGATTTGATTTTGTCCAAATAGACGGCTGACTGAGAGACGGAGCACGTTGTCAGTCACAACGATATCACTGGGCTGTTAGGCTCAGCGACAGGCCACGGACTGGCCTGTCCTTCTGCTCGGAACCCCTCGCGAACAAATTTCACCAGAACGTTCTCTGGAGTGAAGAAGGGTAACGTCCATATATCTACTAACCGACTGGCCTCAGCGTGATGAAAATTTGGACGGACTGGAGCGTAAAGCCAGCCTTCTTGTTACTGATGCATGCCATTTTCGGGTGTTTGATACTGCTATCTCACGAGTCAGCTCGGTTCTCGGTGGTGAATCGAAAAATACCCGGACGCTATACCAACAATGCCGATTATACGGACACAACCACGGCTCCTTTCCCTTGTAAGGTACTTATGGCTAAAGAATCCTGTAATCCGACATCGTGGCTGGTCCGCAGCACCTCGAGCCCGGCAGAATCCCCTCCTTCTTGAACTCTTCGACCATTATCCTTTCCCTTTCCTTCTCCTCTTCAGTTGCTGTCCGCGGTATGTCGCTCTTGTCAGGGTTGAACCACTTCTCCCGGGGCACTTTGGTGCCATCCACGCATCGGAAGATATCTTCGGCCTCCTGCATATACGGCGTTCTGTCGAGCAGGGCTTTGATATGCTTCGGGGCAAGGCCGACTGCATCGATGACCTCGCGATCTGCCGTGAATGATCGCAACACACCATCTCTACCAAGGTAGTGTATTCCCTGTGGATCCACCTTCATAGAGTCGGTGATTCTACTAAACTCCTCTTGTGCCTCGCTGAGCGCCCTTCGTTGGGATCGACACCCCTGTCATCCTCGGTAGCCTTGACGGTTTCAGACATTGAGGATACTCGTTTCGTAGTCAAGCAAATCACGGCTGGGCTTGTCCTTGGTGTCAGATAATGCACGGCAATGGTATGACGGTACGATGAGATGCAGAGACGACTTATGTAGGGAGGAGCTTGTGGTCTCGAGTGTGACACGTTGTCATTGAGGCCCAGTATGAGAGACCAACTAGATTGACCCGATCGGCTGAGTGAGGCAAGCCGGAGGAGAGAGTGTGAATTGTGTCGACCCGCATGCTAAATTTAACCTAAAGATGCTTTACTGTAAGTGACTCGATACAACTGGGGGACTCAGAAACACGGTCCTAAACTATCACAGCCTTTGTCAATAACACTTTCACGGCCAGGTGGTTTTATAGTCCAAGTCGTGGAAGTTTATCGTGGGCTATGAGCGGGTTAGGTTCAATGTTCATCGCTTGAGCGCGATTTTTCATGGGCTCGCAAATTCAGCAGCAGTCGTGCACAGTATGCTGTAAGTGCTGCATCGATTATGGGTCGACACATAGGCGTTTGCTCTTGTCGCGCACGCCTTTCCTCGGCCGAGACTTGTCGGGAAAGGTGAGCCGGCTTGCATATGCGAGAACTGACAGCTCTAAACGCAACGAAAGTTTGTCCACAAGGGCTGGGATCCAGACTGAGTCGATCGTTGGTTGATATGCATGTCACGCGCTGTGTAGGAAGCCAATCCGGACTAACTTAGTTCCGACTCGGCAACTATGCTGCGCTCGCGTACTTCAGGTACTTGCGCAAGCCCATTCGATCGTACCTACCTCGTAGTTCCAAGACATTGACTCGGATATTTTCATCCATTGTGACGTCAAAGTTTGAGATCCTAACAGTGTCCTTAGTGTTCCGCCAGTTTTCCCCCCTCCGTCGGTGAGTCAAGGGTGATCACTCACGGTGGTCGCCGAGTTGGCGGCGAGCAAGGGCGGCGCCACCCGGTTTCCTAAACGGGATGCCTTGGCGCCAAAAGCGGGGTTCAGCTGCCCCAACCGTAGCAGCAGCATAACGTTATGTTTGACATCCCGACATCGACCTGCGAGTATTCATGTAGGGACTCGTGAGTTCTCGCAAAATTCCCTCCTGTAAGTCGCATTCTGTATCATGCTGTCTGACATACACACAACTCGAATTGTGTTACATTCTTATGCTTGCTTCTTCAAGAGTGGTGTCGGAAATAGTTCCAGACGGTAGTGGGAGGACAGTGAGTGCTCTGCACGGTGTACGACAGCAAGATATATATCCGATCCGATCTATGAGAAGCACAATGGCGCCGAGAAAAGGACAAAGCGAAAACCAAAGCCAAAGGCAAAGCAAGAGTCAAAGTCAGAGCAAGAGAAAAGCAGACGCTTTAAACGTTCCGCAGCCTGGACAAGACGCGGCAGAGCGGAAACGGGTGCTGAATGTGCTTGCGCAGAGAAGGTACCGGCAGCGACGCAAAGAGCATTTTGAGAAACTTGAAGCACAGGTGTCGGGTGCACCGTTGGCGGCAGCGGCCGCAGAGGAGGGCGAGGAAAGACCATCATGGATCGGCGGCGGTGGCATAATGTGCTACAACGGCACGCAATCTCAGAGCCACGAACCGCTACAACTAACAACAAGAAATGACCCAAATGCTACTGTCATCAACAAGGGGTCTATGGATCCATTTGACTCGTCCCTGATCATTAACAACAGCAAAAGGGCAATCAATGTCGACATTGAGATTTGCGACGACAACGAGCTGGACTTTGCTGCAACGTTTCTGCCACCTGATATCGAACTCGGACATGGAGCACTGGGCGAAAGCCAGATCTTCACGATCGACAATGGTGGCGACGATGGAAATAGAGCAGAAGAAGAAGAGTCCCAAGCGAAACAAGGAGAAGGACACCGGAGAGGTGCAAATGGAACCGAAGACCTTTTTGCGGCGTTCGACGAGCAGCAGCAGCACCATAACCACAACCAACACCTTCTCGTCGCGGACAATCAATACTTTCTCATGTCATCGCCAATGATGCTCCCATCGCTCGTCAGCCCTTCTGATTCAGATACTACCACTACACAGTCTTCTTCCATCATCGAGAATCCAACGTCGTGGTGTGCAGGTCTCTTACCGCCGCCATCGCCACGGCAAGCGGTCGACACTGATTACTCAACCCATGCGGACGCTGAGGATTTCCAGTTTCCTCCTCCTGGTCTTCTTCCCATGTCGACGGCCCCCGTTGGGGGCGCAGATCCAGTCCCTCGCACGAATACGAACTACAATCACAATCGACGTTACACTTTCCCCGACGAAATGCACATCCAGGTTGCCGAACTCGACCTGCTGCGCGGGTGCATGTCAATCGCGCAGCGTCTTCAGATTCAAGACATGATATGGTCGCTGACCTCGCTGTCACCGTTCGCTGACTCTGCGTCTGCATCTGCCGATGAGATAGTCGGATCGGGGCCCCGTTCACCACCTACCGCCGCCGCGGCGATCCGTCTCCAGCAGTACGGACATCTCCCTCCGAACCTGCGCCCGACCCAGGCTCAACTCAGCATTCCGCACCACCCGGCCATCGACGTGCTCCCGTGGCCCAGCGTCAGAGACAGGCTGATACACGTCCTGGCCCAACCGCCAGAGTACCGACCGACGGGCGCCCAGAGTCCCATGGCCCTCGTGGATTTCGTCTACGACATCGAAGATCCCGCAGAGGGCGTTCGCATAAGCGGGAATGATCCGTACGACGCTCAGAATTGGGAAGTCGGCGAGAAAGTGTTCAAGGGGTGGTGGTGGTGCTTCGATCGCGAGATTGTAACGAGGACAAACGAACTAAGGAGGGCGAGAGGTGCAGCCACACTGGGATTCGGTACGATGGGGAGTGTCCTTGGGGAGGCTTCTGATTGACGACCGTTCCGCAGCTTGCAAGGACCACTCCTAAGGAGGTCTCATCGAGAACAGAAATCTCCAGTAGAACGAAAGGGTAAAAGTCCCCTTTGTTTTTCTTTTTTCGGTGTGAATACAAACCATGAAGGTGTGGCCTATCGATCCTTTTCTTTTCAAGCGTCGTTGCGCCCTCGAGGCACTTGCTTTGTTTGACGCGTCTTGGCGCACTTTCCATATTTGGTACTAGCATAGATTACAGAGACTTCTCCTGCGCCGTCAGACCTAGACACTTACAACACCTCAATACAACCACGTTACCAACTGTCAAGTTCTCTGTCTTTTGAACCCAAGCCACCCTCAGCGTCCAATGCTTCGGTGTAGACGAACTCTCACTTCCAACTCAATTCCCAACTCAACTTCCGACTCATTCCCAAGTCTCTGTGTTCGGTTTCGACAGCTGGTTTCAAAGCTTTGTGTGCTGGTATAGACAAAATGTCCCCGCCAGAATATTTCACTCAACTTCTTTCGAAAAAAACATTGACGCCTGAAGAAGCACGTTACTTGTGTTCAAATTCAAAGTCCTACGCCAAAATGGTTTTGAATGATCAGAAAGTGGCCGGTCTAGACGGCTGGTGCAAAATTTCTTCCTTGGTCCCAACAAAAAATAATGGGACGCGTCAAGTTTCTTTTCGGGGCGCCAATAAGTTTTCAACTCTCGGCTTGGTGTTGTTACAATCTGCTGGTCTCTCTCTAGGCGACGGTTCAGACGATCGACTAGAAGTTTCTCATCGCTGTAACCAACCCGCCTGCATGACGATTGGGCACGTTTGTGCCGAAAATCATGAACAAAATGAGGATCGAAAACGGTGTCTTGTGTGGGTGCCTTGCCCTTGTGGCAAGGACAAGTTTATGTTGATATGTCAACATGACCCTGTGTGTGTGCGGTTTTGTTTCGGCTTTCAAGATGAAGATGATTTTTTGAACAATGGTGTTTGTCACGATTCTAGAGAGTGTGTTCGGGCGGGTTTAGACCCTCGACGTTTTCGACGTGGTGGTTTAGACATCGGCGGTCCTCTCTTTAAAGGCGCACAATTTTTGAAGGGCTTGTTATTGAAGAAGAAGAAGGAGGAGAAGAAGAGAAAGGCTTCGGAATTAGTAGAAGCCACCGAATGGGTCTGTTTGTAACAAGGGGGTGTCTTGAGAGGCTCTTAGAGGGATAACTGCATGCGAGTCAGTCCCGAAACTCTTGATAGATCAGTTAAACTAGAAGACGAGAGAAAACGATGTCTTCGAAAGCGTTATCCGTACGTCCCCACTAATTCTCACTCTGCTACCATCTCAAGTATATCAAGCACTTGTTCCTTCTGGACCAATGGCACAGGATTTGTCTTTGCCCACATGTCAGAAAGCGTGTTTTCGGCAAGAGTACCGAAAACATCCCTCGAGATGCCCACTTGCTTCAGCGTTCGCGGCAGACCCAGCGCTTGGACCAGAGCTTCTATTATACTGGCAAGATCCTTCTGGCTACCAGATACCAAGGACTGTACTTCTGAGATTTGCAGCAAGACCGTGGCGAGTCTCTCCTGCTGCTGGGTGTTTGCACCTTTTACGGCATTGTATCTGCACACAGCCGGGAGTAAGATACAGCTCGTTTCGCCGTGTGCCACCCCAAGAGGCCCAAGCATATGACCAATAGCATGACTCCCGCCCTTGTCAGGAACGTAGACACCTGTCTTCATAGCTTCAGCAGCTCCAAGCTGCGCATCGTGGATAGCGGCCAAATTGCTAGGTTCTTTGTGGTAGGCCAGCAGTGCCGGGACCAGTAACCTAAGTCCGTGGATGGCTGTTTGGTCTCCTTTTTCGTTGGAGTTGAGGGAACACATAGTTTCCACACAATGGTCTATGGCCCTGACACCGGAACCGAGGAACAGGCGACTCGGCGTTGTGGCTGCGACTTCCGGATCCAACACAACCAGACCTGGATTTTGAACAGGCGGAGCGAAGAGTACCTTCTTGAAGGTCCTATCATTAGTTGCTCCTGCAAAGGATGTGTACTCGCCTCCCGATAGGGAAGTAGGCACCGCGATTGTCTTGATTGTAGGGGGTGTGAGGCTCGCATATCCAGGCGAATCACGATCTGCCAGCTTGCTCAGATCATTCTCGTCGTGAACTCCATTCGCCTCTGCCCATGCTATCAGCTTGATGGCATCCGTCAGACTCCCGGCGCCAAGGGAAATGATACAATCAGCTTCGCGAGATCGCATGTCTTTCACGACTTCCAGGACCTCTGACCATAAGGTATGAGGTTTCATGCCGACTCTCTCTCCAACAATCTTGCTTCCAAGCGCTTTCTGCATTCGCTTGCGGACGTCGCTGTTCTTTGTCAGGGATGCAGACAGGAGCAAGTATACTCTCTTGCACGTCCAGGTTGAGTCTACATGGAAACGACATGCTTCGTGATATGGTAATCCGTATGATAACAACGGGGCTGGCTGATCCTCAGAGAACGGTTGGACAACTAGCTGGTTTTTCAATGCCATGATGGATGATGATACAGTTCGGGGTTGCCTCTGTGCTCGATGCGCAGACAGAAGATGTTAAGGGTTTAAGCACATTTAAACCTCACCTTTGCGTGTGACTTGGATTCTGGACGATAAATGTTCCAGGACTGGTCGGAGAGAAACTGCTGGGATGCCGCGGCCCGCGGTTAATGTCCTGTCGCACCACTCTGCCGATAAGCCGTTTAAACCAGCCGCACCCTCAGAAATCCCCCCGAAATACACTCTCAATGCTTGTTTGTTCCCGAAAATATTCACAATCTTTGATGTAGATGAATGAGGGACTACATGGGCTGCGAGAGGAGTGACAAAGTAGCGATAAGACTGGCTTTGAAACGAGGAGTATTTCATGGAGCACTCCACACGACTTGAGTTTTGGCCATTCAACACTGTCTATTTAAGCAGATCATTGTTTGATTTGCTTGACTTCAAAATCCCGCGCCTTCACCCCGTCTTTGCCGCATATTCCTCTTCATCCACCGGATCGTACCACTCAATACCACCCAGAGAGACAGCCTCGTGGACCATGAAACTGCCATCATCCGCTCCGTGCCAGTGGATGCCTCCCGCGTGGCACCAAATGATGTCCCCAACAGAGATGCGCTTAGGCTTTTGGCCCTGGTCACAAACCCAGCCAGAACCACCCGTGACTTTCAAGAGTTGTCCTTTTTCATGTCGGTGCCAATTCGTCCGGGCACCAGGCTGGAAACTGACATTCGCCACGAGGATGTCGTCGCCGCTCTTCAACATCGGATCTAGCCAGACCTGGCCCACGAAAGTCCCGAAAGCTTCAGATGAGATCGACTCTGCACCCTCGACACGTCCATGCTGAGTGATGGAGGAAATGGGGGATTTGATCGACGTGTCCCTCTTTTTCACAATGACATTGTCTGAGTACGACATTGCTGACAGGAATTGGAGGAGGAAGATTTCGAGGTCCAGGGCGGCTTGTCGTGATTTGTGTTCGGCAAGGAATCTGGAGACGCCTTTTGCACCGTGTGGGTTATCAAAGGCCTGAAGAGTTCTTCAATCTTACACTTTCCAATGGATGGAGTTAAATCAGCTTCATTACTCCATGACGAAACAACTTATATTCAAATGCCAACTCCAACCAATTCAGATCTGTAGTAAGTGATGCATTTATTGCTTTCGGCCCGCGGCATTAAGTAAATGATGTCTGCCAACACGCTGCCCATTCAGTTGACACGTGTCGCGTCGTTCCTTCAAAGTGGCCTTAACTTGTCTATGGCACAGGGATTCTTGTTATTCAGAGGGTTTCGAAAAACTTGACCCTGTGGCTTGTGCAGACAGAAGTGTTAGGTTATAATTGGTCTCAACCTAACACTCACTATAATATAGATTGATCTAGAAGCTTCTATCTACCAGTGTAGTAGAAGCTGATCCTGTCGTGCCATCAGTGGTGGGTTTGCCTCTGGGTTGAACAATCGTCGGCCTCGGGGTTCTTCGACGTCGACGTATGAAGTTCATTGATGAGAAGGTCTTACATTTATCCACAATCGAAAAAAGGGAAGAGATTAGAGGGCTTTAGAGCTTCAAATGTTGATTAAAGGGCGAAATCAAAGTTGAGAGCCAAAGGTGATCAGTCCGTGCAAATCTACTTTCCCGAGGACTAAGTGTCGGCGCATGAACCGCCCGAATTGGATTGTGTCCGTCAAATTCCTTGTGCGAATCATAAGTGACCGCGTGTGTTTTCTAGAATCTGTCACAAGTCTACCCTAGATAAGATCTACGTCATGGCTAACATGGAGCCAGACTGCCGAGCAATCGAGGTTCTGCACAAAGGGACTTATAAGTCTCGGAAAGGTTACGAGTGCCAAAAGAGGAACTTACTGTGGTCCGTGGGTCATCATTCGTCCTTTGGAAAACTTTCAGGGCCGCCTCGCCCATGGATGCCTCAGTTCCAGCATCTTTCGCTGCTTCCAAAGCCAAGGATACATCCTTGACACATAAGCGAGGCGCGAATGTTTGTCGAAATCCATCTGTTGAAGCTGATTTCACGTGGATGCCAGGAACTGGTTGAGCGTTGTCCATGGCCCAAGAGTCACCACTTGAGCTTTTGATACACTTGTACAGAGTCATCTTGTCCACCCCATGTTTGATGCCAAATGCCATGCCCTCGGCGGCTGTCACTATGTTGCTCAGGCCCATGTAATTGTTGACGGTTTTACACACCAGTCCTGCGCCGAGACTGCCGCAAAAGGTCACTCGTTCTGGAGCACCCATGAAGTTGAGAACGTCTTGAATGCGTCTCCGCAGCGGGTCGGCGCCAGCCACTGGGGGGAAGCCTACCATGAATGACAAAGTCCCTGCTTCGGCGCCCGCAGTACCTCCAGAAACGGGTGCATCGACATAGACACCCTGGCCGGCATCCATGACTGATTTCCCAATATCTCGAGACACTTTGACTTCAATTGTACTGCACTCCAACATCAAACGGTCTATCTGTTCAGTAGCCGCAATGACTCCGTTTTGCGGGTCGAGGTACACTTCCTGGGCATTACCGCCGTTTGGGACCATTGATATAACCGTCTGCGACTTCTCTGCCACCTCCTTCGACGTGTGAGCAATGCTAATCGGGCCGAAATTTCCAAATTTCTTAATGAACCGCTCACATGCTTCGGGAACGATATCGAATACGTATAAGGTTGCAGATGCTGTCATGTGTTTGCGTATATTTCCAGCCATCTGAAAACCCATATTCCCCAGTCCTAAGATAGGTTAGCCGAAGGTCTGCTGTGAGGCAATTCGTCCCTCTTCAGTAGACAAACCAATGAACCCGAAATCCGCTTCCATGTTGACAAAAAGTTTTGGCGGCCTAGATCAAGATGCGAGGGATTCCTGGTTGAAAGGCCTCCAAACAGCGTAGAACTTTGTACAAGGCTCAGACTCAAGGGTTTCAGAGTATGAAAGATCGTAATAGCACCATATATGAATATATGCTGAGAGAATTGGTCTCCTTCTTAGGCTCCGGACCGCAAGAAGAAAGAGAGCACAATGATATTTTGAGACCTGTGAAAGACTGCTCTCAGTTTGTATATAGGATCCCGCTGCCCGACCTCGCATGTGTGACATACGGCGTACTCTGAGCCCTCTTGACATTGCACCAAATCATGCTAGTCCGGGCAAGCATGAGCCATCCGATGCGGCGATGCTCGTGTTACCTTTACCGGAGAGCTAAGTTTCGACTTCTGGGCCACAAGCTAATTGCCGCGGGCCGCGGTGAATTTTCGGACAATGGATGTCAACGGGGAATGCTGCAGTTCAAGGGACGTGTCCTTTGAGACGGCACGCAAGAATGCTAGGCAACATTCGAGTTGGATAGGATGCTCCTAGATACAAGATTACCATCTATCTGCTCATACGGAGTATAACCTTAATAACTCAACCGGAGCTAGTAAGAAATCTGTAAAGACCCGTTCTTGGCGCTCCTTTCGAAGTTCGCGCGTTGCAACAAGCCCTGTAATCCTTGCGCGACGGTGTGTATTGTTCAAGTTAAGCTGCAACTGCTACTACCCCGAGCTAAGAATCTTCTCAGGCTAATGATGAAGCTCAGAATCCAGGGATAACGACTTAACGTGCTTGCGGCGGGCCGCGGGTATCCATCCAGAATGCTCTTCTCACTCGGCAATCAATCAAGGGTAGTAATCAGCAAGAACAGTACTAGTTTGTACTCGTATTGTCGGGATGCGAGAAGCCAATTCCACGGCTCTGGAATGAGTTATCCACAATTCATACCCCAGCTTCCCCACGCCCTTGCACAAATCCGAACGTTCATCGGGGTTAGCAGGCAAGCCAGATAAATGGAGGGTGCACTTTCCAGCTTTTGCGTCAGAAACAACCGCACTTGAAGACATTTGAAAGCATTATTGGCGCCATTATTAACCCCAAGGCACGAGAGACCTACAAGCATCTCATACACGGCCACAATGGCAACCAACAACGTCGAGCACTATTTGGGAGACCTTGAGGCAGCCACTAAGATCATCCCGCCGAATGAACCGTACATTATGATGAACCTGATGAGGTTCAAGTCCCATGCCACATATAACGCGGACTATCAGGGACCTAAAGTTGCGACCGGCAAGGAAGCATATCTCACCTACAAGGACAAGTTCAACGACCGAGTACGAGAGATGGGACTAGAAAGTTCCATTGTCTTGTTCGGCAAAGCCTACACACAGATTGTAGCCGGACCACAAGAAGGAGAAAGTTGGGATGTCGTGGTTCTACTCAAATTTTCGTCTTGGGCGGCTTTTAAGTCGGTTCTCGAGGACGAGAAATATATCAAGGAAATTCAGCCACATCGTCTCGCAGCTTTACAGGAGCTTCGAAGCTTTGCTGTCATAGAGCTTCTGTCGCTATAGAAGTGCTAGTTCTGATTCTATATCTCAAGAACACTGTGACCGTTCGCTATTGACTTAAATGCTGGTGATAGTTTGTATACTATCTGTAAGGACAATAGAATATAGTAGATATCAATAAGGAAATAAGTGTCACGCTCTCAATCTATCTCCTTTTCCCTCCCAGATAAGAGAATCGAAGCCTTGAAGAGCTTGGAGTCCGTTTTGTCTGCGCGCTCTATTTGTAGTGTGTGCACCAAGTCTCTGTGTCAAGCGTAACATATCTATGAGACGGCCATCTTCAAAAGTTAGTTGGGTTCACAGTTGTTGTATATATCGTAAGTAGCACTCTGTATTCTACTTGAAAGATGATTTACTTTAAAGCGAGAGAGTGATTATCTTTCACATTGAGTCGCACTGCATAAACGATTCTGATTATCTGACTTGCGGTGTCGGATGTCCAAAATAAAGCCTCTCTGTGAGAAGCAGTATTCCATATTTTCCGCCGAGACAATCTCGCCAATAGTGACATCATGGGACAGAGTTTTCGACTGCAGGAACGAAATCCCTCAGAAAAAGCCAGCGGACCTTTTCAGCTGCATTGGCCGCCTTCCAATTCTTCACCGTACCATGGGGGAACCATTCTAACCCACACGCAGGGTCAAGTATGGTCATGTCGTGAGCAATGATAACGAGCACATTGTCTGTCGCATCAAAGACTTGCATACGCTCATTGGAGTGTATAGACTCTTCGTGATTATGAGCAACATGAGTAGAGAGGTCGTAATATGGATCGACACCCTTTTTCCTGGGGTGAATGGCCTCAAATAGATGCCCTGGACAAACCGAAGCGAACTTGGACACGTACGGAGATGGCGAGATTTCTGCAGGGAGAGGCAGGTACTCCGTGGGCCGGAACTCGCCCCCATGATGCGCTGTATCGCCGCCCATGTAAATAAAGGTGTCCTCGGTATCCCCTTCTTTGGTGGACGTAACTCGCGCCAACCCGCATGTATGGCCAATGGCGTGTCCCGGAGCGTCGAGAAGATAAAACGAACCGTCTTCAAAATAATCGATCGCTCTAAGGCCGCCAATCTTTAATTGAGACTTGCCCTCGAAATCCAACTCTTTATGCTTACGATTCGCAAAATCCGAGCTTAGTAGTGGCGAATTTTCGTTCTCTGGATAGAGCGGGAAAAAAGAGTCCTTGACGCCAGGGCCTGTAATCAGAGTCGTACTTGTGGGAAACTGACTCACGTCCCCTGTGTGATCAAAGTGCCAGTGACTCCAAATAACGGCCTCGATCGCGCCACCCTTAACGTCAACACCGTTTTCTTGAAGGACCTCGTCGACATTCTTTGGGACGTCAAAGGCCCAACCCGGTCCGCTGATTAGAGACTGAACAGCAGGAGGGTGGCTTTGCCAATCTTTCCGTAGACCCAAGTCAAACAGGATCTTCCGGCCTGAAGATACTTGCTCAACCAAGAAACTGAACGCAGGCGCGAACATTTGCGTATGACCATGAATTGGCGGTGTCATGAAAACATCTGTGGGGGCGGTTATTCTGGCGGTTCCATCCACAATTTGAACCTTGGCTGAAGCTCCTGGAGGAGCGTTCAACGGCTCAGGTTTTTTAGCGGGATGGAGGAGGTTGGGTGCCATATTTGACTTGTCTTCGTTGTTGATCACGATGCCAATATCCGTCGAATGTCTTGAGGTACTTATAGTCGTGTGTCTGGTAAGATAGTGGTGTCTACTTCCAAGCGGAGGGATCGCCCGACGGACAGTTGGCCCAATCCCCGCTGTGGCCCCATGGGGGAGGCAACCCCTACGAGTGCAGATGTGTTATGGTCTCGATCCGCGGGGCCCACACAGTCGTCATGATGAGACGATCTTAATGTTCCGCGGACCGAACCCCACGCAGGAATGTTTCGTGTTTATACCTATCAGAATGCTCGACTGCCTCACCCATTAGCCTTTACACGTTATATTCTGTAGCACAAACACGAAAGGAACAAGTTGCGGATTCCGCGGATATGAACGAGGCGTGCGCCAACTGCGGTGTAGTGCCAAGGTCAGCGCTAGTCCCGACTGGGTCCCAGGTCACGATGAACGGTAATGGGTATTTAAAACGCATAACGCCAACGCATTAGGCTCGATTAGGCTATCATATATTCCCCCCCGGTACTACGCACAACGCCTTACAACTTACCTGTTCCTGCGCCCCTCTCGGTGCTATACAAGTTATATGCACTCTAGGGTGGTGAATTCACAAGCCTAGAGGACGGGGAATGGGCATGTTAAGGGGGGATGATTTATATGTCTATAGGGTGAAGAGCCAAGTTTAGATATTAAGCCTAAACATTGACGTAAATTGAAGTCTAAAATACCTAAACTATGGGGTTGAGGTGCCTAAATTGTAGGGCTGAGATACCTGAATTATAGGCGTGAGTGACCTAAATTATAGAGAGCTAGAGCGCCTAAATTGTGAGCTTAGAGGGTAAGGAAATAGACGGGTCTAGGGGGCTGCAAGTAAAAATTATTGAGAAGGTTACCCGAGCCACTTACTAGATTAGGTTTAGACGCGTTGTGCGTGCTACAGAGAGTGTTGTGCATAATATCCATTACCACGATGGCCCAGCCACAAAACCTGAGGAATAAGGTTGTGTCCCCTCCACATGCCGGTGGTTGAGTTCTCTTTGGAGATTCAGCAGCAGCCACAATGACCATCCGGAGACAGTTCAATCTATGTTCAACACATACGGAAAATGTATTAACAAGTATTAAAGGAGGTGTTGTTGAGCAGGCTGAGTTGCGGGCGTGTCCGATGACCGTCTTTACAATTGTAATACTCACGCCGAGCGCCCCGGCTAACGCCAACGCCCCGACACCCCGACGCTCCTTTGCAAGAATTGCAACTTTTCAAACACCATCAATTCACTCCTTTCTCACTATACTATGCTATATCATAGGGTTCATTTCTCTCTTCTCCTTCTGCATATTGCTGGGCGCACCCAGGATATCGGCGGCATCGTTTTCTAGGCACTTCCCGGTGCGGCGGAGAGAAAGAACCTTCAGGAGGGGAGAAATTTTCACTCGTTTTGCCATATAACTCACACAGAACCCGCCCTGCGAGTTGAGGAAGTCAGACTCGTCAATACATCCCATTTGGCCCCAAAAACATCGCCTAGAACTAAGAGTTGCATAAGATGCATCATGACCATCGAGGCCTGCCAGTTACATACGCCATTACAGACCTGGCAAACCCGACATGTTATCCGGAACGAAAGCGAAATCCATCCACATATCCGCAAGAGCTTCGGTATTGGCTAAGTCAGGTTGCAGTGGTACCAATGCATCACTTGGTAAAGGTAACTGTGCCATTGGCCCAGCATCAGGTGCGTTCCAGAATGATGCAGCCCAATCTTCTCGTGAATTGCAAGCATCTAACACTGTTCTGCTCTCCGGGCAGTCGTTGGCTGTTCTCACATCAGGGAGAGATCTTACGGCGGGATCTTCAGTGACAGTGCTGAACTCGGGGAAATTGTGAGTTTGATCTTCATCAGTAGCTGACCCTTCCGGACACACTTCACCCCTGGATCGAGGTGTAATACATTCATCGTAACTTGATGATGCAACGCCACGACTGTCCGTGACACGTGGGTGCCATGATACTTTTTCGGTGCGGCTAGGTACCTTAATGCGATCAATAATGTGCTGGATAGTCTGCAGGATCCAAGCAGAAGCAAACTGTTGTTCCGACAGGGTGTGCAACATGACTCGACACTCCTCTAGTTGTCGAGTAGCCTCACTCCGGACCTTGATATCTTCCGAAAAGGTGTCGAATACATGGTGTATACTGGCCGGCATTAAGCAACTCACCGCGGTGGCTGAGAGACACTTAATTAGATCTGCTCGAAAGAAATCCATAGCGATCTTGGTGATCTCTTGAGCGCAGCTTCTTACGATAGCGCGCGAGCTTGTGACGGATTCTTCTGTCGACAACATTTGTGGTCGATGAATGGTCATCAACGCTAGATGATAAAGCATAGCCAGTAATCCTCGGTGACATAGTTCCGATCTAGACCAAGCGGGTGGATCGAATGGCAGGTTCTCAGCGCGCCATAAATCTCTCCCTAGTTCTTGTCTCCATGTCATGAGTTGTTGTTGACAGTTCTTTAATTCTTCAATATTTAGTTGTCGTTTAGATAACACTTGATTTGAGCCTTCCATTTGCTGAGCAGAATAAAGAACCGCTGTTCTCCCAGCCGCGTTCTCAGGACATGCTGTGGTAAGGATTCGACCAAAGATGTAAATCAGTTTGGTGAAGTCAATCGTGAGTCGCGTTAGAGCTTGATGTTGCTCCTTTGAAGGAAGTGAAAGCCCCGTTAAAACTTCAGTTGTCCCTTCGTCAGAGTCAAAATCTTCTGTACAAAGCATGGCAACATTATAGTCACCCGGCTTGATTCGAGGAGCACGCATCATGCCAAGGGACCCAATGATTTCGCGTGTATATAGCGCCCACCAAAGGCGGCGTTGATGTTTTCGCTGCGCTAAACTTGCGTTAATCCCGCCGAGGGACGCCTGATGTAGATCAACAGTGCGTGCAATAGAATAGGCGATACCGATCCAGTGCCAACTATCCTTTCTTTCGTTAATGCTTCTCCACCAAAAGGACCATAATAATAGAGACTGAACGAGACAGTGTCTATCTTCTTCATAATCCATATCATAAAGTAATCGAATTTTTTGATGCCAGCTTTGACGAAAGGCCTTTCTAGTTAGGAAACCAGCATTTCGGACCAGTCGAACATCTGCCCACATACTACCAGCAAAGATGAGAGATTGAAGTAAAAGTAAGCTTATAGCTTCACCATCTTTGTCATCATTGAGTATTGATTGAATCTCAATAACATTCACTGTGGGATATAGTGGGTGTATGTAAAGAGCGTAACATCGAAGACACTCCTCCATTAACGGGCGATCAGGAAGCGTGAATGCGCCCTTTTTCTGGAGATATTCGATGTCGTCTGAGTCGAGAGACACAGGTAGAGGTTTGATGTAGTCCGGAAGATTCGGCCAACTGAACCCATTATTTCTCGCCGAAGGAGGTTGAAGGAACGATTGCCCGGTCGACTGCTGTTGCAGGTGTGCTGGATCAGATTGTCGCCCAGGCTCCAGGGCCATGGTCCAGGAGTTTAGCGGTACTAAGAACAAACAATGAAAACGGTTCCCGCTGGACACAGCATTTCCTGCTTACCTGGTTCCGTCCACTGGTTCAATTCACCCATCTGATCTACTTGGCTTGGATTGCTTGTGTTCGTGGAATCAGACAGCAGCGCAGGCACCTGAGCATCGTGGAGAGAGAACGAAGCCGTGTTCGTTTCCTGGTACGACGCAGGCGGCGCATCTTCTTGATTTGCATTACCAGAAATCAATTTGGACTTTCTAAAAATTGGCGTCGTCAGTGCATGAGGCCGAGCTGTTGGTCTTGTGGCCGGACAGACTTGCGACTTTGTTTGGGGACCAGCACACAAGGAACATCATCAAAAGCACAGATTGAACATCGTTTTCCGTCCCTTGAATCACAGCGGACTTTTTTCGTGCGACATAATTTGCACGCGGATCGAGCCCGCGGCGCTATAGAGCGACTTCCACTGCTGGGGGCTGCCTGGTGAGGTGCACCACGGGAGTCTGGATTTTGCATGTCGATGGTGTTGCTGATGATGCTCCTTGTTGAGTTCGAGATAAGGTTAGTAGCCGCTCCCCAGGAATATAGAATGTCTAGTTTCACGCACAAGCAGTTCGCAGCGGAGGATGATGTAGAGTCGGCCCCACGGTTTCGGTGACTGGTATTTATAATCAATAAGACCGGGGAAGTTCAGGGAACGAGATCTGGGGGCAAATTTGTTAGCATGCCAACTCGACAAGTGCCAAGCAACCCCACCACTAGTCACGTGCGAGCGCTGCCCCGGCCGTGTCCACAACCCCGCGTATGCACCTTCAACTCCTAGTTTAGTCCTTCGGATTGAAGTGTCATCAATTCATCGCTCAAAGCGTGACAGTAATGGAGACTGCGGAGAGATGAGGAGGGCCGAAAGTATGCCGAGTCAGACGAATAGTGCACAAGATCTTGATCTCACAAAGAGAATACAAGATTGCTGGGTACGATTGAGTCCCTCGAAACGGACGATTGGTCAAGAAGCGCTATAAACATATTGCAGTCTACCTGACTGGTCTACGTGTTGGTATCTTTATTTTTCAACATACCATGCCAGATTATTCTTGGTGTCCAGCTCGAAGCTCGTAAATCCATTCCCCAGAAAGGACCATCGGTTCGCATTCCTATACTTGATATCAAAATCCTCAGGACGAAGGTCTTCGACCAGCCGGCGGAAAAGCAACGCACTTCCACTGTACGTAAGACCGATAAGTCAGCATGGTACACAAGCCGCATCAGCACGGGTCGTTTAGTGATACGGAGGGTGGATAGGTTGTGGTGCAGACTTACCCAAACCCAGCCACGTTCCGGCCGTGGATGGTGTTCCGCTTGAACCAGCTCCGACAACCATCTGACCACACCATGGTCTGATGCACGGCATCTTCATAGTCGATCAACTCGTCAATCACGTCGGCTCGTGGCACGATGGTCTCGATGTCTTCCTCGGCCATCTTGCGGATCCATTTGAGAAAGTAATCGGCCGACCAGTTGATGGACTCGATGAGTGACCCATGCGTGACGACGGCGTTGGGCCCGAGGAACATGAAGTAGTTGGGCATGTCGGCCGCCGCGATCGATAGGTACGCGCGTGGATCAGCGTCCCATTTTTGGCGGAGGTCGACCCCGTTTCTTCCGATCATGTGCCAAGACGGCTTCCACGATACGTCGAAGCCTGTGGCGCAAGCGATCACATCGACCTTGAAGGTCTGACCGTCGGCCGACGTGATGCAGTCTTCGTCCGCGCTGACTACCCCTTGAACGACTAGTTCGACGTTGGGCTTCTGGAGGGCTTCGAGATAGCCTTCGGCCGGGGTGATTCGACGACACGCAAGTCCCCATTCCGGGATCAACTTTTCACATAGATAGGGGTCGTTGTGCAGTCTTTGGCGCATCTGCTCACGAGCAACTTCGGTGATTTGTTTGTTCTCAGGTGAATCTTTGATGAACTACAACATACATATCAGTGACGCAGGGGAAGAGCAAAACCAAATTCGAAGGCCATAACAAAAGACTTACCCGTCGAAACCCGGCATTGATATTATGGATGATCTTTCGACGGTAGTCGCGATGGAATTCTGGGTCTTCTCGAAACTTCCTCTTATCTTCTTCAGTGTAGGCTGGATTTCCCGACGCGTCATCTCGACCAAGGAGAGTTGCCGGCGCAAAAGGCGTATACACATAATTAGAGCTTTTCTGGAAGCAAATCACCTTGGTCCCTGGCAGCTCGGCGAGCTGAGGGATGATTTGCACTCCCGAAGATCCGTTCCCAATGACACCGATGGTTTTGTTCGAGTAGTCATATCCTTGGTCCCAGTCTGCGCTGTGGCACTTGTGGCCTTGAAATCTTTCCAAACCCGGAATGTTGGGCCATCGCCAGGAACTACGTACAACCACGAGTCAGAAGAATCCTCGGAGTATTGTATCAGAAATCATAACCTACTTCAAAACTCCCTGGCCCGAGACTAGGATGTCCGCATATAGCGTCTTTTCGCCATCTGGAGTGTCAACTTTGATTTCCCATTCAGATCGCTCTTCCAGCCACAACGTCTGCGTCACTTTATGATTGAGCCTCACGTCTCGATCCAAAGTCCATTTTTGGACCGTGTCCTTGATGTACTCCTGGATCTGAGGACCAGTTGCGTAAAAATGACTCCAGTCTGTCTTGGGATCAAAGGGAAATGCCTATTCGAATCAGTCTTGAGCTGAGCAGATCAGTATATGAACTGAATTTGTCACTCACGTAGATGTGTGCAGGGACATCACATTGCACGCCGGGATAGCGGTTGACCAACCAAGTTCCACCCAGGTCTGCGCGCGCTTCGAGGATAGTGTGGTCGACCAAGCCTTGGAGGGCAGGTTGTTCATGTTGTAGTTTATGGGCAAAGATGAGACCGGAAAAGCCAGCACCAATCGTGACGACGCGAATCTTTCGGCGAGGGGTATAGGCTGGCTCACGATATAATGTGGTAGTACTCCGATGGCCACCAACGTGGATGTTACTGGAGTCCCTCATTTTGCATGATGTACTGCAATTGACTCACAACTGGAATTTCAATTGGCTTAAGTATGAGGTCCAAATAGTCCCAAGAATGAAGTTGAATAGATCCAAAAATGGGCACGCGGATCATCACGTCTACCCCGGTCTAGTCTCCCTACCACACTATCGGGTGACTTGTTGACATCTCATCCACGCCAACTGCCAGCATATCTTCGATAGTGCAACGGGCCGGCTAGCTTGTGGGCATTTCGTGAATCCCTTCGGTCCGATCAGCATGTAGAAAGTACAATGTCCGCGGGCCGAATCCTGTTGTGGAAGTACAGTACCTTGTGATCCATAGATCATGAGAGCGCGATGTTTACGATGTTAAATTCTGATATCAAGTGTTCTCATTGCACACTGTCAGGGCCAGCACGAGCACCTGTCCTCATCTGCCTTCTTGTAGCCACCTAGGAACTAGCCATGGCATCTTCAAACCACTATCAGCTTCAAGGTGCTGAATTAGGCAAGCAAATGGCTTCTCGATTCCTAGGTGAGAAGTTCCTCGAGTCGGTTCAAGCGAAACTGGTAAGTCGACATGTTTGATCCCCGGAATAAGCGGATGGATGACCAATGTCGGTGCTGTAGAAAGACGACATCTTCACCCAAACCAGCATGGAATACATTTACGATCCTTGTTTCACTGGCTATGCACGACCCGGTCTCGAATTCCGCGAAAGGGCGTTGATGAACATCGCAATGCTCATTGCGTTGAACCGTGAAGCCGAATTAAGGATTCATATACGAGCCGCCGTCAATAATAATCTGACAGAGGAGACGATTTGTGAAGCGTGTCGCCACGCCATGGTTTACTGCGGGGTGCCGGCCGGACGTACGGCCATGATTGTTGCAAGCGAAGTCTTTGCCCAGTTGAAGGAGTCTGGGGAGTATCCTAGGAAGGCCTGAGAGACCAAAGCAGGAAACTATTTTTGGGTAGTCAAATATAAAATGGAACGAATCAGCATTTGTACGTCTATGTTTGACAAATGATACTGTTGCGTAAAAGCACTTGATACACGACGAGTTCTTCGTCCCGCAACCAGTGCATGCGGCTATCGCAGAGCTTGGGTACTAGAAAGCACAAGGCAACTCCTTCGTCTTCGACAGGCGGTATACTCCGTTTCATCCAAACTGGAAGAAGTCTGAAGCATCGCACGACTACCCGCGGCCCGCGGACATTAGACTAGGAGCAAGAAGTCCCCCGCGCCTCCTGTTGGACTAGGCTGAGTTGCGGCCGATGTCAGTCACCGTCTTTACAAGTCAAATACTCACGCCTAGCGCCTTAGCGCCTCCGGCGGAACGCCGACGCCCTCACGTTCCTTACAACTTTTGCAACACCATCAATTCACTGTTTCTAGTCATATATGACTATATTCTCGGACTTCACAAGGAGGCTTTCTCTCCGTCTAGAACGTCGCCCGATAGAACGCCGTCCGAGGACGGCGGATGACTCCATGCGGCGCGCTGTGCGACGGCGAGAAAGCCCTCCCTTGGAACGTTCCTTTTGCCTATATAATAGTTAGGAATCTCCCTCCGAGAGAGGGAGGTCAGACTCGTCAATACATCACATTTAGCCCCCAGACATCGCCTAGAACTGAGCGTTGCATAACACCTCCGAATCGACACCTCGCGGCACGGCAAAGAAAGTGGGGAGTCTATGGGCCGGGATGGTGGACCGGGTTTATCGGACTTCTGTCGATTATTGGTGTCGATAACGAAATACATCCTTGATAATGTGACGGGAGTCGTACAATGATGGGGGTGGTGTGGAGGTTGTTGCGTGATACTCGAGAGTTGCACCTACCGCAAATATGGCCAACGTCGAAGTGCCGAAGACCATGTTGGCATGGCAGAAACACATACCCAGCAAGACACCGGTAAGATACCTAGGGTCTATACCTTCTATCAGTAAAAGTTGCCACATCAGCCTTGGTCAATGGCAAAGAGGAAGAGTAGAAGTTCTGACAACATGGATATGATGATCTAGGTCCGAGTGGAAATTCCCGTACCAACGCCGCAAGATGACGAAGTGCTTGTCAAGATCCATGCAGTGGGAGGTGAGATCGAAGTCCTGAACCTTCCTTTTCGTTCCAGAACTCGACTAAGGCTCTATCCCAGTATGTCATAGCGCCTACAATATCAAGGAGCTAGAAGCTCATCCCATGGAATTCACATCAGGAAGGATGAACTTCACAATGGTATGATTCTTTACAATACACACGGACAGTTCATTGACCACAAGTCACGGTTGACAGGGCCATGAGGGCTGCGGCGAAGTCGTCTCAATGGGACCAATGGCCTACAGACACCAGACTGGCGATATGGTAGCTCTGCTGTGCGTACCGGGCTGCAATAGCGCTGATTGTCCCGAGTGTTCTAGTGGAGTGCCCCAATTGTGTCTGGTCGGTCCTCGTTACGGGGGCGGTCCAGATGGCTTCTTTGCACCGTATGCGGTGGTGCGGGAGCATGCTGCCATCAAAGTTCCTCAGGGTGTGGATGCTGGCGTAGCAGCAGTGGCAACAGATGCGTGCATTACAAGCTATCATGCTGTTACTGACCGCGCTCAAGTCAAGAAGGACGACGTGGTGTTATTATTCGGTTTGGGCGGGCTCGGGTTCAATGCTCTTCAGTTCATCCTGCACATTGGGGCCCGGGTAATTGTGGTGGATCAACGGCGGATGGTTTTGGACGAAGCGGTGAAATTCGGCGTCCCTAAGGACGATATTGTTCCGGCTGGGACCCCAGATGTCAGCTCCTGGGTGCGTGAGCGGAACCTCAGGGTCGACAAGGTTATCGACTTTGTCTCTGTGCAAGATACTCATCAAGCTGCAATCGATAGTGGTAAGTCACTTTCCGCTCTACCCTCAACATACAACCGCTGAGAGGGACAGTTCGTCGAGGAGGTACGGTGGTATCCGTAGGCCTTCTGGGCTCAGAGCTGAAGCTTCGCACTGCCACCCTGGTTCGAAAACAACTTAATCTATTGGGGAGCTATGGAGGTACAAGTGCTGATGTTGCTGCCTGCCTGGATCTATGTGCCAAAGGTGTCTTGGTCCCACAGATCCAAGAAGGGAGCCTCCGGGACTTTCCGCAGATTCTGGAAGATCTACACGATGGGAAAATCAAGAGTCGTATGGTAATGAGGCCAGAAGGAATGGAGATTTGAGTCAGGAAACACTCTCAGACAATATTTTGGTGTAAACCTCACTATCACTTGCAATTCGTCGAAGGCTACTCGCAGTGACATTTCATGTGATTGACAGGGCAGTAGAAGTGCTTTCACTCCTCGCAGGACCCGAGATGAAAAGGAACTGAGCACCTCCTTTCTCGGGGCCAATATTGCGATGGTGACAGTCTAAGATCCCCTGCTAAGATCGCTTTATAGCCTTAGTGTCTTCTTTTCTCTTCGAGCTCACTTCTGGCCGCAACATCTTGTTAAACCTGAGCATGCGAAAAGACCCAGGAAGCTTCTTATCTTGTTTAATTTTACTGAGACTATATACTTGATTAGTCTTCATATCTGATTCACTAGTGCAACCTCAACAGGCATCATCATTCGGTAGAGCGTAGACAGCTAAGCATATCAGGAATAGAATACAGATTGATCGACATAACAATACTGTATCCACGACTCTACTGCGATTTCTTCCAAAGCAGTGTTCGTACCCTTCTTTTTCACCACTGAGTCCGTGTTTTCTGCTTTGCAGCGTTGAGCTAAGCAGTCGCGCGTTAGCATTTTCCACGCAGTTACGAAGATGAACATACACTACCGCGGTGGTTAATTGCGACAGCTTGCGCACCCAGCTTGCCCAGCAAGCTATCTTCTTCGTAATCGTCGACATCAAGGTCGACGTACCCTGTAGATACAATTTTGCGAGGCACGATGCCAAAGGCACGACCTAGACCAGTTGAGTCTCTGATCACTCAGACAGTGGTCGAAGTGATGCTCACCGTTAATGCTGGGTGTTGAGACGATCCTCGCAACTGCCTGTCCAGCGTCATCAACTGTTGCAAATGCCATCCCTGCAGTGTCAAGATACTTGGCAGCGTCTTTGCTGAGCAGTGTAGAGCGGATCCACCTGGAGTATAGTCAGGACATTTCTTCTTTCCGGGAGAAGTTGCCGTACCAAGGAGCAATATAGTTCACTCGTGTACAGTATTGGACCTCCGACCTCCGCAGAGTCTTCATCAATCCTCGCAGCCCATACTTGGCACTGGTATACTGCGGAGCTCCCGGTACATCGAGATAGCCAGCTAAGCTGCCAGTGAAAATGAGACTTTGGTCGCAATTGGCCTTCCCAGTAGTACTTTGCTTGCGGAAGAAGAAGAGCGCCAGCTTCACCGTGTACAGTACCCCCACTAGATTGACTTTCAAGATGTTAAGCTCCGGCTCTTCCGGCTGATCTTGCGTTACTAATGGCTCTTGTCAGCCGTCTTGTACTCGCTCTTGATCAAGGGCACAAAGTTAACACGCACTATCATTCTGGAATATCGAATCACCGCCACTGATCCCAGCATTTGCGATGACCGTGTCAATTCTGCCGGACGGTGACCACGACAAAGCAGCGTTGAAGAGCGCGAGCTGATCTGCCCAGACTGTCACGTTGCATTTGATGAACTTGATCAATCTGCCTAGTTTAGTAGCAGCCAGCTCGAATGAATGAAGTCTTCTTCAAGACATTACAGATCATGAGTGGCTCTTACCCTGGGAATTCTTTCTCTAGCTTTGCACCTCCTCCCTCGTCCATGTCCGCAACAACAACATGCACCCTGTATCGATAAATAGGCAGAATGGCTAGCGCACTGTTTAAAGACAGACTCACCCGCACGCTACCAATGCTCGGGCATAACCTTCCCCGATTCCGTTGGCCCCTGAGGGAGTGTACGTGTTAGTAAACCGCAATCTTAGTCCAGGGTTTCATACCTCCAGTTATGATAGCTGTCTTGCCCTTGGCATGGCTATGGTCAAAGTCAGTAGCACAGGCTACACCACCAGTATTGAAGTAAGACATAATTATTGGCGGACGCAGGGACCTTTGCAGAGTTTGGTAGCGAAGGGGTGGTGAATGGTTCTGTTGTTACGTCGATGTCTTTACTAGAACACGACGGCTGTGTATGATAGGTATGACGCGAGGAAAGCAGGTGTGTCCTCGGACCGTGTGCTAAGCGCGGGCCGAGAGACAACAGTATTCGACCTGTGAGATACCCTGGAGCGGAGGTTGAGGTTCGGTTGATCTCTGAGTCGGATGACTTCATCTGATTTTGCTTGGCTTTGGGGTCGTTGTTCGTTACAACAGTGGTCAGCATTAAAGACATATAATATACTAACTTGATAAAATGAGGACGTTTGTCCGGACGTCGTTACTGGCGAAGGGAGTAGATGTAAGAGGCGAGAATCCCAGATTAAATGGCTGGGGGCCCCGGATTCTCATTGAAGAGCTCGCTACTACACACGCTGGACTTTCATGGATCGGTGTGGTCACCAACCCATGGTTTGACTGCGTAAGTTACTTGGTCACATGTCTTCTAACCTTCCATCCTGGACTGCTATATGTTTCTCGATTGTTGCATGTTGGCTTAGTGAGCGTATAGAGCTTTAAGAATGGCTATTACGGCATCGACGTAGCGAATGCCACGGCAACGCTATATGACGGTGGAGAGACACCGTTCAACGCAACATTGATTTCAACAGTTGGCCTCAACATTGCCCGGCTCCTGAGCCTGCCGGTGTCTACGCTTTCTTCGTCCAAGCAAGATGAAAGAGGCATGGTGGTAGTATTGAAGGAAATTATCGAGGAATCTAATCTTAAGAGGAATTGAGTCTTATAAAGCAAATAAGAGAGTCAGAGAGCCATGTCCCACGACGTTCAGCCACGAGGAAAGTTTTCGTTCCTTTAAGCCATATCAATTGTTGTGCAACGCTCACACAATGGGAGTTTAATGGGATGTATTGACGAGTCTGACCTCGATGACTAGGAGGTCGAGGACTATGATATATATAGTCAAAAGGAGCGACTATTCTCTTGTCCGATTGAGGCCTTTTTCGTTGCCGCATCACAGGCCGCAAGGTGGCCTTTCCTGACGTATCTTGAGTAGTTGCAACAAGCGCTCTGATGGTTGGCAATAGAACGGCCTATATATTGCTGTCAACATGATATAGTTCAATGAGTGAAGTGATAGTTGCAAAGTGCGCAATAATGAGCGTTCCAGGCGGCGGGGTTCCTCCGGAGGCGTTCGGCGCGAGTATGGAGGTTGTAATGACACCGTCACAACTCAGCCTGTTCAACACACCCCCTCAGGAAATGATGCCGTCGTCATTGATGTGGAAACATCAGGATAGCATTTCCTGGATATCAGTGAGGTTGAGTTACTTGATGAAAGCCTCATGTTTTTACCTAGACAAGGCTTTCGTAAGGCCGTCGGCAATCATGTCGTTCGTCGGCGTCTAATCGAGGCTGATTTTTCCTTGTTGCACCTCTTGTCGAAGCCAATGTCGATGAATATCAACATGATGGAGCCGAGTAGACAGCTTTTCGTTCTTGATTAGCAGTCGAATAGTCTGCAGGTTGTCGGAGAGAAGTGATGAAGTCTTCTCTAGGTCTAGGTTGATGTCAGCAAACATTCTTTTCCACCAGATCATTTCGCTCGCCGCGTTAGAGAGGGCAAGGAGTTCAGTCTCGGTGGAGGACGTTGTGACCGTCTTTTGCTTCCCTGACCTTCAGTTAATAGGCCCTCCGAATAGCGTTAAGATATAGCTATCAGAGCTCCTCCTCGTCTCAGGGTCGTCGGCGAAGGAGGCGTCCAACGCGTAGAGAAAGTGTTGATTAGATTGACTGTTGTATGTGAGGGAGAAGTGTTTTATGCGGTAGAGATATGCAATCACTTTATCCGCGGCCTTGGCATACGCACTTGATGGGTTGACTAGGAACTGTGCCAGTTTAAAGTGGGCATAGGCGACGTCTGGCCTAAGTTGCGCATAAGGCGAATGAGATAGATCTAACACGTTGTTGATATGCGTGAATCTCTTGTGGGGAGGCCTGTCCTTCATGAGGTTGCAACTCACTAGTTGATAGTGAAGTATCAGGCAAATGATCGCGTTGTCGAACATGGAACTTGGCTGCGATTTTATTAATATATAAGTTGAGCGATAGGTGAATAGTCCTGTTGTTGCGGTCTCACAGGATGCGAATGCCGTAAAACCAATTAGCGTTATTGAGAACGCGAAACTTAAATCGTTCACCTAGTCGGCGTGTTAGGGAGTGAAATATATCCATCTTGCTCCTGTGGTAGAGAATCATAATATTATCCACATAAAAGAAGACTAGAACCTGTTCGCCTTGGAAGAGACAGTTGACATTAGGCACCTCCGCAAGTCCTAGGTCCTTAAGCGCCGCAGTGAAGATATTATACCACAACAATGGAGATTCCTTCAAACCATAGAGCGCTTTCAGGAGACGCAGGATCTTGCCTGGCCTAGAATAACCTGCAGGATACTCGATATAGACCTCCTTTTCCATGGGTGAGTTAAGGAAGGCGTTGACGGCGTCGGCCTGCCAGATTTCGAGGTCAAAGAACGCCGCAATGGCCATGAGTGCGCGGAAGGTCTTGAGTGTAAGCGTTGCCGTGTATGTGTCGTCCTGAGAACGTTGCAAGTCGCCTCGGGCGCAAATGCGCGCTTTGTGTTTAGCAAGAAAGCCGTCGTTATCAAATTTATATGTAAACACCCACATAAGAGGAATAACTTGCTTTTCCTGGGCGCATTAGCGCTCCACCTCCTTGACTGTTTTGCTTTAAAGGACTTGGCTCCATTCAACGTCCATAGCCGCCTCGAATTGGCGCCTGTGTGAGTGTGCTAACATTTGACGATAAGTCTATAGCGCGGGAGAAAGATTATCTCTATGAACCTTTCACTGTTCGCTCAGCGCCTCGTTGAATGCTGCGTGGAAGGAGTGAAGATTATGAGGATCGCTTGCTAGTTGTATAGCGTAGTTCTGATGACACCTAGACAGCTGTCGTCGCCGTCGCTCGTGAGGTGAAAGAATGTTGTTCTTATCCAAGTTAGCTGATATTTCACTAGAACGTGGAGATATGGTGGGAGCATCGTCGCGTGAGTTGCCTAATTGGGTAGTAGTTACCAAATCCGGAGTAGTTGCCGAAAATGACGCAACCTAATTAGCGAGGTCTAACGACGCCTCCTGTGTTGTAGAGAGTTATGAAATAGTGCTAGGCTGAGGGCTGTGTTCAACCCTAGGTTGTTAAATACTAGACACGCTAGGCGCTGTGCTAGCCTCGGGCGTTACGCGTGGCGTGGGTAAGGCGATTTCCACCCCCTCAGTTTGAATCCTGTCTTTCTCAACATGCAAGAGTGATAATGAACCGCGTGAGACAAGGATAGTGTCTAGATCATCAGGATCTACAAGGGGATCCTAATCAGGAGATGATTCGTCAACATCGCTGCCGAGAACGAGGGCCTCGAGGTCTAGTACTTCGATAAGTTCCTAAGGAAGGGCACGGAGTTGCTCCGCGGTTTGCACCTTAGTGAGATCGTAGAACACATCATCGTGAAACACAATATCCCTAGAACGAAGAATCCTCTGTTTTGCAGGTATCTAAACGCGCCAGATATTCCTTGCATTATAGCCAACTAGCTAGCCAACTATTGCCCTATCCTCTAGCTTTTCGAGTCTAGAGACTTGCTTGTTGTGAACGAACGCCTTATATCCAATTGGGTGGAGATATACAAGGGTTGGCTTTCTTCCGTGGAGTGCCTCGTAAGGAGTTTTCCATTCTAGTGATCTGGATAGTGTTCGATTGATAAGATAGCCAGCCGTCTTGACTAGTTCTGGCCATAGAAAGTGTGGCAGATGGCCCTGAACCTTGAGGGTCCTCGCCACCTGCGTAATAATGCCTTCTGAGCGTTCCGCAGCCTCGTTCTGGGCTGGAGTGTGAGGGGCTAAGTGCTCGACGGTGATTCCTAGCCTGCGGAGTTGACTATAGAAATTATCGCCTAATGCTGTTTCATTGTCTAGACACAGGAATGCTGGTGTCTTGTTAAATTGTGTTTAGATCATCGCTAACCAGTCTAGGATAATTTCTCTTGCCTAAGAACGAGTGTTATGAGTAAACACATAGTTCATGTGGGTGTGGAAGTCTCATAAGTGGCTCATGTATTGATCCGCGGCCCATCCCTTTGCGAAATAGACTATATCGAAGGCTATTTGGTCTAAAGGTTTGTCTCTCTGTTTCTCGCTGTTGTGGAGGATTCTTGAGATCTATTATTTAGATTTTGCAAGTACATAGGTCTCGCATTCCGCTGTGCTAAGAGCGTCATTTCTTGTGACTTGTATTCCCTCGGCGGTATCCGGAAGATGTTTGACACTGTCTGGGCTTGGGTGCCCTAGGATTCTGTGTCAGGTAGAGGCCGGATAACTAAGTTCCTTGTGTTGTTGTGTGGTTGTGGTTGCGAATGCTGTGTATTCGCATGGTGTAAAGGTTAAGTGGTTATAATAGTTGAACACATAACCAACTAGGGTTCCGTCTCGAATAAATATTCCTCCTATTCCTGAAGATGCCTGAGTTATAAAGTGAATACCCTTGACTACTATCCTTGACAATGAGACCACTTTAGTCATGAAGCCCTAGACGCATAGAACGTCTGTAAGAACGATATAAGTAGGTCCTGTAGAAGACATCATATCAATAGTGATTGTCCCAATTAACTCGATAGAATACTTATTAACGCCGCAAGTTAGCGACTCATCAGGGCGTGGAGAACGTTGAGCAACGTAGCCTGGCGTATTAGGCCGGCACACATGAATATCGAACCTTGAGTCTAGAATCCACTCGTTGTACAGGCTTCTATTGGTTGACCCTGAATATACTGAGACAGAATAAGCCATAGTTGCTGTGAACGCCGTCTTCTTTTTCTGTTCTTTAGTGGAGGAGGGGGATAAGGAAGTGGATTTAGAGGCCCTTTCTATAGCCCGCTAAAACCGCCTCGCGTGAACAGGGTTCTTCTTCATTTCCTCATAGATAGCTTGCTTTTCAGGGTCAGGTTTCTAACCTTGAGGCCTCGCTAACTCAACGATATAAGGACATTGAGTGTACCACTAAGGAAGATTGTATATCTTGCACTTCGGAGGGTCGCTATTGACTCTCTGATCTCCGAGTGATGTAAAGGAGTTATGCGATGAAACAGAGCCTTTCCTGGAGTCCTTATCCAGGCTATGTAGACGCCGAAATGATTCCACAAGGTCATGGAAGTCGGGAATGAAATCCTCGTTAAGTAGCTTCAAGTTCTCTATTGTGGTAAAGGTTTCATTGAGTGGTTTCACCGCTTGCAGGAATTCATAGATCGAAGAACATTCTACAGCGATAGACATACCTAAACAGCTTATATCGTCATAAGCCTTAAGCCACTTATCTAATCAGTCGTTAACATGTTGATAGCCTTTCAAGGTCTTAATCACTTCCTTCTATTTGGCCAATATATCTAGTTCTCTAGATCTATTCGTGGGAGCGAACCTTTATTGAAGTCTCCGCAACATTGCATGCGGAGAAGATTGACCTTTTAGGAATGGAAGAAGGTTAACTAACATACTTACTGTTATCTAAGTGCTCAAAGCAATAATGCTCTTGTTTTTCGTTTCATATTATCTGAATTCTCTCTCTCATTGCCTCTAATTATAGCGAAGATCGTCCTGTTCTGTTGGAGTGAGTTCTGAGAGGAGAGTGGCTCCTGGTTTAATATCTTCCAGGTCTGGCATCCTTGGACACAGTAAGGTTGGCGGGTGCTGTACATCAGGGTCGATGTATTGCCATATTTGTCGTTGTCTGGCATAAAGTTCAATGACAATGAACCAGTTATCCCAGTCTGATGTCTTGGAAAGCTTGACATTGATTGTTTTGGTTGGTTGAGACTCTAGATCTAACTCTGACATGTTGAGGTTACTGAAGAGAAAGTATAGTAAAATGTATGGTTTTACTAGTGGATACCTGAGGTGCGCGTGGCGCGTAGAGAACTTGACGTGTCTGACGTGTTTGATTGGCTAGCCTTATAATGACGAGGCTTTATCAAACCATTAACTGACAGGTGTCTCAAGCGAAATCGGGAACCGGGCTCATAACTGTCGTGCAACGCTCACACAATGGGAGTTAAATGGGATGTATTGACGAGTCTGCCCTCGATGTCTAGGAGGTCGAGGACTATGATATATATAGGCAAAAGGAGCGACTATTCTCTGCCCGATTGAGGCTTCCTTCGTTGCCGCATCACAGGCCGCAAGTTGGCCTTTCCTGACGTATCTTGAGTGATTGCAACAAGCGCTCCGATGATTGGCAATAGAACGGCCTATATATTGCTGTCAACATGATATAGTTCAATGAGTGAAGTGATAGTTGCAAAGTGCGCAATAATGAGCGTTCCAGGCGGCGGGGTTCCTCCGGAGGCGTTCGGCGCGAGTATGGAGGTTGTAATGACACCGTCACAACTCAGCCTGTTCAACAACGGACTTCTAGCTGGGCTCCTGGCCCACTGGGCCACTGATCTCCACATCTCTCCGCAGGCCATACTGTATAAGCTTGGTACCATACCTCTCCGCTCCGTAGCCCAAATGCGTCCAGCTCCACAAGTAGCCGCATGACTACCTGGGCCACAAGAAGACCCAGCTGCGGTCGCTTCCAGACTGTACCGTCCAGGACTTTTTGGGACCAAAAATGTGACATCAGACACGCAAATCCCACGGATCTAACACTTTATTGAATTCAAGAGTGTTAGAAAGTCGGATCGCCATGGCGGTAACATTTCACGAAACATTGGCCCATGATATTTCTCCAGCGAAGCAGAGGCGCATACAGTACACATGTAGACAGAGAATAAACTGAACCATGATGCTACTTGTCCTGATCTACTGTCAGGCTCCTTGTTGTGTCTCACTCCAGGTTCGGATCCTGAAGGGATCCAGGTTTGGGGACCGTGTCAACAACATTTCCGCACTCCTGGCAAGTCCGCTTGTCCATGTCACCATCAAATTCCTCTATAGCAGCCTTAAGCTCGGTGCCCAGATCAGTCAGGTGAAACGAGGTCTCGTAAACTATGCGGCCACAATTTGTACAGTACCAGCGTAGGCAATCAATGGTATCCTGCGGGCGACGCTGCTCGACAACCAGCCCGATGGTGTTAGCAAAACGCACAGAGCTGTGCGGTGTACTACTTGGTAGTAGGAACATGTCGCCCTCCTGGATTATCACGTCGCGGAAGACACCGTTGTCAATGACCTTCAATATAACATAGCTCCCTTGTGCTGGTAAACCAACTCGGGTGTCTGATTGATGTGGTAGTCAGTTCGGGCATTTGGACCACTGACAATCTGATGACATGGTAAGACTTCGCTCGCTGCTGAGAGAGGATGGAGGGGAAGGAGAAGAGAGCGCTTTGTGGGAGAGAGACAGGTTGCATAGGCATGTCGCTTACCATGACGGCGAAGTCTTCATTCCAGACACAGTAGTTGTTTACGGGCGGTTGTAGAAGATGTGAATTTTCTTCCACCCTAGCGTCACAACTTCTCAGACCCGAATCACCACTGAATCGGGCCCGTCATGGGTCCGTCGGTGTTGGTATTGTATACGTACCATTTGGGCAAGTTCACCGGCGAACCAAGCATAATTGAATATAGGGAGCTCCAGCGTTATGTGCTGAGATATATGTCGTGAATAATTCAGGCAATAGTCTGGCTTTTAATCGGTGGTGCAAGGCTTTGGGGCAAGACCGATTAATATAAAGAATCTTCTAGCGCGCTCGTTACCCGCGAGCTTACCGAACTGGAATTGTACGTGAGTGAGTGGAGGAGTTGAGAGGCAAACATAAGTCACGCATGACTTTCACCACCGAAGAAGATAAGTTGAACGCAGACGTGGTTCGATTTGGCTGGCTGCAAAGGCGGAAATTCTTGACGTCTGATACAACCACGTAATGTGCCATTTACGCTCCACCTGAACGTTCGTAGTAGAACTTGACGGATTATCTGGAGATTTATGCGACAAATAGATCAATTCCACGAATCTGTTTGCTGCCATCAATGCCCGCGCCAGCGAACTTTCGTACGGAGCCACCTTTCTCCGCTGGATCCACTTTGCTTCGCGTCACAATCATCAGAGCTCATCAAAGGCAAAAGCACTCACTGCTCCCGGGATCGCATTCGAAATATCTGAACGCATCAGGCAACGAGAGTACTGTGTCTGACATGTAGGCAGCAGGGCTTGGGGATCCACGGTGAGAGGATCGGGCAGGGAGATCACAGGTGCCATAAAAAGCCTCAATGTGTGATTCGCAAATGAGAAGCTGTTTATTGCAGCGATACCCTGGAGGGGAGGTCAATCGCAACGGCATTTCGAGCGACGCGTGCAGGAGCCCTTGGGTTTGCTATCCAGTAGGTAGAAAATATTTATCTAACTAGGCAGAGACACCCCGGGTATTTCAGGCCCTGGTTAGGCGAGCATAAGGTGACCATCGGAGTCTAATCGCTGCCTGTTTTGGGTTACTCGTGAACAGTCCTCATAGACTACTCGCCCATATTCGACCTGGAATTGCTATCAGGCCTCTCTAGAGAGGCCCGAGCAGACCTTTCTAAGTCATTTCTACCATCGGACACACCTTCTACAGTTAGATGCCGGAGCGAAGTTAGGGTGTCCAAACCATGGTAAGATTTCCTTGCTTCGTAGCCGGGAGGCACAGCCATATACTGCATTACACTTGGTTCTCAAACAGCATTGGAATAATTGTCAGACCGTTCTGTTCATCAGGCTTCGTTGTTCCCCAGGAGTCCAACTGTCAAGCCTTTCATACGTCGCTTGAGGAGATCTTCTTCGCTGCCCAAAGAGATCAAACTCTTACTCCGGCTAACCTCAGGTCTGGATTTCTCGGTTGTCGAACGTCTGTGCTCTCCTGTAGAGTCTTCGACCACGCCATTGGCCTTTTGTGGCGATCGTCTAGTGTCTTCCGATTTGATCGACGACATGACCAAGGGGGCGTCATCATCCAAGCTCTCACCAGTTGGGGTTCGATGATGATGCCTTGGCTGTGTGGAAGCCAATTCAAGGCTGCTGTGAGAGTCATGGGCAAGCATCCCATTTCGCAGCCTCGATTCAATGGCTGGCCCTTCAAAAGCATGTGGTGGCTTGGAGAAGATGTCTTGGATCCACTGCCCACAGCGGAAAATATGTCTCCAGCCTTCTGGAAAGATGGAGACAAATTGGACAAACCCATGAGAAATGCCCGGAATAAGGGTCACTTCAACATGGTCCTTCTCGTTGAATTCTGCTGTGGATTTCTCGAGGCCGACTTCTTGCCGCTCACGGAAAAGGTGCAGTTTCGCCTGTCGTATCCTACCAGCAAAAATAACTGTGTCATCCACCAGGGGATCACGTTCGCCGGTGCAGAAGTATGTCTTTGGGAATTTGGCAAGGAGGCTTTCTGGAGCCACAGCCGGGCACAACAGATGGTCAGTCGTGAAGTCGGGACGATTGTAGGGCCCAACATAGAGTATGATCATGGCACGCATCATTTCGGGGGTGAGGATGCGATCGCCGAAATAAGAAATGATGGAGGAGACAGCCAACCTCGTTTTGAGATGCTGGGGTTTCGACGCGGCCACTGTCTGCTTCTGCGCGTCAACATTGGTGCTTGGCTTGGTCAGTACAGCGTTTGACTTCTCACTGTCTCCTCTTGGTGCGAAGAAGTCAAAGTTTGGATCGCTCTCCGCGTCGTCTTCCGAGGGTTTGGGTGTCGATGGAGTGTAGCGACGATCGATATCTTCGCTTTTTCTTTTGATGAAAGTTTCGTACTTCTTGGCCGTCCGTGGATTACGGATCAATGCCATTTGATCGTCGGTCATCCAGCTGCTGATGTTCATGTCCAAGGCTGGATAGAGCAAGACCAGGCCAGCTGGACTGGGAAGGATGCCCCGAGCATTTCCACTTTGATTTGACTGAATCACCATCAAGGTCGTTCCTGTAGCCAGATTGCCTCCGGCACTATCTCCAGCCAGTACAATCCTCGGGCACGTTGAGGGCTTCATGCCTATGCATCGTCCCCGCGTAGCGATAATTTGCGTGTATACATCGAAGCACTCGTTCAACGCGTAAGGGTAGGGATACTCTGGCGCTTTGCGGTAGTCCAAGCTGAGGATGGGCAGTCCCGTCCTTCCTGCCCAGGCAAGTAACCTGTCGTCGCTGGTCCGTGGGTCCATTGCCACAAACCCTCCACCTGGAATGTCGAGAACCATGTTCTCTTGCTTTTCAAGCTCGGCCAGGGTACCGTCAAAGTACATCCATGCTACAACTGGCTCTTTGTAAGTAGACTGTTTCGGTCGGGGTATTCGGATCCTTCTTGGTTTGTAGCGAGTGAATCGAGGCCGCATCATCGCGGTCAGCCACTTCAGATAGGGCGTGTTTGACTTGTTCCAGGAGACCCTCAGATGGTCCACCGTGAGGACGGCTCGCACCTTCCGCACCTTTTCATCTGCTTGCTCAGCGGCGATGAGATAGTATATAGTGAATATTATCGAGGCCAGGTCTCTCAATCTCTTGTTCCGAATTCTCATTGCAGTCCAGAACCCGGCATCCAACGCCGTCGTGATCCATGTCGCCCGGAAGTAGGCACGATTGTACAAATTTGCAAGAGGCTCGGGCGACTCGAGATTGCAGAGTTTGGCGAAGTTGCGACAGATGTAGAGATAGAGGAGAGTAAGAACCACGGATCGCCAGGGCGTCAACCGCTTCGACATGCGCTGGGATAGAGTACGAATCGCGGGAGGGCCATGCTTGTCACCCCTAGGAAGACGCCGCAAAGTCAGTGGCTAAGTAGGTTGTTTCTAGATCATCTCATACCTTAGCAGGTACAGCGACCAGAACGAGACAACGGCAAGGACCTGGACTTTGCGGAACTGGGAAGATGGTCGTCCCAGGACATGATCTGGTACGAAGGGAGGGGACAATGTCAGCACATTTGAAAGTAGAGCGACAGCTATGCAAAGAGGATTGTTCTAGGCATACCTATCATCGTCGTTGTCGTAGAAGGCCTCCTCACGGCCGAGTTGGCGATACTGACAAAGTGATACTCACATACGAGGTCAAGATGCGTCAAAAGAGGGCCACAGCATGTCAAGCACAGACCACCTGGTTCTTTGTTGTTGTTGTAGGAGTGAAGGACAGAAGGAATCTGGGCGACTTGTTACAGAGTTGGCGTCAACATTATAAGCCGAGGCTGACGAGGCGCCGTGACAAGACAAGGCCGGCCATGGCTGAGTGAAAGAGCCATTAACAGTAGCTAGTTCGTAGAAAGCATCCTCTACGGAGTAATGAGAGGGTGTTGTGTGGATGACGCAGGATGATGAAGAAGGAGATGCTCTTTTGTGCATGTGAAAGTCGGAGGCCGAAAATGTACGAGTACGAGGGACCAGGCCACCACGAGTACTCCATCCATATCTGCGAGTCCCACAGTAACTCCTATGCCATCCCATCGTATCTTTGGATGAGTATATGCATCATTTCTAATTCAGTCATTAATGTTCGTGCTTTACAAGGTATACCCAGGTTCCAAGGTAGATGTCTGTGACTGTTCCGCCGGCCCCTTGCTCCTCATAATACATCTCCCGAAGATATTGTCACATCGTCACCAAGTCCTCGTATGGAAGACGGCAACAGCAATCCTGGCCCATTTATCCCCCAAGGGATTGTTACCCATTGTTGTAGTAGACTCTCTCAGATCGACCGCCGCTATCTTCGTTGCGACGCTGCGACGTTGTCGGCCACTTCACACTGCTAGAGACCTGGCCTCACCTTGCTCCCCCGACTCAAAGAAGAGACGAGTGCCCAAAACCGGCTTCACCAGTCAAAGTGTCTGATTTGCAGACCTTGACTCCTAGGAGCATATCAGGGAAGCAATTTGTCTTCCACCGAAGTAAATGTAGATCTTGTAGAGGCTATGCGTTGCTACAAAGCTCTCTTGATCGTGGTGCGTGCTTCATGTTAGAAGTGGCGGTGTCCATTCGGGCGACTTTTCTCCCTACGGAAAAGGCAAATGATCTCTGATCCAGCCCGTCACACCACCTCCTCCGGTATGGCGGTTTCTATTACCTGCCCCATCACCACCACTCTCATCGTCATCTCTCGCGTTGTGTCGTCGGGAAGAGGATCGATGACTCCCATGTCGGACAGGTCCGGGGCGTTCCACATAGCTTTCCGCTCTCCTTGCAGGATAGGCTTGCCGAGGTGATCTGGCCTCGCCTCGACCTTCGGGCATCGTGGCGGTGTTATACCTGCTGGCTTCAGGGCCGAAGCCGATAGGGCTAGATACAGACGACATTCGTCGGCTTGACCGCCGCCGTCGTGAAGAGCTGGCTTGCGGTGGCTGATCAGGGGTTGAGATAGGCTTCCGACAGTGAGGACAAGTGTCATGCTCCTTCAACCACGCCGTAACACAGTCACCATGGAACCAGTGGTTGCAAGGTAATGTTGTCACTTCGTCTCCTAAGCTCACGTCGTCCATGCAGATCGAACACTCAGCTCGACCTTCCGGACCTAACATCTCTGGGTCGACTTGCTTCTTCGCCAATGATCGAATCGCTTCCTCGGATGCAGGTGGTGGTGCCCCGCTTCCACCATTCTGCTCCATAAGCTGCTCTATGACTCGGTCAAAAGCCTGCTGGCTGAATACCATATCGCCATGCTGGCCAATGTTGCCAGGCATAAGTAATTGTCCCAAGAAGTCAAATGGTGGCAATGGAGGGTTCTGTCCATGCGGACCTGCGTGTTGGTCTCCTTCCATCCCAGCGCGTGTCGATGCTGTGGTCATTGACTGTAGAATCATTCCGAGGAGGCTACTTGCGTTAGCAAAGATATTTATCGGCTTGAAACTATGCGCACCTACTCTTGTAGATTTCCGGGTTGGTTATGTGCGAAAGGATCTCGGGGTGGACCTCCTCCATGGAAGCCCTCCGGAGGATACAAATTTCGAAATATGGGGGGGATGCCGTGGTTCTGTTGAATCGAAATCAGTAAGTGTTTTGTCCAGCGGGTCTTCGTAATTGGTGATAAGGGTAGCCCTTACATTTGGTCCTAGCAGGCCACCTGTTCTGACTGTCCTCGTGCTGAAAGAAACTCTCCCTCCACCATTGCCACTCGTGAATTCGAAGGTGGTAAAGTTGTCGTGCGGATCGGGCCCGAAAGTGTCGGCCCATGGGTTATGATTAAGCAAAGGTCGAAGATCAGGCAGAGGGTGCGGATGCGATGAAGTTGGGGTTGGTATGTCATCCAGACCAAAGTCTGGCTCTGTTTCTGGGGCAAGCTGTCCTTCAGCGTCAGTATGGCCTGGCTGAAGCGTTGGATTGTCTTACAATTTCAGTGAATTCGCCTTCACATCTTGGGCAAATCAATCCTCCATGCGCCCGGTCCCATTCATTGTTGCATTGGTAGCAGAAGACACGTTCTCCCAACACTCGTCCAGGATCTGCCATTGCAGAGGCGCGCGAATGGGATAGCGACTTCGACAATCTTAGCGGGAGCAGTGGCAGTGGTAGATACTGAATCTGGAGTGTATCTTGGTCGTGGTCGGGCTAGCGAGGCTGCGTCATTCGGCAGGGCACCAGCGGAGCCTAAAGTTCAAAGTGCGTATCCGGGGGAGTGGTAATGCCGTTGGTGCTTAGTGCCTGGAATCGTCTTGAGAGATATTTGCAGCTTGGCTTGAGCGAGGCTGATCCGTCGATGAGGAAATCTCAGGCAACAACCAATACAGGAAGAGCAAGAAGTAAATATTAATAAAGGCTAGAGTGAGGACGATGGTTATGATGTCGGCAGGTGCAAAACGACCGACCGCAGGGTGATACTCGGTCGTAAATGAAAAGACTGGTGAGTGCATTTGATCACTCCTTGTTCCGCGCCACCAAGCTAGGATGGCGAAAAGTGAGCCACATGTGTTGCGAAGGTGACCTAGCAAAAGGCGCTTCCAACGCTTTATCTTCGGTGATGATCTATTGTTTTTGATTCAACCAACGAAGCGTTTGCATGTAACTGTCTGTAAGAGGACCAGCTAATCATGAACTGAGCAAATTTACGATAGGGTACAGAATACCTACCCTTGTTAGCCTGATTGGGCGGTATAATGTTCTCTGAGGCTGTCTTCTGCCATCATAACGATTGTATACTACCCTCTTCATACGGAGTACCAAGCAGCTAGAAAGTAGGATATGCTGTCAATCCCTAGACCTGAAACTCTGAGCAAGGTTTCGATTCTTGTACAGGTGTACGCTGAGCACTCTCGACGCTGTCTGAGACTTTCCCTCCTCTCGGTTAAGAACACCAGGCAAACATCCGGACCCTTGGTAACCGACCATCATTCTGCGCGAGTCCACAGAGTCCAGGCAAACGCAGATACAAGCACAACGCTCTTCCCAACGAAGCTCTTAAGAGACAACGTCATCGCCGCCGCGACCCTCTCATTATCATACTGCCCAATATTCCCGCAGCAACTGCGACACCTCCAACGATGGCGATGCCCATCAATCCTTCCTTAGACACCTTGTCATCGATCAACTGCCTCAAGCTGCTGGCTTGTAGATTACCAGGCTCCTTCTCCAGTAATAGATCATTGTACCTCCGCGCCTCTGCGTAATTTCCCAGCTTGTAGTTCCCCAGCGCCAGATAGTACAGGCACTCTCTTCTTCGCTCGGGTGTGGTCTTGAAGATATCGGACAGGAGTTGGACGCCGAGTTGTTGCTCGCTCCGCTGATTTGATTTTATCAAGCCCTGGGAGAGGCCGTCAGCAAAAGGTCCGTGACCAAACACGAGAGTCAGCATACCCAGGCATAATTGAACTTGGTTTGTACCCCGACATAGTCACCTTCTTTCTCATACTGTGCCCTAAGCACCTGGAGTTCGGCGGGTTTTAGAGGACTGCGCTTGTTGCATCAGTGTCTGTGCAATTATGGTGCGGGATAGCAAACAAACCTCTCTGCGTCTGCGGCATCTGTTGAGGGTGTCAGTGGCCGCACCAATGAATGTTGGCGAAGGTGTCGCAACAAGCTTACATGGTAAATTCGACGGCATGATACCAACAGATTTTGAGACTCAGCTCGAGGCTGTCACTGTGTAAAAGATGATCAGCGACAATAATCGAGGCGTACTGTGATGCAGGGTCGTGTAGAGTCGTTGCTTGGTCGCCTTGTGGGAGGCAATAGCGTTTGCCTGTGCTGCGCTTCGGCGCCGTGATGACCCTAGGGTGAGGTGCGTGTGCGCTGTGACGTCTTTTTGCCCACCTCGTGGAGCGGCCCCAAATTAAGGTTGGTGCGGGCGGGCACCCGGCTTTGTCCTGTAGTGAGCCCGGCCCCGTTGCCCAGTAAACAAACCAACCCAACCAAGCCTGAACACTGTTGATCCCTTCATACTTGTACTGCGCACCTCGGAGTCCATCTTTGCCTGCGCCAGTATCACCATCTATAGTTACCACCAACTCACACAATATGCTTCTTGACGAAGACCCTGCTGCGGTGAGTATTATCGGTCATCTATGTGGCTGTTACTGATCCAAGTCACAGCTCATCCGAGCGACAGTGTCCAATTTCAACATTGCGCCAGACAAAGCCGCCCTTTCGCGCGTGAATGACTCGCTGTCAACGCTACAACAGTCGAGAGACCTCCGAACTCGAGATGCAGAGACGGTTTTGAGGAAGCTCTCACGGCAATTGGCGACGCTTGAATCCCAGCGAAAGGAAGTCGTTTCTGGTCACGATAGTGGACGCCATGCAAGCGAGATTGTACAGCTTGACACCAGGAAGTTCCGCATTGCAAAGCAGGCTTCGGAACTGGAAGTTGAAAGTGAGAGGCTGGAGGCTGAGCTCGAAAGGTTGAAGCAGCGCTTGGCCGACCTGGATGAGCAAGGGGTGGAAGGGGACGAAACGACTCGGCGGGCACGAGAGGCCGATGACCCTACCATGTGAGTAATTGAGGAGTCCCATCTGAAGGATGTACTGACCCAACCTAGCCTGCGACTGTGGCTCTACAGATCTCTGGGCATCATGCTCGAACAGGACGAAGCAGGCAACTACAACAAGGCAACCATTGGAAACACCAAGAAGGGAGATGTCCACGTTGTGAACATTGATCCAAAGTTCTCGAGATGGTTCTATGCAGACTATTTCTGGCAGACAATGCAAGGCTAGGCCACGACATGATTGGTAAGTAACGAGTGTCTTAGAGCGAGGCGTTTAGGTTGGGCAAAGCAATCAATCGTTCGAGCATTGGAATGATATAGAGTGCAACAATCGCTTCTTGTCTCCAGAATATGACCCTTTGAGAGAGACAAATGGGCCGAATGCCCAGTGGTTCGCTGACCTGATGATGCTACAGTGCTACCACAAGAGCATCTTGAGCAGGATCTGCCCTTTTGTTCCGAGCACGATCTTCATTTGTAGAAAGAACCCGTCACCCAAGAGAGCACTTGTCGAAGAGTTGTGGTACACTGATGTAGTGACTACATGCAACCATGTTTTCATACCAAACACCCACTTACCTCTGTATTACGCGCAACGCCAAGGCGTTAAGGTGTTCTCCTCAACTCGAAGTACTCTTTGATAAGCGTTTCTCTAGGCGTTCTCCTGAACTAGAGGTTACCTTGCACAGGCGTTTCTCTAGGCGTTCACCTTAACCAGAAGTAACCTTTCGCAGGCGTTCAAAACCACTTAACTAGGTAGAAGTCAAGGGGGCAGTGGTAATGAGTAGCGTCCTATGAACACGTCGAGTTAGCACGCAGCCTTGCACTGCCTTGCACAATAGTACCAATTACCACCAACTACTGGCCCTTTGGAGCGATTGAAACACTAACCAAATACGGAATAGGTCCGGAGACGGAAAAACAGAAACGCCGATATTTTCAAGACTTTCTGGCGCAGCTTCATCGAAACCAAGGATTTCGAGCAACAGTACTGGTCGACCCCTGGGACCCTACAACATCCTCCGCCATGCGTAACAGGGCAGCGACAAGGCTATCGGTCAAGAAAAATGAGACACCAGTAAGATATGTCCATACATTCCTCTCACAGTTGTTAACGATAGCAGAAAATAAGACAGTCTTGGAGCAAATACAATCTTTTCAACCTAACGCGGCTACGAGCAGATCCTTACAAAGGGCTCAACTTTTTCAAGACAAAATGGAAGTCAAAGTCACTATCGCGGAGCTACCATGGCGAACAAATTCGAGAGAAGCAGTGGGTGCGCATGTTCGATAGACGGATTCGCTCAGTTATACCAATGAACCCCCGATACCTTGCCTCCAACGATGGGTCGCGTGAGTCTGCTGGGCGAGGTTCGGGACTCGTCGGTCATAATGATCGACCCTCGAGATCGGGGAAGAAGAAAGAGGTGCCATACATGCAAATGACCTATGCTCCTATGGAAAGACGACTAGACACTGCCATCTTTCGGGCACTTTTCGCAAGCAGTGCTCGACAGGCAAGACAATTTGTTGTACACGGAGCCGTCAAGGTCAACGGGAAGCAGGTACGTATATGATTCTCGATGGCAAGAACCACACTTACATGACGCAGATGCGCTATCCCGGCTACCTTTTGAATCCTGGGGACATGTTCCAGGTGTTGCCGGAACGTGTCATGTTCGCCACAGGTGCGCCCAAAATTAACGAACAAGCGAAACCCGAAGACCAACAGGGCGCAGATGAAGAGGTGGTAGAGGAAGCTGGAACGATCGAAAAGGCGGCAGAAGCTGAAGAGGTTGAGGCTGAGCAGGATCCCCGCGAAATTCTGAAAGCACTCAAATCGCAGGCACGAGCTCTTCTCGCGTCTTCCAAGCAAGATCTGGGAGCGAAGCGAAAGCAAGACCTACGCGCTTTTTCCAAGTCCATCCAACGTCTCCTGTCCAAGAGCAAATCCACCTCGATCGAGACGGATAGTGCAGAGGCACAGCTTGCGGAGATCCAGCGGCAACTCCAGGTCAGAAGAGACAGCAAAGCGGCAGAAACGTCGTCAGAACCGGCCGTGCAAGATAACGAGGAGTCTACTTCCGGCTCCGTTGAGAGCGCAGAGACACAAGCGCAAGTGAACGCCGAACAACCCCATTTGGATGACGAAGAATACAATGAGCTCCTTTCGGCTCTAAGATCTATGCAAGAGAACCCTATCGACGACTCTAAACCTTATGCCACTCCGTGGATGCCCCGGGATTATATGAGCGTGTTCGCTTTCGTCCCACGCTTTCTGGAAGTAAATCACAAGATATGTGCTGCGGTGTATCTGAGGCACCCGGTCGCACGACCAGGCCTGGCCGAGGTACCGACACCTTTTTCAGAATACATCAACAGCTCGGCTTTCACATGGTACCTCAGGAGGAGGTGAAAAACCAATAGACTGTACTATAGCTTTGCACATAGCGATTGGCGCTGGTCACCTCTCTCCAAAGGAGAGATAAGACGTGATTGTATTTCCACATGGGTTCGCAGACGTGATCAGCATTCATGCATATTAATCTTGTGATCTCTCCGATGGATACTACATTTTATTGTCTGTATATTGAACAGAAATCACAACAATGGATTGGATCTATACTCAGGCGCAGTATCGCCATTGATTTCGGGCTTTTTGGCCTGGTTCTCCTTCTCAATGGCAGGGTCGTCACTCTCAAGTTCGGCCAAATACTTCTCGGCTTCAAGAGCTGCGATACAGCCACTTCCAGCGCTGGTGATAGCTTGTCGGTACCTCTTGTCCTGCACGTCACCGGCAGCGAAAACGCCGGGGATGCTTGTATAGCTCGTGCCAGGCTTCGTCACAACGTACCCTTCCTCGTCCGTGTCCACTTGGCCCTTGAAAATTGCTGTGGCCGGGTCGTGGCCAACGGCGTAAAATAGACCATTGGCGTCCATGACCTCCTCGGCACCGCTCTGCACGTTCCGTATTTTCAAGTGCGTCATGAGACCCCTCGGCTTATTTTCACCCAGCACTTCGACCGCAACATGATTGAACTTGACGGTGACCTTGGGATTGGCGAGTAATCTGTTCGCCATTGCCTTGGACGCTCGCAGTTTGTCCTTCCTTACAAGCACCGTCACATGCGACCCGTACTTGGTTAGAAACATGGCCTCCTCGGCCGCTGAGTCTCCTCCACCGATGACTACCAGCGGTTTGTTTCTGAAAATGGGAACTGCCCCGTCACATACCGCACATGCTGAAATTCCATTCTGCCAGTAGGTCTCTTCGCCCGGCAGTGCCAACCTCCTGGCATTGGCGCCCGTAGCGATGATTACAGCGTCGGCGGTATGTGCTGGCTCGTCGCTCTCGCCATCCTCGTACTCTCGCCACAATTTAAACGGGCGTTGTTTCAGGTCCACTTTCGTGATTGTCTCGGTGATGATTTCAGTGCCGAAACGCTCACTCTGTGCCTTCATTTCTTCCATGAGCTCCGAGCCGCCAATTCCCTTGGAAAATCCAGGGTAGTTCTCAATGTCGGTCGTGGTGGTCAGCTGGCCCCCGGCCGCGGTGCCACCGGCCAACATGCCTTCGTACATGACGGGCTTGAGTTCCGCACGGGAGAGGTAGATGGCTGCGGTATGGGCAGCGGGCCCAGAGCCGATGATGGCCACTTTCGTGTGCGGAGGCGCCATGGCGCTGAGCGAAGACGAAAGCGAACGTGCTGTCGCCGGGGCTTGAGACTTCTGCTGGAAGATTGAGGTCGCTGCCACGGAAAGGCTGAGAGAGGATCGGAGGGGTAGTTGAGCTGCGCGACGGCGGAAAGTTGAGGAAAACAGTTTGACTGATTGTGAGAAAGACCAAACAAAAATTCTAAATCTATGAATTGAGCGCAAAGAGGTCAGAAGAAGAGATGGACGTATTTCTATAGAAGTACAGACATGACCTGGTGCAGGACGATTTCCGCAGCGCTCGGCCTCAGCGTTGACAAATGACCTTGGACGGGCACTAACATTATGCCAAATTCTTTGAAAATGCAAACCCTCGTTTGGGCCTAGCGAGCCTTTTCTGGATGGATCCAGTGGCTTTGATGAGGTAAACATGCCCAGGGGAGGAGGCGAGAGATCACCTAATAATGTACCTAAAGCGGCTTTTAGGGCCTGAAGTCGCATATCGGCTAGACCGCTAGGCACGAGGTAGGTGCCTCCCAAAAATAACGCATACCACAGCATCGCTACCCCGTAGCTACCTTGGTAGGCACGAGGCTCAAAGTAGATCAATTGCAACTCACCTCACACAAGATCGTTCCTCTGTTCCGGTCTCAATGATACTGGAATGTCACTTGTCCAAATCTACCAAACCTTTTTCAGGAGTCTTCGCAATCCAAAGCGCGTTCCTACGTTCGTTGTCACCCTTGATGCTCTGGGGACAATATATCGCTTCAAGCACCCAGTTGCAACGCAATACGTTGACCTCGCTCACACATGCGGCTTGAAGGCCAGCATCGACACTGACCAGCTGAACGATTCCTTTAAGGAGGCTTTTAAGCACTGCTACGCCGTGTACCCAAACTACGGGAAACGGCAGCTCGAAAGCCCAAAAGAGTGGTGGACGAAGGTGATTCATCGGGCCTTCGGACGCTTTGTCGACCAAGATCGGCTACCCGAGAACCTAGCGAGCCGCATGTATGACCATTTTGCTGGAAGTAACGCCTACGAGCTATACCCAGATGCCCTACCCTTGTTCAACACGCTTCGTGCCCTCAAAAAGGACTTCAGTGATCCTGATGGGCCGCTTATCCTCGCCGGCGTGGTTACCAATTCTGACCCTCGAGCTTCCGCTGTCCTACAGGCAGTCGGCTTGAAGGTACAGGCCAAACCTCCGAAGCGCTATATCGGCGAAGCACTCAGCAATGCGTGGAACGATGCCAGACTGGAGCGAATCGATGGGCTGTTTGCATCCGACGCCCTGACTTTCAGCCAATACAATGACATCGATTTCCTTTCGACTAGTTACGAAACAGACTATGAAAAGCCAGACCCAAATGCCTGGACCGAAGGCCTTAAGTTGGTGCAGACCCTACCTCTCGTCCGGAAAGCTGTATCCTTTCGAGGATCTCCAAGCGCGAACGTCCTTGAATACATGCACAAAACCGCACAAACCGTGGGCTACCGTGCTGGGGAGGTCATGTGGCTTCATATCGGCGACGAGTACCAGAAGGACTATCTCGGAGCGACCGCAGCTTCGCTAGACGCTTTGCTCCTGACACGGGACAATGATGGCGAAATGCCACACAAAAGCAACGTATCAGCGCCAGATGTTCCGACCATTTCTTCGTTGGATACAGCTGCCATGATAATCAACCTGAAGGCGCGAGGATTCTTTCAGCGTGTTTCATGAACTTTGGTCTTCCGGTCTGGCTGCCCTCCGTATTTTTTCCATCGTTCGCGTCCCTCCTGGCAGCCTGGCCAGAGGACGGCGTGGTGATATGAATGATCAGTTCAAGCGAAGAGTTTAATGGTATGTGGGCCACTTTAAAAGGAAAGGGTGATTCAACTCTCTCGAAAGCCAGCCACGCAAAGTCTGTTAGACGCTGATAGCTGTCATCTGACAGTATCACTGCGACTTGGGCCTGCTGAAGGCCCCTTTGGAGATCGTTGTCAAAATGCTCGCTGGCCCTCAGGTCGCACGTCATCAAGTAGATCATCCGCGGGTCGTTGACCTTGGGGAAGACTTCTTTGCTAAGCCGAGCGTAAATTAGTGCAGAAGACACGCCATATTGGATGCTCATCCTACTCTGCTGAATATTCACCGGAGTCCCGCCATTGTTACAGCTGGGTAGTTGACGGCTTGTGATGTTGGTGACAGTGATCTTCTTACGCTGCAGCCTCAGCGCCGCAACCAGTGGAGTTTGAGTAAAGTTGCACCCGCAACAGGTTTGAAGTGAACATCCATGATGCCCGGGCCGAATTCAAAGCGATTGATCAAATCTCTGGAAGGGGCACTAGGGCCTGAACAAACGGCAAGCGCTTCAAAAACGCCATCCTTTCCTCCCACCACCGTATCGCTGCAGAATAGTCCAGCTTTGGCAAGGTCAAATGCTTGGATACTGGCACGATTGAAGGGCCTGGCCGAAAGGACGATCTTTTGTGGAAAGAGCCATCGGTGTCCAGACTCGTTTGACAACGCGCAAGAATAGTCCTGCCCAATCACGCAGCCCAGTCTTTGCTATCTAAACAGCTGCTCCCCCTTTAAGCCTGCACAACAAAATGTGAAAGGATGGTTGTTCGAGAACAGAGACATATGAATGTCGAGATGCAAAACAATACCAAAGTTATCAGTCTCACTAGGCTGCGCCGCACGTGCGCCTTGTTGAATGTCCGAGCTGATCGATACAGTGGTGCCGTTTTTGGTTGGGATAACGAGCCCATGCCGCTGGGTGCTGAACCCCCCTGTCTCTGTTAGGCCATAGTTGAATGAATAGCAATTTTTAGCCGTTGGATGATTCCCTCAGCAGTATCTCCGCTGGACTGTCTTTTCCAGCCCAACTCACGATGTTATCCAAACCTTTCCAAAGCACAGCGTCGAGTCTCATTACTGCCAGTTTGAGCACAGGCCAGGCTCGTGACTGCATCCGGATGGTGCTGCGCCATTTTTCCAGGAGATTCTTGTTCTCTTTGGCTATAGCTGTTGACGGCGACTGCACAAAGAGGAGGAGGGCAAAATTAGTCATGTAAGACAGTTGATACCGTGTATCTTTAGGTACGAGAAGAGTCAGCATAATTTGCGACGCCAAGTGGGCAAGGCCTCGCTTCGTAGAAGAGAACGATGAGAGGAACCACTTACACGAAGGCCAGAAATTGACAAAGTGGTTCGCCTTGAGAGCTGCCACTAACTCCAGAACAAGTTTGGCACATGATTGACTGTTTTGGAAGATGGTGGAGCGAGGTTCTGACATTTCCTGCTCACCTGTCCCCGGCTGATAAGCCAATGGACGAAGGAGTGCTCTGAAGACCAGTAATTCCAGCGTCAAATATGTCAGACGAAGTGGACCGCAGTTGTCGAGGCCATCATCCTCCATGAGCTCTTTGGTAGGCTTCAACACATCCGGAGGTAGTTTCTGTCGCCATTGTTGGATCATCATCCTCAATGGATGTGCACGGACTAGAAGAGCTTCCAGTGTGGTAGCCTGACGGATCGACTTGATAGAACTGTTCGCATGTGGATTAGTACGTTATTGTCTGGCGGACAGTAAGACGAGACTCTGGGAGGTACTGACTAGAGAGCGTCAAGAATCTGGCTCGCAATTGTGCTCAAGCTGCAAAGAGCCATAAAATACGGACTCTGTGCTTCAACACAGCTGCGAGCTTCCGGATCCGCAATGTCATCAAGGTCAAAATCATCAGCGGTCAATTCAGAGACGTCCCAATTTGAGGCGTTAATATGAGATGGTCGTCCTAAGACTAGAGCTCGCCAGGTGTGCTCAACGTGAACAAGCCACCACAGCCTCTTCCGCAGCCTGACTTCGTGGGAAGGAAGCTTCCAGTCTGACGGGTCCAGATTCAGTCCAAGGGTTTCTGCGGCGGCAAGTACAGAACACGCCAGGGCCCACGAACTTGGTATATCGGCGACGGCGTAATTTTGCGGAGGTCGATGCAAAAACAATAGGCCAAGCTGTACGAGCCCTAGATGAGACTTTCGGGAATCTCGTTGCAATCCACGATGGGCGATACCCCAGAGCTCTTCTGTAGACGGCTGTTGATAACCTCTATCCACGGAGAGATAGTCGTCAAGGAAGTAGTACGGCGCCGCTAACGCGTAGACCGCTGCCCTCAATCCAGTTGAACAATTGCAATTTCGATACTCGCCGTTATGATCGTGGGAAGAGAGAACCGGATATGAAGGTTGAATGAATTTGAAGAAGCTGTACAATTCAGCTGTGGGTTTTCCTGTTCAATGATTCGCTCGATAACTTACAGTTTTAGGAGTCTTGAGCCCAAGTCAATGGGAACGATCTTATACAACAAGGCGTGATCCTCAGCTTCAGTATTGAAACCTGCAAAGTCCGTGTCGACTAATTTGACATCTTCTTGGCAGATCTTCTCATCGGTCATGACGAATTGGACCGGTATGTCACTTGCAGGAACCTGCGAGGGTTGAGTTGAGGCAAGTGGCCCTGGCATGTTGATGTCGTCCGTAACTTTACGGAAATCAAGTGCGAACATCCGAAACGTGTCCCGCGAATCGTACTGATAATGCCGTAAAAGGAACGGATCAGTCTCACTTGATAAGCCGACAAGCTGTGAAGAGTAGCCAGGGCGTTCGTCAAGAGAGAAGTCGGTTGACCATTCTCCATTCCTTGGAGCTTCTTGTTTGTCCGGTGGCAGATTCTCGGGCAAGTCATCTTGATCACTCGAGCCGATGCCATTTGCAACATTTTCATTTTGCTCGTGCCGCTGATTCGGACGCGGCGAGATCTGTTCCAATCGAAATGTCTGAGGTGAACCATCACTGGCTGCCGACATTCGAGTTGGGAAATCAAAGTCGTTACCTAAAGGAGCTGTATGACAGGATCAGTGACTCATGAACACCAGAAATCCAGGCAATGTCCTTACAGATGGGAAAGGTAAGGTACGACCAGTCAATAGCACCACCTCCTTGTGACTCAGGCGCGCCCTGACGCAAAAACGAGAACTGGTCAGATACCGGCGGCAATGTGTGCGAATCGACATCAATGTCAAACTCCAAGTCCGCGTTCTCGAAAGCGCCGACGTCGATGGTCATTGGGTCGCCATCGCGGGAGTCAAAGTCAGATTGCTCGCCACGATGCTGCTCTGTTGATTGCGTCTCTGGAGGACGAGATGGTTGATGCAACGCTGAAATTGGCTTGGACTCTGGAGGCCATCGTTCCTTTCTCAAAGGCTGCAAGACAAATGTACAGCTGCGCGAGAGTTTCTCGCAAAGTTCACACGCTCCACCAGATTCCGGGATCTTGCACTGGGTTTTGCGCTGTCTACAAAGGTCACAAGGTCGTTGTCGTTTAGACCGATATTTGCGGGCCTGAGACCCATAGACAGGATCTGACCTGTTTGGAAGCATGCCGAAAGGACATGCTCAGCCGGAGGATGAGGCTGATATCGTTATTGTTGAATCGACGGTTCGTCCTAATCAAAATTTGACCAGCACGGACTTGATCGACTGCCTCCTCAGACATGCAATGTAATGACGAAATTGCAAAGTAAATTTAGCTGCTTGATTGGACGGATCTAGCTCGTCAGACGTTCGAAATCCTTCTGATCCCGAGGTCGCTGCTTTATGTCAGTCCCTCTTTACTGTACGAATCAAGCGGCAAGCAATTTTGGCCTTGGAGGGCCTCCTCACAATATGGCACGCGCTCATGTGTTTTGTGTTAGCGAGAACTATAGTACAGTGCAACTATATCAGCACTCCCGTCACTTCTCGGTGGCTGCACTCATTGTACCAGGTTCAGCGCCTCATTTCAGCAGGAGCTGTCACTATATGAAAACCGGGTTCAGAAGGCTTATTTTCGCGGCGGATGTTTCACGACGGCATCACTCGTAAATCGCCTGAAGACTTGGGAGTGAATGAGCACAATATGATTGATGACTTTGGAATTCGACGGAGCAGTGCAGAGCATCCAAAAGCAGCCTTTATGCACCTCAACTCGACAGTCGAGGTTGGATCTCGCCATCCGTGGAGGCTCGGTACGAACTCTTACCGACACCTTTGCCGAATGTATGGAGCTCGTACCATCCGCCGACGGCCAAGTGTAACTTCTCGTCACGTCACCGTTGATGACACCCGTTATGCCGGCGACCTCTCTACAACCTCCCCGCAGCAACTGTGGCCGATGATTATGCTCCCGCGGCTGGACTGATACCCGTTGAGTCCACGCTCAAATGGCAATCGGGTCTAGGCTCACTGCCGGCTCTGATCGTTTCCAGCGGTCGAGCAAGTTTCGTGATGCACAAAGACTGCCGTTGAGATATGTCAATTTGGAATCTATTTGCCAGGCATAGCCTTGCTGTAAAAACCATTGCACCTACGTTTCTCGCTCCACGACCAACAAAACGATTCATTGCAATGCAGCTTATCAACGAGCGCAAGGAGGTCCTTCAAGGCACGAAATCAACCAGTGCTCCGGCTCAAGATGTGTCTAGTCTGAAAATCAATGGCCGCAGGCTCATGTCTTCGCTCCACGAGTCATGTGAATTTGGAAAGGCACACCCTTATGGAACGTGAGTGCAAGTATATCGCGATCAATAACAGCATGCTGAAGTTGCCTAGACACCAGACAGAGACGGGGATGGCTCGTCTAGCTCTCAATGACGCTGACAAAGCCGTTCGACAGTGGTTCGTGCAAGAAGCAAAATCTCTGGGTTGCAAAACCACAGTCGACCAAATGGGCAATATCTTCGCTGTCCGACCTGGGAAGAACTCAACAGCGCCTCCTGTCATGATGGGTTCGCACTTGGATACCCAACCCACGGGTGGGCGGTACGATGGGATACTTGGTGTGCTGTCTGGCCTGGAGGTGTTGCGCACCCTCCATGAAAATGACTACCAGAGTGAAGGAAGTATTGGAGTTGTCAATTGGACCAAGTACGCCCCAGCCGTTCAGATTTGAGTGCTCACGCTAACGTTGTGACCGTTCAGTGAGGAAGGCGCCCGCTTCCCAATCATTACAGTCTCTTCAGGCGTATGGTCTGGTGCAGTTCCATTGGAAACTGCATGGACGTGCCAGGAGGCCACACCAAGCCCGGATGGCCACAGATACACCATGAAGGAGGAACTGGAGCGCATTGGCTTCTTGGGCAGCACCCCTGCATCTTACGAAGCCCAACCAATTGCCGCTCATTTTGAGCTTCATATCGAACAAGGTCCTATCCTGGAGGACGAGAGACGCAGGATCGGAGTCGTCACCGGTGGGCAAGCTTACAAGTGGTTCGAGGTAGTCGTCCGTGGCAGAGACAGCCACGCAGGCACAACGCCAATGGCGGCGAGAAAGGACTCCGTCCTGGCTGCTGCGAAGATGATTGTCGAGTCGAACAAGATCGCAAAAGCGCATTCCGGGCTAATTACAACTGGCCTTGTCGAGACAGACCCGGGAAGTATCAACACCATGGCGCACACTGTCCGCTTCACTATTGATATGCGGCATCCTTCGGACGGTGTACTTGCTGAGATTGAAAATGAATGCCGGAAAACCTTCAGCTCGATCGCCGCAGAGGACAGTGAGAGAGGAGTCTCGCTGGAATGGAAGCAGTTGGCCGCAAACCCAGCAGTGAAGTTTCACCAAGATTGCATTACCATGATTGAACAAGCCGCGGAGGAGACGGTTGCGGATCTACCCAAGAGTGCCGACGACGGGAAATTATGGAAACATATGGTCAGCGGCGCTGGGCACGACAGTTTCCATACAAGTCGAAGATGTCCGACTGGTATGATCTTTACACCAACGAGGGAAGGACTGTCACACACACCAACGGAATACTGCAGTCCTGAAGACTGTGCACTTGGCGCGCAGGTTTTGCTTGGGGCGGTGTTGAGGTACGATAGGCTGCGACTTGAGAGGGGAATGCTTGCTTGAAAGCCCGTCTTCAACAATTGGAACGAAACACTTTGGGGGTTTGATACAGCACGGTTTGGTGAGCTACAAAGATGTCTTAGAAGCTAGGCCACATCTCATAAATGTCTAATAAAGTCCGAAAGGTCTGGGAACCCAGGCCGATCGACAATGATCAATAACAAGAATGTCTCCACCACGCATGGCTCAGGACGGCTAACTCTCTGGCCTGCTCTACTCTGTAACCAAGCTGTCGCAAGATGTAACAAGGATATTCCAGGCCTTGGCCCTATGGGGACGTGCATGCGATAGTGTCGACAGTGGAGTCTACGGATATCGACCGGGCTGGACCACTAACTAGATGCCGTTCAAGTTCGCCGTTGATAAGGATCCAAGATCTTGACTTCGGCCAAGCTGATAACGCCCGACAACAACACCCCACCGCATGAGCGCATCAGCGTCGGCGAGAGTAATGCATGGACTCTACCGGCCGCTATGTTCAAACGAACGATCGTTTATATGGTGCCTGAGAATTAGCACTTGTTCGAAGCTTGAGTTTGCTCGAACGGTACCTACACCTCGTTGAGAACAGCAATGGCAACAACAATCTTCTTGGGCACGCGGCCGGTCGTGCTTGCACTGCTCTCTGCAGCCATATCTCTTGCAGCCGTTGTATTATACCGACTCTTCTTTGCTCCATTGTCAAAATTTCCTGGCCCGAAAATCACAGCAGTGACTCAGCTATGGATGATGTATCATGAGTTCAAGGGTGATAGAACAGTTCTAGTCGACAAACTCCATTCTCGCTATGGGCCGGTGGTGCGACTGTCGCCCGATGAAGTCTCGTTCAACAACTACGAAGGCTTGAAGGAGATCTATGGCATCAAGTCAACTTTCTCAAAGAGCTCGTTTTACGACCTATTCGTGTACTACAATACGCGGAACACGTTTACCAGTCTAGACAAACCAAGCGTACGTTCTCCCCTATCCCCATCAACGTTACCGATGTACTCACGCTTTTCATTCTAGCACTCGGCCAAAAAGAGACTGGTTGCTGATCGATACACCAAGAGCTACGTGATGCAGCCCTCCGTTGCTAATAAAGTCCGTGAGCATGCCGCGGCTTTTATGAAGCAAGTAACAGTCCAAGGGCCCGTGCTCGATGTTTACACTTGGCTACACTACTATGCACTCGAGTATGCGCAGCTTCCTCCCTTTTGTGAGCTGATTTCCTGACCTCTTCTTAGCGCTATCACCAATCATCTCTATGGCATCTATGGCACACAGACCTTGTCGAGCCCAGAACACCGAGGGATCGTGTATGATCTCTCCGGTGTCAAGCATCGCACACGTCTATACATGCTACACTACTTCGGCTGGCTGATGTCGTTCAAGACGCAGCTGACGTCTATCATGCGCAAGCTCAGTGGTCAAAACACGGCGTTCCATGTCCGCGGCAACCGACTGAACGACTACGGCGAAAGCAGCGTCTCGGCCTTTCGTCGCGACCAAGCCACCAAGGACATGGTCTCAACTTGTGCTAAACTCTTCCGAGAGATCCCTAACAACGAGCCCGCTATCGCCGCCGAGTGCATGGATCACTTGGTTGCTGGCGTCGACACCACCGGCGACGCCATGTGCATCCTGATGTGGCGAATCTCGACGCCCGAGTACACGCACGTCCAAGACACGCTGTTCAATGAGCTTTCGACCATCAAGGAGGCCTTTGATCCTGTGACGCGGACGGCGCCGATCGCCGTGCTCGACAAGCTACCTTACCTCGACGCCGTGATCCACGAGGCGATGCGCTGGCGGCCGCCGGTGCCCATGACGCTGTTCCGCGTTGTGCCTCCCACAGGAGCCGTGATTGCTGGCCATGCCGTCCCCGCCGGCACAACTGTGGGATGCCAGTCATACAGTCTGCACCGAGTTGAAGAAGTTTTCCCGAACCCCGACCTCTTCGACCCTACGAGATGGCTGACGGAGGACACTGCGCATCTGTCGGCAATGCGCAACCACTTCTGGCCCTTCAGCTCCGGCGGGCGCATGTGCTTGGGCCACAATCTCGCCATGGTCGAGATGAAGCTGATCGTCGCCGCAGTGTACATGCACTACACGACGCGGGCAACCCCGGGGGTGACCGAGGAGAGTATGAGCATGGACGATCAGTTGACCAGTGGAGTGCCGCATGCGCTGAGTTGTCCGCTGGAATTCGTGCCGCGGTGATATAATCGATCTGGCTTATGAGATATGGCTAAATAATCCCCACCAAATAGAATGTAGAACAAAATTTCAAAAAGATTTCTTCCACGAATGGAGTTTCGAGGCTGTGACATTCACTGTTATTGAGTAGTTCTATTCATGTATTCTTAACTATGAACTCCATATAGCACAAGCCTACAAAGCAGCGATGGTAAGGCCGTATCACATAATCTCATGGCCTTGGTATTGTAGTACCTACTAGTCCACAACAATGTCCCCGAGTATCCAACAACCACCGATGATCTGACCAAAAGACGTTTATAAAATTTCTAGAACTATCACTCAAAGATCTTCTCGCCGCCATCCACCTTCTTGAAGACGACCGAACAGGTGTCCGCCACGGGGGTGATCATGTAATAATCCTTGAAGTCCATGTTCTCCCTCTCAGGCAGCACGGCCGGCTTCCTCGACTCAAATGTCTTGTACAAATGGCTGACGGCGACCTTGATTGTGACCATGGCGATGTTCTGGCCGATACAGCCTCTTGTGCCTTTGCCGAAGGCCATCCAAGCCGTCTTCGCTTTCGCCGTCGGCTCGACCCAGCGCTCAGGGATGAATTCCAGACACCGTTCAAAATACTCTTCCTGTCGGTGCATACTGTACGGTTGCGCGGAGATGACGGTGGATGCAGGGATGAATTTATCCAGGAGCGTGACGCCGCCATCGGGAACGACGCGCGGCTCCGAGGCCGGGATGGACGAGTACAGGCGCAGAGTCTCCAGGACGACACCGTGCAGATACGGCAGCTTGTCAACGGCGGCGAAGTCGTCGAGGTCGACGGTCTTGAGTTCTTCCTGCAGTTTTCGCTGCTGATCGGGGTTTTTGCAGAGGTGGTCAATCATGAACGTGAGTGTTGTGCCTGTCGTCTCGTGCCCGGCGCCCATGTGGTCCATGACTTCGGCGGAGATCTGCTCGCGCGACATTCCCGTCTTGAACAGTTTCGTCAGGAGATGCGCCTTTTCCGGATCACACTTGTCCATCCATTTGTTGGTCATGTTGTTGATGATACGCTCCCCTGTCTCGGCATCCTTCCAGCTTGGGATCAAGTACGCAATGCCCGACGAGTACAGCAGCTTCGTGACGTTGGGGAGCTCGGCAAACCAGTGGAAGGTGTGTCTTCGCATGTGCCACGCGTCGAACACTTCGGTGTCCTTGCCCTGGAGCAGCTGGCTTCCGTTCTGGTTGCCGAAGAAGAACCCGGAGATGACGTCTTGTGCCAAGTAGTTGAACAGATAGAACACGTCGATAGTGCTGTTCTCAGAGATGTTGTTGATCATCTGCCTGACCCGGTCGTAGATGACGGTCAAATTCTCGGGTCGAATCATGTACGCCTTGGTATATTCGCCGCCAAGATGCTTTCTCCTAAAGCTGTGATTTGCACGGTCTGGCGTACTGAACATGTTCTTCGCCCCGTATGCCTCGAACGCATTATAGAAGTGCGTCTTCTCGTAGTTGTAGACGGGACCGACGGACGGTGGATGGTTGAGTGAGATCTCGTCGGGAGCCAATCGCACCAGAGGACCATATTTCTGATGCAGATCATGGATGTAGCGAGTCCTGTTCAGAGTGATTGTCTGGTAGAGAAGAGGGATCTTTGTGAATCTTGTGATGAACGGGCCTGGAACGTCCTTCAGGGCTAGTGACTTGTAGAAAATGGATGCAATGAGTGCCAGGGCACCCACTACGGGGAGCAGGACAAAGAATGAAATCATGACGCCCTTTTCTCAAGCCAATGTTCTCTCGTAACGAGAACACAAAAGTTCGCCGAGGTGGGCAGAACCTCCCCTCCTATATCCCTCCAGAAGCATGCACTCCGATTGTATTGTTGGTGCAAAGTTCGCTGTGCATTGCCTACCCCATTGTCTATCCGGGTATCCTTTCCGACCGTGGAGAGATTAGTCGTCGGCGGATAATCGAATCTCGAATGCACGATATGCATCCGCCGTGGATACGAACGCTGGCATTGTAGACACGGCCGCCAATGATAACGCACGTGCTACAGCCAGCTCCGCGCACCACGCCCATGGAACGGGTAGACAAGAAGGTTTATCAGCGATGGTGAGCTCCAGATAAGCCCGGCCCTGATATCTGCCCGGCGACGGCGGATAACAATATATCCCGAAGCTTACGGCTTCATCAATCGGCCTATCCTAATTGGCCACACTAGTACATGCGCAGTACCCACCGTATACAAAACCGGCAAACAGACCTCGCTGTAGGCAAGGGACATATAGATGGCATGGAAACCGAGCAGCCACGCCAAGCGAACCGTCTCACCTTTTCTCTTCTTGTTCTTCCTTCTTTTTCGATACAATAGGTCCATCTTTTTGCGTCGATTCCAGCCAAGATGATCGACTCACCAGTATCTGTCAAGGAGCACTCGGCGCAGCCAGCGGACTCGCAAGATGCTAGCTTTTCCGCCGATGAGCTCGAACTCCGGGCCCAGGGTCACAAGGGAGAGCTCCCCAGACAGTTCTCTACGCTTTCAACTCTGGCCATCGCCTTTCTTCTGACGAGCGCATGGATTGGGTACTCGGCAACCTTCCCATACCCCTTGCTGGCAGGGGGTGGGCCATATGTGTTCTGGGGGCTGATCGTGGCGTCGATTGCCTGCTCCATCATCAGTAAGCTCCCCTGCACGCAGCACAACCTGCCAAAAGTATTCCGGGATAAGTGCTGACACAACCGCCGTACAGCTGCCGGACTGGCAGAGCTGAGTTCTGCGTTTCCCTCTACCGGAGGACAATACCATTTCGCATTCATGGTCTCATCTGAGAAAACCAGAGCTGGCATTGCTTTCATCATGGGCTGGCTCTCTGTCATCGCCTATTGTCTCTTCACGGCTAGCGCCACCATCGTTTGTGCCCAAATTACTGCCGCAATCGCAGGATTCTGGCATGAGAACTATGTCGCAACGCAGTGGCAGATATACCTGATGTACATCTTGTATCAGGCTCTCGCAACTGCTGTTGTCGTGTTGTTCCCCCGACAGCTGCCGAAGACGGAGATCGGATTCTTTCTCATCAGCGTCTCTGGCTGTATTGTTTTCTTCATCACCGTCCTTTCGGCCAGTGATACCAAACAGCCTGCCAAGGTCGTTTTTACCGAGGTTACTAACGTGACCGGGTGGAGTGACGGTGTTTCGTTTATTTTGGCAGTTGGGACGTGCATGTACGCGTACATTGCCACGGACGGTGCATCCCATATCGCGGAAGTATGTTCAAATTGGGCGTCTGTTGAAGTATCGGGCTTCAAGCTGACAAGGACCAGGAAATCCCAAACCCGGGCAAAGGTGTCCCTAGAACAATGATGCTCAGTCTGGGCATATCAGCCGTCAGTGTCATCCCATGGACTTTGGCATTCCTCTTCTCGACCAACGATCTCGACGCGGTCGCTTCTTCTACCTTCCCCATTCTCGAAGTGTATCAACAAGCGTTGAACAACCGCTCGGGTGCCACCTTCCTTGCCGTGTGGCTCCTGGTCATCTACTTTGGTTCGGTCGTCAGCGTCGTCGCTGCCACGGGCCGTCTGACCTGGGCGTTTGCTCGTGACAACGGTCTTCCATACTCACCTATCTTTGCGAAGATCCACCCCACCCTCAAGATGCCCGTCAATGCCACGATTGTTTCGAGCATATTCGTTGCCTGTTACGGTGCCATCTACGTTGGATCCACCACCGCATTCAACAGTTTCATTTCGATGTCGATCCTCTCGCTCAATGTCACATACGCAATTCCTCAAGGCATTGTTTTCTTCCGGGGTCGGGATAATGTGCTTCCACATACGAGACAGTTCAATCTGGGCAAGATCTTCGGCCCATTCTGCAACATCTTCTGCGTGTGCTGGGTCTGCTTGTACACGGTACTATTCTGTCTGCCAACCTTCTTACCAGCTGAGGTCGAGGACATGAACTACGTTTCTGTTGTTGTCGCCGGCTGTGCCCTTATTATTATTATCATGTGGTTCTCTGGGAAGAGAAAGACGTTCGTGGGACCGGTAAGTTCGATGAAATCCATTTCTTGTTGTTCGGCCGTGAGAAGTAGCACTAATCCGATTTGGATCAGATCATCAATATGGAACTCCTGGAAGCCGCCAAGGTTCAACATGTCGATGCTGAAACTCAGGCAACAATCATCGCTGGTGAGAAGGAGCTCGCGAATCGATGATCACGGGCTGAAATGATCTTAGTGTTATAGATCTTCCTGCAAGCTGAATTGCGAAGGAGCGTGTCTGTGTCTAGAGAGGGGAGGGTTCTCAGATAATGCTAGGACTACCTATATATTGTGTTTCCAAATAGAATTTTTGAGTAATATTAGACTCTATGCGACGGTGTCCATTCTTCAAATGTCCAAGAAGCTTCGCTCTAAGCAGCAGGTGAGTGCATATCTCCTTAGTGTACACCACCTCGGACTTTTTCATAAAATAGTGATAAGTTAGCTAAACAGACACTTCATACGCGCACGTCTAACTTCAAAGCCGGGGCACTCGAGGTTAAATATCCCCACCATTCCGGTAGCTGTACCGATGCTGATCATGCTCCCCGAAATAGATGAACACGATGGCCGATACTCGGACGGTAGCCGTATGATATTCTCTGAATTGTATGTAATCCACTCTTTGTTTGTACTCAAGCCTACACTTTTGTATCTCGAGCTTGGATGTTTCGTTTGGTCCGCCGTTATCCGAAAAGCCGATGATGTATCCAGAACGATGACGCCACCCTCTGTCACGAGACGCTCTGATTGGCTAGAACAGCCTTATCTTGAGCGCCGCGCGTGAGCAAGAACGACGATAAGGAAGCGTACCCCCAGCATAGCCGAGGGTATACTTCCAAGGCGCCGGGAGGGTACAAGAAGAGGTCCCCTCCCGAATTAGGCGGAGACGACTTCCTCGCTCTTCAAGCGATGAGTCGTTGTTACATAGGACTGTTCAATAGACTACATTGCATCAACTATCTCTTCGCAGGGCTATTCACAGTGAAGGTCCTGACACCCTCAGTGTAAAGACACGAGCCTGTGATGTCAAACGATATTTTGTAGAGTAGCCTGTCAGTACTAAGCGTCTGCAGGCAGGTGCCGTTGCCGGCGTCCCAAATCTTCGTTGTGCGATCCCACGACGCCGATGCGAGCCGGGTCGAGTCGGGTGAGAAGGCCACCGATATAACTGGACTATCATGACCCTTAAGTGTCTGCAAGCAGGCGCCGCTATGGACGTCCCAGACTTTCACTGTGCCGTCATCCGACGCCGACGCGAGTCGGGTTGAGTCAGGCGAGAAGATCACGAAGGCGACATAGTCGCGGTGGCCCTCGAGCGTCTGGAGACAGGCGCTCTATACATCTGCGGTACTTGGTTTTATAGAGAGATCCATTTTGGCTCTTCCTTTTCAGAATGACGCCTTATGAGGCTGTGAGTTGGACTAAACATGAGTCCGGAGGTATATGCCTGAAGAGGACTACTCTCGATTCCCTGCTTATGGTACATAATGAATCGACGAGCATCGTGGATCAGCTCGAGTAGTGCCGGTGCATCTGCTCTATCCTAGATTCTTGTTAGCAGGAATTATATATTTACGATCACTCTAGTGAAAGTCTACCTGAATAAGCTTCTCGAGTATCGTCATTGCAAGAACTCCTTTCGACATAGCTTTCAATAAGCTAAGAGCTTAGAGCCAATAGTAGGAATTTCTCTCTCACGAACTTCTGCACCTCGATTTGGTGATCTATCAGACTGTGAGCTTCACATTCGGAGAGATGATCAATTCAATAGATGCATGAATAGTGTGACGCCGATAACGGGCCAGGGTCTGGCCGTTTGACACGCTCAATAGGGTATCCCGGAGCACCTAAACTGTACATATCTCGATGTAGCGTCTTAGACATGACTTTGAGTGATCTCGAGAATATCATATGATGAATGTCTTTCTTTCCAGTGGGAAAGATTTCAACAGACGCATTTAAGAGTATATGGTCTTTTGCTGACTGAAGCACAAAGTAGATTGTTTCGTTTCGAATATTTAGGAATGAACCACAAAGGCCAATGATCTCCTGCAATGACTCTATATCCTCAGACGTGTCCGTAAGTATCTCGACAACAGACTTCAATTCAGTCAGACGGATGGGTTCGTATACAATCGCGACAGTGGCAAGGATCTACTTGCAGAGTTCAGAATCTTCCGATTCGTATATTTGCTCCATCATTCGCTCGTAAAGGGAGTCGAGGCCAGATGGAAGAGAGTAAGTCTTGGATGCACCTTGTCTGCTTATTGATCTCATCTTCAAGCCTCCTGAACGCATTCGCCATGCCTTCACCATAATGGATAGATATGGAGACGTCGAAAATGCCGAGGAGCGAGTACGCTTTATCTTCTTCAAGTGTCGTCTTCCAGCGCTCCATCCATGCGAATCGTTCCTCGATACTAAACTGAGTTAAGCGTGCTCCTTGGAGTGCTTGTATATCAATTCCTGTTTTCTGCTGAATCTGTTGCTGAAGCGAACCTTTATCACCAAGGCGTACACCATTCCGAGAGAAAAATTCGACTGATCTTGGGGCTAACAGTTCTTGTAGTGTCCAGCCCCGAGTGAACCATTTGCTGTTCCGGAAGTCCGATTCCCACCGCTGTATATCGTTGCTGTCATAGGGAGATACAAAAACATCCGACAAGTAGACATAGCATCGACTCGCTCGGCGGTACCAGTGAAAAATGGACCGGATAGCTTTCTGATATTCACCGCCGTTCGATTTGTCGATGCAACAACTATCCACCCAGAAGTATTGTAAGCCGTCTCGGGTCGCCTGTTCTCCGCAGAACTTGATCTTGTCATATCCGGCCTTGTCTCGACCCTGACCTTTGATCATGTCCTCATAAGTGACTTCCTGATCATCGCTTTCCCATCGATGTGAGAGGATTGCATATAGAGAGATCTCGTTATCGGGAAACGTCTCGGTTAACCGAAACTCTCCATTCGTCAATGCTTCCAAAAGACGCATTGTGAAGTAACATGTCATGAGGCTGTAGAGGGAGATGAATGAAGGTTCGATTCCAATTTCGAAGGCAGCAGCGACGGCGATGTCGAGAGTGCGAGAATTTGCTCTCATAATAAGATTGTAGACAGAGTAGACTGATTCGTTAAGGAAGAAGATAAGTAGAACTTGCGACTCTGGCTTAGGTTTCGTTCACGAGGTAGGCTCCAGCTGAACTCACCAGCCTGGTTAAGAGTAGCCGTTAGACTGCTGCGACGCTGGGCGCAGCTCAACTGAAGATTGAGAAGTAGCTTATCATCATGAACGGGCCAGAGACGATATACGTAGCCATGAGACATTGGAGCCGCAGCGGCCTGAGTGCTCATATCACAAACGGTACCCCGTCCTCTGCAGCACGTCGGGCACTTGACCTTCCAGCGCACACGTCGGCCGAACCAATAAGTAGTTTAGGGCGGCTATTAGCATACCTTCGCAAAAGAACCGGATCCTAGTCACCCGATGCACGGATCGGATGCACTTACCTCCGGCGCACACTGCAGTGGTCAACATATCGAACGCCTGAAATAATAACGAAGGAGACTAATACTATTTTACCTGAACAACACAGGCATCTCAGGATATAGCACGATGTATCACAATGGCGTGAGGGAGCCCGTCCAATCAAAGAATGCTTGTAGTGGAAAGGTGTAGTCTCAATCATGTGGGAGATCTCAGCAGGTGCTTCCAACCAGGATAGCTGCGGTATCGTGGACTGCCACTTCTATGGAATACGTTTGAAGACAACCTAGATCTTGACCGGTCCAATTTCTGGACACATTGCAGTTGGTGTACTTGAGACAATCAACACCCCAAGCCGCAAATCGGTGGCGTCAACGTCTTCGAAGCCCAGGCTAGGAGAATATCCTGCACACGTTGCATTCCCCGCAGTACTGTAGATGCCCAGCTTTAAATCCATGTCTTGAATCTTGTCGGCAAGACCCTTGATGCCATCGGGGAATCGTGCCAGATTGGGCATGATAGGCCTGTCCACCCGTCCTGTCTAAAGCGACCAACAACCATCAATGTTGACATATGTGTACCAAGCATCTCGAAGCCCGTGGTCCACGAGGCATGCGCAACTGCAAGCACCTTGTCCTCGTAGACTTCACAGTGTTATGCGTTCCACCACTTCCAAACAAGGGATGGGAGTGTTCCAGTCTGCCCGTCAGGCATCACATAGCCCACGACCGCCCCAAACAGAATGATGAATGGTAAGAGCATCGTTGTACAGACCGCGGTGCATGACAGCACAAGGGATGAAGAAGAAGAAGAATGATCTAAGATGGACGCATCCTGCACATCGGATAATGTCCTGTTCTGCCTTCACTTCGGCACATTCCACTTCAAGGTTGGTGCAGTGATAGTCTGTCTGTGCGGCAGATGGTCGACGATGGTGTAACACTGCGTACCTAGTGACGGCCTCCCTCGTCCCCTCAAAGTCGGGTTGTCGAACTCCTCATTTAACTGGTGCTGTTGTGACCACGGCCGCGGAATGTAGAATATTGATATCGGCGTCAATTGACCCCATTTGTAGATTGACTTTCCAGAGTTAGCTTGGAGCTGTTTTGGGAGGTGATGTAGGAGGGTGAGCAGCACAGGAAAGAGCAGCGAAGCGGCAGATAGATATGGAGTGGCTATTCTTAAGGTCAGCTACTGAGCCAGGTTTGAGGCACATCCTGTGCTGTACTCGAACCCAATCAGAATCCCAAGACTGCTATGACAGCTGTCTTCAAACGTCGAAAGTACGTGCCATCACAGCGTGTTGGCACATCAGTCAGTTTTCCACAATCCTCTTGTTCCTCTGGGTGTAGAAAAGTGCATCTTGAAGCCAGACAGGCCAACTCCTGATACTTGTGTTTCCTTCTTCCCTTCTGGGCATGAAGATCCGACCACTTCTGCTGGCAAGAACCTGCTCAATGACTGCGTCACTAACATTGCTTGCCGGATCCATTCTCACGCCATTCCTCTCCAGGATATGTGCATATGGCTTGACTATACCAGTATCATGCCAACTTGGGTGCACAGAAGTTGTTTGAATGCAGTCACCATTTTCATAAAAATGCTTCAGTTCAGCGCGAAGCCCTACGAGAATATTAGCGTCAGGGAGACCTCGCCGGATGTCCAGGATCTTACCATCGTTTAGATACAAAGCCCCAACTTTTGTGCAGCAATAGTCAACAAGACCTGGAGCGGTCACGAAGCTAGCCATGGAAGCGATCGTGACAATGTGGCCCTTCTTTGCTTTCAGCATAGCAGGCAGGAATTCCTTGATGAGAATAAAGTGGCATGCGATATTCACTTTGAAGATCCTCTCCGTTAGCTTGGCACTACTGCTGATAACGGGTGTGCCAGTAGCTGAGGAAGTTGTGAGTTAGTGAAAATTTCCTGAAAGCCTGGGCGTAAAATCGCGTACCAATGCCAGCGTTGTTGATGAGCACACTTGGATTGCCGTGGTCCAGGCGAATTTGTTCCGCAGTGGATTCAATAGCTGAGAAATCCGACAGATCCAGCTGGTAGTAATGCACGTCCGGGACTGAACGTCTGGTCAGCTAGATGACTACGTGCATGGCCTCGTGTATCGCTTACTCTTTGCCAGTTCAGGAGGTATCGGGCTGATATCGAGAATGATCACTCTCGCATATTTGCTGAAGCCCTTCACCATCTCGTAACCGAACCCACTGCATCCTCCTGTAACCACAATGATTTCTGGCTTTCCAGCCGCGCCGAACTGGAAGGGAGCTCCTGGCTTTCGCAAGTGCCACATGTTTAACGCGAGTGCAGTGAGGACCTGGTTGAGCCTCCGAAGCACACCAATACCGAAGAGAAGTTTCAAGATATTGACAAGTGTAGCAATGCGATCAGACGAGACACCTCTCGCGCGCAGCGCGGAAAGCAGACGGACGCGGTATCGTGAAGGTGCTTGAGTAAGCGCAAACAGAGCTGCACCAGTGATCAGCGGGTCGGTAGATGCATAGTGCAGGATACGCAAAGGGGCAGAGGCCGCTTGGAGCACTGCGCGATTCACGCGCTTGAAAACTGTCGGCGTCGCCATCACGGTATTGTTGGGCATCGAGATTTGAATAGCAACATCAGGTCAGGGTATTTGAAGCTGAATCGACATGTGGCTCGGGAGAGGGGAGATTCGCTGAAGTGAGCCTCTGCCTCGGCCTCCTCATATACGGGAAGGAGAAAGCTGGAGATGAACCCCGCTTTGACGCCGGTAGACAATACCAAGGACTCGGCGCACCGTCAGAGGAGGGATGTGGCTCAGACTGCTATTGGCTGTATCCTTGCAAGGGTAGGAGAAGCTGACATAGGGCGAGATGGTCAGAGTTCGTGGGGTCGCGTTCTTGATAGTGCGGAGAGTGTCAGGGGATGAATCAAGATGGCACGACAGTCATCAGTCGCGTGTACTCACCAGCAGGCCAGTGTTTTACGCGCAATAATTGGCATTTAGGTGACCACCTTCTCTACACTCAATACCTGAAGAATGAAGAGAAAGCTCTTCGGAAAACAAGAAAGAGTAGCCATTGAACTCGCCAAAAAAGCTCAGCAGATTGTATGACGCTCTCACCGCATACGAACGACCACCTTCCCCCACTGCTTCTGATTCCATAAGAATTCATATGCACTCTTGGCCTCTTCCAGAGAAAACACCTGGTCATCGATTACAGGCCGGATATTGTGAGCAGTCATGAAGTCGTTCATGGCGAGGAACTGCTCTTTCGATCCGACATTGACTCCGCGAATGATTGATAAAGTCGCCAAACAGTCTCCAAAATTGCAAAGTGACACCGCATCCTTGCCACCCAGAAAACCAATCAACGAGATGAGTCCTTCAATGCGGATAGCTTTCAGCGACTGCGCCATCGACGCACTTCCGCCGACTTCGATGATATGGTGCATACCCTCACCACCAGGGGACAGCCGTTTGGCCATTTCGCCCCAGTGCGGATTGTCCTTGTAGTTGATGACATGGTGCGCTCCCATTGCCCTGAGTTTCTCTTCCTTTGCAGACGAAGACGTTGTCGCGATGACCGTTGCCCCTGCCCCTAGTGCGAACTGCATCGCAAAAAGGCTGACTCCGCCAGTGCCTTGTATCAGCACAGCTTGACCCCTCTGCAGCGCTCGTCCGGGAAGGCCATACAGGGCATTCCATGCAGTGACGGCCGCACAAGGAAGTGTTGCCGCTTCGAATATCGTCAAGTGCCTAGGGATGGGTACGAGGCCCTTCCCTGGGAAGATGCCATACTGACGCAGGACGCCGTCGAGATAGGTGCCGAGCGTTGTGACTCGTTTCTTTGGAGTCAGGAGTCCTTCTTGCCATCCTTGATGAAACAAGGTGCACACCTTGTCGCCTACCTGAAATTCGCTGACATCTTGACCTGTAGCGATGACCGTCCCAGCCCCATCCGACACCGGTACGACATCTTCTCTCACAGCCCAAGGATAATTGCCCTGAAGGATAGCAACATCACGATAGTTCAACGCCGCAGCCTCGAAACGAACGAGACAGTCATGGCTTCCGAGTGGAGGTATTGGTACGGAATCTTGATACTGGAGGCTGTCGAACCCATTGTCCTTCGTCGGTCTGATGACCCATCGAGATGTGACCGTGGGCAGCGACATCCTGTTCTCCCGAGGAGAGCGCATTTGGTAGGCACGGTTAGGCAGATCGGAATCTTACACTCATTAACACAAGAATGATGAAAGAGTCGCTTGGAAGCCATCATAAGTTGGGGTAAATACATTAGTCAGCCTTGGCCGGAGCAGGAGACTCGCTAGACTGCTTGTATCCGTTAATCCTGAGCCAGTGTTACCCCGACATTTCCACCTCCCATGTCTCTGAGCCTGAGTAACACTCAGGCTCCCAGTGAGCTAATTCTGGCTGGCGTTGGTGACAAGGACATGGATTTCACGAGTACAGACCTTTGAAAGCACGGATAGCTCTTTCGTGTCTCAATGCTTGTGGATCTCGACAAAGGGTTGTCAAGGAAGCCTTCGCTTTTCAGAGTGTGGCTTCCACCATGTCGGTTGATGGATTCTCCCGCTCGAGTACCGAGTTCTCCCGGCACAGGAATGTCGGAATGGCATCGAGGGACCCTCTCGGAGAGTCCTCAAAGCGAGAACAAGTTGTTAACATCTTGCATACCACAGTCACCGATGGCCAACTAAATGTTGATTCCGGGGATTCTGCTACACTGTATTTTCGTCAGGGATCCCTGGTGAACTTCAGACACTTTCTAAGCTCGGAGGACGCTGGTGACATCAGTCGAGCTCTACCGTGTTGGCAAATGCGCTGGGAGTGCTACCCACAGTCCATCTTTGAGCCTTTCTTGACATTCACATCGATGGCGCTCTTGAGGTTGGCTTGGATCAGGCTCCATTCAATCATGGGAGCGTACATCACTCTGAGAAGTCGAGCTGCCAGGGTGATATCCCTGGCGTTTGAAAAACACTCCTTCGCTCAAGCGCGGCCAGAATTGGTCCATCCCGTGCTTCAAGCTGTCCACGCATGCCCTCTCAGTCTCCCATAGGAATGAATGTCAGATGTTTGGCTAAGACCCCGAACTTCGCTCGGAGTGTGCAGCATTCGTCCTCCAATCTGGAATATGCAGTGTTCCTCCACAAGTGGCTCGACGTTGAACAGTCTGAGTTGCGGGAACCTCCTCCGAGGACGTCTTTACACCCCGCAGGAGTACTAAATGAAGCAAGGCAATGTAGACGCATGATATTTTTACAAGTGCTGTTCTCCCTTCGTCGACGAGATGCACCATCACTCAGATGGCTTGCCCAGACGAGTCGAGAGACAGAATCCATAGATATGCCTAGTATGATCGCCATATTACGCATTGGCGGATTTGGTGTGCAACTCCGTCACAACCTCGCCTTTCGTCTGGGCCTCAGGTTTGTAAGTTTTGAACTTTCGAGGAGGAACACGTTTGGTAAACATCTCATCCAGTTCCTCGTACGTCCGACCTGCTGTCTCGGGCTGGAAGAACCAGAGATAAGCGATGCAGAGGAAACTAGGCCCACCAAAGACAAAAGCCACTTTACCCCCTAAGTTTCCCTTGTCTGGATTGAACATGTAGGGCAGGACGAATTGCCACATGACGTTGATGGCATTTTGCAGGGCCAAGCCAATCGCGATAGTCTTGACACGGAGCCGGGAAGTTGAGGTCTCGGTCATGATTGCGAACTGCAAGCTGGACGTCAGTCGATGTGGGCAAAGACAGAAACGAGAGCCAGGTTCAAAAAAAAAGGACATACCGCTGTAGACCCGATGGAAACGTTATACATCCAGCTATAGATCAGGATCATAGCCACAGTGCCTTTGATCTCGGCGGGACTGCCACCCGTGGCCAAACCTCCCTCGATGAAGAGTAGCACAACCAAGATACAAAGGCCGTAAAGCGTGAGATTTCGTCGGCCCACGCGATCGATGATGGCGGCGGCCATCAGATTACCGACAATGGACAGAACGGGTTGGGCAATCTGAATTCGGAAACTCATTTCCGTCGAATACCCTGCAAGTTGCAAGTAGTACGTGAAGTATCCGGCCACGAAGGTGATACCAGTGAGAACTTGAATGATCAACGGTCCGATGGAAATCATTGTTCGCCTTAGGTTCGATTTCCTGAAGCATTCAAGGTACGTCACGCCTTCGGTCTCGCGCCTGATCTCCTCGAGTGTCAACTCGATCAGTGCAAGCTTCTTTCTTCCTTCCTCACCCTTGTGTCCGAGCTTTTCCAAGTTTTTCAAGGCCTTTTCGTTGCGGCCTTTCGACGCCAGCCACCAAGGAGACCTAGAGAATCCAACTGAATAAGACTTCAGGCAGATAATAAAGGCAGCAACAGGAAAATACTGGGTACTTACTCGGGCATGAAGAGAACAAGTAGGGCCGAGATGGCTGCAAAACCATACTGGCAGCAAAATACCGTACGGTAGGCCCAACGGGTCTCAACGTCACCGGTGTAATTGACGATGATGAATGCAACGAGGGGACCGATGCCGAAGGCAATACCAATCCCCACTGTGAAGATGCCTCTCCAAGCAAGGGGGGTGATCTGAGAATTCTGTCAGCAATTGGAAAACCCTCCAGGTGAGTTGTGTGAACTATACCTCTCCGATATATGTCGTCATAACCGCCTGGATGGTTCCGGTTGCGAACCCGTTGAGGAATTTGCCACCAAAGAAAACCCCCTTCGTGGTCGAAACGAATTCCATCGTGATCGCGGCAAAAGAAACAACAAGTGCGCCGATGAGGGTCCATTGACGACCAATATAATCAGCAATTGCCGCGGCCCCAAGAACACCGAATGTTGCAGACGCAACGGGTGCAGCGTTGAAAGCAGACTGCCAAGCAGCAGGCAAGACGTAATTGCCGTTGAACTCCTCCCCAAAGTCCTTGCGAAACGTAGGAATACCTAAGACAGAGCCTGCAGCCTGCAGCTCGAAACTGCACAAAATGATAGTCCAGCAGGCGTAGGCGCACCATGCACAAGCCCAGGGATACTTGCGAAGCGATGCATATACTCCTAGCTCATGATCTTCTTGGTTTGCAAGATGAGCTAGTTGCTGTTGCTCGTCGTCCAGGTTGTCGACGTGGCTGGTGTTGGAAACTTCGGCTTTGGATTTCGCTCTTGGGCTTTGCGAAAGGTCAGCCTCGAAATTCGAGATGTCTGTCATGGCTGGAACGGCGTATACTGGCCGACGAGTCAGGTATTCGTTGGGTGAGCGTTGTCTGGCTCTGCACAACTCGAGTTCTTCGAATCTAAATGATCTCCACAGCGATGCACATCCCTCCACGTTGTTTAAGTAGTCGATTGCGGAGCATCCAGATCATGGGGTGGCATGCCACGAGACAGTCTGCCGAAATCGCGGGTGAATGTGCCTAACCATATTAGGGAGCCATAGCCTCCGTTCAGAATTTTCTCAAAGTGCCTATGACTCCCCAATTTAGAAAGGTTCCATCAACTTTGATTGCGTGTCCCTCATTCAGCAAACGGACGACTGGCAGCCCCGGCAACGTCTGGTCTTCGGCGAATCACGAACATCATGCTACAAATATACAGGAGGAACCCTTGCGGATACCCGAACTTGGCTAAGTACAGCTACTCAAGGCCTCGGCGCAAACAGGCCTGCTGGACATTGTACTCCCAAGGTCTAATCCCGTAACGGAGTTTACCCTGACCAGAGATTCACATCAAATTGTCAATCGTTTTGCAATACCATATCTCAGTGCGAAAGTTGTTACTCCAAAATATGGCGCCTGGTGTTCTCTCCAACCTCGATTGTGAACGCGAGTTGGGTGTTAGCAAATATAGCCAAAAGGGTTGGCAATCGACGGATGCAAAGAGTCTGACCGCCGTGGAAGATTTGGTGTTGAAAACATTCAGAGTACTCATTGCAGACTTGTGCCAACAATTCAATGGCGGCCACCCCGGGTAAGTGCTGTTCTTTCCGCCCATTGTCTCCCTGACGAAGACGTAGCGGTGCCATGGGTATGGCAGCCATCGGGGTCGCCCTGTGGAAATATGTGATGAAGTACGCGCCCCGTACGCCGGACTGGATCAATCGAGACCGGTTTGTGCTGTCAAATGGCCACACGTGTCTGTTCCAGTACACCTTCCTGCACCTCACGGGCTACAAAGATATGACCTTTGAGCAACTGAAATCCTATCATTCTGATCGGGTGGATGCGCTATGCCCAGGCCACCCCGAAATTGAGCACGAAGGTATTGAAGTTACGACAGGTCAGGAGCCCTTTCTACACTTCTACACTGACAAAGTTGAAACTGATCATTGTGCAAATAGGTCCACTGGGTCAAGGTATTGCCAACGCTGTAGGACTTGCTGTTGCTTCGAAAAGCCTTGCGGCAAAATTCAACCAACCAGAATTTGACGTTGTATCAGACCATATCTGGTGCATGGTTGGAGATGCATGTCTTCAGGAAGGAGTCGGGCTGGAAGCCATCTCCTTTGCAGGACACATGCGCCTTAACAATATAACTGTCATCTATGACAACAATCAGATCACCTGCGATGGTCCAGTGAGTCTGACAAATACTGAAGATATCAACTCCAAGATGAGAGCTTGCGGTTGGAATGTGATCGAAATCAACGATGGGTGTTGGGACGTCCATGGCCTCGTTGAAGCTCTTGAGGCCTCTAAACATTCGGCTCTGCCCACCTTCATCAACGTTCATACAGTCATTGGAGTCGACACATCCGTGGCAGGCAATGCTGTCGCACATGGCGCGGCCATTGGCACAGATGCAGTAGCATCATTGAAAGAACTATACGGGTTTGATCCGACCCAAAGCTTTGTCATTCCGGAGACAGTGCGGGACTTTTTCAAGGAGCTTCCACAACGGGGCGAGGCCATGGTATGCGAATGGAGAGCACTCTTTGACAGATACAGCAATGCCCATCCTACGCTAGCAGAGGACTATGTGAGGCGCCAAAGCGGAGATTTGCCTTCGGACTGGGAATCATTGATCCCTACAGCCTTTCCTTCAAAGGCCACTGCAACTCGGGCGTCCTCAGGATTAGTCTTTGGTCCTCTGGCAGAACGCTTTGATCAGTTCATGGTTGGCACCGCTGACCTTGAGCCATCTGTATATATGAACTGGAAGGCCAAAGAGAACTTCGAGCCTCCTCACTGTGGTACTGGAAGCTACTTGGGGCGGTTCATCCACTACGGGGTCCGCGAACATGTCATGGCTGCCGTCTCCAATGGGTTGGCAGCTTACCATCCTGGAATGTTCATTCCAGTAACTTCCTCGTATGGAAGGGCAATCGTAGTTTGGCTCACTGGCTGACGATTTACAGATTTTTCATGTTCTATCTGTACGCCGCTCCCGCCGTCCGTATGGGTGCCTTACAACACCTGCGGGTCATCCATGCAGCCACGCACGACTCAATTGGCATGGGTGAGGATGGTCCAACGCACCAGCCGATTGAACTTGCCGCTCTCTACCGGACGATGCCGAACTTCCTCTACATTCGACCGGGCGACAGCGAGGAAACCGCAGGGGCCTGGATGGCTGCAATCAAAGCCAGACACATGTCTTCGCTCATCTCCACATCTCGCCATGCTCTCCCACAGCTGACCGGACTGACGAAAAGAATGGGTGTCGCAAGAGGAGCCTACGTTCTCGAAGAAGCGGAACAAGCAGATCTTACCTTGATCGGCGTCGGTGCCGAACTCAACCTGGCGATGAAGGTAGCTACAGAGCTACGGAATCATCACGGGCTCAGAGTACGGACAGTATCTTTTCCTTGCCAACGATTGTTCGAGCAACAATCACATCAATATCGGCGAGATGTCCTCCAGAAGCATACTGGGGTTCCCGTTGTGGTGGTCGAGGCATATGCTGCAAATGGATGGGAGAGATATGCAAATGCCGCCGTCTGCATGCCCACCACTCGCTTCGGAAAGTCATTGCCGGGTCCAAAGGCGTACGAATTCTTTGGCTTTAATGTGGACTCCATGGTCATTAGGATCCTAGGATTTATAAAGTCCTTTCATGCCGACCCAGAAAGGAGATACGAATTTGTTGAACTTACTAGTGTGGGAGATGAATGACAGGATAACAACCAAATGCGCTGGAAGCAAAGAAGACAATAATACCATTCAGTTGTTCTTGATATTTGCTACTCCCGTGCTACGCATCGTTAGATCTAGGTCCCTTGAGATACGAGTCCCTGAGCATGCAAGTGACGCATTGAACAAATGCCTTCGGCTATCCCAAAGCTGATTCCTTAGGCAATTGGTAAACCCGATGTGCACCCTAACTGCTCGTGACCAAGGACTCAGGGAGGAAAGACCACACCTTACCACATCGTGCTTCATGAAGGATAGATCCACAGCCGATGAGAAGCCAGAATCGCTCCGTTTCAGGCAAGTCGAGCCACTCCAGCTTGAAATGACTGAATAATTCCGCTTGCCAAGCCTACAATTATTTCAGTTATGTCGGGGATTTCCCTGCCGGACTTGATGGCGTAAGACCACAGTGTGACAGCAATATATCATGCGACACGTCCAGTGCCAACCGGCGAGACTCGTATCCTAGTCAGGCGGAGTGCAGGAGACGAAAAAGCTGAAAAGGCTAGCAGACTCTCCAGACACCAATTTGCCGCAAGAACAGACTTGTAAGAGACATGGCGGATCCACGTAGATTGCGATACTGCTCGACGAAGCCTCGCATCTTTGTTGTTTCGGACATTTCAAACGAGCCGGACGACGCCGAGTCCTTGGTCCGATATCTGTTGTACTCGAACGAATTCACCACTCTCGGTTTGGTTGCGACGACATCAACGTGGATGAGAAAGGTCGTGCACCCGGAAGACATGCAAAAGATTGTGCATGCTTACGGTCAGGTCGTCAACAATCTCAACGCCCACGTCCATCCGGGCAATCAATATCCCACCGCAGACTACCTCCTCTCCATCATTAAATCTGGCCCATCACTCTACGGCAAAGAAGCTCTCAGGGATGGTGTTCCGGCGAGTGAGGGCACCGAACTCCTCATACGGCGTGTCGATGAGTCCGAGGAACCGCTGTGGCTCCTTTGCTGGGGCGGTATCAATGTCCTGGCCCAGGCTCTTCAGCATGTGCAACGCCAAAGAACAGCTTCAGAATTTGCTCGCTTTCGTGCCAGGTTGCGAGTCTACACAATATCCGATCAGGACGACACGGGGATATGGATTCGCTCAAATTTCCCCGACATATTCTACATCTGCTCGGTGCACGGTTGGGGCGAGTACGGATGTGCCGCGTGGACTGGCATCTCTGGAGATGTACTCATGCCTGTTGATCACGGAGGCCCTGATTCGTCCAAGGTCTCGAAAGAATGGCTCAAAGAGAACATCCAAATCGGTCCATTGGGAAGTGTGTATCCCACATATGCTTTTATCATGGAAGGGGACACGCCCACGTTTCTGTATCACGTTCAGAACGGCCTTGGATCTCCAGAGAATCCTCATTGGGGTAGCTGGGGCGGCCGCTACAGTCTGATAGACCTCGGTGGAGGAGCAAGGCAATTCGCCGACGCGAGAGACACCGTGATAGGCATGGATGGTCGGAAACACCTGAGCAACCAGGCGACCATTTGGCGATGGAGAGACCATTACCAGGACAGCTTTGCCGCACGCATGCGCTGGTCCCTGACGAGTGATCGGAGCAAGGCAAATCACGAGCCAGTTGTGATCGTCAATGATAGCTCGCCAGGTCCCGAGCCGCTACTACTTGAGATGGAAGCTGGAGAGGAAGTGACTCTCGACGCGTCGAAAAGCTACGATCCAGACGGCGATGAACTCTCATTTGAATGGTTTCAGTACAAGGAGCCAACGGCCGCACAGTCTCATGTTCACTGGATTGTTCCGGACATCGATGTCGAACCTGCCGGGGCGAAAATTGTAAAGATCAAATTGCCACCACCAGAGACATGCGCAGTCAACATTGTTACAGGTCAGGCCCTTGAGAAGGGCATGACTCTCCATTTTATTCTCCAGGTCACAGATACTGGAAAGCCTCCTTTGACCACGTACAAGCGGGTTGTGGTACAAACAACGAACCGCAAGTTACTCGGAGGTCGATCTGAGGTCTTCGATACCGTTACTGACGCTATTGGAAAGGGAGAAAACCCCCACTCATGATTACCAGATTGTCGCAAGCGAAAGGTGGATATGTACACAGCACTGCTTACCGTTTCTGGTCGAGAAATCGCAACTGAATGGACGAGGGCAACATTTGTGGATTAGCCTCAACAAATGGTAAGAACAGGGCGTTGAATTCCCTAATGTTAACCAAAGGAGTTTGCTTGGCCAGTGTCCAGCTTCTCAACTTCTCCTTGTAGCTGCATCCCAGTTCTCTCCATGACCTTCTTCAATATGTTCACCACGACCGTGGTTTGGGATGGATGACTCAATCTCCTGGCCGCATATACGAGTCCAGCGATTACAAGAGGATCAAAGACATCGCGTTCGTGGACAGAGACCACCATCCCAATCATTCTCTGAGCATGCCATATCGGCGATGTTGATGATCCCTGCTCCGGAAGAGCCCTGATTGCGCGCGGCTTAAATTGCAGCAGAAGCAAAGCCGTGAGATGGTGGGTGAGATTGCCTACAAGAGAACATAGGTTGCTAAAGGCGAGGATTGGGAAGGGCACTTGGGTGTTATTAGCGACTGATAGTCGAGGATCGAATTCGCCAACTTCGAGTATTTGTTTCATGTCCTCGCGCCGAGCAGAGTACCAGAGCTGATTGTCGCTCCAGCATGATTGCCACGAAGAAATGAGTGGAAGTCGGCCAGCGGACAGTCGCGCGCCAGTGTCCCTTCGGGTAATGACCAATGCCCGAGCGAGGTTGACAAGAGCCTGTTGCAGTTGCTGATGTTGCGTCAAAACTTGGTCAGGAATGATAGGCGTCGCTCGTTGCAGGATGAAGGACAGACGAATACTCTGGCTTGCTGAAGGGGCTGTCAAACTCGCCGCCAAAGCGAGTCGTGCGAGCAGCTGCCATTGCTCGTCGACGCACTGATCGAGCGAGATATGGGTAGTCTCCAAAGCATTTGTCATACATTCGTGCCATACACAAGGAGGTGCGTCGTGCAACTTTCTTAACGTCAGGATTGTAAAGATTGCGGCGCTGTCTTCAGGGTCGGCGACGAGGGCAGCTCTATTCGCTTGCGCGGCATCATCCTCCTCGCCGGTACCTTTTCCAAGTGGACTCTTGTTCCCTGCATAGGCTCTAGCAAGTGCAAGGATACTTTGATAGAGAGACACTTCTGACAAGGCTCGCGTGAGTACGTGTACGCCGAAGTAGAGACGCCCGACTCCCAAGTCGAGTCGGGCGGCAATTTCATAGCGATAGAATGTCAATAGATCCAACTCAGCGACATCGCCTTGACCCGATCGTAAAGCCGGGCTTGTGTCAAGAAGCGCGGGTAGCTGATGGGAAAAGGCTGATGGCGTATCTCCCTGATCAAAATCGTGAAGGACCGGCGATCCTGCAAGTAAGTTCGAGCGATCAGATGTCTCGGTAAATTGTTCTCGCGACACGCTTCCAATCGGGAAAATGTCTGGCCCCGACCACAATGTAGTCACCGGATCATTTGAGAGAACCAACGGTCTGGAGTCCTCACGTGTAGGCCCATTAATCCAAGTTGCTTTTACCGAGCGGGTTGTTGTCTGTCGTGCCGTCTTGTGCGATGTCGCGGTACTTTCGTTAGGTGTGCCATCAACAAAGGTGATGTTCAAGCCATAACGGCAGGAAAGGCTCTTGTCAACACAATTCTTACACGTCGGCTTGCCTTCGTCGCATTTTCGTCGTCGCTTTCGACAGGTAAGACAGCCGGTTCGAACACGACGCTGGGTGGGGACACCGCTTCCATCGCTTCGGTCGGCCATTGGAGGTCACCATGCGAACTGCTCGTGGTGATAGTCAAGAAAGGTGGTACAAAAGTGGAAGCTGTAAGAACCGTCTGAGATTGACTGTTTAGGTAGTGTCACGCACCCATCGTCTGTGACCCAGTTGGGACTAGTGCCGCTGTCGCTCTGCCTGCGCACGCGTAGCTCTCTCAAAATCGTTGTCGATAGTCAGACTGTTCGGCTTAGTTATTTCGTCAATGGGAGCATACAAACTTGGGAAACCCTAGCATGTACGGAGTTCACCCACCAACGCCTCAAAAGGCTGGTGGGCTTTTCCACACAAGCTTGCAAACGGAACATCCTCCGCTCGAGCAGTGCTTAGACATTCCCAAAGCAGCCTCTCCGATCCTAGGGACTAAGCCCGCAGCACCACACCCCCAATGTCGCTTGATGCTTTGTTCCTCCAACCAATCTGGTACAGTTCATCTGCTCGAGGCTCTTGGGCGCAATTTTTGACCGAGTTAGCACGGCAAAACGCGGGATTCTAAGGATTCTGCAAATACGATTTGGCCCGACTTCAACGTCAACTGGGATTTATACCGTTCTATAGACAGAACAATCTACGACGCAGACAAAGAAAACAGACCTCGCAGCAGAATGTCGCCCTCGGCCGTTGTAACGGATCCTCAACGGATTACTAATGGATATTCTATCGTTCCTGGAAAGCCTGTCGATGCAAACCAAATCAAAGCCATCAGCACAGAACTCGAGTCGTCTGTAAGCAACGATACCACGACAGCTCACAGATATGGACATTATAAAAACCCATCTCTTTACGTTACTCCTAGCCACGAGATTCGCATGGAAGAGAGCTCCATACAGCCACCCTCGCCGACAGAGGTATTGATCCATGTCCGCGCAACAGGAATCTGTGGATCAGATGTGCATCTGTGGCATCGCGGCGCCATAGGACCCCTGAGAGTGGACCACGCTCATGTCTTGGGTCATGAAGCATCTGGTGTTGTCCTAGAGATAGGGACAGCTGTCAATCATTTAAAGCCAGGGGACAGGATTGCTATCGAGCCTCAAGTCCCTTGTCACACTTGTTTCCTTTGCACATCGGGCAAATACAACCTGTGCGAGTCGGTTCGATTTCTCGGTGTCTGCAATGGAGGAACGATTCGTCGCTTCATGACTCATGAAGCTCGATACTGCCACAAGATCCCGGATGGAATGACATTCGTCCAAGGGGCTCTTTTGGAGCCTCTCTCAGTCAATCTCCACGCCATTCGGCAGTGCGAGGGATCAATCTCTGTTGGAAAACCAGTCTTGATCTGTGGGGCTGGACCGATTGGTCTGATCGCGCTGGCCTCGGTGAGAGCTTCCGGGGCGTGGCCTATCGTGATTACCGATATCGAAGAAGCACGTCTCGATTTCGCGAGGAAGTTTGTCCCTGGAGTGAAGACATATCTCGTTCAACCTTCCAAGACACCTTTAGCATGCGCCGAAGACATCAGACTTATGTTTGGATGTACCGGAAGTCGCGACGTCGAGAAAGGCATCCTGGAGGTGAATGAGTACAGTGCACCAGCGACTGTGCTAGAGTGTACAGGAATAGAATCTAGTGTCATCACCGCTGCATACGCCTGCCGACGAGCCGGCATCGTTATGGTCATCGGAGTAGGGCGAAGCCTAATGGATAAGTTGCCTTTTATGCATCTCAGTCTCGCAGAAACCCAGCTGAGGTTTATGAATCGGTACAACGACACATGGCCTGCTGGCATCAACGCTCTGTCCAACAGCCAAGTACTGAACTTGGACGGTCTCGTCACTCATAAGTTTCCCTTGGAACGGGCGACCGAGGCAATGAAACTGTGTGCAGATCCATCCCAAACTAGCATAAAGGTCATGATAGTGGACGATCAAGAGATCATTTGCTGAGAACCGCATTGTACTTACCCAAACGATAGAGATATAGAGAATTAAAAAAGGCTGTAGGTCTTCAATATTGGCTAGCTTCTATGCAAAGATCCGCAGCGGCTTGTCCAGATAGAAGCCTGGATCATTGAACCGCAATCCCTTGTCGAGTGCGCTGATCGACACGATTTCCTCACTTGTCAACGTGAAACTATCGCTTCCGACTTCCAGGTTTTGCTGCAATCGAGTGGAATTGTTCGACTTTGGGATCACAGCAATATTTCTCTGAGTTGCCCACCGTAAGAGAACTTGTGCAGGTGTTCGGCCCACTCTCGCAGCCGCCTTTTTCACAGCATCCACGTCAAAGAGAAGAGAAACGTCTTTCGCCCTGGCTCGAAATGCCGTTGGCAGCTCCAAGAAGCTTTGCGGGCCGAACGACGAGTAAGCTGTGATTGCAATCTTCTCCTCCTGAGCAAGCTCCACGAGTTCGGGCTGAACCAAATAAGGATGATGCTCGATCTGGAGCGATGAGATCGGATGTCGCGCATATCTTTGAATATCATACAAGGTCTGGGCCTGCGCATTTGAGATGCCGATGGATTTAGCGATACCCATGTCGACCACTTCCTCGAGGGCCTGCCATGTTTCTTGGAGTGGTATTGGAGCTGTTTCAATTACCTTGTGCTCTACATCCATCCACCATGCCTATGACGTTTTAGCATTGATGGTGTCGAGTGACAGCCGCTCTCTGGGGGTGACTTACAGGATATTTTAATTTCTCTGGTTCAATGTACTTGAGCGCAACAGGAAAGTGAATTAGGTACAAGTCGATATAGTCAAGACCCCATGCTTCGTTCTGTGCTTTGGCCATTTGTAACGCATGATCCTTTTGGTGATAGTTGTTCCACAGCTTCGTGGTTACAAATATCTCGTCGCGTTTCACGAGCCCGTCCTTGATGGCCCGTCTGATACCTTCACCCGCCTCCTTCTCATTTTGATAGTCGTACGCCCCGTCAAAGAGGCGGTATCCTTCTCTGATAGCCTACAAAGATGAGTGCTATGCGCCAAAGACGAAAGAGTTCATTCTGTTCACCCACGTTGTAAACGATGTCAGCAGCCTTGTCAGCGGGGACCTTCCACATTCCAAAGCCTACAAGAGGCATTTGATGCCCCGAGGCTAGTGTAATGGTATCAAGGCCCATAGCTGATGGTACAATCCCGCAGCGATGAGGTAGTATGCTGATGATCAAGATTGTTTGAGCCTGCAGGATATACTGTAGCTTTACAATTAATTCTCGGCGCTTCTTGAGGTGTAACAAGGAACCTCACTGATTGAGAGGTGCTCATATAGCATGACGCGTGCAGTAAATGAGACCTCTTCTACTCCTAAGGCGGGTTCCGAATCTTCAGACTGGAGTTTCGTCCACGTAGTCTCAAAGGTAGTGCCTACACCTTCCTGAAATAGCAAAATTTGGCGCGGTTCACCCTGCGCCTTGGTCCGATGCCGGATATAGCATAGACGAAGTGGTGTGTTAGTCAGTCGCAGATACTCCAATCTCCTCAGCGGCATATTTGGATGCTCAATTCGATTCTGTTTCCAAAAGATCACAAATGCAACTGTCGTCGCCACGAAGCATGTCTGGGTCGGTATACCAGGTCTAAACTACCAGACAATGTTTTACATGTTCAGATAAAAGGCCGTTGATAAGCTCACTTTACGACATTTGGTACGCCACAGGATCACGCTAACGAGGGAGACATGTGTGACGGCCCAAATGTGAAGGTAGGTTGCGAACACTGTGCTTCGTACCGAAGAATGATTTCGATGTCCGCATGTCGAGGAACAACTATTTTGACTTGACACATGCTCTTTTTTGGACCTGGCAAGCATCGACCTTCTCATCAAATCCGCGGCTGCGGACTAAGCATAAACAGACGATAAACATATCATTGATTCTCCTAATCTGGCTTGGTGGTCACGTTGTACTCATCGATTCCTATACCCTAACCTTCTTCCACTTCGACTCGGCGCGAACTATCCTGCCGTCCTGCGTTTGATTCAACTTTCAGTCAGCAGTCGAAACTCTCGAGATTCATGCTGCTACTGCAGCCGAAGAAATCAGACCAAAAGGACAGGGGGTTTAGACAAAGCAAGGCAAGGCAAGAAGAGTCTTTCGGCAATTCACACGCTTACAGGTACAGGACAAACCCATGCAGAGTTCAATGTTATGTCCTTGTCCCAATTGTCCTCGGTATACCCCACCCTTCGCGTCGCCTCCTTGCCCTATCAGCTCGAATTTGCCGAGACCTCAATCTTGGTATGCCGCACAAACTAGCGCCGCTGATTGGCCTCATAAACTGGTGTACGCGCTGAGCAGGCGGTCGATGCGCGCCACTGCCTCCCGATACTTGTGGTTCATGGATCTTGAGGGTCTCGGCCCATGGCGCTGAGAGTCGGAGTCTTGCTGCCTCATCACCCGCTGCAATTAGGAGAGAGGAAAAGGATGTTTCTTGGAGGCAAACTGATTGAGTGAATGATGGAAAATTGTGAGCTTGGGTGATGAGGTGGCCATGTGAATAGGTTTTGCGATGGCCAGATGCCCTGATGCAAAAAATAATGCTGATTGTCGTGAATCAGGTATGAGTGTGAAGCTCCAATGGTGGCCAAATGGAATTGACTTATGCGACGTCGGTGAGTCTAGTGTCTCATTTTCCATGCGGCTCAGCGTCCTCGGTAATGTTATTGAAGCAGAGCCTTGATGCAGAGTGAAATACGGTACCACTTAACAGCGTTCTCGCACGCAGTGAGTATACTCCTCGTGATTCAGCCTTTCTTCCGACACCGGTATAAAGGCAGTGCCTGTAGTTAGTACGGACGAGGAAGTTCGCCTGGGAGTAACGTATATCGGCTTAGCAGCGAAACTAAGTGGCCAAGTAATTTCGCTCGATGGAGAGGATAAGCACACCAATAGTGTCACCAGAGGATCATGTAAATGTACCTCGATGATAACCCCAAAATGCCTCGAGATCTTTGATCCGCCATCGAGAACCCCAGCCGGTGCGTGTCTCGATTGAATCAATCAGCTTTACGATGATCGCCTGCTCTTCCCTGTGCGTGAACAATTTCCCGGCAACATAGAGGGGCTGAATGGCATTGTTAATACATCCAGGATGAGGATTTGTCAGAGAAATCCCCACGATTCTCCGTGCGTGCCACAAGGGTGAGTAGACTTGTTCTGGGCGATCAAGCTCCTGGATCCCTTTAATTTCTAGCATCAAGATACACGCGGTATGAAACAGTTGATTGCCAGATATCGCAGCCCAGTGGGAAAAGAAGATTCTCGGAAAAGCACCATCTCGGATCGTCTTCACTGGAAGCATTTCAACAGGACGTCTCGAGAGCCATTCTTGAAGATCACCCCATAGCTGAGTCCATTCCGATTCGAGATTCCCGTGCTCACATCCGTTGTCCTCTCCCATTTCGACACACTTGATTCGGCGGACGAGGAGGTCGCATACTTTTGCGCAAAGGTAAACGGCAAAGTTAGCATACATGTCCGGAACCTGCTGACCCTTCAGCCAGAATCGTCGGTTGATCTCCTCCCCTTTTTCAACATCAGAACCGCTAAATTCTTCAAGCCGGATCCACTTATCAATGCCTAGCACGGTGGCTTCTGTCCCGTTGGCAATGATGGCGCCGCAAAGGTCCATTCGAGCATAGCACCAAAAGACAGCCTGAAGCAACCCACCAGAAAACCCGTTAATTCCGAAGGAAGCAAAGAGCGCCGCACACCCTTCAACATGCCGCCTCCAATCTCGCGGACTCACGCTCATCATTTCCAGAACACACAGTAGACACGCAGTCAGCACGACCGTGGGCTCCCTCGTGCTCAGAGACGAGGTGAGCGAAGTGATTGCTTGCGAGTATAGCTCGAGACTGTCGTGCGACCCTGATAATTCTATCCGGGCTTGTCGTTCCGCCGTACGAGCGCCAACTGCAAGCATCGCATGCAGAACAGCGGCGGACCGTTGCGCGATGATGGGCACTTGCTGTCCAAAGTGTCGTTCGCCGTCGAACATGTCAAGCCAAGGGGCACAGTCAGTGATCCATACTTGAAGATAATGGATCTTCTTAAACGGAGGGATCTGACTTGCGCCGTTCACCATGTGCTCCCAAAGGTACTCATGACCAGGCCTGTAACTGGCGGAGAGGTTGTGCTCCTCGGGCGTGAGCTCTGGCTCTGGCGAATGGTCCCGGCTGTTGGCGCCTACGAAGAGCCATGACCGCAATTCCGTTTGCAACTGTTGGAAACGCGGATTGGAGGCGTACTCATCAAATGCGCTCTCACCAGAGAGTGCACCTGGAGAGACGAAAGTATTGGCGGTATCAAGATCCATCAATGGAAGCCACCAGTGTTAGAGTCCTTGGAATGGAAGGTAATGAACAATCCGTCTATTGTGAATGTCTCATTTGTGCTCCGGCCGCAGTAATACCTTACGCTTGCCAGGCGTCAATGGCGTGCAACGCAGTCTTCTGGCGTTTTGGTGAGAGGAGGCACTGACTGGATATAGTAGAGAAAGAGGGGGTGCTTGGCGGCTAAAGAAGTGGACAATCTGCTCACTGTGCGCGCTCTTTCGGGCTCACCCCACCTGCTGCTTCTAGGTACGACTTCAGCATCCCGAAAAAGGGTGTGCGCTTGTTTTGTGGGACCATGACACCTGACGGGAGTAGGTCATCAAGTACACAAACCAGTGACAACGGGCCAGGGGACTAGGAAGGATAGCCGAGGCAGCCTTGCGAGAGCGAGGCTGGCGTGTAGACTTCCGAAGCAGCACAACTCACGATGACTATTTATACAAGGCCATTACATAGCTATACAATGTAATTAACTTTGTTTAACGTTATGATCCTACACATATCTTTAGCCGTGATCATGCTCTTGTAATTCGTTCAAGGACAGCTCTCCCATTGACACCGTCTCCCATACCTTGCATTTGTCAGGAAACCATACTTGCTGTGACAGCTTAAGTGGAGCGAAACATGACAATGATTATCATTCACTGAAGATACCAAGCATGTTCATGAGAAAGGTCTCACCAATCCAATGACCTCACACCTGGGTTGGAAATCTGTACTCTCTCTTTACCTTCTACCTCTCCCGATGGTGCTCCAATTTTTGTATCAAGGTCCTGCAATTTTGCGAATAAACTCGGGCCGTACCTTTCATATGTTCGTACTAGGCCACCTTCTCGTAAAAGCTGCTCCTGAATCCGTTCAAGGTCGAAGCGGAAACTTTTGTTCTCGCAATGGATCTGCCTATTCTTCATGTCGATAACTATCTCCTTCCCCTCTTGGGCCACTTGGAAAAAGCCTTCGTCCTGTAGTTTGATCCCCAGGAGACCATTGTTAACCTGATTTCGCTGATAAATGAAGGCGAACGACTTGGCAATGACGGCTTCGATGCCAGCCCACATCAATGCTTTTGGAGCCTGCTCTCTCGATGAGCCGCACCCAAAGCTCTCCTCGGCGACTACAACGTTGCAGCCTGATTGAGCACGGTCGTAGAACTCCGGACGAGTATAACAGAACGCACCACGCGCCACGTCCTCGGGCGAAAGATGGGAATGACACTTGTCGGTTGGGATGATACTATCGGTGTCGACATTGGTGCCGAACCGCTGGATCCGGCCTTTGATGATGTCTGGCATACTGGCCATTTCTCCAGGTGAGACCTTTGAATCTTGCTCATGTATGTAATACGGCATAGTAAAAGCCGGGACTCTAGGCTCGCTATAAGTTGGAGATGGCCGTGACACACCTCTGTGGTGTGCTCGCAGTTCGTCAAACTCATGCATGTCGATCATCGAAAGGATTTCTGCCGGGTTCTGAAGCGACATGGAAAAGCTGGAAATGGCAACAGTGGCAGCCGAAGCAATGTTGGCGAAGGAGCCTGGACCCATTCGATCGCGATAGTTGCGATTCTGCGAAGATAGCCATACTTCTCCCCTGCCCGCTTTGTCGACACCCATGCCAACACAGTAGCTACATCCCGGGGCGCCAATCTGGAAGCCGGCATTCTCATACTCCTCCAACAGGTGCGCTTGCTCGAGCTTTTTGACTATCGATATCGAACCGGGAGTGACACGCCGCAGGCCTCGCTTGACCGGCTTATATCCCAGTGCCAAAGCTGTGCGAAGCACAAGGCCAGCCAAAACAAGGTCTTCCTCTGTTGTTGTGCACGCGCCAATAAAAACCCCATCCAGATGAGAGAGTTGGTCTTGTGCCTCTGAAATCGGGACGACGTTGTCTGGCGAGGGATGAAGCGCAACAAAATGGTCTAGCTTAGAGAGATCAACATCATAGGTCGCTATGTATTGTGCGTCGGCATCAGGGCGAAAGTATAAGCTGCTCGATTTGTGACGTGGATCGTGTCGAGACTCAACATAGTCCAGAGTGATATCATCTGGGATAACACATGCACCAATGCCCCCAAATTCAGTGGTCATGTTTGCAATAGCAAACCTCGCATCGCTCGACAGGAATTGAAGCCCTTGACCACAGTATTCCACCAGTCGTCCGGCCGCAACCGTATTCCTCTTTAGCTGTCGCATGACTCCGAGGATCACATCTTTGCCACCGATAGCAAGCGGAGGCTCCCCGATAAAATTGATACGGACCACGTCTGGGACTTCAAGGTATGTTTCTCCCGTTATAAGTTGCAGGACCATATCCGTGATGCCAACCCCAATGGCAAGGCTGCCTAGTGCACCGGCTGAGGAGGTGTGTGAGTCTGCTCCGAAGACCAACATTCCAGGTTGACAGCGCGACCGATAGAACTCCGTGTGCATGATCGTGGTGTTGTGGCCGGCATAGTTATCCCCAAGATCCAACTCTTCGGCAATACGATCACAAGCGTCTATCAAGGATCGCTCATATGGCCTGTTGTTCACTCTGGGGTCGACGACATGGTCACCAGCGAGCCAGAATCTGTCCTTTCGCTTAAACCCAGGCCTGCCCATACGCTCGTAGCTCTTGTTCATACCAAACCACGCAACTTCCGAGGCCAAAAACCAGTCTGGGCAGATGCGAATCACTTTACCAGGCTCGACAGACAGATTACCATGATCAACAGCATGTTGGAGAAGAATCTTCTGACACACATTCATTGAGTAGCAGGCAGATTTGTCTCCAGAGTCCTTAGCCATGGTGGAAATTCACAGGCATATACCAGAACAGTACGGTTGAGTTGCTATCTTGTAGTGCATTGAAAACTTCATCCAAGAGGCACGAATCTATGTTAAGGTGCGCACTCTTCTGAAGTATGGACAAGGGTATGTTCGAGTCAAGTCCCGACTTTAGTAACCGAGAGCCTGAGAGTTTCTAGCGTACCACACTTAATCTCAGCCAGGGATTGTGCCGGCGAACGAAGCATAGAAGTTGAACTGCCGAGTGGCTTCGAAGCACTATTGATCGGAGCGTGGGTTCATGTGGAAGAGCATTCCGCTTTTCCCACTCTCGCATGGAAGAGGAGCTGCTGCAGACAGTCCAGGCATTGACGAGGGCCCCGCGCGGAACTCGGTAGAGACTACAGCGCTTCTTCGGCATTTGAGGAGGTGGATGGGTTCTTGAGAATTGTCTCAGGAAATGAGGCTGATCTGTTTGCACTCACACAAGCTTCCTGATTGGCGGAATTCGAGCGACCGGTCACTCTCCGTCCCCGGGTCACTGCCATATTTAACGCCTTAACAGTTCCACATCCATGTCGTCCCGCACTGAGATACCATAGGTATGGGTAGAGCCCCAGCTGCAGGCAGGGATTACATTTCAAATCCTGGGGTACATAAGTCACGCCGGTAGTCCTCGACGCTGGCCAGTTAATTCCACAAGATTCGATCGATTCACGCCATCACCATCCGTAATGATCAGTGAAGGTAGAAACAATCATCTGTTGAGCAACTGGAAATGTCTCCTGATATGCTGCGCCGTGTCAATGGCCAATTGCCAATACGGTTTTGGTGAGTATTCTGCCACAGTCCAACAAGCATCACCTCGTATCTCAACGTCTGACGATGACAGATACGGCCGCCGTTGCTGGGTTCCAGGCAATGATCGGCTTTCTCGAGGTATACGGTTATAAGGACCCCAAGGTCAAAAGCGGCTGGAATATTCATACCAAGCCTCAACAGCTAATCTCCAGCTTCCTCAATGTCGGCACGATCCTTGGAGTCATTCTCGCCGGGCCGTTTGCACACAGGTTCGGGCGCAGGCCGGCAATCTGGGTGGCTGCGGTGGTGTCAATGGTCGCCTGCGGTGTCCAAGTCGGCGTTAATAGTCTGGCTGGGCTGTATGCTGGCCGAATTCTTCTCGGCCTTGGAAATGGCTTCTTCATTCTCTTTTCGAATACGTATACCGTGGAAGTCTCTCCAGCGCATCACCGAGCTATCCTCGCATCGTTCTTCGGGTTCTGGGTGAATACCGGCAGCATCCTGGGTGCGGTTGCGGACAATTACAGCAAGAACATGCTGAACAAGCATGCGTACCAGATCCCTCTTGCTGCACTGTTCGCGATTCCATTCCTGTTGAGCATCTTCATGATCTTCGTGCCAGAGTCGCCGCGCTGGCTTCTTCTCCATAACAAGACGGTCGAAGCCCGAAACGCACTCCAACAATTGCGTGGAACTTCCCTGTCACCAGAATTGCTCGACGAAGAATTCATCGAGATGCAACGAGGCATTGAACATGAGAAGGAGCTGGCTTCCACAACTTCAGTTTTGGACATCTTCAAGAACACTGACCTGAGGCGAACGATCTTGTCTGCGGGTGCCATTGCATCGCACGCTGCTTCTGGGGTTTGGTTCACCATTTCGTACGGAACCTTCTTCTACCAAATGGCTGGCATCAGAAACCCCTTCCAGACTACGATTATCCAGAACTGTATGGGTCTCTTCGGTGCCTTGTGTGGAATGTTTCTGATGCACAAATTCTTTGGACGTCGTCCCATGTTGCTCATCGGTGCTGGGGGCTGCTGTATCTGCATGCTGGCTATTGGACTGCTGAGCATTGCCGGCAAATCCAAGGATGCAGGAAAAGCACTTGTTGGCTTTGCTCTGATGTTCAACTTCTTCTACAATGGTTTCACTGGTACAATCACGTGGCCGATCGCGGGCGAACTCGTCAGCTCTCGACTAAGAGTCTTCAGCGTCGGTCTGGGGACAGGTATCAACTACTTCTTTAATTGTGTGTCTCACCTTCTGGAAACATCGTTGGATAGTAGGTTAACAACGTCTTAGGGCTCATCTCGTACTGCACGCCATTCTTCCTGAATGCCGATGATTTGAACTGGGGAGCAAAGTATGGATATATCTGGGTTGGGTCAAATGCAATTGCATTTAGTGAGTTCATTTCCGACCTGCCTTACGTGAAGAAGAGTTGACATATTCAAGTTTTCTTCTTCCTCCTCATTCCCGAGACGAAAGGTCGAAGCCTTGAGGAAATTGATGAGATGTTTGTCAATAAGGTTCCGAGAAGGCAATTCAAGACCTATCACTGTGTATCCTCTGAGAGAGCCAAGGAAATCGCCATTAAGGACGTGAGTATGGCTGAGAAGGCGGAAGTCAGCATTCACACTGAGGTCTTGTAACTCAGGAGTTGTTACGGCTCGTACAAATCGTCAGAGAAATCTGCTTTGTAGACAGCACAATACTAAGAGATTAAACTAGAGAAGAAGAAAGAGTGCAGGACTTGGTCCTAGCAACATCGTGCTATAAGTACCTTGTGTCGACAGCGAGGCTGTCGACACCGAAACCGGTATCCTTCTGTTCCGTCCGGATACAGTGTCTTCCGTGTCGTAGGTGTGTCGCATATGTCTCTCATGTGGTATCCTTATGATGTTGGTTGCAATCGTAACCCTCGAGTTACGATTGATATCATGTGACGTTGCTCAGCCTTGTCATGGTCGTAACAGGAGTCCTGCTTCATGCTTGCTCTGCCATGCTGGATACCTTCGGCCGTGTGATTCTAGGGCGGGGTTTGGTCCTACTTATTCCCGGCTGCTATATTTGCTTGCGTGCTCTTACGTGCATATAGCGACAGGTCGCTCCCTTACTTTTAATTAGTCGCTACAACCACAGCTGGAGCACATCACGTGGCACACCTGTCACGTGATGGGTGTATCTTCCTCCGTTCTTCCTGGTCCGTCATCATGGGTTCGAATACGGCCTGCGGCCAGGCCGACTTGTAACAGTTCTCTAGTCATGTATAGAGTCATTCGAGGAGACCGTCAATTCCGGTCAAGTTTTCAGCATTGTCTACAGGTTTCAAGTTAAGCACGCCTTCGATTACGCAGCAAAGCGTGTTCTAAGCGATTAACAGTACATTCGGAAGAGCCCTGCATTCTGCGCTGCCCCCGATTAACAACATGCCCTGATAAACGTTCCATGAGGTTGGAGAGGTCAAACAAGCTTTGCAAGGAATGAAAGGATGTCCTGCGAATGAATCTCTACTCATGGCTCATGTCACCTGATTGACTACAGCCCTGTGCACCTGGTGCTTCCCCATCTACCCCTGTTATACTATATCATGAATCGAACACGATCTGAAGACGACATTGTGGTGAGTAACCGTTCACTCTGTAACACAGTTTGATGAGTGTTATGTAACTTGAAAGGGTTTGTAGCCTCTAAAAACGACCTGGTTGGCTGGTCGTGTACAGTTTCTAGATCACAATCGACATTGTCAAGAACATTAACTGAGGGAAGGTTGACTAAGTCCCACGAAAAAACCTACCTTGTATTTGGCTCTCATACAAAATTTTGGTGAAATCGACCTTTTTTTCCATTTT